TCAGTCGACATGCCCATCAACCAGGTTATGTGGCGCGGCGGGGCGGAGGCTGCCTGAAAAGCAAGTTCTCCTCAGCTGTAGGCTTTACGTAGCGGTAGTTGTTCAGCTGCATGCATGAGGCTGTCGTCGGAGCGGGGCGCCTCGCTCATTGCCGACCGGACAAGGGTAGGGAGTCCCTACCCTCAACACGTCGCGGAGTGCAGAATCACTGCACCGATGCAGCAGCACAAGCTCCTCGCCATAGACGGATAATTAACCGTACAGTTTTCATCCATACGAAGTAGCGGCGCGAAATATAGATGAGAGAAGTGGGGAAACGACGCCTTCCTCGAGGATCCGAGGTGAGGAGGGCAGATCTGCATCGCATCCTGGTCTTGCAGCCTTCATTCCCGAAGAAAAGCTGCGTGGCTGCCTCTTTTTGTCTTATCAGTAAGCAAATTTCTCCCTTGCCGGAAGCTGTTCAATCTGCTAATAGCGGGGCAAATGCTCATCATGCTGGTGGTTGTTCTACAATTTCCCAGTGCAAGCTGACTACTTGGTGATGTAAAGACATCTCGAGAACAGCTGAGACTAGCCAACGAAAATACATGTTTTCTTGGGACGACTGTTTAATTACAGATCTCCTTCATCAGTGGATGCTTGCGTGTGCATGCGGCACAGCACAATGTATGTACATAGGGTGAGAAATTTGGCAGAGCGCTCACTACGTGCTTGTACCGTGTCCGTAGAAAACTGATTGATCCTTTCCCGTCCCGGTACACCATCTTGGAGTTGCATGCCAACCCTCGGCTCTGAAAAGGGTGTCGGAAATAGCTGACCCTCCCACATATCGCGGCGTGCATGCGGCTGGATTGTCGGGGAATCACGCGCCGTGATCTGCTGCGAGCCTTGTGTCCTTTATGTAGAGCCCCTCTCCGCTGCTTTCATGATGACTTTCTTCCCTTTCTTTCCCCTTCCTCCGTACTGAGAAGTGCCTGCCGTTGGGATTCCTCACGCCGGGAAAACGTGCCAAACGGGCACCCGTACGTTTGCAGTTGCCCAATGTACAACATGCGCAATGGAATGGCTCGCTCCAGCCGAGACTGGTTCACCCATACGCGGGCCACGTATCACCCCTTTTCAATGACGCTTTCACCCACAGGTCCCGCCGTCCTCCCCCAGACCGCTCTTCAAACCAGCCGCCCGCGTCACCCCCCCAAACCATATTCTGAGACGGCAAGACCATGATGGATAGATGAAGGGGTATGCACTTCGTGGTTGCCACCGCAAGACTAGGCGTGCGAGGAGCCAGTCGTCGTCAGGCACAGGACACCATGGCGACGTGTCGGTGCAGGCCTACCTGGGCCCGCGAAAGAAACGCCTATCATCCAGTCCAGTGAGGCGTGCCATGTTGTAGAGCGAGGGAAACTTTCCAAGCCGATTCCATCCGTCATTTCTACCAGTGCTGACTGCTGCCCCTGTGTGTCGCAATCCGATACAGCGCCACTGACAACTCAATGCTCTTGCGTCACTTGCATCACTCTCCCCGTTGGGATGGAACTCTCAACGACGAGACTATATAATCTTGTCTTTTGAGTTGTCAACCAACAGAGCAAGCGTGCTTCTCTTTCGTCCATCTTGGTTTTCCACACGTTGCAGCGCAGTTCGCTCCAGGGACTTGATGATTTCGATAAAATAGTCCCTAGACTTCTTCTCCATTGTTCTGATATCAGTGGAAAGGTCGCTGGCGGCCACTGAGTTCCTTACATCCCCTTCGAAGTCCTGTTGAACGTTGAACATCACCACTCAACTGGAAACATCTTGTTCCTGTAAGTAGATCGCGGTATCCTATGGCCTTATTGATCATCCCTTACCCTTGCTAGCAGTGTGATGGTAACGGAAGGTCATCTCTATCATAGACGCAGTTCAAAAACATGTCGACTTCCAGCATGCATCAGCCTTTTTGGATGCAAAGTGAATGGCTGTACTGTTCTACCTCGGAAACCCACTTCTGGGTTGATCTGTATGGTCTTTCCGGGGAAGATCCTGAGTTTGTCGATACCCGGCCAGGCAAGATTAGATCTTCGGTAGACCTGGCATCTCGGTCTTCCAGCTCGACCCCCTCTGGGGCGACTTCTTGGAGTTCGGCACGATCAGCATCGTTTAGCCTTTGTCGAGCCTCTTCAGCTGGCCCTGACCTGGTCCAAGATGCCAATGTTGCGTTCGTCCCTCCAGAGTCATTCTCCTTCGATCAGTCTTCCAGCTCTTCATACGTTTCGGATTCGCATGCCCCAATGCACAACCGCACGCATTTTAGCGGACCCTACTTTGCGTCAACAATCGTTGGCTCACCAGAAAGATGCGAACCAGAGAGGCTCTTCGCTGCCGATGGTGATCCATATTACGAAGCGTTCCGACCAACAGACCTGTCTTTCAACTCAAGCATTACCTCGAGCAACGATGGGCCGTTAGCCAGAGAGGAGCTCTTGCAGCCCATGTCCGCAGGAATCAGTGGTAGGAAGTCCTGGACATTTCCGGGAGCGCCAGGCATCCCGAAAAGCCGAGCCTCGACGTCGGAGAACGAAAGTCCTTTTGTGTGCCAGACTTGTCAGCGTGGGTTTACATGCAAGTCGTCCCTTCTTCGGCACATGAAAGAGAAGTGTAGAAGGGAAGGAGAGAAGGGCCCGTTCCAGTGCGACCCATATTTCCACCATGGCTGCACAAAAAGATTTCAGCGCCGATGTGGTCTCAAAGATCATTACAAGAGGCTGACGCTTACCGAAGAGCAAGCAGTTGCGAAGGTGAGAGAAAAGTATTCAAAAGGCATGCACAGTCGTCGCTTTTAGGTTTTCAGCCTCTGCTGTGCTGGCGCATGCTATTCGGCTGTGGTTGGGCTCCACTCAGGCCTGGCCAGATGTATAACGCCGCGGATTGGGTATCGTCTGCAGCGAAATATGTTTCGGCTTCCAAGAACGTTAAGGTGCAGTTGGGAACATGATTTGATGGGGGTTTCTTTTCCTTGCCTTGTTCGCTCGGTCTATTCCTGTTTCGCTCTGTTTCGCATTCTTTAGCTTTTAACCTCGACTTATTGAGGGGAGAAAAAAAAAAAAAGGCTGCAGCCCTGTCTCAATACTAGTGCATTATTATGTTGTATCGTCGTCGCCCATGCTTTCGGTTAGCTCTTTTTTTGTACTGTCACCCGGATCGTGGTAGTGTCTCGGTGCTGTCGCTGGATAAGGCTCTGATTTCATACAAGCCAGTTTACTGCGGGGAATGTGGTATTTTATCCATCGGCAGTCAGGGGCATGCAGCATGCAGGCACCCACGTTCTGTCACATTCAGCATGCGTACATTGGACCATGTATTGTAGTGCATGCGATGCATTGCAGTCAGCTGTGAAGGTGGCTGGCTCATCCATGGCAACCTCCAATGGAACCTTTGCACTCAGGTGTGAACGCACAATTTTTTATTGGTGCATGTAACGTAGAACGCTACAAGGCGAGGGTGGCGGTAGCGACGTGGCGAGCCATTGATCAACTACACATCATCCTTGCGTTCCCAACAAATGAGGCTGAGCAACCCACCACCAATCAAAGCAACCAGAGCGAATGCATTGGTGGAATCCATTAGGTGAAAAGTGGTTCGATGATCAGAAAATTTCTCTAAATTTAAGGTCTATTTTTAGTACGTCATAAACCGTTTCAGTTGACTACTAATCGAAACAGTTATAGATTTGGGCGCCGCAGTTCGCAAATATTTCAACGCGAATACCTTATAATTTGTTGAAAATCACCCGAAGATTGCTTCTAACCCATATGATAAAGCAATTGGACACGCCTAGCTTCTGGCGGGTCAGAATTCCCGAATATCTGCGCGGTTTGCGGGAACAATCATGAATATCCCCTTCAAACACCACTGCCAAAAATTTCGAGATTCAGGACTTGAGACTCGGTGTAGGATGACTTAACCAACTATCTTTTTATTGCTTCTCTTTGGGATTTAATTCTCCTGACAGGCCTCGAATATATCTTTTACGATTTGGGCATTAAATAACAGATGGTGATTCTGAAGGAATTTCGCGATGATTGAACAAACCCCCTCGTCTTCACCATTTTGTCCGGAAGATTAACAATGCTGATACTCACGCCAACAGCGGGACAGTCTTGGCAGCGACGGAGCGGAGTGGGTTTCCGCTGCGAAAGCGGGAGCTAAAGCGCATGACGTGATCCCGCGGCCATACCCGCCTCAACCCTGTCGACGATCACACAATCTAGAAAGGCGAGGGGACGGGCGGGACGGCTGACACATATTTATCCAGACCGCATCATAGAATGGCCGCATGAGGAAAAGGCAAGGTTGGGCACAAGTCAGGGTGGCGGACTCCTTGTCGCTGAGGCACACACCTCTTGGCTTTGTGTATGCGATAATGAAGAGACAAGCTTCTGTGGATATTGTGGAGATAGGCTCAAGATGACGTAGATGCCGCGGTTAGTCTCACCATGCTTTTCGTCAAAGATGTTTTGACAGGCCTCGTACTTCGGACATGCGGTTTCGTTTGAATGATGCATTTTGCATACTCCGATGGCCGTGTCATCCGTAATGTCTGCGGATCTCAAACAGATGTCACGCTAAAGGATTACACGTTCAGGCAGAGTGCACGGCTGGGGTATAGTGCTCACGCTTGTGGTGTCTTGGTGACGTATTTCAATACACTCTGCTCCAAAACCACAATGGATGGACAAATATTCCCCGAAAAGGATGCTCCAATCTGTCACGAAACAGCCAAACACTATCCGCCTTAAGCCCCTGCGAGTCTTGTCAAACTTAACATGGCAGAACGGTCCAGGTCAGAGTCAGGTAGTCCATCAAACAGCCAGACGCCCCTACACTCAGAACCATGTGAAGTATCGTGGAAGGAGCGGATCGGCCATTTTACATGGGTGAGGCCGAGATTGTCATCACCCATCTTCGCTTCGCTGATGAAGTAGGCATGGTTCGAATGCACAATGGCAACGGGCGCCATGGCCGTACTATTGGCTCAACAGCCCTTCAAATTTGACGGCCTCTTCACCGTCGGAAAGATCTTCTTCATTTTAGATCTGGTGCTGTTCGTCTCATTCAGTGTGTGCATAGCGATGCGTTTCGCGATGAAGCCAGGCTCCCTGGGGCTTTCTCTGCACCATCCGCGGGAATCATTCTTCTTCGGGACATTCTGGTAGGTTCTCTCCAAGCCCAGAGCAGTCCGTGATATACTTACCCCAGAATCCAACAGGGTCTCCATCGCATTCATCATCTACAACATCCAGCTCTACGGCACTCCGTACTGCGGCTTCTGGCTGGTCAAGACGCTCGAGGTTCTCTTTTGGGGATACGCCGGGTGCGCGCTGCTGGTGGTGATATTCCAATACCACGTCATCTTCGACACGCGGAGCCTGCCGGTGGCCGACGCGATGCCGGCGTGGCTACTGCCTGCGTATCCGTTTTTAGTGCTTGGCCCGTTGGGGGCGGGGCTGGAGTACTCGCAGCCACCGGACAGCGGGCTGCCCATCCTGATCGGCGGGCTCATGTTCGAAGGGTTCGGGTGGAGCATCGCCTTCATGATGTACACGCTGTACTTCACGCGGCTGATCAACAGCGACATCCCGACGGAGAAGGAGCGGCCGGGTATGTACGTTGCGGTTGGGCCGGCGGCGTACACGTCGAATACGTTCGTGGCTGTCGGCTCGATAGCGCCGAAGATCCTGCCTCCGGACTTCCTGGGCGTCCAGGGTACGTCGGCGGCTCAGGTGTGGAGGGCTGTGGGCCTGCCGGCCGGGGTGTTCCTATGGCTGCTCGGGTTCTGGTTCTTCGCGCTGGCTAGCATCTCGAACGTCTTGGGGTGGAAGAAGATGAGATTCACACTGAGTTACTGGAGCTTCATCTTCCCGCAGGCAGGGTTGACCATTGCGGCGGTCCAGATTGGAAACGCGCTAAACAGTGACGGAATCAAGGGGGTTACGAGTGCAATGACAATCCTGCTGGTGGTTGCATGGTTGCTCGTGGCAGCAGCGACGATGGGTGCAGTTCGGAAGAAAGAAGTGCTGTGGCCAGGGGTTGACGAGGACGAGGAGGACGTCGAGGGAAGAACGCGGTCGGCGGACGAGGAACTGGGAAAGAGGCGCAGGGACTGAAATGTGATTGCTCACATCCGCAAACTTTATCGAATGAACGCCCGCACACCACACCCTGTCCCCAGTTTTTCCTTTCTTTTCTTCTTCCTGCTGCGACGTGCGAAGTTACGGCTCTGCTGCCGGTTTCGACAGTGTGCAGTGTTTTCTGCGTTTAATGCCAAGTCGACGGCACCCATGACGGTTTCGGCCTAGGATTCCAGAGAGCCAGAACATCGGGGAATGACTGCTAAGTACAGAAGACATTGCTTTGTTTTGTTTGGACGCTGAATTTCTATCGCAGATGAAGCAGAGGGATGCCACGATATCCAGCTCTCTTGCCGATAGTGAGAAGAATGACGTCCAATCTACACTCGTCAGCGGAATTCAATAATCAATACCCTTGGGATGATTCTATGCGTCACTGCCCTCTTTGGTCGCGATTGTCGATGTGATTCAGGCGATGCGGAAGAGAGGTACCGGGAAGCGCATGGACCTGTCGGCGATCGACCGGAGAGGCCGCGTGGAGCAGCCTGTTTGCTCTCCAAAAAAAGGTGGGTCGCAAAGGGTGCGATTACCAAACTCAACCCCAACCCGTCGGCGACCCCAAGGACCCAAACCCGACCCCGAGTACTCAAAGCCGATCCCGAGGACAGTTTTACGAAGCATTAAAAACGGTGGATTTTGGTGGAGAGGTCGGGTTTGTGTCCTCGGGGTCGGATTCAGGTTCTCGGGGCCGAGTTTGGGGTTCTCGTATATGAATGGGGCCAGGTTTGGTAACTACCCCAAATGTTTGTCCTTTTTTTTTTTTAAAAAAAAAAAGGCGGGTCGCTGCATGCAAAGGGTGTGGGTGCTGGGTGCGGAGTTAAGATAGCAAAAGTCGTGGCCGCACTCACTCCCGTTCCTGGCGGCAAACTTTGCTCGACGGCTCCTCCAATTCCCACGACAGACCTTGAAACTTCACTCCACGCGCAGCGAACTCGCTCGGCAACCTCGGCCAATTGCCTGCATCAGTTACTGCTAATGCGCTGTAACCAATGGCAGCTCTAGTGATGGATCGAAGTGGGCCTCTGGCGGGGATGCCGGTTGCCGTCTAGATGCTTATTGCGGCAACTTTTTCGGTCCCTCAACGTCACCGCTTAGAAATATTCAGCAGTCAGCCTGGCCCATGCCACCGCCAGGGTGGAGTTGATAAATATTCTGTTTCTCATTGTGGCCCCCTCCCTCTGCAGCCCCTCCACCGTCGATTTTTCGCGCCCCAAAAAACTTGCAACATGCAGTCGATTCTTCAGTACCGACGCTTCGGCCTGGCCGCGCAAGCCCAGATCCAGCGTGATCTGGAGAAGGCGAATACCATCACCCTCCGCCCTCAACCTGAGCAGTCCCGTGCTCCGTCGGTGCAGTCCGAAAAGGAACGAGGAGATCTGGCTGGAAAGGAGGAAGAGGAGAAGGCGGACGAGGAGGAAAAAGAGGACACTTTCACACCTGGTCGTTCTACCGACTCTGTTTCCATCTCGTCCAGTAACTCATCCACGTCTCAGGAGATTGAGCCCGTCGCCGTCGACCGCGTCCATACCGCTGCCACTGTTCGAACCCAGTACACCGCCAGAGCCGCCCTCGGCCACTCCCTGACTGGCATCGAAGCTCGCGACCGCCGAACCCATGAAGGCAAAGGAGAGCAGGTTTTCGTTGTTGGTTGGGAGGGAGATTCTGACCCCCTCAACCCTCGAAACTGGAGCACTCCCAAGCGTGTTGGCGTTACTCTTCAAATTGCAGCCGTTGCCTTCGCCGTTTGCGCCGCTTCATCCATCGACGCCGCCATCCTGCCTCAGGGCGCAGCCGAGTTCGGAGTCAGCGAAGTTGCGGAAACTCTGGCGACTGGTAGGAACTACCATGAGCCTGCGGGTAGGTTGCTGACTCTCTTACAGGAATGTTCCTCATTGGCTTCGGTTGCGGTTCTCTCGTAGCAGGCCCTTTCTCAGAGACTTTCGGACGGAACATCGTCTACATGGGATCCCTCGCCGTCTACAGCATCTGGATCATGGCAGCCGGCCTCGCCCCCAATTTCGGCGCTCAGATTGTCTTCCGGTTCCTGGCGGGCTGCTCCGCTTCAACCCCATTGACTTGCGCCGGTGGGTCCGTGTCGGATATGTATAATGGCATTGAGAAGACGTGGGGCTTCCCCCTCTTTGCAGTTGCTGCATTCGGCGGACCGGTCCTGGGCCCTGTCATTGGAGCCTACATCGGACCATCGCCCTTGATCAGCTGGCGGTGGTCTGAATGGATCATGCTGATCACTTCGGGACTCGTGCTTACCATGCTCTTCTTCTGCATGCCTGAGACCTTTGCTCCAGTCCTATTGCAATGGAAGGCTCAACACCTCCGGAAGATTACGGGAGACCACCGCTTCCAAGCCGAGCACGAAATCGTGGAAGCAACCCTGTTTACCCGCTTGAAAATTGCGATGACCAGGCCATTCCTGATGGTCACGGAGCCCATTATCATACTGATGACGCTCTACCTGTCTGTTATCTACATCGTTCTTTTCACTTTCCTGGACGGCTACGCCTATATCTTCCAGAAGACCTACGGCATCTCGCAGGGGCTGACTAACATCATCTTCGTCGCAATGTTCATCGGCATCGTCATGGTTGTCCTCCTCGTCCCCGTCGTCTATCGCATCACCGTCAAAGACCTCAAGCGCGCCAACGCCAAAGGCGCCGCTATGTTCAACCCGGAAACCCGTCTGTGGTACGCCATGCTCGGCGCCGCCCCCGCCATCCCCATCGCCCTCTTCTGGCAAGGCTGGACCGCGAGGGCCTCGATCAGCATCTGGTCTCCCATCATCTCCACCGCCCTCTTCGGTTACGGCATCATCGGCATCTTCCTCTCCGCCTACATGTATATCATCGACTCCTACGAGATGTACGCCGCCTCTGCCCTCACCTTCGTGACGCTCGTGCGCTACTTCGCCGCCGGAGGAATGACCGTCGTCGGCATTCCCTTCTACGAGAACATGGGGGTGCCCTATACTTTGACCATCCTTGCCTGCATCGCAGCGCTGATGACGCCTATTCCGTACGCCCTGTACAAGTGGGGTCACCTTGTCCGGCAGCACAGCAAGTATGCTGTTACACGAGAGGTGTAAAAGGTTGTGGTACCTGAGCATATGTGAGCCAGGCCGAAACTATTTGACCCAGCGCCCCAATTACGAGGAAGACATGTCTGAGTGACCTACAGCATTTGTCTGAGACAGATGTTATGCAATCGTTTTCCCGCAGTCACCTAGGACCCTTTTTGGACGAAGGCTTTCTCGCTTCAAACACCCAATCTCCACTCCGCTCGTAGTCAGTCATTTGTAGGGTCGGATTACAGGATTTACCCAGCTTCCAATACCCTTGATTACCGCCAAATTCACGGGAGTCCATTTAATGGCAATCCACGACGCCTGAAGGATGATTTTTACAACGCACCGAAGCACTTTCTTTGACAGTCTTTAGAAGAACCGAGACGACGGGAAATTTCTTGATGGAACTCTCTCTACCGTATCAGATTTAGATTTTACTTTTTCTTGAAGACTATCTTGATAGATTGAACCCCAATGGTTACGTTTCACGACATTCGTTACATTTGCTTCTTGCGTAACCGCCGTCCCGCCAATGTTACTGTGAGAAACCCAGAGTGTTCACGGACTTGGTTTTACGTGGGATTTAAAGGCGCAGAGATATGGAAGAGAGAAATCGTAAAGCAGAAAGCCATCCCTGCAAGCGATTTGTCCCTTCGCCTTCGAGTAGCTGTTCTGGCTCACTAAAATGGTGTCTCCTCCGTTTCGGGCGTAAGCTTTTCGACCGAGAGCAGGCGCCTACGCGGCCACAAGCACCTGCGGGAAACTGAGAGAACTTTCTTTCTCATGAAACGACCCTCACGCCACCCGGCAGGTCAAAATTGAGGAACCTTATACTGTTTCGGAGGAAAAAGCATCAGTCGCATCGCCTCGGGTCTTTATCAGTAAACAACAATCGTCAGCTGGCGGACAGCTGTGCGGAGTGGAGAGGGGCGGCAGGGGTGCTATCGTAATCCTCTGCGCTCCGATTGGCTCCGCGGGGAGCGGCGGCGGCGCACCCTGCATGAGGAGCTTTGGCCAAGGTCCGATGAGCCTCGGCCTCCGGTCGGCTCGCATCGCGCAAAATGCAATCCATCCCCCGCGACTGGCTGGGTTGGCTGGGGCTGGACTGGGGGGCGTTTTCTGGACTACCCCGGACTCGAACCACATGTAGGTCCCTTCGGCGGCTCATGCTAGATGCAGCCATGTAGACCTTTTTTAATATGACCTCCGCTCTTCCCCCCCACAATCCTCCCCTCTTCTTCTCTTTTCTTCGTAGCTGCCCTCGTGCCGTTCCATTCTTACCCGTGTCCTTATTATCACTCCCGGTCGATCAACCTACCTGTCTCGGAGCTCGCTGACTCTAGCTGTGCATTGTGTGTTTTAATCCATCTCCCCTACCGAAGCACCAACTGACAACCTGTTGTTACTGAAGCCACCTGTCTCGTGTCTTGACTACTTCCTTACCCAATTCACCGCAAAGATGCCACACCAAGAGATCACCCGCGACGAGGTCGCCAAGCACAACACCGAAGACTCGCTCTGGTGCATCATCGACCACAAAGTCTACGACCTGACCGACTTCGTCGACGCGCACCCGGGCGGCTCGGTGGTGCTGGCGCAGGTGGCCGGCACCGACGCGACGGCCGCCTTCTACAACCTGCACCGGCACGAGGTGCTGCAAAAGTACGATTCCCAGCTCTGCGTCGGCGTGCTGGCGGGCGAGAAGCCCGAGGTCGTGGACCCGCAGCCGGGAGACCTGAGCCAGGTGCCCTACGCCGAGCCGCTGTGGCTGCGGCCGCAGTTCCACAGCCCCTACTACGCCGAGAGCCACCGCCGGCTGCAGCGCGCCGTGCGCCTCTTCACCGACACGCACGTCACGCCCGAGGCCCAGGAGAAGGAGCGCGACGGCAGCTACATCAGCCAGGCGCTGATCGACAAGATGGCCGAGGCCAACCTGCTCGCCATGAAGCTGGGGCCCGGCCCGCACCTGCACGGCCGCCAGCTGCTCGGCGGCGCCGTGGACGGTAAAGAGTTCGACTACTTCCACGACCTGGTCGTCGCGCAGGAGTCGGTGAGGCCCAAGGCGCGCGGCTTCCAGGACGGCAACATGGCTGGCATGATGATCTCGTTGACGGCCGTGCGGCAGTGGCTGGGCGATAAGGCGCTGCAGGCTAAAGTGACCGAAGAGTGCTTGAGCGGGAAGAAGAAGATCTGCCTGGCCATTACCGAGGCCTTTGCCGGTACGTGGGGATGGGGGGCCTGCCCGCTGCAGCTGACTTTATCCGTTTGAGACTGATGCATGTTCCAGGAAGCGACGTCGCTGGAATACGCACGACCGCCACAAAGACTCCGGACGGCAAGCACTACATTATTAATGGCACTAAGAAGTGGATCACGAACGGAATGTTCTCTGACTACTTTGTCGTGGGCTGCAAGACGGACAAGGGATTCTCGGTCATTCTTGTCGAAAGAGGCGAAGGGGTCGAGACCAAGCCGATCAAGACGTCGTACTCCACGGCCGCCGCTACTGCATTCATCCAGTTCGAGAACGTCAAGGTCCCGGTCAACCACCTGCTGGGTAAGGAGCACAAGGGATTCACTGTGATTATGAGCAACTTCAACCACGAGAGATGGGCTATGTGCTGCGGTGTCATCGGCTGGCAGCGCATCATCGTCGAGGAATGCCTCAAGTGGTCGAACCAGCGCATTGTTTTTGGCAAGAACCTACTCGCACAGCCGGTCATCAGGCAGAAGTGCGTATCCCTTGCTCTTGACGCTGTAGAGTTTAGACTGACAGAGGAATGGCAGGCTGGCCAAGATGATCTCGCACGTCGAGGCCAACCAGGCGTGGCTGGAGCAGATCACGCACCAGATGTGCAAGATGACCTACGAGCAGCAGGCCAGGCACCTGAGCGGGCCCATCGGGCTGCTGAAGTCGTTCGCAACGCGCTCGGCGCACGAAGTGAGTACCCATTTCCCCCCAACCCCCCCTCAGCTGCTGATGGCCGCTCCAGGTTGCGGACGAGGCGGTCAACATCTTTGGCGGGCGTGGCATCACCCAGTCGGGCATGGGAAGGGTGGTGGAGCACTTCCACCGGTGCTACAAGTTCGACGCGATCCTGGGTGGCACAGAGGAGATTCTGGCCGATCTCGGGGTGAGACAGGCGATGAAGGAGATGCCAAAGGCCATGTTGTAGACGGTAGAATGCTTGCGGTAGCAATGGAGCACAGGCGGTTGCTGGTCGTGTCGCGCAGCGATTGGATTGATTTGCAGCGCATCAGGTGCGCGGGGCTGGCGGGAATGTCGCCGTCCAGCATGGGATGAAGGGCGAGTTAAAAGCTAATCAGGCGGCCGTCTCGCCAGGACGACAGGTCATCCGAGGAGCAGCGCCCCTGCATCGCCATATATTGGGGTGCTGGTGGCACACGAGGCGGTGACAACAAGAATGGGGGTGCTCGGGTTGCTGCATGCATGATGTCGTGCATTAGGGCGCATGGGCGGCCCCGGTTGGCTTTGGTAGAGGTGCGACCATGGCAAACAAGGGGAGCTGTTGAGGTCGCAGGCTGTCGCCCTTTGACGAGCCGAAGCCGGAACGTGAGCGCGTGCTCTGGGGGGCCGGGGCCGGGGCTGTTGGTGCTGGGCTGCAAGAGCCGCAGGACGCGAGGCGCTTGCTCGGCGGCGCTGAGCTAGGCGCACGATCGGCTCGTCTTATCTGCGCTGGACGAATGCTGATGGACCGCGTGCACATGACCGTTGGCGCGGCCGATACGTGGCAGCCGTGGGTGCATGGACGACGCACCCAGGACGACGCAGGGCCAGTGCCGCAATGGGAAGCGAGCCGGCGCGGCGACTCGAGGCGTTCGGCCGGCACGTAGTCCGAGTAGCGGAGCCACAGGCGGTGCTTGCCAGGGCCTGAGCCGGGGCGCTGCAGCGGGAGCTGGCCAGATGATGCACAGCACAGCAGGGCCCTTCCAGGTCGTGCTTCTTAACGCCTCGCCGCCCACACCCTCTTCTCGTCATCAGCCCCCCGGAGCCGCCTCTTCGCCCTCCTTTCACCGTCCCTTGATTATTCACCACCCGCGCCCCAGCTACTTATAACCCCCAGCCGCCCCCATCGCCTCGCCATCTACACCTATCTCCTCACCCACCTCGACCTCGCCGCGCACCCCAACCAACACCACGTCCTCACCCGCCTGCCACACTCCACAATGCGCTCCAACAGCATCTCGTCCATCTCCTCGTCCTCGTCCGCCTGGGACTGTGAGGACTCGGTGCAGATCTTCGTCAAGAACATTGCCGGCGAGAGTGCGTCACCCAGCCCCCCCTGTGCCGCCTCGCGATGCTAACGCTGCCGCAGCCTTCCCCCTCACCATCCCGGCCGACACGTCGATAGATACCCTCAAGAGCCTGCTCGCCCTCCGCACAAACCTGCCGTCGTCAGACCTGCGGCTGGTGCACGCCGGCAAGCACCTCACCGCGGCCGACTCGACCCTCGCAGACTACAACATCACCCGTGACTCAACGCTGCACCTGGCGCTCCCCGTGCGAGGTGGCATGCCGCCCAAGAAGATCCGCTGCAGCTACAAGGACTGCAAGGATGCGGCGCAGCGCATCGTCGGCGACTGCGGCTTCTGCTCGGGCCACTTCTGCGGACGTCATCGCCTGTTGGAGGACCACAAGTGCTCGGGCCTCGAGGACTGCAAGAAGGAGAGTCACGAGCGCAACGCCGAGAAGCTCAACTCGGAGCGCACCGTCGCGATACGCGGCATCTGAACTTCGCATTTTCTTCGCTTCTACTCTTTCCGGACATACTTACGACATGCGATAAGCGATAAGGGTTTATATTTCACAAGGAGTTGGTGGGAGTCATATCGATCTACGGGAATTGCTTTTTGGCTTGCTTGTCGCTGCTCTTGAGCGGTCCGTTTTGGAGGCCTGGCGTTACTTCGACCACCGGTGGCTTTGGATTGCTTTCTTTGCTGGTCGCAGCGCATCACGTTATCGCGCTTACCTCCGGGCTGTAGATACGCAGCTATGGCGGCTACCGACTGTCTACGCATATTTGGCAGTATACTGTTAGTCAATTAGCTAATCCGCGCCTTCGGACGCGCATCCTGCATCGTCACTTGTCTCCATCACATTCCTGGTGCTTATGCGACTGCCTGATGACGACGCAAGGCGGACCCGGGCCGTTATTCTCGTGACACCTCGAACCGCAAATCCCGCTGTTTCGCCGCCTCGTCGATCCCGTAGCTCGGCAGATTCGTCGGTGGCGTGCACATCCCTCAGCCCGTTGTTGTACGAAGTGTACAGACAGACTGACCTGGCCAGCGATCCCAGTTATGCCCAGCCTCCCCCAATTCCTCCTGCAATGCAAGAACGGTTGAGGACAGGGCCAACGGGACCCGCCGGCGGCTACCTGGACGCAAGACCAAGGCGCGCCTCCACAAAAAACGGCGTCTCCACCCGGATGGACACTAACATTCAACAACCCTGTCGCTGCTGGGCTCCGCGAACGGGGGAATAAGCAAGCCCAAGACGCGGACGTGCGCGCCACCATCACGCGACTCTTGCTTCCTTTGCAGTCATCGCCAATGCCAGCTAGCACTTTAGCCTGCATTTCCTGCAACGGTCAAAATGGTCAATACTGCCGTGCACGCCCATCGACGAGAAAATTGCAGGGAAGAGACCGATCAATCTCAAACCTTTCACGCGCTCTTCAGTTTTTCATCTCTCAGTCGCGAGATCGCAGGTCCTGACCTGGCCTGACCAGCACCACGACAACACCACCGCCGCCGCCGCCCGCCACATCGCATCACGTCGTCTAAATTAACGACAGCACGACATGGGCCTGACCGCCTTTCAGCCACAGTCTCCGTTCCTCGGGCATCCATTTCGCACGCTTCGCTATTCCCGGACGCCTACTTCGGCCTTTCCCCTGCCCACCTCCATTGCGAGCCGTGGCCGCAATGCTGGCAAAGCACCGCTAATGCGGTTGCGCCAAAACAAGGACAGGAGACCGCACGCATGATAATGCACGCTATGTTTGTGCTGCACCCCCGGGCCGCCATAGGAGAGAAAGAGAAGAGAAACCGGACCCGTTAAACGACCCATGGCTGGGGTTTAACGCCAGCAAGCGAGCAAAGCCTCTCCGTGGCGCCGGTTCTCCCGCTTTCCCAGTTACTGCCACCGCCACGCTGCGTGCGCCAATAACGGGGTCCTGTCAAATGACGCGTACTCCGCAAACTCGATGTGCTTCGCTTGCGTCTGGATACTTTCTTGTGTTCCCTTCCCCGCATCTCTGCCAGCGGGTAGAACCGACGGGCCACTGATGGGGTAGCGGAATGGTTCGACGGCTCCTCTTTCGTGCCGCGTATCTCCTAGGTGAGTCAATTGGTAGCTGTTCTTGTGTTAATCAATTAGTTAGCGCGCGGACTTGTCCCAAAGGACTTGCATCTACAGGTAGGATTCGGTACTCTTGTCAACGTGCAGCACCGCAATTGAAGAAACTGTCCCCTGTCAGCAAACCGTAGAATGCAGTCGACTGGTTCCCTTTTTTTTTTTTCCGATGCGAGCAGACATTCGCCGCAAGGTGCAGAAAGCAAAAAAGAGCAGGGCCAGCTACTCCATTGGAACGAGGACGGCAAGAAAGCTCGGCGTATACGTGGTTCGCCTCGCGTCATCCTTTGTCATCATCACGGATCCGCCGGTGGAGGACGGCGCAATTCTTGCTGCACGCCTATCGAAGATCGCCATCAAGATTCCCGAGTCATTTTTGCTTCGTTCGACGCTTGCAGCCATGAGCAGCTGGAGACGGCCGGTGGGGGTGATTGCCGATGATGATGTCCAGCGGGAAGCCAGCCGTGACAGACGCAGTATGACGAAAGAATGATCGGCGCGAATGGGGGTGCTGCCCCGAACACGACGAATGGGTGGAGAGACCCTGCGTCAGCACAAAAGAAGGGACTCGTTGGTTCTTGCACCGTGTCCGCCGAAGAGGCGCCTGTTCGGCTTATCTTTTTTGGCGATTCATGCAGGACTGCGGAAGCGAATTGGGGCGAGCCGACCCAAACGCCGATGGGGGGACGAAGAAAAGCAAAATCAATCTTCACGCCAATACTTCTTCGCGTGCTTTGCCGCGGCCTCCGACGCCGACTGAGTGGTAGAGCAGTGGCGAGTCGGCGTCAGCTCTGGCTTGTACGGCTCGAAGATCAGCTCAAGCAACGGAAGCCTCTCCGCCGCGCAACGGCTGCGGCCCGGTCTCGGGGTCTCGGGGCGAAGGAAAGAGCCTGGCGCGAAGAGAAAATGGAAAATTGAAGGCGAAATCTGGTTCGTCAGCAAAAGAACATGGGACATCTGCAGTCCGGCAGAACGCCAATGAACCTTAGTTTCGAAAATTTCCCATGTGCTCGGATCGTTCCAGGCGTCGCCACCCTGCGCCCATCAGATCAGGCACCTGTCCAATCAACGACGACTCTTTTCCTGGTTCGAGTCATCGCTGGTTCTGCTCGAATGCGCCCCATCTCTACGTCACGGCGGCTGCGCCGGTGGAGCCACAACCCTGACAGCAGTCAAACGGGGTGGGGAAAGGGAAGGGAAAGAGGCCCAGAATTTGTCAATCTTCCACGACGCCTTCGAGAAGGTCAGCTTCCGCACGTGCCGCCATGGAGTCCCTGACGAAGGCGGCCGATGGGGGGCCCGCCCCGCGACCGCTTGTTTCCGCCTGGGTCCGCAGCTCCGGTCGCTTTTCCGGCTTTCGTGCGCCTCGATGTCCGGTTCCTCTTGCGTCATCGCCTCGTCGTTTCCCGCCATCCTTTTGGTGGTTCAACCATCATGACGCCTTCTCATGATACGAGTGACAGTGGCAAAAAAGCCATTCGTGTTCTAGAAGAGGCATCGAAGGCACGTGATTGTGCCGCCAGAAAAATGGTTTTGCCGCGGCGCAGCCAGAGAGAGAGGGAGACGGGGCCCAGTCGCGCCAGCTGCGACGAGCTGAGCTTCTCGTTGTTGGCGTGAGCCAATGTCAGCCTGCCGTTCGGTCCCTGACGGAAGCGCCGTGCGAAGCAACTACGCGTACCGACCTATCATCGCCAACTAAACCGCAATTTGTTGAGACGGGCGCGCCGGAAACCCTAAACCGCTATTCTTAGCAAGCGATGCCTGAGATGCTCTACATCCTTTGTCTGGTGCTTATCTTGGCATGTACTGCACTGCAACTGCAATGCACATTGCATCGGGGAAAGAAATTAAAGGAGTGACTGGGGGTAAGCTGGGTGACGACAGCAGAAGCGCCTTCGTTCTTGGATGGGTGCACCGACGCAGTCGCTCCGCAACAAAGGGAGATGTGACGGGCATCTTGTTTTCAGACGCTCGATCTGCTGGTTCGCTAGTCCAATATCTTTGTTTGCTTGATCAGACATGGGACGAATCTTGGGTCGTTGACGGCAGTCTGCTGTAGTGAGCGAACTGGGTTGGAAGCCTTCCCGCGTCGATGGCCCCGGACCGGAGAAGTGGGGGTCGATTGGTCAGGTCTTGCTCGCTGGAAAAGAAGGATTTGGCGCAGAAAAATCGACTCCTTCACCTGCAAACGATGTGACGGTTAAGCTGATGATAGCTACCGCGCATCGTATTTGGAGGCGGGATGCTGTTGATCTTCCGCTCATTCCTATCCGCAGCTCACCAGTGCAGTCGTTGCGGGTCAGCGCTGCCCGTGTTCCAGTGCCGACTCTTGGAGAAGTTACAGTGCCCCGCAGCCCACTTTTCATACTCCCGGCTTTCTCTATCGACAGCTTTCACATGGGCCACCAGGTTCGACAATTCGTTCGAGAGTGTCGTCGGAACTACGTCCCGGTCTTGCGGCTAGCGCGAAAAAAAAAGAAAAAGAGCTGGGAGCGTGGTCGATTGCGTGTAACGCTGCAGCCTCACCGGTTCAACTTTCTGCGATTAGCTTCCTTTCACAACAAAGCATGTCACTTACACGGAATTCCAGATTTGCCCCAGACACTCGGCTGAAGCGGCCTGTGAAAGAGTAAATGCTGGGCATCTCCACCTCCTCACATGAAGGAAGCCAAGTTTGTGGTGAGGAAACGAAGGGAAACGTTCCACTATCATAGTCTCGCCAGGAAGCTCGAGCGATGGCCGAGAAGACGACTTTTGCGACTGAGTCAGCCCGAAACCCTTGGCAAGAACAGACCACGTTGGCGGGTCGGCAATGGCAAGAAGGTTTTCCGCCCAAGACCTTCGTGTTCTTGAAGGTGCTTGTGCGGACCACCATTCTGCGATCCTGGCTCAGACAGACTCAGTATAAAGATCCACATTTGAAGGGCTTTGGGCACGAAATTGATATGAACATGGGTCGTGGTGGTTATACGCACGGCATGATGTTCGGCCCTGAGTGGATGACTTACTGCGGAGGACGAAGAGGATCGAAACCTACCTGCAAGGCGCCGGCCGCAACCCACAAGAGAGGAAGCCCGCATGCTGACCAATCTGCTGGGGAACCGGGTAGACACGGTACAAACCTCAGGTTGTCGCCATTACTACATGCATTGCGCGTCACCTTGGCCAGCAATGAGAGGGTACGGTAGCACCGACGGCTGCAAACCACGCGTTCAACAAAAGCTGTACATTCAACTGCCATGTGCAGCACTTCCGTCTATCCCCAGCCCCCTTGCTTGGGACCGCCCTTTGAAGATCGATCTCGAAGTGATGCGGGCCCACAAGAGACGTTCCAGCCTTGGATGCCAGCACAATGACACAATCTGTATCACTTCCGGCGAAGCGCTAACGAGGAGGGACTTCATGACACGGATGGGTATCCCAGTCTTCCTCGTTCGGCAGCTCGGTGGTGAAGAAGGCTTGCGGGCAACGGATAAAGAGCAGGCTGCCAAGTTAAGGCGGGAAGGCTGACATCGTGAGGAATCATGCAGATCACTCGATCTTACCAGAGATAACCGAGTCGGCGGCCGCTGGGCATGACGGCTTTGGTGTGTCGGCTTTTCCTCAAACGATCGTCACCATCTGCCGGAGCCAATGAAGAAAAGGCCGATTCGCGGGCTCCAGCAGGTCCATGCCCCGTGAGGGAGGTCATTCGGACGGATGAGGGCCTTCGCGGACACCCGCGTGCATCGCGGGGGACAGAAAACGCTCCGCCAAGCGCGACGGACGTGTGGGAGGTGGGTACGGGGTCAGTATCAGCCAAGAGGCGGCTATGATGAGTGGTGCAAGCGGAGTGGGACATGACGGTTGGAGGGCCCAAAATGTTTTGGAAAAGGAGGACAGCGGCGGCGCGGCTTGGCGGGCGCGACGGACAGGCTTGGCCCCCAGCGTAACCTAGGCGGCGGTGGATGCATTCGGCCGTCGAGGCGTGGCGATCAGCCAGATTCGACCCTTGCTCACCGATGATCGCTCCGGTCAGGAAATACGTAGCAGCCGAATGGGGCAGTGCAAGATCGCCGCGCGCTTGGGGGTACGAGGAGGCTCGAGACGAGAAGCAAACATGCCTCCGCACACCTACTAGATTCCAAAGCGGTCGGCAAATTCAGCCATAACCGGACCGGATCTTTCTCCAGGGTTTCGCCGACGGACAGTACCGACACGTCCAGAGAAGACGCTGGAAGGCGCAAGTCTAGACAGTCTGCTCTCCGATGGGGACAGTGTCTCTGGGAGACAGCGCTTATGCGGGCTGGCGTGGTGTCGCGGGGCTGGCGGTGCGGCAGGACGCCGGGCCCCCCCACCGTGGGGAATTTTGTTTTGGTCCAACGTCCTCAGGTTGGTGAGCCAAGGCCGCGTGTCACGTTGATGCCCTTATCAGCACGCACATTCCTTACGGCGCACGCAGCCGGCTGGGCCTGGAAGGCAGCAAAGCGCTGTCACACGTCGTCGTCATCTCCGGGCCTGGGGGGCGTGACGACACGGCATCTGCGCAACGCTTGGCGGGGCCCCGACCTTCTGCCACGACGGAGCCCACGGACGGCGGCCGTGGCCTCTCCACTCGCCGCAGAGTGGGGAGCGCTAGCGAGCGGACTTGGAGACAGTAGCTGGAGTGGTGGAGCGTGGGGCGGGCATGGGCTAGAAGCTGCGATGCCTGGGCCTGGGGGCGAGAGGGTGTGGTTTTGGGCGCACAAACAAGCCGGCGATGCCCGCCGATCATCCGTGGATCCAGCTGGGCTGGCGGCGCCGCTAAGAGATGCGTCCGCTTGGCTGCCAAGCCTGCTCCGACGACTCCCGCTCCTCCAGCCCTCTGCCCTCTACTCGCTGGCGCTGCCACACCCGCGCAGGATGGCGCCTCGCCGCCTCGCCGCGCTGTTGCCCTGCCGCCGCACGCCAGCCACGCGCCCGTTTGCAGCGCACCAGGCACTCCGTCTCTCTCGCAACCTGCGCCGCGCCCCGTCGGGTACCGTGATGGCCCAGCGGCGGAAAGTTAATGGGCTTCTTCCTTTTTCCTGCCGCACGCACAGTTCGCCGGATGCATTCTTACCAGGGGTCGCACAAGCATTACTCAGTCCGCAGCGCTCAGCCACGAAATTTGGCATCCGCGCAGCGGTCCGCTCTCCTTTCCGGCCTTGGCAGTGCGCCTTCCTGCCCAAGGAACGCGGGCCCTGCGTAACTCAACACCTCGCCCTGCTACTTTCAGCCTAGATAGCACACCGTAACGGCCATGTCCCCTGCCTTGGCCACCCTGTCGCATGCATGCAGATCGCTGCCGCCCGCCGCGCTGATGATGACCGCAGACTGCTTGCTCCGCCCGCCGCCCTGGATCGCCGCCCGCGCTTCCTGCGCCCGCCCGCTATGATGTGCTTCACTGCTAGTCTTCTGTGCCCGATCGGAACGTGGTTGATGCCGAGCCTAGTTTCTGATAACGCGTAACACTAGTACATCGTTCATGGCGCACCATGCGTCCTGGTGTGGACCCGGGCTTCACGAGGACGCTCGAGCCCGTCAGCGTTGCCAATAGATAATAGAGGGCCGCCCAGCTGCTTCTTTCTCTTCTTCAGATAGGCCCATGCGCGGGGTGTGTTGTCCACTCTTCCTTTTTTCAAGACACTGTTACCCTAAACCCTAGCGACCCACCCCTCCATCGCCCCTTCCCTGATACCTTATCGTCAACACTGCTATTTATCAGCGAGCCGCTAAGAGTCTGCGCCTACCGCGCGGGAAACCGACTCAAATAGCTGCTTCGCCGCTGGTCTCTTCACCTCGGTGGACTTCTCAACGCTTTTTTCCATCCTCACCCATCACAGTCACAATATGAGCGCGACCGCCTCCCAAGGTACTGGCCTCATGCGTCCCGCAGAGAGCTCACGGGCTGCCGGACAGTCCTCAAGCGCAGCACCATCACTTTTCGACAGTGATCCCGAGAAAGGTGGCTCCGAGCAGCTTGAAAATGCCAGCCCAAGGCCGCCTTCAAATCAAGCAGAGGTCCACGAGCCGAATTGGCCGACCGAATGGCGGGCATGGACGACACTGTGCGCCTGCTTCTTCCTCATGTTCAACAGCTGGGGCCTGGTCAACGCTTTCGGCACCTTTGCGTCATACTACAAGGACGTACTCCTCCCGGACGCGGACGTATTGTACTTCAACCTTTTCGGCGCGACGGAATGTTTCATGGTGCTCAGTCTGTCCGGTGTCGTTGGCCGTCTTCTGGATGCCGGATACTATAGGCAGTTGCTTGGCGTCGGCTCCTTCCTGGTCACCCTCGGCTTCATGATGCTCAGTATCTCCAACGGCAAAGGAGAGTGGAAGGATGGCTCCATCTGGAAGATTGAGCTGACGCACGGCATCGTCGCCGGGCTGGGCATGGCTTGCTTTTTCGTCAGCAGCTCTCAAAGTAAGTACTACCTCAAATCAAAGTAACACGAGAAATAGCGGTCAGACTTGGTGGTTGGGCCGTCATCTTGAATTTGAGAGGCGGATAACACCAAGGCGGACCAAGCTATTGCAGATGGAGGCCTGATCGACGATGCTGACTCGACATGTTTCTTAGTTGCCGCCACTTGGTTCCAGCGCAGGAAGAGCCTCGCTATTGGCATCGTCGCCTCAGGCGCGAGTATCTGTAAGTACCTGGTTACATACTGTCCTAGGAATCAACACCATTCCTGCAGCTCTGCAATGGCGCCTTGGCAGAACGCACTGACAATTCCGCACAGCCGGCCTCGTCTATCCGATCATGCTCCGCTTCCTCACTACGTCGATCGGTTTCAACAACGCGGTACGCGCTGTCGCAGGCCTGATCGGCATTACCGCGTTGTTCTCCTTCTTCTTCGCGACGCCCAACCCGAAGCACATCTATCGCAAGCCCGAATCATGGAAGGACCACAAGGTCTGGGTCGACTTCGAGGCTTTCAAGTACAAGCCCTTTAACTGGTTCACCGCCGCCATCGCCTTCCTTTTCTTGGGGTTCTATCCGGTCTTCTTCAACCTTGAGGAGGTAAGCATCCACGGCACCCTAACGGAACAGACCCGGCTCATTAGATACGATGCTAACACCCCGTCTTTTAGTGGGCAGCGACCAGCGGCTTTGGATACAAAGAAGGCATCGGTGCATCAGCTGGACCTGGCATGCATAAGCCTCTTACGGCTGGCTTGGCAACCTACTACATGCTCGCTATCATGAACGCGATGAGCACATTCGGTCGCATTGGCGCTGCTTGGCTCAGTGATCAGTAAGTCACTATTGCATGAGGTGCCATTCTCGATGAATGTGAACTGACTTGTTTCGCAGCTATTCCGCAGTTCAAGTCCACGCCGTTGTCACTGGAGTTTGCTCCCTGTTGGTGCTGCTCCTATGGACTCTGGCTCCCAACTTTGATGTGGCTATGGTTTTCATTTGCTTTTTCGGAATTTTCAGTGGCTCCGTCATTGGCCTTCCGCCAGCCAGCATGGCCTACATCCTTGGCAAGGAACCGCACAGGCAAGCTAAGCTGGGCCAGTGGACGGGAATGATGTACACTTGTGCCGGCATACCATCTCTCATCGGTCCCATCATTGCTGGCCACCTCATCACCGAGTACAACACTTATCTCACGGTTCAGCTTTGGAGTGGTGCCTGCCTTGTGCTCAGCACTGGATGCATGGGTGTCGCAGCCATGTACAAGCGGAGAGAGCAGCACAACACCACAACGGACGGCAACATGACAACGGACCAAAACGAAGCCACGGATCAGGAGGAAGGCTATGCCTCAAGCCATACGGTTTCGAGCGGCGTGTCGTCGGTGGAGCGGCAAGGTGGCGACGAGTCGCAGAACGAGAAGAGTGACGACGAGGCCAAGAAAGCCAAGGCTGGTCAGCGGCATTGAGATGCGGATGGATTGGCCAGTCGTGCACCCCGTTTCACACACGCACGCAATAAGGATCTCTTACAGATAAGAGGCGGCGCAATATCGGTTTCATCGGTCTATTGGCGTTTCTGGTTTCCGACGATCTGTTTCTTGGTTCCCGTTTTTCCCGCGCGATATATCCATTTTCACCGGCCTCTATCCCCTCCGCAATGTCGACGGCATGGGTCACGACAACCTTGATTTTCTGCACTTTGTTAATTGCTTTTTCGCCCCTGACGATGACGATATTTCTTCCTCAAACCACAACGGGCTACTCTTTGGGATGCCAATCTTTTTTTCTCGGCGCACAAGTTGCTTTGGTTCGGACACAAGAGCGCCCCTTCTGGGCGGGTATTTGGCGTTCCTGGCGAGGCTTTTTCGCGGCGTTGGGCGCCACGCGGCTGGGCGTTGGTTTCAATGCCCTCCGGAAAAATGGTCAAAGGGGGTTCCACCGGAAAATAGACTTGATTGGTGGATGGCACGCATAGGCAGTGACGACTTGGTTCGATTTACTGCGACGCTTTTGATGACGTTCACGGCCTTTTTAGAAAATGGTGGCTGGAACTTTTTCAAAGTGGAATACTTGAGGGGAAATCAGTTCACCGACATCACTGAATAGATCATATGAATAAATCAGCACTCTTATTGATATGTTTTCCAAAAAGTGTATATGAAAGGCGATGGTGTTGATCGGGTCCAGTGAGTGCCTAATCAAGGTGGCAAGCAACTCGACATGTGATTTCGGAGTAACCGTGGGACCGCATTTCAGAGGCTGAGAGGATAGGCTGAGCACTGTGCTTCCCGGGGCTTACTTCACACAGCATGCAAATACGATGTCGCAAGACACAGGGTTGCAGCAGTCCTGCGACACGAGATTGGAACTTCAGCCGTAAACATGCAGCTGCAGTAAGATACACTGCAACGTTCAGAATGCGAAGGGGTACAGTTTTTTTCGGACGAAAATAAGGTCTGAGGCTCTTCCGCAGGGTCTTTGAGCAGGTATTCCGCCCCGCGCCTTCCGGCCGACGGAATCCCTTTTTTTTCGGTTCCCCGCCTGCCTGGCTGGGTTGGAAATCTAATCTTACGCCCCTGCTGCCCCACCACCCACCACCCCGCGCTAGCTAGCTACCCCTCCCCCGCACTTCCCTCAACACTTTCAACCCACCGGCGGCAGCAGCTCCCCCACACACTCTCCAAACCCTAGCACCGTCCTGCCTTCGGCATCGATGCACTTCGCGTCCAGCACGATCGCGTCGCCGTCCTCCAGGTACGTCAGCTGCACTTCCTTCCCGCCGGCGGCGGCCGCGGGGAAGCGATACGGCTTCGTGCCGTTCAGCGTCGCCTCGAAGAGGCAGGCCAGCTCGACCTTCTCGCCCGTCTGCGGGTCCTTTGCGTCGCCGGACACGGTGCCGGTGCCGATGACGTCGCCGGTGCGCATGCCGCACGCCGACGACGCCTGCTGGGCCAGCTGCTGGAAGGGGGTCCAGAGCAGGTACTTGAGGTTGCTGGTGCAGAGGCTGTGACGAGCACCATCGCGCTGCAGGTGCGCCGACAGCTTGATGTCGAAGGTCGCGGACGCGGCGTGGCTCTCGTCGTGGCGCAGGTAGTCCAGCGGCGAGGCTAGCGTCTGCGCGTGCTTGGGCGTCGTGGCGAAGGGCGCGAGCGCGTCGAGCGTGACGACCCACGGCGACACGGTCGTGCCGAAGGCCTTGGAGTTGAAGGGGCCCAAAGGAGGCAGCTCGAAGAACTGGATGTCGCGCGCTGACCAGTCGTTCAGTAGGACGAGGCCGAAGATGTGGTCGGCGGCGGCGGAGGCGGAGGGGAGGGTTGAGCCGTAGGGGAGGGGTTTTGAGATGATGACGCCCATTTCGAGCTCGTAGTCGACGGCGCGAGAGGGCGCGTGGATGGCCTTCTTGTTGGGGTCTGTGGGCGATGGGGACCAGTAGGTGCCTCTGGGTCGGTGGATCTTGTGCGGCGATGGGATGACGCTGGAGGCGCGGCCGTTGTAGGCGGAGGGCGCGTTGAAGAAGTTGTCGGGGATCTTGCCCGCGGCCATGGGGGCACACTGAAGAAAGATGGTAGGTCAGAGGGTTGTACGGTTTGATTATGAGTGTCGAAGAGAGCAGGGGGTAGCTTACGTTGTTGCAGTGTTCCCAGGAGCAGAAGAAATCGGTGTAGCCTTTGCACTCCATGGGGAGGTGCATTTTCACGTCCTTGAGCGGGACGAAGTACTTCTCGTCGACTGATCCGCTCTTGACCGCGTCGATGATCTGCTGCCGAGCAGCTGTTCGTACGGTTCGAGGGAGAGCGGCGAAGATGCTGAGATCATGCTTCGAATTGTTAACGCCAGAACCACTTTGTGGGCAGAGGGAGACTCACATGGCCGAATGCCTCGCTGACCTGCCTGTCTTTGAAAATGCCTTTCTCGCTCAATTTACGAAGGTCAAGCGCGTAGTCGCCGATGGCAGTTGCGCAAGATGTCCGCAGAACGGCAGCCGTCGAGAACACGCCGAAGGGAATGTTTGCCAGTGTGAAGGGCGAGCCCTCGGCGATGTCGGGTGTAAATCCCATTCTGGATACTTGAACAACCTTTTCGCTGTAGTGGTTGATTAGTGTCAATGGAAGGATGTGAAGTCAGTAAAGTAGCAGCAGTGATGCGGCAGCTTATCCGGCCAAGGGTAAATTTAAGAGCAGGTCAGCGGCGGCGGGGGGGCTTTTAGGACCCCACGGGCCGTTCCACGCACATGCTGCAGGATCTCTCCACATCCCGTAAGCTTTCGTTTCCGGCAGCCCTTGAGCATTGCTTGTGAAGGGAGTGATTGGCGGTTACAGCCGGGACCGCGAATCGGTTCCGGGCGGGTGAAATCCCCGCCCTGCATGCAGCCTGACCTTACCCCATTTCCTCTCCTCTCCGGTCGTCTATTTTTGAGGAGAGCCGAACCCGCCTTCTCCGGTCATCCCTCTATTTCACTTCTTTTAATCTTTGCACTCTGTTCATTTTCCCCAGTCAGCCCTGCCTTTCTTGGACTCAGAACAAATAGTAAATTTGGCCCCGCAACAGCCGCCCCCACCAACTCTAATCTGACATTACTGTGAGACACTTGCAAACACCAGAAGATGGCGTTGTTCCCCGCTCCCCGCCGCCTCGTCACCGGCCACGACGAGAAGGGCAAGGCCGTCTACCTCAAGGACCACACCATCGAGCCCGAGGCGACCAACATGGACGCCTCCTTCGCCGTGCTCTGGGAGACGCACGAGTTCCCCGCCAACAACAACGGCTTCAAGGATCCCATCGAGACGAAGACGGAGAGCCTGTCTAACAAGGACGGCGTCGTGCTGCGTGTCGTCGATATCCCTGCGAATACCGTTACGGTAATTGCCCAGCCGTTTTTTAATCAGCCGTTTTTTATCTTGACAACGAGTGATGCTAACTCAGAGTTCACTCTCCTTCGTAGCCTTTCCACCGGACAGTCTCTCTAGACTTCGGAATCGTGTTGGAGGGCGAAGTCGAATGGTAACGTTAAACTGCTTGCGTACTTTTTCCCTTTCTGTGGATTCTGACCGGAGTGGTTGGTAAAGCTACCTCGATGACGGCGTGACTAAGCGCATGAAGCGTGGAGACGTGTGCGTCCAGCGCGGGACGATACATGGGTGGAAGAATCCTACGGACCAGCCGGCGAGGATCTACTTCGTTCTCATCGGTACGACTCATGGTTTCACCTGCCCCGCAATGTTCATCGAATCATGTAATGCTGATCTCGTAACTTTGCTAATGCTTCATCTTACAGCTGCGGAACCGGTGGAGATAGACGGCAAGCCGTTCGAGAAGACTGGATTCTCGGACAAGGAGGTCACGACGGGCGGAAAGTGAAAAATAAGTTCGTAAGCAGATTTGTGCAGTTTAGATTGGTGTATGATATTTGGTAGTGTCTCAGACAGTCACCAGTCACAACACATTGTGAATTGCACAATTTGTTAAATACGATTTTACCTTAGCAGCTGGATCACTTTCAACTGGATGATGTTTGACTGCAAGCCATGGCGTATGGAGAGCGCCTGAGAACGTGCACGAAGCGAATGGCGACTACTCTCTGTCAACATTGAATGATCTACATACAAGTCTGACATTTCGAGCATCAGAGACACTTTGTTTGCCAGTTTCTACGTCACCGGTACCGAAACCTCAACTGGACGTAGTTCGTTTTCTACGAAATCCGAATTGCACCACCATAACATTTCGTCATCGGTATTGCTCCTGCGCAATCTCATCTCAGAAAGCTCCCGCCAGCTCGAAGTTTCCCGGTCCGTCACATCGAATGGTGATTCATACGAAGAGACGTGCGGTGCTTCCCACAACGGAAGCGCGTTCCGGTCGTCAAGGGCTACATTGTACATCAGGCTGCGTCAGCGCTCATTTGTCAAAGCCCAAGTTCAGCCACTCAATGGTTTGACAAGGCACCTATGAGATAAAGGTCTTGAACGTGAATGCTGGAGTCACTGTACCTCGATCATCGCCGAAGACTCTCTGCAAATGCTGAAGCCACCTCCACAAAAGCCTGGAAAGGAAACGACGCTTCACATAGACAACAAATGGAATAGCCACCATGAGTATGACAGCGACAAGGCCAGTGATGGCCTCGGTTGACCACAGAGTCGATCCCGTTCCTTTCGCATCATGGTAAGACAAATGTTTATCTCCATAGTCCTGGGTGAAGTTTCTTACTGTTTCTAGACATCGCTGGCCAATCAGGCTATCTCAAGCGTACAGATTGCGTGCCTCGAGGGGAAAATTTACGACAATCAGTGGGGTAAAGAACAGGCAGAGTGGGTATTCTGCTGCCTCTCGGGTGGTTATAAATACTGTTAGACGGTGTCGTATCTGTCGGAAGACAAGGGGATTGGCAGGCAAGCGCGCCGGCCCGATGGCAGGGCTGTGGTCTCTGCGCCGGCACCTGTGTCTTGTGGCCGCGCCTTGCACGTCAGTCAGCCTTGTCACTGCGGCCTGCATGATCGATGCCGCAAAAGTCTTCGTGTATCTCCTACTCATTAGCTCCCAGCACACCTTCCCGCGCGGCCAGTACCATCACTTGGTTCAGATCTATGATCGCCTTGACTGAGATTCTAAGATAGTCTTCTCCCTGGTCTGCACGTCGCAAGTTCATTGACACACGTTGACGACGGCCTCCCGCCTCGCCACACCTTTACGAGTAAACCTTCTGAGCTTCCCTGACAGCTGTTGTGCAACCGCCCGAGATGCATGGGCCTGTGTTCTCAGCCGCACAAAGACCAGACGCCCGAGCCGGCAGGTGCGCCTTGACTTCTCATTCGCTTCTGCTCTCCCCGGACATGTCATAATCTCACGCCTGCTCCCGCTCAGGGCGGTGCGGCTATGCGCCAGAGCGGCTAAGCAAGCGGTATGGCCTGGCTTGCGCCCATCTGTAGCTGTCCTCGTACGACACAGCAGCTAATCACGAAACACGGCGACAGCAGGGGAGTTAGGCTGGCATGGTGCTGACAGCTAGACCCCTGCTGCCGTGGCCGCGTTTCGGGCTCGCCCAGTCCTCGCTATCCTTGCAGCCGGATCGCGTCAAGAATGCACTCATCAGCATCCCCGCCCCCTCCCTCTCACTGCCCCAGATGGTGCCCTCGCTAGCGCCCGAGCCCCGCCGCCCGCGTGCACGCTCACCCGAGCCAACGCAAGCGCGTCTACTTCGACGATAGGTAGATGCAGTCTGCCTGCAAATCGAATCGTGTTGCTTTTTCGTGCCCAATAACCCATTTCCACACCCACACACATGCCAGTCTTTCAAACAATTCAAATTCATCAAGCAAGTACTGTAGTTCTAATTGAATTTACGACACATGGACGCGAGCAAAAACTATTAGGAACCGGGTGCTTATGCAGCTGACAACACAAATCCGCACATCAGGGCCTGATACTGTACCTGCATCCTCGGTACTGGAGGCCAAAGTTTACGTATAATCAACAAGGTCGCATAGCGTGGACCGGGGCCAAAGTGGTCCTGGAACCCCGATCAGATGATTCTGGGATCCCAGTCACGATGATTTTGAGACCCCGGCCAAAGCTATTGTAGATCTAAACCAGGTAACTGTATTGGCGTCGTAGAAATACGGGCTAGAAGTTAGCGGGTAGAAGCTACGTGATGACTTTTGTAGGATTGGGTATGTAGACTGCAGCGACACGTTGCAGGTCATCTGCCGTGCAAGGCACGGCTATAGAAGATTTTCGAACGGAGGTAGAAATTTTGGTTGGAACTTGTGATACTCGATCTCTTCCCTTCTTCAAATATGGGCTGACGATTACTCCCAAAGAGCGCCACGTTCTGCATCGAGCCGAAAACGGCAGCCAAACTGCAGCCATCTACCACACATCTGGAAAGATGAGAGGGTGGTACATAATTCATTCCTGCAGCTTTTCTGTTATCCGGTGGTGTTACCACTGGACTATGCCAGTGCTAACACCGGCGGATTCCCTTCCCAGCCCTACCGAAGGGCTGTGCGTTCATGCGTTCGAGCCGTTTCCTCCACTGCCTATCGCTATTTAATCATCGCAAAAAAAAAACTTCCGAAGATGCCCTACGGTCGGGCAGAGGAGGGTTTCTGCGGGCTCACAGGGATTAAAGCCTGTAGTTTTGCTCACTGGCTTCTTGCTTCCTTTTTTCTCCGTTCTCTTTTCTTTTAATCTTTACATCTTTGAATTCTTTCTTGACATTAACTTGCAATACTGATTGTGGGTTGTGGCTAGGGGCTAACGATGGCAGCGAGAGAATATTTGCTCTTTGGCTGATGTCGCAAAAGTATCCACGCACTCGCCTATCTGCCAACCTTGAATCCCCCGTCCACGCGCCAGGCAGAGCCCCACAAGCACTGACTGTCTGCTTAGGATAGTGCTGTGAAGCGGCAAGGCCGACAAGAAAGCCGTACGGCTTGGCTTGCGGAGCGGCGATTGAACGCCGAAACGAACGCGTTGTATTGGGCGGCGTGGTGCTACTGGCAACCGAATCCCTGCTCCCGCCGCTATGCTTCGGGTTTGCCACGCTTACGTTTCTTCCGCAGCCAGTAGCGTGGTCCCTTTTCTTCACCATCCTACCTCTTTTAGCAACTCAACCAATCTAGTATCGAAAGAGAATTGAGCACGATTGATTTAGCACAGATGATGAGCACTCTAGTATGATGGCTTAATAGCGTCTATAGGGGATTTTAAGAGAATACTATAATTTTTCCGGGGCAGCTTTGATCAAGTCTTATCAGCGGCAGCTACAATTCGTTCTATAAATTGTTCACGTGCGACGCCATGCGCATGCGCCCCACTTTATCTGACCCATGCTGCTCCCTCTGCCACAGCCTCTCAAGAGCTGCTCCCTGCCGTCGCAGTGCTCGCCTGCAGAACTGGCCTCGTGCTCACATTGTGTCACGCCAACGCGGAGGCGAATGTGGGGGCCTTCGGGAGTACGCCACTGCCCAATTTAGATCCTTCCAGGGCTAGCGGGAGTAGAGGTACTACCATATGATCTTCTACCCTCACCACCAAACTGACAGGCGAGCTTTAAGGATATCCTTGGAATACGGGAATCAGCGTTAGTGTACAGCAAATTGTGCGCGCCGCGCAACGCAGGGATGTAGCTGGTGTTGCATATGTCGCGATAGCAGCAGATCTTCACCTAGCTGAATGGTCGCTCAGGTTCGGATCTGCGTACCCGCTATGTCTTTACCATAGAAATAAGCTTGTAACGGCGGACTTGATGGTGAAGCCATATACATAGTCTCACCTTTGAAGATGACAACGTGAACTCGCATTTACGAAATGATTACAATCATGGCTGGCTTGGCGCGGGCACTCGCCTCATGCAAGCCTCCTGAGCGAGCTGACCAGTTACCTAGTTTCCCGTCCAGTTGCCTTGATTTTCAGTCAGCGCACGCAGTCTGGCTGCTGCAGTCATGCATGGCGGTATGTCTTGAATTTTAGCCCAATCAAAAAAAAATTCAACGATTGTCTTACACGGTACATCTGCTTTGTAAGAGCCTACATGAACGCCTCGGAAAGAGCCTCACGCTAGGCTAGACCCGGTGTCAGGTTATCCGACGAGGCTGATTGATTGCAGCGCCTGTATAACAATGCCGGATTCCCGCTCGCCGTTAACTTCAGCCTGATTCTCATCGTTGCTTTGAACAGGTCCATCAACCGCAGCAACGACGACCGCAACCCCCCTATTTTTCTTTGGCGCCCACCCCTACGCGCGATATGAGACCCTTGTGAGGGGGATTTGAATCGAGCTAACGCATGTGAAGTAACTACTCCCGAGCTATTGTCGCTTTACGTACTCTACTGGTCAACCGACCGCGCCCCACCATGCATTTACTCCCCCGCCTACGAGATGACAACGCAACTCTACAATAAAACGGCAATAGTGGTACCGCTTTATCTTTGACTGGTCTTATGGGTCACTGGCGCCAGAGAACACCTAGGTCTCAAGCAGTGTGCGTGATCGAAGGCCCGCGCAGGAATAGAAAGTACACGTCGCCGCCCCTCAACGACCAGGTCCTCCACTGAGCCGCATCCTTTAGTGTTGCACAGTCTCAGCCAGCCCGAAACAAGTCGCGGGAGTGCGTCGCCCCGGGAGTGCATGATGGAAAAAGGCACAGCTCGTGGTCGCCAGTTGGTCCATTGTGCCGACAGTGCATGACATGAGGGAGAACGAACAATGTGATAGTCCTGTCGCGACGGCCATTGGGGAATAACGGTATCCTTCGCCCTCCGCAATTTTATTATGCATTGCGCTACCGGTACGTACTCATTTTTATATAAAGAAGATGCTTTTCTGTGCTCACCTTCAGCATCAGATGACAAGCACTCGCCGCGACAGCAAAACGCCTGACTGATACCTCTCTGTCCCTAGCGGATAATGCAAAGTCTGCATTCAGGCTTTCAGAGGTGAAAAACAACATCTGTTCCTGGTGAACTACAATCTTTGGCAGGTATGTCTACTCTCTTCGTTGTGCATGAATGGCTCACTGATGAGTTTTGTTCGAAGATCTGGACAGAATATCAGCCTTGACAAAGCGAATAAAAGTTGCTTGTGACATATTATCAATAACATATAGTAAGTTCGTTCTGCAGGCATTCAGAAGAACCATATTTGTTCAGGGGTTGCTGACTTATCTGACCAGAAGAAGACAAGTAATCGCCGACATTCAGCATCACGATGCCAGTCATCAGTAGCCTTCCCACTCAGGTTCAGCCCCTCCAGAGGAGAGACACGGCCAACACTACGTCCTCGAACGGTACAATGGGAAGTTCATCCAACGATGCGGCCCGTTGGGAATGCCCTTGTTGTGGAAAGGGGTTTCAACGGAAGTACAACTGCGAGCGACACATCTGGGAAGTTTGCCAGTCCCCCGGAGAGACATTCTTCTGTCCTTATCCCGAATGCTTGGCTCCACACAAGCGTAGGAGCCGCTTGAAGGCGCACTTCAAAAAGCATTTCGCCCCAGACAAGAACATGATCAAGCGGGCCCTCGAGTGGTTCGATTCATGGGTTCCCGACATCGGATACCAGTTTTCGAACAACGAAGACGAACTCAACGCTTGGCTCGACTCACTCGTTGCAGAGACTGCGACGGACACCCGCACTCAAGGTTAGCCATTTCACAGTGCTCTTGGAGGTCTCCATCCGAAATGCACTTGAGGAGGAAGCCAAGCTCGGAGAAGTTTTTATTTTCCGTAGTTTGAGTAGTGTTGAATGGTATCTTTCGAGTTTCTCCAAATTGAATATCTTCTTCTTCATACGAAGACCCACTATAGTTTTGAACTTGTGATCGCACTTTCTGTGAACTAACGCCTAAATTCTTTTGCACCGGGTACGGAAATGGAAGAGGCTATGACGAGCATCGGGAATGTGCATAGATACAGCAGACGAGTCTAGGCTACACTTTGCGGAATGCGTCGCATGGATATAGACGCCCAATATCTCTGCGCTGGCGCATGTGTGCTGGGATCTTCCCAGCAAGGCCACGGTGCACAAAGTACGGCTCGAATCGTCTCGTGTTGTCACAGTGCGTCATGGAACCCAATAACGAATTACTAGGTTTGAACGGAAGATTACCGCTATTTGTCCTGTCAGAACACATTAGTGTACATGTAAAAGGTTTATTTTCAACATACATTCAAAAATTGTCGTTATAGCTTACAGCGTTAATCCAACCCAAGTTTTCCACCTTAGACAGAGCAGCAGTAGTCGATAAATACGCAATTCGGGTGATTTCAACCCGAGAGGCCCAATGGCAATCAAAATGCTAAGGTGTGGTACATTTTTCCTTTTCCTTGACTGCCAATAAACAAGCTTCCCAAAGAAACGGGACGTAGGGTTTATGTAGGTTGACACTAGCCACAAACGACTATTCAAGCTGACAGCAGAATAAGATGACTGCATTTACGGAACACTGGCGCCAGCTGCTAAAATACATGGCGTTCTCGTGGTGTTTGATGCGAGAACCTGCTGTTGTCTAATTGTGAGAGCTGCTTCGCACTACAAATACTTCAGTACGGTGCAAAGTAAAAAGTTGAAGTACTGTTAGAAGGTTGCACGGAATGCTCTTCGGAATTGTTTGAACGCACTGAATATAGTCGATAAGCCCCGTGACTCAATCGGTGATGACAGTAGTCACAGGGCCGGAGATTCGACCCGTGACAGGTTTCGTCGGGCTCCAAATATTTCCCACCACTTAAAGTCTTAGAATATATTGGCCTGTTTAATGTTAGATATATACTTTATGGGGCCGCATACCGAGCTAAGCGGAATTACTGGTTCTCACTCCCCCCTTTGGATGGCAGCCAATCAAATCATGACATCTCTCGTCGAACAACGCCTGGAACAACGTTTATATCTGTCGCCAAATTTTGGCAGAATAATAGATAGTTTGACTTCCAACCTGATGTTGCGTTATCATACACCTCCAAGGTCGTTGAGACCGAAGTGTAATGTACTGTACGAATGCAACTTGTACGCAGAAGGTATCATGTTTCCAACCCTAGTCCTTTTAGACTTTGCGTAATGATCAGCAGTACTGGCTAAGCCTCTATCTACATTTGCTTGGTTATTTCATAGGATTGTCCCTTTCCATTTTAGGAAGTTTGTTCAAACAATTGTTATATTGCAGCTTATGGATCAAATTGAGGATTAACGTGCAAGGAATTTATCTCAGTGATCCTGATTGGCTCGGCCACAAAAATTTCGAAACATGATTGTGGAGCACCGCTGCCCGTTATTTTCCGATACCTCTAGCCCTTTAAAGAATCCTCTACAGTTTCAAGCGTTGGTTTTCGCTTATTCTAGATCTTACCAAAATCATGAATTGTTAAAGTTTCCGAGACCGTTACGAATCGTGATGTAGAATCCTTTCGAATGGGATGGATTCTTGTGTTTGACACACCCACGACAACCCCATCGTCTCAAAAACATCATGACGGGTAGACCTTTTCGCTTGAAGCTCGGAATTTCCCTTTCATGCAGTAAATATGTCCAGATATGGGCTAGATGATCTTAACGATCTTTTTGCCCAAGTCGAAGAAATTGAAATCTTTCTCGTTTCCACACTGACGTGTCTCAAAAATACCGGCGCGATAGTACTCGTCTCGTTCACGGTAGCTTGGGACCAGGACGATCCCCGACATGACCGAGGGTTGGTTCATATCGTCGTCAGGCTTCAAATCCGCTGTCCGTAGTCTGTTTGGGAAACAGAAACCCCTTCTAATCAGAAGCAGGAAGAATGTCCGAGGTTGTGTTACACCTGACTCGGCATCTTGAGATTTGCCCTGATGGAGTATGTGTGGTAGGCTGCCATCCAGGCAACAATTCGCTATGCAGTTGCCTTCATGCATGATCTTGCAGTAAAAATCCAGTCCACCAGATACAGGCGTGATTTCTTTCCTGGAGACCCGGAACACTGTTCCCTTTAATCTGATGAAGCCATCTCGGACCCTTCCAAACTTATTGGTACCTTCAGGCTCGACGCTGAAATCAACACATTCGATGAGGCTTTGATTTGGGTGACTGATTGCATGATTGATCTCTGCATTGCGCGCTCGAGCGAGCCAGCTCCAAGACGGTGCAACATAATCAGACCATGTAAGAGGGTCAACAGGGTCTCTGAATTTCGTTGCTGACCATAGTAACTCATTTTCCATATCTGATTTCCAGATTCCGGCCAGGTATTGATCGTTGGTCTTCTTCGCTACGACGTTTGCCAGCGCAGAGATGGCCGGGAGCCTATCGGTCCAGAAAGTAAACTCCCGGCAGGAATATTCCAGAAATCGATCGAACCACATAGCATACATATCATCCTTCGAGTGTTGTTCCTGAGCCAAAGAGACTAGACTGTCTTCTGCGGCGTCTGCCAAACAATGGTCGAGTTCGGAGGAGTAGAAGCCTCTGCAGCTCCAATGAATAGCCCTTGCCCCAAAATAAATCCTTCTTGTTGAGAACAGGCGCTCGCAGAAAGTCCAACCACGTTTTCCCCATTTTGATTCTGCAGTGTCTTGATAGAAAAGAGAAAAATTTGTGAAGTTTGGCGCATTGACGAAATACGATCCGTGATTCAGTGTGCCTTGCTGGGTCCAAAATTGGATTTCTAAGGGCCGAATAGGAGGTGGTTGACGATACAAGAAGCCGTCGTTGCAAGACTCGGCCACTGTCGGGATGATTGTGATGAAAGCTTGCTGGTATATTTTTGCCATCCTCGGCGATTCCCTTTCCCAGTCCCTTGTATCGTCTTGAATGATGCACAGAGAATCTATCCATAAATAGGGTATTCTCAGGCTACGGCAAACAGTCACAGCGTCTCGGTATGTCTTGGGTAAGTCCTCGATTGGTATTATGTGGGATAACTTCTTATTCAGACTCTCGCGGGTGGTTTTTATCGGTTGCTGGGTTGAATGGCCCCAACAGTGGCTTAGGGCTGCGTACTTCCGCTGTCCTGGTCCTGAGTCAGACAATGATGATTCAGTATTTATCAACTGAACTCCGTCCCTCTCTTGACGAGCCGAGACATCAAGGAGTCTTCTTGGTAGTTCTAAGGGGTCGGTATAGGAATCGCAACGCTGAACGCAGCATTGAATCCACTGGTTCAGTCTTTCGCAAACCTCTGGTAGAAGCCGCAGTCCGTCTTCCGAGACGATTCTGTCAAAAGAAGGTGCTCTTGATATACCCAGATTTGAAGAGTAGGAGCCTAACACTTTTCTCAGTTTCAAAATCGACAGAGTGCCTTGATTCTACTTACCAGCTGGTGCCGATATTGGAAAAATTAGATGCCTAACCTGCTCATATCCATTCTTTCGTGAATCCTGAAAGTCCACTCGGAGACTGAGGCCATCATTCTGCACATAGTGTAGTCCAATTATTTGCAAGAATTGCAATTTTTCCAACGATCCTTGAGTAAGCTCGAAATACGTTTTGAAGGAATTTATGAGATGCCGGCAAAATGGGCAGCCTTTTTTTGCATTTCTCATGATAGAGACCATGCTCCGCTTGGACTTATCAAAAGGTAATTGGCTTGGAAAAGACTGTTGGATGCTCCTGGTGTCATGAGATAGAAAAGCGCGTGACGAATTGGAACCATCTCGCGGATGGTTACCCAAGACTATCCTTTCACACTGAAGACAAAACGCTCCCTTGGCTGGGTTCTGAAAGGCTTTCCACTGATGAATTATCTTTTCGTAGAATAGAACCGCGGTATTTGTAGATTGAGTTGAGTTGCCTTTGTCCCCGTTCGGCCTTTCCTCTGTAGGATAAGATGGCATTGCAAACCGTGACCTCCTCTTGCCATGGCCAGGAAACTTGCGCAAGAAATTTTTCCAAGCGGAAATAATCTTAGCTAGCATTTTGGTGTGTTTTCTGGGCTGACTGATGAGAGTTGTGCCATTGAAGTAGATCGTTGTCGTGAGAGGTTGTTCGTTGAAGGTTACTGTTGTGTGTGTGCACTGCGGTTGATGTTATTTCAGTTTCCCCGCTCAGGCACGGGGCTCAGCCCCCTACCCCCTGCATGCTCAGCCTTTCTACTCATGAAAAGTTTGCTGTTTCACGACACGAAGAAGGGCATTTTTTCAGATCATGAAACGTTTCGTGTGACAAATTGTGGCAGCACTTATAAGAGTCGCGCTGATGAATGGCAATGACTTGCGGTAGATGCAAGGAAGTCACGTGTTTGTAATTGGTTGGTTGGGGAAGGGAGCCAAATGTGTTGCACAGCAAGTGGGAACAGTCTTACTGATTATTTGTCGGTTACATGCATGACTTAGATGATAATTTTTTTTGTTTCTCACATGCGTAAAGCCAAGGACGAAGTATTCTAAGTATATATTGGTTCATTCACTGCTTATAACAGAAGGATGCCTTAAAGCTTAAGCACCTGGCAAATATAAGATCATCATACTTTGCAGAGTATAAGTCTCAGAAGCAGAGACCAAGCAAGTGCTCTAGTGCAAGATGAATCTACAACACGTGGATGCGAGCAAAAAACTAAACATTTACATGTCTTCATCGGAGATTGCCCCCCTTCAGCCTTGCTGGTAGTAGTAGGTATCAGTCAGATCGTCCCAGATCAACTCAAAACGCCCAAAAGGTCCAGCCAATCCCCAAATCTCATGGGCCCGCCCATAAAAAAACATCACATCGACCCCTCCCATACCATACATACAACACATACAAGACCAAAAAAAAAACACAAGCAAGAATCAAACAACACTTCTTCACCCCTTCCTCCCCGCCGCACCCTCCAACACAACCGGCACCACGACCTCCCCCTTCCAACTGCCCCTCTCATCCTCACCCTCCTTTACCCCCAGCCCCATGATCCCGCCCGTCGTCCCCGCCCTCTTCCTCGAAGTCGACGACGTATTAAACCGACTCACGACGCCTTGGGCGCCCAACCCCGCACCGCTCGCACTCCCGCTCTTCTTCCTGCCGCTGCTGCTGCTGCCCCCCTTGCTGCTGCCACCACCACTACCAGAACTACTCGTCGTCGCCCTCCGCAAGAGCGCCGACCCAACGATACCCTCGACACCAACGCCGTTGACGATGATGTTACCATTGATGACGCTGCGCATGCGTAGGAGGCCCAGCTTCTCCTCCTGCGACTTGCGCTCGGCGCGCCAGCCGCTAGGCGGGCGCTGCGGGAGGGCCGTGATGGCGTTGGGGTCGTCGTCATCAGCGGCGTTGTTGTTGTCTTTGGTTTCGCTCGCTGCTGCTGCGTCTTGCTGCTTTTTCCGGCGGCGGGCGTCCTTGCTGGTCGACCCGGAGGTTTTGGGGCGAGGCGGTTCCTCGGGCCTGGCGCCGGCGCCGGCGGTGTTTTCGGGGAGGGAGCGCTGGGTGCCGGTGCGGCGGGGCGCGGGCACAGCTTCGGTTTGGTTGTTGTTGTTGTTTTCGGACGAGTAGTAGCGTTGCGCGGCGGGGCGGCGGAGCATGGCGGGCGAGCCCGAGGGGTTGGGCCGGATGGACGAGACGGAAGGCGTGCGCTCGGTGATGGTCGGGGTGAGCTTGTACGTCGTGGGCGTCCGCGGTGTTCTCGGTCTTGAGGACAATAATGATGGTGGCGGGTCCTGGGAGTATGATGATGAAGGCGGGGGTGGGGGGTTGCCGGCGGATGGGTTGGAGGCGTTCTCTGGGATCTGTTCCGGGAGAGATGGATAGGGTGGGAGTTTTTTGTTTGTGTTGGAGCGGGAGCGGGTGGGTGCTGTGGAGTGGGACTGCGGGAGGAGGGTCGATGCTTCTGAGATGTTGCCGCTGACTGTCGTATTTGCTTGAGAGAGCGGGACTGAGGTTGTAGGTGATGGTAAGTCACTCGAGATACCCAGACCGTCCATGTCTGGCTTCTCGTTGGTTGGTGAGTATTCTGTCGTGGGTGTGATGGGACGTTGCATAAACAGATGCCTCTGCAGATGGTTTGTCGCAGTGTTGTCGTTGCATATGCTGTTACGCATCTTGTCGAGCTTCGTGTTTGCGCGCTTGATGTCTTTCCTGTATCCTCTGTTGTCCCTCTTGCAGCGGATAAGTTCCTTGACGTGATGCTGAATCTCCCGCTCCAGTTCCTCGATACGCTCTTGAGGATCGGTCAATGGAGACTCTTCGCCCTCCTTGGCAATTAGATTCCGAACACGTTTTCGTGTCTCCGCCGCCACAAGCTCCAGATAGCCATCAGCGCTGGAAGGCGTTCCAGGGATCATGCTCTTGGAGATGGCTTCTCGCGCCTGTCTCCTCACCTCGGAGTGCAACAGTTTCCTGAGGCGCTCATATTCGTCTTGAACAACGACCAAATCCTCTCCTTGAGCTTCGACGATTTCTTTTAGCTCCGTGTTCTCGTGGTCTAGTTGCTTGACCTTGTCCCTGACCGCCTTGCGCTTCAGAGCCTCCGATGCAAGAGCCTCCTCGTGCTGTGCGGCCACTCTGGTTTGTTGGGTATTCATCTCTTCAAGATCGAGCTTGAGTGCTTGATTGACATGCTGCAGTTCGTACAGCTGTTCGTCCTTTTCCTTCAGTAGTTCCTTTAGATCGTCAATCGTTTTTCCAAGTTCGGCAACCGTGTCAGGCATGGGCGTTCGCAGCTGCATCGTTTCCAGCTGCGTCGCGAAAAGTTCAGCGCGCAGTTTTTCTTCAGCGAGACTTTTCTCTAGATTGCTGATACGGATCTGCTCAGGCTGAGCCCGTAGAGAATCCAGCTCTCCTTTGAGCTCTCTGTACTTTTCGTGCATGAGACGTCTCTCCAGCTCCAGCTTGTATTCTGACTCACGGAGGTCGACCAGCAACTCGTGGTTGTTCTGGACCCTCACCTCGAGATCAGCAGCACGGTCCTTGTAGGCGTCCTTCCGGGCCACCAGCATCTCCATCTGATCCTTCATGGCTGCAATGTGTTTGGTTGCCAGATCGAGCTTCCTGTTCAACTCATTGACCCTTTCCTGCGTTTCGGCCGCGGATATCGAGGCCTCGTTGACTTGTTCCATGGTGTTTGAGTCATCCGGTTTTGTTTGCGTCGCTTCAGTATCCGAGATTGATGGCGGTTTGCCTTCCTCAGTAGGTGGTGATGCCTCGGGACTGGTGCCTCGAAGGTCTCTTGTAGGGATGGTAAGGTGCGGACGTGGCGCTGGTTGTTGTCAGTTTCATGTAAACAAAACACGGTGGATCCAAAACATACACTTGCTATCTCTCGATTCTTCAAGATAGTGCACATAGGCTTTCATCGCCTCCAGCTCCTTGCGGTGAGCTTCGGCCAAAGTGGACGCATGGGCCTCATGGGAGATGCGCAGGTGCTGGAATTGAGATTTGAGGAGGGCAATCTGCCTGTTCTGGGCAGCAACAATAGCGTTGAGCTGTTCGGAATCTGAAACTTGTGTTTGCCGCATTGGCTGGTGTTATAGGTGTCAGCACAGGCATATGACAGGGAACAGGTGCGATCCGTTGCCGTGATTGGACGGGTCATATGCAGGGATGCGTGTGATATACCTTCGCGGAAACGTTGCTACTCTCAGAGCCAGCGAAATTGCATGTACCGGAGGACTCTGTGACTTCGGTAATAGGAGTGCGCAGCAGAGAGCTATTGTCACTTCGCTTCTCTTGCGAGGCGCTGGATCCAGACTCGACGCTTGTCTGGTGGAATAGACCTGACGCTCTGCTTGAGCCTGCAGCAGTAGTCGAGCCCCATCTTGACGTGGCAGTATTCAAACTTAAGCTTTTCTTGTGCTGCATTATCCGCGCAGCAGGGGCCGACATTTGGAGAGGCGAGGCCAACGTTTGCCTTTTGGTTGAGGGATCATTTTCCTGACCAGCCTCCGCATTTTTGGTCAGGCCGGGAAAGCCTTGGTTCTCCAATAGAATTGAGCCGGGCAACTCGGCAATCGTCGGAGTGGGAGGCGCAGTACGCGAACGTGGTCTCGCTGGGTTGGGCTGCGGGAGAGAGAAAGCGTCGTCGAAGACAGGAGAGCGGAGCATGTCATTCGCGGCAGCGAGGATATTAGAAACGGGAGCGGTAGCGGTAGAGGAGGCATCAATGATGGCGCGCGAGGCGGTCGAGGGCAGTTGAAGAGGCTTTGGCCGTTGCCTTTTCTACAGACCCGTCAGTGGCTTTTAATTGGAAACATAGGCGTGAAGCAGCCCTCAGGAACCCACAGCGGGAGCCCCACGGCATGCACGGGGCTGTGCAGCCACCGAGTTCATGCCCATGCAGCTCTGACGCGGGCTAGGAAAACAGGCTGGCTGACCTTCCGTTTCTTGGAGGCAGCCAAGTCTGAGGGCGAGTCCCACCGGTCGACAGGGTATTGGTCGACAGATATCAAGCCGTCGACGCGATAAGCATGGTCGTTACGGCGGTCGCCTTTGGTCCAGGGAAAGAATTTGGAAGCCATGGCGAGAGCAAGACATGGAGAAGGGAACAGAAATCACGGCGGGACAGCCGTCGACATAACGAGGTCGGGGGCTGAAGGAATGAAGGAGCTCGGTGGGAATGCTCGTGGAAAATGGAGCCATTTGGAGCCAGTGCGCATGAAGCCAATGCGGGCGCCTAGGGAGATCGACCTGGGAATAGTGCTCCCGGGCACATCTGCGACGGCTGCAAGGGCGCATGGTGGCATGCTGAAACGAGTCGACGCGGGTGAAACAGTCGAGCGAGCTCTTCTGGCGCGCCAATTGCACCAGCAGTGACGTGGGCTTGGCGCCCGCTCTCCAAGCTCTGCAGGAACGTGAAAAGCACTCCATCGCCTAACTCACCCCCCCAGCCAGCGCCAACCTCGATTCGACTGCATATCCACCCAGCCTCTTGGTGCAGCTGCGCTTCGCTGCGCTCCGTCGCCCGCCACAATGCCAGCCGACCCGGTGTCGCCGCCGCCGCGCGCCCGCCGCCACTCGCTGTCCGACGACGACGACAACAGCAGGCGCAACGACGGCGCCCGCGACAGGCACCGTCGGAAGCGCAGTCCTGACGACGACGACGGCAAGCACCGTCGCTCGCGCCGCCCCCGCGACGACAACGATGACTCGGCCGCGCGGTCGGACGACGACGACGACAGCGGCGAACGCGCCGCGCGCCAGCGCCGCCGAGACCGAAGCCGGGAGGGACGACGTCGGAGCAAAAGCAGGAGCCGGAGCAAGCACAGGCACAGGAGCCGCAGCAAGGATGCTGCGCGGGACCGGTACGAGAGGAAGCGCCGCTACGACGATCGTTCGAGCAGTCATCACCACCACCGCTCGGAGCGACGCAAGGATCGCGACGGCTCGCCCCGCCACTCGCGCCGCAGCCGGCATGCACGCCACGACCACCGTTCGCGCTCGCGCTCGCCCAAGCGCCGCCGCCCGTCGACCAGCGCCTCGCCGCCCCGCAAGCGCTCCGCCAAGCCGCTTCCCTCGCAGGAAGCTGCGTATCGCGGCAGTGGCGACGGCTCTGGCGAGGCTGCCGGCGAGCCTGTCGTTGAGAAGCAGAAGCCGAATTTCAAGCAGACAGGCCTGCTCGCACGCGAGGCGAACACGGTGGCCGGCACGGACATCGTGCTGAAGTACAACGAGCCGCCGGATGCGCGGAAGCCTCCCGCGCGCGACGACTGGCGGCTGTTCGTCTTTAAGGGCCAGGACTGTCTGCAGACGGTCGAGCTGGGGAGCCGCAGTTGTTGGTTGGTGGGGCGCGAGGCTGCTGTGGCGGATCTGCTCGTCGAGCATCCGAGCACCAGCAAGCAACACGCCGTGCTACAGTTCCGCCACACCACCCGGGTCAACGAGTACGGCGACAAGGATGCGAGGGTCCGACCCTACCTCATCGACTTGGAGAGCAGCAACGGTACGATACTGAACGGGAAGCAAATCGAGGCGACACGATTTGTAGAAGTCATGGACAAAGACGTCGTCAAGTTTGGGCTGAGCGAGCGCGAGTACGTCTTGATGCTTGCGAAGGCATGATGGGTAAGACAGCGACAAAACACCAAAAAGGTAAACAGGCGACAGGCGTTAGGATGAATAATCTTCAGCAGGGAGGCATGTCCATGTACGTAGGTTTTGGGCCGAGCCTCACAACGACCCAAGCAATCAACACCACACTGCGCCACAGCTTCGGCCGCACTCAAGATTCGGCCCTTTGGACTAGACGTTCGAAGGTCGACTTAGTCGGGCCTGATCCGGAAGAGGTGCATCTCTCGATCCCTCGGGCTGCAGCGGGTTTAGACTTTTTGGCCTCGAGACAATCTTGGTGAACCTTCTTGGGGGGTCTGGAAGGGGTCTGTCTCTGGGCGGCAATAGAAAACTGGGTCCGGGAACAAAAAGCAAGGAGACGGCAAGGGCCGCGGTGGGGTGGGGAAGCTGTGGCGGCCACGGGTGACGGATCTACCTCCGGGCGATTTGATGTGGTGGGCAAATGGGATGGGATGGCAAAGGGTGGAGAACGGGGGCCAGGCGAGAATTCAGTTAGTCGGGCTTGCCCCGTTTTATTCCTTTTGGACCGTCCCGCGGCTCGGGGCAGGCGATAGACCGGCTCGCTCTCTTTCCTGTTTGGGGCCCTGTTCAGGCATCGGCCAGCAGCTAAGGCGCAAGGCAGAGCCATGGTGACGGGTACGAGTAGTCGGCCCGAGCCCTTGTAAGGTTGCTGCTGCAGGTGCGGTTATTGCGGCCGGCACCTGAGCCTCGGAGTGCCGTTTAGGCGGCAGCCTGTCTCTGAAGAGCCGACGGCCTCTTGTCGTTCGCGCGGCGCGACGAAGTGAAGCTCCAAGCAGCCGTGCACAATATCTACCGACGTCCAAAGGGGGCCCCGCTTTCCTTCCTACGCTACGGACGGAGCCGTCCTTCCGGCGAGCTGAAGGCGTTGCGCGCTTGCGGTCTTGCCGAGCCGGACAGCTCCTTGCCACATCGGGTTAGCAGCATGGATGGTTGTTCTTGCCGTTCTTGCCGACGTTGATTCGACGACGATTTGGCACCTCCGTCATCTTTTTCTGACGTCCTCTCCCTCCCCGCACCAGCCTCTCCCACGTCGCCCCAAAGCTTAAAGAAATGTCAACAGGGCCAGCCAACAGGACATTTCAACGCTCTACCCCGTATTCGAATTCGCTGAAGCGATAGGAATAACGATCAACACCCGCCCGTCTTGGCACTGTCCATATGTAGCCTGCCGCCGCGCTATTTACGGCTTTTCTCCACAATCTAGCCAGACCGCTGGGACGACATCAAACAGTACCTTTCTTTTCTTTTTCTCTCTTATTTACTCCTATCTGGTTTTTCCTCTTAGTCTCTTTTTTTTATTTCCCTCGCGTGCGGCCTGCTCTCGGCGAGGCGCCTGGGCGCGCGCGCGCGCTACATAAAGTCACCAACCCCGAAACGGAATGCCGTTGCGAGAAAACGGTGCTACGCGTGAGAGGGAGCGTGCGCTTCCCGCCGACGCCCCGTCCCGTCGGGCGATTGCTTACGTACAACGCGCGCGCCTGGATGCTCGTGTGCATGTTGTTGCCTTAGCACTGCCAGTTATTCCGGTTGCCGATGAGCAGACGGGGGAAGGGGAAAGAGGGGCATCGTACGAGAGCAAGATGGACGTCGTCGGTGCTTGTCTCATGACGCGATGAGCGTAACGAGGACGGATGGCTACGCTTTTCGTCTGGATGCGAGGCGCCGGTGAGTGAGGAAGAGTGACAGTCATTGCTCCTGCTGGACGTTGGCTGTAGCTCGTATTACGCTCTGGCACTTTCTGGTCTCCTCTGATTTCCCTTTGTTTCACTTCCCCAGCGTAGTGGGGCGCAAGACCATTTGACTTTGCTAAGGCTGTCTCACCGGAGATCCCGCACCTTACTTCTATGCTGCAGTTGATTGGTTGCCTCCAAATCACCATGCAGGAAGAATGCAGTAACTTCTGTCATGAAGCAAGCAAGTGCAGTTCACTTAGGCAATCGATTCTGCTAATTATTGTTTCAAGGCTCTTTTATTATTTCGTCATCGTCACTTCAGGCCTTCCATTACTCCTCAACGCTGCGCATCAGACACGCACATCTACTTGTATACTGTACGACCAATCAACCTTTCCAAGGTTGTCAAACAAGGGTGTATCATGGAGAAAAGAAAATGCCAAGCAAGAAAAAAGAGTGCCGGACCAAAGGAAGGACAGCCGCCCTGGAAAAAGTCCTACCAACTAACCAAATCCCAATTTTTTTTTCTCGTTGTCTCTATTCGACAACAGCAACACTTCAGCCTCCTACAAGCAAAAAAGAAATATTTAAATAGCCGCCGCCTCTCTACGCCGCATCACCCTTCTCGTACGTCTCGCTCGCCTCACCGTCATTGCTGCCGGCCCGCATGGCATGACCGTGGGAGGGGTCGTACTCGGGGGTGCCGGGGACCTCGCCGGCGAGCTGCTCGAGCGTCTTGCGCTTGGTCTCGGGGATGAGCAGCGAGGTGCCGATGCCGAGGAACATGAAGAGGGCGTAGATCTGCATGACGTGGTTGAGCCAGGGGCTGGCGTTGCCCGGCGTGGCGCCGCGCGTGCGCAGCGGGCCGATGAGCACCTGCGCGATGATGGCGCCGACTTTGCCCGCGGCGGCGGACACGCCGTGAGACGAGGAGCGGTAGCGCGTCGGGAAGCACTCGCCCGGTACGATGAAGGTCGTGGCGTTGGGGCCTGGTGGGTGGTGGAAAGTGTTAGTTTGGTTGGGACAGAGGGAGAGAGGGAGAGAGAAGAGGGGGGGGGGGGGAGGGGGAGCAGGGTTGGGAAGAGGGGAAGGGAAGACTGGCTTACCGAAGTTGAAGAAGAACTGAGACAGGACGTAGAGGGCGAGCAGCCCCTTGTGGCCGACTTGGTGGTAGGCGAAGCCGATGATGCAGAAGAGGATGGTGAGGATGGTGAAGCCCATGAGCTGGATGGGCTTGCGGCCGACGGTGTCGACAGTCGCGACGGTGACCCAGTAGCCCGGGATGGCGCCGGCGCAGATGAGGATGAGGTTGCCGACGGCCGAGTTGAAGAAGTACTCGTACATGTTCTTGGTGCCGGTGGTGCCGTAGCCGATCTGCGTCAGGATGATGGAGTTGTTGAGGCCCAGGCCGTAGAAGGCCACGTCCAGGAAGAACCACGAGCCCGCCGTGCCCAGCAGCACCTTGCCGTACTTCCACTGGCTGTAGTGGGCCACGAAGTCGCGCCACGACGCCTGCGGCACCTCGAGCTGCGGCGCCTGCTCGTTCATGGCCTGCACGCGCGTGATCTCGTCCGGGTGGCCCTGGTGCTCGCCCGCCTTGTACGCCTTGATGTCCGATCCGGCCTTGACGATGTCGCGGGCCACGTCGAAGGTGTAGCGCGGCGTCTCGGGGATGGTCAGGCGGTAGTAGAGGGCGATGCAGCCGGGGACGGCGCCGAAGCCGATGATGACGCGCCACATCTTGTCGACGGCCAGCGAGCAGACGCCGCTGCAGGTGGCGGCCGAGGAGGCAGTCTCGAGCGAGTCCTTGAAGCCGGCGGTGACGATGAGGGCGATGATGGCGGCGCCAAACTGGCCGAAGCCCTGCATGGCGAAGACGGAACCCATCATAGCGCCTCTCCACTTGGTGGTAGCGAACCTGCAGCTGTGTTAGAGGGGAAGTGATTGGATAGGGATTGGGTGGTCACGTACTCCGAGGTAATGATGGACGAAAGCGGGTAGTCACCACCGATACCGATACCCATAAGGACGCGCCAGAAAACCAGGAGGCCGACGATGGACATGGACTGAGAGGGAGCAGAAAGAGCCTGGGCGAGGGTGGCGAAGATGATCAAGATGAGCTCGAGACCGTACATCTTCTTACGACCGACCATGTCGGCCAGGACACCGAAGCCGACCTGACCGATGACGGTACCGGCACTGGTGGAGACCTTGATGGCAGTGTCCGATTCCTGAGGGATCGAGCCCTTGTTGTGGTGCCAGTAGGCGACGCCCAGCATGGGGGTGGCGAGGTTGATGGCGAAGATATCATACGCATCGGTGAAGAAGCCGATGCCTGCGACGACGATGGCACGCACATGGTACCAGCCAAAGGGAGCCTTGTCGATCTCGGCCAGGGCAAGGCGTCTGCGCTCGTTGGGGTCCGCAATGTGGGCTGTGCAAGAGTCAGTCTCCAGGCCTCAGGGTGGTCGAGTGGTGGGCGTACCGTAGTCATTGTGGAAGTTGTGGAACGCGGCGTTCCCGCCCGCGGTCTTGTGGACAGGAGCAGCGGCCATGGTTGGCAAAAGCTTGGTGTTGAATGGGCGGTTGAAGCGACACAGCGAGAGAAGAGCTGAGCATGACACGGCAGGGACGACTTAAGTACGAAGCATTGCGAGTACACCTTACGAGGCGTTTTCCGAGACTTTTCTGAAAACGCCTCTGAGGCCGGGCCATGGTACGGCGAGGCATCGAGATAAAGCCAATGAGAGTCGTGCATATTTGCACGAGCAAGGGGAGATGACTAGCCGGGGCGTGTCTGGAGGTCAGAGTGGATGCAGCAACGGAGCAGCCGGGCCCTGCCAAGCGGCGCCAGACGAATCCAAGAGCAGCAGCCGCAGCGAAGAGAGAGCAAGAGGCCAGCCAAGAGCTGGGCACCTTGTCAGTTGGCGCAATTTGTGGCGTAGGTTGACGGAGGAGACCGTTGGTGTTGTGCCAGCCAATCAGACGGCCCACGTGCGAAGCTTCAGCCAATCACGGCTAGCGCTAGCAACCCCCATAGCTTATTCCTACCTCGCCCTCCCTTGCAAACCTTCCTGAAAACATCCGCCCTCTGACAGGCAGAAAGACACATCGTACCCGGATACGCATGCTATCTCTGCAATTTCGGGCAAAGCGTCCGCTGCCGCTTCTCGGTCTTGGGCCCTGCAGCACACGCCATGGCCATCACCTACCCTTCCGGGAATTGGAGGCTTCTTCACTCACTGCTCCGCTGAGATCGTCAAGACTTTTCCAAGGCCTTGGAGGGTGCGACAAGCAGCTTCAAGCATCAGCCCCAGCGTGCCAACGCTGAAGTGGCTGCCACCAAGCAATGGCACGCGAGAGGGACAAGCACTTCTGGAATAGGAGCTCGGCGTGCTTCACGCGACAGAATCCTCCATCTCACCACAATCGGCATCGTCCGCTCGTGTTAGTCAATGCCTTCCTCCGACGCGAAAGCGAGTGTGGGAGGTGTGCGATAACCACCACGTGTCGTGCCCATGCCATCTCCAATGGATAACTCGCGATTGCTATCCGCCACGCGTTGCTGTCTGGCGCATCTGTTAGCCACTTCTGCTTTTTCCTTCTAGAACTTGTCGAAGATGGCGTCGGTCACTTCTCTGCGGTCCCGATGACACCTCAACCCTGGCATCCCAGCGTGGCGGCTGCTAGATCTAGCTGACCGCGGTTCCGCCTCGCGCGCGCGCTGATCTCCTGCCCGTCAGAAATCTTTTCTGCAGACGTGGGTCGCCCGCTCCCCCATCCCACCCTTGCGTCAATGCCTCATGGCACCCCTGCCCTTTCCCGCTCGTTTGGAGCTTCTCTGATCTACCTTTAGCACACACACACACACACACACACACACACACACACACACACACACACACACACACAGCCCTTGCACGTCGCGAGCATGACCCTGGAATCTCGGAGCCTATTCCAGAAGCGCACTGGCGGAGGACATACGAATCAGCCTTGCTCCGGCACGTCGGGCGCCTTGTGTGTCGTGGGCCTGGTAAACCCCCCACGAGCGCAATTAACCGCGGCGCATTCGGATAGCAGGCGGGTTTTTCGGCATGCCCGCTTTCATCCTTGCTAGTCGAGGAAGCTGCCGGATCCGTGTGGCGTACGCTGCATGAAAGCCTTCGATAGGGTCAGCCGTAAGTATTTTAGTGGGGGATTCCGTCTCTTGAGCGACCGCCGAGTGTGCCTCGCCCTCGCCACTGCCAACGGATGATCGTATGATTGTAGCAACCCACATTTCTTCCAAGGCTACGGGTAGACGACATTAATCGGGCAAAAATGTGCAAGAACGATGGATGACGGGAGGCAAATTGGGTGAAATATACTGGTGAGACACGTTTGGACCGATCTTGTCACTCACTTTAATCGATTTTCCATGATCGACCCGACGAGATGGAATTTCCAATCTACCGTACAAACTAAAAAACCACATTCTATATATATACAAAAACTTTCAGCAAATCAAACAGTAAAGCAATTAAGCATGTTGCGGGAGATTAGCGAAAGAAACCTCCCGTATTGCTAGGGTCAGGATCAACCCTGAACACGACCTCGCCGTCCTTGACCCAACCACCAGGTTTCTGGCTCATATTACCTGGCTCGCACTGGTCGATGGCCTGCCGCATCCACGACTTGCAGCTCCCCTCGTCGATGGTGTACGCGCCGCCGGCGCCGCCGCCGCTGCTGGAGGACGGGTTGTCGATGCGCACGACCGGGCGCGCTTCCGAGAGCTCGTAGCCGGTGCCCGGCTGCAGCGAGACGCCTGCCGCCATCTTGCAGTACGCGTCGGCCACCTCGAGCATCGTTGCGCGCGGCATGGAAGAGCTGCCTCCGCCGCTGTAGCACCAGTTGTCGATGAACATGTAATCTGCGGCCTTCGTCAACTTCGGGCGTGGGCCAGCTGGTACGGGAGGTCTGGGTGGTGGAGGAGGGGGAGGAGGAGGTGGTGGTGGGGGCACATAGGTCGGCCTGGGAGCTTCATGGGTGGTGGATGCCGGTCTTGTTACTGTTACTACGGAGCGAGTGGTGGATGCTGGTACTGTCACTGTTACTACAGAGCGAGTAGGGGTGGTTGTGGAGTCGCTCGATCGAGTTGCAGGAGGGACAATAACAGGAGTATTCTTTGGCGCTGTGGTAATAGGAGGAGGAGCAGTTGTGGGTGGAGGTTGTGTGCTCTGTGGAGGCTGCGTTTCCCGCGGAGGTTGTGTGGTCTGTACAGGTTGTGTGTTCTGTGGAGGCTGCGTTTCTGGTAGAGGCTGAGGAAGCTGAGTTTCTTGTGGAATCTGACTTTGCTGCGGAGGTTGCGTTTCCTGCGGAGGCTGTGTTTCCTGTGGAGGCTGTGGGTTCTGCGGAGGCTCAGTGGCTCGCTGCTTGCCCTTGTCCACCTTCGGCTTCTTACCCTTGATCTTGTTGGAAAGCTTTCGCATCACCTGCCTGAACTTCCTAAATGCCTGCTTTATGGGGTTGCAAGATGGGGTTGGCGGGGCAGGCGGCTGGACAGGAGGCTCCACAGGAGGTTCGACAGGCGGCTCGACAGGTGGCTGATCCTGTTGGAGTTTACGACATGCCTTCTCTTCTTTTCTCAACTGCTTTCTCTGCAATCTCAAGAGATCTTCTTCCAGTTTCGGATGAAGGATCCATTGATCGGGATCCGGGTCCCCCTCGTCTATCGATCTGTATGGCTTCATGGCGAACCTCATCCAGCGCTCGGGCGTACGGCCGTCGTTTAATTTCTTTCCCCAGTGGTCAAAATACTCGGCTTCGCCGCCCCACTTGAAGGGTTCGTTCGCCACCGTCAAGGTCGGCTGCGCAAGCTTGCTAATGACGTCCAGCAGGCTCTCAGCCGTGCTACCCGTGCCAACAGGAGCATCCGGCACTCGGGTCCGAGCAATCTTATAAGCCAGCTTACGCGCCAAAGTCAGGTCGACGGGATTGTCGTTCAGAATGTCTCGCACCGCTTTGTACGTCTCCTCGACGAATCTTTGCACCTTCGGGCGTTCGCGTTCGACTCGGTAGCGCCACTCAGACGCCTGGTCAGGCTCGATGATGAGTCCCTGAGCAGCCTTTGCGTTCCACCCGACCAATTCACGCGAATAAGTTCCTTCCATGACACTCCGTGCCAGACCGCGCGAGCCGACCGTGACGACCTCGTCGAGCGCTTTGATAGTGTCGGCCGAAACCTGGATGCCGCGCTTCGTCGCTATTTCCGCTATCCTCTCCATTCTTTGCGCCACATACGGCCAGGCGCCGTCCATGTAGTACGAGGCATCTGTGATCATTTGCGGGAGTTCCTGCGACGCGAGCGACTCCACTCCTTCAGCCTCCGACATGAGGCTTATGGGGTTGGGATTCGTGATGCCGAATTTCTCCATGTTCTCTGCCGCGTGGGAGAAGGAGCTCAAAGCTCTCGCCTCAACCTGTTCCATAGCACCATCCAGACCCAGATCGAGCGAGGATATCTCCGAGGCTGGTTCCACCGCGTCCGAGAATGGCGTCATAACCTCGTGCGGTGGCGCCCAGTCCTCCGGGATCGCGTCCAGCCAGCTGGATACGGATTCCGGGTTGAAATCCGCCGGGTAGCCGAACTCGGACGCCGCCTGCATGTCCAGGTCGGCCTGCACGAGGTCCCCCAGTCCCGTGCTGCCGACCTCTTCTATGACGTCGGTCCCCGCTATCTCAGACGTCCTGATGGCGTTGACAAAGGCTATGCTGCTGCCCCCCACGACGGGGAGACCGAGACCCAGGCCCAATCCTAGACCGAGGTTGTGTGCGTTGCTGCCGAAGTCTTCGGTCGGATGCTGCTGTGCGGCGGAGGCGGCGGCGTAATCGTTGCCCAGAACGTCGTGGTACGTCCAATTCATGGCGCCCGCAGGGACCGGGTACGTTTCCACGCGCTGATTGCCCGATGCCTGAAGCCTAGCTCTTAATTCTTTCGGGAGCCGACGCACTTCGTGGACTGCCTGGAAGAAAGCGAGGAACCGGAAGGGATCGGGCGACTCGGAGTCGGACTTTACGATGGTAGCGACAGGCCGTGAAAATGGGATGCTCGTCGGTTGTGCCTCGGTCATTCCTTCCATCACTGTCTCCACCACCGTCACGACATGGACGGAAGGTGTAGGCTCAGCCAAAGAGCTTTCCGGTGCCTCGGGAACCACAGTAACCGTCTCCACCACCGTCACAACATCGTCAGAGGGTGTGGGCTCAGCCGGAGAGTTCGTCGGTGCCTCGTGTACCACTTCCATCACTGTCTCCACCACCGTCACAACATCGACAGAGGACATACTTTCAGGACCTGTGTTAATGTTGACTGGAATGGCGGAAGCGGCTGATATGGCCAAGGCCATGGTCTCTATCTTGAATAAGCGCATATTGAGGATTGTCTCGAGAGTGCTTCTAGGAGGAGCCTTTGTGTGCTGAGGGGAGGTTGGAAAGTGCTGAGGATGTCGGAAGATGCTAGGAAATGACGGGCTTTAAATCCAACTGTGCAGTTTTAACCAAAGCCCATAGCAGTGCGCTGCCTGATTGCCGTAGAACTTTTCCAAATTTCTTGCAGTGCCATGGTTCTGTTTGAGCGTAGTTCGACTTTGAACTGCACATAGTTACCCTTTGATGGTACAGAATAGACATTTTCAGGGACCAACTCCGCAGAGCCGAGATCGATTACCTTGGACCCTGAAGAAGCCCCAGGACACTTAGACCAATAAATGTGCATCGCTTCAGAGCTCTCAAGCTGTAGCTGTTAATCTAGTCAACATAAGAAATTCTCAAACTGAAAACACAGTATCATAGACATGACACGCCGAAGAAAAGATGATTGTTGAATTCGATGTGAAAGGCTGTATGGACGTTCCCTAACTCAGAAATAATCAAAGTCCGTCACTGTACAGCACGCACGCATTTCTTGCGCATCTACCTCCAACGCCAGCCGTGGGCCCCTCATGCTTTCGGGACGAGAGCCACCATCTAGGCATAATATCTATTGAAAAAAGTCAGCAACTTGCACAGCTCGCTATGTGTAGTTGGGGTCCTCTTGGAACATACCTAGGCTCGTTAAACACGTGGTAGTGATGGCCTCTGACGCCCTCGCCTCTGAACAGCGTCGGGAAGCGCAGGCCGTACGGAACATCGTTCTCGTGGATGAGCTCGTCTGAGCCCTCCGGCTGGCCAACGACAAACTTACCAACCTGGAGCTCAGTGTCGGTGATGGTGCTCCTGCTAACTCTGGCATAACCGGTACGCCTGAGCTTCTTGTAAAGGATGTACTCGCACCAACGGTCCCAATCGCTCGGGTCAATGTCGCGCATGCCACTGATGTCGCTGACATACGTGTTGTAATTGCCTTCTTTGGGCTTGGTGACAAGGTAACTGAGCAGAATGCTGGGACGGGGTGACGAGCCCATGAGGTTGGACAGGTACTCGGACTGGAGTCTGCGATCCTCTGGATCCTCTTCTTGGCCCGAGTGGAAGACGAAGACATCGACCAGCTCGCCGTAGCAGTCAAGCGTGGCGTGGATGGCTGGAGCCAACTCACCAACAGGCGACGGCAGCAGGTGGTGCGTCGAGTTAAGGATGGGGAACTTGGACAACAGCGCCGCGCCCCAGGTGTGCTTGTTGGGGCCTGGGCCATAGTCGACGTACATTCCAAGGTCTTCGGCCAGGTACTGGGTCGTGTCGCGATTGCCCATGATGATGCGCTCCGTGTCGCTCTCGAGCAGACCAATGACGTCGACTTCCATCTCCTTGATCAGATCACGCATGCGGCGCTCTGACGACCACATGTCGTTGTCGAGAGTGAAATGGATCGTCCAAATACCAGCAGTAATGACCTTGTCATTTTTGTGGTAAGGAGTGTAGTCATATGACGGGAAACGCAGGTATGCGATGGAAGCACCGAGAGCCTCAAGGACGAGCAGCACATACAGGTAGTACGAGCGCGTCTTGCGGGAAGTCGGGCTTGCCGGCTTGCGAGCCTTGGCGCTAGCGGCACCGCTAGGAGTGCCAACAGCAGCAAACACACCAGCGCCAATGCACAGCATTGTTGCAGTCATGACCCAGTCCGTGTGCTCACGCATCAGAGGACCTCCCGGGACGAAGGCGTATGCAACAACCCAAACATGGGCAAGGACCAGGATGTTGTAAATGAGGAAGCCCAGACCGAAGGTGGGTGCTGGGTTGTGGCGGGCCGCAGAAGAGATCAGAACCGGTGCGACGGCCATGATATACGCCGCCAGAGTGAGAGCACCATAGTATCCAAACCAGTTACCATTGCCGGTCAATACAGCGGCGCCGACAGCACCAATGCCGTAGAAAGCCCAGCTTCCGGCAAGCCTTGGGTAGAAAAGGCCAACTGTGAGGCCAGCTCCCATGGCAAAGAGAGTGTAGGCACCGTGAGGAACAGAGAGCGGCCCGCGGACGGGGTAGCCCTCCCAAACCCAGAGGATCATGGTGCTCGTGTCCGAAAGCAGAGAGTGCATAGCAAAGAAGAGACCGGCAAGACCGAGACCCGCCAAGGCAGGCGATCCTTTCTGAGGGCCAGGAGCCGGGATGTCCGCGCCGCCGCTGGCCGTAAACCGGGTGGAACGGAAAATGGCCAAAATGGCCAGAGCAATTCCAAGCTTGTTCCAGCCACCGTTGGGCGCATGCATAATAGGCCAGATGGGATTGTTGGTCCAGAAGGCGAACTTGGCAACGCTGGACATGAGGAGACCGAGCGCAAAAGCCGAAACACGGGCTTCCAGGCGATGGGGCTGAGAACGTTCCGCATAGAAGGTGGCCGCCCAAGAAAGGCAGGACATCCAAAGACCAAAGCCAACAGCAAACAAGCGCTTGTCTGGTGCCGTGATCAAGTAAGAAAGGAGTCCAGAAAGAGAAAGGAGGTGCGTGATGCGAATGTTCCGGATAACCAGCGACCGAAGCGGGCGGATGCCGAGCAGGAAGGGAGACACGGTACACATAACTATGACCTCGTAGCCAGAAATGCCCATGTACCAAAGCGGGAAGTCTGCTGCAGTCAGCGGTGATTCAAGCTACACGTAGTAGCGGAAGACTTACACCACACGAGAAGTCCCAGAGAGGTCAGCATCGTCCAGAAAACGAACTGCTCAAGGATTAGTCATGCTAACTTTATTTGGCATAATTGAAAAGACTTACGCCATTGTAGACATCTGCAGCGGCATCAAAGAAAGCAGGCCAGTGGAAGCCGGCGGCGTAGAGATCGGCAATCTCGCGGTTTTTCCTGCACTGCTTAGCCTGCTTGAATTTCGCCGTAGACACGGGGCGTAACATACTCCTTTTCCGCGAGGCGTTCGGCTTGAGAGTTTCTGCAAAAGGAAAATTATCAGAGCTGGGCTTTGCAAAGACTAGTTTTCGCCTGCCTAGAAGCTATCTACTTCGGAAGCCTTGAAACATACCCTCTGCTAACACCTCTGAGGTCCTTGACAACGATCTCGAATCCAGAGAAGTCGAAGACGGTGACGGCATCGAAAGCAACATCAAGAAGGACAAGACTCCACTCAAAGAACGCGTAAATGGTGTAAGCTTCAAATAGAGATTAGCTGACGCATAGCCGACTCTAGCACACCACGACTTACCTCCAGCCTTCTTGTGAACCTTGTGCTGAATGAAGAAGTAAACCAAGGGCACGATAGTCGCAAAGAAGCTTGTTGCGAATATCTTGCGGTATTTGATGGCCTTCACGTTCGGCGGGCTGAGGACATAGCAGCCGTACGTCCATGGGATGGTCGCAACCAGGTACGAAATCATGAAGATATCATGCCAGTCATGATCGTCGGTGGATGTGATGTAGGTCCAACCACCGCAGGTCAAAGTGCGGAAAATTCCAACACCGGCAATGAACTTGGGCAATGTCGAGTTGGGCTTTGCCGTAAGGACGTACCAAAGCCCGACCAGCGCAAACCTCGGGCCTGTTTGGGAGTCTTAGCGCCGCCGCAGACACACCACACTTGTAGTATCATACCAGCAGTCAAGGCAATGAAGACTTGGAAAACGCTGCGCTCGGGGTAGCGGTCGCCAATGGTGGCGGAGACGGACGGAAACCATTCCTGCGGGTAGCCGTAATGCTCATTCTGCACGATCTTCTGGTAATGGAGAGAGCTGTGCACCATGGGTCAGCCTTTGGTCGGCGCTTTGAAGGGCTCCTCTTACATTCCAACAATTAGAGCTCCCAGAAACGCCGCTGAGTGCCGGGTTAGAGCTTGTCGGTACGAGAGCAATAGCAAGCATACCATAAGCGACGACAGTGTGTGTCCATGACACCCACTTGCCATTGAACTAAGTGGCAATGTAGAGTCAGCACTGGCGACGCGTAATTTAGCATCGTGGGTCGAAATGGCGGGGGCTTACGGCTGCGACGGTTTCGCCGTCCTTGTACTTCGCCATAGCTTCTTAACAGCTGGCCATCCGATGCAAGGTGCAAAGCGAAGGAGGGAGGCGAGGGCAAAAGAGCGTGGGGAATACAATGGATGAGGTCCGCTGGAGACCGTATAGAGCGCCAACGGCCGTAGTGAGGTGGATTGTCAAAAGGTCTCCTGAGGCTGCGAGGCAATGGAGCATGCGGGAGCAGGGCGTAAGGCCGTCGGCTCTCGGTCGACGCGCGCGCCGGCAAACAAGGATCCGCGTCTTCCGCCCGCCTTCTTCGTTAAGCGGCTTGGTGGCCCGTGCTCAAAAAAGTTCCAGTCGTCAATCCCGCATCCATCGCCGCATCTCCATCAGCAGCTAGCCAGCGCAGCACAGCTTGACCACACACCGCCCTAGGTCGTCCCGAAATCGAGAAAAGGCACGCAAAATGTCGGGTGCCGACAAAGCGCGATTCTACCTCGAACAGTCTGTTCCTGAGCTGCACGAGCTGGAACGGAAGGAGCTGTTCTCCAGGGTAAGTGCGGCCGCCCGGTGCTTGCCTGCGCGCTGTCCGCTAACATGGCGCAGGATGAAATCACCGCCATTGCGAAGAAGAGGAGCGAATTCGAGCACATTGTCAACGGCCGCGGAACCGCTTCACCTTCCGATTTTGCACGCTACGCCGAGTACGAGATGAACCTGGAGTCCCTACGGAAGAAGAGAGCGAAGCGCATGGGAGTGAAGGCAGGCGGTCACAGCGGCCAGCGCCGTATCATGTTCATCCTGGATCGCGCTACAAGAAAGTTTCACGGCGATATCGCTCTCTGGTTCCAGTACCTCAGCTACCTGCGCTCGCAGAAATCCACTGGCAAAAAGATGAAGGAGGTCCTCACATCCGTGCTTCGCATGCACCCGACAAAGCCAGATCTGTGGGTGTGGGGTGCTCGCACCGCCTTGGACGCCGATGCCGACATGACGAGCGCAAGAGCATACATGCAGCGTGGATTGAGGTTCTGCAAGAACTCCAGGCAGCTTTGGTTGGAGTATGCGAAGCTGGAGATGATTTACGTCGCAAAGATTGCCGCTCGGAGACAGATCTTGGGACTTGACCAAGAGCGGAAGAAAAAAGAGGACGCTGCCGAGGACCCAGACGCAGATATGATCGCACTGCCCGACATCACAGCGGAGGACATCAACCCCAGCTTGGCCAAGGATGATGGTGTCGACGAGGTGGCCTTGCAAAACCTTGCCAATACGCCCGTCCTCCAGGGTGCCATCCCGCGGGCCATCTTTGATGAGGCGATGAAGCAGTTCCAGAACGATCCCAAGCTGGCCGAACAATTCTTCGACATGTTCGCAGAATTCAACAAAACGCCATGCACCAAGACTCTACTTCAGTACATTGTGGACACACTAAACAAGAGGAATCCGACTGCCCTGTCAACCCAGATTTGCAACTTCAAGCTACCTTTGTTCGGCCTGGAAACAACCTCCCCAGAGTTCCCGAGCGCGCTTGGCAAATGCCTCCAGAGCATCAAGGCATCTCTGCAGCAGTCCCAACAGACGAAGCATCAGCTGGCTGAGCAGGCTATCATGTGGATTCTACCTATCCTACAAGCGGAAGACCTGGATGACGGACTGCGCAAGGTTCTGTCCGCCTCCCTTCGCCAGTATGTCCGCTCTTTGCAGAGCGAAGACCAGCTGGCCGGTGCCGTCGCTGCGTTGCAGCAAGCAAACCGAACAGAAGACGCGCGCACTCTCGTGGAATGCTGGTCGAGACAGTGGCCTGGCAGCGAACGCCTGCTTCAGGCTCAGGCATCATTGGCTGTGTGAGAATGTCCCCCATATGATCCGCATGATATTCACGCCATGGGCTTGGAGCGCAGTAGTCAGATGATGCGCGAGTACCTCAATAATCAGGACTACCTCCCTTCCGCGCACTCTTTTTGCCGCTGTTGAACTTCTTCGTCTTGAGCCTGGCTTCATTACTTGCTTTTTCTCTGGACGAAGCATCAGCATCAGCCAGGAGTAGAAGGCGAAGAAAGCACGTACAGTTTTCGGACCCGCTCTTTCTGCTCTTCTGACGTCTCGCCGGGCACGGCGCTTTTACCCGCGTCCACAATCAATTGGTGGAGTTTTCGATAGCAGGCATGGACGTTGTCAGTCTGCTTTCTACTGTCATCTGACTGGATGACTAGGGCATGAGAGTTGGCGGCAAAGTAGCGGGAGGAACGTATCTCTTGGTGGAGGACGGCCGGCAGCAATGGCAGCAGGGCGTCGAGAGGAACGCGCAGAGTGGCCTTGGAGCTGACTCTGGAGGGGTGTCAGTAGTTGCCTAGATAGGAAAAGCCAAGACTTCGGTACTTGTTCACGTTTTGGCCGCCGGGCCCTGAGGACCTGCTGAACGAGACATCGCCTATGCTTGGGGGGATGGTCTCGGAATCCAGCTTCTGCAGCCATTTGCGGGCAGCGGCCAGATCTTCTTCAGACGCCGCAGCGGCTGTGCGGCGAGAGGCCAGCAAGCGTGCGTGCAGAATCTGCAGCACGGGGCGCCGCATTGGTGCCGCTGTTGCTGCCGCCGCAATCAGCGCGCGGGTGGGGCGCAGGGCTGGGCGGCGCAGGAAGCGGAGAGCGGGGCCACGCACGTAGGCCATGGTGTGTTGGGGTAGCAAACGGCGGGATGACTGCTGCTGCGTTTGGGAGTCGAGGCTGCGCACGTCAGAGCCGCAGACGCTGGTTGCGGCCTCAGGCTCGAGCGCGGGCGTCGCCGCGGGCCGAGCTGTCCGGCCGAACTCGCTCCCGGGAGCGATAGGTTCTTTTGCTTTCTCATTCTCCCCGCCAGACTACCGCCTCACCCCCTCTGCAGCTCAGCCCACTCCTCTGAACGGCCGCCCGCCGCAACAGACACCGCCCTCGTGCCCCCGGCCTCTGCCTCAGCGTCGTGCCCTCAGCCCAGCGTCTGACCGTAGCGCCGCCAGTGTTGCCTCTCGCGCCCGCGACCGCCCGCAGCCAGCCAGCCCGCTCTCCACGTATGCTTTGAGTTGAAGCGTGGCCTGCATCCCCTCCGCGGTGGCCCGCTAAGCGTAGCTCTGCCTAGATGACGACCAGAAGCCCGCCAGTAGAGCCTGAGGAATTTCGCGGCCAGACGCTGACGCCCGTCTCACCGAAGCCCATTCATTATCCCGCGCCCGCCAACATACCCGTGCTTGAGAAGCAGATGGATCCCGTCTTCAATGACACGGCGACCCACTACCCGCCCGATGACGCCCAGCAAGACCAGCAAGACAAGCAGAGCACACACTCGTCGGCCGACTCGCTGTACGCCGACCAGCCCGCTGCAGAGCCGCCGCGCGAGCCGCCGCCGCAGCAGGACGACGAGTACGCGCGGTCGCTGGCGTTTGAGGATGGAGAGGGCGCGGATAATCAGGATACCTCAAAAATCCAGAACTTCGCAGATTCGAGCTCCGTCCCCGCTGATGCGCCCAGTGACGCTGCCCAGCCGCCCTACACCAGCCAGCCCTATGCACCGCCCAACGGCAATGACGGCGGCGTTGACTTCCAGGCCTTGCTGGATAACCTAGCCAATGCCTCTGCTCCTGCCGACCAGAATGCTCAGGCGCAAGCCAACCCATCTCAAGTGCCTGCTCCGCCAGTCCAGACCTCTGCGCTGCCCGGCAATCCCAACCTCCCTCCTCGCCCTCCGCCTCAAGAGAAGCCCGCCACGCATCCCAACTACACGCCCGGAGATGACATTCGCTCCTATCACCCCCACAGCCAAAAGAACCCCGCCGCCTCGTACCGCGCCCAGCCCGGCCTGCCGCCTTTGATGACCCAGGGCCAGGCGCCGGGATCCGCCGGCGCGGCCCTGCCCCAGGCTGCCTACCAGCAAACCCCTGTCTCGGCCATGTCCCAGCGCACCGCCAGCCCAGCAACCCCCAGCTACCGCCAGCGCGACTCGCTCGACCGCCGCTCAGACCGCGACCAGGTCGATGACAGCGACGTGCCGTGGGGCCCTGACGTGCAGAAGCTGTACGACGAATTCCTGCAGGATGAAAGAGTTTACGTGACCGAAGGCCAATGGGACAAGTTCCCCCCCAACTCGCGCCTGTTTATTGGTGGGTTTTCCAGACCAGCAGTGAAGGACGGTGCAGGACCTGACCGTGCAGGCAACCTACCAACCGAGAAAGTGACCAAGCGCGACCTCTTCCACATCTTCCACCGCCATGGCAAGCTCGCCCAGATTTCCATCAAACAGGCATACGGGTTTGTTCAGTTTTTGGATGCCGGCGCCTGCTTGCGGGCACTCCAATCAGAGCAGGGTCAAGTCGTGCGTGGCCGGAAAATGCGTGAGTCCGCCAACCCCTGCCGTTTGTGCTGATGCTAACGCGCCCAAGACCTGGAGATCTCCAAGCCGCAAAGAAACACTCGGAACGCTGATGACAAGACCCAACGTAATGACCGCAACGGTGCCCGGCGTAGGTCTCGATCCCCTGACTACACCCGCGGCGGCACCACCACTGCCCCGAGGAATGTAGACAGGTACACAGGCGCAAGCAGCGGTTCACCTCGCAGAGATGAGTTCCGGAGGAGCAGAGACGACTACCGCCCAGGAAGATCACCTTCGCCACGTGGTTACCGCCGGGGTGGTCGTGACCGGAGCCGTGACCGCTATGATGGCCGTAGGAGAAGCAGATCAAGATCACCTTATGGCCGCAGTGGGAGATACAGAAGCCCCACCCCCCGCCGTGACCCCGATGACGACCTGACACTTCCTCGAAGGCATCCTCGTGATGTGCCGGATGTGCAAATTCTCGTCTTACAGCCTGGCGAAGTGGACAGGAACTTCATTGCCTGGGTTGAGCGGAGTTTCCAGGAAGCGGGCGTTCGCGCTGACGTTCTCCTCTTGAGCCCACGTCTGGATGAAGCAGCAGTAGTTCGGCGCCAGATCCTTGAAGGCGTCCATGCTGTTTCACGCATAACACGCCTTAGCCAGCAGACGGGAAAAATCCCTTTGCAGGTCTTCAACCGGAGTGCTGGCCAGTCCAATGTCACGTTCGAAGGTGAGCCCTGCAGAAGCTAACTCAAACCTGTCAAGTCCTAACAACTCTACAGAATATGACAATCTCGATGTGCCCGTCTGCGCCCAACTCATCCGCCGCGCCAAAGAGCAAAGCATGCCGCCTCCTACACCGACCTACCCTGCAGCCTACGGCATGCCTCCTCCACAGTACGGCATGCCACCCGTCCCACCACCTGCAGCCTCATACGGCATGCCGACCCAGCCCGTCGCACCACAAACCGCGCCTCCTGGCGCTGGCCCGGATCTCTCCAGCCTCATCACCAATCTCGACTCCAACGGCCTCCAGAAGCTGCTTGCAGGCATCCAACAGCAGCAGCCCCCCGCCGCCCCCCAGCAGCAGCAACAGCCCCTCCCAACCGCCGTCCTCACTCCCGGTTCGACCGGCATGACGCCCGACCTCGCCCGTCTGCTCAGCGGCGCCGCTTCCGGCCCGCCTACCGCCGTTGCGCCGCAGCAGCAGCCGCCGCCGACAGCATATCCTCCGCAGCAACAAGCATGGCAGCAGCATCCCGGCGCTCCCGGTGGCGGCCCCGTCAGCCCCTTCGCTTCTCTGCAGGGCAACCCGGCCCTTGCCGGGCTCATACCGCAGGGACAGCAGCAACCACCGCCGCACCAGCACCAGCAGCAGATTCCTAATCACCAGCAACTGCAGCCCGGCGCAGTGCCGCCTCCCGCGGGAGATATGCAGGAAATCATGGCGCAGTTGGCGAAGTACAGGCGCTGATGAACAAGAAATGAAAAAAATCGAAAAGAAACAAAAGGGGCTGCTTTTGTACATACACTAAGAAGAAAATATTCTCCATGATTCCTTGATAATACATTAGCGAACGGATGGGAAATTGCTTTTTTCTTTTATCCTTTTCTTTCACTTCTTCCCTTTGGTAAATATAGGAAGGGCCGATATTGAGATGCTCTTTTTTTTCCTCTTCTTTTTTGTCCTTGGGGGGTTTTCCTTGTTAGATGGAAGGGCCAGCGGTGTTCTTTTTCTTCTTCTGGTGGATTTTAGCTACTTGGGACGGTTCTACTGTGATTACTAGTGTTCGAGCCGGGATGGGTTTTCATGTCTTTCTTCGCTGAATGAATGACGGTTGTGGCATGGCTTTTTACTCTTTTCTTTTTTCCTCTTTGGTTTCTTCCTTCTTTCTCCTGTCATCTTATTTTCCTCGTGAGCGTGTGCGCGATGTATAAAAGCGGGCGTATCTGCTGCGAGCAAGCGGGAGTTCTTCATTTTCAGCACTCTTATATGCTTAGTTTCTTCTCGTTAATAAGCGACGGTGGGATGTGTGACGAAAGGTTGTTTGTGCCGGAGCGGCGGGCTTTCCTCGATCGCTCTGGCCCGTTTTTATTTTCTGCTCTCGGTCACCTCTCGGGAGAGATTTCAAGGACATGGAGAAATTCAAAGGATGGTCGAGCAGAAGAGCTAAATCATATCACACTGTGGAAGCGAGAGATGTGGAGGAGGACAAGTTGCAACGAGAGCGAGGTAAGAAAAGGAAAATTGAAAAGACAATTTTACTTCTCCATCTCCATCTACCGCCAATGGCACTAACTTGCTCTTTTATGCTGAATAATTTCTTTTTCTCCCTTCTGACTGTACGACTTACTTCTGTGCGAGAGGTCACAGAAGTGGATGTGTAGACTATCAATATCATTTACATGCGTGAATGCAAAAGTTGCAAGAGAGGCCTGTACTACTATGATCTGCGTTTCTTCCTCCTCTCTTCTATCTCTCCTTTTCTTTTCACGGCGTTCTTTTGATCGTAGCATTTGAAAGGGTAATGGTTTTTGTTTTATTACCAACATGTAAATCTTCTTTTCTCCTTTCCTTTCTTGGGCGTTGACGTTCGCTTTCGCGGCTAAGCTTTGTTAGTGGCTTTGGAGATCTCTTATTGAATTTAATCACTCAACACGAACAGATTCCCCACACATGTTCGACGGGGTAGAGGAGAAAGGAGAAGAAAAAGGAGAGATGTCGGGAAGGGCGTGCTTCGGTGCGGCCGAGGCGGAAGATCCATTGTGGAGCACGGTCATACCACTGAGCTCGAGAGACTCGTATATGCAAACAGCGCTTCGAGCAATTACGAAGCTGCATCTACACCGAGAGGGAAAAAAATCAATGCAAGGTATTCGTATACATATGTTTCTCGCTCGTATTTTATATCCTTTTCTGTTATGATAGGAGAGAGACGAGACGAAATGGCAACTCAAACCTGCTCCAAAAACATCTTTGAGGGAGTGATGGATGATGCCAAACCATTATGCTAAGTAACATTCGACAAGAAAGAAGAGCACATGCAAGATGACAACGAGACATATGCGGGAATACGCCATACAAACGCCGTAAAAAACCAGATGAGTACGCGGCGAGCGTTCGGTGCCTCTGTCTGTGTAGAGTGTAATGTCTGTATCGAAGAAAAAAAGGGAACCAAAAATAAAAGCAAAGCGACCACCACCTCTAATTGTAAAGGGAATGGGAACTCAAAGTGTGGAAAAGAGAGAGACTAAAACAGACAAGATAGCAAAAGAATAAAGGCCAAGAACCCACAACAAGGAGCGAGTGTTTCCCCAACGTCTCCTTTTGAACGTCACTGATTTCCGTTTTCCCCTCCCCCGTTTAAAGCCTACCTGCCTGCCTACCTGTACCGAGATGTTGTATGTAAACCGTGCGATAGTCCCCGAGTTTAAAGTCAAAAACCCCAAAACGATAACAAAAGCACCGCAGCAATCCCAAAAAGAGGCCATCCCAGAACATGTACGAGCGGTCGTGGAACAGGCGTTCCGTCAAAAAGCTCTCCTCTCCTCTTGCTCCCCCCGCACCTATGCGCCCAGCTCTTTACTTTCCTCCAGCTTGTAGTCGCCCTTGTGCAGTCCATCCAGCGCCAGTCTACCCTCCTCTGTCAAATCCGGCTTGCCATTCGCATCCGTCGCGTTCGAGAAGAAGCGGGGTTGCCATTCGGCTTCCTTCTCCTTGCGCACCGCGGCCTTCTCGCGCTGGCGCTCCTCGAGCTCTTGCTTGCGGGTCGTGGCGAGCGCGTACTGCTTGGTGACGATGGCTTCGGTCACACCACCCCAGAACTTGCGAGACTCGTTCGGCAGTTGCGCCTCCTCGGGGGGGATGATCTTAGGCACAGGGAAGAGCGGTCCGACGTCAATGAGTAGTATCTTCTCCTGTGGCAGATAGACGTGTTAGAAGTTGTTGAGGAAACCTTGACGGACTCCAAAACTTACCGCTGCCTTGCTGACGGGCTGGCTGCCGATCGAGTAGTAAATCTTGTCATGCCAGCAACCCTCAATACGTGCCAGGACATCCTTGTCCGGAACATCCCTAATCCTCGTCTTGTCGTCCTTCTCTGGGTCGTACGTGAAGATGACACCCTCAACCTTGTTCTGAGTCTTACCCAGCCAACCTTCCTCCAGATAGTGTAGGATAACTTTTATCTTCGTCTTCGGGCAGGTGATGTAGCAGATGTCTGCGACTGTGACACTCAAGGAACCTACACATCCAATGTCAGCGCTGGACCGGCTCTTGAAACTTGAGTATCCATACCTCTCAACAAGCCACCCAAGTGGGCAGCGGGGTGTGTAAGTTGGTACTGCTCATCGTCCCACTTGTGCAGGGTGATGAAGATGCCCAAGTTGTGCGCACCAGGCGTCACTCTTATGCTGGTGCCGGTGAACTTTGCGCTGAGCTGATCATAGCCCTTGGCGGTGATTCCCTTCTCCGGGCAGTCAACCCAGAAGGCCGAGACCGGAGGATGGTGGGAGGTCTGCTCGGTAAGGTACGAGACCTTAACGGTCTTTCCGGTGGAAATGGTGCTCGAGGCGCTGCTCTGCGCAGGCTTGTCCTTGGCCGACTTCAGCGGTGGCGAAGTGTCTTCGATCTCCCAGTTACACTGCATTCCACGTTAACGCCTCCGCGTGAAGAATCTCACTCTACGGAGACTACTCACCCTGAAGAATTCGCCCAAGGCCGAGTTGTAAGGCTTGCAGGGCTTGCCCTTGACGTATTTCTTCCGCGACTGTCAGCGCCTCGTGCCGTATTATCCAACCGCACAGCTTCATACCAAGTCCTTTGTAAACCAGAACCTAAGCGTCCCAAGCATGCGTCCCAGAGCCTCTTCCGAATCACCGATCCTGTCGCATTTATCAGTCACCGTCCACCAAGGCGAATCCGAGAATTTAGACGTACGCAATGAAAGTCTCGGGGCGATCCAAGTAATTCCAGTACTCTGCGCGACGTCAGCACTCCCCGTCATACTGTGCTTTCTATCCATCTTTGCAGGCCTCCGTTGGGCTCGCGCATATAGCTCCTCCTCAACAAACAGCACTGCTAGCGGCGGAAATGGGGTCGCCCCACGTACCCAAGTTCGGCGTCGGTTCCAACAGCTGCGCGGGCAGCGAGAAGCGGACAGCGGCGATGTCTGAGACACCCATAAACCTGGATACGCAAATCAAAGTCAGCTTTCTCTGATCTTCGTGACCGACAGGTCATGTGCCATGGACTCCGAGGCTCCCCCCTCCCCTGTGGGACTTAGCGTCGCCCCCCAGAGGATCTCGTATCGTATCCCTCCCAAGCGCGTCTTGCGCCTCATATTTCCCCGTGGTATGTGCTTGTGTGGGCTGAGGATGATGCGGATACGCACTTTCTGAGGATGCCGAGGAACGTCTTCAGCTTGGAGCTGTCATCGGGAGCCTTCTCAGCTACGGCGGCGGAGGCGGGCGTGGCGGTGCGCGAGGGCTCGGTGGAGCTGGCGGGCGTCGTCTCGACGCCTGAGGACGAAGAGGCCATGATGTTCTGGGGTGTGTTGATGTGTGACGGCGGTGGCGGCGTGAGGAGTGTTGAGTCGCAGAGGGGAAAAGGGAAAAAGGGAAAAACAGCGGGCCCTATGGGCTTTTGGGGCGAAGGGGGGTTGGGTTTCCCTTAGAGTGACGCGTCTAAATGCGGCGGAAGCGAGATTGAGGAGAGAAGAAAGGGAGGTGTGGGAGGTGCGCGGAGGCTCGTGGAGGATGCGCGAGGAGGTTGTGATGATGTGCGGCTCTCAGCGGCGAGCTACGAATAGTAGTGTGCATCTGTTGCGGTGCACCAGGCCAGGAGGGGCCTTGGGTCGTCGACGTCACGCTCCGCCCGCGGGCCGAACAGGGATATGCTGCGCAACCCGTTTGCAGCTGCTGGAACTCGACCGGAGCAGCGGTTGTGTCGCAGGAGTACGGCCACGCGCGGACGCGCCTGGACGGCGCCCTTTATCTCCCGTCGCACCATGCGCTTCCCGCGAGCTGTACGCGGCGCTGTCGACGCTCCGCGGCCAATCAAGCGCGCACATTGTCCTCCAGCTCGCGGCCACTACCCCTGCACCGCGCTTTCACCGGTCCGCCGTCTTCTCCGCTGCCCCTCTGCGTGATCGCAGCACCCCGGGAACTAGGAAGCGGCCCCATAAAGCTTGAAGTAGAGCCCCCAATTTCCCACGAATGCTATATTTATTGCTACCCTATTGTCATGCTCGTTTAATCTGCCCGTACGCCACCAAACGCCCATAGCCCCATTCGCCTCGGTCGATCTACCAGAGCAATCCCAATCCACTTTTGAGTGCGCCAGCCAAGTCGTCAGGAAGCAGGCACGTCAGCACTCAATGCCGTGATAACCGACACCATGCCGACTACCGCCTCCATCACGCATCCCAGCCCCGCCATACGCCCACCGTGGCTCCGTTCGTGCTGTCGCAAAACAGCTCGACCGCGTAGCATTCCGAGTATCCCGTAGTCGGTCCGCTCAGCCTGTCCAGGACAAGCCACATGTCGCCCTGGAGCAGCATGTCTGGCCTGAGATCCACCTCCTCGGTGCGAACACCACCCTCTGCGTCGCTGTATTCGCCGCCCGAGCTAGAGATCAGAATCCGGCGATCTGGTCCGCGTCCGATCTCTAGCGTTACCCGAAGTGGGCTGCGCGTCCGTGCCTGGAACCCGGCAGCGTCGTGAGTGCCAAAGGCCCGCGTGAACCTCGCAACAATCTTCACGCGAACGAGCTTCCGCGGTACCACCGGCGCTGCGATTCGGTTGCCTGTGGGGTTGAAGCACGCCTGCGCCAACTGCATCGACACCATCCCAGCTCCTTCTTGAAGGATTGGTGTCAGCTCGCAACGAACATCGCTATCCACCCGGAGGTCAAAGCTTGCTTCCTGTCCACCCTCAAACGTAGAGCAAGCAATCGTGTACACGCCTGCGTCTAAGTTTTGAATCTCCGCGAAGGCGCAGTGTTTCTTGTATAGCCCTGAGCTGACCACTATGTCGCGGTTTTTGACAGCGTGCACCCTCTTGCCCTTGCCGTGCAGAACGACCACGTTGGCTTTGATATCCTCGTCGGGTACCTGCAGCAGCACAGCCAGAGACGTTGCCTGTGTCACATAGAGCTTGAATTGCGGGTTCTTGCTGAACTCTGGACTTTGCAGGTTGCCGCCGCTGGTGCTCTTGCTCCACGCCGACTTCCGCTTCGAGCTGCAAGCGTGTTTCTCTCTGGCGTGGTCAAGGTGCACGCGCTTGGGAGAAAATGCGGACAGGGTGAAAGTGTATGTGTCGGCCGGGAGCTCCATCTGCTCGACTACCACGGTATACGTTGCCTTGGAGGGATTCTTCCATTTGAGGAGCATCTGCGGGCTGCTCACGAATGGATCGCTCTCAAGTGCATCCGTGCTAGTGTAGACACGGTTGCCACCCTCATCGAAGATGTACAGGCTGATATAGCCATGAGCAAGGTCACCATGAATGGAGGATTCCGACCTCGTCTGACTCGTTTCCGGGGACACGCGAGAAAAGTACCCACTGTCTGCACCAGAGTTGACACCAGGAGTTGCTGTTGCACTCCTTTGAGGTGGTCCGCTTCCGTTCCTACTGTCGACTTCGGTATCTTTGAAGTGTCGAGAAAGTAGAAGCCAGACTGGCTCGCCGCCTTCGACCTTCAGAGAGAATTGGGGATTGTCGATGAAACAGCCTGGAACATGGCGGGAAGAAGCCAGGTTCCATTGGAAATGGATATCCTGCCTGTAGCTAAACAGGGCTGGGTTCCAGTTCACATACACATTTTCAAAGTTCTGGAAGACTTGCTCGAGACTGATCCAGAAAGTACCTGGCGCGAGATTCTGCTCATCCGGGTCGATCGAGGGTCCCGGAGCATCATCCTCAGTCGCATACGATGGCCGACGCGCACTCCGCCATCCAGTTCCTTCAGCCCAAGGATTCTTGAGAAGAAGCTTCTTTTCGCCGTTTTTCTCCTTTAGGTCGAGTACGGCGTAATCATGTTGACTTTCAAGTCCCAACTCCTTTTCAGCCCGCCGGCTCATGTTCCCAGTACCAACGGTCATCAAAATGTCTCCATATCCGAAAGAGTTGAAAAGTCGGGCCCACAGCTCGTTGGGTATAATATCAGCTTCAGGAAGGTAGATCTGCTCAGGGATCCAGCCGGAAAGAGCCCAGAGGTCAGTGCAGGAAGAGCTGCCCGGAAAATCATATCCTCCACGGACCTTGAGATAGGCCTTCTCCAGAAGCGCAGGCCACAAAAGCGAAGGGTTTTGGCGATCGAGGACGTGAAGCATGCGCGTAGTTTTTGACACGGGCAAACGATCGTCTACAACTACCTTCCGCCAGCAACCGTTGAAGTTCATGCGAAAAACGTACTTGCCGTTCTCTGAGAGAAGTGGCACGCCATTGGCGTAGTCGTAAGGCCAGAGGAAGTTAGAAAGGAGCTTGTCATTGCCACGCTCGACCCTGGCGGTGCCGGCTAGGAGACTGGCGACGACCGAGCAGTCAGTCGCGGCATCCTGCACCAGGTCATTACGATTCTCCGTGATCATCGTGGGTCCGGTCTTGGCAGTACCGCTGGTTGCCCAGGCTGGAGGTGGCAAAGCATCCTTGGCACGCTTCCAGCCATCGAAAGACTCTAGCTGAGCTGAGGAAAGACGGAGTTCAGCGTCGTCGACGAATGCGGGCTCGCCTGGCTTCAGGATGAAATCAGCTGCTGTAGGGTTGTCTTTCCACGGAGGGAAAGTCGCGCCATTGATCTTGGAGCTCTTCAGCAGTAGGATTTGCTCGGCCGTAGGGAGGACTCGATCGGAAATAGGTTCCGGCTTCAATTTCGGGTATTTCTGAGGTGACGAGTTGAGGGGCGATGCGGTCCTAGCAGTCTGTGACGGAGTGGAATCCAAACTGAGCGATGAGATATTCGGAAGGTGCGCTGCTGGCCATTCGGGCGACTTCTTGATGCGCTCAGCTTCAGTGAGTAGGGTTTGGCACTGCGAGCTCAGATCTGCTTTCTGGCGTTTGTCAGTAGCAATTTTCAGCGCCTGCATGCACAACTCGGCAGCTTTGATAGCGAGGTCCAGAGCTTCGTCACGGGTTGGGGCGGCCGCTATGCGCGACTGAAGCGCCTCCATCTCAGCCACGACGGCTGAGACGCGCGCCTGCTGGCTGGCCATGATGGTAGAAAAGACGGAGTCAGAAGAACGAAGACGGAGCAGAGAGAGGAGCGGTGGGCAAATGTGTCATGATTGGGCGTCAAGCAACACCAGTTGGCTAGGGAAGCGGGAGGTCCAAGTGCCTGCGGACCTGCGCGGGTCTTTTTGGTTCCAGCCCTATCGCCCTGAAGAAGGAGCGATGGTGGTCGTAGTAGAAGGCAGGAGCAGAACGACACGGGCGGTCAACATGTGGGGTCTTAAGTCATTGCCACACCCAGTAACTGCACGTCCAGAATCAGGCCAGGCGGGATGAGGGGCCGTCTGGAGCAGAGTGTGTTGAGGTCCAACCAGGCGCTGCGGCTGACTCGAGGCTTTGTGGCGCAGTCCTCGCCGCAGCTGACTCGCACGAGCGCCGGCGAGAATCGGCCCGCAATCTAATCTGATGGCGCTAGTCCCACCCGGACCGTGACCGTTTGCCAGGAGCCGAGGTGAAATCGGTCCTCTTCGGCCGTGAGCTCCATGTGCGGGCTGCCCGCCGTCGTGATCTACCAGCCGTCATGGCCTACACCACCGTCTCGCGCTTTTCCTGCTGCAATTTGTCCGCCTTTTCCACTTTTCTCCCCTTTTTCTGTTATGCTTTCCTAGGCTCTTGATCTCGCCCTCGTATCCATCCACGCGCCGTCGTTGTTGTCGCAGCTGAGACTTTGTCCTCGCGTCGCGCCGGCCCTTTTATTCTCCCTCTCCCTACGAAGTGTATAGCGCTGCGCAGCCGTCGCAAAAATGGCAGGACAGTCCAAGGTCGCTCCTCTCCCTCCGTGGGGCTATGCAGTCGCCGGCTCTGCTGGCGCTGTGGTCGCGAACGCGCTCGTCTATCCGCTCGACATGTAAGTTTGACCCGACTTCGGAACCCGGCACCATGGCGCACATGCTGACAAGATTGCAGCGTCAAGACCCGTCTCCAAGTCCAGGTCAAGCAGACCAAATCCGCCGACAGCGCTAGCAACCCCGCCGACGACCAGCACTACACCTCGACTTGGGACGCCATTACCAAAATCGTGAATAACGATGGCCTCGCCGGACTCTACGCTGGCATGCCTGGCTCTCTGCTTGGTGTCGCCTCCACGAACTTCGCCTACTTCTACTGGTACACTATCGTGCGGACCCTATACCTCTCGAGCCAGAAGGTTCCCAAAGCTCCGAGTACGGCCGTAGAGCTTAGCTTGGGGGCGGTCGCTGGTGCCGTTGCGCAGCTGTTTACTATTCCGGTCGCTGTGGTCACTACCAGACAACAAACGCAGTCAAAGAGTGAGCGGAAGGGCCTCCTGGATACGGGTCGCGAAATCATCGCAAGTGAGGATGGATGGACCGGCCTTTGGAGAGGACTGAAGGCTAGCTTGGTCCTGGTTGTGAACCCTGCCATTACCTATGGCGCATACCAGAGGCTAAGGGAAAGCCTTTTCCCTGGCAAGGCCACCTTGAAGCCTTGGGAATCATTCTGTGGGTGCTGCTGCTGATTTCATACGGTATTTCCTGCTAATTTTGCCATCCAGTGCTTGGCTCTCTTTCTAAGGCGCTGGCCACTATCGCTACCCAGCCACTTATCGTTGCCAAGGTCGGTCTTCAGTCCAAGCCCCCGCCAGCGCGCCAGGGAAAGCCCTTCAAGACTTTCATTGAAGTCATGGCTTTCATTATCGAGCACGAAGGTCCGCTCGGCTTGTTCAAGGGTATCGGTCCCCAGATTCTCAAGGGTCTGCTGGTGCAGGGCTTCTTGATGATGACCAAGGAGCGCGTGGAACTGATGTTCATCGTTCTTTTCCGCTATGTCCGGAAGATCCGCGAAGAGCAGCTGAAGAAGGCTGCTGCAATTGTGGCCGAGAAGGCAGCCAAGGCGGCGCCTCAGGTGTCGGAGCAGGTGAAGAAGGTTGCTCCGGTCACTATGAAATGATTATGACGACCATTCGCACATGTATATCCTCTTGTTCCCTTTCAGCGATGGTCAGGCTTTTGCCGTATATTTTAGTTATCTGTTTTTTGAAGTTAGAAAGGTTCGGACTGGAGAGTTCACACTTCTTCCGAGGGAATTGGGTTTGCCGGCGTCCGGAAGGCAATGGTTTGAGACCGCTGAATGTTCATACGCTGTATTTACGTATATTCATGCACATTGTTTGAAGCTTCAGGAAGACTCGAAGCGACGCGACTTTATGCCCCGCTGGATGACGTCCGTGGGCGCAATATCCGAGCGGTAGCCGAAACCGCAAGCGCGTCGCGGCAGGGAGGGAGCTTTGACAGCTCATGCCATCATCACCGCGCCCGGCCGAAGCACTTGCCCCCATCCCCAGAGCGCGCAACCACCAATCTGCCATCCCCACATCCAAACGACTCGCCGAGCGAGAGCTGTGCGTGCCCACCCAGCCAACCAGCTAGGCGTAATTAGCAAGAAACCCTCCGTGCCCCCCAAACCGACGGCCGGCACCCCCCTCTCCACGCCGGCAAATCAAGACATCCGCTCTCTCTCTCTCACCCCCATCAACCCGCCCAACCGCCGCAAGCTCCGCGCTCGCCAATTATCAGCCCAACCGACCGACGCACCCGATCCGCAGCTGCAACAATGGCCTTCTGCTCCCGTCGCGCCGCTTCCACCCTCCTCCGCACCACCCTTCCGCGCCGCAGCTTCCAGACCTCCGCGCGCCTGCTCGAGACGCCGGCCGGTGCCCTGCCGCAGAAGAAGCCGGTGGGCGCGTTCAGAGCGACGTGAGTCTCTTTTAAAATTTACATCTCACACCACACGCCACAGACCACCGCCTGTAACGACGACGCCGCCGATGCTGCCGAAGCTCGCCGACGAAAGCGACTCATGAGTGAGGCCATTTGAGCTAACGTGAATGGTGTTGCAGCATCTTCGGCTTCCTCGCGGGCTCCGTCGCGGCTGGCTCCGGAATGTATTACTATGTCATGGAGGAGTACAAGGTCGCGAACCAGCTGCTGCAGGAGGACATCTACGTACGTTTCCTCTCTCTCCCTTTTCTCTTTTACTCTTCTCCCTTCCAATGGCTATACACGTACTCGATTGTGGACTTTGAGGAATGAAGCCGCTGGGCCGGGGGTTGGATACCTCGGCTATTTTGACAGTGGGGCGAACGAGTGCTTGAGAGAGGCGTCCGAATGCGGCAATTGACGGGTAGAACGAGAGTACTTACTGACGCGTGTTTTTTCCTGCTGTGTAGGCCCTGCAGTCCGCCGTCCAGAGGATAGAAAGCTACGTCCGGGTCATGGAAGACAAGGTGGAGAAGGCGGTCAAGAAATAAGCTGGCGGACGTGATGGTCTAGGACCGATGCACGAGGCAAAACTTCAAACGGGGGTCGATTGAAGGTGTGATACCAAGGGACGCAAGACTGGGAAGTCGAAGGGAATGCAATATCAGGAGGAGTCTCGGGGGTGATGATGGATGCGGGATGGGCAACGGGCAGCATGTGCTCTGTTTGCATATCACAAACTTCTTTTCTCTGCTCATTCAGTGACGGCATGTAGCAAGTATAGCGGACTCGATTCTTCTTTGCGGATATCCAGTAACAAATATGCTGTGAATCTCCGTACATTCTGCCACGCGCTCTAGACGACGTGGTCAGCAAGATTGCCAGGCACGCCGTTCAGCAGCCTTGCTAATATTACCCACGTAACAAAGTGGACAGCGCCACGAAATATTCCTCTAAATGGGAGAAGGTTGAACACACCTACTATCGGACGAAAGATTTACTAACCGATTGATTGGCATCTATTGCATAGTACGATACTCTGTGATTTATATTCGGAATTAACATGGTTACCAAAATTTACGCACACAAGATTTGACATTACCTACAGCCCGTTGAAGGGCAATATCAAATGAAGCAAGGCGTTGCTGTATCTCTCATTCAAACACCAGTCTGCTGTCATATTTATATCCTTTGTACATACCTTCCTACCGTCTTCTCCACTTCCCCTTCAGCCTTTACAGCTTATACATGTAGCATAGTCGGCTTCAGTGACCTCATCTGCTCAATTGCAATGTAAGCGCCGACTTCAACGTTGTGTGAAAAAGTGACAGTGTTGCAGTTGGTATTTGCTCTGCCATCGTTTTCTTTTTCCTTGTATTTGCACCACTTCCTTCCATTTTCCGCAATTCAATTTGTTAGATTGTTCTTGCTATAGAACAACTTACAATTCAATATTCTCTTTGCTTAGTTGCTTGAGTTAAGTACTGACGAAATCATTACACCGTATAAAATCTTTCTATTATGCATCGATAATTTCGCATAGCAAACACAACTAAAGAAGGGAATCGCTTTGACTCTTGAACCAACAAACATAAATTTGAAATCCTAGGACCTCAAGCTTTATAAAACTTTGCGACAAGGGCCTTCTGAAGATCTTCACAAACTCTAATACACCCTTCCTTCTACCTGATAGACATAGATTGAGAAGACAAACATGTGGATCCGCCCCAGTGCGGCAACACCAACTCTGACGACTGCAAGCAATGCTCGATTGTAGCCTGCTGAGCTGTCCTGGTATGAGCGTTGCTGTGAGTGGGAATGACAGCATTTCTAATTTCAGACATCAAGACATTGCGTTGACAGAAAGAATTAGTGAAAGAATGATGGATGTTTGATAGTTCCGAGTATTTTCAAGCTTGGTGAAATAAATTCACTTTATTGTCTTTCATTAAACTTCTCAATGTCTAATGATATATTAATCCCTTGCAAGTCATTTTCATATCTATCTAAGCTATGGTATCATAGACAATGCCAAAGCCACCATTTCCTCTTTCAGTGCTATTACTTTGCCGGTCACAAGGAACAGAAGGATGTCGAAGCCGTCTGCAAACGCAACAAATATTTATCTTGTGATGTTTACGGTTCCACCTCAGAGTGTCGTCGAAGAGGGCCCATCCATTGCGTTAGGTGTGCGTATTGCCAGCATGACTTGTTCCTCACTGAGGCATACTTTTAGCTCGCATATCCTCTCGCGGGAAGAGGCGGTGGACTTCTTGTTGTAGGCAGCAAGACTGGAGACCTCGGTGGCAACGCGCTCGAAGACATGGGTGGTGGTGGCCGTAGGACTTTTGATACGAACATGCGGTGTTACAAACCTCGTCTACGGACTCCAGTACTACGTTTCTTTCGCCGCTCCGCATATACCGCACCTTGCCGAGTCTCCAGCATTCAAGTATGCTCCTCCACGGCATGTCAAGCTCCTGCATTTCCATAAACCGGGTACAGCTTCTGGCTTGAGCACGTGTGAGCAGGCAGCGCAGGTCAGAGCACTCTGCTCATTGGACAATGAGCAGATTGGACATTCCATATTGGCGGAGGGCTGAGTTGAGGCAGCCGACTTCTTGCTGATCGAGTTGGGTTTCGGGTTAGACGAGTTTGAAGTGTTCACACGGCTTGTTGACGGTTGGCCTGCTTTGGAGTTGGCCCCATGTCTTTTGTTAGAGCTGCTGAGCTTGACCGGTTCCTGACCCGATTTTGCTGGTGGTGGGCTGTCTTTTGTCAAGTCAATAAGTTCCTGTGCAGTTTCCTCGGATTGCGGTTGCTTCTTCGTGAACTTGGTGATTTTTTCCTGGCGTAGCTCCCTGAGCTCGTCCATCTCTTGCTTGACGTGAACATCATCCTGGTCTTCATCTTCGCAGATCCTGATGAAACCGTTGCCTTTCTCGTCTCTCAACTCGTTGCCATCGATATCGAGAGCGGCAGGGCCATCAACTCCATCAGAGTCATACTCGGATTCTGTGCAAGACTCGCCCGGCACCTCCTGCTGTTCTTCCTTCGCTTTATCGAAACGCGCAAGTGCCGCGGCAGCTCGCAGTTCTCTCCCTCTAGCACTGTTCGCCACGCGTGGCTTGCCCTTGCTCTTTGTCTTCTTACCATCTTCCAACTCTGTCTTGACAGCTTCGTCTGTTCCCAACACTGTGCCTCCAGCACCAAACTTCTTCAGAATCCTCCGCTGTTTCCTTTCTGCGTAGCTCAGTTCGGGCTTCTCCTTGCCACCCCTCCCCCTCTTCTTTCCTCTGCTCCTATAGGTGCCACCACACAGGCTTTCCACGTCCACGATGTCAACCAACTCATCTTCGTTGACCGTAGCGCCGCCCTCCAGCTCTCTTCCCCGTCCCCACAACCCCTCACCAGTGTATCCCTTCGCCCACAGCGCCCTCAACTCCTCCACATACGCGTTCCTCACCCTCCAGAAGAACCTGCTGTGGTTCATCTGCTTGCAGTGGGCGAGCTCGTGCATCATGACCATCTCGACCTGTTTGACGCTGAGCCAGCGACCGTCCCGGCTCTTGAGCACTAGCTGGATGACCTCGCCGGCGTTGAAGTTGCGCCCCACGAACTCCGGGTTCGGCTCGTACTCCTCGAGCGCCATGACGGCGATGTTGTTGGCCTTCATGATCGGGTAGCACCGCGCCGCCACGCGGTTGAGGATGCGCTCCGCCGTCGCGGCGCCGCTGCCCGGCAGCGGTTTGATGAAGTTGATCAGCTTGTTCGGCCGCGAAGCGCGCTCGTTCAGCCGCTCGAAGCCGAGCGGCATGGCGGGCGGGATTTGCAGGCGCTTTTGCCTGCCAAGGTGGGTACTGCTCAGTTGCCGCGGGTGCTGTGAGGAATAATTTGATCGGCGAATAAATGGGCGTTGACCTGCAGATGTGGAAGGCGGGGTGCGTCGGCGTTTGGTGGCGGCGAGGCAAGAGTGCGGGGTGGTCGCGAGGTCAAGTGATGACGGAGCGACGATTAGAAGATTTTGGCGAGTGAAGATGCAGAGTGAAGGAAAACGCGACCCTAAAAGATGTGTTTGCATGAGGACCCTGGGGTCGCTTATCCCCGCTAACTCCAGCCGACCAATGACGTCGTGGGAAGCTGCTGGGAGCTTCTGGCTGCTCGGCTTTTCCCCACTTTACTTACCATTAACAGATTCTCGTCCCCGCCGATTGATATGGCTATCTCTTGGTTCCTAGGAAAATGAGGGGAAAGAAAGTGTTTATCGGCTTTTGAATCCGTGTACAACTCTGTAGTTATATTAGCCCGGTCTTTGATATTTACCAGTGTCTAGTCTACAACCCAGATACAACATACAACATGCCTCACAAGGAACATTTGGAACTCATTGAACTGCATCCCACTTTCGGTGCAGAAGTTTGTGGCATCGACTTCTCGCAGCCAATTCCAGAGGACATCTTCTCCGAGATCCGGGCTGCCATCACTAAAGTAATTCTCAGCATTCACTTCACCAGAACATCGTTGCTCACAAAGCTTCCAGTACGGCGTCCTCGTTTTCCGCAAGACCAACCTCGACGACGCTAGCCACGTCGCCTTCGCCTCACGCTTCGGCGCCCTCGACGATGTGCGACCCTACACGGCGCAAGGGAAGCAGCACCGACTGTCGACGGATCAGCTCTTCGACGTGTCGAACCTGCTAGCCGACGGCAGCGTGGCGCCGCTCGACTCGCACCGGCACGCCATGAACAAGGGCAACTCCCTCTTCCACGTCGACTCGAGCTTCAATGCGCGGCGGGCCGGCCTCTCGCTGCTGCGCGCCGCGCGCCTGCCCCCTCCCGGCACCGGCGGCGCCACCGACTTCGCCGACACGCGCGCCGCGTTCGCGGACCTGCCCGCGGCGACGCGGGACGAGCTGGTCGCACGGGACCACATCGCGTGTCATTCGCTGATGCACAGCCGGAAGCTGGCCTGTCCGGAGCTGCTGGCCGGCGTGGATCCGGAGGACTACCCGTTCGGCAAGCACAGGCTGGTGCAGAAGCACGAGCCGAGCGGCCGGTGGAACCTGTACGTCGCGAGCCATGTGCATCATGTGGAGGATTTGGAGAAGCAGGAGTCTGACAGGCTGGTCCGGGAGCTCTACGAGCACGCCTGCCAGCCGAAGTACGTGCTGAGAGTTGAGTGGGAGAATGACGGCGATTTGGTGATGTGGGACAATACGTGTGTCATGCATAGAGCAACTGCAGGAGACTACGAGGGTAAGTATGCAAGGGATATGAGGCGAGCTACGGTGCATGACTCTAGCTCCCAGGCCTACGGGTTGAACGAAGAGACAGATGCCAGGCAGGGGTTTCCATAACGGAAGAAACACTCCACACTGGATATTCGTATTCTGGTTTCCTTTTTTTGACTGTACTCAAGACTTCAAACCACAGGATCCGGCACTTAAATTGAGTGGGGGCGAGTATGATGAAATGACGAATTCTTCTTGATTAATTTGTTGAGAAAACACTTTGAACAAGCTGTGAAACCTTTAAAGTGGAAACCTCAACTTTTCAGGGCCGAAAGTCAGGCATTGGTTTTCTCCCGTGAGAGTCACGAGATGTCTCGATCTATCCAGGGAAAAAGAACGGCCGTAAGTCCTGTTTCAAAACAATTCCCGTGAAGTGGGATCGATACCGCGGTGGCCTCGCCGCAGCCAGTGCGTGAAATGTAAAGAAAGAATAGACCAATGGCAAGACTTCGACGGCGACAGTATCCGGGTAATGTAAGCATTGTCCAAAGTCGGGATGAGCGCGGTATCCAAACCGTATTCCTCCGGAGGTCTCGTGATGATCGGCTGAGCCCATGACTGTTCAGCGCCGCTCTTCCCACCACCATTGCCTCTGCCCACCATGAGGCTCTACACACCCTACACAGCATGTAGTCGATGAAGAACCTTCACTGTTGGCGACCAGGCGGTCGCAGTGATCAAGTGTTCATATTCTGTCCTTTCTACTTCGCACTGTCGATTTTGCACCCCAGGAAGACACGACAAAGGTTGAATTATGAGTTCTAACTAGGAGTGAGCAGGTGCAAGGTGTTCATTTGGACGTTAAGATAGGTGTAGGTACAAAGAGTGGTCGGAGGTAGGATCGCCCCCGTTTGGTAGGGATTCCCGTCACATGGCATGCCGACGCCGGCGCCAGGGCGCGCAGGGGGTCGAAGATCAGGGAAGATCGCCAAGATACCCGAACAGCCAACCGTCGAAGCTTGTTTGGACGCAGAAGAGCAGCCGCTTCCGGCATCGTGCTCCGCTCTCGCAGCAGATCCCGCTTTGTCACAGATCGGGCCGGTGTGGCGCGGAAGCTTGCACCCACCCACCCCCCAAACACATGTCAGGTAAGATCTTTCGGCTACAAGCGGGTTACAAGCGGCTGATGATAAAAGGCAAGAAAGGCAACACAGCCGTCAATATGATGCTGCGGACCGAAAGAACGAAACTCGGAGGTTCTCGGGGGCGAGAATTACTGCACGTCTCGCCGATCAGTCGACTGTACGTTGAACGCTCCGTGGCATGCGGCTCAACATTCCTGATATCCGCCACTCCTTAATCGGCGCTGACCGGTCCCTCTTCTTTCCAAAGACCAACCTCCTTGTCCGGAGTGTTGGCCTCCTGGGCAAAATGGGTCTTTCTGCACGTCCAGAGTTTCCCGTCCCACGTCACACGGTCATTACGCGTATACTTGTTCTTATCTGCTGCTCCGTCCTGCGTTGCATCTCCGTGGTCGCTACTCCGCCATTCCCGAGGGCGGTCCCTCTGCGTCTTCTTCTTTTTCTTGGCGCTTACGGCGTCGTGCTTGTTCTTCCACATGCCGCCGTAGCGGTAATGAGGATGCTCGTCGTCGCCGTCAATCTCGCCGCCGCTCAGCTCGCGCCAGCACCTTCCGGGACAGATGAAGACCCAGGCGCGGGACTCGTCGATCTGGCAGCGGACCAGAACGTCGCGGAGCGCGCCGCAGTGCGAGCAGGGTTTGCTGTGTGAGCTCGGGGCAGACGGTGCCTGGGTGGCCATATTCAAAACAATAGCCCTCGAGAACAAGCCGGAATAGATGCAGTTCGAGATGCGGCCATGGATGAGATGTTGGCAGGACGTGCGGCAGTGCGGCACTTCTTGACGTCAAAGCTTCACTAGCGGCCGTCGCGGCTCGCAGCAGCAGCAGTGGCTCAACCAGCAACTGCGCTGCAGGGCACGGCAAGCGCGAGGCTGCTTATCGCTCCTATCTCGCGCTCGGCAAGCGGCTGCAAGCCGCGCGTGAGACGCGAACCACTGGATGGCTGCGGGATATTTCCAGGGTCCCGCTTTGTGTAAAAAATTTGAGACAGCAGGTGGTGAGATGGCACTGAAGTGGCCCGATTAAGGAGACGCTCAGCCCTACGGCTGCGGCGTCGCGAGATGTCCCGACCAGGCCCGACAGCGAGAGGACGGCGGCTCGCGCGAGATCAGCCGATGCCGGCCAGCTTTTTCTTCCAGCCCAGAGCTCCGACCTGCCTGCGCCCCACCACCGCGACTCAGGCGCCGGCTGCAGCGTGGCGGCGCGCGCAGGAATAGCAGTGCGTCGTGTCAAACTGGTCGCGTCACTCGACATGGCATGAGCTGGACCGTCCGTCCCGCCGCTGTGGTGAGGCTTCGTCGAACGGCCGACCATTTCGTCATGGCGCACCCTTGTCCCTCTGCTCGTACAAAAGGCTGCACCCACCGCACCCCTCAGTCAGCCACCAAACACTCACTCCAATTCACCACAAACACCTCCAATTGCCATCATCATGAGCGGCGCCACCACTCCTCTGCCTACCGGCGCGAGCACCCCGGACATCCGTACCCGGGAGCTCAAGCAGCCCATGGACGTGGCTGAGGTTGGTCCTCCCCCTGCCCCAAGCTCCCCGCTCTATCGTAGCTCACCAGCCACAGTACCTCTTCCGCCGTCTGCACCAGGTCGGTGTTCGCTCTGTCCACGGTCTTCCCGGTGACTACAACCTGGTTGCTCTCGACTACCTGCCCAAGTGCGGTCTCAACTGGGTTGGCAACGTTAACGAGCTCAATGCTGGTAAGTGCCGCCTGCCCCGCCCGGCTGCCTCGGGAGCTCCCCGCTAACCCCCCCTGCAGGCTACGCCGCCGATGGCTACGCCAGAATCAAGGGCATCTCTGCCATTGTCACCACTTTCGGTGTCGGTGAGCTGTCTGCCATCAACGCCATTGCTGGTGCCTACTCGGAATACGTTCCCGTCGTCCACATTGTCGGCTACCCCACCACCGCTGCCCAGAAGAACAACCTCCTGCTCCACCACACCCTGGGCAATGGCGACTTCAACTCGTTCGCCGACATGAGCCGCAAGGTCTCTTGCGCCATGTCCATGCTCAACGACCCCCACGAGGCTGCCACCCTGATCGACGATGCCATCAAGAAGTGCTACATCCTCTCCCGCCCCGTCTACATTGCCCTGCCCTCCGACATTGTCACCAAGAAGATCGAGGGTGACCGCCTGAGGACCCCCCTGAACCTTGAGTTCTCGCCCAACCACGAGGAGAAGGAGGACTACGTCGTCGAGGTCGTCCTCAAGTACCTCCAGGCCGCCAAGAACCCTGTCATCCTCGTTGATGCTTGCGCTATCAGGCACAGGGCTCTGGAGGAGACCGACGCCCTGATCAGGAAGTCTGGCATCCCCACATTCGTCGCTCCCATGGGCAAGAGCGCTGTGAACGAGACCCTCCCCAACTACGGTGGTGTGTACGCTGGTGACGGCTCCAACGCCGGTGTCCGCGAGCGTGTCGAGTCTGCCGATCTCATCATCAGCATTGGCGCTGTCAAGTCTGACTTCAACACCACCGGCTTCACCTACCGCACCTCGCAGCTCAACACCATCGACTTCCACAGCTACGGTGTCACCGTCAAGTACTCGGAATACCCCGGTGTCCGCATGAACGGTGTCCTCACCAAGGTCACTGCCCGCCTGCCCCAGCTCAGCATCCAGGGCGGCCCCGTCCCCAGCAACACCGTCCCCAAGGCCGTTGCCGAGAGCTCAGACCCCACCATCACCCAGGCCTGGCTCTGGCCTCGCGTCGGCCAGTGGCTGCGTGAGAATGATATCGTCATCACTGAGACCGGTACCGCCAACTTCGGTATCTGGGAGACCCGCTTCCCCAAGGGTGTCACTGCCATCTCTCAGGTTCTCTGGGGCTCCATTGGTTACGCCACTGGCTGTCTGCAGGGTGCCGCTCTCGCCGCCAAGGAGCTTGGTCGCGACCGCACCATCCTCTTCACTGGTGACGGCTCCTTCCAGCTGACCGCCCAGGAGGTTTCCACCATGATCCGCAGGGACCTCAACCCCATCATCTTCGTCATCTGCAACGATGGCTACACCATTGAGCGCTGCATTCACGGTTGGGATGCCGTCTACAACGACATCCAGAACTGGAACTACAAGGACCTCCCCGCCGCCTTCGGTGCTAGGCCCGAGCAGTACGCCACCTACCAGATCAAGACCAAGGACGAGCTCAACCAGCTCTTCGCCGACGAGGACTTCAACGTGAGCAAGAAGCTCCGCTTCGTCGAGCTCTACATGCCTCGCGATGACGCGCCTGCTGCTCTGATGCTTACTGCTGATGCTGCTGCCAAGCGCAACCTTGAGTAAGGTGGCTTGATCTTTCCTTGTACTATGAAAAGCGGATCACATGGGAGTTTGGTATTACGGGCGATTTTCTTTTTCTCTTCTCTCTATTACCACTTGCATCCTTACCACGCCATGAGGTCATGATAATTTCCATCGATTTGATATAGAAGCTTTCAAAAGCCGGAAAATGGGTTGTAGATAGACTCCGGACATCAAATGGCACTTTTACCTTGATACGAGAGTTCCAAACATCCTGTGCTTCGACCGTGATCGAATCCTTTGTTGAAAATTTTGAACTGATCATCCAGAGTGGCCTTCGCCTCACTCGAGGGATTCCAACCGCTTGGGACCGGTCTGAAGTGTTCCATTTGCCACGAATCATGTACGACGTGTACTTTCTCAAAGTGGAAGCATGGCATGATCCTGAATCAAGCATGAGAGAACAGATCGTCGATTTTGCTGATCATAGATAAGTGGATACATAGCGCGAAGATGAATGAGGTTATTGGACCCATGTCTCCAATCCCGAGCCTTCTAGCCTCGTCGGCAGCGGCGTTTCATTATCTCATCCGCCGCAACGTTGGGGCGGACGTTAGCGAACGTTGACGCACCGCATTCGTTGTCACACCCAACGGTCCGCCACTTCCGCCCGATCTTCGGAAGCAAGTCTGGTAGGCGACTCCGAGAGCTGTACATACGTCCGTACAAATGGAACCGACCCCACGTGCTCGCGAATTGCTACACCCGCGCCCCTGAGTTGTTGTAGCTCGGCTCGGGATTCTTTCCTGTGCTGGAGAAGGGCATTGGCCTCGCGGATGGTGTATCGTTGCACCTTGAAGCTTGGAGCCTCTGCTCGCTTTGGGGGACAGTGACTACTTGCGTAAACAGACTTACCCATAAAGGGGTTGAAAAGCGTTAGACGTACCAATTGGGAGTCGGCTTTTACACTTTCTTTCCCAGTTGTCGTTAAAGCATGATCGCGAAGCATCGCCAATTCTTAAATCGGCCTTACGTCCCTCAGCACCATTTCACTGCCCCCGTCTCCACCAGCAACAGTCACCGCCCGCGACTCCGCCGCCGCTGCCGCCGTCGTTGTTGCACCGACACCCATGTCCTCGAGCACCGCCCTCAGCTTGCTCACTCTCTCCTCCAGTTCATCAATTTCTTCCTGCTGCTCGTCCACGGTCCGATCCATATCGCCCAGGCGCGCGCACGCCTGCCGCGCCTTCTGCAGCCGCACCTTGAGCGCGCTGGATGCTGCCGCCAGCTGATGTATTTCGAGCGGCTGCGCGTCGGGGTCGGCAGACGACGATGATGCGCCTGCACCGGCGCCAGCGCCTGATGCAGCACCTGCAGTACCTCCACCTCCACTGCCTCCGGATTTACTTCCCTCCTCTCCACCACCTGCTGCTGCTTTACCTCCCTCCTCACCTGCCTGCTGTTGCTGCGCGGCGTCCGTGGGTTTTTGGATCAGCAGCCTGTTGAGCAACGCGTGCAGGTGAGGCAACACGTCAAAGGTCGCAGGCGGAGGGAGCGGCGGCGCCTGCGCCTGCGCCTGCTGTTGTTGCTGTAGCAGCTGCGAAGCCTGCGCACTGCCGGCCGGTGCGACGGATAGGCCGCGGTTGGCGGGCGTCGCAGGCGTCGAGTAGGTCGACAACCGAGGCGTGCCAGTTGCGGCCATGATTGTCGGAGGATGCGGCACGCGGGGGGTGTCGGCGCGGGAGGGTGCTTTGGGGGGGACGGACCTCGGGAAGGTTAGGGTTGTATTCGAGGTAGTAGTAAGCTGCGCTTGTGGTGGTAGGTGACTGCTGTGGCAGGATCCGGCGGCCGGCCCAATGGGAAGTGAGCGATGTGGCCCGGGAACCCTCTATCTGCTGAGCTGATGAGATGCGCGCGGCCCGCAAGGAACGAACGATGCGAGAAAAAAAGAGCGCGCGGGCCTGAGCGGGTCGAGGCGAGCAGCAATGCGCAGAGCACGCAGGGTGGGACGCGCCGAGAGTGTATCAGCACAGGTGGGTGGAGCAGGAGCACGCCTTGAAGCGAGCGGAAGGGGGGAACAGGGCGAATGGCGGCGCCACGGGGGTGAGGCTGTCTCGGAGGGTGGTTGGTTGAGTGCATTCCCATCGGGCGCGGCCGCGACTTTGTGACGTCGGCCCTTTCCAGCGGGCGGCGCTGCCCCTCCCGCCCGCCGATGATCGCCGCGTCTGTTGAAAAGAAAACACCCCACTGCGTGATATCGAGAGACTCTCAGCACACCACATCCCCTACTATCCGAGAGTCCAAGCGCCCTAAAAAGGTTGGCCGAGCCGTCCGAAGCGTCCTGCGAAGCTTGCCCGCTGACACCTCACTCCTCGCAGCTGCATTCAGCCCCACGAGTCCAAATCCAACAAAAATGGCTAAGGTTGACCAGAAGGCCGTTCTGAGTAAGTCTGGCCCACGCGGGACATCATAGTGTTCAGCCCTACTGACGCAGCTGCACTTTTAGTCGTCATCGACGGCTGGGGAATCGCCAGCGAGAAGTCGCCCAAGGAGGGTGATGCCATCCTCGCCGCCGAGACCCCTGTCATGGACGAGTTCAAGCGCCCGGGCTCCGAGATCACCCAGGGCTACACTGAGATTGAGGCCTCGTCGCTGGCTGTCGGCCTGCCCGAGGGTCTTATGGGCAACAGCGAGGTCGGCCACTTGAACATCGGCGCTGGCCGTGTCGTCTGGCAGGATGTCGTCCGCATTGATCAGACCATCAAGAAGGGCGAGCTCAAGGACGTCGAGAACATCACGAACTCGTTCGCCAGGGCCAAGAACGGCAACGGCCGCCTGCACTTCCTCGGTCTCGTCTCCGACGGCGGTGTCCACTCCCACATCAACCACCTGCTGGCGCTGCTCAAGCTCGCCAAGGAGCAGGGCGTCCCCAAGGTCTTCATCCACTTCTTCGGCGATGGCCGTGATACCGACCCCAAGTCGGGTGCCGGCCACCTCGAGAACCTGATCAAGGCGACCAAGGAGATTGGTCTGGGCGAGATCGCCACCGTTGTTGGTCGTTACTACGCCATGGACCGCGACAAGAGGTGGGACAGAATCGAGGTTGCCCTCAAGGGCCTTGTTCTGGGCGAGGGCGAGAAGAGCGAGGACCCGCTCGCTACCGTCAAGGCCAGATACGAGGCTGGTGAGACCGACGAGTTCCTGAAGCCCATCATCGTTGGCGGTGACGAGAGGAGAATCCAGGGTAAGCATCTTTCGTGACTTTAACTTTTTTGTGTGCATGTCTAATTAGGGACTAGACGATGACACCCTCTTCTTCTTCAACTACCGCTCCGACCGTGTCCGCGAGATTACCCAGCTCATGGGTGACTTCGACCGCTCGCCCAAGCCCGACTTCCCCTACCCCAAGAACATTGCCCTCACCAACATGACCCAATACAACCCCAAGTACACCTTCCCCGTTGCCTTCCCTCCTCAGAAGATGGGCAACGTCCTGGCCGAGTGGCTCGGCAAGCAGGGCACCCACCAGTGCCACATCGCCGAGACGGAGAAGTACGCTCACGTCACCTTCTTCTTCAACGGTGGCGTTGAGAAGCAGTTCGAGAACGAGATCCGCGACATGATTCCGTCGCCGAGGGTTGCTACCTACGACCTGCAGCCTACAATGAGCGCTATGGGCGTCGCCGAGAAGGTTGCCGAGCGCATCCGGGAGGGCAAGTTCGACTTCATCATGAACAACTTCGCCCCGCCTGACATGGTCGGCCACACCGGTGTCTACGAGGCCGCCATCAAGGGTGTCGCCGAGACCGACAAGGCCATCGGTGTCATCTACGAGCAGTGCGTCAAGAGCGGTTACACCCTCTTCATCACTGCCGATCACGGGTGAGTTACCATCGACTTTGCAGCCTATTGATTGAAGCAATTGCTAATTTCGGGATACAGTAACGCCGAGGAGATGCTCAACGAGGAGGGCAAGCCCAAGACCTCGCACACCACCAACAAGGTTCCATTCGTTATGGCCAACGCCCCCAAGAACTACAGCCTGAAGAAGTCCGACGGCGTTCTCGGTGACGTTGCCCCCACCGTCCTCGCCGTCATGGGTCTGCCCCAGCCCGAGGAGATGACTGGCCACAGCCTTCTTGTCAAGTCGTAAATGTCGTAAAAAGATTAGAGGTTGTTGTTTTTGATGAATGATTGAGATGACGGCGTTGAAGAGAAAAAGCATAGTCAGACTGGAAAGAGATGGAGTAGACTTGCTTGTGAGTTGTTGGATGATGCATGATGCGGCGCGTGGGTTGTAGAAGTGTAGGTCCTTGGGTTCCCTGAGAGATACCTTTTTTCCTCTTCTTTTTATTTCCCCCTTTCTTAACGTTGATAGACGGCAGAAATGAAAAATATATGACGACGTTGACGAGATAAAATAGTCCTAGATTGCTACGTGAGAAAGAACTCCCGACCCGGAGGTTTTCATCCTTGTCCCTCGGAAGCGGCTTCTCCAGCGTCATGCTGACGACCCGCTGTCCGGGGGTTCCGGATGATGAAGAAGACACAAGGCAGATTTCTGCGCCACTTATTGTGTTGTGCGACGCCAAGATGCGTCAGTCATGGATTGAAGGAGGAATCACCAGTGGGGTTTCAGGGCGCTAACTAAGTGGAGCGTGCTCCGCATCGTTCGCGCTTGCTTTGAGGCTTCCAGCAAGCTCTATTGCCAGGCTAACAACCCCAAGGGGTATCTTGACGGAACACGAGTGCCCATTGTCCTCAGCCTTTGCTGTAAGCCTTGACGCTCCCTGTTAACTGGATGGCCAATAAGCATGCTACTTATGAACTGGTGCCAGTTCAGAAGTTGTATTTTCATTGGACCGCTTCGATAACCCCGGGCCCGGCCTTGACATTCCCTGTCAACTAGATGGCCAATAAGCATGCTACTTATGAACTGGCGCCAGTTTGAAAGTTTCATTTTCATTGGACCGCTTTGATAGCTCCCGACCTTCACGGGCAACGCAGTAGTGATGGTGCAAGACCTGTCTAACTGCACAGTAAGCCACCTCGCCGTCAATGATCTTGGCTCGAAAATGGCAATTTGGCAGCGTGGCGAAAGGAAGCCGATCCAAGGGGCAACAAGAGTGGTACTCCGCTTCTGAGCATGGCACTACGGGTCGCGCAAGTTGCTGGTAGGAGCGGCGGCTGAAGATCATTTGGAGATGCTGCGGATGCCACACGGACAGGCATTGAAACTGCATGGTGCAGTTGCGCAGCTAATACGCATCCACTGAGGTCTGCTTGCGCTCGAGAGATCTCTCTGATGGGCCTGGCTTCTGTACTCGCGCCAGGATAATGGCCCGCACAGTGTTTCCCCAGGCGTGTAGATATGGGAGTGGATCTTTTGCGCGCATAAAGCCAATCGGTATACTACGGGGCTGGGACACATGGCCCTTGCACGATTGAGTACTGCTGATCGCAGTGCTCTTAGTATATAGCTCTGCTTCAGACTGCGGACACCTGCGGTACTCTGGCTCCTCAAGCTGATATCGTGCCAGCGGAAACGACAAATCTTCTGAAAATGAGCCCACACTCATACGAATACCTTAATGGTGCGACAGTTGTTCCGTGCTCTACGTTCCCAATGCTAACCGCTTAACCCAGAGACTCAGCCAGTTATGCTGCCGCAATCTTCCCCGCCTCACACATGGTCTCTCGAGGCTAAGATTGCTATTGCCACTCTCTTAACCACGTTATTTGTCGCATTCCTGGGGTCTATCGGCCGTCGCAACCCGAACATTCAAAGGATACTCCAGCTCATAGGAAATCCAACCCAGATTCTCCGGAAGAAGGAGCACGATGGTGAGTTTGTTGATTTTCTCCTATAGATAGTATTTAAGAAGGTACCGGATCAGCGCTTACGCAATGTACAGAACAAGATATTGAGGCTGCGGTTGTTCTGTCGTCATACCAATCACCCTTTGAGGCATCTGCAGTGGAGATGGCAGATTGGGAAGAGATGGCGAGGCTGCGGAGGCCAAGAAAGCCCGTGACGCTAAGCCACGGCCTGTGATGCCAGCACGTGTATGCTGTTTGTCAAATCTTAGTGGAATGACCTTGCGATACCCTGTCCATTGGGTTTTCCTAGGTTAAGTTGTGAATAAATGCGTTAGTGTTGATACACACTTGGCCCTTGTTTACGGGGAAGGAATACCCAGCGCTTTGCAATACAAGCACTGCAGTTCCCGTAATACAGTCATGTACCTTTTAAATGACTTGTGCAGCTGCTGAGGCTGCCTGAATTCTCTATGAAGGTTTCAATAGTATGTGACCCTTGGGATAACCCATAACAATATCAGTTTGAACGACATCTCCATACACTTGGCTTTTCATTGTATTCCAATTTTCGAGAGATTCTAAACACGCAAGATAAACATCCACACAAAGTTTCATCTGTATTTTACGCCTCGACGCGAATCTGCTATATCTACGCCCGAACGAACCGACGAGACTTCCAAGTGTCAGCCAAAGGTATAAGCTCCGTTTCTACATAGAATAGCTATTAATATGTCAACAGCATTTCTGGGCTGATACGCTCTGTGCTGACCTGGTTCCCATTCAGCAGCCTCGCTACTTCGCCGCACTCACCTTACCGGAGTGCCAAGCTTCTCTTGAGGCCGAGCGAGAGGACGACGACGACGGTCATAGTGGTGACAGCATTGCACCACTAATGCTAGGCTCTAACAGCGCCACCACCACAGCACCGGGCGCAAGCGGCTGTGTAGATAAACAGCCATGCGTTCCGAGGTATCTGGAAGCGCCGGCGACGGAAAATCGGGATTGCGGGCCAGCAGCACTGCACTGCACCCGCATCCGGTGGTCTGACATCGGAGATGCTAGCCCGGCTCTGCGATTCATCGTATTGTAGCCTGGCAGGTCGGCCGCGTTGATTTCCTCATGCGAACAGCGCCACGCCGTACGTATTCTAGCCCAGTGTGCGGATGAGGCTTCTGTGACGAAACGACGGGAGCGCCGCAGCCGTACGAGACAGAGGCCGCCCGCCCCCGGGGTAAGCAATCGCCGACGGAGCGAATAAGTGCCTCGGCAAGTGCGCTGTGGAGTATTGCAGGGTTGCATGCATGGTGCCATTTACAGCACGCCGCTTGCTGGGGTGCTGGCTCGGCATCGCATGTCCTTCCACGTGAGTACTTGATAGTCATTATCCCTCACACTATGTACATTCTTCGAAGATGTTGTCTCAGAATGGGGTATAGACGGATATTCATATTCAGTTTGTTGGACTAATTAGTTGCACTCTTGAATCCGAGGCGGCGCCTTGAGTGATTCCCTATGTAGACATGTACCAGTACACTGCAGAAGCTTAGGCTTCTATCTTAGTTAAGAAGTATTCTGTTAGATTATCCACTTGTGTTCAAGATCAAACAGTAGACAAAAAGATTCGTGATGTACTGTACCGACTCCCGGGAACCTATACATTATCAGTGGCTGTGTGCTTAGTTCACTAAGGAATGATGCTACTCACTGACGCTTCGAACCCAATACCCAGGCCCGGCGTTGCCGATCAAGAGCGTGCCATCAGCTCCGGAGCGCGTCCCATTGGCTCCATACACAGAAGGGCCAGCCACACCGAGGTATACACAGCCCATCGCCCAGACATCACCGGTCAGATCTGAGGCTTGCAGTTAGTCTTACCAATGAGACACCGCTACCATTGAGCCCTTCCCAAGACAGTTCATAGTCACTGCAACGCTACCCTCTTTCTTTTCGTCCTCAGCTCTGTAATGTCATTAAAGAGAAATATTTCCCCTTACAGCTACCAACCCCAACAAGTATTTGTCACTGTATTTGTGTACGTCTTCTGCCTAAATTACTTACTTTCTTGGACCAAGCTACATCCTCTTCTTCATCAGTTTTAGATCGGAGGCAGTCTTCTTTTCTCTTTTTTTTTAAAAAAAAAAAGAAAAGGTGAAAGACTGACGCATTGTTGTAGAATTGCATCACCCTGGTTTGCGAAGATTGGGAGTGCTGATTTCTCGACTCATCGGAATCCCCCTTTTCGCTCGACAGGGCTGTCGTGTAAACCATAGGTGCAAAAAATATATACCTCGTAGTTGGTCTTTGAGTCCTTCATGGCCAATTATGAGTTTGTTGAATTTTTACCTGAGAAACTGAAGCTGGAGCCGGATCCACAAGTAAAATGTGTCAAAGTAAATACGATTATGCGAGTAGACTTCTGATCTCGTGATGTTCTTATGTATAAGCCAGCTTACTCGTTTTTCCGTGGCTAAAGCGCCGAGCAGCTAAATTAATTGTTAACAAAATTATAGTGTTCGGAGTCTTGAGCGCATGGGTTTTGTCTTGGAAGACTGCTTAGCAAATATAGAGAATGCAACGCGTCTTTCTTTACTTCGGACACCGTAAAGGGAAGCGATGGAGCGAAAATAACATGGGCATGCACGCACTTGTTAAGATAGCCATGGACTAGTACGGCTGGCCTGTAAGTTACAATGTAATGTGCAAGTCATCGGATTCCTCTCGTTACCTGCATTTCCCGGATTGTCCGCGGCCGCCGAGGTAGATGGCATGCGTCATCCAAGAAAGGAGGCTGACAGCAGTGTGCGCCTCTTTGGATGGCTGCTAGCCAATGGAAGCCAATGGCCGTGTACTCAGCCACGCTTTGCCTGAGCGGCCTGAGGACAAGAAAACTCTCCGAACTGTCCAGCTATATATTCATACTGGCGGATGATCACACCTGTCTCGGGAATCAACTCCGGCACACAGAACATGTTCACCAACGGTAGAGTGATTATTCAGCATTTTACGCTTCCGAACGCTAATGATTGATCCAGACACTCAGCCAATCAGGTCACCGGATGCCCACCCATCTGGTGGAGGATGGTCTCTCGAGGCTGGATTCGCTCTTGCCTCTATCTTAGTTATGTTGGTGATACCATTTCTTGGGTATTGCTATCGCGACAACGAGTACATAAGAAGATGTACCCGATACATGATCTACCTCCTTCGTATTCCTCGGAATCAAGAGCAGCAAGGTAGTTTGGTTGGGTTTACGTTGAATGGAGTTGGATCACACGCTGACGAAGTGACCAGAGCAAGATACCGAGGCGATCATTTGCCTATCATCATATTTGTCACCTTTTGAAGCATCTATGGTAGAGATGGCAGACTGGGAAGAGATAGCAAAGCTACAACGGCCTCAGATTATAGTACTTAGCGCCAACGTGTGATAGCATCGCGCGTACGACAGACAACTGGAGGATACTTTCTTTATCAGGGACTCAGAGTGCTTGTTTGCCAAAAATATCAATTCATGTACATAAAATCAGGTGGAAGAAAGACTTCCTAATAACAACGGTTGGCAGGGCCACAGTTGTTGACGGAAAGGGACAGGTGCGGCATTGCGAATACTTAATGCGTAATTATATTCCCCGAATATGTCAATTCTTAACGTCCCTGTGGATTGACAAGGGAATGTTACATACAACCAATTATTTGCCGCTTATAAGTACTCGTAACTGTTCGCTCAATCATCTTGCACTGCACTCACTCACGCTGTCGATGCGTCAAGATAAACAACACTCTTTTCAGGAGACCGATTGTAGTTCAAAACGTTCCGCAGACCTTCACAAAGGTCAGCGCCACCTTGCAGCCGCAAAACAACACCCGAAAGGATCTCAAAAAGCAAAAAGACTGGACGCTGTGGGAATTGAACCCACGACCTTTCACATGAGCTCGTTTGATGATGCGAAGCGAAAATCATACCCCTAGACCAAGCGCCCTGGTCATTGTGAAAAGTCTTTGCAGTGGTAAAACTATATTGACACAATTACTGAGCATAGGGTCCGCGCTGGGCCGAACTGTCGATGCTAGCGAGGATTTCGCGCCTCTAAAACACCATAAGAGGATTTGCAAGACTTGAAAGCACGGACTCGTAATGTAGAAGTGTAATTGGCCATCGACTGCGGGGGTGGTGCTGAAGTGTGGCAGGGGCCGCTTTCGACGAAGAACTTAGTGACTGGTGGACAACACATACATAAGATGGGGTAAAATATCATTGAAACGAGTATCTGGAGGCGCAGATCAATTTTAGTAGTGTTTCCCCAGCAGGTTTCTTGCTCCATTTGCGGAGCTGCAAGTTTTGCAATTTTGCGCTGGCTGCGATTTAGAAGGCTGATGGGGCGCACGGACAACATGTCCTCTGTCGCTCTACATTTCTGCGTCTGAGTAGAGATGCGAGTTCTACAAGGCCATCGCAATTATACAAAGCAAGAACTTTGTCAGTTAGATCAGCTCTGCCCTCCATGCTTGATCAATGCGGGGTTTCTGGAGAGACGCTCATCTGGTACAAGGTAGTAAAGCGAGAGAAAGGTAGTTAACATATTTGCTTTCCATTTCCTTTTTTTATATTATATGTGAGCAGCGATCATGCGTCCAGGTCCAAGTATACCCAACTCACACCAAACGCCCAAGTACATGGTTTCCTATACTTACAATCATTTCACAGTCCTACACCCCAGAGTAAACTGCCGTAACGCCCCTTCCGCACTCAACCCTCTGCTCCAACTCGACCCATCTTCCATTCAACTTGACCTTCTTCTTCGGCGTGATCTGGAACCTATGCTCCTCCTTGCCCCTGATCTTCCTCTCGGCCACCTGATCCAGCGGCTGAATGTAGACGGGGGTGCTGATGTTGTTGCGCTTGCCAGTGCCGATCTGGAAGTGCTCGTTGTTGCCAAAGAATAGGATGTCGGCGCCCCAGTTGGTCTCGTTCTCGGACTCGCGGTCGTTGCGGCTGCTGGTGCCGACGGTGCCGGTCGTCAGGTGGGCGATGTTGTGCATGACGGCGGCGACGTGGTTCTGACCGACGGCGAACTGCGACAGGCGGATCGGCACGACCGCATTTGTCTGCTCGTCGTACTCGAACAGGCCCGAGAAGGCCGGAATCTTGACTGGTGAGTCCTGCATGTGCGTCCACCGGCCGTTGCCCAGCCCGCCCCAGATGCCTTGGCCGCACGCCCACGCGTCGGCCGTCACGTTACCGAGGTTGCGGCGTGCGAGCGTCGAGTCTTCGGCGCCCGGATTGGAGACGCGCGTCGCGTCGACGGTGAAGTAGGTATTGTTGCCGCCGGCAGCGACGCCGGTGACCTTGGGGATGAGTCCGGTGCCGCGGTAGAGGTTCGAGATGGGGACTAAAGAGGGGGTGTCGACGAAGGAGACTTCTGAGTCGTACGCGAGGCCCAATTGGCCGAAGGAATTGTCGCCGAAGCTGAAGACACGGCCTTCTTTGTCAGATGCGACGCTGTGGTAGTCTCCGGCGGCAATCTTGGCCATATCGAAACCCTTGAGGGTAGCGATCTCATGGGGAGTGTCGTATGCGCCCTGTGGACGGGTCTGCCAGGTCAGGCCGGGAATACCAAGTTGGCCTTTGCTGGGATAATCGAGGGCGCTGGAAGCGGAGGAAAAGACACGGCCCTTCGAAGTGAGGAGAAGCACGTGCTCCATTCCACCAGCAATGGCGGTAATCTTCTCGCCTGACTTGAGGTTCGCGGGCTCAATTGTGCGGTAACTAATTGACGCGCTAGAGCTCCAGAAGGGGATCCAGCTGCTCTCAGACGACTTCTTGCCGGTCTTCTGCTCTTCCTTGGATACAGGAATTGAATATACCTTGCCATTGGATGCAAGCGCAATGATGCGGTCCTTAGACAAAGTCAAAGACTTCAAATCTTTCCCCCTCAGCGTGACTGCTGGGGTCACGCAATCCTTGTCATAGGCGGTGCCCCATTGCAGCAAGTCGCCTTTCTCGTTGATGGCAGCTCCGAAGAAACGGTCCAGCTTCACGTCACGTAGTAAAAGACCATCGAAGAACTTGAGGCGGCGCGGCGTCTTGATGTGCCTTTCCTGACTGTCGGGCGCAACAACTTTGCCATCATTGGAGCCCCAGGCATAGACGCCAGGATTTTCCCAGCTCCTCTTGACCTGCAGGTGCTGGGAGCTAATTATGTCTCTGTTCTCCTCCTTCGAATGGGCAGCCTTCCTGGGTTTCTCAAAGACGAGCTCGGGCTCCTCGGGAGATTCGGCGTAGACATTGCGATGAATCTGGTTGCCGGCCAGGTACTGGTAAATAGCAGCGGCGGTACCGAACGAGGTGAGGACGACAATTGAGCGAGGAATAGGCTTGCGAGGCGACGGAGTGGTGGTGGTGGCGGCAGAGCGGGCGTGAGAAGCTCTGAGCTTACTGCGAGCTGCCGCCTTATTAATGCCGCGCGCGGATTGGCGAAGACAGCGCGTGGGCAGCATGATGGCGCTTGATAGAGTTGCGGGCGTGGACAATTGCGGGGTAGATGGTGTCGCAAACTTAGGACGGGAACATGCCTCTAAGCACCGAGCTTTTCGAGCCGCAGGCCTGGACGAGCGCTGTGCTGACGGTCGAGAGGACGGCGACAGTCGCGAACGTCACCAAATCTTTGGCGCATCGGCCGCCCAGGCCTCGGGGCGGAGGCCATCCCTGCAGGCTCGGCGCTGGCCGCCCGCCCCGCCGCCTCCGATTTCCGCCCCGAAGCTTGGGCGGCTCATGGCCAACTGACCAGGTGTGCAGCACCAGTATCCCACAGCTCAGAGCTCCGCGAATCCAGGCACCACCACCCCGCGCCCACCATGTACGAGGATGCCTGGATCAGCGGCATTGTCCCGGAGCACCACCGCGAGCCCGAGAAGCCCAGGCCCACCGGCCACCGCCGCCGCGTTTCGCTCCTCAAGCAGCCCAATGTAAGCCGAGCCCTCCCTCACGCGCCCGCGCCGATGGTATTATTGATGCTTGTGCACACAGGAGAGCAACCAGGCTGACGTCGATCCCGTAGAAGCCATTCCGGACATAGTCGAGGAGCCTGAGGAGGATAATGGGCCCCCGCATGCCACCGTCGCCCGCCGCGCCAAATCGTTCAGCGACTTCTACGACGTCGCAAGGGCCCATATAAAGAAGGAGCGCGACCTCGAGAAGCAGAAGCTCAAGAAGCGCTCGAGAGATCAGCTGAAGACCGAGCTGGATTTCGGCGACTGGTACAATGGCATCAGCGACGAGCTGCTGGACGCAAGCCACGAAGAGTATCAGTATGCGCTCCTTACGCGCGCAATATGCTGCGATATGTGCTTACGAGCCGTGATATCCCAGGTTGTACCGCGACCAGCTCCACTTGTCCCACCGACACCTCGATTCCCTGCTGGAGAGCACATCGTCCGCGCTTGACCTCCTGTCCGCTCTCTCCGACTCCTTCAAGGCTGTGGCTGCGCAGACGACGACCTTCCAAAGCCAATGCGAAGGGTTAATAGCAGACCAGAAGCGCGTTACGAAGCTTGCCGACGGCATCGCTGAGAACCTTCAATACTACACATACCTCGAGCCTACTACAAGGAGACTTAACGCTCCTGGAGCAACCAACTTCGTTCGCGCAGAGGGCTTCACCGAAATGCTGCTCAATTTGGACAGCTGCATAGACTACATGATGGCGCATCCCACCCACAGCGAGTCTGCCACATACCGCTCTCGCTACCGTCTCCTGCTCACGCGCGCGCTGTCTCTCATCCGAGTCCACTTCACCAATACCCTTCGCGAGATTGCAGCCGACGTCTCAAAGAGGATAGCAGACCGCCAATTGAACGATACCACAATGTCCGCATTGCTGTATGCCAAATTCCGCGTCGGTGCCGCAGAGTTGAAGGAGTTGGGCCTGGAGATCCAGAAGAGAGCTGTATTACCAGCCGATGCAGACCCTGATTCGGAACCAGAGTATCAGAGCTTGATGAACGAGCTCTACCAAAGCTACTCGGCAACTCGTGGGAGGTTGATACTCCCCTTGGTCGCGAAGAAGATGGCGGAAATATCTTTGGCACCTAGCTCTTCGAAGGACTTGGTCACATTCGCAAGGAGCAGTATTAGCTACATTCGCGGTATTTGCTTCGATGAGTACGAACTGTGGGGAGAATGGTTCGTGGGTGAGGGTGGCGTGTACGATTTTCTGGAGAGTATCATGGAACCTTTCTACGACTATTTACGACCACGCACCATCCATGAAACACAATTGGTAAAACTCTGCGAGCTTTGCACCCTGATCCAGACCCGGTACATGGAAGAGGAGGAGGAAGAGTACGAGCTAGTCGAGTCGGTACGGCTCAACTTCCCCAATCTGATCCTCCCCGCATTAGAAGATGCCCAGACGAGATTGGTCTTCCTTACTCTGACCATCTTACGAGACGAGATCGAGTACTATAAGCCCAAGCCGGAGGACCTGGATTACGCATCACGCCACCGGAGGCCTTCTGAAAGTGAGAAGACAGGCCCTGTGCTATCAGGAAAGAAGACTACGAACGGGCCGATGATGATCCCAGCAGGATTGGAGGACGAAGAAGGTGACTCGCGCTGGGCCTTCAACGCAGAAGCCGCATTCAAGGACTGGTACCCTACGCTCCGCAAAGCCATCTGGCTGCTCAGCAAAATCTACCGCCTCGTAAACGTAAGAATCCTCAAATTCACGCACACTCCCCCCCAAACTTCTAACCACCACCCCCCTTAGTCCACCGTCTTCGACGACCTCGCCCACCAAATCGTCCACCAAACCACCCTCTCCCTCTACACGGCGGCCTCGCAGATCTCGGCGCGGCACTCGCCGACGGACTCGCAGCTCTTCCTGATCAAGCACCTGCTCCTGCTCAAGCAGCAGATCGTGGCCTTCGACATCGAGTTCGTGTCGCAGGACGTCTCGCTCGACTTCTCGTCGGTCACGTCGACGTTTTACGAGCTGCGCGAGCGCGGCGGCCTCTTCAACCCGGCCAACCTCGTGCGCGGCCTCGTCGGCGGCTCGCTGCTGCCGCGCGTCGTCGAGAACATGCTCGACGCCAAGGCCGAGCTCGACGGCCGCCTGCGCACCATCATCAACGACTTCACTTCCGCCTTTGCCGGCCGCGTCACTGCGGCGGTAGCCCCTGAGAAGACGGGTCCGAAGAAGAAGGGCTTCGTGCCGGAGCAGGCGGTTGCGACGGTTAGGGAGTCTGTCGAGCGCGAGGTCGACTTCTTGCGCGGCAAGCTGGAAGATTACATCGATGACTTGCGCACACGCGAGACGCTCGTTGTCGCGGTTGTTGAGCAGGTCGTTGCGAACTACGAGGCCTTCTGGGACCGCTTGGCGGATGAGGGCAGGCGGCCTTCTGCTGGCGGTGCTGGGGCCGCCAAGGGCAAGGCCAGGGCGGATGAGGTGTGGGAGCCCGGTGTATTCGCCGAGTGGTGTGCTGGCGTGTTCAAGGTCGGCCAGTTCGGGCTGGGCGCGCAGTTGGAGGGCGCGGCGCAGGCGCAGGCGCTGGAGGACGAGGAGGCGGGCGGTGGCGACGATGATGAGGAAGGAGGGAGCGTTAGTAGCACATAGTCTATATTTGGGTAGCGAGGGGGGCCCGTTGTTTGTGAGGGGAAAAACCGATGAAGCATCGATGAAAAGATACCTGGGAGGATCGCATGAGTAAAGTTAATAGTTGCACAATTCAAAATGGCTCTTTCGTTTTCGTTTTCCAGCGGTTTCGGTATGATTTGTAAATTTTTTTTTCAATATTCGTCCTTTTTTGCTGTTTGAAAGGTATTCGCTACTTGTGCTCGTACCGCGCGTCGTTTGAAGGTTATGGCTTCGTTTCGTTCGTCGTGGTATCTCTCCAAATCCAAGGAAGCCATCCCCATGAACCCGAATCCAAAGCCAATCTACCTCTCCTGTCCCACCTTCGTTTACCCCAGAAAAATTAGAACGCCCTCATTATGCGAGATGATGTGATGCTTGAACAGAAAAGGAAAAGAAAAGGGAAATGAAGAGATAAGAGGAAAAAAGTGGAGAGAGGTTTGAATGCTAGGGAGAACCAGGCCCGGTCTCTCCAAATCTTTGAAAATGTTCCATTCCCACCTGTCTCCAGAAAGTGACCATCTGTCGAATGGTGCAATAAGTATTAACCCGAGAAGGAAGAAGAAAGAGAAAAAAAAACAAGAAGGCCATGATCATCATCAATCCCAGAAGAAGAAGGCCTCCCCACAACCCACTGCCCAATTCATCGCTCGCTTAGAAGATCCAGAATTTGTTTCCCAACCCAAAGAAAAAGAAGTTTCCTCTCATCGTGATCCTGAAAGTTTACCGTTGTTCCCCGTATTCACATTCATCAGTCGTTTCGTTTACTCTTCCCCACATGAAAACCCCGGAATGGATCGTAATAAGTTCGGACAATTGGGCCGGTTCGCATCAAAGCGGTCCCGGGTCGAAAAAGTCGTCAATCGCTTGGCGCATGCAAGTCGCTGAAAGTGAAGAAGAAGAAAAAAGGAAATCATGCAATGCTTCTCGGGGACAAAATGCTGTTTGCTGACAACATGGGTATATCGGAGACGACGACGGTAGAAGCGCCTGCCATCTAGGTCCCTTCATCAAGGCAAATCCGAACAAAAATGAAAAGAAGAAAGAAGCCTTATTTCGAGAAGAAAGGGGGCGAAACCGCTCAACCGTCGGTAAGCTTGTCGAGGACGATGATGCTCAGGATCATGACGAGCAGGCCTATGGTGACGATTATGAGCAGCACGAAGCCGAACCAGCCGAGAACCATGGAGGCGGTGCCGACGCCCGACTTGATGCTGCCGTTGCCCAGATCCTGCGAGACGGTGGCGGCGGCGACCGAGGCCGTGTGCTGCCACAGCACCGAGACGAGCACGAAGATGGACGAGATGAAGATCAGGGCCAGCGCGACCTGCGAGACCGGGCGCGACGGGAAGGGCTTGACGTCAACATCGGAACCGGTCGTGGCGTCCTCCTCTTGGTGCCAGCCGGGGAAGGTGGCGAGCAGGATGAAGGTGATGAAGGCCAGAATGATGGCGACGATGCTGGGGTCGCTGCGTCAGTATTCTTGCGCGTTTCTCCTGGAGAAGAGAGATCTTACAGTAGGTAGGGGAAGACGATGCTGTCCTTGAAGGTGCTCGCGACCCAGATCAGGTTCAGCGGGTCCTGATCGACGTTGATCTGCTCAGCGAGAGCGGTGGCATTGTTGGAGCACAGGAAGTCGCCGCCGTTGGGATTGACGCAGATACCGAAGTAGCCGACGCGCACCTCGAGGATGGCATTGCCGACAATGTTGGCAATGGCAGCGGTAACACCGGGATCGACCTGAGACGGGTCGTAGGAGGGAGTGTAGGACTTGTAGTACATGCTAATGAGGAAGATGCCCGGAATGAGCGGCGAGGTGCTGGAGCATCCTGCGAGCAGAAGAGCTGGCTTGGGTCAGTACATGCAGTGCGCGAGTGTAAGACAGCGACTTACAGAGTAGGATTATGGCAACGGCGATGAGGATCATCAATATATGATGATAGCCCAAGAAGGGCAGGAATCCTTTATACCAGACGCATTTAGCAAATTTCTTGGACAGCTCGAAAGCGCGGACGATGAAGTTCTTGAAGGGAGCTAGTTTCTCCTTGGCCGCAGCGACATACTTGCGGAGCACGGCGGCATACTTGTGAAGCTCGGCGACGTGCTTGCGAAGAATGTCGCGCTGGCGTTGCAGAAAATCTATGCCGTAGTCAAAAGGTATTGGAGCGCGAGAGTGGTAGTAACTTACTCTGCATGGTGACAGCGAAACCCAAATTAGCCATGGATCAGAGGGAGTCAATCCTGATGTAGAGGGTACTTCAGCGGCGCCCGTAGGCCCGAGGAAGCAAGCGCGGGACGGATTGGGATTGCCAATCGACACCGGAGTGATTGTTCTCCGGTGCTTGGTGGTTTGGGTGTGGAGATGGAATGCGCGCGTGGGAGGGGAGTCTTTGTCTGCGGAAGGGTGCGGAATGCAGAGGCGCGGGGCTCTCGTTGTTGTCTTGGTGGTGTGGTGGGGATGATGAGCAGGGTCTCGGCAAGCTCGCTCTGGCGCAAACAGCTGGCGGACGGCTTGCTGAGCTGCGCGGGGCCGTCAGAATAATTCTGCGAAGGGTGTGGAAAGTGGAGAGAGAAGGTTCTCTGGGACGCGGCGCGCAGCTAGTAGTGATGTGACTGCGCGGTGTGCAAGAAAATGGGGAGGTTGTTCCCAGCCACACGCTCTGGAGATCCCCAGCCTCCCGCTCAGTGGTGGTGGCCCAAGCTTCTCGCATGGTAAACACGGCGGCCCCAGCAACCGCGAACCACCCGGCCGCGCCCCGCCAATCCGTGGGGGCGGAGCGAGCGCCCGCTGCCTGCTTGCCAGCGTCATCCCAGCGCGCCGCAGACCCTGTGCGTGCTCGTCAGCCTCGCCCGGATTCTTGGTCTGCCAACGTGCTCCTCTGTCGTCACGCTTCCTTTCTGCCTGCGAAAAAATGCCCGACCACCGGCCGTGTGACACGGGCCTCGCGCCTGCGACGTGCGCCTGAGGCATCGACAGCGCACGAAAAAAAAGTTGCGGTGGCGCCCAGCCTCATCAGATCACTGAATAACAAAAGGCGATCGGCGGTCGTCGACTGCAGGTACGCTGATGGTCTGCAGCAGATCCCGTAGCTTAGCACAACCATGATTCGAGCCCGACGCCATTCGAACCCTGTGATCGCCACCTCACCTCCTCTCCCGCCTGCAGCGCGAACCCACTCGCAGCCTTGATTCATGTCGCAGCTATACATCATCCAAATCCGGTTAGTCGCCGTCACTAATTAGTCGTCATCACTTGGCTCTACTTACCTCGCTGCAATAGCTCCCTCCTCAGCAGCAAACCAATCAGATGCAGAAATGGCATAGCTTCCAGCATGGTGCATATTTCACTCGTCGCAATAAAGTCACGATGCAAACAAGATTGTGTAAGGTTCAGAGAATTGAGTTCATTTCTCGTCGTAAAGTGGTATCATAAGACTACTGTTACAGGCTGTAGGGCCTCTTGAGGATTTCCATCGTCAATTCGTTTCCCGTAGTCGCTGCCATCAGACGAACAGCTTATTTCTTGTCCATGCCGATGGCGCTCTTTGCCTTGTCGAGAATGCTCTCGCCGGTGCCACCGTGGGCGTGCTGGTCGTGGCTGCGGCCGACCTTGTCGCCGAGCTCCTGGCCGGTAGACTTGGACTCGTCGGTCTGGAGACCACTGCAGAGATTGTTAGTGTTTGGGTTGAGATTGTTCAGCAGCGTGAAAGCTTACCGAGCGAGCTTGTCACCAGTGTCGGTGAAGGTCTCCTTGGTCTTCTGCTGGGTGCTCTTGGTGGAGTCGGGGGTGAGCTCCTCCTTAGCCTCTGCAGGTGGGGTCAGCTTGAGCTTGCAAGAGGTGATGTGGCAGGGAAATCGTACTGGTGGTGAAATCCTTGCGGCCGGCGTCAGACATGATTGCGGTTGTTGGTTGTTGTTGGTTGGTGTTTGAGGTGGATGAGTGAAGTTGTTTGCAGTGAGGGTTGGATGATGAGAGAAGAGGCGGGGTTGAAGGGCTTCTTTTATGGTGCTTCTCTAGGTTCCATACGTCATCGTCACAAGCAGCAGGTGCCGCAAGCAGAAAGGGCGCTTTGGCAGCGTTGCGTGGCCAGACAAGGCGGCCGCGCCTCCTCAGCGCAGAACGCGAAGACAGTCAGGTGGGCACCTACGTTATTGGCGCGTCATTTTAGCGGGACAATCCCCCGGATCACTTTCAGGTACACGGAGATGCTCTCGCCGCGATTGGGTGGGAGGGCGTAGTGGCTTGCGCGATATCTCTGACGTCATTACGATCGAACACCAGAGCTGCCCGCGATCGCCACAGCCTATTCGTCAGACGCGCCCCAACACTCGCCAGCGCCAAAGTGGCTTGACGCAACAACACACGTGCTGTGGCAAGGCCCGTCCAGACCGGTCCCGCCGTTCAGTAGGCCCCTGGTGCGTGCTCAACGCTCTTTCCTGGCCATCGTTTGAAGCTTCAAGCGTCATCTTGCCCCGCAATCGAGCCCCTTTCCCCTCCCCTATTGGTGCCAGCACTGTTTCCAACAATCTCACTGGTGAGTTTAACAAGGGCAATTGCGGCCTCCAATAGTCTCGTCATTGCCGTTGGCCATGTTCCTGTTTGGTTCCACAAAGAGACCCCGATTGCTGTCTGCAGTGGACACGAATCAGCTTTCACGCGGCTGGCCGCTATGCAATTGCTGGCACTGCAGCCTAAAAACCGGCTCACAGCAGCAAGAATGCGATGGGCGAAAAGCGATCGGGATCTCGATTCTGCACATCGGGCAGGCCCGCATTTCGCAGCACTGGCCTCCACCCGACCCCGCTCCCAGATTTACCTCTGCACTTCCCTCACGCTAGCCGCACCGCTGATCCGACACTCGACTCACATCAAGCCTAGCTCCGTCATCCCGTCGTTTCACCGGAACAGCAATGTCGCTGCCGCAGCGCTTCAAGCTTGTTTTCTTCACCCCGCCCGCGGCCCTGCCCGCTATCAAGACGGCGATATTTGCCACCGGCGCCGGCCGCTATCCAGGCCCAGGCGACTACACCGAGTGCGGCTTCACCACTCCGGGCAAGGGCCAATTCAGGCCTGGCGCCTCCGCTAACCCGCACATCGGGAAACCCGGCGAGATCGAGGAAGTCGACGAGGTCAAGTTCGAGACACTCTGCGTTGGCGAGGATGTTGCCAGAAAGGCGGTCGACGCCCTCAAGAAGTTAGTCCGCTCCTCAGCCAACTATTGAATGGTGGTGTGATGTCGGAGCTGACTCCATGTGCAGGGCTCATCCCTACGAGGAGGTTCCTTACGAGGTGTACAAGATGGAGAACTTCTGAGTGAGAGGCGGATCCCTCATCAGCAATCACCTCAAGATCATGACAGCATATCGAGGATGACTTAACGGCCAGTACTATATCCCGATGGCAGATCAAGTTGTACTTGGTTTATTGCAGCTACTTCATAGCTTTCTAATTTTATCAATGAATGGATTATTACACTAAGACTCCAGACCCCTCTACTCCCATGCGCTATTTCCCCCAAAGTCCAAGCTTCTACCTAGCGTAGCAGGTCATGGAGCTGATCCTGTCATTCATTTCGCCCGACAGCTTCAGGTTCTTGTAGCCGGGGTCGAAGGCCTTCAGCCAGTGGCCCTTGCAGTTGGTGTCGGCGTAGAGAATGCACATGGTGCCGGGCGCTAGGTAAATGGAGCTGACCTTGTCGTTCAACCAGCCCCAGAGGTTGTAGCAGCCCGTCGACGGCTTGAAGTCCTTGACGTTGCACACGCCCCCGCCGTTGTTGTGCTCGCAGAACTTGACGTGCCGCACCCAGTTGCTGCCGCCGCCGCGCTTCTCGACCTCGTGTGTCTCCTCCTGCCCAACCTCGGACGAGATGCCCTGGTAGTCGGTGGTGGGAAGCTCGGACACTGCGGTTGGCATCACGAGGTCGGTCGTGGGGATGGCGTTGGGGGCCGCGGCTGCGAAGCCAGAGCAGGCGACGAGCGTGGCGGAAATAAGTGTGGTGAGTTGCATGTTTATTGTTGTTTGGATAAGGACTGTATGTGGTTGGGTTATTGAGAGAATGTTTGAGAAGTGATCTATCAAGCTTCCTCAGTATATCATATACACTTTTCTCTCAAAGACAAACGCTCTTGGTTATCCAACATGGTGGCTGGCGCCTGGATGGAGTTTCGCTCTTGTAGGTTTGTTTGATAGCATGTCTCTAGATAGTATGACAAAGAAACTCCGAGGAGCAAGCAACGCCATGGTACGTCTGGATGGGAGTCTTTTCTTTGATGTCACTTCATCATCGAGGACACCTCGGACAAGATTGAAAGAACATGAGTGCTAACTATTTTGCTTCTACACAAAGAACGTGGGCTCAAAGAATTAGTTGTCAGTTTGACCGTTTCGTTGAGATGACTAACCATATACTTATTCATCACTCTAAGTGCGACTCGGACTTAAAGGGTGCCTTGGCTTGACGATGCCAAGCTATGGGTCGATTTCTGGGATGAACAGCGAACACGCTCGGGAAATCCGCACTGAGTGGCATTATTTGCCGATGCAAAGCCGTCTCCGATGTCGCTTCACGGTCTAGTGATTTCCCCTTGAAGCAGGTCTGGAAAGTGACACCGGAACTCCCCGCATGATGGTCATTTAGGCTCAGCAGAGAAGTTTCCTGTTTCAGTTTAGTGTCCGAAGCATGCCTTGCCGTGCTACCGGTCGGCCGGCGGCGAGGGAGCGACAGCTCACAGCATGCTGCTCCCTTCAAGAATCTTTCTTTAGAAATGAAACACTTGTCAATGTATGCGATATCACCATCTCCTGTACTACTGAACCTTGCTTTTCCTTCAAGTTGGGCGACGTTTACAGCTTCGCCAAGAGCTATTCGTAAAGTGAAATAAGGTATATCAACACCTTGCATTGGTCCTGCCGTAATTTCGCTTGGTAGAAGCTTGATACAAAGGTTGGGTATGCATTAGTGTGGCCGTTACGCGCGTCGCATCTCAAAACGGCCAATTCTTATGTCCTTCGATTCTGGGTCGAGCTCGGATTTTGAGCAACACCGACCTTTCACTGCAAGCACCGGAAGCCGAGCTTTATCATAACTCGAAGTGTGCAATGGTAAGATGATTCACGAATGTGTATCTGATATGCTCCATATGTTCACAAGTGGGTCTAATTTTAAGCTTATGTAGGGAGAAATGAACGTGGGGTCAGCTATAAGAAATAGCTAAAGTCCGAGGCGTTCTCGGACTTTAGTTTCGCGCGGAGACGATGCTGCTATAAAGTATAGATATAAGTTTTCTGCTTCTTGTATTGTTTCTACACCACAGCGAAACAGTTTGTTTCGTTTCCACTCTTTCTTTTTCCTGCGAAGGGTTGCTTCGCTCCTTTTCCTACAATGCGCTCGGCTCGCTATTCGATTGGCATTGCCAGCGCGGCGGCTCTGCGTGCTACCGCTGCCAGCCTGGCTGATGTTTGCACCACTGCCAACGTCCAGTCAGCTCTACCCGTCGATGCTGTTGAGGGTATCACTCTATCGACTGATTCGGTTACCACCAATGCCGTGTACAATCACAGCGTGTCGGCGGGCGATCTCTGGCCGGGGAAGTCGGGCCTCGATTTCTGCAACGTGACTTTTGCCTACACTCGTGACGGAACCAGCGAGACTGTAAGCATCTCATCTCACCTTCGAACACACAAGATGCTGACTGAGCTCCAAAGACCAATGTCTGGTATTGGCTCCCCAGTCCGGACCAATTCCAAGGGCGCTACCTCACGACTGGAGGCGGCGGATTCTCCATCACTTCAGGAGAACAAGGCCTCGGTAACGGACTCGTCTACGGCGCCGCAGCAGGCACGACGGACGGCGGCTTCGGGAGCTGGAGCGCGCAGCTGACAGACGTCATCCTAGCGTCCAACGGCACGATGGACTACCAGAAGCTCTACAACTTCGGCTACCGGTCGATCCACGAGATGACGGTGCTGGGCAAAGCGCTGACCAAGAACTTCTACGGCAGCGGCGAGGATCAGCGCATCTACTCGTACTACCAGGGGTGCTCGGAGGGCGGGCGCGAGGGCTGGAGCCAGGTGCAGCGGTACGGGTCGCAGTTCGACGGGGCGGCCATCGGGGCGCCCGCCTTCCGCATGGCCTTCCAGCAGGTGGCGCACCTGTTCAGCAACGTCGTCGAGGTGACCGAGGACTACTACCCGCCGCCGTGCGAGCTGGAGAAGATCACCAACGACACCATCGCCGCCTGCGACGAGCTCGACGGCCGCAAGGACGGCGTCGTGGGCCGCTCCGACCTGTGCAAGCTGCACTACAACGTCAGCGCCAGCGTCGGCGAGCCCTACGCCTGCGCCGCGTCGTCCGGCGGTGGTGGAGCCCCTGGTAAGCGCAGGAAGAGGCAGGCGCCGGGCGGCGGCAGCTCCTCGCCCGCCGTCAACGGCACCGTGTCCGCGGCGGCGGCGCGCGTGGCCCAGCTCATCAACGACGGCCTCTTCGACTCGCAGGGCCGCCAGGCCTACGTCTCGTACCAGCCCGCCGCCGGCTTCGCCGACGCAAGCACGACGTACAACAGCGACACGGGCACGTGGGAGGCGACGGCCAGCGGCATCGGCGTGCAGTGGGTCAACTACTTCCTCGAGAAGAAAGCCTCGACCTCGCTGCCCCTCACCAACGTCACCTACGACACGCTCATCGACTGGATCATGCAGGGGCTGCAGGAGTACGCCGACACGGTCGAAACCACCTGGCCCGACCTCAGCGCGCTCGAGGCCTCCGGCGGCAAGGTCATCCACTTCCACGGCGAGTCGGACAACTCAATCCCGGCCGCCTCGTCCGTCATCTACCACGACGCCGTGCGCCGCACCATGTTCCCGGACCTCGGCTTCAACGAGAGTTATGCGGCCCTGCACGACTTCTACCGCCTCTTCCTCGTGCCTGGCGCTGCGCACTGCGGCGTCAACAGCGATCAGCCCAACGGGCCTTTCCCGCAGAATGTCCTCGGCAGCGTCATCGAGTGGGTTGAAGGCGGAGTTGCGCCCGAGAAGCTGAACGCTACGGTGCTCGATGGTGACGATGCGGCGGGCGAGGAGCAGAAGATTTGCGGGTTCCCCCTCCGGCCGCTGTGGCATGGTAATGATACGATGGATTGCGTGTATGATCAGGAGTCGATTGATTCGTGGCTTCCAAAGCTTGATGCTATTCCCGTACCTGTGTACTGAAACGTATGTTGACTGCGTTTTGTCCGATTAGCAATCCCCTTCTTTTATTTGACCTCTTCTGCTTCTGGAATAGGGAGGATGGGTGGAAGTATGGCTTGACGCAAGCTTTGTTGCCCACTTACATGTAGATACTATTTTACCATCCTTCTCACAGTTCTATGGTTGATACGAGACGAAAAGTGATTCTGAACTCAGATGTTAGGCGGCCAGTAGGACACTTTGTGGCCAGCGGCAGGGGTTGCGATTGGACTTGCTTGCAATTCGATAAATCAAGCAGCCTCAACTTACGCTCAGATTGGTCGAAGGCTTGTAATCAGGCATGAAGTCCGCATACTTATCATGCGAGGGAATCATTTTACCCCGCCTTTACGGCGACTGCGGGGCAACGCTCTTAATCAAAAGACATAATCGAGAACGCTTCAGTTCTTTTGACACTGTTCTCTCCATAGAACGGTCACATACACCAACTTCCTCCATGTCTCAACCACCAAGCTCTCCTCTACCGCAGCAAGGGCCAGAAGGAATCGAGCCTTCGGGTATACCCAATGATCACCGCATCTCGGCAGATCACGTCGAGTCCTCGGCCCAGAATGCAGACACAGATTTGTGTCCGAGATGTTTCTCGATCGAACCCAAGATACAAAAGCTTCTATCTCTAGATCCCAAGAATATTTGGAAAGTGAATCGTATCGTACTCGAGCTCCAATCCGCAGACGATCTTTTCCAATGTCCAAGCTGTCCCCTTTGCCAGGCCTTGAAGTTTATTTGTCCAAAGATTTGGTTCACAGCCGAGAGATGTCCCGCTCGTCTAGTAGTCGCTCGCATCGCCGAACCTCCTTTTGACCACCGCTTTCGTCGCAGCTTTTACAAGGATGAACACGAGGACGGTGGAGACAACAATGAAGATGCACAACATTTATGCCTGACTCTTGCATACCCAGATCCCGAAGTTCCCAATTGCGAAATAGTAAAACAATTTGATGCAAGGGTGCTTTCTTGGATCCAGGACGCCGTTGGGTATATCGCAGAAAAGCCAGCTCTCGAGAAAAATCCTGGGACTGCCTTTGTAAACTCTTTACCAGCCCTCGTGGATTTCAAGCCCCTTCAAGAGTGGTTGGAATCTTCTGAACGTGAAGGAAACCTCGTTGAAGGAATCGATCCCGTACGAAACTTGATGGTCATTGACTGCGAAAGCCGGGAGATAATCAAGGCACCCTCAGCAAAGTATGTGGCATTATCTTATGTTTGGGGTCAAGAAACCCCGAAAGAGGGGGAGCTGGAAGAGAAAGAAGGCCGCTTGCACTTGAACAGACCTCTTGCGAAAACGATCGAGGACGCTCTCACCGTTACTCAGCAGCTCAATTTACGCTACCTCTGGATCGATCGATATTGTATACCCCAGGATGAACTCGAGTACCAAGTCAGCAAGATGCACGAGATTTACGGAGGGGCCCATGTCACTATCATTGCTGCAGCTGGAAATGATCCCCAGCACGGGCTTCCAGGGGTCAACCAGATGAGACACACCAGGCCACCTCCAGTCAAAATCGGATCACGCACTTTGCTTGCAACCTTTCCATCTCCGAAACTACTCGTTGAGGAAAGCAAATGGCACTCCCGAGGCTGGACTTTCCAAGAAGGCTTGTTGTCCCGCCGTCGGCTTGTTTTCACGGACCATCAAGTCTTTTTCCATTGCGACAACTTCCTCTTTTTCGAGGCCTTCAGGGATTGTTTGCCCCACGGAATAAACCTCAAACGCGAGTATGGACCGCCTCTTGGGCCTTTGTTTAGCCTTGCATCAGTTAGTGATTCAATACAGACAGCTCCGTGGGACAGAATTGCACAGTATTGCACATTGGACTTGACGAATCCAGAAGACACGGTGAATGCAATTCTGGGAGTGCTTAATTTCTACCAAGATGGAATGCATAGGCCATCGACGATGGCCGATACTAGGGACCACCAAATAACTGTTGCCATAAGACACATCACCGGCTTGCCAGTCTCAAGGAGGACGGATTTGCCTTTAGGCCGTTACGAACCCTGGGAGGACACGATCATTTGCGCCCTGTTCTGGAAAAGCAAAACACCCGGAGATCGTCGAAAGCCCGAGCGAATGAAGTTTCCATCTTGGTCTTGGGCTGGTTGGAAATGTGACTGCTATTTTGGCAACTCGATAACATGGTTGGGCTGGGACTATGGTGCACCAGATCTCCGATCCTTACGTAAAAGTTTTGAAAGCGTTCGAAGCCAGAACAGACACCTACCTTCCATTTCGATTGAGACCGAACAGCCAGGGAGCCTACTTCAAGCCACGGAATATGAAATAATGTTTGATAAGATGCACGACTTCTCCAAGATCAAGCATCTGTGTGTGACTGCCCTGGCCGTTGATGCGAGAATAGTTACGTATGATGGCTACAGGCTAGATGAGAGGGACGGCTGGTTGGGGCTGGACAACACGGGAAAGAAACTTGGCTTGGAATGCAGCGGAGCCGAGAAGCAGGCCTTTCTAAATCTGACATCGGACTCTATCTATCAGCAACCCATGCCTCCATCTGGTCACCCCTGTCTTGCAATCATTCTGGACTTTGATCCATATACCGAGCCAACGGAATACGACTCTCCTCAAGCTTGTCTACTTGTAGTAAGCAAAACTGAAGACTGCTATGAAAGGATTGGGGTTGCCCAAATTAGGCGGGAAGCTCTCAGAAAGGCACACGTAAAGAAGCAGGAGAATATTAAGCTTGGATGATAACATGATGTGAAGTAGAGAGACAACATTGACGCGGCTGGAAAGGATTATTTCCAAGTCATGTAAGAGGCACGTAAACTCTCATAAGCAGCATCTGCCTGTTCTCAATGAAATTTCTATAGTTCTCAATCTTTCCTGAATTATTTAAGTTTTTGATACAGCGAGTCCCACCCTAGAAAGTACATCATCCGTACAGTATCTTCCACAGCTCAAACAAAGTGCAATCTTTTCCAAATATGAATGAGTACGAATGGTCACATGCTTCGCAAGCTACAAGTAAAGCACTCCCGGACAATCATCGCTTGGGTATTTCAGCTACAAATGGTATCAAATCCTTCCTCAATCCTCCTCAAATCTTAAGCATGGCGCGAACAACAAATGGCGTTCTTTCAATAAACTTTTTAGCGTGAAGACGGTGATGCCAACCAGACATGCAGGCGGTGCGCGCGGCCGTGGAGCATCCCACCAACGTCATTTCCGAAACGAAGCAGAAGGGCAAGTCAAAGTATAGACAAGAAAGCGGCAAAGGAACCCAGTTATTACAACGAGATAGTAACGTTCAGAGCTGTTTTCATCAAAAAATCAAAAATCAAAACGTTAGCAAGCGTATCCCCAAAAGACATGAACAACAATGAGTGACAATACCGCACCTACTCCGGAAGATACTCCGCTTCCACTCTCGCCTCCAAGAAGGCCGCCAGCCGCGCCGCTCTTCTTCGCCTCCTCCTCCTCCTTCTCCTCCTTCATCGCCGCGAACTTCGTCGCCGCGGGCGTGAAAGCCGCGCCAGCAGGCGCGCCCGAGCTCTGGTAGACCAGACACGCGGTAGGCAGGGTGGTCGCCGGCATGCTGGCGATGCTCCAGCTAGTCGCGAAGGACGGGTCGCGCACGACGGGCAGCTGGGCCTGGAGGCGCATGTCGGCGCCGACGCCGATGTCGACGGAGCCGGCGATGTGGGTGAGGTTGGCGAAGTTGCGCGAGAAGTCGGCCTGGTCGGGCGAAGGCGAGTCGCCGATGGATTCGCAGTTGGCGTCGTGCTGCGACGAGGCTAGCTGCGTGATGTTGACGGAGGCGACGGGCAGGTCGAGGTAGGTGCCGGCTTCGGCGAGCAGGTCGTCGTCGAAGAGGCCGAAGGCGAGCTCGATGCGCGGGCGCAGCGCGACGTGCAGCTGCAGGTTGACGTCCGAGACGTTGGCCTGGAAGGGGATGGCTTCGAGGGTGTAGTTCTCGCTGTGGAAGACGGGGGTCAGTATGGGGGGAGGCGGTGGGTGGGTTGGGGAGGGACTGACAGTCCGGTCACGGTGGACGACTCCAGGTCGGTGAAGTTCAGGGTCGCGATGGCGCTGGGCAGCTGGGATTGTTGTTAGTTGATGGTGCCATGGGCTGGAAGCGGCAGAGCTTACCGTCAGGTTGAAGCCGTAGGACATCTGGACACCACCGCTCAGAGCCCAGTTGAAGGTCAGAGCAGGCTCGAACATGATACCGGCCTTACCGAGCTCGGGAATCTGCGTTGTATCAGCTTCTGACTCTACGTATAACTTAAAAGACTTACCCTGAAACCAGCCGTAGGAGCAGTAAAGAGCGGGATCTGCAGACTACCGGACTCGGCAGGCGTAGCCATGAGCTCAATGTAGGTTGAGAAGTTGGTGAGGGCAAGCTGGACAAAGCCCATCTTGAAGACATCGGCGACCGAGTCCATCTCAACAATATCTTCCATGTCAGGCCAGTCAAGCTCCCAGCCACCCTGGGTCAGGTTCAGGTTGCCCGTGGTCTTGCAGTGCTTGCAGCCGATGATGAAGTGGGGGTTGGGAAGAGTCATGGCGAATCCCGGAGGCAACGAGAAGGTCGTGTTACCGGCCTCATAGTACAGGTTGAGGGCGACAGAGGTTTGGGTAACGTGGGAGGCATTTCCAGAAGGAATAAGAGTCTGGTGGCTCAAGAAAGTCGAGGTCGAGGTCGAAGTGATGACGGTCGAGGTGGCGGTGCTGGTAGTAGCGACCTGGGTGGTGGCCTCCTGCCTGCGCAGCATCTGGTGGCGGCGCAGCTCATGGTGCTCCTGCGAGTGTCCATACTCGATGTTGAAGCGGTTGAACGCTTTCTTCCACTGCGTCTTCGTCGTTGCGAGGTTGATGGTGTTCGTGTCTTCCGAGGCCGTCACGTCGTCAACCCTGTGTTTGTAAGTCCACTGAATAATACATTTGCTTTCATCCGGCTTACAGGAAGACCGAACGCGAGCCCTCGTCAGTGCATCCAGCATGAGAGGCGATGACGTATCCGCCTTCCAGACGAGACAGCACCTTCTCAGCATCAGCAAAGACCGAGTCCTCGCGGAATCCAAGCTCGATGCCGGAGCCCGTGCATTCGAGATGGTTCAGCTGATCTTCGATATCCTCAAGCATAAGGACCTGCTTGCTCGACTGGGCCTGGACACGCGAGAAGAAGACGGACTTCTCGCTGTCAGTGTTCTCGCCTGCGTGCGTTAGTAAATTCAAGCGCTGGGAGTGAGATGCGTACCATCCGTGTAAAGCAAATCGACAAAAGGCGTGGTTCGGATCTGGTCACTCCTTCGAAGGGTATCAGAGCGCTTCGTGGCTGCCTTCAAATCAACCATCGGCGGGCTGCGAGGGTTCACAGTAGAAACGACTCCCTCGGGAAGGCAGGCGAGTAGCCATACGGCGTAGGATAGTTTGGAGAAACCCATGATTGCGACGAGAGAGAAGCGAGATCACAAAAGCCGTCGCAAAGCAGGTGGAAGCAGCGTTGCGAGCGGGAAGTTATATCGTGAAACAGCATTGTATGATTGTGTATGCAGGGCTACGGCGTTGTCCCGAGCGAAGTATTCAGATCTGCTTTGGGAAATCATGAAGTGGGGTATCTTTAATTTGGCCCCTTTCTGAGACAATTGAAACAGACCACTGCATGCACAAGGCTGGAGGGTTCTGTTGGTGGCGGCTCCATATCAGATAAACGAACTCGTCGTCGATAAGACCAATAGCTGGGGAGAATAGTGAGTGGTTCAGAAATGCGCGTCACTGCTTGGATCCTTCTCGTATGAACCGTGTTGGCGGGAGAGGATGTGCATAGCTGTGCCGCAGTGGGGGAGTGGGCGCGGGCGCTTAGCCTTCCTTATAGTTGGTCAGTTCGCAACATGATTCTTTCTGCATGGTCACGGTGACTGCCTAAAAGATGAGCACAGCCAAAGACGGAGTCATCGCAAGGGATTCAGGAGGGGCTGGTGTGCTGCTCTGCCGATCTCAGCAGTTTTCCATGCTCGTTAATACGCTTTGTGGATAGCGGAGCCAGAATGAAAGGCGCAGCAACCACTCACGAGAAGTCCTGCATGGCGTAGCTGAAGCAAGCAAAACCATGGTGGGGTTGATGCTTGACAGCATCCCCTTTTCCAAGCTCCTGCGGGAGTTTAATGATTCAACCGCTATAAGGCGTGCATGATCTTCATCCGCTTGGGCCAGCGGACTTATCGAAACCACGCGAGTCGATCTTGGCCGGAATTACCCCCAACGTCGGCGACGGAAAGAAGCCGAAGGGTTTCGCAAGCGAGTGCGGAGAAGGCAAGTATCATCAAGGGTCCATTGTGTGAAGTTGATCGTTGAGCAAGAACGCGTAACAGCACTACCCAGCTGAAACAGAGTGGCAGTGTTGACGGATAGACCGGGCGATCTTGAGCATTCCAGTATCCCTACGCTCCTGATCTGGCTTCAGAACGATGCGAGCATAAATGTTGCCGTGTGTTGCGAGCGACAAGTGTTGTAAGGGACGTGCGGGTGAGGGAGGATGAAGGGAAATTCAAGGTTCGTTCTAGCGCGACGTTTGAAGAAAAACAAGTGGTTGCCGAAATCACCGCTTTGCTTCTAGAAACCACCGGCACGACTTTTGCGCCCCACTTCCACCCCGGCCTGAACGTACGTGTCCGAGCGCCTCAACACCAAACCGAACGACATGCCTGACTTCACCACAAACATGAAAAATTTGTCATTAGAGGTACCTCATATTATGAGCGCCCTCGGCTCGCTGTGTCCATGCGCGCATTTGAAACTTTCAATGCATCTAAAGGTTTGTGAAAGCGAAGTGTGGATCTCCACCTAGGCTTGTACTCGTACAAAAAAAAAAAAAAAAAACACCACAAGCTACCGGGCAGCTGCATCGCAAGACTATGAGAAAGCATAGCGCTCAACCTGTATGCAATGCGTTGCGGTGGTGATGATGTCAAGCACTTTGAAGAGCATGGAAAGAGGCGGGTAATTGCACCGGGTTTCCTTGTCTCTGCGCTGATTGTCTTTTCGCGGGTAACGAAACGTCAAACTTCCCTAATACACAATGCTTTCACTGAGCCTTATACCTTTGTCTCTCGCTTGACATACATCTTTGAAAGAACACCTCATTGATCGCGTCTCTGAGATCTCAAGCTAGAGCCGATAGTGATTGTTCGTGGTGATAATCAATCACCACCACCTTCCAAAACTTTCGACCTCACCTTCGATCACATGGCTGGATAGGCAGCTGCCCCAGCAACACGCCCCGTGCACACGAGGCGAGCTCATCTATTTAAACACACACGCCCTCGTCTTTAGCTCTCTTTGCCTTCAGCCTTAAATCAAGTCCAAGCGAGCTTCGCCCACATCGACACCATGTAAGCAGGCCAGACTTCCACCCAAAGACATATTAACAATCTTAATAGCACCAAGGAGATCGCAATCGCTGAACATCAAACCCCCAACTCTCATCATCCATCTCAAATACGAAGCCATGGGTGACATCGCCGAGCTGTCTATGCCATCCGCGCAGCAGCTGGAGCAGCTGAGCATCGCGAACCTGCTGACGGAGCGCATCCTCAGTGAGTACCATCTGTCCCAGATCTTCTTCACTCCCATCACTGACACCAACCCTCACCAGTCATCGGTCGCAGCCTGCTCGGTAGCAACCGCGCCCTCGACGTCGTCACGTACCGCCTCCCCAACAGCGAGCAGTCGGCCGACTACGTTGCCGAGCTGATCGAGCACACCGGACCGAGCCAGGCGAGCACGATCCTGCGCGCCCGCAACGACCTCCGCACCAAGGCCCTCTTCATGCTGCTCGACCGCGCCGAGCGCGAGCTCAACATCACCATGAGCCAGGCTTGCTCCGTGGCTGGAGTGCAGGTCATCAACACTCGCCGTCTGGGGGGCCACCGTTGCACGGGTTGCAACGGACCCTGCAGCGGTGGCCCGGCTGCTTAGATCTTCCGGCTTGCACGATGGCGTCATGGGATGGGAAAGGCGTTAAAAAAAGGTTTTTGAAACGGGAGATGGTACCTATCTGGGATTGAATTCAGCCATGGGAAAGCAAGTCATCGGATGAGAACTCGGAACAAATGCACATAATGAAATCCCTAATGCGCTCTTGCTGGTGCCCTGTGACTTGACGTGAATGCTCTTCGTCGTTGATTACAAATGATGCACGGCGTCCTCAAGTAACGCTGTTAGGTCGGGAAGGTGAGGTGGCAGGCGGTGGAAGTTGCGCTTTCCACACCAGAGACCTAAGAGAGAAACAACAGTGGCAACAAACGTGTCCTCACGCATTTTTCTTTCACCTTGGACGTTATCGCCCATCGTTATACCACGCAATATCCACAACCATGAATAACATCGGCAACCCAATTCTGCAGCGCGAGATACACAACGAGATCAAATCCCTCACCAGCCACATCAAAAGTTCGTCTTCCTACCTTCTTTATGGCTGAAGAACATATTCTTGATACACTTACGTCTGGGTGGTAGCTTCAATTACCCACGAAACGGTCTAATTGATCTTGGAATTCCAGGAGTCGCAAGCTTCGTCTACCCCGGCAAAGATGTGGAAATTCTCTTGAGTGCACAAATCAGATTCTTGCTTCTCAACGACGATACCCACCTTTCCGCCAGCTCCACTCTTCATGTTAATGCTTCACTCATCGAACGCGAGTGCGGACGTATACCCATCAACAAAGCAGGGCTGCTCAACGCTACGGCTGAAGATCGCCTCACTGCCACCTTGCGTCTCGCTCTCGAGATAGACAAGGAAAAGGACCGCCTTCGGGCTAGCGCAACCTCGCCGAGCGGTAATGCGACAACGTCAACTCCAATGGATGCGATGGCGTTAGATCCATCACTGTCCGAACTGGGACTGGGAATGCCGACTTCGACTTCAACAAATGACGCAGCATCGTTTTCACCACTGTATGGGCCGGGACCGCCTCCACTGAGCGTAACAACAACATTTCCATCACAATTCGGACCGGGGCAGGCAACGCCATCTTTGACGCCAACGGATGCGACAACCTTCTTATATCCGCCTATATCAAGGACGCCAATGGATATGCGAACAATAGAAGCAATGCTTTTCGTGGGGCAGGGATTGCCAACTTCGACTTCGATGAATGCTGCAACACCACATTTTGGACCAGGACCGCCACCTTCCGCTCCAATGAGCACAATGACTGCAGATCCATCATTCTTTGGATCGTGGCAAGCAGGGCCATCTTCTACTCCAGCAAATATGACAACCTCCGCATCTCCGTTTGGACCGGGACTGCCTTCTCCACCTTCTTCTGTTCCAATGAGTGCGACAGCGTCGTCTTCGTCTCAGTTTGGACCGGGACCGCTTTCTCCACCTTCTTCGATTCCAATGAGTGCGACAACGTCGTCTTCGTCTCAGTTTGGACCGGGACTGGGAGCGCCATCTCCGACGACTTCAATGGGAGATGCGACAGCGTCATCTTCACAATGTAAACCGACACCAGGTAGAACGAGGCAAGCGAGACCGAGAGGTTCGCTCCGGGAACCATCAATATCGCCACCAGACGACGATGCCTCTTGCTGGGGGTTTTAAGAGTCGCTGAGTTCGTCGCTGTAGAGATGCTATGATCGGACCGGAGCTGAAAGCGATTGAATTATCATGAGTTTAGCCATCACAAGTGTCGCTCGCTCGAGTGTAGTTGAATAATGCAGCTATGATTTAATTGGTCAGTGCAACGATGTTGAACCGCGTGAAAAGGGTGACAGAACCTCGCAATGGAATGTTCCGAGAACTGTATTTACGAAATTTAGCTGATGGTACACTGTTCTAGAACACCCATGGTCTACGCCAAAAAGATTTTTCTGCGCAACAAATGAAACACTAAATGGATGTCACCCCCTTGATTCAAGATTTTACTGCTTTTGTCTGTTTATTTGCCCTTCCTCACCCAGTCCTCGACGGCTTCCCTGGCCTCGCCGATCTTGTCCTCCAGCATGCCGGCCGTCATCTTGCTGTGCGCAATGCCCGTCTGCACAAATCTGGTGACACGCTCCTTGGCCCTGAGGTGGTTCTCGGCAATGACGGGGTAGCGCTCCTCGTAGGTCCAGAGCAGGTCACCGACGTTCCTCGAGGTGATGGGGAGGATGGCCCACGAAGCGACGATGCCGACGGCGACGGGCACGGTCGAACGGAGCAGGATGTTGCGGTTGCGGGTGACGATGCTGCCGGCCATGGCCGAGACGAGGACGTAGATGGCGCCGGGCATGACCTTCTCGCCCGACTCCTTGGGCGGAGCCAGCGACGCGATGGTGCTGGTGAACGAGTTCTCCAGGCGCAGGGCCTCGGTCAGCCCCGCGTTGACCTTGTCTTCGGACTTGGCGGCATATCCGTGCAGGAACAGGCGGGCCTGGGCAATCTGAGCGGCCAGACGGTCGGTGTAGGTGGGCGTCGACGGCTTGGGGGCGGCCTTGGGTGGGCTGACGGGCTCGGCGGGCACAGGCGCAAAGTCGTCGTAGATGGGCTTGCGGAGGTCCTGGGCCGAGGTTAGCCGGGCGCAACGGGCAGAGTGACGGGGGCTATACCCTCTCGAATTGGCTTTCTGATGCCTGGGGAGCCTCGGCGTGGACGTTGCGGAGCGGGTAGAGCGAAAGGCCGGCGGCAAGGATTGCGGACGTCGCAGGCACGACGGCGCGCTGGCGGGGGTCAGCTGCGGGACAATCAATCGGACGAGTGCGCGGGAGAGCTCACCTGCCGTAGGAGCGGTCGGAAGGCCATTGGGGACTGTGCGTGGAGGCAATGGGTTGTCGACGGGCGGGAGTTGCACGCGAGGTGTTGAAGACGGACGTCGCTTTCCAGCAAACAAGCCGAGACCACCGGCGTCATTGCCTCCGCCCGCCCAGCGCTTCTCCACCTCTCCACATCACACCTCTCTCCGCAACCCTTCTCTCTGCCGCAAACCTCGTCACCATGTTGCGGCGCTCGGCGCGACGCGCCTGGACATGCTCGCAATGCATGCGCCTGCAGCAGCGGAGATACGGATCCTCCATTGCCGCAACCGCCGCTGACTTCTCGCCCGCAAACCGCGCCGCTCCCGACGCGAACCACGACGACCGCGTCCTGCGCCAGATCTTCGACTCGCCGCGATTCTGGAAGGACTTCTCCGGCAACACGAAACATCAAGTCCAACCCCCTTCAACTGGTCTCTTCCAGAACCGCTACCTTACCCGACCAGAAGGTTTCCAGCACTTCGCCGAGGTCACGCTACAGAAATGCATAAAGATCGTGGACAAGGTGCTGACAGCCAGCACCGTCGAGGAGTACAGGACGCTCGCGAGGGATCTTGACCGTCTGAGCGATTTGCTCTGCCGCGTCATCGACCTGTCCGACTTTGTGCGCTCGACCCATCCCGACCCAAAGATCCAGGGCGCTGCCACGCAAGCTTACGCCATAATGTACGAGTACATGAACCGGCTAAACACAACAACGGGCCTGAATGACCAGCTGAAGAAGGCGGCTTCAATTCCCGAGGTCTGGAATTCGTGGAGTGAGGAAGAACAGGTCGTGGCTCAGATCTTGATGAGGGACTTCTCAAAATCTGCCATCGACCTGCCTGAGGAGACAAGGCACCGCTTTGTCGACCTTTCCAATGAAATCACCCACACCGGGAACGACTTTGTCGATGGCATGGCCCCCGAGAGACCGTACCTCAGATTCGACAGTAGCAGGTTGAAAGGAATGGATCCTGTCTATGCCAAGAGCTTGACCAAGTGGGGTAAGCTTACGTTGCCCACCGTTGGCATGCCTGCGATGATGGCATTGAGGACTGTCGAGGACCCGGATGTGAGGAGAGAGGTGTATGTGGCCAACCGAACAGCATCAAGGGCCAACATCTTGAGACTGGAAGAGATGCTTCAGAAGAGAGCAGAGCTTGCAAAGATTTCTGGCTATGATACCTATGGACACATGGCATTGAGTGACAAGATGGCAAGCACTCCGGAAGCTGTGAATCAATTCCTGGGAGCTCTGGTCGAGGATAACCATGTTCAAGTTAATGGCGAACTTCAGGAGCTCCTGGAACTCAAAAAATCTGACGCGAGGAGCGACAACTTTCCCGGCCGCCTGAATGCCTGGGATCGGGATTACTATGCCCAGCATCTTCTCTCGTCTCTCCGTACTCGCATTCGATCCCCCGACTTTCTTTGGTCTTTCTTTTCCCTTGGTACTGTCATTCAAGGACTCTCTCGACTCTTTACAAGACTCTACGGCATTCGACTAGTCCCTCACGAGACGCTGCCTGGAGAAACTTGGAACTCTGATGTTCGACGGTTGGATGTGATTGATGAGAACGAGGGCCACATTGCTGTGGTGTACTGTGATCTTTTCTCCCGTCCTGGCAAAAACCCTAACCCGGCACACTTCACCCTCCGTTGCTCTCGTCTGATTTCCAGCGAAGAAATTATGGAGGCAGCCCAGACCTCCCATCCCTTCTCCTCTCCCGTTGATGCTGCCACGGATGGCATGGCTTCCGCAGTCAACCGCGCCGATAAGACTGGTAACTCTTACTATCAACTCCCTACCATAGCACTGATCTGCGACTTCGACACCATCGGCCAAGGTCTGCACAGCTCCCGGCCAACCCTCCTCTCGTTCCGCGAAGTGCAAACGCTGTTCCACGAAATGGGCCACGCGCTGCACTCGATCTGCGGGCGCACGCAGCTCCAAAACGTCAGCGGCACGCGGTGCGCGACCGACTTCGCGGAGCTGCCGTCGGTGCTGATGGAGCACTTCGCGGCGGCGCCGCAGGTGCTGGCGCTGTTCGCGCGGCACTACGAGACGGACGCGCCGCTGCCGTACCGCATGGTCGAGGAGCGCGTGGCCATCGACCGGCGCATGGCGGGGGCCGAGACGGAGGCGCAGATCCTGCTCGCCATGCTCGACCAGGCGTACCACTCGGAGCTGCCGCTCCAGCCGGGCTTCGACAGCACGCAGACGTACCATGATATCTACAACGCCCACTCGACCATCCCTGAACCGGCGGGCACCGCGTGGCAGGGCTTCTTCGGGCACCTTTTCGGCTATGGCGCGACGTACTACTCGTATCTCTTTGACAGAGCGATTGCTGGCAAGCTCTGGAAGGACGTGTTCCAGGAGGGTGAGAAGAGTATCGATAGGGAGGCGGGTGCGCGGTATAGAGAGGAGGTGTTGCGGTGGGGTGGTGGTAGGGATGGGTGGAGGTGCGTTGCTGGCGTTTTGGGACGGGAGGAGCTGGCTGAGGGTGGGGCGGAGGCGATGAAGGAGGTGGGTAAGTGGGGTGTACATGATTAGAGGAGATGATGATGACGTACATTTCGGATATGTGTCACGTAGAAGAAGCATTGGGAGGTCCTTGTCATGCTAGAGGCCTACATCTCATCTCTAAGAGCGGCTTCATTGGTTGAGGGAATGGGTCGGGCGGCAACTGGCTTGTCGTCGTAAGTATATGGAGGTTACGGTGTATATTTCTGACGCGTGGTTGTAGATTTCTGTCTATATTCCAAGTGTGTACATCAAAAAAATACCAACGAAAAAAAATACTCCCCCACGATATTCCCCCAAAGAAACTAACGCCTATATGACGACACGGAAAACAATTTCAATCAGCTTCACACCATATCCCAAACTCCCGCTCAAAGCGAATCGATATCAATCTCCGGCGTCCTCTCCCTAAACTGCACCGCCGCCTTCGCATCCGGCAGATTCTGGCCCGACCCATCATCCACCGTCTTGGGCCTGCCACCGCCGTTCTCGAACTGCCAGTCGTACTTGAGCAGCAGGTGCGCGACGGCGATCTTGATCTCGTTGGAGGCGAAGAAGCGCCCGGGGCAGGCGTGCTTGCCGTGGCCGAAGCCGAGGTGCTCGGCGCTGGTGGTGACGAACTGCCAGCGGTTCTCGTTGCCGGGCTGCTCGCGCATGCGCAGGAAGCGGTGGCCGTCGAACTCGGTCGGGCGCGCGCCCCAGCGGGATTCGTCGTCGAGCATGTGTAGGGTCGGGACGGCGGTGGTGGCGCCTTTGGGGATGATGGTGCCGTCGGAGAGTTTGACGGGGGCGGTGGCGACGCGGTTCATGAAGACTGTTGGGAGTGGTGTCAGTATGGTGGGGGAAGGAAAGGAGATGAAGGACTTACGCGCACTCTGGACGTTGATCCTCTGGCTCTCCTTCATGCAGCTGTCCAGCAGCTTCATCTTGTACAGGCTCGTCTTCTTCCAGCCGCCGTCCTCGCGCAGCACCTCGACTATCTCCTTCCGCAGCGCATCCACGCACGCCGGGTCCGCAACCAAATCAAACAGCAGGTGCGTCAGCGTCAGCGACGTCGTGTGAATAGCATTAAAGTTGAGCAGCAGCTGCGCGTTAGCAAAGTCCCAGGGGCGGCCGCGGGCGACAGCGTCCATCCACTCGAGCGAGTCCGCCGGCTTGGGCACGGGTTTGCCCGCGGCTTCCAATTCGGCGCGCCGCGCGCGGCGGGCCTGGATCTCGGGCTCGATGAGTTGCGCCATCGTCTTCTGGATGCTCCGCACACGCGCCATCTCGGGCAGCCAGTAGCGCGCGAAGGGGCGGAGCGGCGCGGGGATGCGGTCCAGCGACATCTTGGCCTTGAAGGCGTCGTGCGTGAAGGCGATCGAGATGTCGACGAGAGAGCGGTTGCGGCACAGGGGCTCGCCCAGGAAGACTTTGGCCGACATGCGGGCGGCGATTTCGGTGGCGACGCCGTAGAACATGGTTTTGCGCCATTCTGGAGTTGCGTCAGTGATGAGATCGTACGGGAGTGAGGGATCCCCTTATTTAGGTGGTAGGAGATAGTCGCACCTTTGTTCGGGGGAAGGAGATCGTTGCAGATTTCCGTCATCTCTTTTGAGAGGTCGTTCGTGATGTGGCCTGGGAGAGTCGTAAGCACTCAGATGCAATCGCAGCGGCAGCAGCTATCAAACGTACCCAAGGCTTGCGTCAACTTCGTACGGACTGTCTCCTGCATGATTTCTCCCTGCGTCACGGCATGGAAGGCTGAGAATTCCGAGTATTCTACGAAGAAAGTCTATCATGGCGTCAGTCAGAAAAGTGCTACCCTGGATTTGAGATCGAAGGAGCTCACCTTCTCCATAAAGGCATTGAAGCTGAGACGCTCATCATTGCGAATTTCATCGGCGTACTTTGGGGGAATGACCAAGAGAGCTCCAGAGGGGTTAAAGATCTGGAAAGGGCCGCTGAACTGTCGAGGTGTGAGTGATGCAAAACCTTTACGATACCATGTATATTCGTTTACCTTGTCCAGTCCTTGCTTCAATAGTTTCCTGCTCTGTGTAAACCAGCGCTTCTGTGCAGCCTTGTTCGTCCACTCTCCCTCCTCTTTGCCGACGATGGGGAAACCGCTCCATGCACGTGGTCCCACCAATTCAGTGGCGAAGTTGTAAAACACGGTGCTGATGATGATGACGACAACGGCAACCAATACGGGGTGCTGTATCCCCGAAACAGCGGTGTCGGTCTCGCTACTGGAAAGTGTCATGGTGGTGGTGTGGTGGAAAGTGATGGTTTTGGAATATGGAAGTTAGCATCGTTGCACCCAACCACAGGGTTATATAGAGCCTATTGTACACGTCAATTTAGAAACACTGGACACGTTCGCGGTGAATAGGAACCGGTACCCGAGTCGTTTTTCGGATTGCAAAAGGGTGGTGTCGTATTCGCACTGCGCCTGCTTAAGGAATCCGAACGCTTCGCCCAGTTCGGATTGCTGCTCGGATAGCGTCAACGCCCAGAGGTTGGCAGCAAAAGCATAAGGAAATAGGTGCGACAGCGAGATAAATTAGTCCGATACGATTGGTCAATAATACCATCTCGTTCTCGTATTCGAAGCTTGACCAAGACCGAAAACGTAAACTCGCATGTACAGTACATTTAGCCAACGATAGGCTGATGATTTTCAGAGAGAGCGGTGACAACATGGAGAGGAGGTTGTGGCGCAGCGAATCTACATAAATAGGAACAAAAAGTCATAGCTCGTACTTCATCTTGCCTCTTCCGTCTCCAACTGCGCTCTCTCTTCGTGTGTAAAATCGCTCTTTGCTCTCCCCATCTTCACAAGCGAGAACATCAAACATGCGACACCGGAACACGCAACGCCAAACCAAAAGGCAACTTTGTAGCTCCCTTTGACACCGAGGTGGGCACTGCTACTCACGGCCAGGTCCGCTACGCCGAGGAAGAAGCCGATGCCAAGGAACAGCGTGGTGTTGATCAACGCCCCGGCAACACTTTGTCGGTGCCGAGGCATGCTGGTGGTGATGAAGACGTTGGTGACGGAGAAGGTGATGTCGACGCCGAGGGTGGCGCAGACCATTGCCGGAAAGACGTGTGCCCAGTAGTTGGGGTTGTCGGGCATGATGGCGAAGAGCAGGCAGCAGATGACCTGTACCGCAGCTGCGAGGACGACCAGCAGCTTGCCCGGGAGAAGGTGCATGACGAGCCCGCCGACGGTGGAGAGGATGAGGCCGCCGGCAGCCATGGGAGCGAACCATGCTGTGGTTTGCAGCGTTCCGATGCCGAGTACGAGCTCGATGCTACATTTGTAATCAGCATTCGGGCCTGTTTGATCTGTGTGCATTTTCACTTACTAGAAGCTGGCGTAAAACAGGTAGATTCCGTACACGCCGTACGAGAACAACAAGCCGACGATGAGGGGTTTGATGGACTTTGGTTCGAAAATGTCGAATGGGAGCAAGGGTTGTTCTGCGACCCAGCCTTCGATATAAAAGGCTGCAATGAGACAGAGTACCCCAACGACAAAGGTGACAATGATGTAGGGATTGGCCCAGCCGCGAGAGGCATGAGAGCTATCAGTGATGGCGAAGACGACCAAAAGAAGACCCGGCACGATGGTGACGAAACCCCACCAATCCATACTTATATCGGTAACCCTGCCATCAAGGCGGTCGTCGGGGACGAAGAACACCGAAACTACAACGACGATGGCGAGGAAGATGGTGCCGAAGTAGAAATACCAGCCCCAGCTAAGGAGCTGGCCACTGATTCCACCGAAGAAAATGCCGGTAAAGAAGCCGATGGGAGCGAAAGCACCGTAAAGGCTGAAGACCAGGTTCTTACGCGGCCCCGGTCTGTACACGGTGCCGAGCAGCATTATCCCAGCTGGCAGGAAAGCAGCCGGGCCAAGGCCGCTTATAGCACGGCAAAATATGAGCATTATGTAGTTCTGGCTGAAGCCGGCGATGAGACACCAGACGGCGAACCACACCAGGCCACAGACGAACAGCATGCGTGCTCCAAAAATATCCGCTAGTCGACCGAATGGGAGGATGAATGAGCCGGTGACGAGGGAGAAGACGCTGGCGGGCCAGCTTCGAGCGGCGGTGGGGATGTCGAGGGAGGTTGTCAAGGCGGGCAGGATGATATGGAAGCCACTGATGAAGTATTCCTGTCGTCTGTCAGCACTCGGGTTCGTAGACATGGTGAAGTTAAAGAAGCTTACCGCCATGAACATGGAGGCCAGCAGTGAAAAGCAGAAGCAGTACTCAGCATAATTGGTCTTGAAGACTGCCGGGCGTTGCCTCCCGAGTTTCTCAACGTCGACGGGAGAGTTGCACCGGACACCGGCTTCAGGAGAGGATTCGACTGCCATGGCTCTGTCTGTAGAGGTGAAGAAGTGAAGATGGGTTTGCTGAAGCGTGGGAAATGCAGCGGTTCTTCTACTGTGCGGCCATGACTAGGAGCTGGAAGGCGACAGCGAAGATGCAGTCACCCATTACGGCCAACACCATCAACGGGTCTGGGTGGAGGCTTGGCTGCCGCATGCGGCCGATTACATGGTGTAATGCAGCGGGTTAGCCGCTCGCTTGCGTACCCTACTTATGGTGAACTGTTCGCAGGTCCAGCATTCGACCGCAATTTCGGCTGAGCACTCGCCACGAGTATCGGAACAGAAATTCTTGTGTCCGAACAGAATTAGACGGGTCTTTCGAGGAGAATACGTTTACCGTTACTCTGTTTGTTGGCGAGAATAGGTGTTCCAGTGGGGATTTCTAATAGGGACCGTAATGGGGACGCACTAAACCCAAACAGGCAGCCAAGCCGCAATGGCCTTGTGGTTTGTCTTCTCGAACTCCTTCCATCGCCGTCTTTCCCCTCCCCGCCCTAAGACCCCACCGCCCGTTGGCCCGCGTAATAAAACCGCTCTTATCTAACCGCTAGGTCCCAGAGCCAAGCCGATCTGCTGCTGCGTTCTCCGGATTGCTGGCTCCAGGCCCTTGTCACGTTTTCCTCCTCTGACCGGTGCCTAACGTTTCCGCACGGTCCGCATGTCGTCCGGCCAGGACGAGCCGCCGACCAAGCCCTGCCACAACTGCCGTCGTCGCAGGCTCAAGTGTGACCGCTCTCTGCCGGGTTGCCAGAAGTGCATCAAGACGGGCCAGGAATGTCTCGGCTACGGGAAGCTGTTTTTGTGGAACCAAGGCGTGGCGAGCCGCGGGAAGATGATGGGCAAGAGCATACCCATCCAAACTCCAAAGCCGCCGCGTCGCCAAGACGACACCATGGCAGTTGTTAGCAATACATTGATGGGTCCAACCCCATCTCTAATAGATCCCATCTTTCAAGACCTGGGCCATTCGTCTCGACTCTATCTTTCTCACTGTAAGGCGTCTCCCAGCGCTCCAGGGCTTGAGTTCTGACGCTGCGTCTAGTCGCCGACGAATTCTGCAAGGCTCTCGTGACATACGACATGCCCAACTTGAATCCCTTCCGCGACCTCATTCCGCTGACCCGAGAGCACGCCGTCCTGCTGCACATGGCCATTGCCAACTCGGCCGTCCACATGGCTAACCGCTACGCCATGGAAACCCAGAGCGCCGCGGTGACGGCGCAGTCATTAAAAGGCTTCGCAGTCGGCCAAAGCGTCATCCAAACGCAACCCCTCCAGGTACTAAACGGCCAGGCAGCCCGGTTCTACCACGACGCCCTGGTCGCGAAGCAGAAGGCATTGCAGCTTCTGCGGCACGCGCTGCAACACGTCAATGCGGGCAATCGCGACGTCCTTCTCGCAGCCATCCACCTCTTCGCCAACTTCGAGCTCATCACCTCCGGGAAGGGCGATTGTATTGTGCACGTCGAGGGCGCCAGGAGGCTGATAGAATGCTTCGGCACCGAGAGCTCCCCGATGATGGGCAAGCTACGAGATTACCTCATTTCCGACTGTTTGACGTAAGTCCTCGTTCTCTCTCTATCAATTCCGGAGTTGAACTGATGCGGGACGGCTGCATAGCTTCTACATCCTCGGCTCGACTGTGGTATCGTCACGTTCGAGAGCGAACGCGAGCCGTCACTTCCAGTACGTCCTCCCGCTGCTAGAACGCGCCGAGTCCAACAGCTACCTGTCGTGTCCGGCCGTGCTCCTGCAAATCATGCTCCTGGCCTCGTACCTGAGCGGCGGGCAGTCGACATCAGCAACAGAAGAGCAGCAGCAGCCACTCTCCCTCGAAGCCGAGGCAGCAGCACTCCTGCAGCGCGCACAGTCCTTCGACGTGCACGCCTGGGCGCAAGGCGTGCAGGGCATCTCATCCGACCACGACGACTTCGAGAGCCGGGTGCACGTGGCGTCGGCGCACAAATCGGCCATCTGCCTGTACATCCACCGGGCGGTGCCGACGGCGGTGCTACTCGACGGCGAGCAAACCGAGATGCTCGTGTCGGACGTCATCGGGCACCTCGCCCTCATCGGCCGCGACGACAACCTCATCAAGGGCACCGCCTGGCCCACCTTCGTCGCGGGGGCCGAGACGGCCGACCCCGCCCGCCGCGCCTGGATCGCTGACCGTCTTGTTATGTTGTGGCGCATCATGCTGTGGGGATACCTGCCCACCGCCCTCGAGACCCTGCATGTCATCTGGGGAACTGATGATGACTGCCCCAACGGCGAGGCGGGCGTCAGGGAAGGCTGGTTGCAGAAGCTGAAGAGGTTGGGGATCGAGTGGATGATTGTTTGATGGGGACGTAAATATTGTGTTATGATGAAGGTACATGTTAATGATTTCAAGGGAAGGCCGGGCGTTAAGACTGGATAGAGGGCATACCCCCCAAACTGACATAGATGCAGCTACACTGCAAGAACTCACGTACACTAAATAAAAGACTCTAACTCACTCAAAGCAAATGAGTAGTTTAATTATAGTAATTGAAATGGCTGTATAAGATTGGGTATCATGAGCCGCATCGCCACCTAAATAAATCGGGAACGGAATTAGTGGTAAGTCAGCTTCTGGGTACGGGTCGACTTACTCTGAAAGAAAATTATGCAAGACGCTGATTTACATGACAACGCATTTGTCGTTGTACGCTTCACCGTACTGGTCCACACCCGCCGCCTTGACATTTTCCTTTTGCTTGAGTTTCACCTCGTCCGGGAAGTACTTGACGAGGTAGTCGGCCAGGGCGGGATCCAGGTTGCCGCTGTCTGCTTCCATGACGACTTCTCCTCGGCACAGCGGACAGTGATCCTCCTTGGTTCTCTGCAGGACGATTAAGCAACGGATGCAGAAGATGTGCTGGCAGCGCAGGCGCACGGGTCGGTACGAGATGCTGAAACAGACGGGACAGAGATAGTCGTCCAGTTGAGGCACTATCGGGAGTAGCTCAGTGGAGACTTGATAGCAGATGGCTTTTGCAATGTCGCGCGGCATGCTCTGCTGTAGGGCAGCCGGGAAGGTGGATTTGACGCCAAGAGCCGTACGCTTGTCGAACTCTGTAGGCTGTCAGTCAATGTAGCATATTGTATGCAGAGTAAGTCTTACTCTTGAGAATCTTCTGCATTGCGAGGTCGTTGATTTCTTGGAACCGGAGGCTCTGAAGCACCGCCATGTTCAACTTCAGGAACTGCTCCAAGGCAACGCTGCTTTCCTTCTTCTTGAATGTTGACGCAACGTTCTGCCGTTTAAGCTCATCGGAGAATTTTTGAAGGAGTGCCTGTGCTTTCGTGGAGTCATGTTTGCCGTGGTCAAGTTCGGTTGTTGAGAAAAAGATCCTTGATTCCAGGTAGAGCTCGAAAATTTTCCGCCATTTTGCCATGTCCGTTTTCGAGGCAGATTTCCGATTTGGCTCTGTGACTCTGGTCACAACTGTTCCAAGTGCGGTCACTTCCTTGCTTAGTTTTTCTTGCTCTTGGGCTTGCAAAGCGGCCAGCCCTGACACCTCATTCTGAAGGATGCTGAAAAATTCCAAGTCCGAGGTCAGGGGAAGCTCAACCATGCGGTGCGGCCGCGTCTCCCGGTGTTGTCCATCAGGACTGCTGGTTCCATCCGATGGGGTCCCTCGTGAAGACTCGCCTGATTCCTGATCCGCAGTTGAAGGCGGGGTATCGGCGTCCGATATTCTTACATGAGAGAGTTGCTGAGCAATAGCTAGTTGCTGGAGATAGTCTCTAGTGAGAGGAGACAGGTGGGCATCTAGAGGTTCGCCAGTCTCATCATCCACGGCAATGAACAGCTTGGGTTGGAAGAGGACTGGTGCGTCTGGATGTCCGGGCGAGGACTTGGGATTGGACAGAAGGTACTCGGCAAGCCTTTCGTTTCTTTCCTGCTCTGCCGTCCTCAGCAGCTGCCCCAGAGTCGTAGGATCAAGTCCCAAATCGGCCAGCTCTCGTTGCACCCTCTTGATGCATTTTTTCAGCTGGCGATAGGAGATGGCGGAGGCGACCCAGTGGGCGGGGAAGCCGTCATGCTGGAGGTGCTCCTGGAAAATGTGGCCGAACTTCATCGGATGCGGTTTGGTCTAGGATGTCTTGGCCGGTAGACTAGCGCAAGGCTACAGCAGTGGTGATCTTCAAAGCACGGCAGGCATCGTTCACGGCGACATGGGGTTGGAAAAGGTCCGAGAAGTCATCTAAAGCCTCCCGAAGATTTGATGGCATCACATGGGCGCGGCGCGGTGATTGTAAATTTGGCCGGGGCGCGTGGCGGGCGAGATCGCAGTCGGCGGCTGAAAACATGCCGACGATTCGTGCAATCTTGCTGTCGACAGCTCTTATGACTCAGAAGAGCTAACCTTTTCAGGTGTGGTCGACGTCTCGGTGATCGATGACTCGAGTCGCCGCATTGGTGCCATGACTTCACACAAACCGCTGCAACCCCACGTAACTTTTTTGGCGGGGGACTCTACTTTCAACTTTCGACCACCCACGCGCCAAATTTATTTAATATGGGGTCCGGCCAGAGCTCAGCAAATGGCGGCGGCGCAGGGCAGCAAGCTGCAAACGCCGCCATGAAGACGAGTTATTACGAGCTGCTGGGAGTCGAGCGCCAGGCTACCGAGGACGAGTGCGCAAACAACACCCTTCCTCCACCATGACTCTGCTAACCTCTCTTCGCTTCGCCGCAGGATCAAGAAAGCCTATCGTCGCAAAGCCCTCGAGCTACACCCGGACCGCAATTACGGCAACGAAGAATGGGCGACGGAACTGTTCTCCGAGGTGCAGTCGGCGTACGAAGTGCTGTCGGATCCGCAGGAACGCGCATGGTACGATTCGCACGAGTCGGCCATCCTCAGCGGCGCCGACCCGGCCGACGCGCATTTCGAGCACGACGTCAAGGTCACGACCGCCGACGACATCACGCGCATGGTGCGCCGCTTCAACAGCCGCGTCGAGTACTCGGACGAGCCCGACGGCTTCTTCGGCTTCCTGCGCGACACGTTCGACACCCTGGCCAAGGAGGAGATGGTGGCCGCCGCCTGGGAAGGGCTGGACGCGCCGGAATACCCTACATTCGGTCGCAAGGATTCGTCGTACGATGACGTAGTGCGCCAGTTCTACGCCGTGTGGATGAGCTTCTCGACGAAGAAGACGTTCGCGTGGAAGGACATCTACAGGTACTCGGACGCGCCCGACAGGCGCACGCGCCGGTACATGGAGAAGGAGAACGCTAGGTTGCGCGAGGAGGGCGTGCGCGAGTTCAACGATGCCGTTCGTCAGCTAGTCGCCTTCGTCCGCAAGCGCGACCCTCGCTGGGCGCCGAACACCCAGACCGAGGCCGAGAGGCAGAAGGCGCTGAAGGAGATGCGTGATGCCCAGGCCGCTCGCGCTAGGGCGGAACGCGAGGCCTTGATGCACGAGGAGGTTCCCGAGTGGACCAAAGTGCGGGAGCCTGAGGAAATTGAGGAGAGTGAGGAAGAGGAGATCGAGGAGGAGCACTTTGAATGTGTGGCTTGCAACAAGACTTTCAAGAGCGAAAACCAGTGGCAAGCACACGAGAAGAGTAAAAAGCATCAAAAGGCAGTGTATGCTCTGCAAAAGAAGATGCGGAAAGAGAACAAGAAGCTCAATCTGGATGACGATGTGCCTAGTAGTGGCGTGGCAACTCCCGATGCTGAGGAGGAGGAAGTCATCGAAGAAAGCAAAGATGCATCCGAAGTGGAGGAAACAACACAGGCGATCGAGGATGTTGATCTGGAAGATGAAGACCAATCAGAGGAGGAGGATCCGAAGGAGAAGAAGACTTCTACGAACAGCAAGAAGCCAACCCCATCCGGATCTGAAGAAGAGGAATCGGATGATGACTATGTGCCGCGTTCAAAATTAGAGTCTAGGCTGGCAGGAGATGCCGAATCCGACAAGGAAGATGAGGACTCGAAGCCGAAGCTTGGCTTTGATTCGGATGATGAAAAGCCGGCAGCAGCCGCCGCTCCAAAGAAGGGGAAAGCAGCACAAAAACGTGCAAAGAAAGCAGCAAAACAAGCTGCGGCGGATCAAGAAGAGCTAAAGCACAAGTGTGTTGTATGTCAAACAGGATTCCCTTCAAAGACGAAGTTATTCGATCATATCAAGGCCACCAAGCATGCCGCCCCGGTCAGTCATACCAAGGGGGCCGGTGGTGGTGGGAAGAAAAAAGGAAAGAGATAATGAGCATTAGATGTAATGTAGAGAAAAGTTAGCGATATAGTGTTGCATAGCGTAGGTGTTGGTAGACTGTCTATACCCAGTATCCGCGGCAGAAACCGCTTTGACCATAATTCTTCTGGACTGTTTGGATCCTCAACTATTGGACACTATCGCAAATGATCGACCAATGCCTGTATAGTCATGGGGTGGTTGCCAACAGGTTCAGTGAGGCTGTGAGGGGGTGGATGCCTCACGCCTAACCGCTTTGGGTAAGAATGGCCTGCTGCTGCCTAACCTAACGTCCGCCATCCCTAACGCTCGTGTCAGACAACATTCTATTTAAGAGCACCTGATTCCGCGACATAAAAACGCGTCTTCAGCAAACCCGCGTCAAACTTTCCAATATTCATTTCTTTTCCTCGAGATACCCACTGTTTATTCCACCATTTGCTTGCAGCACTACTATTACCAACAAAATTCAAACTCAGTCCATCAATTGCACTTGAACGATGGCTCGCACGACCCAAATACTGCGGGAGAGGAGCAACGGGCTCTCAGGGAATCGCTTTGAAGAGGCTCAAGAGCCTAGGAACTACAAGGAACACGACGACCCGACTCCGATCTCCAACTCCATGTCACAAATCAGCGAAAAGCCGGATACCTTCGGCCAACAGTCATCCGATCAAACCAACAAGCGAAAGCGAGGAGACATGCCCCAGAGGCGGGAGCGCTCTAAGCGGTTGCGCCGCACACCAGTGTCGTACGCAGACCCGGAGGACACCGATGACAGCGCCTTCTACGAGTCAGATGAGGATGGAGAAGGAATTGTAACACGAAAGGTGAATAATGATTGCGTATTTTTGTTCTCGAACACTGGTTTCTGACTCTAGTCCTTAACAGATCCAGAAACCGAAGGCAGACCGGCCCCTCCCCAAGCGCAAGATCTTCCCCTTCCTCTCTCTCCCGCGCGAGCTCCGCGACATCATATACGACTACGCTCTTGGCTGCCCGACCGCAGTCGAAACGACCGATGAGATCAAGCAGTCCAACAAGAGCAACCAGACCGATGAAAACGACGAGACCGATGGAGACAACCAGACCGACGAGAGCAATGAGACCAACGAGGCCAACGAAACCAACGACAACTCCACTCCAACCGCCACCACCAGCACCTCCTCCTCCAACGTCGTCCGCATCGAAGAAATCTACGTCGGCTTCCGCAAGCGCACGATCCGCGTCGAGGACCGCCTCGACCTGTCGCGCCGACCAGACGGCACACGCGTACCGTGGCGCGACCACAGCGACGACGACATCGGCTACTCGGTCGACGAGCTCAAGCCGGCGCCGCTGGCGACGGGCCTGCTGGCCGTGTGCCGGCAGGTGCGCGCCGAGGCGGCGCCCGTCCTGTACGGCGGCACGCGCTTCCGCTTCGCCAACTCCAACGCCCTGCTCACCTTCGTCGCGCGCCTGTCGCGCGGGACGCGCGGGATGTTGCGCGACGTGCGGCTGCTGGAGTGGTACCGGTACAGGAGCATGTGCCAGGGGTACGACAAGGCCGCGTTCGAGCTGCTGGCGGACGGTGTGACGGGCGTGAAGGCGATTCAGTTTCCGGCGGACAGCTGTGCGAGCGACGTCTGTCGTAATGCTTGGCCGTGGTTGGAGGCGATTGCGAGGGAGAGGGAAGGGGGGCTTGAGAGCGTGTTGGAGATGTTGATGGCGGGGATCGAGGAGTGGGGAGATGAGTATCAGGTTGGAGGGGAAAGGAGAACCTCGTTTGCGGAACAGTTCATGAGCAAGATGACCAAGCCGGCCAAGAAGCAGGCTGAACTTGCTGATTGAGGAATTTGGGTCTTTTGAATCATGTTCTTTAGTTGTCCTGATTGAATCTGCTTTTCTGCACATGGATTGCCAGAATTTGAATGGGTCATAGTTGAGATTTGATGTCTTTGGGGTTTTATTGAACAGAATGTGTTGCGAGTTGAGATGGGGTATCAAGATGTAGCGCGACCACGCTAAACGCCAGTTGGTATCCCAGAAAACTTTTTGGTACAGATCTTTGAGGGCTTTCTCAGACGGTGAAACACGAGAGTGCCTTAAGATGCTTGTTCTTCGTTCTTTTTGTCTTTGGCAAGCTCTTCCTCCAAGTACAACTTCAGTAGATTAGAAGTACTTTCTGGGTCCGACGCCTCCTCCCACTCCTTGAATAGCCTGTTAATCTCCAACAAAATCTCGAAAAAGATCAAATAGATGATGATCCACTCCAAGAAATTGCCATGCTTCTCACCCAACCGATCACTGAGGACCTGGGCAATCTCTTGCGCGTAGGTCAATTTATCGTTCAGTGCTTTGATGCGCACGGATACATCCAAAGCACGACCGACCTTGGTGTAATAGTCCTCAAGACCAAGCTCATGTCTGCTATCCCAGAAGATATCGGGCAAAGCATCAGTGAGCTCGGAATACAAATTGAGTTGGGCCCGGATATTGAGGAGCTCGCCGGTCTTCATGAGGATGAACTTCCGGCTGAATCGTAACCGCGCGCCTTTGGAGAGGACCGTAGGAATGGAGCGAGTGGAGTCGAAATATCTGTCTAGCAGACCCTCGAGAACTGCGAGTTTCGTCGAGCGTGCCAGTCCAGAGGAGAAGGCGATCTTGGCCAAAACAGTGTCCACTTCGTAGTCGAAGGTATCTTGCCCATCCGCTAGGTTGGTCTGTCTGGAAGGATCAAAATCGGGAGTCCCAGTTCCTAAAATGATGGTATCCCCGGAGACATCACTCGAGCTCCTAGTGGAATCCTCAACGTATGCTAGGTCTTCGGTTTCAACGTGCCTCAGGTGAGAGCCTTCCGCGGCGTCCACCAGTGTGTGGTGGACCAACCGAAAAGATACCTTCTCGGGAACATTCCAAGACACGACAGTGCCCGACGGGAATACGAAAATATCACCGGTTTCCTTGCTCTCTAGAGCATTGTTGACTTGGACATGAACAACTTGTGGGTACAAGCCGGTGTTGAAAGGATCTGGCTCATAGCCCTCGGCGCGAAGAAGACGAGCAACGTCGAATATGTTGTACCTTTCGGCAGCGCAGTAGGCGGAGATTTTCTGGGCATAAGTCAATACGAGCTAAACATATGTGCTTGCAGAAACTCACCTTCGCTTCTTCAGTGTTGGGAAGCTCAGACTTTGCCCTCATCCTCTTCCGCTGAGCTTCAACCGCGACTTTCCGCAGAGTTGTTGGAGAGGTAGTTGCCGAGGTCCTGGAACGTTTCATGGGTTCCTGCTTTGGCTCCTCAACAACCGAATCGCTTGCTGGGACCTCATCCTTCGCTTGGCTGCTTGTTCGACGGGCGGAATTGGACACTGAACGAGGGTTGGCCGACAGCGCGAAGCGGGCAAGCGGAGGGCGACAGTAGGACGGCGGGAAAGGCGTGGGCCGGGCGACCAGTGCGCGGGTCGCGCGCGAAGTCAAGGCATTGTTGCGAAGAGCATTCATCGCCGGATCTTGGGAGTTTAATGCATCGGAATTTGGCGAAGAGACGAGCTCTGGAGAGGGTTGCGGCTTGCGGGAAGAAAGATGTCGGATTGCAGATGGGCGAATTGGTGGCCGGCGGGCAGGGTTCGGGACTTGGCGGCCGGGATCAGCGACGGCGTCATGCTGGGACGCCAACACCACTACTACACGCGCGCTTGACAGCTCATCCATCCCGCGCTGCCTCCTTTCACCGCGGACCATGCCCCAGCATGGCTGCGCAATCAAATGGACTCCACGACGATGAGCTCGTCGCTCCTCACGAGGACCCCCGCACCACCAACGAGCCTACAACTGCCGCCGATGTTGAGTCGGACCGCGACGAAGATGAGGACGATTCGGAGGAGGACGACGACGAGCCCAAGCTGAAGTACGATCGCCTCACCAGCACCTTGGGCTCTGTCTACCGCAATGGCGACGCCACCAGCGCCTTCATTGTCGGAGGGGACAAGATGGTATGAGCCGACCAAGTGCGCAGTAGCTGCGCCGCCCATCTTGAGCTCTGCTAAGCTTGTGTAGATTATAGGCACCCACAATGGAAACATTGTAAGTATCCGCTGCCGTCAGCAACCCTTGTCGCAGCTAACTCTGAGCAGAATGTGCTCTCCATGCCTTCCTTCCAGTCGTTGCGCTTCTATCACGCCCATTCAGCCTCAGTCACTTCCGTGTCCATCTCACCGTTTCCTCCTCCTCTACCGGATTTGAGAGTGGAACCTGTGACGAGAATCTCTACCGAGCCTATCCCCCCACCGGAAAGGCGCAGTACTGCCGCATCCACTGTGTCAAGCCCACCATCGAGAACTCCGCGGCAGCCTCCGCTTCCGGCCACTCCTTCCAATTCGATTTTCGTCGCAACCTCTTCGATCGATGGCCACGTTTGCGTCTCATCCCTAGTGGATCAGAGGGATGTCACCCTCAGGAATTTCCGCAGGCCTATTAATTCCGTAGCCTTGTCTCCGGAATACAAGAGTGACAGAAGTTATCTATCAGGAGGATTGGCTGGAAACCTGATCTTGACGCAGGGAGGACGTCCAGGTGTCAGTGCGGAGGCCAACACCAACAGTGCTGCCGCTGCGGCTTCTGGATGGTTGGGCTCTATCGGACTCGGTGCAAACACTGGGAGAGACACTATACTGCATTCGGGTGAAGGCAGCATCAGTTCAATTAAATGGTCACTCTCAGGAAGATACGTGGCATGGGCAAATGAGCAGGGTATCAAGATAATGCGGTCCAATCTCAAGCTGGAAGGTATCGACTCGGATTTTGCCTGGAGGCGGATAGCCCACGTGGATCGGCCCTTCCATGGCCAGTGGGAAGATATGGCCTCTGTCTGGAAAGCCCGGATTGAGTGGATTGATGAGAACAATCTTGAACCAGATGACGACGCCCCCGTCAAAAACGGTATTACTCGCTCTGGAACCGATGCTACAGACATCCAAGGCTCGCCAAGCAAGAATGGCACAAAGCGTCTGAAGCCAAAGACAGAGAAGCTCTTGGTCGGTTGGGGCGATACTGCTTGGGTGATACAGGTCGATCCAGGCGGAGCCGGCACAGGAAGAAACGTTGGAGAAAGGTCTGCGGGGCGTGCAGACATTGTTCATAAGTAAGGAACCACGAATCAGGATAGGGAGCGTACATTGACTGACAGAACAGGCTTCGATTCGACGACTGTATTATTTCTGGTTTATCGCTTTATACCCCTTCCATACTTCTTGTTCTTGCATATCGCACTCGCGATGATGACGATAACCCTATCAATACCACTACCACGGACACAGCCAAACGGGGAATACACCACCGATCCAGTGGAATCCAGCCTGAGGTCCGCTTAATAGACGCAGATACCTCTGAAGAGGTTGATGTGGACACTCTGACAGTCAGCCGATTCGAGACCCTCTCGGCAGCCGACTACCATCTCGGTACCCTCTATGTTCCAATCCTGTACCCAGGGAGTCCGACGACGCAGCGTGGGGCGCTTGAGACGATTAGCGAGGGTATCTGGGGTGCCGGAGTGACGGCTCAGCGAATTCTTAGCTCAGGCGCTTCCATAGCCAGCTTGGGGAGCAGCGGTGAAAATGGCAAGGATCGTTTACCGCGCAGCATGACCGGACAATCATCCATTGCTAGAAACTCCTTGGCAAAGGCAGGCCACCCTCTAGCTGTCTCATCCGGCTTGAAGATCTTCATCCACAGTCCCTACGACTGCGTCATCGGTGTGAAGCGTGACCTTACAGACCACCTTTCGTGGCTTCTGGATCACCAGAACTACGAAGATGCGTGGGAGTTGGTCAACAATCATCCTGAAATCGTATCGCCGCCTCAACAAGGTGAAGATCCCATGTCCCCAACCATCCTCACGCCAGTCTCTTCACTCCGACGGAAGCCCAGCATAGCAGAGTTCTTCGCAGATGATGCTTCTCAATCCACCATTTCTGCCGAGAAACAGCACAACTCGGCCGCGGAGAAGGAAAAGCGCCGCATCGGTGACTTGTGGATGCAACAGCTTGTTTCTGCAAAAGATTGGAAAGCGGCTGGCAAAGTGGCAGGGAAAGTCCTTGGAACGTCGTCACGATGGGAACACTGGGTTTGGGCATTCGCTCAAGCTGGTCAATTCGACGCAATCACCCCATACATCCCTACAAAGCAACTCCATCCGCCGTTGCCTTCTCTTGTGTACGAGGTCGTTCTGGGCCACTACATCATTCGCGACCGCGTCCGACTGAAAGAGCTTTTGGATCTGTGGGATCCGGAACTGTTCAATGTGAACAGCGTCATCAATGCACTGGAAAGCAAGCTGGATGCCGGAGACATCACCGAAGACACGGTCGAAGGAGGCGAACGAGGGAGAGACTGGCGCATTCTTATTGAAGCTCTCGCCAAGCTATACATTGCCGACGGTCGTCCTAAGCAGGCCCTGCAATGTTACATTCGCGTGCAAAATGCTGATGCCACCATGTCTCTCATCCGCGAGTACCGTCTTGCGGCTGAAGTTGCCGACGATATCCCAGGCTTCATCATGGTCCGAATCTCTAGAGAGCAAATGAAAATGGCACCCTTAGAAGAGCTGGAGGAGGCCTCTTCAGAAGCCGTGCAACTTCTGGTTGAAGATGCCTATCAAGGATTGGTAAACCCCCACATTGTCGTTGAGCAGCTTCAGGAGAGAGGCGACTCGTTCAAGCCTTTCCTCTTCTTCTACATGCATGCTCTGTGGACCGGCAAAGGGAGCGAAAGCGAATTGCGTACGACTCATGCTCGCATTGTTGATGAAGGAAGGACAATGGTCGAGGATTTTGGTGATCTCGCCGTGGAGCTCTTCGCTGAGTATGACCGAGATCTTCTGATGGAGTTCGTGAAAACCTCGCAAAGCTATGACTACGAAAAGGCTTGCGCCGTATGCGACGCTCGTCAATACATCCCCGAGCTTGTGTAAGTTTTCGATACACCGGCATGCTAAGGCAGCAGAAACTGACAATCATGCAGCTACATCCTCTCCAAGACTGGCGAAGTAAAGAAAGCCCTGTTCCTCATCATCGACAAGATGGGTGACGTTTCGTACGCCATTTCCTTTGCCAAGGAGCAAGACGATCCAGACCTCTGGGACGACCTGCTCGACTACAGCATGGACAAGCCGCACTTCATCCGCGGGCTCCTCGAGGAAGTCGGCACCGCCATCGACCCCATCACGCTGGTGCGCCGCATTCCCGAGGGTCTCGAGATCGAGGGGCTCAGAGACGGCATCCGGCGCATGGTCAGGGAATACGAGATCCAGTTCAGCATCAGCGACGGCGTCGCCAAGGTCTTGCGGAGCGAAGTCGCCTCGGCGATGGAGACGCTGCGGGCGGGGCGGAAGAAGGCCGTCAAGTTCGAGGTCGTCGACAAGGAACCCGACCACGTCGACGTCTTCGTCGAGCCGCTGCTGGACGCACAGGACGTCGCGGAGAAGAACGACGCCGCTACCATCACCGATCGCGTCGACACGGCTGCCAGCGGATTCAAGCCAGGGCATTGCGTGGGTTGTGGGAAGGCCTTCACACAAGATGGTACGTCAACAATGCTACATCCCTTTCCTTTTTTCCTCCTCCTCAAAGAAGTAGGACTTGATAGCTAACTCATTTTGAAACAGAGAAGGAAACCCTCATCGGCTTCGCGTGCGGCCACGTCTACCACCTCTCGTGCCTGCTCGACGCGGCCGGTTCGGGCTCTAGCGCTTCGGCGGCGTCGATGCTGCAGGCACAGTTCGCCGAAGATCCGGACACATCGAGCCGCAGCGTTGGCGGCAAGGTCGCGCACGCTCACCTCATCCGCAACGCCATCAGCGGCGGGTGTCCTGTTTGTGCGGAAGTGGCGGAGTAGAAGGATTGGTGTGGTGGTTTTTGGATGATGGTGGAGGGTTAGACGAAGGACAAGATAGTGGCGAGAAGGGGTAAAGCATTCTGGTGTGAAAAAGCATATTGGCGTTCTGTCGAAAAGTTCGGCGTCGAGCCGTGTCTCTCGTTGGGGCTGCCGTATGGCGATATTGTAGTGAGGTGTAGTAAAGGGGTTTGTGTGTGTGTGTGTGTGCGTGTGTCTTACTTACTGCATGGGCGGAGCTGCTGCCTACGCGGCTTTGCATAGCGATTGATTCGGCAATAACCTTCGTGTGTGAAACTTGTGGATTTTTAAAGAGGGTATATAGAATCGCGAAAAACAAAAAAACGCAAGGCACTGTTTGAGGACATTCTAAAATGCAAGTACAAATCCTCTGTCAGACGTATGTATCTACACATTACCGGTGTAGGAGTTGAGGTCACCGCTATTAGACTAATAGACTATTTTCTTTTTTTTTCCCCTGTGGACTTTGTGAAGAGCAAGCCGCACACAAAGGAGGACCTAGAGAAGATACCAAACAAACACCAACCAGGTCTACAGAAGGCCATCAGATAGCTTAAATATGATCACTATAACGATCATTTCAGCAGAACGCTAAAAGAGAGAAAGACACTGTTTCAACTAGTCGGCCCAGGGAGCTTACAAAATAAGTAGTCTGGGTCATCACTTCCTTCTACTCGCAACTTTAGGGATTCGATGAGTGATAGATACCAGTTGAACAAGTGAGATTAACCACTGCTGCTCCTTCTAAATGATCAGCTAAACTACTTGCTGATATACATGAATTACTGGAAATTTGCGTAGCTGTTGTTTTGTATAAAGCAGTAGACTAGGGTAGGTACTTGGTGTTGAGAAAAAGCAACAATACACGGCAATTTAAAATGGCAATGAATATAAGGAATTGTGATGTCTGACAATATATTACGCAGCACGCATGTGTATAAAGCTTCATCTATTGGCTAAGAGAACAAGCAGGCATCACATAGATGAGCGGCGCGAGATGGCTCCGAAGCATTCATCTGCACTCTTGTTTACTGGACAACATGTGCAATAAAGCCACATGTTTACTAACAGAAAGAAGTGAACATGGACAGAGGACCGAGGACAACAGCCATTGAAACGTGCAGCTTTTTCCGTGTCCGGCGGCGTCGCAATTAATAAGATTCGAAATGAACACTACACCATCGGCAGCAAAAGCAGAGCCATTTTCAAATTCCTTTTTTCAGGAATGTGTTTCAGACGATTTGTCCAAGCTGAAGAATTCCGCCAGAGGGGAGAATGTGTTCGGGGCGGAGCGAGCGCCTTTCCCACTCAACAGTATCCAGGATCGCAGGAAGTCGAATGGCTGGACACGGCCGAGATCTGCATCGTCAGTTGCCCTGGCTCTTTTCCACGGCCCGCTTGCAGAGAAAAGAAATATGCGTGCAAGAAACCGGGTTGGCGGTCTCTATTCTTCTCTCCTCCACTCACAGCAACCGACGTGCCAGCCCAAGCCGAAGTAACTCTATCTTTCCAGCCACCAATGGGTGCGGCAGGCTTGAACCCGCCAGTCTTTTCAGCTCATCTCAACAAACCGAGTGCTCACTAAACGACCACCGACCAGGAGGTGCGAGCCAATGGTCTTCAGAAGAGACCCTGTCCCGCAATTTTCCTCAGTAGCGCCTAGTAGTCTTTGGTTTCTCCGTAGCGTCGCGAGCGTCCTGTTCAGTGCACCAGTGTACCTCATCAAGATCGGAGGAATCCCGGTTCATCGAGCGTTCGATCGGTTAGCAGGACCGGACAATGGTCGCAGTATTAGTGACAATTAAGCGGGCTTGGGTCGGTTCAGGACCCCCGGCCCGGAGAGTAGAGAGACAGAAGGAGGGGAACCGGGGAGTGGTCGGCTTGGAAAGGGAAAGAATAGACGATGTCAACCAGTCAATTAATCAATCATGCAGGTACCGGGGGATGGGGAGGACTGGTTCTTTCTTATCACATCCATGATGACGCATTGGCTGAGAGGCTGCCTACTTTTTTTTTTTTTGGAGTCGAGAAAGCTTCGCATGCATGCCGCGTCTCCACGTTCTCTTCCGCCTATCAGGACGCGCACCGCCGGAGAAACTCGATGGTTTGAGACAAGCGTGGTTGGAGTCTTGTTTCGCCTTGTTGCTCATGCTTGTTTTGTGTCTGTGTGTGCATGTTTTCGGTTTGGTTTAATATATGAGAAGCGCACGGTGCACTGTTGTGTGTTGATAAGGTAGCAAGACAACCGGTTACCATGTGCCGAGGTTTCTGGTCAAGCGCCAAGTTTTCGTAGTTGCTGGCTGTTTGAGGCGTTCTTTTTTTTTTTTTTTACGTTTCCCTTATCCAATGGCACAGGCGCCTATCATCAAGCCACCGCGTTTCACTGGTGCTGAACCGGGATATAGACAGGATTCTTCCTGGAACGCTTAAACACCTTAAGCATAGCGAAGTGCAGGGTTGCGGAGCAAAAGAAACTTGACTGCACGAGGAAAAAGGAGCCGAGGCGTGGTTTGATAATGGTTCTGTTGTCGTCGCAAGCAGTGGGGAGTGAGCGGCGCGGCCAAGCCGGGGTGGAGGTGCGGATCGGCTGAAGATGTGGGGAGCGCCGTTGATGAACCCATGCAGCGCCGTTGATGGTACAGGAGCGATGTAGCAACACGACGCAGAGAGGGGAGAAAAAGGAAAAAAGAAAAAGAATATCTAGGTGCGACGACAGCCCGCCATTTTCTACCTTTTGCTCAGCTTCTTGCCCTGGCGACCAGACCACGGAAAGCAGGCAAAGCGAAATCGGGATCGAGACGCGTGCGTGCATGTGGTTTCCCGCTCCCCATCTCCTCATTTGCGCTTGCATGCCCGCCATTCCGCGTCCGGATGGTGCAGCCGCTCAGCTTTTTGGGCCGGCATGGATTGCTGCTTTCTGGCCATCGTCTGTGCGCACAGCGCAATCATAAGTTGCAGCTGTTAATTCCCGTAACAGGGTTCCCAGGATCATTAACACTCTGGTCGGTGTTGCACACGGCAACCAAGAACAGGCGCCGCGGGCCGAGAGCAGAATCAATGCTGCCCGACTCAGCAAGCCTTTGCTCTGGCAATCGATCGTTGAATGGCCGCTGATGACGAAGAGGCAGATTGCCGCCACAAAGGCGGTAACCACTCCTGTCGTTGTGCAACGCTCCCGGCAGGACGCACCCCGTCGCACGACCGAAGCGTCATATCTCCCCTCGTGTGTCCTGGACCCCCTTCGCTGGCGCCGCCGGAGGAGACCATCGGCCATCGAGTGCCGCGCTTTCCTGGCAGGTGCAACGGTGCGGCGCGGCGGGGTGGCTGGTAAAGCAGGAAAAAAGTACCGGGCGGCGCCAATGACTGACTTAGGTACCCACGCAGTCCCATGTGGACAGGGGCACACACGCAACGAGCCACAAGGGAAAAAGCGTGGAACGAAGGGATGGGAGGATACTACACGCCAGTGGCGGGAAGCACAGACTGCCGCTGCTGTCGATGGAGCCTCTCTGGTTGTGACAAACGAAAAATAGACAGAGGGGAGCCGCGTCCATGTCGTGTCGCGTCTGTCGTGAGGGGTTCTCTCCTATGTTCGTTTTCGCCGTGCGCATCGCTGACCTCCATCATCCCTTTGCTGGCGTGCGACTATCGGGTGCGAAATATGAGGATACCCCATCGTGTGGCTCGCTCGCCAAATTGTCCCGTCGTCTAGAGCGAGACAGAAGCACGCTGCTCAAGCCAATCCGGTCGCTGCGTGCCTTGCTCCAGGGCGAGATGTCCAAGTTGTCTGCTGCACCGAGCTAAGACGACCTGCAGGAGAAAAGTAGCTTACCCCCTGTCTCTGCGTCAGCCAACTCCTAGCAGCGGCTTCAGCCGATCTGAGTCTTGGTAGAACGGAGGGAAGCAAGAAAGCTTGACTGTCGTTGCTGTGAGGGCGTGGGTGGGTGGCTGTCACAAAAAGGCGGATGGCTAGCGGTGGCTGGCGGGCATGTTCGCTGGCACCGCAAGTGACGGCGGTGGCTGGGCGGCTGGACGGTAGGCGGCGCGCGTTGGCCCAGGCTTGCCTGTTCCTTATCGCTCCGCAAGCCGTGCGCCAGCGTCAGCCACTAAAACCCCGGCCGCACCCTGACTCGCCGGCGCGGGACACCGGGCGCTAGTCAATCGCTGACCCGTGCGCGCAGGGATGCACATCAAGATTCATCGAGCACATTGTGGAAGGTGCTCCGCCGGTGCAACGCGTTCAAGTAAGTGGAGTGAGGTCAACGGTGACTCAGATTGTTCAATGAAACTGTCAACAAGAAGAGCCCACCAACTATGACCTCCACGCTATGCCCAGAATTACAGACCCTTGTCTGGATAGTCAAGATGATTCCACGCCTTCCATTACCGTTTCCGCCATGCCTTTCCAGGTCTTGATGATATCGTACTCCCATAAACCCATTTGACGCTCGTTACCAAAGTTGAAAAGGAAATGTGGATGTGTTGGGGCCCTGTTTAAGCAAGGGCGACGAAGATGCCGGCGGCGAAGAGGGCGGCCATGGCGTTGTCGAGCTTGACAGCCGCAGCAGCGCTGGACGGCGCGAGCGACGAAGACGCAGCGGCAGAGGTACCAGCCGCCTCGCTCTCAGTGGGGCTGGCACCGCCACCGGTAGTCTCGGAAGCACCAGCAGAGCTAGATCCACCAGAGCCACCAGCCGACGACGAGGCCGGAGCACCGCCAGTCTCGGTACCCGAAGAGGGAGCAGGAGCCTCAGTGGTGCCAGAAGCGCCCGACGTAGCGGCGGGACCAGTGCCAGCGGGAGCCGTGGTCGTGGGAGCGGTGCCAGCGGGAACAGTGCCGGTCTCAGTGCCAGTGGGAGACTCGGGGCCGCCAGGGTTGGACTCAGTGGCGCTGCCAGCGGGGCTGGTCTCGGTAGCGGGAGCAGAGGTAGCCGGAACAGTGCCCTCACCGGGGGCAGTCGTGGTGCCAGGAACAACACCGCACTCGGTGACAGTGACGGTCACGGCGGTGGGGCACTCGTCGCGGCGGATGAGGTCGTTCATGCCGTGCATGTTGCCTGAAGATCTTGTTATGACAATGCGACCTTCGAACGAAGCTTGGGCTTGACTTACCGGCCGAAGCCACGGCGACCAGACCGAAGGTGACGAGGACGTTGAGACCGAGCATCTTGACTGTTGTCGTAGTGATTGGAATAAGATCTGAGGCGCGAGGCAAATGGAGCTGAGACGATGAAGCGAATGCTTTGGATCGATGTCTGTAGAGGACGAAAAGTGAGCCGGGAGTCGGATGGTGAGCTGGCGCAGCGAGGAAGATCAGGAAGAGCTCTAAGTTGAGACTCAATTGAAAATGCGGTGCGCGCGCCTGTTGGAAGGCAGCTTACCTGACGCTTAGCGATGCCTTGCGAAGGTGGTCGGTGAGGAGGAAGCAGAGGGCGCGGAGGGTAGGATGGCTTTTATGGAAGCAGAGCGGGCGCTAAGCGAGCGCACGGGCCAGGGATGACCAGCAGGGTGGGCGGCGTGCATGCCTTGATCCGCAGCCTGGCCGCTTTGTTGTGCAACGCCCGCAGCTGAAACGCCCTGTGCCGCCCGCGCTGCAGATGGCCACCCCCCGCCAGACCTCTTGCAGCCTGCCATCATTTCGCCGCTGCAAAGCTGTGTTTGCTCGCTGCTCCATGCCCCCGCCCACCTGCGCTGCGCCCTGCACACGCCGTCGCCCTCGCTGAGCATGACGATCAGGCCAGCGCCCATCGGCGCGGGTATGACGCCGCTTGGTATGCAGGACCGCTTTCGTGAGCCGATCGCGCCCTCAACCACTTGGTCACGCTGCATTTACTTTGGTCTGACAGCCGGTATACTAACGGCGACGCCATTTTCTGCGCTACCATTGGGTCAGGACACGGCACTTCCAAGTGCCGCCGTCCGCGTAGCATGCCACTCCTCCGCGACTTCAACCTTCTGTAGAATCTTCTCATGTGCAAACGGCAATGAATGCAACCTCGTGCTCTTTCCTCTCCCGTTCATTCCTCGATGAGCTTGTCTCGCCAACTGTGTTCGCCAATGCTCGCCGGCGTCAGTCGCGACTGCTGCACTGGAGATGCGGCATCGCCGATGACGCAGACCGAGCGACTGCCACTTCCAACTCGCGCCTTCCCCATTCTCAGACGCCTTCGGCGACTATTTCATCATCGCTTCTCGTCTTCCTCTCCTCTTCACCTTTCTCTCCACCAACTGCAGTCTTTCGTTCCGCGTCTCTCTGCTTGATTCATCATCCATCTCTTTCTGTCTCCTGCTCTCGTTGCTCATCCTCAAAATGCTGCTGCTCAAGCTTGCTCTGGCTCTGGCCGCTCTCGTGTCTGCAACTCTGGCTGTCAAGCATGGAAGTTGTAAGATCCAAGAGCTCACGCCTCCAGCTACGCTTGCTTGAGTGCTCACTGAGGAACAGACAGCCTGCCGACCAACACTCTCGCCAACCGACAGTGTAAGCTGTCTCCTTCGAAGACAGTTCGCCGAGCTCATTGCTGACGAGCGGTTGCAGATGAGCCCGAGTACACGACTAGCATCGTCTTTGTCGATGTCATTCCGGCCGTTACCACTTCCACTGTCTTTGCAACCTACGAGGTCACTGTCACCAGCTGCCCCAGCTCTGTCACTGCCTGCCCGACTCTGTCTGCTTCGGTCTTCACCTCTTACATTCCCGTCTCGACCACGGTGTGCCCGGTGACCCTGACGTCGTCGTACACCAGCGATATCACCACAACCTGGTACCCTACGATCTCGCCAATCTCCTTCCCCTCGGGCTCGTACCCATGGACGACGGCTCTTCCGTGGACGACTGGCCTTCCATGGACGACTGGGATCCCGTGGACGACAGACCTCCCGTGGACAACCGACCTGTCTTGGACGACAAACCTTCCGTGGACGACAGACCTTCCGTGGACAACTGGACCGAGCTCTTCTTCGACGACGTTCACCATTTTGCCTCCTTCGCCCACCTCGCCCATCGCAGGCACCACTTGGTCGACGACCTATGGCACTGGCGTCACGTCCATCTCGCTGTTCTGGCCTCCTACCTACCTTTCGATCGTGCTGCCTCCGACCATCGTCTACACTCACTCGGACACCATCACCCTGGGCGGACCAACCACGTTTGTGACTGCCACTTCCACTTTCACGCTGTCGGTTGAGTACCCTCCGGACTTCACTTCCCTCTACTCACCAATCACGGTGTCCTCGGATGCAACCTCGGCCCTTCCGGTGTCGGGATACTCTCCCAATCCAACTTACTCTTCGGCCTCAGCACTTCCGGTGTCGACCATGTACCCGCCAAGCATTGAACCGTCGTTCACTGCAAGCTTGAGCACCCTGTCTGTCGAATCTACCGAGTTTCCATCCGGCTTCTTCCCGTCAACTGCCAACCCTTACTCGGATTCGACGACTGAACTGCCTACGGATGCTTCCTCGGGACTTCCAGCGGCTACCGGACCAGCCTCGACCCAGGTACTCTCGTACACCTCGGTGACTGTCATCTCGGTGAGCACATTGACTTCCGACGCCCTGGTTACGCCGACGTACATTGGCGACAGCTCGGCGGCGCTCCCGGCCACAACGGACGGTTTGACTTCTTCTGTATGGCTGACACCCGCCATTCCACCCTACGTCCCGTCGACTCCAAATGCCACAGGTACCACAACAATCGCCTCCAATGCATTGGGAACTGTTGGCAGCACCACTGCGGCACCTGTCACGACCGGAAACGGCAACATCAGCAGCACCCTTCTTACTCCGACCGCTCCCCTGTCCATTTTTCAGGGAGTCGGCACCAAGCACTTGGCTGGAACATCGGCTACAGCTATCATCCTCGCTGTTATGGCAGCTCTCTTCTAATTCACTCCTCTCCGACACTAGTGGGCCATGTGGATGATTCATCAGTATCTTTTGCTGACCAAAATCCGTTCTTTTCACTCATGTCAACAATGTCTTTTCTCATGCTTCAGCATTGCACCACTCACCACCCGCATTTGTTGACTCATCTTGTCTACACCCTCATGTAATTCCACCTTCGATGTATGCATTCACAGAATAGAGCTCAATGTGACACGATCAATGCAAATGGATTCACATCCTGGATTTGAATTTTGAGGTCCCGCAAACAACACAGCATGCAGCTAACCCCGGACGCCCGCTGCGGGACTCACGGTTGGCTGCATGGCTGAACCGAGGCTGACGTTGATGCTGTGTTCCGAGTGGTTGTGAGTGGTTGTGTCACACAACGGCAAAAATGACCAGGTGGAGCCAGAATTGCAGCTTGCAGAAGCGAGATACAAGAAGTGAAGAGAGTGAAGTAAGGAGGATCAGTAGTAGTGAAGACAAGCTTTTTTCCCTTCCTACTGTAATATGCGCGAATACGAAGGCAAGATCGCCGTTGTGCGCGGATCGACATGCACTTGGCCGGATCCCCCGGTCCAGAAGCGTTCTCCACGTCCGCAGTGGGGTGGTGAGCGCGAAAAAGACGGGAGGCTGGTCTGGTCCTTTCCGCCCCCCACCCATCCACCCACCTTTTTTTTAAACTTTCCAATTAACAATTTCAAGCTTCGAGACCCTTATTTCCCTGGCGATCGTGCAGGACTGTGGGTCTCGGGGAAGGATTCGGCCACGCCGAAAAACCCGTTGACCTCGCCGCTGCAGGCAGTGTCTAAGACATGGATGGGGGGCGGCGCCAGCCGAACGGGCGGGTTATTAGGGTCACGAGCAGGGATTGCTGCGGTGGTTCGGGAGTGGTGTGCTAGCGTTGGGGGAAAAAAAATTGGGGGGGACGTTTCATGGTTCGCTTTTCTTGGGTGGAGGTTGTGGTGGGAGGGAACGGCGGAATATCCTTGGAGGGGATTGTTTTTTTGCTTTTTCCTTTTTTTTTAATTGGCGACCCTGGTTCGTACTCAGGGTTACTATATAGCGTTGCAAACCAACTCTGGTCCGGGTGCTGGAGCTTTTATTTGTGTCATGTCGGTTTTCTTATCCCCACTCGATTTTATGCAGGTGCTCATCGTTTTCCCGCGTCCTTGTTGACAAGCAGCAGGGCTATGGCAGCGGGTATGATCAAATCTCAACGCCTTTGATTACAAAAGGGCATTGCGGCTAAAGGCCAGTGCCGAGAAAAACAGGACCTTGGAATAGAGATGGGGTTTCACCATATTTACGAGAAATTATCCGACGCACGTGGGTAATTGAGGCTATCGTCTGGACGTGAATGTATAATTTGAATTGGGCGTCTTCTTCCGGACTATAGATTCAACTACCTACGTAAGTCGAATTAATAATTATATATTCACGTTCGGATGGTAGCTTCAACTATCCATGACACAAGCAAAAGACCAGTGACGAAACTTCAAAGTGATGTCTGCTTTTGTATTCTACAGTGAGTGGTTAATGTTGTTTAAGTAATACAAGCGGTGTAGTGAGTGCTATAATACAAAAAGGGAAAGTCATATACACGGTAATACACTTCGTAATCGTGCCGTCTGTTTATCGCCTCACCCTTCAACCCTGCCACCTGACCCTCTCGCTCCGCAAGATGCTGACTAAACCAAGCGGCAGAAGACCCTTCTCGCAGATAGCCAAGCCTCCGAATCGCTTCTCCGTCTCACCGGCGTAAAGGGCGAGGATCCACTTCCAGTAGGGGCTCATCTGGACCCAATAAGATTTCATGCCGGGGGTGCTGAACCGCTCATCCGGGAGCTTCTTCAGGGCAAATGCGACCTTATTGGGCAGGTCAACGTGTTTCTCTTCGATGGGTTCCATGCAACGCTTGTACGCTGCGCTGAGCTCGCTCGAGGTTTGCTCAACGAAGCGCATGTACTCGTCCAGGCTCATGAATGATTCGTCTTCGATGTTCTTGGGTGTCGTCTGGTCAACCGGGACCTCGCCAGCTTCGAAACGTTCCTTCGCGTCTTCGTAGCCCTCTTCCTCCCTTTCGAGCGCCAAGTTGATCTCGTCGGTCCTGTGCTCACGCACATAGTGTCGACGCATCGCATTCAGCTGGACAAAGGGGTTCAGTACGCCGAGGCCACCCAGCTCAACCGGGAAGTGGAAGAAGGCGTCCGGAATCCGACGACCACTTTTGATGGCTTCGGTATTCGCAAACCGCTCCGTGATGATGTTGCGAAGGTACTCGACCACGTTGGCAGCGCCCAAGTCAGCGAAGAGGGAGCGCTGGATACGCTCAAACGTCTCGATGCACATTTCCACATGCTCGCGGCCCAGACAGTGCGCTGGTTGGCCAAAGTTGGTCGAGAAGAAACGTCCAACATAGCCGTTCCAGGCTTGCACCCACCCAAAAACACTGTCGCATGACTTCAGCTGACGCTGAAGCTCCTGGACGTGTTCGTCCACCTTTCCCTGGTCGATAACCCAGCGGCGTTCATTGGGATCCAGCTTTAAGAAGCCCCATCGAACCGTTCCCTTTGGCAGCGCCTCATGGAGCGGGACCGAGGATGACTTTTCGGGGCTCACAATCTTTACTGCTGCAGTCTTCTCCTCGTTCAGTTCCAGACCCATGACTGTGGAAAACTCCTGCAGAGCCTGCCATGCCTGGATGCAAGTGCTTTCCTGGCCCCAGAACCAGAGGTCGTCATGGAAGCGGTACAGAACAGCACCGTCGGTCTTGCGATGAACAGCGAAGTCAAGACAGAACAGAACCGCCTCGCTGAGAGCATCTGCGAGTATGTGGCCCATGGGGATGCCGTTCGTCCGGACCTTGGGCTCGGCGTTGGGGCCGTCTTGGGTGAAGATCAGAGGAGCGGCAAGGAACTTCTTGATGAAGTCAAGCCAGCCTTGATTGAAACCAAAGTACTCGAGCACCGCAAAGATGGTCGCATGAGGGAGTGCCGGACCGAACCACTTGAAATCGCTGGCCAGGATTGTGAATTCACCATACAGCTTGGTGTTGATGAGCATCTCGGTAGAGGCCAGGCGAAGCAGCTGCTGTTTGATGGCAAGTGGGGACTTGCTGTCTTCGACGTCTTCCTCGGCATCGTCCGCCATGTAGTCGCGGTTACCTTCGTCCACTTTTGATGGAAGCTGTGTCATGAAGAAGTCATCCCGGAACTCGGAGAAGCGAATGTCACGCACAGAGTCCTGTCCGCGCGGGGTTTGAATGTTGTCTTTGCCCAGGAAATAGTGGCGGCGTTGCCTGTCCACCCTTTTCATGGCACGGAAAGGAGCTTGAACCCAAGCACCGGAATGGTAATGGCCCTTGAAAGCATGCTTTAGCATGACGGCCATGTGAGCACCGATGACGTGCACAAGAATGGCGGTATGGATCTCCTCATCCATGTAGGCGCGATACTTTCCGTTCAGCTGACGACGGAGGAGAACGGGAACAGGACCAGGCCACTTCCAGTTCTGCAGGGACACGAAGTCCATGCGGAGTACATCGACCATTTCCTTGATGACCTCGGGACGGGATTGCAAGTCAACAAGAATCTCGCGCTTGGGGCCGGTAAAGAGATCGCCCTTCAGGATGCCCTTGATGGCCCAACGGATGGTAGGCTCGCTGATATCGATGTCCTTTTCCCAGTATTTTTCAATGTGCTCGCGCAGCTGCTCTAGAGGAGTCTTGTCGGCCCGTTTTGATCTCCTGGTAGCAACGAAAAGGTCGTCGAGGTACTTCTTGATGGCAGCAGTGTCTATCTTCGGCTCGTCGAAGATGTATTGCTCGAGCGTTTGGCGCTGGTCATGCATCTCCTTGCGTCCGACCATGTCGAACGAATCGGAACCACCGTCGGAGGAACTTCCTGAGGGGTCTCCCTGGGTCTTGGACGAATGTCCGTTGAGCTGGTTCATGGCGGCGCTTGGGTTCTCAATCCACTCGGTGACCAGTCTGCCGAAGAGATCGGCGTAGTTGTACTTGTCCGTCTGGATGTTGAGGTTCTGTTCAAGCCAGTCCTTCCATTCGGCTAGCAGAGTGGGTGACACGGAAGGATCATGACGAGCCTGTTCAAGGAAGCGTTTGATGTTCTCCATAGCATCGCTGCTTTCATTGAAGTTGATGTGGTGCTTCTCGAAGCCAGCCATCAGAATTCGCACCTTTTCGGCGGCATCGTCGGTCTTGCTGGAGGCGTCCAACATTTCGGCCTTCTGAGCCTCAAAGGCCTGCTGGTTCTCGGCCAGCTTGGCGAGCTTCCGGTCGGTGACATGGCGCAAAGTGGAGGTAACAGCTCCTCCAGACATGGTGATGGGTTTGGTGACGGTCGAGAAGGGCCGATCGTTTGGGGCTGGGGGAGGAATGCCTCTACCTCTGCCGAAGCCTCCTCTGCCTCTGAGCAAGCCTCTTGTTGCTCTGCCTCGGCTGTTTGCTCTGAAATCCATGTCAATGGTTGGGGGGTGGCTTGTCGTAGATTAGTTGCTGTGGCTGACCTAAGACTTTGCGGTCCGAGTAAGGAGCTGGTGCTGTGATGGTAGCGATGATGAGGAAGAAGAAGAGGAGAGGAGCTGTAGCGGGATTTATACGCCAGGGAAGCTGCGAGGTTGGTGGAAGGCACGCCGCAAGCGCTGCGGCAAACTAATGCGGACACCATGGCGATCGCCGTGAGTCAATGCGCCGCGCCTTCCTACAGCTGTTCCGCGCGAAACATCACTGTCTTGACCACAGAGCGAACGAGGCGAGTGGACTGTAGTCAGCTCAAGTAGGCACAATAGGCAACGGGGCGCAGGCAGCACCTCCAGGCAACAGGCAGGAGAAATGGGTCCTTGCAGTGTCAGGACAGATCCCTGCGCCGATCTCTCGCTAGCGCCCATGTGCCAGCAGTTTTCGCTCATGTCATGGGTAGTTGAAGCCATCATCCGGATGTTAATATCGAATTGACATTTATACATGCACGCCTAACATAGCTTCAACTGCTCACATATGTTGTTTTACCGAATAAAAAAAAAAGGGTGGAGGCAGAATGATCTCTGGGGCCATGCTATTCTTTGCGCTAGCTTTCGGCTGCAATACCCCACTGCAAGATCATCACCTTCTCCCCGCCACCGCATCTTCGGTGTCGCCAATTGCGCCCCATCCTCACACGACGGACACCGCACAGCTGCCTTCCCTAGAGCTTAGCTTTGTACAACCAAAGTCTTGTGCTGATGACGTCATGACCATTTGCAAGTGAGTTCTACGACATGCCTCTTCGTGCCATCTTCGATCAACTGACATTTGCCCCCAGAGTCGTCCAATGCGGTCGCCTCGCCCCAAGTGCTGCAATCCGAGTGCACGGAAAGCCCTGGAGGCCACAGTTCCCACCAGCAATCCATCACGCAACGGCCGGCGTCAACCCCTCTCGTCAGATCCGTTCCTACGCCTCATTCAGTCACAGCATCTCTGTTAATCTTGATGCGGCGTCGCGCTCTATGGCCGAACCGCAGATTCTTGCGGGATGCCGAAACGTCCAGCTCGCGCTGACAGACAAAGACTGGCCGAAATGGGATCCTGATGCAAAACCCCACGATCCAAGGTGCCACTCCAAGCTTTCGCACATCATTGGTGCCCTCGATTCCAGTCCAAATATCGATTTCGTATTTCTGGCCCTGTCCGACATACTTGAGCTGCCTCTTGTCCACCAGTCACTTCCAATCAAGCAAGAACGCACCCCCGCCACCATTTTCAGCACCATTGCCGTCCATGTAGAACCCGTGGACCTAGGTTTCTGGAATCTTCCCGATTACCCCTCGATATTCATCAGGGATGTGGATACTATGCGTATGTTGCAGCAGGCTCGGACCTATAAAGGGGATGCTGTTGCCTGGCAGCGAGTCATTGCAAATGCGGGTCCAGTCTACCAGGCGTATGACTACACAGCCAGCTTCCACGCCATTGACTTGGCCATCAGAAGCGATATTCCATCGGCATCTATGCGCACTGTCGATTTCGGTCCCTATGGTTCCGAATCATGCGCGACCAGTGATTTGGACTCTTTGAGCACCTGTTTTGCGGACGACCTAGCCCACAACATAGGCCATTTCAAACTCGGCAATCCATGGTTTCCTAACCTGTATGATCACATCAAGAAGGAAAGCGGCGGGGCTGTGAGTTCGAAGCTTGGATACAAACCAAAAGATACAGCATAAGCTTCGTCTCCTGATTTCCTCAAATGATGGGTCGGCATCATCCAATCAAAATCCTGGATGACCACGTCCCTCTGCTTGCTCTTCATCCTTTCCACCTTGTTTCGGTCATACACTACTGACAAGCAACGGCAGGCATGCTTTTCCAAAGGGCAACAGCTTGCCCGTTTGCTTGGCTTCCCCAACGGGCTGACCACATTTGCACCAACCCGCCGCACTCACTAATTGAACATGTTTTCGCATTACTCTATCAATTTCAGTACCAAAAGCTACCACGACCCATCAAAACTCCACAGAATCCTCCCCATCTTTGAACAGGTCAATGTAATCCGTCCTCCCGTCCACCAACCTCGGAAAGTTCAACCGCGTGCTCCACCGAACATTCCGGGTGTACGGCTGGGCGTTGTAGTCGTCTCCGTGGTCGGAGATGTCGCTGAAGCCGAGCTTGGAGCCGGCGGGGCGGTGGTGCTGGAACAGCTGGGGCTGGACGGTGAGGCAGGTGCGCAGGGGGAAGCCGTCGACGCCATCGCAAATGGAGCGGAACATCATGTCCGTGTTGTCCGTCATGCGGTGCACGCCCAGCTCGTACAGCAGCCGGCGCGCGCCCGGCTGCGACAGGCCGTAGGCCAGCGTGCAGGTGCCGACGCGCACCCGCGACACGACGCGCGTGTGCGCCGCGTACTCGCGCTGCAGCTCGTCGCTGCCGAACAGCTGGTCGAGGTGCTGCGGCTCCGGCACCGTCGAGTCGTTCGCCAGCACCACCCGGCCCAGCGGCGCGTTGCGGTCGGAGGCGTGCGGGAAGCGGACGCCGCAGTGGCCGAGCCAGAGGACGTCCCACCGGTCGATGTCGCCGTAGGGGGAGGTCGTGGGCCGCGTGGTTACGTTGTCGCTGAGCATGAAGTTCGGGGCCTTCGCGCCTGCCGCCGGCGAGGGGTACGTGGGATCCAGAAACTGATCGGTCGTGCCGGGGAGAGGCTGGACGAGCATTCGCGATGCTCGTGCAAAGTCTCGCAGCTGTGATTTTATGCGCAAGTCCCAATCGGCATCGTCCTCGAGGATGAGTGCGGTAGTGATATTCTGCTCGACGATTCTGTCTTGTGTGTCAGCCAGTTCGATTATTGAGTCGAAGTCCCTGGCGTACTTACTTTCTCAGCACATTAACATGTGCGCGCCAGGCACCTAGGCTCCCTTTGCTCAGGTTTGTCTCCTTCCCACCGGGCGGCAATGTCTTCTCCAAGACTTCAGTGACACCATCTATGTATTCAATATCTATGTCTGATAGGGCAGCAGCCAGGGACATGGAATCCCGATGGTCTGTTCGTGATGGTAAATTAATTACGAATATTTTTTGAAACTGCATTATTGTTAATCAATGCTCCGAATTCAAGACAGCTGGCATACTGACTCCAAGTGTTCGATTAAAGACATCACCCAGGTTGTCGGATGTATCTGAAGTAATGGAAGAAGTTGTTTTCAGGGGCTGAAGAGAGGCATTATTATTGTTGAGGCCAAATAAAAGGAAGAAAAATATGGCAAGGCTACCAGCGCCGGCCAATGCACTTCGTATGTGGAGAGATGGTGTAGGCATTTGGTTGGTTGTGTGGATAACTTGTCGAGTGGAACCCGAGGACTTTTAAAGATAGAGCGCCGTAGATAAAAATAAAGAGCTCTTCGGATGGTAGGAATGTGATAGCGTGACGGCTGTGCCGCATAGAGAGTTAGAGCAATAGAGACTATTTTGTCCAATGACAGGATAGAAAAAGTTGGGCTCTAGCTTCTAGATAGGCGCGTACACCATTCAGTCGGCGACTGTGGGTTCAGAGGAAGGCTGTGATTGGTTCTGCCAGTTGCTTTGCCGCCGACCTAGTCAGTGACAACCGCGCCGCACAAGGGGGTTTGGCAACGATCTTCATTAGTTAAGCGAGATTTATGAGCGCTGGAGATTGACTGTGCGGATAAGAGCAGCGTATTAGCCTTTTCTTACGCGTCTAATTAGAGTATTGTGGTGCACATTCAAAGCTTATCTTTGTGAGGGACCAAGCATCTACAATATTAGATGTAAGCTTTGATCTACCCCCGATCGTCAACTTTCTCAACGAATTAAGGGCTACTCAGTTTTAGGCTGCTGGTTTTGGCTTCAAATTACCTTTAAAGGTTCTACCTTCTTCAGTCCGGGATTCCTCTGTATCTCTATTCCCCTCGTATCTTTTGTAGCCTTTACGATATACCCTGTTTCCTCGTATCCCAAACCAACACTCAAACACTATCCTTTTTTTTTTCTACGCCACCTCCCTTCACCTCCCCTTCCGCTCCTCTTCCCACTCCTCCCTCAGCAATCCAAACATATCCAAATCCCGCCACACGCCCTTCTTCCATACCGCCTTCCTCAACTTCCCTTCTCGGCGGAACCCAACCTTCTCCAGCACCCGCATGCTCGCCGCATTACCGCCGTACACGCACCCGGCCAAGCGCTCCACGCCGGGCACGGTCTCGAAGACCCAAGCGACGTACGCGGCGGCGGCCTCTGTGGCGATGCCACGGCCCCACGCGGCCTCGCCCAGCCAGTAGCCCACTTCGGCGGAGCGGGCGTGCACGTCGGCCCCGGGCTTGACGCCGATGCTGCCGACGCATTCGTCGTCGACGCAGATGGCGAAGTTGGTGGTCGCAGGCCAGTCCACGGGCGGCGGTTCGGCGGGAGTGGGCAGTGACGCGACTGTCGGCGCGGTGGATGTGGGTTGCTGTGCGAGGGGGTCATTTGTGACGGCGGTGGGGCCGCTGTTGTTATCGGCGGCGGGCTCTTTGCTCTTCTCTTTCTCTTTGGGGAGGTTCATGGCGATCCACTCGTGGGCTTTGTCGAGGGTGTACGGGTGCGGGAACATGTTCGTCATCCATTGGGCGATCAGAGGGTTGTTTCCATGTTTTGCCATGCTGGCGGCGTCATTGGGGTGGTAGGGGCGGATGGTGCAGCTTTTGAGGGTGACCAGGGGAGGGGGCGGGAATGGAAGTGTCGCGTCGTTGCTACTGTTCTCCATTGCGTGAGGGTTGTTTGCGGCGTCTGTCTTTGGTGATATTGTTGAAGTGGCTGAGAGTTGTCAGTGGCACAAGGAAACGGGTAAGCTTGAGAAGAGGCTATCATGAGGTTAAAAGCTGTTGACTGCAGCCTGGCAGGTGCTGGAAATGGAAGGTGCAGAAGCCGTGGCTGAGTCACAAGATTGATATCATAATCAGCCCTAGTGGAGGATTGCATCGCTTTTAGATTGGGTTACACTCGTAACTGCAATGGTGCCATCGGTTGATTAGGCACCGCGTAGGATGCGACTGATGTGTCGTAGGACGAAAGGCGGGGAGCAGATATCGTGGCCGCGGTCGAGCCGGGGCCAGAGCTCGGCCCACCTTCCCTCTCAACGCGTTTCTCGTCCGCGACGCGTCTCCCCGACGCGTCTTCCTCGCGCAACCCACTTTAAGGCCGCATTATCCTGGCGCATTGCGCCACACGTCCGCCATACAAACATGAAGACCTACTCGCGGCTCAAACGGGCATCCTATCCCTCCTCCGAGCCGCCAACCAAAAGACGCCGCATCCTCGACGACGATGCCATATCCAGCGACACCGCCCTCCTCCGCAGCGATGCCGCCCGCTCACCACCTCACACCAGCCCACCTCGCGAAACCACGCTGGTGTCGTCAACACCACCTTCTTCTCCACCCCCACCTGCTCAAGTGACTGCCGAATCTACATCCCCTCTACAACTGCCAAAGCGCAAAACCACTTTCTCTTTCTTCGCCCGCAGAGCAGAAGCAGCAGCAAGAACAGCGACAACGACAACATCAACTGAAACCAGCCCCCAGCCCCTAGTCGAGCAGCGCAACGCCAACAATGCTCAAGCCAGCAGTTCTGCATCCTCTCCAACCATACCACCCGCCGTACCCTCGGGGAAAAGCGACGGCAAGGGCAGAGGTAACAAGCAGCAGCCGCAACGACGTCTGACGCAGCTCCAGCTCGACCTCGGTATCACTCCAGTCCAGCGCACGTGCAAGACGTGCGGCATGGCGTACGTGCCGTCGAATGCTGAAGATGCGGCGCTGCACAAGCGCTTCCACGCCATGAACGTCGGGGGCGTGGATGTGGGCAAGGGCTTTTTCTTGTCGATGAGTGGCGGCGGGGGAGGGGGAGAGGTGGTTTGGGAGAAGGGTGTGGATGGAGATTTTGTGGTTGCTGTGGGAAGAAGGGGAAAAGCAGCGGCGAAGACGAGGGTGAGGAAGGTGTTGCAAGTTGTGGAGAGGGAATTGGGAGCGGTGGAGATTCCGGAAGACGAGTTGTGGGGCCAGGTCGTGGTAGAGGGAGAGGCAGGAGGCAAGGGTGCACGGAAAGAGGAGGGAACGAGAGACGGACAAAAGACGGATGTCGACGATGGAGTTGAGCCCAAGCCGCAGAGAGCTGCTGGGGGCAATGGAAACAGCCAGATCAGAGCACGTGGGGAGGTTGTGACGCGTGCAGATCGCTTCAAGGCATATCTCTACATCAGAGGCTCAAAATGCATCGGCCTCTGTCTCGCGGAGCGGATCACCGAAGCACACCGCGTCGTAGCTTCACCCAACGACGGCCCAAATCTATCAAACTCGACAGCTGCGGCAACAACAGAAGATTCGAGGGCCCAAAAAGACTCTAAGGATACCACTCAATCACATACCGACACCCCGTCCAACCACCACGCCACAAGAACTATGCCGACAACCACACCTGGAACGCTCACGACCTCCCCCACCATGCACCCGGCCGATCTGGGAATCTCACGCATCTGGGTATCCTCCTCACACCGGCGGCATGGCATCGCCATCGCACTCCTCAATGCCGTCGCCCGCGATTTCTGCGCCTACCGGTGCGAAGAATACGACGCCAACGGTGACGAGAACGGCAAGCGTCTGCCAAAAGAGCGCATCGCTTTCAGCCAGCCCACGGACGGCGGGGCCAGGCTGGCGAGGAAGTGGTTCCGCGCGGAGACCGGATGGGGCGTCTATTGGTGAGTGTTTGCAGGAGTGATGGGGCTCATGCACATCTACATGTGACATCGCTGTTATGATTACGAGAGACCATGAATACGAGGTGAACGAAGAGAGATCAGGCAGAGAGCTGGAGATGAATCTAAGATCAGAGAAATATAGACGTAGAGCGCGGGAAGCGTCAATGATACCCACAAGTTAGAAGGAAAACGAAATATTTGACAGTCTGTCTGGCATCAAGGGAAAGGAAATGAAAAAGCTCTGTAGCAGAGTGTGTGTGAGTGCTATTCATCGAAATTCATTACACCTGGATCAGCGTACACAAGTTCACATTAATTTGCACCTTTGGAAAGAAATGCTGAGGAAAATCTTCTTCTCATTGACATCACATATCTTCGGGACGCATCATAATGCGGGCCGTGAAAAGGAAATGGACCACATGAAAAGGAAAAAAAGAAGAAAAGGGGTGTCTTCGGCCAAAGATCCAAAGCATGGGTGAATGGAGGAACTATGGATGCGTATCATCCTCTTCTCCTTTCCTACGGTGTTCTCTCTAACGCCTACGAAAGGTGGTGAAACTGATACGATGAACCTACTCTCTTTCGGCATATCTCGGTATAGAAGGGAATCACAAGGTCAAGCAATGATGGAGAGGGGTTTGTAATGGAGAGAAACAATATGAAACGTGGAGGGGACACACGTACCGAGAGAGGCGATGGAACAATGCAACGGGGGGACTTGGACACTTCCAGAAAAAGCTATACCCAGTGACATAAACACACGCTCTGTACCATGATCAGTGCTAATTCCTTTAGCCAAGCCAACCAGATCCATTCCGATGCCGATTATACTCCAATTCGCGAGTCGCTGAAAACTATGCCTTCGTGGTCGACTTCTGCCTCAAGGCTTCGACTTCCTGCTGCAGCTTGTCCAACTCACTCAGCAGATCCGTCCCCCCAACCCCACCCGCAGCATTCGGGCTCGTCAAATCCTCCTCCTTCACAGCGTACCCGCCCAACACTCTCTCACTTGCACCACTCGCCGTCCGACTCCTGTTCTTAAACTCGCCGCTCGATCGCCTACCCTCACCTGCGGCGGCTGCCAGTACGCTTGCGCTTGGGCGCTGCATCTCGAAACTGCTCTTGCTGCTTCCACGGCGGGGAGGGGGAGGAGGAGGACCAGCGCCAGTCGGACTACTAATGTCGAGCGCAGAGCCGGAAAGACGGTTGGAGCGGATGTTCAGGGAGGGGTTCTGCATGGAACTGGCAGTGGAGCGGCGGGATGAAGATCGGCTCACTGCATTGAGGTCCACAGTAGATGAAGAAGTAGCGCCGGAACGGCGAGAAGGTGGGGGTGGCGGTGGTTTGTTGAATGAAGTGGGTGGGGCTGACGTCGTGGGAGGTTGCTCTGCAGGCGAGAGGGGCGCGTCTGGCTGGGATGACATTGTTGCCGCCGAATTGCTGCGCGAACGGGCGTCAGACGACTTGAGCTGGCTGTGCCGCCGGGCTATGGGCGGGGTTGGGGGTTTGCGCCGCTGTGGCGCAGAGACCTCCGGGGTCTTGACAGGTGGAGAATTCTCCATCGCTTCATCCGAGGATTCCGGTGACTCAGCAGCATCCTTGGCAGGTACAGGCTCCACTGGTGGTGATGAGGGGTGATCTTTTTGTTTCTGACCTGGAGGGACGCGGGGTCGTGGAGGGAGCGGCTTTTGCCCATTTGACGATGTTCGCTTTGGAACATCTGATTTCGCGGTTGGGGAGGCGACGGACGGAGAAAAGTCAGAAAATGATACGGTCTGTGGTGCACGTGTTATGGATTTGCCGTGTCTGTGTTTCGGAGGCGGCGGCTTCTGTTTCGCCCGTGTTTGTTCTGCCCCGATGAGGGTTGACCGGTCGTCCTCGTTGGCGCCATCAAACGAGGTCCTCTCAAGCGAGCTCCGGGGCGTGTCGTCGTGGGCTCGGAGGACGGAATCAAACATGGAGTTCTTGGACGCGGAGGAAGCATCAGTCCCACTGCTGGTGTCGCCACCTATGGTGATGTTTGCCCTCGGCTGTGCTTCCGAGGGTATAGGTTCGTCTGCAGAAGGCAAATGAGCGCTGCCGGTCATCAGTAGCCGTTTGAACGAGTCCACGTCCATTGATCCCCTCGTCTTGTGACCAACCGACCGACCCGCTCCGCCCGGATTGGTCCTTTCCGACTCGAGGTCCTCTTGGCGCGTAGAAGGGTCGATGTTTGCCAGAGTGCGCTCAAACGGATTGGGCACGCCTGAGGAGCGCCCCCCTCTCGCAAGTTGTCCGGAAGCGGCAGGCTTCAGCGGCGCATTGTCGTCTGGGAAGTCTTGGTCGACGGGGCTCTCGTCGGACAGCTCGTGCACGATGCCGCCGTCAGAGCCGTCGCTGGAGTCGGCAGGCGGGGGCGGAGAAGGAGCATGGCGAGCGGCGCCCAGGCGTCTTGCGAGGTTGTTGTCTATTTCCGGGCTCGACGGTTCCGGCGGAGAGGCCGGAGGGGATGCTAGACGAACATGCTTCTTTGTCCGCGCAGGCGCTGTAGACATTGAGTCAACATGGAGCTGGGAGGCAGGACAGGAGGGCAGGGCAAGCTGTACCCTTCTGGTCAGCGGCAGGCAACTGTTCGGCGGCTGGGCGGAAACCGTCGGGGCTGGCGGGATGCAGCGCAGGCGGCGGCTGGGAGCGGCGGAAGGGGTTGCCTGACATGGCGGCGTCGGGGCGGCGGTTTGTTCAGCAGAGCATTATAAGTACAGCAGCAGACGTGTGGACATGGCGGGCGCGGCGGGAAGGAGTCGGGAAGAGGTGGTGAGGCTTGGTCGCTGATTATCAAGTCGGTCTCTCGGGGCCTTCGTCCATCCCACGTCACATCCCTGCTCGCCGTTCTCGACCCCGCCACGGAGCCACCTCAGAACCCCACCGGCTCGCTCGGCCTTTGCGCAATCCGCCCATGATTCTCTCCGCCATGGCCGCTCGATACACTTTCTTGGCACGTCCTAAACCATCGCCTGATGCAAGCATGTTGCTGCCGCCTCTTCTGGGCCCACGCTTGCCTAATGCGGCAGCTGCCGTCAGGTACCGGGAAGCGCAGGAGCGCTGGAGCCAAGGATCTGATCTTTGAGCATGTCCAATGGATCGGATCCTTCCGCACCGCTTCTCGCAGTTCACTAGTGCAACATCGCGCAATTGACGTCTTCTCTTATTTACAGCAAGCTGCGGCTACCTGCCTTTGAATACCGGCTTCCTCTTCTCTCTGAACGCTGCGAGAGCCTCGTACCTGTCCTCCGTGTCCACAACAGCGTTATACATCTCATTCTCCACCGCTTCTCCACCAGCGCAGCCCTCAACAGCCGCCAACCCGGCCCTGATGGCAATGGGCGCCCCTTCGCAGATCTCCATGGCCACCCTCACAGCTTCGTCCAGCACCTTCTTCCGCGCAACACCCTCCTGGCCAATTTCCTCCGGCAGCACCTGCACGAGTCTGTCGCACAGTCCCAGGAAATACGCCTCCGGGCCACTGACGCGACGGCCAGTCAGGACGAGGTCGCGCGCGCGGTTCAACCCGATCAGCGCGGGCAGTCGGTAGGTGCCGCCGGCCCCGGGTATGATGCCGAGACGGGTCTCGGGCAGTGCTACGGTGGCGTTGCTGCTGAAGACGCGCAGGTGCGTCGTGAGAGCGAGCTCAAGGCCGCCGCCAAAGGCGAGCGACGAGATGGCAGAGATGGTCGGGACGGGCAGCTGGGAAATGGACGTGAAGGCGCCACGGAGCTTCGACAGGAACTCGGCTGTCCTGTGAGTAACATGGCATGGTCAGCATAAATCCCGTGCGAAAAGGTTTGCTTGGATCCACGGTGGGCTGGCTCACTCATCCTGAGTGAAGGTCGCTCTCTCCTTCAGATCCGCACCGGCACAAAAACTGGTGTCGATCTCGCTGGCTATGATGAGGGCACGTGTGGTGGGTTTGCTGCCCTCGTGATGGATGTCATTGACGTGCCGGATGAGCTCTGAAAGCAGAGCCTTCGAGATGGCGTTGCGGGTCTCCGGCCGGTTCAGCGAGAGCACGCGAATGGTGCCGCTGTGAGGTGCGGGGATGTTGGTGAGCTTGATCAGGGGCTGCGCAGAGCTCGAACTCGCCCGACAGTTGACAGGCACATTGCGCAGGAGAGTGCGTGCGAAGAGCGGCGCGCGGTTGAGTACTGGCGGCATGTTGTGAAGATGTTAGAAGCTCAAGCTCGGCTGAAGCTCTGATGCGAAGCAATGTGGGGAAGCTGCCGGACGCCTAAGGCCGAGGGTTTCCGCGGCACGCTCCAGAGACTAACACCGTGGCTTGCAGCATCTTGTACACAATCTTGCATGAATAATTGCGGAAGTGCTCTTCCAAGAAAGCAATTTTTGTACAACAAATAAGCACTAGTCTTGATGCTACACAACTGATAACACCTGCAGGAGCCACCGTACCATTTCACAAAGACGCTTCCCAGGAGCTGGTTTAATAGTAACATCATCCTCGAAATGCAGAGCCCGACTACTTGTAGTGAATATTCAATTGCTCTTTTTCATACTGACAGAGAATAAAACATAGCATAATTTGACAGATTCCTTGTATCGGGGTAAGCTAGCGAAATAGGACCAGTAGAACGGCACAAATGATTCTAGACTCAGCTTACATGACGCCGGCGGAAACTACAACCAAGGTCCCTGTAAGCTTATCGACGTCATTAGCTCTAATTTCCAGCACTACGTTACCATAACGTAGGAAAATAGACCATCAATTTGGATCCCAAAGCTGTTGGGGGAAAAAGGCCGGCTGCTTAACCCATTGACAGTTGGCCCGTTCCACAATTATGATTTATCTGGAGAGATCAAAGTGGGCAACACCAATAACACCAGAAATAGAATAGGAAGTGACATCTGCACTACAGTCAATAAGGCAAACCCTAAGTATTGTGTTCATAGTATTGATATGTGGCTAAAGATCATCGATCGTCAACCAGCGCGATTACGGTAATCAGGCGGACAATCCTGAGTGTTAGCCGTACGAGACCTTGAGAATAGGAAGCGTCGAGCACTGGCCTATTGGAGATGAAGCCTTATGACTCTGTACGTTGACCTACAGTCGGGACTATCGGCAGATGACGTGTATCCTATAATATCGTAAGCCTCGTATTAACCTCACAATTAGATACGTCGTGCAAAAAGGTAACGAAAACAACGGATGCATTTCCCACACAGAGGCTATCTACTCAAGTCAAAGCTATCCGGCGCATGGAGCAAAAAGGGAAAAAGAGCACGTGCGAATTCAGAGATCCTTAGGGACCACCGACAACACCAGGACCCACAGGCACAGTCGTGGAACCAACCGGACTAGACGTCTTGTTCAATGGGCTGGTCGGGTCTCTCTGGCTGCCTGGCGCACTGCCACTTCCTGAACCGGTGCCGCTGCCACCACTGCTACCGCTGCTGCCCTTGCGCGCCTTAGTTCCGTTCATTATCGGTGCGTTGAACGCGCCGAACTGGCCGTTACCAAGTGCACCGGGAGCAAAGGAGAAATTAGGCGCAGCAATGGGTGCATAGGCTGGTGGAGGGTCCACATTGTGATCAGTGAAGCCAGACATGTCGGAGAGCATAGAGCTGGACCGGCCTCGGCCTTCGCGAGGAACGGAGCTAGGCGTGCCGTTCAATTGTCCGGCAAGCGGCGGAAACTGGAACACCGGCGTGTAGTTGTGCGAGGCGGATCCGGTAGTGCCAGGGAGCGGGCCTTCGGGCGTGGTCGGAACTGACGGCGGGCTGGGATTCTGCTGCTGTTGCTGCTGGAGCATCGCCTGCAGATGCTGGATCTGCTGGTTGATGTACATTGTCTTGCTCTGAATGTCCATGGCATTGTGCTCGTTGTTGATGATCTGGCCGAGGTACTGCGACTCGTGCTGAGCTCGTGTAGCCATCAATGCCGCGCGTTCGTTGAGTTTCCGGGCCTGCGCGTCTTGATCCTGGGCGTTCATCGAACTGAGGCGCTCGTGCTGCTCATTCAGCTTCGCTTGCCGCGCCTGGAGACGTTCGCGTTTCTTCACGATCGAAGCGTACTCAGACTCAGCATTGGAAACCTCCTTGTCAGCCTCAGCTTTGCAGCGCTCGAACTCCTCGGTAGCAGCAGTCAAGCGGTCTTTCTCCTGGCGCCATTTACGTCCCTCGGTCTTGAATTCGGCCAGATCTTCCTCCGGAATGTTGGCCAGGTTTGAGTTCTGAGAAGACATGTCTGAGGCTGCTTCTTCCGCTTGGCGAATTGCCTCAGACAATTGTCTCTTCTTCTGCTTCAACCTGTCATCGTTGCCACCCGAAGTCTGTATCTTGCCTTCCACCGTGTCGACTTCTTTTTTCGCCGCTGCAAGGGCCTTGCCATGGGATCTCTGGTTCCGCTTTTGCTGCATCTTCAATTCCTGGAGCTCGTGTTCGAGGTTGGTGACGTTGTTCCGAAGCAGAGTCCTGGGGGACTGCGGTCGAAGGGTCTGATGCGCTGGAGGAGAAACGGCCGAGGCTGTTCCACAAAGATCAGAAAAGTCACAGATGGTCGGTAAAGAGCACATACCTTGCTCGGCGCTTGGAGCAGCCTGGGTGATGAGACTGGTAGAATGTATGGTAGCCCGATCATCCGTCCTCACGAACTCGCACTTGTAGTTCTGCTGAGACGTGAGACCAAAGATCTTGCCGGACCACATCCCCAGTGTTCCATCACCCGCCTTCTGGTCCTGACCGGCCGACGCGATGTACGTAGACGCCCAATTAGTGCCATTGAGACGCACGTAGAACGGCTTCGACTTGTCGATGCCTGCTCCAAGGCTTGATTCTTGCTCCTCCCCCCCGTTTTCCTTCACCGTGCTCTTTTCGACCACGCTAGCACCAAACGAGATCTCCGTTGCGCCGACGTCCAAAATCCACACCCTATCCTCCCCGGTTTTGAAATGAGCGTTGCCAATGTGATTAACATCCGTTGAATTCGCCTCATGACTGTCAGCAGACTCGCTGCTCTGCTGCACCTCCTTCCAAAAAGTAACTTTTGTGCTCGCAATAGCGGCCCAAAAAGGTTGTTGACTCCGAACCTGAGTCGCCTGCCTTTTCTTTTTCTTAGAAACAGAACTGAAAGATCTCTCTCGACCATCGACGCCTGAAGGGGAGGGCCCGGGATGCCGGCCGTCGGCTGCAGCTCCTGTGCTGCTGTCTATCCCGGAGTCCGGGATGGAACGGGGCAGTTGCGGAGGGGCCACGGTGTCGACATCGGTCCTCCTGCTCGACGTCGTTGTCGGGAGTCGGTCTTGCTTGGCTATAAACCAACGCCGGCCAAGCCGGAGTATTCCCTGCGACAAAATATGCAATCCCAGCACGGAGCGCGGCCAGCCGTGGGATACGTGTGCGGACTCCGGGTAGATCGAATCGGAGGATGGAGGGGTAAAGATATCGAATCCGCCCCTGGACAATACGAAATGGAGGTAACGGAGGACGTAGGTGCGGATTGTACGGTGACGATAGGCGTGAGAAAAGAAGATGATGCCTCCGCAGACAAGCACGCTCTGCGAGACGCCGCCTTTTCCGGCGGCGGCGCCTCCCAGCGAAATTGCGATGACGGCCTGAGCCAGGTCGAAGGCGATGCCTTGGGCGAACATGGGAAGGAAACCCCATATAATCAAGGCAAACAGATCACAAAGCACGATGGTGCCCAGAGAAGGCATGCCTTGCGATCCCTTGAAGACCTCGCTGAAGCTAGGGAGACTGGACAGCGAAGCGGTGCTGCTCGGAGGCACGAATGTGAGGGTAGCGAAGAGCAAATGAATGACGGTGAGGACGGTCGAGGGCAGCTGGAGGAGGATGATGAGGATGGCGACGACATCCCACACGGGGCACGAGGAGATGATGGTCATGGCCGTCGAGGCGGGGCTGCCCTTGTGGCCCATCTGGCTGCGGTGCTGGTGCACGGCGGCGCGGTGCAGCGACAGGCGCGAGTGTCCATCGGCGGAGCCGTTCTGGGGCTCGACAGAGCCAGCGTCTGAGGCGTCGTGGGAGGCCTCGGAGACGGTGCGGCCCCTCGCGAGCAGCGGGCGCCGGTCGTCTGGCATCTGTGTGTCCGGGAGAGTCGTGTGCACTGGGGCATTGCCAGGAGCCGGGCAGCTGGGGAGGGTGCTTAGGTCTGGCGGCGGCAGCGGCGGAGAGCTCTGCGGGGGCTTTCCATTTGCGTGGCCGTTGAGAGCGGGATTGGAGCGTTGCTTGGGGATGCGCTTTCCGGGCGCCGCGAGGCCGTTCTCATGCCGCTTGTCGTGTGTGTTCGCCGCGCTCCTCTTGCCCTTCGGTGGCATCAGCGGGCCGCGGTGACGGCTTCAGGTCCCAGGGCCGGCTCGACGAGGTGCCCTCTGAGCCCGGCGCAGGAACAGAACCGCAGAAAGAAAGAAACAGGGTCCGGTGGGGGGCGGTGGGCGGGCGGGGCGTGGTGTCGCTGGCTGGGAGCGGTGCCGTGGGAGCGATGGAGTGGAGGGTTTTTTGAAACGAGACAGACAGCGGAGGGTCATGACTGCGCTAGGCTGCGCTACAGGCCTGGCGATTTGCATACAGGCGCATCCACCGGCCTAGCGCCCCCCAAACACTAGGTTTGCACCACCACGAAACAAGCTCGCCGCCCGCACCCGCCGGCCCACGCCTGCAGCAGCCGGCCAGCTGAGGGCGCTCGCGTGCGACGCCCTCGTCCTCGCACCACGGCCAGCGCGCAGAAATTCCCGGCCGTCGCTCGGCAGCACATGACGCCTAACGAGTCGCCGGCGCAGCGTCGATCGCGGAAGGCTTGCGAGACGGATACGGCCTAGCAGCGCCTTATTGCACGCGCCCGATCAACCTCCAGCGCATCGGCGGCCTCCATCAGGCGATCGTGACTGTCCGGGAGAGAGGCGATTCGCGCGCCCGCAGAGGCTGCCCCGCCCAGCGCAGAGAACCAAGAACGGCCGTCTATCGTGAGATTGCCCGTCGAATAGGAGCCCGGCGCCGTTTGCCAGGACGCCGACTGCCGCCGAACGGGACTAGCTGCTGGCCCTGCTGCCCCTTGATCCTGGGTGCTTAAACAAGCTCTTGGGTAAGGATCACCGCGAAAATTCACAAATGGCCTGCCTGCGTTTGCCCTTCCGCGGACTGTCAGCCCGCAGTGGGTCCTGCAATGTGAAGAGTCAAGACTTCTTGATCACGCGCGAAAGTGCTTCGTCCTGCGCCGCCGTCTTGTCTTCTCCGCAATCTCTTTTCCGCCCCGGCGTGTTGTTTCGACGCCAGCGCACGCGAGCCGTTGAACTGAAGTCATCCACGCACAGAGCTCTCATAACCTATGCCCGATATAGCTGCCTAGAGATCTGCCCAATCGCTATTCTTGTCCCATCTCCAGCCGCGTCGCACACGTGAATTCCCGCGCCGATGACTATCGGTTCGATGCTGCTTTGTAAGGCTCTAGTGCCGTTCAAGCGCCGGCGCTGCCAAAGTCCTCTTTTGCGTCTGGCCGGTCCCAGCTGGACGTCTCTAGCGCCCTAACCTGCTTTGACAGCACGTCAACCCTGGCGCTGTACTTCTGCTTGGCGGCCTCCTGCAGCGCAAACGTCTCCCGGAATTGCTTCAGCATGAATGGCTTGAGAGGCGTCTTCTTGCCCCGCCGGTAGTCATACACAACAATGTCCTCTACACAGCGTGCGGCTGGCCTGCGGTGCCGCTCGGACAGGATGACGACGTCCAGAATGAACGAATCTGTTTCATCCGTGGGCTCAGAGCGCAGCTTGTGCAACACGGTTACACGGTCTGGATAAGTCATCGGCTGAGATGTAGAGTGCAGTCAGCACGCAGATGCCCATCGGCCGAAGATAAGACAACGCGCGGACACGCGTCCGAAACAGAAGTACGCACAAACTTGTAGTCAGTTCGGATACTTCGTAGGATGAGTCCGTCTGCCTTTGGGGTCATGATTTCAGCCCATTCTTTCCGGTGTGCTGGGTCGTGGACGTTGGCAAAATTGAGCCCCCAATTGACGCGCGCCGACTCGGCGTACCGGTTGTAGACGACATTGTTTACATGGCCTGCAGCATGTCAATATATAATGCGGAGCTGGCGACGTTGGCGCATACCCTTTGCGGAACCCAGTCAGCGTTATCTGTTTTGGATTGACTGCCGTCAGGATGGAACTCACCATGCTATCCTGCACACCGCCCAAACAATACTCATCAGCCTATGTTCTGTATTTGCTTGTCATGACACGGAGCGCGGACCATTTCTCCCCACACGACGTCCTGCCGGTAGAGTCCCCTCCTGCTCTTCTCTGTCAGGAAACCTTCGCTTCCCGCAACAAGCTCCCTCCAATCGCGAGCCAGCTCCTCCAACATACGGCCGGCAGCATGGGTCTGTTCAGGCTTGAGGCCAAATGTGATACATTTCCCGATGCGGGATTTGACGTCCGAGAGCCATCGCGGGCTCAATGAAGCGGCAGGAGGTGCAGACGGGTCGCCAGATGCGGAAGAATAGTATGCGCAGGGAAACCGTCGGTATGCCGGAAGAGGCGACGCGAGATGCGCGAGCAGCGGGCGGGCGGCAGGGTGTCTCATCGTCCGGGACAGGTACCAATGGCAAAGGGCGGGGGTCAGGCGATACGGATGAGGCGGGGGGCCAACTGCCAACAAGCGGTGATACTAGGGACAGATGCACGTTGGTTCAGACAAAGTTCGAAATGATGGACACGTCCCGCGGGGAGGTCGCGCAAGATGGCGCCAGGGACCCGAGAGGGACCCGCCAGCCACGCTTCCTCGGCCCCGCCGCATCTACGACGTCAGCCTCTTCCGAAACAGCAAGCTCATCCACGAACCCTCCTGCGTCCGTTCGCCTTCATTCCGAGCTGGCTGCGCTACCTCCCTAACTGCATAACGGCGGGTCTGCAGCCGTCCAAATATGTCTTCGATCAACCCAGGATTGCGCTATCAGGTCATCCGGATCTACAAAGGTGGGTTGAACTCTACCGCACGATGAGTGGCCAAGCGCTGATCCAGAGTAGAGTTGCTGTACCTCGGCAGGGAGTACCCACAAGGTTACAACTTCTTCCGAAAACGCCTTCACAATGCGTTTGCAAGCCAAGCCGGATTGAGAGATGAGGAGCAGATCAAGCGGAGAATCGAAAGAGCCGAATTCGTGAAGAAAGGTACGGCCTACCACCTCCGAGTCTCCGCAGCCTGCTGACTGTCGTCTCGTAGAGATTGAGGCCTTGTAGGTTTGCTCGGGGTTGCAGACACCATGTGTGGACGCATCGTGCTGGTAGTTCTTATGCGACTGACAAACATACAGATACTATTTAAAGAGATACCGCGCACTACGCCAGCGGTATGACAAGGCCTGAGAGAGCTCAGGTTCTCGTCTTTTTTGTAAAGCTGCCAAGGGTATGAGGAAAAGCAAGCAAGCGGGACAGAGAGTATAATGGGTATAATGCTTCTCAGATCTTCTCAGCCCACCAAGCACCGAGTTCCAGGCACTCTCCGCTCGATGCACCTTTCTGCTGAAGAAGATCGTCCATCATCCAGCCCCACCATCTCTGCCATTCCTCTTGGTTCTTTCCACTGACTTCCTTCAACAATGGCTCCAAGCTTTCAATGAACTGAATGACGACGGTGAGCGCAGTGCTTCTCAGAGCAGCTTGCTCCTCGGTCAGAATGGAATCCTCGCCCGATTTCAATTTCGCTGCCAGCTCGCTGTCCCTGCGCTTCAGCGGCCTCTTCTCACCACTCATTTCTCTTTCCCAGCGCATCTCCCCCAGGGGAATGGCCACTCGGCGATAGTCGACGTCCTTTAGAGTCTCAGTTTCCTGCAGGAGCAACTGCAGAATACGCGAGCACGGCATCGTGTACAGCTGCCGCTTTTCGACAGCATCCTGTATCCAGTCGCTCGCGTCTTGTAGGTACTTGTTTTGGCAGCTGGCGAATGGCGTCGAAGGCGAAATCAAGAACGTCGCAGTCTTCGCGCACTGATCTTCATCCCCCTGATTGTGGCGCAGTGGCGGGGGAGGATGGGGTAGAAGGGAGCGAATGACAGAGTCGACGTCCCAGCACTCCAAGGCACCGCCCTTCCTGACGCACCGGATAAACTCCTCCAGCGCCTTTTGGGAGGGAACACCAGTGGGGATCACGAGCCCGAGATCCTTGCAGACCACGATATCGAACTCTTCATCCTCAAAGGGCAAGGGGAACCTGCGCAGGTCATGCTGGATAAAGCGCCACTTGACACCCTGCTTGTTCAAGTCGGCAGCCATAGGGACGATGTCGATGCCGGTAAACTCGACGTCGGTGAAGCCGAGTCCGCTGAGATACTCGTGAGCCAGCGACGTCCAGTATGCGCTCCCGCATGCGATCTCCAGCACCTTCTTCGGGGCTATCTCCTTGATGCGTGGCGTGCATATGGGCTTGCCGACTGCGGTGACGGCGAGCAGCGTGGACAGGTTCTGGCGCTGCAGCTCAGGGAGGTCGCAAGGGAGCGGATAGGGCAGATCTTTGAGGTAACGGCGGCCATGGCGGATGACGAAGGGGGACAGCAGCGGCTGGTGGCTGTCGCCGCTGCTGTGGGTGGACTGGGAGCTGGAAGTGGAGCCGCGCGCGACCTCCATGGCGGCCAATGATGAGCTCACGTTGCTGGATGCGACGATGGAATTTCGACTCAGCAGGCCCTCCAGGTCGTCTGCGGCAGCGGATCTGGGGCGCTGTAGCTGGGAGGAGGGGACATTTTGGTAGCGGTACTAGTCTCGGGCTTAGCATTAAGCCATGATCCGCGTAGTGGAAACGGCCCCCTGATGCGTGCAAAGGGTGATTCTTTACCATGTACCATTCCATCCTAAGCTGTCGGCCCGTGGCCCGTATCCCAGTCTATCGACCTTCCCCACTGTATCGGACTTATTAAGGCGGCGCTCGAGCGTCGGTGAATGGCCCGCTGGCCGCGGCACGGCGGAATGCGAGAGAGCTGCCTGGAGAGCGCCGCCCGAGGCATGGACGGCGGGACGAGTGCGTTGAGCGCGGAGGGTGGCGGGCGAGGAGCGTGAAAAGCGTGCGCAGCTGTGAATCGCGGCAAGCTTCAGCCTCAGGTGAGACTGTTCGAGCTTCACATTCGCAGCCCCTCGCGCCGAAGTATGAGCCTCAGCGAAGCCGAGGTGGCCACGCTCCAATCAGCCTGGGTGCGAGAGGCCCGCTGTGGCGCCTGAGCTTGACTTGACTGCGACCGTCTCTCATCAGCCCCAAGGCGCTGGAGCTGCCGCGACCGGGAGGGTGACAGCTACTAGCACAGAGCGGCGCCCCGTCAAAGGCCCAGCAAACGCAGCAGCGTCACGCAAGCGCAGGCGCATGAACAGGTGATGGCAGGCATTGCGCGCGAGACGCCGAGGGCCTGATGATCCCACCAGGCGGGCCCGTCCCGCCGCCGCTGCGGTCGCGCTCAGAAGCGGGCGGGCCAAGGTCGTCTGGCCTGAGGCCGCGGTCACGTGCATTCCCGATCTGTGCTCGTCTGTGAGCTGGAGACTACCTCCAAGCCCGCCGCCAACCACCCCATCGTGCACCTCCACTGCCCACGCCATTCTTTGCGCCTGCGTCCCGCTCCCATTGATTCCAGCTCGGCCGCCCGACTCCCGCGCTGCTAGCACCGACGCCCAGCCCAGTGCCCTGCTGCTCCAAAGGTCCGTTCGGCGAAACAGTCTCGTCATCCCAGACCACCCGCCTCCCAGCCAAACACTGCTCCGGCTCTGGCTCTTGCTCACGCGTCTGTCTTGCTCTAGCTCCTCGCCGCCCGTCACTGCGACCGCATAACATCCGGCGACCCTGCTCCCCCCCGCCACCGCGCGCAAACTCCCCATATCCTCCAGCCTCGGTCCCGCCCGCACAAACACGCCCGCGCTGCTCGTTTGCCTGGCTGACACCTTGGCCTTGTTGGCGCGCCATCGCGGACCGCGCTGCGGCGGATCTTCCCCTGCATTCATTTGATGAGTGTCGGCTGCGCGGTTGCTCATGTTCAGGCGAAGAAGACACCACCGTCCCCAGCCTCTTCCGCTCACTTAACGCCCGCACCGAACACCCTCCGCATCTCCGCACCCCCATTCATAGCGGCATACGGCTTACCCGGCACATCCTCGAGGTTATCTCTCCACTGTAGATGGCCGATGGTCCATACCGGTTCCAGCAAGGAGCCGGGCAGTTCTTCTTCAACCAACAAGCACACCTCCCTAGGAATCTCCCCCGCACAGGATCGCCGGTCACGAGTGGTGGCAGAATAGGCTTCAATCCCGACACGCCTTCGCCATCACGTTCGCCTGGGCCGCAGTCGCCCGCGCACAACCCCTTCAGCATGTATAATCAGACGCACGCGCAACAAGGACAGCACGGCATGCTGAACGGCAACTCTCACCAGCGCTTTGCGATGCAGATGAACCTGGCCAAGTTCCAGCAGCACCAAAACCATCAGCATCAGAACCACCAGCACCCCCAGCACCAAGACCACGGTGCGCACGGCGGACACGGAGCAAACTTTGGCAACCACCAGCACAACATGTCGAATGGAGTTCTGGGAAACACGACACCGCACTTTGGGGCCAATCACCTGCAAAATGGCACTCCAGGAAGCGTCCACAGTAGCTTGGCGAAGGCGCCAAACGAGCACTGGGCGCTGCAGCTGCAGTATGCGCAGCATGCCCGTGAGATGACCATGTCTCACTCCCACGCTCGTAACCACCCATCGACAAACAAGGGAGTAGCGGCTGCACAGGCAAATGGAATTGCGAAGGAGCCTGAGAAGGAAGAGCGCCATCGAGCTGCAAAGGACAACAATGACAAGGATGACTCGCAGATATGGAAGGCCCTGGATCTCGGTGGCCAGAATCTCAAAGTTCTCTCTCCGGCTCTTTTTGACTACACCTTCCTTACTAAGCTTTATCTGAACTTCAACAAGCTCACTTTCCTCTCTCCCGCTATTGGAAGGCTTAGAAACTTGAGGGAGTTGGATCTATCCTTAAATGACCTCCGTACGCTTCCTCCTGAAATCGGTATGCTAGTCAATCTGCGTGAGCTTTTGCTCTTCGACAATAACATTGAGACCCTGCCCTACGAGATGGGCTCCTTGTATCAATTGGAAATGCTCGGTATCGAGGGCAACCCCAATCTTGACGATCAGCTTAAGGGCATCATCGTCGAGCACGGCACGACCGAGCTCGTCAAGTACCTGCGCGAGCAAGCGCCGGGTAAGTGCCAATTTGCCTATTGCTTGTATTTTACATTCTAACGTCACCCAAAGGACCGGATCCGCCCACGGAACGTGACTGGATCGTCCTCGATGACACACCGGCTAGCCCGGAAGACAAGTTCCAGGTTCTCAGCTACAACATTCTTTGCGATCGGATGGCTACACAGTCGCACTACGGATACACGCCATCTGGAGCCTTGTCTTGGGAGCACAGAAGGGATCTCATCCTGCAGGAACTGCGCAGTCGCCAACCCGACATCATCTGCCTCCAAGAGATCGACTCGGAGAGCTACAATGAGTACTTCCGCCCGGCACTGGCTCACAACGACTACAAGGGCGTCTACTGGCAGAAGTCGAGGTCTAGGACTATGGCTGAAAAGGAAGCCAAGTTTGTTGACGGATGTTGTATCTTCTACAAGAACAGCAAGTAGGTCTCAGTGTGTCTTTTCACTCTTTTGCTTGATTGACTAACAGATACAGGTTCATCCTCCTTGACAAAAAGCTCCTCGACTTTGCCAACCTGGCCATCAATCGACCTGATATGAAGGGCGAGCACGACATTTTCAACCGTGTCATGCCCAAGGACAACATCGCTGTGTCAGCATTCTTTGAGAACCGCCAAACCGGAGCGCGCCTCATGGTAGTGAACGCGCACGTCTACTGGGACCCTATCTTCAAGGATGTCAAGGTCATTCAGGCGGCCATTCTTATGGAACAGATCCACAAAAATGCGGAGGAGTATGTCGCGTGGGCACCATGCACCGACAAGGCCGTCTACAAATATGCCAATGGTGACGACGAGGGTGACGCGGAACCTGCGGAACCCTTGCCGGAACCAGCGCCTTCAATGACTTACACCGAGCCTCAGCAAATTCCGCTGGTGCTGTGCGGTGATTTCAACTCGACACCTGACTCTGGAGTCTACGAGCTGATTGCCCAGGGAGCCCTCTCCAGCGGCCACGCTGATCTTGGCAACTACAAGTATGGCCAGTTCACGAAGCAAGGAATGTCTCATCCTTTCAGCCTCAAGTCTAGCTACTCGAACATCGGCGAGCTCAGCTTCACCAACTACACGCCCGGCTTCACCGGGGTCATCGACTACATCTTCTACGCGACAAATGCGCTCAACGCCACCGGCCTCCTGGGAGAAGTTGACAAGGAGTACATGCAACGTGTGCCCGGATTCCCGAACTTCCACTTCCCCAGCGACCACTTGGCGCTGCTGGCGGAGTTCGTGTTCAAAAGCCGAAAAGAGAGAAAGACTGTAGAGGCAGACTTTGGGCCGCAACGAGACCGTCGTTAGGCACAAAACTTCCAATTTCCTCTTTGCATGTCAAGCGGTTCAGCACGCTGGATTTGTATGGCCAGCAGTTGGGTATCATACGGATGGCGCTGCGGTACAATGGGTGTTCGTATCGTCTTACGCGAATGCCTTTCCTCTTCCGTACGAATGAAGCGGTGTTATGGGTTTCTGATGCTTTGTGGGTTTGCTTTTCCGCAAGTCTCCGGTGCTGGTGGCTAGGAGAGGACTGAACGGGAGGCGCGATAAAGCATTCAAGAGGTCTCTTAGGGCTCTTTCGACTTAACAAAAGAGGGGCCTGGAGGTAGAGCGGGTGTGGAGCAAAAGCAGCCTGCGGGGTAAAGACGCCGTTGCAATATGCCCCTGGCTGGCCTTGCCTCGTCCCACACACTCTTTCTGTCTCGTTCGGGTTCAAAGGTGGCTGAGCAAGCTCGGTGCAGCATTGCTCAGCTCAACCTCCTCACTTTTCTTTCTGGGGAATCAGGCGCCGGTTTACCAGGTTCACTGCGTTCATTTCGGTTTTCCGCCTCGCCCCCACGTCTTTCTTTGCGGGCCGGCAGTGCCAAGGTGTCACACCGGTCCAGCTTGAATGTCTACGGTCTGGATAGGGGGTTCTTTTGCATTACGTTGCAGTCCTCGTTTGGTGTAGCTCGGCGACTTTTTTTTTCTCATTTCTTTGTAACGATGTACTAGGTAGTTTGTTCGTCCGTCTGGCGTGAAAGCGATAGCCCGCTCAGGATAGAGCGAGGCCTTGAATCTTACGGATGCCAATGCGCGCTGTGACGTGTGTATAGAGCGGCGGGAAGCACTCAAGGGTGCGGTTAAAGTGGACGCGGGTTCACCCGTGAGATCCGTCATTGTGGATCTGCGGCGACTCATGCAGGTCCCTGTCCGTCCGCGGCGCACATCCGCGCTAATGCGACTCTCTGCTATCTGACACTGAACATCTCCGCCAGCCTCGCTCCCACCACGCGCCCCCGACTTACTTCCACTTCCGCCCGCAAGAGCGCCATGTAGCGCGCCCCCACCTCGAGCCTCGCACAACCTGGGAACTCCGACGCTCACTCGCCCGCCATGGACACCGTTACCGTGACCCCGAAGTCAGCAGGGCCGGCTGCGAACAACAAGGTCACCAAGGGCAAGCTGCTCACAGGCACGAGCAACTTGCCCCAGATACTCTACGGCTGTGGTGAGTTCTCAGCTGCGGCGTGGCCGGCAAGCGCTCAGCGGCGTGCGTCGTACGCGCGCGCCCGTTGGTGAAAGGGTTCGTCGCGAACTGACATTCGCCGCCTCTGTTGTCCAGAACACCTAGAGCCGCTGTTCGCGGAGCGGCGCAAGGTGTTGGTGCAGCAGTACACCAACATCATCCAGACAATCCACGACCGCCACAGTATAATACCTCAGACCCATCGATCGAGCCTCAACAGCGACAGCCGCCCCGTCCTTTCGCTCAAGCCGACGTACATGTGCCTGCAGTGCGTTGGCGTCTTTACAGCAGAGCTACGCGACGAACATTTCGAGGCGAAGAAGCATGCTTTCTGTATGTTTGCCCGTTGCGCAATGCCAGCTTGGTTGGCCATGATACTGAACGTTGGCGGACAGCTGTGGAATCGAAGCAGGGCTGCGTGTACTGCCAACAATGCAAGGATTTTATCTACGACCCGATGCTAGAGAATGTACGCTTGCTGCAAGGTAGGTGCCCATTGGACCACCTCAGGGAATCCACTTTGTGCTAATCGTCGGCAGGCCGCAAAAAGAGAAGGTTAGAAGAGACCATGACGCCAGAAGATCACCGCCTCGTCGCTCAGAACTCTACATTCGCTCCTTGTCGCGCCATTGGACTGCGAGGATTGTATAACATGGGCCAGACATGCTTCATGAGCGTGATCTTGCAGTGCCTGATACACAACCCCTTCATCAAAGCGTTCTACCTGGGCGAGGGCCACACGTCCAAAGACTGTGATAGAGAGTCGTGTACTAGTTGTGCGTTGGACGAAATATTTACGGAATATTACTCGCTGGAGAAGACGGAGGGATACGGTGCCGTGAGCATGCTGCTAGGCAGCTGGTCCGGCGCGCAGGTACGCCTCTCCAAGAGGGCCATTGCTGTAGTGAAGGAATACCGCGTGGGAAGTAAAGAGAGACTTGGATTAAGCTAGCGTCCATATGATGTCGGCTTTGTCCTTGCCATCTCTTCAACTATCCTCCGCAGGTCCATCACTACCGCATGGCTTCCAAGTCTGTCTCCACTCGGGGATAGAGCCCGAATATCAGGATCATCTTGCTAATATGACTACAGGCTCTCGCAGGTTACCAGCAACAGGACGCTCATGAGTACATGCAGTTTATCCTCAACAATCTGCATCTGGAAAACGACGGCACCGAAAACAATGGAAAGGACGGCGATGAAGAGTGCACATGCCTCATTCACAAAACCTTTTCCGGCAAGCTCCAAAGTACAGTCACTTGCGACAAGTGTCACAATGTGACGACGGCAATTGATCCGGTTATGGATCTTTCGTTGGATCTGCGTTCCCAAGCGAAGAAGCGGAAGTTGGAAAACGACTCTGCAGAGAAAAACCCGGCAATTGACCTGAGAGATTGCTTGGATCGCTTCACAGGAAAAGAAAAGCTGCCCGCAGCGGAGTACTCTTGCGAAAAGTGCGGCGGTACGCAGCAGAGTGCCACGAAGCAATTGAGCATCAAGAAGCTTCCGCCGGTGCTCCCAATTCACCTCAAGGTATGTTAGAAACTGGAGCCATTGAAGTCAATAATCGTCACAGAGTTGGTCTCATTTTTGTCAAATTGAGAGACGCGCAAGACATCGATACTTTACAGGCCCCCGTGTTCCTTGTGAAAGGGGAATTTCCGCTAACGATAGCTCTCACAGCGCTTCGAGACCTCAAAGTCAACATCCACCAAGCTCGAAACTAAAATCGCGTTCCCCACGTCTCTCGATCTCTACCCGTACACCACTCGTGCCCGCAGCTCGTCAAAGGATTCGGCAAACGGCTCGAAAGCCACCGGCGGCAACGGCGCCATCCCGCCGCCTACTTGCATGTACGAGCTCGCCAGCGTCATTGTGCACAAGGGCAAGATCGACTCGGGCCACTATGTAAGCTATGCACGCAAAGGCGGCGACTGGTTCCTTTTCGACGACAGCAAGGTCGTGCTAGCGAGCGAAGCGGACGTGCTGAGGGCCGAGGCGTATTTGTTGGTCTACGTTGTGCGCAATCTGGAGGGGTAAGAGACCTCCGGGAAGAATCTAAAGAAAGCTCTTCCAGATGTAGGAACAGAGGGAGGGGGATACCACGTAGGCCGAAGGGGTTCGCGTCAACCTTGTTTCACTTTTTCTTTGCTAATCTGTTCTGACTTGCTACTAAGTTTTCGATATTATTTCAGGATTTGATCTGGGATTCTCATCTCATTTCCCCTGATTACTTTACGTTGGGCCTTTTTAATTTTCGTTTTCTGCTCTTTCACTGCGTTGTTCATATCGCGAGTCTATCATGAGAGTACTCGTTGAACAAACGCGGCGAAGGCGGAAGGGATTTACGGATGGGATGGTGGGACAGACTGGGCTACGGCTCAGATCTTGGGTTTTCTTTCGATTCCGTAGTTTAGCATAAGCGACAGGGCGTTGTTCTCACATGGAGAGGTACCTTCCTGTGTCTTTGCGATAGTAAACGTGGCGGTGGTTTTGTGAAGGCTCGGTGGGCCTGGAACTCAGTTAAGCACCGCACACGTCGCCTCAGCAAACGTCGTCCGAACTTGATCTTTTTCGAGCTTCATTTCGCCTGTATGGTCGCCTCTCCTACAAGTACAGGGCAGCCAGAAACCGCGCTAGCCTTGTTTTATGTACACACAAAATGGCTTCCTTCCTTTCTTTCTTATTCTTCGATTCTTGGCGCTTTGAAACCCAATCCATCCTGGAAAAATAAACTAATAACGGATGCACTCAAGGGAAAATGGTGGTGGAAATCACTGGTCGTCCAGGACGTGGAGGTACTTGCGCTCCTCGCGCTTCTCACGCTCGGTCTGAGGCGGGAGATCGTAGTAGGTGGAGCTGCGGTAGCTCTTGAGGTAGTGGTAGAGGACACTCTTGATCTCAACGGGCTCGATGTCAAGGTCCTTGAAGGTCTTGGCGGTGCGGTCGATTTGCTGGTCAATGAACTCGCGCTCAATCTCATCCCGCGACGTGATGGGCCACCACAAAGCCTTGTTGAGGATCTCAGCGACAGGCTGGAGCAGCTGCTTGGGAATGTTGATGTGACGGCGGTGCTTGAGGATTTCCTTGTCGACCAGCTCTGCGAGCTCGGCGGTGCTGTAGTTGGTGGGACCGTACAGCTCATAAGTCTCCGAGGCGGTGTTATCGTTGTGCAGCATGTGCTCGAGCGCCATGCCGACATCGATGGCGTGCACAGGCCAGTAGCGCTCCTGCATGTTGTTGGAGGTAATGACGTTGGTGGGACCGGCCAGCCGGTTCAGAAGGCGGTCTTCGTAACCGAACATGGGGGCGGGGCGGACGATGGTAGTCTCAGGGAAGATGTTGCGCGCAACCTCCTCGCCACGAGCCTTGGTCCGGAAGAACTCAGAAGGAGAGCTCGTGCTGGCATTGTACGTTGAAACGTGAACGTAGCGGTCGACATCGTACTTCGCAACGGCGTCGGCAATGCGTCGGGTACCCTCGACGTGCACATCCTCAAGGTCGAAGTTCCTGTCCCACTGCCATTAACATTGTCCCCAACTCAAGACTGCTCGCTCACTGACTTGGTGGGGTAGTCACGGCCAATGAGGTTGTAGACAATGTCCGAGTGCCTGACGCTTTCCTCAATGGATTGAGTGTTGCGCAGGTCGTACTCCTGCGCGTGAATCAGTCACAATGCCATGCACTCGTTTGCATGAAAGAATTCCTTACAATGAAGACAACCCTGCCGAGATCACCGGCAACCTTCAGGTGACGCTTGGCCATCTCCTCACGGAAAGGAATGACAACGGTAACACCTTGACGTGCTGTTCAATTCCCGGGTCAGCGCCTCCCTTCCAAGACTACGCGCGGTAATTCGTACCCAGTCTGTTGACGATATACCTTCCCAGGAAGCCGGTAGCGCCAAAAACGGTTGCGGTGTGGCCTTGCGAAGGAGTCAGTCGCGGTTGGATGGAAAGGCGGGCTATGCGTGGATCAAACCTCCAAGCGACGATCTGTGTTGCGACAAGTCAGCACCAGCTTCATATCCAGCAGAATTTCTGGGCAGACTCACCTGCCACCGGGTATCCTGATGATGGGCTTGCCGGTGCGAGTGATCGCGACATCGTGAACCTGGCGGCGGGCGGGACGGGCGAAGGAGGCGGAGAGGCGAGGAGCAGCCAATGCCTTGGCCAGGCCGGCGCTGGGGCCAGAACAGCTCCTGGAGAGGGCCATGGTGCGGGGTGAGAGAGCGGAGAGCGGCGGGAGGGTGGTTGTCGATGCGGAGGGCGCGCTGGTGGTTGCTCTGGGCTTGGCCGGCAGCGTCGGCGGCCGGAGATATGTCAGCCCGATCGTCGGCGAGCTCATTGGAAGCTACGACTAGAGGCCATGGCGGCTGCGAAGCTCGCCGCAGCTCCACTAGCACCGACATCACCAACCCACCACCGACAGCGCCCTCCAACCGCCATATATCGTCCCCCGTCCACCCACTAGTCTTCCTCTTCGCACATCATCTCCACGATGGCGGGACCGACGGCCAAAGACCTGGAGATGATTCCGGACTACCTCGCCGAGCAGCGCGACGCCGCTCCCGATGACCTGCAACCCTTCTTCCTGAACTTCGAGGACTACTGGGAGCGCAAGCTGTGGCACGAGCTTACCGACTCTTTGGTCGAGTTCTACAGCCACCCGCAGAGCGCCCCCCAGCGGATAAACCTGTTCAACACCTTCGTTCGCACCTTCGCCGACAAGATCAACCAGCTGAAGCTCGTCACCCTGGGCCTGAGCGCCGCGTCGCAGTTCAAGGGTATGCACGCCCACATCTCTTCCAGAAGCAAGCTAACACCAGTGATGTAGATGACAAGGAGCGCCTGACCTTCCTCCAGAGCCTTGCCGACAAGGCCAACAAGCCTGCCTCTCAAGATGCATACGTTTACGCTACCGTCGCCGTGGCGAGTGTCCAACTACAGCTGCGCGACTTCCCCGCCTCACGGAAGAAGCTTGACGAGAGCGAGCGAATTCTGGACTCGTTCGACACGGTCGAGACGGTCGTTCATGCATCCTTCTACCGCGTGAACGCCGAATACTACAAGGTACCACTTCTGCCGTTGTCCTAGATGATGCAGCTGACATTTTCAGTCGCAACACGAGTTCGCCTCGTACTACAAGAACGCTCTGCTCTTCCTCGCATGCGTCGATATTTCCGAGCTGCCCCGCGAGGAAACCATGCAGCGTGCTTACGACCTAAGCATTGCAGCTCTCGTCTCAGACTCCATCTACAATTTCGGAGAGCTTCTTCTCCACCCCATTCTCGACTCCCTTACCAACACTCCTCACGCCTGGCTCCGCGACCTCCTCTTCGCCTTCAACCGCGGCGACCTGGCTGCTTACGACGTCCTCTCCGGAAACATCTCTAAGAACAACCTCCTCAAGGAGCACCAACAGTTCCTGTACCAGAAGATCTCTCTGGCCGCCCTTACCGAGACGGTCTTCCGCCGCCCGCCTCAGGACCGCGCCATGACCTTCCAGGCCATCTCCCAGGAAACCAAGGTGCCCATCGACCAAATTGAGCACCTGATCATGAAGGCGTTGAGTTTGGGTCTGCTGAAGGGAACAATTGACCAGGTGGATCAGATTGCCAAGATCAACTGGGTTCAGCCGAAGGTGCTGGACATGAAGCAGATCGAGGGCATGAGGACTAGGCTGAGGGACTGGGATTCGAGCGTCAATCAGTTGGGTAACTGGATCGAGACCGCCGGAAAGGATGTGTGGGCTGCTTAGAGGAAGATTCGCTCGTTGCCGCTGCACAGTTTAGACGAGACCTTAGGGCATAATGGATGGCTCAGAAGAGTGGGAAGCAGGTGAAGTGGTCATGGCTCGTCCTCTGCCCTCGAAGACAGGACGAGCCTTGTGTGTATGATGGTGGCAATATGGTTCTTGGTTCTCAGTATTCCGAACTATGTGGGCCAAAAATAGAAAGCGCTTCTCCGGCTGCGCTAATGAAATGACAGCAAATAATCGACGATCATATCTGAGATCATGCGGGAGTTGAGGTCGATGATGTTGTGGTGAAGAGGGTTTCTTCCTCGGAGTCCTATCAGTAATTGACAATGAGAACCGCCCGTTTTAATATCAGCCATAAGCATCAATGGATACACGACTTTTCGTTCACATGCTAAGGAACGAAAGGATGTAGGCGAACGAAACCGAGAGGCTATTCCTAAAGATAAGCTAACGGGCAGTCCTCAGTTTCGATTTAAATCAATCATTCCCTGATCCTTTATGGTTCATCCCGCTACTTCCTCCTCGTACGGCCGACGTATCCGCAGGGCCGACAACTCGCCCCACTCAAGCCTCTCCCTCATGGATGCCTCAAAAGGCGAGTCGAAATGAAAGAGAGGGAGCAAATTGTGCTCATCGTTGTTCGCATCTGTTTGCTCCATTTAGCCTAGCCTTAATCATGAATCACTAGCACTTCATACCGTAGATGTTGTCAAAGATTGCAAGGCCGAAGGGTCGACTGAAGAAGCTTCTTACGCCCCGACGGGTTATGTAGGTGACGCAGGGGATGATAATCATGAGAATGACGGCCACGAGCGATAGGACGGCCTCGTTTGACCATGGCGATGACGTGCTGCCAGTCCCCGCTTGTTGTGTGGTAGACACTGAAGAGTCAGCGTATTTCTCCTACTCTGCAACTGTATAAGCTTACTGTGGTGCACCAGAAGTCTTAGGCCATGTAGGAGCAGCTGCGAAATCCCTGATTCATCAATCTGGAGTCAGTATATGTGTAAAAAGTCAAGAGTGAGATCAGGCCGAAGAATGAGCTGGATTTATATACCTGCTGCTGGCCTAGTGAGCTGGGCAAAGAAGCACATTGACGCGCCCACAAGATGCACGGCATACAAGACAACCAAGCGAGAGGATACGCTGGGGGCACGGGAGATGTAGCATGCAGACGAACCGCCCGCCCGGCGCTGAAGGCCCCTGCAGCAGGGATCGGCTAGCACCAACATGGTTCAAGGGCCTTGCCGGGCGCATGCGGACAGGGATGACAGCATATGGTAGATCTAGAACAATCTGGGGACGTTAGAGGGTAGGCAGCGGCTACCTGCTAGCCTCGCCGGGATGTCGCTTTCAATAATTAGGTCGGCGGCTCCACTCTACATCTGCGCGAGGCCCTTGATCCTCCGGATACAAGAGATAGTGTGGTGACAGTTTTCGCTGGCTTTCCCGGTTGAAGACGGGCCAGTCGTTCGCCTTCATGGGCGTTGAAGCTCGTTACTGCTCATCACAGCGCCAGTGATACTGACATCCAATCTGCGGCTCCGCGCTGCGCCCACCACGGTCCGCCCAGTCTCCAAGCAGGACATCTTAAGTGCAGCGTTTTCGTCAGAAGTTATAGGTCTCACCTCCGAGCGAGAGGCGAGTGACCTGGCACAAGTCATGTGAGAGCCGTTGTACAACATGGTCAAACGGTCAGCGTCTGCTTGAAGCTGATTGGGTGATCTCTGAACTGTTGCGGTTTATGACTCCTGGCCTGTGTATCCGGCGTTTGCGAGCTTATAGGTAGTTCGCGGGACACCAGTTGAGTTTTTATTAAGCTCTTGAGGTTCGAACTCTAGATGTATCAATCCGGCCGAAAGGACTGTGTGGCTGATGAGCTGAGACCATTATCTTCATCTCCTGTCGTACTCGTCCAGATCCACTACCCCCTCGAGCAGAAATCGGACAATAAACACTACAATGTTATGCTAAGGTTTTCTCCTACCTAGCTCATGTGATATTACCTGTGTCTTGGTCCCAGCTCGCCATACCAACCCCTTTCAGGGGATACACAGTCATATAATTTCACAACCCCGATCTACATAGACCTAGCCTGGGGCCTTCCAACTTCCTTAATGATCGAAAATTTTGGTGGGGAGCGCTGTATGGGAAAGAGGGAGAGAATAGGGGAGGTAGAGTGGCAACAAAACACACTCCCGCTTGTTAGACGTAGCCTCGCTATGTTTCTCGAGGAACGCGGGTGATAACAGCAGAGGTATAGTGTCCTTGCAGTTAGTGCTTAGCTATCAGACGTAAAGAATGGAAAACGTATACTCTTCCGCAAAAAGACATGATACATGAAAATTTAGCTTGTGTTGCAGGGTAGTATGATTCAACATAATCAAAGCAAGAATACTAAGATTATTTGCTAATGAGATGCATTAAAACGAGGACCTAATGGTTGCCGAAGGATCCGAGCCATCCAAACTCATTTCCACGGACATCTAGCTCTTGACATTAGCAGTCGAGGAAATGTTCTGGGCATTAGTGTATAACAAGAATGTCCTGACGACAGCTTCCACCGGCCAGGGAAGTCGCGTGCGAGATGGTTGCGAAGGATGATTTATTCGGGGAAATACCGCGTTGCGGCACTTTGAGCTTTCAGCCTTGCACAGGCCTGAGCCTCGGCGTTGAGGCTATAGCAGGGAATGAGTAATATCTTCGACAAGACCAGTACTGAGTCTCGAGCCTTCACGAGTATTCAGATTGCTTCGGCAGCATCTAGAGTCAGGAAAGTATGTTGTCGAACTAGAGCAGCAATATCTTGTACGGCTTAGCTCGCATTCTCATAGATGTTCTTTTGCACAGGAAAAAAAAAAAAAAAAAGAACCGAGGTATACTTACGCAATGTTCTAGAGCCGTGCTATTCTTCGCGCTAATCGGCTGCAGCACCCCTCTGTATGGATCACGTCGCAGACAAAGAAGACCCAGTGGGAAACGCTGGGAATTGGCGGTTGCCTCATCAGCGAAGGACTAAGCAGTTTTCGGCTGCCTAATAAACGATCGAGATCATTTATTAGGCAGATAGATCGACGCTGCCACGGCAGTTTGCCATGAATTTGGAAGTTGCGGCCGCGCAATCGAGGTCGAGTGTTGAGAGGGATAACGTAGAGATGAGGTTATGAAGTGCTGAGAGGGCCGGGGTAGAGAGAGAACGGGGCAGGAGGCGGCTTTTGCGGTGTGGGGATGGCAGGGATGGTGGCGTGCGGAATGATGGCATTTGAGCGAATCGCGATGACGCACGGCCCGCCCAAGCTAAGCTCCCTTGTGCTGCATACAACTGACGTCAGTCGCGAGCTGTATACATCTACTGCCTCTTCCCCCTCCCATTCTTTCTAATTCCTCAACCGACCGCAGCCCTCATCTCACTACCTCGCTCTTCATCCAGGAACAGGCTCTTCTTTGCGAATTCTCTACCTACCTTTCATACACGACACACTCCAAGCTTTCACAATGCTTCGCGCTACCGTTGCCCGCAACGCCCGCCTCTTCACCACCTCGGCTCGTTTCCAGAAGAGCACCGTCGACAGTGTCAAGGACGCTGCGAAGAAGGTCGACAGGACCGTTTCCAATGCAGCTGTGAAGGGCATTGAGAAGGGCGGTACGTCATCAACACCTCATTCCATGCCACCTTAGCTTGCAAACAGGCCTATGCGACCAATGCATTGAATTTTCGAGCTGATCTTGTTCTTGCATGCAGAGGAAGCCGCCAGCAAGGTCAAGGACGCTACCGGTGTTGGCAAGCAGAAGGCAGACGGCATCGCCGCCGAGGCAAAGGGCAAGGCACACGAGGTGGCCGGAGAGGCCAAGGGCAAGGCTAGCGAGCTCAGCGGCAAGGCAAAGGGTGCAGCTGAGGAGGCGAAGGGCAAGTTGTAAAGCAATTCACATCATGACGAGGGAATGAGTTCACCTGGGGGAAAAGTATGGCATACCTCTTAATGATCGATACAATTGTAATCAATTCACCCGAAATTCTTTGATCAGATTCCAATTGTTCGATTTGCTCTCGGTCTTTGCTTTGTCTCAAGGACAGTTAAGCTGGTATAGGAAGGCGAGGGCACACTCGCAACGGGCTCCAGAGTTGGCGTGCATCTCGCATTTAAGAGGTGCCGCATGTTCGTGTTTTGTGTCTTATTACTCTTCTGCATCATCAAGGCAACTGAATTGTTTTAATTATGTAAATATGGTATGAACAAGCCATTGAGCACGTGTTGAAGTTAAGCCACTCTATTATGGAGCCGTACGACCAAGATAGCAAAGCGAAAGAAGAGAGACCTACCAGTTTCGAAGTGCTTTCGGCGTGCTGCAAATGTTACATTTGAGGGGCTTTTTTATATTTGTTGAGCGTGGCGATGCTCAAGGTCTCCATAAACGTCGAGATCTGGGTTAGCAGCTTATTGACAATTAATCTGACCGGCTCGGCTAGGAATATGAAAGTAATCCGTTGCCTGTGCAAGAAAACCATATCTGGCGAATTTCTGCCTTGAGCAACGCGGGGTTGCGCCATCAGAAGTCGTTGCCGCGCGTCGGTCGGCTTGAGCTTCACCCGACGACTTTGCGTGAACGTGTCCGATTGACGTCCGGGAGCTGCGCACGAGCTGCGCAACACCTCCACCACCGACAGCCCGCTGTGCTCTCCCCCGCCTTCCTCTGCCCATGCAGATGGATATCTCGCGCTACCAAGTCTTGCTTTGATTTGCACAGGCTCGCCATCATGCGGATCGCCGCCTACGTTGGGGTAAGCTGCACCACTACAGCTCTCGCCGCCGCGCTCCGCAATGCGCTGATGTGCTGATCTTGTCGCAACAGACCTCCGTGGCCCTGGCAGCCTCGGTGCTGCTGCGCGCCGCATACGAAAGGCCCAATTTCTACTCCGCATGCGTCTATCTCTCACAATCAAATGCCTGTCTTATGGTGCGCCGCTCCCGAGCTTCCGAACCCGCCTCGTCGTGTCCTAATGCCTCTGGTAGATCCTCACGAATCTCGTACTCCTCCTTACAGCTTCCTTTATGTACGCTCTCCAGCGCCTTCTCTACGGCCCGCTCCGCCCCATGGAAGTCGAGCGCCTCTACGAACACGCCTGGTTCGCCATCACCGAGACACTGCTGGCCATGACCATCTTCCGTGACGATGTGGGCGTGCGGTTCTTTGTCATGTTTGTCAGCCTCATTGCTGGCAAGATTTGGCAGTGGATTGGTGCTGGCCGGGTCGAATTCGTTGAGCAACAACCTCCGACCTCCAACGAGATCTTCTTCCACTCCCGCCTGGCGTCTTCGCTGCTGCTGTCGATTGTATACGACATGGTGATGCTCGGATACTGCGTGAACACCGTCCTGCGGCAGGCACGACCCAATATGATCGTCATGTTCGGTTTCGAGTACGCTCTGCTGCTCATTGAGTCCTTCGCTACCTTCTTCCGGCATATCCTGTGCCTCGTTGATCTAACGGTCCAGTCCAAGCAGACAGAGGCCAAGAGGCAGGAGATGTTGGAGGAGAGACGAGCCGAGAGACAGCATCAGCGGGAGGCCGCCGGTGAAGGCGTGCTTACAGAGGCGGAGCTGGCTGCTGAAGACATCGAGGTTGACGACAACGAGATCGACGTGCCTGGGTGGGAGGGCAAGGGCCGCTGGGTCTTTTACTTGGACCTCGCAAAGGACTTTGCTAAGCTGACCATTTACATGGCATTCTTCGTCATCCTCATGACCTTCCACGGCCTGCCTATTCATATCATGAGAGATGTTCTCTTGACATTCCGCTCGTTCCACAAGCGCATCTACGACTTCTTGCGTTACCGCAACGCTACACGGGACATGAACTCTCGCTATCCTGACGCTACGTCCGAGGACCTTGGGGAGAACAACATCTGCATCATATGCCGCGAGGAGATGCGTCCATGGACAACACCGGAGCATGCCCAACCTCCCGCTGGCGGCGCTGCGCCAGCACCAACTCCGCAGCGTCCCATCGATGAGCGTCACCGGGCGAAGAAGCTACCCTGTGGTCATTGTCTCCACATCAGTTGCTTGCGCAGCTGGCTCGAACGCCAACAGGCTTGCCCCACCTGCCGCCAGCCGGTACTAGTTGAAGAGACCCGGCAACGTCAACAGGCCAACCGAGCCAACCCAGCCGTCAACGCTGGTGCACAACCTGGACTTCAGCAAGGTGCTCAAAACGGCATACCGCAAGACGGAAATGCTCAGCAGCCAGCACTGCCCCGCATGCGCCAGATTCAATTTGGCCCGTTCCGCATTGGATACGGTGTCCGCGCAGTGAACCTGAATAATGCACAGGCAGAAAATCCGCTCGCTCAGATACTGGAACAAGGACGACAACAACAAGAGCAGCTCCATCAGCAGCAGCAACAGCAGCGCGGAGGCCAGAGCGACCGCTCGGCTCGTGCACTCCTGCGTGAAGCGACGGCAGATCCACTCCGGGCGAATTCCGTCGTCGCGCAAACCATGTGGTTGGACCAGCTGGAACGCCGCCTGGTGAGCGAGATACAGGCTCTGAACGTGGCACAACATCAACTGCATCTTGTCCGAGCACTGCAGGCAGAGTATATGCGTCTTCGTCGTGTAGCAGCAGCAACTGCTGTCGGTGGTGCTCAGCCGGCGCAAGATGCCCAGTCCCTGCTCGCGAACATGTTTGCCGGTCTGAACACTGACGGCCTCAATCTCAACGCGCCGTTAGCGCACGACTTGAACCAGCCGCGACTTTTCAACCCCAGCGCAGACCAGCCTGTCCTGGAAGCACACGACCCCAATCTTCCGCAAGGCTTGACTCTGCCACCGGGATGGACATTGTTGCCGCTTCATAGGGCTGATGCTACTCTGGGCCAAGATTCAGGGAGTCAAGCGCCGAATCATGCTTCTACTCCTCGCTCAACAGCACAATCTGCTACAGATGCTGCGGCTTCTCTCCAGACTTGGAACGACACCATGACTCGGACGCTTGAAGAGGCTCGAAACCGCAACTATACACCCTCGGACTCTTCAGCCCAGGCACCTCCAACCACGACGACTACTAATGGAACTGGTACGTAAACCATTTTGAGTAAGCTTGGAAGTAGTGCTAATACGACACCAGAAACTGCTCCTCCGGGGTTTCGCGAGATTCCTATCAATCCCAACGACCCTGGTGCGACTGTGCAGACTACCCTTGGCCCTCAGAGGTTTCCAACCAACATAGCCAACCAACTCCTCGCTCAGCATGGCAACGAGCCCGTTCCTATCGGTTCTGCTGCTCACGTTCCTACATCTGCTGGACCAGCAAATTCTGGCGGCTCGAACACTTTGTCTTCCTCGGCTCATTCGTCACATCCTGTTGCCACTGGACCTTCAGAAGCATCGACCGACACAGTGCCTACGACTGGTTCTGAAGAAAGCTCCGCCAAGGCACAGAGACTCAATACTGCTGATGCCCACGATTCCGCTGTTCAGAGTGAAGAAGCCAGCAGCTCCACTCACGCTAGTGAGCAACAAGTTCCATCCCTGCAGCCGACTGTTGAAGATGGAGAGGATGATGAAAATTAGGCCATCCTTTTCGAGTTGGATGACATGGAGAAGCGAGCGACGAGTAGACCCTTACAAAAATCGTTGCAGCTTTTAGCGCACCTTGCTTTTCTGAAAACCCGGTTTACTCTCGATTCAGCATGATCTTCGCTAGGCCGAAGTCGAGGGCAAAGGCTTCTCTGTAATTATACCCTTTATTTGCATAGCGATGGCGCAGCAGGAATAAACATGATGGACGTGAATTTTCCCCCTCACCGCGAGATTGAATCCCTCCAATGCTAGCCCTTGAAGTATTAGTGACGCACTGCATATACTGGAGTGACGCAGAGTTTGCATGCCATCAGGCTCATCGTTAACTCATTTTTATACCGAGTTGGCCTGAAGTAGTGACTTCCATAGGGCTAGGCTACGCAGGCCGGACTTTCGCCGACCCGGCCAATGAACTAGTCTGAATGCCGACTAAAAAAGTGGGAAGTCGGCACGGACGAGGAGCAAAAAGAAAATTCGAAACTCGCGCTACAAGCTCAAAACGAGAATCGACCACACGAGGTGGTGTTCCGTTTTAGTTCCAAAGATTCTTTAATGGCGTTTAGTGGCAGCTACACGGTCACTTCTGGTAAAAGGCAAGAAATGAATTCATTATAGCTTACCACGCCAATGAATCAAGATTGCAAATTGCATTTATATACCAATGCATCCCCTCACTCCGCTCCTCGGCTCTCGAGCATGGATAGGCACTGCGAGCATGGATAGGCACTGCGAGCATGGATAGGCACTGCGTGCATCACCCGGCCACAGTCATAAACAACATTCGCAATAGCTGGAACAATTCGCAGAGTGAAGGGAACTTGGTTTCGCGATCTACTCTAGTTGCCACCCCCCAACAATCAACAGCTAATCCAGTGTCACTTGTAACCCTCGTGCAGCAGATCTGCGGAGTGGTACTGCAGCCGATGGCTGGCGCGAAGAATAGCAGGGCCCTAGAACATAGCGTAAGTCAGTTCTTTCTTCTTTTAATGAAAAAGAACATTTATGGGTAGTTGAAGCTATCGTCCGGACGTAAATGTAGAATTAATAATTATACATTCACGTCCGGACGATAGCTTCAACTACCCATGGTATGAGCGAAAAGTTCACATTAGCCGTCGGCTCCCTGTACCACTTCAGGTCACCTCGAGATATTCAGTAGCTCATTAAAACATGTTTCATTTCCTTAACCCTAGTTCCTACTGTGGCTCAGCAGTAGGTCTAATATCTACCCCTGTGAAAAGCCAACCCACTTTCTCCCTCCTGCCATGATGCCATCTCCACGTTTATGCGTCGACATCCATCCTCTCCGCAGTCTGCTCACCCTCTGTGAGCTCATGTACAGTCACGTACTTGCTGATGTCCTCCTTCTTGATGACCTTCTCGTTGAGCACAGCGGTGGTGCCGCGGGGGAAGCGGTAGTTGCGCTGCTTCTGCTCACGCTGGTTGGGTTGGATGTAGTTCCGCATGACGGTGGTCTTGTCCTCGGTGATGACGGCGACGTCGACGTTGCTACCGGATCCCAGATCGTTGAAGATACCGGCCAGGATGGCGTCGGAGCACAGCTTGACAGCCTGGTCGCGGTTGAGCGACGGTTGCCACTGCGTTTCGAAGACGGACATGGCGGCCAGCGAACCCGAGCCCATGGTCACGTAGGGAAGCTTGTCGGTCGAGCCGTGGGCGTGGACGGTGAAGAGATGGGCGCCGGTCGGGTCGACACCGGCGACAACGAGGTAGGCGCCGATGTGGCCTTGGTACCGGAACAGGTGCTGCTTGAGCATCGTCATGCACGTCACGACGCGCGGCTTGCGGCCCGTCGACAGCGCGTGCAGCTCCAGGTTCGACGACATCAGCGCCGTGGTGAACTCCGTGTCGGCCGCCGTACCGGCACCTGCGCACCAGATCTGCGGGGCGATGTAGTGCAGCTTCTCGCAGTTCTGCAGTCCGTCGAGTTAGCCATGCCTCCTCCGGTGTCTCCCTGCGATGAAGCTCTCCAACGCACCTTGTCAGCTACTATGGGGCCGCTGGTGGCTCTGGTATCGGCGGCGATGACGACACCGCCATCGAACAGGCATCCGACAATGGTGGTACCGGTGCTGGTCGCCTTGGGAAGCGGAACGCCCTGTGCGTGCAGCGCCGCGTTGCGGTTGTAATTCGAGAAGTCGAAGCCCGGCATTGTGATGGCAGATGTAGGTGGTGGGTGTGGTGGCAGTTGCGGTTAGCCCGGCGGCGTGAGGTCGAAAGGTTTACGTCGAGAATGTTCGTGCGATGCACGGAAGCTGGTGAGGTGGTAGACAGTTGTTGGAGGGATGGTGGTGGTTATGCTGGCGGGTCTGAGCTCCAGGCAGACGTCCGAACAACTTTTGGCCGCGTCTTCTAGGGCCTCTGCGCGTCAAGCGTGGGTGGGTGGCTCAAATTTGAAACACGTGGCCGCGAAAGCTCAAAATATGTGGCCGCTTCACGTAACAGTGGTCCGAGCTTCTGAGGCAACAGGCAACGCGCCGACCGACGCAGGCAGGCGGGCCGAGCGCTTCACTTCACCGCGCCGCGTCCATCCAGCCCGCCGATGCACCACAACACCTTCTAATCCCCGCTTCGCCCAGGAGTGCCAGCTCCTTCCAAAACTCCGCCGCCTGAGCTCCTCCTCGCCCGAGCCTGCCCAGGCTCCCGCGATTGCGCGCCCTTTTCTTCTCCACTGCGAGCTTGTTCTCTCGTTTTCCTTGTCCTCCCAAAACATTGCGCCGTCGCGAAAAGCGCATTCTGAGCGCGCCGAAACGGACTCCACCTCGTCCAATCCGCCTACGCGTGGAAGGCGACTCTGATACCCCCGAGCAAAATGGCTTTCTCCACGGGTGGCATGGCTGGCGCCATGGGAGGCGCGCAAGCTCAACAGGCCGCCGAAATCGAGGACATTCAAACAGAGGTACTGCGACTGCTTCCAATTACCAGCTGCAAAAGACAGCACGACAATGCTTTCGCCAAGATCAACCCTTTGCATGCTAACCCGTATCTACAGCACCTCGGATTCGCCTCCATCGCCGGCCGTGACGTGAGAACCAAAATCACGAACAAGCTCAAGCTGCTACCGTCGCCATGGCCCGCCGAGGACTTGCCCTCGTCCGAGTCCAACCTGTTCACCGCAGCTCCAAGAAAAGGTGTTGTTGCTGCTGCCGGTCCAGACTGCCTGATCATCGCTTCCGCCGATAGCATCCGCGCTGCCCTGGCCTCTGGGCGTGATGAATCAAACAAGGATCCCGTCGTTCCTTTTAGCCCGGAGCTTACCATTCCTCTGCCGCGTCTGTCGCAGATCGCATTCACCTCGGACGAGCAGCACCTGGTTATATCGGCGCAACAAGGTGGAGGACTGGCAATACACGAGGTCGCCGCGCTTTCGCAAAAGAATACCAATTCAGCCTTCCAAATGCCAACGCAGAACATGGCCTTGCGGGCGCTGGTACCTAATCCGGCACCTGAGCTGGCCGAGTATATTGCCATGGTCACGGAGAAGGGTCAATTGATGATTGCGAATCTGAAGCAGAGGGACTTTGTTCAGACGCAGAATGGTGCTGTGCTCAAAGACAACGTGAGCTGCGTGACTTGGAGTAACAAGGGCAAGCAGTTGGTCGCTGGTCTGGCCGATGGTACAGTCATGCAGATGAAGCCAGATGGCTCTCCGCAAGCACTCATCCCGCGGCCCCCGGAGCTTGTGGGCGATCAGTACGGTATGTATGCTCACCATCTCAGACCGAACCGCGATGCTTACAGAAACAGTTTCCTGCATCTCATGGTTAACAAACGACGATTTCTTCATTGTTCACGCGCCCACGAGCACTGAACAGGGTAGTCCTTCTGAAATGACTTACCACATGGTCTCACGCGAGAAGAACACCCAAAATTATACCTTCCGCAAGTTCATTCTGGGCGCATGCGACGGCTTTGGCTTTATTCGTAACTCACCGCCTCACTACTTCGTTTCTCGCCTAAGGAACTGGAAGCCTAGCTTGGACGACCTCGTACTGGTGTCTTCCACCGGAGGCGTAGAGCTCGGCGTGATCACAAAGAGCTCTCAGCCTCTCTCACGAGAAAACCCGGTCACAAACAGCTACGTTCCGACAGTCATGGCGGATGATTCCAGAAAGGCATCTATGCCTGGCACTGTCGATGAAGACGCGTACCCGGACATGCCCGATTCATCTCCACTCGGTCTTGCGCTTGACTTATCTAGCAAGGACAAGGTGTACAAGCCCATCGCCGGTAGTGACATCGAATGGTCAAAGACGCCCCTCCCTGCAATCATGATCCTAAACCATGAAGGTTACCTGAACGCCTGGTGGATAGTCTACGATGGATCAGTTGAGGCGGGCACTGCTTACGAAGGTCTTGCTGCAGCAGGTGGCGCTCAATCTGCACCCATGCCGCAGCAAAGTCAGCCGGCTGCTCCTGCTACGTCAAGTCCATTTGGTAAATCTGCCTTTGGTCAGAGCTCTGGCTTTGGTAACGCATCTCCTATGGGTCAGAGCAAGTCTCCTTGGGCATCAGCTAGCACAGGCAGTTCACCTGCCTTTGGCCAGCCAAGTTTTGGATCAGCATCAAAGCCGGGCGCCCCAGCTTTTGGGAAGGCGACATTTGGGTCACCCTCCCAACCTGGTGCTGGTGCGGCTTTTGGTTCAGCTGGTGGCCTGGGCCAAAAGGCTTCTCCATGGGGAAACACTTCGACGCCTTCTCAGATTCCCAAGCCTAGTGGAGGCTTTGGTAGTTCGGGTTCGAGTGAGTCTGGGTTTGCTAAGTTTCAGCAGAACGCATCGCCATTTAGCGCGGCAGCCAAGCAGGGTTCGCAGGCAACATTTGGAGGATTGGCGGCAAGCAAGCCTGGACAGTCGGTATTTAGTAGCGGTTCTACTTTCGGTGGTACGCCAAACCAAAGCTTCGGTCTAACAACCGAACCTAGTTTTGGATCAACGGTCTCACTAAATTCGACAACAGGCGGTTCGACAATCAAATCCCCATCCTTCGGAGCTCCAGCCCAATCATCGACGAGCGTGTTCGGTCAGCAGAAGAAGCCGGATCAGCCCCAGTCTCAAGAGTCGGACATGGGCGATGCGGATGATGCCAATGGAGATGCAACTCCGAAGGAGCCTGCGAAGCCGGGCCCCTTTGGGTTGGGCGCCAGTGGTTTCAAGCTCGACTCTGCGTTTAAGGGAGATGGATCTGCGAAGGATGATTTGCCGAAGCCTGAGACAGGATCCAGCTTTGGCAGCTTCGGTCTTGGGTCGTCGTTTGGTGCAGCTTTGGGTGATGCTCAGAAGACGGAAGAGAAGCCGCAAAACAAGGCTTTTGGATCGTCCCTGTTTGGAACTAAGACAGAAAGCACGGCCCCCAAGGATGCCCCTAAGACCGGTGGTAGTCTGTTTGGTTTCAACAAGCCTGCCTCATCGGCGTCTCCGTTTGCGTCCACCGGAACCAGTATTTTCAGCAAGCCTGCAGAGAAGGCCAAGTCCCCTACCCCGGAAGAGCCCAAAAAGGAAGAAAGGCAGCCCGAGGCGGCCCCTCTGCCACCGGACTTCATCAAGAAGCCCGCGAAGAAGGAGTATGATTCCCAGCCCGAAGCAGCTCCTCTGCCACCAGACTTTATAACGAAAACACCCAAGAAGGACGATTCAAAGCCAGAAGATGCCCCCCTTCCTCCCGACTTTACTCTTCCCAAGGCGAAAAAGGATGAGCCTGAAGAGGAAGACTTCCCCCCAATTGCAGGCAGCCCTCCTGTCAAGGTCGAAAAGCCGGAGTCGCCTTCCCTTTCGGAAATCCCAGAGAAGAAGGACGAGCCTGCACCCGCACCCTCAGCGCCTGCCGCGAGCAACAACGCCTGGAGCTTCCCTCCCGTAGAGAAGACCCGTTCAGACTCCCGGTCCAGGCCGATGGCCCAGCCCAAATCCCGCAGCCCGTCTCGTTCTCCAAGTCGGAATGCCTTCGCCGCGTCAACGACCCCCGCCGGTATGCCCAGGCACATTGGGCGCGCACCTTCTTTCCCTCAGCCGTCGTTCACTCAGCGTGATGAGCCTCTCCGGTCACCCAGTCCGGTTCGTACGGCTTCTGCATCGATACTCAGTCCTGGTCCCAGGCGCCAGGCAGTGACAATACCACCTCCGACTCCGATCTCTCGTGCAACCTCGCGACTTCAACAGCCTGCAGAACAGGATCCCGTCTTCCAGGATTTGGGTGACGATCAAGAGTTCGAGGCAACAAGGCAAATTCTGTCTTCATCGCCCCGCGCAACCAAGACGTTGGAGGAATTCTACGTGCATCAGGACTACGCCGGAAGGTCCGGCCCCTCTAGTGTGTCTGGGTCAATTGAACAGCTTTACCGGGATATGCAGAGCATGATCGATACGGTTGGCCTCAACGCACACAATCTGGCGGGCTTTATCAAGGGTCACAATGAAGTCACTCACGAGGGCCGTTCACGCGATGACCTTGACGTCAACGTGGATGACCCTGAAGACAATGACTGGATCCTTACTGAGATCGAGGATCTCTCCAAGGTTGAGAACAGCCTCGAGCGTTCGCTAGACACTGGCCGTGTTGTTGACGTTCAAAACAAGATCCGCGACCTAATTCGCCTGTCTAAGGACGTTGGCCAGCTGCGCAGGCGCCTCAATGACGTGCGCAAGTCGATCGAGCAGCGCCGCGACCCGTCCAAACTCGCTGTCACGCGCGCAACGCCCCTCTCAGAAGAACAGGGCGCACAGCAAGCACAGCTCCGCTCGGCCTTTGCTCAGACACAGAAGCTCCTTGCCCAGGCCGAAGAAGGCATAGTTCTCCTCAAGACGCGCATTTCGTCCGCGCAGGCTAGCAAGGCCGGCGGCACCGGCAACTCGTCGGCCACGCCTACGGCCGAGGCGGTCGAGAACACCATCAAGAAGATGACGAGCATGATCGAGCATAAGAGCGGCGACCTCGACGTGTTGGAGAACCAACTCCGGAAGCTACGCCTCCTCGGCGACGGCGACGACGAATCAGAGCATCCAGCGGAGGGTCAGACGGCGGAGGAGGATGGCGATGATGACATTGCTGCTGGCCTGAACGCCATGTCGCTCCGCAGCTCTGGCCGCTTCAGCCGCGAGGCCAGCCCGGCCGTCTTCGCCACGCCGCCCTCGGGCATGCGCAGGGGCTACCGCAGCCGCGATGGCACGCCGTTCAGCGCCGGCGGCGATAGCGCCCGCAGGCGCCTGTTCTTCACGCCCGACAGGTACGGCTCGGCCAGCCCGGGCCTGCTGAGGAGCAGCGTCGGGCCTGGAACCGGCTCGGAGCTCGTGCTCCGTAGCGTCGAGGACGCGGCTTTCGGCGGCGAGCACCTGGTCGGAAGAGACGAGGTCAGAGTGTACGTGCGCAAGGTGGAGAAGAAGGCCATCGTCAAGGACAAGCTGAAGGAGGCCATCGCGAAGAGGGGACCGAGGGTCACGAAGATGGCTGGTGCGAAGTAAGAGTGTTGCTTTCCTTTTATTTTCTTTTTTCCCCTCATAGCCGGATCAATGGGGTAGTGTAAAGCGTGCCTGGGGGATGGATGGTTTGAGGTTCTCTTTTTTTTGTACTGCATCTGAAGACGAAGAAAAACGGCAGTTGGGAAAATGCGTCGTGGTATTGGAGAGAGTAAGTTGTAGGATAGGCTGAACAGAAGCTTTATCAACAAAGATGCTGGTGTGCGTGTATTCGTGATCAACTATTCGAAATCATCGTCGTACTCTACATGTATTCTTCGACATCTCCTTTTCTTCCTTTTATACAGGTGAGAATGGATAGGTGGAACATGGATACGCCTGCAGATTCCTGAGGTGCCATTGAAAGTCGCATTGTCTCCCGTCGGTCTCCCGGTTCCCGGTTCTTTGATGGTACACAAGCAACATGTCTAGTCCAATTCTACCACCCAAAATTGACGAAAGTAAACGATAAAAAAACACAATACTACAAACAAGACAATAACCAACACAACTATTCACTTGACCCTTGCATATTACAAAAGAAAGCGATAACTTTCCCCCCGTTCTGTCCGTTCATCCGAACCACTCAACCACCTTCCCAACGAAACCCTCCAAGCCGACCACGCTCCTCTCCGATCTATCCGCCACCTCCCTCTGCCTCCTGCCGCCCTCCATGACCAACACCTGCGCACCCACCTCGATGAACTCCCGCGTCGCCACGAACTGGAAAGTCACGAGCGTGCTCTCCCCGTCGTCGTCGTCGCCGCCGTCTCCGCGCTTCTCCTTTCCAACGTCATCCACCTCGCCGCTGCTCTCTTCCTCTTCTTCGCCCTCCTCGCTCTCGTCGAACGCGAAGCCGAAAGCGTCGTCGTCCTTGGCCGCCGCCTTCTTTTTCTTCTTGGCGTTGGCGTCCTTCCACGCCTTCCGCTTGCCGTCGCCGTCGTCGATGGCAATGGCCACGACCTTGGCGCTCGCCCGCACGCTGGCGATATACGTGACGGCCAGGCTGCCCACGATCAGGTTGCGCACGCCCTCTCCCGCAAAGCGTGCGACGAAGGCGCGGCAGGATTGCGGCGGCGTGGCGCTGGTGCTGTTGTTGTCACCGCCGTCGCTCGGGCGAACGAGTACCATGCCTTTGCGGATGCGGCCTTGTAGTGCTGCAGCAGCGGCTACGCCCCTAGAAGAAGACGTGGATGAAGACAGGGCTGCCGAGGTGGCGGCGGCGGCGGCATTGGGCAATGGCTTCGCGTTGTCGTCGAGGGGAAGGACGCCGAGCGAGCCAACTTGCCCTGCGAATAGAGTTCGGACCGGCAGGCGCAGGTTTCGTATGCTCGTTATGCGGACGCGGCGCCATTCGTGCTGCTTGGATGCGCGTGATGATGCTTGACGGTACGGAAGGGTCAAGTTCTTGTGGAAAGCACCAGGGAAAGAGCGGCTCGTCGGAGCGCTAGAGGCGCTTGGCCTTGAAGGAGCGGCGGGAGAGCCGCTGCTGTCGCTACCGTCTTCGGCGGCTAGTGCAGCTGCTGCGATGCTGCCGACCGGATACGGGCCGAGGAGGAGTTCGTCCCCCAGATGAAGGGTGCCATGATCAAGTCGGCCGCTGACGATGGAGATTTCAGAGGCCTCGGGCGTAGCGTCATCATTGGAGTTGAGTCTCCAAACATCTTCAATGTGGTAAAGTGCAGAGAGTGGAGTGTTGCTCTTGGAACCTGGAGGGGAGCCAGGCTGCACCGCAACTCCAACTTTCGAAGGCGCTGCGGCCGGAGGGATTGAAATTTCGTGCAGAAGGGCATGCAATTTGCGGATGCCCATTCCACTCAGAGCGCTAGTCAGGACTATCGGTACCACGAGCGGGTCGTGCAGGAGCTCATCCGTAGCCTTCGCTCGCACGAGCTCGAGATCTGAAGCTGGCACGACAGCGAGATCGTCCTCTGTCACCGTCGTAGACGAATCAGGTATGATACTGGGTTTTCTCCCAGCCTTTTTCAAGAACGTAAGCAGTTTAGATAAAGTCTTCTTTATCCCGCTTTTCGAGGCTAGATCCAGTTTGGTGACCACGACAATCAGCGGCAGTTCCAGCTTGAGACAGAGTTCCAGATGCGCCTCTGAGAGGTCGACATCAGCCGCAGCAGCGCCTAGAACTTCCTCAGAAGATGGAGTACTACCGACTCTGCCAGACGTATCCTCGTCGTTATCTGCCGGCACACAAAGCAAGGTCCAGTGCGGCGCCCAGCCCATCAGGCCGCGGACAGTGGTCCGCCTGTAACGTGGGTGACCCGCAGAATCAGAAAGGAAAACGAGGCGGCCGGACTGGCAAGCGGCATGGACATCGTTCCATGAATCGACATTGCCTGAAGCATAGTTGATCACATTCACGTCCGCAGACTCATCAGGCGAGCCCGCGTATCCGATGAGCTCCTGGGTGACAGAACTAGTCATTCCAGAAGCAATTTCATGTCTGTGTTTCAGTAAGCTGAGTCGAGATTTGCCCCGTCCGTTGTCCAGAGTTGCGGTGGACAGACTTCCGAGCAGACTGGACTTGCCAGACATGGTTGCTCCGGTCAGGGAGACTCGGAGCTGTTCGGATGCAGATGTGCTGTCATCGAGGCTGATCTGCGAAAGTGGCTGTGCGACATGATGTTGGTGTGCAGTGGGGCCTGAATCCTGCGAGCCGTTGACCTCGGGCTTGACGAAAGCCTCTGCAACCCACAGCTTGCCAGAATGCGCCGTGTCGTCAAAGTCGTCGGTCCAGGCGCATTCGCCCACGGGGATCATGCGCAGGACCTTGACTGTGCAACCGAGGCTGGCTGCCATGGCGCGCAGATTGGTCAAGCTCTCCTCCATCTCATCCTCGGCGAGCCCCACAAAAGTGCCATCGTCGGCAACGCCAATCTCGTACAATGCACCTTTGCTCTCCTCCAAGCCTGGCAGCAACCTTGCAAGGGAGGGCGGTGCCCTGAGCTGTTCGGCAGCTTCAGGCAACTGCGGAACGACAAGCTCATTGGCCGAGGTGGAATGGTATGGTGACGATTGCTGCAGCCGCCACAGCAGCTGCGTGGTCAGCTGTTCCAGGCGATGCTGGCGTGATTGGCTGGAGGTAGCTTTGGGTGGAGTGCTGGCGGGAGTGCGCGATACGGCCGTCTCGGAGACACTGCGAGGTGTTGGAATTCCGAGACTCGAACGATGCGAGCCCGCCACGTGACGGGCGGTCGTCGAGGTGGTGAAGGATCGCCGCGGGCGCAGCAGGAGGTGCAGTTTGTACTCAGTAGGGCCCTCCTGGGGCTCTGCGTCCAACTTGGTAACAGCACGGTCTGTTTCGAGCACAGCCCTAGGCTCGAGGCCGCCACCCGTAGCGAAGGATGCGCCGGACGGATGGTTTGACAGGCCGGGTCCGGGGGGCTGGCGCGGCGTCAACGAGCGCGGGGTGGACCACGGCGAGGCCACGCGCGGCGGGTCGGGGTCGAAAGTGAAGATGGAGGCCATGATGAGGCACGATGAGGCACGATGATGCACTTCACGTCCCTTGCTCGGGGGCGCTCGACGGTCTGGCGGTGTGCGCAGCGGCTCGCGGGCAGTGTCAACTCAGCGCAAACGGAATAGGATGCCCGACAAGCTCCTGTAGGTCGATAATGAAGGCCGTATTCGGTATGAGGTTGAGGATAATGGTAACATCTTGGCTGATTCAGCAAGGGGCAATATGGGTCGCTGGGCGAAGCGGATCTGGCCGTCAGTTGGCAGGGTGGGCGGCCAAACAACTAGCAGAACGACATGGCGAACATGGTGCAATACGAGCGAGGTGGTGAAGGGGCAGCAGTGGTGTTGATGGAAAGAAGCCTCGTTGGCGCATATGGAAGTCGAGGCCTGGTCGATGACTCCTCCCGCTCCTTCCCAGAGCGGCGGGCGGTAAGGGTCGGTCGGCGTGGAGAAATGCCTCTCCGGCCAGGTCGCGGGCATCATCGCGACTGGCATCGGATGCTATTCCATGCTGGCCACGTGAATGCAGCGCGCGGCTAATGAGTTCGCAGCGTCGAGTGGAGCCCGTTGGGCCGCGGAGACGGCCTCGACTGTCGGAACTGCGGGGACAGCACGGAGTGGCAGCGGGGCAGGACACGCAGCCGGCTGCGCCGCAGAGTTGCATCTAAACTAGCGACTTGGGGGCTACCGCGATCGGGCAACATCTGATGGAGCCGAAGCAGCCAGAGGTGGTGCAACGCGGGGCTTCGTCGTCCGCTTCACCGCCTGCCTTGCTGCCTTGGTGGGTGCCTGGCTCCCATCCCCACAGCCGGGTCTTCTCGAAGTCATCCTTAGGGCCTCCGCGATACCGCTCGTGACGATCGCCTACCCCAGCCCCGGATGCACGATGCACGAGCGCCAGCGCAGCTGACTGATGCCTTGGGTACCTTGCGCCAGCGTGCAGGGCCAGGGCTGAGCAAAGGTTGTTCTCCGGGTAAGCAATGCCCTCGCCAATGCGGTGACCTCCGAACCAACCGTTGTGCGGCTGAGAGACTCGATAACTCGAGGCAGATCGCTGCGCCGCTAAGCGCGGCTCGAAGCGAGACAACCAGCCTATATGAGACCAATATCCAGACCCTCCACTCGTACCATTCACCCAAGGCCTGCGCGCTCATACCACTTGCGGCCGCCCATGTCAGCCTGCAGCTGCGCCAAATGGCCAGCGCGCCGGCACAGTCAGCACTCTGTTTTGACGCCTGCGCTAACGTGCCCTCGCTGCCAAAAATAATGTACCTGGCTGCCCTGCTACGCGAGGATCTGCCTCGGGACTGATGCATGCGGTAAGTAAAGGAGCCCCTCGCGGCCAAGGCGCGGTGAGCAGCACCTACCAAAGCAGATGATGACATCGCAAACCTGCCCGCTTCCGGCACCCTTGCGGCCCGGAGGATGACGATGGTGCTGATGACGATGATGATGATGCTGATGATGATGATTTGCATTCAATAGTGGTATGTAATTGTGTGCTGAGAAACGAAGTAACGGAGTTGGTATCTTAGGGAGGCAGCCGCCGCCGCTGCTGCCTCTGCTGCGCCGAATAACGAAGGATGTCGTCTCGCCTCGGCCCAGCTTGCTGCTGTTCGCCCGAGGCGAGATGGGAAATGCCTGCCCGCCCGACCCCCACCGCCCCCGTCCAACGCCGTGGAAAAATGCTCAAACGAACCCAAAAAATGCCCTCCAGAACACCGCGCCATGCTGCTCGAGATTTTGCCATCTCGGAATGAGGAAAATAAGATCAGGCTCCCCGCTGCTAAGCGAGCGGCTGAGAGCCAGCTGATGCGACGCTGGCCGCAAAAAGAAGAAGATCATGCATGTCATACGTGGTTTGCCCCGTGCGCTGTCCTAGAAGCCGGCAACGCACGTCACTGCTTTTCTTTCTGTGTGCCTCTTCATGATGCGTCCGACGTCTTGCGTGGCTTACACTTGTCATGCGCCATGTGCCCGTTGCGTGCCGTCGTCCGCGTGAACTCTGCGCCGCACCGCGGACAGTATGACTTGGCCGCCGTGCCCGACTTCTCGCGCTGGTGCCGCAGGAGGTTGCTGAAGGTCGAGAACTGGCGCCCGTTACACCCGTGCTCCCAGCACTGCGGCTTTGGCCTGGAGTTCAGCACGCGCACCCCTCGGTCGGCTCCGAGCTGTGCTGACGGGTCCGCTGCGCTGCCCGCGGCGTACGGCGGTTGGTACTGCGCGCCCGCGCCGGCGTACATGGGCGGCGCTGCCGCTGGCGTCTGTCCGTATGGAACCCCGTATCCTGCGTTGGTACCGTACTGGGCCGGTTGGCTGTCTATTGTTAGGGCTTACTCTGGGCTTCGTGTTCAGAACAGATCTCTTACGTCGAGTAGTTGGCCCCGTAAGGCGCCGACATGTTCGGATGGATGGGCGGGTACGGCGACGCCTGCGCGCTCGCTCCCGGCATGGCGCCGTCGTTGGACACGGGCACGTAGCCGCCCGATGTCGAGCTTGCTATCGAGCCGTGGCGGGAGGGGTACTCGGCGCCGGGGCTGCTCCTGAGCACGGTGGGGGGGTACGACTGCATGTACGGCGAGGGCGCGCCGCTGCTCTGCGTGTAGGCCTGGTGCTGCGGCGAAGACTGCTGGGTCTGATCCGGCGCGTAACCTAGTCATCGCTATCAGCCCCCGCTCTATTCTTTCCAAAAAGCCCCGAGAGTGCGCCGACGAGCCAGGACTATCCCACGAGGTCCGTCTCTTTCTGGTCCACAGGTCCCCCGCGCCGCAAACACTTCAGCGCTTCCCGCCGGCGCCGCGCGAGGGGCCCGCTTTTTTCCTCGCCTCGGGCATGGTCGTGGCTCCGGAAGTGGATCAACTCACCATAGGGATCGTAGCTGGGCCCTGGAGGAGGGAAGGAGCCGTACTGCGAGGGCATCATGAAGCCGAGAGAGCTGCAGAGCGGATGAGTCTTTGGCGGCGTCCGGGGAGGTGTTGGAGTCCGGGTTACCTCATGTCTTGTTCACGCGGCGGGCTGTGGCAGGGCTGGTCGGCTTGGCTGGGGTCCAGGTCGTAGTTGAAATCCAGAGACGAGGAGGCACCAAGCAGGTCGAGGTCCTGAGCCGTGCCGTCGAAGGCAGGGTCCAGGAGGTGTTGAGGATAGGACGCGCCGCGCGCTGCGGGGAAGGATGGACTATGGGGCGCGAAGGAGTCTCGGGAGAGGCTTGAATGGCGGGGATCTGATGCGGTCTCGGGAGAGGAGGATCTGGGAGGAGCCATGATCAGTACGGCAGCGAGGTGATGGGGCTGCCACGCCGCAACGCTCTTACCTTGGGCTTTATTCGGCAAGATATGATGTCTTATATCACGGCGTAGATGGGCGATGGAAGCTCGTAGGCTGGGAGAACAGCTAAAAACGTTCACTCTCGGACAACAGCTGCCTGCGCCATGTCCGGGGGGCGAGGGTACATCATATAGATGTCTACAACATGGTGGAAGAACCAACACTCGCCTGGTTGGCTCCGTGCGCGTGAAGGATTCAACCCCCTGTCCGCACGCTTGGGGGAAAACCCGTGCGGGCCATGATTTTAGTGTGGGCATAGGATATGATGCCACCTGCGTGCCTGGCACCTGCACGTCTGTCAACGCTGGGACGGGAGATTGGTACAAGCTTTGGGCTGGGCGGGCGGCGCATGGTACGCTTGCCCGCGTGCTTTGTCAGGCCGTGTAGCTGCGGTGACACTGAGCAGCTCTGCGAGCCCTGGGTTTACCGCCATTGGGCCAGGGGCTTGGGCCCAGTCACGCGTGTTGGTGGCGCTCGAGGCGGCCGCATTCTCTGGAGATGCGCGCAGACGGGTCGTTTCAGCGCGTGAGGGCCGCCCAGCGGGTGTTTCGCTGCCGGCCCAAAATAGGGCGCACGCCTGCGAGCCTCCCGCCGGCCGGCGCGGCGGGCCTCGAGGGCTCGACGCAGCAGGCCGGTCGCGGCGGTGGCCAGAAAGCGGGCGTGTGGGCAGTGATCGATCTCGACAGCCCCGCCGTGCGGCCACTGCGCCACGGCCGGCGTCTTTCTTTAGCAACAGCCAACATGATAGCAGCGAAGTAAGGGCAGCGCGCAATGTTGCTTAGCTGCGGGCTCTTGGCACGAGCCATTGCTGCCTAGCTGCCTGCGACCCACCGCCCACGGGCACCCTGCACCCTGCGGCTTAGAGTGCCCTCGCTTTCGCATTGCGCCCAGCCTGCCGGTCCAAATCGGTGCCAGACCGGGCGCTCGGATCGACACTCGCCGCCGCTGCCTGCTTGTCACTGCCAAACGGCGGGCCACCAGCCAAGCGATCTTCACGCTTCCCCACTTCCTGACGTCCACTGGGGTAACGGGTGCCAGTCGCATGATGCCGGTGGCACCCAGCAACACCTCCGCCAGCTGCGGCAGAAGCGCCGACAGCCCATGAGCAGCGCGGCCATGCGCGCGCCGCCCTAGTCCCTCCGCCAGAGCACCACCACCAGCAGACCGCCCGCCCAGCAGATGACCGCGACCCGCCCTTCCGCCCGCCCACCGACTGTGCGCCCCGGCCATGTGCGCGCCCGTGGCCAGGCCTGAGCGCAATATTGCACCAATGGGATGTCGGAGCGAGCCCGTCGATCATGTTGGTTGGAGTAGGCCGCGTCGCGACGGCTGCTGCTTCGCTGCCCGCGACGACGAGACCCTGTGCTGGGAGTTGCCGACGCCATGGCTGCCGTCACAGGGTTGGGGGCTTCCTCCCGCTACTCTGGCACGCTATATCAGAGCCCAATTTCCAGGCCTGTTGGAAAGCAGCAGTAGTAGCAGCAGCAGCAGCAGCAGCTTCCAACAGCAGCACCCTGCCGTCCAACGCACACCGCGAACGTCCTGTCTCCCGCTGAGCCGCGCTCCATGGGCCACGTACGGCCGACGGGCCCCGGCCCTCCGTCTCCCCCCTCCCATCAAGGGGGTGACGGGATCTCCAGGACTCGCCGAAGCTGCCGTCTTTAGCTCTGCTGCGCTAACGCCAGCGGGAGGTGGAGCTCTGCTCTATATGCTCGCTCTAGCGCGCGGCTGAAGACAAGTGACCGCCACTGACGATTCTGATAGCAGGTCGGTCCGGTTGATTTTTGAACCTCTCCATGTATGTACTCAAGCATAGCGTCGTCTCGGCCTTCGGCGGCCTCGAAGCCGAAGGCCGCTTCCCAATTTCAACACATCCCAGGGCCCGCGCGCGCCGTAGCTCTCCTTAATTTCGACGCGGCACGGCGGCCGCTGCCGGGCAGGGGAGGCGTTATGAAGCACAGGATGATCTCCACGCATCCCCGCGCCAGTGCCAGAAGATGCACGCAAGGGCAGACGTCGATGATCGCCATATCGACAAACCGCTCGGCGTCCAAAATCTCCGTTTCGCCTGCCCTCTGGAGCGCGAGCTTCGACGCGCCAACGACGACCGCCAAGACGGCAACAACCACTGTCCAAAACTCGGCCCCGAAGTCTTAGCACGGCGCCGGGAGTCATCTGATCGGCTTTCGAGCCCCCGGGCTTATCGCTTTCGAGGCATTGCGGACGACGACGTCTCCTTTGCTCGCGCACCCTGGGTGCGGGCTTGCTGGCAGGCGCCACTTCCCCAGCTGGAGAACGCCGAGCGATCAGCCTCAGCAGCCCTCATTTCGGGACGGGTGGCTCCCATATGAAACGGCCACAGGGCCTTTTGTTGTGGGTGCGCATGTGATGGGCGGTGCGGGAACTCCGTCGTTGTCGTCGTCGTCACGTCGTCCATGCTGCCTCGTTGTCGCTTTCGGCGAGATCGTCAGATCGCGCGCCGGGGTTGCGCGACAGGGGACCTGGCAGCTGGCACATGGACATTGCGCAAACGCGCGCCTTGCCGATTTTTGGAGTGCCGCTGTAGCCCACGCCCACGTCCACGGGGCGCTCGCCGCAAGGGAGCATGTCGCCCGTGCCGCACACATCATCAGCGGTCCCCGACGACGCTCGACGAGCAGAGATGCGCTGTGCCCGCGCCCCGCTCGCCTCTGTCGAGCACTCGCGTTTGCGGAGCGAGCGCCCTCCTAATGCAGGCATTGCTCGCAGCTGTGCCCCAGTCCAGGGCTCGCGGATTACTTCCAAAACGCGGTAGTTCGCCTGGGCCCGTCGTGCCCCAGGCAGCAATGGTGATCATCGCACCGGCATCATCACGCCGAGCATTGAGCTCCAGATGACTGGACCGTCGGTCGGTCGCGCGGTACGGCGGAATCTCCAGATTTCCGATATGCGCGCTCGGCCGTCGTGGCCCTCGCTCGACCCCTTCCCCGTTTAGGCCCACGCGTTGCCTGCTATCGTCCTGTTGGCGTTCCTTGACCCTTTTTTATTTTTTTCCCTCGTGCGGATGCGCGCCATTTCCCGCGCGGAAATAGGACTTCTGTGCGAAGAAGCCAATTCATCCCTCGAACCCCCTGGCCGGCGTTGTGCAAGCCCCTCTCTCCACACGCGCGCTGCCCTATAGCAGCCTAGGGAACCTGCCGAGCAGCATCGGGGAACGTCGGGACGCCCAAGATACGCGGGCCCTGTCCTGCCGTTCGCTCCTCGTGAGCAAGCCCATCCCTGACCGGCTGTCAGGGACCGCGGCGGGCATTGAATTCTTGGCCAACACAACAAAAATTTGGGGGCGGATGGGCATGAGCGAAAAAGAATAATGACTGAGGGCCTCACTTTCCAACATGTCTCCGCCGGGAAAGGTCTTGGTGTCAATAATGTCTCCGACAAAATGAAAACGTGAGAAAAAGGCGCGACGCCTTGTGCGTGCTGTCCCCAGGGCGGCGGGTCCGCGCATTTTAGGTTGTGTCTTGCTCTTTTCGGGCAAGCGATGCCGTTTTTTTTCGCCGCCACTTGCTTTTCAAAAGAGTGCGCACTGCGAGATCAGTCCATCGGCCCATGCATGAGCCCTTCTTTCTCGCCCCACCGCAGATGCGGTCATTCCAGGCTGGTCGTCTCGGCTGTCCGCGGCCGTCTGGCCCGCCGTCATCGGCTTTGCCATGGCAGCTGGGCATGCATGTTATTGATGGAGAAACCGGGCAAGGCGCCCCAGGCTGTCGCCCGGTTTGCCGGGGCCAACGGCGTTCTTTCTGATCCTTTTCGAAGATCGAGCTACTTTTTTTGGTGTCACACATGCGTCTCCGCCCCCAAGAAAAAACCCGAACGCCCGTCGGCAATTCCATTCCCCACCGATGTCCCTCCTCGCTACCGGCCCAGACTCATCGTCATTCCATGGCCGCCAGCGCCCGGTTGAACACCTCGACCAGCTCCGCCGTGTCCTCCAAGCCGACGCTGAAGCGGACGAGGTTGGACTCGACGCCGTACGAAGCCGCCTGTGTCATCAATTAGCCAGGCAGAACTTATTACGTTGGATGCTCGAGCCCTGCAACTACTAGACGCGAGATGGGCCCTGCTGCAGGCTACCCCATGCGGCAGTCCCACCAGGGTGGGCGCGGTAGGGCTAGCGGGCACTTTGCTCTTCTCGCAAATGAAGAAGTTCGTCCGGACGAAAGGTACGCGCCCGATCCGGACGAGTGGTCCATCTCGTGCAACGCCCTGCCCCCATCTCGCTCTCGCTTCCGTAGTGCGACGCGTTTCGGCACGCGTCATAATGGAGAACTACTTACCCAATCAAGCTCGGTGAAATGAGCTAGGAGAACGTAGGGAGAGCTGTTCATTTTGCAAGTTAGCACGCTCGTCCCACGTTCGGGAGCGCCGATCAAGGCTACCAACCTGAGAGTAAAGTTCGTGCCCAGACTGGGTCCTTTTGCGGTGTCCAGATGGTCGAAGAACTTGGTGGCATCTTCCGTCGAGTAGAAGGTGGCTGACAGCAGACCGCCATAACCGCCGGTGGGCCTTTTGCAGCGGTCGTAAAACGCCCGCGTTGGACTGTACTTGGGATAGTGTACTTGTTTCACTGCCCCTTGTCAGTATCGCTTTCCCATCGCGCTTGGCGCTGCAGCTTTACCTTTCGGGTGCTTCATGAGAACTTCGCAAATGGCCTCCGCGTTCACGTTGATCCTCTCAATGCGTGAGACGAAGTCCCGGCTGTTGCGTTCCAGGAAAATTGCATCTTCCGGCCACAAGTTGTCCTCGTACTCGGCTGCCCACGTCTTCTTGAGCAGGTCATAGTACCGTCCCTTCGGGTTGAGGATTGCACTGCGCCTATTTTTAGTCGTCGCTCGAAATTCCAGAACGAGCAAGACTCACCTGCCACCCATGACATTGCTGTCGCCGCTGAAGATCTTGGTAAGGCTGCTGACAACGACATCCGCAAAAGGAAGGACGTGAACGTTCAGGAAGTTCCCGATCGTCTCGTCCACCACAACGCCAAAATCAAATTTGTCAGCGAGCGCTCGGATTCGCTCTAGGTCTGGCGCCTTGAGGAGCGGGTTGCCTGGAAATTCGCAGAAAAGCGCGAGGAACCTCTCGCCGCTCTCCAGCCGTTTCTCAAATTCGTCTAGCTCCTCCGAGGATCCAAATCCGTAGAAAATAGCACCGGGGCCAAATTTCTCCAAGATTTTGAGCGTGTCAATGTACGGGAATCCGTAGCTGACGCTCTTGCGCTGGCCCAAGGCGGCCATCATGGTGCGGTGGGTATTGAAGATTGCGCTCATGCCGCAAGGATACAGATAAACATCGTCCTCTGAGAAGCCGGCAACGGGGCGGGTCCGTTCATGGTCGCGCTCGAGCTTCAACGCCTCCTCCAGCTCCACATTGGCCGTCAGAGAACCTGCAATGCGCCTCTGGATTGCATGCTTGGCGTTCTCTGCGAAACCGACGTCCAGGTTCCTGCCGAATCTCTCTTCGACGAAGCGCAGGGGGTCTTGGCCGTCTGGCTCCCTCACGGGCGCCGACTGGTGGGCCGGGATATCCACCGAACCCCTCTTTTGGTACCTTTTTGGCCCCTTGCACATGCGCTGTCCTGCCTGAGACTTTTCTACCAGCAAGCCATCCTCGAACGCCTTGTGGCAGTATTCAGCCCTGCGGCTAGACACACCATCGCCCGAGTGTTGCCAGAAGGTCTTCGCAATCTTGAATCTGTCCTTCGGGAAGAGCACGGCGGACACACGGGGCAAAACGCGGTCCTGGGGATGCTTGTGCTCGGGGTTGGTGATAAGGTCGACGATGCGGACTTGGCCGGGGCCGAGCTCGGGGGCTTGCTGACGGAAGAAGTCGGCGCAGCGGGCGGCGACTGCGTGGGAAGGGAAGAGCATCGCACTGTCATTCGGGAGGCCGTAGGTGGCAGCGATGACCTCAGCGAAGCGAGCAATAGATTTATGAACAAAAAACCTGCGCGTTTCCCGTGAGCCAAAACGCCATTGAGGCGTGGTAGGAAGCCTACCGAGGATATCCTGTCTTCATCCTGCCAATCACCTCAGGTCGGCCCTCCTCGTAGCCAACGTTGGCGTCCCATGTTGGCAATGAGACGCTCACAGCCTGCGGCGATTAGCAATGACGTGAGTATGGTGGCGTTGGAGGGGCGCGCTTGGGCTCGGGACGCACATGGGCAGTGAGCGGGGGAATCGTCTCCCCAACGTCGTTCTCGGGATTCATAGTTTCGACAGCCATGATCGCAACGATGCAGAGAGAAGGTGGGATGCGTCAATGGCAAATGAGAGCCGAGGAGTTCTGACGCAAAGTCTCCGATGACCGGAAGACGCCTGAGTCAAATCGCGCCGTATCGATAAGAATTTCTGCAGGGTTTCACGGCCAGAATTTTTGCCGCGCGCTGCGAACAACCTTACGCCCAAGAACCGCACTGCACCCACGCGACCATGGCGCCCCCCGCGGTCAAGCGCAGAAAGCTCAGCCACGACTCCGACGAGGAAAGCAGCGACGGCGCTACCGACCCCCGCCTTGCCGCCAGCGACGACGCCTCGAGCGACGATGACGAGCAGAGCGACGCGCCCGGCGCCGACGTAGACATGGACGGCGAGTCGCAAGAGGAGAACGACGACGAAGAGGAGGACAGCGGAGATGATAGCGAAGAGAGCGATGAGAGCATGGAAGAGGCTGTGGCAGGCAAGAGCCAGCCGCGAACCTCGAAGGAGCCCAAGAAATCCCACAAAGAGCCACGGAAAGGCCCGCTTCGGGATCGCGACATGGCCGAGTTGACTGGCGCGTACACGGGCGAGGTCTACAAGTCGAACATATTCAAACTACAAGTGGACGAGCTCCTCGAGCAGATCAGACCAAAGCACGGCAAGAAAGAAGCCGCTGCAGAAAAGGCTCTCCGCGATCTGAAGGGCATTATCGAGAAGATTCCTGCTCGCGACCCCGCTCCCGTGAGTTTTTGAGATCTCTTCCATGACTTGATCAGGGAGGAAAGAAGAGGGCGCATGACGCAATGCTAATTGATGTATAGATCCCAGATGCCGAGCGTTCTCTGATCAAGCAGAGCAAAGTCACGATCCCGTTCCCCTATCCCCGGCCCCCGAAAGATGCCAAGTACACCCTGCAGTACGCAAAGCCTACCATCATCAATCCAGTTGGAAGCTACCCGTTGAAGCTGAACGCAAGAACGGGCGAGCAGCAAGCCATTGATCTGGTTCTCGTCATGCCTCCCACTCTTTTCCAGGAAAAGGATTATTTGAACAACCGCTATTTCTACAAGAGGGCCTACTACCTAGCATGTATTGCTGCTGGGATTAAAGACGCCAAAGGCCACGGTTTCAAGCTACGATTTGATTATCTGAACGGAAACGAGTTCCACCCCATCATCATGGTGGAGGGCAATGGCCAGGAAAGCGAACTGTCCAATTCGAACTACAAGATCCAGATTGTTCCTGTGGTTTCAGACGGCGTTTTTCCGGAAGACAAGACTTTGCCGGAGAAGAATTGTGTTAGGCCAAAGCAGGCGACCGAAACTCCAGTGCCGGCGAACTCAAAGCCTACTCCATTCTACAACGCTTCAGTCCGCGCGGACAGCCAGGCGACCGCGTATCTGAAGCTCTTGCACGGCGCCTTAGGCCGCAACGATGCTTTCAGGGATGCCTGTCTGCTGGGACGGACCTGGCTGCGGCAGCGTGGATTCAGCGGCCAAATTCGGTGTGGCGGCTTTGGAAATTTCGAATGGGCTACCATTATGGCGCTACTATTGCAAGGAGGCGGTCCAGCGGGGAAGCCACTCTTCGCCGCGGGTTACAGTAGCTACCAGCTTTTCAAGGGCATGCTGCAGTACTTGGCAACTCGGGACCTCGCAGACCAGCCACATCTGTACCAGGCACCCGGTGTGCAAATCCCCCGGGAAGATGGCGTCCCCACTTTCTTCGACGGCCCGCGTGGTCTGAACCTCCTGTACAAGATGACGCCTTGGGCGTATCAGCTTCTGCGACGAGAGGCTCGCACCACTATTGCGGCCTTAGGGGACAACGCATTGGACCAGTTCGACTCCACATTCGTGCTCAGATCCGACCAGCCTCTGCAAAGGTTCGATGTCTTGGCCGAAATTCCTCTGTCCGCTTTTGGCATAGACCTTCAAGACGACGATCAAACACAGAAGCTCGTGAAGAGCTATCACAAGCTCTACCGGGTCCTTAAACGTGGATTGGGCGACCGCGCGCACATTGTTTCCCTAGTCTTGCCAGAACACCAACCGTGGCATCCGGGGACAGCCAAGACTACGGTGCAACGAGATGCTCGGATTCTAGTTGGGTTCATAGTCGATCCCGCCAATGCAGTGCGAGCTGTTGATCACGGGCCAGCAGCAGAGAGCAAGAAGGAAGCCGCCGCCTTCCGCCAGTTCTGGGGGGAGAAGGCGGAGCTCCGTAGATTCAAAGACGGAAGCATTCTGGAGAGTCTTGTCTGGTCTACCAAAGAGTCCAACACCTCGATATTCGAGCAAATCGTGCGCTACGTATTGGCTAGGCACATGGGCAAGGCTGTAGCGGATAGCGCTACCTTCGTTGGAGAGCAATTCTCTCGTCTGCTCTCAGGCAATGGTCAACCTGGAACAGACCTTTTCCTTCCTTTCCGGAAAGCATTCGACACTCTTGAACGGGATATCCGTGCCCTCGATGGAATGCCTCTTGCAGCCCGCCACGTTTTCGCTGCCGACCCGCAGCTCCGTTACACGTCTGTGGATGTTCCTTTGGCGCTGCATCGCCAGTATCCGGCAGTCCCAGCAAATGTCGTCATCGAATTCGAAGGCTCTGCACGCTGGCCAGATGACATCAAAGCCATCCAAATGACCAAGGTTGCCTTCTTACTGAAGATGGGCGAGCTTTTGCAGGAAAGCGTCGAGGGCGTGACCACTCGAGTTGGCTTGGAGAACGAGGGTCTGGACATCATGAACCAAGCATTCCTGGATGTGATCTATCCCTCTAGCGCCGTATTTCGCCTGCGGATTCACCATGACCGCGAGCCAACGTTGCTCGAACGCCGTCTCAAGGACAAAGGTCTCGATGCAGCAACAAGAGAAGCCACAGCGCTTGCTCTGGCAACCTACAAACGCGAATCTGGCCGGGTACCAGCTCATACCCAAGCACTCCAGGCGCTCTGCACCCGCCTTCCCGCGCTGTCTCCTTCGATTCGCCTCTTGAAGAAATGGTTTGCTGCGCATCTTCTGTCTTCTCACTTTGCGCCAGAGCTCATCGAGCTGATGGTGGTCCGAACATTCCTCAACTCCTACCCTTGGGAGCCGCCGACCAGTGCAATGACTGGATTTCTCCGTACACTTTCCTTCCTCGCCCGCTGGGACTGGCGCAATGAACCGCTCATCGTCGACTTCAGCAGCAGCATGAAGCCGGAGGAGGCATCTGCCATAACTACACGCTACGAAGCGTGGCGCAAGATTGACCCGGCGCTGAACCGTGTGGTGATGTTCGCTGCCACCAACATCGACGCTGAGGGCACTACATGGACCGATCATGCACGGCCCGCCAAGGTCGTTGCTGCCCGTATGAGCGCACTTGCTAAGGCTGCGACGCAGGCTGTTCGCGACAAAGGCATCGCCATCGAGCCTGCATCTTTGTTTGTGTCTCCGCTCGCTGATTACGACTTCGTCTTGCACATCAACCCGGCATTTTCTAAGGCCAGTCAGGGCAAAAAAGACAAGTCTACGAAGCAGCAGTTCAAGAACCTTGCTCTCCAGGCAGATGCCTCGGAACAAGCAGGTATCAACACGGTGGGCTTCAACCCAGTCAAGCTGTTCCTTTCAGAGCTACGCGAGACTTTTGGCCATGCGGTCGTTCTTTTCTCCGACGAGAACGATGGCGATGTCATTGCTGGTCTTTGGAACCCGGCTAACATCGCCAAAAGGAAGTGGAAGGTTAGGATGGGATATTCCACGGTGCCTGTTGCAGAGCAACGTGCGGAAGGTGAGGTGGACGCGGAGGCTAATAAAGAGGCCATGTTGGCGGAGATGGCCAGGTTGGGCGGAGAGTTGGTGAAGAAGGTGGAAATCAACCGGCGGTAGATTGGGGCAGTTAGATGAGGTTCGAGAAATTTCTGGTTCACAAAAAGTTGTGGGGATGGAATAGGAGATCAGTGTTCGTTCGGTGTGCGCCCAGGAGCTATGAGCATGAAATCTTCTCCGAAAGGAGGCATTCAGAAGCGGCCCATCTTGGCGCGGTGACGGGTCGGCCTCTCACAGCCTTGCAGGTGTCAAAAATTGGCGGTGCAATGGGGGCCTTACTTCGTACAAGCGGTCATTACTCGCGCTGATCTACTCCAACGAGTCGGGCAGTCGGCCAATGAACGATTTGGCACGTAAATGTGGAGGCAGATGCTCATGACGTCGTACACATCGGAAGTTTAAAATTAAGGTTCTCGGGGCAAGCCTTGCTAATAATTTTCAATCTCATAGCACCGGCCTTATGTTTTCCATTGACTGCTCAATATCCAAGCAACGCCTCGACAGTTTGGCACTGGCACAGGAGGCACGATACGGTGTCGATGTGCTCAGCTTCGCCGGGCCGGATTCCGCTCGATACGACAGGTATTCAAGAGATGGATGAAACAAAGGCCGACCATCGGTAACAGTTCAGCCCTGCCGGGAGAGGCGTTTAGCCACTTCCGTTGCCCCAATCTCGCTTGACGTGCTTTGGCGCTGTTTTCCCTCGTATCCCGAGCCATCGGGCCGCTCGCACGATGCCTAAGATGGCCGTTTGGCGGGAATGTCGATCTTTGAACATTTGTAGAATGCCCCACAACCGACTATATATACCAAACCAAACCTCACTTGAATCTGTCCCCAACGAGAAGTCATTCATCACCAGTATACCCACATTCGCTTCAAGCCACCCTCGCTATCAAAAATGCAGTTCATCACTTCGCTCCTTGCTCTCGGCACCGTTGCCTCTGCCGCCGTTCTTCCCATTGTTCCTAACCTCCCCACCGAGGAGGCTTCTATCACCGACCTCTATGCTCGCAAGCTGAACGGAACCGCTGTCGAGTGAGTACCGCACTTTATCAGAGAGTTTTCAAGCCTGACACGTCGAATCTAGCTCCCTCTCCTTCAAGCTGAGCATCGACGGCAAGGCTCCCTTCGACTGCTCGTCCAGCACTTTCGGCTTCGGCCAGTGCAACACCACCGACGCCTACTACGGCTTCGGACTCCAGAACAACGGCTCCTCCACCTTCACCATCGCCATCTCCAAGGTTTCCGAGGACGGCTACAGCATCTGGGGCCAGGGTGCGGTCCCCACTTACTGCCACGCCGGTGGCGCTGGCCCCAAGGACTTTGTCTGCTCCCAGGTCAACAACGCCACCAACTTCAAGCTGTCTTTCGGTGGTTCCGCTTAAATGAGGGTGCTTGCTATGTCTTACGCTTCATGTATATAAGTTTTAATATCGAACAGCCTCCGAAGATTGAATGGAGATGCATTGATACATTACCTTTGAATAAGAAGACAGTTCGCGCACTGCTGTACATTGTGGCTGTACCAGGAGGAATAAGTGACTGCATTCCCGGTACATTGTCTTCATTGCATATGGATTCACGTTGTGGATCACTTTGGATTTGTTAATTTGGCAGCTAAATGGCTGTTTCCGCTGAAATATTGCAACTAAAGATGTACCGAGTGAGACCAGGTGAAAATAGCATAGTGCTTACAAAATTGACTCCTCGCAAATTCACTCACCAATCTTTTCACGCCGAAATTATAGAGATCTTAGGCTCTATCTAAGAGCACCATTGACTTACTAACCTTATCGACTAAGTTACCTACCAATGAAATGACCACCAACTAATAACGTGCTTACCACCACTAGCACGTGTACATACTACAACCCAATATTACTAGTATGTTTACTATTACTGCCCGCACAATGACTACCCGTGATCAGCGTACTGACTACCAGCAGCGTAGGCGTAAACATCGAAAATATTTTTGCTATAGGTAATATTCCCAGGGGAAGTCAAATTTGTGGAAGTCGAATGAGCCGCCCCACGTGGAGGGCGCGCGAACCCTCTTTCCTAATTAGGCAGGGCCGTTATGACTCGCGCCAGATATTCTAGAGCGCGACGATCTCTCCTTCGCAACAACACTACCACCACCAACGCACGGCCCATCACAGCTGTACGAGCTTGACTCTGAACGACCTCTGGTGCTACGCGGCCAGCGCGCCGCTTGCGCTACCGCCAATGGAAGTCCTCCCTCGTACCTTGTCGCGCTCCGAGCCGCGCTATCAACACCGGCCCAACGCTAAGATGCCGCCCGCAGAGCCACGCTTACTGGGCATCCCTCGGGAACTGCGAGACCAGATCCTGCGGGAGTACATCGATCTCCACTGCGCCTATTATCCACTGCGCCACAGCTACCCTCACGAAGTGACCATGAGCAAAGCACACATGCTCAGCCTCTTTGTCCCAGATGGCTCGAGTGGCTGGACCAGCCCGGCCATGAACATCTTACTCGTGAACAAGCAGATCAAAGACGAGTTCCTAGATGCTCTGTGGGCTCACACGCAGATCATCGCTGTCGACTACTATCCTATAATCGAAGACAACGATGCACTAGTCCACTGGATAAAAGAGCTCGACGGTCATCTGAAGAAAAGGTACGGCATCCCGTCATACCAGTGCAACCATATCCAGAATCTCGAACTCCAGCTCGACATGGTCGTCTCATTGCGCGACAATCTATCCATAACCGTCTGTCGCGACGTCTGCTTGGCCTACATCCGCATTCTCCTCATGACTTTCCCTGCCGCGCGGAATTTATCCATTGCGCTCTTCCTCAACAAGGCCTCGTACATGTCTGGAAATGTGATTAAGAGAATCCACCTTCCACACCTGGGCGAACTGAGAGACAAATTTCGGGACAGCTTTCTGGCTCTCGATTTGTACTCGCTTCCGGCCTTGGATCGCTACTTCACATCTCCGTGTCCATCGCTGGCCACCGTCAACAGCTTCATCAAGACTATCCTTAGCAGGGACACTTTGCCCGCTCTTACGCTATACAAGCAAGTCGACACGCTGGATTGGCAAGCCGGCAAGGTAAAGACGGTCGCACAGGTCGCTCGTGATCCTCTGTTCTGGTAAGTTGGTCTCGAGTATCCATTCCTTGAGAATTACTAAAGTCTTTGAAGATTGGCTCGGCAGGTCCACCATGACGCACAGCCACAAGGCGTGCCGGAGGCTTGGTCTCGATTATCACGTCTTGCGTTCTTCTTACAACATGAAGAAGGGGAACGCCGCCGACTTCCGTTTGCCTGAGTACGAAGCCAGTTTATACTGCAGGCGCCTTCAGGACCTGGAACGAGCATATGCGGCTTGGGAGCACCGTAGCATATCGTCGGAGACGGCTACGCGTAAACGCGAAACGACGGAAGATGAGGCCGAGGAGGCTCTGGAGAGCGCGGCAAGCCCCTCTACGAATTAAGCATCGACACAGCGCCAGAACTCAATTCGACAGCAATCACGAGAGGGCATAGTATGAGATGGTCCTGGTTCAAACTTGCATAGGCAGACTAAAGAAGGTATTTGGCAGTTACAATGTTGGTGCAATCCAGCCTTCTGCATGCTCTGGATAAGAATGAGAGGCGTAAGAATCCCAATTCAGGACCGTGCTCGTAACGCAACTTCGCGACATACTATCCCAAGTGATCATTCAACTCGCTGCACAGTCGACGAAAATATTGATATGTTCCTGCTCCAGTGATAACCAAGGAAATCAATGGACATCTCATTGTTTGGATGCATTTGCCATAAGACTGGCGACACAGTGCGACCAACCAGATGTCGAGGGAATCAGGTGTGTCAACCGTCATAGACCGCATTGGAGATAGGCCAACAGGTAAGGGCATATTGAGCAAGAGGTACCTCCTCAAGTGCAAGGTGCCGCAACAACCTGGATTTGAAATAGAACGAGGGTGTCGGGGTTGAGAACCAAGCTGCTTAAAAGCATATAGACTTTCTGAAAGTACCAAGCAAGCAACAGCAATGTCCATGAATAACCACCGAGTAGCTGGATCCAAAAGTTGTCCACTTGCCAGTCGTTGGCTGCGCGACCCAGAAGACGTACATAATACCCCCCAATGATTCTTTTTCGCAGGCCTAGTAACTCCGGACCCTAAAAATGTGGCGGGTCTCACCATGATATCTCACATAAAGTTACAAAATAACGGACTATGGTTAACACTTTCAGAGTTTCTTGGACTCAAGGAACTCGACAATTTTCGAGTGATGGTTGCCCTGCAGGGGATGATAATGAGCGCGAGCAGTTCTATGGGGTTGCGACAGCCTTACCTTTGCAATAACATATCCTCTCTCGTTGTTAACGGAGATGTCATCTTCCGGGAGGCTCAGGTATTTCTGTAGCGCTTTGCGAAGCGCTATCACATCCCCGCTGACCTTCCGCACTTTGGTCTGTATGCGATTGCCTCCACTCTTCTTTTCTACGTAGACGGGCAGGTTGTTCGACGAAGTCCGAAGGACGAAGTACGGCAGAAGAGCCGATTGAACTTGCTCCACGGCCGGGGCGTTGGCATCGACGGGCGCCGTGTTGGATGCAGTGGTGACCTCAGCTGCAGCCCAGTAAGTAAGCGGGCTATATGAAGGTTGGCCGAGATGGCATACCTTCTTTCCTGAAGCGAGAGCATTGCGAGAAGCGGTGGATCTGGGTGATCGCCGCGGGCCTAGCACCTGCAATTGGGCGGAACAGAGGCAGAACGGGCCGTGCGAAAGCCATGGTGGGTACGGGTAGAAGCTACCAGATAGGCGCAAGGCTACAGAAAGAAAGGTTGGGGCGGTGTCGAGGATGCAGTACCAGGGCAAGCGGGCTAGAGTTCAAGACAAAGGTCGGCATCGGAGTTTGGCCCAAGCGAGGCGACACGGCGCGGAATTTTAAGGACCTGCGCGCACCCCACACCATCACCACAACGCACCGCGTCCGCGTCCTCGCCTGCCTTCCACGCGTTTGCCGCGCCCTCAGATCCCGCCGCACGCCCGGTCGCTGCTCTATCGCCCACCATGGCTGACGCCGCCGCCGATGTCGCTGAGCAGTATGACCTGCTTCCCAAGATGATCCCCAACCTGGATCGTCACCTGGTCTTCCCGCTGATCCAGTTCGTTGCGGGCCCGGAGGAGGAGCAGAGTGAGCAGGACAAGAAGCTCAGGTATGAGCTGCTCAAGACCACCAACATGATCGACTACGTTGGCGGCCTGCACGCCGAGATCAACGGCCTCTCCCAGCCGGCCGACGAGTTCAACAAGAAGCGCGAGGAGGTCCTGCAGAAGCGCGAGCAGTTCGAGGAGGACACGAGCAAGATTCTGGGTCTTTTGGAGGACGAGGCCGTCGTTGGCAACCTGCGCAGCGACAAGACGGCCAACTTGAACTACCTGAAGGACAACCACGGCGTCACCAACGACATGGTCGACAAGCTTCTGGAGTTCGGCCAGTTCCTGTACAGCTGCGGTGACTACGAGCGCGCCTCGGAGCTGCTGTACCGCTTCCGCGTCCTCTCCACCGACGACAAGAAGGTCTCTGAGTGCACCTGGGGCAAGCTGGCCAGCAACATCCTCTCCACCGACTGGGAGGCCGCCATGGAGGAGGTCAACAAGGTCAAGGAGAGCATCGACACCAGGCTGTTCAACAACCCGCTCGCCCAGCTGAACCACCGCACCTGGCTCATCCACTGGGCTCTCTTCCCCTTCTTCAACCACGAGCCCGCCCGTGACACTCTGACCGAGCTTTTCTTCTCACCCGCCTACATCAACACCATCCAGACCAGCTGCCCCTGGATCCTCCGCTACCTTGCCGCCGCCGTCATCACCAACCGCAGCCGGAGCAGGACCTCCAGCCAGTACCAGAAGCAGCTGAAGGACCTGATCCGCATCGTCAAGCAGGAGGGCTACGAGTACAGCGACCCGGTGACCGACTTCATCAGGGCGCTGTACATTGATTTCGACTTCGAGGAGGCACAGAAGAAGCTGGGCGAGGCCGAGGAGGTTCTGAGGAGGGACTTCTTCTTGGTTGCGACGGCCGACGCCTTCGTGGATGCTGCCAGGCATCTCATCTCCGAGTCGTACTGCAAGATTCACCAGAGGATAGACATCAAGTAAGGAAGACGCATCACTGAACGCAACAGGAAGCTAACATGTGACAGGGACCTGTCGACCCGTCTCGGCCTCAGCCAGGACGAGGGTGAGAAGTGGATCGTCAACCTGATCCGCGACACGCGCGTGGACGCCAAGATCGACTACCAGGCGGGCACCGTCGTCATGAACCACCCGCCGCAGTCGGTGTACCAACAGGTGATTGAGCGGACTAAGGGCGGCTTCTTCCGGACACAGGTGCTCAGCGCTGCGGTAGCAAAATGAGCGATGTTTCCTTGAGATTCTGAGGTTGGGTCTTGCTTTCATTCGGCGTCCCGGCGCTTGAAAAGTCCTGGGCGCGGCTTTGCATGGCATGAGGTTCTGGGGGGCCTAAAAAAGAGTGCAATGGCTTGGAGCAGCAGCAGATCACGCATCTGATGAGCGGCGAGCGGGCCAGGCACGGCGTGGTGCTTTGGCTCACGTCAGGATTCTGTCGGAAGGGGCCCGGAGTGATATCAGATGGAGCTCTCGTTGAGCCAGAGAGTGTTTGATGACCAGTTACACGTAGAGTAAGAGCAAAAAAAAAAATGCGATGCCACCTACAAGCATGAAACGCGGCGTTTCTAGTGTTTCACGAGAACGTGGGGGTGTGGATTCGGGCGTGACACGGCAGGCCATGTGGAAAAGCAGCAAAAGCGCCCGATTCCTTCCATCTGAGCGTACTAGAAAGTGTGCAAAAGGAAGCGCTGGTATCGATATGCAATGACGGTGCGGGATGCTTGGCACGCGGACCGGAGCATCAAAAACCCTAAATATCCTTGCCTGTGGCTGGGCCTTGCGAGTGAGGCCAAACCACTCCGCCGTGGGCCTTTAGCGAGTCGGTAGCGTGGTAGCGAAAGCGGAGCGCCCAACTTTTCCTTGGCCTTGCGTCTCCACGCGCCGTGACAATCGCGATCTATCTCTCACCCTCGCACCCCCGTCGCCCACGCCATGCCCGACGAATCGCGGAAGCGCAAGGCGCCCGCCGACGACCACTCGCATGCCGGCAAGAGAAGCAAAGTTCGTCAAACCCCGGGCCTCGGGCGTGTTGGCGGCGCGCCCACCCAACGCAACATATGCTGACCATTGGGCACAGGGCCGGAGGCAGTGGCGCTCGCTGCCCGCGAGGCAGGGCGGCGGCAGCATCGAGCCCGGCGACGCGGGCATCTGGGCCACGTGCAATATGGGAAGAGAGGCGAAAGCCGTGGGCGAACTGAAAGACATGTTCGAAGAGGTGCGCGCAGCCAGCCTCCTTTCCTCGCGTGTGCGTGCGGCAGCGGCCGGGGCTAATGCACGTCTAGTACGTCGAGAAGCTGTATGGCGCAAGCCGCGACGACGACGCCGACGACGACGCTGCGGGGGCTGACGCCTCGACGACGCAAGAGGACGCGGACGTTGAGGCTGAGATCGCCAAAGAGCTGGAAGACATTCGCAAGCCGGCCAAGGAACCTCCTTTCAGACACATCCGCGTTGACACGGATTGCAGTCAGTCTCGCCCAGCCAGCTTACTTTTTTTTTTTATTTTTCCCCTCGGACGCGCGCTGACGTGGGAGAAGTCATGTTTTTCAAGACAAAGGCGCCGATTGAGCCCGTCGAGTTCGTGCGGCGGATTTGCGAAGGGGCAATGGCGAGCTCAGAGCGCAAGACGGGCCGCTTTGTCAAGCGGCTGACGCCAATGACGCTGATGGGAAAGGCACAGCAGAAAGGCCTAGAGGAAGTTGCCGCTCAGGTTCTGGCGCCGCATTTCCATGCGGAAGGTTCCGCTGGCAAGAAGGTAAGTAATAATGCCGGGTATTCTTTTTGGCGACGAGTTATTTTTGCTGACAGGGCTCTTTTAGTTTGCAATACGGCCTAACATCCGCAACAACAAGGACTTGACGAGAGATCAGGTCATCAAGACGGTGGCTGCGGCGGTTGGGCCTGGGCACAGTGTTGACCTGAAGGACTACGACCTGCTGATCCTTGTCGACGTCTACAAGGTAAGTTTTCTCGGGCGGGGGCTTGGCCTGCGGCGGGAAGCGAGCGCGCTGACAACATGCACAGGGCCTCTGCGGGATGAGCGTCGTGGGCAAGGACTTTGAGCGACTCAAGAGATACAACCTCTCGGAAATATACGAGCCATCACCGAAAGAACAGCCGAACTAAGCAGCGCTCGCCGAAGCATGAAGGCTTGGAGCGACGGGCGGGTCTGTATCAGGGTGCAGCGGAGGCGGCGGGGCATCGGTTTTAGATGCGATTTTGGCGGAGCGGTGCGTCAGCGGGCTTGGGGGCGGCGCACGGCACAGGCAGACGGGCCGGGCGGGCTGGAGGAGGCGGAGCCGGAGACGGAGGGTGGAGATTGGGATAGAAAATCAGCTCTCGCAATGGTGGTGGACCCGGCACAGAGGCATGACAAGCCCACCACGCGAGGTTCCGGGGCGGCGGGCTTGCGCTCGCTTTCTGGAACACGCAAGGCGAGCGGGCGATGCGACCCGGCAATGCCACGTCGCGGCGCTGCACGACATTGGGCGCGGAGGCGTGGGTGGCTGGCGACGGCGGGACGCCGACAGTCGCTTCCTGACGCCCCGGGAGCTGGCTGGGTTTGATGCTGGAGGTGCGCAGTGGCAGGGCTGAGCCCGGCTCGCATCAGAGCGCAAGGACCGCCGCGCTGGGCCCGCCAGCCCGGCCGCCGTATGCCGCATCCGGCAGTCTCTGACGAGCCCGGCCTGTCCGCCAGAACCACGCCCTCCTCCACCAACCGCATCCGCCCCGCCAACAGCAGCCAGCTTCCCAGGCGCCCCTGCTCCCGCGCGTGCCCCCCGCCAAGCCGTGCTGCTCGACAGCCGAACGCCCACGAGACGGGCGCAAGCCGCTTTCTGTTGCGCCGGCCGCCCATCAAGCGACCACCATGGCCGTCCTCATGCTCGCTTGCTCCCGGCCGGCCTCGGTCCGACTGGCGCGCCCGTCCTCAAGTACAGTCCAAGTCTCATCATTATTTCGTCCATGAATACCCAGAAGCACCTTCGGAGCCACAGTCATATTCGGAAGTCCTCCCCAAGACCCTACGCCTGCCAGACCACCTGAGACCTGCTCCATCACGATCCACGTTCTGTTTCAGCGCTCCTGCCTCCTTGCACTGCCTGTTCTGTTTATCTCGCTCTGACTTTATTTTTATTTTTTTTTATCTTTCCTTCTTTTAATGAGAGCTGCCTGCTTATGGCCCCCGCCGCCATCATGCATTTGCCGCCGCTCGACTACCACTCCTCCTTCCCGCTCGTCACAATGAGCCGTCACTCTTTCCATGCTGGCATCGGCGGCCTCAGTCCTCCTGCCGCCCTCCAGAGCCGTCCCCAGTCTCCGTCTCCGGACTTGCCTGGCATCCAGAAGTTGCTCCGCGATCACTTCCGCTCCTCCCGCATATCTCTGCAGCAGATTGAGCGGATACAGACCAACTTGCACCGTCTCTATCTCCTCCACCTCACAGATGGCTCCAGACTGGTGTTGAAGTGCACTCCAGCCGCGAGCACACGGCTGCTCCGCTCTGAGCACTTGTCACTTGTCACTGAAGCCCACATCCTCGAACTCCTCGCCAACGCCAGCCCCCGTGTCCACATTCCCCTCCCTCACCTTCTCTGTGCTGATACTAGCCCCGACGCTGAACCTCTGGGGTGCAGTTACATGCTCCGCACCCACGTCCATGGCATCTCTCTGGCACACCTCCGACCACACCTCAGCGGCAATGACCTGGCTCAGATCGACCATGCTCTTGGAAGCTATCTGAAAGCCATGGCATCCATGACGGCTCCAACCTTCGGCCCAGCCTTGACGGTGGCGGCTGGGAAGGGCAGCAGCTCCTGGCGAGAAGCCTTCCTCCTGCTGCTGGAGTCTGTCTTGCGGGACGCCGAAGACATGCTCATTGCACTGCCCTACGACTTCATCCGCTCCCTTGTGCAGGCTCAGCAAGCGACGTTGGATGAGGTGCGGACACCAGTGTTAGTGGCCATGGACGCGGGAAGACCCGGCAATGTGCTAGTGGATGAGAGGAAGCGATGTGTCAGCGGCTTGGTCGGCTGGGGCAACAGTGTCTGGGGAGACGCGCTCCTGGCGGGCGTGTGCTGGGGCTACTCGGCGGATCAGACAAACGGAAGCAACGGGGCGTTCTGGGGAGGCTTTGGCAGCTGTGATGGGTCAGAAGAGGAGGTCATCAGGATGAAGATGTAAGTCTTTCGCGTCTGCTTTGTCCCTGAAGGGGAGCTAACAGTGCCTTCCGTAGCTACTCGGTGTACAAAGCGGTGGTTGCTGTTGTCACTCAATATTACCGGCCTGCCCAGCTAGACCATGAGGAGCTGGAGGCCAGGAGAGCGCTCACTCGCGCCCTGAATGACTTACGGGACACCGTCTAGAGGCCGGTGGCAGCAGCTGGCATCACCTCTTCGACTTCATTTTCTCGGAGCTAGCTCTGCGGTCCTCCGCCTATTCCTTCCGCTTTCCCGTCAGCCTGGGAAAGCACAGCCTAGCCTCTCCTTCAGAGAGCAAGGTAGCACGGAGGCCCCGGTGTGACAGAAGCGCGACGTGGACGATTACCGGGCGGAAGGGCAAGGAAAAGGAAAGAGCGCCGCACCCCCCATGTGACGGAAAATCAAGCATCCAGACGTCTACTAGGCGTTGGTCGGGCCAGTGTCTGGGAGCGAGTCGGTGCTGCCATCAACGCCATGGAATCCTTCTTGCCGGGTGCGGCTGACCAGGGGGGATGGGGTGGCTCGGGTGGATGGATGGGGCATCATGTCGGCCCTTCCGCTCTTTCACATGAGCTGTTTTTTTCATTTTCTTCATGACGTGACGGTCGATGTCTAGAATTATTTTTGGGATCTGCTCATGTTCGAGATTATTGCATGGATCGAGCACAGCGATGTGTGTCATTAGTAGCATAGCACTGGAGTTCACGTCGTTCGGACCACATCACCTATTTTGGAAGGATTCTTAGTATAGTCGAAGTAGAAGCGCCGGCGCAGGTGGGGATTTGCGGGTTTCGGATTGAATGGAACACGATGAACAGCACAGTCATGGCCCTCGAGCAGAGACGGGCCGTCGCGCGTCACGAGCAGATGCTTCATAGTTGCTAAGTGCATTGATTGTTGGCTAGTTGTTGCGGCGCTGCCTCCGCGTAGACGAACCCATGTCACGGGCGCACCGAAGGCCGGTGACGGCGCTAAGCAAGGATGCAGGCTCAGGACGGCGGAGCCAGCGTCAGTCGCAACGCTGATGAATCGGAATGGTGGAGTGCGTGAGAGAGCGACTCGAGGGAAGGAGATTAGGGAAGCGGGCCACGTAAGGCGGAGAGGCTGTGCAGTAAGAATGATGTGCAATTCGGAACGTCGGGTCTTCTTTTTCGTCGTGTATCAGAATAGCTACTTGGGGCAGCCACCGGACACTACCTGCGCGAAGACTGGTTGTGGCTCGCTGGGCAGCGTCATCCGGTGGCTACTGCGATAGGTAAAGCATTCTATCTCGTCGGAGAAAAGGCCCGCTAAAGTGCGTGGCCGCTTTCTTCTTCTTTTCCCTCTCTGTCGTCCGGACGCATTGCGCGTTCAGTCCTTCCTAATGCTGCATCCAACGCCCGAGCGATCTACATTTTGTTGTTGGCGCAGCTGGGTTGATGCTTGGCCTCCGCCGTAGACAGGGCGTCGATCGGCATCCGAATAAAGGAATCGTCGAGAGTGAAGGCTCTTGTTGTTCGGAAATCACGGCCGAGTTCAGGCTATCTGGGTTACGAAAGGGTGCTTGCACAAGCTTTTTGGGTTGCACGCCGATCACTTTACCTCTGAGCCTACGGTTTTAGGCGAAGGTGCGTTTACGCCAACGCTTTTAAGCAATGCTCATTTGCGAGGGCTTGCTGATCCTTCGCTTCCCGTCGAGGGCACCGAAGAAAGGATTCTACATCGAAAGGTGGTGGTACGGTTTACTGGAGCAACAACAGGGCGTGCTCATTTTGTTCGCTGATCACGGCGCGGGAAGCTGGCCTTTTCCAGTGAGAGCGGTGGTGATCCGCCCTGCCCTGGTTGATGACGATCTCCCAGCGCAGGCCTGCATTTCCGCAGCGCGCAACCAACGCCCCTCTGGGCTGCCGCACGCGCGGAACCAGCGCAGCCCTGAGTGAGGGAGATCGGAGATGACACCGAGCAGCGATCTCTGCAATTTCGCTCATTGGCCGCCGGTGGGAGCGTCCGCCAAAGCGACAAGCCAAGGCGCGGGCGTGTCGCGAACAAGCGGTCTGGCGAGGGGCGCGGGCTGTTCTGCCTCAGGTTGGGAGCAGCTGCATAGTGGTAGATGTCATTCTGTAGGTTTGGTGGTGCATCTGCTGCGCTTAGCAGGCGCCCCCCTCGGCTAGCGTGGGCAGGGGCAAGCGAGGGCGCGCCTTCTAGAACAACCAGTCGCGTTTGCGCTTCCCGGACTAGCGCCCCAGCCCTCAGGCCCGCCGCGAACTGCAGCTGCTCGACATCGCAGCAACAGTCATGCGCGAGGTTTGCCTGATTCCCCCGCTTCTCTTTGCTCGTCAACTGACGAAGCCAGATCCAAAGCCACCGCGGCGCTGCCTTCTCAGCCGCATCGTCAGCCATCCGCCGCGCTCGGCCGTCCTCTGAGTCGCCCGGCGCGACACTGCCCCAGAGCCACAAACGGCTCGCTTCAGCCGGAGAGATGCTCGTTGCAGTATCACGTCCGCTGCCGTCACTTGACTTCGGGGCCGTAGCTCCCGCCAACGGGCTCTGATCTTAACGTTCATCATCCGTGGGTCCCGGCACGCTGCGTACGGGAAACGCCCTGGCCTCCCCTGGATCCCGGCCTCCAACACTCTGCTCGTCTTCAAACTTTCGCTCAGCTTTGCCTGATGCGGCAATGGCTGCGGGTAAGCTTAACGTGCAGATGTTGGCTCGCCCTGCCGAACCTTACCGTTGCCTACCGCCGCTCTACGTGTGACAATCACCACTATGGCTGCAATCACGATACGTTGCCTTTGGGCCCCGGTGCCGAGACTTCCTCCGGCGCACTAACGGCACCCATCTCACTGAAACCGCTGTCAGAGATTTCCTACCCTCGGCAGTTCCACACTGCGAGATTTTTGGCGGCTTTCTATTTTCCGATGGCCCTTTGACTCGCCTGCCGCCTTTCCGCTTCGTGCGCTTGGCTGCGAGCCGATGTAACGTCATGGCTTTGTTTTGGAAACATCAGCGGTCGTGAAGCAGCCGCAGTCGCAGCAGTGTGGGTTTGGCAGCGGGGCCTGCCGCGCGTTTGGCCATGCATCCATGCGAGCACGCGCAGTGTCTCTCTGCACGCGTTCTGGACCCATGGCCAGACCGACTGCGTAGCCTTGACGCCATGCTCTCATTCGCTTGTGCAGGCGAGCCACGGAGTTGCTGCTATACAGTCTCCTGCGTATACCCGGTCCCTGGAGCTATTTTTCTCGTCAACCGCCGTGCTCCGGTGCGATCAACTGTCGTTCTCGACTGCTGAGTGGCTGCATGTTCGCTTCGAGCCTCGCTTTGCAAGCGAGCGTGCATACCGGGGCGTGTTTGCCTGAACGGCGGCCTGAAAGAAAACCATCCAATGACGTCGTTTGCTCCTTCGTCCGCAGCTCATGTTCTCCATGGGCGGAGAATTCTTGCGAGTTGGAAGGGCACGGCGCAACAGATGCACAGAAGATTAAGCAAAGATCCAAGCAACGGGCTGATAAATTAAAAGACGATAGGCTGCGTAAATCCTCTCAGGAAACGGCACGTCAACCGCTGCACCCCGGATAGCCGTGCCTCCTTAAAATGATGATCTTATTGGCCCTATCTGATGCTCCAAGCCAGCCTCGACCGACCACGCGCACAACGCGTGGTTTCCGCCGCGAGATGCGGAAAGCATCGTGTGGAGAGTGCGATCGAAGCATGCACGCATCGGACATGCCTTCTCTTCCGCAAACCATCGGAGATACTTGAAATGCAACGATGCCGAGGCGCTACTCTCGCTCCGACACCCAGGCCTCTGGGCTCGCGAATACGACAGGGCTGAGACAGCTCTGCTCCTGCAAAAGCGCCGCGAGAGATCATCTAAGCCCAGCCCCTTAGTCCCCTTTCTCCCCGAAACTCTGCTAGACGAACAGCCCCTTTATCGCAAACATGCATCCGATCGATTGCCGGCAGTTGCAATCTAATCTCTTGCGCTTCATCTTTGAACCTTACGAGCCTCATTTGTGCGAATCGCTCGTGGTCTATTGGAAGCATCGGCAAAGATCCGCGACAGGGGTCCGAAGTTGGGGAACGCTGGAAGCGCCGGGCTGGTTGTTTCTCAGGATAGCGCGCTTCCGCATCGATGCTCTCTTCGTCCTTGGCATCCTCTTTGAGCATCTCTTGCCTTCTTTGTCCTGTCTTTCGGACGAATCCGGACCGTGGTGAGCGAATGCATGCATAATAGTTGGGGCCGTGTCCTGATGAGGCGAGACACCTGCCAACGGACCTACAGGTGTGTCTGTATGTCCGGCGCTCCCACGCCTCTGCCACTACATGTGCATCGGTACGGTCTGCGCCGCTGCAACGCGAGACGGTGCCTCCCGCGACCGGTTCTTCCCGCTCCCTTGCCGACCCGCATGCGTGCGCGGCGCTCGCCTGGGTGTGTGTGTATGCCGTATTGGTGGATGTACCCGGCGCGCCGGCTTACCGGACGGCATGTACCTACAGCGGAGGCATTTTTGCTGTCAGCACGGTTAAACAAGGGGAAATAGGCTGTCGGTAGCGAGAGCCCAAGGCAGCAGCATATCATTCGAAAGGCAACATCCGCGATCAACGGAGATGGTGAGACGTCAGATGAGGGCCACCAACGACCACGGTGCCTTCGGACGTCCGTCCCTACATGAACCGCGTGTATGCATGCATCTAGGCGTGCTTGTAGGTACGATCTTGTACGCTTGTAGCGTAGGCAGGCGCATGTCCCGCTTCCGCGACCGTGCGTATGCGACAGGATGCGATGTCCTGCAGCCTGCATGCATCGGCTCGCTTGGGTAGTTACGCAGGTACGTGCTGCTGCTGTACATACTATATTCATTCGTCCGATAGTTCCCCACTGCACGTTCTACGGCGCGTGTATCCTTATCTTTCAGTATAACGCATAGATAGAACATGCAGACAAGGATCTTCATCCAGGGTGTATTGATTGCAATTCTCTATAGTAGTATAGAGTGTAGAGCAGCACCGTCTACGATGTTGTTTAGACAAGAGCACAGATGTAAAAACAAACTTTACCTGTGAGTTGGCCTCCTCCGTCTACCGACCCATTGACTAGTCTCGCCTCGTTCTCGGAATTTTCCATTAAAGGCAGGCGAGCACACATACGGCGTGCAGTATAGATAGTACAACTCGTCTCGGACTCCCCGCATGGAGAAGACCTGGGGTTACATTCCTCCGTCTTACCGGGTCGAACCGAAGGATGGGCCTGGGCCACCCTCGCCTACCATTGCGTCGGTATAAGCACGGCAAAGGAAGGGGGGAAAAAGGATCCGCACGGTCGGCAAAAGAAAAAAAATAGAGAGAGCCCTAGAGAGAGAAAGGCAAGGAGGATCCGGGGCTGGAAGCGGGCTGGGCCAGCGTGCATGCAGATTATACATACGTCCTGCGGCGAACCCGAGCAGGTACGAAGGACGGTGGGAGTTTCGGAGTATACTCCAACTCAGCTCAACTCCGACCGGCATCTTCCACATCTCCCACGCACCTATGTACATCAAGGACAGCCACACATTACACGTGCATATAGATATCCCCATCGAAGAGAGAATGACACCGCATGGTCGGCTAGATGGCGATGGAGCCGGTTGTGACTTCGTATTTGGCTCGTCTTGTATATCCCACCTCGTCAGGCCTTCGCGGCTCGGCATCGCACCCACTCTCTTTTTTTATCCGCTCATGCAACTTCGCCTCCTGCGACGAGTTCCTCCGTCCTCGCATGGAGCGCCTTCTTCGCTACCACACTCCATTCTTTTTCAGGCGTGCCGTAGGGTAGCATTTGACCTTAGCCCGGGAAGCCCGCCCTCGCCATCTTCCTGGCGCGCCCTTCGCGGCGGTTGTGGTTTGCGCGTGATGACTTGTTGGCCTCCTTCCGCTGCCTGGCCACCTGTGTAGCTTTGTCGTCCGCCGGGCCCGCCGCTGTTCCTCCGGCGCCCGCGTTCCCACCACCACGTCCACGTCCTCTTCCCCGACCACCCCGGCCCCTACCCGCGCCTCCTCTGCCTCCACCACGCCCACCTCTGCCACCTCCGTCGGTGTCCGTCCCCGACTCCGCGGGCGAGTCCGTCCACCGTGTCGAGGTCAGCTCTGTCTGCCTGCCGTCGAACGTGGCGAACTTGGCCTCCATCCGCCTAAGCTTCCGCGGGTCGCGGGCCAGCATAATGGCCCAGCCCTCAATGGCCTCGTCCGTCATGCCCGTCTCACTCCGCAGCGCCTGCCTGGCGCTACTGCGACGCGTCGCCAGATCGCGGCCAAAGGCATCCTTAGACATAGAATACGCGCGGAAGAGCGCCTCTTCGGTACGGTCGTCCCTGAGCTCTGCTGCTTCGTCGTTGCCTGGGACGGTCGAGTCAATCGTACCGCCGACGTCTTCAACGTCATACGTGTCATCACGCTCGTCGTCGTCGAGGTCGAAGGTAGCGAGCGCAGAAAGGATGGCGGCCTTGTTGGGGGCGAAGGTCTTGTCCGAGAGGATGTTGTCAGCGGTGAGGGATTCGTTCCTGCGACCAATATGCAACCTAGAGGCATCAACAGTGAGCTGGTCGAGCTCATCGTTGTCATAGATGTTGCGCCTGATCGGGGGAGGCGTAGACCGAGGTGGAAGGTGAGGGGCAAAGTCAACCGGTTTCTGCTGCGACGGCGCGGGTAGCTGTGCTGTCCTGTCCGCACCCTTGAGATGCGGGGGAAGGGAATCGTCCAGTAGATGAGCAGTGACTTGTTCTATGTCGTCGTCGTATTCGTCAAGACACTTGACGATGAAGCCGGAACCAAGGTCCGGAAAGAGATCTTGTATCTGCGTAACGAGGCTCATACGATGCACATGGACCTCGCCAAATCCGCCATGGCCATACTCGTCGTCTGTAGCTCTTGCCTTGCCTTTATCGACCTTGCGACGGACGAACTTCTTCGGCCTTGCTAGGCCGGACTGGCGGAAGGAAGTTAGCGACTCGGCCAAACTCTTGACTCTGGCGCCTTCGTCGCTGGCTCCACTGTCTTTAATCCGAGTCACGATCGGCGTGTTCGTAACCAGGTCTGATAACAGTGAGGGCTGGCCAGATTTCTGCTGGCTTTCCGCATTCGACTTAAGGCTGTAGAGGGTATCCGAAAGAAGAGAAAATTTTGGCTTCTCGCCTTTGGTGAGGGCAAGTATGCCTAAGGATGCGACTGTGACTATCTTCGGCCTAAATGATTGTGAGGCCTTTGAATAAGCGCTACACAGAGAGTCAAGGAAGTCTGAGCCAGCTACGAAGAAAGTGGCAATGTCTGGAGAGGTATGGAGTAGCGGCACAAGGCTTCTCAAAGGCTCTTCAGCTGCGTCGGGCTGATTCGAATCCAGGGTCTTAGTTAGGGATGCCTTGAGTTTTTGCAAGCCCGGTTCGACCTTGTCGCCATGCCGCTTCCATAGACTCTCCAGCAACTCCTTCAAACGCTCACTGCGCACGAAAACGTGACTAAGATCGGCAAGAAAATTCCACTGGAGGAGCTTCGACGATACCTGATCCGCCGAAAGGAGTCTGTGTGATAGTAAGAAGCACTGCTTGCGCAAGCTGAGGGCCTTTTCTGATTGGAAGTAGCTGTCACTATTTCCGGATCGGGCAGCCTCGTAAAAGTAAGAGGCCAGAAAATTGACCAAGCTTCCTTCGTCCGAAGCAGCCGAGGAAAAAGCCGGGGGTGGGAGGTTAAGATAGGCCAGTGAAAGGGCGGTCCAGGCGTCCAGAAATGCGGTCCATTCGTCAGGAACAATGCCTTGGCGCAGAGAGGCCGGCGGAAACGGAGCGAGAGGTGGAAGAGTCATTCTGAGCGTCCGCAGGAGTGACGGTCTGCGGGAGGAGCGATGCCGAGATTGGCGCGTTAGAAGTGGGAGTGGAAGGTAGTGGATGGGGATCCACGGGATGAGGAGTGTTTATAGGCACTGATGGGTGTTTGCGGGGAGGTAGGGCTCGCGGCTGAAGATGGATGACCGCATGGGTGGGCGGTTGCACGGCCGGACGCTAACCTTGAAAGGGTTACCGCGCCAAGAATTTCCCGACGGCCACACACAACAAAAAAGCGGGCTCAACACCACGCTTCCTTCTCCAGCACACCGCGACAATCTGCTGCTGCCAGTCATCACGTAACCGCGAGCCCCCTCCGAGTCTTGACTGGGATACCGCCTCTCACAGTACGTCGCAATTTCCGCCGCAATTTCCCTCGCCATCCTGCCGTAGCACACTCGTCGAATTTGCCCGCTGACTGCCGCGCAGCACATCGCCAAAATGTCTTACAACAAGGAGAAGGACTTCGCTGAGGGTCCCAAGATCCACAAGATCCGCATCACCCTCACCTCCCGCAAGGTCCAGTCCCTCGAGAAGGTCTGCCAGGAGCTCATCGACCGCGCCAAGAACAAGGACCTCCGCGTCAAGGGCCCCGTCCGTCTCCCCACCAAGAACCTCAAGGTCACCACCCGCAAGACCCCTTGCGGTGAGGGTTCCAAGACCTGGGACACCTATGAGATGCGCATCCACAAGCGCCTCATCGAGTGAGTCTCCCCGCCACGTCTTCGACGCAATTGCTAACATGCTCCGCAGCCTCAACGCCCCCACCGAGGTCGTCAAGCAGATCATCATCAACATTGAGGCTGGTGTTGAGGTTGAGGTCACCATTGCTGCTTAAATATACCCTTGCGGCGGCATGGAAAAATAAGGCATGGGACATTTCATGTAGATACCAAATTTCATGAATTGTCTTCTGGCGAACCCTGAGTCTTCTACAACGTGACTCCACTGTATCATCTACCGGACCGCGAGGCGCCCTCAGCTCACTCTTCCACCCAATCCGATTTCCATCAATCCTCCACGGCCTGTCATGGATCACTTCGATGGGTCGGAAAGGATCACTGCGGTGAACGACGAAAAAGGATTACATAGATCGTTTCTGGAAGTTCGACATGCGCCCGCTCGCCTATCGGTCAGGTTGAAATGGTATTAGCTTCTGCATGAAATCCGTTGCTAGCAAGCACGCTTTGCCGGCTCTTACCCTTCGTATTCAAGTCAACAGGCTTAATCAGCCGGTGTATCAGGCGTACTACCTTGCGAATTGATCATCACCCGAGGTTTTGCTAAGCTAGGTCTACTCAGTGTTATTCCGCCCTAGGATGCCGATCAATCGATGGTATTGTAGGCTCGTGAATGCTAAGATTTCTAGTGAGCGCCGGAATTTGGGACTTGAATGCGGCATGCTGAGGTCAGCGTACGATTCCAAGCACTTGCCAACATAGAAAAACTTGTAGTGAGCATCATTGTTCGCTTCAGCTAGCATACGCCCCACTGAAGCGCTGCGAGAGGGGGAGCTCTACCATATTGTGGTTCGGGACGCAGCCGAGTAGACAGGATTGCGAGCCTCGTGATTGCAGTAGAAGCGGCGGCCATATGGCGAACGTATGCCCCGAAGACGCTAGTGTCAGTGATGAATGAGAGTGAGTTCTAGCAGAAGTCCCCCATGTCCACTCGTACTTCAACGTGCCGGGCGTCGCCGCTTTGAGCACGGTGGCTTCAGCCAGATACACGACCCTCCAGAGTCAGAGGTTAGGATATGTAGCATTATGAACGTGCCGGGTATGCTGTTTAAATCCACTTGAGGTTCTACGAAGAACTGCCTGCTGGCAAGTATGTTTGTAACAGCCGAATTGCTCGTATAGCCGCCGAGAAGATGTCACTGCACCTTGCTATGGTGTTCGTGAGACTATTCAATGGAAGGTTAGTAGTAATCCCAGCAGGTTGAGACAAACGCCTCCAAGAAATAAGTCTTGTACGTACCAAGAAGGATTGAGAAAGCACTTTTTGTTGCGTGGGACCCGCCTCTGCAGTGCGCCCATAATTCATTGGACAACAATGTGGGTTTTTAGGCATATTGAGTGAATAGAGTACAGTCTTGCAGATTGTGTATTGTTCTTGAATGTCAAATAAAGGGTTTGGTATACTGGTTGGTGTCAAGTGGATCGGAGAAAAGCGTGATGCTTTTTATGTTTTGGTGATTGTGTTGTCACTGTCCACGTAAATTTCAGTGGTATCATGTAGGCGATCGGTTTCTTAACTTTCCACGCAAGATTAGTATCTTCGGTGCCCTTAAAATTTTTCCCACTTGTAATGATAGAGTAAATGAATTTCCTTGAAACTAGCATAATACTGATCGAGTAATATCAAACATCTCGCAGACAAGCGATGTTAATGTTGACAATGGAGAATCACTCATGGAAAGATTTCCTGAAGTCGAATATTCTACTACTCGGGTTGTTTTAATAGAAAATCCGAATTACTTAACTTTAACAGTTCTCCATCCGGTCGCCTTGTATAAACTGCAGCTAAAGAAGAAGCCCATAACCGTGTAAAGCAGGGTAGTAAGATTTAGGGGCTAAAGTATATTAATACCTATTAAAATTACCACGGTCCTTAGCTGCTTGGATTAATTAAATATAGGGTTTATCTTTAATCTAATCATGCTGTAGTATAGTGTTAGAAGCCGTAGAGCGTATAGAGAGTTAAGTAAGACCGATAAAGTAATTTATCTTATTTGCTAATAGAATGTAGAGTGTAGATAATATGTTAACTATCTAGCTTTAGAGTAAGCGGCCGGAATAGTTCCAAGTGCACTTACTTAAAAAAGCGCTTACGAAACAGGTTGTCCTTAAGCTGTGTAAAGTATCATCTGGCCGTGCCACTCGTAGTGGCTTGTAGTAAGTACTCTAGCTCATCCTTACAACCTCCCCATGCCGTGAAAAGAAATAGAGACACATGAGAAGTCTTATCTTTGTGAGATATTGAGATTCCCAGATCTCATGGATAAGTTTAAGATCCGATCTGTGGTTGTAAGTGGCATTGTTCGTTTCTAACAAGGACTCATTGTCTGAATGAAGTTGCACAGGTTGAAGCGTCATTGAACTCATCTCACCTCTGGTTAGTGTCATGGTCAGTACCAGGTTCAGCCTCAACCCATCACTTCTGCGAGAGGGCCAGGTGTACGAATCGTAAAGAGAAGCCAAAGTAATCACGATGAATTGCTTCCCCTTAAAAGGCTTGACCTGCCTTTTTCCAATTTGGGTATCTTATGCCCCGACTATTATCTAGATAAACGCCAAACCCGTCCCGATCCTTACGCCTAGCTTAAATGGCACCGCCATATCATGACAAGCTTACCAATAAATCAGCATACACCGCCATGGACCTTTACATCCTCACCAGGCTGTAGACGCGCCGCTTTCGTCGATATGCCCCTCTCTTCTAAGGACTGCTGCACCTCGCCCACCTCCATCCGCCTGACCTTCAACTTCATGACGCTAAGGCCACGGTTGTCCTTGTCTTCGTCATGTGCGCCAACCCAGCATTTCGCCATCAGCTGACGCGCGATATCCCTGCCACCGGGTTCACCCGTCGCTATATTCCCGCCCAGGTACCACGGGTTATCGACGCGATCGAATGAATGCAGCAACGCTGTCAGCGGCAGCGCTGCCTGTTGAATCAGATGAGTAGAAGCATATGGCTCGATTACAGAATAAGGGACACCGTGAGGAGAATAGAGAAGCGAAAGAGTGCGTTCACGGTCTAGGGGCGTAATAGAGCTTGGCGTCAAAGGGCGCGGGCTGTGTGGCGCGGGCAGTGGAAGCGGGTTGGATATCTTTAAGCTCGCCATGCTGCTTGTCCGACCCAACGGAGGCGAGGGTATGGGAGAGAGCGGCGGAGTAGGCGGTAAGTCGATATAGGGGGTCCGTGGAGGGCTCAAGGCGCTGGTAGGTGCGCGGTAGGTGATGCCGATAGCGTTGTGCAGGCCGCTGATGTCGCGTTTCGGACACATCAAAGCCACCGTTACTTCACCAGGAAGACCGGAGGACGAGAAGGAAGGGATCTCCAAGCGAAAGATACGACTGTCATCGGTGGCCGAGAAGGGCTTGAGAGAGTGTACGGTTCCCTTGGGGAAGTGATTCCATTTGCGGATCTTCTTGGCTGCGGCGGGAGCAGCAAGGATGATGGCGCCGGAATTGGGAGGAAGCTGCTTGAGCGTTTCTTCGTGACAGTGGTCGGGCTTGTCCTGCGAGATGAGAACCATGTCTGGCTCCGGAAGCTGGGCGAGAGAGGAAACGCATGATTGAGTCTTGTGCTGGGAGACGGAGAATTTGGAGCTGAGGATCTGGGCGGGGCCCTGCAGCCAGGGATCTACGAGGATGGTGAAGGAACCGGGAAGCTGGGAAACGGAGGCGCCGCGCGGAGCGACAGAGGGCGAAAAGGTAAGTAGAAACGAAGTATCGGCGTTCAGAGCCTTGACGGTCAACATGGCGGTGCTGTGCGGGCCGCTGGCGGGTCGCTTTCGCGGGCACGCTCGCCAGATGGCGGGGGATCGGTAGTGAATGGAAATAGAAACATGAGGACGTGGGCAGCGGGTGCCTATAAGGAGAAAGGAGTGTTCCCAGTTTCGAGATTCCACGGGGGGTGGTGGCAGGTTTACGCGGGCAGGCAACGTGTGGACCGTAAGACAACGCCGCGTTTGGGACTCGGCAGATACAATACAGCCGCCTCATATCGCCGCAGGCGCTCTGATTGGAGCGCAGTGCGGACAAAAGACGTTCTGTCGTTCTGTGCACGGCACCGTTTCGGGTGGCTGCCGCGGCTTTGATAGGCGAGGCGAGGCAGAGCAAGTCCAGACGGACGCCTTCGGCTGCGCGTTCCCCTCGTTCTGCAGCCAGCTCGTCAGCGACAGGCGGCGACAGGTGACGACAGGTGACGACAGGCGGCGAAAAGCTGGGGCAGGACACAGGTACCTCGACGCAGACGACGGTGCGACGGCAGGGCGTTCGGGCGATGCGGAGTCAGGTCGAGGCGACAGGCGACCCACCCAATCTGCGATGCGCCGATGCGGCCGGGACCGTTGCAGTCGCCGGTTCGTCTTCGTCGCGCGCATGGGGCTGCCAGCGCTGCCGCCGCCCGGTGCCGGCAAAGGCTGAAGAGCTGTCGCAGCGCACCGGCCGCCGGCCAGCTGTGCGGCGCGCCCAATCAGGGCGCGGGCTGCAGGCGTGCGCAGCAGACCGCATGTGCGGCTGAACTCGCTGGAGCGGCTGCTGCAGCGCTGGCCGCGGGGTAGCAGGCTCCGCGTGGCCGGGGAGGCGGCGGGCGCTGTTGCTGCTGGGGCTGCGAGGTCGTGAAGCTTGTCGCGCCATAGCTCCCAGCTCCAGCTTCAACAGCTCCGGGCAGCTCCAGCTCCAGCTCAAGCTCGCTCGGAGGGCCTGGCGGACGTGCATCGCAGCGAGTTCGGGTCCGGGCTGGGGCTGCAAGTGCTTTAGTCTGTTCGCCCGGTCCAAGAAGACATTTTTTTTCATGGCTCCGCGCGCCAGCCAATCACCGCCGCACCGAAGGGCCTGAGCAGCTCAGAGCTTTGCAGCCCGTCGCATCGGCAAAAGGATGGAGCAGACATCCCCGCACACGCTGAAAAGCCCCTCCGCAGCCTGCCTCGACAGCTCCCAGAGCTCTGTCTGCCAGCTTCCGCCCGCCTTCACTGCGCCCAGCTGCGCGATTGACCACCACAGCTGCTGCCCAAGCTCCCCAATTCCCGCCCGCCCACCTCGGCCTGCATGCGCTGTCATGCCACCCCCTCGCAACCTGACCAACTCCTTCTCCGTCTCCGACAGCACCAACGAGGTTGTCTGTCCGCTGCGCAACCAGGATGGCTCCAGCTGTCGCAAGCGCTGCATCGGCGTGAGTCTCCCGCAGCTCCCTTCGCCCGCCGCTCAAAGTAACATGGCTCGCCGCCCTGCAGGAGAAGCGCTACCGCTCCATGCAGGAGCACATCCGCCGCGCCCATCCTGAGCACTACATCTCGAAGCTGCCTGCCACCGAGGAGAGCTTTGCGCTGATGGTCAACACCCCGCCGCACGAGCGCCCTCCTCCGCCGCCGCCGCCGAACCAAGGCCCTCCCCCACACTCTGTTGGTGCGTTTGCCGCCCACGACAGGCACGCTTGGGCTCCGAGTCTGACGGCTCCAGGCTATGCGCACGAAGCCACCGCCTACTACCACGATGACTCCACTCCGAGGTCGTCCGACGAGATGCGCCGAGGCTCGCTGCTGCCCGCCGCCAGCGCTGCTGCTGCCCTCGCCCAGCTGCACAATCACCGGCCTGAATACGACTGGGACTCGGAGCAGGTAGGCCTCAAACAACACCGTTCTCTCCAGACGTGTCTCCGCCCCCTGCGCTAGCGGCGGAACAATGAGCGAACAGCCAGCCACCGCAGCACTTCGAGACTGCCTTCCTAATACTGACCTTGATTTCCCAGGACGTCGTATCAGATCCCGAGTCCAAGAACAGGCAGAAGGCTCGCTTTGCCGTTGACCCGCAGCTGATGGCCGAGGGCGACTTCTCCTATGCCACCACTTCGACCCCACGCGAGCTGTTGCCCTCTTCCCTGGCCCGCTCGCCGCCCGGGCGTTCTTCCACTCTGCCTCCCGTTCCCCGCCCGAACAAATCGCGGCCGCGCAAGAGCTCCATCACCCAGAATGCGCGCAGGCCGAGGCATGAAAGAAACAGGTCCAAGGAGCTCCAGAGGCGCATGAGCCATGACAGAAAGGCCTTCTCGGTCGAGCCCCCGAGCACAGGAACTAACGTGTACGGAAAGCGGTGGGAGGACCTGATTGATGCAGCAGCTTCGGCCACAGAGGAGGACAGCCGGGATTTGACTCCTGTAAGTGCATGACTCTGACCGCCACTGATTTGCTTGGCCTGCACTGCTCACTGCAAATAGATCCCTCAATCCCCACATCACTTGAACCGAGCTTCGCTTCCGCCCTATGTCACGTCTCAGTTCCATTCTTACCATGCTTCGCCACTCCAAAACACCCTGACGCCGCCACCGCCGGACCAGCCCGGCATGGAGCCTTTCCCTTCTGTTGAGTCTTCTATCGAGTCGAACCAGTCCGGCCACAATTTCCACATCTCCTCTCAAGGCCTTTCGGACTCGTCGCCCACTTACGGTCAGCACGTGCATATTTACTGCGCCGCATGTCGACGGCTGTCCCTCCTCCGCGCGAGTTATGCTTGTACCGAATGCATTTGCGGACTTTGCCAAGATTGTGTCGATGTCCTGTCCAGCGAGCAGAATCGCGGCCGCGGTCGCTGTCCAAAGTGCGGTACGATTGGTGGGAAGTTCAAGCCATTCCAGCTGGATATTAGGTGAGCTCTCGTTCTCCATATGGTAGGTCTACTTGACTGCCGCTTTGATTGTTTTCTCCTCTCTCTTATGATACACTTCGTGGAATCTGGTGATTTTCTTTTATGGCCCACGGGCCGGCATGGGTATACCCTAGAGTCTGGAGCGGTAAAATGTCTGGAAAGGCGTTCGTTGACTTTCGTGGGGGATTTAATTGCTTCATGCATGGGAAGTCCTTTTCCTTTTTGCTTTGATTCTTTAGCATAGATCGGTGGGCATTGTTGGCGTCATGGTTTGAAACCTTCTTTAAGTGGCATAGACCGGGGTTTGCTGTGTGCGGCTAGCAGAGCGCATACGCCTTTCATTCAAGCAAAGGGGTACATCAGCAATAGCAATGCGCGCACAATTCTTCTGCGTTCAGAAAATATCAGTCGTTCCAGATTGGTCTTTGATTCGTCCTTGCAGTTAGAAAAAAAGGGGGGGAGAATGGCAATGAGAAGAGCTCGTTCCTCGCGCTTCTTTCCAACGAATCTTTCTTGATATAGATTCTGGCATGTGCTCGCACACATTGTCCGACCCCTATACATGGTACCGTATAATCTTCTATCCTGATGCTTCCTCCGCTGCTGGAGGAGGGCTGGTAGCAGCCGAGGCCGGACCGTCCCTCGGGGGACCTCCCATCGGCGAGCCTCCTTTTGGCGGACCTCCCGCTTTCGGAGGCGGCGGCACGCTTCCACGTCCGCCTCCTCCGCCCCCATAGTCCAATTCCTTGCTCTTCTCTTCACCTTCCTTGAAGTAGTCGTCGATGCCCCCAGCCGCCACAGCATGATGCGCGCGGGCCTTGCGCGTCCGGCCGCCGTGCGTCGCCGCCGCCGCTGCTTGCTGACCAGGACCGGGAGACGCACTGCTCTTGGGTGGAGGCGGGGTGTGCATGTTTGCGGGCACGAAGAACGAGGACGGGGACGCTGATGAGGGCGGGGGTGGCATGCCGCTGCCCGCGCCCGCCCCGATGAATCCAGGACCGGCGGAATCGGCGCCAGTGGGAGCGTTGGTCGTGTAGGCCGTGTCGAAGAGGGTCTCACCCGGACCGGAGGGCGGTTCCTCCAGCGGAGCGGGCAGCCGGTGCAGCGCGCCGAAGCCGAGGACGCAGCCGAGGAGGCCTTGGCCGCCCCAGTTGCGGGAGGGGGTGATGGTGATGGGGCGGGTGACGTTGTACTCGTGGTTGTAAACGAACAGACGAAGTGGGCGGTTGATGTACTAATGCATGGCGGGTTAATGGTGTTGAGGACCAAGTAGAAGAGGGGTTGGTTGTTGGGATAGCTAGTTGTGAGAAAAAAATTCCAGCGATTACGGCCGCAGATAGTAAAAAACTCAAAAGGTAGCAACCGTGCAAATGGAACCACTGGTCGGGAGGAAGTAAAAGGAACTCGTGACTTACGTCCTCAACCAACTCTCCGAGCCCCGACTCGCCTCTCACGAGGCCTTCAGGGCTACCGATGACATAATCGCCGTAGGGCAAAAGACCAGCGAGGTCGGCCGGGGAGTTTGGCTGCACATCAAGAATGTGCCACACGTCTTCGGTGCTCGACAGTGGACTCCATTGCAAGGAAAGTCCGAGTGTCGGGTTCTCGGCGGGAATAGGGACGAAGAGTTCGCGGATGCGTTGGCCTTTTGCGCTCCACACGCCCAAGCTGATGGTGTGGCCGGCACAGTTGCGGACTTCGGTTGCGAAGAGCGTCGGGTCGGGATTGTCCTGGGCAGGACGGTCAGTCAGGCAAGCGGGTGAAGCGCAGGCGGGATGTATACTATTGTGCGGCCGTTAACGCCGATGATGAAGTCGAACCAGGGCTCTATGGACAGCTCCTGGTTGGTGTTGCGCAGGATCTGGAAGCCATAGGCGCCTTTGGTGCTCTGGTCGCGGTCTTGGGGCTCGGCATCGAGGCGCGAGATGAAGCGGTTTAGGGCTCCGAACATGCTCATGGCTGCTTGCGATTGGGTTGATCGTGTGGGCAGCGGGCTCCACGTGCAAGAGATCTGTCGTCGTGTTCTGATCCAGCCCGAAAAGTGGCCATAGCTTCCATGCCCCGGCTCGCCCGCCGCTGCCTCGCATCACTTAATTCTGCACGCAGCCCGGAGCCTCAACTTCACCACTCTGCCACGCCCCGGAGCCTGCATCATGTCAGGTGTTGGTGCCTTTCTGAAGGCGTTCGACTTGGAAACCCCCGAACAGCGCGCTGCCGCTGCATCGGCTGCCGAGATCCATCAGGCGGCGACAAGCAGCAGCACATTGTCGAGTCGCCAAGACACGCAGACTTTAGACGCCGAAAAGCAGAAAATACACCACTACGATGAATTCGACCAGGTGCCTGGAAATATCCAAAAGTGAGCTCTGTGAAAGACCATTCCAGATCCGTGCTCACCGTTTTGCAGGTATTGGGACCAGCGCTATGACATCTGGTATAAGTACGACGAAGGCGTTTGGATGACCGATGATGCATGGTTCGGCGTCACACCCGAGCCAGTTGCATGGTAAGAGAGTCGCCGCGTCAGACTGATCAAAGTAACTAACCGGCTATTGCAGCAGAATCGCCGAGCAGGTCGCAAGTGCAGCTCCGGCCAGCAAGACCGCCATTATTGATGCCTTCGCCGGTGCTGGTGGCAATGCCATCGCCTTTGCTAGGAGTGGTCGTTGGGAGAGAATATTCGCCTTCGAGAAAGACCCGGATGTTCTTAAATGTGCCAAGCACAACGCTGAGGTGTACGGCGTCGCCAACAAGATCTGGTGGGTTGAGGGTGATTGCTTCGAGATCATGAAGAAACGCTTTCCCTCCTTTGATGAGAGCATGGTGGTCTTTGCAAGCCCTCCGTGGGGTGGTAAGTGATGTGGAAGCAAGTCGACCGTACCCAGATTCTCATTTCTAAATTCATATCCAGGTCCGACATACCGGGGAGACAATGTCTTCAGTCTCAAGACTATGCAACCTTATAACCTCAATAAGCTGTATAAGAGCTTCACTAAGGTCGCGAAGGAGGTTGTTCTGTATCTCCCGCGTACCTCTGACCTGAATCAGCTTGCAAAGTATGTGCCTGAGGGCCAGAAAATTCAGGTCGCACACTATTGCGTGTGGGGCGCCAGCAAGGTAAGGGACCCCCTTGAGCTTGGAATTGTGGTCTAATGCTTTGATAACAGGCCCTCTGCGCGTTCTACGGTGATTTTGGCGTGCTTTCCTAGAGGCGCACCAATCAGAATAGCGCATGTCGACGAGCCAAACTGCTGCCATTTATCAGCACCTAAAAGCCCCTCGGTTCACGAAAAGGGCGCTCTCAATTATTGATACCCATAATACACGATTGCTCATCACCCGGCCGAGAACCGAGTGAAGTTGTGACTGGAGTAGTCTCGGCGAGAAGCATGGTGGATACTGAGATCGTGATGAAGATCATTGCAAGCAAAAGTGGATAATTCTCCTTCAGTATTGATGCATGAATGGTATATTAGATAGGCAGGTGCTTTAACAATGGAACATGCGAACAGCGATACTATGATTAACCATCTGATCCGCACTGAAATGCCCTGAGAGCTCACCGAAATGATCCATCCCTTCAAGTTTGACAGTATCGAGGCCTCATGTGCGAGGTCTTTGATAAGGTCACGTGCATGACGCGAGGTGTTAGAATTGGCGGAGCCATGGCGGAGGGGCGCGGGACGAGCGTTGGTGTTCCTTGGCGTGGCTGCAGCATCACGCACGGACCACAAGCTCGCGTCTTGCCGCTCCTCACCTCTGTCCATCGTCACGCTTCTGCCCGCGTCCGCCGTTGCGCCTGCGCTTGCTTGCTTCTCTGCAACGTAAGCGCACGAACCGTGGCAGCTTAACCTTACCCCAGCCAGGAACTACTTCCAGACCCGCAACCTTCGGCCGCCGACGAGCCCCCAACTACGCATTTGCCCGCGCGACACCTCCGATGCTGGCGCGCTCCCCCAGCGACTTCTTCCGCTAGGATCGAGCCACGCTCACCTCTGCATCCTTGCGCATCCTGACCGTTACCTGCGCTACCCCAATTTCGACGGCCCCTGCCTAGTAGTGCCATCCAAAATGCCGCACGCCGTTGACCAGACCGAAGAGAACGATGATATACTCATCGCTCAGCTTCTCAACGCCGATCCGACAGAGAACCGCTTTGAGGGCCTACTCAGCGAGCGGATAGACAGCGGACCAAAGGCGGACGATGCCATCGACTACGAGGACATTAGCGACAATGACCTCGCCGACGAGGAGGAACCGAGCAGAGAGAACGGCGCTCATGATGACGCTGCTGGTGCAGATGATGATTTGATGGAGGGGCTCTTTGACGATGCTCCCCAAGCCCAGGATGCCGATGCTGAGAATGATGGGTTCGACGATCTGTTCGGCGATGCGCCGTCGTCGCCGCAGCCTGAGCATGACCAGGATATGAATGACGGCCAGGCCGATATCGTCCCGGCCGGTGGTGCCGTCTCGGGCTCAGCACCAAAACATTTGGAGTCACCCCCTTCGACGCAGATCCCAAAGGTTGAAAGTCCTGAGAGCATGCGGGAACTTGCTAGCTTCGAGGAGATCATGGAAGAAGATGTCATGGAGGATGAAGACGAGGATCCCGAGATCAGAGAGCAAAGGGAGCTCTTCGCACAGGCACAATCACGCCTTCGCAATGGTCAAGCCGTGTCAGACTTACCGCCCGCTCCGCAGACGGATGCCGATGTTTTCCAAGCCATCTGGCACAACTACGAACCCGGCGCAATTCTCCGGTTCGGAGAAATTCTTCCTCACCGTCGCGCGTATTACGTTCCCAAGACTCCTCTTAAGCCACCGAAGGCGATAGCTCCGAGCAAGGTCAGCTTGGAATTGCAGCAGGACCACGAGAAAACCTTCAAACTTCCTCCTACTGCAGCTCCTGCACGGAATGCTCGTCAGGCCGAGGTGGACCAGAAAGGCGTGATTACCGTCACTGAAGCAGACACTGGTGAGAAGAGCGATGATGAGGATGATATCAGGCTCGATGATTTTGACGAGAACGAAAAGATTGGCGGTGTAACCTGGCAAGATTTGCAGATGTTGTGTGAGGATTGGGACGTTCGCACCCCGGATAGTCTGTCCGATGCTGGAGATGTCCAGGAGCGGGATAATGCTGATGACATGTCGTTAATTGGCGACTGGGATCACGACGAGCGCGTTCGTCCCACTAAGAGACGTAGAACTGACGGCATCAGCGGCAGCCTTCCGATCTTCCAGGACAGCTTCCCTAACCTCGAAGAGCCCGAGACTGCTACTGCTAAGCTGGCGAGAAAGGTTGCCATCAATCTGAATGATCCGGAGCTGCTCATTGACATCCAACAACCGGATTCCACTCGCAAGAAGTTCCGAACCCATGACTTCCGCCGCGATGTCAGTGGAAGCCTCACGAAATCTCTGTTCCAGAAGTTCAATATTTCCAACGATGAAAGCTACGATATTCTCAAACACAACAATCGCGAAAAAGTCCGTAATATCACAAATCTCAACTCGCTTGAACACAGTTTGCCAGCGGTTAAGCTACAATATCCATTCTACAAGCTCACGCTCGGCCCTCGCGAGACGCGGTCATTTCATCGACCTTCTTTCACTGTTTCTCATCCTGGCCACGTCATCAGATTCGACAAGCCTAAGTTTAAGAAAAGGAAGCAGTTCAAAGGCCAGGATCCTAAAACCGTGTACGCTTCCTCTGAAGACCTGTCGATGGCTGACAATTCCAACGTGCTCCTGCTCGAGTACTCTGAGGAATATCCTACGGTTTTGTCCAACTTCGGCATGTGCAACCGCCTGATTAACTACTATCGCCGCAAAGATAAGGACGATACGTATCGGCCGCGGCTTGACATCGGAGAGCCTGTGGTCCTCACTCCCAATGACCAGAGTCCCTTTGCAATCTTTGGTGAAGTTCGCCAGGGCGAGACGGTGCCAACCCTTCACAATGGCATGTTCCGCGCACCCGTCTTCCAGCACGAGACGAGACCGACCGATTTCCTTGTCGTTCGAAGCCACACCGGTACTCATGGGACAAAGTGGTATCTTCGGAACGTCGAGAACCTGTTCGTGGTTGGACAACAGTTTCCATCGCAACAAGTTCCGGGCATCCATTCACGAAAGGTCACCGACATCAGCAAGCGGCGCCTTAAGATGTTGTCGTACCGCATCTTCACGAAGAGTCTCGATCAGAAGAAGAACCCTAACGTGAAGCTGAGCAATAGCTATATACAGAAGCACCTTCCAGGAAGCGATATCGCGCAGAATCGAGGCAAGATGCGAGAGTTCATGCAGTACGACAAGGAGAGCTCGTCGTGGAAGCCTATGCCTGGCGAAACCGTCCCGGATGAGAACCAGATGCGCGGGTGGATTTCGCCTGAGGACCTCTGCTTGGTTGACGCTATGCAAGTCGGTGTGCGCCAGCTTCAAGACGCTGGTTTCGCAGCAGACGACGCAAACCCTGAAGATGACGAAACAAACGAGGCACAACAGTTGGCACCATGGAACACTACCCGCAATTTCCTCGAAGCAAGCTCGCGTAGAGCCATGTTGGAGCTGCACGGTGTCGGTGATCCCACCGGCCGTGGAGAGGGTATCAGCATGATCAAGACATCGATGAAGGGTGGCTTCAAGCCACAGGGCGAAAGCGCGAAGGACAAGATGGACGCTAAAGCACTAAAGGAGCTCGGTGGCCACAGCTACAACGTTCGAAAGCAAGAACAGGATTACAATGCCGCCATCGAGAAGATATGGGAAGCTCAGAAGGCAAGCCTGTCCTCCACAATTGAGCACTCAGACTTCGAAGATCCAGATGATGCCGAGGCCGAAACGGTGGAACAAGACACGTCCTTCAGCCGCGGCAGGACTCCACAGTCGCAGTACGGCACACCTGCGGCCTTCAACCGCCGTGATGACGAGACCACGAGTCAATTCACGAGTCTCAGTACCGCAAGTCAGTCGAAGAACAAGGTCCTGAGGATTGTTCGCAGGGTCCCGAACAAATATGGCAAGATCGAAGAGCAGGAGGAAATCATCAGGGATCCGAATGTTGCCAAGGCATACGTCAAGTTCAAGAAGCAACAAGAGATCAACGCCATGAAGTTGGAGCAGCTGAAGCCTACTGGTGACGAAGAGGTTGACGCCCGTCAACGTAAAAGGCGAATAGCCCTTCTTGTCAACTTTCACTCCAGACATGAATATGCTGACGAGTATAACAGACTCATGGACGAACTTAGCCGTCTCGAACGCAACAAAGAGCGTCGCCAGGTTCGCGAGAAGCAGAAGGCAAATATGCGGAACGGCGGCGATGGCGACTCGAAAGGTACCACTCGCAAATGCGCAAACTGCAACCGCGCTGGTCACATCAAGACGAACAAGAAGTAAGTTGTTTCCCCTCTTGCCCAATGAGCCCCGTACCCTTCTTAAATCCTCCACAAGACATGGCCATGCACGGGAGAGAGTCGAAGTGATTGCGGGAAGAATGCTTCAACCCCCGTACGCGGTTGCCTCATTGCAGGATTGGCGGACATGTTTTCCGTAGGCTGAGGCTGGCGGTGAAGAATAGTATGTGCTGACATGTAACTAGAATGTGTCCGATGCTTAATGGCATCGCGTCTACGGTTGAAGAGTTGGAGAAGCTGGAGAAGATCAGTCCCGGATGCACACAGCCACCGTTCAATAAGCAAAAGATTGCGACTGCACAGCAGGCGCAGCAGGCATCGGCTACGCAGGCACCAACGCCACAGCAGACCTTCCCCGACCTTTACACACCTGCGTCGATCGATGGTCAAGGACCAATCTGAAAAAGAAAACGGGATTATCGTTAATGTCACCGGAGTATTTCTTTGATTCTTTGATATCGCTCATAACTATATGCTTTCACGGGAACGGGTTTGGGGGCAGATGGGCATTTCTTCGGCGCACATGGGCTCCCCGGCATTTTTGGGGGTAAGTTAGGGCACAGGAATACGATCGCAAAAGTAGAGTATGGGCATGATCCACAGCATTGCGGGGACGGTAATTTTGAGCTCGAGGTTGAGCAAATCAGTCTTGTCGGTCGCCAGCGAAGGCTGCTGTTTGTTTTGACATGGACCGTGGACTCATTGCTCCCTCCAAAATGTCTTCGCAATGGACAAAGTCGAAAAATAATCCGATCGGGAAGCATCAGCGGCTGGAGCTGATCAACACAGTCAAGTAGGAGTAGCGTTGGGTGAGTGAAAGCAATCAAAAAGAGGAGCAATACGTTCATCAATTTGCCACCTCATCAGCGCGTAAACGCCGGCGGTCATGCATTCTCATCATCCCAAGGTACCATGGATGCAAGCTCTGATAGGCCCACAGTCGAGCTGTGCAGCTGACGTGTCCATGAAATCGCCGGAGAGTAATTTGGGTAGCACAACATGGCAACGTGCGCGATCGACGTGAGAAACACAGCGATTTCGAGACAAAGTGTGTCATAGCAAGTCGGCAAGCGCGCGAGGTGCTGTGTGTGCGCGTGTGGTTCGGCACACGCGGGCGCCGAGTGTGGGTTTGGAAGAGACGGGTTGCCCGACCTCTCTCGGCTTGCCGAAGACGCCACCCATCACACGCGTGCACGTCAGCGCAATGCTGAACAGATTGGCCGATGGAGAATCTCGGATTTACCATGGGGCTAGGAGATGGGAGAATAGGAGAAGATTGATGGTGGGGAAGCGTAAAAGGGGGCCAAAGAGGAAGGACGAATGACGGGGGTGGGGGGGGGGGGGGGGGGGGGGGGGGGGGGGGGGGGGGGTTGTGGGGTGGCTACTAACCAGCGTTGTGCTTGAGGTCGGCAGTGAACAGAGGGGAGGTCAGCGAGCTCTTGGCGTTGTCGAAGAAGGTCTTCTGCTGGTTGGGCGAGACGGTGTTCAGGCTGCTGAAGGCGAGGCCGAGCAGGCCGTCGTTGTCAGAGTCCTGAGTGAACTCGGAAGAGACAACCTTGGCCGCCTCGACGGCCTGCTTGCTGACGGTCAGGCCGCCAACGGTGACCTTGTCGATGTAGACGTCGCCGCTGGAGGAGGAGCCGTCACCGTACGAGATCTCCCAGGTGGCGCCCGAGAGCTTGCTGGAGGTGCTGCTCTTGCTCGGGGTGTAGATGCTCTGGCCAGACACCTCGTTGCTGGGGGTCTCGCTGCTGAAGACCCACAGGTCGGACGAGCCGGTGTCAAAGTCGAGGTTCAGGACCTGCGCCGGGGTACCGATGGAGACGGGAGTGAGGTACTCCGAGTCGTACTCGGTGGGAGTGGTGGTGGCGCTGCCAGTGGCACGCTTGACGGCGGAGCTGGTGGCATTGCTGACGGCAGCCTCGAGCTCGGGGCTGATGGGGATGCCGTACTTGACGTAGGCCTTGGCCAGAGCGCGAGGGCCGCTCTTGACGTGCTTGGTGTTGCGGACCTGGAGCAGCGAGGCGGTGCCTTCAGTCTTGGGCTCAGCGGGAACGCCAATGCGCGGGGGGATGGCAGAGGCAGTGCTGGCCGTCGCGAGAAGCGCGGCAATGGCGACCTGAGAGAGGCTGGGCATCTTGATTGATGGATGAGGACGAAGACGCAAAGATCGACGGCTTGGAGGCAAGACCAGAGGAATGTAACCGGAGAAGAGAGCTGAGCGGTGCTGCTGGAGAGAAAAGCTGGTTCGGGGGTGCTACAACCACAATTTATATGTTTTCTCGGCGCCGAGCTGGTACCATCTTAGCAAGGCTTGATGTTCCCATGTAGCAAGCTTAAGCAAACGCTTAAACTAAGCGATATCCTAAAGGGGCAGGTATGAGAGGACCCACTGACAGCATCTGCAGCCTTGATGGCATCACTAGCCTGTACTAACAGTTCATGGGAAGGGGGTGGCGACCACCTTCCTTGAGCATCATTATGGCCGATTGCCTGACTTAGGAATCACCAGATAACGGCCGTCGGCCGCAACGGTCTCGTATCGAATGTCCAAGCGCCTGTTCGATGGGTATTTTTGGCGGCTGAATGCGATCGACAACAGCACTGTGTACCACAGCATAGGTCTCGCTCGTTGACAGCAGCGGGAACGAATGATTTCAGCCATCAATAGGGGCGTGGGGAGGAGCAATTGAATACTGGAAGCAGGAGAATTACGTGTGGGACCTCTCCAATCCTTCGCGCCGAAGTGTTTGGCGGCGTCGGTTGGCGCCGGTTTTCAGGCGGGAACATTATGATGCAGGACTGCCTGTGCCTGCCTATTCAAGATAAGCTTAAACTTCTTGGCAAGACTTAGCCAATCTGTTTGCTGTTTCCGCCATGAGGCGCCCATAAAAAATACGGCTACGGGTCGTATTTTACTGTAGCAGCTGCCGATGTGGAGGCCAGGCCACAGACAGCCGGTGGCGCCAGCGTCGGCATGCGTGCCTCGGCCCGTTTCGCGCACGAAAACTTAGCCTCCCAAAAAGACTGCTTCAACTCCCACCCTCAGCCTTACGTTCACACTGCCCATATTTTTCGGAGAATTCATGCAGGGCGATCGATCCTGGGCAAAAGCTTGACGGTATTGGCGAAGATACAAAAGCTGGAGAGCCAGAGGGAGAACACCTTCCAAGTTCATGCGATAAGATGGCTCTTCGGCGTGGTCCGAATGTTTGGCGATAGTGGACTGCACTAAGCTGCTTTTGGAAGGTGAATTTACTATCGCTACGCTCTAGGTATTTTCTCCGGCCGCTGCGCCTAGAGCACACCACTATAATTCTACTCTGCCAATCAAGCCGCTACACTGCTTCGCCTCCGCATCTCCGGAAAGAGACGCGGCGCCAATTCATATATGATGGAGACAGGGATCAGCCAATCACCTTACCAACCTTTCATCTGACGTTTCAAACCTCGGGTAAGGCAAGATTACACCACATGGATCGCATATTGCATCGAAACTTCAACGCTCTAAGCTAATGTTGGGTTGTTGCATCACACACCACGCCCGATTCCCAATGGTGAATGAAATGGTCACGACAATAGCTAGTGAGTGAGCATGTACTAATCTATATTAGATATGGAAACTGTCAATTGAGCCCCCATGAATCAATAGCAATAAGACTGGCTGTTTGCGCGACCGGAATGCTTGTTGGTCAAGTCAGGAGTCCAAAAAGTATCCATCAAGGTGTTTTTTTTCTCTTTCTTTTGGTTTCCTCGGGAAATACGTGTAACGGCTTGCAGCAGGGAAAGCGAAATGGCAATGCTTTATGACACTAAAGCTCTCACGCAAGTTTAACACTAATTTAGCTTTTCTTATAAACACTTTAAAAAGTTTTGACGTTCAGAAATGAAGAAAGAGCAGTCCAAAAAAAAACATGGGCGGCAGCGTTACAACAATGACCTTTTCTTCGCCAGCCTTTTACTCTTTTTTTATCGCGTACATGAAATCTGTGAAACAATCGGAGAGTTGATGAGCAAAACTTTCCAGACTAAGGTTATTTGTATGAATATCAGATTAGATTTCCCTTAGAATAGGCGGGGGTATTTATGCCATCCAACGCTGACAGAATGCTAATTACTCAAGCATGCAGCGAGACCGCGGAGCTCAATCATGGCCTTACTTTTGAGCCAAAGATAATATCAGTTTATCTCTTGCGTTTCAATCGAGCATCGGACACTAGTGCAGGGGCCGTGATTACTGCCCTGACAGCCGCTGGGAATAGTGTAAACACTGAAATGATGTATCAAACCCAGGCAGAGAACTCTAAGGCTTTTTACAGCTTCAGTAAGAGTTGTCAAGAATCTAATGGAAAGTTTAGAGCCGATATTTGACCCCTGCAACTTCTTCTGTCGTGGGCCAACTTCGCTCTTCGTGCAAATTGAGGCTGAATTCCATCTCAGCCAGAGTCTCAAACAATGTTGCGGGTATCAAAGACTCTCAGAATTCATTCAAATGCTTTTTTTTTCTCCGTCGCTTGATAGTTACTAACCACTAGAAATTGACTACAGAGGTAAAAAGAGCTCGTTATTTCGCCGAAATCGTGATTCGGCGAAGTCACTTTGCGCAACGACGCTCGAGGTCAACCAAACTCCGTGGGAAGTGGCGTAGATATGATTCGGTGTGACACCATAGCTTGCTTCGATGATCATAGGTAGCAGGGTTGAGGGTTTTCAGACTGCCGTCTTGGGCGAGTGTTTCGCATCCTGAAGAACTTTACGCTGATGTTTTCATGCGACACGAGAATTTCGCCCCGTTGTTTCAATAAATAAACATAGTGTCTTTGCATTCACCGGTGCCCGCCGTTTCGCAAGCATACGTGCAGTCTTGAAGCGCGAAGGAATCGATCCCAGTGGATGTGCCTATCGAACAACACCTCCTTTCTAAGGTGGACCGCGATGATGGAATACTGATTGCGTAACAAATTCACTCTCAGTCCACTACGAAGCGGTGTGGCAGAAGCTTGTTCTTGATTTTTCCAACAGCTGTGCGCGATGCCGAATATAGGCCACACGAGCGGCAACAGTTCATCGAGATGCCGAGTAAAGGCCACACGAGAGGCATAGCGACCCCATAGACCCTCAACAAAATGAAGTTGACACACTCAGCGATATTCTTTTCATCATCTCCAAGGGAAGTATTGCTAATCATAATTTTGTCTCCTGTGCGCCAATGTCTATTGATTCATATCGCATGGATGACTTCAAGCTGTGATAGGCACTTTGATATACGAGCCGCTGTAAGCATTCTAGACCGGCATATACTTGACGTAGAAGCAGTGCTACATGATTAGCTAAATAATTTGTAGGAACGTTGGGATGTTCCAGTCGTAGGACTGTGGTTGCAAAAATTGCGCCCACAGAACTCCTCAATAGCAGGTCTGAATGCATTAGAATAGTAGAATTGCCTCTGAGCATTTTGAATACATATGAAAAAAAATTTTATTCACAAAGTGTGCAGCAACTCTTGAGGCGCAGGACCATGGCGTCACGGGATGACGCTGACAGTACCACCGGAGTCTTTTTCCGTTTTCGTTCGCGGCAGCAGCGCTGTACCAGTTGCATATTTATTTGTCAGCGTGACTATACTCTCGTCTGTGCAACATGTTCCACCTTCCTCAGCGACCTTTATCAGCAAGTCTTTCCGTTGGTCATCTGAATCTCACAAGTCAAGGGTGCTTTGTTCTCTGTACTGCATATAGGACGTGGAATACCAACCCACAGTTTTTGGGAATACCGCCTTTTGATTGGCCGAAGCTAGCTTCTCCGCAGACTGAAGACCCACCTCCTTCTTCAACCGGGCCATGCACTTCCGTTTCGGCGAAAATCGTACGGGCGCTTTGTAATTCTCAAACTAAAATTCTACCAGCATCATTCTCAGCTGCCCTGATACAATAAAGATCAAGGCATTGCCGGACTCTTGAGCTACAAACATGGCGAGAATCATGGAGTGAGTCACTTGGAATGGCTACCCCCACTTTTGCATTTTCAGTTCCAGCTACTAACAAGAATCATTCCCCAGCCCAGCCACGAGCGAACGCCAAACAGCCGAACCGGTTTCGGGGCAGCCCGTGATAAACGATTTTGACAGCTATGTTGAAGAGCCAGATTATCCAGAAGGGGGCCTCGCGGCGTGGTCTGTCGTTGTAGGCGCATGGTGCGCAATGATACCTTCGATGGGCTTGCTCAACACCATCGGGGTCCTTCAAGCATGGGTTGCTGAGAATCAACTAGAGCATTACTCGGAATCGACCGTTGGATGGATTTTCAGTCTGTACGCCTTCTTCCTCTACATCGGAGGAGCCCAAATAGGTAAGTGCACACGAATGATGCCGAGCCTAGACAACTGCTGACCAGGATAGGCTCCGTGTTCGACAGGTACGGAGCCAAGCCGCTCATAATCCCCGGTTCTATTGGCACCGTAGCATCCATAATGTGCATGAGCGTAAGCAAAGGTACGCCTTTCACCTCTCGATGTATACCAGCCAGCCAAACTGACACACTCGGCCCAGAATACTACCAGTTCCTCCTCTCCTTCGGCGTCCTCGGCGGCATCTCCGCCTCGCTGCAATTCACGCCGGCCATCTCAGCCGTCGGCCACTGGTTCTGCAAGCGGCGCGCACTCGCCACAGGCATCGCGTGCACGGCAGGCGGCAGCGGGGGCATCGCCTTCCCCTTCATCATCCTCTACCTGGCGCCACGCATCGGCTTCGGCTGGACGCTGCGCATCATCGGCTTCATCAACGCGGGCATGGGTTTGGCAGCGTGCCTGCTGCTCCGCACGCGCATCCCGCCCAAGCCGCACGCCCGCGCCGCCATCGACCTGCGCGCCCTGTGGCGCGACCCGCCCTACGGCGCGACGACGCTCGCCATCTTCCTCGTCGAGTTCGCCGTCTTCATCCCGCTGACGTACATCTCGTCGTACGCGATACACAAGGGCGTCGAGCCGCAGCACGCGTACCGCCTCATCGCCCTGCTCAACGTCGGCTCTGTCCCTGGCCGCGCCCTGCCTGGTTATGTTGCGGACCGGTTTGGCCGCTTCAATGTCATGATCGGCACGGCGGCTGTGTGCTCTGTCTTTATCTTCGCGCTCTGGTTGCCTGCTGGTGCGAGCGAGCCCGCTATCACTGCCTTCGCCGTCATGTTTGGCTTCTGGAGTGGTGCTGCAATCAGCCTGACGCCTGTTTGTGTAGCGCAAGTGTGCAAAATTGAGGACTACGGGAAGAGGAATGGAACAACATTCTCGCTGGCGAGCTTTGCGGCGCTGATTGGGATCCCGATCGCTGGAGCCATCTTGGGAGCGAATGACGGGCAGTATTTGGGGTTGATCTGCTTTGGCGGTGCCATGTATGCCGCTGCCGTGCTGGCGTTCATCGTGGCTAGGTTTGTCGCCAGCCCGAAAGGCGGGGGAGCCATTTTCTGAATGGGATTTGGCAGGTATAAATGCCCGGATGAATAAAAGGAGCACACCCTGGAAAGGTCAAGGCGGAGGATTGTGCCTGGAACTCGATGGAGTATGGACGAATCCCGTTCGGTATTTCACTGCCTCTTGTCCCCTGGAGAAACAGTCAATGGAACGCAGAGGGAAACCTTCACTATTTGTTTTCTCTGAAATTTGCAGCACATACTGCTCAAAAATAAGTTAGACACGACAGATGAAAGTCTCATAACTAGATGGGAAATTGCCAAAAGTGGATATGCGCAGGTGAAGTTGTAAAAATATTGTGAATCTGCGTACCTTACCCCGCAGTCGTGGCGGATCTCGGATCTCGGATCTTAAACTTGCCAAATATGTGCCCCACCGTAGATCTCATATTCGAATTAAGGTCGATAGTTGCAACAGAAACAGCCGCAGCAGTTGAGCAGTTAAAGCATGCGTACGAGTGTCATGATACCGAAGAAGAAATTTGTCCACACGCAGCACAACTACTAAGACCCTCCGATACTACGCAGAATCAATATATTCGGAGGATCACATCATTTCTGAGATGGGGAAAGAAGTTTTCGAATTTACGCGCTACCATTACCGGACCCTCACTGACTATTTTCCCCGCACAACACCACTTGCAAGCCGCCCGGCAACGCACCCCGGCACCAGCATTTCCACACGCCCCCACCATTGGCCAGTGGACGTATAAATATCCATGTTTCTATAATTTACAATGCAGGTTTTTATACAGGACTGCTTGTTTGTCAAACCGTCTTTACTCCCACACCACCATGCACCTCCTCCGCACCCTCCTCACCACCACCCTGGCCCTCCTCCTCGCACCACCATCCACCGCATCCCCCATCACCACCAACCCCAGCATCCCTGCCGCACCAGCCCTAGAATACCTCTACACGGCCCTCGTCGACTGTACCCCGCGCATCTTCACCGACCAGACCCCCGCTGGGCTGCGCACCGCCATCCCCATCGTCGGCGGCAACTTCACCGGCCCGCGGCTGCGCGGCCGCATCCTCGACCTCGGTGCGGATTGGGGCACGACGGATCCGGCCACCGGCATCTTCTCGGCTGACACGCGGTATAACTTGCAAACAGATGACGGGGCGAATATTTACATCAGGACGTCGGGGCCGAAGCAGGCGGATGGGACGCTGCATTTGAGGTTGGTGTTTGAGACGGGGGTGCGGGAGTATTATTGGTTGAATAATGTTGTTGGTGAGTGATGATTGACTAGAATGCCGTAGCTATTGTGGTAGGATGGTGTGCTGACAAGAGCGTGTGCAGCTGTTGGCATTTTGAAGCGGGTTGCGGAGTACGAGGACGGGAGTTATACATTGCAGATTGATGCGTGGAATGTAAGTTCTGAATTCATATCCATTTAGGTCAGACAGAAGAGGACTGATGGGACTACAGCTCGCAGGCGAATGGTCCAGCACGAATTTTGTCAATGGGACCATAAGTTAATCGTGACATTGGAATAATGCTCATTTGTTGGTGTTTAAGAACAGTCCATAGCTCTACGTCATCTTACTTTTAGCTCCACTGCAGGTTTCAGAGACAGACCAATGAACTGCAGCCTGTACCGCGGTTAAGAAGGTGAAAAATACATCTCAATGATGAGAAGCTATGGAAATGCTCTCCATGCAGTTGTGAAAAAATACGAGCAAAAGTAACACTTCAAGTCCCAAGACAATATTACAGCTGAGCCGTCGGAAAAGTATCAAGCATACATTCTGGAGCCATTGCAATCCAAGGTCCGTCCTCTTACAATGGTGAAGCGGACTGCCTAAGATGTGCAAAATATGTTTTTGCCCACCATCCCGCTGCCTGATCTAAGAGATCCAGCGGGGAACACAAGCAATTACCCATCATCCATCGCGCCGGCCCCCAACGCCCATCACCGGCTGACATCTCGTACAGGACATGACAGCGGCAGGTCCGAGCAATACGATCTGAAACAAAAGGGCACGGACGAGCCCCCAACAGTGAGAGCTTGTTCCTGGCGCCACTCTCGCAATCGGGCCGAAAAGGGGGGGAAATACACGAGGGAAGAAACAACCACACATCCTAAAAGTCACGACGACAAGATTCATGGCAACAAACTTTTTGGCTTTCGCCGCGTACGAGCGCGACAAACAAATTACAATTAATCCATTATCAGGAACTAAAGTTTTCTCTGTATATTCTCGTCGTTCAGGGTCCGCTCCTCTCCCCCCGCCCCCACTCCCTTCCCGTCATCGTGACCGCCCCGCCTCCCCCCTTCTTCTTCCTCTTCTGATCATACACTTTCTTCTCGCTTCTTCTTCTTCTTTCTCGTCGATCACTTCGTCCCACACACTACTTGATCTTCTCAACGTGAATCCCGTTTTCCCATTTCGTCCAGATGATTCGCTTAGAGGAGGAGCATGACGGCGCCCATGGCGGCGGACATGCCGACGGCGAAGCCACCGGCCTGGAGGATGCCAGCAGCGTTGGTCGACGAAGGAGTGGGGGTGGCGCCGGAGCCGGAGCCGGAGCCGGGGGTGCTGACGGGGGTGCTGATGGCCGAGGAGGTCGAGTTGCTGGTCTTGGTGCTGCTCGACGAGGCGTCGGTGGTCTTGCCGCTGTTCAGGTCCTCGCAGATGCTGGCCGAGACCTTGGAGGACTCTGTAGGAATATATGTGTTAGCTGGCTTGAATCTGAGTGTGTATGTGAGAGTGTGGGTTGACGTACCCATAGCCTCCTCAGCAGTGCACTTCTCGGAAATGCAGCCGATGACCTCGGCAGCAAGGTCATCCTGCTTCTTGCACTGGCAAGCAGCGTCGGTGACCTCGCAGCCGACCTTGGGGGCACCGTCCTGGATGCAAGGAATGGCGCAGGCCGGGATGTCGGCGGTGGTGTAGGCAGCGGCCATGGAGGCCGAGGCGGCGAGAACAACAGCGGTGGAGAACTTCATTGTGAATGGATTGATTGGACTTGTTGGTCGTGAAAAAAAGGAGTGATCTGCGCAAGTTGGATGGATTCAAACGAAGGACTGGGTGAAGCGTGATGGCGGGAGAAAGCACGGCAGGACCAGAGCGTATTTATCTTGACTCTGGTGCGAGTAGGGAGTGGTGAGAGCCATGGTCTTTGCTCGTCAATACTCGCGTACGAGGGGGGGTAGTCCAACAGCGCGTACCCCGTGCGAAGCTAGAACTAGAAATGAGGGTTACCGATGGCGCGGGATAATCACAAAGGCAGGGCGGGGGCGTCGGAAAGTCCACCGTCGTGCCGCGTTTGGAGAGAGGTTTGGTGATCTTTGACTTTCGCTGCAGGGCATGCTGGCGGGCAAATTCTGGGTAATTCTCGAAGGGCTGAAATGATAGGTAGGGTCAGTCGACCAGAGGGATGCCGAACGCTAGGCCGTGGCCCGTTCGCCGTTTTTACACGGACCGTTGCGGGTCGGATCGACACTGGACTGAGTCGACATCAAAGCTTAAGAGGGACAAGAGTAACGTTGCAATTTGGACTGAGTCTCGCCGCAGCTTGTCTAACCCGAAAAGATAAGAAACGGGTTATCTTTATACACGGTGGATTGCTTGCGGTTAAGATCTTCCCTCGGACCGACGAAGTACATTTCTCGTAAGACGCGGCTCGCCGTACGGCTTGAGGCGGGGAATCTGGACCAGCAGAAGCACAGCAACCAGAGAAGACTGTTCCCGTGGAAGCCGGCAACAGAGAGGCGGAAAGCGCTGGGAGGTACAGGAGAGATGGCGGCAGACGGGGCGGTAAGGTTTTCAGGATTTGGGGGGTTGATAGGTGATAGACCACCATGGGTCCCGGGCTTAAGGCACCCACAGCCAAGAATTCCACCGCCTCTCAACGGTGGATGTTGCCGCAAGGTTTCTTGCCGTGCGAAGAATGTACGTCCGATGCTGGTGCGCGTAATTCCGTGCGCGGTATGCTCAGGATGGAGTCTAAATTTCGGAGGCGCAAGTTAAGGTGGAAGTCTAGTCCGAAAGTTGGCCGATGAAATGCCCGGCTAATTGCTTCGCTGGGGTCTGAGATAAGCTCATCTTGTCATGCGGTAGATGGGTCCTTCTTTCCTTGGGAAATCTTGGGTGATGTCGGCAGCGGGTCCTGTGCAATGTGGGACGAGGAGCCGTTGGAAGCGAGCTCATGTTTGAGATGAAATCGGTCGTTTCATAGGCGCTAGGCTGCTTTCAACCTTCTAGCCGCCTTCCAGAAGCCCCGTGACCGTGTTGAGAGGTGTTGGGGAAGATGCTGACGATGCGCGGAGAGAGGGATGATGGGCCTTTTAAAGACGTCTGGCCCGGAGATAGCGAGATTGAAGTCTTCCGGTGCTAGAAACACAAGCCAATGGCCTACGCGCGCGTGCTGAGCAACATCCAAGGGACAAAGCATGTCTCATTGCGACAATTGTTGCGCTGTGGTGGCCCTACAGGCCAGCGAGGTTGCGTCGGGTGACGGGCCAGTGAGAAGAGAATGATGACATAATCGACGAGGAGGCAACTCCGCCGCCTCGCTCAACTCCGCGCCCTCACTCGCCTCACCTTCCCTGCGTCATCCATCTCCCATCGCACTCCTCGCCGCCACATTCTCTTATCATTGTCGCATGGCCGCGCAAACACTCTGAGCAACGGATCTACCGACGAGGTACTGCCCAACGCAATTGCTGCCGAGGCGTCCGCATTCGCCCCCAAGATCAGCGTTTACTCGAACGCCTTTCGCTCCGCCTTGGATGAAACACCAGGAGTCCTGAGAATATGCACTGCGGAGCCGCCGGTTAGCGGAGCCGGTGTCCTTGGCCTTGGAACAGCGTTGGGCTGAGGCGTGCAAGGTTTTCCTTTCCTCAAAGCTACTTTGCCACCACAGAACAATAAACCCTGCCCGGGTGGGAAACCGTCCTGCCCAGGGGCTTTGGCTTTTCTTGTCTATTGATAGAATGAGCCGCTCCGGCGCTCTGACTGATAGCCATCGTAGGTTCCACCATGTCTCTTGAGTAACCCAGCATGACCAATTGCGACTTCCTGTTGAGCCAAAAGGCCCCATAAAACGCCTATACTACCTCATGAATCCCGCCCACATGCTATCTCAGTCCAAGGACACCAGATATGGTCCGGAAGAAGCTCCGCATGCACACAGTTTGTTTGCGCTTTGAGCCAGTGTCGTCGGCTCGCTGGTCCCAACAAACAACATTTTTAGTCAGGCCCTTAACGTCTCGACCGGACCCAAGTTTGGGGGGGGTACATGTCAACAAGGAATCTTCAGCTGGCGCGCCTTCTATCATTGTGCAGAACGTTATCCAATGGCGCCCTGGGGCGATCGCGTGTGATGCAGATCATGCGACATGTGCGCCGGTAGAGGCGACAAGATGATCGACGCCGCCGTTTCCGGACCCTTCACCGCTAACGACCCTAGTGTTGCTGCGAAACGGTTCTTTGCGCGTGGTTCCGATGACGTTGCTAATGTCCGTGGTAGATGCTCGCCCTAACAATCCATCAGCGAAGCGAAGACGAGGTAGCCCCGGCATGCGCATCGCAGATCGAAAGTACAAACACTGGTGGGAGGATGATGGATGACGGGAAGGCTGAGCTCTGCGAGCACATTCTTGCGCAGATGAAGCGCTACATTGGCAAGCAGCTGCGGCAGCCGGAAGAGTCTACGGAGCATCACGTGGAGCAGTTGATGCAGCTGGCTGCTGGGCAAGACGGGCAATTGGATGAGGATCAAGCAGAGGTAAGAGGCGAGACTAATGTTGTGATAAATTTACGTATAAACGATCCGATTACTGCCATGAAAAGTGAGCAGAACTATCTTGTACAGCAGATGAAAAATTCTCAGAAATAGAAAATTTAGGGGTGATGTCAGTGAGTGTCGTCATATGATTCTATTCAGGGCTTATCGGTACGTGTTGACCAGTGCTCTATTGTATATTCGAACTACATCGAAATAGTCAAGCAACACTCCTCGAGCCAGTAAACCAAATGACATTGCAGAATCTTCAACTCCATCTCCACGTTGCCAGAACGTGAGCCACGATTATTCGACTCCAATCCTCCCATTCTGCTATCTCACCCCCCTCCCCTTTCCACCACGTCCAGTTCCTCCAGCATCCACGGCTCCATCCAAAACCCCTGATCGATGCGCTCCCCATAGTCCAAAGCGTCCGTACACATATCGCCCCCCGTCGGCCCGACATGCGGACAATGCACCTCCGGCCGCAGCGCCACCATCGGGCTATGCACCATGCGGCACAGTAGCGTATCCAAGCCCATCTCGTGAGACGCCCCGAACCGCACCTCGCGAGTCAGGAAGCGCACGCATTCCTCCTCGCTAGAGTACTGCCTGTTGTTCCTTCTGCTGCCGTTCCTGTTGCTGTTAGTCTCGTTGTTGCTGCCGCCGCTGCCGCTGCCGCCATCGTGGCCCTCGTCCTCACCGGTGGTGGAGATGTCGGTGGTGCAGTGCGCCTCGTGCTCGGCGCAAATCGTGGCCGCCAGCTCGGCCGTCGCGTGCGCCACGACCGCCGACACGTTGCCGGCGAAGCGCGGGCGCCGCGCGACGCGCGAAAGCGTCGATGCGATGAAGGCGGGCCAGTGCCGGAAGGTGGCGTCGTACTGCTGCACGCGGCCTGCTGCGTCGAAGAGCGTCCATGCGTGGATTTCGAGCGTGAAGGTGTCGTTCGCTTCGTCGTCGTTCGCATCGTCGCCGCTCCAGAAGTGCGTGGGCGAGGTGAAGTTCATGAGGATGGCGGAGGAGGCGATGGCTGAGGAGGAGGGGGTGGAGGAGTTGGAGGGGGAAGGGGAGGTGGACGGGGGGATCCAGCCGGCGAAGTGCGTGACGGTGTAGCTGGTCGGGATGCCGAGGAGTGTGAAGGAGCGGGTGCGGCTCAGCTGCGCGAAGAGTGAGAAGAGGTACTCGGTGTTGAGCTCGATGCCGGTGAAGGTGCGGGTGATGTCGACGCGACCGCGGATGGTGGGGCTGAGGAGGGTCGAGTTGACGATGGGGCGGAGGGCGAGAGTTTGGTCGAAGATGCGGGTTTGGAGGGCGTAGAGGGAGGAGAGGGTAATGCCGGATGAGGTGGTGGTAGTGGGGATGGGGAGTGGTGGGTATAAAGCGCTGAGTAGGTAGAAGGTAAGGGCAATGGTCGAGAGGATGATGACGGCGAAGATGCTGTGCGGTGGTCAGTTGCTCGGTGTTGCTTTCTGTCTTCTCTTCTCTTGTACGCAAGTGATATACTTTACCTCAAAGTGTTGCGGCCCATGATGGCTGCTCGTGGTAAGCGAGCGTCTTTCCAAATTGGGAATGTACGAGAGTGAAGATCAGTTGCGCCCATCTCGAAATCCTGCGCAGTCTCATGAGTACGAATGCCATATTGTGGGTCTGCAATGCTGATGCAAGTGCCCAGTTCTTATAATGCATTAGGCTATTTTAATCAAACACTTGAAATGTGTTCCGTAATAGTGTCGCGCCTGGAAGTGATGTTTGCCTCAAGACCACCACTAAATATAGCGATGGTAACACAGTCCAAGGCTTTGAAGACATCACTGAAGACACGGTCGACATCTGAAACGGAAAGGAGCTCTTGCCGATATTGATGACAAATGTTTAAGGCCTTATGAGCAAACACCAGTTTAATACCAGGCAGAGGAGTCACCTGTCTTGGTTGCACATATGGTGCCTGAGGCTGAGACTTAGTGAATTGTCAGTTTAGCTAATACCCTCCATCCTTCCTCCCGGCCAAAAAAAAAAATGTAACGAACAATCCCACTCCATGCACTCCTCACGCCGTCCCCACCGACCACAAGCCCGCCTCGTACTTTCTCTTCCAGTTCAACTCCGCCTCCGCCCCGACCCCCAACCTTCCCACATCTCCCTCCGGCCTCGCATCCCCCATAAATCCCGGCAACGCATCTAGCACATCATCCTCCTTCCCCGTCCCTGCCGCCACTAACGCACCCACCCCCACGCCCGCCCCCATCCTCAGCATCGCCCACGCATCCAGCGTCCCCGTCCACCTCGCCCTTCTCTGCCGCGCCGCAAAAACCAACAGCACCCACAACGCCCCCAGAAACACGCCCAGCAACAGACTCCCCACGATCACCCCGGCCAACGGCATGACCGGCGCCACAACATCAACGCCCTCGTCGACGGAGACCGCCAGCGTGCCGTAGACCTGCGGGTCCGTCAGCCAGATCTCGTCCGCCATGAACGCGGCGGCCGTCAGCGCGGCGCGCACGCGGTCCTCGGCGACGAAGAAGCCGTCCATCCAGGAGCGCACGTCGGAGGGCGGGTCGACGGTGCGGTTGAAGGGCACGCGCCCGCGCCACTCGGAGCGCGACGCCTCGTCGGTCGCAATGCAGTAGTGGACCGGCGCGGCGGTGTAGCTGTTTTCGTCGAGGAGGGTGCCGAGCGGGACCAGGTCCTGGCAGATGCGCGGGGCGTAGGTGGCGGAGGGAGGGGTGGAGGGGGCGAGGGAGGAGAAGGGGGGGTCTTCGGTGAGGGTGGTGGCGGTGGAGTTGATGTTGGCGCTGCTGGTGCTGCTGCGGTTGAGGTAGGTGAGGTAGGAGGGGTCGCTTAGGGTGTCTGGGAGCGAGCCGTTGCCGAAGAGTGCGAGGTAGATGGTTGCGAGCGGCCCTTTGTTCGGGACGTCTTCGAGGAGCTCGTAGGTCACGCCGGGGCTGTCTTCTGCGGTGGAATTGGGCGGTTTCTCATCGGCGTTCCAGGGGTAGACGTCCAGGAGGGGCCCCGGTTGGTTGCCGTTTGCGTAGCTGGGCAGCTCGAAGTAGCCGATTGTCGTCCGCGCGGAGACTTTGAAAGTGCCGGTGTCATATACAAGCTCGTCTCTACGCGTGAGGTTAAGGTAAAAGACCTCGTCGAAGTCTTGGCGGTCGCGCGTCTCTTTGATTGGAGTTATGAGAGCGCTGCTGGGTATGCACGTGCTGAGGTTCCAGCTCTGATAAGACCGGAATGGATGCACATATTCGTAGTGATACTTGACGAAGCGTGAGTCATCTTCCAGGGAAAAACAGCCCTCCGGAGCGTCTTCGACGGCGATGCTTTCGTACGAGACACTCGTGTTGATTCGTGGCGCGTATTCCTGCTTGAAGCCTGTGCTGAAGCCATATGGCAGCTGTGCGATGAAAGGATCCGATAGCTTGTCCAGGTTCTCAAACCCCCAGCCTTCCTCCCCTTCGCGAGCGCAGCGTTGTTGCCAATTAGTCACGTTTTCTCGCGGCCCACTCATCCACAGACGTGGCTCACAGCTCTTCTCTTCCCAGATTGCCAATTGCTTTCGCAGTTTGACCGTGTCGCGATTCGTATAGATGGCAGTGCCGGGAATGTCGGAGATATGGGCAATGCTGATATAATACCTTTCTGCCGAGGATATATCCCAACCAGCTCCCTTGGTTTCCGAAAGCGGCTTCAGGAAACCTTGCTGGATTGGATAGATCACCAACCCTACACACATTGTGTCAGCAGCTGGAAATCACCATAGAACACACATACTACAACAGTTTCGCCATACACACCTAGTATTGTCAATATGCTTGCTATCCAGAGAAAACGGCTGCCAACTTTGGCCCTGTGGGAGGGAACCAGGAGTTTTGCAAGAACACGCGGGCTCCTCCACCCTTCATCCGCGAGAATCACCGTCTGCCTTAAGGTGAGATTCTTATTCCTTGCGTGGTACTGCGCAAAAGGCACAGCTGCGTAGGCACATATAGCGGCAGTTGTTGGGATTGTCAGCATCGCGGCGATGGTAGACAGAACCAAAGCGCCATGTAGCCATCGCCTAGCGGCATGGATCTCGCTGAAGGATTTATAGTCACGATGGTTTCTCTCTTCAGAACCCCAGTCGCCCCTACGTCCGATGCGGCAGATAATGATCCAGGATGCCATAGCCAGTGCTGAGTAAAAGGCTAGTAGGAAGTAGAAGTATGCGCTTCGGCTTTCCAGTGGTTGTGCTTTTTTCCCGTCTGGGCTGTCATGGGATGAGCTGTCTGTGTTAACCTGACGTGGAAGCTGCTCTAGCTGATACTGCTGAGTTTGTCGATTGCTCTCATGATACCCTGGCGGCTGCTCCGCGGGACGCTCGTTGTTGGTGGAGCTCATTGTTGATACTATGGGACAGCGCCCGTCTTCGCTTTGAGGTTCCATAGCGGCTATATAAATGAAGGAATAAATGAAGGATTCGATATATGCATGTTCTCACGTGGATGGACTTTATGGTACGATACAGTATCAAAATCAACGCCCAGCTGCGCCAATGTACTTGGCAGACCCCAAAAAACCTATATAATAGGGCTGAAATTCGTATCAACGGATAGAAGTTGCCGGGCGTGGGGGCCGCTCAGCCTTGCCTGCACTGAGAACCACAAACAAAACAGAGAAAGCGGTTTGGCACAGAACTTCTGCTAAACCTTGAATAGAGGATTTTTGGCTCGAGAGCAATATGCTCTGGCAAGTCATGATATGGAAAGCAGAGATTTCAATAGCAAATCCGGTACAGGTCAGGACTTCTAGTATATATGCACCGATACAGTCGCTACTAAAGTGACTCAGATGAATAAAACGGGTTCAAATGGATGCCTCAAAGGAAGTATAAATAAAGTATAGTAGTGAGACGCCGCTTTCTTGGATCAGAAAACGCCACCGACGGTGCGCGAAAAGCTGTAGAGAAGGGTGACTGTAGGAAAGGTCGCTGCCACAAAGCCTTACATAAGTAGTCAAAATTACCGAAATATTGAGCTTTACGATATGTACCCGCACATCTCTCCATGCGGCATAACGTGGACCCTTGCATACATCCGAGAACTGCGCTTCAGATGCACGATGCAGTGGAGCAACTCGACTAGCGCCCGCTTCAACCAAAAATTTTCACCGAAGCTATAAAATCGGGGACCTTTGCACTAGCTACATATCGGTCCTACTGTGGAATATAGAGGAAACATGTGAACGACGTCTTTGTAAGACAAAAGGCCCTCGATCGCCGATCGTCCCGTGACAGACTGGAGCACGTCACTTCGCAGGCAATGCGGTCTTTTGGCGCGGGAACATCTGATAACGTCAGATCTTATTCTTTTTCATGAATTTTACTTTCTGGTGTGTTTCAAACTGAGGTGGTTTCATTCCTGGGGTCGATCATCGCTGGGGTCGAGAGGCGCTTCACCCGTCTGATGCATTTCCAGTGTTGTTGGGCTGCCATTTCCGAACTTTGAGAACGATTGCATTGTAGACTAAGAATAAAGACCTCCTATACTCGAAAGACTCTGAGTGTTCTCTAAGCCTCCGATTATGGGCGAAAATCAAGGACAAAAAAGGAAATATCAGCAAAAGCCCACGAGGCTCACTTCCGCCATTCTTAGCCGTCAACCATGAATTTCTGGCGAAAATTGTGTCTGGCCGCTTTTTGATATTCACTGATAGTGAGAGGGTGCGACATATCATCACCACGTGAAAAGCAATACTTGTCTTGTGACTATCCATTTCTCAAATAATAATATCTTCTTACAGTTTCAGCTCCGATCCCTGATAATACAGATTATACATTTCCTCTATAGCAACACCAAAACACCTTTAGTCGATCCAAGTAGTGCCGATGGAGCACTTCCGAAGGACACCGACCGGGATCTCCAGGAACGAGGGCGGTGGCTGCCACCGTTCGCCAGCTCGAACCTGCGTAGACCTCTTTCACGGAACCAGGACTTTTTCCCCAACAAAATACCAAAACCGTCGCAATTGGAATGATCGGCAGGATGTGGTTGGTAGGAAAGCAGAGCCTTGAGATGCTCAGCATCAGGGGAGGCTCGTCGTAGGGCAGCCGGATTTTTTTTTTCACGCCCTCTCAAAGGAACGCCGGCAGACACGCATCGCGGCCAGCGCTATTCAAGCGGTGCGGAGTATGTGAGGAGCGATTGAAAAAGAAGTGAGGGAAACTCTGCAAATGATGGTTAGCGTCTGCACTCGTAGCATTGTGGGTGAAAGACGGGTTACTCACGGTTCGCACTCCTCCTTTCACTTCCAGGCATTTACCACCAGCTGGTGGCAATGTTCTCCTGGATGGTGGCAACCCTCCAGATCTCGACCAGAGGACCCTCCTTGCCAGCCAAGGGGTCGTACTTGGGGCACACGACCTTGGAGATGTTCTTCTGGAGTCCCTTCATCTCCTTGGGAGAGAAAGCCCTGGGCTCGACGTTGTCGCGCTTGTTGCTCCTCTGGATGGGAAGTCAGTATCAATGATGATTTTGCGGCAGAGCGAGCAGACGTACCTCGGGGCGGAAAGTGATGAACTCGAAGTTCTCAGAGTTGACGACGCAGTGGCTGACACCGGCCTGTTCTGGTTAGCGAGCGGCCCATGTCGAATCGGGAATGTTGATGGACATACAGGATAGACGACCATGTCACCGGCGCTGAGGTAGATCATCATGCCGGGAGGAGGACCGTACTGGGTGCCGCCGACGAGCAGCTGGCACCTGCCCCTGACGACGGCGTGCAGCTCGTGGGTGGTGGACTGGAAGAGGGGCGTCTTGTTGGTCTCGGCGATGGGGTCGGGAAGCCAACGGTTGGTGTGGAGGATGTTGCGGACCTCGCCAATGGGCATGGTGGTGGAGAAGGCATTGCGGTAGACCAAGACGGGCATGACACTGTTGGGAGTGTCCGAGGTGGGCTCAAAGCGGTGGAACTCGGGCTCGTGGGCAGCAGGAGCGTCGGCCATTGTGAAAGATTGTTGTTGTTGGTGTTGTCTTGGGAAGTGATGTCGTGTGTAGAGGAGAGGAGCTCAGTGGACTGCTGTTTTTGGATCCCAAGACTTCGCAGGAGAAGGGCTTATAAGGAAGCGCGTGTCCGGGAAGCGCCGGCTCTGACGCCAGTCGAAAGCATGCGGTTCCGCTCTGCCGATCCGGCGTTATCAGCGTGCTATGTTTCTCTACGCCTGAAGGGGCTTGGACTGGGTCCTCGGATTGTCTCCGTTCCACGTGGGAAATTCAAGCCAGCCGTCGGAGCTAAAGGAGTCAGTCCCCTGGCGGCGTCTGTCTCCCACGTGGCAATTTAAGGTTCACCCGTGCCTTAGCGGCTCTGCGCTGTTATTCCACGAACCATGAGGTGGTGGTGACGCGCCGCGGGCTGCTAGCAGCTGTTAGAGCAGCCGCCGGCGCGTGGCCCGGCCGCGCCGTTTAGGCCAGGTTGGGTGGTTGGCGGGCAAGCGGAGGCGTCGCAACTATTGGGCATTAGGCATGGTGTTCAATTTTGGGAGGGCGCGCCAGATGCAGCGGAGATGCGCCCGGACGGCGCCCCAGGCCCAGGCCGCCCCTGGCCCCCGGCAAATAGAAACACGAGCTCGTTCGCTTAAGGCCTACGCGGAGGCGCACTGGTAGATCTGGCTATTCTGGCGCCGCTGCAGAACACCCGTGTGTTGTGGTCTGATGGCGGCACGGGCCAGGGGGATTGACTGACACGACTGGTGCGGTCCCTTCTCATCAACTGTGATTGCAGCTTCGTGACAACGGGTTCTAGACATGTCGTCGCGCGGGTTGCCCAAACGAGAGCCCCGGGCGGGTCGGCAGATCCCAGCAGCGGGACTGGCGGAGATCCACGACACAGGACCCTTCCTCATCTTGCATGATCTTGCGACAAGCAGAAATCCCTCGCTGCACGTTCCCGGTCGCGCTGTGCCGCACGACATAAGCCGCCGAACTTGCTGACTCGAACTTGCTGCACGAACGGTACTGCTCCGAGCGGTGCCGACGCGCACGCCGACCCAGCGACAGTTCGTCTGCCCACGCGCGTCCGATCGCTCGTCGCCCACCAAGGCGGCCGTTCGATCGACGAGATTCTGGCGGAGGCGGCCCGAGGGACTCACCGCGTGGCAGCCATGTGGCGCTAGCTGTGACTAGGCCTGTTGGGGCGACGCGAACGCGAACGCACCTGGCGAAGGATTAGGTCCCACACGATAGCTTGCGAAGGCGTTGAGCAGATCGAGCCGGCCATGCTGGAACGGGTTTGAGCCACTTTCCCTCCCTTCTGACGCAAGGCTACGAGGGGTTCCGAGGGCACAAAGTGGCGCCGGCACATCGACGATGCCTCTGGCGCTGGTTCGACTAGACACGCTTGTTCCCCCCGCGCCTCAGGTGAGCTGCCTCGTGGCTTCATACTGCCGCGATGACGCCGCCAAACCGCAAGCCACTTTTTTCCTTCTTGACTCGAAGCAAAGACACCGCCGGGGGCGATCACTGCTCGAGAACGCTGCAACTCGCCCAGGGGGCCCACAGCCGTCGCTTGTGGGGTCCTGGGCGCAGGCTTTTCGTTGGCTAGAAACTGGCTAGAACCGCGGACAGACCACTACAGATTCGCCCTGCCAACGCGGCTGATCAGCGCTGCTCGAGCTCTGGCAGCAAATGATCTACTACACCTCGCTGAAGTCCGAACGCCCCTGACGTCGATAGCGCTCTTCTATTCACCGGCCAGAGTCCTTCGCGAAGTGTTCCTCGTGGTAAACTACTCTAAAGGATTCGGCGCATAGACAACCTGCCTTCCCGATATGTCAGCAACAAGCGAGCAAACCGCACTTCAACCACTTCGAATGCTCCGCTGTCCTGCAGCTACTCAGCTCTAGGCATCCCAGCCCGCTCCCTTTTTCCAATCCCCACTTTGCTCGGGGCCATTTCCTCCATCTCGTCAGTGTCCCGAATCCCCGCAGGAACGGCACTGGGTTTAGCACCCTGGTTCCGCTTTGGCCCTCTCATTTTCACAAGCATTGTGCTCGTGTGGATCAGAGAGAATCAGTGCCTGAGATCTCGACCCACACGCTCGCCCATCATTCGCGCGGGTGGGCTCCGCTCCGCTCTCGCGGCTCCGCTTCCCAAACATGTTGCTGCGGCTCGGTTATCTTCGCGATACGTACCCACCCGCCGAGCGAGGAAAGTAGGGGAAGTACGTCCGAGAAAAAGAAAAAAAAAGTGAAAAAAAAAAAGGAGCGCCGGGACCGCCGTGAATAGTTACCTTAACGGGTCCGTCGCGGAACCCTCGGAGTCCCGAGATTTGGCTCAGCCTTCTAAGCCCTAAGCCTGCTCAGATCTGCTGATGTGGCTGCATTTTGCGGCTTGCAGAAAGGACGCAAGGGAGTTGTGTGGTTCTGCGGCGCGGGCATTTCCGGGCAGCGCTTGTGTGCGGGCGATCCCGGGCGCACACGTGGTACCTCGTAGGCTACCGGTGGGCGGTGACGGGAAAGGCGACCGGGGTTCCTGGCCGGGGAGGGAAGCAGAAAGTAACTGGGGGCCGGGGAAAGCAAACAACACGGAGCCATCGGTGGAATGCGGTTCGACGTTAGTGCCGCTGGCTAACGTCTCATGTTTGGGAGCCAGGACGAACCCACCCTGGACGAGGGCCAAAGGGAAGTTCCCGCCATCAATGTCAGCTCTGCTGCAAGCAGATCCTCAATGGCGCTGGCTGGCGCTTGCAGGACAAGCCGCGTAGTCGAGCCGTCGATGGTCCATGGCCAAAGCCGTGCACGCCGTCCCGCCCCACGTGGGAGTGGTGATCTCGAACTTCGTGCACGCCTGGCGCGGGCTGCGCGGCTCGATACGAGTCATTGGCCGATCCAGCTGATGTGCCGCCGTCAATACTTTCTGGGTGACAGTGCTGACATACAGGAGCCTACGAGATCGCCAGTCGTCAGGCAGCTGTACTTGGACTCAATAAGGTCGTACTTCGGCGCTTGTGTGCTCGTCACGCAGTTCGATAGACTAGATACCTGTGCTGATGTCAACTTCGACGACGCGCTGCGGGGCTTCGCTGAAGGGGTCAAGTGTAGTGGGCCGCACTTCCAAAAGAGGGGGCGAGGCGGTGACTGACACTGAGGCAGACCGGCACCCCCTCTTTGTTGAGCCGGCTGCTAGGCCCTCACTTCGTAGTTTGGACGCGAGTAGGCTGGAATCCTCTGTAGAACTGTCTGGAGCTGGGGCGTACGTGCAAGACTGTGCCCAAGGCTTGCTGTCGATCTCATTTTGCCAACTTGACATTGTAGAGCTTGACCATGTCTCGCAGTTCTACCCCTTTAGGCTGAACTGTGTAGTTGAAGCGTGAAGTGCGACAGCGAATGCTTATCGTTTGGCTAAGCGGATATACTGTCCCTTCAGTTCACTGGATCTCCCCGGCACGCTCATTGCTCTTCCTGCAACTTCAAATCCGAGTTTCCAGTTTTTGCCTTGTTCGCTCTCCACTTATAGTACTCTCCCGCAGTCACGATGGGGTACTTCATCGGATTGTTTTCGCTGACGCAGGTTGGAACTGGCTCCAGCAGCTTACTCCGATCGAAGCCAAAGAAGAACGGTGCTGAGTATCTCTCCTTCCCGCTCTTGTTGATCACCCTGTGCACAGTTGACACAAAGTAGTCGTTCGTCTGCCGCATGAAGCAGTCTCCAATATTCACGACGAACGAGCCCGGCACAGGACTCGCCTTGATCCACTTGCCTGCCTTGTTGAGGACCTCCAGTCCACCCGAGTCATCCTGCGAAACAATCGTCCAACATTCAAAATCCGTGTGAGCGCCGAGCCCAGCTTGGTCGTCGGCAGAGGCGTCCTGCTCAGGATAGTGGAGGATACGCATCCCAGCCTCTGGTCGCGTTATATACTGGTCAAAAGACTCCTCAGGGAGATGAAGGGCAAGGGCGAATAGCCTAGTCATCCTGCGCGCAAGCCTTAGCAGCTGCGCGTAGTACGCTAGGAGGCCCTCCTTAAAGCCTGGAAGGTCGGATGGCCAGATGCTGATAGACTCCTCGTCCTTATCAACGGCTTCCGGGTCAACGGATGGCTCGTAGGACCAGTTGAAAGCCTCACTCAAGTCTACACGTGTCAAACTTTTGCGACTCAAAGGTTCGAGATAGGGGTATTTACCGTTCCGCTTCAGCGAATTGCGGTTGTAGGCTTTCATCGGGTGGTAGCCAACGAACTCGTTCGGCACCAGCCCCGTCCATACTTGCATCTTCTTCCCTTCGTCCGTGGCGAAGAATCGCTTTGCTTGCCGAAACGCCTCTTCTGCGTGGCTTGGGTCCAGCCCCTATCACACTTAGTATAATGGCTCTGCGTGCTCGATAGCAGCGCTTACATGACCAATAATGTAGAAGAAACCAATGCGATGGGCTGCTTCCCTCACTTTCTCAGCGACGGCGCGACGATCCTCCAGGAGATCGCTGTACATTCCCGACACATCAATGATCGGAATCTCATCTGCATCTACTGACTCGTTCGTTTCGAACTGGTACACCTGGCCATTCTGGAGCCGCAGTGTCCGCAGCGGTTGCGTTTCACTCTGCACTTGTGACATGGTGGCGTTCGAGATTGGTGAGAGGAACTTCGTCAGAACGTGGCAGCTTACCACTGCGTGCGGGGTTCAAGCAGCTTTATCAAACGAGCACTTCCCCACTGCTCGGCGATTGGATGCCGATCGCGCGGGTGCTCAAACCTGCTGCCGACATCACCTCTATCTTCTGCTACGGCTGCCGTTTATAATTTTGGATCAACCACTTAGACCATATCAGTTCTTCTCAGGAGTATAGTTATTGATGTTCTGGCTCTCCAAACACAGCATCGACGTCTTAGTCTCATTTTCTTACTTGCTAGGAAATTAGGAATGTCGACCATCTTATCTCTCTTATTCGTAGATGCAAACTACGAGTTGATCTCACAAGAATGACTCTTTTTTTTTTTTGGAAGTAGGCGTCACCAACTGCTTCATTATGTTGCCGTTTTTAAATTATATTTTTCTTGTCGAGCGCGTCAGAGTATCATGGCGCCAGAGTCAGCAGCGAGCACGCAAGAGCCCGCACAGATGCGGACCCGCCCTAGAACGCATCCGAAGTGTATTGCAGCTGTATTAATAATATAAACATCCCTTTCATCGGTATACTTCGTGCTGTGAAAGTTATTGAGCGTAACGTTAAACTAGTTCGTACATAAAAGTGACTTGGGAAAACAAGCTCTATATTCGGAATCTTAATTATTCCAAAATACCCTTGACTCGACAATATTGATTCCGGAATTGAAAGCAGTCAGTATATTTCAGTACTAATAGCCGCTCCCACTCGGGTTTTCTTTTTCTTTTTTTTGTAACTTCAGAGTACCTTCCCTTCTCCTTTCAGAGAATTCGACCAGAATTCACAGCGAACACCATAACATTTTTGACATTTGGAGCGAAATTTCTACAGCATCTCAATCGCTTCTTCAATGGGTCATACGTCCTTTGGGCTGCTGCAGAACATACTGGCAGGAGGAGCAACCAAATTTACAACCGACACTGAGGTCATATTTGCAAACAGACTGGAGATTAACCATTCCGTCACCGGTCAGTCACCCGTCCATGTCTCTATTCCACTTAGCAAACTGTAATCAGTATTATCAATGATGATTTGAAGATTAGATTCACCATAACGAGAGACAGCATCTCTCGATGCCTGGGCACATGATATCCAATTTCGCCGGACAACACTTGACAAAACTTGGTGGCTCCTGTATGATCTTCAGCGGTAAAATTTACTGCGCACGTGTGGCTACCCATGCCTGGACGGACACACAATTTTTGCAGGGTAAAAACTCATCCTTGTACTGATCCACTACGCCGTTGGGCCCTGTATTGCGTCATCCGATCGATAGAACGAAGAAGCGCAAATATTATTGGGCCTTGCAACACTATGCATACCATGCTATCTCACCTTACATGTCAAATTTCGATTGACTGGTTTACATGACTGTAGTCGAACACTGATAGTGTTTGCCTCCAGATAAGTATCAACTACTTGCGACTTTACTGCGATCAGGTACCTCTTCGTACTGACAAGTACCTCGTGTTGGAAAGGGCGTTGCTATTGGCTTACCACTGCACAGATTGTCTTTCGAGGCTCATGCGAGATGGCATGACTTACACTTCCGGGAACCCACAAAGCAAGCGACGACGCATGGCGTTCAAATGGACTCGGTTGACGCCTTGGCGGGCGAGCCACCAAGCGATCCAGAGCGCGGCGAGAATCCTAGTATGCAGCGCTAAGCCTTGGCTCCACCACAAAAAGCACCATACTCGCCCACCATGGGTTTAAATCTACGGAGGAAAAAAAGGCAAATGTCTGAGACGGACTAAAACCTGAATCATTAGCCACCTTCAGCCCCGGAATTCTACCAACAGAGAGGAAACGGGTGCCTTGCATCGGCCACTATGCCACGCAGCGGGATTGCGGGGAAGTGCGGGGATTATTGCCTTGGGGCCAAGCGAGGCACAGGAACAAACGACCTGCCGCACGGGGTAAAGACGACCGAAACGCGAACGAGCACGAACAGGGCAGACCTCATGGCGAATATTTTCCGCCCGGCACACGTCCTCTCGGGAGAAGGGTCGCCGGAATTGTCTTGGCCGCTTTCATTTTTAAATTCGGGGCATCAAGGGACTGCTGCGCCGGTCACTCTTACTGTCTCCATCCCTGCCCGCATCACCTGCAGTAGTCGACACCATGCGGAAAGCCCTGCTATCCCTGCTCTTCGCGGCCGGTGCTGCTGTCGTGAACGCAAAGTACATCGTGCCCGGCGGCCGCTGGCATGACACGGACGGGAACCTTATCAACGCGCACGCCGGTGGCGTCACCGTCGACCCGGAGAGCGGAAAGTTCTACTGGTTCGGCGAGTACAAGATCGAAGGGCAAGAGGAGGGTGGTGGCGTGACGGTGTACAGCTCCGAGGATCTGGCTACCTGGACGTACGAGGGCCTTGCACTGGGTAAGTCTTGTCCGAACATGAGAGTAAAAAGAGAAAAAAAAAACAGAATAATTAACATGCATCAGAGCCGATTGAGGGTCACCAGTACATCTCGCCTGAGCACATCATTCAGCGGCCCAAGGTGGCATACAGCGAGAGCCTGAACCAGTACCACGTGAGTAATTGAATGCGGCATTTCTGGAAACTTCCAGCTGATCAAGTACTCGCTGTAGATGTGGTGGCATGCGGACAACTCGTCGTACGGCTGGCTGCTCCAAGGCTTCGCGACGGCCGACACCATCGCCGGCCCGTACACCTTCGTCAACGCCACCGCTCCGCTTGGCAACTGGTCCCAGGATTTCGGCATGTTCACCGACTACAAGGATGGCAAGACCTACGCGCTCTACTCCAACGGCGACCGCAAGGAAGGCCGCGACGTGTACCTGACCAGCTACGACGACGGCATCACCGAACTTGACGAAGTCATCTACCGCTGGGACAAGTTCGATCTCGAGGCCCCCACAATCATCCAGACGGAAAAGAGCTACTACGCATTGATGAGCCACAAGACCGGTTACCGCCCGAACAGTGCGTCCTTTCTTTTTTTTTTTTTTTTGCTTTTGGGCCATCTTAGTCCCCATTTTCTCCTGGCTTGGTGCTGACAAAAATGGTAGATGTTGTGGCTTTCCGTGCGGATTCACTGGCCGGTCCTTGGTCACAGCCTTTCATTGTGGCGCCGTTGAACACTCGAACGTACAACTCTCAGTCGGGCTTTTCGTTGAGGATTGTCGGTGAGAAAAAAACCACCTACCTCTACCTTGGTGACCAGGTAAGTCGGGGTGCCTGAACGTTGTTTGCCCGGTTCCCTGACAACAGCGGTAGTGGGATATGAAATCTCTGTGGGAGAGCCGGTACATCTGGCTGCCCATCAATATCGATGACGAGAAGAAGACGCTCGATGTGGAATGGCACGACGTGTATGACTTGGATGTGTAAGTGTGCGCAGCGTGGATGGTGAGAGTCGTGGCTAATTCGGGCGCATAGTAAATCTGGAGAGTGGAGCGCTGTTGAAGGAACCGTTTACTACGGAGCCGATGCAACGACAAGCGGAAGCGCTTTCAAACAGGAGGCCGTAAGTACAGCGCAGGCAAACACACTGAAGGATAACGGTACTGAGCCCAAGTAGAACTTCGCCAGCCAGGGAACCATTGTGACTGGCATCTACGGCAATGACAGCACCGTGACATTCGAGGGCATCGAAGGAACAGGAAAGGACCAGTGGGTCTCGTTCTATTACCAGAGTGAGTTTTTATGTGCGGAAAACGAGAACTTGACTAACCACCATCCAAGACACTGATGACATGGGTTTCGGAGATCAGCGTAAGCACCCGCATTTGCCAGCGTTTTCCATAGTTTTACTGACTGCTCTTCAGCTGGTGGCTCTCCTGATCGCATCGGCGGAGCTTGGCAACTTCGCCGCATCAGCAGCGTCGTCGTCAACGGCGACACCCAGAGCGTGCACACTCTCTACCAGCGCGACACGCACAAGGGAATAATCCTCTCTACGCCGCTCCTCCTCCCGCTCAAGGAAGGACCGAACACCATTACCGTTGGCGGACTGAGCAACGGGGTCGACGTGAAGGGCGCAGATCTGGACAAGATCGTTGTGTATCCCCCGGAGGAATAGTAGCTTAATCGATGAAACCGACCGGTAGGGCGAGGAAATGAGCCCTGCGAAGAAAACCGACGGCATTGTACTCGTATTCGTTCTCGTCGTATTCCTCGTACGTGTAGGTGATTGGGAAACCCGAAGCTATGCAAGCCCTCTTGAACCGTTCCGAAACACCGTAAGGGCTGTAAAGTTCCAATCGTACCGCCGGAGCTACTTTGCGCATCGCGGTGAGAGCTTTGGTAAGGACTGATTCGTCGATGGCCCTATCCGGTACGTATGCCCAGAGATATCCGCCCACCAGCTCCAATGTAGGAGGGATAATTTCGCGCAGAACGTGTTCGTCGATCCAATCGGGATGCGGCAGAAGAGGACCAAGCCAAAGGTAACTATCGTCGATGCCGTGGCGGAGAGTAGTCATGTTGCCCAACTTCAGCGGATGGTCGTAAGTACCGAAGTCCCTCTCGATGACAAGCGTTTCCAGGCTCTCACCCGCGAGCTGTAAAGCAACGGCATACTCGCTGCAGTCAGTTGGGCAGCATTCAAATGGCGGCTGCTGTGATTTGGAATGAATGACCAAGGACTTTAGTTCCTGCGGGATGGCCAACAGATCCGCCAGCTCTCCAACCGAGAAATCCGAGTTCAACAGCTCTAGCTTCCGAAGTCTTGTCGATCGTTTTCGGCAGCGGACGTGGTCTCTGCATCCATCGCGGGCGTTGTAGATGGTGAGTGCTTCCAAGTTTGGATGTAGGAAGACAGCGTCGACGTTATGAAGCGGGTACCTTTGGCCATTGCCACTCACGAAGCACAGCCTGCCTTGGCGGTCACGCCGGTCAGTGGGTTGGCTTTGGCCAACGATGATTCTCGAAACTCACAGGTCTTCAGGGACGTAAGGATCTCCCCTCGAGCAGCGCGAGCGAAGATATTATTAAACTCATCACTGTCCAGGTGGCACGATTCGATGGACAAATTCACGAGATTATTGAGGGCAGGAAGCATGCAATAGTCCGACGGCTCGCCAGCGCGGTGGCTGTCACCGGCCCGCTTTATGAGGAAATTGCGAACCAGACGAGCTCGCCGCGGCTGAGATCTGATCGAAAGACGAAAAGCTTGGAGCTCAGTGGCGCTTCGTATGGCTACGAAGTCATAGAGATGCGGCTCGATGGCGCGGTAGATCGTCCAGCAGGTTTGCGCCAAGGACAGCAATTCCGACCGGGTGAGGCAGTGCAGCACCAGGTCAAATAATTCTACCGGTAGGCTTTCCATTCCTGCGTTAGAGAGGAGAAGGACGGCGCGGTTTCGAGATGGAAATGAGATGGGGCGTTTGGAAGCGGCGCCGGCCAGGAATTGTGCGGGGCTAAGTGCGCTAAAAATAGCTGACGTCAGGGGTGATCACCGCCCGGCATTTCAGAAATCCTTCCTATCCGCTTCTTCACCATCACCTCGCACACCGACCATACGGACCGGTTTCATGCTGTGGCAAACGCCGTCAGTTGACGGTCCCAGGAGAGGCACTGCCAGCTCGGTCTTCTCCTCGCCCGCCATGGCCCGCTCAGCGCGCCCGCCCCTCGATCCAATGGGGCGCCATTTCCCGGATTGGAGCACCCCTCTCTTCCTCAAACGCTCATGACAAGTGCTGGCTGCTGTTTCCAGGATGACGCCCGGAGGCAAGAGTCGGAAACGCCGCTGTTTGCCGGCAGTGCGGCAAATGAGGCCGCTTCGTGTCACAACACAGCCGTCCCCTTGAGCGAACCGGAGTTCCCATCGGTTGAATAATACCCACTCGTGTGATTGGGCGTGTGCGTGCGCTCAGGTCGACTCGTTTTCTGAGAACCGTTCCCCGCCTGGACGTCTGTTACGAGTCCGATGCGGCGAATAAACGCCGGGGGAATCGTGCAGCGCCTGCAAAAGGGGGAGAACAAAGCTCACGATATCGATTGATCGGCCCAGCCGGCTCTCATTTTGAATTCGACGCCTTGCTCTCAGTCATCCGAGGCCTAGCCTGCGGCGCGACTTTGGTGTGCGGTGGTAGTGCCCTTTCGCTCTGGGCTTCGACGCTGCCGATCGCGTATTGCCTCTTGAAACGATTGCCCCAGATGGCTATACGAACGGCATAAAGTAGCCTGCTGGCACGGGCCCTGGACACGGATCAGTCGCAGCTGCACCGACTTCTGGCGCCGCAGTCGAGACGCCTCCAAGACCGCGCATCGTGAGCACTGCCTGGCGCTCGATGTTTCGACTGACGTGCTCAGAGCCAGAACGCTTCCGCATCCCTGGAAAGCTGGGGCAGAAACGCCACCACGGCAGCATCGGCAGCTCGTACGTGCGTCGATCAATTACCCGCTTTTACGAACGCCAAGAGGGAACCGACCCCTTGTGGTAACGAGCGAGCCATTTGGGTTGTATCCCACAGCCCACGGGATGGCGCATAGTGTCCATCGCAATCTGCCGCTCGTAATGGCGGGGAGGGCGGTCACGAGTAGCCCGAGCCGAAGCCACTACTCCGCCAAGCCGCCCGGATATACCAGCGCACAAGCTTCAGCCCTACGCGAACCAAGCAATAAAGCCTATACGAAGCACGGGGCCGCTGTCTTGCCACGGGGGTATAGATATCGCGCCCTTTCTCCAAGCCAGTCCTTCTTTCTCTCCAGCACCGCGCCTCTCCCTTGCTCAACTACAGTCGCTCCTTCGACAACATCAAACAACCACACTCGTTCTAAAACACTTCACTTCAAACCGCCAAAATGCGTTACCAGATCCTCGCCACTGCCCTTGCGGCCCAGATCACCCTCTCGGCTGCCATGCCCTCGCCCGACAAGACCGTCTACGAGACCGAGATCGACACCATCACCTCCTGCGGTCCCGAGGTCACCAACTGCCCGGCTCGCAGCACCCAGCCCGGCTACGCCGCTCCCTCTGAGCCCGCTGCCGTGACCAGCGTTCCCGCCTACGCTCCCCCGTCTGAGCCCTCTGCTCCCGCCTCGGCCCCGTCTGGCCCTGCTTCGTCTGGCCCGGCTCCCTCTGCCCCGGCTTCGTCTGGCCCGGCCCCGTCCGCCCCGGCCCCGTCCGCCCCCGCTTCCAGCGGCGTTGACGGCAGCCACCCCGACGGCCCCAAGACCATCTACACCACCGATGTCCAGACCATCACCTCGTGCGGTCCTGAGGTCACCAACTGCCCGGCCCGCAGCACCCAGCCCCCGGCCACCGCCACCGGCTCTGTTCCCTCCGGCACCCCCGGCAAGACCTGCGAGGAGCAGGAGAACATGTGCCGCGGCAAGCCCAACGCCAACATGGCCACTTGCTCTGCTGAGCGTGCTGCCTGCGACGGCTACATCCCCGGCCAGCCCTCGGGCACCACCTCTGCCCCCGCTCCCTCTGGCACCTCCTCGGGCGGCCAGACCTGCGAGGAGCAGGAGAACATGTGCCGTGGCAAGCCCAACGCCAACATGGCCACTTGCTCTGCTGAGCGTGCTGCTTGCGATGGCTACATCCCCGGCCAGCCCTCCGGCGGCAGCCCCCCGAGCAACGCCACCGCCTCGCTCAGCAACCCGACCCCCACCCCGGCTCAGCCTACCCCCGCCCAGTGGACCGGTGCCGCTTCGGCTTCGTTCGTCTCCTTCGGCGTCATGGCTCTCGGTGCCGCCGCTGCTGCTTTCGTCATGTAAATTTGATCTTCTTCAGTTGAGTTGAGTGAGAGGGGGAGGTGGGTGGATGCGCATTGATGGAGGGGGTAGAGCTTAGATATCCAATGCATTGACCTGGCAATAAACTTTTGATGCAGTTTTTTGTATTATAGAAAAACAACTTTTCCCAAGTGATCGCGCCTGTCTCTTTCGGAGCTTGATCAGATGGCTTTGGGAATGATTCGATTCGCTGTATATATATATATTTGAATGCAAGAGAAGATGAATATACAATCATGCAATTTAAGCATAAGAACAATCTAGAAGTCTATTCACAAGTCTATGTGCCTCTATGGTATCATGAAATGTCTTTCGTAACTGGAGCCTCTTCCAAACGCCTCAAAGGAATACTATAAAGGAGAGATGAGGATAAACGAGGGGCAGTGCGAATTTTCCAACGCTTCCACGCTCCAGGAGAAGGGATTCCCCTTGGGCGTGGTGAAGACAGACGGTGTTCGCAGCCGATGTCCGTGCATCAAGTGCAGGGGGCGAGGTGAACTTTGAGCCGCCGATCGGCTGGAACGTTTGGACCAGGTTACAGGGATAAGTAGTAACATGCTCGTTGTCTGCGCAAATTATTTGGTTTTCCACGCTGCGGCGCAAAACCCATCAGTGAACCATCTACACAAGATTGTCCGGGAACCGTGCTTACAAGCAATCAGCGCTTTGCTCTTGTTGTTCAGGGTGCGGCCGAGATAGGTGAGTTCAGGGTTCTTGTACGGGAGGACCGATGATTGACTGGACGATTAATGATCAGCTGCATGGATTTCGCAAAAGCCCGCTGATGCGGCTCTTTCTTCCCCCCTTCTCCGATAAAAAGAGATCAACTCACGTCTTTGGATGGATGAGGGTCGGTGGCTTCAGCGTCTTCAGCTTGCAGCGTTCCGCCTTGATCATCCGTGCATTGGCGAGGAGCCAGAGCCCCAGTGATTCCTCGAGGACGACCTTAACGACCATTTTTGTTTTTTTTTCCTTCTCGCTGGAGAGTGAATGCACCGCACGACTTGCAAAACACACAGTCTGGGAAGCGTACTTATATAGCGCCCATTCCAAATCCAAAGGGGTTGGGGAGCATGGCATCAAGATTGCGTGCCCAACCGAGGAATGTCCGACCGGTCGCAGAGCTATTTTCTGTTCCGGCTCACCCCATCATCATGGCGCGTCGCCGCGACGCTTGATAGATTGCGAAAAGGCGGCTTCAAACTGTTGCAGATTCTGTGGGTTTTGAAGGGCTGGGTCAGTCCATCCGATAGGGCCGATAGGGAGATGTCAGTCGAGTCTCATGTCCTGGTATCCACTTCTTGCAAAAAGTTGATACAAGTTGATGGTCTGGGTGTAACCACGCCTCTGATAAGGCGGATGCTTCCGAAGTCGGCAGCGTCCGATGGTGACAGCGAAGAGCCTCAGTGAGTCATCATAATCGAACAATATCGAAGAGAATCTACACTACGCAGATGGTATTTTACAGATATACGTTGAGAAAAGCGACGGTTTCGCTGAGAAATGATATTTGAACTATGTGGTTAAGATGCTTCAGTATGGAATGGGAGTGTTCCTGGATCAACGCGCCCCGCTGGGTAAGATGCAGCTCGACCTTACGGCATGAACGGCATCTCCTAAACCCATCAACATTCCAACACCCAAGTATAAAACCTCAGTGTAACACGGCAGACCTTGGGGTCTTGATGATACGTATTTGCCATCTCTTGAAGTTTATAACGAAAAAGGTCTTCTGTCTTCTTCACAACTCCGAAGCGTCTGAAAGTTATTCTGGACCTCGAAAACAATTGATCCGATTTTCGGCCATTGTTCAGAAAAGAGTGGGACCAGGCTACCTTGCTGATTAAGTGAGCTCGCCTTCTATCGCACAGGCAAGAACATAATGTCAAGGGACATGAGAGAACAGTTCTTAATTTTGATTCTAGATAGCACTTGTTGCAAGAGAAAATCACTCTAGGCTTTAGTGGAAACTGTCATCACCTCTATCATTTACGCTACCCTTCTAGTCCTAAGCCACCGTGCTTGCATTGCTGACCGACACTTCACCGATAGCGGACGCCATGACCCTTGCGCATCATTGATCTACCCGTGCCACTGTCCATTGCCCTGCCAACTGGGCCACCGCGCTAGTAAATTAAGCTTTATCTATGTTGACTTTCTGTCCACTTAAAATTTATTGTACAGTATGTATGCTTACAGCGAAATGACTACTTGGAATAATTTAAATACTCCACCAATTGCTTGAAATGCCCAAACATGTACAATGTTCTTTTCTTACGGCGGGTTATTGAGCTCACTGAAAGCTTGAAACATGATCATTTAATCAAGCTCAAGCTAGGTACCGTATCATTTTATAAAATGATGCGGTACCTAGAATTAAGCGAGGGAGATCTGAATTCTCTCAAGTGTAGACCGTATCACTATCTATGTTTATTCTATTCAGCCATCAGAGCTGACGAGGAACGCGAATATCTTATAGGTAAATACTTGTAGTATCCTGTTCATTCATGGATCTGATTTTAAAAAATCTAGATACCAATCTACTAGGTATTGCAGAGAGGTTAAGGTGAGCGCTGATGTGGCTGCGTCACAGGCAAGGAGGTAAACTCCATCGCCCCCACCAAGGCCTATGCTGTGCTATTAGACAGCAGTCTTGCTCGTTGCATCAGGATAAGAGAAGGATCACTGCAGAGGGTGAACGAGTGTTCAATTATCAAATCATCCAAACTTCCTGCGCACAAGGTTTAAGGTTTTTCTGGTAGGTAGGCGCTGTCGATGCTGGAAGCAAGGGAAATTTGTAGGCACGCGCAGCACAGACAACAGGATCGGACAGCAAATTAATTTGCTACCGGCTCTTCCGGCTTTTTCAGCTCTTTCAGCTCTTTCAGCTCTTTCAGCTCTTTCAGCTCTTCCAGCTCGTCCAGCTCATCTAGATCCTCTAGCGCTGGTGGCGCTGGCGGCAACTCGAGTTGCTATCCGCCACATGCGTCTGACCTAGCCCTACTATCTCTGTTACCAAGTAAGGAAATTTGCCGATGAAGTCACTAGAGATCCTGGTAATCCCGGAAGAAGATATAGTGTAGGCTAGCGGTTTTGCGATCTAAACAATGCATATAACATTGTCGGGATACTATTTCGGGATAGCTTCATCCCGTTCAACCTCACTCCGCTTGACACCGCACCTTATACTTTAAGAAAATGAACCATGAGTCACTACAGTTGGAACAAAAACCCTCTGATTTAGAGTCAATGCAGATCGTGTGGTCGCGCCGAGGCAAAAGGTCGTGTTGGCGGAGGAAGGCACAACCATATTTTTGCCATCCTATTTGGCGGCTTTGTGGTAATCATAGTCTAGTGACTGGGGCTCTATTTTATATTTCCGAGTCACTGATTATCTGTAGATCTGATAGAGAGTGTGCGATAACGTCATTTCTTAGCTTAAAGAAAGAACAAAATCAAGCATAAAACAGCAACAGAAATGGAAATGAGATATTTATCGGTTCCTCATTAGCAAAGATGTGCCGAGCCGTGTTCATCACTTTTAACCCAGAACCTTCTCTTCTGCCCCTTTCCCTCAGAGATCCACTGTTTTATCTCTTGGTCATTGGTCACTGTGGCTGTCTTCAGTAACACCTCCGTCTCTGGTCCTCTTAGTTGAGCAATTACTTGCCACGCATTGTTCAGAAGAGAAGAGCTTGTCGTATTGCCAAAGTAAACTGTGACGATGAGGACAAGACAAAGATGTATGAAAATGTTCCCTACGACAATAAGAAACCCCAAGAAATGCTTCGGTTTCAGGCATGCAACATGAGAGACCGTCCTAGCTTCTGAAATGGTGTCAAATGTTGGTAACCAATCGTAGTACGCCATGCGCAATACGGATGTCATTAGCGCTTGCCAGGCGAGTGCCGGATTGTCCGTTTCCACAAGCACATCTCGGAAGATGGCATTGAGGACTGGATTAAGTATCTGCATAGCAACGCTATTTCGGTAGCCCGTAGTGCTGGTCATGACATTATACGATGTGCAATTCTCACAAGGTGCGTAGATTTCATAGTGATCAACGTCGGCAGGATTACTCTTGAATGGCCACCAGATCAAGCTGTTGAGGAAGTCGTAAGTCTCATTTGTTGAGTAATGGTGGTTTTGAAAAAGACTTGAGGCCTTAAGTGGTGCTGAAATGCTTTCAAGGTGAGGCGCCCAATCAGTTGTATTCAAGAACCATTGTGTTCTCCCCAAGTGGACTGCATATTTGTCAGCTTTCGATCTTCCTGCTGAAAAGCTGGCCATGTACCATCTTCAAAAGAGGCATTGTACATAGGCGACCATTGTTGAATGGCTGATCGCAAATATTCACGTACAACATCGATATCCAAATTGAAAATCCCCCTTTTCGCCGAGGTATGGGATCCAGAGCCAAGCTGTGCTCTCACTGTAGTTGTATCGAATGTTTTCCTTGCAGAACTCCAGCCTATAGATGGCTCGGAATAGTTGGAGGACCGATGAGCAGAGATTGGGAACTCCTGTAGATGTTTGAGTCTGGATGTGCCAGGTCCATTATCGTACCTTGGAACCATTAGCATAAATACATCACACGAATTCAGGTTTGGGGTTGGATACCATGCGTCGTAGCAGAGCGTAACGCCGAGCTCGCTGTTTGCATAAGGAAGATCACGGGCTCCATTTGGCTGAATATAAAGCCAAGGTCCCCTTTCCTCTTGTGTAAAATTGTTGACGATAAGCTGCCACGCTCGATTGTCGAGATTGTCCGTGTCTCCTTGTGACCGTAACATCAGGAAAGTGCGCCCCATCTCGACCGGCCACTGCTCAATACTATTCTCATCGGGTGCTAGCCACCCCCTTCGAGTCTCCGAACCAGATGAGTTCCGAGATGCTTTCTCGTTTACGCGCTGCTTCATCGAGCTGTTAGAGGTGTGATCCAAGCTGTTGATGAGGCCACCGCTGGTGTAACTCAGTGAGCAAGTTTTGAACATTGGATCACTTAGCACATCTAAATCGTCGATAACGCATTGGAAGTAGACTCCTGGGTCGGTTTCGTTATATCGAAGAATTTGCCTGAGCTCTTCCGTGAGCTGTGATGGTCGGGCGAATCCTTTGAAGTATCCCCGGCTGCTGGCGTCATTCAGGACATTTCCTTCATGAAAGGTCCAGTCTGTAATGATAGGTCGAATGCAGGCCACACGGGCATCAAATAGAGAGGCAGTTCCCTCAAAGCGGTTGATCATGGAACGGTCCAGTTCGGAACCAACCGGAAGAAAGGCGCGAACAGTGGGTCCGGTGTCAATTACTGCATCGAGCTGGGTTTCGGGAGCTTCGTTCCACTCGGCAAAGGCCTGAAAAGACTGAGGAGATGAGAACCAGACGTTTTTGCCCTTTGAGACAGTTGATTCGAAGCGTTCGATGAAATTTTGCATCCCCATCCCGATGTGTATGCCATGCGATTGGGGGGAATCTTGCACAGTGCCAGAACGAACATCCCAGAGTAGCAGTGTTGAAGAGAATTGGGACAGCAAGGCGCATATAGCGAGTAGTACGATCGTGGCGAAAGGGTAGTTGCCGTTAGGTCCGGTTGCGTTCCTCCAAAATACGGGGAGAGTCGAAAGTGGGCCGGTATTTACGTATCGACAAATAGACAGCGCTGGTGCTTCACCTAAAACGGCACCGCCGCTAGCCTCGAGAGACACGCCAGCAAGCATAGCTACTGCTGTGCTTGCTTGGATTCCAACCGCAAGTCGGATGGCCAAAGTGGCCAGGGTGACTACCTGGCTTACCCAGCCGTTGATCATGATGTAGCGCCAATGGATATTGCTTTCATTTCCAAACCAGAGAAACGAAAGGGCCGACAGAGACACAAATAGCAGCGCAAGAGCCACAGTATTCGTTATTAATAGGTAATGTCCGAGACGTCTGGTGAGTTGGAAGCCGAGTTTCCCGACTTTGAAGTGATGAGTGTTGCGTGAACCCTCTATCTCTTCAACGCCGATTTTTGAAGGCTGAGGGTTCTGGTCGTTTTCTGCTGCCCTGCGACCGGGAGGATCGTCCGACTGAGAGGGAGAAAGCTCAAGTAGATGATAGGTTGATTCGGATACCGTTCCTTTGGCGTATATCTTCGTAGACATGATTTGAAGACGAGTGACTGAGGACTGCAGCGGTTGAGAAGGGGGAGGGTGATGCTGGTCCGAGATCATGGGTCAGCTCGTATGCATACATCTGTCGTACAAAGTGTCAGCTCATGCACGTTGGCGCAAGCCATTCAGCACTTGTGCCACTACTTAGCCATACGTAGTGCATGCGATGGATAGTTTGTGACTCGTGGGCGGGAAAACCAATATCGATACAGTGGTCCAGCCGTCCAATTTTGCAGGTGACTAGCTGATTCGGAATGTTTCCAGAACACAGACCCAAGTTATCTTGTCTTATACAAGTATATATTTTTCTATGAGATGATAGGCGCCTGCAGCTATTTTTGTAGCTGAGCCGCCGAACAACCATACATCGGAATGACCCAGAGATGATATCTGCGCCTACGTGATATCAGACAACTACAAAATCTTTACAGCACCACCATTAGCCGCAACTACCGAGCCCGTAATCCATCCAGCCCTCTCGCTGACCAAGAGTCCTACGAGGTCGGCAGCATCTTCTGGTTTCCCCAATCTTGCCAAAGAGGTGTTCCCGACGATACGGTCCACAGCAGCCTTTGTCATTTCAGGTGACAGGCCTTTGCAGAACGCGTCAGTCTCAGTAGCGCCCACCAGGAGCGAATTGACCGTAGTGCCAGCCATGGATGGATGCTTGCCAAAGATGTCGGCCCAGGTGCGCGTCAGGGACTCCATGGCCGCTTTGGTTGCAGCAAACAGGCCGAAGGAGCTGCACGATCGCGATTAGCTATCGGTAGGACAACATAATGCACATGCGGCTCACTTGTGCGGCAAAGGACTCCTGGTGAGCTCGGCCGAAATATTGACGATGCGCGAGTTCGGTTGAAAGACGCCCTCTCTGAAGAGCACATCCACGGACATGACCAGAGTTTGGATGTTGCCAAACAAGCTCCGCTGCACGTAGTCTGGATCGAGCTCTCCGATCGGCCGGAATTCGTCATAAGCCGCGTTGTTGACGAGGATGTCTAGCTTTCCTCCGAAGTCGCGTTTCACAGCGTCAAGCATCAAGGCTGGCACATCGGGTGACAGAAGGTTGGCGGGAAGGCCGAGAATCTTTCGGGCGGGCTGGAGACTGGCATTTTTGTAGGCATCTGTGACTATACTGTTGATGTTCTCAATGTGGTGCAGGGAATCTTTTGACGAGCATGTTCCAATGATTGACGCTCCTCGGCTGGCCAGGTGGAGGGCGATTGCACGTCCTATTCCCCTGGAGGCACCACTGATGGTGTGCGATCAGACGGTCAGCTTATACCATGGTGCGGAGGTATGTATTTCTTTGAGTGCATACGTTACGATTGCATTCTTTCCGGCGAGGTCTTGCTGGCCGATCTGTAGACTAGTCATGTTTGAGGAAGACGTTTCTTGAATGCAGAAGTAAAGGCCTACGGACCAAGGGTTTACCCTGTAGACATGGGGCTCTTAAAGCTTGATAGATTGGAATAATGGTGATGCAATCTGACATTAGCTAAGCATTCGCCATGGAAGTCTCGGGCTGCCGAAGGTCCGGAACCTCCGAAGGCGCCAATCACAACCCTTGTTTCATCGGTCAAAGACTACCGTCGGCCCCGACATTGCGACCTCCGAGGTGTGTCTAGACACAAGGGTGACAGTTCAAGAGCTATTCGTTGGTGCCCGCTTTTCAACACGTAAGTACGCGCGGAGATAGGGACATAGAACACCGCTCACCAATACCACCACTGCCCTAGTCATACATAGCACATGGCTCGATGTTGAATTGCTCACATTATCTTGTTCATTTTCAAACTTGGGTGAAGAGACAAATCGACGCCGTCTCTGACGCTGATCTGCCACCAAAGGTATGTCTACATGTATTCTACCTACGATTTCCAGAAAATAGTGCCTTCCATTAGCCTTCTCGCAGTGCGGAATACAGTGGCAGCCAACAAGCTTCCATCTTTATCAAAGTCTGCTGCAACAAGAATCCTACCGCTGTTATGCCCAACCGTGACGCCGTCTGCATCCACAGGCTTTGATGACGTATTTAGCTGGACAGTGGAGCCCTGCAAGCGCGAAGCAGCAGCAAGTGCCATTGCCACTGTAATAGGAACAGCTCCGTGAGGCTGACCAACTGATATGGCCCTGACCACAAGATCGCACTGACCTTCGTCGAGAGATTGCCCCGAAAGGATCTTGTGCGAATGCGAGGCAGAGACCATGGCAATCTTGGGGATTGATCCTGGCGCAGCTTCCTCGCTGGTCGAAATGCCCATTGCAACGGCAGCCTTTCTGCGTACGGAATCAAGGCGCCCGAGAAGTGTCGGGTGAGCCTCGATGTCATGCGACAAGATGCCTCCGGAGACGCCCAAGTCCGAGGCCTGGACGAAAACGCACGGATTGCCTACGTCGATGCAGGTCGCGGTGATGCCGTCAAATTTATCTGTCACATTTCCGGTTGGTAGTAGCTTGCCCGTTTTCGATCCACTAGATTATTGCCATAAGTATATTGAGGATTGTCAGGGGCGGCGTCAGACCTACGATGGATTCAGGAACGCTAGCTGGATCTTAGCGCCAGTACCTGCAACTCCGTCGATTGCCAGATCTCCATCCGCTTCGGCCTCTGACCCGTTGACAGGAAATTTTGCATGGATAATTTTGCCCGTGTTAGTGTTGTGAATCCGGACAGTAGCGTTGCCATCTGCTGCGCGAAACAAGCCGCTGTCCACCGCGAAGGGCCCGACAGCGCTCGTCATGTTCCCGCAGTTGCTCGAGAAGTCGACCTCCGGATTCTTGACCCCGATGGCAACGAACGTGTAGTCAACGTCCGCATCCTCGCGGCTTGACGGCCCAACCACGCAAACTTTGGAAAGACTGGATAACCCCCCGCCCATGCCATCGAGCTGCCTTCCATTTGGATCTGGCGAACCGATGACGCCTCGGAAAATATTGTCCCATCTTGTCCGGTCAGCTGGAAGATCGCCTTGGCGGAAGAATACCGCCCGTGATGTGCCGCCTCGGTAGTACGCCGCCGGCAGCCGATTTTGTTGTTTGAGAAGAGGAGCCGAATGATGGAAACGCCTGATGGCGACACGAGGGGCACCAACCATGTTGGCGGCCATTCGAGTTGCTGCCATGGTTAGATGGTTGATTGATGGTAGTGTAAGGCTCTCGTCTTGATGCTGTGGTGATTTAAATGTAGTAGATCTCCGCGAACCTCGGATGTAGCCGATGGTCCAGTTGATTCGCCGGTCTTCCGAAAATCGAAAATTTTTGAGTACTTCGACGAAAACATACTGTAAAACATTCAAATAGCAGTTGATGCTAATGGATAGATTCTTCGATGGTAAACACTCTCTACATGGTGAGTTTGCTAACGCCCACATGGTCCCTTCTGGAATAAGAAGAAGAAGAAGTGCTACTGAGAACTATGATTTCCCACTAGTGTAGTAGGACGGGACGATGTAGCATCAAATATAGATTTTCCCTGGGGTGACCACCGTCATCTGGCGCCAAACTTCATACCCTACCCATTTTCTGATGTTCTTCAAGACAGCCTCGTTGTCGATCTTTCGGAATGGTTCTGGTACATATCTCGTGGCTTCTGTGCGGTTTGATCCAGTATGAGGCCAATCTGAACCCCAAATGAGCTGCTGCGGAACTTCTTGGGCGAAGACTTTGACAAGTGGCTCCAAATCATCATAGCCGCCCGTGGTTAGCTTCGACGAACGATACAGCGCCGAAATCTTGACAAAGACTTTTCCACTCTTGGCTAAGTCGAGAAGGGATGCAAAGCCTGGCTGGGCAGTCACGTCTGTGCTCCCATTCGCAAGCTTTGTGAGGCCTCCCATGCCGCCCTGGTGATCTGCAATAACCGGGATGGGGAGATCACGGACAAGATCATGGATATCTAGAGGGCTCGAGTCAGCGATGTGCAGCGCTGATCCGCTGGGGGTGCCTTACAGTCCCAGCTGTCCCCGGAGATATACAGCTGGCATTTCCAGTTGTTGAAACCCTTGACCCTCTCCACGGCGGCAGTGATGTTTTTGCGCAGCTCCTCAGCAGTCTCTGTGGAATTGGCTGCCTGGGTATTGATGCGAATTCCTCTCACGCCAAGCGCGTTCATCTCGTGGAGCTCTTCATCCGTCACGTTGTCGGGGTCGATGACGGTAATGGCGCGAAGGAGGTTGCTCTGCTGAGTAAGAGAATGGTTTCGGAGAAGATCCAGAATCAAGGAATTGTCCGACCCGTAAGGTGATGGCTGGACAAGGACGATGTTTCCGGGCAAATCAGCCACGCTGAGGTTGGAGTTGAAGTCCAACAGCTCGTCGTATAGGGCTGAAACCGGAGTATATTGTCGCTCGGGTGAGTAAGGATACCGTGGGTCAAACACATGAACATGAGTTTCCCAAGACCCCTGAGGTAGGTGCCAGGCAACATCGCTGCTCGCATTTGGGGGAGCCAAGCTGCACGAGTCAGCTCTGTCCTGGAAGGCTTCTTGAGTACGCACCTATTGGGCCCCAGACGTACGCCATTACTGGCCGGAAAGCCGTTGGAAAGAGCCATTGAGGGAGCCAGCGTCACCAGATTTTTCGCGGTATCGGAGTCGTGGCCTTTGCGACTCTCTGGCATAGATACTGGCCCGTTCATACTTGGCGTTTCTCCACCCGAGGACAACCCCGCACGATATGCCAAGACTGATTCCGGAGACTGTGACTTATTGTGGATATGCGTATTACTTAAGTATGATTTGATTCGGGGACATCCGATAACGGTGGTTCGAGCGGAGATGGCCCGACGCACCCGTATTCCTAACTGCGGATGCATTCGTAGAGACATTATGAGAGCTTCGGCAGGAGCTCAACTGGGCGTGATCTCTTTATATCTCTGAATTGTTTTCTATGCAGACCCACTATTTGAAATTACGTGTCACTGTTGAAAATACTCTAAAGAGAGGCCGGTAGCAATTTATTTGCTGAATTCAGGCAAAGTTGAATATTCTAAGAAGGATATTACTCAACATGATAGCACTCCTGTTTTTCCCTTCTACTGTCATCATGCCACCTTTGCACCAAAATGTCGCCGTGTAAAGAAAATTTCTTCACTGTCAACAGTGAGGTTGAAGCTTAATTCCTGCCGTGCTCGACATCCTCAATCTTCTCAACCTCATACTTCGCATGTTCCTCGATCTTCTCCGCATGATCTCTGGGAAGCAGTTAGCCGGGAGAGAGTTTCCACTCATAGCCGAGATCGTACCTTGATGTTGAAGAAAGAGCTTTATCTGTGACCGTAGTATTTGTGCGCGCATACTTCCTCATCATGTACCAGGGGTGCTGGAAGAGGTCGTCGATGTTTTCCAAAGCTCGGCCAGCAGTTTCCGGAACCGAGATGAATACGTAGATGATGGCAATAAAGCACCAGGCGGCAAAGAAGACAAAAGCGCCCCACTGATTCATAGAGTTGAGGAGAGATGGGGTTGCCTTGGTGATACCGAAGTAGAAGAGCCAATGGAAACATTGCGAAAGTGAGCCACCAAAGGAGCGAAGCCTGTTGGGCCAGAGCTCCGCGCCAAACAGGTATGGGAGGGTATAGAGGCCTACGATTGTATAAGTTTTTGATATTTGAGAGCGAAATGGCATCAAACAGGGGCTTCTTACCTACGGCCCACCCAAAGGCGTGAATGTAGATGACGCCAATGGCGGCATCCGAAGCACCTTTCGGGACACTGTCTTCATCTCTGACGAAGAAGCTCAAATAGCCGGCGAGGTAGCTGTGGCAAAGCATCTGTACAGTGATGCCAATGAACAGCGACTTCCGTCGGCCAACAACGTCGACGAATAACAATGAGGCAGCTACACAACAAACCAGTTTGGCGAGAGCGTAGAGGCCAGAAGCGTAGACCTTGACATCAGTTGACTCCACGCCAACGATGCCAAATATCTCTGGCAGGTAATTCGTGACTGAGTTCGCGCCAGAGAACTGCGCAAGGATGTAGGCCACAACAACCAGCTGGACGCGCCTCAGGTTGGCCCGGACGCAGAAAGTCTCTCGAAGAATCGAGATGTACCCAAGGCCACCAAACTCTTCTTTCTCCCGGGCGACTTGGTCGCGCATCTGGTCCCATTCTGCAACGAGGTAGGCGTGATCTTGGCCCAGTCCCCTGATGGTGACAAGTGTTGAGAAGGCCTCCTCATGCCTACCCCTGAGACACAGCCATCGTGGCGACTCGTGCAGGAAGAAAGACATGGTGATTCCGATGGCCGGCACGAAGCACTGCACAAAAAATGGAATCTGGTACTGCAGGTTCGTATCGCGCGATACGTGGCGGTCGCAGCCGAAGACGGTGAAGATGCCGACCATCTGCGAGGACAGCATGCACACGTTGAACCAAAGCGTCATAAGCCCCCTCGTGGCGGCTGGCGCGATTTCGACAATGGCCATCGGACCAACCACCGTACATGCTCCGATACCTGCGCCAGCCACCAATCGTCCAATGTAGAGTGCGGGTAGGCTGCCGCTTGAGAAGGTTTCGATGATGTTGCCGATCGCATACACAGCCATGTAAAGCCGGTAGGACCAGATGCGGCCGAGGCGGTCATTCAACAGAAACGACAGCAGCGCGCCGATGCCTGCTGTGATGTTGACGAAGGATACAATGTTGGATATTTGGTCGGGGTTGCTTGATGGAGTTATACCGAACTCTCGCTGAAACGCTTTGAGTTGAGTGATGGACGCAGTAGTGCCCTCGTCCCACCCTGCAGTCTAACGTGAGACACGAAAGCCATCAGCCATCTTTGAGGAACGCGCTCACCTTTTGGCATGCCGCCAAGGGCATACATGATAACGGTTAATATCAGATGCCTGTTGAAGAGGCCGTTCGGAGAGGCTGTGATGCTGGCCACATACTTTCCCAGAGGGGATCGTGCAAACACGGAAGACATGACGAAACCGGAGTGACCTTGAATGACTTGAGAGGATTTCCGGTTGAGTGATACCAGTAGTAGGGGGCACTATTTATTACTTCTTGAGCTCGTGGGAATGCTTGAGAACATGTCCACGGATATGCAGTGGAAACGTAGCGATCATGATTGGTCCGTTGATGTCCGTGTTCAAAGCTTGACACTTCGCGGATGTAACCGACGAGTGCAGAGATGGCCTGATCGTGGGATGGGAATGATCTGGGGAAGTGCGGGGTTGGAGTCACACTTTGTGGGAAACACTTGCCGCTAGCTTTGGCGTCTCCGTGAGTTATGGAAATTGCCGATGGATTTTGCCGCGTCTTGCCACAAGCTCAATCACCTCATTACTAGAAGAGCAGAGATCAGAAGTGAAGTTCAAGTAGAAGTGAATATTGAGCTCTTCTCACCAAGAATGTGCTCAATAGAGTTTGAAATGAGCATTTATATAGATTGGATCACCAAAGGAACTTATACTTAGGTCTCACTAAGCGCGTACTATGTTTCTAATGTCAAGCTTGACTCACGGCGTAAAGTTTATAGAGCGAATTCGAAGAATGAATGGCTAAGGAAATCAAGCTGTATTACTGTTTTGCCAGACTGTCTGTTCACTTGCGCTAATCAACTTGACCCGGCAGTTTGTGCCATCAAGTTCAGCGCGCTACCTGCTTTGAAGTACATGATCTGCTCCTTATTGAAGGTGTGTTCCAACTGTGTCTCCCACGAACTGCCATCCTTGCGCTTTACCAACATGGTCACCGGCTGGCCGGGCTGAAATGCATCCAAGCCGACCAAGCTGATACGATCTTCAGCTTGGATCTTGCCATAGTCTGCATCGCTCTTGAAAGTCAAAGGGAGCATGCCTTGCTTCTTCAAGTTCGACTCATGTATGCGTGCGAATGACTTCGCGATGATGGCTACCCCGTTCAAGAAGCGTGGCTGCAGAGCGGCATGCTCCCTGGAAGACCCTTCGCCGTAGTTGTGGTCTGCAATTACCACCCATTGCTGGCCACGTTTCTTGTAGTCTCTTGCTGTATCAGGAACGCCGGAGATTTCACCAGTGAAGACGTTCTCGACCTGATTGACTTTCTTGTTTGCTGCGTTGACGGCACCGATGAGAGTATTGTTGGAAATATTCTCCAGGTGTCCACGGTACCGAAACCAAGGACCGGCGGGTGTGATGTGGTCGGTCGTGCATTTGCCTTCAACCTTTATGAGAATGGGCAAGTCTATGAAGTCTTTGCCGTCCCAAGGCTTGAATGGCTCCAGACGCTGGATACGATCTGAGCTTGGTGAGATGTCTACTTCAACTTCCGAGCGCTCCGTCGGAGGAGCTGCGTAGACGTAATCTGCTTGATTGTAACCGTGGGAAGGGAGAGATCCTGGAGGAGGAGGATTGAATTTGAATGTGCCAGTTGGTGTCTCAATCTCATCAGTAGCTGGATCAAAATCAAGTCGACCGGAGAACGTTTTGGCAATAACTGTCTCGGGAGATGCCAGGAAAATGCTCGTGGCCGGGTTGCTGTCTAGACGACCTGTGAAGTTTCGGTTGTAAGATGTGACGATGGAGTTCTTGACGCCCTTTTTTATCATTAGCTTCAAAAATGAAAGCAGGGGACAGGGTAATTACCTTTTCCATATCTTGACGATTCCAGGAGCCACAGCATGGCCCGCAAGCATTTGCAAGGAGCGTAGCTCCAGCTTGGTCAAATACAGAAAGGACTCCTGAATCCTCTAGTGTCGCCCTGGTCTGTTCACTTCCAGGAGACAGGTAGAGTGGCGCTCGAGGCTTGAGGTCAGCATCGATGGCTTGCTTCGCCAGTGCAGCGGCTCTGCTGAGGTCCTCGAATGAAGAATTGGTACATGATCCGATCAATCCAGCACTCACATTCTCGGGCCATGAGTTCTTGCTGACTTCTTCTTTGAAAACTGAGGTTGGTGTGGCAAGATCCGGAGTGGAAGGTCCGTTTATGAACGGCTCGAGCTTCGAAAGATCTATGTTGATGACTCGATCGTATTCTGCGCCCGAGTCGGCCGAAAAATTGTGCCTCCAGCGCGAGGCCTCCTCCCGTAGATACGACCGGTTTGTAGCATCGAGATATGCTGCCGTGGCCTCGGTGTACGGGAAAATTGAGGTCGTGGCTCCGGTTTCAGCTCCCATGTTGCAGATGGTAGCCATTCCCGTGGAAGAGAGGGAACTAACTCCCTCACCAAAATACTCGATCACGGAGCCTGTTGCTCCTTTGACTGTAAGCTCTCCAGCGAGTTTGAGGATAACATCTGCCACAGTCAGCTTACCGCCATATTCTTTGATATGTTGTGTTACCTTTTGGAGAAGCCCAGCCAGATAACTTTCCCGTCAGGTTGACTCCAATGACCTTCGGGGTTTTCAACTCCCACGCAAGACCAGCCATGACATCAACTGCATCTGCACCTCCTACGCCGATGGCCGCCATGCCAAGTCCTCCCGCATTTGGTGTATGTGAGTCTGTACCAATCATAAGGCCACCAGGGTAGGCGTAATTTTCCAACACGATCTGGTGGATAATGCCTGCGCCCGGCTTCCAGAACCCTGCCCCATACTTCCGACACACCTGCTGAAGGAACTTGTACACCTCCAAGTTGGTAGAATTTGCCGAAGCAAGGTCTGCTTCGCTGCCCTCTTTAGCAACAACGAGGTGATCACAATGGACAGTTGTGGGGACAGCCACTGTATCCAGATTTGCAGACATGAATTGAATTAGTGCCATTTGTGCAGTCGCATCTTGGCACGCGATCCGGGTTGGGCGGAGTTTGAGGTAAGATTCACCACGGCGAATGTCCGCTTCCTCTACGTTATCCAAATGGCCGTAGATGACTTTCTCGGAGTATGTCAAAGGCCGTCTCAGCCTGTAATTGTCATTGGAATGCCGAAAATGAAAGCCATAGCTGGGAACCACACCTGTCTCGGACTGCACGGATCTTGGAATCCACGGCAGCATAGTCGATGAAAGAGTGCTGCTCGTATCGGCTCATGGGAACTCTGCCGACTGCTCCGCCTACGGAGGCGAAGCTACGAGTCTGGCCAAGGTTTGGCCTCGGGCCGACGGCCGGTCTTCTGATTCTTGCAAACAGAGTCGACATTTGAGATTCAGATATATTCCAACAAGGGAGCGTGGCTGATGTCTGGAGATGCAGCCTCTTATTGATTGCTGAAATGCATTTGGGTCTCATTGGTCGCGGGTGCATCCGCATCCGGGAAATAGTCGATCTCCCGCCCCGCTGACTTTCAGTTGCTCTTGATTGGAAGGCGGTTACATCCGCTGCGCAATTCGGTAATGACTTTCATCTCTATGTCATACAGGAGAGCAAAATCAAAAGCTAAGGAAATGGGTACCATTTTCATCTACTGATCAGAAGACAGGTCATCTTTAACCCAGTGGAGCAATTGAAATTGATAAGCGCATTTCATTATCCTGAGATGGTACAGCAATATGCTCATTATCAACACTCCGAATCTCATTTTGCGCCAAATCTTTCACGAACGGTGTCTCCAAGACCAACCATACAGATAGTTGCCCAAGCCGCAACTCCGATGCGGGGAACAACTCCGCGGAAGAAGCCTCGAAAGCCATTCTCGCGCCAGATTAATTGAGCTGTTGACAGCATCGTCGGTTTGGTTGTTGTTTGGGCGGTCTTGACCGCTTGCATGTCTACTCTTATCACCTGTACCATTGTTAGTCACCAGCAACGGCAATCAGAAATTGGGGGGTGTACTCGCCTCGAACGGCTGATTCCAACAGCTCAACGCACCGCCAATCGTCGAAGCCGCAATCTTCTCACCCATGGAAAGTTTCTGACCCGGCTCCTTTCCATTTAACGAGCGGATGGGTGCCTCGGCCGCTCTCGAAATGCCCATCCGCGACGACCAGCCGGTAATCTGGCGCAAAGCAACGGCGTTGACGCCCTTATTCACGCCTCTGATGCCCTGCGTGCGCAGGATATTGAAGAAGGTTTCCATGGTCCCGGGAACTCTTTTTCCTGCTGCTGCGGTCTTGTTCCTCGTGACTTCGACGGTCTTCATGCACGTCGTCATGCCCATGGTAAGGTACGACTGAGCTGCTCCGCCTGCTACGCCACCGGCCGTGGCAGCCACTGCGGGCGAGAGTCCGAACGCGTGAGACGCCTGGTACTGAACTTCGGAGGAGGTCAGGATCAGAATCGCGCCCTTTGTGGAGGCTTCCAGCCATGCCTTCCTCGTGTTAGTGGGTCAATCAGTTGTGGGGCACTCGGAGATGCATACCCAAGGAATCAGTCCTTGGTAGAAGCCTTTGATGGGACCTCGGGCCCATATTTCCCGCACTGCTTCAGAGAGCGGCGCGTTCCGATTTGCAGAAACCTGCCTAGGCATAAGTCGGGGTAGTCTCAAAGGAGCCCATCTGGAGCACTTACGTATGTCTTGATGTTCTCGAGAGGCTGTCCCAAGCTTGTAACTTAGTAGCAGAAAAGTGATCAGCGCACGAAGCCATGTTGTCCAAATGGTAAAGTAAGTCTTACCCTGAAACACATTCATTGCAGCACCAATGAGTAAGTTCTCCCAAGACACTTTGTTCTTCTTCACTGCCTTGAGCGCAGGTTGTGTGCGCTGCGAAGTGGATACGTCCATGGCAGCTTGCTGATCCATGTGGAGGTGAATGAAGGAGAGTTACTGGGTTCGAGTGGCAGCTTACCGTGTGAGAAGGGAGGCTATTCAATAGCAAAGGTACAGCACTTGTACTGCTCCTGGTGTTTACGTTGAGTTTATTCGGGTCGGAAGCTTCCGATGTTGCCCGGGTAGACTCGAGCTTTTCGGGCAATCAGTTCCGCGTACACGTAATCCAGAAGTGTCTCATGCGCTGCTAACCAAAAGCGCTGGTATTTTAATTATTTCTCAGGAAAACAGATTGTCTAGTTCAGGAAGCATGTCCAAATTGTCAAAGAATGGTAAGCCAAGATCTACGCCGTTGCATGCACGGGTCTGCTCCGAAGCATTTCCAAGTGGTCCCAAAGACGACGGCATGCCGGGGTCTCGAGTACCGAACCAATCCATGTAATCAGAGGTAATTTGGCCGTAGTATTGATTATCTTCCTCCAGTGATGGGCCGGTGGGCCCTGCATTGACCGCAGGCGAATCGAAGAGCGCTACCGACGCCTTCCCAAGGCGATCGATAATTTCGTGGCAGCGGTTTGCCAGCGGCCAGTGATCAGCCATGACTTCGAGCAGCGCCAGACAAGACGTGACGTTTGATTTCGCGACCCTTTTGCTCGTGGTCTTCCGGATTTCCGGACTGACCCACAAGGTGTAGAGCATGGTGATGCTCGCCATGAACAGGGAGTGCAGAGCAATCCAAGTGTAAGTGATTTTGTTCTTGGCATAAAGCGAGGAGTAGGAGCCGATAAGAGTAATTGCAGCGTCGGCGCAGATTTGAAGAGACGCCAGATTTGCCTCAGGGCATCCTGGCGACGGGCGATAGAGGAGAAGGAGGGCATGTGAGTGAGCTATTTGGAACCACTCGGTTGACTGAAAAGTAACTAGTGTCGGGTGAGAATAGCGAGGGGCCTGTGCAACCCAGTTGTCCAGCTCAGTGCGAAGAAAGGTTCGTTGGAAATCTGCCGTCTCTTCGGCGATGTAGGTGGCGTCGGCGGTGTAAAAGGTATCCTGGATCTTGGACTGCAACTGGCGGACTTTGATGATATGGATGAATGTGGACATGTCGAGGGGGTCGAGAGGCCGGGGAGATGGAGCTTCGGTGCTTGAGATTTCTTGGTCTGTTAAAGGCTCGGGAAGCGGAACGTTGATTTCTGCATCTCTGATGGCAAATGGCCTTCCCAGTGCAAGAGATACATTGCGGTCCAAAGAATAGGCAGACCAGAAGACCCTTTTCCTCATCTCGACGTCGAATAAGTCCAGCTGGGGCTTTGCAGGCATCCTGTGAAGGCCAAGATCAATGGCGAATCGCATGGCTTGGCCAGCCACGTGCCATGCATTAGCGCTGCGCTGCTCATTGATGGCAAAGACAGTCACGAGACAAAGACCCTGCACGGTCTGCATATTGTCTGCCTTCATGAGACCTTGGAGATAATTTTGGGTGGCAACGTTGAAGAACTCCAAATGGCGATCGCTCACGTCATGTTCTTGCCTCTGTAGATCAATTGACCCCAGGGCGAATACCATGAATGTTAGAAAGAGTGATGCCTCATCTGCAGAATTCTTCGAGGCCATGACGGGCGCGAAATGCTTTTCCAGGAATGATGGCCGATGCAGCACGGGAAGAGCGGGCCATCGGTGGGTAAAGTATGCACGCTGCAAGCGATCCGCCAGTTCAGGCTCCGGGAACGTGTTTTCTGTTACGCAGGGAGATGCAACTGAGGGCGAAGTGGTGGATAGACGATCTCCTACTCGCAGACTCAGACTTTCACGCGGCGGGCCATGGTCCTGCTTGTAGTCGGCCTGAGTCAGGACAGCCTGTACAACGTTGCCGAAGAAAAGGCCACTCGAGTCTCCGACGAATTTGCGTCCCGAGGTGACGTCACGTGGAACGATGTTGATGTTCTCTGCAAAGCCGTCGGGTTGGGCATCCGTTAACTGCTCTGAATCGCCTGCACGCTCGGCCGGATTGCGTGCGGATGCTCGAAGCGCATTTGCTTCTTGCTCCAACTCGTGGATCCTCGCCTTCAAGCGCTGCACGTCGGCTTCCAGATCATCGACGTAGCCACGAGGATATTCACGGTACGTAAGCCGATCAAGAACGACGCACGGCACCCCGGCTCGTTTGCATGTCGAGCACTCAGGCAGCTTCCCATCGCACTGATTTCATCAACTACAAAACCAGGTTTCAATGACGGGATGACTGACCTTGTTCTTCCGTTTCCGGCATCTCTCGCAAGCGATCTGTATGCGCTGGAGGCCTGGTCTATGCTTCCGCCGAACGGGCGGAGCATCCGACGCAGCCCGGGGTGTCTCTTCCATCGTTAGGAGCGTTTTTCGGAACCGATGTGCGATGCCAAGACACAAGGACTGTGGGGATGCGGCATTGTCGAGTGCATCCGGGACCGGTGGGGTGTAATAGACCATGGCGAGGTTCGGTTGCGGATACATCCGGTCTTTTCGGATGCATCCGACGCCACACAACTTCGAACGAGGTGCTAACCGAGGAAGTGACTTTGCGCGATATACAGAAGATGCTTTACGCGTTCCTGCCCCGTGGAGTCGTTCTGCAATGTGCGAGTCTACGGCGACAAGCATACACTGCCTCAGTGCAAAGCGTTAAATTGAAGCCTTAGATGTTTGTTATGCAATTAATTGGACCTTGAGCATTTGATGAAAAGGTCGGGCCGGATCGAATACTCAATGGTTGCCAATACGCTGGATGTAGTGAGCCAATCAAAACCTCCGCACGCCGCAGTGACCCGGCGCTCGCTGGAGATCAACAGACCTGTTTAGCACCGCGATTCAGTCCATCATGCCTGTGATTCCAAAGGAAAGGAAAAATACCATTGGATAATACGCTTAACTGAGCCACTCTGCCTTGTCACCCCCTAAGGGCTTTGGCATGAAGTCCCACCCAGGTGCACAACCTTCAATCACGGCCGAGTGCCTCACAGCCTTCAGTGTTCCAAAGCCACTCTGACGAGTTTCCAAAAACTCCTCAACCTGATCGGGTGAGACTATATCCGCACAATCAAATCCTGACCGGCCTTCGTATTGACCAAGACTCCGTAGATACTTCATCACCCCTGCAAGAGACACGTCTACGCGATATGACCCTCCTTCAACAGCTCGCCTATACAAGGCAGCGCAGACTCCAGTTGCCAGAAGATAGCCAGCACCGTGGTCAAGCGCCTGGCATGGCGTAGGGCGGGCCGGCTCGCCCTGTCCATAGTGCTCGGCCTCCGACACATTCATCCCCGAACAGGTCTGGACGATGGAATCAAAGCCACGGCGCCCAGCCCACGGTCCATCCGGGCCAAACGCCGACATATTCGCACAGATAATATTCGGGTTGAGGGCGACCAGCTGCTCAGGTGCCAGCCCCTGAGCCGCGAGGCTGCCCGGCCTAAAGCCTTGGATGAGCACGTCGCACGTCCTGATCAGCTCGAAGAGCCTCTCCTTGTCTTCCGCGTTGCGTATGTCCAGCTGGATCGTCCGCTTGCCGCGGCCGAACTCCCGGTCGATGGCGGGGAGGTCGGGCAGCGTGGGCGACGTCACCCAGAGCACGTCGGCGCCGTGGGCGGCCAGCGTCTTGCCGGCGAGTGGAGCGGCGATGACCCGGCTCAGTTCTAGGACCCGGAGGCCGCGGAGGCTACGGTCATTTCCGGGTCCCATTCGCGATGGGAGGCCGGCCGTCCCTGCTGCAGATAGCTTTTCGATCGTTATGGGGAAGTCGGAGAGGGCTTTCGCTTGGGGGAGCACGTCCCACTGCTGGTAGGTTCGGAGGGCGTAGATGACCAGCTTGTCCTGCAATGCGACGGTCTCGAGATCAATGCTGGCCCAGTTCTTGGTCTCTCTCGTGACGTCTGGGCGGGTGGCTGCCGAATCTAGCCCTAGCAAACGAAGCGCACCGTTCCTGTGGTTGGGAAATGAATCGTGGATGCGAACGTATCCATCGGCTGTGGCGTGGAGACCTCCAATGGCGCCCCACGCGCTTGGAGCAGGCTTCCCGTCCAGGATATACAGTTTTTCGGACTTAAACTCTGCCGCTGCGTGCCGTCGCTCAACGGTGACTCGAGGCACTATTGTCTTGTTGCGAATGGAATGGATCAGTGCCGCTGCCAGTGCTGACAGTGCGATCGTGCTCTGAGCAAGACATCCGATTTTGAAGGATGAGGGCAAAGCTGGCTTGCCGTCGCTTTGCAATGATACGGAATCCAGCGCGGCGGCTGGAAGACCGAGCCCCACCCAGATCTCCTCGACAATCTTCGATGGAGTGAACAGCTCGCGATCGCGAACGGCGTGTCCCCGGGATCTGGTTCCCCCACCTTGCACACCGTTATGGCCCGAGTTCTCTACCGGGGGAACTTCGATGTCGAGAAGCGGTGCGTGTTGTTGCGTCCCCAGCGTGTCTCGTTCGCCTACACTTCCTTGGGCCCATGGCCTCTTGATCGTACATTTCCACGCGAGCGCTGGGTCGAAGAACATGCTAACCAAGATTTCGTTTTCTGTCAGATTATACAGCCTCTGCATTGTCTCTTTTGTCAACACATTTGCACTCTTGACGCGGTGGTAGGCATCAGCGTTGTCAAAGATCACATCAAAGGTGAGCTCAAACGGCCCCGAATTTTTTGAACGAATGACTCGGGCCACTTGACTGAGCTTTGCCCGCCCTGGTGGATTCTCTTTATACGCTGCGTCCATTAGCACAAAATGAAGAAATCCTTTGTCCAATGAATACCTACTGAGCGGGGCAAGAGTGCCACTCTCGTGAACCCGAATCTCCTCTTCCGAGATTGGTTGAAATAGCTGCGGCTCCCGGTTGGACGCAATATGGTGGAAGGAGACTGGAAACAGTGAGACCTCCTCATCCTTCTCCAAATTCATGAGATGATATAAAGTGAACTTGAAGACGGCGCCGGCCTCTTGTTCATGGGGAGAAAACGGACTCGCAAAATTCCCCGTTGTAGCCATCTGGTCGTTGTAGGAGAAGTGAAGGATAGAGGCTCTAGCATTGTTCGCAATCGTATGCGACAGCTCCTGCGTCGGGGCCACGACTTCGCCAACGACGGCAATCTCATGGCTCGGGATTGACCGGGGCTCAAGGGGACCCATAACGCCGTTTTGACCGTAAATGTGGAAGATGAGACGACAATCCTCGCTCTGATCAAGCTCTGGGAAGAGCTTCTGGGTATATTTCCGTACTCGATCGAGGAAGTCGTCGATTTGACTGATTAGAATTGGATCGCGGATACCACCCACGAAGACAGTACGATATCCCAGATGCGCCACTCCTTCCAGCTTGACTTGATAAGGAGTAGGAATGAATTCGGCACCGCTGACTCTGACGGTTTTCTCCGTGATTTGCGAGTATGCAGCGCTGTCAAGGACGAGAACTCCACCTGGCCCAGGCAGTCTATCCGGCCTTGTTTTCTCATACAAGGTGTGGGCAGCTACCGAAAGTGGGGTGCAACGCTCCTCGGGCGCAAGAGGGTTCAGGTCAAATGAATCCCGCCTCATGATTGCAATCATGGATCTACCTTTTGGAACTGCGCAGATTCCTCCGCATTCCAAGATTTTGCCCATATGCCAAGCAACACCTGGAAGGATGCCTCGTGCCATGCAGAAAGCTGCGAAGGGAGCGGGATCGTACGAGCGCCCGCCGAGAATGATGTCCGGGTCGCCTTTAAGGGCCTCGATATATCTGTTCAAAATATGAACTTCAGTGCGTGAAATAGCTTTGATAAGAGTTTACTTGGGGGCTAGACGTGGGTCGTGTAAAAAGAAAAGAGAGGGGTATTCGTACGGCTCAGCTCCCATCTGTGCCACTATGTCTACAGCGTTATCCACAGCCTCGTGTATGAGATTCTGCACCGGCCCGCAAGGGAAGACTTGAGACTTTTCTATTCGTTCATTGACCAAAGTTCGATTCATACCCGCGTCAATGGTCGCAACTTTGAAACTGTATCCAAGCCTTTCGGAGATACCGGTGACAATATCGAGCATCTCCTTAACGTGTTTCGTACTGCCATCGCCACCCACCGAGCCGATCAGCACCTTGATTTTCAGGTGGTAACACGCAGTCAAGATCGGCTCGAGGTCTCGAATGTACGACCCCTTTCCACAGGTCATCTTGTTCATCCCTAACTTGTATGGGCCGCCATCTGTGGATCCGCTGTCCACGATAATGGCCGCGGGTCGGTACTTTGTGATTCCGTACCAGAAATCCCCAGAGCGGTAACCGTAGCCAAGCATCGCGTTTGGTGTGAGGATGCTGAATTCCGAAACATCTTGGCCGTTTGGAGTGCACATTTTCGTACGCGTTGTGATGTTGGCGAATGCGGGGTAGACAGTTGAAAGTAGACAGGCAAAGAGTTACTCAACAAAAGCGGTTTGAAGAGCACGGCAACAGGATCAGAGGTTTCATTCTTCGATTCTGTTTCACATGATGGCGGGAACAGAATGAGTCACAGCTTCGATGTGAGCGAAAGGCATTGAAATGGATTCGAAAAAATGCCGAGGCGTATAACGCAACATTCCGATTATGTACTACTTGACATTCTAACCCCATCATCCGCTACCCCGCACCTCGTCTTGCGTACGACCGAGCCTCCGCAGATACATAGAAACTCATATTGAAGCTTTTTTCAGAATTCGGCCCAGAACAGGGACACTAATAATATTTCTGAAGTTTGTTCCTGAGAAATCGAAAAGCACAGCCTTTCTCCCCCACCAAAATGTGCACAAAAGTATATGACAGATACCCCACCCGTCCGCGTTTTCACGAGCTGCCGTTACGGAACGGTGATCCCAAAGCCTCGGCCTGGGGCCTCTGGGGCGACGACGACCAGCTCGGAACCTTGAACCTTCTTACCGAAGATCTTGTTAAAAGCGCATCAAAGCAAATCGAATTTGGTACATGTATACCATTGAAGTAAAGAGTCAAAAGGCTCTGTCATATCGAGAATCATGCTAAGGATGACATAGCCTTCCGCTTGATGGTTTGCTTAAACCGATGAATCCCGCTCGACGGCCGTGTGAGCACCGGATTATTGCGAAGGGACACGGGAATGATGATGAGGTACTAAGTGTTTATGATTACGGTGTTGTAGGCCGCTAATGCATGACAGCTTTATGTCAATACTCAAGGATCCAGCCATTGGGATGGGCTCCGTCACTATCCGTATCAAGAGACTCTGCAATATTACAATGGTGTCCGACAGGAGGAGATTTCCGGAGAAGGGGCAGGCCCTCATCTAGGCATACAAAGTAAGACTTATTCTTCATAAATATACAAAATCACAACAAGGGCTAACGGAGCGCTCAGGTATGGCTCAGCGAGGCATTGCTGGCCGTGGTGTTCTGCTAGATTGGTGTTCATACGCCAAGGAGAAGGAGATTACATACTCCCCATTCGCGCGCCATGCAATCCCTCTTGTAGAGCTCAAGGAAGTGGCAGCTGAGGAGCGCATCACGTTCCAAACTGGTGATATTCTCCTCATCCGGACCGGCTGGCTGGATGAATACAAGAAGCTCACAGACACCGAAAAAGCCGCCCTTCCGCAAAGGGAGATGCGTGCTTCCTGTGGCGTCGAGGCGACAGAGGAGGCCATACGTTGGCATTGGGAGAACGCTTTCGCAGCAGTTGCAAGTGATACTGTCGCATACGAAGTTTGGCCATCGCCGAAACCTTGGGGAGTCAGCATGCACGAAGTAAGTCACGGTGGCTTTAACCAGCTTTTAAATTTTCCACCCGAGCTAACAAACAGGAAGGTGTTTCTTAGTGGATGGGGCATGCCAATTGGTGAGACCTGGGATTTGGAGGAGCTCAGTCGCGTTTGTCGGCAACATGAAAGGTGGGATTTTTTCATCACTAGCCAGCCACTGAATCTTCATGGGGGCGTTGCAAGTCCGCCTAACGCAATGGCCATTTTGTAACAACAATATTGGCCTTCCACTTGGATTCTACTCCATAGATTCTGTACGACTTTTCTTGTCAATGGCAGTTGATCTCGGTTTGACTTCAATTGTTGCGTCCGGGACTGAATTTGCTACTGAAAAACAGGTAAGAATTGGGATGCCGCATTCTCATTGAAGAGGAGACAAGTTCCAGCTCCAGACGGAAAAACATCGTAAGCTCCAGACTACCCCACTAAAAGCTGAGACGGCAGAATCGAGCGGGGCTAAACAGCCTAACACTAACTCAAATAGGAAGCCAAGACACATTCATGTACAGGACACTGGACACCCGCTTCTTGCGGAGAGGTCTGGTTCTTTGTATGGGGAGATGACACGTATGTTGGGGCCAAGTGAAACAAAACGGGATTGGCCAGGTGGGGAGCAGATGCAAGACGGAGACACACGTGGGAGTTCAACCAATCCATTTCCGCGAGACAGCCTAGTCATATGCAAGTAGGTGGTAGTAGAAACTGCTTATTCGCGTATGGCAAAGTCCGCGCCTGGGTGGTAAGCTGTAGCCACAACGCTGATTAATGGACTCGTCTGTGGCGTAGCTAAGAGAAAAGGCTAAAAGACGCATCTCTTTAACATGGATCACCCCCTTTCACTGGCTCAGCCTTGCACCTACACAACCAAAACTTTTTCGCAAAAGATGCCCCCGATCATACATTTTGTTCGTCATGCTCAGGCGTACCATAACCTGACGATCAACAACTACAGCATGCACGACCCCGACCTGACAGAGCTAGGCAAACAGCAGTGCTTCGACCTGCAACGCGCTTTCCCGCATCACGACCGCGTCACCCACGTCGTTGCTTCGCCCATTAAACGAGCCCTTTGGACTGCACTTCTCGGATTCAGCTCTACCTTTGCGACCCGCGGCATCAGACTCACCGCACTCCCGGAGCTCCAAGAGAATACAGACCTGCCTTGCGATACTGGTAGTGACAAGGAGGTCCTGGAGCGCGAATTTGCGAATCAACCAATAGACCTCAGTTTAGTCCAAGAAGGGTGGAATGACAAAAAGGGTCCATGGGCGCCACAGTCCGATGCAATCTCGGAGCGCTGCAAAGCCGCTCGTGTCTGGCTGAGGGAGTTAGCTGGCGAGAATGACCAAGTAGTAGTCGTAACTCACGGTAGCCTTCTGCATACCTTGACAGAGGACTGGTCGGACTTTGACAAACACACCGGTAAGCCATCAGTGCAGAATGTCATCAAATCGAATATGTTCCCTAACTTAGACCAAACCAGGCACGGGATGGGCCAACACAGAATTTAGGAGCTATACTTTCGTTCCTCACAGTAACGATAATGCATCTCTTATCGAGACCGAAGAGTCGCTCAAGCGCCGCCGAGCTACTCGATTGACCAAGGAGGACCAACTACAACTGAAGGCAAAGGCAGAAAGAGAGTGGGCTGCGGCGGGATGGCAACTCCCCGGGAAAATTGTCGCATGAAGTGTTATCATGAAGATCACGTTGCACTGGGTTGGTAGCCAACGTTCAACTAAAGTCTCGCGTTTGTGCGCAAATACAACATTTAGATTGAGATTGAGAGCTGTTTTTACAATTTCTTTTTGTACGAGCTACATTATTAGATAGTTTTCAGTATTGCAGCGCGAATGCGGCACTGCTCACGAATCCCAAAACCACCCCACACTTATACGAAAGCGACGTATACTTCTCTTTCACGCCCTACTTTTCTTTTCGGACTTTGTGGCTACGGCTTGCGTCTTGGCTGCCTGACTTGGCTTAGTGTGTACGTGTAAACCACGCGGATCGCGGCACAGAGTTGCCAGCTCGAATCAAAGGTATGGAGCGCGCAATTGTAATCTCACACGAAGCCCACAGATCAGACTGTCAGCCATGATCTGTATCCTTCCGACCATACCGAATACTTTAAAATGATGGCCCCCCCTTTGTGAGGTATTACTCCGAGTACCACCAAATCTCGATCATAATCCTCCTTGGAGATGGACCTACGCCTCAATCTACCGTATCCACTCCCTCATTTGATTCAAAACCCTGCACAAGCTTCAGATGTTCTCGTATCTGGAGCAGTTGAGTTTTCATGTGGCCTGGACAGCACCGTTTCTTCATTCATAATTTCTCTTGTCCAAACACTGAGATTTCAAGCACACAAGCCCGATTTATCAACAAGTCTACTTCATATTGGCTTAAACAAACAAAAAGGTTCCAACACCGAGGAGGCCAGGGATATCGAGCGCTGGTGCTTCTCTCAGCCCTCAACATCCAATATTTCACCGACGCACAGGGCTATACCTTTTACTATCGCAATACCAGGCTACCTTCCTGCAACCACAGAGACACCAATTGCGTCCCTCTCATACCACGTCCGTGCAACAATCACCGTCAGCACTGCGACTTGTGCTACTTCACACGCTACGTCGAAACCGATACATATTCGTCGCCTGCTCTCTCTTCCACTCGGTCTCACTGCCATCGATTACCGTCACCGCTTCTTGGATAGTCATGTTGAAACTTTGCTCTCGGTTCCAGCTATATTCCAACCGCTAGACACCTACACCCCGCGATTAACGCTGCTTAGTTGCACGGGACACTGGTTACGGGTGCACAAGCTTCACTGGCGCATTGAGGAGTGCACGAGAATCCTTCCACGAACACACAATACGGAAGGTGAGAGCGGGCTATTGGGGCACGAGCTCAATCGTCACGTCCGCACCATCATTTCAGGTGATCACCATATTGAACCAACTGGAAGAGGCTCACTGGCCGTTTCAAATTTGTCCGAGCTACAGAATCGAGAGATTTTGTTCGATATCACCATCCCAGAGAAGGCGAGACTGGCGTGTACATTGATGCACGATATGGACATGCCGGCACCCCGCGCACGAGAGGAGAATCCACCGGAATATACACCGAGTGGCCATTACCGATTTCACGGAAGGTCACAGGGTAGGATACGTGATGGCGAGGGGCGAAGCGGCATGGCTAAAACTATCCTTTTGGTTTCGCATACACTGGTACTTGAAATTGTGGGCAAAGAGATCAAAGTGGATAGTGAGACGGGTGAGCAGCTAAGTTTGGGGCCACAAATTCCAAGAACATACGGCGCAAGATACGAGATAATGGTGTCAGATTGGACTCATTCTGGGGAAGCTGGTAACGAAGGATATGAGATACCCCCGCCGCCGGAGAGTGCTTCAAGGGCAGTGTCCCCTCCGCCATATGAATCCATCATCGAGGAGTAGTCCAGATATGTGCACACTATGTAATCATGGATTCACCTCTCTAAAGCGGATCCTTTAAAGATATTGCTATTTTCAACATTGGTTAATTTGCCAGAAGGTCCGAGTGTCATGATATTTGTCAAAGCTACAATGGGGAGAGTTGAAATAAGCCATATTTCGCCCACTTAAAAGCCAAAGACATCCACTCAATATTTTCTTCGCACAACGTATGAATGAAGAGCACTATCAGTGCCACGATATGCATGCACTGACGTTGTCATCAAGTGAGATGGGCTTTGTTTCCTCATGGGAGATTCCCTACACGCCGGAGAGCATCTGCACATCCGTCGCAATCAGATCAGTATCATCGTGCTATATGGTCATGCTTACGTACTCAATTTCCACATCCATGCTACAAATGATCAAGGGCGACTAAAGAGTGGCATTACACCCGAAGGCTAACGCAGAAACGAGCAGAACCCCAAAACATGGGGTAATTATACTTTGGTAATTTCTTTACTCCCGTCTGCCATTCTAGTCACACTCCATCATGTTTCTCTACAAATGCAACGCGACGAAATAAATATCAACTGTCTTCTTCGATATTTCTCAAGGCATCTGTGGCGTCGATTGGCTGCCTGAATTCGGCAAGTGCGGGGAAGAATTCAGGAAGATCCGATCCACTTGACGACGACTCCATTGACGATCTTTTTAAGCAATGCAAGCGCATGGCTAGCAAATACTCTCCCGCAGTAACATCATTAGTGAGGCAATACCAGTACAAAACGAGCAAGATGCGCCCGTGGTGGCGAATGATTCGCGCTACAGCCGCCTTTTCTCTCTTTCAAATCCCGGTACTGGCGCAGGTTTGGGACAGTTTGCGAGCCCATCTTTACCCTATCTCTTACCGTTGCGCGAAAATGAGTCAAGCTAGATGGCGTTACTAAAGCCGCCATTTGGCTAATGTCGGGCGTGAAACTGGGAATCTTTGCCAGACCGGCCACAACATTTAGAGCGTTGTTTTCCATCTTACGCCATGTCTCCAACGGACTTCGGATGCCTCGTGCGAGCTCGGTTTTTAATAGATCTGGACGCAAAGGAGTGGGTCCTCAAAATTATTGTACGGTACCAGACAAATCGATTCGTGAAGTGCGGGGTGACGACAGCGGTCGTGGCAGAACAGCGCAGGCTCGAACAAGAGTGGACTAGGGTAAGAACACTATCAATCAAGGGTAACTGATTGAGGGTGGCGAAAAGCATGCGGGACGGTCTGGAAAGGATTGTCTGCGGGGGACGGGCCGGAGCGCGCACCGAGCGTTGCAGGGACGGATGCAGAGAGGACCCATAAAGTAACTGGAGCAATGTACAGTCTGGGGAACTCGTCAGGGCCCGGTTGCTTCTGAGTGGTGGATGAGAAACGGGAATAGGGCCTTTTCAAACCCTTGGCCACGCTATCAACAAGTGTGGGTTGCTCAATCTCGTGAATGATCCACCCATCAGGCCATTCCCGGAGACTGCCTTCTTTTGATCGACGGTCGGCGCCTGTCGTTGCTTTCAGCTCTCGGGTAACTGGGCCGTGCCGCAACTCACTAACGTACATACATAACTTCACTTGCCCCACCGAGCATGATAAATGATGCAGCTTTCGTTGTTAGAAGAGACAGGACACTGCTGCAATTCGCATCACTCAATTTTGAAAACACGTGATGGCGCCTATTCCTCTATCACGCGCTCTCAGCCACGAAGAGGCGAATAAGCTTCTGCCTGCCGATAATTTGCAGGGAAAGAACGTCCTCATTACTGGCGGTGCTTCAGGAATCAGTCTCGCCATTGGGACTTCCTTTGCAGAGAAAGGGTATGGCTAAAAAATCTAATCGAGATCGCACCTTCCAGCAGAAAGCTAATATAACTGGACAAATCTTCCTCTCGTCAGCGCCTACGTTACGTTGGTCGACATCAATGAAGAGGCCGGCAAGCAGCACGCTGAAAGCCTCCGGGCTCGCGAACTAAAGTATGCTGATTCAAGTGCGCTGGTCTAGAATACAGAGCAATTCGGTCTGATGAGACGCAAAATTCAGGGTCCAATTCATCAAGGCAGACGTCCGATCGTGGCAATCACAGGTGGAAGCCTTCAAGGCGGCTGTCAAGTTCCACCCCGATGAGACGCTAGACATAGTTGTTGCGGGCGCCGGCACATTCAGCGAGACCTTTGTCGCACCCGACGAGCCGGGCATCACCTCGCTAGACGAGACCCCGCCAGAACCCCCGACCATAGCTTGGGAAACCAACTCCATCGGGCTATCCTTTACGGCTAAGCTCGCTCAACTCTACTTTGAGTTTACGCAGAAGTCCGCCTCATCCGAGCCCAAATCTCTCCTCTTAATTGCGAGCCTAGCTGCATACTTCGACATCCCATTGATGTCGGCGTATACTTCATCGAAATATGGCGCAAGGGGTTTGTTCAGGAGCATCCGACCAATCTTCGCCAGCCGTGGACACCGGGTTAACTTGATGGCGCCGTGGATCATTCCTACCAGCATGACTGTTGAGTGGATGAAGATGTTCCGCGCTGTCGGAGCACCAGAGGGCCGTGTGGATCAGGCTGTCATGTCAGCGTTGCGTTGCGCATCGGACAAGAACGTGAATGGTAAAGTCTTTTTTTTATTTTTCAGACTTTCTAAACAACAAAACGACTTGTTGCTGATTGATTTCCACAAGGCCGCGCTTTTTGCATTGGTCCCCACCGTGTGCTGGATCTCGAAGACGATCCGGAAGGCTGGAACGCAGGTAAGGCAATGCATGAATTCCTCAACAATGACATTGTCGGTTGGCCTGAGCAAGAGAAGAAAATGCTAGACATCATGGGATTCTCCGAATGAAAAGAAGTAAAAGAGAGGTGGGAAGAAAAAATTCCAATATGAAAATAGGCATTTTCCAACGCTGTGTTGTACATACGTCCGAGGTGCCCATCAGATATGTATTTTGATGGAAAAGTAGCAAAAGAGCAACCTCCATAATCCCCCTTGCAAGAACTGATCTATTTCCTTGGCTCGTTTGTCTCCACGCCAGTGTAGTTGTTCGACTCAGACAGCTTCTCCCACGGAGCAAATACATTCTTACTCTTCTTCAAAACATCCCGCAGTCCAGGGAAATGCCGTCCGATCACATCTTTCATGTCCGTATATTGAACCCAGTGTAGGCCTTCCTTTGTGTAAGTGTCTTCGTTCCACTGGCCAGCAATGAAACGGTCACTATTCAGCCTCCTGCTGGCCATTAGAATGAAGATGCGGAAGGCAGTATCGCTGAAGCCAAAGCCCTCCGGCAGAGGCTCACATTGCGAGCCCACCAAGCAATCTACCAGCTCGATATCACCATTGTATAGCTCGGACAGCTCCGCTGCCAAGACCTTATCGCCTCCTGTAAGCTCCTCAAAGGTTTTCGGGACGGACATACGGAGAAGTCGTCGGAACTGATTGTAGCGGGGAACACCGCGCTCACGGTCCCGGAGAATGTCGACAGTTCCCATGTCGCGGTGCAAACCGTCGGGGGTGGTAAGGTCTCGTAGGAAATTGGGATAGTTTTTGTTGGTGATGGCTCCCGGATAATTTATGCCGAATGAGTAGAAGGCATCCGCAAAAGATAGACCATCCTCGAAGGGCCTTCGAGCATGTGTAAACGTCAAATCTTCTGTTGGGACGCTCTCTTGATGCTCGCCGCTGCCGGAATTGAAGAACGCAATTTGATCTACAGCTCAAACTTAGCAAAATGACGACACAAAGCTTCAAAGAATGACGTACCGGGTATGAGAGAGTGCATCCTGTAGACAGACACGAACTCTTCTGTCAGGGAGTACGGCGCACCAAAGTGGTCAACAGTCGATCCAGGAATACCACTGATGGCTTCGTTTTTGGCGATTCGACCAACAAGCTTGTTCAAGGTCTCTCCCGCAAGACCCCACCAATTCGCGTTCATACTAATTCGAAGAGCAGGGTGCGCCAGAATCGCTGGGGTCCACTCGATAGTGTGAATCTTCGCCATCAACGCGGAGTTGACTAACCGAGCCTTGTCGAAGATTTGATCTCTGCAATAAAAGTCAGACAACAGCTCTCATGATTTTTTGCCGCAGACTCACCCTGTCCAATCGGGGTATGATTTCCTCAATTTGTCGCAGATGGCGTTGTGTTCCATCGCAAACAAAGTGTGCAACATCTCAATCCCAGTCCACCAGTTGTTTGAGAAGCCGGTCTCGACGTCGCCAAACTTGTCGCGAGGCAGCACGAACCCCGCCCCACCCTCGATGGGAACCAGTGTCAATTTTCCGTCTGGAGTTTCCCCACGCAATTTTCTCGTTGCTTCTTCTGTCGGACCGTAGATCTGCGACGCATCCCACCATGCTGTCAGGGTATTTTTGTACCCAGGACACCTGATGTCGGAGGTGTCAAGGATATCATCTGGTTTGGTCCGAGGCAGCTTCATACTTCCACCCTGCCAGTCATCCCCTGGGGGAAGAGGAATGTCGAAAGAGTCATCGCTCTGGCGGATGGTAGTTAGCAAATGTAAATGACACCGAAAGTAGTACGGCGCATGAGGTGACGACCGTAAAATGCCATCAAACATACCGTTTCGTGGAAGAACCAGTCATGAGTTTGAAACTGGATCCATGCAGCGGCGAGTAAGTTCAAGGAAGTGGCAGGTTTGAAGCCCCCAGGCTGTCTGGCCATGATACGCTCGCTGAGAAGTCTTGGATTAGGCGTCCATAGTTCATTCTCACTCGGCTTCTCCGTGACCTTCCGAGGAAAGTTTCTCCCAAAGCGCATACACCTGCTTCCCATGCGTGGCTGGTCCAGGGAGTTGAAGTTCCCATCCGAGTTGCGTGCATGCAGGAATCTCTCGTCAGTTAGTGGCGTATCCTGTGGATTTCCCTGAGCGGTAGCGGATGCGTAACCGTCATGAAGGTTGTGCTGGCGCAATTCGACTCGTAGGGCGCCAATATTTAAGGTACCAATTATCCCCGGAAGCTTGTGCCAAGACACAACCTTGTTCACAAGCCGAAATGTCTTGACAAGCAAGCTTTCCAGGAAGGAAGGCCGATACTCGTGAGTTTCCATGGAAGTTTCGTAAGAGTTGCTTGGAATATGATCCTGCGAAGTTGGAGCGACTGGTTATTCGAGACTTTAGAGCTCTTGTGGCTTCTATATATCTTGTTTACCTATGCATACAGCGATGCGCCTCATCACATGCGCTTATTTCCCTCTTTATTGTGTGGGTATCACAAAAGCGCAATGGAGCCGCATTGGGTGCCTGGGCATCAGCTGTTCATCTCTTCGCTTACTTTAGGATTCTGTCAGCAAGCCAATGGTAACATCAATTGAACATCGCGTGAGATTTTCTTCTACATAAGCCCATCAGCGCGGTGTGATCCTCCCTGTACAACCGAATGATCACTGTTTCCGCGCAAGGCATCATCTGCGTTGGCTCCTTTCCGCGCCTCGTGAGACGGGAACGATATCGCTCAGTTGGTGGCCGGGCTCAGCTCGTTATGTAAGTCGGGGAGTGCAGCACATCGCTTGCCTGGATCCGCTGATGCCAAATCACGCGCTCGAGTCTCAGCCGGGGTAGAACGAGAGTCGAATATTGGTCTTTCATATGTTGCATACAATTTTGGGCAGGAAGACTCTCTAATCTAGTCCGATATTCCCGAAACACCATCTTAGCTTATGTCCCTCCTCATGAAAATCGTCTTTATGTCCCATACTTTGCCATTGCTATCTGGCGCTGTATAGAAGTTTTGCACCACTTTTATATCACGATACCCCCTCCGCGCATACCATTCGTGATTAGTCATCTGTTAAGAAGTGTTAGTGCAGATTCTTTACACCACTGCCAGTCATTGGAAGACAAACCTTTCGCGGCTCCTGTCCGTTCTCCAAAAAGAACTCTGGTTTGATTTGGTCATCTTTGTGCATCGTGTCCAAAGCGAGGGTTTTGGCAAAAAGTGGCTCTTTAACTGCCATTGTTTCGATCATGTCCATCGCTGCCCTTCCAACTCCTTTGCTCTGAAGTACGTGAGATACGTAGAAGGTCTTGATCCAGTAGACTCCGTTATCCGGCAAATCCAAATCGAGGTGCTTCGCCGCAGGATTTCCAGTGTCTATAGAGATGTGACCGATGGGGTGGATTACAGCCATGGAAGGCTTTCGGGGAACGCCTCGAATTGCACTCGCAGTATCTTTCAAGGCGTCTTTCTCCTACTAAGGAGTTAGAGACATCTTACGGACTATCATGGATGGCTGATCCCAAACCTTTGGGTATGTAGTTTGATGAAGACGGAGCTTTTCATGTGATTCAGGATCTTCCGGTGAAAAGCACTACCCGAGCATCCGTTAGGCGGTCTCAAATTGAAATGGTCGATGGAGGAATTCGTCTGTATGGACAACGTACGATCCAGTAAGTGCATTTGGCACCAGCCCTTTGCTCATCTCGCCATTGCGAGTCAACTTTCTCCGCATGCCATCCACACTGCAATCTCTGCTCGACAAGCCTCTGAATATGGTCTGGAGACTCGGGATCCCATGGAAGCAGTTGGATCTTGGACTTAGACGTCATGGTAACGAGTGAAGTTCTGTCGATAGGATCTGAGATGGAATTGCGGGGGTATTGTTGCATTCGGGACGCACTAAGTACCGGAAAAATCAATGAGTCACACAAGTGCGTCATTACTTCTCTCGGCCGAGATTTCCTCCATACGCATAAAGGAAAACGCAGTGGGGAAGCAAACAAAACCAAGTACCATCTTTAAGAATAAACACGATCCCTGTATCATCATCGAACCCTATAAGCTGATGCGTTGGCCAATAGCTTCCGCTACGGGAGTGGCGGAGTTCCTTCCGGCTGTAAGCTCATTCTTCAGCCAATCAAGAGTGATAATCATCCGTTTCCATTAAGGCATGTGGTTGCAAGTCACTGTATAGTAGAAGGGATCTCATCGCTGCTAGTACGGATATGTTGAACATGACATTGGTCGAGATTTATTGACAGTACCTGTTCGAGGCGCTCAGCTATGGCGTTGGGCCGTCTCCCGATGACTCGCGCAAAAATTCAAGACACGGCACGGCTGCATCTTGAAGACAATGTATGATAACACCGTGGATATTTGGAGGGTCCTGCCATATTGCCTTAATGTCTTGCTGAGTGCGGCTCTGCTCGGAACTATGTGTAGTGCAAAGCTTGTCTGTGCTACTTACCTAACCAATTAATTATCGAAAAGCCGTGTCCCACAACATGACACCGTAATCAGGCCCACAAACTTATCGGGTGGGCTGCACGAACAAAGGGGAGCAGGTGGCTGCGATTCGTTGCTGGTTGATGAAACTGTTGCGCCAGTGGGGGCCAGTAAATACGTATAAGACGTCACAATCTCGCCCTACGCACGAAACTCCCAGCCTTCTTCCGTTACCTCTCGACTATGTTCGGTTCTTGTGTACGGAAAAGCTGGCTGCTGGTCGTCACGCTCTTAGCGAGCGCCACAGCCCGCGCTGCAGACATAGAGTCACGAGCTGATGAGCGGTTCCGGCCATGGAAAGCAACTGGGAAGAGCTTGTGCAGCATGACTAACCAGCGAGGTATGTACCATTCGATCGTATCAAGTCCCTATGCTGAGAGTGGCATGCTAGCTGCCATTGTCGGCGATCAGATATTCTTCATGAACGGCAACTACAACTTCATCGGAGACGCCACTAGAGCACCCAAGCCGAATCTCTTCACACTAAGACTGAATGAGAGCTTTTCCGTCACTGGTCTCCTAACAGACCAGCTTTACTCGAGCGATTTGCCGCCTGATGTACCCTGGGACTCCGCATCAGGAGCTTTCTTCTACGACAACACAACCTTGTATCTATATGCAGGTCTCGCAAGTCCTGACGAGGGCGCGACCAACCTCCTTTGGGCATATAATGTCCTGGACAGCCTGTGGCGGGAAGTTGCCGTGAAGGGGGGGAATTATCAGCATGGAAGTCGAGAAACTGCGCTATATGCGAGCATTCCCGGCGCCGGCTTGTCTTTTTTCTCAGGAGGCAAGGAGGGTGACACACCAGGAATCATTCGGTTCAATTCCAGCAATCCTACCGCTTTAACATGGGAAAACGACACATCCTTTTTGTACAGTGAATCCAAATCGCCAGGGCCGCTGAGAAGTGAAGGCCAGCTGGTCTTTATTCCTGTCGGAGAGCAGGGTGTTTTAATCAGCATTGGTGGATATAACGTATGCAGCTCTTGCTGAATTGAGGGCAGGCTCGGGCTAACGTTCTTCCAAATAGGTGGCTGAAAAGGGATCCGAGTACGGCGATAGGTTCCCATGGGACGATGCTCCCATGTCATCCGTCGACGTTTACGACATCGCCTCCAGGCAATGGTACACAGTGGACACCAGTGGAAATGCGCCCCATGATAGAGGAATATTCAGCTATTGGATGACCCCGGCTCCAGACGGCAGCTCGTACACCATAACCGTCTACGGCGGCTGGAGCTTACTCGCCGGCAAGTCATACGAGGATATATGTAAGGAGAATAATCTTACCTGTAGAGTTGCCATAATAAGCTAAGACGCCATTGGGGGTTAGATGTCCTCAGCCTCCCATCCTTCACGTGGATTAAGATAGTCGATACCGGCAACATTGAAAGGGAAAATATGGGGGAAGGCCTCGGCCGCCTCCGCCACCGCGGTTTGAAATGGAGGGAGGACAGTGGCTTCGTTATAGGCGGCTGGATAAAGAACAACGCGGCCTCCATAAATGACAAGGGAAATTGCAATTCGATTTACTCACCGATCCGGCTTCTAAATCTCACCAGCTACGCTTGGCTTTCCAGCTACGACCCTGACAACACCAGCCCATATCGGGTCAACCCACAGATATACAATGTGATAGGTGGAGGGTAGCTTTTCCCTTTTCTTTCACTTAATGATTCACTAACAATTCTCTTCAGACCTTCCGGGAGCGCCACGGCGACTGCTCCCAGCGGTGGATGGGGCTCTAACACTGCTCTCGAAAGCATATTTAGTACACATTCCATTGTTCCGTCCGCACCGACCAACCTCTTTGCCCAGGCTGCCGTCACGGGTGACAGTGGCCCAGTGAGCAACAGCAGTAGTCCAGCAGAAACGTCATCGCAGTCGTCCAGCTCGACTCCCGGCGGCGTCATTGCTGGCGCCGTAGTAGGCGCTGTTGCTGGAACAGCACTGATCGCCGGAGGGGTGGCATTCTTCTGCCTGCGCAAGTACAAGCTCCAAAAGCAACAGCAGTCTTCGGCTGTGAGCCTTATGAGTAAAGAAGGGGGAAGTCCAGCTCTAGGCAATAACCAGCATCCGCGGGAGTTAGGAAATGAGGTCATGAGACACGAGCTCGACACCAGTGATGGGCAGCCCGCTGAACTTCAAGACACAGCGAGAAGAGAGCTGGCTGATTCATCGAATGTCTAGAGTTTGTTGCAAGTAATAGGAGCGCATATAAATGTGCGAAAACAAGGTGCAAAGTTGGTTCTTATCATGGGCTGTCGCGTGGGAGTAATTACCATAACAATATTCTCTGATTGTAGGTGAGCGGTAAAGTGAAGTGAAGTTGATGAAAGGTGAGGGTATGCCCCGGTCGGGGAGCTCGGGCCGCAGGCGGAAGCTGCAGCGAGCTTGGCAGGAAACGCCCGTCACGTCTTCCATCGCCCTCAGCTTTGGCATTCACGCGACCGCACATTTACTCCTTCCACCACGCGCCTTTAATCCTTCCCTCTGCCAAAAAGACGAACCGACATGCGCCGCTAGTCCGCCCGTTGCGAAGGCCTTTCAGTCCATATCAACACCCTGACGCCTCCAATACCTGCCCGCTCCACACCTTGCGCCGTCGCTCACCCTCCTCGCGGACCCGCACACCATGTCGGTCTGGAATCCGGACAACATCAAAGATGTCGCTGAATCGGTTGGCATCGCGTCGCTCGGCGATGACGTGGCCGAGGATCTAGCTCGCGACGTCGAGTTCAGGATAGGCCAGGTGCTGGAGGAAGCGCTGAAGTTCATGCGCCATTCTAAGCGGACCACTCTCAGCACGCAGGATGTCTCCCAGGCATTGCGTGCGCTGGACGTTGAACCGCTGTACGGCTACGAGTCGACACGCCCGCTGCGTTTTGGCGAGGCGTCCATGGGCCCCGGCCAGCCGCTATTCTACGTCGAGGACGAGGAAGTCGACTTCGAGAAGCTCATCAACGCCCCGCTGCCCAAAGTGCCGCGCGAAATCTCCTTTACAGGTGAGCATTGGGAGGCCGCACGCCGCCCGCAAGACCCCGCGCTGACAGTCTGCAGCACACTGGCTCGCTCTCGAGGGCGTTCAGCCTGCCATCGCCCAGAATCCCACCTCGGCCGACTCGCGGCACCAAGACCTGCTGCCCAAGGGACCAGGCGCGAATCCACACCTCGCTGCGGTCAATGGCTACGACAATGTGGCAATCAAGCCTCTGGTCAAACACGTTATCTCCAAGGAGCTGCAGCTGTATTTTGACCGCATCGTCAGCGCGCTCGGCGATGCCGACAACGAAGAGTGGCGAGCGCAGGCATTGGGCAGCCTGCGAACGGACCCCGGACTGCACCAGCTGGTGCCGTATTTTGTGCAATACATAGCGGAGAAGGTGACACACAACATGAAGGACCTGTTCATCCTCACGCAGATGATGCACATGACGTCGGCGCTGCTCACCAACCCCAGCCTGTACATGGACGCCTACATCACCGGGCTGGTGGCGCCGGTGCTGACATGCCTGATGGGCAAGCGGTTAGGCACGGGCGCCGAGGGAAACCCGCTGGCACACTTCGACCTGCGCGACCTTGCGGGCACCATCATCATCGAGATTGCAAAGCGCTATGGCAACTCGTCGCAGACGCTGAAGAAGCGGCTGGCGGGCACACTGTGCAAGAACTTCCTGGACGATAAGAAACCGTGCGGAACGCACTACGGCTCGATCCTGGGACTGCAGGGCATCATGGGCCCGGACGGAGTCAAGTTCCTAATCCTCCCGAACCTCAAGCTGTTTGACGCGGTGCTGAAGGAGCGGCTGGCGGATGAGGCGACTAGGACCGAGGCGGACATGGTAGTGGCGGTGATCCTGCGCGGGCTGCAGTCGATGGAGCGCGGGGCAGCGCCATTGGCCAATGGGGTGGCATCGGACGAGGCAACAAAAGAAAAGCTGGTGGACAAGCTTGGGACGGTGGTGGGGACTAAGGTGCTGGAGCTGGGGCGCCCACGGCTGATTGCTCAGATTCTGGAGACGGACGTGTCGCTATGAGCAAAGACTGCTGGGCTGGGGCGTTCGGGAGGGGCAACGGGTAAAAAGAAGGTGCAAGCTATGCGATACCTTGAAGTGCGGCAACGGCGTTTGGGCGACGACTCTTCAGCTTCTTCCTCTCAAAGTCATGTAGATAGATAAGCGCAGCTACGCCGGAGCCGGCTAGGCAGCTGCATGCTAATGCAATGCGGGCGTGGGCTGTCAGCGTCAAAGCCATGTCGGAGGTGGCGCACAACATCAGCGCCGTGTCGCGTTTGCCGGTCAACACCAGAACGCCGATCGCAAGGCGGGCCAATGGCCGGGGGCGTGGGAGGTTGCTCTAACGGCGCGAGTTCTGGCTGCACGGCGCGCAGCGGATCACGCTGGGGCGCGCTTGGAGTGGCCGGCTGCGGCTCCCCCGCGTCTGCTCCTCCGACAACGCATCGCCGCAGCTCGCCGCCCAACCAGCTGCGAGCCGCACGCGATGACAGCGCATGGGCTGCAAGTCACTGGACTGAGCGAGCCGTGAGACGACCGCGCAACCATGGCCCGCGCTGACTCGCCAGCCCGCGCCCAGCTCCGCAACGCGACCTCGCCGCCGACGCCCGCCGCCGCCCAAGCCGACATGAGCGACCAGTCTACTCGTCCTCGAAACACCGATGCCCGCCTCCAGGCCCTGCCGCTCCCCGCTGGCCTCTGGGGCCCGTCGCCGTCCTCATCCACCACCGCCGTCTCGCAAGAGCCCTCGTCGTCTACCGACCCCTCGTCGCAGCGCTTCCCCGGCCTCCGCCAACTCTATAGCGGCGCCGCGTCCTGGCGCGCCTCGCTTCGCGGCAAGCCCAAGTCCACCACTACCGAGACGTCCGTCTCCTCGCGTCCCGTCATCGTTAGGACTTACTCCGGCGGTACCTCCTCATCTCGACGAGGCTCATCGCACCGTCGCGGCGAGTCCTCCTCGTCGCAAATGCCTCAGCGTCCTGTGTCACTGCCGCCCGCGGCCGACTTCTCGTTCGATGGAATTCTGCATGCTGTCGAGCCCGAGATCTCCGGTGCAATTGATGCCATTGCCGCCATCTGCGCCCGGAGCAAGCTCAGCCTGGCCGATGAGTATGCCGCCCACCGGCCGCCCCACGAGGTCCTCGACCCCGCAATACCAATTGATCCCCAGCAGCGCCAGCGCTGGTGGAGCGTTGTGAGAGACACCGCGCTGTCGGCCGTGCCCGAGGCCAGCAGCAGCAGTGAGCGCTTGGTCGGCAGCAGGACTGCCTCACGCGCTTCCGTCTCGTCCGCTGCCGGCCACAGCTCGCGCGGCAGGAAGAACTCGGCTTACGGTAGTTTGAAGAGCATTGTATCCGGAGACAGTCACGCTCGCAAGGGACTCGCTGCCCTTTTCGGCTCCAACGATGGCCATGCCGATGCCGATGACTATCATGAGCCCCCATCACCTACTGGATTCCACCATGCCGCCCATTGGATGGTGTCCGACTCCACTCACCCGTCCATTACCCTGTCCTCTGGCCCCGCCGCTCGAGCTGCGTCTCCGCGTGTATCCCTTGCCACTTCCGAAGAGCCTGTAGGTACGAGGGCGTCTTCAAGTCTTAACGGTAACGCAACAACGCATCATCTACCTCGTCCGCGTTCCACCTCTCTCCCGACATGGCTTCCATGGTCTAATGAGGGGACTCGTCTCACTGATCACGCTGCCCCAACTGTTCCCCGTAGGCCGGATGCTGGTACAGCAGCAGAGAAAAGCCTGAAAGAGCTCCTGCGCACAACCGGTCCATCCGGTGAAGGGCGAAAACCCATTGGATCGACGGGATAACGTCAATCTCACGTCCACGGGGCTATTGGTTCCTGCCGAGCACTTCGGTCCCAAACATCCCACGCCGAGTGACACGTGACCAAGGCAGCAACATCTGTATCCGTCCGCGCGCTATTCGTAGCCATGTTCCTCATGCGGAGTTAACTGACCAGACTCTATGCCCGGTCAGCGGATGTCCCGTTTGTCTTTCCCTGATCTTTTCGTCCAGCACACCCTCTATCACCTGTCTTGGCGTACATTTGACCTCTACCGGCGGCTTCATTCTGCTTTTAACAACACCCCTGTGCCACCATGTTGCCTGGTTTGTGCTTCTTTTGCGAGTCTGTACTCGGACCTCTAAAAATTGCTCTGCGCTACGACCTCCTCTTCAGCGCCAGCACGGACGATGAACAAAAAAGACTGCATTTCCACGGCGCTCTGCTTCATGACCTCAACTACTCTGTGGCTTGGATGGCGCTTCCCGCCAGGATATGAGGGCAGTGCTTTGTCTTTTTTTTTTCTTTTTTGCTTTTTTTTTCGAACATCCTTTCGCGCTTTGATTCTCTTCACGAGCTGGTCTTACGAATCCCCTTCCTTGAATGGGTAGATTGATGGCGTTTCGTTCTTGATTTGGCCCTCGCCGTATGGCAAAAGGGCCGGGAGGGACTTTTGCAGCGCTTTCTTCGCAGATGATTCATGACTTACGATTATCATGATGCAATGAATTATACGTTTCTCATCATGCGGGCGTGCCTGTGTGCAAGAAGCAATATTGATTTGGATATCTTGACTTTCTGGAGACCAGTGACTGTTCTTCCATACCGACCGAGGCATCCGGAATTGTTGAAGGTTCTTGGCACTATTGATGGTTGCCAAGATTTTCCTGTCGCGACGGAGTTTACTTCCTTCCTGGCCAAGGCTATCCAGATGACCTTTATATCTAAGGAGTACGCTATCGATCGAGAGAAGTCCCTCCTGTTCAGCTTTTCCTTGTTTGAGGCCTTGGGAAAGCTCATCACAACCGTTGTTGCATAACATGATGTCAGCATATCCTTCGCTTACCGTAACTCTTATGCGCAGTACAGTTGAGGAAGCCGAATTCTCCAAGAGACGGTCAACCACTCTGAACGTGAGAGCGACTTAGACATCGAATGATATGGTAGCTCCATGGTTTATATAACAAACACAACAAATAACTTTGCTTTCAAGGTTCGCTAGGACGTCTGAGGCTGAAAATCGCCCTTTCCGTAATAGTGACTTCCTCATTTACAGTGGCGGAGTATAGTGGTGCAGTGGTTACTACAGTCCCCTCTTGTGACCGATGGCTAGCGTGGATTTGTTTTTTGCTCATGCCATGGGTAGCTGAAGCTATTGTCCGGACGTGTATGTAGAATTTTAACTCCACACTCTCGGAGTCTCATCCGAACAATGGTTTCAACTACCTACATATGCTATTTTTCAAACGCAGAGCTGGGGCATAGTTATGCTACGATCTAAAGCCCTGCTGTTCTTCGCGCTAGCCATCGGCTGCGAGAGGGGGCTGTATCTTCAGTACGTCGTATCACTGTCGGAACTTTTTGTCTCACACCGCAGGCGCAGCTGACTTGTGGCTAGTGACACAGAGCCCACCATCCACAGATTTAAGTTGAGTTGAGTTTCACCATGCAACGAGCCATCACGGGGCGGCCTCCGCATGATCATATTCTAGGCCAATATCAACCAGCATGCAGATGGGCATGGGGAAAGCGAGCGTTTATTGGTCAACGAACAGGGATATATCTGGGCTGAAGAGAATGAGGCTATTTTTGAATGGAACACGGAGGCTATTTTAATGCAACTCTGCCACCGCAGCCTATTACTTGATAAAACAGATCAAGGACTTTGAAAGACTAGATAACTGATGATGTTGGTTTGAATATACCCCTTTCAGCTTGGACCGTCATGAATGTCTTTAGAAGGCATTGTGCTTGAGCCCGAGTATAAAGAGCGAAACCATCCGAAGCCCAAGCACGGAGAGTAGCGAGTCCTCTTTCGCCGGCTTCGCGAGCCCAATACCGAAAAGTCTGATCGTGTCCGATTGCCGGGCCGACCTTCGGCCTCCTCCCATCACGTTGAGGGCGAATGTCGGGATCCCCGAAGGAATAAGTGCCCGAGGGGAGCACCGATGCCAAATATGCAGCCTAGTGTGGCCCTCAAGGAACAAAATGCATGACCACATCCGGAAAGCCCACCCGAAGGGAGCTCGCGGAAAAGGCGATCCGACGAAGGGGCCCGTACAGGCGACGGTGTCGAAACCTGCCACCAGGACCAATAGAACCCCGGAACTGGAAGGGGCACCGAAGGATCCCGAAGAGCTCCTACAGTCTTCGGCGGAACAGGAAGCCCAGCCGGGTTGGGGCTTTCGGGGATGGAGTTACGCGATCGCCAACGCCAAGTTGGGCAACGCGCGTGAAGAAACCGCCGCACATTACCTTTTTAATCCATAAAATGCCAAACTGGAATCTAGCGGCAAGTGAAAGATGATGCAGTAGCATCCAAATCTGCCTCACTAGGCCTTGTGAAACTCCATTGCAAAGCTTTGGGGCTCTTGACCTAAGTTTAGTAACACTGCGCTCCAGAAAACAGCCGACTTGTCTAAGCTTTAAGAAACTAGAGCATTTAGGCAACATTCTAGATTAGGTCTTGGATTCATTGATCCATGAATGCAATACATGAGCCATCTCGTACAACTGAATTTCCGTGCAGTTCGCGCTTTGAGCGTAAGTATATAAAGAATCTTTGACAGCGTAAGCTACACGGGCACATTCGCAATTCACAACAGTCTTGCCATACACAATCAATCCACCCTTTTACGGGCCCGTCTGTCATATTTGACAAGATGAACAATTCCAACCTCGCACACGATGTTGGTCATAACGGGATTTACACTAGCTTTTGGATCAATTGGACGCGGGGCCGCATTTTTGGTGCGACAATCACGCTGACAACCCGCAACGGTGCCCTTTTGATCGCTTTCTTAGCTCTCTTTGCGAGCCTTGCTGGAACTGGCCTTTGGAGGATCACATGCTTCATCCTACACCACATCTATTCTATCGAGACTACCCAAGATGCTCTTCACCACCAACGTCAGCTGATATTGCGCAATTCTGCGAATGGAACGTCCGGCCTATGGAACTTGACACGGATAATCTGGGCTTGGAGTTCCAGGAAAGCACACAACTATTACAAACGATTTATGCCGCTATTCCTATTCACTCTCCTGCTTCTAGGTGCGTCTGGAGCGGCCAGCACGTTCTCTTCGAAGATACCGACAGCTATGGGCCACGAGGTGCTTATATCTAGTCGAATCTGCGGCTTTAACGACATAGCCGGCTATGATTACCTGGACATGCTTCGATACTTTTTTCCAATTCAGTCTTCTCTACTGGTATTAGCATCGAGTTATGCTTCACAATGCTATGCAAGAAATACGGAGGATGACAACTGTCTGCAATACGTCAAATTAAGGCTGCCCACAACGATAAATCGAAATGCGTCCTGCCCGTTCCAAGAAAAGGTATGCAAACTCAAACATGGTAATATCGTCTTGGATACCGGCTTTATCGACAGCCATCATGACCTCGGTGTCAATGCACCGGCTGAAAACGGAGTTCTATTTCGGATGGTTACCAGTTGCGCTCCACTGCAGACCGAAGGATTCAAGAGATCGGCCCCGCGAAACGACTCGGAACTCAACTTTACTTACTACTCGTATGGGCCCACATATTCTGAACAATTCAGGCGAGACCCTTTACGACAAGGCGCAACCTACCTGTATCCTGAGGTTTCAGTAAAGGAATTCCATGATGTAGAGCCTGGAAGTGAGGATTACACCATTTGGTCAGTGAATCTTGCATCTTGTCGGTACAAGGCTTTTTTTTTTTGTTTTTGACTCTGCTCCAGGACGGAATTTAGCAATGTCCGCAACGGCACATTAGACCTTGGTTCAACATTCGAGCCGATTCCAGAATTAGCGAGTTCCGATGCCGACCTTCAGATTCTCTTCTTATCCGCCAACAGAGTGAAATTTAATTCCAATTTGAGTGATCCATGGTATTCAGCACACCGAGAGATGGGTAAAATAGAAATAGTGGTGTCGGTTGTGGGATCTAGTGAACAGGACTTGCCACGAATTTACGGAGATGAGCCAGCATACCCTCTTGCGTGCAAAGTGCAGCGTCAGATCTGCAACCCGAATCTTCCTGAAGAAACGCGCTGCACACCACTCAGCGCACTCATATGGATGTGTTCAACCAAGCGGACGCCTTATGGGATATTCAGAAAAAATAAAAGGTCCTGGAATGGATCGTAAATATATTCATGGGTATCGTGGACGTGCCTTCGGTTGTTTCTGAACTTCGGAACCAGGCCTTGCTTGCCAGATCCTTTTTGAACTCAGGATTCCAGGAGCCGCTTCCGGATGATTAGTGGCAATTCGAAGTTGAAAGTTGGCATAACATATCCATGGCTTACCTCCAGAATCAGCCTGTCTCAATAGCTAATGGTCCTTCAGATCCTAAACCCTGCGGTATCTGTTTCCACCAAACGGCACGGAGCAGCACAACCTTTGCAAGAAACAGGCAAGCATCCGACCACTCTCCCAAGCAAATTTCCATGTCAATCTTAGCCCACTAACTTTTCTATGCTCCCCCTCCGAACAGAAAGTTTACTCCCGCCCCCATTTCAATTTCTCGGTCTTCTGGCTCGCGTTCACCCTCATCCTTAGCACCATCATCATCCTCCTTTCCTACACCCTCGAGATGCTAGTATTCTACCTTCGACACCGCTTCCGTCGCGACACCTACGCTCGTCTCGAGTGGGCCGCCAACGAAGCGCTACAGTTACAGCGTCTGGTAAACGAAGAACTTGGTATCGGCCCCTGGAAGGGCTGCTGCGATGCCGTGCCTGTTCCTATCGATGCAAGTGAGCGGCTCGCAATCCTCGATGCCTCGGACCCGAACCATCCACGGTTGAAAGCGCCCATGAAGAGTTTTGATCAACTGTTGGCTGCTGGTGAGACACTGGTGGGAGACGAAGGAGTAATTCGGGGTGCATGTGGAAGAAGGGAGGACTCTAGCAAGGTGGAAGAGCCAGCGATAGTCTCAGATACGGCGGTGTCAATGTCTAGTAGGAGTTCTGAGGGTGCGGCTGGGAACACAAACGAGTGATGTTGTGTTGCCGGTAGGAACGGGCATTTCCGGCCAAGGATTAGGGAATGGCTATGATGCTATAACTCAGTACTGGAGGGGCGCTCATTATCGGATGGCTTTGCCAGTGTGCACTCGTTTGGAGCTGTCTATTCCATTACGTATCGGGATCGTTGTCAGAGGGGAACCTGTCCTGTCGTTATCTCATCTCATTTCCTGCAGACATACCTAACAGCATCTGTGGCAACATGTCCAGCAGCTGACCTGTCTACCTTCCGATTAGGCAATTCTTCCTTCCGGTCTAGACGCATCCAGCTCAATATCACTGCTGAGGCCGCACTACGCCAGCGCTTTGACCTGAGATCTTCACTGCAAGACCACAAAGCCAGACATGCTGACCGTGCGCTTAGTGTAGTATGTGATGGGCACCCGCAGCCAGCAACTTTTTGCCGCCGAGGACCGGAGCACATTACATTCGCGTTGCGCCGTCGGGCTATTGCTAAGGCCGAGACCGATTCACGGCGTAAAACCTGCGCAAATTACGTTTTACAATTTGTGCCCCCTTCTTCAAGGAAGTTGAAAGATCTTCGTTTAAGTCCACCACCGAAGAAGTTGCGTTGAAGAGTGCGAAATCTTCGTAGTAGATGGCTCTTTGTTGTAGCTGTTGTCCCATCGGCCGACAAGCGCGGATCCGACCACACCAGCTTGGCAGATGGGAGATAAAGTCATGGCTCTGAACGGCCGGGCTGTTTGCTTAGGCCATCACGTACTCTTACGCACGTAGTGCGACTGTGAGGCTCCGCGCCACCGGAGCTGCGTCTCTGCGGCGAAAGCGCCCAACGAAATTGTTTTGTTCGATGATCATTTCTGAATTTATCTCTGGCGCGTCAAACATCCAGTTAGCCAGAACATGCCAAAGCTTGAGCCGCCTGCAAGAGACACAGGAGGCTGGGTTCCACCGCCTCGAGGTGGATGCTTGATTGATTGCACTTGGCATCGGGTGTAGCCCATGCGTTCATGCCTAACAGGCCTAACAGGTCTGCGTGACGGAATAGGAGAGGCAGAGAGAAGGAGCACAATGTCTCAATTGAGGACGATGGATGGTGTGGGGCCAGCCGTGAGCTCAACAGTAACGGAACACGAGGTGGCGAAGGGGGGATACAAGGGCACATCGCTCACTCAAAAGCATCTCACGGTATCTGATAGTTCTCTTTTCCTTTGCGCCCCCCTTTTTTGACCAGAAGCAAAGTCTTCTAGAGATCCGAATTTATTACCTACGGCTATTTCAAAGGTGAAGCTAGACGATTATTCCCCTCCAGGCCAAACAATCGATTATGCTGTATTACTAAGCGTTTCCCTGCCTGGTTGGTCGGAAATGCAAGAAGGGCCTTTGTTGCAATGAACATCTGATATAAGCAAATTGAAAATGCGGTTAACTATTCTTGGTTGCGAAGGGTATTAGTGATTAAATGGTACTGTCAAACTCCTGAGTCTGGTATCCACAGCATCTGGTGAACGACCCCCTGACAGTAAAAGGAATAAAGATATCGCCATATGAATCATCTGCTCTGTGCAAGGATGGATGATGAAGCCCAAAACACATTGAACGGAAATAGAAGCCATACATCCCGCTGCATGAGCACACAGCCGCATGTTTATTCCCGAGCAGGTGACACCATGTCACTTCACCGTTGCACCGTGAGATGGGAGAGCCCAACGACTTTACCCATGTCAGACGATGCTGATTGTCGACCCTGTTCCCTACCGTGGTCATCTTCTCGATGCGAAAATGCGGGCAACGTCCGCGTATTTCCGCATGACCTGGATTCCCAGGATTGTAGGCCGCCACGAAGACCCTGAATTCCCCCTCTTTCGCCACTATCTCGATTCTCGATTACGAAGAGACGCAGGTGATAAGAACAAAAGTTTGCAGATGCAAGGCTCGTAATGTTGCATTTCCGGAAAAAGAAAACAGGTAACAAAGAAAAGTCAAAAGAATGGGTTCCCCGCGTTACTTATATGCCTGTCGCCGCCGAAAGTACCCGGTACCTTGCTGATTGCAGCGTGTATATGTACGGTACCTTGGTGGGTGGGTCCAACGGAGGATTGGTGCATATTGGAGCCCAACTCATGGTTTCCCCATATATGCAATCAACGCGCCACCGCCGAAAGACGCCATTGGCGGATCCACGCCGGCAGTTGGCGTCATTACAAGTTGTAGTGGGGCTACGTGGAGGATGAACGTGCGGTCTGCGGAAGTACAAATGAGGCAAGACGGAGGGGGAGAGACGAGACATGGGGGGGAGGCGACCGAGGTTGGCCGCGTGCCTGGTTGGCTGGGCTCGGTTGGCCTGGCTGAAATTCTGTGTCACAATTCGCTGGCCATGCGGCTGCAAGGCCTGTCCAGGTGCATCTCAGCCATGGTTACACAGAACCGAGGCCCCCCAAGCTCCGAAAGGACCCTGACCCTGTGTCAGACGGAGGGGATGCTTTGTCAGTCAACACGGTACTTTTTCCTCGCTTCGCCACGTTTACCCCACAAGTTCCGTGGCGAAGGGAAAAAGGAGGAGGAGTGGCAGAGTGGTGGGGCGCAGGCGCCGTTGGGTGGCGATGGCTTGTTTCTTCTGCTGCTTAAACGGACCTGCGCTCTTTTCTCGTCGTCGCAAGCCGTCGTTCGGAGCTACCGAGAGCATCCCATGACTGCTCGTCGATCTTTCTTCTGTTACCGGAAATAGGGTTGGTGTTTATTTGATCACGCTGTGAGAAACACGCCATGGATGCGGTCTCTGACAGGCTCCGTCTGCCGTTTCGAGAGGGCCGCACATGTGTTTCCTGGTGCGCAGGCATGCGTTGTTCTTGTGCTGCCAGCCGATGCTGCACTAAGCCGACGCACGACAGGAGACAGTGACCTACAGCGTCGCGCAGTGCCGAGCTGGCGCTTAACCAAGACGCAAGCTAACGAAATTTGCCCACTAAGAGCAGAGAGAGCTTACCGCAGCTGAGCTGCACTCCGCGACGGCCCGGTCCATTCGCTGAGAAATCCCGGGTCAATGACTTCGCGTTCTCTCCATGTCAACCACGGTTCGAGATCGAGACAAAGGTCGTGCTCTCGGCTTCTCACGAAAAGATAACGCGGCTGCGCTCTCGCCATGCAGGGCCGGCCTCGTACGCTGTACATACGTATGTACGTCCTCGTGGTGGCTTGGTTTCGGCCCCTCCACCCAACACCGTCGAGAGCACCCGCGAGGCGAAACTTGCAAGTAATTCCATCCGCAATTGCATCAACAATGCGCAAGAATATCCAGAAGTGGTCAAAAAGTGAGGCTTTGCCAAGTCCTCTGCATGTCTCGAGCCACAGGGGCGGAGCGCAGCAGACCGACTCGACGAGGCCGAGCGAACCAATGATGGTCGGCGTGCCCCTCATGGTCAGACGGGGTCGAGGGGGGGACGGGCCAGGTCCACAAGGAAGAGGCAAAGAAACGTGTGACCCGCCTCGGGAGCCTTCCGGCGCGGGTAGTCGCAGAGACAAGGAAGAAGTCAATGCTGTTCCTTTCGCCGCACTACTACTCTTTGCCGCCGCATGGCGGCCCGACTTCAGTCGCACCAGGTACGCGCTCTCTGCTTGCCCTTCTGCTCCACCAGTCAGAATTGTGCCGTCCCTACGCGAAGTGGACACACTTGCAGAAGCGCCGGGGTGCAGAAGCGCATGCAGGCCACCATCCCGGCAATGTCGATTATTACTCCCTTTTTTTTTTTCTCTCTCTCCCTTGTGTGTGTATAGGTTTCCCCGGATGCCATCCCTGTCGCGCTTGTGCGGACGAGGCGATCTTCCGCTGCATGGCCACCCGGCGATCCCCCTCGGCCTCCCGTCCTACGCGAGTCTGATCGACGGCTCGTTTTGGCTAAATATACCCGTGACATCAAATTCAACGGTGAGATTCGACGCTGGCGCTAGTGCTGACGTGGAGGCTGGCTTGAAGAAGTGGGAGGCGCAGAGTGACGTATAGATGGCACGCGGGCTTCGTTAGTATAGTGGCCTTGCAGATATTCTCACACAAGGTTGGTTGCTCAGATTCTGGCTAATATGTAATACATTCGCTCATCTAGCTAACTGGAATAAGGAATGTTGCCGCCGGAGGGAGGACACAGTAACGAAACATCGGTTACCCTCGCTTGAGGGGTCGGAAATAAGAAGAGGAGAATCGAAAGCCCACCTTTGCACCCCCCTCACATGATCATCAAACTTGTCCATGCCGCTAACGCTGTAGATGCATCTCGCCACTTTACCTCAGAAAGGCCTCCCAATCATCATGTCCTTGCGTACCATTACTGTCGTGATAAGTCATCCTTTACACGATGAGCAAGCTCGGCTGTGTTCATCGATTGCTCGCTCACTTCCGGCCGTTGGCATGGTGCTGGCGCAGAGCCGGGTCATCCCACTGGTCCTGGCCGGGGTTGGCCTCCTCGTAGCGCATGTGCTTCAAAGTCTTGTAAAGGCCAGCCGCGATGATGGCGCCAACGCCAGGTCCGACCCCTGTAAACGTGTGGTCAGCCCTTGATCATTGGATATTGCGGAAGCGCTAATGCAAGCAAGTAAATACGTACAGTAGATCCAGTGCTGGGTCCAGGTGCCGCTGACGACGGCCGGGCCGAAGCTGCGGCAGGGGTTGAGGCTGGCGCCGGTCCACTGCACGCCGACGAGGTGGGCGGAGAAGAGGCACATGCCGATGCAGACGGGGGCCATGAAGCGGCCCTTGTGGTTCTCGCCCGCCAGCATGAAGATGGACATGCACAGGTATGCCGTCAGGATGAGCTCGAGGCAGACGGCCTGCGCCGTCGTCGCCCCGTTGGACGGCGCCGTCACGACGCCGAACTTGGTCGGGATCAGGACCGAGACGATGACCGACGCGAACATGCACGCCAGCATCTGCGCGATGAAGAGGACCAGGCACCGCATCGGCGGGATCGAGCTGGTGAGGAGCATGGCGAGCGTGACCTGTTTGCCTTACTGTCAGACATCCCCCCGGTCCAGGATTGTGAAGTGAGACGCTTACTGCAGGATTGAAGAGACCTCCCGACACACGGAAGAAGATGAAGACGTTGACCATCAGGGACAGGCCGAAGCACAGCGAGATGTACAGGATGGTGGCTGGGTCAAACGTGTCCGTCTGTTCCGTCGCTGAGCCCCATTGGGCGACTTCAGTCCCCGCGAACGCGAAGAACAAGAAGGACGCAGTGCCCACGCATTCACCAGTGAAGGCAATGGCGTCTTGCGGGAGTGCTCGTGTCAGCTTTCCGGGCTGGCGAAGGCCTGATGGGGGCAGAGAATCTTACGGTTCTTCCAGGGGGACCTCCCGAATCCACTGTCCATGATCTTGTTGAAGGGGAACGGGAGTGGCTTGAACTCAGTGTTGACCTGAAGGCCAACCTCGTCAATCTCTGGGCTCGTCCGGTGGTCGGTGGCCGTGGTCCCCTCAGAGTGACGGATGGCCTTCTCGTCTCCATTCCAGTGGTGGCCAGCCTCAGTAGAGGGCCCGTTGTTGTAAGCGGAGGATGACATGGCAAAGATGATCCAGGAGCGGGCGACAGAGGTGCCTCTTTGATCGCGGAGAGAGCAGGAAGCAAGGGCCAATGGCAGTCTTGTAGTTGAGAAGTGATGTCTGAGGGGAAGGAAGCTGGAGGCGGCGTACCTCGTGCCGCCTTTTAAGTTTGTCCATGAGGCCGCGGCGGGGTTTTGCTTCTACGGACGAGTAAGAGCACATCCCAGCTCTCTGGTGGCCACGACGGTCAGTCTCGTCCTCCACGTCATGCCTTGGGCAGCTTCGAGCAATAGGACCTGCAGTCTTCTGAGGCGGGTCTTACAACAGCGTTCCAGCGGAGGCCGGTGTCTTGGGCATCATCGCGACGTCTCTAGAAGATCGGAGATCCCTGGCCGGCGGTTGGCAACCATAGGGGTGGCTCCGGCCATGCTGTTGGTCGAGCTCGACATGGGCTTGTCCTACAAAAAGCAGCTCGACGTATTCCCGACGGGGAAAAGAAATGTCGGCTCATTAGACACGGGGTGGCAGGCGCATGAGGGCTCAGAGAGCACAGGGAGCTCCCCAGTTGGCATTATGGCGAGACTCCGTACCAACGGGGAGGAGTGCAGTGCGCGGTGCTCAGAGACCTGGGGGCAGCCGCTGCAGCCTGGCGACAACATACGATACGTCTCCCGAGAGCTGGCTCCTGTGGCCCCGCAAAACAGGGCAACTGTACGCTGGCCGCCGCACAGAAGAGCAATCCTTTGTCCGGGGAGCAGTTGAGGGAGAAGTGCCTGCGCCAGCCTGCGCCCCCTTTCGGAGAACCAGCCCGGCGGCGGACCCAAGTTCCTCACAGGGTCCGTTTTTCGGCGGCATTCATGGCTGCTCGCCATCCGGCACGAACTGTCAAAACGTTGTGGCCGTGGTACGTGGGTGTCGGGCTGGTTGCACAGCGTCGCGCTGCGACGTGTGGCAGGAAAAAGCAAATTGAAAGACTCAGCTCCACCGGGCGGCCAGGATCGGGCGGGACTTTGACCTCGGCCAGCGTCTTCCCATGCTGCAAGGCGGTGGACGACTTCTGGTGAAGATATGGTGCTTCGGCGCTGCTGTCTGCGAGGATGCGAGGCGGCGACAGGGGGAATGCCAGGGATGTGATAGGGCAGCCATGCAAGGTCTTCCTTTTGTGGCCACCTGCTCGACAAACGGTTCTTGGCGCAATTAGTTGGGTGCCATTGCAGAGCGGGCTGGAGGTTCTGCGGAGGCGTGCAGGCAAGAGGGGTTTCCGCTGCTCTCCACAACGGCCTCCGGCTGTGGCGGCGACAATTCGCGCAGACGGCTGGAAAAAGGAAAAGCACAAAGCCACCAGGCCCTCTAGCCGCGGGGAACCTCCGCAAGGCGCCCTTATCGATTGCCCCTCCTCAGCACACCCTCAGGTAAATTACCGTTTCGGGAAATGCGGGCTCGTGCGTCATCATGGCGTTGGCTCAAGCAGCATGACGGGCATGTGTCTCAGCCGCCGGGACCGGACCAGCCCGTGGACGCAATGATCACGAAACGACTCCCGCACCCGTCGACTCGCTGGGTCCCGGCCTTGTCGGCCGCCTTGTTCCCAGCGGCCCGGCGCCCATTCCGTGCTCCCAGCACCATTGCGAATCCGGACTCGGGCCCCCTATCCCGGTGCTGGCCGTCGAGTGTTGTCCCTTGGCAGTCCATGGGATCGCGATGGCAGAGCAGGTGTGGCGGTCATCCATCTTGCGATTGATTGCAGTCTTGGTCCATCTCACCTCAGATCGATTTCCTCGACGCTGCATATGCAATCTCATATGACTTGATTGCCCGGTGGAACCATCAGCTGGACGGCTTGTAACAGCACTGGGCTGTCACAGCGGCTTCATTTTCGCCGGGATCCTCACCGTCACGGACATCCTGCAATGGCCCGTCGGCTGGCAAGAGGCACCATCCTGGCAAAGTAAAAGGAAATCCAGTGCATCAAGAAACGTTCAGCTTGCTACGTGGCCTCCATGGACTCAGTGTATCGGATGGCAATTCAACATCACAGAAAGACAAGAATGCCACCAGATGCTTTTCCCGGGTGGATGCGTGGAACACGGCCAGTGTCCCGGTACTCTATGGGGGATTGGCAGCTACCCTTCCCATCCACGAAAGCTACCTGGAACAGATTTTAGGTGGGAGTAATGGCCGGGATATTCAGAAGCAGAGGCCAGGGTCCACCTGTATTCCATCGTCCGGCTTTCCCTCCGGTATAGTTCGAATTCTCGTAAGCTGTGCCTCGTGTCAGACCCGGCAGAAGCTGATACGACAAAGGGGCCTACCTGCAGACAAGATGCCTATGTCCTACGACTGCCGCTGGCATCTCATCATGTTCTCACTGACTATGCAGCAATAGTGTGTTCTTCGCTCGTACTGTCATTGACGAGGGGGCCGCTAGCGTGGTCAACGAGACACACATGGAAAGGCGTCTGATCGAGTTGTTTGTAGAGAACGGCGCAAGCTTCTGCTTCAATACGTTATCAATCTGCGACGTTCATACAGAAACATGAACGAAACACTGGTTCTAGTCTTGTACTCAGCGGGTGTTTCAAACCACATCGCCAACACGAGACTCTGAGAAGTTTCTTCCGTAGCAAACCCTAGCGACGTATGGAGGAAATTTCAGTTCTCATGAGTTGTGGCGTCGTTTCTCTAGCAGACGTTGACGAAGTTTGGACTATGGACCTACCGGTCGCGGACCGATAGTACCTGCTGCGCCCGACAGGGAGAGATTCTGTCAGCACTATTCGACGCCCACAGTCGATAAGGTGTATGCAATACATAAGATACCAGACGACGTTACTCTTGGGATTCTTATTTCCGCTGGCCATATGTCAAGTCACCCCTCTTGGAGACAGCTCTGACAGAAGGGTTTGCGCAGAGGAGCGCGTAGCTAAAAGCGCTTCCGAAGGTAACGAGACCTATCAAGTGGGCGGTGCCTCGGGGCTTGGGCCAGCGGTAAAGATAGCATTACGCGCGCGGGAGCTCTGGAAAGCTTAGAAAAGCCAGTTGGAATTGGGAATGATGAGGCGGAGGTACCTGTTGTTGCAGCTGCCATATAACACCGGCGCTGCTCAGACCGCAAGAATATTGCTTTTTCCAGCGACCGTTGCGCAATGCAAAACCCCTCCACGATCGATGATGGGAAAAGCAACAGCGAGTCGCCGATAAATGAATTTTGCGCTCAACCCGACGACCAGAGACTGCCATACATATTCGACAAGGGGCCCGGTTGAGGATCAGACTCGCCATGATTTGGTTTCCCGGCCATTGGATGCGATGGAACAAAATCCGATGCGTGTTTCGGATGAGTGCTGTAGGACGGGACGAACTGGCGAGAGGAGGCGTCACGTTTTGCGACCTTCCTTTTTGCGGCAATGCGACTGCCGATCGCCCGCAATGTCCTACAAAATGCATCTTTGTTGTCGCAACGGACATTACGGTGGTGATAGCCGGTGCATGGATTGAAGATGCTACAAAACCAAGACTTCAGAGCCCAGATACTTGGAATCTTAACTGCCAGGAGCCTTACAACGCCATTGGCATCTTTTGGAATCGAAGACACAAGCTGACGGCTTGCTGCAATGTTCAACTCGATAGGCTAGAAGTGGTTCCGTGTTCGCCAAGTAGCTGCACAGGAACTAGCTCCGGCAAGATCAAAGCATGAACGTCACGCAAGAAGCCACCAAGGCAGAAGAGGATCAAACTAATGGCTCGCAGGTCGCAGCAAGCACAAGCGCTTACTGAGCTACTAGAGTGGCGTTTTGTAAGCGTTATATAGGGCTCTTAAGATCTATAACACCTGCTTAGCGCTTAAAAAAATGCCTCGTTGATCTGAGACTTTTGCTCGTAAGCGTTTACTAAGTGAAAACGGCCGCTCTTCTTCCCATAGTCAAATTAGCTCGCCCCGCTTTCTTGGTAGCTTCCGAGCAAACAAGAGCCTCTATCAAGCTCAACCCGCCAAAGATGACCTTCTCTTGTAGGCAAGAATTATCGTCTGCATGCCTTGATCGAGCCACAGCACACAACGCCTTTGCTCGACGCGCGTTATACGATCTGGACAGGAGCGTACCAACTCACCATGAGCCAATTCTTCATGCGCCGCTCAATCGACCCTTACCCGCAGCATCCGGGCACATCCGGTGCCGCTGGATAAGCCCAACTTCGAATGCGAACGTTGCGAATTATGACGACATCGGTGACGTATCGAGGTGGGCCGGCGAACGTTGATAAACATCGCGGGAAGCCGCGCGCCCTCAAGCAACACAAGCATTGAGAGCCAAGACGAGATCTTCGCAAGCAGCATGGCGCCGAACACCCAAGCCGATCCTATCGCGTACGAGCAATCTGTTTTCCAGGCTGGCCTGCACTCAGCTCGCCCGCCTTTCACCTTCCAGCCGTCGAAATGGGAGGAAATGGCCCGGAACGTCCTATCAGCCAACTCCTGGGGGTACATCCACGGGAATGCCGGCGCTGGACAGACGTATCAGAAGAACCTGGCATCTTTTTCTCGTTGGTCAATCGTCCCGCGGCGCCTCGTGCCGAGCCGTAAGGATGAGAATGGGAATGAGCTCTTCAGCAACACCGCGACCACGGTGCTAGGCCAGAAGCTGAGATTTCCCGTTGCGATAGCGCCGATTGGAGTCCAGAGAATCTTCAACCCGGATGGAGAGAGCGCTACGGCGAAGGCTGCGGCATCGGTCGACATTCCGTATACTCTCAGCACGGCGAGCAGCACGAGCATCGAGGAAGTTGCCAAGGCCAATGGAGATGGCGTGCGCTGGTATCAGCTGTATTGGCCAAGCCGGGAGCACGACGATATCACCATCTCCCTGCTGAATAGGGCAAAAGCAGCAGGATACACAGCCCTCTTCGTCACCCTGGATACTTACGTGCTAGGCTGGCGGCCGTCGGATATGGACAACGGCTACAATCCTTTCATTCATGCAGACAGAATTGGTGTGGAACTCGGCTTTACCGACCCAGTTTTCCGGAAGAAGTTCAAGGAGAAGCATGGCTACGAAATCGGCGAAGCCACGGACCACGAGCCGTCTGACATGGGCCGTAGCATCTCTCAAGCGGCACAAGAATGGACAAAGATTGTATTTCCCGGTCATTCACACAGCTGGGAGGATTTGGAGCTCCTGAAGAAGCACTGGGATGGTCCTATCGTGTTCAAGGGCATTCAAAGCGTTGGCGACGCGAAGAGGGCGGCTGAGGCAGGAGTCCAGGGAATCGTTGTCAGTAACCACGGAGGCCGACAACAAGATGGTGGTAATAGCAGTCTAGGAGTCCTGCCGCGGATTGTGGACGCCGTAGGAGACAAGCTGGAGGTCATGTTCGACAGCGGAGTTCGGTGTGGGGCGGATATCATGAAGGCGCTCGCTCTTGGGGCAAAGTGCGTCTTCATTGGCCGGCCATATGCGTACGGACTTGCGATTGGGGGTGAAGAGGGTGTTAGACACGTCCTTCGAGCAATGTGCGGCGATTTGCTCATGAACATGCATCTTGCTGGGGTACGGGATCTGGACGAACTGACGAGAGATAATCTTGTGAAAGAGGACGAGTTGTTTTAAAGCACGCGTCGACAGGAGAGTGTACAGTTTCGTCTAGCGAATGGATACATTGGCAAGGGCTCAAGAAGGCAGACAGAGTAATGGCTTGGTGGTTTTCTGAACGCACCATTGCACGAATGTAAACTTTATGGTGTCGATAACCTTGTCGTGATTGGAACTTGTAAACCTTGCGGTCAGACCTCCGTTCCGGCGACGCCACAGATCGGCATCCCGCAGCGAAGGCATCGGTATGTAACAGCCATGTGGCTCCAGGCATGTCAGGAGCGGCCGCAAGCCTACAACAACGGCGTAGAGGGGTGGTGAGCCGGAGATGCAGCCGATCGGGCGAAAGAGCGTTGGACAAGTCAAGGGGCGGGAAAAGGATGCAAGTCAGGGTCGGCAGCATCGTATTGGCCCCCAATAGGAAGAGCTGCCGGGCACTCCGCAATGACTGACAGCAGGATGCACGGGAGAAGGGCCGAGCCGCTGGACGACGATTCATTCCCCTCCGGGCTGACCGGACGTCTCCCAGATGCGACTCGCCAGAAGAGGAGGCAGCGGTCGAGCGAGGGGCGGGATGACTTGCATTTCTCGCCAGGCAGCCAGCCGATCGAGATAGTGGCTTCGGGAAGGAGTGCTACGTGCCGCGCTGCGTTGGGGCGAGGGAGGTGGGAGAGGGTGGTGAGAAGGGTTGAGAGCGAGGCACGGAAGGGCGGCCAAGTGGCAGCCCTCGAGACAAGGCTGAGAAGGCTAAGTGGCTAACGGCTTACAGGAGTTGGATCGACGGCGGCAGGAGCGACCGAAGAGGCGCGCGCGCCGAGCACTTTCTTGAAGTATCTAATTACGGGCGTATCAACAGGCAGCGGCTGCTCCACCGGCGCAACCCGCGCGGCGCAGTCCAATCTCGAGAAGGCGGGATGGCAATCTAACGGCGGCCACGCGACGCCTGACAGCGCGTCCAATCACCACCATCAGCCCTGTGGCACCCGTCTCCCCGACTCGCGCCAGCACAAACACCGCGCCATCACGCCGCCGAGTCTTCCGCGCGCTGCCGACACTACGTCCTCGAGCTGCCGATGGCCGGATCGCCGATGCTGGAGAGCGACGGCGCGACTGCTAGCCTGCGCCCGCCGTTGCGTTTTCGCTGGAGCCCCTGCAGATCGCGCCGCACAACGAGCCTCTCGCTGGCCCACCGCAGCTGGCTGCTGGCTGCTGGCAGTTGGCCACTGGCCGCCCGGGGCCCTCTGTCTCCGCACGTACGCCGCTGGCCGGGGCTCCTCCATGAAACCCGCCGGCATGTGCGGCTCGCGGCGTGGGACCCGCAACGGCACTGCTCCAACTGGGCTCCTTCCCTCGCAGAAGCTTATTCATGTTGGGCTCCCGCCCAGGCTGCGCGAGTCCCAATGCGCGACGCTCTCTCCACCACCTACTGAGCGCCGGCCGGGGCAGACGTCGAACCCCTCCGACTATATAACCTCGCCCGCCGGGCTGTCGCACGAAGTGCTTTCCTCAGCCCGCTTCCCTCCCAGCCGCCATGTGCACCACCATCGTTCATTCCTACGGCTGCGGCCACAAGATCACCGAAAAGGCTCCCTGCGCCGCCTCCAGAAGCGCCGCATGCGGCGTCTCCAACACCAAGAACATATCCCACGGTGGCAATTGCGACAAGTGCGACCAATAACACGTACGCCGCCTCCCTCGTCCTCATGGCCCAATTGCTCATGCTCGCCCAGCCAGCCTGCGCTGCGCTGCGCCGTCACACCGCTCGAAATTGAAAGCTAGCAGCAACATACAGCTTCGAGTCATGGCCCTGTCCCTTCCTAGTCGTCCGCCGGCACCCGGTCGCCCGGGCGTCGACAGCCCTCCTCTCGTTGTCTCCGGAGCTCTCCTTCGCAGCCAAGGACGCCTCGCCATCTCCCACACGCCGCACCACCTACCCCACCAAGCCAGACCACCGACCGTTGGACTAGCCGCATCTCCTCTGGACGGGCGCCGGACGAGCTAAGCTTTTTCGGAATGTCGGAATTACGGAACCGCCCGTCGAATCGCCTCGTGCGGAACCAGCGTCGCACACAAAACACTTCGCACACCCCGGCCAACTTTTTTTTCTCGCCAAGTGGATCTTGTCCGTCTCGCCATTTTGTGCCGCAGAGTCATCCCACGACTTGACTGCTGGTTCAACTTTTGACGTTCGCCCTGCAGGCCAATCGGCACCCGCGGCACGCCTTAAGCAATGCACGACGACTCGCGCCGCCAGCTCTATCACCAACCATCTATTGCCCTAAGCATGGTCACAAGCCGGCAATCGTCACCTTGTTGTGGAGACGCCCGTGGTACAGCTCATTGATCGTCCTGCTCCCGTCATTGCCAACGCACGCCTGTATCGGCAACCACCTCTGCCGTCAAACCTTCTTTTCTTGCAGAACCGCGCGTCCCGGCCGATGCGCGTCTGCGGCGGCAACAGCAAGAGTTGGCGGAAATGGCTATAACACGAGGTTGATAATACCCCACCAGCAAGCAGGCTTTTCCCTGCCAAAGCACCCGTCCCGTCCCCACCTCCCGACCTCCCCCCTTCTTTCCGCATATGCACGTCACCTACTACAATCGTTCCCCACATCCAGGGCCTACTACACGCCTCTGCCGTTGGAGTTTGGATAGAACGAAACACGAAGAACCAAGGAAAAAGACACGGCCGTTGTTTAGAGCACATAAAGTGAAAGTTTTCTTTATACCCCTTGTTTTGGTCCATTTTGTTTAGCGGTATCTGTAGGAATAGGAATCAAAAGCACTTTTCGACATCCACTCCAGAAATTACTTTGCCATCACCTTCCGCATCCGTCACGATAAACGGCTGGGCCTCTGTGTGATTTCAAGGATCTGCAGGCAACAATCAGTGTGGGGCGCACTCTTCCTTCCGGTAGGATCCCGCCACCGTACCCGTATCCGATTATGCTTTTGCTCTACTGTAGCCGGCCGTCGGGCAGCCGTTCCAGAAGTCAATAGTTGCAACACCAACATGTCTCAGCGCTCGAGACAGCAGCAGCGCCTTTCCTTAATGGCCAGATCTGCCGGGTGGGGCGGGCAGGTAGGCGGCCCGAGTCAAGGCATCGAATGATGCAGAAAATAGACGACGTTGGGCATCCATCGAAAGCGACGGCGAGTGTACGTGCACCATCGCGTTCACATGCTCCACGAGAAAAGGAATCTCGGAAAAGGTGGTGCTGTGCCACGTGCCGGGGTGACATGCAGCAACTTTTTTTCCGGCGGCCTCTTCCTCTCTTGCCATCCCATCTCCACCGTAGATCAACTCGCGACCAACGGCGATTTCCCTTCGGTTCCTTCGCGCCGGTGGGCTCGTGCTGCAAACATGCTTTGTTGTTCCATGCTCCAGTTGTGATGGGGGCCAAAATATCCTATAGGGGGCGTGCGAGACAAGGAAGCTCGCATGGCTAAATCTAGAGTACAGGGAAAAGGAAGAAGGAACGGACCAGGGGGAGATACCACCGAACAAGTGGGGATGCGAGGAGGAAGCCCGCGGCACAGCGGACTGGAACCGATCGACACTGAGTTTGTTAGGCGGCACAGTCTCGCCTTCGCCTCACTAGGTGTGCGACCTGACTGCGTCTTTCTCACGGCACCAGCGCACAATTTCGCAGTGCTTTTTCTTAAGGGGTTTCTCCTGCTTCTGTACATATCGCGGACGCGGTGCTGCATAGGTTTGATGCCAAGGGATCGGGGCGCAAGCCGTGTAGATGGCTTCGGCTGGCCAGCCCTGATTTGTCATGTGGCGAGGGCGGCGTATTACTGAACAACAGAGCGAGACCAAGATGTGGATGTCGAGAATGTGGGACGAGAATACGTGGTGTCCAGGTATCGTCGATTGCGCTCATTATGCAAAGTGACTGTTGCTGCCTGGTCAGGCTACCACCGATGGAACCATCTGGACAGAGAGACTCCAACATTGTTGCGTAACTGGACGCGCCGGCCCATTTGAAGCGATCGCGCATGGGGCCCTCGGTGCTCCTCGGTGTTGTTGAATTGCCAACCGCCCGCCAGGTACTGACGAAATTGAGCAACGCTCCACACTTGTCGTGTCAACAGCCGAAGAGCATCGTGGCAGCAGCTCCACTCAGCACAATCGTGCTGATCTCATTGCAGATCTGCACCTGAAGACTGACAGGTTTACACATTCGTTCGTAATCGTCGGTTTTTCAGCACTGGCAACCGAGTTTTGTCCCCGACGATTAGTTATGGTGGATCCCAAGCTAGGCCACACCACGTGGTCTGCAAGACCTGCACACTCGGCGTGTAGCTCCAAAACTTGAACTAACACGAAGAACTTTTCGATGCAGCGATCTGTGGAAGCACTCCTATATTGTGACCAAGAGCATGCGTCAGTGCACTCCGTCTCTTTCCAAGTAGGCTCCTAGTACATGAGAGATTTGGGAAACGATCGCGACTAATAATGCAGAGGCCAACTGCTCCATCTCAAAAGAGGAATTCAATTCAGCTTCGTGCGCACGGTAACAGCTACAGAGGGCATTGGGCGTCTCGTGCGAAATGCACTAAAGGCGCAATGCGAACACATCACGTCCGACCACCTCGGCCTGTGCTACAATACCTACAGGTTGTCCCAAGATCAGAGAATGTTTGCGTCATTTTGGAAGATGCAGTATCCAATTTTCTTGCTTATGCAACGCGTCAACGTTTATATTACCGCGAGTACCAAATCCTTCCCACGCTACGGGTTTGAACGTCGATCGCTAGCAAAGTGCCGCACCATCTCCTGAAGCTATAAAACCCAACGGTGCAACAAGTTTCCATTCGAGGCACACATTTATTACTCTACCACGATATAACAGCCTCGTTCTCGGGCCTTATATTTCCAATAGTCGTCAGAAAAAGGTGATCGACGTCTGAGCACACATAGCTGCAATGCCAAGACGGGCGGCGGACCAGTAATCTTACGGCGGGGGAAAGGGTCCGGTCGGGCAGCAAGGGCCGGCAGCTATTTTTGCCGTCGAGAGGGCTGTTGTCACGAGAGGGCAAACCTCCGCCAAGGCGTTGGCTCGGCGTCTCACATACGGGCTGGATATAGTAACGGCCGGCGTCGTAAACTGCCGCGCGGTCTCCAATAGATGAACGGAAGCCGAGGCGGCTCCTGCCGGCGGAAGTCGCTTGGCGGGCCCCGCGGGTCTCACCTTCCTAGCCTCATTGTCACGCGACGAGGCGCCGAAGCAACGCGCGTATCTCATTCCGCTGTGCGCCAGGGCGGAAAAGCACGGCCTGACGGAGACAGCCAGGGGGCGCTCGGCGGGAGAGGGTCTAAACGCCAGGTAGGACAAGCGCGCTCCCCAGATTCCGCTCCCCGCCTCCGAGAAGGCCCCGCGCACGCTGCAATTCCGCACTGACTGCGCTTGATAGCGCCTGATAAGCCCGCCCGAAACTACAAATGGAAGACGTCTCGCCCATCCGCCGGCTGCGGACGCGCATATTTCAGGCCGGAGATGGCCATTCGACCTCCTATCGACGCCGTGTCTTTTAGGCGGCGGTATTAGGTACATGATGCCTATCTGAGTAAATGCCCTGGATGGCATGCATATAAGCAGCCTCCAGCAGCGCCCAATGGACCACATCAGGAAAGCAGCTGACTTCACTACCCCGCGTCAGCATCGCCCCTACATAAACGCTCACCTCTTTCAATTGAATCTTCTTCTCAAAATCATTGCTTTTCTCGCATCAGACAATGGCCGGATCCCCGTCAACCATCAAAGTCGCCGTCACTCAGGCCGAGCCTGAGTGGCTGGATCTTGAAAAGGCCGTGAAAAAGACATGCGCTCTCATTGAAGAGGCAGCATCCAACGGCGCCAAGATCGTCACCTTTCCCGAATGCTGGATCACTGGTTACCCTGCGTGGATTTGGTTAGACTCCCTCCTCTTCTACAGTTCTCCAAGGTTCATCTCCTTTACTCTTGATTCTTTCTGTGCTGTCAGACATCAATTTTCATCTCTCAATCATTTCCTTCACTGTTATTTCGAATTACAGACATCTTCCACTCTACCTCCCCCGCAATCATATAAAACCCCTCTAATACTTGCCCCAAAACAGGTCCCGCCCCGTCGACTTCGTCCTGGCCAACACCTACATCAAGAACGGCCTGCAAATCCCCTCTCCGGAGCTCGACTCCATCCGCGCCATGGCCAAGGCCAACGCGATCGGCGTCGTACTCGGCTTCAGCGAGAACCACCAGAACTCGCTCTACATCGCGCAAGCCATCATCGGCCCCGACGGCGCATTGCTCACGCACCGGCGCAAGATCAAGCCCACGCACATGGAGCGCACCATCTTCGGCGACGCCGCGGGCGGGCCCGACACGCTGGAGAACTGCGTGCCCATGACCCTCTCATCTTCCTCCGACTCCTCCTCTTCCTCTTCCGCCACTCCCGTCAAGGTCTCAGCGCTGGCCTGCTGGGAGCACGCGCAGCCGCTGCTCAAGTACCACACCGCGCTCGCGCGCCCGACCTTCCACGCCGCAGCCTGGCCGCCCGTCTACGCGCACGGCGGCGCTTACGTCGACCCGACCCTGTGGTCCATGTCGCGCGAAGGGTGTCGGAACCTGTCGCAGACGTTCGCGGTGGAATCGCAGGCGTTCGTGCTGCACTCGACGGCCGTGCTGACGGCCAAGGGCATCGACCGCATGGGCACCGCCGGCACGCCCATCATGGGCAGGCCTGGCGGCGGGAGCTCCGCCGTGTATGGGCCGGATGGGCGCAAGCTGACGGAGGATCTGCCGGAGGATCAGGAGGGGATTTTGTATGCGGAGTGCGATGTGGATGAGATTTTGAAGGCGAAGGGGTTCATTGATCTGGGTGGGCATTACAGCAGGCCTGATATTCTGTGGCTGGGTGTGGACGCTAAGGCGAAGAAGCATTCGGTTGCGAAGGAAAAGGGTCAGGAGGAGGCTTGAATTGTTTGATTGAGACGCGGGAAAGGTGGTGACGGTTATGATGACGATGATGACGAGCAGAGGAAAGGATTATCCGTCTGCAATAGCATTAATCTTCTTGGAAGAAGATTCCGAAAGGTATCTAGATAAGGGTAGTAATGTATGGAATCAAAAGAGAAAAACGCCAAGCCATTTTCTATGGTATCAACCCCAGATCCAGAATTCGTAAATGTTTCAAAAACAGTGCCCTTCAAAGATGAAAATCTCCAATACTTTTTTCCCCAACCTTTTAAAACCAAAACTTTTTCAAGGGTATCATTCAGTGAGCCATAACCGGGCCACTGGTCGGCTTTCCAACGTTCTTTACGCCAAACGTGCTGGCAACCATCCCAACGCCAGCAAGACCAACGCAGCACCAAAGTCCGGTACCGTACTGCTGCATAGGTCCATGGCCCTTGCTGGTGTCAACAGCCTGGACAATAGCACTCGCGAGCGCCAGGCCCACACCGCTACCGATCTGGAAGGCAGTGTTGATCATACCTCCACACAGACTCTTGACGTTGACGGGGACAGAGGCCAGGAGCACAACGGTGATGGTGCAGTAGACAATAGTGGTGCCGGCGACGCTAAGGATGCTGCTGGGGAAGACGTGCTTCCAGAAGTTGATGTCGCCCTCCTTGATCAGAGCGGATGGAATCGGGGCGATGGCGCAGATAGCCATTCCAGTGATGAGGAGGTACTTGGTGTTGAATATTTCGAGCATGCGGGACATGGAGAGAGAAAAGATGAAGCCAGTGGCACCCATGGGCAGGAAGCGGAGGGCAGTCTGACCCGCGCTGAGTTGGTTGATTTCTTGAGCAATCAACGTCGTGTAGTAGATGATTGTTTGGTATCCACCGTACATGACTGACAGAGGGTTAGTGGCCATCCAGTCAAAATATGGCATGAGGTACTTACCGAATCCACCAATCCAGAGCGCAGCAAAGTTCTCCAGCTTCCAGAGCGAGAGAGGCATGATAGGGTTGGCAACCTTCTTCTCCACCCAGGTGAAGGCAACGAGCATGAGAACGCTGAGGATAAGCAGCACAATGATGAATGCTTTCCCCCAACCGTACTCGCCACCGCTAGACAACACAAAGCTGAGCAAAATAAGGCCAGCAGTGGAAAGACCAGCGCCAACGAAGTCCAGCTTAGGGCGCACGTTTCCTTCCAGCCTATCCTTGGGCAGGACAAACCAGGAAATGGCGCCCAGACTTCCAGTAATGCCGACGGCAATAAAGAAGATATACCGCCATCCGAGAGAAGAGGTAAGAAACCCTCCGAAAATGAGGCCAATACAGAATCCGACGGCTCCGGCGGCGCCAAAAATTGTCAAAGCAAGCGTCCGGTCCTTGGCAATGAAATAGTTGCTGATAATACCGACGGCAGAGGGAACTGTCATAGCAGCACCAATACCCTGGATGGCGCGGAAGATAGCCAACTGGATGAAAGAAGTTGCAAGACCATCGGCCAGGGTCCAAACACTCAAGGTAGCCATGCCAGCACAGAAGATCATCTTGCGTCCAAACCTATCAGCCAAAACACCAGACAAAAGGAGAAAGCCTCCGAAAGTCAGGGTGTAGGCTGAGATCAACCACTGCAAATCAGCTCCGTCGACGTCAAAGTTCTTCTGAATGGCGGGCAAGGCAATGTTGACGCCGGTCATGAAGACGTTGTCCATCAGCTGGGCGCCACACGTGCAAAGCAGGATCATAGCGCCCCTCCATGAGGCAATGGTTCCGATCTCTGGATAAGCCTGGCCAACACCGTTCTCATACTCGGCAGGCGTACGAGTGCCAGAGGAGGAGGTTCCGGGCGATGGCGGGCGCGAGATCTGGTAGTTGGATGCTGGCGACGGAGGACGCGTAGAAAGGGGCGTGTTGAGGTTGGAGGGCAATTCACGAATGGTGCTGAACGCGCCAGGCTTTGCAGGCTTTGGCCTCTGGATCGATGGCAGCTCGAAGACATTGTCTTGAGACTCGTGCCTGTAGTGGTGGCCGCTGATGGCCGAGGCGCTCCTGGCCAGAGCCTCAAGACCTTCCGGGCGCTCGTCCTCAAAAGTAACGCGGGAGGTGGTGCTCGTGCGGCGGATGGGGATGCCGGGAAGACCGGCGGGCGGCACAAGCGTTGGTACTTCCTCCAGGGCGGAGGTGCGGCGAGTAAGCGGCTCGCCGTTGCCGTCTTGCGACATGCGGATTTCGTGGTGGTCGTCGTGGTGCGGCATGTTGGAGTCGCTGCCTCTGGGGCGCAGGGGCAATCCAGAGAGCTGCGTGAAGAAAACGGGTGGTTGAATGCAAAGGCGCAACGGTTTGAGGCGCTATTTAAATGAAAGCTCAGGGAAGGGCCATCTTGGGCGGTGGTGATGGTGGAGGGGCCATGTTGGGCCGTGGCGATAACGAAAGGGCCATCTCGCGCCGGCTAGAACGCGTGCAAAAAAATCTCGTCAGGCGAGGATTGTATCAGCGGCCCCACCGATGGCGAGGGATGTGATGTCAAGGATTCGAAATGGTGTTGAGTTGTGGCGGCCTGTGAAGCCTTAGTCAGCAGCGCTGTCGCCGCCTGTCGGTCTTTGTTTCCCGGCGCTGTTCTCGCCTCCTTCCCTTCCTGGTGCTCTTGGAGCAACTATATCCGCCTCAAACCTGTCTATCACTACGCTTCTGCAGAGCACGATCCTCACCCGCCGTGCTGAACCGCAACACAGTTTTTTTCGGCCCTTGCGCAGGCCCATAATTCAATCCAGCGGTGCCTGACCGACGCGCCGTCGGGAAAGAGTTCCCGCACCGCCACCACATTAAAAATACCCTGCGCCCGCTGCCTGCGCCGCCGTGTACCTGATAAACAGCCCATTTAGCTTTCCCGCTCACCCGCTCTGCCTAGGATTGGACGAAAATCTCCGCATGAGCCCCATTTCTGCGTCCGCAATCGCACTCCTCCGCCGCCGAATCCGCTTCACATGCGAAAATGCTCATGACCGCACCCACTCGAGCACCCACCACCGCGCCAACTGTGACTCACGGCATGGTTCACCGGTCGGCTCTAGACATTTGGACAACACCTTGATCGGCGCCGGTTTCACCGTGCGTTATCATCATTAACCAGGATTACATTACTGCATTAGGATGGGCTCGCTCTACTTTTGAAAGCTGAGCGCCAGGATCTCCGGCTTCCGTTCCTCCAAATCCAGGATCATTTGTCCGAACAGCCCGTTCGCCCACGAAAACCTGCGAGGCCACGAAGTCAGTCATGTGCCATGAGTAAGGAACGAAAGGTGGTCCTGAGACGAAAATCTAGGGGTCACATGAAGCGAGAGGGGAAAATTGACAACTCACCATTGCCTCGTCCAGTCGCTCTCGTTCCAGCAGTTAATGCTCTCGTGGATCAACCCCAGCCCGTCGGTGCTGCTCACAATCTCCTTCAGCGCCGCCACGATCTCCGCTTCGTCGTCGGTCGTCAGAATGCGCACGATGTTGGCCATCGGCCACGCCATGCCCGGCCCCGCGTGCGGCCCGCCAACGGCATTAATGACGGGGCCCCGCATGAAATATGGGTTCCCCGCGCTCAGAACCAGCTCCCGCGTGTTTTGGTACACCTCGTTGCTGGCATCCGTGTAGCCCAGGAATGGCGCCGCGAGCAGCGAAGGGATGTTAGCGTCATCCATAAGGTTGGCCGAGCCGTAGCCGTCAACCTCGAAGGCGTAGACGCGCTTTCCATTGGGTCCGGCCACAACGCCGTGCTGCTCGATGGCGGCGCGGACGGATGTCGCAAGTGCGGCCATTTCCTGAGCCAGCCCGGCTGGCGCATTATCCAGCTGCCCCATGATTGCGGACGCGGTCTCCAAGTAGCGCGCAAACATCATGTTGGCCGGGATGAAGAGCTGGAAGATGGTCGAATCGTCACTAGGCCGGAAGGCGGACCGAATTAGCCCCGTGCCATTGTTGACTGGGTTGCCCAGTCCGTCGTTGGCGAGCGTCTCGGTCGCCCGGGTCGTCAGTCTGGTGAAAGTATATGGCGAGTCCAGGACCTGGCCGTCAGCGCCATAGGTGGGTGTCTGCATGTCCTTTGCCACTTTCATGACGGCTTGAATGGCCGAAATCCACTGGAACTTCCCGAAGAAGTCCAGGTCCTGGGTTGCGTTGTAGTAGTTGTCCGACACCTCGAGGAATGCGGCCAAAGAGTCCAGTTCATATTTGCACTCGAAAACGCTAGTGTTGCTGTAGGAAGGCTTGACAGTGTCTTCGCTGGCCGAGGGGTTCGTATCAGGAGCGATACCGGACTCGACAGGCGGCTGGAACGAGTTGCAGTAGGGCGAGGTCAGCAGATAGCGGGCCTGGAGGTTGATGACGCCGCGGTAGAGCGAGGCGATGCTGTCGGGCGAGTCGGAGGCATTGAGGACGGGGAGGTATGACTGCATCTGGTTGGCCGAATCGCGCAGCCACATGGCGTTGATGTCGCCGGTGATGATGAAGGTGAGCTCCTCTTCCGAGTTGTTTGCTGCAACTCCCTTCCACTTGATAGCCGTGTCGAGCGTGTTGGGGTAGGCGTTCTCGAAAAGCCGGTAGAGGTCGGGGTCGGCGATGACGCCTTCCATGCGGTCAACCACCTGCTCGACGCCCGAGCTGTTGAAGGTGCGGCATGCCGGGGACGGACGCTGGAAGGGTAGTTGGTAGGTGCCGTTGGTGAATGGCTCGTGCCTCTGAGTTGCGTAGTCAAGGTAGTCCGGACACTCCTGACCAACAGCGCCACCCAGCAGGAGCGGGACGGCGGGCAACAGATAGGCAGATTGGCGCATGGTTTACAAGATCAGAGGAAGCGACAGATGTCTTGCAGCTTGCGGCCGACGATCACTGGAGACGATGGCCGTCTCTTGGGACCCAGCGGAGGCGGGGACAGGCTAGCATTTTGTAGCTGCGAGACATCATTGCCTTTCAGGCTTTGGGGCCGGCCGGGGGTAAACCCTGTGACGCTACCCCGCCGCGTCGGTAGCGCAGAAACATGGAGGGCCGGGGTCGCTGAGCGCGTGGATGCTACCTTCCCCGCAAAATCCACGTCGATTTCTGGTATCGCTCCAGGAACCAACTGGCTTGGGTCACCGCCAGACTGCTCCTCCTGACGTCAGCCGCGCCCTCCCTCGGTGGAAGGTTTTCCGAAAACGAAACATAACAAACACGCGCCTCGGTCACGCAAGAAGCGGCCCAACCTTAAAATCTCGTCTCTCTCGGACTCTTGCCGTCGCCCAGGAGCAACGCTGTAGCAAGCTTTCCTCGAAGCTCATGACCAATTCCTCTAAATACGAGGTTTCCAACAATGGACTAAAATTTTCAATACAGTTGGTCTCGTCCGCGTGCCACGCTGCATTGACACTTGCAGCCCGCTTGAATCACTAAACACAGTCAATGCTCCTACGCTTTCCTAAGCCTTTTCCGCTAACACGTCGCTACGCGTTGCTAACTGATGACACCTCACGAGACTTTACCCGACGAAAAGGAAAACACCGGCGCCCGGCATCTTGATCTCCACCGTCTGCGAGTCATTGCGCCTTCGGCTTTCTCCAGACTGCCAAGATTTTCTCGACTGTGCGTTGGTCACGTTTAGAAGAAGAAAAATTCACTTCTAAAAAAAAAAGAGGTGATGAAAGAGCTTGGAGTGGATTCGAGGAGGGAAAGCTGTGCTGCTGTGCTACTGTGCTGGACCAACCGAGCGAGAAACAGTTTCAATGGTTAACGGTATAACAACGACAAGAATGCATTATAACGTGGTTGACTTTTTTTTTTCGCGAATCTGGAAGGAATCGATATCCCTTACGCTCTCCACATCAGAGCTGGTGTTTAACAGATCCCAAAATTCAATCGTTCAGGGTACACGCCTTTTATATTTCGCAGCTCGGAGCCAATTGTTTCTAGACGTCGGCAAGCAATCGCTTATCGCGCCAGGACGTCGCATAAACATGAGCTCGCTATCGCTCAGCGAGGACGCCATTGCACGAGAACTGGCGAAGCGATGTTTTGATGGTGGAGGCTGGTTTCAAGTAAAGATGACGCTGCAATCTCTCTCCTCCACGTGGAGGCTCTTCGGCCCCACTCTGGCTCTTGCAGCAGTCGCCTTTTCCGGGTATACGTACCGTCGTATTGATATCCCCAGATAGATTAGCGACTTTCTTCAAGCTGCGCTCCTCCCAATAAGCATTGCGCGGCAGAACGACAGGCAAGCGAACGGCTGCTAAATTGCAACCGTCGATAGTGGCCGCTACGGATTTATCAACGTCTGACAGATCCCGATTGACAGCTGGCGCTCCGGCCCGACTCTGCTCAAACCGTCCGTGGCTTCGCTTTGCCGGAGCGCCTTGCTCCGTCGCCCTCAAAAACATTGCCCGTTTTGGTCCATCTGCCGCGAGCACATCACCCTGCTGGCGAATCAATGCGACGCCAATCAATTGGAGACACACGACACCAGCGAGATAAAAGATGGCGTGTCCAGTCCTCCGCCGAGTCGTGAACATTCACATTCTTCTCAATGACGTCGAGTAATAAGTAGGATTTTAAAGTGCAAATTACCAACGCGGATCCGATGCATCCTCCGCCCATTCCAGAAGCCCAACGGCCCCGATCCGCGGAATCTACCAGCCTTATCGGCGTCACAGAATGCGGCTGAATCGAAAAACTTTTCCCAAAGTGGCATGGAGAGGGAAGATCGCCGGCCAGGTAAGATGAGAACGTCGGTACACTACGGAGAATTTGCTGTCTGCAGGAAGTCGTGCCCGGGTTACTTACAGACTCACCCTTCAATACCATGGGAATCCCCGTTGCCATTTATGCATACCACCGGAATTACGCAGCCATCTCTTCAGCACTCAGCCTCTTTTCTGGGGTTGGTCACCCTGATGCTTGATCTGCCTGCCCACTCTTTCCTAACCCCTCCATGCATTGCGATTCGAGACGATGAGCCTCACCGATGACCTGAGTTCCCTTAGCTGGACGGTCTCCATTGTCTTCTTTGCCATATGCGCCATATCATTCGCTGTGCGTCTGTATGCGCGCGGCTTTGTAGCCAAGGCTTTCACATGGGATGATCGGTTCATGGCAATTGCTTTTGTATGAATCTGTTCAACTCTCTGCTACGCTGAAAACTAATCATGAATCAGATAGCGCTCATCGGTCAGCAATATATTTGCTGGGAATGGCTGATCCTAGGAGGTGGAAAGTCAGTCAAGACACCCACATGTGCTCCATCGAAGCAGGACGCTGACAGGCAACAGGCATACCGATTTGGTCAGCTCCGAAAACCTGACGAAGATCAGACGGGTGCGTCAACTTGAAGCCATCTGCGCCAATATTCTCAGCTTACACCAAGCACAGTACGAGCTCATTGAGCAGTTCTACTACCTCTTCGTCCACGTCTTCCTGAAACTCTCCTTCCTTCTCTATTTTTACCGCACGCTGTACTCGCCACGGTTCTCGACCGCCATTCGCATCACATCTGCCGTCGTTATTGTTCAGACAATCGCTTCATGGGTTTTCTATGCGCTCCAATGCCGACCTCTTGGCGCTTTTATCAACCCGGACGACTATCCAGACGCCACTTGCTATCCATACGGGATTGCGTACTACGCTCCTGCTGCCGTTGTACGTCCCCTTGGGCCCATCACCACCAGAATAACTCTTGCTAACCATCCAATGAACCAACCAGAACGTCGCCATCATCGTCCTTGTCTATGTTCTTCCAATCCCTACCCTCACCCAGCGGCCCCTTCCACAGAGGCAAGCCATCACAACCCCTCCGCCACAATCCAGCACCCCAACCCCCGACGACGCCAGCGACCCCGAACGGACCTCGCAGCAAGAGCAGAAGCCCACATCCTCGCGCGGCGGCGGCGGCATCATCGCGCTCTTCATCCTCGTGGGCGCCGGCATCATCGTATCCGGTCTACGCGTTGTCGTCCTGTACCAACAGTCCACCACCGATACCACTACAACCACGACCACAACCACCAACTCCTCCTCCTACCTCGCCTCGACCGACAGGACCTACAACCTCGGCCTCCTCGCCATCGCCACCACCGTCGAATTCAGCATCTACGTCTTCGCCGGCAACCTGCCGGCCATCCGCGCCCTCCTCCGCCGCGTCCACGAACGCTCGCCCTCGCCCTCGCTATCCTCGCATGAAATGCACGATCGCCGCAGAACACGGAGGAGAAGAGGAGATCGGGGCGCGGAGACGGACGAAGACGAGCTGTGGGGCGTTGGGGAAGGTGGAGAAGGAAAGATCACGATCACGTCGAGAGTCAGCATTTCCATCACCGAAGCGCTGAGGGGCAAGGACGGCCCGGCGGGCTATCCGAAGAAGTACTTCAAGTTTTCGAGGCCGGGTGCGCAGAGCCCCACGCCGAACTTTTTGAAGGATGTGTGATGTGATTGCCGGAATAGGTGATTGCCTGAATAGGTAGGGTGGAGAGGCGGAAGGGAAGGGCAAGGGGGCACAGCAGGGTGGGGAATTGGAAGGCGCAGCGGACAGGTGGGACGATGGGGGTGACACTGACCCCCGGTTGGCTGAAAATGGTGTTGATCACCTGCCTTTCACGACTTTACGACGGTTCGAAGTTCCGCATCATCTCATTTCATTCCTTTCCTTTTCTTTTCCATCTTTGATTCATTTTCTTCACTTCCCTTTCAGGGTCTCATTGTTCCTTAGCATTCATACCCAAGGTGTTGTATCGCACACGTGCAGTGGAACTCTATGCTCCACATCATTTGTTGTTCGGTGGTTTTTGTCTGATTCCCCACTTGTAGCCATTTTGTTTGTTAGATCTCCTGATGAGGCTCAGCACCGCACGGTTGGGGGCCAAAATGATCATCGTTTCCAATTTCTTCTCTTGCTTCCCCACCGAATCGGGGGTCAGTCACTCCACGACGGGTATCCTGCCCTAAACTTCTTACCAGGAGAAGACCTACCACTGACCCATCATGGACATTGCTTAGGAACTGTGGCCTGTGCGTGCTTCGATGGACTTTACAGACCTTCTTTAGGACCATGTGAATGACGTCAGGGGTCACTCACAAACATAGCCACTGGTCCGTGCCTTAGGAATAGTGGGGAATAGGGCTATGTATTCCCATGTATCATGATTGCGGATATGATATAAGTAGTAGCTATGCTGCGACTCCAATGGGCCTAGCACAGGATTCTATCCAGCGCCTCTCAGCACTTCAAAGACATTCTTCACTTTCATCTCCAATCAATACGGTCCATCATGCCGGATTTCATCAAACTTGCCAGTAAGTTACCCATCGATGCTACACGCTGGTTCGTTAATGCCAACAAAACAGTCTACGGGGCCTTCGCGCCAGATAATTACGACCCGGATGCCTACTACGTCGACAAGGAAGACAAGAAAGGCAAGAAGAATAAGGACAAAGACGCCAAGGACAAAGACGCCATAGACAACGACGACCGCTCGTCTCTCAGGAGCTTCGAGACCTCAGAATCCACAATCGTTGAGGAGAAGGACGGCAAAACTACCACACTGCATCAAGAGAAAGAAAAGACGGATTCCTCGAAATCTCCGGAGATCTCTGAGGGCTCCTCCCAGTCAAAGTCAAAGTCAAAGTCCAAGCGGAGGAGGAGGGTGAAGCTTCACGACAACGGACCGTCCGGCCCCAAAGCCATCTTCACTAGCATGTTTGCAAGCCAGGGCTACGCGGATGGTCTAGCCAGCCTTAAGTGGTAATTATTACACGTCGTCGTCCGGTGGCTACAAAGCGGGAGAGATTGCAGTTGATTGAGGTTGACTGATGTCCAATGTCAGCAAATTCAGGACATCGTCTTGTTAGCTCATGAAGTCTATGAGCGATCACGATTATTTTCATTTAAAGGAGTGTTTGTATCGCACCATGCGAGGTTGTGATGATTTCCGAATTGGCGTTAGGCACTGGGGATCATATTTGGGGAAGCGACAAGTACTCATTTTTCACAATCAAATCAATCAAGGCTGTTCATGGTTACAAAGGCGGTCAGCTTAGTACTGCCAATACACAACGTGATGTCCAGAAGACCGAACCCAGTGCACGGCAATGTCGGCACACAACTCGTCCCACTAAAACACAGCACGCTGCCTGCTGCAGTTTAGTCATTGGCCATCACTTCCGCTTTCGCGCGCGTTACCAGTCTTGCCAGTGACGTAAGGTAAAGAAAGGCGGAATCCTTCGGCCAGGTAGCCGCAGCCGCACCGGCGTCTGTGCGACGAACAAGCCTCAGCCCCAGTTACTATAAATACAATGGCCAGGGCACGCAGGGACTAGAATAAGTATGAGGGCTGAAAGCAACAACACAGTCTTACGGTAGGCCATTCCTTCCAAAATTTCACTTCAATTCTGCTTCGGAGAAACCATGGTCGAGAAGACTTTCGTGCAGTGGCGTACGGCTCCTCCCCTACAACAATAGTTTCAATGCAAATCACTCATGCATGACACGAGCAGTCTTCAGGGTTCCCGTCGCATCGGTTGGGACCAACATCCACAAAAAGGACGACTTATCCTGGTTGCAACCCTCCGACGATAGCATCAGCAGTCGAACATCAAAATCCTCACGTCGCTCCCGGGCCAAAGACAGGGACGACGAGCACACACATCCATACGACCGAGAGCCAACGCCAGATAGCAAAAGCAAGAAAGATAAACAACCCGAGTATAGCACGCTCCCCCCTGAGCAGGAGAATCAGTAGGGCATACTGAATAGGAGAGAGTCATCACGACTTTCAAGATGGTCCGCATGCCGTGGCCAAGCTGGAGTCTCATGCGGGAACATGGAGCTCAGAGATAAGCATGCGGGCTACCGATTGGCTTTCAAGGGGAATCTTATGAGATCATGAACCACGAAGAGTGAAGAGAAAGCCCTGCGAAAGAATTTCCCGCGCCTAGGAACGAAGATTGATACCAAGTGTCAGCAGGCGGCACTATATCCTGTACATATCATGTCATATTGGATTGAATTTCGCTTTATCTACAAGAGTTCTACAGCTTATAATTACTAGTCGACTTCCTCGTCCTGTCGATCAACACCAGCCCGCCGTTCTCGACAGCGTAGTGCACACCCCTCTTCCACCCCATCAGCCTCGCCAGCATCTCCTCTCCGCCCTCACCGGGCGCCAATCCCTTATCTGTCCACCCTTCGCCTTCCACGCCGATTCCCTGGCCCTCGGATGCCGGTCTCGTATCCCTATCACCGTCGGCAATGGCCCAGGCGGGCGAGCTTTTAAGCGTGACGGGAGGCCGCTGATCGAAGCCCATCTCCCTCAATTCCCTCTGCTCCAGCACCGGCGTGACACAGGCGTCCGTCCCATCGAAGACGCGCTCCCATTGCTCCCTCGTTTTACTCTTGAACTTGGCCGTAAACAGCATTCTCAAGTGCGGCCAAACCCTTCTATCCTCCCTCGGCGCGGGGAACTTCTTCGGATCGACCTCCAAGCCCTCGCACAGCTTCTCGAAAAACCGCTCCTCCAACGCTCCCACCGCGACCCACTTCCCGTCCTTGGTCTCATACGTATCATACCACGGACACCCTCCATCCAACAGATTCTCCCCCCTCGCCCTCCCCCACACCCCTTCCTTGCCCGCGACCTCGCCCATCCCCAGCCTCAAAAAGCTAGCCAGATACGCGCTGCCATCCACCATATTCGCCTCCACAACCTGGCCAAACCCACCATTCCTTTCGCGCTCAAACAGCGCCAGCACAACACCCAGCACCGCCATCGCGCCTCCGCCCGCAAAATCCGCAACGATGTTGCCCGGCGCGTAGGGCTTCGCCGTCTTGCGGCCCAGCATGCCCAGCACGCCCGCCACGGCTAGGTAGTTGATGTCGTGGCCCGCCATGGCGCTGTACTTGTCGCCGCCGCCGCCACGCCCGGCGCCGTCGTCACCACGCCGGAAGCCCGTCAGCCGCGCGACGACGAGCCGCGGGTTGCGCCGCCGCAGCACGCGCTCCGGGTCCAGGCCGGCCTTTTCGAGGACACCCGGCCGGAACGGGTCGATGACGACGTCGAAGGTCGGGATCAGCGCCAGCAGCAGCGCGCGGCCCGCGGGGGATTTGAGGTCGAGGGCGATCGAGGTCTTGCGGCGCGTGAGGAGGTCGGCGGTGGGCGGTGGTGGTGGGGCGGGGGTGGTGGCGGTGGAGGAGGAGGAGGTTTGTGAGGAGGAGGATGACGAGTCGGCGTGGAGGGAGGAGGGGTGTGCGCGGTCGACGCGGATGACGGTCGCGCCGTAGTCGGCGAGCATCATGCCCGCGAAGGGGCCTGCAGTGGTGGCGGCGCGGTCAGAATGTATGGGGAGATTCGCAGAACTAGCTGGTACGTACCTGGTGCCAGGCCAGCCAACTCGAGAACGCGGATACCTGTTAATGGTGGTGGTGAGTGGGCCATTGTAAGTCAAAGGTGCAGAGATGTGGAAGGTGGATAAAGAAATCGATTGGACTATATACAGAGCGGAAGTGTATGGTTCAGCAACGGAGGTGGAATCCGGGGAAAGCTTCGCGGGCGGGGGGTTGATGAGCGAAGCCGAGGTCCCACACTTAACGAGCCGAGTCGCCCGGTCAACACCGCGTCAGCAACACAGCGTGCCTGAGAAGGTGACCCTCCGCTTCTTAGAAACCGATAGGAAGATCCAGAAACCTGCTATTAGGAGCAAAGGAATTCCTATACCGAGCCCCACCCCATAGGGAATCGATGAGTGTGACGACTCGGTCGATTCGCCGCTACCAGTAGCGCTTGCCGAGGCAGATGCTTCCCTGGAGACTAAGGAGGCGTGAGAAGCTGCCTTGCCTGTTGTAATGTTGAAATAGTGGCTTGTGAAGCTGTTGGATAAATCGCCATTACTCGGCGGAGTAAGCGCGAAGAAAAACACCCCCGACGTTTCAAGGTCTAGATTATAAGTTTGGACCTTCCAACTATGTGTTTGATCGCCTACGCCGTCGCCACTGAAAGCTGCTTGAATATTAGCCCAACCGTTTTTTTTTTTTCGAGAAGACCCAGGAGAATTTACAATGTACTCTGATTGGTTCCGACATACTTCCTGTCGTGTAGTTGTGCTGATAAATATCCACATCGTAGGAACCGAGATCCGTCGCCCATTGAAGATCTTGAGTCGATTCCACTTCCCACACCTCATTAGAAGCAAAGTCGTTGTCCTGAGTAGGCTGGCCTGGCGTATTCCAAATTGTACCAGGCTGGGAATGTGCAATGGCTGGCCACGTAAGGCTGAGTGTGGTGAGTAGCAAAATCCCAGCGTGCCGGTCAATCATGGATAGTGAATGAGACATAAAGTGCGGTATAATTGTGAAGGGTAGTAGGTTGCTACCGCGGCTAGGTATATGAGGGTGCGGCTGACAGGAACAGATAGCCCCATAAATAGAGCGACATGCACGGGGTAATACGAGTGCCAGCCACAGTGCGACTGTCTCCCTTACGAGTGCCTTGCGTAACTCTGGAAGCATTCCACAATATGCGCGTGGTGGAGTCTAGACCGCACACAGCCCTTGCTTATGTTCTCATTGCACAGCCTGTACGAATATATAGCGTCGCTCTTTGATGAACCATCCGTACTTGTTTAATGGCACCTCAGCCGCAATTTTTCAAACAATATTAGCGCTTAGAAGGAAACGTTCGGTGCTATCGCTAGACTATGGCAAGACTTGATGAGACACCATGATACGCAGATTGATTAGATTGGTCTAACCATAGAGAAGTTCAGCTGCGATCATGAACCAACTTACACTTAGGACATTGAACAACTAAGCTGCACGGCTGTAGGTTCTGTCGTCTCTTCTTCGGCGACTCCATCCAACTTTTTTAAATCCCATCCTCTCATTCTTCGCTCAAAACTCTTCACCTTTAGTTCTTAAGTAGCGAAAGAGCGCGACAAATCAACCCAGCGGTCCTCAGTCTAAAAGATAGAACAAGACAACAAAAATATTTTCCACCACCCAACCTCACCTTAATCCAGTCAAGCAAGTCCCATATCGACTTGTTGCAACTGATATCGGTACAGATCGTACACATACAGGATATACAACCACTCCTCCCTCAAACTTCAACCCCAAACACGACTACTCTTCCCTCGCACCGGTCACCTGATCCAGCGCCTTCCGCGCCCTCTCCACCGCATCCCTCGCCACTCTCCTCTCCTCCACCCCCACCGCATCGCTCTCCGGCCTACCCCGCACATTCACCACATTCCGCACCGCCTCCTCCGTCTCCTTCAACACCTTCCGGCCGTCCTCCCTGATCTCCGCCTCCCACTTCGCTCGTGCGGATTCCCAAACCCCTTGCATCCTCTTCAACCCCCACGCCGCACCCAGCGCCGCCACGGTGCCGGCCTCGAACAAACCGGTGCTGGCGGAGACGTACAACAGGCCCGACAGCGCCGACGTTGCCGAGACGGTCGACAGCGTCTGGACGACGAGCTTCTGCGCGAGGGCCTCGAGGGGCGGGACGGAGGTGGCCGTCAGGTAGGTGCGCGCCATGGGGATCTGCTGGGGCCATGGTTTGGGCGGCGGCACCGCCACCGCCAGCGCCCCATTCTCCGACTCGGCGGCGGCACGGCGCATTTCGTCGAACTTCCTGAGAGCGTCCGGGTGCGGAGCGTCGGGGACGTCGCCGATGCGGCCGGCCGGTTTGGAAGGAGACTTGAGCAGCATAGCACGTTCTGGGAGGTTGGCGGCATCCGGGTCGTTGGCGAAGAAGCCGGCCTGCTCGATGCGGCCAGCAACCCAGATGATGTCTTTCTCGGCAGATACTAGCCAGCGCCTTTCCAACAATTCGGACAGGATCATTCCCACATCGTCGACGCGCCAGAAGAGCTTCCACCATGCGAGTCTGCGCCATGACTTGCTCAAGAAAGCGATGTCGAGCTCGTCACGGAGCTCCGTATGCGCATGCTCGGCCCAATTAGCAAGGGTTGAAAGGATTTCTGTGCGGGTAGATTCGGAGACGGACGAAGCCAGCAGTTCCTGTAGCCGCTGGCTATCTTCGAGAGTAACGGCTTCGTTCGCGTCTGCTAGAAGCGAATCGACAAGGTCGCGGATAGCGGGCTTGAGCCCTGCGGGCACGTTGCTACTCGAGCCATGCGCCAGCCATGCCGTAAGAGCGGGCATGCCGCTTCTATGCCATCCTCGCTCGTAGAAGACGGAGTTGGTTATTGACTCCCGAAACTTGTCGAGCGCTTCAGCACCGAGGTTTGCATCAATTGCAACGTATCTGTCTGAAGCTGCCTGCTCTAGTTCCGTGGTTGGTGCGGGGATACCCATGGCAACCTTGACTGTCTCAGGCGGTAGTTCCTGTTCTGACTGCGCCGCAGTAAAGCGCCCATAGGCAACGCAACTCCGAACACCTTCGCCGAACACGATAGCTCGGTGCACAGGATAAGTGACTGTGGTTAGCCGGCCGGTCGCCGACGTGGGAGTTTGCAAAGTAGGCACAAGGATAGCATCTCTTGGCTTCTCGGCGCTGGACTGAGACACTGGCCCGGAAATGTTGGCGTTTAGCGACGAGATCAAAATCTCGACATTATGCTTCTGTAGCGCCCTCGAAGGAGCAGAAATAGTTCGGAGGAGAGGGTTGTTCGGGTGTACGTCAGAATCGTCTCCGTATCTACGACTAGGTCAGCAGGCACAGCAATTGATATGCAGGAGTCGGGCCTACCGTAGTAAGATAGCCTGTCCATTGTCGGTGTCATGGGCTTCCAGCGCATCCTCCCATCTGCCTTGCTCGGACAACGGATCCGCGAGCAAAAGCCGGGCTAGCTGCTTCGCCGACGCCTGATCGCCCAGGCTCAGAACTGTTGACCGCACTCCGTCAGCTAACCATCCACTATCATGCCAGATTTTCCAGTCCTAAGTGTACCCACCGGCAACCCGCACAACGGGATCCTCGCTCTCTAGTCCCCGCAACGCTAATTGCAGTCTGCTGAGGTTCACGTAGCTGGCAGCATCACTCTTCAACGCATCTAATGCCTGATGCAGCTCCTTCAGCCGTGGCGGGACGTCCAACGGAGCATTGATAGCGGTCCGTGAGGCGAGCGTTGCGGCGCGGCGACGTCGGGTGGTGGAAAAGTATCGCGAAGGCGCGTGAGCGGAGGTCGTCGCGGCGGTCGGTTGGGAGTCGGCGAGGCGCCATAGCGAGCAGGACGGGCAGAAAAAGAGGTCGGCCTTCGATCGCGACCGCAGCGCGGTGGAGAGCCTCGCTACGGAGCCGATCCGTGGAGGCATTGGGGCCGCTGGGGCGCTCTGTTGCGACTGGTCGACGCGCGGCGGGAGAGATGCAGAAGTTCAAAGCTCCGCGGTCCGCTCCAAGTCGCGGTGCCTGTGCATTTCGTCATGCCTGCCGCCAAGACTGCCCTCACGCTTGCATTTGCTGCACCTTCACAAAATATCACAGTGGCACTCCCCCAGCAGTACTCGCTTCATTATCATCAAGTACAGTTTAACAGCGTTTTAAAAACTATGGGCCGATGGGGCGTCCCAAGGTGCGGGGCCGTCATGCTCCCAGTCCCAGCCATTCCCCGTCTTACCAACCCCTTGGATGCCCTCGCTATGGTTTCAATCAACATGAGGGTGACCTCATCTACTGCCGGGTATCTCAGCGCTTCCTGCTCGAGCCAGAGGACCTGGGGGAAAAGTCAGTGTACTGCTCACAACGCACTTAGAAATCGGCCAACTCACATGCTAATCCTCCGCGCAACAGTGGCGAGCCCGGCGTCATTCTCAGCCTCCATTGCTGCCTTCTCCAATGCCTCTTGTCTGCTGGTCTCCTCCGACCGGCGCACCTCCTCCTGGCTCGGGGGCAGGCGTTCGTTCTGCAAATCAACCTTGCGCGCGTCCTCGAAGCTGTGGATAGCCTGCTTAATGCCCTCCGCACCAAGCATAAGCGTACCAGCGGGCAACCTGCCACCAGAAGCCGTCTTGAGCTCCGTGACGCGCTCTGATTCCTCACGCAGCACTTGGAACACACGCGAAAGACGTCCGATGGCAAGAATCTTGTTCTTGATGGCCCGACGCTTGAACTCGGTTGACTCGGGATCCATGCTGGAAAGCGGCGGCGAGTTCGGTCCGGATGAGATCGATCCAGGCGTTTCCTCCTCGAGCTCCTCCTTGGAGCAAGTGTTGAGAATCGCGATGAGCATATCGGTGACTGCATTTTTGTTAGAGGAGTGTTAAGATTCCAGGGACAGCTCCGCTTACTCTTCTCGCCAACGAAGGGCAGAGACCACGTGAAAACATCCATGAAGTTCGGGAGCCAGTACGGGTGGGGGGTGCAGTCTACACAAAGTCAGCTTTGGATCTTTCCATAGTCTCCCAGTTTCGACGTTGACATACTGAACTGCCTGATGTTCATGACGTTGTTCTCGTACTTCAGCACGGCTGCCTTGTTATTGTAGACGTCCAAGTAGTTGGGGGCGGAGAAGATAGTCATGACACTGGGGAAACCCGTCGTCCTCGTCTTCCGGTACATGCGGTAGCCAGCATCCTGCGCCTCGTGCGCACGGATGATCGACAGAAGGTTGTTCTTCTCCAAGAACGCGCAAGCAGCCGGGTAAGAGAAGAAGTATGAACAACCGCGCACGTGGTTGTGGACAAAGAATTCGGACGTCTTTTCTTGGCCGAACTCCTCAAGCGGGTCTGCCCAAAGAATGTCGCACATCAAGCCATGGGTGGGAGGTTCCCGGAAGCGGTCAATCTACACGTGGTCAGGACCAATTTATCCACCAACACTTCCGATAGCACGTACGCTCTTGAGATCCTCCAAGGTGTGGAGCTCCGGACTCAAACCACCGTGTATGCAAAGGAATTGCTTGTTCATGACTGCCGCCAGCGGCAAGGCGCAGAAAGACTCCATACAAGCTTCGTATATAGATTCCGAGTACTTGTGCTTGCACTCGAGCTTGAAGGTGAAGTAATCAGTCAAATGCCGGCACTCGTGGTTGCCACGGAGCAGCCAGAGCGTGTTCGGATACCAGATCTTCAGCGCCCACAGGTACAGAACGCACTACGCCAGTGTCAGCTGAGCCGCGCATGAGCTTCGTGGAGAAGACAAACCTCGATGCTGAAGTAGCCACGGTCGACATAGTCGCCAAGGAAGAGATAGCGGGTCTCAGATGGGTCACCACCAACTTCGAAGAGCTTCATGAGATCGTAGTATTGGCCGTGTACATCACCGCAGACAGTAATAGGTGCATCCATCTCCAACAGGTTGGGTTCCGCCTTGAGGACTTCGGTACCCTTGTTGATGATCCAGAGCGCTTGCTCCTCGGTCAGGCGACCCTCCCGGTAGAAGTGCTGCTTCAGAAACTGCAGATTTGGCTTGGAGGGGTCGTTCGGCGACCAGAACTGCTCCATGGTGGGGGGTTGGAAGGCGGGGGCCTGGACATCTGCGCAAGGGCGTCAGCAGGGCGGGGTACACGACGCAGGCAGGTCATTGGGGTACCTTTGATGACGCGCTCCAGCGTGCTCACCTGCGTGCCGTCCTCCATGGTGTGCAGAGTAAAGTCGATCTCAGGGACCGGCTTCTTCTGGCTGACGGCGCGCACAGCATTCTGGATGTACTGGTCGCTGTTCATTGGCGTGTCGGGGGACTCCATGACGGCGGCGGAGGGAGGGGTGCGGCAGGGTCGGTCGAGGCAATAGATGGCAAGAGGTCGAGGGAGAAGAGGGGAGCTAGCCCCGGGTGGCGGCTTTGGGCGTGGAGGTACTTTTCTCGACGACGGCCTCGGTGTCGCGGGGGGCGCTAGTCAGGAGGGCGGACGGTGGGAGAGCGAATACGAAGGGTCGCACGCGCGGATTGAGGCCGGTAGACACGCGCTTTTGCGGCGAGGTGGTGTGCGGTAGGTGGGTAGGGCTGAGAGGGTGAGGCTGGAGCGAAGACGAAGTTTGGCGCGGGCGAGGGCAGTTTGGCTGCTGTCCACTTGCAGGCGACCGCCTAACTAGTAAGCCGCGGGACGTCGTCGATCAAGCAGCCCAGGGTCCCGTCGGTGGCGGTGAGATGGGCTTCCGGCACGCGGAGCGGAGATTATAAAAGGAGGCGGCAGTGCAACTGCAAAACACGGCTGGCTCAAGACGAAGCTCGCGGGGGCTTGAGAGACGGAGAGTCGCGCGGCTGAGGGTGCGCGGGATCTGGATGCCTCCTCCCGTCACCAAATCCATCGGCGACAACGCCATTCGGCAACGCAGCTGGCGAATCCCCACAAGGGATAGGAGGAGCCACGCGCCTGCCCACCGCCCGCTGATCCTCTTCCAGAATGTCGCCACGCCCGAGCTTCCCCAACATCGACAATTACATATCGCCGCTGCGTTCAATGGCTGCTGCCCCGGTCGCCAGCGCGGAAGCACACCCCGCTCTCCGCTGCCATGGTTCCGCGTTTCAGAAACAGGCAAGCCGGCAACGCTCGAGGACACCCCGCCATGCCTTGTTGCTGCCTAGCTGCGAGACCCTGTTCCAAACGCCGCACGTGGGCGTTGGCATTTGGCCTGATGAGAGGAAGGCAGAAATAAGGGCTCCCTGTGATTCAATTTCTCGTCGCCATAACACGCTGCTGCGCATTTCCTGGGCACTGCGGACTTGCTGCCAATTGGCTCTTGGAAGGCTATCTGGTCTATATTAAAGCTCGATCTATTGCGTCACTACCTACAGTACGTTTCACGATATCGCAAGCTGGTCACGCGACGACAACATGGCACCACAGCACTCTTAAGAACACAAGAACGAGATTGGAAGCTCTGCATCTAAAAAAACACCAGCTATCTCGCACCTCTAATCTAGTTCTTCTCCGTCGTCTAACTAGCGATGTCTTGCTTACAACAGCTCCTTCGCCTCTAATTCCTTCTGTTTCTTCCACTCTTGAAAATCGAACCCCACCTCTACCAACTCCCTGATATTCTTTCTCTCCTCTCCCTTCCCTGTAAACGCCGCCCTGATGTCCGGGAATCGCTCCCGGCACCAGTAATGCCACTCGGTCCATCGTGGCGGCGTCTTTCCTACAGAGCTGCCCTCCCCCTCGGCAGTGACAGCCCAGTCGTGCATGGTATTGATGTAGTCGGCGTCGTTGGGGAAGGCCAGTGTATGAAAATCGTTGCCCTCGCCATTGACGGCCAGCGTGTGCAACTCCCACGCCCGCATCTGGGCCGCTGCCGGCAGCGTCAGCCGACTAGCCAGTGCTCGCGCCACCACCGCTGCCTGGACCTCCGCTGTCTGGAACGGGATGATACGCTGATTGAGTACGAGGAAGGACAGCGTCGGGTGCGGTGTGTAGAAGACGTGCTGGTACGTGTTTTCCACTCGGGTACCGTCTGTGACAAGCGCCGGCTGCAGATCGGACAGGAAGGGCATCGAGTAGAGGTAGCCCGTGCAGAAGACAATGGCGTCGATATCCGACTCGGTTGTACCGTCTTCGAAAGTTGCGGTGCGCGTGCTGGGGTCGAGGTTCTTGATCGGAGGGACCTCTTTCTTGAACGAATCTTTGCCCCGCGCCATGTAGGACTCGGACTTGATCGAGTTGATGAGAGGTAGCGAACAGAAACCGCCGATTTGCTTGCCGATGTCGAGGCCAGAAGCACTATTTCCCACGACAATGACTTTCTAGGAAGGGTTAGCTTAGGACGACTGCATATTCAGTTCGTTTTAACAGACCTTGTCCTTGAAAGTACCCGGGGTCCGGTAGAACTTGGAATGTGTAATGCTGCCGGGATGTGCCTTGTGCCACTCCTGAACTCCCTCAATTTCCGGTATAAATGGTATATAGAAGTGGCCGTTTGCCACGACTACCGCATCAAAAACTTCCTCCGCAGACTCTCCGGTCACGACGTTCTTAGTGGTGACGCGCCATTGCTCCTCCACGAGGCCATCGGTTTCCTTGGAATCCAGAAGCTTCACGTCGACGACTTGGGTTTGGAACTGAATCAAGTGCTCAACTTCTTTGGCGTAGTCTTTGAGGTACTTGTCAACTGTCCAGTGTTTGGGAAACAGCTGCGATTCTTCCGGGAACGCAAAGTCGTGATACTGCATAAGCTGCTTGGGGATGTTCGTCTCCAGCAACTCATACACGGGTGAGATGAACTTGGCTTCTTTCGCATCGCCGTTGACCACGGCACCGTTGATAGCACCGTTCACGGTAGATTTGGCACCCCATACCGGTTTGTCAAGATCTTCCTTGGTCGGTTTGGTCTTCGGCACGGCAAAGGAGCCATCATCGCGGTCTTCAGGCGTGTAGTTCCATAAGCCGCCCGGTGAGCTGCGCTGCTCAAAAGCCACCAGCCTGTCGAACTTCTTTTCCGCGCTTAGATACCTATATTCAAGTTAGAGTTGTGACACATACATCGAGGACATGCTTGGGTGCAGGGCGCAATGCTTCTTTTGATGTGATAACTCGTGACTCACTTGAGCGCTGCCAGACCACACGGCCCGGCTCCTACAACTGCAACCTTCTTAGCATTGAACCGAAGCGGACTGCTAGCCACAGCGTTTGCAGAAGACATGGCGCGTGAAAATAGTCTGGGTATCCGGTCTGCGAGCATACGAAGCACCTAAACGGACGGACGGCAACGAGTAGAACAAGGTATCTTGGCCCCAGAACCGACTCGCAGAAACCACGATTCTACGCGGGAGCGTAATGACAGAAGAAGGACGAAGAAGAGATAACGGAGGAGGACGAAGAAGAGATAACGGAGGAAGACGAAGAAAAAGCGCGCCTTAGTAGAAAGGCATCCTGCGCACGCTCAGCCCACTTTCTCGCGCCTTTTCACCTGACTCGTGGAGTTGCACATTTTCGGCCACCGCGAACGAACGACATCGGATGGTTAGCCGGTTGTCCTATCGATAAGCACTGACGTGCTTGAGGCAGCCTGTCTATCTCGGCTTTTCACGGCTGCAGCCAGGATGGTCTAAGTTGCTCGTCATCGAATTTTAGGCGCGCCTTCCCCGAGCTTATTGTCTCCCCGCCGGAAGCTTTAGCTGCCCCGCCCCACCTCATCATGTAGCATTCTTTCGCACCTAACACCCGTCCGTTTCCGCTTCCGTGATACTTCAAATAATTCTCATCCAGCAGTCATGCTTCGCACCTCCTTCCTCCGCGCATCCATCGTCCCGAAATCGCTGACGACACCCTGCCGAGCCACTTTCTCCTCTGCAGCCGCCATGGCGCAAAAACTACGCATTGGCTACGTTCCGGGTAAACGACATCCTCCGCACAATTACCTCAATGGGTGGGCCTGTACAGCAGTGACAAGAGCTGACTTGCTACCAATTCAGAGCATTTCTCCACGCCGCTCCACTTCGCGCATAAGCACTACGGTCTCCAGGCCGATCTGGTGCCATTCCCGTCCGGCACCGGCCACATGATCCAATCGCTACAGGGCAAGGAAATCGACGTCGGTATTGGTCTTACCGAGGGCTGGGTTGCTGGTATTGGGAAAGCGATTACCGAGAAAGGCGATGCAAAGGCTGCGGGTTATCAGTTGGTGGGCACGTATGTTGAGACGCCGTTGTGCTGGGCGATCAGCACGGGCACGAAGAGGGATATCAATGGCGTGGATGGGCTGCGAGGCAGAAAGATTGGTGTCAGTCGCATTGGAAGGTGCGTACAATCACGACCTGAACTGGAGTGTTGGCGGAATAAGAGATACGAAGCTGATTCTATTTGTTCCATTACAGCGGATCCTACGTGATGGGCTTTGTGCTGGCCGACCAGCATGGATGGCTCTCTCAGTCCAAGCCTGGCCAGCCACCCTTTGAAGTTGTCCCTCTCAACACGTTCGCCAAACTCCGTGAGGCGGTCAATGACGGCAATGCTGATTTCTTCATGTGGGAGCACTTCACTTCCAAGCGCTACTACGACAACGGCGAGATCAAGCGGATTGGCGAAATATATACGCCTTGGCCAAGCTGGCACATCGTAGCGCGGGATCCAACTGACACGCGCATGCAGACGATGAGCGATGCCATCAACAAGGGTGTTCAGCATTACAAGGAAAACCAGCAGGAGGCGATCGAATACATCTCGACCGAACTGGACTACTCAGCAGAGGATGCCAAGGAATGGACCAAGACGGTCAGGTTCGCCGAGGAAGTGAGGGGCGTCAATCCGGCAGTGGTAGAGAAGACGATTGATATCCTGAGCAAAGCCGGGGTCCTGGATGCTGGAAAATGCGGCGTGGAGGATATGGTCGCGATCAAACGTGAAGAAAGGGCGAAATAAACCCAATCCATTATCTTTTGCAGTTCTCCCAAAGATCCCGTTTTGAGGCATTTCTGGCGTGATTTATGCGGCCGCCGTCTTCTTTCCACCGCCAGCAATCAAATCAAGGAAGCCCTTCTTGCTCATCTCGCTGACCTTCTCATCTCTCTTATCCATACCCACAACACCCTTCATCTTGGCCTCCTTGGCAGCCTGCTCACCCTTCACTTGAGCGGCGCGCACAGCGTTGAACAGCTTGACCACACCCCTTTGCGCAGTCTTCTTCAGGCGGCGCTCCTCCTCCTGAATGTGCTGGGTCGAAACCTCTGGCGTATTCACACCCAGGACATCCTTGACACGGCCCTTCTCCAGCAATGCGTGTTTCTCATCCCGCAGCTTGTGGCGGGCCTTGGCTTCCAGTTTCGCCTCCGCCAGCTCCTTGCCGGCATCATGTGCAACTTTGCTGCGCGACAGAATGGGATCGGCGCGCTTGCTGGTACTAAGCTTTGATCCCAAAATCTTCTGTAGCGATGTTGCGAAAGCTTCCGGGTCATTGCGCTTCTTCCTAGGCCGACCTGGAGCGGTACTGGAGGCAGCATCAGAGTCCTCATCGTCGTCGTCGTTGTCCGAATGGGAACCATCGTCGTCGGAGGCTTCCTCGGCGGCGTCCTCGAGCTCGGCGTCAGAGAACTCGTCGTCATCGGCGGCAGCATCAGGCGCATCATTGGCTTCGTCTTCGGAAGAGGCGGATTCATAGGTGTCAGCAGCTTTTTGCGGCTGCTCATCGCCGCTCTCGTCCTCGCTTGAACTGTGATACGCAGTCTGGCGTTTGATAAATTTCTTGGGGCGCTTAGCGGTCTTGCCGCGCAGCTGCTCCGTTCTCTTCCTCTTGAGGGCGACGGGTGTTCTGGACGGGCCGGGCATGTTTGCGGGTTGTGGATGGTGATGTTACTGAGCTCTGCAGTTCGCCGAACTTTTTTGACCCGCGGCGCTGCGCCCCAGGCCAAAGCGAACAGTTTGTGGCAACGAATTCCCACGAATGGCAGATTTTAAAAGAAAACCTTGCCGCGCACTGTCCACATCCCAAATTACTTTAGCCTGGCCCGAGCGCCATCTCTCTCACCGCCTTCGTGCTTGGCTTCTCCACTCCCCGCCCATCGCCGCTGCGCTCCGTTCGCAGGCCGGAATTTCAACCACGTCAACGACTCACCTAGCACCACCCCGGTTATCTACTCCCCCCGAACCTTTTCTCGCACAAGTCGCCCATCATGGTCCTCCAAGACCTTGGTCGGCGCATCAACGCCGCTGTGTCAGATCTGACCAGGGCGCCCAATTTGGATGAGAAGGTGCGCCGCATAGTATAGCTCTCTGCGCGCCGACTCTGCGCTAACTTCATTTCATAGGACTTCGATCGCATGGTCAAGGAAATCTGCAATGCCCTCGTCGAAGCCGATGTGAACATCAAGCTAGTCGCCGGTCTGCGCGTCTCGATACGGAAAGCCGTCAATTTCAAGGACATCGCGCCGGGCGTGAACAAGAAGCGACTGATCCAAAAGGCCGTTTTCGATGAGCTCGTCAAGCTCGTTGACCCGCACTCCGAGCCCTTCAAGCCGCGCAAGGGCAAGTCCAATGTTATCATGTTCGTCGGTCTCCAGGGTTCCGGAAAGACGACCTCGTGTACGAAGCTTGCCCGTTGGTACTCGGCCCGCGGCTTCAAGTCGTGTTTGGTCTGCGCTGATACCTTCCGTGCCGGTGCCTTCGATCAGCTGAAACAGAACGCGACCAAGGCGAAGATCCCCTACTACGGAAGCTTGACCCAGACGGATCCCGTGGTTGTGGCGAGGGAAGGTGTGGAAAAATTCAAGAAGGAGCGCTTCGAGATCATCATCGTGGATACCAGTGGAAGGCATAGGCAGGAGCAGGACTTGTTCGACGAGATGATCCAGATTCAGCAGGCTGTAGAACCCCACCAGACCATCATGGTTCTCGACTCGTCCATTGGTCAGGCCGCAGAATCCCAGGCTCGCGCTTTCAAGGAAACGGCCGATTTTGGTGCCATCATCTTGACAAAGACCGATGGTGCTGCTGCAGGTGGTGGTGCCATTTCCGCAACCGCGGCAACACACTGTCCCATCGCTTTCCTGGGTACTGGAGAGCACATGCTGGATTTCGAGAAGTTCGACCCGCAACGCTTCGTCAGCAAGCTGCTTGGCATGGGTGACGTCCAGGGTTTGGTCGAACACGTTCAGTCCCTCAAGCTGGACCAGAAAGAGACGATGAAGCACATTCAGGAGGGTATTTTCACCATCCGCGACCTGCGGGACCAGCTCCAGAACATCATGAAGATGGGCCCCCTCTCGAAAATGGCAGGCATGATCCCCGGTCTCTCAGGCGTCATGGGCGGCATGGACGACGAGGAAGGTTCCCTCAAGCTGAAGCGCATGATCTACATCTGCGACTCCATGACCACCAAGGAACTCGACTCTGACGGCAAGTGCTTCACGGACGAGCCGTCGCGCATGACGCGCGTCGCCATGGGCTCCGGCACGAGCGTGCGTGAGGTCGAGGAGCTGCTGTCGCAGCGCATGCTCATGGGCGGCATGGCCAAGAAGATGGGCAAGGGCATGAAGAACCTCCAGGGCAAGCAGGGCCAGGCCGCCCTCGGCAACAAGCAGCAACAGCAGGCGGCCCTCAAGCGCCTGCAGTCCATGGGCGGCGCTGGCGGCCTGCCTGGTATGGGTGGCATGGGCGGCATGGGCATGCCTGATATGAGCCAGCTCATGAAGATGATGGGCGGCGGTGGCGGCGGTCCTGGTGGTGGCGGCATGCCGGACCTGGGCAATATGGATATCGGCAAGATGATGTCGATGCTTGGCGGTGGTGGAATGCCCGGTGCTGGACGGGGAAGGAGATGAAAGCAGAGATGAGGAAAGGGGAAATAGGTTTCATTGAGTGGGTGGGTTTGAGGGTCCTGGATGCGCAGCATGATTCATGGAACTGTCCATCTTTAGACCTTTTGCATGGTCAGCCGGGACGTGAGTGTCCTCGTGCATATTCGGAGTCCGGCGCTGTGGGACTTGTTCGTTGGCTTGAAGGTGCGATGAGCGCACGCGACTGGCGGTTCTGGCGGGGAAAGTGTTGAAATGATGCCTACGCATAATCGAAAGAGTCTCACTTTACCAGAGGAAAAAATCCAGTAATACGAAGACATGTCTTTTCACTGTTCTCTGAGGCTTGATGCCCTCTTCATAACTGCGTTTCGTGCTGTTTCTTTTTACTTTGGGTAACTTGAATCAGCAGTGACATCGTTGGTAGTGAGTATTTGACGCGCTAGCAGCACAAAAGTACGCAATTGCTGAAAATAATCAGGAATCCGATTCTCTCACTTCAAGTTGAATGAGTACATTAAGAGAGCAAAGATGAAAATGAAGATGAAATATTAGACCTGAAACCAAAGAGCAGATCGACTACAGCACGAGCACATAATTAGATGTTCAGATCAGTATGCTGATATAGTCGTGCGTGTTCGTAACAAAATACAGACTGAAAATGTCCTCTTAGACTAATGCAATAGTCTCAACCCTGTCCTCCCAGCCTTCACTAAGGCCTTCTCCGTCCATGTAACCGTTCATGTAGCAGTCTCCAATGACGGTGAAAGATGGAAGATGATCAGAACTTTCATCAACCTTGACCGTTTGACCAGTCCGACGCAAAAGAAGCGGTACCTTGCACCCAAGGATCAGGTAGACCTCGTCCAGCGGAGCTGCTTCGTCATAGGCTAACCCAAGATTTTCTTCTTCCGTGATAAACATTGACTTTCTCCAAAGTGAACTTTTGGTCTGATAACCAGTAGCGCGAGTGGTTCCAAAGCCATCCAGAAAACTGGCTTTCTGCTTTGCTTGAAAGTTATCGTAATCGGTGTCCTCGGCTCTTCTTTTCCGGTCTTCAGTGAACCCTTCAGAAACGTAGTCTTGTATAACTGTTCTCCAAAGAGCTTTTGCTTTCTCATTTTTATGGAGCGATGTCTGGAATACCTTGATTCCCACCATCTTCATCCATTCCTGAATAATATCGTCAAATGAAGGGTTGGAATTTCTGAAATCGGAGTGAACGCCCACGTGCTTCAATCTTTGAAGCCTGATACCTTTGAGCATGAGAAGTGAGTCACCGACCAGGGTTAGCGTACTTGTGCTACTTCCTGAACAATTGAAAAGATCAACTATTAGATATTTTTCCACGTACTCATCTTCCCATTCAGACGATAATGTCGAAGAAATCCAGTCCGGCACCCAGGTAGGTAGCTTCTCAATAACGTTTCTGGATCTGCGACCCATTAATGCTCCGCTTCGATCGTGCGCTGTAAAGTTTAGGAAGATGGCCGCATAGCAGTGTTCCAGCGATCCCGAATAGTCTGGAGGAAGGGGGCTGGTGACACAACTCCAATCGTTCACAAGACCTAGAAGCCCGTACACAAGATCTCGACGGCTCGAGGCTTGAAGTTCTACGCACGTATGTCGTAGATCAACAATCGTTCTGCGAAATGAGTTTTGTGTGTAATTTCTTGCCCACATCATTGGACGTATTTTGAAGTAGAGGTCATCCAGAGTACCGCATCTGTCCGAGGAGCCGAGTAGTTGACAGCACTTTTTCCGGTGCGTGTGATGGTTTGATGCTGCCGAAGCTACACTCTCGAAAGCACACTCTTCACTAGCCCAAACCAAACGAGCTTTTTTCGGAAGTGCTGTTTCCTGGACCACCCAGATGCGAGACCACCAAGGTCTTCTGTTCAACGACTCCAGGGCAGTAAAGTGACGCTCATATTCCCTTGAAATGGCCAACTGACCTTCAGAGGTTTTTTCGAAGCATGGAATCTCGTCAATGTGCTTGTTTGAATCGAACAGGCGAATCAGCTCGAAGGCTTTCCGAGCCATTTTGGAGTGCGGCTGCTCATCGGCATCCGAGTCAATGCAGGACTGGCGTTCTCCAAGGAAGAGGAACGCTTCGCAACAAGACCTGAAGACACTCCCCATATTGGCAACCTGATGGGATTTCTCCTCGTCGTTGTCCTGATTAATACAAATGGCATCGATCCAGAAAATTTGGCCATGCGTCTCGCGGCGCAATCGGCGCAGCGCACACCACAGATTTCTGGTTGCCTGGAAAGGTTGTCCATCCACGCGTATGACTACGGTATCGTCAGGGTCTCCCCATACGTATGACAAGGCGTAGTAAGCTGGGTCTTCATCCATTGAGACCGTTTCCAATGTACAACAGACCTCGCTGGACCATTTTCCAGGCAAAATGGTGAGCAGTCGGATTTCTTTTCTCTCCTGATTGAGTGGGCCATAGGGGAAACGCCATGGTTTGCTAGCACACTGGCGTAGTGGCAACGTAATCTCTTGTGCTGATGAGCTATTGACGGGCGGTGCTTCATGTGGTTCTTCTAGCAGCCTGTTTTCCGGCCTATGTGGGGCGTGTCGTATTCCATGTTCCATCGTGTGGCGTCTGTTCCGTACGTTCCAGAGCGAGAGATCGTTCAAGGGGTGTTCGATATTGAGAACAAAGTAGAGCGATGCCCGTATCTTTTGCTAGCACCTTGGTGATGTGTGCGGCCAGTAGGAACCCGCGGTACGATGTTGTTGTTTGATGAATAGGCAGGCCTGCCGACCACTAGTTAACAATAGTAATCGACGTTGGTGCAAAGTAGTTGTGTATAGTATCGACAAGAAGAGAGAGAGGGGGGAGAGGAAAAAATATAGTGAACAAGGCTGAGCGTACTTCTGGGACTTTACATATGCCTGTCGCGAGTGGGGCTGTGGTTGCTGACATGTCTGCATGCATGCAGCTCGCTCGACACAGCCACCTCCCAAGAAATATGATAGGATAAAGGCTCCAGTGGCTACTGTCAGGTGTTGAGCGAGGACTCAGATGATTGAGCGGAGGTTAGAACGCCACTTTATTGGCGCGGCAATGTACAGAGGGGTACTGCAGCCGATGGCTAGCGCGGAGAATAGCGGGATCCTCGAGTGTAACTATGCCTCATCTTTTTCTTTCAAAAACAAAACAACGTGTGGGTAGTTGAAGCTATCGTCCGGACAAGAGTGTCGAATTAAAAATTCTACATATACATCCGGACGATAGCCTCAACTACCCATGACATGAGCAAAAAAACAAATCCACGCTAGCCATCGGCTGCGAGAGGGGACTGTACATGCAAGATGATTTCTGAAAGAGGTGAGTTTCGATCGGATATCTACGACAATAGATACATCATGAGCACTGCTAAAGACACTCTCCTTCCCACCCGCCAGTCCAGCGCCGGGCGACGGGGTTCCTCCAGATCTATACACTGCAAAACCTCGATAAGAAAAGCCACACGCGGCATGCACGCCGCGAATAAGCAAACGCCACCTACCCCAGCCATCTTTCCCCAAGTTCATCATCGTAAATAGTACAGGTGAATGAGGAGTTGTGTTGGGATATCAAAAAAAGGAACTTGCTGCCTCGGTCGTCTTCAAAAACAATCATTCCGTCAGGGGAATCGTCAATCTTTTCCGTCCTACATCCTCCAGATGATGCAGTCCATACCATAACTTCGGGACTCTCCCGACTCGGTATTTCATCTTCTTAGAACTCACCACCACCACTTCCTCCAAGCATAGCCGCACCCCACACGCCAACAAGACCCCAAAATCCGACCCTCCAGCCACGCACAAGCCCAGCCGCGCCCTGGCCCTTGCTCTGCTTCTGCTGCTGGTACCTGACGACGCCAGCGGCGGTGGTGCGCGCAACGGGCGGTGCTCCGGGGCCCGGCCCGGTGCTGCCCTCGTCGCGCACAATGTACCACATGGTGCCCAGCACGCCGCGGTACGGTCCGACGTCGACGACGGTAGGAAGGGGTTCGGGCTCGGGCGGGCCCTGGGTATGCTTCATCGGGCTGCGCGAGCGAGACTGCCTGCTGGAGGATTGCGAGCGGAAAGAGCTGTGGGCGGAGAAGTTGGCCTGGCGCGCGGCGTGCTCGGTGAGGACGGCTGCTTGGCCGCGGCGGAGAACCGTCTCGAGGGGCAGCTTGACGAAAAGCTCGGTGGCGGAGGAAAGGAAGGTACAGACGGAGTAGGTTGCGGGTGTTAGGACAGGATCGATGTGCAGAGAGGAGCGGAGGAAGAGCGGGGTTGAGGCGGAGATAAAGGTTGGAATCGTAGAGTGCAGAAGCGTGATGGGAAGAAGAGGTGCGGGGACGCTAAGCGTAGGCAGAGCGCGGAGATTTGGGAAGACATGGCGGGGTCCGGCGGTGGATGGCGTCACAAGAAGCCTGGGCAATATCAGTTATACAAGTCCAAATGGAGCAAGGATGTGCTGGAGAGCTTACCGCGTGCGGACCATGTCAAGTGGGGCCAGCACGAGGCCTGTGATGCCCGCTGCGGCAACAGCAACAGCCAAGCTGGTGATGGGGTTCGGGCTATCCACGACGTCCAGGCCGCCTCCGCCAACTCCATAGCCGCCCAAGAGACCCGGGTCGGGCACATTGAGAAGAGCGGACAGCAAACTCCGCACCCAAGTCTCAAGGGTCTTGAGTAGGAAATTGTAAACAAAGGTCGAGTTTGTGCCCTTCCACACACCCCAAGCGCCTTCTTTGGTCCATAGCTGGGAGAGAACCTCGAGTAGCGAATCGGAGCGCTTTAGATCAAGCTTGTAGGGATGTGATAGTGGTTGTCTCGGCGGAGCTGCACGAGACGAAGGACGGGGGTGCGGGGACCGCGAGTCGGAGCGCGAGGCGGTCGAGAGGTTTGAGCGAGGAGCGGTAGAGGAGAAGTATGAAGGAGAGTCATCGGCGGAGTCCGAGTCGGAGAGGTACTGGGTGTTGCGATGAGTTCTAGGTCCAAACAAGGAAATATGTCACATGCAAACCGAGAGACACACCTCGTTGTAGCGGGCACGGGCCGAAGCGGCTGCACGTTTTCGTGCATCCTCAGGGTCCAGCAGGCCTCGCTGTTGGTCCGACTGCGGCGAGTGCAATTGCAGCACCGTTTTGGCGACCTCGAAGGGCTGCGCGAAGAGCACCGAAGTGTAATTCCAAACGGCCTGATCGAGCAGCTTCTTGGCCATCTCGGCCACGGTGGGGCTGCCATCGCCCAAACTGATGTCGACGCCATAGTCGAGGTCGCTCAGGATGTCGCGGGCCTGGGAGCCGAAGCTCGGCTTCGGTGGTGACGCAGACGGCTTGGCCGAGGGCGATGCGCGCGGGGCGGCATTGGGAACAGGGTCGCTGGGCAGGCCGATGGACGGCGGTATGTAGTAAGGGCGCAGCGGATTCGGCTGGTCGCGCGACGTAGCCATGAGGGGCTCGAGAGCGTGGTGACCGTGCCGAGAAAAGGTGTTGTCGTCGGAAGAATGCATGACGGGGTTGCTTGGTGGTGTGGCTTTCGTGCAGAAAGCTTGACCGTCCAGCGAATCGCCGCGCTCCGAGAGCAATGAAATAATCCAGCCAACGCCGATCCCGCCTTGACGCCTTCCGCCGCCCACCCGGGAGCACTCAAAACCCTCCATCGTCCCAACAGTCCCGTGCGATTGTCGCCCCGCCCTTCCTACGCCATGCCCTCGTCTACCAGCGCCATGCGCACCCTCCTTCACGCCTCGGCGCCCCGCGCGCTTCCCTCCTCTAGGCCTGTCCAGAGGTCATGGCAAAGATTCGTTCAGACTGCGCCGAAGCCCTCCACTCCCGCCCTGCCCGCATATCAGTTGCCGAGGACATGTAGAACCCAGGCGCTCGCAAGAAACACGTCGATTTTCCACCCGGTTGCCTCCAAGCGGGAGTTTTCTACCTCGTCTGCGCGGCAGCATGGCCATCTCCACACTCCGAAGCCGGGCGAAGAGTGAGTCTCCAAAAGTAGCCTGTAAAACGTCAAGAGATGAAGAGAGCCTTGGAGCTGATTGAGTGAATGGCGGACAGGCGGAAGGTGACCTTCATCGACAAGGACGGCGACGAGCACACCTTCGAGGTCGCTGACGGGGACAACCTGCTGGACATTGCTCAAGCAAACGATCTCGAGATGGAAGGTGGGTTTCACAGCCTTCAGTGCGCAGTACAGGGAATCAATGGCTCTTTGGACTGGTACTAGTAGTACGGCGTAATGGCGCATGCTGACTCATTTCACCCACAGGCGCGTGCGGCGGTTCCTGCGCATGCAGTACCTGCCATGTCATCGTCGAGGACAGCGACTTGTACGACCGCATGGAGGAGCCTGATGACGACGAAAACGACATGCTGGATCTTGCTTTCGGACTTACAGAGACGAGCCGTCTGGGCTGTCAGGTCAAGATGACCAAGGAGCTGGACGGCCTTGTCGTCAAGCTGCCTAGCATGACGCGAAACCTGCAGGCAAGCGACTTTGCTGATAAATGAAAGATTCGTATATCCGCAGGATACCTCCTGGTGGAGACCATACTGAGAAAAGATCGGACGGAAAGAGAAGGATTGGCAAGGCTACAAGAACCATGTAACAACTTAGGGGCAGGGCTGTAATGTGTCAATGACCTGGGGAAAAACGACCATACTGTGGAGCCAGCGGGAAGGTACAGATACGACCGCATGATTTGGCTTGGGTTTAGACGGACTGTACTATACGCATCGGAGTTTGGATAACTGGAAATGTACAAAGCTACACTCCATGCTCGGGCACAATCTTTGCAGCTGTGTCGGATGCTAATGGCCAGTTTGTCTCTCTCAGAAGCCTTGATACTTATTACTTTTTTTTTGCCTCTCATTTACCCTTGGTCCAGCGAAAGCTTGCACAGGAGGCAATAGATCCGCAAGAACTACAGTAAAGTACAGGTGGACTGGATTTAAGATAGGAGGAGCGAACTGCTTGCTTCGTGGAGTCATAATCTATTTCGCTGGGAAGAGAGGCATGGTTGTCTGGGTAGCGGGGCGGGGCGGGGCGGGTCCAGCCAAGCTTCCGAAGGCGGTGGAGGGCGGAGGCGGGCAGCGACGTCGATTTGGCATCTACGCGCAGCTCCTCCACCACCGCATCCAACTTTTGGCCGCGCAATGCCACACCCTTAAAAACCCTTGCTCTCACATCCTAGTTCCCGCACATCGCACATTCACGCGCGCCGCTTTCACCATGGCCTCCGCCGTGTTCTTTCTCGACCTCAAGGGCAAGGTAAGGCCAGAACACCAGCTTCCTAGCTACTCAGGAGAATGCACCGCGAAATGCTGACGCACCAGGCAGACCCTTCTTGCCCGCAACTACCGAGGTGACATTCCCATGTCGGCCGTCGAGAAATTCCCCATTCTACTCAGCGAAGCCGAGGAGGAGAGCTCCGCAGTGCCACCGTGCTTCTCGTCCGAAGGCATCAACGTCAGTCCTCCCCGCCAGCGTCTCCGTGCCTGAAGGCACCGTCGCTGACAGGTGTCTTCGCTCCAGTACCTCTACATCAGACATAACAACCTGTACCTGCTCGCTCTCACGAAGCGCAACACCAATGCCGCCGAGATCCTCCTCTTCCTGCACAAGATCGTTGAGGTCTTCACCGAGTATTTCAAGGAGCTGGAGGAGGAGAGTATAAGGGACAACTTCGTCGTCATTTACGAGCTGCTCGACGAGATGATGGACTTCGGACACCCCCAGACCACCGAAAGCAAGATACTACAGGAGTGCGTCACCCGCCGCCCGATGTTCGGAGCTATGCTGACCTCGCGATGCGTTGTGCAGATACATTACGCAGGAATCGCACAAGCTCGAGGTTCAAGCCCGTCCGCCCATTGCCGTCACCAATGCTGTGTCCTGGCGTAGCGAAGGTATCCGCTACCGCAAGAACGAAGTCTTCCTTGACGTCGTCGAGTCGCTCAACCTCTTGGTATCCGCCAACGGCAACGTGCTGCGCTCCGAGATTCTGGGTGCCATCAAGATGAAGTGCTATCTCTCCGGTATGCCTGAGCTGCGCCTGGGTTTGAACGACAAGGTCATGTTTGAGACGACTGGAAGGGCGACCAGAGGCAAGGCGGTCGAAATGGAGGACGTCAAGTTCCACCAGTGCGTGCGCTTGAGTAGATTCGAGAACGACCGGACTATCAGCTTCATCCCGCCTGACGGAGAGTTCGAACTTATGAGCTACCGATTGAACACGCAAGTTAAGCCACTGATCTGGGTCGAGTGCATCGTTGAAAGCCACTCAGGCAGCAGAATAGAGTACATGCTCAAGGTACGTCACCATATATTCAATGTTTTTACAAGCGGAGTACGTTCAAACTAACAAACATCAGGCGAAAGCACAATTCAAGAGGCGCAGCACGGCTAACAACGTGCAAATCATCATCCCCGTTCCCGATGACGCGGATAGTCCGCGCTTCCGCACCAACATCGGCACCGTTCACTACCAGCCTGAGACCTCGTCCATTGTCTGGAAGATCAAGCAATTCGGCGGTGGCAAGGAGTTCCTGATGCGCGCCGAACTCGGCCTTCCTTCTGTTCGGGGCGATGACGAGAAGGGTGGCGGCATGATGGGTGGTTTCGGTGGCAGCATGGGAGGTGTTGGCAGTGGCAAGGGCAAGAGGCCCATCAACGTCAAGTTCGAGATTCCCTACTTCACGACCTCCGGCATCCAGGTGCGGTACCTGAAGATCATCGAGCCCAAGGTAAGTTCTCTCAGTCACTGGATTTGGTTGATAGGAGGTCTAACATTCTCGTGCAGCTGCAATACCCCTCGCTGCCATGGGTCAGGTACATCACGCAATCCGGCGATATCGCCGTTCGCTTGCCCGATGTGCAGTAGTCAATGGGGATATCAACGATAGGAGGAAATGATCAAAGAGTTGATTCCCAGGGCGTTTAGGGAGGCTTTCTTATGTTCCTTTTGTTTCCCCTCAATGAACCGAAAGTCCACATTTTCGGGATGAGCTCATCAATGGGTCTGAAGAATCCGAAATGAAATGCGCATGGCATGACTGGCTTATGGGCTGGAATGAGTTGATTTCACGGGTTTTTAGAGAGGAAAGCTTTTTGTTAGTAATCCGGCTCTTAGCTAGAGCTGGAACTTCGTTTTAGGATTCTGTCTGCCTTTTTATGCCTTCTCACAGTATTATTACTACTACGATAATGGTCGATTTTGATATGAACGTAGAGGATTGAATGAGTGAGCATGAAGTGTGTCGGATGAAGAGTGATTAAGAAGTGGGTTCGAACAGTGTTTTCTATGTTACAGGATATCAACCTTGAAGGAAAATTCATCCTATTTCTGTAGATGGGTGAACCTTACAGCTTGTAGGTTCATATCATGAAAATGGACATTTACATACTTTACTTCACCACGAAGGAAACAAACATTCGAAAAGGATTTAAGAATTTGACATCTCTTCAGTCTATCGTTTACATACCATAGTATTTCTTCAAAGTGATGACGGTGCTTGCAGTCAGACGAACTTTTACACCTCTTCCAGGTGAGTCACTGAGCTAGGAAACATTAGAATTCCGATGTAATAGTAGGGCGAAATTCACGACAAATCAGAGATAGACCGAAAACAACGCAAGAAAATTAGACATGAGCAAGTCTGATAGTAATTAAATGCGAAAGAGATGAAGAGGAGTTTGATTTTGTTCTTGAATTGCTTTGATTATTTCCGCTTGTCTGAAAAGCGAAAGCCCAATAACGAGAACGAAAATGTGGCATTCTATGTGCTATACCCAGCCAAAGACCCAAAGCTTCGACCTATCCGACGTGCAGCACAATTTCGCCACGTTTCCCACTCCCTGCAAACCGAGATGAGAATTTCAGAAGACAAATAATTTCAATTCCCCAATGCAACGCTCCGCTTTCGTTAATGGTATTTCCCCCTTCAGTTTCTTGGATGTTAATGCGTGTGCTTAATAAGATGGTATACAACAGCAAGAGCAATACAGGTAAGCAATCAAGCAAGCCGTGTTTGTTTGTTTGTTTTTGTTATTCGTGAATCTTCGTTACTGAAATGCGTAAAGTAGCGACGATGGTACGAATGGTTAGCCAAAAACAAGATATGGTCGTGGAAACGACAGACTGATAAAAGCAAGAACGCCAATGTGAAGTATAGGTATCCGCCGCTATGCAAAGAGCAAAGAAATAGACAAACCCCCGGCCGTGACCCGCTGATGAGAATAAGGAAAACTGACCCAAGCCTACAGGTATACAGAAACAGAGCAGCTAGACTAGAAATATGCGTTTACTCTTTTTTTTGGTGTTCTGAAAAGCTGCCAAAACCACCCCTGTGGAGATATTGACAAAGAATAGAAAGTTGTAGAAACTTGGTATGAATGGAGCTGGAGCTGGAGCTGGAGCTGAAGCATCATTGCTTAGAACCTACTCCACCTGTTTGCCAGGGCCTCGGTCCATCGTCCGTACAAGACGTTGGCGAGGTCACTGGTGTGATCCATACCAGGCTTGCTGTAGCCGGGGAGCTTCCTCTCGTCGATGTGGGCAGAGCCTCTGCGCCCCTCGATACCGACATTGCTGCCGTTGCTGCTGTGGTCGCTGCTAGCAATGCTAATGGCACTTTGGCGACGGCGCTGATGCGACTTGAGATGTGGGCTGTTTTGGGCAACCAGGAGCTTGTTGCCATTATGCCTTGCTGATGAGGAAGGAGAGATGTTCGATTCGTAGAAAGGATCATTACTCTTATGGTTGGATGTGGAGGTCGGAGAAAGAACAGCAGGGGCGTGGCTCTTAGACGGTGTCATCGGCGCGCTGGGCATGCCAGACGGAGCAACTCCCAGCGCGGCGGCAAGCTTGGGGTCCGCCTGGATTCTGTCGATCATGTTGCGCATGAGCAGGAATTCACCTTCGGGGTCTACCCTGTCCAGTGCGGCCCAGGCCTGTGCGGCTTTCGCCAGAGCGTCGCGCTTCTGCTGGGAGCCGGTCTGAGCATGCGTCTCTTGGAATGCACCATCAATAGCCTTAACATAGGCACGACGGCCCATAAGCGATTCCTTGGTCAGTCGAGACACCGTACCCTCAGTCAGTGGAGGGGTGTTCTCATTCTGCACATCGGAAACCAGCGTATCCGCAGAAGAGAAGGAAGCATTGATGTTCGGACGGGACGGGACCTCTTCTGGGTGCGATTCGAGTCCGGCCGAAGAAACGCGGCCGAACTGGCGCACAGTCGAGTGCCCATTTCCGAAGGACATATCGACGGCCAGAGGCTCTCGGGCTGCACTGTTCCGACGGGCGGTTGAAGGGGCTGATCCTTGGTTGAAGCTTGCATTTGAGTGTCTGGACGACGGCCTCCGGTGGGCCGTGCCCACCTTGAAGCCACTGGTTGGTGCGGAGGTGCTCAAAGGCGTGGAGTCGAGATCGTGCTTCTCCAACAGCTCTGCGGGGAAATCGGCCCGGGGGGAAATCCGCTTCCTCTGGGTCTGAGTCTTAGTCGGTTTCACGGTGTCAAAGACCCACTCATCATCTTCGTCGTCCTCCAAGCCTGATGCGGGGATGCTGCGCCTGACGTCAACATTAGCAAAGGATCGTCTCACAACAAACAAGTTACCCACATTGTTTCCTCGTAGTACTTGGGGTGAGAATGCTTGGTGCTTCCCGCATCGTACATTCTCCTCCGCTCGACGAGCTCCTGCAGAGCCTCGACTTTGCCGGCGCGCTGGATGAACTTGTGCTTCAGGAGCTCCTTGGCAGTAGGCCTCCTGTCCGGATCCTTGACCAAGCAAGAGGCGACGAAATCCTTGTACTCCTTGGAGAATTCGCTGCCCTCCAGACGCGGGGCAGGTGCCTTGGGAATCTGGAACAGGACCTTCATGGGGTGGGTATCGGCATGCGGGGGTTCTCCCTTTGCCAATTCCATAGCAGTGATTCCCAAGGACCAGATGTCGGCCTTGAAGTCATAACCCATCTCTTGAATAACCTCGGGAGCCATCCAGTAAGGGGTTCCGACGAAAGTCATGCGTTGCGATTTGATGTTGGTGAGCTGGGCGGCGACACCAAAATCGGCGATCTTGACCTTGCCGTTCTGGGCGAGGAGGATGTTGGCTGCCTTGATGTCACGGTGGATCTTGCCAGACTGGTGGAGGTAGTCAAGACCGAGGAGGAGCTCACGGCAGATGATGGCCGTGTGAGCTTCGCGGAAAGGACCAGGCTTCATCTGGGTGGAAGTCAGTTCATCTGTTCGAATGCAGCACGGCAAAGGTTGTGTCCTTACCAGATCCAAACACGAGCCGCCTCCCAAGAACTCCATGACAATCCATAGCTTGACACCACGCACAAAGCTAGTCTTGTACTGGGTGACAAAGTCGCTGGCGCAGGTGCTGAGCAGGGCAATCTCCTGCTGGATTTCGCGAATGTCATCGTCGCTTCCTTCGAGGTCGATCTGTGCGGCTGAGGTCAGCTCGAGACGCGGTGGTTGCGGGCAGAGAGAAGACGCACATGTTTGATGGCGACGATTTCGCCAGTGGACTTTTCAATGGCCTTGTAAACAACGCCAAAGCTTCCGCCTGGAGAGTGGTCAGCGACAGCAGGAGATGCGCAGTGCTCAGGACTTACTGCCGAGCTCCTCGAGCACCTGGTAGTTGTCGGCGTCCTGCAGCTGCATGGCTCCTTTGTTTTCTCCGGGCGGAGAGTTTGCGAGACAAAGTTGAAGGTTTGCAGGTAGCACCAGACGCGCGCCTTTCGGGGGCTAGAGATGCCAAATATGAATGCTGGAGGTTGGGAGCCCGGGCGGGCGGGCAGCTTCAGGTCATGGGCGGGCGCTATGGCACTGGCAGATAGCGGTGACGATGCGCATCTCCACAGTAACCGAGCGAACGAGAGAGCGCACGATGATCTGCGCGTCGCGGCCACCAGCCCAACGCCAGCCACCGAGAACGCAGACGCGAAACGCGTCCATCGCCCGCTCCAGCCACGGCCACCGCGCTGCACATGCGCAAATCCGTCGCTGCGAACGCCACGGAGCACCCGGCCTACGGTTGTTGCTGAGGAGCGGTTCCTGCAGTAGTAGGCGGCGAGCAATCAGGTTCTGCCAGGCCAACAGCAGGCCAGGCTGATTGGCCCCCAAGCTGCGCCGCATCTCAGCTGCGCCGGCCTTTCTCGCCGCCCGACAGGCTCCCGTCGTGTTGACGTGCTGCCCGTCCCGGCCTAGTCTGCGAACTCAATCAGGGTCAGCCTGACATGGAGTCGCGACACCTCGCTCGTAAGGTGGTCTTCACTCGGCATGACTATCCGGGCGCAATCTCCGTGACCTCATCGTCGGCAAATTTTTCTGCGGCGTTGGGCGCGTGTCAACGAGCCCAACGACGCGGCGCGCATCTGCACTCTCCATCGCGTCATTCCCGCAGCCGACCCGCTCACCGCCCGGCAGATAAGCTATCCCCGCTGTGCCGCCAACACCAAGTGGGCCATGACCGTCATGTGCCGCTCCAGCGGCGATCCCTCGAGGGAAACACGCCGATTGCTCCACCCGCGTGACTCGACCCAAAGAGCTTCGTCAGCCCTGTCGATTGCCAACTTTTCGCTGCCGATCCGTCCCAGCCTGGACTGATCGCACTCGCCTCATTCTCAATCCGCCCCGGCCCGCAGCGAACCAGTGGGTATGCCCTGCCGCTAGATGGAACCACGTCGCGAGATTCAGCGTTCACGCGGTCTCTACCAGCCACCCCAGCCTTCACCGCTCCCCATTGGCGCAGGGCCCTATTCTCGAAGGGTGTGTAGCCGCACTACTCAGGCCCCAAGGCCAATCTGAGGCGCGCGATCGGACGCCAACGGACTGATGGTAGATCCGACGGCGTGGAAAGCTTCGGATTACGCTTAAGGCTTCCAGAGCAGACGTTAATGACCCTTAAAAAAATCAACTAAGGGGACTAAAAATAAAGGTTTTCCGTCGAAAAGAAAATTTGGCCAAGTTTTGAGAAGGCCAGTTGCGTCATACCCCTTACGAAGGTTTCATCAAATGTCAGGTTTGACCAGCGGTGTTGGCTGCGGTGGTTCGGATGCTGCAGCTGTGCTGCATCGTTGCGCAGATGACAGGTTCGCGACCGTTCCATTGGCCGTTTGTGGAGCTTCTCGAGATCGACGGTCCTTGACGGAGCTCATCTTGCCTTTTCATGCATAGCGGATGGCCAAGGCGTAACGAAATCAAACAGCAAATGACTTCCCTCAGGTTCTGGAGGAGAGATTCCCAGAAGTAGGGTCTTGTCAGCCACTGGCTTCTCCGCAAATCACGTCGTCTCCCACCGTTGGCCAGCCGTTTCTGGCCGTGCGTTGCCGTGGGGATGGCGGCCGCCGCTGCACGACGCCGGCGGAGATGGCGTTCACGCACACTGTGCCACGTCGGGAAGGCAAATAAGATGCGGCGACCTGCCTTGGACCATTCGTCCAAGTACGCCCATGTTCTCCTCCAGTTGGTCAACGCTGAGCAGGAGCCTTGTTGTTCTGGGGATTGGCGTTGGCATTGTGTCGACGGTTGCCCGTTGGCGCGGGCGGCGCATAGGCTTTGCGCAAATCTCGCTACTGATGGTCGCCGGCCTGCTGTCGCCGCGTGCGCATCCGCAAGCACCACCTGCTCTCCCGCCGCAGCTTTCGAAACATCATGCCGCGGAGGAGCAGCTCTTGACTGAGCTGGCCGACAACATGGACCTTCTTCCGGCCGCGCGTCAACGTCCCGCCGAATCTGTGCGCGAGCTTCCCGACCGCGACCCAGACCTCACGTCTTCAGGGGGCCCACTCGCGCGCGCCGGTGCCTCGTCCACCAGGCCTCACCCAAATTCCCGGGGGCACCATTACTCTCATTCCACCTCCAGCTCCATCTCCACGCTCTCTCACCCGCCGCCAATGCCCGCCCACGCTCGCTCAATGTCGCATGCCGACGCAACCACCGCTCGCCAGAACAAACGTCTTTCCCTCAATTTCCCCGTTCCCGTGCAACCCGCCTCAACAGCCCACATTCCATCGCCCCGACGCCCTCGCCCAGCCTCGTGGGTTGGCGCAAGCCCCGTGCGCCACGACACTTTCCAGCCTTCGCTCGCATCTCCTCCGCCCGACGGCAACTTCTTCACCGCGCTGGCCGCCCAGGAACGCCGCGTATTGGAGTTGAGAGATGAGCTCGCAAAAGCCGAAGAACATTTAAAGGAGCTGAAGAAGCAATGGGCCAACCAGGAGGCTGCTCGCAAAGGCCTGAAGGAGGGATATGGCTTCCATCCGCTGCACCCGCTCAACACCAACATACCCAACCTCGGCATCATTGACGATGATCCGGATGGCCCCAGTTGGATGCAGAAGGAGATGGAGCGCAGGAGAGCTATACTCAATGGCCAGCGTAGCTCAACCCGGAAGGTCTTCAGCGGCTCTCGCCACACTCGCACTCTCTCCCTCCTGTCTCCTGACAAGACAGCGCCCGCTACGTCCTTCCCCAGGTCTGCAGAGAGAAGGTCGGACGAAGTTACAAGCCGCGCCCTTAGTCGCACTCCAAGCCGCACGCGCTCCTCCACTACGCCAGACATTACAAATGAATCCGAGCAGGGTGAGGCGCTTGTGCGGACTGGGAAGCAGATGGCATCAGATTTCAAGGACGGCTTGTGGACCTTCTTTGAGGATCTGCGTCAGGCCACTGTGGGTGATGAGGCGATCAATGGCGTTGGCCACCAGGTCCGTCGTCAACCCAGTGGAGCGAATATCGGCTCCAGCTCGTCTACCAGCCTCAGTCGGTCAAAAAGTATGGGCCATGCGCGCAAGCCGAGATCGCTGCAGCCTTCCGGTGACGGTTCCGCCCTGATAGACATCGAGACGGACTTCTGGAAGGAGCACGGAATTGAGGCACCGAAGCCTGCGGTTGTCAAGCCCGCCAGGTCCAACACCACACCGCAGAAGCCGCAGAACCGCTCTAGTCAGACCTTTGAAGAAAGCTGGGAGGATTGGGAGAGCCCAAATAACGACGACAAATTTGTTCCCGGTCATTCGAGCACTAACAGCTCTGTCTCGGAAGGCCAGGCCTCTCACTGCTCGGACGGCAGCAGCCCGCGGACCAGTACTAGGTACGTAAGAGCGCAAGGCCAGGTATGTCAAGTTCAGGTTTTAGAGGGTCAAGCTTCACATAAAGTACGGAACTGCTGTGGTGGAAACGTCACAGTAGAGGAAGTCCCCATCACTCAAGCTTGAACTTGTGGCCTTTCTCGACTACCATTTTTTTTCTCTCACAATTTCGGAGTTAGTCGCGTTAACACTGCAATTTCAGCTCGGGCCCCGTACTAGCACCTCTCGATCTCGGAAAAGTCCGCGAAACGAAGCGCTCCTCGACGAGTCCGTCCTCTCCGTGGCACGCCCTGAGCAAGCTCTCACCTAGCAACGTCAAGCGCGCCGCCTCCAACTTCATGGACGAATGGGAGAAGAGCATCACCTCCCCAATCGAAGGTTCCATGGCCGAAGCCGATGCTCTGCAGGAGTATATCGCCTCTATGACTCCACCCAAGACCAGCAAGGCTGAATGATTTCTTTCGACGCAGTCTTCAAGTACTCACGACGGTGGTCTTATGTTGATTTTTTCACTTCGTTCCTCCCCGGGCGCCGCGCGCACGCATACACGATAGAAGCCTTTGTCTTTTCCGCATGGCTGAGAATATTTTGATGAGTGATGGCTTTCCTACTTTGTTCCTCCTTTTTCGCTTCGAGAAAGGGATACTCCCACGTTTGTCGCATAGGGTTTGGAAGACACGGATGATGTGATGGTTCGGCTTCTCGGATAGGACGATGAAGTTGCAGTTTTGTTTTTGTGTTTAATGCTGATACTAAAGACAGCGCGTTAAGAGACTTTGTTTCGTGTATATACAGATTGGGTTAGATGGTGGAGTTGACGCAACGGAAGCGTGTGTCCTAATGACTGCGTCATTGGACCGCCACAAAAGAGAATCGAATGAGAGGAAGTGCCAGATGATAGCATGGTCTCGGTTATCGAATTGTGTGAATTGATTGTCACCTGGTGTATAGATTTGCATAGTCACGTCGAGTGGTGTCGTGGACATGATCACTACTTGAATCGATGGCTAATCATGAATTAGCACAGTTTATTCTCTTTAAATACTTTCTGTTACTTTCAAGTTTCACGCCATATTCATTCACAGAATCTTGCAATGATGACGGGAGCGTTGGAGCCCATTAAAAGAAATCTAGTAAGATTCTTTGCTCTAAATGATCTAGTCTAGATGACAGAAAATGGAAAAAGCCAGGGCGGCAGAGTTCTATCTCTAAATCGAAACCGCATTTCCTCTATCTACTAAAGCCGACACCTAACACGTTTCTCCCACTCACAACCGCGCCTCCTCCCCCGAAGCCATCGGATCCACATCGCTCAGCACATTCTTATTCACCCAGTCCGGCCTCTCACCCTTCACATAGCCGGGCTTGCTCGCCTCGCCTTCCAGCGCCTTCAAGCTGCCATCTTCGGCAAAGCCGTAGCGGCGGACCTCGCAGTTGCAGAAGCCCGTGCCCTTCTTGGGGTCGTAGTCGGTCCAGTCCTCCATGAGGTAGTGCAGGAAAGCGCCGTGGGTGACGAGCACGATGTTTTCCTCGGGGCGGGCGCGCAGCCAGGCGCGGAACAGCGCGGCGCGGCGCTCGACGGCCGGGAAGGATGGCGTGTAGATGCCGCTCTGTTGTGCTTGAATGTCAGAACGCTGCTCGAAAGGCCTCTTACTCTCTCGAGGTGGGGGATTGAAAAGAGAGCATATGATCAGACAGTAGAAATAGTAACGAGAGAGAACAAAAAAAAGAAAAAGGAATAGTAAATCTTACCTTCGAGTTCCACCCCTCCTCCACCAACCCGAAATCAATCTTCCCCAGATCGAACTCCACACTCTTCGCATCCACCATCTCGGGCAGCGCCGCCTTCAGCTCGTCCGCAGCGAATCCCGTGTCACACGGGTTGGCGGCGACCTCCTGGGCGTGGGGCACGAGGAGGAAAGGGACGTCGGGTCGCGCCAGGGCGGCGCCGAAGCAGTAGGATGCGGTTTGGATGGTGCGCTTCAGCGGCGACGCCATGACGATCGAGACCTTGTCATTGTCCGGAAAGGTCTCGCAGAGGGCGGCGCATTGCGTGTGGCCGAGCGGAGTGAGGTGGGGGTCGCGGAGGTGGTGGCGACGCTGTGGCGGGTCAGTTTCGGGGGGTGAGAATGGTCGGGGAAGGAAAAGCTGTTGGAATAGTGTAGGTTCCTTGGGTTCCGACAAAACAAGATGTAATGTATGGAATCCAAGGAGAAAAGGAGGTATTGGATCCTCGAAGTAGATACTGACATTGACATTGTGCTCGCCCTCGGCGTGGCGGACCAAATAGAGTGTCGGAGGCATGGTGATAGCGAAAGAGGACTGTGCGCAGGCGCCTTACTGTGGGATGCAAGTATTAGACTGCCTCAGGGTAAAATTTGTCCTTTTTAATGGCACGAATTTTCTTTTCACCGCTGGCTCGGCTTCGCGTCGGTCGTTGCCGAACTAATGAAAGTCACGGCCGCCGGCACGTTGCGGGGGCTTATGGGAGCCCTTTTCCGGAGCTGTAATACCAGTTGGTGTTGCCAAAGGCGAGGAACTTGCAATCTCCTGAGCTACTCTCATTTTTTGGGGGTATCAATAAAATGTTACGGACAGAAAAGAAGTGGTAATAATATACACAAAAAAAGAAATCCCGCTGCCCAACCGGCCAATCATTCTCGAACGTTGCCTCTGCGCTTGCACATTAACTTTCCACGACGTATCAGTTTCCCAGAATCGTCTAGCCCCATCGAATTCTTGCTTGTTCTCTGCAGAGTCTTATCCGGGAGTGATGCAAGCCATTATTGGTGTTTGCAAAGCAATAAGCTTTCAGCTCTTCCGTTGTCGATCTGCTCGTGCTTGACGTTCACCTCCATGCTACCTGATAGCGAGGAGCGGCGGTCTCGTAGTAAACTGCTGGTTTGTAGCAGATGGCGCGGCGGGCGGTTTCGTAGTTGGCGCAGATGTGGCAAGAGCGTGTCTCTCTCCACACATCCTCACAATGGCCGTGCGTGCGATATTCGATAGCCGGTCTCTCGGGATAGGCAATGGTACGGTAATGTCTACCCGGTCTGGAGATGTAGTAGTCGTGAGTGGTGGAAATTTCTCTGCGCTCGAGGACTGCGAGCTCAACAGGTCGCCCCAGCCTCTCTTCGTACTGTCTCTGCTTTCGGGAGAGGGAGACCTCTTCGAGCCACAGGCGAAGTGACATCTTCGTTGATTTGATGTTTCGGTGACCGAGTCAGAGGGGAATGTGAATGTGGTCGTTTGTATGGGAGGAGAATCAGAGGATGAGATCGAGTGTGATTGACTGCCTTGTTTTGAGCGATTCTTGGGAGCCCGAATCATGTGCTTTAATAGTCAAGACATCGACAGAGCTGACCACCGTTGTTGCACAAGTATGATGAATAGGGCTGCCGCTGAGCCTCATCGACTTGCCGCTAAATGCGCCTCAATGGCGCAAAAAGTGAGCACTAACACGCTTACGGCCACATGCAAACCATCTTGCAGCGGTTCGTGCGAGAACAGCCACAGCGTCAGCCGGCTGAGCCACACACACAGAAGAAACGGGTGGTCAGCCGACAGAGCCTGATAAGGCACGCGAAAAGTAGGGGCGGCTCTCAGGTGGAGGCTGAGCCTCATGGAAAAAGGGCATCCGGAATTTCTGGACAGCTTACTCGGGTACGCTGCCGCCACAAGAAAATCGGTCTCGTGTTAGCAAGCCTCCTGGGGCTGTTGACCTGCTGTCTGAGACATTTCTGTGACGCTTTACACATATTACTTTTGTCTTGACTTCGGAACCACGCGGGCCACGTCAGGAGGCCAATATGCAGAAGCTCGTGCGCTCGGTGTAGTTATGACTCTATGCATCCATATTAACACAGTCAATACTATAGGAACCTCAAGAATTACGGGCACCACAAATTAATCCAAAAAAGGTTTTAATCATGTCCTATGGATCGCTACCATTCATTTTCAATGTCTATGAGAATTGCTGTTGCACCTGAAGCAATCCAGCGTCTTCCACCTGGTTCCTTCCGGATAAGCCTCCAAAAAATAATCGAAAGAAGAAAGAGTCGAGTCCTCAAAAAGGAAGAGAAAAAAAAGGAAAGCGTCTTGTAAAAGAATCTCTTAGGCTGCCGAGTCGCCTATCTCCGTGCCCGATGTGAACGGCCCCCATCGGGTCGCTGCCTGAGAACAATTACCACGGTATTCAGCCCCTTGTCTCGGAGCACCCAAATCCCAGTATTTCAGCATTCAGCATTCACTGAAATCACATTGTCTAAGGCTTTTCATGGCTTCTCACATAGAGAAGGGTAAGGAAAGCTATTGGTAGAATATAGAATGGTGACTCATGTCCTATCCAGCTTGGTGGGTCACAACACACTATGGGTTGCGTCGGAAATGCGATACTACAAGCTGAGAAGCATAAGCTGCTGCCTTGAAAGATGGTGATCCGGAAAAAAAGAAAAAAGAAAAAGAAAGAATACAGGGGTGCACCTGATCGATACAACGGTAAGCATTGAATCTAAGGCTTTGAGAGTGAATGGATGAGCACGAGAAATGGAGTACTGCATATTATATTGCGCGAAATCACAACCTTCGTTGCATTTTGAGCACCTACTCCCCATTTTTTTAGCATGAGTTTTTAATATTTGGTGAAGGTATTATGTGTGCAGAACCCGAGAAAAGAACTGAAAACTGGGGGGTGGCTTGTAGAGAGAAGTCAGTGGGGGCCTTTTGTAAGGTAGTGAGGTTTCTTTGTTGTAAGTAGTCAAGAGATCGAGGATTTCATTCAAGTCATACCCTTGCCATACATGGACTTCAATGAGCCTTGTTTGGCTGCAACTTACGCACGATCAGTTACACAAAAAAGCCTTCGTTTATTTGACTTTTGCCATAGTTTTTGCTTTTGACCAGGTCTGCTTCAGCTGCTGATATCTATTTGAGATTCACGAAAACTTACCAAGTTCCCCGGACGATTTAAGCAGTGCTATAGTCATATAAGAGACTCAGAGAGCCGATATGTGTATTCCTTTCAAGAAGGAGCATTAGGGTTTGGATACGCGTTAGAACCTTTCAAATGCCAATGCCCTCGAGAATGACTGTTAAATAAGAACGGCCACTTTGAATATCGATAAGCCAAGCACTTTAAGATCTGGGCTTTCCGAACGATACGCATAACAGAAGCAGCTACTGGAAGAGGAGGGTGTAGGCGATGCGAGAATCTTAAAGGTTTGTCATGATGCGCTACGGATTACCATCGCAAATGGAGATCAGGCGAGAGCGAAAGTCTTCGCGGAGAGAGCGCATGCAGCGAGAGTCGTTTGTGAGGGTGAAGATAGCTCGGAAACGATTGAATTAATGGACTTACCAAGGGACCTAGTAAGCATGAGCTGTATGGAACATCAATGAGATGGAAGTCAAGGCTGAGGAGCATTCCGCACGGTTGGGGCGAACAGGAATTCAAGAAATGGTGTTGGAAGACCAGTAATCGCCATGAAAAAAGGCGGGGAGCGGCATTTTAATTAAAAGTTTGGATGCAATGAAAGATACGACAGTATACTATAGGGTGGGCTGGGTTTTATTTGCAACTGAAGTAGGCTTGCTGGCGCTGCTATTAGGCCTTACGACATGCATGGGCTCAGCCTCAATACCATCCATCAATGACGCAAGTAAAGGGCTACGCGAGCACATTCCAAGAGATAGCTGATGCGTTTCAGCTTTACTTGTCAGACGAATAGCGAGCGCCTTGCCAGCTATGCGGCACGTATAGTATTGACCAATGAGATACTTTGACTATGCGCGCGGCGTATGTCGTGGCACATGCGTATTGCTGGCCCCACAGAAGGCTTCAGCGCATGAGATGTATGAGGCACAGCAAGGCAGCAGAGCATCTCACAGTGACTTGCTATATAAACAAAGGTCGTGGATACAGAACCGTTTTCACTTTTTCATTCACTCAAGGATCAAAGTTTCGCATATCACCTCGATTTCATTCCACCATCGAAGCGCATACTGAGGGTCATATTCAAAGTAGCTTGGGTTCACATTGCGATTTCATTAGTATGCCTCCCTCTATGAGACATCTTATAGGTGGGAGCTAACATTGTACTAACCACAGAACAGACCGACCTAGCGTTGCACAGATTATGGCATCTTGCAACGTCTGCCAAAAGTCCTTCAAGTCTAAACAAGCTCTCCATCAACATAATGAAGACTCCCCCGCCCACAGACCCATCCGCTGCGAACCCTGCAACAAACCTTTCCAGAACCTAGAAGCCCTCGCGCAGCACAACCGCGACTCCCCAGCCCACAAGAACAACTACACTTGCCAGCCTTGCAACACCCCATTCCCAAGCTCAGCAGCCCTCGCCAAACACGTAAAGGACTCGCCCAACCACACCACTACCGTCTCGGCCCCTCGCCCTAAACCCACCACCACACCCCCGGCCGGCCCCCACCGGCACACCACCACCACCACCACCACCAACAGCGCCGCCCCCCCAACCCACCACCACCCCTGCAAGACGTGCGGCCGCACCTTCCTCACCGCCTCCGCCCTGTCCCAGCACACCCGCGACGCGCCGAAGAACCACGCCGCCGCCGCCGCCGCCACGCAGCACCCCTGCCCATCCTGCCCCGGGCGCTCCTTCGGCAGCGCGTCCGCCCTCGCCCAGCACGTCCGCGACGCGCCCTCGCACCACCACGCCGCCAACGGCGCCTCGCCCCCACCGCTCCAGCGACGCAGAGACACGCCGCTCGACCTCTTCTTCCGATCCTACCCGTCCTTCCGCTACGACCCCGCCCAGTCCCCGTCTGCCTCGTTCGCCGACCTGCGCGCGCACATGGGGTGGCACCGGCGGCGGAGGCGAAACGGCCAAGGCTACGAGGAAGAAGATCCTGCGGCTGACGAAGCGCGCGAGCGGTACGTCACGGCGCTGCGGCGCGAGCTGGAGGTGTGGTTCGGCGGCGAGGACGACCTGGCCAACTGGCAGGCGTTGTGCCGGGCCGTGGGCGCCGTCGTGCCGGCGGCGTCCAAGGGCGAGGCGGCGGCGACGGAGAAGGGATGCGAGCGCGCGCTGCGTGGCACGCACGTCAACCTCGTGGACCTGCTGGCGTGGGCGCGCGAGGACGAGGGCGTGAGGAGGAGGGGTGGTGATGATGACGGGCGGCGGACCGTGAAGGTGTTCGGGAGCGTGGGGGCGCTGGCGGAGTATTGCAAGAAGACGGGGAAGTGGTTCCCGCTGGAGGACGTGGAGAAGGCTGGAGAGCAGGGAGATGGGAACGTCGTGATCAGACATTTGTTGAGGAGGTTTACGGTGAAAAGGTTGCGCTAAAGGAGTAGATATGCTTAAGCACCTGAGGTGATTTTAGGAAGGTCTACATTTTCATGCAACAATATTAGAACACTGATCAATGGATCACGTTCAACGCAAAAGGAGGCACTTTGACATTTCGAAGACTCGGGTTCAATCAATGTTTTATTTGAAATCAAGGTGTGATTGGCTGTTATACTACCTCTAATCATGTAAGGGCTCAAACACAGAGTGCGGTTGCTTCCTAAGAGACGCTCCACCAAGGTAGAGGAATGCAGTTGGGAGTACTTCTATGGCGGTCATGGTGAGTGGTAACACCAGGCCGACATTGAACGTCTTTGGAGGTTCATTTTGGTGCACATGGTTCTTGACTGTAGGGCATGATTGGACATATCACCTGGGCGTTGGTTAGCGACGATATCCAACTTGAATACGGTGAATTAATTGTACGTGTTGACTTTTTCTCAGAGTGTGAATGTTCTCAACAGGATGTTCAGACAGGGATAAACTGAATAAAAAAAAATAAAACTCATCATTGGAGGGAGGGGAGAGGACAGAGGAAGAAACATACCTTGATGGAATCGGAGTGGCTCGTGCAGGAATAGCAGCTACGTCAGCCAAACCTACGAAGAGGCACGAGTATCACGGTGCACGGCTGAGACCGATTCATCGCATCTAACATGTATATTTTTCATGTCCTAGACGTCTATGGAAATCGTCATAGTCGTGGTGGGCAGTAAGCCAACTGCTTATTTCTCGTAGATCCAGGTGTGGTTGGCCTGGGTCCAGGTCTGGACCTCCTCAGGCTTGAACCAGAGAGCAATCTCCTTCTTGGCGCTCTCGACGGAGTCGGAGCCGTGGCAGACGTTGCGGCCGACGTCAATGGCGAAGTCGCCACGGATGGTGCCGGGGGCGGAGGCGAGGGGGTTGGTGGCACCGAGGATGACACGGCCGGTCTTGACGACGTCACGGCCCTCCCAGACCATGGCGCAGACGGGGCCGGAGCCCATGTCTGTCGGCAGGTGTCAGTTTCGGACGAGGGGCCGAGCAGAGGGCGGATACGTACAGGCAATCAGACCGGGGAAGAAGGGCTTGTCAGCGAGGTCGGCATAGTGCTTCTCGAGGTGCTCCTTGGAGGGAGTGGTGAGCTTGATGGCGGCAAGCTTGAAGCCACGGTTCTCAAAGCGGCCAATGATGCTGCCGACGAGGCCACGCTGGCACAGGGTTTAGCAAGGGTCCGGATCTTCAGGGTCGGCGACGGCGATCAAGGCGTCCACAGCAGCGTTGTGCTGCACATGGTAGGGCATTGAGGTGCGGGAGAGCGGCAACGCACCTGGACACCGTCGGGCTTGACGGCAATGAAGCTGCAAGCAGCCGTTAGCTTCACCGCTGTTACCCCTCCGCGAGGGTTTGCGAGCTCTGGACAGCTCGACTTTGTGGGAGCACGTACGTCTGCTCGGTAGTCATGATGTCGGATTGGTGGTTGTGGACGGTGAGGAGGTGGGTGCGGTCTTTGGGGCCTAGGCGCTTAAAGATGGGAGAAGAGAAGAGAGTCGGGGGAGGGGTGTTTTGCATCTTTTGAAGAGCATGGTGGGGCTGGGCCTCTAGCGCCGCCGCGAGCCAACGGGGGATCTCTCCGCAGAAATCACGTGTGAGCCAAGCAGCTCTCCGCCCGGGGAAAGCTGTCATCTACGGCAGCTGTCAAGCAACAGCTCCATTCCGACATCGCTGCCCAAGACCTTGCTGCATACGGACTGCAGCCTGGTATCTCAAACCATGCTGTCCGCCGCTGCCCCCCGCCGATGGGCGGCTGTGTTCCTGCTATTTACCGTCCTCTGCGTGCTGTTCACGCCCGCAGGTGCGCCCGGGAGCTTCCAGAGCTACGCCAGAGGGTAAACATTGCTGACAACGCGCCCGCAGAGATGGTTAAACACGACCTCTTCAAAACCTGCAATCAATCCGGCTTCTGCAAGCGTAACAGGGACTTTGCCGACAATGCTCAGTCTCTGTCTTCGACTTGGCAGTCCCCCTACAACCTAGACCCCGCCTCCGTGACTTTCGACAAGGGCCAATTGACCGCCACCGTCCTTAAGAAGGTCAATGGCCAAGACGACGTTCGTCTGCCGCTCACCGTCACCTTCCTCGAGTCCGGCACAGCCCGCTTTACCCTCGACGAGGAGAAGCGTCAGAAGGGAGAGATCGAGCTGCGACACGACAGCAAGGCCCGCAAGGAGCGTTACAATGAGGCTGAGAAGTGGGCTATAGTTGGCGGCCTCGACGTCAGCACTGGTGCTGCCATCAGCCCCGACGCTGAGGAAGGCACCACAAAGATTACCTACGGCCCTGGTGGCACCTTTGAAGCCGTAATCAAGCACTCGCCCCTGGCTGTCGATTTCAAGCGCGACGGAAAGACCCAGGTGCAGTTCAACGAGCGCGGTCTTCTGAACTTGGAGCACTGGCGGCCCAAGGTCGAGAAGGAGAAGAAGGAAGGCGAAGAGGGTGCTGCTGAGGAGGCTACCCCCGAGCCCACAGAGGATGAGAGCACCTGGTGGGACGAGTCCTTTGGTGGAAACACTGACTCTAAGCCGAAAGGTCCTGAAAGTGTTGCTCTCGACATCACCTTCCCCGACTATGAGCATGTCTATGGTATTCCCGAGCACGCCAGCTCTCTCTCGCTCAAGGAGACTCGGTAAGCCCCATCCTCAAACAATGCCAAGCATGGGCTAACATTCCTCAGCGGTGGTGATGGCGCCTACTCTGAGCCTTACCGCCTCTACAATGCCGATGTTTTTGAATACATCATGGACAGCCCCATGACCCTCTATGGTTCCATCCCCTTCATGCAGGCCCACCGCAAGGACTCTACCGTTGGTGTCTTCTGGCTTAATGCTGCTGAAACCTGGGTCGATATCGTGAAGGCGAAGAGCGCTGCCAATGCTCTTAGCCTGGGTGTTGCCGGCCATACTGATACCAAGACCCACTGGATCTCTGAGAGTGGTCTCATTGACGTTTTTGTCTTCCTCGGCCCGACGCCCAAGGACGTGGTCAAGAGCTACAGCGAGCTCACCGGTTACACTCAGCTTCCCCAAGAGTTCGCTATTGCCTACCACCAGTGCAGGTGGAACTATGTCACCGACGAAGATGTCATGGACGTCGACCGCAAGTTTGACAAGCACGACATTCCCTATGACGTTATCTGGCTTGATATTGAGTACACCCACGAGAAGAAGTACTTCACCTGGGACCCCATGACTTTCCCCAAGGCCCTGGAAATGCACCAGCACCTCGACAAGCACGACCGCAAGCTTGTTGCCATCATTGACCCCCACATCAAAAACGTCGCCGACTACCCCATTGTCGATGAGCTCAAGAGCAAGGATCTTGCTGCCAAGACGAAGGATGGTAACCAGTACGAAGGCTGGTGCTGGCCGGGTTCCTCCTACTGGGTCGATTGCTTCAACCCTGCTGCTATTGAATGGTGGAAGACGCTCTTCAAGTACGACAAGTTCGAGGGCACGGCCCCGAATACCTTCATCTGGAACGACATGAACGAGCCGTCCGTATTCAACGGTCCTGAGACTACCATGCCGAAGGACAACCTGCACTTCGGCAACTGGGAGCACCGTGATGTCCACAACATCAACGGCATGACCTTCCACAATGCTACCTACCAGGCCATGCTTGAGCGCAAGAAGGGCGAGATCATTCGTCCTTTCATCCTGACCCGCTCTTTCTACGCCGGTAGCCAGCGACTTGGTGCCATGTGGACCGGTGACAACCAGGCCAACTGGGACCATCTTGCGGCTTCAATCCCCATGGTCCTCAATCAGAACATTGCTGGCTACCCCTTCGCGGGCGCTGACGTTGGTGGCTTCTTTGGTAACCCCGGCAAAGATCTCCTTACTCGCTGGTACCAGGCGGGTGCTTTCTATCCCTTTTTCCGCGGTCACGCCCACATCGACACTCGCCGCCGTGAGCCCTACCTTGCCGGCTCGCCCTACACTGAGATCATCACCCAGGCCCTTCGTCTGCGTTACTCCCTCCTGCCCGCCTGGTACACCGCTTTCCACGAGGCCAGCGTCGATGGCTCCCCCATCATCCGCCCGAACTACTACGTCCATCCCACCGACGAGAAGGGCTTCGCCATTGACGACCAGCTCTATGTTGGCTCGACCGGCCTCCTTGCGAAGCCCGTCGTCACCGAGGGCGCTGAGAGCGTCGATATCTACATCGCCGATGACGAGCCCTACTACGACTACTTCGACTACACCGTCTACACCGGCCCTGGCACCAAGACCATCGCGGCGCCGCTCGACAAGATCCCGCTGTTCATGCAGGGCGGCCACATTATCCCGCGCCGCGACCGCCCGCGCCGCAGCTCCGGCCTGATGAAGTACGACCCGTACACGCTCGTCGTCGTGCTGGGCAAGGACGGCACCGCGTCGGGCGAACTGTATGTCGACGACGGCGAGACTTTCGACTACGAGCAGGGCGCCTACATCCACCGTCGCTTCCTGTTCGACACCACCACCAAGGCCCTCACCTCCGTCGACATCGGCACATCTGGCGCCAAGACCGCTGCCTACCTCAAGGCCATGGCCAAGGTGCGCGTTGAGAAGGTCATCGTCGTCGGCGCGCCCGCCGAGTGGGAGGGTCAGGAGCACGTCTTCGTCAGCGAAGAGGGCGCCAAGGAGAGCCAGCGCAGGCGTAAGGTGAGCGTCAGCTACACCAAGGCTCAGGGCGGCAAGGCGGCCTTCGCCGTCGTCAGGGATCCCAAGGTCAGCATCACCAAGGGATGGAAGATTGATTTTGGTGGTGAGGCGGCCGATGAGCACCATGGACACGCGCACTAGAGCTGGGACCAATGGACAAAAAAGGCAAGTAAAATGCCAGGAAGGGGGTGGAAGTAGAGAAGGAAGAGTCACGATAGATACGAACGCACCCTTTAGTTTGTGTATACACGATCCTTGGAGCAAAGAGCGACACCAAGAGACATTAGAAGCGTGATTGTGTATATCATTCTCCTCTTAACCTGTCATCCTTATTCATGCTGCTTTATACAAAGATCACCATCCATTCATCCAGCACTAATCTAAAGGTGAATTTTTGTCGTAATCGCATATAACCATGCAGTGCTATGAACGATAGATACGCAATGCTTTTTCTCCATCAGAGAGCGGTGATCATATGAAGGCCCGGAAGATATCATTCGCTTTGGCTTTTTCCTCTTTCTTCCGCTCGCTCCGTCCTTCCGTGTCGCCATTTGCTTCCACCACGCTTTCACTCTTCTTTTCCTTTTTCACAACGCTGCTCCCATTCTCTTCTTCCTCAACCTTGATAACTTTTGGGCCATCGCCGCCGACCCACCACTCCCTCAACTCCCACGCCCGCCTCCTCTCCTCATCGCCATACTCGACCGGCGGCCCATGCACCTCTTCTTTCGTCGCACCACTGACTGGATTATGAAGCGGAGGAAGAGAGCGCCGAAGCTGACTCTCTTCCACTTTCTCATCTGCACTCTCCTCCTCTGACGAGTCCTCCTTCTGCTCGCCTCCTTCCTCTTCCGGCCCCGACGACGGCGGTATCACCGCGCCCCAAAGCCCGCTCATGACATCGGCCCAGATCGGCCTCGTCGAGTCCATGATGGTGCTCTTCCGCTTCTCCTTCTTCTTGGCCTTCTTTTCTTTCTTCTCCTCGTCATTGTCCTCAGGGCCCCCGTTCTGGACCGAAGAAGCCCGCGATTGGGATTGCGACTGCGACTGCGACGTCCCATGCCCATGTCCGTACCGGAACACGCACCAAGCGCTCTCCTCGCCGCTCACCAGCATCAGGCCCTTCTTGCTGCTCTTGACCGCAAACCCGCGCAGCAGCACCGGATCGCCCACGTCGAGCTCCGGCAGCGCCGCCTTCCACGGGCGGAAGACCTGCACGCGGACCGTTTGCTCGTTGGCGCCGCCGCCGACATCACCGTTGCTTCCATCGTCGTCGTCGCCGCCACCGCCATCCAGGTTAAGCAAGCTCGCGTCCGTGATGCTGAAGACGGTGTGGTAGTCGCGCGCCCCGGCCGTGGCGCGGACGGGCAGCTTGTTGGGGCGGGTGCAGACGGCGAGCACGTCGACGAGCTGCTGCGATGGGGAGTTGACGAACGAGCGCAGGTTGTTGAGCGAGGTGAAGTATGAGTATGCCGTGCGCGTGCCTTGGGAGAGGGACTCTTGTAGTAGCTGTTGTTGCTGCTGCTGCGTCGGCGGTGGCGACGTGCGTTCGATGGTGCTGGACTTCAGTGGCTGGGGGAGCTCGGCCATGGTTGTGTCGTCTGCTGCTTTAGGTGAGTGAGGGGCGACAACGGAGTCGGTCATGGCGGTGTCCTCATTTAAGGCTTCGTCCCGCTGCTGTTTGACGTTTGGCTGGATAACCGTTTGCATCTCTGCTGTTTGCGAAGTGTTGTGAGAGAAGCTAGGCGTTGCGAGTGTTGCTTGTGTCAGATGGGGTGTGGGCGGGAAGTGGCTATCGTCATGTGCTTTCCGCGCAGTGGGCTGCAGCTGAGAGAGCTCCTGACTTGCTTCTGGGGTGAGAATACTACTTTCTTGAGGATGCTGAGGACGGGTTGTCGGCTTTATTGGATTGATTGGCGCCTCAATCGGAGGGGATGACCACACGTCTTGCGATTGCTCATGTATCATCGTCGGTGATTGATGGCCATGAGTAGCGTTATTGCGAGTCTGAGACATGTGCTCACTTTGCGATTCTTCAACTTGAGTCTCCTCTCCAAACTGCTTCCGTTCAATGGGAGAAGGGGCCCGAATAGTCTGTTGAGAGTCGTCGTCTTCTACTGACTGCGTCACTTGTTCTTCTTCCCGCATGAGTTCAAAGGGGAATTGCGAGGTTCTCATTGCACGTATGATGCTTGAGTCGTCCTGCAACATTGAAGAATGAGTGGGGCCCATGTTGTCATATTCATCACGTAGAATCGAGGATTGCCTGCTTTGAGCCTCCTGCTCAAGCACTTGCTGAGACGACTGTTGGGTTTCGGTTTGCTCCTCTTGCTTCTTAGAGCCCCATTTAAAATCGAGTTCAGGAAAGGGAGAAGAAGAGCGCTCCGCAGTCAAGTTTTCGTCTGTATCGCCTTCCAGTTCCCTCTGAAGCCTCTGATTCTGGGCTTCATGCGGATCTTCGAAAGAGCCTTGACTAGCATGGAGGGAAATATTTGAGGCAGGTTCCGGGGCCACAGGGGTGATTGGACTCATTGACGGCCGCTCTAAGCTTTCCTCCCGAGTTTGCTGGCTCATCTGAGAAAGTTCTCCAAGAACCTGGCTTGGTTCCAAGCCAGCAGATGGCTCAAACTCCGTAGGAACAGGGCCATCGGAAGGAACAGACGGCGATGACGGTCGTTGAGTTGAGATTGACGCATTAGAGTTCCATTCATTTTCTGAATCTTTGACTTCAATTCGTCTCCGCCGCTGAGCAACACGAGCCGCAACTCCGGATGTTTCTTGTGATGCGCGCGGCGTTCGTGAGGTTTGAGAAGAGCGAAGGTTGCGTTTCTGGCTCCGGGAAGGTGTGGAAGTATCAGCCTGAGAAACGGTCTCAACTGTCGACTGACGCGTCTTGCGTTGTTGAGAGGCCAATTCTTCTGTATACTGGCGAGTCCTGCGACGTGTCTGTGGGGTTGAAGGGGGATTGCGAGCAGTTCTGGCTTTTTCTTGCGTGTGAGGTGGTTCATCTGCCTGTGGCTCTGGCTGGGTAACTGGAGGCTCTTCAGGCAAAGAAGTTGTTCCAACAGTTTCCTTCTGACGAACGGATGGCGATTTAAACGGTTCATCCACCGGAACGTCGGCGGATGGCTCCCCTTCCTCTCCTTCAGAGCTATCACTTCCTAGATCAACGATATCTACCGCTGACGAAGCCGGAGGTCTGCCTGTTTGTGAGGTTGATGGGTCAAATATCCTCTTTTGTGGTGTGCTGGAAGGCCTGTTCTCGCTCGCTCTTGCTTCGTTACTCGCCTTGGGAGTAGATGCAACGTCGGGAGGGGTAACGGCTGTTGCATCTGGCATGTCCCAATCATCGTCCTCAAACACAGGCATCACCGTATCATCACTCTCTGGCAAGTCTCTGCGCTCTAAGAGATTCGTACCCAATGCCTGTCCAGGAGCGCGCTTAGCTGCTACCGATGTTGAAGATCCGTGCTCATCGGGAATAACGTCCTGTGTACCTGGGATACGCGATACCTCGTGTAATGTGGGATGCGCGATATCCTGCAGCTGCGGTGTTTGATGTTCTTCATCTCGTAGCGGTTTGATGGGGGCAGCTAAAGGTTCGGGGATCTCACGAACAGGTGCTTCCTCCTCAGCTTCAGGCCCAATTACCGGGCTTGAGTGGTCGGCCTCCACATGGGTGCCAGTGATAGATTCATGAGCCTGAGTTTCTTCCTGTAAATCCACAATCTCGGGCTTCTCACGAGAGGCCTTGCGTGATGCGCGCACAGCGGATAATACTGATCCATCTAGACCAAAATGATGGCTCTCCTCTTCATGGATTTTGAGTTGAGGGTCTTCCTGCGGAACATTCGGGGCTTTTGCCAACAGTTGGGCCACCGGATCAGGGTTAGGATCTTTTTGCTGGCTGTCTGCGCCTGGCAGGGCTTCCTGAGAGGCCTGAGCAACCGACATTGCCGTAGCTGGCCGTATCGTGTGCTCTTCTTGCCGTTGCGGGCCGGTCTCAGTGACACGTGGTGTTTGTTCCGTGAGCGAGCTAGGACGTGCATCCATGTAAGATGACGCTTCTGTCGCGCCTGGAAAGGGCGAGGGCAATGGCAACGCTGTAGAAGCAACCGGGTGAAGCTGTGGAGTAGAAGGCGCGTTGACGGGACCAATGAGTGGCGTTCTTGTAGGAGATTTTGAGTCCGTTAGGTCCTGTTGGGGAAGGAGCAAAACAGGTGGAGGCATGGTAGAAGCAGTGGATTCCGCAGCGAGATTTGACAGTGGGGTTGCCTCTGGTATACTTGCTGGTTGGTTTTCTACATCAGAAGAACGCAGGTTTGTTTGCTCGCCTTCCTTTGCTCTTGTAAATCCATACGAAGTGGCGCTATCCTCCGTATCTCCAAAAGGCATCTTGATGTCTTGATCTGAAACGCTTGGAGACATTCTCTGAGTTTCAGAGTGCTCATCTACATCTTCGGCAGACTCAACGGATTCTTTCAAAGTACCGGGATATGAGCGTTGATCAAGCTGTGGTTGACTGGGTGTCTCTGGTGAAGCCTGCTCGACCTCGCTCATGTCTTCTTCTGTACTGGACAAGCGGATAGGCGCTGGTTGAACCCTGACATTAGGCGTCGTCTCCTGGCTCTCATTTTCAGAGAGCTCCGACTCTTGTTCTTCCGAATCCATCTCGGTAGGACTCATCTCAACAACCTCAATGCCGTCCTCATCAGACTCCAATTCGGTATCACCCGCGGACTCGTCAATACGTACTGACGCCGCAGCACTTGGAGCAGCTACATCGGTGTCAGTCAGAACAGACGGTAGTGATTCAACATCTGAATCTCCATGGATGTCTTCAACATCCTGCAATGAGAACTGTGCAGCGGGTTCATCTTCCGGCTCGTCTGGGAAAACGTTCATTTCTGCATCTTTTCCTTGATTATCATGCGTTTCTTCGAGATATTGCTCATACAGGGCATCATCCTGCTCTTTCATGCTGTCCCGCAGATGCTTCCTTCCCATTGAGCGAGCAGCGCCGCGTTCAGCTACGGGCAGCGCATCTTCATTAGGGGCAGACTCAGGAATCAGTTCTTCTTCATCTAGTCCGGGCTCAGCAGGCGTATTTGTTGCCGAGGTTGGTGTCTGAGGAAGCGCAGGAACATGGGATTTGGAAGCGAATACTCTTTCAGTGGGGCTGGCAAGACCGTCTTCGTCCACGGACATGGCGTCGCCCTTTTCGGGGGAGGGCGTCCGAGCGGCATAAGTCCAGACACCAACATTCCTGAAGGACGTTCTCCTCCTTTTCCGGCTTTTCGACTCATCCTCATCGGCAAAGAGATCGTAATCCGAAAGCGACCCGCCAGAGAGCCGGCTATGCCTCAAGAAAGCCGGCGAGGACCAAGTGTTGAAGCGCAGACCCTCGGCGCTGAACCTGCCCACAATCTTGCTTGGAGTATTTAAAACAGCCTCCTCTTCGATCTCGACTTCTTCTGGCTCGGGCGTGCTGCGCTCAACGTGGATATTTGCAAATTGCTTGCCGTCGCGGGTGACGAGCATGGCCAGCCTATCTCTGAACCCCAGTTCCCAGTCGACGCTCTTTCCCGGGGTGCGCACGACCTCCTCCTCGCCGCTGGGCTGCAACCATTGTATACCGCCGAGCTTCAGGACGACTTTATCTCCGATTCCGAGCTGCGAAGTCGCAACGGCGTAGGCGGCATCTCCAGAGAACTGGACGCGGACTTGGCCACGGCGGCGGCGCAAGCGAAAATCAGGGTCGGCGAGAAGCAGAGCGCATGTGCGGGTAGACGAAGAGTAGGGCCAGAGGATGGTTACAAGGGCGGTAATGGACTTGGTGGCCGGAGCTGGCAAGGAAGGGTGGAGCGTCGCGATGGGAATGCGCTCGGAGGCGACGGACGCCATGGCGGGGTGTTGATGCGGGCGCTGCTATGACGGTGGACTGGAGGCAGGCTGCATGGCGAAAAAGTGTGTGTCGCAACTCGTTTCACAAGGAAGCGGTTCTCGTACAAGGGAGCGGCGCGCAAGTGGCAGGCGCGTGGGCGGATGCTATGGAAGGCGCGTCCGACGGGCCGTGGCTCAAGCGCATGACGCACGCCCTACCCAGCGATCCCACCCCTCAACACCCCACGATGAACTCTACAATCACGTCACACGCGACACTTTACATTTACTATCACCAACTATACTTGGTCTGTCTCGCGCGCCGCTCAGGCCTCGCTCTCCCGCGAATAGGCTCTGGATGGCTTCATCAATTGGCCGCAGGCGACGCTATCGTCTCTTCTCCAGTTCGCTTCCACTACGGACTTCTTCGTCACCAAAATCCCATGTGCTTCTTCAGGCGCTGGAATCCAGCTTGTCGGCCTAGATGCTGAACACATCACATCGTTCCTCGAGCCCCAGTTCCAGTTCTGCAGCCAGACAGTTGGTCCCACCGGGCTTTCTGAGATGGTTGGCAACCGCATGTTCCCCCGCGATGGACCCGCCGGGCCGAGGAGGCAAGGGAATATCTTGACCAGCAAAGGTTTCGACGCCATGAGGGACGCGCAAATGATGCCGACGTTGGCCTCGATGGTTGACCACGTGATCGCTGAGATGCCTCCGTCTAGAAGTCTGCGTCAGCATGCCTCTTGAATCAACACGCAACTTTGAGACCTGCCTTCAGCTTTGCCTTCCTGAGATAATCTCTGCACAAGCGACAGACGCAACACACTGACAATGCAGACACTGCCTTGAGCATTAGCGAAACCATCACCAAAGCCTGCCGACAAGGTATTCTCACAATCCGCCGACGGCGAACACGGCCAAAACACCAATTTTTTGCCTCGGAGGCAACCGCAATCTCCTGAGCAGCGGCATTGGGAGTAGCCAGATGATGAAGTCGATGATTATCCCGATGGAAGACGTTACAAGCCAGTATATCTCAGCGTCTCTGCATTTTCCGGGCACAAGGGGGTCCCAGTATCTTCGGACAGGATCGCACATCAATATTCCACCAAAGAATCCGTACAGCGCTGCTCCGAGGACGACGATGAGGAGTACTTTGCACAGCCTCTGAGCCCAGGACTGGTGGAAGAGTCGAAGGTACTGAAGAAGAAACGACGTCTTGGTAGCATTGATCAGGATTTGGTATAGCAAGTTGCTGCACAGAACCAGCTGGGAAGTGGACCGAGTCAGATCGGGTCTTCCTTGTGGAAATGGAACGTGCTTACCAGTGCCAGCTTCGACACATTTCCCGCTTCTTCTTCCCACATGTGCCCGGCCATCCTGGACGCAACTTGGACCTCGCCACCTACTACCGCAGTCATTGCGATTGACAGCATCTAAATATGTTGTCAGCAGGGAATTCGCAGATATCAACCCTGACTTACTATCGCGAAAAGTATCAGCCAGTCCTCAAGCTTTACCGTCTGTGTGAGACAGAGTCTCGAATACCACCTAAACATCACAGCAACACTCGCTAAGATGGTAAAGACGACTGCCGGCAGTAGCGCCTGCCATCCGATATGGAGCGGTGCTTCAGCTTTGACATTCGTCGATTTCTGATCCAGGTGTGCATAGAGAAGCGGCGAGGTACTTCTGGCGAAGTGAGTGTAATGACGCCATATTTGTGGTTCCTCTTCCATCATCAGAGAGTTTACCGCTGACAAACGCGTAGAGAATGGAGATAGAGAAGAGCTCGTTCCCAGTGTTAGATGTGACGCCGTGTGATTAAAGGCCACACCCATCGACAAAGAGTTAGGTAACGGCCTCCATCAAGTTCTGGATTCATCCCTGGTTTCCGCATTTCTCAGTAGAACAACACGCGCTTTTCTCGGATAGCCTCTGGAGGCTCCCATGGCGCACCCTGACCGCTCTCAGCGATAACCAATGAGGCACCGCAACCGGATAGTCTGTCGCACATCTTGGCCATCGGCAAGGCATATGAAGCAGAACAGCGCCCGCAGAACAGGAAGTGCGGAGTCGGTAGCGTTGAGCCAGGGAGGACTTGGCGTCCTCATGGCTGAAGGAGATGACGAAAAATCCACGACAACAAAGGCTCACGTAGGACGTGACGTTCCCTATGACGAGGAAAGCGACGATGCAGGGTCTTCTGACGAGCTTGGCTTTGCTGCATAGCGAACACATCGTCACAGCGGCTATGCGAAAGGCACGCTCGCCAGCTCACGCAAAGATGGCACCATGTCCCAGCGGCTGCATTCCACGGGTAACTTATCACCCAGCGAAGAACGTGCGCGCAACCTTATACGGTAAAAGACTCGCGAGGGGCAAGGGACGATCCGATGCGCCTGCTGCCTCGGGCTAGCGCCTGGGTATTTCGGCCCACTGGCGATCTGCCGCCTCCACTTCCCTGCCACCCGCCACCAAGCAGCCTCGATAATATCATGCGCCATGAAAGTCAACATGCCGCGCTCGCCCGAAACTGAACATCGTCCGTGCCACCTCGCCTTTGGCCAGATAACATCCGAACGAACAAGCATCACGAACCTTAACAATGCTGCTTACTCGAAGAGCGTGGACTTAATTTTTTACCCTCACCAGTACGAACCGCACTGTTTACGACATCTCCAGCCACCTTCGCCTCGCTCGTTCTCACGCTTGCTACTCGATAAGTTCCCACTGCCTATCAACTGTGCGGAACGAGTTGGTTCAGATAATGCCCGAGCTGATGTGGAAGGTGAGTACCAACTTGACCATTCCGGCGCTCGCCACGGCTCGTGGATAATCCTCGCTAGCACGACAGCACCCTTACACTCCTCCCCACACCGGCATAGTCACGACTACTGAGGCTGCGAAAAACAGCAGCCTTATCAACACAACCGTACATCTTCGTCGGCTCATGACAGGATTACCACGTCACTTGCCGCTCGTTACGGAAGCGTGCACTCACCCTCCATCAGATCAATCGCTCCTTCCTCTGGACCGATACCCACTACAATCAGAAGCGAGTTCGTAGACAAGTAGCGCCATTACTGCTCTGTAGATCAAAGGTAAAGTAATCTGACCGCTCAACACGATGATGTTCATACAAGCAAACCAAAGTAAAGTGGTTGTTTGTGGAACCACAAGACACCACGAAAATATGCAAAAAACGCCATTCCCAGCTCAACGAATAGATGCTGGGTTCTGGAATCAATTAGCCTTTCTGCATCTCCGAGGGCCAGGCTTCGGATTTAAAGAGCACAGTGGAGCATCTGTTATCCTGCGGGATTCTGGACCAGTCCGTACTTCTGCCGTTCATCACTTTCCTAATATCCTACTACTTCCGCAATCCGCCAGCCGAGCTTGCAGCATCTATGCATCCCCTTGTATCCCAGAAGCGATCAACGGCAAGAAATCAGGATAAGGTTTTTTAAATTACGTCAAGGCATGCAAAGAAAGAAGCAGATCAAACGCCCCCCGGCGCCATCCGATACCTTCACACCTATTCAAACTCCTCCACATGTCAAATCCTTCCTCATTACCCCTGTATCCTTTTCATGGCGGCTGGATTTGACAAAATTACCAGGATTTCGCACGATATCTGTCCGTTCGTTTTCCATTTCTGGAGTTGTCCCCGCAGCACGTTGGCAGAAGATGTCAAAGACGATGTGTTGTTCGTAGAGAGTATCACAATCGCGTATGCAAGGAAACTACGTTGCTCATTGTGATTGACAACTCCAAGCCCAAGCATAGGTGACAGGTTCGATATGATGACAATAAACGCTGATGATTTCATACCAGTGGGGCTTGGCCGGAAATACTTCCTTCTGTATCACGCACCAAAACGTACGCACGCATGCGCACTGGTATGGCATGTGCCACTCAAGTCTTTTCCCTGGACGCGGGAAAAGCGATCGTCTTTCTTTGTTGTTCCTTTACGATCTTAGCGTCAGCTACAGGCCCTGGATAGTCACTGATATCCCTGCACAGCACGGGCGTAGGTTCGGTTCCATCGTGGTACAGATCTCAGGTGACAGTTTTTGCTTTTCTATCGCACGGGCTGCGAGATGGGAAGGGTCTTTTCTTCTGCGATGAGAAGCTACGAGTAGTGCGAGTGGTAGGTTGGACTCGCAAAGCTGACAGGAGTAGATACAGAAAGCAAAATCGGCTATGGAGCTGCTTGACCTGGCTTATTTGAAATACACGAAGCGCTACACAGCCATATTCCAGATATGCTGCTCTTGCCAAGCGATTACGAGCATTCCGGTACCGGTGTGGAGGGGTCGCTTTGACCCCTGCGGCTGGGAAGTGAATCTTGCCGTTTCTGGGGTATTTCTCCGGCCGCTTAGCGCGACTGGTGTCTCACTACTACCTCGACGTATCGACAACGGCCAATTTGTATGGACACAAGATCAAAACTCAAAACGAGGCTGATGGGGCAGTTTACTAGGAGATGGTAGTTCCTTATCGACGCTAGCTTCAGCTACTTTGCAATGACTCGAGAGTGATACTGCGGTTTGGAAAGAAAGGTTGATGGAAGAGGAGAAAGACATGGCATCCAGGGATTGCTTCAGCAACAGTGGATACCATCGACACAAGTTTGTTCCGGTGACAGGAAAATAAGCTGTCGGGACGGCCAGTCGGACTGCGCAGGCGGACCGCTCGATGCGCGGCTCCGCATGCGCTCTTCCTAGCCCTACCAAGGGTATTTCGTTCCCGTGTTGATCCTCGAGCTGGGACCGGCCTCTTCCGCGTTGGTCAGTGGCGAGGGAAGGAAAGGAAGGTGCGCCGTAAAGGTGCTCGCTAAATCAGACCTCGAAAGCCCACCTCCCTCGCTTTTCTCTCGTTGCATGCACACCAAGAGTCATTGAAATGGCATGTGAAGCATCAGAGACTGCATCGGCGATGCCGGCGACGGTTGGTGATTGGAGTCTGGGCCTAGATGATGTGGATGCTCTTGGTCGCCTCGTCCCACAACCGCTCTGGAATCTGCGCCAATACCCTCACAACTCCAATTACTGGATGCCACCGTTATCGAGCAAATGTGGGCCTACATTACGTCTAGTAACAGGGTAGTCCAGTAGTTCAGCGCAAATCAACCATGGGGATATCCAGCCAAGGTAGATAACCGTCTGATCTTTGATTCACTACAGTATACCCGTTCGACTCTTTCTATCTTGTCAGGGAGTATTCCATGGAAACCCCCCGGCTCTGACGCCAGATAACATGCTCATGATGCTATGCTATCGCGATGCCCGTGAGCCTCTATGGCACGTCTTCATTCAAAGTCCAGCGGGGAAGAAAGAGTGAGGGACTTCAGCAACTTGCGTGAAGCACTGAGGAGAAGGCTGGAGGTCGGAATCTAGGCGAGCAGTGAAAAGTTTTGTGCAGTGGGGAGGGATTAAATTAGGCCTGTATACCTTGAAAAATTGATGCTCTGTAAACCTCAATGCCGATAGTCGGCGGATCCACTTCTTGTTACCGTTGCCGATGACAGGGTCCACGCCACCTGGCTAAATCCGCTACAAGCATTAGACGTGTACCGTCACTCTAAGTCGTTACATGGCCAAGTTCCTTCTCCGCACATAAACCATTTCGTGGTAGGCAAGCCACTTCGTAGAAACGCAGTTCTTCGTAATGAAGCATCTCCGCGGAAGAGCAGAACAAGACGTTGCTTCGCGAAAAAGAGGCCACCTCGTAAAAAGAACGTTACTTCGTAAGAAGGACGTTACTTCGCGAATAGAGCGTTGTTCTGCGGAAGTCTGGTAGGTGTGGCGGATTTAGGGACCGTACTTGTCATCTGTAATCTTAACCTCTTCAGGCTTACTCTCCTGTCAAAGAAGATCAGAGCATGTTCATCCTACACGTCATGCCGTTCATCCGAGGCTCGATCGACCAGGAATTACGCGAAGGCATCGGTGTGTTGCTTCTTTGGAGCATTGCGAAGGCCGATTGCGGCGTTCTGGGCGGCCAGGTCCATGGACAGACGCTGTCGCAGCCATGCAAGTCCGCAGCTCCAGAATCCCGGTAGCGCGGAAAGCTAAGGGTAGATCACCAGACGGCGCGCATAGAGATGCATTGTCCCGGCACTCGCTCGCCTGAGCACGCTAAGGAATGCGGAAAACGGAAGGACGACAGCGCTGTAAACAGTTGCCCTTTTCCAGGACGCCCAAATAACCATGATCCACCTTTCAATATCTGGGCGGCTGCAGCCCGCTAATCAACGCCCTGATTAAGCAAGAGTGCTGATCGCGGAATGCCAAATGGGGAATGGTCCCGCTCTTCAGCTCTTTCCTCCCCCACGTTGCAGTACCTATTCTTGGCGCGAGCCCGTTGTTTCCACAAGTGGCGCCTCTACAACGCCTCTCACTACCTCGTACGCCGCTGTGCGTTGCACTTCCGCCCGCTGTATGTTCCACTTCCGCCCGCTTATCACCAGCCACTCGCATCAACCGTTTATGCTACTTTTGCCCGTCTCCGACTCCTATAAAACGCTCCTTTACACGCCCTCATGAACTCCAAAGCTCATTCAAGGCCCCCCACGCTCAGTCCTCTTGTACTATTGTGCACACCACTTTGATATTTTCTTGAGCACAAACCACTCCCAGTCTCTCCTGTTTTCCATTTACCCCAACGCCAATTCAGCCACCATCTGTCGTAACCGTTCAGATTGGAAAATGTCCAGACAGAATATTCCTGGTGCGTCGAATTCTCTTGCAGGTCAGCTCAAGGGTAGTACTAACAGCTTTGAAGACAATACCGCATCAGTCGGCAACGCATTGCCTCAGAGAGCTGCCAGTGTTCACGTGCCGCCTTCTCGCGACGCAACACAACAGCCGCACACAGATCTCGACGTAGCCCGGTCGTTGACGCAAGCAAACATCGAGATTCGCCCCGACGTCGAGCATGACCCAAAAGACTACGCACCTTCGGACGAAGAGGCGGATAGATCCTCTTCTGACAACAAAGACCCCGAAAAAGAGCCCCATTACCCGAATTCCTCCGGTTCCTCTTCGCTGGTCCCTGCAACAAAAGAGTACGATCCTACTCAGTTGCTCGAGCTCCCTCCGCAACGCGGAAATCGTCTCTATCGTGCCTTCAGGTGGCAGTTCTTCTCCGTTTACCGCAAGATCTACACCGTTGTCTTCCTCCTCAACCTGATATGGGGCGTTGTCGGTTTCTCGTTTGGCCGTTTTGGTGACAACATCTACGCTTCCGGCAAATTTGCCTCCGACTCAGTTGCAAGTGCCGTCGCCGTAAATGTCATGGTTGCCATTGCCGTTCGCAACGAGCACGTCATCAACGTACTCTTCTCGAGCGCCATTGCAATGCCGCATTGGATGCCGCTCTGGTTCCGCCGTTCCTGCGCCATGATCTACAGTTACGGAGGCTTTCACAGCGGCTGTGCCAGCGCCTCGGCGGTTTGGTACGCCGTATACACGGGTGTCGCCATTCGAGAGTATACCAGCGGGCGGCAGCCTTCTCCGGTCTTCGTGGTCCTGTCCTCGATTCTCCTCTCACTCCTCGTGGCGATCATCGTCCTCGCACTGCCGAACATACGCCAGAAGTACCACAACAACTTCGAGTGCGTGCACCGCTTCGCAGGCTGGACCGTCCTCGGGCTCTTCTGGGCTCAGCTCATCGCCTCCGCCATCCTCGGAAGCCGAATGACGAACACTGACGCCGGCATCACGCTCATCACCTCGCCCGCCTTCTGGTTCCTGACGGCCGCAACCCTCCTCGTCATCTACCCCTGGGCGCGCCTCCGCAAGCGCCCCGTCCAGGTCGACTCCCTCTCCGCCCACGCGATCCGCATCCACTTCGACTTCGGCAGGCCCGCGATCGGCTCAGCCATCCGGCTCGCAGACCGGCCGCTTCGCGAGAACCACGCATTCGCCACGATCCCGCGGGATGACGGCAAGCCGGGCTTCTCGGTCGTGGTGTCCAAGGCAGGCGACTGGACGCGACGCATGATCTCTCACCCGCCGCGGTCGCTGTACGTGCGCTCCGGGCCGAACCAGGGCATGGTGGCCGTGACGAAACTGTTCAGCCCCGTCGTGCTCATCGCCACGGGCAGCGGCATCGGACCCTGCCTCGGCTTCTTCGTCGACGCCCCCGGCCACGACGTGCGCGTTATTTGGAGTACTAAGAACCCTTTGAGCACCTACGGCCCCGCAGTCCTCGACATGGTCAAGAAAGCGGATCCGAACGCGCACATCATCGACACGGATAAGACCGGCAGGCCGGACATTGTCAAGCTTGCGTACACGGTGTACCGCGAGAGCAAAGCCGAGGCGGTGTGCATTATCTCAAATAAGAAGGTTGTGGATATGGTGGTGTTTGGGATGGAGACCAGGGGTGTGCCGGCGTATGGGCCTATTTGGGATTCGTGAGCGGTACTGGATGACCACCCTGTCAGCTTGTTTCGAGTCATTTCGGCTGGACTCGACAGTTTGAGCTTTCCCCCTCTTCTTCGTTGTGGAAATTCCATCCGTCTCACGGAGGCACGTTTTGGCCCTTGTCAGCAATCCCTCTTTTGTTTGTCGTACGCGTCACGTTTCACTGCTTACTGATATTAAGGAGGGTCGGGTTTGCTTGGAAGTTTTCGTACTGGGACTAGAGGCTTACCTTGTTACGCGGGCTTTGTTCTGTATCCTTGCCTTTTCTTTTCTTTTTCTTTTTTGGGCGGCCAATGTTTACGCTCTCTATACTTTCGAGCGGAGAGAGGTACGCACACGCACACGCACACGCACGCGCATTTCAGCACTGCAAATCCTTCGTTTTGTCGTTTATTTGGGGCGCAGGTCTGGGTCGGGAAAAGCAGGTTGAAAGGAACGGAGGATAAAATGACTTTTACGCGTTGATGCATCGGGAGGTAAGGGGACTCACAGAAGAGACGGCTTTCAAAGCCGTTGTGAATCTTAGCGTAGACTTTATGCAGATCGGAGACATGATACCTATATAGATAGAATCGTCAGTTCTTTTTCACTCCTTCTTTGCACAGCAGTATCTCGAGCCTTACGATGATATCGCTGCTAATAGCGTCTACCGCCCGCCTTTTCGGTTTCCTTGCGATTTCTTATTTTTGGTTCACCTTACACATGGATGTTGTGTTCCAACTGGGCCTGTGGCAAGCAGTCATAATGATAAAAATGGATACAAAAGTCGATCTATGCATGACAGTTAAAACGTGTCGTGCGTGGCGTGCCGAGATCAGAATCGCCAAGCCGGCCAGTTTTACTTCTTTTGTCCTTGGCTTCATCATGGTGCTGACTTCAATGGACAGCATGGTGTCCAATAGATCTGCCAAGGCATCGACAGATGGCTGGCGGTGTTGATCCCGGGAAGTGGACTAAGCTAGTAAGTCAGCCGGCGATAGAGCTTGGTGCTGTGCCACTGAGGGCGCGTTCCGAACTCTGAAGTATATTTCTTTTTTTGACATTATTCCTCAGCGCAACGCCTGCATCTTTTCCTCAGGCCCTGGCGCCAACTTTCTTTTTCCTTTTCCCAGGAGATTGAGGATATTTCACGGTGAACGGAAAAAGTCAATATAGTCAAGAGTGCCTGGATCTTTGCGTGTTGAGGGCGGATTTGTCTGCAGGCGTCTTCTGCTCAACGCATTATGGCCAGGAGCATGAACAGGGATTTGGAAGCAACCATGCAATGAGTGAGCAAGTTTATGCAGGGGAAGGTGTAGGAAGGGGTGGAGAGCGCGACGAGTGGAAACGAAAACGGACGTGGAGACGGAAATGGAAACGGAAATAGGCATGCACGTGGTCGGTCGAGGATGGCGCGTCTGCGGTTTCACTCTCTGCACGCAGCTCTCGCGTGGTCTCGAGTGTGGCAAAAGGACGAAGGTGGTACGATGATGCTGTTGGCTGGAGCGCCCTCGGATTCGCGCTTTGGCGGAAGGCGAAGTTCATGGGGCCGAAGAGGTGGAGGTGACGGTGGGCGCAGAACGCCCAGCTTCACAGGCAGATTCCTTTCATGGGCGCCACGGTGCTACCTCCGTGGAAGGATTTAAGTGATGACAGATCAGATTGAGTGGAGACAGATCTCAGTTCCTTCTCGTGGCTTTTCGCTCGTGAAGATGGGGCGCCGCGGTCCCGTCGTATACGCGTCGGGTTGTCGTCGGCACCAACTTGGCTTTACGAGAGGCTTTCTCGGATCGCGAGCAGAGGTCCAACGTAGAAGGGCGGGAGAAGGTGTTGGCTGGCGGTCGAGCGCCGGACGGGAGTTGGGCGGGCCCGTGCAATCCATCAGGCGATAGGGCACGGTGACGGGCTTGTTCATGCATGGAGCGCATGGTGACAATACTGTGGTCTTGCAGAAGATCAGGACGATCTGTTGACGCAGAGCTGGTCCGTCGGGCCTTCTCTGGCCGGGCGCTACGACTGCGGGGGATCCAAGGAACTGGGCCCGCGCTCGCTTACCTTGCGACATTTGTCGTGACTATTCCAAATCACCACCACTCCACCACCACTTAGCCCCGACTCAGCCCGCCTTCCGGCCCCCAAGCTGCCCAAACGTCTGACCGACTGTTTTTCGTTTCAGCATGTCCGTGCTGCGTATTTGTCACTCCGCCAGACACCCTGGCCCCAAGCCCGCCCTGATTGGCCCTCGCCCACTTAATCTCGGAGCTAGTATATCTGAGAAGTCGTCAATTGCAAATGCTTGCTTCAGCAGCTATTAAGCTCTCGGCCTCGCGCCCTTCGCTCCCCCCGCCGCGAACCTATACGTGCCGGCCGCTGCCACCTGCGTCAGTACCCGCTGCTCGTAACATACATAAAGTCTCTTTAGAAATCGCCCCTGCAAAGACACGCCCTTTCCTTCACCACTGTTACCATCATGCCAGCTTCCTCTGCACCTGTCCACTCCCTGCCGAAGAGATCCGAGCACAGGCAGACGTCGAGATCGCATCCCTACCTCGAGCCGAGGCACGCCTCCTCCATCGAGTCTTGGAATCTGTCTGTCCCCGGCCGTTCCATCCAGGCCCACACCCAGCGCCAGCAGTCATCCGCCTCCGATCCCGCTGTCCTGGCCTACCTGCAGCTGAAGATGGCCCTGCTTCGGAGAAAGACCGGCTCTTAAGCAATGCGTGGCCTCGACCCATTCATCCTTGACCTCCACAATGCCGGACAGCGCCAACCAGCGTCAACTCGAAGCGCCCACGCCATGTCTTGTCCGAGCCTTGATTTGTGTCGACGAAGCGAGTGGAAACCTGTACCGAATGATCTGCTCCATCGTCACTTGCCGGTTTCGGAGGCCTCGTCTCAAGTCGCGTTTCGACGACTCGGCCGAACGACATTCTTTATATTAAATTGCCCTATATAAGGTCATGCCGACGGAGAGGCCTCCTCTTCAGCTCCGTCTCCGATCTGCGCGTTTTAATGCTGTTTGTCCTTTCTGCCTCATTGCTCTGGGAAAGTGTCTGGTCGGCAAACCAAATCATGTAGCAGATACGGCCCGATGGTGCCGGATGCAGCGATGTATAGCGAGACAGCGGTGGAGTTCCGGCGTCCTGTTTACCATGAAGATTTATGATTGCTTATGATGGCGCGCGGGATCCGTCAAAGAGAATTTACTCCCGGTGGATGAAATACGTTAAGCAGGTCTTTATGACAAATGAAATGATGCTTGATTCTTCTTCCTCTGAAATTATCTTCGACAGCGCTGACAGGGGAAAGTGTCAGAGGTTTGGTTGCTCCTGCAGTCAGCGTCAGCAAGATTCATGCGCAGATCAGGTCCCAGCGGGAGCATCCAGCCGAGCCTCCCGTGCCTAAGCTCCGTGCCCGCCGGCTTATGCAGTGAGACGCGGGTGCACGTGACGTGTTCTGTGGCTGGAAAAATGCCAAGACTCGGCCTCGAAACTTTCCCGAGCTCAGACCTCGCGCGAGTTGAGAGGTGCGGACTTCCGGTGGTTCAGCAACGACCAACACCATCACCCGCCGACCGACCTCCAATGCTCCTTCCTCGCACCCAAGCGCCCCTCCGGGCTGCTTTGGCTGCGTCGTCGTCACGGACGGCGCATGCTGCAATCTCGCCTGCCGCCTCGCTGAACGTCCTCGACGTCCTCCGCGCCTCGCTCGCTGCTTCGTCGCCGAATCTGACTTTCGTCCGTCACGCCACGCATCAAGCCCAAGGTCGCGCAAACGGTCCCAAGAATGGTCCAGGAAAGAGGCTGGGAGCGAAGAAGACTGGTGGTACGTATATCTGCAATTGAGGGGCTGCGACCTTTTGGTCGGCACAGGAAAACATTCCCATGATATTCCGCAGCCGACAGCACCAATTTTACCAATCCTCTTCTTCATACGCTTTCTTCACGCACCCAATGCTTTACGTGAACCTAGACACTGACCATGTTTCCGCTGCGTCACAACAGAACAATACGTCGTCCCCGGCAACATCATCTTCCGCCAACGCGGCACGAACTGGTACCCCGGCGAGAACTGCTCCATGGGCCGGGACCACACGATCCACGCGACGGCGGCGGGCTACGTCAAGTACTACCGCGACCCGACGTTGCACCCGAAGCGGCGCTATATCGGCGTCGTCTTCGAGCGCACACAGACGCTGCCATCACCCCCGCACGCCGCACGCCGCCGGAGGCTGGGAATGCTGGCCGTGCCCAGGACTGATCTCGCCGAGCCGGTCAGTGCGGGAGGCAATGAGGGCGATCGGAGGAGCGAGGATCTGCACGCGCGGGTGCATCCGGCCGGCGTGGACGTGAAGCAGATCCCTGCGAAGAAGAAGAAGAATATGCCGGTGCAGAACTTGACCTTGCGGCCAGGCTACATGTACCGCGAGGCCAACTGGGAGATTGGAAGGATCGCGGAGCGCTCAGGCGTGGCGGACAAGGTTAGCAAGTTCACGCCTGGCGATCGGTTCAAGGCATGGCGGAAGGCGTCGAGACGGAAGGCCAAGATCGCGGAGAAGAGGAGCATGCGTAGTAGGAAGGGCAAGAAATAAGGGTGTGCAGGGGAGAAGGCAGGTGCTTTTGGTGGAAGTTAGTGAAAGTCTGTGCGGAGGATATGATGGCAAAGGCCGGGTCCTGCACCGTAGAATCTCGGTCCGGTAATAGTTCATGTAAAACAGGCAGCACATGTACAGGCAGACTCATGGGTTGAAGAGCATTAGAAGTGCTTTCATCACCTCTCCTTCCTGACCACATTAATTTCACGTGCATTTGTCTTCACGGTTCCTGCCCGGCGGGTCGGTTTACCTCCGCGTCAACCACCGAATGACGACGCGCCGCCCCCGCGCTATTGGCTGGCAACGACACGACACCCACCTCACCCACCTCACCACCAACCCACAACTACCGCCCCAACCAGACCCTCTTCCCAACCTCTTTCCGCTCCGAGGCCTCCGACTGCAGAAATTTCCCCACGTACCACACTTTCACTTTCTGCCCTCACACCGCCGACCGACAACCACCGCCGCAAGACCTCCGCCGCTCAAACCCCCGCCAGACTTCTTTCGCAAAAAGCCCACACAAAAATGGCCGGCTCCGCCCCCTCGGTCGCGTCGAAGCGGCTGTTCCACGAGTACAAGGCGCTGTCGTCGGACCCGCCGGAGGGTATCACGGCGGGCCCCGTGAGCGAGGACGACATGTTCGTGTGGGAGGCGCTGATCCAAGGGCCCGAGGGCACGCCCTTCGACGGCGGCATCTTCCCCGCCGAGCTCAAGTTCCCCAAGGACTACCCGCTGGCGCCGCCCACGATGCGGTTCCTGTGCGACATGTGGCATCCGAACGGTATGTTCTCTCTCGGCTTTCCCGGCCTCTTTCCCCGTTTGCCCTCTATTGGTGCTTGGTAGTAGAGGGGACGTTGGAGGACACGTTTGCTCTTTTGGGAGGATATCAAGCTGATGTGTGGGGGCTTTGAATAGTGTATCCTAACGGCACCGTTTGCATCTCGATCTTGCACCCGCCGGGCGACGACCCGAACCACTACGAGCACGCGTCGGAGCGGTGGAGTCCCATCCAGAGCGTCGAGAAGATCCTCATCTCGGTCATGAGCATGCTGGCCGAGCCGAACGACGAGAGTCCGGCAAACGTGGACGCGGCGCGGATGTGGAGAGAGAAGAGGGGCGAGTATGAGAGGATCGTGAAGGATAATGTCAGGAAGGGTTTGGGATTGTAAGGGAAGGAGAGGATGCGGCGGAGGGTAATGCATGATTGGAGTTCTTTTGATTTTTGTTCTTGAGGGTTCGAGAGATCTTTGCCTTGCGGCTGCTGCTGTTACTGCTTAGAGAGCGGGTCTGGCGTTTGGCGGTGGACTCGAGTATCATGGAGGTATATGTGCGTCAGCATTTGGCCTTCTTTTAAGTCGTGGGACTATGTAGATGTGCTAATCCTCGCCTCCGCATGACTTTTAAACACTGCTCCTCGGTGGGTATCCACAATGGTCAGAACAAATAAAAGTATGGCTTGAAGGAGCTGGACACTCCCGAAAACCGCAAGTCTGAGTCTTCCAAACAAGTCAGCTCGAATTTGCCACTTTTGGTGAATACTAACTATCTCAGCTATTAATGAAGTCACTTCTACATATGAGAGGGGAGAGTGATTCGCTACGGGGCAGTGACACCTTCAAGTCCCCGGGGGAAAAAAGAGTAGAGAGGGAGAAAATTCGCCAGAGTGAACCCATTAGAAAAAGTCACCCCAGTCGAACCCACCACCGTCACCACCTCCTCCTCCACTACTTCCACCACTTGGCGGCGGCCCATCACCTCCCTTCCCCCAACCACCCCACGGGTCCTGCTCCCCCCAGACGTCTCCTCCTTGCTGCTGGCCCTGACCCTGCCCCGACGCACCGTCCGTCCACGGCTCGTTGTTAGCAACCGGGCTCGCATCGTCTGCGCCACCCTGCTGCTGCCCCGCCCTCCCCCGCTGCATGGCCTCGTACCCGACCATCGTCCCCGCGCCCGCCACGCCGGCGCCCACGCTTTCCGACGACGCGACGCCTCCGATCGCGCGGCCCGCCGCACCAGCCCCCGCTTCGCCGGCGATGACGCCTTCAGCCGCGCCACCGGCTGCCGCGCCTTCCGCTGCGGCACCACCGCCGCCGGGGAGCCAGATGGGGATGGGGAGGCCGAAGCCGCCGGCGGCGCCCGAGTGGCGGGAGAAGTAGTCGAAGTCGATGGAGACGGCGGTGGCGAGCATGACGGCGCGTTGGTCGAGCGTCATGCCTGGTTGTTGCTGGTGGTGTTCGACCACTGATCCCGTCTCGCCTTGGTTCTGCTCACCGGTGTGCGAGATCAGGTGCTTCGGTTCCTGCGCCAGCGCGGCGGCGTCCATGCGCAGCGCGTAGACGCCCGTGTCGGTGAAGATTTCGCGGGCGAAGCCGGCGAAGTTGCGGTTCACGCTGCCGAGGAGCTGGTTGCTGTCTGACATCAGGGTGAAGTCCCATGATAGCCATGGCTCGTTGACGTGGGCGAATTGGAGGAAGGACTGGTGGTCTGCCGCCGCGTTGTTGTCGGAGGATGGAACCGGTTGGAGAGCTGTGGATGAGGATAGTGGGAGGTCTCCGGCGGTGAGCTGCGGGACGTCTACTATGGTGGAGGCGTCGCGAGCGAGGAAGAGATTGTATTTGCGGCGCAGGGGCGCCCATTGTTGTTGGGCTTCGCCGATGATGCGCATGGCAGACAGAGGGAGAGGGGAGATCTGTGCAGTGCTTTGAGAGACGAGCGATGTGACGCTTGTGCCGTTAAGGGCATCAGTTGGAGCATATTCTTGGTCGGTGCCGTTGATACAGTCGTAGATGCGGATCTTAGAGTTGATCCAGCTGAAAGGGCGGTGGAACTGCAGATGGCAGGCATTAGTCTAGTGTATAGGATGGGTTGGTATGATGCGAGACTTACCCTCAGAACTTCTCGCTCATTTTTGTCGAAGACGTGTGTTGTAAAACTTCTATGCGTCTTAAACATTTGTCTTGCCATTGTGCCTCCGAATCCGTTCTCCCGCTCAGCCAAGTAGCCAATGTGGTTACCTTGGCCATCCATGATGACGTATCTATTGGCTTGCTCAAAACCTAGGAGTACGTTCATCATTTCCAGCTGCCTTTGGATGACAATTGTGGAATTGGCTAGGATCGACATCGCCGGGTGATCGGACTTAAGGACGCTGTGAGGATCATCGGGAATGTTGACAGGTGCTAGCAGGTTGCTGTCCGAAGCTGCAGCACTCTCTCGGAGAGCAGCAGACACAGCCTCGATTCTTGATGGTGCATTCTCGGGTTGCTCAGCCTGCTGGTGCGATTGAGCTGGAGTTGTTTCTGGATTGCTGTTGCTAGGCGTTTCGGAAATGCGACCCGCTGGTGTTCTTCCAAGGGGTTGCCGTGGGGATGGAACCGACTTTCGTAAACTACGGGGCCCTGGCGTCTTTTTCGAGTGGAGAGCATACAGTGGCGTTGAAGTGCTCAATGCCCTTGCAGGTATGCGCACGTTCGCTTGGCGGGCTATTGCCCGGGCTGAGAGTCGGATCAAGGGCATGGTGCCCGTGGATAATCTTTTATGCCCTTGTGGGGTGATGAATGTTTGTATGGGATTAGCTAGTACAGAAAGTTAGAAGTTAGGTCTGAATTTTTGAGGCAGGTGTGTTTGCCAAGAGATAAAGGATGGCATGTGTGACTTGAACATCAGGGGATAATGGGAAGGAATGTGAGAGGTCGTCTTCTTGTTACAGAGAGTTATTGCAGCCGAAAGCTAGTGTGAATTTGCCCCCCCGCGTAGCAGATGCCTGTCCAAGGTCGTGGTGGGTAGTTGAAGCAACCGGCCAAATGCGAATGCATAGTTATAAAATCGAGCATCTTTTCAGGTAAAGAAAATTGCCAGGGCATATTTACCTACAGTTTTAGGGCCTTGATATCCATCTGTATTGCGATGTTATGGAACTTGGCGGGGTGTCTCGTCAGCACCTTATTCGTACATGTGCGTCTATATCAGCGCTTGGATTGCGACTCCGTAGCTATTTCAGCAGTAACAGTGTTAAGTGAGGTGATCCCATGCACAAATCCAGCTCTAACTTATGTGTAAGTGTCGCGAAGAAACAGAAGAGAGGCAAAGAAGTTCAAAAGCGATGACGAGAGAGAGGGTTCTAGAATTTGCCACTCGGGTTTTCCACGGAACTCACAGAGCTTGCGAGCGGCGAGCGTGTGACTGAGAGAACACTTACAAGATGCAAATTGGATGCAGCTGAGAAGATGAGGCGCAATGGCGCACAGGGTCTGGGAGCGAGGATGATGACGGAGATGGTGGGCTTGGCTCGGAAGGGTTTAGCCTAACGCTAGCCGGCGGATCCTCGAACCTTTTTTTTCCGCAAATTTCGTCGGCCTCAGTTCTCTCACCACTGCAACCATGTAAGCGACTTGCAGCCCGACATCATTGTCGCAATCCCATTCACTCTCCTGCCGCAAGGCTCTACCCGCCGGCACCCGTGAGTCGCCAGGCGTTTCCTGATGGACACCCAGTGTCGTCTCGCGTAATCACACTATCCTGGTGAGTCAGCCCACTTCCTTTCCTCCGTCACCTGCACGCCTGCCCTCTATATGATGACACCAAAAATCAATCCCACAAGGGAGCGACACTGACTTTCGTCGCTCTCAATGGTGGTCTCGATTTCATAGACTACAACGGTATCTGACCACATCGCTTTCAACCTACTCAAATTTCAGCTTGTCTTCTGTTGGAATTTATTGCTAACGTTTGTCGCGAAGATAGGTAGTATTTTACACCAGCACTATGGCCGACCCAGCCGGAAGCTCGGTTCCGCCGCAGCCTGCCGCAAAGCATGAGAACGGCAATGTAGAATCAGCAGCAAACGGCCGAGGCGCGCCGCAGAAGGAATCCAAGGCCAATGCAAAGCCGGCTTCGCAGCGCCCGAGAAAGCCAAACTATGCAAAGATCCATGCTCAGCCGCTTCCAATCGTGACACATCCTCTGCCAGCCTTCGTCCCGCACAATCCTCTGTCCTTGCTGCGCATTGCCTATCTCATCTGCTCGCAATACTTCAACCCGCCGGCATCCCACCCGCCGAAGCGTCATGTGGCCTACCTCTCGTACGAAACAAGATCCGTCCATGTCACAGATCCTGCCAGTGTGCGTGCGCTGTGGGAGCAGGGCTTCTTCGGGAAGGGCAGCTTGAGTCGAAGCGAGCCCACCTGGCTTGATCGTGAGAAACATCGGCGTGGTGTTGAGTCTGGCCAGATCAAGGCGGAAGACTACACCAACAAGCGAAGGCAGGAGAGGAGGGAAATGAAGAACGAGCGTGCTCGGAAGGAACGTGAAGCTCTTGAAGAGCAGCTGAGGAAGGAGGGAAAGCTGGTTGACGAGTCGACCTTGGCGTCCGCTGCTCAGGAAAGCTCTGCGGCCGCGACATTGGCCAGCGAAACTCCCGGCCAGGACAATGCCTCAGACAGCCTTACGTCAGCGGAGAAGTCTGCAAACGCTTTGAAAGAACTTGCTTTGGACGAGCCTGTGCAGAACGAAGAGCACCTTCAACTCTCCCTTGAGGAAGCCTTCTTCCTGACCTACAGCCTCGGCGTGCTCGAGGTTGTTGCGGCACGCACAAAGAAGACGGTCGAGCCGCTGCAACTCTTCCAGCTCTGCCGCTCTCTTTCTTACTTCCCTCCGTCGTCCGCTCTTCAGGTCAGGCCAGACGATCCGTTCCTTCTCAAGTACGTTGTCTACCACCACTTCCGCAGCCTTGGCTGGGTCGTTCGCGATGGTGTCAAGTTCTCCGTCGACTACATGATCTACAACCGCGGTCCAGTCTTCTCCCACGCAGAGTTTGCGGTTCAGATCGTGCCATCTTACAGCGACCCGCACTGGAAGGGTCAGGAGAAGAAGGAGATGAGCCCGTGGTGGTGGCTGCATTGCGTTAACCGCGTGCAGAGTCAAGTGTTGAAGACGTTGGTGCTGGTGTACGTGGAGGTGCCGCCGCCGATTGAAGGCCCGGTCAAGGATATCGGGGAATTCTTGGGAAGATACAAGGTGCGGGAGTTCGTCCTGAAGAGATGGGTTGCGAACAGGATGAGGGGTTGAGCTCTCCTTTGGACTGGGACTACGGGAAATTAAATCGACCAAGAGGGCTATAAGCTGTCGCGTTGACTATCACTCCATGATTGAAATCCATGAATTATTTTCGGGCATCGAACACGGCTGATACTGGGCAAGTGGGCTTCCTTGCTTCCCAGGTATATCGGTGTTTCTGAACTCTAGCCCCATCCATTTATCTCTCCTGCCTTTGTCATGTGCAATTGCCTACTGAGACCGAGCTACTTGCTCTCCAGGCGTATAAGTCAATGCTAGCCGTCACCGCGGAATATCTGGCAAACAACTGAGTTATTCGAAAAATAGGAGGTTCTAATCAGTATGCTGGACATAATGGGGCTCTGGGATCTCGTGATCACTTGAGCATCCCTGGTTCCTTCTCTCAGATTAGTCATGAATACTTGCAGACTGTGAAAGAAGCAATGATCGTTATGATGCAGTTTAAGACGAGGCCTGAAGACATCATAATCCATGTAGAGAAAGTAACTTGGGAGCTTGTGAGACGCGATTGCCTGAAACGATGTAAAGGATAATGTATCTACCATAAACTGCATTTTAATGGGCATGGCACATGGTCATGGTGAACATTGATTATTTGGGCTTGATTGCAGGCTCTCATTCCTTCAGTGTAATCAGATGTAAATGACTGAGTGTCGATTCTCATTCAGTATGTACTAATACAACCCGTCCTCTTTGGTCACATATCATCTCTTTTCCCGTCTTTCATAAACGCCATATGCCATGTCTTCCCAATGCTGCCGGAACGCCTTTGCTCTTTTACTTTCTTGAAAAAAGAGTCCCCACCCCTCTAGCAAATGCTCACACATATTCCCATAGATCCCTCAAATCGCAGGACCTTCAGTTCCTCGAATCTCGTATGCTATCATTCCCTTTTCAGCGCACTCAGATCACCGGGTTCTTCGTCTCATCCGGCGGCAACTTCATGTAATAATCGATCGCGGCCGAGAAGGCTGCGAAACCTGCGCAGCCCACGGCGGTCGCCTGGGGGCCGGCCTTGGCCGCAAGAGCGCCACCAGTGATGCAGCCGGCGGCGACACCGTTCATGAGGTCGTTCTTGGCGCGAAGGCCCTCGATAGCACACTCAGTGCCGGAGAAGATGGCGCCGATGAGACCAAAGTTCTTTCCCGAGCTGTACGAGGCGCGGCCCATCTCTTTGAAGCCTGCACGCAGTTGTTGGCGGAGGGGCAGCTTGGCGATTTCGGCGCCTTGTGGGGTGAGGGGAGTATCGTAGCGCATCTGTTGAGGTTTCTCTTGTGTCAGCGGGGCGGTCATGTCAGGTGGAGGGAGATGTAGGTGCCGGCGCTGATGGCTCGAAAGAGAGGTGGATAGAGAGGAGTCGGTAGGATTGACGTACGCTGGACATGAAGAGACCGAAGACAGCACCCATACCGGCGCCCGCTACGCCGGACATGACGAGCTTGGTTGCGCAGGACTCCATGCCTGCTTGCATCTAGAAAGGTAGAAAGAGCACATGTCAGCAATGATCTTTGCGAATCGCGAGTCGCATATGGGAGCGCGATGAAACGCGACTCAAAGCACAAGTGTAAGGGAAGAGATCTTAAAAAGACGGAAGGGGAAAGTGTACGAACCGCCTTGACCATGGCCTGCTCTTGCTCGCTCATGCCCTGAGGGTTCTGACCGGGCATACCGGCGCCCATGGGGCGACCGCCCGGCATCATTCCTGGGAAGCTCATTGTCGCGGCGGGATCGGCGGTTTGGTGGATAAATTGGTGGTGAGTTGTGAATGTGAGCGCACGACAGGGTAAGCTTGCGATTGTCGCGGCGGCGAGTCTGGAGAACTTTTGGAGTTCGGTGACGCGCCGATGCCAGGGTCCGGGCTTTCGTCCCGATCATTCCCGCTCCGCCCCGAGAACTGTCATCTTGGCACTTTTACCTATCAACGACTAGCGCTTATTCGCGCGCCTACAACGCCCGACGACCGCTGTCTTTTTCTTCCACACCTACTACCAGGAGTAGGACGCAGTCTGAGCTGCTACTGTCCTCAATGTTTCGAAACCTCATCTACAATACTGAATTTTTCTCTATTAAGGTGGTTATAAAAGGCTTGAGTCAGAATGCCATACCCACCACCGCGAACGAACTTCACCATGTCGTCGACCGAAAGCATGGTGGTGAGGTAGCCATCTCCATCGCCAATAATGAACTGGACTCTGAGAGAGTCAGCGCTGGTATGAAGCGGCGGTGCAGCTGCCAGCCGTTACTGTTATTGACAAGCTCCTATCTAAGGGTACTGAGATAATTCTCGCGGCTGATGATGCAAATGTGAGGGCATGCGAGGCTGAGGAAGACATCCATAGGTGCATTGTCCGTGAATAATGAGGTAGGCATTAGTGATGATCGTCCATTTGGTAGTCCCTTGTTGGAGATCCTCTGCAACCTCGAGATGAACCTCTCCCTAAAACCAGACAGTGTAAGGATCCGCATCCCTATCTGCGTTTACTTTTACTTGCAGACCATTATCGCCGCCACATTTTCCCCTTCATATTCATGCTTTTTTTTCCTTTCTTGATCCTCGTGCTTGGTTTTCTTGACCTTCATGTTTTTTTTTCTTGACCTCTATGATTTTTTTCTTGACCTCCATGCTTTTTTTCCCCCTTGGCTTCCATACTTTTTGTTTCCACTTCCATATCCTTTTTCTTTCCCTGCCGCGTGAGCACTGGTTGCGCTGCTCCCAACACCAGCATCTGTTACCAGTATGGAAGTCGTGGCAGGTCGTCCAAGCCATCTTACTCCCAACCAACCCTCTCGCCACCCCTCTCCTCTTCTGTAATCGGAAACACCAGCTCCTCCTCACCACCATCATCTTCATAATATCCCACCAATCGCTCAAACAACGAGTTCAGCTTCTCCAGGAGGCCATTACGTCCTCCGTCTTCGCCCTCGTCCGTCATCATGTCCCTCTTGCCATCCCCACCATAGGCCAACCTAGGTTCCTGATTCGGCGTCGGCACAAAGTCCCCCTCCAGCCTCCTCTTCCTTCCGCCTCGCCTCGCATGGGTCGTCGCCACCTCATTAGCCTGCTGCCTCCTTCCCCGAAGCCTCATCTCAACCGCCGATCCGCCTCGACCCCCCTCATCGATACCCCACCGATCCGGCGTCTGTGGCAGCAGCCGTGCCTGCTCGTCGACGAACCGACTCACGTAATCGTCCCTGTCGCGGGCAAACTTGTAGTTTCCGGCCGCCGCCGCCGCCGCCGTCATGGCCTCCGCGTCGCGCTTCGCCTTCGCCCTCATGCGCGCCTCCCAGATCTTCTGGATGCGGCTCTTCGGCGTCTTGTATTTGCGGGCCTTGATGCTGCTGCTGCTGCCATTCATCTCCCAGTTGCCGTTATTATCGAAAATTCCAGTCGTGGCCTCGCGGAGCGGCAGGCGGCCCGATCCGGTTGCGCTGCGGTGGTTGTCGTTGGCGTGGAGGTGGAGTGATTCAGAAAATAGGTATGCTTGAGCGGGTGCGGTGGCGGTTGCGTGGACGACACTGGGCGAGCGCGCGGGCGGCTCCGGCTCGATGTCGAGACCGCGGTGGAAGGTGAAGTGGTAGACGAGGACGGCGGCTGTCATCGCGACGATGAAGGTGATGATCGCGAACGGGAGGAGCCAGGCTGGCGGGGATGGCAGGGACGGGAGGTCGGAGGTGGCCATGACTGTGGTGGTTGTCGCCGCGACCGCGAAGGAGGAGGGTGAGCTTGCGGTTGTGGTCCTCGGCGGGCGCATAGTTGGCCTTGGGTTGGTGGTTCAGCCGTTTGCCTTTGTGGCCGGAAGGCGAAGCCGGCGTTTCTGTTGCTGCGCGACGAGTGTGAAGATGCGAAGTGTCGATCGGATGGGAAGATGGAGCCGGTTGATATAGTTTTGTTTTGTTCCTGGTTGCAGCTGACGTGCAGACTTGTCACTTGATCAGGATAGGGTGTCCGTTGAAATGTCCGCCATGTGATTGTAGTAGTGGTCTTTGATAGCCCTGGAATTTACAGTCACTGCCTTCTGGAAGCGGGCCTGCATGTGTGTGGCATAACTTGCATAAATGTCTAGCCGCGGATGACATCCCGCGATATTTCCTCACCTGGTGCCCTGCGTAGTCACATGTCATGTGCACTCAAACATGTAGACATAAAGGGAAAGCACGTATGGGTCCATGGCTTTTGTTAGCTTGTACCGGCAGAGCCAACATATTTCACCATATGTACCAGCACCTATTAAAAAGCACAAGATGACAAACTACTATAATATCTCCATCACTTGCTGAATAGTATGCTTAATTATTAGCTCCATTTTGTAGCTATTGTCTAAAATTTCAGTAAAGACAGTCAAGCTCGAAAGTATTTCTAACGGTTGCCAAATACCTTCTTTCCTATCCTTAAGTAATATTCTTAAAACACCTACCCGGCTATCTCTAGGCGTACAATACTTTTATTTGATGCTGATGCGGTATACACATTCTTAGCAAAGCCACCTAATCATTCTCCTTCTTAGCGTTGGCCGTGTCGGCCTATGACCTACCAGGACGTCCGAGATAGGCAATGGAGGTTTGAAGCCCACACGATGTCTTTCAATAATCGTTGAAGTTTTGTCAATGCTGCTTCATTTTCTTGCAGAATTCTCGTAGATTAAGGCGGGGTTTGTTATGGAACAGTTCTAACATGGACAATATTCTTTGCCATCGATTTGGACGTTGAGGCAGACGTCATGCATTAAACCTATTATTTTCTACCACCTAGAGATTTCTGTTTTTCTCAACCTTCCAACATCTCTCATACCCATCTCATCGTAATCAGACGTGTCTCCATCACCCAACCAAAAAGTACAAAACGGACCCCAAGGAACAACTGACCCCTCGGGTTAAAAACAACAAACGCGGGGTATCCCATGCGCTGTATAAAGAACACTGAAGACGAGCAAACCACGAACGGGCGCAGAAGCTCAATCTTGATGCTTTTGGACGAACCAATGAATAGTGATATCCGAGATCTATCCCGTCTAACTACCACAGAATGCAACTGTGGATATTTTTCGTTCTGAAAACGCCGTGTAAAGTGATTAAAGTATTTCAGTATCAAAAGAACATTTTCTTCCTCGCTATAGAACGTATTCACGATCTTTTAACGGCGGTTGAAGTTCAAGAAGCGAGCCTGTAGGGATCAAAAGTTAGTATCGACTGTGGCCAAGATAGCAAAGATAGCATGGAAACTTACAGCAGTGAACAACAGAATCAAATTGCTGCCGATGAAAGCAGCAAAGATACCCAGATCCCTCCAGCGGTTGCTGAATTCGTAGCCGAGCGGCTGGTAGAACTCATCACCGACCTTGTACGCGCAGTACTCGCACTCGCTGGTCTGGTTGTTGACAATGTATCCGGGACCACCGGCAGCGAAGTATCCCGACATGTAGTCGCCGCACGTCTGGTTGGCAGGCGCGTTGAAGCGGTTGAGTTCGACGCTCGTGCACTCGACGCTGCGGCCGTGCAGCTCGGTGACGAGCATGCCGCCGATGAGGCGGGTGAAGGGATCGAGCTGGTATAGCCAGGCGCGCCAGAACTTGGGGATCTGCGGCTTGGGGATGGTGACACCGCAGAAGAGGGCGAAGACGATGATGACGAAGGGGTTGATGTGCGCCGAGATGAACGGGTCGGGCGTGATGGCCGCAATCAGTTGTCCCAGAGTCACCGAGAAGACCTCGGTAATGAGGATGATGAAGAACTGGTAGCCAGCACGGCTCGATTCCGACTGGAAGCCTGGAATGTAGTACAGCGGAAGGAAGAAGCCCACGGCGCAGAGCACGCTGTAAGGCATTTCGGCAATGACCATCGAAAGCGCGAAGGGGAACGTCTTGTATGCCTTGGAAGATTGCTCGCGGAAGGAGATCATACGCGAGATGGCGTACTTGGGCTCGATCTGGGCGAGGATGAGGGCGGGCAAAACGGTGACCTGGAAGATGACGAAGACGCGGTACTGGAGCGAGGCGCGGGAATCATCAAGCTGCAGGAAGGCGAGACCGGTGAAGAGGGCGATGACGACGTGGTTGAAGAAGCGGGTGAAGCCGTAGTTGGGCGTGCGCCAGTAAGACAACTGCTGGCGAGCGTTGACACGCTTGATCTGGTACCACAACGGAGTGGCGTACTCCTTTTGCTCAACCTCAGGGGCGGAGCCGACTTCTTCGATGCGCTCGCGCTTCATGCGGATGATGTTTTCCTTGACCTTGGCGAATTCATCAGAGTCCTTCCAGATGTCACCCCAGTCCTTGTTACCAATGCGAGGGGTTTGACCGGCACCAATGGCATCAAGCATCCATTCGGCAGGGTTGAGATCAGCAGGACAGTCGGCGCCGTTCTTGTGGAAATATTCAAGCAGGACGTGAGCATCTTTGCCAATATCGCCAAAGTAAACGCACTGGCCACCACGCTGAAGCAGCAGAAGCCTGTCAAACGACTCGAACAGCGCCGAGTTCGGCTGGTGAATCGTGCACAGAATGGCCTGACCAGCGGCAGCCAACTTCCTCAGGAAACGGACAATGTTGAAAGCACTCTGGGAGTCAAGACCGGAAGTGGGCTCGTCAAGGAAGAGAAGCAGCTCGGGCTTGGCAGCAAGCTCGACGCCAATGGTAACGCGCTTGCGCTGCTCAACAGCAAGACCGTTTTCAGGATCGCCGATGATAGCATCGGCAATATCCTCCATTTCCAAAAGAGAAATGACTTCCTCAACATACGCGTACTTCTCCGACTGGGGGACATCATACGGCTGGCGCAGGTCGGCAGAGAAACGAAGAGCCTCACGAACAGTCTGACTGGGCTCGTGGACGTCGAGTTGCTCAGCATAGGCAGTACCACGCTGGAAAGCGATACCGGGAGGCTTGCCGTCGACGAGCTTCTCGCCGTTGATAACGCCAATGTTCTTACGCGCAGCAAGAACATCCAAAAGAGTAGTCTTGCCTGCACCCGAAGCTCCCATAAGGGCCGTAAGCTTGCCAGGCTGGACATAACCGAAGATGTTGTTAAGAAGGCGCAATTGACCTTGACCAGAGGGGTGCGGAACATCGTAGCAGAGGTCCTCCCAGGTGAGAACGGACTTGGAAGTGATCTTGAGGCCGTCGCCAGCTTCAACTGTTTCCTCCTTGCGGTTCCTCTTGTCCTTCTTGCGCTGGAGCTCCTCATTGAGCCCCTTAGTTTCGGAGTTCTCCTTGGCAAAGAAAGTGACCGTCTTTCCACCTGCGCCCCATTTGATATGCTCGCCGAGCAGAGCATTCGTACCCAGGAAACCGACGATGAGGACGACCATGATACCCCAGTTGCGCCAGAGATCGTCAGGGTTGTACGCAAAGCCCTGCTCAATGTAGGCGCTACCAGAGATCTGGTTGGTGCCTGGAGTGCTACCGGCGAGCGTGCAAGACTGATGGGCAATGTCGTTATAGTCGCCACCGGCGGGTACGAGGGAATCCGAAGCGCAAGTGAGGGTGAGACGCTTGAACTCGTTCATCATGAGAGAAGAGAAGCCGAGACCCAGAGCATTGATGTAGAAGATCCACCTGAGCCAGACCTGCTCTGACTGCCACTGGATAAGATATCCTGAAGTCAAGACGAAGAAGGTAATGATCGTAGCTGCAAGACGGATTGCAACGTCAAAGTCGGGGCAAAGACATCCGACAGTACGGAAGAACAACGTCATGGAGAGGTAGCCAGAGATAATGATCAGCACGAAGGTGAAGAAGGCACCAGCATCGAGGACCAGTCCGCACATGAAGTAAACCATGATACTGAAGACCAAAATCTTCGCGCTTGCGAAGACCGTGTCGACCATGATCTGCGCAATCCAAAGAGCGGAAGGACGATGGAAAGTATAGGCCCGGTGCTTGTTGATGATCGGCCGTCCTGTCATAGTAGAAGCCAGCTCAGAGAAAGCTTCGAATGCGTTGAACAGGAGAGAGATGAACAGAAGACCACCACGGGTGAAAGCTCCAGCACTGGTCGTAGGAAGCTTGAGCCAGACGGTACCGAGGATAATAGCGACAACGATGGACGTGAGCCAAGAGACGGTCAGAGAGAACTTGTCCTGCCACTTGAGGAAGAACTGACGGCGCATGAGAGCCCAGACCTGCAGGTAGAAAGGAATCGTGTAGACAGAGCGCTTGGAGGCATGCCTCTTGCTCTGAGTAACAGCAGTCTGGAAGTCATCCCAGGTCTGCTTCTCTTGGTTGATCACTCCGCGGTATTCCTCCATATCCCTGTCCATGCGAGCAGCAATATCAGACTTCTTGTACGCTTCAGCCAGACCCTCGGGGGTGCTGGGAACATTGTCTGCGCTGTGTCCAGGCTTGAACTCGCGCTCGAACGGATCGGTACAGCCAGTCAAGTAGTCGGGAGTCGTCTGCCTAGGCTTCTCAAGGAAGCCAAGACCCTCGAAGTAAGCACGAGCCTCGTTTGCGGCACCATAGTACACGCAGCGACCCGAGTCAATGACCATGACCTTGTCGAAGACCTTGTAAATGGACTCGGAAGCCTGGTACAACGAAACAAAGGTGGTGACTTGGTGGATGTCCGTCAGAATCCGCAGAGATTTAGCATAATCGAGAGCGGTGGAAGCATCGAGACCACGGGTTGAGTTGTCCCACGAGCAGATACAGGCGTTGGTGATCATCATCTCAGCAATCGAGACACGCTTGCGTTCACCACCGGAAACACCACGAACGAACGGATTGCCGACAATCGTGTTCTTCGTGTGCTCAATGTTGAACATCTTAAGCAGCATATCGATAACCCTCTGCTTGAAGTCCTGTCTGCTGAGACCGGCTGGGCGGGCACCAGGAACCTTCGTCTCCAGGGCGAAGTCGAGAGTTTGGCCGACAGTGAGAGTAGGGTGATGGATATCATCCTCCTGGTTGTACACGGCCTCGCCACGGTAGCGCTTCTCGAAAGTCGCAGCATCGAAAGGACCATACAGGACCTCACCGGAGACGTCGGTGTAACCGAAACGCTGATTCGCAATAACCTTGAGGAAACTCGTGCAACCGGATCCAGGACGACCAAGGACAAGAACCATCTCGCCAGGCTTGGCCACTCCACGGAAATCCTTCAGGATATCGAACTCACGGCCTTTCTTGCCGACACCGATGATGTTCTTGGCGGTCTCGTAGACGTTGAAAAAGGAAACGAAAGCTTGCGGGAAAGTCTGGGTAGAATAAGCTTATGTCAACACTCAAGATAGCGTTTCTCTTACCTTGACGTAGTTCTTCACACCACCAATGCCGCGAACGGTCAGTCCGTCCCAGATGACGCCAACCTTCTTGGACTTGATTCCAGCTTCCTCCTCTTCTCCCCTCCGTCCTCTGAGCACAGCCTCGAGATCAAAAGGTTCTTGATCACTCTCCTCCGATACGCTGGCGACCTTCTCGATGTCTGTTGCACCGGCTTTGTGTTTCTTACTCTGGCTACGCGACAGGCGGGATAGCTCGCGGCTCAGCTCCTGGAAGTCGTGCTCTGCGCGGGCAACATTGATGCCGTCATTGACGTGCACGACAGAACTCTTAGAGTTAAGGGTAACGCCATCCGCATCGCTGTTAGGCTTCTCCGAGGGCACAGAATTCGCGTCCGACTTGACAACAGAGCGGTATTCGTGTGCAGGCTCAGCCCGTTCTTGGGGCTGGGAGGCGGTGATGGCGGCGGCACCGGCAGCAGCAGCAACTCCTGCGTTGTTGGCGGTATCGAAGTAGGCGGAGTTTGCGGTGTGCAGGGTCGTGCTGGCGTCCTGGCTATCGGGTCTAGCGGAAACGGACATGGATGTGCTGCCATGGCGGCCGGCAGAGCTGTCAGCATCGAAGTAGGCGGAATTTGCGGTATGCAGGGTCGTGCTAGCGTCCTGGCTATCGGGCCTGGCGGAGACGGAGACGGATGTGCTGCCCTGGCGGGCGGCAGAGTTGCTTATAATGTCGGCATCGCTAGCATTGCCGCCACTTAGGGCGAAGGTGGAGCTCTTGGTAGCGAGAGTGGCATCTTCACTGCCTTGCCTGGCGTCACGGAATTCGGAAACGGACTCGGATCCTTGAAGTAAGGCATGGGCGTTAGCTGCTTGAAGGGCAAGCTGAGCGTCGGCGGCAGCGTGATCGTCGGATTCGTTAACAGCGGCCAGAGATCCTGACGACTGGAATGCCGTCACGGAGCCAGACCTCAATGCGGACTGGGATCCAGACTCCCTGAGTTGCGAGGAAGAGTTTGAGGCGTGAAGCTCAGAGAGCGAATCGGCGGAGAAAGACTCGTTTCGGAGGGCAGACTGCGAACCAGTGCGCAGCATGGAATGGGATCCAGAGCTGTGCAGCCGGAGTTCTGACTGTGAGCCGGAGCCATGAAGCTCTGAACGAGACTCGGAACGGATGACGGAACGGGTCTCGGAGTGGACGACGGAGCGAGTCTCGGAGTAGGTGGTATGAACTGATCTGGTCTCGTTCATGTCACCGCCGCCATTGGGGCTGGACACAAACATCTGGATCATGCTGGGATCCAGGCCCCCGCCCTGCTGAGAGAGCATCTGGATGGTGCTGGGATCCAGTTCCTCGCCCTCTTGAGAGATGATCTGGATGGTGCTGGGATCCAGGCCCTCGCTCTGTTGAGAGAGGCGGCGAATGGCCTCAGCCTGAAGCTGCTCCGGATCGAGACGATCCATGTTGGGGACGAGCGGCGAGCAAAGGAAGCGGGTAGGTGGTGGATGGGGCGGCCCTTAGGCTCTCACGCAGCCTATATACGGGTCTTGCAACGCGGCCGCCGCACTATCTGAGGGGAAAAGGAGGACTGAGTTTACAGCGGGGATTTGTAGAGCTGGAGAAATGTGGCCCGGGATGCGTACCCTTGCAGAGGGCTTGGCGGGTCCGGACAAAATGGGCTTCTTTCGACCTTAACACCGTAAGTCCGTGGCGTTGGTGGAGCGCAGGGGCCTCCGCACGAACTTGGGCGTACGGATAGTGTGGTGGAGAATGTGCTTGTAGATAGCCGGACGGACCCCTGACCATGCTGAGTCCCGACCGCGTGAGGTATCCAGATCGCGACACCGGTGTACAGCCATGATGCATTTTCTGTCCACCGACAGAGGGGCAACCTTCTCCAAGGCGGGCACGGCATGGCGCGAGGCCGGAACAAGGAACCGAAGTTAGCCGATGTTTGACGGCCAAGTGGCCGAGGGGGCACAGTGGGCGCAGCGCCAGCAGCAGAGAGGCGGCGACACTGCAGGCGTCAGTCCCCACATCGGCTTCGGGAACAACGTTGGCTGCTTATGAATTGCAATGAGCCATGCTGAGCAAGGGTCCGCGCTGGCCAATGAGAGGGCGGTGACTGAGTCTGCAAGCGTGCCTTGTGCGTGCTCAGCGCGCGCCGTCTGAGTCGCACAAGGCTGAGGCTGCATGGCTGATTGTCGGGTCGGTACGCGCCTGCGGGACTTCAGATCTTGGCTGTCCATCCTGTGGGGCTCTGGCCGAAGAGGGCATCGCGTTCGAACAGCGTCGAACAACCTGCGGCCCCCGTCCGAACTTTCTCGTGCGCGGAACCCGCGCACAGCGTGACCGCCAGAGTGCCTCCTTATCGCCGACCACGTCTGGCCCGTCTAGCCGGGACGATGTGCGGTGGGCATACCCATGCGGTAGGAAAGGTGAAAAGGCGGTCATCTGCCTGCTTAAGCGGACGTTGCGCGGGGAAAGAAAGCAGCTGGGTGCCCCTCGTCTGTTGAATGCACTAAGCTGCGTTAGCCGCCCGTCCGCAATGGGCCATTGGGTGCAGGTCCCTTCCGCAAGCCTCTCATTGCACCGGTCTGCCAGCGTCAGAAATTTTTTTCTTCCTCTCCTCACCTTGGCGGATGCGCCTTAAGGGGGGCCATTTCGCGACGCGTACGCCGTAAGCGAATGAGCTCGCGCCTTTCGGGAGCCGCAGCGCAGTACCGCGTCACTCACACAAGCCATGCCGAAGTGCCGATCGCAAACGAGCGCGGCCACGCTGTGAGAGGAATGATCAGGCCTGGATCTGTTCGTAGCGCGTCTCGCGCCCGTCGGTCGCTAAGCCTGAAACATCCGCCCGTCATTCCTTCGCCATTCGAGACCGCCGCATATTTTACCTGCGTGCCCTGAGGCCCATATCGGGATGCTGAAGATTTGATTCTCCCGAGTTCCGCGAAGCCATGTCTTGCTTTTCCTGCAGGGGCAATTGAAGCCAATCTCCGGGTGTAGGGCATGTTTACTCCCACACGAGAGCGTCCAGACGCAGCGGTCAACTCCCCATAAACGTAAGGCCAGGCCCGATATCTGAAGGGTGTGTGAGGCGGTTCCTGAAAGCTGTGGTGAAGGCAGCCTTGATACACTCACAGGAAGCACAGGCGAAGGTCCCTTCTGATCTCCCACGGAATCTGCGCAATTGGGGTTTCCAAATTAGGGTCGTGGTCAGAAATTCTTGTTTCGGAAGATGTACTGTACGTAGTACAGGGCTTCTACGTGCAGTGCTGGTTTGCTCTTTGCACGTGGGGCTGAGCGTCACACCGTTCGGTAAGGAGGGCGATGGAGCCGTAGCGTATGAGGCTCGTTGCCTCTTTCCTGCTCCAATCCTGGCAGAGGAACGACATCGATGCGTCCACATGCATGGGAACACTTTCCGCTAGCACTATCCCAGAGGCCCGGCGCCCTGGAGCTCGGGTTCGGAATGCGGTGTGGGAGAAATGTAAGTCCGAGGTGAAGTGGCATCTCCACTCCAATCCGTTTCGGGCTTTCACGTGCGTGATGAGGGTCGTCTGGCGATGCTCGTGTTCACCGTTAGATGGCTTCGGGTCCACCGACATCAGGGCGCTGGAACAGAGGGCGTCTCGCTGGTAGCGAGGGCGTTGCAACCTGGGGAAGGCGGTCGGTTCACATGCTCGCCAGGTAGAGTGGCGGACGATTGGGCGCCAACTTCGGACATGTCAATTGCCGGCCGGCGTCGGGCCGCCAAGGAGGACTGCGTTGAATGCTGGGAGAGCAACCACAAAGACGTGCGATCCGTTGGCGTGGGAGGTCGGATCCCTGCTGACAAGGCCTGTTCTCAGAGAGTGCAGATACTACGCTGTATTCCTGGTTAGCCAGGAAGGTCCGCTTCCGCTGTGCTGGCAGTGCGTCCATCCAGTAGGCTCGCTAGCGCCAGAAGCCGTCAAGACGACCGAGAGGCCGCCGCGTGAGCTGGCGCCAGGTAGCTGGGACACGGCGAAGCTTCAGAGAGCGCGCGCAGCGACTTCTTTAAAGGCACTTCGCGTTGGGGCGCTCCAATGTCGACGGTGGTTGCCGCAGCACGCTTGCGAATGGGAGCCTATCATGGGCGCGTCATTGGCGGATATATCTGGGGTGCATATCGCCCGTCCCCGCGGTGCCGCCAACAACGAAGTCGGGGACGGCGTCCCGGCAGCGAGGCGACGCGTAGTTGGCCACTATCCGAAGGAAGCCCGTCCTGACGACGTGATACGCCGCTTCTCGCACCACGACTCGGCTCACCCAACAAGGTGGTGATCCGAGCGTCTTCACGTGGGAGGAGCTAAGGTGTAATCTTGGTTCACATGTCAGAATTGAACGCCTTGCGCAGGCCGCTGAGCAAGAAGTGCCGCCTGCCTCCACCCACTCACCAACATGCACCGCTCCCGATACCCCCCGGCCCGCCTCAGCTCAACCACGCGTCAATAAACCGCCCACACGCCCCGACCGTCGCTTGCGTGCGCGCCCTGCCATAAAGCCGTCGCCCCGTCGCCCTCGCAGTCGCTCGCGCTCACCTCATCGATCGGCAATCTCTGCGTCACCCGACGGCGCCGACCTCACCCGTCATGGAGGTGCAGGAAGAGCGACCGCCGCCCTACGCCCACAACGATCCTGAGACGCTGCACCTGCCCTCGGTGCCGACGCAGGACCCGCCACGCGCTGTCGCACCCGCCGGCTCGCCGACCAACGGCGTCCACCTTCCCGACCTGAAGTCACTCGGTCTCCCCGTGGCGACACATTCGCGCAGCAGCTCCAACCCGCTCGATAGCCATGGCTTTGCCAAATACGCGACCGAAGCCCAGCAATGGCAGAGCTCGACAGCTCTCCAGGCTGCTTCCTTGCCGCGCGCGCCCGTTACCGCGCCGCGCACCCTCGCCGAGATGGATGTGGGCAGCCCTATGGACACCGAGAGCATCGTGAGCATGGACGAGCAGGTCAACGGCAACCCTCAGACGTCTACACGCAACCAGAAAGAGCTTCTTGCTGCAGAGGCGATTGTTGGTCTGGGTAATCCAGGTAGATACCTCCTCATTCTCAACGGGGAACAATCAGTTGACATGTGCAGATTATGTCATGTCGCCTCCCGGCCGTAGCGCAACCCTTCCACCGTCGTCCGATCAGTCCTCTAGCCAGGAGAGGGAGCCTCTTCTCTCACTGGTGACGTCACGGCATCCCTGGATAGGTAATACGATCAACGGTTCACTGTCGGCATACTCAACCACCAAGACATACTCTCCTCGCTTTGTTCAATCTAGCGCGGACTTCCTTGAGCGCAATTTTGCCAGTACCGTGGGCACCGTTGGCCGACGGACTGGCGTGGAAAGCAGTTTGCGTCGCTACCTCGGCGAAAGAGCCAGTGATGCCGAAACAGGGAGTCATAAAAGAAGACGGACCGACAATGACATGATGGACATTGAGGAAGGGCTCCAAACTCCGCCTGTGCGCGCGGCTCGGACCAGAGGAGACTCTGACATTTCGAGTGTTCGGGAGGAGACCTTGCCCCCTTACGACACCGAACGCTCTCCAGAATATGAAGAAAGAAATACTAATGGGCACATTAACGGCCACACTCGTCAGTTAGCCCTACTGAACGGAAACCAGAAATCTTGCAATGAAAGCTCGCAGTCGCCGCACTGGTCTACTCGCGTGATGATCACGACATCCGGCCTCGGTGTGGCTCTTTCGGAGAAATCCCTGCGCAGCCTCAAATTCTGCTTGAATCTTCTTCGCGACGCGACTGCGCACATTGGAACTGCTATGCGTGCGCTGAAAATGGTGCTTGAAGACTTCGAGAGGGCCACCAATGGCTCGAACCAGTACAATAACGAGAAAAGCGTGGGCTCTCGACAGCTCATGGAGGAGCAGCAGCGGGAAGAGGAAAGCCGCCGCCTCGCAAATCGCATCAAAGCCATCAGCCAGGAAATTTGGGAGACTATCAAGAAAGTCTGCTCATCCGTCTCGCAATACACTGGGGGTGCCCTCCCAGAAAATGCAGGCAACATTGTGCGCAGGCAACTGCTTTCTGTGCCCCAGCGATGGCAGGCTGCCAATGCCGCTTCTACGAGGAACGGCCAGGACGGCGAGGACGGTGAGCCGGCTGAGGTCAGGGGCGCCAACCGCATGCTCGCGTTCGCAAAGGAAGGTTTGGATATGATCGCCCAGGTCAGCCTTGTTGTCGAAAGCACGATCAAGAGTGCCGAGCAGTGGCTCGATAGCCTAGGACGCAAGCGCACCGACAGCGGAGCACCCGAGGATGAGAAATCGGCCAGTTTGCTCCCCATCACGGAGCCGCCAGCGAAGAGATAAATAGGTCAGCAGAGTTTCAAAGGTGTCTCGAGTGCGACAAAATGCGTTCGTCCGCGGGGTTCACACACCGTGTGTAATTTCAACGTTGCTACCACAGACTTTCTTCTTTTACGTCAACGAGCCACGAAGGCTCGTAGAGAAGCGGACAAAGACGTTCGCATGCAAAACGAATGCAACAACACGTGGGCACGCGCCCCTCCCTCTTCTTGTTTTTGAGTCCGTTTCTAAATATATTGCACCACGTCAGAGCCATGCTACTGCTTTCTTTCATCTTTTGGAGATTGGGACTGGGCAATTGATATCCGACTGAGAGAAGTCACATCCGGCACGGGCAGCACGGATGATATGTTTCGGATGGGACTTGGATAAAATTACTGCTTCGTTTGCTTTTGGTTTTTCTTTCTAGTCGAACGTTTGGTCAGCTATTGCATGGCGACTTTTTGCTTAAGAATTTTTCTGCGACTTACTGGTCGTGTACTCTCGGTTTAGGGCTGGCACACCTCTGGACTGTGTTTTCGTAGGGCAGCACAGTGGTTGGTCCAGAGCGAATGGATGTCTTGCCAGGCAACGCTTCACATTGTGGAATTGTGCAAAGAGTCACTTGCCGCTGACAAAGCTTCTGCTGCCTGCTGTAAACGCGATTTTGCTCTAGTTTCGTGAGCTAGAATCTCATCTGATTCCCGGGCTTATGGCTTGTCTATCTATATGGGTGAGTCAATGGTTTGCAAGCGCACGGCTTAATCATAGTCCTCGTAGAGTTGCTGTGAATTATCAGACAATAACGGCAAATTTTTGCCCACTTGGTGTGCTTTTTACACAGATTGTAGTACTTATACATGGCTGGGCGGCAACGACTAAGCTCTGATGATGGGCTGCTTGTGAGTGGGCGGATCTCGCTCACCGCCCGCATGACTCAGGCGCACATCGGACGGCCTGACGGTGGCAGACAGGCGGAGGAGGCCACATAGCGGGGCAGACAGAGTCACTCGCAGTCCCTGTGCTCATAAACATTCCCGCTCCGCCTATCGCGCACCACAACCCGCTCGCCCCTCACCTCCACACCTCTTCAATTGCAGCGCAGCAGCCCGCCCACCATGCTCGATATTCAGGATTTCATAAAGGAGCGCGGCGGCGACCCTGAGAAGATCAGGGAGTCGCAGCGCAAGCGCAACGCCCCGGTCGAGATCGTCGACGAAATCATTGCCATGTTCGAGGACCACAGAAGGAGTCAGGCGACCCCATACAAGCCCTGCGCAAAACCCTCGCTGACATTTTGCCCTCTGTCCAGCCCAGTATGAGGCGACCCAGATCAGCTCGCAGATCAACGCAACCCAGAAGGAGATCGGCCTGAAGAAGAAGAACAAGGAGAACGCGGACGACCTGCTGAAGCAGAAGGAGGATCTCACCAACAAGAAGAAGGCGCAGGATGACCTGGCTGCCGAGAAGCTCAAGGCGCTGAACGGTGCGTAAATTTTCCCCAGGTCACGCCGACTCTCGATCGTGGCGGCACGGCCGCTTCTCAAGAAAACCACGATGCTGATCCACGAGGTATACAACAGCGAAGGTGAAGACGGTGGGCAACTACGTGCACGCCTCGGTGCCGGTCAGCGACAATGAGGACAACAACGAGGAAATCAGGACGTGGACTCCGGAGGGCGTGACCGTCGAGAAGAAGGACTGCCTTTCTCACCACGAGGTCCTGTACCGCCTGGGTGGCTACGACCCCGACCGTGGTGTCAAGGTCGTCGGCCACCGTGGTTACTGCCTGACTGGCATGGGTCTCTTCCTCAACCGTAAGTCACTTTGCGTTGTGGATGTGGGCGTAGAATATTGACTAGATGTACGCAGTGGCCCTCGTTAACTACGGCCTCGAGTTCCTCTACAACAAGGGCTACCAGCCCAACATGCCGCCGTTCATGATGCTGCGGGAACAGATGGCCAAGACGGCCCAGCTCGAGCAGTTCGACGAGGAACTGTACAAGGTTACGGAAGATGAGAATAACAAGGATACCGACAAGTACCTTATCGCGACCTCGGAACAGCCGCTGTCCGCTCTCCACGCCGAGGAGTGGCTCAAGCCCGCGGAGCTGCCCATCAAGTACGCCGGCTACTCGACCTGTTTCCGTAAGGAGGCCGGTTCGCACGGCAGGGATGCGTGGGGTATCTTCCGCGTTCACCAGTTCGAGAAGATCGAGCAATTCCTCATCACCAAGCCCGACGAGTCGTGGGCCGCGTTCGAGGACATGATTGCCACGGCCGAGGAGTTCTACCAGTCGCTGAAGCTGCCTTACCATGTCGTCGCCATCGTCTCGGGTGCGCTGAACAACGCCGCCGCCAAGAAGTTCGATCTTGAGGCCTGGTTCCCCTTCCAGGGCGAATACAAGGAGCTGGTCTCCTGCTCCAACTGCACCGACTACCAGACTCGTGAACTGGAGATCCGGTACGGCACAAAGAAGCAGACCGCTACCAGGAAGGAATATGTGCACGCTCTGGTAAGTGCTTGTCTCGTTTATTGAAAATGGTCAGCGTTTCTGACAAAGAATGCCTGTAGAACTGTACCCTCGCCGCTACTGAGCGCGCGCTCTGCTGTATTCTCGAGAACTACCAGACCCCCGATGGCTTCAACGTCCCGGAGGTCCTTCGCAAGTACATCCCCGGCCAGCCCGAGTTCCTGCCCTTCGTTAGGGAGCTGCCCAAGGACACCACTTCCGCCAAGGCTGCGGGCAAGGCTCCGGGTCCCAAGCCCAAGGTCCCCGCTCCCGGCGATGTCGCGGACAAGGTCAAGGACATGAAGGTCTAGATGTTCATGCAAGGGAGAATTATGGACTGTGTGTGGACTTCTTTTTATCTTTTTTTTTTTATTTTTTACTGGAAACGTAAAAAGCATTGTAGAGCGTTGCGAGAGCTCTCACTGTTCACTTCTGGAGATTCGAGATCTAGAATATCGAAGAGGAATGAAAGAGCTGAAAGTATCGGTGTCGGCTAGTGTACTCGTGATTCCCGTGTGTGAAACAGTTAGACACCCACAGTGGTGAATTGACGTGTTCCAACAGCTTACGTTGCGCAAAGGATGCGGTCTATTGGCTGCTGATGTGCGGCGGTGCGGATGTGGGACAGGAACCAGGGGGAGCTCTGGAGCTTGGCCCGAGGCGCGAGCTGTGCCAGGCACCACGTGCAGCTCCCTCATGACATCTATCAACCGCAACCGCACGCCATCAACACCTTCCCCATCCCTTAACCTTTCTCCACAGCTTGTCAATACCAGAAGCTGGAGAGCGGCATTCCCAATCATTCCTCGAGTTTTCTTTAAACACCTATCCCCGTCATGACCAAGAATCCCCCCACCCTACGCCAGAAGCAATCCGAGTCACAGCCCAGCCACAGCATGCAACCTCCCGCCGCGCCCGCTGCCAGCACCTGGGAGGCCACCGAGCAGCGTGTCTGGCCCATCAACGGCAACTTCCTCGAGCCCGCGCAAGGCGACACGCTGTTCAGCTCGTCCATGTTCTCCCGCAACGTCGCTGCCGCTGCGCCAGCGGTGCCGCCCAAGGTGCCTGAGACTCCTCGTCCCGCCGCCGCTGCTCCTCAGCGACAGACCTCGAGCGCTCGCCGCAGCCTGAAGCCCGAAGACTACACCAAGCCCTTCTGCGACTTCCTGACGGACAACCCGACCGTCTTCCACGCGGTGGTGGCTGTGGCGCAGGACCTCGAGGCGCAGGGGTACAAGAAGCTGTCGGAGCGGGACGTGTGGAAGCTTGATGCCGGCGGCAAGTACTTCGTCGAGCGCAATGGCTCGTCGCTGATCGCCTTCGCGGTCGGCGAGGCCTATGAGCCCGGCAACGGCGCCGCCATCCTGGCCGGACACATCGACGCCCTGACGGCGAAGCTCAAGCCTATCCCCAAGCTCCGCACCAAGGCCGGTTACGAGCAGCTGGGCGTGGCCCCATACGCCGGCGCGCTGAACAGCACGTGGTGGGATAGGGATCTGGGCATTGGTGGAAGGGTCCTGGTGAAGGAGGAGAGTGGCAAGGTTGTGAGCAAGCTGGTGAAGCTGGATTGGCCAAGTGAGTTGTCTGTTGAGGACTGAGAAGAAGAGCACCGAACGCTGATGCTATGTACAGTTGCCCGCATTCCTACCCTTGCCCCGCACTTTGGCGCAGCATCCCAGGGTCCCTTCAACAAGGAGACGCAGATGGTCCCCATCATTGGCCTGGACAACAGCGACATCCTTGGACAAGAGCAGAAGAACGAGGATGGTACCGAGTTCAAGCCTGCCCTACTAGGAGGCCAAGGCACCTTCACATCGACCCAGCCAGAGCGCCTGGTTAAGGTCATCGCTAAGGAGCTCGGAATTACCGACTACAGCAGCATCGTCAACTGGGAGCTGGAGCTCTTCGACACGCAGCCTGCTCAGGTCGGCGGCATCGACAAGGAGTTCATCTTCGCGGGCCGCGTTGACGACAAGCTGTGCTCGTGGGCTGCCGTCCAAGCCCTGCTGAACAGCACCTCTGCCGATACATCGGCCACGGACCCCTCGTCCTCGTCCATCGTCAAGGTCGTCGGCCTCTTCGACGACGAGGAGATTGGCAGTCTCCTGCGCCAGGGTGCGCGGGGCAACTTCCTCCCCTCCGTCATCAACCGCATCGTCGACAGCTTCGCGGGCTTCCCGACGCCCTCGCTGCTCTCCCAGACCTTCGCCAACTCGTTCCTCGTCTCGTCGGACGTCATCCACGCCGTCAATCCCAACTTCCTCAACGCCTACCTCGAGAACCACTCGCCGCGCCTCAACGTCGGCCTTGTCGTCAGCGCCGACTCCAACGGCCACATGACGACGGACGCCGTCAGCACCGCCATCCTGCAGCGCATCGCCGACAAGTCCGGCCAGCGCCTCCAGGTCTTCCAGATCCGCAACGACTCGCGCAGCGGCGGCACCGTCGGGCCCATGCTCAGCGCCGCCACCGGCATTCGCGCCATCGACGCCGGCATCCCTCAGCTGAGCATGCACAGCATCCGCGCTACCACCGGCAGCCTGGACCCCGGTCTTGGTGTTGCGATCTTCCAGGGCTTCTTGGATCATTATGAGGCTGTTGACCAGGAGTTCAGGGAGACCGTCTAATTTTGGGAAATTCGTGAGAATTTTCGTGCAATGTTTCGCTTTCTTTTGACTAGTAGAGGAAGCATATTAGATTTGGGAATGTGACGGAATTGACGAATGAGGTTGGATGGATCATTCTTGGATAGAAGCAACGATAATGGTTTACTAGACGTCAGAAATCGGGAATAGACTGGTGTAGAAGTAAATATATGTATTACCACCAGCATTCTAAGTGCACTGGAGTTCTGTTGACGTTGTTTGCATGTGAGAAGAATAACTGCGAAGTGAGATTGTGACAGAGTTGAAAGAAGAAGATATGGTGCAAGTGGTAAAGATAGTTGAGAGGTATCTCAGTCTTATATCGCGGCTGGAGAGATTGGACGGCTGGAACGAGAGGTGCTGACTGTAAGCCTGTGGATCTCTCTCTTTCACACCAGGTTAGAACCTCTGTAAATTATCACTTAAGGTTTCATCACACATGACGGAAGCAACCTTTACAAGTTACAGCATTCTCTTCTTACCCGCTACAATAGAACCTTAACTAGAAACGAGAGTCAGAAAATGAAGACGAGAGAAACAAGAGCCGAGAGACAGCCGCACCAAGAGAAAGAAAAGCATAACGGAGGGTAAAAATAATTACGATGATGGAGAGTGGTATAATCCTGCGCTGCGCCTTTCATGATCCAACGAAAAAAAAAATGTACACCTTGAGCGCCTTAGACTGTGCCGACATAGTGAAGACTTACACTTATCCCTGAAATACGGAATACTGATTCATGCATTATTTAGCTAGACCAAAACCATCCACCCTTCTTCTTGTTGCTGCCGTCGCTTCCTTCGAAACTCGGGTCGCCGCGCGTCGTGTTGACGGTCTCGGATGACTCCTCACGACCGTCGGCGAAGCGCTTCTTCAGCGTGACTTTGGTCGTCACGGTGCCGTCGGCGGCGATGTTGCGCTCAGTGGTGGTGATGGTGGAAAGGATGGGGGAGGAGGCAGCGTCGATGTTATTGTTCTTATTGGATGGCGGTGCCGCAGGGGCTTGACCACTGCTGCCGCTGCTGCTGCCTCCGCTTCCGCCCTGGTGATGCGAAGATGAGTCGCCGAGGAAGCGTTCGTACATGTCCAATTCGGTCTGGGGGTCGGCTGTGTGCGTGCCTAGGAAGCGCTCATACATATGATCGTCACGGGCTGCTTGTTCTTTTCTGTGATCATGAACGTGGTTGTGGGATGAAGTAGTGCCATTCTCCTGTTGCTTCTCCGGCACGTACCACTCTCCGCCCTCCTCAACGTTGCGGAAGAACTCCTGCGTCTTGGGACTACGGGAGTAGACGTTGGAGAGAAGGCGGTAGCTGCGTGGCCACATGCTACGGCTCCAATCGGTAGCCACGTCTCTCCTGATTAGGCATCCGCGCTCGGCGCGCATGAGATCGTCAAATGCGTCGGCGTACCGGGGCGCGCCGGCGACGTCATTCTTGATGGCCTCTGCTTCGAGTACGGCGGGGGAGTACGGGTGCTGGAGCAGCCAGCGCGTCCGTGGGTTGGAATAATCCAGGAAATATGAAAGAGGATGGCCCCAGCCACGCGTCATGGGGAAGCCACCGAATGGGTTTCCATGCCGAGAACCCGAGTGGTGAAGGCTATCCAGGGTCTGTAGGATCTGGCTACCTTCTCGCGCCTCGTCAGAGACACGCAGATGGCTCCACGGGCCAGCGCCGCGGGCGAAGCCGGAGAAACTGTCCCGTACGTTGAAGAACTCGTCCTCCAGCCGCTTAATTCGATCTTCCATGTCCCGTCTTATATCCGAGCTGGCGTTGCTAGCATCGCCAAGACCGATCCAGTCCAACAGACTCTGTCCTCTGTCTGTCTGCTGGGGATCTTTCTTGTTGCTGTGGTCGTCCTCGGCGCCAAACCAGCTCTTGAACAGCTCTGACATCTCTTGCAGCTCCCTCTCCGCATTCTTCCTCGCTTCCTCAAAATTCCGATCAAGCTCGTCACTGTTATTGGTCCCCTCGCCAGACTTAGCGTCGTCGGCATCTTTCTTTGGCGGCCACGACCACGAGGCACTCCAGTGCCATGTCTTGCCACCATTCTTGTCCTCGATGACCTCTGGCTTGACTTCCTGACCATCCGGTTTCCAGAGCTTGACCCAACTCGACACATCATCCTCGTTGCTCTTCTTCTCCTTGTCATCCTGGCCGTCGTCGCTCGACCATCGTTTCACCCAGACTTCCTGTCTGCCGCTGCCGGAGACTTGTGCATCGCTGTCGCTGTCGTTGTTCTGGCGCGCAGCATGCCAGCGCGCGTGCTCTTTGGAAACGGTGGCAGGAAGGCCTATGACGGAGTTCACGAGCGAGGAGATTTGGTCGTCGGCATAGCGGCGGAAAGATATGAATGGGTTGGTGTTGGCGTTGGCTTGATCGCCATCGGCGGCGGGGCGTTTATTGGCGTCGTTGCTGATGGCGTTGTTGTTATTGTCTCTGGGGTCGTTCATCATGGCTGCATGCTACAGGTATCGTTCGGGCCTCAGATGTGTTCGAAGGGTCGTAAGCAGTCGTGAGAGTAGAGTGAGGTGACTATGTTACTCTGCTGGCGGGTGCTGACGGCAGGCGGGGAGCTTAAGCAGGGTTCGCGGAACGTCCCGCGTCGCGGAACAGATCAAGCTTCGAGCGTCTTCGAGAATGACGATGGCGAGGGAAGTCGTTGCCGGGCGTACATAATACTGATTCCACCGGCTCCTTGCGCGAAAAGCAGCCTTGTCATCATGCAAATACGATTTCACGAAGTTGGTCGCGTAAGGTCGTAGTAGATTCTATTTTCATGCAAGGGCATTCAATAATGTCTCCCACAGCCTGGGCCTTTTCTTATTAGCAGTGGAAGGAGCACTTCACAAGAATATTCCTTCAGAAGATATCTGGTTTGAACATGGATATATTTTCTCTGGGCGTTTATTAGAATATGCTTGAGTGAGGCCGCACGGTGCGAATGATCGGGGCTTAATTGGCACGTGGACGCGCGCCTGCGTTCCGTGAAGACGCGAGGCTGGAGCTGTCTCGAGTAAACACGACTGCAGCCTTGCGCCAACACAGAACCGAACAATGGCTGCCCTTCCCCTCCTCCTCCTCCATTGAGCGATGACCTCGACCGTTCGCTATGGGCTGAAGCTAGCGGCCAGCCCCTTGACGTTGCTTAGGCCGCCTCTGCACCGTCTGCGCCGACCGCCCTTCGCCTCTACCGTCGCTCGCGTCTACCGCCTTCATCCCGCCCTTCACACCTACACTTCGACGCCGAGACTTGCGGACAACTACACTGAAAATACTGCTGCTGAGGTTATGGATCTTGTGTCAGAGAGTCAAGAGACGGTGCCATCACAAAGCGAGGCTGCCCTGTCACCTCGTCCACCGACACTAAAACCTGGCGACTCGTTTGGGTCCGAGTTCTACGGAGAGCTGAATGACTTCTCACTAGAGTCGCCCAAGAATGACGCGGAAAAACTGCAGGATGAGGAAGCAGCTGCATCAGGCAGCGAAGAAGAGCCGGAGCCGCCTTTCGAGCTGACATTCAAGAGGAAACCTTTGCCGGAACCAACGGGCCCGGATGAGATTCCCAAGGCCATTCCCCCAAGCCTTTGGTCCCATCAATTGTACCAAGGTCCGGACGGACAAGATATCATCGTCGACTACTGCTGTACCTTTGAGCAGTCGGAGTCAGTCGCTCAGCATTTCCTCAACGAGCCTGTACTCGGCCTGGATATGGAATGGCATTGCTTCGCCTCTCCGACGAACATCAAACAGAATGCTTCTGTCCTCCAGCTGGCATGCGAGGATCGGATCGCCATCTTCCACCTAGCCCGTCACAAAGGCAACACAGCCGCCGAGATTCTTCCACCCACTCTCAAGAAAATCATTGAATCCGACGAGATCCTAAAGGCTGGCGTTAATATCTATGGTGCCGATGCACCCAAGCTACGAAAACTCAACCTTGAGCCCAAGGGCCTTTTCGAGCTGAGCCATCTGTATAACCTTATCGCAAACAAACGGACCGCTGGTGGGCACGTTCCCAAGTATCTCAAGAAATTGAACGAGCAATCCATAGAGAAGCTTGGACTTCCGCTCGAAAAGGGGAGTGTTCGGACTAGTGACTGGACCAAAGAGCTTAATCAGGCCCAGATCGATTACGCAGCTGCAGATGCCTATGCCGGTTTCATGTTATTTCACGTTATGAATGAAGAGAGAAAGCAAATGAAGCCGACTCCTCCACTTCCCGCGTTCGCGGAGCTTGGCTTGCCAGTCATAGGAATATCGGAGAAGGAAGCAGACGCAGAAGAGCTTTCGGACTGCTCAAACCCAATCGTCCGCACTATTCCGCCACAAGATCAGCTCCAAGGACTGTCTCTCCGCCTGTACGAGAAGCTTTGCTTAAAGCGGGCTGCGGTAGCAGCCGCAAGAGGCATGAAAAGTATCCAGCTCGCGTCTAACTCAGCCCTGGCGCGAGTGGCAACTGCTCAACCGCGGACGCTTCAGGCACTTCGGCAGGTGAAGGGTATGGGGGACACCGCAGTGCAGAACTTCGGGCGCGATTGCATCTTGACCATCGAGCGTTTCCTAACGCAAGGGGCGGACAACGTCCCCGACGATGTGATCATCGATGACCCTATCATATCTACTCCTCCTCGAAAAAAACAAGGCTCGACGACTCTCGACGCTTCCAGTAGGCTCCTATTCGACACTCTCTGCATTAAACGGAAGGAACTTGCAGCAGAGGAGAGAATTTCGAGCTTTCAATACTACAGAATTGCGAACAACAACGTTCTCACGAACATTGCAAACAGACGTCCTACAACGTTCGAGGAACTGCTTGAGATCTCCGGTATTGGCAACTATTCTGCAAAAAAGTTCGGGGAGCACTGGCTGTCTGTTGTCAATAGCTTCATCGCAGAAATCCCGGAAAACTTTGCTCCGGAAGAAGAAGCGCATGAGGACAATGGCTCCGAAGAGATGATGTCTGAGGATGACATGCTAAACATTTCCGCAGACAACCTCCCTCCCGGTGCAGAAGGCTGCCTGTCAGGGGAGCGCATCGTATTCACGGGCATTTTGGACGCACTTGGCCGCACGGGAGCGCAAGATCTCGCGAGAAAATGTGGCGCAGAGGTCCTGGAAAGGCCAGACACTGAGACAACTTTAGTTGTGACCGGAAGGGATGTTTCAGAAAATAAACTGCAATCTGTGGCGGAGTACAGACTCCACACCGCTACCGAAGAGGACTTCATCGGTTTAGTTTTCCGCAAGTCAAGAGAAGCTCATGCTACCGCTACGCGGCAAAGAGCCGAGCGGCCTCTTGGGTCACTTTCAGCCTTGACCGGAACTCTTGACCCCGTCACAGTTCAACAAGTTGACGATCTTCCCCCTTCGGAGCGCGCTTTCCACAATGCTCTCCGAGCCCTGCGCACGCAGCTCGCTTCCCTCAGCAAGATGCCAGCTGCCAGCATCTGCTCTGACGCTGACTTACGTGCAATCGCCATAGCCCAACCGCCTACGCGGGCGGATTTCCTTCGTTTACCTGGCGGCAAGGGACTGGACGCAGTCGCGCGGCAGACAAACAAGAGCATTAATGACTTCCTCGCCAAACATAACAGAAGCGTGCCCGCGGTTAGCCGGACGACAAGCAGAGAACCCCAGGTCATCAGAAATGTCGAGTCGTCAGGGGAATCAGATCAGGATCATGCTTTTGAGGAGCTGCAGACGACGGCACCAACGAAAAGGTTTGTGTATGGAGAGGTTCAGGCTCCGCCGTCGTCGTCAAGGAAACGGAAGTTCTGAGCGTGATTGGCATTGGAGATACACATTAGGATGGACTGTGTACTTGATACCCGGTAATTTTGCTTTGCAGGTTTTTCTAAGATGTAAAATGGTTGAAGGCAGAGGTGAAGCATGCTAAATGAGAGACATTTGATTGGACGGCATCGGTTTTGGAGAACACTACTTGGGTGCGATAGTTCCGGCTACTAGGGGAAACAAAATGGACAGGGGTCATCTCCAATACTATGATACTATCATTCAACCTGACAACGACGATACCAATTGCGAATTCCATGCATTTTGCGGTTCTTGTCCATGATCACATCTCAAAAGCGGTGAGACACGGCAGAACTTTTATCGACCGAATGAACCGGAGCTTCGCGTGATGACTTCCGCCCGCCGAACACCGAACCTCACTCGTAGCAATTGCGCCCTCGACAACTTCGCGATGAGTTTAACAACACGGGGCTGGCGTGCCGCCTTACGGCAGGTCAATCGCCGCACTTTTTCGAGCAGCGCCGTCTCCCAGCGTCACAGTACGTCGTACAACCTTCCCGACATGACATTTTCTCCGCTGTCTACCTCTGAGAACTTCCAATGGCCGAAAGAATCCAATTGAATCCAAAACAAAATGGCTAACCACACGCCGCCTGCGGAACAGCCCTCCCGACCTTCGAGCCCTCGTCGAACGAAGACCTCGACAGCGTCCTCGACCTGGCGCGGAGGCGCATCCTGATACCCGCGCACCTCAACAAAGCGCAGGAGCAGATGGTGTACCGCGAGAAGTTCCGGGCGCGCCTGTCGGCCGACGCGCCAGAGCCGGTGAGCAGCACGGTGGCGGGCGCCGACGTGACGCTCGAGCACATCGACCGCCAGCGCGACATCCCCGCCCAGTGGCAGGTCTTCAGCGACGCGCTGCGCCTCGCCGACACGCCGACGGACTGGGAGAATGTCGGCAAGCTGCTCGAGGGCTTCGCCGACGCGGGCGTCCGGATGCGGGGCGAGTGGGTGCAGAAGTTCGTGCGCGAGGCGGCGCAGAAGGGCGCGCTGCACGTCGTGCTGAGGGCGCTGGAGCGCGCGCCGCGGACCAACGTGCGGTTGAGGAGCCGCGACGTCGTGTCGCGCGTGCTGTGGGAGGTGCGCGGCGTCGCTGCGGAGAACGGCTGGGGCGAGGTGGAGACGGAGAGGGCGATCAGGTACGCGGAGAAGGTGGTGGAGCTGATGGAGCGCGAGGAGCACTGCGGCGGCTCGGGCAAGAGGGTGGTCAAGCCGGGCGACTTGCGCACGCTGCCGTTTGTCATCGCGACGCCCTTGGAGCTGAATGCCGTGCATGTGCTGAGGTATAAGGGAGGCGTGGATGAGGATGGGGTGGTCGAGGGGTATGCGAAGTCGTTGTGCAACAATTTGAAGCATTTCGGGCTGCAGGTACGACACATTCCTATTTTCTGGCTCAGTGCTCTCTTCTTCGAGAGTCATTCTTTGCACAATTCTGTCGTAACCCACTCGGAACTGACATTGGCACAGGAATCCACCCCCACAGAAGAATCTGCCCCCAGCGACGGTGCTGCCACCACTACAACAAAGTCCAAGTCACCCAACCGCTACCAAAACTTCGCCGCTGCCGTCGAGAAGCTGCGTCGCATGGTGCCCGTTTGGCACGGCCTGGAGCTGGCCCGGCGCGTGCTCCAACCCCAGAACCGCCTGCCGCTTGAGAAGGTCGAGGTGTACCGAGTGCTGGGAGAAGTGCGTGGGGAGGCTGAGGCTGCGGTAGAGGCCATGCGCGCGAACCTGAAAGAGGGCCAGAAAGTCGAGAATCACGCCGATTACCAGGCGTGGGTGCAGGTGAGGGATGAGAAGGAGTGATTCTATCAAAAAGAAAATCCTCTTCGGAATGTGTATGTAGCATAAACTGGCGGGATATATGGCAAGAAGCATGGGATTTTAAGACGCAATGGTATGCCCTTTGAATGTAAGATTATCAATGGTCGAAATACTATAGGACTAGGGGGTCTGGCCTTTCTCAAGCGCTGGAGATGCTGCACTGATGAAGAGGATTTAGTCGGCCTTATTATTAGGAACCCATAAACGGATATCAATCGACCATGTCAATAGGCACAAGCGGCTCTTTTCATTTCTGCTACTCCAATATAGTTCGCAAATCCTTGGTGTTTCAGCAACAGCTCTACCAAGATCAAGGTCCGTTTTACTGGTCTCCTCCTGAGTTCAGTATAAGAAAAAGAAAGAAACATTTCAGCGCCAGATGAGCATACCGGTTCGCTATGCAATGGGTGACCGCCATTTGGATATCAAAAGAAGCAACAAAGGAAACAAGAAAAAAGAAGACCAAATGGCCAAGAGGAATAACCCAGAAGGCCCCAGAGCCTCTGCAACCCCAAGGAGAGAGAATGACCACTCTTTCGTCTTCGTCAGATCACCGGTCTGAAACTTCAGACAAACAGCCCCCGCAATGGACTCTGAAATCAAGAAGCGCGGAATCGGATGCACCTCTCTTTTTTCTTCATTCGTCGAGCTCGCCCTCGAACAGGTCGTCCAGCCCATCGTCTTCGGGATCGAAACCGCCGTCTACCTGCGGCAGCGGGTCCGCAGCAGGGGTGGCATCAGCTTCGGAGACGGCGGGCTGGATGCTGGGAGAGATGCTGGCGGTCTCTGTCGCGCTTGCGGTGGCGTACATGGGCGGATAGTCGGGCGGTGCTGAGGCCGAGGTGTTGGTGGTAGTGACAGCAGATGTGTTAGGTCCGCCGGCGGCAGCAGCGGTGTTGTGCTGGTTGGTACTCGCGGTGGTGTAGATGGGTGGGTAGTCAGGCATGGCCGTCGCTGGGGTGGTGATGGTAACAGTAGGGATGGGTGTGTTAGGTCCGGCGGCGTTGGCGGTGTTCTGGTTGGTGCTCTGGATGGCTGGGGCGTAGATATCGGGGTAGTCCGGGAGCTGTGAAGCTGACTGTGCGGCAGTGTTGTTGCTTGGAAGAGCCGCCATCGCAGCATGGTTGTGAGAAGCGACGACAGAAGCACTGGGAGCAGGAGAAGCAGCCACCGGAATTTGACTGTACTTGTCCCGCTGGGTTGCCATGTTGCCAGTGCCATAGTCATCCGGATAGTCGGGAAGAGGCGGTGGGGATGAAGTCAGCTGTAAGTTGTCGGCCTCAGGCGTGGAAGACTGGGAAGTAACTTTGTCCTTCGCAGCGACTAAGCTCTTCTTCCTGCCATTCTTCTTTTGTTGGCCCTTCGGCTTCATGGATGATTTTTTCGGTGTTGCGCTTCCAGAAGCGATATTCTTCGAACTAGGCTTCCTCTTGTGCTTCGACGATGGGCCAGCAGCAACTGCGGTTCTCTGTTCCGCGACCATCCTCACCTCCTCACCACTCAGAATCCTGGACCCAACAATGGCCACATCCCCATAACCATTGGCCTGATTGTTCCAGACGTCCTCTTGCTCCCTCTGCTCCCTCTCGGCATTCTCCTTCATCCTCCTCAGGTCACCGATATCATCAACCACAAAGTCCTCCCACTCCTTCGCACTCGGCCCCCTGTTCTGCCTCAACTGCAAGAACTTCCAGTCGGGGTGGACCAGCGGAATCAGCACCTTCTTGTTTTCTTCGAACAGCGCCAGCGTGTTTCCCAGCACCTCCCTCGCCTCGTGATCCAGCATCTTCAACTCCTTCTCGGTGCCGCCAGCCACCTCGACCTCGTCGGGCACGTGCTCGTACAGGCCGGTCTTCGGGTTCTGGCGGTGTTGCTCGTACAAGCGCTTTTGCCAGTGCCTGCACAGGCGGACGCCGCTCGTGCGGCGCGCGGCGTTCAGGTCGCGCAGGTAGCGCATCAGCCAGGCCTTGGTCTCGAGCTGCAGCGCGATGGGGTAGTCGGCGGAGAGGTCGCGGTACTCGAAGTCGAGGCAGAGGCGCATCAGGCTGGACGCCGTCGTCGTGCTCAGCCGCTCGATGACGTGCGTCGGGATCGGGTGCAGCAGGACGCGCAGGTCTTCGAAGTTTTTCGTGAGCGGGTGCGGCTCGATGAGCGGCGGTATGGGAGGCAGGTTGCCGGGGTCGAGGCTGATGTCGACTTTGGCGACGGGAGCGGGATTGCTAGCTTGATTGATGATATCGCTTGCCTGGTTGTTGTTGTAGCTGACTTGGTTGTTTGTCTCGCCCGCCTGGTTGTTGCTATTGCCCGCTTGGTTGTTGTTGTAGCCGACCTGGTTGTTGTTGCTGACTTGGTTGTTCTGGCTGACCTGGTTGCTCTGGCTGTTGTTGTAGTAGGTCTGGGGGACACTCTGGTTCGGGAACGCGGCGGGCGTTTGGGACTGGCGATATTGCTGCTGCTGTTGGATATTGGGCTGAGGGAACTGCTGTTTCTGTTGCTGTAGGAGCGTCTGCTGCTGGAGTGCGGTTGCGAATTGCTTCTTCTGCCACTGCAGGAACTGTTGCAATTGCTGCTGCTGTTGCGCTTGAAAGCGCCGCAGCTGTTGATTCTGCGCTTGGATCGGGAGAGCGACATTGTTCACAGCGCCGACGCGGGCATTGTCAGCTTGCATGCTGTGATAGCGAAGGGTAGGATAGCCCATTGCGGGAGTCTGTGTGTGGGGAGCGGACGGTGCGAGATAGCCAGCATTGTTGCTCTGAGGTTGAGACATGACAGGCATTGGCGTCGAGCGTCCCGCCGCCTGCTGCTGGTACGAGTTGGCAAAGCCAGGGTTGGGGAATGCGTGGGAAGATGAGTATGAGGCCATGGTGCTCGGCTGAGCTGGAATCGGGGAGGTGGAAGTGGGTGAGTTTCTGCGAGCCGCCGGGGACAGCGACTGCAACGGCGGGCTTGTCAAGCCGGGTGGCCACTGCGAGCGATCCATGGGGGAACGTGAGGAGCGTTAGCGGGCTTGGTTTGGATTGTCGGGTGCGCACGCCGGCAGTGGTAGCAGGTGTTAGCCGATGTTGAAGGTATGTCGGAAGAGTGCCAGGCGCAGATACCTATAAGCGGCGTCGGTGTATTGTAAGGTCCGTATAATTATCGCGTTTCAGACTGTCCTATTGTTCATGTGAAAGTCAATAGCATTTCGCGCGCGAGTGTGAAGTGAAGTTGCATAGCATATAATAGGAACCACATAGCAAGCACGAAAACTGACGCCATAGCCATGAGGTCCACTGCGCGTTGTAGCCAGCTGTCTCCGTCGGCCCAAATTTCATTCAAACAAACGTGTATTATCCAGTGCAGACTACAGCGGTACTCACACGGTCGATTCGTGGCTGTATCTGCGACACCCACTACCACAACAATGACAAGGAAAGAATCCGCTCAAACAATCTCCAGACCCCTGACCTCTCCGTATCCATTGTAGGCACATCCTCTTAAGTTCCACGGGGACCTTTTCTCCTGCATGTTCCCACCCTTGTCAGTAGCACGGCTGAGCAGCGTTCTTCCTTTACCTTCCTCCATCTTTATCGTCGTCCTCCACAAGCGCCACGCCCATTTCAAGCTCGTTCCGTTCTCCTCGTGATGCTCATCCCCTAGCAGCTCCGCATCCTGCCACGTCCTTCCTCCATCGCCGCTCACCTCGACCTTGGTTACCGGCCCTGAGCTCCCAGCAGGAAGCGCGTATCCTTTCACATCAATTGCGCCCGCCGCATCCCTCTCCACCTTCGTGTTGGCTGTAGGAACACCGATTACCGAATTGACAGGCATATCCTGGATGGCGGGAACGTGATCCCAGGCGTCGTCACGGTCGGCCTTCTCGGGGGAGTCGATATTGGGAGGTAGAATCTTGTAGTCGCGCTGCTGATAATAGTTGGGCGATTCGGAGCGTTGGACCGTGATTCGATCGAGCCATTTGACAGAACGAGCACCGGCGATGCCGGGTGTGATGACGCGGACGGGATAGCCATGCTTGGGTGTGAGGGGGGCGTCATTCATCTGGGCATATTAACAGCTGTCAGAAACTCTAAAGAAGAAGTGGACGAGTAGGAAGAAAATTGAAGTGAAGTTGACGCATCTCACTCACCTCCAAGGCAACAAGCACATCTGCATCTTTGCTCATCGCCCTTGCTAGAGGAATGCTCGCGCCGTACCATTCATCATCTTCGCACGGATTTTGGTGACACGCGAACGCGACGTGTGCGTCCGCTTCTTCAATCTCGGTGCCGCCAGCCTGCATCAATACTTCGCGCAAAAGTGGGCCGCGCCACTTGCAGTTCATGACGGCACCGTCGAACCAGTCGATACCGCTAACCTCCTTGATCTCGGTGCGCATTGTGTGCCGCCGGTTGCCGGCACACTGTAGAGCGCAAATGACGGTGTACTGCGGGAGCGATTTGAGATCCTGGAGGGAGAGGGAGAGACGAGTGCGGACAGCGCCATCGACAGTGACGCGGTGGACTTTGGCGTCGATAATAGGAATCGGGCTGCGCGAGCGCATGGTCAATGTCTACTTTTGTTGCCTTGCAGATGATGCAGAATACCCATGGTTGCGATCGTAGCCATCTTCGGTGGTGATGAAACTGAATTCACAGTGTCAGAAGTTTGGAAGAAAGCGCAGGGCAAATCGGGAAAGCAGTCAGGTGGAAGCCGTCACCCGACCACCACAGAGTCAAACTAGGATGGCACATAACAATCGTACCGAGTTTGCTCACTTGGAGATTAATTTCTCAAGAGGAGGCTCGCGATTGAGCGGCTTCTCGCCGTTGTGCTTATAGTTCTACGCCGAGAAGTGACGTCAGAGTGTTTTCACCGAAAGAGGCAATCCATATAGCATACCTGGACGGACATGGTTGCTTGTAGGCGACTGTCGTACGGGCCTTTGGCAGCCAATCAGAAAGTGCTTCAACGACTAAATCTTTTCGTTGTAGGCTTGTAGAAGCGCTGTCTTTTTCGGACGCGCCCTTTGAATTTCTCGTGAGACTGCAAACACTCCAGCGTCACTACTGCGTCATCAAATACTATTCGCCACTAGATCTCAGTATAACGCTCATATCTTTTACAGCGAATTTTCAACTTTGAAAGGCACTCCGATAAGACTCCGGTGCCAAGCTGCTGCTCTACTTCCCGATAGGCTTAAAGAATACAGTATGGCTTCCGATGCCGGTGCCGACAGCCGAATCCATTCGGACATGGTAGGGAGTACGTATGTGGGCCGCGCAATCGGGATGTAGTTTGCAGCTCGGCAAACACGACCGGACGATAGCTTCACATATGTTAATTTTTCCAAGGTAGAGCTGGGGCATATTTACACTATGTTCTAGAACCCTGCCTGCAGCACCCCTCTGTATACCACCCCTGAACTGTACTCTGGTTGGCAAATTTGCATCGATGACTGCGTCTGTATTTTGACCGAAGACATCCAGCTGAAAGGAAGCTGCGTCGCGGACAAGGCAGCAGCATTTCGAAATATCCGAGACCGAGACCGACGTCCGAGGCGGGTTTCCGAGACCGAGACATTTAACCTACCCACCCCTCGTCGCTTCTGCGCACTCCTCAGACCGCGACTTTCCGGTGACCATGGACCACGCCGATGAGGCCACTCCGCAGCGGAGGCCGAGACAGCAGCTGAGCTGTGTCCAATGCCGCCGCCGCAAGGTCAAATGCGACCACGAGCGCCCTTGCAAGCGCTGCCGCATCCGGGGCTGGGACTCGCAGTGCACCTATCCGCTGCATGCTCCCACAGGCTCCACAGACTTGGCATCGCCCGCTACCAGCCCTAGGAGAGCCAGTGTTGCGCGAGACTGGCGTACTGCCAGCCCGTCAATTGCAAACCGCCCTCCCCTCGCACGTCCTGGACCATCCGCATACAACTCTCCTTCCGAACCCACTGACTTTGCAACTCCCGAGACACTGTCAGGTGATTATGAGACAATATACGGCTTCCTTCCTCGCCGCGCCTCGCATCCCGCCGCTCCGCGTACCATTTCCGAACCGGCTCCACTAGCCACCCCCACTTCGGCATCACCCCATACCATTCCCCGGCCGCCCTCTGTTTCCGACCAGAATGCTGGCAAACCCTCAACCCCGCCTTCGAACTTGGTATATGAACCGAGGCCGGCCGAGGACCATGCACTCTACTTGGCTAATGGAGAAACTGTCTATTTTGGCAGGAGCAGTGCGCCATGGCTCATATCAAAGGTGTTTCCATTACTCTCTCCCAAAACTGCCCAGCATGCTGACGTACAAAGTTTGGCAATATCATGTCATACATCCATGCCGACCAATCTGGTTGGCAGAAAAGCGAACGCTTATCCATGATTCGCATCAAACGCTTAACCAGCCAGCAGCTTCTACTCGCCCAGGACCAGGAGGAGCTGCCTCCCGGAGGCCTTCACTCAGAGGTTCCCCCTAGACACCTTGCAGACCTCTGCGTCTCCAATTACTTCCAGAGCATCGAAAGGCTCTATCCTCTTTTCGACGGCCCCAAGTTCTGGGTTGAGTATGAGAGCTTCTGGAAAGCACCCACTCAGGCAAGGCTCGTTTTCGTCATAATCCTGCTTTTGGTTATCTGCGCAGGTAATGGTACTATGCCGAACGACGAGAGACCCATAGCCCGCCCCAGGATTGTTAGATGGTGGCGTCTGGGCTTGACCTGGCAAAGTGCAGCAACCGAGACCAATGAACGCTTGACAAGCACCATGCAAGCTAGTTTTCTCGTTGTTCTCCTCCGCCAGATATACTCTCTTAGCGAAACCGCCGAATGGGTGTCATCTGGCTCGCTCGTCAAGAACGCTCTGGCTATGGGTCTCCATCGAGATCCAACTAAGCTTTACGGCATCCCACCTGATGAGCACGAACTCCGTCGACGACTGTTTTATACTGTACTCGAGTTGGATTTGCAGTTTTGCCTCAACGCTGGCATGCAACCTACCCTAAGAATCGGTGATTGGGATACTGCTTTACCCGAAGTCGTTAGGGAGACACGGACCTGTTGCCCGGCGAGCTCAGGACAGCCTCATCCATCCGATGCTGTCTCTATCCAAGATCGCATGCTAAGCTCATTCAATACCCGCATGGAGATTGCATGCTCAGTCAATGCAATCATCCCCGAAGACAACTACGATAAAGTCCTGGAACTCAGCAACCAACTCTCCAAGTCCTTCAACGGCCTTGAGAAGGAACCACGCGATTGCCAGACCGAAGCACTCAAGTTCATTCACAACCGCTACCTCCTCACGCTCCATATCCCTTTCGCCATTCGTGATGACCCCAAGTTTTCCTACTCCCAAAATGTTTCCCTCACTTCGGCACTCTCGATACTCGAGCAAATCACGTCGGCCTCAGTCACACTGGAGCAACCGCGAACTGCCAGCACCGGCAATTCTCCCAACGGCAGTCCTTCCCACAGCCATAACAATAACCACGCCGAAAAAATCTGCATCAACGCCATGCACGCATCCGGCATGTTCTTCAAAAACGCCGGCCTATACGCCGCCCTCTACCTCTGCCACGAGCTCATCCGCGACGAAAGCGACGACATCCTCTTCCCACTCTGCACCCCTCCTTACCTCATGCCGCTACCGCACCCGCAACCGCACCCGCGCCCGTCGTCACTTTCATCCGCCCCCTTCAGCCGCACGCCCAACCTCGTCTGCGCCCTGCCCGGCGTCGAGCAACGCGTCGTGGCGCTGATCGAGCGCTTCATCAAGATCGCCGAGGAGCGCCTGCGCACGACGCAGTTTGCCGGCAAGGCGTTTCTCATTCCCCGCATGGTGCTGGCGTATCACCGCATCAGCGCGGATCCCGAGGTGCGCACCAAGGAGGAGAAGGAGAGGAGGCTGTTGGAGGCGGGCAAGGTGATTGCCGAGATTTGCTTCAGCATCTTTTGCAGTAATCCGGAGGTTGCGAGAGTGCTGTAACGTAGATGGGATTTATGGGGAGAAGAAGCAGTTGAGCGCAGGCGCTTACGGTCTTTGCTGAGAAAATTAGGAGGTGAGCCACAACAAAAGTTGACAGGGTTCACGCTGTTTATGTCGTAATGAGGGACGGACGATTATTATTACATTATAGCCCTCCACTCAATGTAGGTTTTATGTGTCGTATAGAGAACGCGCGATACGAACGCTGGCTGAGCGACGCGAACGATTCGTTACTCCATCCCCACCTAGCCCTCCTTCTATTTATATCCAATCTACACGCATCGTGACTACGGCACGGGTAAGATCGCGAATCATGAAGAAACACGATCGGATTAATCGGGTTGAACCGTGCGCAACAGAAAAAAGGAACAAGTTTCCTTTCCGGGAACTCCTTTACTGCATTAGGCAAGGCGGTTCAGCGCGGTGCTCCCCTATACCCACGAAAACATTTGGATCGCCCACAACTTCCAACGTAGGTGCTGGGGGTGGAGCTCCTCGGTCCCCATTGAGCACCCCGCTTGCAATTGCAATTGGTTGGGATGCATGGCTGTGGAGATACGCATGCGGATGCCCCACGCCCGGTGGCTGGGTGGCTGGGTGCCAGTTTGTGGAGCTGGGAACGAGTCAACGTGGAAGTTTTGGAATATATCTCCGTTGGAGATGCAAGCGGTGCAAACACTGTGGCTCGGGATTGACGATGGTGACGGGTCTGTTGCCGTGCTCCGGGGTGACGCCAGTACGAAGACTCATTGAGCAACTACAAGATGATGCGATTGATGAGAAGCGCTACAACAAGAGACACATTTGTTGGCTTTAGCTCATGATTGGGCTCGTCGTTGGCTTCGGGCTGCAATCGGAGTACAAGGATAAAGACAATCGTTAACAATTGGTCAAGGTTCATTCAATGATTGGCGTAGTTCTGCCGCAATCGTCAACTTCGTAAAACAGAAAAATATCGGTCTCTTCACGCTGGCTCAGTGGCGGCAGGTGCAGCGCCCTTGCGATAGTACTCGGGATAGAGGTGATTGAGGCCCAAAACCCATCTGCCAATGACCTTGCCTGTGAACCACACAAAGCCAATGCTCACGAAACGAGGCACAAACGGCAGCACCAGAATGGTATCAGCCTCCCACAAAAACAGCATGAGCTGGAAGAAATTGGGCGCTCTCCCCGTCCTCCCGCAGTCGTCCAGGTAGCCGTAGAAGTGGCGGAAGAAGATCTCGTCGCCCTCGGCCTTCTTCGGATCCATCGATAGGTCGAAAACCAGCTCCTTTTCCGCGTCCTCGCCTTTCGGATCGGCAGCGTTCTCGAAGCGGTGGATGGCGCCGTTGGGGATGGTGACGCCCTGGCCGGCGTGCACGACCGAATTACCCGACGGAATGGTGTCGCAGATGGCGAGCAGCCGGCCCTTGACGACGTCGAAGGTCTCGGTCTGGTGGCGGTGCCAGTGCGGCGGCGGCAGCGCCAGGCCCGGTCCGGCGGGCAGCGACAGCCGCATCACCCGCCGCGCCGCCGACGGGGCGTAGAAGTGCATCGTGACCGGCCCTGCGCCTGCGGCCGGGCTGCTCAGCACGACCGGGTTGTGCGAGGCCGTGTTGGAGCGGGGCACGTGGCTCGTCAGGAAGGAAAGCATGGCTTGTTTGCAGGGGTGCTTCGCTTCGACGGCGGAGGGGTGGTGGTGGAGGAGGTGGTGGTTTAGGGAAGTGGTGTCAGCAGAAGAAATGCCATGTGCTGAAGCTAACTGCTGACGAGCTAGGTTATGTTTAGGCAAATGGCGAAAAATAGAGTAGATGCGGGGATAGTTCAGTAAACGAGGGCGGACGTCTTAGTCAACGCTCAGCTGGCACTACGTGGCTGTCATGGTGGGGATCAAGCGGGGTCACATTGGAGAAAGCAAGCTTAATGAAGATAAGCTCCTGCTGCTTGAAGTGGAAATAGTCCCAGCAATGTATTTTAAGTAACTAAAGATAACGGGTCGGGATAGAGCTGGCAATAGGTACAGACTCTCGCGTCCCTACCCGATATGCGGCTGTTGCTCGGGCCGGACCTTTTCCTGCGCCTTCCCCTTCGACGTAAGCAAGCCACCAACACAGCCCCTGCCGCCTGATGCCCCTTCATCCACCACACCCCACCGTCTATCCTGAGTCGCTTCCTCCCGCCTTGTCCGCTGCTTGGAGCACGCGCATCGTACTCACCGCTGTCATCGAGCGCCACAAAGGGCGACGGAGCCAATCGAGCTCGCCGTTGCACAGATAGTGCTCATTTTTACCCTGCCTTCGATTCCACGCCGGCCCTGGCCCCCAAGATGCCATGCGACGCGCCAGTCAGCCCCCGGTTATCCGCCCGAAACTACCGCTGATCGTGCCTCTTTGGTTGCCGGGATAGCTAACGGGTTGGGTCTAGCCACCGCCCTAAACCCCGAGTGACCGCTAGCCAGGGCGTTGCACCACTCGGACTCCTGGCCGGCATGCCCAAACTTGGTATTGGACTTTTTTTTTCTCTCACCTCCTGAACCGAAGGCAAGTTTCCTGCATCTAGCAGGTCCCCGAACATGGCAAACGTGATTTATCTTAGTCGTGCTGCAAATGATATCGTATCCTTGCCCAATCAGCTCCCTGCTTGCCGATCTGACCCTGTCCTGGTCCCTGTCTCTGCACGCCATGCATCCACACAGATCCACATGACGGCGAGTCTGCTCTCGGACGATCTGCCGACCCACAAGGATCAGAAGGATGACCATGCTTGAAGATTCTAGCACGATGCCAACTTATAATAAGGCCTTCGCTCGGCATCCTTCAGCCCTGCAGGCCTTTGCAACTCTCCAACCTGCCTCCATTCCCTCATTCATTGTTTGCTTTTCTTCGCTCTTTTAGGAATGCGGCCCCTTTCTCTGCTGTCAGCCGCCCTGGCCTTTGGCCTTTCCACGGCAGTCCCCGTGAATGACGCCTCCAATTTCCTTACTCAAGCAGCTTGCACTCCTCTCACCGCCGATAATCCGAGCACATACTGGTTGGAGGGCATTGCTCACAACGGCTTGTCATCTTTCCTCGACTCCAGCCTGGGCGACTACAGCACGTTCCGGAACGTAGTCCAAGACTTCGGTGCGGATAATTCAGGAAAAACCGATGCTTCGACTGCGATTCAGAACGCCATCAACGGTAAATTATGCCTCTGATCGTATCAATGAGCCGCATGCTAATCCAGTTAGCCGGTCCGGCCAATGGCGCTCTCCGTTCTCAGCAGGACAATGGTTACGGTACCACAGGCCAGCCTGCCGTTGTGTACCTTCCCGCTGGTACCTATCTTCTGACGACTCCTCTTCAACTGTTCATCGGGACTGTTTTCGTTGGTGACGCTGTCAACCCTCCTGTGCTCAAGGTCGCTTCCAACTTCAGCGACAACCACGTCATCTACGGCAAGGATCCTCGCTATGGCGGCACTATCAATTTTTACATCGGCCTCAAGAACGTCGTCATTGATTCAACTGCTGTCTCTCCCAGCACCTCTCTCTCTCTACTGGACTGGACAGTCAGTCAAGCCACCCAAATCTCCAACGTCGTTTTCAACATGCCCAACGGCTCGACTGGCCACATCGGCATGAGGATCGGCGAATGGGAAGGAGGAGACGGCTACAACAGCAACATCATCATCAACGACTTGACTTTCAACGGCGGTTACATTGGTATTTACGCCGGCGGCCAGCAATGGGTGTTCAAGAGCATCAAGTTCAATGGCTGCGGTATCGGTGCCCAACTGGGTGGCCATGATGTCGTCGTCACGAGCAGCACGTTCGAATCCTGCGATATTGGCATCGAGGCCCATGATATCGGCGGATCGCTCGTGGTTATCGACACGTCGACCAGCAATACTGGCACGTTCATCAACTCTACTAACACTTATCAGCCCAACGGCATCGTGCTCGAAAACATCCAGCACGACGGCACTACAGTTCATCTCAACGGCTCAGTCCTTCTTTCTGGTAGCGTAGATGACACTTGGTACCGTGGAAATGCTTATCCCACTCCCGGCAGCGGTGTCCACGCCTGGATTCCTGATGGTCAGACTGGCAAGACTCCCCGTACCTCGGCGCTTCTTGACGGTACCAAGTACGTGGCCATTGCCCCTCCGACGTACAAGGAGTACTCGGTCGACAAGTTCATCAACATCAAGGCCGTCGAGGGTCTTCCGGTGTACGGAGACGGCGTGACGGATGATACCGAGAACATCAATGCCATTCTCGCCCAGTACGCGGGCTGCTCCATCATCTACTGGCCCGCCGGCACCTACATCGTCACTGACACCATCACCCTTCCCGTGGGCACCCGCATCTTCGGTGACGCCTTCGGCACCGCCATCTCGGCGAACGGCAGCAACTTCTGGAACCCGGACGAGCCGCGCACCATGGTCAAGGTCGGCAACAGCGGCGACGTGGGCGTGGCGCAGATCAGCGACATGCTCTTCACCGTGGCAGACGTGCTGCAGGGCTGCAAGCTGCTCGAGATCAACATGGCCGGCAACACGCCCGGTGACGTGGGCCTGTGGAACACGCACTTCCGCGTCGGCGGCGCCAAGGGCTCCAAGGTGCAGACCAACTGCGGCAGCTCGCCCGCCCAGTGCAAGGCCGCGTGGGGGCTGATGCACCTCACCAACACCTCCTCCGCATACATCGAGAACATGTGGGGCTGGACGGCGGACCACGACCTCGACGGCGGCGGCAACGCCGAGCAGGTCATCGCCGTCGGCCGCGGCGCCCTCGTCGAAGCCACAAAGGGCACCTGGCTCGTCGGCACCGGAATGGAGCACAACACGCTCTACCAGTATAACTTCTGGAACGCCCGCAACGTTTATACTGCTATGCAGCAGAGCGAGACGCCCTACTGGCAGGGGCCCAACGGCTTCGACGCCGCCCCCGCCCCCTGGGCCGACAACCTCATCCCGAGCGACCCGGCTTTCGCGGGTTGCGATGGCGATGCTTACTGCGGCATGGCGTGGCTGGAGCGCGCGAACGAGGGCACCAGCGACCTGTTCCTGTACGGCGGCGCCCTGTGGGTCTTCTTCAACGGCGGCACCAGCAAGGAGTGCACCGAGCACGATCCCTACTGCCAGCAGTCGGCCGTCGAGATCAGCAATGCGCAGCGCGTTTACCTGTACGGCACGAATGTCAAGGCCATCGAGCGGATCATCGTCAGCGATGGCGGGGCTGCCGTGGCGACCACTGCGGATAGCAGCGGTGGGTGGGGTGGTGTCATTGCGGCGTATCTGTTTAATACGTAGACTTGTGGATGATGGAATGAGTTGATGTGAGGGATGATGACTTAGACTTATCTCCGTCATGGCGATCCTTGTAGATATTCTGTTCTTGGTAGATTATTTTCAACGCGTAGATAAGACTTGATATAGAATTATTTCAAGAGACGTTACCTTGCTACGATATGCATATTTTTTTTTAAAAAAAAAATTAGAGGATGAATAAAGATTATAGCATTAATAGGCTATTCTTGTTAATGGTAGGAAACTACTAAGAGTACACTTGGGGTTGTTGAATGAAAGGGTAGGAGCAGGCTCTATTACCCATGGATGAATGAGGCGTAGCTGCTGCGGTTTATAATGCGGAGCAATTAAAAGGGCGGCCATCACAAGTCCGTATTGTCTCCCTGCGTGACGAGATCTGCAAAAAGAACAGTTAGTAGTGGCCGGCATCCGCCTCCAAACCCTCACTGTATCATTCATACCTTTTCTCAGTCTTTCATCTTATCAAAAGTTCAACCCCCAAGACTCCGCCGTCGATTTCTTCCCAAAAGCTTCATGCTCCACCTCGGTCAACTTCTCAAAGCCCTCGGTCTGATAGATGCTCCTCGCGACGGCCATCTCGCCGGGCATCCACAGCAAAACCCGGCGATACCCGGCCTCCTCGCGCGCGAACTCGACCGCCTGCCGCACCAGCCGTCTGCCCAGCCCCTTGCCGCGCTCGCCCGGCTCGACGAGCAGCAGGCGCAGCATGGCCGACTGGTGCGCCGGGTCGTCCGTGTCGTTGAAAAGCATGATGCAGCCGACGAAGGTTGCTTGATGATCCGCAGTAGTACCACCGGTTCCCCTCTCGGCAATCCAGAGGCGCTCTCGTGTCCGGTCGTGCGAGGGCCCCAGGAACTCGGTGAAGGTGCTGGCGACCAGCTTCTCCATGAGCTTGGCGTCCCAGCCGTACTCGGAGGCGTACAGCGCGCCGTGGCGGGTGATGATGTGGTCGATGTCCGAGGGCCCGTGGGCGGCGCGGATGCTGATGAGGCCGGCGTCGACGTCTGCCGCCATGGTTTTTTTTCTTCTTGCTTCTTCTTCCGCCGCTGTGGAAGTCGAGGGGGTAAGTGAAACAGTAACGAGGTGACCTTGAAATTATATAGAGGAGAAGAACAATGGCGGCGGCCCGAGACCACCATATAACTGCCGCGCCAAGCGAAGATGGGGCATAATCAGAGTTAAAGTGGCCAAGGAGGCTTATTCCTCAATTGCCGAAAGGCAATGGGGGCAGCACGCCTAGCCCTTCTGGATTGCAAGGATCGCCTGGTGAAGTGATGGTCACTTTGTCCCATTTTGCGGAGTACAGGTCCCCATTCTCGCACGGATGCGGCTTCTAGCTCACGATCGGGCCCGGCCCGATGTGCAGAAAACAGAAAAGCTTCGCCCCAAATCGGGCTTCCGTGGGGCCCTTCATCATTTGCTATTTCGCCGAGATCCCGGAGAAAGCTCCTTTTGATTCAGCTCCGCCTGTTGACCGCCATTAGCAGCGGGTGTCGTTCTTTGATCGCGAGACAAACTCGTTACCTCAGCGTTTCGGAGGAGGATTTATCTCGGATCACCGTGCAACGCCAACTTCTGCATAAAATTGAGCAAACCTCATGTTCTGAAAGTGATATTGGTGGGACACTCGAGTAGGGTTGTGATAGGCTTATTCGGGATAAGGACAAACGGTTAGTTGAGATAAGGGAAAGGAAAAAGGAGCGGGATGTCTCTAGCCTGTGAAACCTTACTCGTCGGGTACGGGCATGGCGCTTGGTATCGGAAACGGGGCTTTCCAGTCGTAGACTCAGTACTCAAGCCCTACGTGGCCAGTGTAACATTTGACTTTTTGCTTCGGACCTATTACCTGCCGCCGCTCATGTCGGGCCGTGCGGACTGTTGTCATTGGCATGTACCAGTGCTGAACTATTCTTAGCGCCCACTTTTTTCTGACATACATGTCAAATGACCGAACTGAAAGCTCACATGTGCGACTTCAAACTCCAACAGTAACAATGTTGTATGAAAGGACACAAGAAAACCCGATACAACCTCTCACATGTATAGTCATCAAGAAAGCAAATTTGTGCTCACTAAGGAGTCTCCATGTGCTGCCATGGATGGGGCTGAGACGCTCTACCAACAAGTATTCAGCAGGTGCTCGCCTGTGTAGCTTTGCACTCGTGTCATGAAAACAGAAATGAAAACAAGTCTGCTGAGACGAGACACAGTGAGTGCGACGGTTGATCATCGCACCTCGATAGCATTTATGTCGCAACAACACCCTCGGTACTCGGCCTCAGACTCCTTTCAGCTTCTAATTTGCTATTGAACCTCTCCCAGTATTGGCAAAGTCTTGTACAATTCCCTGTATCATCGCATGCCATGTCTTTCGGCTTCTCCGTTGGTGACTTCATTGGAGCCCTCACTCTTGCATATCAGATAACATCCTGTCTTGGAGAAGCACACGGTGCCGCATCAGAATACCAGTCAATTCAACAGACTTTGCAACTAACGTTGCAATGCGCTCAACACACCGACAACATCTCTGGACCGGGCTCAGAAGAAGTTAAGTGTGCGGCTCTCGCTTGCCATCAGACCGTCACACAATTTCTCGACTGTATCAAGAAGTACGATAAAAGCCTTGGAGAAGCCCACTTGTCTAGCCATCGACTTCGTGCTGCGGTACACAAGCTCTCTTTCAGATTTACCAAGAAAGAAGATGTGAAGAAGTTCAAGGAAGATATGTCTCTTCGGCTGCAATGCCTGCAACTTCAGATGGGAAAACATCAGAATAGCAAGTTGCTGCACCAGCATACCCAAAGTGCGGCAGACTTTACGCAAAGGCTAAAATTGACACATACCGACATCCAGGCCGTCGCGGTCGGCCTTGAAGCGCAAACGACGATCTGCAGAGAGAATCAAACCATATTACGTCAGCTCTGGAACATGGTGAATCAGAGCATCGTGCAGCCCATCACTGACATCGTAAAGATACTTTTCAGAATTTAGTAAGATATGAAGCCTTTTCCGAGTAGCTCATACAGTCTTCTCACTAGTCGGAATGACAGTATCACACAAAAGGCCACTGCGCAGGTGGTTACGCAGACCTACGTCAATGTCCAAGAAATGAGGGAGTCTATATCACAGATCGACACGCGGTTCACTTACTTTCAGGCACCCGCCAGGCTCGAAGACGCACTCGGTCGGGTTATCCCTGTGCCTTCGGAATACTCTTTCAGCATCCTCAAAGTCATCATCGAGCATGAGTTTCGAAAGGGACCGGGGAACTATTATGTCGAACATAATCTGTACCATGTATACAACACTCTTAGACCGGATGAGATCATATCCGATTCCGAGGATACGCAGTTAGTCCCGGGAATGCAGCTCACCATGGCTGTAATCGTCTCGGCATCAGAAAGTGTGGAAAGATTCTGCCCTGATTCATCTTGTAGTTCCAGGAATATCATCAGTCTCCGGGCCGGTGGTCGGGAATGGTACGTGTTTCCTCGCCGATTCCCATCTTCTCATACTACCTCGAAAGACGTCCTCGCCTCCTGCTTTCCTCCCTTCCTTACTCGTATCCCATACCTCGAACACTATGCTTCTTATGTAAACCCATCTTGGTGTCCTTGAAGTCATGCGAAATGCGCGAACCTTGATACTAACACACACATAAGTGCGAATTGCCACATCAAATTCGACGTCATCCGACCACAATACAAACTCACAATCCCAAGAGACGGAAACCAACCAGAAGTGCAGCATAGCCACGGCTTTTGCAGGTATCCTACAAAGCTCTTCGCAGATATCGCCAAGATAACCGCTCCTCAATGTACCGCAGCCGAGCGAAGTATCGAAAAACTACGAAATATTCGATTCCTCGAGTCGCCGCAGCATTTACGCGAGTTGTTAAGTGATTGTGCGATGGAGGTTTCGGCCGGCGGGGAGTATGTCTTTAGGAGATGAGATCTGAGTAGAATGTAAGTCCCCAAAAGATTGGATGAGAATACTGGTTCTGCATTCAATGTTGACAATGGACAAGACAGTTCTGCACTCTTGATACTTTCGTCGTGGGATTCTAGATACAGCAATCGACCAAAAATGCGACTGGCAAGCACGGGGAGGGAAACGGGCGTTGGAGTTCAGAGTCATTTCGATAGCATCGTGTTCTTGCATGTTTGGATAGATCTGAAATATAAACGCGAAGTTGATAACGGCCTTATTATCCAAGATTTTAATAACCAACTTGGCTTATTTTTCAACTTCAGCAAAGCCTTTTGCTTCAAGGTCCTTGGCATCAGCATCTGATCCCGGCGTGATGGACTCTGCCAAAATCTCCTTTCCCTCATCCAGCATCTTGTACGCGGACGGGTTTTTCTTTGCCTCACCAGGACCACTCGAGGTGAACTGGTAACCTCTCAATCTGCGCATCATCAGCAAAAGATTCCCAAGCTTTAGAATTTTGTAATACAGACCTCGGACCCTGGCCCGTCTTCTCGGGCAGCTGATCCACATAAACGCGCTCGAACGCCGCCCTATCCTCCTCAAACGTCCCCTTCTCAATACTCTTCCGGATACCATCAAAGAAGAGATCCATGACGTGGTGGTTGTGCACCTGGATGAGCACCCAGCCGAGCATTTCCTTGGCGGCCAGCAGATGCTGAAGATAAGCGCGGTGATGCCTCGTGCAGGCGTAGCACTCGCAGCCTGGCGTCAGAGGCGACAAGTCCGTCGCGTGGTGCGGCATCCAGAAGTCGATACCCAGCGGCTTGCGCTCCTCTCCAGCGGCTGGGGGCGCAGACTTCACAGGGAACTCAAAGTCCAGGACGATGCCGGCGTCGGTCGCTTGGCTGACGAAGGGCACGGTGAAGAGGTCCATGCCGAGCGATACGGCATGCAGCAGCTTCTGCGGCGTCGCGGGATTGTCGAGGGCCAAGCGCGGGAGGGCGGCCAGCGGTTCGGGGACGTCGGCGAGGGAAGCGGAGTCGTAGAGGGCGAGGCCGGAGAGGTGCTGCCGTATCTCGTCGTCGACCAGGTCGTCCAGGTACCACGACTGTACCTCCTTGCTGATGGGCAGGATGGGGGCGAAGATGTTGTAGATGCTGGCGCCCTTTTTTGTCTTGTCGAGACCGCTTTTGCCCGCAATGATGTCCTTCAGCCATTTGGATGTGCGGTCGCCCATCTTGTCCATCCGCTTCAGACTGGGTTTGGCGTGGCCGTGCATGATGTCACCTAAACCGATGACGATATCGGGCCTTAATTTCTGGGCGGCAGAGGTGTAGTAGTCTGAAGACAAGGGTTGGAAGCCCACGGCGGTGTGTATGGCGACGGTGGTGTTGGTGTTCGAGGGAGATGCCACAACAGGCAGCGTGCGACGCGCGCCGACGATGAGCAGAGCATCTTTCTGTAGAGAAGCGAAGGGGCGGAGGGGGGACTCGTCAGGCTGGCACGGTATGCTGAAGACGGGCGGGGTCTGCTGGGATGCTTTCTCTATGACTTCTGGGCTCCGGCGCGAGCAGTCGCGTCAGCCATTGATGCCGTGATTGGGCTTGGTAATCTCACAGTCCTCAAGCGCGATGTAGAATGAGCTGATGTTGGTATTCTTCTTCAACACATCTTGGGCGAGGTGGGGGACTACGCCTCTCGATGTGATGGCGACATGGTGGGGTGTGTTGAGTGTCGCGCGACCCGGTACAGAGAGTCTGCCTAGCCTGGGAGCGAGTGCGGCGGCAGGCTTGAGGATGTCGAAGGTCAGCATCTCATCTGGTAGCTGGTGCGGTTTCGTATCTGCCATGGTAAGGTCCTGTAGGGCTGGAGCGTGGAGAAGTCGCGGGCTGATGCCTATCGTGAGCCGGGGAACTTTCGTGGAGCAAGAGTCAGAAAGTTATCGATAATCCGCAGCATGACTCAACCACATTTCCTCCTAAAGTAAACGATCTACTCTGAGGCTCTGCACTACATAATTGTACGTACCATCGAAGAGCCTCAATTTTTAATGATATAAAACAATCAATCATACGGCATGTCTATACGTCCATGTCTTGCTGGCGAGATCCTTTGAACCGTACATGAATATTGTTTATCCACTGGTTCATTATTCTCAATGATGCCCCAACATTGGAGTCATTAAGCGCTTTAAGAAGCTCACTTTCACTTCACATATTTTGGCGCAAGAGATTCCGTGCGGGGTGTCTTATTGTTGTTATAAATACTTTGACGTCACCTCTCAGTGCCTGACTAGTCCGAACTACACCGCTAAATTTGGAGACCTACGCACTGTCAACCGGCTGGTAAGCGGTATGACTTCATCTGATACCTGGCGACTGTAAAGCCAGGACTGGTCGAGTGCGTGTTTCGTTTTGGGGACGGCATGATCTGATAAAAGGAGTGCTGAGAGGTAAACGAGTAAGGATCAGCCACCCTGTTTCAGAGCTCTATCGTGTGTCATGCCGCTCTTCCGCTCTTCCACGCCTAGAATTGCGTCTTCCTCTGCTTGGCACTCGTATATAATATTATCGTCTTTAGTGCAGCCACTTGAGTTTGCAAAAACTCGTCGTCCTTGCAAGTGTATCTTTGAGAGGAGGTGTTGAAGTTTGGTCGGCCGCATCGCTTGCTTAGCGAAACGGCTGCGTGCGTATCTTACCGCTTCCGGCAATTAAGGAGCCGCAAAACTATAACAACGGCAGTCGAAAGGATAACTATAGAAACAACAAAGTCGGCAGCCCGAGGGGCTTTCGCAATCTCCCGAGTTCGGGACCGGCGGCGAACGAAGATTTTGTTGTCAAAACAAAGCTCCTCCGCCAATTGCCGGCAACGCGGCAGAGACTAGCACACTTCGTTGCAGCCAACCACAGACCTGTCTGATATTGAACTGCGCGGTGAAGGCCGGAGACAACATCGGTAATCTCACTATACAGACATTCAAGGCGACGCAAGCATCCGGGATCGGCCTTGCACCCGTGCTGGCGATCAGCCCCCAGACACCCCTTGAAACGCAGCCGGCTCGGCACATTTTCCACGAACCGTACGCGTCTCCGACCTCCAAACATCTGTGGATGGCCGCTTGCCCTCAAGTAGATGACACGCCCCCCGGCCCGGTCACAGCGCAGCCGTTCTGGAGCTGAGCCGGTGGGCCGCCTCCGCCCGAGATGATCAGGAAACGGCGGTTGCTGAGGCCCGGCGGCTGCACCCTGCGAACGCCCCTCATGAGTCGCAGGTTTCTGTTTCTGCAGCCCCCGGATGGCGCGTCCACGTCCAGATCACGCCTCCGGGGGGCTTGGCTCTGTTTGATGTTTCCCCATGATGGGTACATAGGAGACGGTAAGCCCGCGTGTTTCTTGTTTCTCCTTGGCTCAGCTTCTTGTGTTTCTCGCTCTTTTCCTCTTTAGTCATTCTTTTCTAGAGGCAGCAGAGCCGCGCTCAACATGCCTTCGTTCAAGTCTACCCTCGTTTCTGCTCTCGCTCTCGTTCCCGCACTGGTTGCGGGTGAGCTCTCCGGCTCCGTCGGCCCCCTCACTTCTGTCTCGGACAAGAAGGCCACCAAGACGTGCGATGTCACCGACTACGGTGCCAAGGCCGACAAGACTACCGACCTGGGCGCTGCTCTGGCCTCTGCCCACGCTGACTGCAAGTCCGGTGGTCTCATCGTCATCCCCGAGGGCGACTATGCCATCTCGACGTGGGTGAAGCTGGCCGGTGGTTCGGCATGGGCGCTCCAGATTGACGGCACCATCTACCGTACCGGCACCGATGGCGGCAACATGGTCTTCATCGAGCACACCAGCGACGTCGAGGTCTTCTCCAGCACCGGCAAGGGTGCCTTCCAGGGCAACGGCTACGAGTTCCACAAGGATGGCTCCATCTCCGGCCCGCGTATCCTGCGCTTCTATGACACCACTGACTTCTCGGTGCACGATCTCGCCCTGGTTGACTCGCCCTCCTTCCACTTCTCCATTGACACGTGCAAGAACGGCGAGATCTACAACCTCGCCATCCGTGGCGGTGATCACGGTGGTCTGGACGGCATTGACGTGTGGAGCGACAACATGTGGATCCACGATGTCATGGTCACCAACAAGGACGAGTGCGTGACGGTCAAGTCGCCCGCGCACAACGTGCTGGTCGAGAACATCTACTGCAACTGGTCGGGCGGCTGCGCCTTCGGCTCGCTGGCCGAGGACACTGACATCTCGGACATCACCTACCGCAACGTCTACACGGTCAACTCCAACCAGATGATGATGATCAAGTCGTACGGCGGCAGCGGCACCGTGTCCAACGTCGTCTTCGACAACTTCATCGGCCGCGGCAACGCCTACTCGCTCGACATCGACCAGTACTGGGCCTCCATGTCCGAGGCGTCGGGCGACGGCGTGCAGCTCAACAACCTCACCTTCAGCAACTGGAAGGGCACCTGCGCCAACGGCGCCCAGCGCGGCCCCATCAAGGTCGCCTGCGCCGACGGCGCCCCCTGCACCGACATCACCATCACCGACTTCGCCATGTGGACCGAGTCGGGCGACAGCATCTTCTACAGCTGCCGCTCCGGCTACGGCGACGGCGCCTGCCTCAAGTCGTCCGGCAGCGCCGCCTACGACGCCGTCACCACCACCATCAACTCGGCCCCCTCCGGCTACACCGCCGCCAGCATGCCCGACGACATCGAGGACTCGCTCGGCTTCACCGTCGCCATCGACATCCCCTCGCTGCCCGCCTCCTACTTCCCCAACGTCGCCCCCATCTCCCCGCTCAACGCTGCTGCCACTGCTGAGGCCGTTGCCGTCCAGGCCAAGGTCAGCACTTCTGCTGCTGCTTCTACCCCTGCCGCCACTACTCCTGCCGCCTCCACCCTCGTCACCTCCACCAAGGCCGTTGCTTCCGCTGCGCCTGCTACCTCTGCTACCTCTGCTCCCGCTGCTACTTCCTCGGCTGCCTCCGGCGGCAACGGTGGCTGGGGCAACTGGGGCGGCTTCGGCAACTGGGGTTCCTGGGGCAAGAACTAAACGTGTCTGATGAGGGGATGATGGATGAGAAAATATCAAAAAAGAGAGAACGGGCTCGAAAAAACAACGCACCGTTCCGGAAAGCATGTTTCTTGTAACATATTAGTTTCTTCCTATATATTTTCCCGCCGTCGACGTTCCACCTAGCGAACGCCCGACGGCTGTGTATAGTTTACCAATTTTTTACCTCGTTAAACTAGCATCGTTGCGAACACTTCGCGATGAGAGACTCAAATCTCAGTGATCCTTGTCCCCACGACACATGAGATGACTTCTGTAAAACACCCTTGCACAGACGTTTTCTCTTTCCTTGCTTAGGCCCTCTTTCTGCCTCAAACGTCCGTCCCTTTGCGCCCACTTCGGGCTTCGGAAGCTCGGATCGACAACACCTACCGGGTCCGGCCGACCACACCTCCGTCTCCCTGTTGTGCTCCACTGTTTGTGAGGCCTCCCATCCCCATCAAAAGGGCGTCAGGCATGAATAACAGTGCGTGCATGGGGCTTTATTGAAACAACGGGCAAACATCGTCACCCATGCAGGAAAGAGGGGGGGAGACGTCTACCCGAAGGGGCTGTCTCCAAACATTTGCAGTCAGAAGGCAAGCCAGCATCCCTCCACCACAAAAGGGGAAGCAAGATGAAGATAGACGCTCAGCCCTTAAGTACGCAGGCTGGTAACGCTGGGAAGTGAGGTACACCAGACGCGAGGAAGACACGCATCGTTCAAGAAAACAAAAATCAAATTGCCGCCCTTGCCTGCTTTCGTCATCCCTCTGGGAAAGCATAGAGGGTATAAGTATGAAAATATTACATCAGCCAGAAATATAGCCGCTCAAGGTATGTCCCGTTAGTTAAGAGTTTTCGTTCGGAAAAAACGCGCGTGCGTTACATCCGTTGTTCATCATGTTCAAATGAATTGCCCGTCCATCCCATGTTGCTAATACCCCACCAACGCCGTCATCCCGCTCTATTCGATAATTCCAAGAAAGATTTACCTGCTCTTCAGTCCATGCCGACGAACTTGAACCAGTTCGGTCGGCAGTCTTCCTTGTTGAGCCAAGCCTCGCCGTCAGTAAACCTGCCGGCGACACAGCCCTTGCATTTGGGAGACGTGGGACAGTTGAAGAAGGGGATGTGTTGGTAGCCGATATCGCGGAACCTGAAAAGTGTGACGTCAGTATGTGAAAGTGGTGTACTGCAAGGACAACGTACCAGTGAATCTTGCTCTTGTCCTCGAACATGCCCAGAGCTATCGAATGCACCGGCGCATCGCCCCAGCGCTCGTAGAAGAAGCCACCGGAACGGTCCAAGTGCTGGAAATACTCCTCGTACGGACGGCTGCGCCAGAAGTCCATGTCGCCGACCTCGAAGTTGCTCCAGAAGTGGCAAGTGCTGTAACCATTGGCGAGGAGGTTGTGCTGCTCGCGACGCTTGCTGTCCGTGAGCCAATCCATAGCATTGTTCTTGTGCAGGTGGCGGGAATTGTCGTCGGATGCCAGGAACTTGAGAGTCTCGGGCCAGAGAGTCGTCACGCTCTGGGGACTGTCGTACAGGTTGATGGTGAAGCCGTACGTCTTGTTGTGGTCCTCCATCCAGCGGAATACGTCATAGTCGACGTCGCAAAAAAAGTGGACGTTCGGCTCGACGCGCCAGTACCAGCGGTAATTTTGGAGAGCAGGGTGCTTGTAGAACATGCCGCTGTTCCAGCGGCACATCTGGTGGTACGAGATCTTGTCGGCGTATTGGACGTCTTGCTCCTTCAGCAGCTCGACGGACTCGTGGAACAGATCCATGTTAATCCACGATGGCACCTCCCAGTGCTCCTTGGGGACAAGTTCTGCGACCGCTGATCAGCACGCCATAATCACCATGGCCCCTGTTGTAACGCACCGTAGCGGACCTCGGCCTTGGTGGCGGCGCGCGTCTTTCTCTTGAACTCGTCGGTGAATGGCTCGTCGTTGAAGAAGGTCCAGGGATAGTTGAACTTGTTGTTCCATGTCCGCTCCAGGTCCCTCATGGACATGAGCATCTGGTCCAGCTCCTTGTTGCGCACGAGGGCGATGATGGTGGCATTGATGCGGTCGGAGTTCGGGTTGTCGGGCGCATAGTTGTTGCCCTCGACTCGGCGCAGCGGTTCGGCGGGTTCTCCTGAAGCTGCAATGCGGTCAGCGGCGGCGGGCGCTCGAGGTAGGCGTGGAGGCGAGCTTACGATCACTCTGCGGATCCTTGACCCAATCATCTATCTTGTTGGAGGGCCCTGACAGCGACGTGGGGCCCTGGAATACTTGGAATAGGACGAAGATGAAGAGCACGAGGGAGACGGCGGCCAGGGCACGCATGCCCCGTGGAAGCGCCATGGTGAAGGATGATGATGAGGAATGGGCCTAGCGAAGGAGAGAGATTGCCAGTTCTCCTACTTGCGGCGACTGCGTCCTACGTATGCGCGCCCTGCCGGGTTGCAATCTGCCGCACTTTTGCCGGCGCTGTTGTTCCCGCGCCGACGCGTCTCCCGCCCGTGCGCCTTACCCAACGACAATACCAAGATGTAATAGCCATGGCCCATTCTGCCAGCCTGAACAGCGTCGCCACCGAGCTTATCTACAAGATCGTGGGTCCCACCGCCTCGGTTCGTCCTGTCCATACCAGCCCGTTCCGCCGCGCAGCTGACCCGCGTGCAGGACAACCCGCGCAGATTCAGACGAACCAGAGATGCCGTCCTGAGGGGCCTCCGCGCCCAGCAGTGGGCGCGCGTTAATCAGTTTGACGTGCAGACTAGCTACGAGGGTCTTATCGAGAAATTTATTGTCCTGGACCGCGAGGACCTGGCCGAGGCCCTGGAAAACCGCCTCAGGGAGTTGCTCCGGCTCCAGACCAAATGGACCCCGGATATCCTTGCCCTGTTCCTGGCCCTGTCGGACCGCCCTGTGGAAAACTCCAGCCTGGATGATCTCGAAAAGATCAAACCACCGCCGCCTGCGCCTGAGCTCACATGGGCTGATATCGTTGCCGAAGATCCGCTGGACGAGGAGGGCATTTGGGACGATATTGACTATGCCGCCGAATCCTCCGAAGATGAGCCTGCGCCAAGGCAGAGAAAGCGTGCCGTGACTAGGGCTACCACTCCAGATTCATCCGTTGTCGACGAAGACGACTTTACCGCTGCTGCTGAAGCATGCATTGTTACCCCTGACCCGTCTGCCCTGCAAGCGATTCAGGAGGCTCAATTCTGGAGACAAGCGCACAAACGCGACTCCATGATGACTAAGCAGGAAACCCACATCACCGAACTCCAAGCCGTGCGCGAGATTTTGTTCATGTTGCGCGGACTGCCCACTTCTCTTTTTGCTCTAAACAAAGATCTGAGGAGGATGGAGCTCTCAAAAACTTATGTCTTAAGTCATACAATGGCACCTACCTGGCACCATCAACTAAATGAGTTCACGAGTATTGGTACCACACTTCTGCAGCTTCGTTTTTGGCTGAAGTTCGAGCAAACTATCGCCCTTCTGCAGACGTTTCGGGCCGCTATAGTGGAAGAGCTTCGGTCCTTTGACACATTCATCGCACAAATGCAGGATTGTTGCCTCGGGTTGAATCAGCCGGTCACAGTCAGTCTCATCGATGTGATGACTAGGATTCGGCTACGAGCAAGCCCCCTTCTGCGCATCAGGAAGCTCATTTCAGAAGCTTCACAAAATTCCCAACGGAGCCCTTTCCTTCTGCTAGAAGGCCTTTACGATGAAATCAACATGGTGCAGATGGCTGGAGATGCCGAGCTGTTTTCTGTCCTTACTCGCATCTTCTTCCAGTGCTTGCAGACTTATCTAAAGCCCATCAGACGTTGGATGGAAGAGGGCGAGCTTGCCATAAACGACCAGATCTTTTTCGTCGGTACCGTGGATAAAAGTAGTGAGGCCGCTTCACTGTGGCACGACCAGTTCATTCTCAGGCGGGACGCCTCGGGCAAATTACACGCCCCCAGCTTCTTACAGCCGGCGGCAAAGAGAATTTTCAACTCTGGCAAGAGTGTGGTTTTCTTGAAAGAGCTCGGCCATCACCTTTCCAATTCGTCCGAAGTAACAGAACCGCGGTTAGATTTTGATACCGTGTGTGCTGCGAGTATTCTCGACTCTTCACCGATTCCCCTAGCCCCCTTCTCGGAACTGTTCGGACTCGCCTTCGAGGACTGGATTCGCAGCAAGTATACCTTTGCATCTACTATCTTACGGGAAAGACTCTTCTCCGGTTACGGTCTTTGGGAATCATTAGATGCATTAGACTTTGTTTACCTATCGAAAGACGGCTCACTGATGCAGGCGTTCGCTGATACCGTCTTCGAAAAGCTGGATCGCGGACGCCGCGGCTGGAACGACCGCTACGTCATGAGCGAAATCGCACGAAGCATCTACGGAACAGTACCGAGCGTCCAGGCTGACAAGCTGGCGATCCGCACCGTCGCCCTCAAAGAGAAGGGCATCAGTCCACGCAGCGTCAAAGCCCTCGCCGCCATCGCGGTCGACTACTTCCTCCCCTGGCACATCGTCAACGTCATCCAGCGCGGCTCCACCAGCACCTACCAACGCGTCTTCGTGTTCCTCCTGCAGGTCTACCGCGCCCGCTACGTCCTGCGCACCTCTAGCCTCTGGCGCAGCACCGCCGCTCTCCACCACCGCCAAGCAAACTCGCGATCCACTTCTTCTTCTACTCGGACCAAGCACCTACAATACTACCTCCGCCACCGCCTCCTCTGGCTCACCGACATCCTCCACTCCTACCTCACCGAAACCGTCATCTCCGCCTCGACCGCCGACCTTCGCACCGCCCTGGCCGTCGCCGCCGACATCGACGTCATGGCCGCCGTGCACGCCGACCACGTCCGCGCCCTTGAGGAGCGCTGTCTCCTGTCTCAGCGCCTGGCCCCCATCCACGGCGCCCTCGTCGAGCTGCTCGACCTGTGCGTGCAGTTCGCCGACTTGACGATGAGCGAGGAAGAAGGAAAAACGGGAGAGGCGGCTGATTTTGGACGATCGATGGTGGGATCGGCGGCAGCGGATGCGGGCAGCAGGCGGAAGAGCGCGGGGAGGAAGAGGCCGGAGAATAAGGGGAGGAGGGTGAGCGGGTTGCAGGTCGCGCTGGCAGAGGTGTCGGACGAATCGTCGTCTGAAGACGAGACGGAGGAGGGCGCCGCCGCGTTGGGTGAAGGGGATGGCGTGAGGAAAAGGGAGAAGAGGTCTTCGGGGAGGGAGAGAGGTTCGATGCAGGAAAAGTTGGGTCGGATGAAGGAGGCTTTCGAGAACCATTTTGGCTTCGTCACTGCGGGGTTGAGGGGCGTGGGCCGGGCTGGCGGAGAAAGATGTTGGGAGATACTGGCGGAGAGGTTAGAATGGGAAGCCGCCCAAGGGAGGGGTGGCGGCAGCGGTAGGTGAATTGTAAAACCAGCAGCCGTGTAGAAGATAGTTATTATATACCCGCGAATTGAATCTATTGGCATAGCGTGGTCTCTCGGGTTATACATGATCTTAGAAAGGCTTATTTATTGAAAGAGGAATCCCCGCAAACAGTCGTGTTCATCTAATGTCTATTATCCAACCATTGTCCCCAGCAGGGTAAAGGCAGACTTCAAGTAAAATTACTCCTCAGCGTCCTTCTCCCCCTTCTGCTTCTTCTGAGTAGTATCCTTCTTCGCTGTCGGACCGCCATTCTCCCATTTCTTCCTCGCCTTCTCCTCATCTTCCTTTGTCCACTCCCGCGGCAGCACTGCGAAACACAAATAGCTCGTATGCGTCTTAACCTCAGGCTCCGTGCGATGCACTAGCCTACCCTCCTTGAAGACCTTCCGTCTCTTTTCCTCCTCCCTAATACGCTGCAACCGTTGCTCCTTGCTCTCCTTGCCCCAGCCCTTTCCGAGGTCTGAGTCCCCGCCCTGCTCACTGCTCTCTGCCGTCGCTGCATTGCCGTGCATGGTTTCGTGGAAGTTCTTGATGCGGCCTTCGACTTCACGAAGGCGACCGAGAGCTTCGTCGACAGTAGCAGGCGTGGCGTTGACGCCACGGAGGCCCTCTTCGTGCAGGCCGATGCGGTCGCGGCGCACTTCAATGCGGCGATGCAGAACCTCGACCATCTCGATGGCGGTCCAACCCAGCCGTCTCATCTCGGACGTAGTGCGCTGGACCTGCTCGATGCAAGGGGAGAAGGTGCAGATCCGGACAGTCTTCTTGGGATTGAGCGGCGAGCGGAAATCTGCGGGTGCTTCAGACGTGGGTTCCGGGGTGTCTGGGCTGGTGCTCGTGGAGGTTGCAGCGGCAACGCGGCTGCGCGCGAGGTGTTTGAGGGCCATCCATGGTGCGGGGAGGTCTAGGAAGATGGCGTCGGCCTGCGGTACGGTGCCGTCTTCGGTGGTGCTAAAACCATCCTTGTAGACGTCGGCATGCGTGACGGTGACTAGCTGGTCCATGCCGTGCTCTTTCAACTCCTCCTTTAGCTTGATAGCGCGGGGCTCGTGATACTCAAAGCTGTAAACATGGCCGAACTTCTTGCGCTTTTTCTTCCCATTTTCAGTGCCATTTACTTGTGCCGTCTCTTCCGCCTCGGCGAGAGGATAGCCGTTGAATGTCGCGCGGACTGAGGCGTGCGTAAAGGAGCCGCTACCAGCTCCCGCTTCGATCAGGGTATCTCCTGGCCTAACGCGTAACCTCTGAAGGACATAGCTGTAGTCCGGTGTGTAGACAACCTGTGTCCGGTGCGGCAAGGAAATGGTCCATGTCTCAGGCGTAGGAGGGATAAGATGCGTAAAGCCGGTGGATGCGAAACCTACTTCTCTCCTATTCCGAGGTCAGAGGCACTCCCCTGCAAAGTAAATGGTAATAAACTCACGCAGCGCTGTCGTCATCCTCGCCCGGAGTGTCCTCATCGCGCTTGCGCTTCTTGTTACTTTTCTTCCCCCTCCGGCCGGTGTCCACATTGGCGGCGCGCACTTGCATTCCCCATGGCACGTTCACCAAGGTGCTGTGTGGGAATGAGCCGAAGCGGGTGTTGACGACGCAGCCTTCAGCATATTCGGATTCGGCGTCTGGCGAGGCATTGATAACGACGGGAGTGAGGTGCTCGCGGCTGAGATGGACCAGGGCCAGCTGGCCATCCTGGGTCTTAGCGCCGGGATCGAGGAAGGGCGAAGGGCGAAAGGAGGGCATGGTGGGCCTCTGCAGGTGTGTGCGAGTGACGTTTGGCGGAGGCGGCGCTCGAAAAAAGTCGCGGACGCGGCTGCCCCGCGGCCGATCGGCGCCAGGGTCCCGTCTGGGCTTTCAGCAGCTTCACGAAGAGACGTGCTCCACTGACTCACTCCCGGGTTACGAGCAACTATGAAATAGATGCCACCGTTGCTACTCCGCCGCCCGCACCCAAGAATCCTCATTCCAGCGCTCCGCATCCGCTCGTTTTCGTCCGCCCGGCCCATCGTTCGCACCATGGCCGCCCGCACCCAGCCTCCGTGGCAGCCGCCGCAAGCCCGCTCTGATCTCCCGCCGCTCCACGTCTACAACTCCCTGACCCGCTCCAAGGTCCCCTTCGTGCCCATTGACGGCAACAAGGTCTCCTGGTACGCCTGCGGTCCCACCGTCTACGACGACGCCCACCTGGGTCATGCCCGCAACTATGTCTCGACCGACATCATCCGCCGCATCATGCGCGATTACTTCAAATTCGACGTGCGCTTCGTTATGAACATTACCGATGTCGACGACAAGATCATCCTACGCGGAAGACAGCAGTTCTTGCTCGCCAAATTTGTTGAAAATCACCCGGAGCTGGATGAAGAGACACTGGCTACGGCAAAGAAGGCGTTCGACGCCTACCTGAAGAAGAACCTTTCCCTGCTTCCTGCCGACTTGAAGCCTGAGCAATATGGCGAAGAGTCGAAGAAGGCATACGGTCATGTTTTGGCGGGCAAGGCGGTCGAAGGTGACGGCCCACCCGGTGACAAAGAGGCGAAGGTGAAGATGCACTTGAAGACGGCGTCGGCCGCTGCGGAAGCCTTGATTCTGGCGGATGCGAAGAAGATTAGCGTGACGGATTTCTACACCAAAACCGAGGATGCTCTGCTCCCCTACCTCGACACCCTGTACGGCTCCACAATAGACGCGAACGACCACAGCATTTTTACCAGATTAACCAAGAAATTCGAGGACCGCTTCATGGAGGATGTGCGCGCGTTGAACTGCTTGGATCCCGATGTGGTGACTCGTGTCACCGAATATAGCCAACAGATTGTCGACTTTGTGGACAAGGTTGTCAAGAACGGCTTCGGCTATGCCACGAGCGACGGGTCTGTATACTTTGATATTCAGGCCTTTGAGAAGGACGGCAACCCTTACGCGCGCCTAGAGCCGTGGAACAGGAATGACAAGGACCTGCAGGCCGACGGAGAGGGTGCCCTGACTAAGAAGAGCACGGAGAAGCGCTCTGATGCCGATTTCGCCCTGTGGAAGTCATCAAAGCCCGGTGAGCCGGCATGGCCGAGTCCCTGGGGCCAGGGAAGGCCAGGTTGGCATATTGAGTGCTCTGCCATGGCTTCTGATGTCCTAGGCCAGAAGATGGACATCCACTCCGGAGGTATTGACCTTGCTTTCCCTCACCATGACAACGAGTTGGCCCAGAGTGAAGCCTTCTGGGCCGAGTGCAAGCACGACCACCAGAGCCACCAGTGGGTCAACTATTTCCTGCACATGGGACACCTGTCCATTGCTGGCTCAAAGATGTCTAAATCCCTCAAAAACTTCACCACCATCAGGGAAGCACTCAGTCGTGGTGACTGGACTCCTCGTGGCCTGCGCATCGTTTTCCTGTTGGGTGGTTGGAAGGAGCCTGTCGAGATCACCGAGGGTCTCGTCAAGGAGGGCGCTGCTTGGGAAGACAAGGTGGACAACTTCTTCTTCAAGGTCAAGGATCTCGAGAGGCACCCTTCGCCCAAGAACGCGGCGTCGGCAGAAGAAGACTCTGCTCTCCAAACCGCCTTCAGTGCTGCGCAAACAGATCTCGATAAGGCACTTTGCGATTCTTTTGATACCCCAGCTGCCATGCAGGTCGTTTCCCGTCTGATCACGGATTACAACTCGGCTGCTACGAAGGCCTCGCTATCAGACGAGACCGTCCTGACGATTGGCCGTTGGGTCACCAAGGTTGTGACCATCTTGGGCCTCGACGGTAAGGCCGACCTCAGCGATGCCAACCGCATCGGCTGGTCCGGCATCGATATTCCGGCGCCCGCTCAGCCCTTCGTGTACCCCGTCTCAGCGCTCCGCGATGCCGTCCGTGACGCCGCCAAGTCCGGCTCGATGGACACCAACGCCATCAAGGAGCTCGCATCTAAGGATGCAGCCGCCACGGAACAGCCCGCCGACGCCCTGCCGTACGCCGAGGTCTACACGCAGTTCCAAGAGGACGTCAAGACGCTGGCGGACAAGCAGGCGCCCGCCAAAGACTTCCTGGCCCTGTGCGACAAGCTCCGCGACGTGAACCTCTGGGACCTGGGCATCTACCTCGAGGACCGCGACGCGCAGCAGCTGCCCGCCCTCGTGCGCCCGCTCTCGGCCGACCTTATCGCGGCGCGCCAGCAGAAGGAGGCGCAGGCTGCCGCGAAGCAGGCTGCCAAGGAGAAGCGCGAGAAGGAGGAGGCGGAGCGCAAGGCCGCCCTCGCCGAGAAGGCCAAGCTGAGCCACCTCGAGATGTTCCGCACCGCTGAGTACACCGCGTGGGATGACGAGGGCCTGCCGATTAAGGATGCGAAGGGCGAGGAGCTGCCGAAGAGTAGGACGAAGAAGCTCAAGAAGGAGTGGGAGAGGCAGAAGAAGTTGCATGAGGAGTGGTTGGCGGAGCAGAAGAAATAGAGGGAAAGATGGTGTTGGAGTGGGTGGGGCGTTAGAGATGTGAGTAGGTGCAAGTGTAGTGCCCCGTCTCGTACTAGTTAAGGTGCATGGCCTCGCCTTGTGGCTGCCCATGAGCGTTTGTTTGGCAAAAGTAGTTCAGAATCGAAAATAGCTTTGCTTGTGCAATCTAAAGTCTTCCTCGCATGCGACGTCGTCTTGAGGGCTGTCTTCTGATCAGGTACTTGATGCGGGTATCCCATCAATGAAGGCACCGTGGTGATTCTATCAAGATGTGGCGCGGTAGCATTGTCTACAACCCCTTACACGCTAGGCCCAGCAGTAATCCAGGTACTCGTCTCACCGAATATTCGCTTGATTTACTGACTGTTTGGGGCATCGTGGAATATGTGGATGGACAAGGTTCTGATTCCGTGATGCGCCCTGTGCGTATTCTTTTCCTGTGTCAGGATTGCCTCCGAATTTCCACCATGACGGTCATGAATCATGCGCTATTGACCAAAAGAGGCAGCTGTCACCTCAATCACCGTTGTATTACATACGAGCTCTGGTTTGGGCTTTGTGAATGTAGGCTGGGTTGCACAAGTGAAAGTTTTTAATAATTTACTCGCTATTGACAGAGACGCTCTCGTAGGGGAAGGGAAAATTAAGGAGAGATTGTGTGTCTGGCATGCCAATGTGTAAAACGACAGTGCGGTAGAGACAGTGCTAAGCTAGGAATCATGGAAACATGGGAGTGTAGGAAGAGTATGGATAGTATGAACACAGGAAAATACAAGACTTTATCAAGCGTATAGTCTTATCAAAAGTCATCCCTGATATCAAATTAAGATCATTGGAAAACGTCTTTCAGCGGCGCATCCGGTTCGCAGATAGTACCGGGCTCTGGCAAGGTTCCGTCCGCGAAGTATGCCTGGACGGCCTTCTTCTGACAACGTGATGGCTGTTTAAGCGAGCCATGCTGTAAAAGGTAAATTATACGTATTAGCGCTCGATGTAACCCCATGAGCAGGCGGGAAGACACATACCCCGTGGCTGTTGTAATGAAGCAGCACACTTCCCTCAAAAGTCTCGCTCGCATTGCGCGCCGAAACGAGCGGCGTCACAGGGTCGAAGGTGTTGCCAATGACCAACATCGGGTGCCTCGTCCGGACGTTATAGTCGCCCAGATAGCGCTCCTTAGCCTCCATCCGCCATTGCGGGCACGTCAGAGCAAAGAACGCCCACGTATCGCCAACCGCCCTGCTCGTCGGGTATAACCTGTCCTCTATGGTTGGGCGCATTTCTTCCAGGCTGCTAGCGCGTATCGTCTTGTCGGCGCACCAGATTGCATCACGTGCGTCGAGGTTGAGGGCCTCAGGCGTGGAGTCGTCGGCCGACATGCCGTCGAGGACGTTGGGGTTGCGCGTCAAAATACCGTCCAGCAGTGCCGCGAGATCGGGGAATTTGGCCGGGTCGTACAGGTAGTTGAAGATGAAAGAACGTGTCTTGTCGTAGGTGATGAGCCGACCGTTCCACGTGGCGAAAGGATTGTATTTGAGGTCATCCTCGATAAATGCATAGAGCTTAGCCTCAAGATCCGAAGCGCTAATGTTGTTGCGAGCAAGTGGACACTTGTCTGGACCAGCTTCGACGCAGCTGGCGAGGAAGCTGGAGAAGCTCTCATCGACGGCGGCGAACATGTCGATTTCACTGAGAGAGTGATTAGATGATACGGGAAGCAAGAAATGAGTAAGACATACGAGTCGTGCCAGTACTGGTGGATATTTGTGACGCCGTCAATTATCACGCGGTCCATTCTGTCGGGAAACATGGCTGCGGCGGTGGCTCCTAGTACGGTACCGTACGAGATGCCTGCCAGATTTCGCCGTCAGCGCAATCCATGCTCGGGTGAGAGGTTCTCTTTCTTACCCCAATATCTTAGCATTCCGTCTTCGCCAAGCGCGTCCACGATGCGCATCAGATCCCTGGCCACAAATGCAGTACCGAGCAGTTCTCCGATATCCCCTCCCCTATCTTTGCAGATGCCAGCCCGGACACCCATATTGGCCCAAAGCTCACCTAATGTCGTATCGGAAGCATTTCCAGATTCCCGCGGGTATCGTAGATCAACCGATTCGATTTCCGCGGCCGTTTTGTAACACAAGAATTGCATTGTTTTGCCAACTCCTCTGGGTGGACTGTCAGCACTGACCGGCTGATATTAACTTAAACCACTTACCTTGGATCGAAGGAGATGAGATCATGAGATCCTCCAGTGTATCTATAAAATTTAGGTAAATGAATAGAGATTGTCTTCGGGGGCAGCTTCTTACTCGAGAAGCAGTTCGGCTCGCTTAATTAGACCAGATTGTCCCCCACCGCCGGGGCCGCCGGGGTTGAACAGAATGCTCCCCTTAGAGGGCTGATTCGTGGCTCGGACCCTCAAGAGCTCGATATCAAGTGTGGCGGTCGAGTTTGGAGTCGAGTAGTCCAGGGGCACGGTAACGTTGCCACAGTCGACGGGAATGGACGCGTTCAACGTACAAGGACCCCATTGGATTTCTTGTCCTTCAGTTCCATTGTTTGGCAAAGCGTGTGCGCCGATGTAAGCTAGGGCGGTGTAGAAGAGTGCGGTGCGAGCAAGCATGGTCGATGTTGAGATGATGTAGTAATGTTACGTTCATTGAGGTCTGTCTCTTATATACATTCCGACTAGGCGTAGGATTCTGACAACATGTCGGCTTGATATTCGACCGCAGTGCTTCGCCGCAAGCCAAGATGCAGTGGTATGCCTCCAAGGCAGACTGGAGATTGGATCAGCCTAGCATTATTCGAATGCGGCTCCGAGAATCTTGAACGCAGTGCTAGGAGATGGTCAATCAGTTCAAAATCCCTCCAATAGATTGATCTGTTCATCTAGCCTCACGTCATCAAGCCTGGCATAGCCGCTTCAGCGCGCCCCCACAGCAAGTCGATCTTGGCCATTTGGGGATTTCCAGGATCAAGTCAAAGGAACAGGGCAGTTGACGAGTCGGGTGTGTAAGAGGCGGCCAGGCAAGTGATTCCATTAGGTGACTAAGCGCGCACAGATCATGATCGTCACCTACTTGCCTTAAACACATTTCCTACCATGATTGGTCGCTTCCCGTTCTTCTCTCGTGCTTGCTCCATCTATCACTTTCTATTTATTGGTAAATATTATGAGATTGGATCGGTAACACACGTCTATACAAAATAAATAGAAGAAGAAATGATACCGTGGTGGAAGAAAAGAGAAATACCAGGATTTAATCTTGAAGGAAAAGAGAAATAATTGGATCAGAAGAAGAATAAAAAATTTCTAAAGAGGATAAGTGCAGGGCGTGTGTCAGATGCTAATTTCCTATTACTGTGGAAGGTGCGCTGTTCGATAAAGTGGGGCGGAAACCCAGAAGAAAGGTACGGCGGGGAGGTTGGAGGGATTCGCATCCACCACCGTATTCCAGCGTATCTGCAAGACAGCAAAAATATAGAAAATGCTCACCGACGAAGGGCCCAAGCCCATGGAACCCGCCACCCCACCGCCGCCCGAACCCTGGCCCGCCGCTTTTCAACGGCTTTGCCTCCCCCTGCTCATGCATCACCCTCTCTTTACCTCCAACAGTGGGCTTGGGGCGGAGCCGACCGCGCGCGCAGCTATACTGCGGCCAGCGGCTTTCGCGGCAATGAATTCATCCCCTGGCCGCTGTAATTTCAGGCCTACGTCACTTACGACACGTCCTATCGCAGCAGCCAGGGCCGCAAAGACCTCGCCAACAAGCTGTACGACGAGATCGTCCCGGTCTCCTGCGCCCACCCGGCGCGTTTCGACGTCATTTTCATAGGGGTCTATAGATAGTAACGGTAGTAGCACGAACACAGGGGCGAACATTTCGATTCCCGATGACCAGTACCAGCACCAGCAGAAGCAGCAACAGGTTTCAGTATGCATCGAGCACTGCCGTGGCGGGTTGCCTGACCTGAGCCATAAGACTGATCATGCCGCACACGCATGAAGACAAGGATTATCGTATCCACGCCGTATTAGAAGGAGCGTGATGAGCTTGGAATGGTGTTTTTCTACCGCCAACGGAAGAGGAAGCGCGACAAGGAAGAGGACGCGCCGGCAAAAGAGTTGCCCGATACGTGGTATGTGTGGCCGGCCAGACTGTACGCCGAGAACAAGGGCGAGGAGCCAACAGTCTTTTGAAAGAGGTTGGCGAGTCTACGTAACGCCTTGAAGGAATTGGATCGAGGAAGAAGGTGAAACAGAAAGGGGAAGAAGACATGCAGGATTGGTACTTGTCTTACCACAAGATTGAGGCGAAGAGATGGATTCATTCTTGGAGAGAGGTCTACCTGACTTTGGGGATGGTCCACAGGAGGAGAACTTGGAAAGACGCCTGACAGTATTCTGCCACCAACCTCAATATCCCATCTCAAACCAGCTCAATTACATGTAACTTGCAATCCACAAACCAGTACCTGTCGATCCAACGTTGCTCGTCTTGCTGCCGTTCCGAGGTTTGGCACTCACTCTCAAGGCCCAAGTCCGGATTGGCGCTGCCACCTTCGCGACATGTCTCAATGGGACAGGAGATCTCGAAGGTACCCAAACGCTTGAAAGATTTCTTACCCGCAGGCACGACGAGCAAGCCTTTGCTCAACAAATACGTCTCTTTACGAGCATTAGTCCACACATACGTGCTCGTCTCCAAACATCGAAGTTCCTTCTTCTCCTCCTGGATGGACTCCACCTCATCTCTAACATCGCCCCGAATGGTCGCATGATATCCACTGAATCCTCGCAAATTCGCATCCGGACGAATAGAATATGCCGACGCCCGCGCCACACGCCGCACGCGTGCCCTCACAACAAGCGTTGCCGCCGACACAGCGCCAAAGGGTGCATCATCCGAGACCAGCGTCCTCTCGTAGTCTTCAAACTCCAGCCTCCGAACCTCCACGCCGCCGCCATTGTGCCCGGCGAACATGATCAAGCCGTCGATCGACGCCCACGACCACGTCGGTGCTGCGTCGCGCAAGCGGTAGGACGGCCTCGTGCTCCTGACATTGCCCCACGACACGTCCCACGCCAGCTGCTGCGCCAGCCGCGCCTCCCATATTCCAGCACAATACCGCGATCCTCCGAAGCGAGGAGAGAACCGCGCAGCGACTCCAGCCATGGCAGGCAGCTTGTCCGACTGCACGGTCAAGTACCGCTGCGCGAAGCGCTCGACGGCCCACGTCCACTCCTGGTCGAGCTCGTCGGCGCTCAGCTGCGCCAGCTTGCCCGAGTTGAGCAGCCTGAAGCCCGAGTCGTTGTCGTGGCCGCCGTCCTCGTGGACAGCGGTGAAGCACGACCAGCGCACCTTGCGGCGCTCGAAGACGAGGACGCGCGGGGAGAGAAAGTACTCCTGGAAGGTCCAGGCGCGCGCGTCGATGGGCTGCGGGTCGCGGTGCGAGATCATCTGGTCCTTGGTCAGGAAGACGGCGCCGACGGTGCCGTCGATGCAGGGGTAGTCCATCTCGAAGTCGTCTTGAGAAGTGTCGTCGTCGTCGAACATCGAGTCGAGGAAGCCGTCTCTGCAGGTTGCGGCGCACGCGGCTGAGATGGTCACGTACGCCCCGGCGTAGATGTCCTGCATCTTGCCGATCTCGCGCCCCTTGTCCTCGTTGTCGTCCTGGACGATGCAGAGGGAGTCGATCCATAGGTAGGATAGGTTGAGGAGCCGCGCGACGTAGATGGCATCGGTGATTGTTTTGAACGGCGCCAGGGCGTCGTGCGGGATGCCGCTTTCTTGATAATACGCTTGTCGGTTCTCTTTTGTGGTCATGTAGGGCTGGTCACCTCCCCAGCAATAACTTAGCGCGGCATACTGAAGCTTCTCACCAGGTGCGCTATCAACCAGTCGGAAGGCACACTCTTCAGAATCGTTCGAGCCCAGAAACAGCAGACGCCCGGGCATGACGTCCGCTTCCACCACGCAACGTGCATGCTCGCGATCACACTGAACCAGCCATTCCGCCCAGAGGAAATTGGCTTCTCTCCTGCGCTTGACGAGCGGTCTAGAGAGGATATCCTTCGCAGCAGGATTCCCTAGCACATGTCAATTATCGAAAGTCGGTCAAAATAAGTCCGTGAGCTTGTTGCCCGAACTTACCTGCTACCGCGCAAGCGTTCAACTGACCTCCATTCGACCCTTCGCCCTCCCAGTCCCATCTGTAATGAAATCTGGCCAAGTCGCCGTCGTACTTCGCGTCTGCTCGCCAATTGGACCCGAAGGCAAGGCTGAGCCGCAACGTCCCGTCCGAGCGTGCCTCCATGACGCCCGTTTTCAGGTTGGTCAGAGATGCGTTTGAAAGGATCTTGCGGAAGAGCAGGCAACCGCTTTCAGCTCCCTCGGAAAGCCTCTCATAAGAGATGCTGGTTTTGCTTTGGTACGTTTCTTGGTTCGCGCTCGATCGAGCCTGGTGCTGCGGTAGCTCGAAGTGATCGAGGATGATGCGCCGGCAGAACTCGCATGAGTGAGGCGGACGACGATATAGCCGATCCATGAGAACAGGTTCCTGGATTGGCTGTAAATGGGGGATAGGCAGCCCGTGTGCAGAATGACGATGACTTGTGAAATTCCAGACCCCACTTCGCTGGCGTTGACAGGTGTGTCAGCCTCAGCATGGGGGCCACAGCGTAACGGAGCCTCGCTTGTGCAGATCATGTTTTTATCAAAAGAACGTCCATCTTATACATTATTCCGTTTTAGAGTGTAGACAAGAAAGAAATCAGTCAAAAGATGCTTTTCTTCTTGATCAAAACGAAAGGAAGAAAATGATGTTACTATTCGTACACATACATGCGCACGCCCTTCATGGATGCTTGTCCAAAGAGAAATCCAAAAGACGATACTACTGCTCTTCCACAAAACGCTAGGTAAAGGGTATGTTTTACTCAAGACAGACGGACGACCATGATGCGAGTAAAAACGCCGAAGATATGTGCGCAGGCCGAATATGCCCAAGGAACGAAATGTGACAAAGCCAAAGCTTTGCGAAACCCATGCGAACGCCTGATCCCTACTGTACAGAGTAGAGACTAAAATGAATACATGAGAATGCCTCATCGAAGCATATAACTCATATCTGGTAGTCCTGCCACAAACTTCTTCACAGCCTCTTTATCCTGCTCAGCCCAACCGCCCACCGGGCCAGCCTGCGTTTGACTTGCGGCGGCAGCCCCGAGGTCCTGCTGCGAGCTGGCCCGCGACAGCTGGCCAGGCTTAGCCAGAATGTCATCAAACGTCCTAGCAGAACCCGTTGAGTCGCGCGAAGGCTGCAGGATTTGGTCAAACGTAATGGGGGTGGAGCTTGCGCGGTCGGTGCGGGTAGCACCGCCTAGGATAGCGTCAAACGTGATGGTAGGAGCCGTTGAGCTAGGTTCGGGGCTTGGGAGAGGGCTTGGGAGAGGGCTAGACGCCGTGCGGTTGCGTGCAGAGGTGGGTGTAGGCTTATCAAAGATGGAGAAATCCCACGGATCCGAGTTAGTAGCGACAATGTCGATAGGCGCCGGGCGCGAAATCTCCCTCTTCTGCTCCGGCGACGGCGACAGCGATGGTAAGCTGCTGACAGACGGTGAGGTGGGGAGGGTGGAAGAGCGTGCCGGGTTGAGAGGGCTGAGCGGTCGTGGTTGGTTGGTTGGCTTGGGGAGCCAAGCGGTCGTCGACTTCGGTGGGTTTACGCGGGGTGGAGATGCTAGGCCTGACGCAGTTGGCGAAATGGGCATTGTGGCAGATCGAATAGGCGCAGGCACCAATGGGCTTGGTGGATGAGCTCTGGTGGTCTTACTAATGGGCGAGCCGATTGGCGAGATGCTACGCGGAAGACCCCACTGTCCAGATGCAGGAGGTGCAATCACTGGTGAAGATGCTGCGGGCGATTCAACCATCTCGCCCCAGTCGTCGTCATCGTCGATGTCTTGAGGCCTGACACTGGTATTGAGAGGTGCAAGTTTAGTAGTTGGCTTCGACGCTGAAGGTGGCTCCACGGACAAAGTTACGGACGCGGGCTTCCATGGATCCCCCCATGGGTTCTCATCTGGAGACATGACAGCAGGAGACGCCATTGGCGATTCAACAATGCCACCCCAGCTCTTTTCTTCGTGAACGGGACTGTCAGCCTTATGCGGCGCAGGGTTTGTATCGATGGCTGGCAGCTTTGGCGTGGGAGTGACGACCTCTTTAGGAGACAGAGGGCGAACGGCAGTGTCAATGGCGGGCAGCTCCGGTTTCGATGTCAAAGCAGAATCACGGTGGGAAGCGTTTGATTTTGCAGTAGATGGCCTGGCATCGTCCCAAGCATTGTCGAAAGCATTGTCCCACGGATTCGGCTCGTGTTTCCTAAGGGGGATCTCCGGCTCGTGTTCTTTACGAGCTATTTCTGGCTCCGGGTCTGGACCGGGAACCTCGTTCGCCAAGGGGGACTTTGACGCCGTTTTAGCCCAAGGACTCTCCCAAGACGGTAAAGATGAGCTTTTAGGTGGAACGGCGGTGCTATTTGAAACCGCCAAAAAGCTAGAAGTTGACACAGACCTCTTATGATGGAGATCATTGTTCTTCTTCCGTTTAGGCAAGGTGAGCCAGCTCAGCCTCTTCTTCTTTTTCTTCTCGCCAGACTGCGCTTGGTCTTTCTCTTCCGGAGCTGGTTCGACCTTTTCAGGTTCTGGGGGAGCAAACGGATTGTCAAAGGGCGAAGTTATATGGAGAATGTTAGGATCCGACACTGCGCGAGTATGCTGAGGCCTTTGCAGTGTTTGAAGGGCTGACGCTTTCTCCTCGGCTGCCGCTTTCTTGATAGCATCGTGATCCAACTTCCAACCAATGATCTGGTCTTGGGAGTTCTTCACTGGTTTGCAATTGGCCGGAATTTCGACAGGAGGTTGCGGTGGCAGCTCATACGGTGGTGGTTTCTCCGAAGAAGTCCTCGCTGGCTTCCAAGCATCGCCTTCGTCGAGTGAAGGCTTGTGTAAGGAAGCGTCTGGTTCATCGAGGGATTCCCTCGTTGATTTCCAAGCATCTGCTTCCTCGAGGGATCTTTTGGGGGGCTCGAAGGGATCCGTTTCTTCGAGAGACTTCTTTGCAGCGTTCCATGCATCTGCTTCGTCGAGCGTTGTCTTGGCGGGCTCCCAAGAGTCCTCTTCTTCGAAAGATGCCTTTGCGGATCCCCAGGAATTCTCCTCCCTAAAAGAAGGCGCTGCGGGCTTCCAAGCGTCCGCGTCCTCGAAGGAGCTTCTGCTTATTGAGGGGCTCTTTCTCTCATCAAACGATACCTTCACCGGCGGTGCAGATATTGGCATGATCTCTTGAGCTGACGCCTTCTCAGCAAAGGAGCCACCCCACGGATTGTTGCCATCATTTGAGTTAGCAAAGGCCGTTTTCGAGGGTGGAGCCGAAGACGCAGCAGGCTCGTCCGGCTCGTCCACTGCGCTGCTCCAGCTGAACTGGGGAACATCGAGGGCCGCCGAAATTGAAGGTCTTCGCAGAGAAGGCACGGCAAGCGACGCAGGTCTCTGTTTCGTCTCCTCCAAGTCGAAAGTAGCCTTCTTAGGCGTGGTTGCTGCGGAGGCATTGCGTTTGTGCGAATGGAAGGAGAAGACGCTTGAGGCTGGAGAGAACTTGGGCGAATCCCAACCAAACATAGCGCCAGATTTTCCACCAAGCAGTGTGCGGCCGTTGATGCGGTCTTCAGACGCCCATCGCGCTACGACCTGGTTGGTTTCGGCGCGAACGGTAGAGCCTTGCCAACCTACACGCACGTAGTTGTCATGGTCTTTCCCGCTTCCAACTTCATGCAGTGTTTCAAGGCGCGTGAGGCGATACCAAGCCTTCCGGGCGTTCGTCGGCTTGATGGGAGAGTCATCCACCTCTTCTAGCTCCTTGTTGTTGCCAGTAGCTGGGAATAACTGGCCGACGAGGCTCAGATCGGGCGTAAAATCGGCTTTAACGAACGGCCTTGGGCTACTTGGAACATATTCACTCAGGTCCTGCGCTGAGTTGGACCCATTGTTCGGCGATGAAGGTTCAGCATCGACAGGGCTCTCAATGTTGTTGGTAGTTTCGTCTTCGAGGACATCGTCCCCCTCTTCTTCAAAGTCGCCAAAGTCATCATCATCGAATGCATCTTCTTCTGGGCCGTCTTGATGCGAGTCTTCGACGTGTGGATCTTCGACTCGGTCTTCAATTGGGTCTTCATGTGCGTCTTCGACTTGGTCGTCATGTGAGTCTTCGGCTTGGTCTTCATGTGAGTCTTCGACTCGGTGTTCATGTTCGTTCTCAATCGTAATCTCGTTTGTCTCGTCATCGGCCTCTTCGGATGCTTCATTGGGTGCATCCTTGGTGGTGCTGTCCTCTGCAGCGACTGCAGTAGCCTGATGCTCGATCTCGGCTTCGCTCTCGGGCTCCTCTGCGGTCTGTGTCTCCCCAGCGGCCTTATGGTGTCCGAGTTCACCGGTCGCGGTCACGCTCTGCGGCCCGACATCGTCTTCGAAGGAGGTTCTTGTAGAAGCGGACAGGCCATCGCCGTGGCTGGCTTCCGAGGGCGAGGTCGAAGGGCGGGTAGAGAGGCCGCTCTCAAACTCGTCGGAGTGGGGTCTAGTTGCAGGTGGAGTGGAAGGGTCGAGAGCGGCGTAGGCACCGCCGTCGGGCCCGATGGTGGTGCCAGAATCCGAGGAATCAATTTCGTGAGTCGTGGGAGTAACGGGCGCTGCCCCTGATTCTTCAAACTCGTCGGGCGTGGTTTCGTGAAACGAGGACTCAGAGGACGCGTCGCTCGTTGCTTCTTCCGCGGGCGGCGGGGTCTCGGCTTCGACGGTGGCGGCCTGCGTCTGCGTCGGCGCGGGCATGTCTTCGTGGATATCGCCATGCTTGTCAGCGTCCGCGTCCCATAGCGGAGCGTCAGCAGGCGCGGCAGGCTTCAGCGGCGCGACGGGCTCGTCGCGGGCAGAAGCCCACACGTCGTGGGAATCGGGCTCGCTCCATTTCTGCTGGTCCTCGAAGAAGCCGCTCAGTACGGGTGTAACGACGCGTTCCTTGCTTTGGCGGTCGGCGAGGATGTGCACATCGATGGCCGGGGGATGCTTCGGAGCCGCATCGTCCTGCCATGGGTCGCCCCAGTCGTCCATGATCTCGCGGCGTACGGGCGGCAAATCTGGGTGCTCATTGGGCTGAGTTGAGCATTGCCGGAGAAGCTGTTGCAAGGGAGCAGCAGCCCCAAGTAAGTTTGGTCGACGCGAAAGAAAGGTGTTCCTGAGCAAGCGGTGTACCTCTTGCGGATTGGCGCAGCTAGGCTTCGGCTCGGGCACTGCATTCGACCGCCAGCCGGCGGATCCATGGTTGCAGTTCCCTTATCAACGGAGCGACCTCGGCTGCGCAGCCTGCAACGCACCACCAGCCAGTCAAAAGCAGTTCCCCTGGTGAGGGCCTTCTCCACGGCCATGGTCAGTCCTCTTGCGTATTCGCTGGCCAACGCAGCAATGAGCTGGCAGTACCGTTCGAACGTAACGTCTGCGAACTCTGCCTGGGTGGACCTCTAGTGCGGCCTGACACGGTCCAAGCTCGTTGCGCATCGCCATCATGTGAGGCAATGGTTCCGCGCTATTGAAATCCAGCAAGCGACCGCTTCCATTCAAGAGTGAAAGTCGGATGCACATTTACAAAAGCCCATATGGGTGACCGTCTACTAAAGCTTTAGAGAAATGCGAAACCTTATTGAATTCATCTTGCCCGGCTCGCCGATCCCGATCGACCGACTACATTTGTGTCCATCCCACGATTATTTCGGTCTTCAGCACTTGCGCGATGAGTTTTGAAAACATCGCCCGTGTTGTCCTTGAGGACTCTGGCATAGGAAATATATTCCGGGCTTTTATGGGAGAAAAAGCGGCCACCTAACAGCGATCAGTGGGCGGATACGTAACGATTAAGTTGGACTCCACCTCGGAAGCGGCGGAAGGTTATTACTTAACCTTCTGCAAGCGCACGCAATGTGGTGTTTTGCATCCGTATTCGTGCTATGTTTACCCTCCAATGAAGTCTTAGCGCGCTGCCCCGCGGTGTTCCCCACGTTTCTCCTGCGTCCAGCCACGAGACCCTTGAAATGATGACGACAGATGGCGTCCGCAAGCTCCTCGGATGTTCGTCCATTGGCCATGCGGGGATCCCTCTCAACCGGCTATCTCGGTCGAATGCGACGTCGTGTTTTCCACAACAACGAACCCAAGCATGCCGCACAAATCTCCCTTTCAATTTCAAATTCCCGCCTGCAACATCCTGGACTACCTTTTCTCCGAGTCCGAGCCCTCGGAGGAACCGATCTGGATAGATGCGGAGAACACAAAGCTCTCTCTGTCCCCCAAACAGCTGCTGCTATGGGTGAAACGATTGGGCCTAGGGCTCCAGAAGCTGGGGCTAAATCGCGGAGACGTGGTCATGGTGCATTCGCCTAATCACATATTCGTTCCCGTGGCGTATTGTGGTATAGCTGGCGCTGGCCTCATCTTTAGTGGATGCAACCCAGCATGTAGTACAGAAGGTTTGATTCACCTCTCTTTTGGATGAGTGTCCAGTCTGGCTTCTTGTTGATCCAGTATGTTCATCGCATACTATTTGAATTGGTTGGTGGTGATGACGCATGAGTTCAAATTGAATGGTCCAACAGTAAAGAAGAACAGCAGAACCACGGGTGCGGCAATTGGTCAAAACAAGATCTCTCTCTTCATGCCCTCGTCAGTAGCTCGAAGCTCACCCTTGCACCGACTATCTCCACAATTTTCTCATACGGCGACAATGGGCCGCCGAAATACCTCTGCTTTCAATCAAGGATCTAACTTTCGAGAATAGAGATTGTCTACCAAATCGAAAACACAGAAACCAAAGTCATCCTCGTAGACCCAACGCTTCTCACTACCCTCCTGCAAGCTGCTTCCAAAACCAACTTCCCTCACGACCGCATCTTCCTCTTCTCCGATACCGAATGCTCACCTCAGCGCTCTCTCTCCGATTGGCGCTCCATCCTGCCACCACCCTCAGCAGCGTCAACCTGGAACTGGCCGCGCCTCTCCCCTCAACACGCGCGCACAACCTCCGCCGTCCTCAACTACTCGAGCGGCACGACCGGCCTCCCGAAAGGCGTCATGATAACGCACCAGAACATCATCGCCAACACCGCACAATCCCTCTACATGCGGGACCTCGAGCAACCCTACACCGCATCCACCCGCCCACCGGAGCGCTGGCTCGGCTTCCTCCCTCTCTACCACGCCTACGGCCAACTCTGGTCCATCAGCGCCGCCGCCAAAACCCTGACACCCACCTTCTTCATGCGCGGCAGCCCCTTCTCCTACCCAACCTTCCTCCGCCACATCTCCACGCACCGCATCACGCACCTGCAGACGGCGCCGCCCGTCGTCGTCATGCTGGCCAAGCGGCCCGAGACGCGCGATCATGACGTTAGTAGCCTCCGCAACATCCTCTGCGGCGCCGCCCCGCTATCCGCCGAGCTGCAGAACGAGGTCGCCGACCGGTTTGGCGTCCGGATCGTGCAGACGTGGGGCATGACGGAGCTGACGTGCTCGGCCATGCACGTGCCGGGCGGCCGTGATGATAGGTCGGGGAGCGTGGGGTATGCGGATCCGAATTGCGAGGTCAAGCTTGTTGATGACGAGGGGAAGGAGGTGGGTGTGGAAGAGAGGGGCGAGGTCTGCGTGAGGGGTCCGAACGTTTGTTTGGGGTATTGGCGGAATGAAAGGGCGACGAGGGAGGCTTTCGATGAGGAGGGATTTCTGAGGACGGGTGATGTGGCGGTTAGGGATGAGGGGGGGAGATACTGGATCGTGGATCGGAAGAAGGAGTTGATCAAGGTTGGTTGTATTTCCATTAGGTATAGGGCTTTCCATTTGCTCCTGTTGCTGACAATAATTTTTCTCGTGCAGGTGAAGGGCTTCCAAGTTGCTCCGGCAGAGATGGAGGCGGTACTTCTGGAGCACGAGGCTGTTGCCGATGCAGCTGTCGTTGGAATACAATTGTAAGTCACACCTTGCACATTGGTTTTGACCCTCGACCATGGCTTCCTGACACCCCAATGAATAGCGATCACGAAGAACTTCCGCGTGCCTATGTTGTTCTCAAAGAACACTACAAGAGTGGTCAGGTCTCGGAGGAAGACGTTACCTCATGGACAGCCAGCCGCGTAGCTAAATACAAGCAGCTGCTTGGTGGAGTCATGTTCGTTGATGAGGTGCCAAAATCACCTTCTGGCAAAATACAGCGCAAGATTATAAGAGAGTGGGCTAAAAGGGATGCGCAGACCTTGGAGAAAAGAAACGTTAGGGCTAAGTTGTAGAACTTATGTATTTTTCGGTTTATTTGGTATCATATACATTCACATTCCGAGAATTGGAGGTCTTCGCAGGTAAAGCTACAGTACAACAGCAGTCGGGCGGGCGGATAGCATTTTACAGCTGAAAAGAAAAACCTACACTTCCTGGTCCGACGCAATACCATGATCATTCTCACTAGATAAAACCAAACCTCTCATTCCTACATTGGATTCTATGAAAACAAAATAAGCTGGCGGCATGCTCACATAAGTTCTTGCAGTTCACATTACAGCTGTTTCACTGTGCACGGACCTGACAGCGTTGATGTGAGATCACCTCCTGTCTATTTGATTTCTCTCGTGCCACAACTATGGAAGACCCGCAATAACCCATCTTGTGTAATCTCTGCTTTCCGGGCTGGGCTGCATGCGGTCCCAAGCGTTGTGCAAGGTTTGGTGCATAGCATAGCCTAGATCTTTCATCTTGAGAACAGACCTCCCAGAGGTCAACGATGCTCATGCGCGCGTGACCGGTTGAAGTTTGAAGCTCATCAAACACCCTCTTGACCGATGAAACCATGCATCTCGTCGGATAGTTCCGTTTCGCCACCCTTCTTGAGTGCTTGCTGTTGCAACATTAGCAACAACGCGCTGTGAACCCTCGATTGCTCGATTTAATCGCGGAAAAAGTAACAAAATCACCATGACTGTTATGCATTGAATTCCATCACAGGCTCAAATAATCTCAATAGTTTTTTACCCTGGTTCATGTGGCTGCAGGGCGACATCACAAAGACGTCACGAAAACATGACCACCCGGAAATGGCACAAGTTTCAGAGTACGACATTTCCGGCTATCTAGCATATTTTATGCAAAAATGTATTGTCTAGCACGGCGAAAGCCGCGATGCAAGGGAGAATCTATGCTGTCTCCAAATTTCCCTTCTTGTTGGCATATAATCACCTCCCAAATTGGTGCCTGTAGAGCACCCTGGTAGAAGTGAGGTCCGGAAATATCACTTTGAATTAGTCTTCGCTCGCTGGCGGTGTGATGCTGGTAGTATCATCCAAATCTTTTGCGCCGAATTTGCTCGCTGGCGTACCACTGAGCCAAGGGAAGTGCCGTGCATCATGCACTGTGGACCAAGAGCCCTAATCTCTCACCGCTGGTGACTTGTCTGTACGCCTGGACATCCATAATCAAGTCTGGCACGGTCAATCATCGTCACCTTGACCGTCACTGCCCTCGTCGTAATCCATAGGGCCCATTAGATCATCCAGGCCATTATCCTCATCCCCATCAGAATCTTCTTCATCACTGGCGACAATAACAGTCATATCGCCGTCCTCCAAATCTTCGTCCATTTCTGAATCATCTTGTTCAGTACCATCTTGTGCTGATGGAGAATCCTCATCAGCTTTTCGGAGATGACCATCCATATTGCCGTATCTGCTTGGAGTGGCCATGATAGAGTCGGACTGCTGGCTGGGGGCGTCCAAGTCTGCCATATCAACGTCCGCATTCTCAGTCCCCTGGTCTTTTCGCCAAATGCGGAAGTTCTGTTTGGCTAGATTACGGATATCGGCCAGCATTTTGTATTCTTTCTCCGACACTGTCGAATCCCGGCCAACTGACGTCTGCTGGAGGTTTTCGGGTGTAATCAGATCCGGGAAGTCGACGATCCGCTTGTAATCCTCATCTCTGGGTGTGCCGCCCTCCCTAACGATGTTGATCTTGTCACGCATGAGGACTTTGACCTTTGCCCAGGTGCCATTGAGATACCATCCATCCGATTTGATCTACTCGATGTGTCATTAGTTTGATCAAGCATGTTTTGATATTACTTACGTTGCATTCGGTACGCAATTTGTCGGTGTCAAGAATTCGGCGGAGCTGTGGATCCGTGATATCGCATGTCTGCCAGACTTTACCGTCTGGTGTGAGTGATTTGCCGTCGAAAATGTGCGTGGTCAGCTTCATGTTCCTCGGCTTTGCTTCCCTACGCCAAACATTTCGCGCGTCCATCCACTTATTCGGATCTTCACTTGATTCCTTCTTGGACGGGATGACGATCTTGAACATGAGCGTCTGATAATGTCGATACTTGGGATCCTTTCGGGGGTCTACTCCAAATCTGATGAGCGTATCACGCCAAGGGCCGGACTTGAAGGAATAGCCGACGTAGGCAAATGAACTTCGAATTGAATCGTCAGTTGGGGCTTCAATGTGGTTGGAAAGATAGCGTCTCGTCATGATAGGCCGCTCTTCGAGAAGCTTGCGCATGTTGGCAATCGTGTCGCGGATATGGGGCTCCAGTGACTCCTCAGGCGGGAGAGGGACTGGAGACTCGTACAAGATGTTTTCGGCGTCAATATCCACAGAGTGCATGATGAACTTGCGACTGGCAGTTGGATTATACATGATCTGCCGGCCTTGCTCGTCTTGTAGAATCTTGACAGCCGGATTTTGGCGGTACGAGTAGTTGTAGGGCACCTCTATCATGGAGAACTGGGCGGACGGGCCAATGTCCGGCTCTGGATGATTACCTCGCTCATCACTCAGTTTGAAGTTCTTGAGTTTTGGATACTGAAAAGGCAAAAACGTCTCGCGCAGCATGTTTCCGAGGGGGAGTGTGGAGGTGGCATATTGGAAGTCAGGCAGCTGGCGGAAACGGTGGTTCTCCTGCGCCAACCCCACGGGCTGAACGCTGTAGTTGTCAGGGTTGTCGCGCAGACTTTGCAAGAGGACCTGCGCGTCTGCATGCGGTGGTTCGGATGCTTCTGGCGCATCTAGCCACGGCCCATCTGAGCCTCTTTTACGCTTCCTGCCGGTCCGCTTGGGGAGAGAGACGCGCAGCAGCAAATTCTGCGTCTTGGTGAAGCTGGACATGACGGGCTTGGCCATGGGGTCATTGGGCCGAAGTGAGGCGCCAATGGTTTTGTCACGGTCCTTGGTGTTGAGGAACTAGAGAGGTCAGGTGGGCCTAGGGCGGTAGCAAGCGGAGGGCCTACCTTGTCCAACACAACGCGGCCACCCAGCGACTTGATGCCATTGTCAATGTTCTTGACAATGCACGGGTGCTCGATACTCACCACGGCGTCGGACGGCACGAGCAGGGCGGGCGACGGGACGTCGGGGCCAGGCTGCTGGAGCCGCAACGGCGCCGGGGGCGGGTCGTACAGGCGGCCAACGTCGTCGTCTTCCATGGGGGCGGCGAGCAGGCGCGGCGTGTGCTGGCGGGATCGTGCAGGCGCGGGTGATGCACTGCTGGGCGGCGGATTTTACATATTTCTGGAAGCAAGCCCCGCCTTTACGCACTAGCGCGGAGCCCTTGGTCCAAGCGGGCGTCCAACTGCTCAGATCACCTCCTTCGACGACTTGTTACAGCGAGCGCCAGCACACGCCTTCCACCACGTCCCTTCTCGCGGTCTGCCTCATCCTGCGAACCTCAGCCCGTCCCTCGCCTGCTGGAGCTCCGTCACTCACGGCCCCGACCCGCCCTGCGTTGGCGCCCCCCCGCCCGCGTTGCTGTCGACCTCATCGCATCGCCCGCGCCTGGAGCTCACCTTCGCAGCCGCAACACTCCCTCCTCCCGCGCCTGTGCCTCGCTCCATGCCTGTCGGATTGCCATAATCCCGTCTCGCATCTGACGCAACCCCGGCGCCCGTCGCTCCGCCGCGAGACCAAGCTGGTTTTCGGCGAGGCCAGTGTCGCGCTTCGAGTCCTTTGACCTGGAACGCCGTCTGGAACCTCCGCACCTCCTTCTGCTCCCCCAGACCAACCCTCGCATCTCGCAGCGCAACTGCGCCCCGTCTACATGACCATGAAAGGTTTTCGCCAGAGAGTGGTAAGTGTGCACCAATTCCTCGCCGGCAGCCTGCACTGCTGCCCGACACGGCGCCGCGTCACCCGTGTCCTTGCTAAAGGCGCCGCAGACCGACAAGCTGCGCGCCCACGACTCCAACAAGTCATCAAAGAAAAAGGACCAGTCGGGTACCTCTTCACCGTCGCAGGCCAACTCGGGCACTCACTCCCCTGCCGGCTCCGCGCACGCTACGCCTACCTCCTCGCAGACCCAACTCCCTATCAACAAGCCGCTCCCGTCGAATGACAATTCCGCCGCACCTGCTGGCCTCGGCGGCCCTGCGCAGTCATCTCAGCCTGGTGTGCCCAATTCGCTTGCGCCTGGAGTACAATACATGAGTGGTCAGCCTCACATGGCTCAGGGAGCAGGCAACGGTATGCCTGGCGCGGCGCCAGGGACGCCGAACCGCGGAGGCCAGCATCTGGCACCGAGTGTTGTCATCAGCCCCAGCGCACCTGTAAGTACCCATGTCTCACATCCCGCCACACACCAACCCCAACCCGGCGCACCGCACCCTTGACCCACCCTTCGCTTGCTTCTCGACAATGAACCTCACTGACCTGCTCTGACTTAGCACGTACCCCCTCCCGGAGCCGCCGAGACGATGCCTGGAGATCTGCTCCCCCCCAAGGCCGGCAGCAAGTCGAACCTCTTCGATCGCTTGCAGACCACCCCTAAAGATGTTGCTGAGGGAATTCGCACGCCCAAGCGGCAGCACTCTTCGCGTTTCGACATCTCCGACCAGAGCAAACGCGAATTGGAGAAGCTCCCTGGGTTCCACGAGGTCGCACCCAACAAGCGGGAGGAACTCTTCATGCAGAAAATCGATCAATGCAACATCATCTTCGACTTCAATGACGCCAGTGGAGATATGAAGTCCAAGGAAATCAAGCGCCTGGCCCTGCACGAGTTGCTCGATTACGTCGCCAACAACAGACAAGTCATCACGGAGCGCATGTATCCTCGTGTCGTCGAAATGTTCGCCAAGAATCTCTTCCGCCCTATCCCTCCGCCCATGAATCCCCAAGGCGAGGCCTTCGACCCCGAGGAGGATGAGCCCGTTCTTGAAGTTGCTTGGCCGCACATTCAAGTTGTCTATGAGTTCTTCCTGCGCTTCATCGAGAGCCAGGATTTCAACACCAACATCGCTAAGCAATACATCGACCACGGGTTCGTTCTTCAGGTATGTGAAAAATTCTTAAAAGTATGAAGAGCCACTTGATCTAACTTAGCGCCCAATCGTTCAGCTGCTCGAGCTATTCGACTCCGAGGATCCCAGAGAGCGCGATTTCCTCAAGACCACCCTTCACCGCATTTACGGCAAATTCCTCAACCTCCGATCCTACATTCGGAGATCGATCAACAACGTATTCTTCCAGTTCATCTACGAGACTGAGCGCTTCAATGGTATCGCGGAATTGCTGGAAATTCTCGGGTCTATTATCAACGGCTTCGCTCTGCCGCTCAAGGAAGAGCATAAGCTCTTCTTGACCCGTGTTCTGATTCCTCTTCACAAGGTGAAGAGTCTTAGCATGTATCACCCGCAGTTGGCCTACTGTATTGTCCAGTTTTTGGAAAAGGATGCTGCTTTGACCGAGGAGGTTTGTTACGTGTCCGATCCAAGATTTGGGAGACCCTGCTGATCATTTCCCAGGTCGTGCTCGGCCTCCTCCGTTACTGGCCTAAGGTGAACAGCACCAAGGAGGTAATGTTCTTGAACGAGGTTGAAGATATCTTCGAGGTCATGGATCCTGCGGAGTTTGCCAAGGTCCAGGAACCGCTGTTCAGCCAGCTGGCCAAGTCCGTTGCCAGCCCTCACTTCCAGGTAAATATCTGCGTTAATTTCTCCACCACTTATTTGTTAATGTAGCCGCAGGTCGCCGAACGGGCTCTTTACTTCTGGAACAACGAATACTTCTGCAACCTTGTCAGCGACAACGTTGAGGTCATCCTCCCGATCATGTTCGCTCCTCTCTACGAAAATTCCAAGGGCCACTGGAACAGGTATGCACTCAGGCTCCGACGATCATCCACCATGGCACTCTGCTAATCAAAACTAGGACTATTCACGGCATGGTGTACAATGCTATGAAGCTCTTCATGGAGGTCAATCCGCAGCTCTTTGACGAGTGCTCCCACGAATACGCAGAGAAGCAGCAGAACGCGCAATCGGAAGAGCAGGCTCGTAAGCAACGCTGGGATAAGCTCGCCGAACTGGCCGCGGCGAGGAAGACCGGCTCGGTGGATGCCAAGGCACCGCTCCCCTCCACTGGATCCAAGGTTGGATCTCCCATGCGTACGGACGACCAGGACCCCTTGAGCCAGGACAGCCAACGCAGGTTAGAGGCCTTGCGGCTTCAAGACGACGCCATGTCTAACAGGGAGCGAAGGCCCAAGGACTACGCGGTACGTTAGTCTGTCTCAAGTACGATGCACTTCTGGAGCGCTTCACTTCACTTCACACGACCGCTTTGTACACACCACCTTTAGAACAGTCTAGAAAACCTTTCCGTTCTTACGCCGCGCTTGTACGGATGCGAAGTCATGTACAGACCGACTCTGTGATCTCTCTTCTCTTGAGGGTCGGGACGGACGAACTAACCGCCCGCTTGGAATAGAGGCGTCACCATCACTCCGCGTCAGCAGATGAAAGCAGGCGGTCTGGTCGACCTCGCAGCAACAGCAGGCCACACTCTGCTGGTGGCTCAGCACCCAATTCGCGCACGAACTCCAGCAGCAGCGTAAAGAAAGTTGGCTAGAGACGGCGCAAATGGCGATTCTTTGTATTTCTTCTTCTTCGATATCCTGGTTCGGCTGGGACTTGGGGTTTGGTCGCGTCTGGACTCGATCCGACCCATTGCGGCATACTGTACTTTGGCGGCTTCATGGGAATGGCGTGGGACTGGACGGAAGCAACCGTTCATGTGCAGTCCAGTAGAGGGTCCTTCGATTCTTTTTTGTTTTCCTGGCATCTGCTCGAGTCACGGTTGGGGGATGCACACCTTTCTATCATTCGGGGGTCTGAGCGTTTCTCTTTATCATCAGCTTTCGTCCTTTATTTTCGCTGCTTCTTGCATGTGTCTCTCGATGCTATTCTAATTGGCGGTCTCGCCCGTGTGCAACACGCGCGGCGGAGCAGCCTCCGAGAGCTGACACGGTCGAGGGGGTGCTTTCTTGTTGAATGGAGGGCGAGTGCGCGTTGGGTGCGGGTGCGTTAGACGGGGCAGATTCTTCTTCGATACATAGGAAAAAAGCAATTCACTTCGTTGCAGGCGTTTGATAAGAACGTGCTGTTTGCGGATCGGCGTACGTTGGGCGCCAGTGCCCTATGTATTACAATCTACCAATATTTAGCGCTGATTATTGTCCCCGTGGCGGGTGGCTCTGGCGTTCGCAGCAACATTTCCTTTTTGGGACAGCGCTCGCTCTGGCCGTAGGCACGATGTTCTGCATCTGCGAGTAACGTGCGAAGATGCGAATATGCGGGCAGCCACTTAGCTAATTGGCGAGCGCAATCTGGGGAGCTTTAGGGGTTGTCCCTCGGCTCAGGGCTGCAGCCGTGATGTGACCTTGCAGAGCCGCTTGCATCCGGCCGACTCGGGCTGCGGTGAGCTGGTAGACCCGACATCCGCGTATCCTACATCGCGCTACGCAGGTATTGTCCTCTCCGCCTCGTTGGTTTAGCAAAGAGGCCAGGTGGCTGCATGGCGGTCGCCAGGCTGTCCGTTGCCACAATTGGCCCCCATAGAATCTCAGCAACAGCTGCATTCCATGAATGCTGACCTGGGTCTCAGGGAATGTCTTCGGCCGAGCGCCATGTCGAAGAGTTGCGCAATTGGCAATGCACCCGAGGCGCAAAGACGCGGAGCGGGATGCGCCAAGAGGCGCACATGTCACGACGCGTAGCGCAATGGCCACCGAGGCGTCGAGCGGACTTTCTGACCGGGGGCCTTCAGAGATGGAAAAGCGTTGAAGACGCCGGCTGGCCGGCCTGCTGGGACCTGCTGTTTGTTGGCTCGGCGCCGCTCGAACAATTTCCGGCGGGCCCCTTAAACCGCGCGACTCAGCCTCCGCAACGTCAGCTTTCGTTTTCTCCGCCGCAAAGTTCTGTCTTCAGCAGAGTCGTTCCTTTGCCGTCCGTTTGCTTGCGAGAAGTCGTGCGCAAGGCTGGGTGCTGCTGCAGGTGTCGCGCATAAGAACGAGCAGGTCCACTTTCCTCCGATCCCTACAAAACAATCCCCGCCGCGTCCTTCTACCTTCAAACCGCCGCGCGCGCATCCACCGCCCTCACGCGTCTGCAAACACCCACCGCCGCCATGTCGAAGCCAGATTGGATTCAGGTCGGCGCGCCGACGCTCGACCACCCCTTCGGCCTCCATCTGTGGCCCATTTTCGAGAAGGCTTTCGAGACGGTCAAGGGCTACAAGCCGCAGGACTTCCGCTTCGTCCAGGATGAGACGCCCTTGTCGACCTTCAAGTCCTGCGCTATAATGCTGGTCTCTTACTACGTTATCATCTTCGGCGGCCGCGAGGTCATGAAAAACTACCCCGCGCTGAAGCTCAATGGCCTGTTCAAGATCCACAACTTTTACCTGACGGCCATCAGCGGCATTCTGCTGGTGCTCTTCTTGGAGCAGCTGATTCCCGAGCTTGTGCGCAATGGTGTCTTCCACGCCATCTGCAGCATTGAAGGTGGCTGGACCGACAAGCTCGTCATTCTCTACTACGTGAGTCTTTGCAGGTCCTTCTGGTGTTGCGGTGAAGATGGCTAAATTTTTGTCGCGCAGCTCAACTACCTCACGAAGTACCTCGAGTTCATCGACACCATGTTCCTGTTCCTGAAGAAGAAGCCCTTGAGTGCGTTCCTCGATCCATTGCTCCATAACGTATGCGCTGACTGTACCAGCCTTCCTCCACACCTACCACCACGGCGCGACCGCCCTCCTTTGCTACACACAGTTGATTGGCCACACCTCTGTTTCTTGGGTTCCCATTACCCTGAACCTGACTGTGCACGTGGTCATGTACTGGTACTACTTCCAGAGTGCGCGTGGAATCAGGATTTGGTGGAAGAAGTACATTACCATCATGCAGATTCTCCAGTTCGTCCTGGATCTTGGTAAGCCTGTCTTCTACAAAAGTGGTTTTCGCATCTAACAACGTCCCAAGGCTTCGTTTACTTCGCCTCCTGGACCTACTTCACCTCGACCTACTGGCCTTGGCTTCCCAACGCCGGCAGGTGCGCGGGCGAGGAATTCGCGGCCTTCTCCGGCATTGCCATCCTTACCTCGTACCTCTTCCTCTTCATTCTCTTCTACATTGCTACCTACAAGAAGCCGGTTCCGAAGGGTCGCGGCCGTGCGAAGAGTGCTCTGGTCGAAATGAAGGACGAGAAGGTCCCCACGGTTGGCGCAGTCCGCCGCCGCCTCAGCGGCGCGTCGCAGTCGATTGCCAACGGCTATGTTTCGCCCGCGGCTGCCGCCACCCCCAACGGCAGGGTGACGCGCTCCCGCAAGGCATAAATGCTCCGATTATATCAGCGCCTGGCCGCGCACTTACGTTCATGCGTCGGACCTTTTCACTTGGATTCTTTACGCACAAAGATTAGGGACGGAATGGGCAGCCTGCGGCACTATTTTTTGGACAACGAAACTCTTCGCATTAGAGGAGCATGATGGGCGGGTGGGCATGGATACGACATTTTAGAGCCGTTGGCTTTTTGGGGTCGCCCCGACGAAAAGACGACGAGAGGCTGCTGTTTGCGGTTGTTTTTGAAACCTTTTTCTGTTTGGAGAGAGGAAGCAGCCTCGAGTTAGACGGCATGGCATTTACACTTTTGTAATAAGCACAACCTTCGTTATGTATGAATGAGTAGCATAGATGTACTGTAGAGCTCGAGGGAGGAGCGATGGAGGGCATAGTAGATACTACGCTGGTAATGCATAGTAGTCGGTCGCTCGATTTGGGTGCATGGAACCACCATGACGGTGTCCAATCGCGCAGGAACCAATACCGGGAATGCAGACGTGTCAGCAGCATGAGTCAGGACGATTACAGTCGCTTCAATTCGCATGGACGCGATCTGCACGTGACGCGAAATTGAGAAGAATCCGCCGGGATCTTGGCAGTACCGGCTGGGGCTCACACCACCATACCTCGCTGCAACTTGCGTTAACTGCTCAAACTCCCGCATCTCCGCAGCACGAACCCGCACCCTCCTGCATCAACTTACCCCGCTCACATCCCGGCCTCATAATGTCCGCCAGCATTTTCCGTGTCGCGGCTCGCGCCAGCCGTCCCACCTTCGTCCGCAGCGTTGCGCCCGTTTCCGCTGTTCGCTTCCCCAAGAGCTTCAGCACCACCGTCCGGAGGTCGTCCGACGAGCACCACGAGGAGAGCTTCGAGGAGTTCACTGCCAGGTACGGAACGATCGGCTCGCGCGCTTCCTAGAGCGCCAATGGCTACGCTGCCGCGGCGAGAAGGCTTCTGAAGGCTCTGCCATTCCGCTGCCGTGACGCAACATGCGCCATTGTCGCGCCCGCACCGCCTCTGGACCACTCGAGCTGACGCGACTTGCGGCCATTGACAGGTACGAGAAGGAGTTTGATGCTGTCCAGGATGTTTTCGAGCTCCAGGTACGTCCTGCCCACCTTCCCTTGATCCGTGGTGATGCTCGGCCTGTGCGGCCAGGCTGCCGGCCGCATCCACAATCCTCGATATGCAAGACCAATTGCTGACGCCACACCACCGACTACCAGCGCAACCTGAACAACGCCTTCGCTTACGATCTCGTCCCCTCGACCTCCGTCATCACCGCTGCCCTCAAGGCCGCCAGGCGCGTCAACGACTTCCCTACCGCTGTCCGGATCTTCGAGGGTGGGTTGCCGCTACCTTCCACCCCACCGGCGAGCTGCTCTGCAACATGTCGCACGATTTTTCCAGGCCGTCGCGACGGAGATTGAGCTCGTAATGGAGACGTTGTGCTGACTGGGCATCACAGGCATCAAGGCGAAGGTTGAGAACAAGGGCCAGTACGAGGAGTACCTGAAGGAGCTCGAGCCCCTCAGGGAAGAGCTGGGCGTTTCCCTCAAGGAGGTCCTCTACCCCGAGTCGCAGTAGATGGCTAAATATCCCCTTTGAGAGCGGATTTGAATAATGAGCGGCCCTCAGGGTTGGGCGTTAAGGGAGACGAAGAGCGCAGGATCAAACGACTACTGTCGAGCGGTTGGAAGGCGGTAGGCAGGCGGAAAAATGCGAGGACGGCGACTTGTATCATCACCCGCATGGACGAATGTGCACGTACAATAGTCGATTCTGTGGCGCTTCTTCGAAACAATTGTACAGCTGTCAAAACCGTCTGAGTTCCCCATGACGCCTGCTCATCGCTTCCTGGGCAATTGCGAGCTCACAGAGCATCGATTTCCAATGCCCAATCAGAAAGGAGTACTCTATCAGGTCTGTTTTCACATGCTTCGGCAACAATGAAGTCGCAAACTTCTTGTCTCGTGTATATGATGGCTCTCCGACGAGCTGAACCTCCTGTTCGACAGGATTTTCCACTTCCAGAAAGTATCACGAGATATCTCGGAGGCACAGCAACGGGCGGTGACGATGAGCATGCCGATGATGCCGATTACGGGTGAGATTTACATTCGGGTCGGCGTTCATTGGTTGCGGGGCGATGTCCGGCCGTGGGTGCTGAGACCGGAGATCTGCGAGATATTCACGGTACCAGCTACGCATAGCAAAGGGGATGCACTTCCGCTGATTTGCGGAATGCGCTCTACGTTTTCAGCGCTCTGGAGCTGAAGGTACATGAGGATGGCAGGCGGCCTTGGCATCAAAGACCGGGCCGATCAAGACCCCCGCCCCCACTACGACCTTACTTCTTCAAGCGCTTGCCTCCGAACTTTTTCTATGCCGTGAACCCTCCACCACACGGTCCTCCTCCAAACGCCACCCCGCGTATATAGTCGCCGCCTGGAACATGGCTGCGGCACAAGATCCCTACCTGGTTATCCCAGGCTCCTCGGCTTTCTCCGACTTCCGCTGCGCGAAGCTCGCGCGCGAGTTGGGAGCTGAGGAGGTGCGCGCCATCTGGATTCACTTTGTCAATCCGACTGGCGAGCTGGAGAGCGACCAATTGAAGACCCTCGAGCAGCTTCTTTTCTACGGCGACATCCCCTCTGCCGACGACCGCCTGTACCAGACTATCCTCGACGCCCTCACCCGCAATGGCGAGCCCCGCGACGAAAACACCGCCCTCTTCTACGTCTGCCCTCGTCCTGGCACCATTTCACCCTGGAGCACTCAGGCAACCAACATCGCTCATGTTTGCGGCCTCAAGGAGTCGGTGAAGCGCATCGAGCGCGGCATGGTCATTGCCGCTACCTTCCCCGCGGATAAGCGCCCCGCTAGTACCGACATCCCGCTCCCCGACCTCCTGCACGACCGCATGACCCAGACTATCAGTAGGTCTCAGCCGGACCTCAACTACACTTTTGGCGAGCATGAGCCTGCTCCTGCGACCAGCGTCGACCTGCTTGCCGAGGGCTCAACGCCCAAGGAGGCGTTAGAGAAGGCAAACAAAGAGCTGGGACTAGCGCTCGATGCGGCTGAGATAGACTATCTGGTCGAGGCGTACACTGAGCAGCTGAAGAGGGGCCCCGTCGATGTTGAGCTGTTCATGTTTGCTCAGGTCAACTCTGAGCACTGCAGGCACAAGCAATTCAATGCCGACTGGACTATTGATGGCGTCAAGAAGCCCATGAGCCTCTTTGGCATGATCAAGAACACGCATAAGAAGCACCCCCAATACACCGTCAGCGCGTACAGCGATAACGCTGCTGTCCTGGAAGGCGACAATGCCAGCTTCTGGGCTCCTAACAACGCGACTGGAGAGTGGGTGCAGACCAGGGAGTTGGTCCACTTCCTCGCAAAGGTGGAGACTCACAACCACCCGACTGCTGTGTCGCCTTACCCCGGAGCTGCCACCGGCTCCGGCGGTGAGATCAGAGATGAGGGCGCTGTTGGTCGTGGATCCAAGCCTAAGGCCGGTCTCTGCGGCTTCAGCGTCTCGGATCTGCACATCCCTGGCTTCGAGCAGCCTTGGGAAGTGGATGTTGGTAGGCCGGCGCACATTGCCAGCGCCTTGGACATTATGCTGGAGGCACCTATTGGTAGCGCTGCGTTCAACAACGAGTTCGGTCGCCCTTGCACTACTGGTTACTTCCGTACCCTGACTACTAAGATCCCGGTCAACGAGGATACCGAGGTTAGGGGTTACCACAAGCCCATCATGATTGCTGGTGGTGTTGGTACCATCCGGCCGCAGTTCGCGCTCAAGGACCCTGAACTTGTTATCCCTGGTGACCATCTGATTGTCCTCGGTGGTCCTGCCATGCTTATTGGCCTCGGCGGTGGCGCCGCATCCAGTGTCCAGTCCGGCGAGGGCTCGGTGGAGCTTGACTTCGCCAGTGTCCAAAGAGGCAACGCTGAGGTGCAAAGGAGAGCACAGGAAGTCATCAACACTTGCACGTCTCTGGGTCCGCAGAATCCCATCAAATTCATCCACGACGTTGGTGCAGGTGGTCTCTCTAACGCACTGCCGGAGCTGGTCCACGATTCCGGACTCGGCGCAACCTTTGAGCTGCGCGAGGTTGACAATGCCGATAAGGGCATGAGCCCTCTCCAGATTTGGTGCTGTGAGGCGCAGGAGCGTTATGTTATGGCGGTCGGTCCTGATGGCCTTGATCAATTCAAGCGCATCTGCAAGAGGGAACGTTGCGGCTTTTCTGTTGTTGGTGAAGCAACTGGCGAGAAGTCCTCCCACAACAACCAGCTCATTCTCATGGACCGCGACTCTGAGGACTACCCCAAGCCCATTGATCTGCCCATGTCGGTTCTTTTCGGCAAGCCCCCGAAGATGTCGAGGGTTGTGGACTCCAGACAGCTCAAGCTTCCTGTCTTTGATACTAGCTTGACTTCATATCTTCCGGACTTTGATCATGAGGGCCTCTTCCCAGAGGCTGTTTCTAGAGTCCTGTCCCTCCCATCTGTTGGTTCCAAGTCTTTCCTGATCACTATTGGCGATCGTACTGTCGGCGGTCTCACAGTTCGTGATCAGATGGTTGGCCCTTGGCAAGTTCCTGTCGCTGACGTCTCCGTGACGGCCACTTCGCTTCTTCCTGGCGTCAAGACCGGCGAGGCTATGGCCATGGGCGAGAAGCCCAACCTCGCACTCATTTCCGCCGCTGCTTCGGCCCGCATGGCCGTTGCAGAGTCGCTCATGAACTTGGCTGCGGCTAGCATCCCTGAGCGCCTGTCCCGCGTTCGCCTCTCTGCCAACTGGATGGCTGCTAGCAGTCACCCTGGTGAGGGCGCAGCTTTGTATGAAGCTGTCGAGGCCATTGGTATGGATCTGTGCCCCAAGCTCGGCATCAGCATTCCCGTTGGCAAGGACTCGATGTCGATGAAGATGAAGTGGCAGGATTCTGCTTCCAAGGAAGCCCGCGAAGTCACCGCCCCTCTCTCGTTGGTCATCTCCGCTTTCGCGCCGGTTGACCTCATCGAACGGACGTGGACGCCTGCTCTTCAACGCCTTGAAGACGTTGGCGAGACCATCCTCCTCTTCGTCGACCTTGCCCAGGGCAAGAAGGCTATGGGTGGTTCTGCCGTGGCTCAGGTCTTCGGCCAGGTCGGCGACGAGGCTCCTGACGTCCGCGATGCTGACTTGCTTCGGGACTTCTACGATGCCGTCGAGCAGCTTCACGAAGCCGGCATCGTCCTTGCCTACCACGACCGCTCCGATGGTGGCCTTTTCACTACCTTGGTGGAGATGATGTTTGCCGGCCGTTGCGGTCTTGAAGTCATGCTGGATGAGCTGTGCCCCAGCAAGGACACCAAGGACATGATCGAGGCGCTGTTCAACGAAGAGCTCGGCGCTGTCTTCCAGGTCAGGAAGAAGGATGAGATCGAGTTCCGCCGGTGCTTCGCCACTTGCGGCCCGCCTGCTGGCATGATCAAGAAGATCGGCCGCGTACCAGTCGTTACCAAGCAGAACTTGGTGCTCACTTCCTCAGCCCGCATTGTTTACAAGGAGAGCCGCAAGGAGCTCCAGCACCAGTGGGCTGCTACGTCGCACCAGATGCAGAGGCTTCGTGACAACCCGGCCTGCGCCGACTCTGAATATCAGAGCATCCTCGATGATGTTGATCCTGGTCTTGCGTACAACCTGACCTTCAACCCGAGGGACAGCATCCTGCCTATCACGACTTCTCTTACCTCCATGGTCGCGGCCAGGCCTCGGGTTGCTATTCTTCGCGAGGAGGGTGTCAACGGTCAAGCCGAGATGGCCTTTGCCTTCAACGTTGCCGGTTTCTCGGCTATTGACGTTCACATGACGGATATCCTCACGGGTCGCGTTTCGCTCGCCTCGTTTGCTGGTCTCGCCGCTTGTGGTGGCTTCTCATACGCTGACGTTCTCGGCGCCGGCCAGGGTTGGGCCAAGAGCGTGTTGCTCCACCCCGAGGCTCGCAAGGAGTTCGAAGATTTCTTCGAGCGCAAGGACACCTTTGCTCTTGGTGTCTGCAACGGTTGCCAGTTCCTGTCGCGCATCAAAGAGCTCATCCCCGGTTGCCAGTCCTGGCCAACCTTCGAGCGCAACCTCAGCGAGCAATACGAGGCCCGTGTTTGCATGGTTGAGGTGCAAGATCCTCCTGCTACTCCCACGACCCCTCAGTCCGTTTTCCTCCACGGCATGCACGGCTCCATGCTTCCCATCGTTGTCGCACATGGCGAGGGCCGCGCCACCTTCCCCGCGTCCCCGAGCTCGGGCTCGTCGGCCGAGGCGCTCCAGAACGATGGCCTCGTCGCGCTACGCTACGTCGACAACTACAAGCGGCCAACGGAGCGCTACCCCTTCAACCCCAACGGTAGCCCCAACGGTATCACCGGTGTCAGGAGCCCCGACGGCAGGGTGCTGGCGATGATGCCTCACCCGGAGCGCACTATCCTCAAGGATGTGGCTAGCTGGGCGCCAAAGGACATGGCCGAGCAGTGGGGCGAGTTCGGTCCTTGGGTGCGCATGTTCAAGAGCGCGAGGAGGTGGGTTGGCTGAACGGGTCTCCCGCTTGCTACTCGCTGAAGTGTGTCTTGATCTTCACTTTCTGCTTCACTTGTTTGATGTCTGGTTTAGTTGGCGTTTCTTGGAAGATCGGAAAATACTCGCGTGGACGGTGTGGGAATGGGCAAAGATATCAAAAATGACCGAAAAACGAGGGGCGTGGTTAGATGTTAAATTCTGTTTAGATGAATATACGAAGGCTTCTTCTAAAATTAATTTACCATTTAGTGTGCTGGGCTGAGTTACAACACAGACCAGACCCGGAAAGTGAGGCTGCTATTCGCGGCAGGTGCAGCCGAGGCCGACCCGTGAACTCGCGACCCAAGCTCCGTCCGCAGCTCCAGGACCGACGACACATTTCCCATGCGACGACCAGCTACCCTTTTACGACAACGCAACTTGACGAATTCGCGCCCCTCACTACCGCAAAGATGATGAACGCAACGAGCGACGAGGATCCCTTCCTCCAAGTCCAAGCGTACGCGCCCTGTCTTGCCGTACACCTGTCCCAATACACCTTTCCCGCATGCTCTCCGCGCAAGCACATCCTCCCATGCGCGCAGCACCAAAGACACCTCAGATCGCTCCAATCTTGAGAATTCCATGTGCTAATCCTTTCTTTCTTCCAATACAGCGATGTACTCTCCCTCCTCGATACAACACGGCCACTCTTCCAATCGTACCTACGCATCCGCAGCTCGGCATCTTCGGCGACGAACCCGGAGCTAGTAGAGGCGCGGCAGGAGCTGGAGCAGGCGCTGACGGACCTGACGGCGGACCTGGAGGACCTTGTGGAGAGCGTGCGCGCGGTCGAGCGCGACCCGTACCGGTTCGGCCTGGAGATTGACGAGGTGGAGCGCCGGCGCCGGCTGGTCGAGGACGTGGGCAAGGAGGTGGAGAAGATGCGGGCGGAGCTGGTCAAGACTATATCCGCCTCGGCTTCCGCCGGTGGTGCTGGCACGGGGAAGGGCAAGGATGCGAATCCGGACGTGTTGCCGGATCCGGATGGGTTTGAGGAGGACGATGATATGTTGGATGGTGATGCGTATGCGGCGATGGAGCAGGAGAGGCAGATGGAGCTCATGCAGGAGCAGGATCAGGCTCTTGACGGAGTGTTCCGGACAGTGGGCAATTTAAGGATGCAGGCGGATGAGATGGGGAGAGAGCTGGAGGAACAGGGAGGCATGTTGGAAGAGGTGGACACGGTGGCAGATCGTGTAGGCGGGAAGCTACAGAGCGGATTGAAAAGGGTTGGATGGGTGATCCGGCAAAATGAGGGTAAGTTGTGGTGGTTTTGTTTGCGGTCGAGCTGTCTTTGTGTGCTGACTCGTTGGGATGACAGACAAATACTCGAGCTGCTGCATTGCAGTGCTGATTTTCGTCCTCATTCTTATTCTAGTCCTTCTCGTTGTCCTCTGATGAGGCTTACGGACGGTCGACTGACTGTGCACACTTGGAAAAGAGGAGCACGTCATAGCGAAAGCACAACACTTGGCACGCGGCACCGGCCGGGTCAGGCAAAGGATCGTTACATGCAGCTCAAGAAGCTTTGCTGGAACCTGAGTCATTCACGCCACAAATAGGATCGGCTATCTCAGAGAAGACTGGCCATGTCGCGGTCAATTGCCTCTTCGGCCTGAGGCAAGGGAGCACTCGACATGTTTCAAGACAAATGTTCAAACGCCCTATTGAGCTTTGGGCCAAATGCCCTGCAGCCTACCACTAAAAAGCCTTCGTGGAGTTATCAAGATGCTTTGTACGCTCGAAGTCGAACGACTGCTCGAGCAGCAACGTGGTCCCACAGAAGGCGGCGGTCACGCAGGGCCGGAAAGAAGACCGGCCAAAAGGCCCTCGATAGCCTGATACACGTAAATAAGCAGCCTGTATGACTGCGAATGCGCATACAAGCAGAGTGTCTTACGACCAGAACGACGCCAAAGACGTTTTATCGTTCGACTGTACAACAGCCTTAATTCCTCGAGGTTAGTTTTGAAATACAGCAGAATGGAGTTTATGGAGTTATCTAACGCAGACGGCTTATCGTGAGCTTGATGCGGCCTTCGAATTTTCCCAAATACACGTAATAGAGTCATATCCTGAAGCCATCTATCTCTTGGAATTCTTGGCGAGCCTGGCCGGTAGGTACCCGAGACAGCGACACCTGTCTTTTTTTGCATTGCTCCCTGCCACAGAATCTAGAGTAAAGCCTAGATTGGGTATCCGCGATATGAGTGGTTAGTAGTCTTGACGAGCATTCCTGATTTTTCCTTTCAGCAACCACCCCAAAACATGGGCACATTCCGTGGCGCCAGCCTCCAGAATGCTGTTCTAGGTCACGGTAACCCATCACCACATGCTGCATCTCTTTTGTTCACTTCAAAGTGGCTGGCCAACCATCCACCGGCGTGCTTCTGCTGCTGGCCTCGTCGAATTCAACCCAACCTCTTGCAAGTTTGCGCTAGCCTCGCCTTGGCCGGGAAACTTATCTTGCGTCTTCAAGATGGGCCAGCCTGCCTCGTCTCCTAGGAAGCCTCTGGTGGCTCGTCTGATTCCTTGCTTTCTCGTCCTCTGTCGTGCAAGCAGGAGGCTGCTGCAGACGGGGTACTACCTGGCCATCGATACACTGCATCGACAACGCGGACTGAGGGAGCTTACCTTCGCCAAGCTCATCGTACTAAAGAAACAGCTTAGCAGCAGTTTGTTCTATCATTTGCCCCTCTCTCTGCAAAGATTGTCGCCGCTTCGTGGATCTCGCGGGGCGGCGCCTGATCGATCTCAGATCAGAGGTTTCATTTAACTTTCTGGAGGAACGAAACATTCCGGGCAATAGAAATGACCTCTTTTCCATTTCGGTTCGGTTGGCCCCGCTGGCACCGTAGGTCAGTTCAAGGACTAGAAAGGCTCTGGAGACCGACGCCCGCAAGTCGTGTGCAGCATCCTCTCAAGCGTCGTCGCTGGACCCTCCTTGCCATCACGATATGCTTGCATGTCTTACTCTGGTGTTCAGCTCTTCCACTCGTTACAATGCTTGCACTGTTCGCTGCTCAGAGCATCGACAAGACAATCTTGCCGTCGACGGTCCTGACGATTGTCTCGGTACGTTGTTATTATCACGCTATCGACGCGGTGTAACTGACGAGTATCTAGGCCGTCGCGTCTTTCTCCTATATCATCCTCCATTCGATTGTCGCCCGCAGACAAAACCGTCTACAACAAGGAGTCACTTCGCGCAAGTTTGAGAATGCTTGCTACGTCGCGATCAGACTTGCCGTCACGCTATGCATCTTATGGCTGTTGACCTCTGGCTGGAACTTCATCGTCGCGGCGCGTCAGCCCGTTTGTCTCCCCCAGTCTTTCTCAAGCGACCTCGGTGACAGGTGGAGGGTGGGAAGCTCGTGCGCCGCAGAGCGGTTCAGTGCTGCAATTTCCTTCCTTGCGCTGTAAGTTCTGCGTTGTGCCTACCACATCTGAGTGTATGCTGATTACTACTTGCATAGGGTCGCCTCCTGCACACTCTTTGGTATCCTTGCTATTGCCCGCCGCCCGTTCGAAGCAAGCCTGCTTGGATTCTCGCCCTCAGCGTTAACAACTGAAAATGAGATCCATCACCGCCCTCTAAAGCACTCTCGTAAACTTGCTCATGCGGAGGATGGTGTATATAACCCTGCTCTCCATCGAGTAGTCGACATTTCCACCTCAACCCTTACCTCCCTAACCAGCCCATCCTTCCACAGGCCGGACACCGCCATGACCGAGAGGACGACAACCACCAGCATTCTCAACCTCGGCGGCATCGCAGGGATGAGCCAGCCTTCTACTCCCGGTCCTTCCTTTCCACCCACGCCCTCGACAGGCGACGCCATCATCGGTGCGCGTCAGAACAATCGTCACTTCGCCTGGGATCACAGCCCCCCGCCTCTTCCCCCTCTGCCTGCTCGCCCTGGTACAAACACCACGAGGCTGGACCCACCTTTACCCCCTCTACCGCTTCTCTTACCCGCCGCCCCCATCGTCTCTTCATCCGCCACCATCGTCGCTCGTCGTATCTCGAGTGCAGAATCAAAGTACACGCCACCACGGCCGCCATCCCTCGCATCGCCATATTCACAACGCCGATCGAGAAGTTACGGACAGGCACTGCCTCTACTCCAGTCTCCCATTGCTGGCGGCTCCCCGGTTGCTGCTCATTCTCCTCCGTCATCGTTTTCTCCGACACCCCGTCCTCCCCGCCTCCTTCCCGCCCGTCCGGCTAGAAGCCCCCCACCGCTCGACTCGGCGTGGAGGGCCATGCATCCGAATCCGCCAGGCGTGACGGTCGTGGTCGGCGGACGCACTGCCGCTGCTGCTTCCGCTCCTGCCGGCTGGGCAGGAGGGATGATGGAATTGAACGTGCCGAAGGTGCGGGCGAGAGCGTCGGCACCGCCGGCGGCGATGAGAGCCAGGCCGCCGAGCATGCCGCACAGCAGCCCGCATCCGCGGCAGATGATGTCTTGGTTGACGTCGTCGGCAGCGGCAACGACGACGACGACGACCGCCCCCACGTCCTTGTCTGGATGGACGCCAAAAACGGCGATGACTCAGGGGAGGAGAAGTATCGGTGGTTATAGCAGTGATGCCGGCGAGTCGTTGGCGTTGACGACGGCGGCGCTGGCGAGGCTGACGGCCGAGCAGCTGGCGCATCAGCAGCAATTGACGGACTGGCATCGCCAGAACGGTTCTGTTGCAGGGAGCGCCGGCGTTGGCATCCGACGCGGACGGGGTGGCCATGGTATCGGGCACCGCAGGATTCCAACACCGTCCGGTCCGCCGCCGAGCATGCCCATCAGCGTGAGGCCTGTCGTCAGTGACGGGACTCCTGGTACTGCTTCGTTTACTCCCTCTGCTGGTGCTGCTCCTGCAACTCCTTCTTCCACCACCACTGCTTATAGAACGAGCAACAACAACAACGCCAACGCGGTCGGAGGCGCCGCCGCCACCACCACCACCGCCGGCGGCGTCGACGGCAGACCATCCACCCCAATCAATCAGATGCTCCCACATCATCACAATCACAACAATAGCGGCAATCCTGCTCCGCTCTCCTCGGCAGCCATCCTCTCCCTCCAGCACCGCGCCGCCCGCCAACGCCCGCTGCGCTGGCCCACCGCCCGCCGCAGCCTGAGCAGCGACGACGCGCGGTGCTACAGCAGCGGCTCGTCGTCGACGATTGGTACTAATAGAAGCTCCAGCTGCGGCACCAGCTCGCCGCTCAGCACCACCATGGTCAGAGCCAGTGAGGTCGACGCCGAGGTGCTGAGGGAGGAGATGGAGGCTGCGGCGAAGAAGAGGAGGGAGACGTTTGGGAGCGTTGATGAAGAGCAGGAGGAGGATGAGGACAATGATGGGGCTGAGGGTAAGAGGAGGTTGGATGTTGTGGAGCAGATCAGTGGGGTGGAGAAGAGTGGGAGGTGGTGTAGGGTTAGGAGGGGGTTTGGGGTGGTCGGCGGGGCGAGGAAGGGGGGGAAGAAAGGCGCGCTGGTGGCCGAAAGGGAGGAGGGCGATTTGGGGATCGAGGGGAGGAATTGGGTGAGGAATGCGTCTGGGGAGCAGAGTCTGGCGGGGAGCAGCGAGGGAGATGGTAATGTTGATGGAGTGGAGCAGAGAGGGAGGGAAGACAGCGGTGTGGAGTGTGAGATACGGGTGACGGAGAGCAGCGAGAGAGGCAGCAGTTACGGGTCATCTGAGCAGACGGAACCGGAACAGCTGGTGGTACCGCGGAAGAGGGCACTTCTTCCGTCCTGGACCAACGGCGTCGTCGCCAGAAAATCGCCTGAGCAGTCGCTCTTGGACGCTGTGTTGGAGGCCAGCAAGGTCAGTCCGCTACTGCAGCAGCAGCAACTACAGGAACTTGGCGGAGCGACTTCTGTGGGTTTGACGCCGGTACCGGGTGACGACTCTATGGTACCTGTAGGCGGACTCTCGCGCAGCGAAACAGTTATCAGGAGGCGGACCAGATCGGTCGAGGGGGAGCGCAAGAGAGGTCCGAACAGCCCAGCGGAGGGAGGAATCACGAATAAGAAACCGGCACTTGGCGTGGGTCTGGGACTCAACTGCGTCATTGGCGTTGGTACTGGTGCCGACAACAATAGAATTCACGGTCAGCAAGGAAAAGAGGTGGAATCGCCGGGTATACAGAGGACTCCTCGCACCAGACGGAAGACGGTAGCACTTGGTTGAGCGAAACGGTAAATTTGTCTAGGAAACATGGCGATTGATATGTAGTCAAGTAGCATTCTAATAGTAATGATACCAGAGAATTCCTAACACTCTGCGTCGAATGACCGTTACTTCTAAAATGAACCAAGTCTTTCTGCCATTTTGATAATTGTGTCACGTTCAAGACTTCCACCGTTCCCAAACCGCATCACATGGAGAAATTAAACATCCTAACTCGCTCTTCACATGTCGTACTGGGGTAGATCAATGATCTTGTCAGTAAAAAGAGATCCTTGAAACCAGTTTGCGAGACCTGACCAGGAAATGACACCCAGGAAGCCGTTGAGAATAGCAATACCCCAGGGTGTCTGCGGGTTAGCCATAGCGGGCGCACCAGGGAGAAGCTTTTGCGCCTTCTGCATGACCGGCTGCATTATCTCTTCGTAGCCAGCCAAAGCAGCCTCGTGATCAGTGCCGTGCTTCTTCAGCTCGCCCGCAAGCACGTAGGCACCGATTATGGCACAAGAAGACCCCTTGCCGGAGATGGGCGAGGGGCAGAAGGCGGAGTCGCCTAGCAGCACAACGCGGCCTTTCGTCCATGACGGCAGCTTGACTTGGGCGATCTGCTGCATGTAGAAGTCGTCAGAGCCGTACATGCCACTGATAACACGCTCTGCATCGCCGCCGGCGTCTTTAAAGAGTCCATCCCACATCTTCATCTGCTCCAGGACGCTGAGCTGGAGGTAGTTCTTTGGAACGTCGCTGTTGCAGATAGCTAGGTATGCGCCCGTCCGCTTGCGCTCCAGGTCCGGTCGGAGGAGGATTAGTCGCCCCCCTGGCGCATTGTACCACGTCGCCCACTGAGCATCGGTATCCGCGGGCGGGATGGTGAAGTAGGCCATGTGCTGTCCGAGGTCCTTCAACGCGTCCGCATCGTCGAACACGAGCCCCCGCGTCTTCGAATTCATCCCATCCGCCGCGACCACGAGATCGAACCTGCGCTCTTCCACCCCGGGCTCCAGCTCTTTCGCAAACCTCACCGCCACCCCGCTGCCCTCCACCTGTGTGATGCCGGCGATCGAGTTGCCCAAGATGTACTCGATGCCGTCATCGTCTTTCGTGGCCTCGAAGAAGACGCGCGCCAGCTCGCCGCGCAAAATCTCGATATCAGCCGTGAAGCCCTTACCACCACTTGCGCCCTCCTCGTTAGCGGGAAACTCGGCGATATGCTTGCCCGCGGAGTCGACAAATGCCATGCCGCGCTCCTGCACCGTCGCGCAGCGCACCGCGTCTTCCAGCCCCATCCGCCGCACGATCTCCAGGGCTTCTCCGCGGATGTCGATCTGCTGCCCCGTCGTGCGCGGCACCGGCGACCGCTCGACGATGGTGCAGCGCGCGTGGCCGCCGCGGCGCAGCCAGAAGGCGAGGGCGGGGCCGGCGATGCCGCCGCCTGCAATGAGGATGCTTGGTTGGCTGTCGGACATGGCCGTGGTAAAGGTGGTATAATAACGCGGGATGTGATGTCTGCAGGCGTTATGGCCATGTGTTTGGGGATTTGAGTCTCTAAATAGTAGTTGCCTGAAAGCGTTCAGAAGTGACGTCAACGATCCTTGCACTTCATACTGTGCTATGCGTACCCTCATGGGAGTCGATTGGGCGCCTAATAACAAGCCCGCATCCAGAACACAGTGCAATTGGATGCAGGTACTGTTATTAGCGCACTTTGGCCCCGCTTGGGTATTCCCGCATAGCCCTATCAAGACAATCGCTTGTGGAGGAGTGTTCGGAAACTACCATCAGAGTCCAGGACACACGGAATGCCAATTGTTAAAGCATTACTGTAGCATGGCATTTGATGCGCGGGTCTGAACGTGGATGAACCCCTTTCAAATAGACACTCACTCGGGTGTTATTCATGTTTTCTTTCAACTGACACTTTAGAGAGAGAAAAATTCAGAAGAGATGTTGATTGAAACGTTTAAACATTACCAGTACAACTTTCAATCTACATGTAGTAACGACAAACTAAATCACCATTAGGCAACGAGTAGCAAGCTGGAACAAAGCCAAGTGGATAACGTACCAATCCCAAAACGCCAAAATTCGCCCCCGACCCACATCTTATAAGAAATCCTAGTAGACATAGCTATCTATGTGGTCGGCGGCTGGTGATAGCTTTGTTGTTGATCCCGTCGGTCATCATACCGAGGATCTTATTGTCAAATTAGGTTAGACGAAGACACGCGATAAAGAGACCGAACTTACCATCTTCAGCGCCAAGCCGGCCTTGAACCCCATCTCCGGGCCCTCGGTATTGCACTCGATGACATGATGGCAGATGGAGCCAATGGCACCGATGCGCATGCGTGCGATACCCAGAACAAGGCAGCCCGCATCTTTGGCGAACTTGAGGCCGCCGAGCACATACAGTGACGACATGGGCAGGAGGATGCCGACAACCGTGTCTCGGGCGGGGTCAAGCGGGGGCGACAGCACGGCCAGGTCGGCCTTACCCAGGTCGATGGACTCGTCGACACCTTCGGCTTCGTAGCGCATGGCAACGTCGCCACCCGCGAGCTGGCCGACGAAGCGGCGAGGTGGGATGGACGGGTTAGATTGACTAGAAGAGGAAAAAGCGGGCCAAGTTAGTTAAAAAGGCAGGGAATGCTGAGGTGGAGCTCCCTCACGCTTCCGCTGCTTCTAGGATGCCGTATCTGGTGCCCAAGGTTAGCATGTTGCGCCTGATGTGGTCCATGCCTCCTCTTTTTGTTTCTTCTCCCTGTTTCAAAAGGGAAGTTAACATACCTCCCACCAGGACCGGCGCCAAGATAAATTACACGTCCGCCTCTGGCCACTCTGGGGCCGACAAGGTCAATAGCTTTGGCGATGTTCGGAAGGCAGGCCTCAACGGCGGCGCCGACGTTGGCGTTCTCCGAATGCATCACCTCTAGAGTTCACGGGAAGGGCGTGTCAGACATTTACTAAATCCGCAGCTTTGCAATCCTCCGGATAACCGTTAGACTCACGGCACATCTCTAGCGTGGATTGGGCATCCGCATCTCTCCCGGCGGCGTTTGCTGATGCGCGCCCTGACTGTTGAAGATTGGCCGACATGATGGGCGAGATGAAGGAAAACATGGGAGGTTCCGGCATCTTGCTGGTGGAGTGTTTTTATGTGCATTCCCTGCTCCAGCTGAAAACAAATCTAAAAAGTCAGTTGGGGCGCAGGCGAGGAGGCGGGCAGCTGCTGTTCGTTCGGGGCTCGTCTTGGGCCGGGAGATTGCAGCTCCGCCGTAGAGGCAGCCAGGGCCGATCCCTGTCATGCACAGGCAGGCACACGGGCCATGCCCGAATCACAGAAAGCCCCGCCGCTTCCTGGTCGCGTGCCTGAGGCCAGATGCTTGATGCTCGTGGAGCCCTTTGCGCTCTTTATGGATTTCGGATTTTTCTGGCTTGGTCGCCACCAGCTGTGTAGGTGTTTGGCCTTCGGTCTGTGAAAGGACTTGTAATTGGCAAAAGTGAAATCATACTTCATTTCAGTAAAGTGAAGCAGAGCAGTATCAAGTGTCAAAAAGGAGTGAATCATGAGACAGCCGACGGCCTCTGCCGGCTTCTTTTGAACGGGGTTGTGAATGATGTTTGGAGAAAGGAGAAACCATGTTTTTATGAACCGGTCTTGAAATAGAAACGTGGTCGACGTATTCGACCCGAGACTTGTCGTGCGAGGTCATACCCTTGAATTTAACATGACCGCCCTTGTTGCTGTACCATCGCTGCGGAATCTCCAGAGGTCGCGACTCCAGGGTAGACAGACGAGAGGAAGAGGCCCATCGAGACGCCGCCAAGCCCAGCACGCGTCCTACAAGGGATTGGAACACGTCGGAATCGTTCATGCATTATTCTTTCATGAGTCCACTCGACGCCCCGTAACCTCCCTTCCTGCGGCGGGGCGAGACTGATCTACTTGGTGCCTGCCAGGAGTATATACAGATCCTTCTCTGTTCTATTGGCGTCCCCCAACTGATTCTTTCGCTCTTGTTTTCTTCACTCCAAAGCAGCGTACATGTCGATCTCCTCGCCACTCCGTCTCCGCCTGCGGACCGGGTCGCTTTGCATCTGCACACCGGGACCGACTCTCCGGGTGTTGGATCGGTGCACGGGAAAGACCTGTGAGATGTTAGAAAATGAACATGACGACTCCCGACGACCTCGGTAGATAGCGGATGCGGAGGCGCGGCGAGCACGCTCAGCACAAGCGCCCAGAATGCAAAACGCGTCTGCCGGTGTAGCACCGGAGGGAGACTGACCTTGGTACCCGACCAGCCGAGGCGGAAGGCAATCTCATGAGCAAACAGCTCGCCAAAGCCCAGCATCAAGCCATTGATGAAGGGGAGAACAAGGTTTATCGCGGCGCCGCGCATCAGGCCCCATAGGGTGGGCGGGTGGTAGAGTATGACGGGTGAGCTGGACGACGAGGGCGGCGACGACGACAGCTCGTTGTTGCCGTCGTAGTTTTCGCTGTCGGACGGGATGGTGACGGACTCGGACATGGCGTTTCTCTCTGGGGCGGGGGAGGCCATGATGGGCGGCTGTAGGGATGTCGGGAAGTGGACGGAGTGTCTGTCTCAAGCGGTGACGCTGTCCTGGAGCGCCAAGCCCGTGGAAGCTCGCGCTCCGCCGCCGAGATGCAGTGACGTTGCCCCGCCGCTGCCTCCGCCGCCCACGCCTTACACTCAGCCCCAGCTCGACTTTTCCCCAAGCTCTCGCTCCTATCGCGCCGCGCTCAGCCAGGATCACCTGCCACCAACCCTGCAGCTTCCCGACATATCTCACCCACCATGACCGAGCCCACGGGCACCCAGCGCGACGACCTGATCTCGCAGTTTTGCGCTGTCACCGGCTCCGGTCCCCAACAGGTATGCCGAGCTTCAAGTCCGCAAGAGCGCTTACTGACAAAGCAATCTAGGCTGAGACCGCGCTCAAAGCCACCGAGTGGGACGTCGCCAACGCCATCACCATGTTCTACGCTTCCCAGGACGAGCCCGAAGAGCAAGATGCCGACGAACCGACACCCGCCCAAGCTCCTCCGGGCTACACTGGTCCTCGCACACTTGGCGGAGCACCCGCTCCCGGCGCTGCTGATCCCGGCTCCTCCAGATCCTCCTCCGGTGCACGTGGCCAGCAGCGCGGAGGTGCGCGCGGTGGTCTCAGGACGCTGAGGGACCTACAAGGCGAGGGCGCGTCCCAGGGCCATGCTCATGGTCACGACGACGACGACGATGAGGAGGACCAGGACTTCTTCGCCGGTGGCGAGAAATCTGGTCTGGCTGTTCAGAACCCAAACAGCGGACCCAGCACTCGCGACCAGATCAACAGCATTCTCGACCGTGCTAGGAGGTAGTACCCATTCTAACTCCATAGACCAAAACTCATGCTGATTCTGACTGCAGGAACATGCCTCGTCCGGGTGGCGAAGACGAGCCGCCTGCTCGCCAAACCCACTTCAGAGGTCAAGGTCAGACGCTTGGTGGTGACGATGAACCCTCCCGCGTCGTCCCCGATCCCCATGCAGGTGCGAGCGCTCCCCGCCGCCTCGAACGCGTCCGTCGTGTAATGCACCTCTGGCGCGACGGCTTCTCGATCGACGATGGCCGCCTCTACCGCTACGACGACCCCGCCAACGCCGGCCTGCTGGAGATGATCAACAGCGGACGCGCCCCGCTTGACATCTTGGACGTGGAGCACAACCAAGAGGTCGACTTGGAGGTTCAGCCGCACAGGGAAGAGGATTATGTGGCTCCCAAACCAAAGTACAAGCCCTTTTCGGGACAGGGTCAGAGGCTGGGCAGCCCCACCCCTGGTGCAACCAGTGGAAGCTCCACGCCTACCCCCGCTGCTGCTGCTTCGTCGAGCTCGGCAGCCCCCCAGGCCCCTGCGATTCAAGTCGATGACTCGCAGCCCACGCTCACCATGCAGATCCGCCTCGGTGATGGAACTCGCCTGCAGTCTCGCTTCAACACTACCCACACCATCGGCGACCTCTACGACTTCGTCAACAGGGCCAGTCCCGCGAGCTTGGAGCGTGACTACGCGCTTATGACTACGTTTCCCAGCAAGGAGCTCAACGAGAAGGCGCAGGTGCTGGGCGACATGCCAGAGTTCAAGCGCGGTGGAGTTGTCGTGCAGAAGTGGAAATAGACGGCTGGTCTATGAAACATTCAAGGACCATGGAAGAATTGAAAATCAGGTATAATAGCTCATTGATCAATGCATAGGGCCTGAAACCTTTTCACATGGGCTCAGGCTTAGGGGTTAACCAGATGGTGGTTCCTTCTTACAGTAGGTAGACAGCGGGCAGAATCAAACATGACTTCTCTGCTGTTCACTTCTTGTCAGAAAATAACATATATGGGTAGCTCAAGCTATCATCCGGACGTGAATATATAGTTATTAATTCCATATTTACATCCGGGCGATAGCTTCAACTACCCATGGCATGAGCAGAAAACAAATCCACGCTAGCCATCGGCTGCGACAGAGGATGGACTCTAAGTCCAAGCCGCACTCCCGCGCAATAGTTTTTCTTGCGACGGTGCATACATGGTCATATCACTTCTACGAATATGGAAGGCTTCGCCTATCGATTTGGATGTTTTTTACATTAGATGAAGATGTCTTGAAAGTCCGTCCAAACTCACTATCACTCGAATGCCCTAGCATATCCGGTATTATCACCACCCAGCTTGATATGACTGACATAATCCTTCGGATGCTCGCACAACTCGTTGGCTACCAGAATTATCGCCGCTAGCCAAAGAAATGTCACGAAGACCAAGAGGTACGCAAGCCATCCGTTGCCCGGCCATGGGTGTTCACACACTATTCTGTAGGAGAACACGCCACATGAAATAACGGCTGGCGGGATGAGCGAGGCGGAATTTAAGAAATGCATGGCAGCCAAGCAGCCCCTGCTTGGTCTTTCCTGGTCATCCGAACGATTCGTCGGCCCATTGGCGTTTTCCAAAAACAAGTCCTTCACGTCCAATTCCCGACTTTCGGATCAACCAGCAGACCAAGGCAAGACTTCCGAAGACTTTGGCAACCAGTACACCCGTGATGTCCCATTCGCCATCCATATCGGCGCCCTGCTCGACATACGGCTCCATAAATCTGTCTCTTCCCTCTTGAAAACGACAGGCTTTGTACTCCGTCATTAATTCTCGGACGTGACAACGGTAGCTGCAACACTCTTTTTGGGCGATCTCGAGCGCCTCTTTCTGCTCGTCTTGTGACGCTGTTGCGGCAGGCTGAGACGCGAAGCCGGGGAGCTGAACGGGTGGTGTATTGAGCTACCCGAAAGGAAGCACTAAATGTACCCCTGGACCATCGGCACCTACTAACAAAGCCTGGGGCCACGCGTACTCACCCGCTGCGACGTCTACCAGCAACACTAGCAAAGTCCCTCCTGTCACGATCAAGATACTTCCCGCTTCAAACGACAGGCCGGCCGAGAATATGTAAATCGCAATGATCTGCTGCCAGTGAAACGAGAGTAGCAACTTGAAGGCGGTGGGTGGTATGCTGAGGGTGGGGTATTTGATGGTGAAGACGAGGAAATTGAGAGATATTGCCGCGTTGAAGAACATGATATGTCCGGTTGGTCGCCATGGTTGGGGGATGAGCGGATTAGCGTCTATCGTGTCTTTGGTCATGAAGAGGTTGGGGATGCTAAAGAGGCACATGATAGTGGAAGGCCATAAAAAAGCGCTACAGATGTCGTTCCAGGTTATGCATCGAGACCGTTCTTCAACATCGGCTAGGATGGGCTCAATGTCGGCTGGGGTGGGTTCGACGTCGGCGGGGGCGACTTCGATATCGATGAGGGGTTTCGGGTCCATGTTGCCTTGCGATGCTTGACGGGGAAATGACATGCCGAGACTCTTGTGTTTCGGGAGGGAGAGCATTTATTGGGTGCTTATATGATTTCTGTGTTGGAGATTTCGCTGCAGAACTTGGGTTGTACCGTGGTTGCACTCAAGGAAGAAAGAGAAGTCTTGACCAAAACCAACGAACATGTAATAAGAACCCCTACCACATGAACGCAACCAAGGTACCGCCCAAACTCGCAACCGCATCTCACATATTGACACGTTTAAAAGCATCCTCGACCCTCAATAAGCACTCCTCGCCCAAAGAAGCCTGATCTGCTTCAAACTTGGAACAGACAACAGCAATCATTATGGAACAGACCACCTCATCGAACGACCCAGGCTTCTGCCTCAAAACCACCATCAATGCCGAGGAACCGCCACCCTACTCAGAGCAGAAAAATTCTTCTCCAGACTTCGACTTTGACCAAGCCGCGCCTGCTGAAGTGGAAAAGCAGCCTCGAGCCATAGACTGGAGTGACATCGTGACCGCATCCGCATGGCCGCAGGTCATCCTTGCGCTCCTCCACATCCCGACTATGCTCTTTCCGCAAAGTACTCTCTTAGACATTGGCTTTCCGCAACCATGGGTCCGCAATGACCGCCTCTGCTTCATCAGCGGTTGTTGTTTAGGCCCTGCTGTCCTCAGCTCCTTCCAAGGCAATCACCTGGGCCGCATGCTCCTTTACAAAGCGTTCTTGCCGATCTTGTGGCAACAGCTCGTTGCGACGTACCTGGAATCAACTGAGCTGGGGTGGTGGTGGAAGGAAATGGTCGGGTGGGTCCTGGTCGTCGCGGGAGGCCAGCTCCTGATACTCACGACGAACTTGTATCTGGGAGAGTACGCGTGGCCCGAGGCATCGCAGGAGGAGCAGAGGAAAACACTTGAGAAGTCGCTGGAGCGGCGGAGGGAAGCTTTCGAGGCCGAAGAGGAAGCGCGCCACGAATACCGTCGTAAATGGGGAGGGGTAGGAAAGAAAGAACAGGCTGAAGCCGGCGCTGATGGTCGTCAACATGGAGACGCGTGTTCCGTGAAGGATCTTAAGGCGGGCGTTGATGGGAAGTGGGAAGTTACGGATGAGCTGATCGCCACGGTTTTCGTAAGTTTCTCTTGCATTTCACAGCCCCTATCGATCCCTGAGCTGACGCGTGTTTCTGTGAACAGAAAAGACCAAACCATGGTGGCGGAGCGATCAAATACTTCTTTTCCTCCGCAGCATGTGTCTTCCTGCCACTGGCTCTCATACTTGGCACGTTTTCCTACAGGGTACTGCTGCACAGCCCATGGCAGGGCAACCAACTGCTTGCATACATTTTGTGCTTTGTGGGGCTGATTTGGCTCAATTTGATGTTTGTTGCGGCAATTGTGCTGCGTGAGCTTCCAGAAGATACTTCAGGATATTGGTTTGTTCAAGATCGAAAGTGGGTAATGTTAGGTGGTGAGAATACATCAGACGCACTGCGGTTGTGATTTCCGGGCCGGAAGTTTAAAGAAGGCAAAATGCATTTGTATGGATAACTTTGACTATGATAATTTGTGGAGCATCATCCTTGGACAAGACAATACATTCACCCGAAATTACGACCAAGCTGCCAGGCACCAACCGCCACACTATCTCACAGCTGTGCCTTCTGTCCATCATCTGCACGAACCGGAACCTCCGCCCAGGCCTTCTCGAATCCGCCGCTCCTCAGCCACTTCGGGCCGCCTGCCTGCACGCCGTCCATTCCCATGGCAGCCGCCTTCAGCCAAGCATCCTGCCCCTCGATCGCAAAGCCCCTCCTATCCTCCTGACGCAGCTTCGCACACGCCTGCGCACCGTTAGCGACGGCTCGCAGGAGCTTGGGAGTATGCCCGTCGTCATCGGTCATGCTGTTCACACGATCAAACAGCTGCTGCCAGCCATGATTACGATGGTTTGAAGAGACGTAGTTGACGATCTCGGCGGCCGGGAGCTCGGGAGCGCCGCGGGAGGCGTAGCCGGCGAGGTCGAAGCGGCCCTTCCATTCGAGGAGGCGGGCGCGGGCATTGGAGGGGAAGAGCGGCGAAGTGAGGAAGGAAGTGAAGAAGATGGAGGAGGTGACCGAGTGCATGTAGAAGAAGTCGATCTTCGCAACGTGCGGGGGCCGTTGAGGAGCGGCGGTAAAGAAGACTGTTCTGGCTGTCAGCTTCTCACTGCAGAAAACAAAGTGTGTCCGCGGGGGGAGTGAAAGCTTACCGGACGCATCGATCATCTCGGCCGTCTTGCGCTCCAGTTCCTTCTCGCTGCTGTTCTCATCGACAACCCACTTCGCCGCGAGCTCGCACATCTCCTTCCCAGCCCTCCCGACGACGCCGTCGCGTAGCTTGTTCGCGTCCTCCCACCGCGCCGCGCCCGCGAGCTTCTCGTCGGCCCTAATCTCAGCGAGCAGCTGCCCGAGCGTGACGCCAGCATCCGCCTTGCCCTCCTTCTTCTGCGCGTCCGCAACGCGCTCCGCGCCGAGCAGGAAGCCGCCGATCCAAGCGTCGTGCGTAGCGGCCTGGGCGAGGGCCTCGGCGACGATGGTGGGCTGCGCGAACTCGACGCCGAAGCCCAGGTGGATCAGCGGGTGCACGAAGCCGGCGAAGGTGCGCACCAGCAGGTCGTCGGCGCGCTCGTCGCGCGCGAACAGGTACTCGCTCAGCACCGCCGACACGCCCTTGGCGTCCAGCTCGCGCGCAAAGTGCACCAGATAATCACCGTAGTAGGCCTCGTCGCCCAGGTGCGCGGCGAAGGTCGTCCGGTTGCTGAGGTCCGCCGTGACGCGCGGGTGCAGGGGCACCGGCGGCCGCTGGTAGGTCTTGTTGGCGTCGTAGGCGGCCTGGATGGCCGAAGGGGTGGCACCGAGGGCGTAGAGGGTGAGGAGGTGGTGGACAATGTGGTTCTGTGCAGAGGATGAGTCATTGATGTATGCTTGAGAGAGACCGAGGCCATCAGTTCACGACTTACGTGGAATCCCTCATAATTGAAATAGATATGATACTTCTCGTGGTTCTCTTGCAGGAGCTCCGACACCTTTTCGGCTGACTCCTTCTTCAACGGCGCGACGAAAAATGCCGGCTTCTCGTTCGCCGTGAGCTGGATCTTGGTCGAGGTAGCCATGTTTCTTTGCCCGACTGGGACTCGAGTCGTTGTTGGGAGTTTGAAAGGGATAAGTGAAGAGCAATGTATAGCGCAAGGCTTTGGCCAAGCAGAGAGCCTCGAGGCCAATTGAATCTTGGTCGTCTGTGCCGTCGTCAAGACGGTTTTGCTTTACTCGCTGATCAGATGGGTCCTTTCTCCGCACAGAAGAACGGCCTACTTATATGCGTCCCAGACCAGCGCTCCAGAACCTCACGATCACGAAATCCTCTATCTCACGGGCCAACGGGCATTAGAGCGCGCGAAGGAGCGAGGTGTGGGCAGAGAGACAATTGGACCCAATTATCAGTGGCTACCGTAACAATGCAAGGAGGGGGCGGAGGGGATGAAAAGGGAAAGAGAACATGCCGTCTTGCGAGATGTTAAGCCTCTAATCCCCGCAGCTTGCGCTCCTTCCCCGCCGCCTGCATCGTCTGCTTTGGTGGTCGTCAGGTTAGTTGACCCCCTGATCCTGGGCAAGTCATCACGCATGGTTAATTCTGACGTATGAACACGCCCCTCAAAAACGATCATCAGGCCGCCGCTCTGCCAATCCGCAGCTACGTGATTGGTCGGACGAGGGAAATGCTTGCAGACCTGCAGACCAGTGTCTTGGTAGAGACGTCCGCTTGGTTCGGACGTGCATGCCCGAAAGCTCCGCTGAGTAACGGGCCGGAGTCTGGAGCACGCATTTGGGAACGTGCCATATGTTAGTTCGGGTTTTTGTCAGCAGCGGTGGAGGCCCCCGCGTTTGCTCCTTGTCGGAGCCTCGGGGCCCGAAGACGCGAGTGATGAGCTGTCGGATGTCATTCCGCCATCTTACTTAACCGCAACTTGCTATTGGTCAATCCAAAAGCTTCCCCATAGTGGATTATTGTCTGCACGCTTTTGTAGCTCACAAATACGGCCTGACACGTACACAAGTAGCATTGTAATTACGAGGCAAAGTGCTGATCTGAAGAAGAGGAATGGAATTACTACTTTTGGAAATCACTTTGCCTGTCAGGTATAATGCCCACCATACAGCCATAAACGCCGTACCAATGCAATCTGACAGAACCCGTCTCAAAATAATCACGTCCGAATACGAGACAGTGCATGCTTGCCTCAAGACTCCCACTTCCTGGCTTCCATGCCATCAGGCGGGGTCGTCGGGACCGTGGCCTTACCAACTTCAGCCCAGTTAGTGCTCAGAGCCGTGCCATTGCTCTCTTGGAAGCTCTTAAGCATAGCCCTGCGTGTGTCCGGGTCTGAGTTCTTGTACAGCTTGCGGAAGAAGGCGTTGGCAGGGTCTCCGCCGTCATCATCGTCATCATCATACGGGTCAGCACCTGCTTGCTTGGGCTTGGTCAAATCGCTGGCCACCTTGTCCCAATCCTTAGGTCCGGAGCGCGACGAGGTGGGGTATGCCGGGGCTGTTGCGGTCGACTTAGAAGCAGCAAGGCTGTTGGTAGCCGTCTTGAGAAGCGACTCATCCTTGCTCTCCAGCGCAGACCACTTCATGCCCGGCGTTTCCTTCTTGAGTGTGATTTCGACCTTCGAAGGCGTAACATTGTAGGATGACTTGTCAGGAACGACAGGCGCGAAGAGAGGATCGAGGTTAAGTTCATACGACGTCGAGTTCGCGGTGGGGAATGATACCGACAACTAGCTTTGGTTAGCTCTGCTGGCGAAAGACTCGCAAAAGTAAACTCACGCTGCGCTCCTCAATTTCAACCTCAACCTTATCCTTGGGCACACCCTTCGCGAAGATGCTGATGGTGACATTCTCGCCAAAAGAGTACCACTCGTGCCTGACCTTGTCCGCGGGGGTGGGCTGGGGAGCGGGGGGCGTCGCCGCGGCCGTCTGCTTGGTACCGGAAGTGCTGGTAGCCTCTGCAGGCTGGGGCGCAGGAGTGGACTCGGGCTCAGTGTCGGGCACATCAACAGCCGTGACCTTGCGGGCCTCATCATCCTCAGCCAATGCCTTGAGCTTGTTTTCGACCTTCATCTCCCACACTTGCAACGTTTTCTCCTTGTCGGTAAACTTCTTGACCAGGCCGAAGACATGACCAGCGTTGGCGTACTGTCCCAGGGCAAACAAGGTGACGGCACGGCGCTGCTGTGCTTCGGCGATGAGCTCGCGCTTAGCACGCTTGTGAGCGAGGTTCACGGCGATCTCGGCATCCTTGAGCGCGGCTTCGAGGCTGGGCGGCGAGGAGCGCTGGTAGGCGGTGGAGCGGCTGATGTAGTACGAAACCGCCTGAGGGTTCTGGGCGAGTGCCTCGGTGAACTTCGCAATGGCGACATCGTACTGGCCGGCCTGTAGAGCTTCCTTGCCCTTCGAAGCGGGGTCCATGGCGATTAAGAGTGACTCGCGGTCGGGACGAGCTGTGTGACGGATTGCGGAGCTGCAGAAGCTTTGGTTGCTTCTTTAGTAGGGCGCGAAGCTGCGTAGCCTGCTCGAGGGCGTAGGCATGCGGATATAGAAGGAGTGGAAGCGCGCAGAAGCTCCGGCGGCCGACAAACGCGCTTGCCCCGCCGTGCACGCGCAACTTGAGCCTGCCGAAGCTGTTCCGGATCTGGGGCGAAAAGCGCCGACGTCATCGGACCTCACTTCTCCAACTCAACATCTCCCCGTTTTTGCACCTGTTCCTTTCTGCATGTCGCGCGTCGCACACCCATTGTACAATGCTTTGATCCGGACCCATCATATCACCTCTCGGAAAAAGGTCGCCAATCTGAAGAAGGCTGCCGACAACCATGGTGTTTATGCTTTACTCTGCAGCGGCGGCTGTCCTGGAATCATGTATGCCGAAGGGAGCGCCGATGGTGTGAAGGAATGGGTGTCGTCAGTAAATGTTCGTGAAACTCGTCGCCTGGGACAGCCCTCGACTAATTCCGCGCAGAGACTTCGATATAAAGACTACCAACTGGCCGTTCGCCCAGCTCCTATTGCGCCGGAAAATGGCACAGCTGCAAGTCGGCATGTGCCAGTCGGTCTGTTCGAGGTCGGAACGGTAAAAGAGTTTGGCGCAATCATGCAGCAACGAGCCATCTGGTCCTGGTGGAGGAAGGGGATGGGATACGTTTCCGAGGATGATTAGGAACGCTCCAATAGGTATAATAGCGGTGGCTGAGCTGTCGCAATGTAGTGTAATGCTGACCGTGATAATCCGCTCCAGAATAGATAAAGCTGCTGAGCAGAGTAGGCCTGCTAACCCCAGAGGTATCTCGCAGGAATAGGAGAGGCTTGCTGAGTGAAATGAAGAAACCGCCAGAAGAGGGGGCGCAAGGCCCTCGAGTTGGCCACAGTCTTGTATGGTGGTACGCAATCAAAAAAAGTGTTTTTCTTCCAACTCGGTGGGTTTGCTGTTTTGAATTGTTTTTGTGATTTTCTCAACAAGCACTCTGAGAGCGGAGAAGCTCAACCAGGCACAGGTGCATTCCGCCTCAATGAACTGTGCTTGTCCGCAAGAGAAGAAGGCGTCAGGGAAGACTGGAGAACCGGAAGAAGGCCACGAGAAGAAAGTACAGAGAAAAGCAAGTCGAGAGGATTCGAAGATCGGAAAAAAGCCAACCGGAGGGATGACAGGTGCGCGGAAGCTCAGGTGAACCGGATACAGCGCTCAGAAATCCCGAGGCGTTAACAACCTCCTTGCCTTCCACTTCCGAGACTTGCTCTTCTTCTTCTTCTTCTTCTTCTTCTTAAGCGGACGCGACAGCGGGAAGAACAGCTCCAGGACCGGAGAGGCAAGCGCGGTGGTGACAGCAGGACGGACACGCGGTGGCGACTTGGCCACGACCCTGGGGACTGCGAACGAAGAGATGTGACGGCGGCGCGGACGGTCGGGTTGGTGCTGGCAGCGCCGAGACGAGAGGAGACTGAGAGACGAGGTGCCGGAAATGACGTGATGGAGAGAGGCACTGTCACCCATCCGTTTAACATCGGCAACCTCGCTCTCCGTCTCATCATCCCGGGATCCAGGAACACGGGCAGCGAGAAGGGCGGCGTCGGCGCGGGCAGTGGCGGAGAAGCGAGCGCGGATGCCGTGATTACTAGGGAGATCTAGCAATCCGTCGTAGGTCCAAGGGATCTGGTCCTCTTCTTCTTCCTCTTCCTCTTCATGCTCCTTCTTGTCCTCTTCTTCCTCTTTCTTCTCCTCCTTCTCCTCCTTCTCCACTAGGGCGGGCGCAGATGGGAGGGAGACGGGCTGGGCGGCTGTTGAGGGCGCGGGCCCGTGTGCCGAGGAGTCGTCGTCGTACGAGGGGCAGGTGTAGGCCCGCTTACCGCGGGCAGCGAGATCCTCCGGAGAAATGAAGCAGTCCGCTGGGAGACTGGCCATCTTGGCGAGATGGTCGGCCTCCCAGTCCTGGTTGACCTCGGTCAGAGCGGGTGACGGCGGACGAGACGGAGACGGCGACGGCGCGAACCAAGGCCAGGCGCCAGGCATCTGCTGCTGCTGCTGCTGCTGCTGCTGCTGCGACGGAGGCAGGGAAGCGGCCAAGCGGCGGATGCGACGAAGGACCGGGACGACGAAGCGCGCAGCTAGGAGGCCAAAAAGGCCAACCAGGCAGAAGGAAAGGCGGAGGGAGCGATGAGCGACGCAGTTGTCGGCCGTAAGCGGCTCCAGAAGCTGCATGTCGACGGCGAAGAAGACCAGGAGACCGACGAGAGCGCGGGAAAAAACGTGGATGCTGGAGCTGAGCGCAGTGCCGCTCAGCGTCATCCAGATGACCATGGTAGTGAGGGCCACGACGTCGTAAGTGCAAGCTGACATGATGCTGTTAGGGGCGATATAGTGCTGGGGTTGCAAAATATCTCGTTAACGGTATCGGTGTGGAGCTTGCTGGAGGTGCGCGGTGGAGAGAAAAGGATGGAGGTTGTAGACTAGCGGGCGAAGATATAGGCGGTGCGCCTCGCTTAGAGTGTTATTCACTTTCGACCGGGAAATGCGGGTGAAGTATTTGGATCTGGGTGAAGAGCACTTTCACACAATTTGGCCACCTTACTTCTCGCGCATGGCGTCAATGCCTTGTGAATGGCCGGCAGCTACAGCTCTAGCTGCCAATGGCATGTCAATGGTCTTAGAGCGCAGTGAACTGGCAATGATATATCCATATTTAGTTTGTTGTTTACAGTAATGACAGATAACTAGTGCCAGGTGCCGAGACTGTCAATGACGTCTACCATCACGCTACCACTAGCTATATTGAAGCTGGGGCTCATTGCGACAGTATTTATGTTCCAAAACTAAGCGAACTGGTAAGGCGATAGTCGCGCGAAATGAAGGAGGAAAAGTACATTCGGAATGTCCACAGCGCAATGGCATAATAACGTATCAATCGAAGCACCACTTTGGCCAGCAACAACAAAGCAAACAACGTTCAAAATCAACTGCATGAAATCCCCTGCAGCTTTTAAGGAAACTTATTCCAGGCCCTAGTGATTCGTTGACACTGCGCGCGGAAGTTTCGCTGTCCATCCTTCTGCAAAAGGCGACTTCTAACATAAGCATGGTTGGTACACGCGCGGGGAGAAATTAGTACCACCGCGCACAAACGAGCCGCTCAATAATGGGGTCTGTCTATTGTTCTTCAACAATGTCACCCGGCAATAGAGCAGTTTCCAAGCGCGCAGAGCGCGTCGCATTACAGAACCTGCTTAGACAGCGCGGGCGTGCTCAGATTCCTCTCACACAAGTTTTACGGCACCGCAGCACATGCGACGAGAGAATGTCTCGCAGCGACGCCCTTGGATTTGTGTTGAGCTATCATGATGCGGAGAAGAAGAGTCGAGAAGCAGGAGATGTCGTCGGCGGCAGCCACGTGAGCCAGACCCACATGGATCCCAGGCGCCGATCAGGGCCGGCTCGAATCCTTGCAGTGGGCCTTGCTTGCACCACAACGCGTCAACGAACGCGCTGAGAAAAACCATACCGCGAACGACAAGATTCGAAAATTCGGTGGTATGCTCCGAGCAGATTTTGACCCTTGATCTGCACCTGGTCAGCATTGAACAATCGCCAAATCCGAGGTCCGCGCAGAGCATCCGTCATCTATACACGCCAGCAAGCACGCTCAAAAGGAAAGGCCATGCGCGGCAAGCTCGTTGTCTTCGAGGGCCTGGACCGTGCCGGCAAAACGACTCAATGCGGTCGTCTCGTGGTACGGCTGCAAGAACAAGGCCACCGCGTCCACCATATGCGTTTCCCTGACCGCACCACGCCGATCGGCCAAATGATCAACGCGTACTTGACTGGCGCGAGCGAACAGGAAGACCACGTCATCCACCTGCTCTTTTCAGCTAACCGCTGGGAGGCTGCGTGAGTCTCCTGGAATACCGTGTCAAACAAGGTGGGATGAAACTGACACTTTGCACACTAGCGCCAAAATCAAATCACTTATTGCCGAGGGGACTACCGTTGTTATTGATCGTTATTATTATTCCGGTTGCGTCTACTCAGCCGCAAAGGATAATCCGTCTCTTTCGCTAGACTGGGCTAGGCATCCCGAGGTGGGACTGCCGCGGCCTGACGTTGTTGTGTTTCTGGATATTTCGCCTGAGAAGGCGGCCCAGCGCGGCGGCTTCGGCGTCGAGAAGTATGAAAACTCGAAGATGCAGAAGCGTGTCCGGGAGTTATTCGCCGACATAAAGACACTCCAGCAGGAGGGTCAAGACTTTGTGACTATTGATGCTGGGGACACTGAAGATGAGGTCGCAAAGAGAGTTGAGGAGGTCGTTTTAGAAGTGGTCAAGAAGGTGGACGAGATGGGTAGTCCTTTGAGACTCGTGGAATCGATATGAGAAGAACGGGGATGTAACTTCTAGTGGATAAAAAGCCTAGGGTATCATTTAAAGTTCTACTCAGAACGGGCATGGTGAGTGTCAAGCCGCTGCAATACATTACACCTTCTAATCCACCTCTTCAGCGTCATCCCATTCGCTGTCCTCAACAACTATCGGCGAGAAATTGCCTACCGCAGATACTCCAGTTGCAGTGGCATCTAGGTCCTTCTCTGGTCCTTCGATATCCATGTCTGTGTCCGTATCTGTCTCAACGTCGTCCTGATTTTCCAGTCCTTGGTGATACCAGTCATCAATGTCTTCATATTCATCGTTGCCGTAAGGAGGCACGTTGTCACCTGTCCCAGAGCGCGGCAGGTAATTTTCGATGTCCGCATACTCTGACTCATCATCTGAGCTAGCATCACCTTCGAGCGCCACCGCTGCATCGAGTGCTGCTGCCGTCGCCTTTGAAGGCGAGGCTGCCCTGCGTGTCCGTTTCTTGAAAAGAGTAGCAACCTCCTTCTCGCCGCGAATTCTAAGACTCAGTTCTTTCACAAGCGTTGACCACTGTGTCATCTTCTTGCAGCTAGGACATTGGCCCTGCAATGGCACAACTGCGTCAGGCTTGCCCTCCTGTTTCAAAAAAGTCTCGGATAGGCAGGTCATGTGCGAGATAGCCTGGCAGCCCTCCTCTGGACAGACTAACACAACACACTTCTCCATTTGCATTTGCTTATCGCAGATAGCGCATGCAAGCTTCTTGCCCTCTTCTGAGAGCGCTGTGCTCTTCTCCAAATAGGCTTTCAAGCCTTCATAACTGACATCAATTCCTTCAATCCCCTTTCCATTGCCAATCGTCTCGAGAGTATTGTTCGTACTTTCTGCGCCTGGTCTTTGAAGAGCTTTCGGGACGCTTGCCTTTTCCAGCTCCACGCGAATGTTGCCCCTTAGCTTAAATGGTGTGGATTTCGTCCACTTCTCCCAGACGTGGTATACATCCTCGGCGAAGAAAGCGACGCGGAGGGGCCATCGTTCGAAACTCTTCACGCGCAGAAGAAGATGAAGGTTGGAAAGTCTGTCGGTGAGAGAGGGCGGGTTCCGGCGCACGATACGCTTGATAGTCTTTCCGGTCCTCCCAGAGGTGCGAGAAGTGGTGCGAGCACTGGTAATGCGATCCTCAGCGGGGATATGGCGCGTAAGGTGGGTGTTCTGCCATGCCCATCTGCCAGCACATTAGATAGACGCCACACAATTTCTGGACCGAGGACCGCAATCGCAAGATTGCTCACTCGCTAAATATCAGAGACCGTATTGGACAAGCCAAATCGCAAGAATCAACGCAATCAACGCAAGGATGTCTGTCGGATGACAACTAAAATCGAGGAGAACAGGGTGAGGAATGAGGCTAGCAGTCCGACATGCTAGGGCTAAGGTCACGTGATCATCTCCGGTAGGTACGTACTCGAATTGAAGTGCAGCGATCTTGGAAGGGAAGCCGGCGACGATGCAGACCATCTCCCATGGGCGCAAGGAGTCGCGGTCGGTACGCGCAGCGCCACCCTTGGATTGACCGTTATGCTGCCTGAGTCGGCGCAACGGATTGGGTGTCGAGCCGACGTAAAGGCTGGCACGGCGGACAGTAGACCGCAGGAGGTAGCAGCAGTAGAAGGCAGGGATCGGCTTCTCCATGGCTGCAGTCGAAACGGGGTGGGTGGCGCCGGGGGTGGGTGCAGAGGTGAGGTTCAGCCGGGGGTGCGAGGGCGTGAGTTTGGGCGAACGACGTCAAAGGAAAGCCGGGCGGCGGCGGAGCGGAACAGCGGGCGGGCATGGGCGAACGAAACGACATTTGCAGCAGCACCACCACCGGCAGGCGGGCCCGCCTCGGGGCAGGCTGCCGCAGACTTCAATGCAGAATTGCCGCGCTGAAGTAACCGTCAGCGTGGGCGGCGGCTTGTCGCATGAACATCAAAATCGAGTGATCTTCGCGAAAGCGGTCTAGCCCTGGTAGGCGCATCCGCTGTAGGCGTGCGGCGGCGGTCTTCCTTCCCTCAGCCAAGTTCCAACGCCCACGCTCGACATTCCTTTCATTCGACCGTTCTCACTATCCGTCTGAATACCTCGCCGCCGAGACTTTGCCTGACCACCCCCGTCCCCCTCCAGCCCGCGCCTGCAGCAACCAGCATCCTCGCGCTGCCTGCAGCTTCGACCCGGCGCAAGTCATTCATTAGGAAAGCTGCCCTGACAGATATCCTCCCACATGCTCGGCCCGTAATCCCACCCACACACGCCCTGGACACGCCGCCTCTCTCCTCCTCGCTCCTGCAACCTCCCTCGCCCGAACAATTCGATCACACGCCCGAGAGCACAATCACCCTCCGCTGAGCCGGCCACGGCTGCATTCCGAGACCATGGCGGTTTCTTCGGCCGCTGCTGCTGGGCCCGCCGCCGGTCAGATAACCTTCCGCGCAAGCCCAGCTCAGCCCGCCCAGGCGACCTCTGCACCGCGAGGCGGCAAGATGGCCACTCAGCCATCAAGTACCGCCAACAATGCGCCCCATGGCTCCTCCAACGCCCAAGCCAACGGCACCAGCAGCTTCCCGCTCAGCGCGCGCAAGGCCCAGCCCTTGAGTATGAAATCGGTCGAGCGACGCGGTACCCCGACGGCTGCGCGTGAAGTCTCGCGCTCGACCAGGCTTTTTGGACTCGAGGAAGCGCCGACGTATACCCCCACTGCAGAAGAATTCAGGGACCCTTTTGAGTACATGCGCAAGATCGCGCCGGAGGGGCAGAAGTATGGCATAGTAAAGATCATCCCGCCGGACACGTGGAATCCCGATTTCGCCATCGATACTGAGGTACGTCGGTGAGGGATCTCGGCATGGCCAAGAGCGACGATGGGGGCCTAGACGCGCTTGACGTGTTTGCGAGTGACCGGTCGGCTAACGAGACCTATAGAGGTTCCACTTCCGCACGCGCAAGCAGGCGCTCAACTCCGTCGAAGGAGGTGAGTATTATCGCCATATCATCTGACCACGCTTCTAATTAGCCCAGGCACGCGAGCAAATCTGAATTACCTCGATCAACTTGCCAAATTCCACAGGTCACGGGGCAACAATCTCAATCGCTTCCCCAGCGTCGATAAGCGCCCGTTGGACTTGTACAAGCTCAAGAAGGCCGTTGAAACCCGTGGCGGATTCGATCGTGTTTGCAGAGGCAAGAAATGGGCGGAAATCGGCAGAGACCTGGGTTACAGTGGCAAGATTATGTCTTCGCTGTCGACATCGCTGAAGAACTCCTACCAGAAGTGGCTCCATCCGTATGAGGAGTACCTACGGATTGCAAAGCCTGGAGTCCATCAGATGCTTGAGTTTGAGAACGGCGGCCCTTTCACTCCGTCGCCAGCGCCGTCGCCACTGAAGAAGTCTGTCCACCAGCAGACCCCTCCCGGCAGCTTCCGCTCCGATTCGCCAGCAGCTCGTGCATCTGCTGCCCTGAACGCTTCTATCCATGAGAGCTCTGTCCCGCCACTCCCACCCGCGCAAGAACTTCCCCAGCCAGTCAAGGTCTCCTCAGGGTTTACCGCCGTGAATTCAGGTGGCTTCACAGCTGTGAACGCCCCCCAACAACCCGCCCCCACCTCTGCTGGATTCTCGGCCGTTAACAGCTCATCGGCTGCCCAACACTCCGCACATTCGACTCCTCAGAGGTTAGGCGAAAGTCCGCTGAATCTTTCTGCAAACAACACGCCAGAGATCCGACCACATGGCTTTTCAACGCCCGTGTCAAATGGTCATCTTAGCCAGTTGAAAAGAGGCCCATCCGAGGACTCTGAAATGCATACCAATGGAGAAACCGACGCTTCTGGGAGGCGGAGCAAACGCCTTAAGAAAGACTCCGCCCCGACCGTCGCAGGTTCTCACATGACTCAACCGCGTGTGTCAGCACCCCGCATCGGCATGCCCAGAGATCGTTCGAAGGACAAGCCCGGAGACTACTGCGAGACTTGTCGGAAGTCCTCTGACCCGACTGCGATCCTGCTATGTGACAGCTGCGATGCGGGATATCACCGCTACTGCTTGGAGCCGCCATTGAAATCCACTCCTGACTATGATTGGCACTGCCCCAGATGTCTCGTTGGTGATGGCGAGTTCGGTTTCGACGAAGGTGGTGTCTACTCGCTAAAACAGTTCCAGCAGAAGGATCAAGAGTTCAGAGCAGAGCATTTCCGGGACAAGCAGCAGTTTGACCCTGTACTCAACGCGAAGAGGCCTCCCACTGAGGACGATGTTGAAAGGGAGTTCTGGAAATTGGTCGAAAACGTCACCGACAAGGTTCCAGAAGTTGAATATGGTGCTGACGTCCACGTTACAACACACGGGAGTGGGTTCCCAACTCTCGAGAAGGAACCACGTAATCCTTATTCCACGGACCCGTGGAACTTGAACATCCTACCTTTGCACCCGGAGTCTCTTTTCCGCCACATCAAATCCGACATTTCTGGAATGACCGTTCCTTGGTTATACGTTGGCATGTGTTTCTCTACTTTCTGTTGGCACAACGAGGACCACTACAGCTACTCGGCCAATTACCAGCATTTCGGCGCTACAAAGACGTGGTATGGCGTACCAGGCGAAGACGCGGAGAAGTTCGAGAACGCAATGCGTGAAGCTGTCCCGGAGCTGTTCGAGACGCAGCCTGACTTGCTCTTCCAGCTCGTCACCCTTTTGACCCCTGAGCACCTGAAGAAGGCGGGCGTGCGAGTCTATGCGATCGATCAGCGAGCCGGCCAATTCGTCATTACTTTCCCTCAAGCCTATCATGCAGGCTTTAACCATGGATTCAATTTCAACGAGGCCGTCAACTTTGCGCCAGCCGACTGGGAGCCTAAGGGTGAAGATGGCGTTCAGCGTCTCCAGGACTTTAGGCGCCAGCCCTGTTTTTCTCACGATGAGCTCCTGCTCACCGCTGCAGGTAGCAAGGATGTGTCCATCAAAACTGCAAAATGGTTAGGCCCCGCATTGCAGCGCATGTATGAAAAAGAATCATCTGTTCGAGAAGCGTTCTTGTCACGACACAAACAAGTCAGCATGAAGCCATGCAAGGTTGATGAGGGTGGAGCCAAGGGTCACTGTGAGATTGGGTTTGAAATTGATGACCAAGACCTCCCGGAGGACGACTACCTCTGCAGCTACTGCAAGGCCTTCGCATATCTATCAAGATATGTCTGCAAAAAGTCTCGAAAGGTCGTGTGCTTGAAGCACGCGGGTATGTTCGATTGCTGCGGCTCGACAGAGGACCACCGCTTTTCAGGGGCAAACGGTGACCATACACTGGTTTATCGCATCACGAACGAAGACCTTCGCAATGCCATGGAAAAGGTACTCGAAAAGGGTACGCTTCCTGATCTCTGGACTGCAGAGCTTGACAAGTATCTCGCAGAAGAGCCGAGACCAGAGCTCAAGAAACTTCGCAGGCTGCTCAGTGAGGGTGAGAAGATTCCTTGGGCACTGCCTGGTCTTCCTGAGCTCAAGCGGTACGTCGATCGCTGCAACGATTGGGTGGAACGGGCAACAGCCTTCACCACTCGCAAGCAACAACATCGCCGCAAGAACGAACGACCCTCGCGAAAGTCGACCACCAAGCAGTTAATGGAGCAGGAAGAGCGTGAGCGCGAAATCCGCAAGGTCGAGACTCTCAAAAAACTCCTCGCCGAAGCGGAAGATATTTCCTTTGAATGTCAAGAAATCGGTATTCTGCAAGAACTTATGGACAACATTAAGCACTTCCAGAAGCGTGCGCGCACCATCCTTGCTGACAGAAACATGCGCTCGAATCCGACGCAAGAGTTGGATGAACTGCTCGAACTTGGCCGCAGTTTCAATCTTGATATTCCCGAGGTTGAAGAACTGGATAAGTGGCTACAGCAGCTCAAGTGGTATGACGAGGTTCGCACTTATCGAGAAAGCGTCCACTCCCTTCAGAGCATTACGGATTTCATCAAGCGCGGCCAGGAAATGGGCATTGCCGAGGGCGAAATGCACATGCTCTGGTTGAAGGAAGAGAAGTCCAAAGGAGAGGTGTGGGAGAAGACGGCCAAAGAAGTCATGGCATCCGAGATGGTCAATTATCAACAGCTTGACGCGCTGTCGCAGCAGGCTAAGCATCTCCCTGTCTCCTTGGAGACTTTGGCGAAGGTCGAGGCGATCTTGAAGAAGCAACGCGATGCTCAGGAAGAGATTAAAGCGTTGTACGATCAAAGCAAGGATCCAAATTTCAGGAACCGTCCATGGTACCGGGACGTCCGTGAGGCTATGGAGGCCCTCAACGAGCTCAACAGTAAACCTCCCGGCACCATCGATCTCGAACGAGAGCAAAAGAGGCACGAAGATTGGATGCGCCGCGGCAAGAAGCTCTTCGGCAAGGCCAATGCGCCGTTGCACATTTTGCAGCAACACATGGACCTTGTGAACGCTCGCAACGAAGCATGCTTTGATCTCAGAGATCAACCACGCATGCCCGTTGAGCCTGCTTCAAGAGAACACACTCCTGTCTCTGGTGACGAGAACGGTGCCGGTTCAACTCGCGATGTCTTCTGCATCTGCCGCAAACCCGAGGCGGGCATGATGATTGAGTGCGAGCTCTGCCACGAGTGGTAAGTTTCTAAGAAACGCATATTTCTCTCAGCTCTAATTTCATACTAGGTATCATGGCAAGTGCCTCAAGATTGCTCGTGGAAAGGTCAAGGAAGATGACAAGTACACTTGCCCCATATGCGACTATCGCGTCAAGATCCCGCGCGATGCGACGCGCCCGAAGTTGGAAGATCTCATAGCCTGGTACGACGAGATCCCCAACCTTCCCTTCCAGCCCGAGGAGGAAAAGTGCCTCCTGAGCATCATCGACAAGGCTGAGGATTTCCGTCTGTTCATTGCCAACCACATCAACCCGATGGTATCAAGCCCAGACGAGCTCGTTTCTCAACGCTTTTATCTCCGTAAGTTGGAGGGCGCCGACATCCTGTTGGCACATGAAACGAACTTCTTCCGCCAAGAGCTTCACAAGTGGGCTCCAGTTGCTCCTGAGCCACCTCCAAAGGTAGAAGTGTCGCTCTCGACTCGCAAGCCACGGCCTACCAAACAGCAGAAGATGATGCAACAGCTCGGGATTGACAACCCAGATGATCTTCCGCAGCATCTGCGTACGAAGCAGCATCATTTCAAGAGCAAAGACAAAGACAAGCGCAACAGCATCAGTAAAGGTTCTTCGTCTCAGCAAGAATCGCATACGCCGCCAGGCCTCCCTCATGGCTTCAGTGAGACGCCCAACGGGATTGCTGGACCAAGTGGCAGTGCAACAAGCAGCCAGCAGCAGCCGACCTTCTCCTACCCGACGCATCCCATGACGTCGACTTACGGCGGCACAACATCTCCGCATCTCACAACGGCGTCGGGAACGATAGATCCTTCAATGTCAGCGTTCGCGCCTCATGCTCGGGGCGCGGTTTCTCCGCCCTTCCAGCCGGCGTCCCCAACGACGCCGTCCAACATGGATTCAGGAATGTTCAGCAGCAATGTACCATTTGGTGCAGACCCTGGTGCTGCCAGTCCTGCGCGCAGCAACCTGTTCCAGCACAGCATGAACAGCAGCCAAGGGGCTGGCGATGGTGGCGAAGGCATGCGGGACCTCTTCGCCGACTTCACGACGAACGATGCGGACATAGGACCACCGCCCACAAGTCATGCAGAAGACGCGTTGAACCTGACTGTCAAGGATGGAGATGAGAAGGAGGAGAAAGAAGACACGAGCGAATTCCTTCATGACTAGGCAGTCATTCCAAACATTTTCTTTCTCGTCTTTGCGGCGCATACGGATTGGGACGGTCATGTCTGAACACGAGCAGATGATTACGGGATAGCATCCGTTTAGAAGGGAATCGGTGCGAGGCGAACAGCATGGAAAAACAGGAGCTATGGAGGGTTACAGCCATTTTGTACAATTCCCCGGGTCTGATGGCTTTTTGATTTGCTTCGATGGGTTCAGTTCGATGCTGTTTCTTCTTTTCTTTGCATGTTTTACTTTCCAAAAAGCCTTCTCTTTCCGCATCACACTCCGGAGCACGTTGGACCAAGGCCGCGAGTGAAGGGGCATTGATAAAGTGCATGCGAAAGGGGGTTTTGGGGTTTGGCAGTATTTGCTGGCAGAACTCAGAAGAATTGTATGTTTAGCGAAGACATGAACAATTAATTGGAAGAGAATCGTCCTGCATCCTTGTTTGCTCTGCGGCGTGACGGGCTGTGCAAATGGCGCGCTTGCGGCGGCCGAAGTGCGGCTACGGTGGGCTGCAGCAACCACAGTTTTGTTCTGGTCCAACTTCGCATGCGCGGCAGCAACGAAAACTTCATAGCACAGCGCCTTCAGCAACAATGATGAAAAGCAGAGGGCTCCGGCCCGCCAATTACGCCAGGATAGCGCTCCAGACCCCCCTGCGCGCTCCGAGACAGGTATGTTTCCCGTGGTCGTCCCCGAACCGCTGATCTGATCGCCGAGCATTAAGTTCTCTACACATGCGTCGTTGAAAACTCCCGTGCTTCTACGCGCCCGGAACCCTTCGCTGGGCCTCCGCAGCGCGCTGAATGCTCCCGCTCTCCGCACGCCCCTTGTTGCGGGCTCCGCCGTGTCTGCAATCCGCTTCGCCTCGACCTCAGCAACGTCGTCGGTCCTCGAGAACTCCAAAGCAGCAGCCGCCGATGTAGCCTCCAGCACACCCGTCCAAGCCGCTTCCGAGAGCGTTGATGGCGTTACGGACGCATTTCTCGCCAACATTGCCAACATGCCCGAGCAGATCGGCTACCTGAAAGCCATTGGCCTGGACTATGGCTGGGGCCCGACTGCATGCATCGAATGGCTGCTCGAACATGTGCACATCTGGGGAGACCTCCCATGGTGGTCGTCTATCATCGTGACGGCTGTCGTCGTGCGCACGGCACTGTTTCCGCTGTTCATGAAGACGTCGGACGTCACGGCGCGCCAGACGGCGCTCAAGGAGATCACGGACCCACTGAGCGCAAAGATGAACGCAGCGCGCATCGCGGGGAATACGGATCAGATGATGATGGCGCGCATGGAGCTCATGCAGGTTTATAAACACGCGGGCATCAAAGTATGGGAGGCTTTCTATGCTCCCGCCGCCCAGGCTATCACCGGTTACTGCACATGGAAGCTGCTGAGGGCTATGGCTGCGCTGCCGGTTCCGGGACTCGAGACCGGTGGCCTCCTGTGGTTGAAGGACCTCACAGTGGCGGACCCGTATTGCATCTTGCCGGTCGCCTTCGGTGCGCTCATTCACATCGTTTCGAGGGTTAGTCGACCCTACAGTTCGCGCCGCCACTTTCACTAACTCTCAGGCAGACAGGTGGTGAAACCGGAGCCATGAAGCAGTTGACCGGCCTGCAGAGGAAGTTCCTGCTCTACTTCATGCCCATACTCGCCGTGATCTTCACCATTGCCCAACCGGCTACGGTGCAGCTTTCCTTTTTCGCTGCCTCCACGCTCGGTATGCTGCAATCGAGGATTCTCCGCAACCCAAGTGTCCGCGATATGTTTGGCATCTCCCCGATTGTCCACACCGCCCGGCCCGGCGTCATCGACGTGAAGGCTCGCAGCATTGCGCCCACTCTTGGACAGTTCAAGTGGGAGCCACCCTCTGTGAAGTCTAGCATCGCTCACGCTGGCCCGATCAACAAGAAGACTGTGGAACAGAGCCCATTGGACAGGCTTAAGAGCTCGTACAAGGAGACCAGGAAGGAGCTCAGGGAATTTAAAGAGGGAGTCTTGAGGAGGGCGGGCATGGCACAGGATTCGCGGGCCAAAACCAAGCAGGCCAAAGAGTTCTTGGACCGAGCGGCGGATTACGAGAAGCGGAGGCAGGCTGAGGAGAAGGCGGACAGGCCGAGAAGACGGAGGTAGACTAAGAGTACATGAAAAGACAACAGGCTGTTTTATGTGTATTGTAAGATAACCAGTAGAATCGTTTTCACTCTACATTTGAAGATCTAGCGTGCTGCCGATCAGCCTCAATGCGATTGGCCAATGTTCAGATTCTATCTCCGACTATCGCCGACGTCACAGAATTTCTGAGCTGCCCCTCCATACCCCACGCTCTCTCTCCACACTTTAACTTCTCCTACACCACCCTCTCTCTTGAGCTCATCAACACCCCCACAATGCCTCTCGGAAAGTTCGACGGTCTGGAGTTGCCCGCCGCGGCCGATATGCACGTCCATCTGCGCGACGGTGCAATGATGGAAACCGTCACTCCCACTATACGCCAAGGAGGCGTGAATACCGTCTATGTCATGGTATGGGAGTCATCAATTGTGCTGAGCTCCTTTGAGCTGACCTTTTTACTTCTCTGCTGCAGCCTAACCTCGTTCCGCCGCTCACCACCGTCGACGCTACCCTCGCCTACCGCGCCCGCCTGCAAGCCATCGAGCCGAACGTCACCTTCCTCTCCTCGCTCTACCTGCACCCGGACATCACGCCGGAAACCATTGTCGCGGCCAAGAAAGCCGGCGTCACCGGCGTGAAGTCTTATCCAGCGGGCGTGACGACCAACTCGTCGGCGGGCGTCGTCGACTACGCGTCCTTCTACCCGGTCTTCGCCGAGATGGAGCGGCAGGACATGGTGCTGAACCTGCACGGCGAGCTGCCGCCGTCGGCGTCGGCGGCGGGCGACATCACGGTGCTGAACGCCGAGGAGCGCTTCCTGCCCACGCTGCGCGAGCTGCACGCCAAGTTCCCCAAGCTGCGCATCATCCTCGAGCATTGCACGTCGGCCGCTGCCATCGCCGCCGTCGAGAGCTGCGGCGACACGGTCGCGGCCACCATCACCGCACACCACCTCTACCTCACCGTCGACGACGTCGTCGGCAACGCCTTCCACTTCTGCAAGCCCGTCGCCAAGCTCCCCGCCGACCGCCACGCCCTGCTGCGCGCCGCGGCCCAGGGCGGTCCCAAGTTCTTCTTCGGCACCGACAGCGCCCCGCATCCTATCACCGCGAAGAGCGGGCCCGGTGCTGCTGCCGGAGTCTTCACCCAGCCGTATGCGGTGCAGTTGGTCCTGGACGCGTTTGAGGCGGCGGTGACGAAGGGTTGGTTGAAGGAGGAGGAAGTGACTAAGGAGAATCTGGAGGGATTTTTGAGCAGATACGGGAGAGCTTTCTATAAGGTTGGCGATGAGCGTGGGGAGAGGATCGTGTTGAAGAGGCAAGGAGAGAAGGTTGTGGATGTTGTGAAGCACAAGGAGGGTGAAGTGGAGGTTGTACCGTTTAGGAAGGGACAGAATACGTGGAGTGTGGCGTGGAAGTAGAGTGTCTTGTGCTGTGTCCTGAGGAGTATAGAGTCGAATAGCGTTTGGTCGGTTGGATCGGGAGTGATTTGGCTGAAAATGTCAGGTATTGTACGGTGTTGTACTTAAAGTGCTAGGTTTATTTCTTATCTGTTCGTTCTTTGTTTTCTATAGGCGGTATGGCAAGGCTACAGCCTCACTAAGAAATGGAGTTGCTGATACAGAGGGGTACTGCAGCCAATGGCTCGCGCGAAGAATAGCGGGGGTCCTAGAAAATAGCGTACAGTCCCCTCTTGCAGCCGATGGATTTCCGCTCATACTATAGGTATTTGAAGCTATCGTCCGGATGTAAATGTTGAATTAATAATTATATAATCACGTCTGAATGATAGCTTCAGCTACCCACACATGTTATTCTTCTAAGAAAAAAGGTTGGGGCATAGTTATGCTTGGGGCTTTACCATTCTTCAAGCTAGCCTTCGGCTGCGATATCCCCCTTGTAAGTATGCCTTAGTTCTTTTTTTTTGTTTTATGTTTTATGTTTAAGAAAAGAAACATTTATGGATCGTTGAAGCTATCATCCGGATGCAAATGTGGAATTAATAATTATACATTCATGTCCAGACGATAGCTTCAACTACCCATGAATGTTGCTTTTCACCAAAAAAAAAACAAAAAAGAACTGAGGCATACTGACGCTATTCTCTAGGGCCTATTCTTCGCGCTAGCCATCGGCTACAGTATTACCACCACGTCGTCCTCGCTTTGCTCGCTTTCGTAATCACCGCATCGGAATAGCGGAGGCATCAAATTAATCTTTCCTAAGATATACTCGTATATCTCCTCTGAATAGCCCATCCACAACTCCTTCATCTCGAACATCGAATGATGAGAAACGGCGATGTTATTGCGAGAAAAGGCAGCCAATGGCGGCACGTCAGGGTCTTCGTCCGCGCACTGCCTGAAGTCGAGACGTCTCAAACTTCGGAAATGAATGTCGTGCATGGCCCGGTACATGTTTGGCCAAGTGCCACCGAACATGTCGCATCGGTATATAGTGAGCGAGGTGATGGTCTCGGCGTGTGCTGATAAGAAGTCGAGGAAAGAGCCGAAGGTGAAGGCTACCTGGAGTGTAACTTCTCGAAGCTCTGCCCACCGCAGGCCACCCACGATCCTGCCGAGAATGTCTTCAGTACCACCTTCTGCGAGAAGCCAGGTGGTTGGAAGAGAGAGATGAAGGCGTTGGAGCTTTGTGGCTCTTCGAAGGAATCGGGGCAAGACTAAGCCCCTATACGGAGTTGGGAAGCCACGTTCGAGGACCCCAATGCGCAAATCCGTAAGATGGATGAAGGAGTCTTCCATCAGATTCACCTGCTGCTTGATGAGACTTTCGTCGACATGTCCATTGCTGGCGTTGAAGTTATCGTTTTCCCTCCAGAAGCGGTCCAGCTCGCCTACGGCCCACAGCTCTTCGGTGATGTCGAGATATAGAGAGGTCAAACTGCTGCTCAGAGAACTGCGCAAGCCAAGGGCCCGGAGCAAAACGGTTCTGGCTGCGAAGTATACATCGTCGCTCGCATGGTTTCCATGAGACTCGAATTTTGCTGGCTCAAGTTGATAGGCTCGCCACCGCTGGATCCTTTTGAAAGGGGCCCCAAAGTCGGCTTTGACGTGTTTAAGGTTCGGGAACTTCATTACCGCAGCCTCAAATCCAAGACAAGCCCGTTCATATCTTGACAATGCTCGCTTCCCGGCTGCCTGGTCTTTTGTAGTGTAATGAAGAGGCTGCGGAGCATTTTTAAGGCACCATGCTAGGCTGCATTCATCGCAGTCATCCATGTACTCATCGTACAGCGGTTTCATAAAGCCTTCGTCCCTTCTAGTCCGCCAATCTGCCGTCTGAATTAGCGATACTCACCATCGCAGCTATGTTTGGGTCCACCTTCAAGGACGAGCTTATTGCAGAACTCGTCGTATTCATATTCGCGCCAGCCTTCCCAATTCAGTAAGACCAGATTCCTTACGCAGCTGGAGATGGCATCAATCTCGGCAATCCCGATGATGCGTTCCATGCTTTGGACACTGAGATCGACGCGAATTGTCCGGAAGAGATGGCACGCGCTATCCCTGGCTAACCATTTGCAACAAGAGCGAAGGCGCTTTAAGGATTCGTGATCAAGAAGAGCCAGTATCTCGTCTATCAGCTCCGCTGTCAGAGCGTCCAGCCTTGTCCGGCTGAGCGTACGTGGATTTTCGCGTGCCATGGGGTGCAAATAGATGGGTGGCTGGGGGGAAATGCAGGTTCCGAGTCATCGAGAATAAGTTCAGCCGCATATTTGCTTTTAGGATTTTCGTTGTTGCCTACAAGCTGATGGTCTGTGTCTCGTGCCCCCGCTCTGTGCCGCGCGGGAGGTTAGGCTCGGTGGATGCTTTGGCGGCAACGACTTCTCCATTTCAGTGAGACGCTCCTGTTGAGAAAGCATAAAATCAAGCATTCGTTCGATCCAAGGTGTTCTTAACCTAAGAACGAGATGTCTAATTAAAGTTCTCGTTCGAACGAGTGTCGATCCACTACTTGTTAGCTCAGTGATGTCCCGACCCGCCTGCACCATCTCATTCGCTAGTACCCATGCGCAGCTTGCATAAACAACAAACCACACCCATGCAGACCCTCGCCGCACAGCAGCTTGACGTGTCAGCAAGCGCCGCACACCTCTAACCAGCATTTAAAGTCTCCTGGCGTCCCCCTCTTCCTTTTTCTATCCGCAGCTCTTCAGCCACACCCATTCAAAATAATTCTACTTCTCTACGCCACCCAAGATGGCTACCCCGAATTCGAACATCAATGCTCCAACTGAGCAGACTACTACCACAATTCGCGATGAAGGTGGCAACCGCACCACCAACCCCGGCAAAAGCGCTCTCAGGCCATCCGCTGCCATACCCAATAATAACCAAAGCAGTGGTAGCAAGCCACCAAAGAGAACTAAGAAGAAGTCGATAATCGCCACTGCTGCTGTGGTGAAGAAAGAACAACAGCCAGCGCAGAATGATTCTGAGAAACAGCTGCCAAGCAGCAAGTCCACAAAGAAGAAGAAAAAGGCGAAGAACAAAAACAAGAGCGAAGGAGACGACAGCGGCACAAATCGAACCAAAGACAACAACGGAAATAACACATCGAGTAGTAGCAACCCCAATGTTAGCAACAGAGGCGGTAACAGCACCAACACACCCGGTCGTCACGGTCAACCCCCCACTATCCCATGCGACTGCGGCAGGAAATTCCAAACCCTGGGTGCGCTGCGGACGCACCGCGAGAACGCGAAGGCACACGGCCCGTTCCGTGACAGGCCGGCTATGGTGCTTATGAAGGCTTTGGGAGAGGCTCCGCCAGCTTTAATTGAGGGGGCGCGGCTAAACAACGTTACCGTTGGTGGAAATGGTGTATTGGAAAGGGAGGAGGGAGAGGGGACAAACGTGCATCTTTGCGAGTGCGGGCGCGTTTTCGATACCTGGGCTGAGGTGTACAAACACTTGCCCGGCTCATCAGTACACACGCCCGGGAGTCAGGTGGCCGTGTACACGGGGAAAGCCCGTCGCCGGGAGGAAGAGGGTAAAGATCAAGAGAAGGAGCAAAAGATGAGAGAGGAGGGTTCGAGTTCGTCATCGAGCCGAAAGTCCAGGAGCGTTAAGATTGCTGCCAATGACGCGAAAAGTAGTGGTGCTGAGGATCGTTCATTGAAGGGCGGCGTACAGTGCAGTTGTGGGAAGACTTTGAAGGACGCGAAAGCGCTGCGCAACCACCAGCGGCAATCTGCAAAGCACAGATCGTCACCTGAGACTGCAGCAGGAGACTCAGGCTCGAAGCAGAAGCAGACAAGTACTACCAACCCCATTTCCGCAAACCAGGCAGCCGAGACGAACGCTTTACCCTCCTCTTCCTCGGCAAAAAAGGCGAAGCCCCCCAAGCCGAAGTATCACAGTCAGCGTGACCGTCCAGGTCGAAGTGGTGGTGGAGGTGGAGGTGGAGGTGGCGGAGGATCTGGAGGAAGTTCATCCTCAGGGTATGGCTACACCAGTGGAAATTTTGGCTACGGCTACGGTTACGGCTACGGTTTTGGAGGCGGATATGATTGGGGTCTTTGCGATAAGGACTGTGGTTGGTGTGGCCACTGCATGGATGGAGTTGACATCTGATGGGAGATAAGGGACCACGAGATCGATATTACATGGATTATCCATAGTATGCTAGGTGGAAACAATATATCGACGCCAATGCACGTTAATTGAATGGCAAACAGTAAGATGACCCTGTGACAGGATATTGCGAAGTTAGGACTGCCCTATCTTTTAAATTCATGAAAGTTTTCATGTTTCTCTTTTCTACCCGAATTTAACTCCCTGCCGACGGCAAGTAAATGGGCACCATCAATACTTATCTCTTAAGAGTGGAAAGTTATGCTATTATGTAGACCGAGAATAAGGGTCCTCATTACAAGACCCTAAGAATTACCTTCATCTTCTATCGTTCCTGTCGATCGTGAAGCGTCGAAAACCGTCCCTCGTCTCTCTCGAACCAATCCTCTAAGAGGTCTGTTCCCCAATGCAGCCAGTCGACCGAGCGAATATTTTTGCAACACCGATGCAATGCACTACCAGCCTCTAAAGCAAAGCCTCGTCGCCGTACTTCTTCGCGTACATGCCCAGCGCCTTCATCGTGAAGATGAACTTGTAGTTCGGGTAAGAAATCATGCTGCCACGAATCAGTCATCAGCATCTCAACGAGAGACGGGTTATCACATCACACTTACCAGCTGTTGTTGAACACGCCCTCGATGGCCTCCTGTAGCCACTCGCCATTAGCCTGCTGCCTCTGCATGATCAGCCTGATGGCACGAGTGATGACGTCCTTATCGGGATACTGGGCTTCCATGAGGCCGATGGCGGCCCACGCCGTCTGCACAACCTGGCTCTGTTCGTGGTTGACCCAGCGCATCTCCTCGGAGCTCCTGTAGCTCTCGCCCCAGCCGCCATCGGCCATCTGGCGATCGACGAAGAACTTGCACGCGCGACGCACACGCTCCGAGTTGGCGTACGTCTCGCCCACGCAACCCAGCGACTCGAGCGCGAACATGCCTGCGTACGTGAAGCAGATGCCCCAGCTGCCATACCAGCTGCCGTCTGCACGCTGTGCGCGCCGGATGTACGCCAGTGCCCTCTGAATGAAGGCTTCGATCTCTGCTGCGCGGTAGTCCGGCCACCGCGTGCGCGCCGCGCATAGTGCCGTGACGACTGCCGTCGTGCACTCGGGATAGTCGTACTCGACCATGATGCGGTCGAAGACTTCGGCGGCGTTGAGGTACTCCATCAGCTCCGAACCGCGGGTCGGCTCGTAGGACGAGCAGCCGCCGGACGGGTTCTGCATGGTGAGTAGCAGGTCCACCGAATCCTTCAATCGCTCTTCCGAGACCAGCTCAGGGTAGCCGGGGATGCTTTGCAGCTGCAACACAGCCTTCAGTCCTTCGGCGGTGCAGTCGGACACGGGGTAGCCTTGGTCCTTCGTGCTGAAAGCCCAAGCACCCTTTCGCTTGTGTCTGTAGCACTTGTCCGCCTCGTGAATATCCTCACGGATCTGTTGCTTTTCAAGGAAAGTCAAAGCCTTGGTGAGTACTGGCCTCCAGCGAGGGTCCTCACAAACACCTGCTTCATATGCCGCCTGGATGAGGAACGATGTGTCCCAGATTTGCACGCCGTCGGTACCATTTGCGAGCATGCCCTCATTCTTCACCCAGAAGTAGATGAGGATATTTTCGCGATGCTTTCTTACCGAGTAGCTGTCCGGCCCCTCCTGGATGTAGCAGCAGAGGAGGTTCATGGGGGCGCTGACAGGAGCAAGATCATTGTAGCCGGTGTTGTGGTCTTCGTACTGCACCAGCCTCCAGACCCAATCTTCAGCACGTTTGGACAGGAAGTTTGGCCTCAAATAAGGGTTCCAGATGTTGACCAACCCCCAGTTGATGGTGTTCAGTATCCAGGTCTTCGGGTGGTAATTATCATGCACCGAGATGCTGTTCCTATGCGAAGCCCAGTTGATGCTCTCCCAAGGCTGGGTGAAGAGCTCCTGGCGCAGTGCAAGCACAACCTTGTCGGGCTGATACGACCATTTCTTGGACCAAATGTACCCCATGGGCAGGTAAACCATACGCATGTGGATCCACCAGCGCCAAGGTGCGATCGGAACCCAGTCAGGCAGTAACCACAGCTCAGGCGGCACAGGGTTGACAATGTCCCAGGGTGTGACGCCGAGAACGCTGAGCCAGAATTTGGACCAGTGCGGGCCATTGACGGCACCACCCATCTTGTGCAAGCATGCTCTAGCCTTCACCACCCTGGGATCCTCTGCATCGGCACCAAGCAAGCGTAGCACGGCGTAATTGCACGCGGTGCCGAACACCGAGCTCCGGCCCTCAATATGCAGTCCCCAACCGCCGTCCTCGGGGTGTTGTCGCGAGAACAGATAGTTCTTGATCTCTGTCTTGTAGGCGGCCGGGATCGGGGTCTTGGTGACGTACCAAGTTATCACCAGACCGGGAAGCAAGAACATGGGACCGCCATATTCACAGGCCCACTGACCGGAGGGCAGCTGGAGCTGGGAGAAGAAGGACAGGCCATTGTTGACGGCCTGGACGGGTGTCTTCGCGGGAGGCAGCTCGGGGAGGTTCTAGCACCAAGCGTCAATGGACTGATGCGCACGCCCAATGGCACCAGCATCGTGTTACAGATGCAGTATATGCTGGGGCTAACCTACCGTGTCCAAGCCTAGGAAGTACTTATCCGCAGTGGTCTGTGGCCATTTTGCAATCTCCTCATCCGACTCCAGGTAGTGCCACGTCTGGCGACCGTTCTGGTCCAGCAGTCTCCACCGCGTGTAGTCTGTTTTCTCGCTGGGGTCGACGGGAGACCTCACGGTACCGTTTGCGGATCCATTGGCAGCAGCGGCGCCGGGTTGCTTCGCGTCTGCGTCGTGTTCCTGTCGGATCTGCGTGGTTCTGGCCATGTCGATTTATTCGCGCGCACGCCCGCGGGGAAGCCGGGTCCTGGGAAGCTAATCTTGGGACAGACGAGGAAGAGGGGTAAAGCGCGGTTGCGGGCGGAAGTGCCGGGAGCTTTGTCGACTCGTCACAGTGTTGCGTCTGCTCTGGCGCGTGCGGCGTGCCTGTTTGCGCGTCAGCTCCGCCTTTCTGCCTTCCCCAGGTCGACTGACATGGGAGGCAGACGCAATCGAACGAGCCGCAGTCTTGGCAGGGGCCGGGCCCTAATCGACAATCGCAGTTCTTTGCCCGAGTCGTGGCCGCGTCATCGCAGCGAATGAGCGCGCGCGCTACGAGTCAGCCACGTGTTCCGCATGCGGCCGGCATGTCTGCTCGCCCCGAAGACATGGAACTGCTGACGCTGTTCTTAGTGATGCTGATGCTACGATGCCATATCCATCGCTGCGGTCAAAAAAGTGGAGGGCAGGCTGCATGTCACGCTGTCACGCCGGAGTCTTCACACACACAAGCCACGACACGAGAACAGCAAGGCAAGCTGCATGGGCGAGGGCGGTGGATGCAGCCCCATGCTTGCCCTACCATCCACGGGCGTAGGCGAGGAGCGGAGGAGGGGAAAGTGGATGCAGTGACAGCCAGCACGGCGGAACCACGGCAAGACCGAGTCCCGAAGAGTGCAGCGGCAAATCGCAGCAAAGCACGGACGACGACCCAAAACACCTATGAGATCTGCGGCTACCGGCACGTTTTCGAAACCGTCTACAGCTCCTTCTGGCACTCTTTGCTAGCTCATGTGGCTGTCGCCGGCGCTTGCGCACGATGCCCGTACGCTAGCTGGCGTTAGCGTTACTCTGTTTGCGGTTGAAGCGCCAACCGCCCGCTGTGCTCGTATTGATGTCTGCCGGCCTCGTGGGATCAGCTATCGCGGATACGATGCGATGTTCCCCCTAACTGCGGGCCTACCACCTACCTAGCCGTAGTAGCTGCAAGATCTTCTCGCGCGAAAAAGAAGGGTCCAGGGTGACTGCGAGTGCCAACCTTCTATCAGCCCTAGGACATGCGCTAGTTGCTCAAGCCCGCTCCTAAACACCATGCGTTTTTTCCCATTGAGAACCATGCTAATTGCGCCGGCGTCCGCGCCAGCAATCGATCTAACGGAAAAAGAAAAAAATGCGGCCGTGGAATGGCAGACGTCATCCGCTCAAAACCTCGTGCCGATCGCCGTCTATTTTTCGAAGCAGCCCGGGACGAGGAGGGTAAGGCCCGTGTGCAATTGGTGGCCCTGCCACCACGGTAACCCTCGATTCATCGTAAATTACAATCGTGAACGACGGCCCAATTGGAGGGGTCGGCGGGTAGTAATTAATAGTAACCCGCACCTTGCGATAACGGAGAAACCTAGTCGGCGTGTGATCTTCATGAGGTGGCCCTCAATAGTGCTGGAGTAAGAGATAGAGCGCGAGTATGGGAAAAAAACGGATACGAATTGCGCTTTCTCCGCCATGAGTGATGAGATTTTGATGGCAAGGAATCGCCGAGTGCCAGGTATGTATTCGCCGGGCCCGCTCCGAGCCTCCGCCCCTCACTCACTCTCTCCGTCCCGAAGAACCGCATCCACCCTGCGAATCATCATCACCCTGTCCCCCTTGCTTCTCGCGCATGCGAACAAATGAGAAGAACGTGAAGACATGGGCAACGGGGGGTTCTCATGCAAGGATCACCACCGCCGTCTCGCCTCGCAAGTGGTGGGTGCTGCAGGGAGTAACGACACTTTGAGGCAAATGGTAGAAAATTTATGCTGAGGGGCTGGCGGCAACTCCGTTGGTTTGACCCAACCACGGGGACTCTCCGCGGCCGTGTGCGCCCACTTGGCCTGCTTAGGGAAGGTGGGGAGGCTCTCGCGCTCTGCTCTGTTCTTGTCGTTGGCAGCCAGGCATCCCCCTTCGCCGCCCCGGTCTGCCTGTGCTTCGCTTGACCAATGCACGTAAGAAGTCCGCGCGCGTGCACTTGTGCTGTGCGGCGTGGCTGAGCAGGGGGTCGATCCTCGCTCTTGGACCCGAAGACGCGAGAAATGATTAGCAGAGGGCCGCGCGAAACTCGTACGACCTGCCCGGAAAAGGTCAGTCGAAGACGGAGCATGGGTACGAGGACAGAGGCGCATCTGCCGGGGCGTGAAACGGTGTTGCGCGCTTTCGCCGGTTCGTCGGGCAACTAAGTCGACGCTTGACGACAGTGGCGGCCGGGAGATCTGAGATGTCGACGGCTCTGTTGAACAACGTTGTATGCTTTGGTTGGGACGATGGGGATGCCGTGCAACCCAGCTTCCCGTCGTTGCATCAGGTACCGATGGGAGAAACGCGCGATCGTTCGTAGGGAATTGAAACCGACAACAAAGGAAATAGAGGAAACGCTTGACTTCGTCATGAGACACGCATTACATCATCGTTCCAGACACTTTTTTCGCAACACAGCAAAGCCTTTGTGACGTGGTAGCGATTGCTCGAGATTACTCTAACGACATGTCGGTATATCTCTCCATGTACGACAAACAGTACGCTGATGTGTGACGGCGTCGCACTCCAAATAACGAAGGAAACATAGCGTACAGCACCACCACACGCGGGACGATCCTCTGCTCCAGTCAGAGTGTTTCAGACGTCCCTAGGCATTCCTTTTCCCCAGTTCCGGACAAAATGAAAATGAGACTTGAAGTGTGTACAAAGAACGATTCGCTGCAAACAGATGAGACGGTGGGAAAAGACCGAGAGGTAGACTAGGAAATTACGAGGAACCAGAGTTGGACAGAAAAAAAACAGTATTGCCGCCGATAAGACCAGATGAAAAGTGAACGCCATGCGTGTACCCAAGAGCAGCAATGAAAAGAGCCCAATGGTGACCAGTGTGACGAACGCCGATGCAAGGAAAACATGCTGCCAAGCGATGGATATAATCAAGGAAAAGACGCTCCAGAGTTTTGACTGCAGCTCGTCAAAAGAGTCTGCGAAAGTGGTATAGAAAAAGCAGTAAAACAAAGCCCTCATTGCTCTCATCTCGAATCTATAACTCTTGGCCCCGTGTGTGGTGATATGGGTATAATGCTTTTGGTAAGGTCGCTCAATCGCTGTCGTCGTCGGGATTGGCAACAAACAGCCTCACGGCTCCGCTCATCGTCATCGTCCTGTCGTCGACACTCCCTCTCCGCCTCAAATCATCCGAGGCTTTGTGCGCGTGTGCCGCCTGCGGCTCGTGTTGCGGCATCTGCCCCAACCCGCCGAAACTGTTCTCGCGTTCTCCAGAGCTGCCGCTGCCGGCGGAAAGACCGGTGTCCCGGTGTTGGACGAAGTATTCGCTCTGCCTTCTGGCAAAATCTCCCTGCATCGGAGTCTCTTCCGCCACCAGTTCCGTTGGGCTGTTGCCCTGGCCGCTCGGTGGTGTACTGCTCGTGCTATTCCGGGCGCCCGAGGGGCCGACATAAGAGTATACCCTGCGTCCCGAGCCCAGCGAGCTGCGTCCACTGCCGCTACGGTTGTGGAGATTGTTGAAGCTGTTGCTATCGTTGTCGCTGTCGCCCTCGTCGACTTCGCTGGCGCTCAGGCGCATGGGCACGCCGTTGCCGGAGAGGTTTGCGGGGGTGTAGAGCGAGGCCTTGGGGGCACCGTGATGTCTGATCTTGGAGCGAACACCGGCGGCTACTCCGGAAGACGAGGTCGAGGTTCTGCTGGCCTGGTGGCCGCCGACAACTTCCATGGTGGCACGCATCTTGGCGGCGCGCTGCTGGGCGAGCAGGCGCGGGTCTTCAAACTGGGCACGATCGCACCAGACGGTGGCCTTTTGCCGACGCATCAGGGCAACGTAGCTCGACGAGGTTTGGCTGGCAGTCGAGCGGCCAGACGACGAGCGGCGCAGGTCCGAGTTGCGGCGAGCATTGCCGGCGCCGGCGCTGGTGCTGGTCGAGGACGTGGAGGTGGTGGCATTGGAGAGAGTGCGGCGGGTCTGGTTGGTGTTGTACTGTGTCATGGCGGGCTGGTACTGGGGCGGTTGGTAGGTGAAGTTGGAGGCAGGCTGCTGCGGGAAAATGGAGCTTGAAGAAGTTCGGGAGCGAGAGTGAGAAGTGCGCTGCTCAGGAACGATCTGTGTCAAGGGCTGGAGGCCGGCCTGAGGCACGGGCTTGCGATGTGGCAAGCGTGCGGCCGGCGGTGCGTAAGAGTCCACCATGGCGGACATTGTAGATCAACGGCGCGGTGAGCGGACAAAGAAAAAGGCAGGGATGGACAGCGCAGCGAGATTGACGCGGTCGCGCGCGTCTCTTAGTATCACGGACGCTGCACGGGTGGTGGAACAGGCTAGGCGAACGGGCTCGGGGTCAGCGGACGGTCCGTTTCGAGGAGATTGTGAGGCTGAGGCAGAGGTCGCGGGTGCTCGCGTTCGCTGCTAGTCGGGAGATTGTGTGTGTGGATCCGACGGCGCTCGGATTCTCAGGGTGGCTGCGCCTTGGAAGCGCCTTTGAGAGTGAAGAGCGGATGGAGAGTGACCGATGGTGGTGTGCGGTAACCAGGAGGAGGGCGGCGCGTTACAATATAGTAGTAGCCTCTGCTTCGCTTAGTCGATGGCACGACGACCTGGGCGCTAGGTACGATTCCATGGAAAGCCAGCGACAAGTGAATCACGGCAGAACGGTAGCAGGCCAGCCACGCCTCACGCGGCGGCCCCGACGCAAGGCGCTTGGGCCCGCTTTCCAAGCCCGGGCGGCAGCGTGTTGCCCTTCCGCAGGCTTCACGGCTCTCGGCTCAGCTGAGAGGAAGCAACGCGATCGACACACGCCTGCAGCTCTGCTGTGCCCGCCGCTGGCCCACGGTTTGCGCTGGCCGTCTCCCAGCAGCCTCTCCACAGCTGAAACCACCGGGCACCAGTGATAATGACGACGCGCTGGTCGTCGACGGCCGCGGCGATTCGACTCTTCGGGGCGCCTTTCATCGGCCGATCTGGAGGTCCACTGTCTTCCATATGGCTCCACACGGTGCTCGCAAGGTGCCGGCGGGCTCAACACCAGAAACGCACCCATGCGCTCTCCGCAATGGCTCGGGAGCTTGCCGACGCATGCTGGCGCACAGGGATGCCGTCCAAGTCTCAAGCGAGCCGTGAGCTTGCAAATGCCTGCTTGCTTCGCGCTTCCTCCAGGTTTTGGCCCTGGGCATTAACAGCCGTCCCAGTCAACTTATGCGACCAGGATGCGGGCGCATTGGACGTCTTCCCAGGCCTCCACTCGACGCGTACTCTTCGATCTGCTCCTTCGTGGTCTTTCCAGCGGGCCCCGCACCTGCGACTAGAGCTTGACCCCCGCGCCCTTGCTTCGAGAAGATGCTTGGCCGGCTCGGACATTGCCCTCTATCCAGCCTCGTTATCTCGACCTTCCCAAGAGATCTGCCGACTGCTATCAATTAGACTTTGCCGCCTCATCTTGTGACTGTCTTCATCCTGCAGCGTGCTGCACAATGGCGATTGTGAAGCTGCAAGCCTGCTCGCAGCGTCTTCACCCCGCCCAGACGACGACGCCATTGCAATGAAAAATCCCGCTCGCGCCGGCGACTGCACCCCAGCGCATGGATCGATAGACCGCCGTGAACGTCTGCCGAGCAAGCGAGGCAGGCCCCACCCTGACAATGTGCCGGGCTCTAAACCTCAACCTCTGGTCCTTGCCTAATCCGAGCTATCGCGACGTCGTGCTAGGCCGCCCAGCTAACCCGCCATCCACCGCGGCGATCGCGAAATGCATTACTGCTGCACGCCTCATGCAAGATCGGACACCCTCCACACCTCCCGTCTGTTCACACCCGCCCGTCAGCACCGCACCATCGAACGCGCCTCCACCAATCGCCTTGCAGGATTCGCCCGCCGCTGGTGGCCGCACGCCCACTTTGCAGCAGGACCCTTAAAACGTCAAAGCATGGCGACTTTTTTAGCCCGCCACCCGCGCGCGCAGAGGCCGCTCCGCACACTCGTCGCTGTAGGGCTTACCTTTTCGCTGCCACGGCTGCCTCAGATGGTGGAGCGTGCTGGTGCAGCGGCGCCGGCGCGAGAGAAAATCAAGTGGCACCTCGGATAGATTGAGGCTGCTGGACCCTGAACGTGAGCCTTAGTCCGCATCCAGCAGCACACGAGGCTGGGTGACATTTTCTCTGGGGCTCACCAAAGATGGCTTTGGTCAGTCGTGCGACGGTTTCTATTTTTGCGCTCGCTCGTTTCGTCCGTAAACTTCCCCAAACGCTCGTCTTGGCAGTCGTCAAGCGCTGCTTTGCATTGACTAAGGATCGCTGCGCTATAGCAGCCCGTCATCCTTCCTTGCCACTCCTTTCTCTTCTCGCACAGTCCTCCTATTATTTCGTCATCGCTACGCACTTCTTCTAGCTTCAGGCACTCCCGCTCCGCGACCACCAACCGGATTCCGTATCGCGGCTAAGCTCTCTCGATGTAACCACGCTCATCAGCTGGCGCCAGGACGCGTGCAACCCGCCAGCGTCATCTGCAGCTTCTCTCCTGCATCTGCCGTATCAAAATTTACCCGAGCCATTCCTCTCTCAGCCACCACCACAGCATTCTAGAATTTCCAGTACCACCACCGAGCATTGCTTTTATGTACTTACCGCTCCAAGCAACTGGTACAACGCTCCCGCAGCTTGCGCGTGCTGCTAGCCCACGCGAACGGCTCTACCGCGCGGGCAGCTGACAGTGGCATGCACGACCATGCGTCGAGCACGGTGATACCCACCCGCACCGTCCTGCCAGCTGAAAGAGAATGGGAAATGCCGGCCCCACCCAGAAAACCAGGCAAGCAGCCTGTTGGGTGAAGTTCATGGATGCCCTTCCTCCCCCCGCCTCTTTGAGACGCACTTGCGTGCCGTCTAGCGAGCGGGCCAGCGGCAGCAACTGTGAAAGCCAATGTTCCACGGCAGCTTTCAGTCAGCCATGAGCACCTGCAATCCGGACGCCCGACGCAGATCACGGGAGCTAGTCATTCAGTCGGGTCCATGTGGCTGGCTCAACAGGCGGGTGACTAGGTACGCTCCACCCAAGCCGTTGCCCCCGGATATTCTTGTGGGTTTATCTCAATCACCGTTTTCGGAGCCGGAAGAAAATTGCGGAGCTTCGGAAGGACTAAATGCTCTCTAAATCCTACATGATCGGGTCGGGTGCCATGGCAACAACTAGTAGAGAATGTGGCGTTGACTGATGAAGCAATCATTCGGTCATGTTTGCTACCGCTTCTCTTTGCACGCCTGCTTTCAGACTTTGCTTCGCCCTACCACGTGCCGTGAGTTTCCGTTAATTGTCTGGGCTCATCTACTGCATAGCCGCAATCGTAACGGCGACGAGTAGGGCTGACTCTAAGGTACGACTCTGAATCTCCGCATGGGCAATGAAAACCTAGTGCAAAAACCCTATTTCCACCTGTCTCCACGGAAACATCAAAGCCATCCACCATTGCCGGATCGCTGCCCAAATGTGGTTACACACGCTAGCACCGCTCGCTTACTTGCGCTTGACAGCAATTGTTGGGCGTAGCACGAAAATAGGCGAGGTGCGGATAAACCGTAGTTACCACAGCCCTGGGTTACGATCCTCCTTGACCTTTTTATGCGGGTCACTCTGCTTTTCCGCACTTCCGCCGAAATCCAGAGGGAAAGAAAGACACATTGAGCTACTAGAATAAGCTTCGGCTTAATGCATGTCTCCGGACTAACCGGTTGCTATCTTCAAGAATCGAAGGGCACGTACTAGCAGCTTCCTGGGCCAACTCGTCCGGGCCAGCGCGATCCTATGTGTCCTGAGAATCGGAGGAGACTCCGCGAGCAAAGGAGGTGGATAGGTACCTGGAGCATGAATCAATCGGTAGTCCCGCTTTGAATTTTCTTCTTACATTGCCTATACGCATTCATTATAGTATGTTGCTCTTCGCACTCCCCAGTTGACCTATTTCAATCTAGGCATACCACGATGTCTCATAAATACAAAAAAAGTAGGGAAAACAAAAGGCATGACACGAGAGTCAATCAGGACTTTCTTCTTGTGTGCTACGGTTCCCACCCTCATTGGTCAACCCCAAGCCCTTTTTTCTTTTCTTTTTCCGAAAATAGTACTCACAACGCTACACAAAAGTTTCCGACTTGTGCCTGGCCCCCAGGCGCCGCGCGGCGCCTGCAGCTCAAGAAAAAGGAGCCGGGACGCCGTCTTCCCGCGCCTCCCAACCCCACCCCGCCCCTCCCGTCTTACTCGCTCCCGAAATTTCAGGTGCGTTGCACGGCACGACCACGTTGCAATTGGCCCAAGGGGTTGGGTCGAGCCCAAGCCAGTCCATGGACTTGGAATAGGGCTGCTCTGACCGGTGGATTAGGACTGCCAGGCTTTAGGCAGAGCTGATATTGCGAACTTGACGTATCACCATTTATGACGGGTCCATGCATACGGAGATCGCTATTGCGGTGAATGCATGTCCATTCACTTGGGTTTGTTATCTATCCGCTCCGCTCCGCCACCGCCGGTATCTCCGTGATCCTTTTTTTTTTCTTGGTCCTGGCGTTCGTGCTTTTAGGAATTGAAAGAACAGGGAGGGGCCAGGTCAAGGAAAATGAAGGGCACAGCATGTTCTATTCGATGTCTTCTCTAGCTATAGGAAGGATGCCTAAAGTATTTTTCAACCTAGCGCACCTAGGCGTAAATTCGAACTAATCTAAATGTGATATTGATGAGCGCAAGGGTAAATAAAGGAGACTCCTAGAATCTCGAGGACTGCAAGACACCTCACGCTTAGTTACGTCGCACAGCAGAACAGGCTGAAACCCAAGATCTGGCGGGTCGGAGAAATTTTGCATTTGGGTTTTGGGGGGACGGGAGGGTCAAGCGGTGACGGGTGACCGGTGCTTAGGGCTGAGTGAAATAAATTTATTCATCAGTTATGTAGGTCGGCACTGACCGGTCAGTCGGCAACTCCGGGCTTCCAAGCTACCTAAGCTGGCTAGCTTTAGAGGATAGGTAGGATAGCTGTTGTGGGACGAGGCCATAGCTTCTTCTTGCTGTCTGTGACGTATGCGTGGCGTTTCGAGAACAGCTGTGGCGGTCGGTCAGGGGTTTGTGTGATGAGGGGTTGTTGGGATTGACACAAAATTAAATTATCACATGTCGACAGCTCCCTTGCCTGTGCATATCGTAAGCTGTAGTGATACGTCAACTACAGAAAGAGTGCAGTGCTGAGGCCAGCTAAATCAATACTGCCAACAGCATGGAAAAGCCGCATTGGAAGGTCAAGCGCTGATCAGGACGTGAACGTACGATAAAAAGACCGTCCCTGCAAGACTTTCCATCCCCGCCAATGCTGCAGTACTATAAGCGAGCTGGCCTCATCAACAACCAGAAACTCGCCCACACGTCACACTCTTGTAGCAATCGCTCGTTTGGTATCATGCGAGAGTGATTCGACAACACCCCACGTCTGCTCCACAAAACCCCGCACGACAGCGTGTGAGCCTCATGGCAACAGGCAACGCTCGCAGCAGGTTACCAGAGATTTTCGACTCCTGGAAGAACTGACATCGTATTTGTGGGAAGTCGTTGAAGTCTCCTCAACATTCTGTGCTTCAATTTTCACAAGACATGGCAGATCGCCCAGCAATAAGTTCACGAATAATATGAGAACGAATCGGATAAATCGAAGCAGAAGAGGTATTCATTTCGCGTTAAATCTTATCTATAGAGGCGAGCGCAAAAAGGTGCACCACCCTCTCTTAGCTAAACCAAGAAATTTTTTGGCTTTTGGGAATCCAATATGTCCATCCAATCATGACATCAATAAACGGCGACGCTTCGCTTAAGGAAGGGCGTAACCACCGTCGACGATGATGTCGGCACCGGTGGTGTAAGAAGAGGCATCCGAGGCAAGGTAGAGGTAGGCACCCTTGAGCTCATAGGCCTCACCCTCACGGCCCATGGGGATCTTGCTCTTCCAGATGTCCTTGGTCTCCTGGGGAATGAAGTCGGAAATCTCGGTGGCCATGTAGCCAGGCGAGATGGAGTTGGCGCGGGCGAAGGAAACCCACTCAACAGCGAGGGAGCGGCAGAGGTGGATGACACCAGCCTTGGCGGCGTTGTAGCTGGGAAGGCAGTCAGTCGACTTGTCCTGACTAAGAGTAGTGGTGGGGTACTTACGCAGCCTGGAGCTGGGGAATGTTCACGATGTGGCCAGACATCGAGGCGGTGGCAATGAAGCTACCGTAGCTGTAGTTCTCGAGCTTGTTGCCATTGAGGTCGGTGCCCTCCTTCCACTGCCTCCTCCAGATCTCACCGGCGGCGCGAGCGCAGAAGAAGGTGCCGTCAAGGTCGGTAGAGACGACCTTGTGGTAGTGGGCGATCTCGCCGTCAATGGCGGGGCCCTGGGTCCACGGGATACCGGAGTTGGCAACGAAGATGTCCAGACGGCCGTTGAACTCCTTGACGATGTCGTAGACCTGCTTCTTGACGTTGGCCTCGTCGGTGACGTTGACCTGGTAGGCCTTGCCTGCAACGGGGTTAGGCACGCGAGCTAACAAGGTGTTGGGGCGGAGGCCGACTTACACTTCACGCCATACTTCTTCTCAATCTCCTCGGCGCGCTCGATGGCCTTCTTGTTGCTGTTGTACCAGATGGCAACGTTGGCACCGGCCTCGGCGAAGCCGTGGGCGACAGCCAGACCAATACCGGCGCCAGCACCGGAGACAATGGCGGTCTTGCCCTTGAGGGAGAAGAGAGGGAGGACCTGGTCCTGCTTGGGAGCAACGGTGTTGCCCTGCGGTGGGGGGTTAGCTCCGGACGTTTCCGATGGGCGAAGGGAAGCGTACGATGGAGAAGACTCCGTTCTTGATGGCGCCGTCAGACATGGTGGAGGATTAAAAGGCGGTTGGGGTATCTGGATGAGGCAATTGGATGGAGATGGGAGTTGAGAAGATGAAGAGAAGCTCCCCGAGGCGTGGGAGGGGCAGCTTTTTAAGGGAGGGGTCGATCGAGCTGGAGGGAAGCTCTGGCACAATGGCGGGGCAGATGCGTTCATTCGTAGGCCATCGGCCGCTCGCCGGTGGAGCCCGGGGCGGCCAGCTCCAATCACGGCTCCAACGACGGCCCCTGCACCCTCTCCTCCAGCAACGATGACGTGACCTCATCGCGAAGTCGAGCTCCCGCCTGCAAAGCTCCGATTGCCATCGACCGCAATTGCCTGCGCCGTGCCGCTTGTCGCGCGCTGCGCTGCGCACACGACCGCCGTCTGCCCGCCGCAGCCCCGCTCACGCAGCCAGAGGCGGGTCCACTCAGCAGTTTGCGGCGCCGCCCTGCCACCGCCCGCCTTGCTCACGACTCTGCGCGCGGGGCTGACCAAGCCCAGCCCGGCCAATGACATAACCGCCCAACCGCCCGCCAGCGTGGCCAGACGGGGGCCTGGCCTCTCGCGCCGCTTGATTGAGTCTCCGTCTTGCCCCATTCGGCTGGTCGTTTAGGCGACGCGTCGCCGATTTACGGCTGTCAACTCTCCAACCCCTCCCGCCCTGTTGCTCACCCTGTTGCTCACTTTGCTGCGTGCCGCTGATACATCCTGATGGATCATCTAGCTTTACTGACTTAGCAGATGGCCCGCTACCGCGGGCCCGTTGAGAAGCCAAGAACGAGCCGCACCATCGCCTCAACCCCTCCGTCGCCCGCTGCGACCACAGAACATGCACTGCACACGTTGTCCCACGGGCTGGTCACATGTGAAACAGTAGTCGATATGAAGCATTGCTGCGCTTTCACGTCTCGGCAGACATCCGCCGTGCGTGCTCGTGCCCGGAGCACCTCCTACTCCATCCTTGGTAGGCATCAGCCCGGTAGTCGTCTATAGGGTACATTTCTCCCAGCCTGGTGATTTCCTATCCCTTGCGTTCCTTCTGCCATTGTTGTTTGTTGGTTCACCAGCTCCTCGACTGCATTCCTGAGCTGTTGTTTTCGAGACATTGCATACCACACTCGATCTAATTACACGCCACATGTCGTCTCCCTGCCGCCCGCATTTTGCCTTTCCTTTCCTTGATCATGTCCTTCGTCCTATGTGCTGCTCTGTCGCCGTCTGCGTCCTTTGGCCACTGCCACCGTCTTGTCCAGGAATCCGCCGAACGCCATAACGCCACGTGCTCGAATTGATATCACAGGTTATGCAGACCGGAAAGTGGCAAGAGGCCGTGTAGCGTACTCGATCCACACTATTCGGGAAGAGCTGGGTTTGCAATCATGAACCGCTTAAGGCCCCGGGAAGGAACAAGACCAGCTACGATACCTCCTGGAGTATGGATTGCGGTTGGGGTAGCTGGTGGGATCATTCTGATTGCATTGATCTGCATGATCTTTCTCCTTGTCCGTGCTACTCGTGCGCACAAACGACTGCTTGCAGACTTGGAGCAACGGGGAATCAGGCTTGGCCAGCAGCATGTCCAGATCGATGGCAATGGCGTTACAAAACCACGGCAGGTGCTGAGAAGGAATGTCTTTTTGCCTTACAACAATACCACTGGCTGGGGAGTCCTACCGTCCAAAGAGTCCTTCGGACAGTCTTCCCTCAGCAAAGCCCCGCGCACAACGCAGACCCCGACCATCATTGAGCCTGTACCCGATACGAACCAGAGTGCGCACAAGAAGGTGTGGCCATTCCACAAGCGTCGAAATGGGCCAAAACACATCAAAATGGACCGTCTCAGAACCTCGAGACTGTCAGCCATCATCGAGAGCCCCAAGCCAATGCTTGATATTTCCTCGCCGAAGTTGCAAGAAGAGAGAGAAAGCACTCCAGAGGGGCCACCCAGGCTTACGCTCGATCCCATATGTGACTCGCCAATTGGGAAACTGTGTCCTCCATCATTCGGGTCAACCAAGCCAAATTCCGCACCGGACTTGACCAGCGCGCTCCGACCTGCACCGCTCTTTAGCAGTCCCGTACCGGCTCCTTCAGGTACCGTGATTCGGTCTCCAAAGCGAAGGGGTAGATCAAACTCTGTGCCTTCAATTTACAGCACGAATGAAGGTACCCGTGAGATTCATCCAAGCAATGGTTCCCAGAAGCTAGGACGCAACTTCAGCTTGATCTACAGGCAATCCGGCTTGGCTCCTGAGAACCCAGTGCCTCCGCTTCCCTTGAGATTCGGCCACGCGAGATCTGTCAGCAACGTGGATTACAGTCCCTCCAGGCGGTCCGCCTCAAGCTTCGAGTCTGCAACCAGCTCCATCCTTGTCACTACCAGCCCAGATACTCAGCGAAGCCCGCATGCTAGGATGAGACAGAGTCCGGGCCATGAGCTACACAAGTCGCTTGTTTTGAAGGGGCCACGGCCAATGCCACAGTTGCGAGCTGACAGCTCGAGTCCGCGGCACTTCCGTGACGAGTCAATCAGGAGCAATGTAGCGCAGTTCGCCATGGAAATTGCGTCAAGCGATTCTCATTCACGTAACGGCAGTCCAGAGTCCAAGGCGGGCGGAAAGCTCAAGATTGAGAGTAATAGCATGGGCCGTTTATCTCAACGAAGTCGATCAAATAACAGCTTGATGGGAGGCGCGCCTAGTACTCCACGCCGCAATTCCCGCACTCTGGTCTCTTCAGAAGGATCGCCAACAGAGCGTTGCCGCTTTGCCACTCATCAAGACGTATCTGCACATGAAGGAATTCTAGCCCAGCAGCTTTCACGCACTTCCACCAACGCTTCATCATCCTGTAGCAGCAATGGAAACCCGTTCCGATGGGATCCGACGCCAATGCAGTCCGGAAAATCGTCTGGCCCAAGAACGAGTCCAGATAAAAAGAGATCCCATCGCCGCCAGAATTGCATTCGTCTGTCTCTCACTACTGGACAAGTCGGCCCACCAGTGAAGCCCGAGGACCCTACAGTCATGCACGGAATCGAGGAAGAGCCGGGTTCTATGCACAGGAGGAGCAAACTTTCGGAAGATGGTGAGATGATCAGCTTGGATACTAGACCTCTGCCACGACCGCCGAGCATTAACGTATTTTCACCTGACATCCATCTTTCGCCAACAACTATCCGGGCCTCTCTAACACAGGAGTCTCCTACGCTATCTTTGACTAAATATAACCAAGAGAACTGCGATGGCTCTCCACGATGGCGCTGCTCAGGCATCAGCGGTGCCTCAGCTTTCAGCATCCCGACATTTCCCAGTCCCGCTAATACCGACTGCTCACAAATTGCTTTGGCACATTCCGGGGGTGATGCAATATTAGGCGCAGGCGCCAATGATGAAGAAAGGGCACCCAAGAACCAGGAGTACAACTCGGGCTCGCCTCTTAACTACCCAGTTTTGACTATTCCTTCGCCAGAGGCTACTGAGAACAAGTGCAGACCTACCACGCCTCCTGGTCATGAACGCAAGATTTCCCAGGTGGACTCTCCTCCCTGTTCTCCAAAGACGCTCCTCCTAAATTCCATTGAGACTACACCGGTGGATCTTTGCAAGATGCCAAAGCTCATGTCGTCTACACCACCCGTGCCTGAGCTGCCCCCGCGCGATCCTCGCCGCAGCAAGGAGATCTCATCGCCCACGCGCGCCGGACTGACAGGCCCACGAGCCGAGCCCGGACGCGACTTGCGCAAGACGGTCGCGGCGCTCCGCCGCATGAATTCAGACGCGGCCGACGATTCGCGCACTAGCCGTCGCTACAGGCAGCTCGGCCGCGAGCCAACCAGCAACAATCTGGTGGTTGAGCTCGAAAATACTACCAACACAGAAGAAGGCGATATCAGCAGCAAAAACGGGCGAAGTAAGTACACGAGCGGCAAGGCCTTCTCGTCACCAAGCAAGCACTTCGTCCCCGCGAGCACGTACTCTCTCGTTGCCCCGTCGCCACATAACAGTGTCGCACCGTCTACCATGTCGACAAACACCGACTCGGTGGCGGCCAGTTCAGCCTTTTCCGCTACCACTGGCCGCACCAGCACTACGACGACAACGACAACAGCGCCGACAACGCCCCCGGCGATTGCAGCAATTCAGAAGCCACCAGCATTCGGCCTTGGCCTCAGCCTTGGCGGCGGCAGCGGCGTCGGTGGTGGCCTCGGCTGCAGCAGCGCGAGCAACAACAGCCTGACCCTCTCCACCCGCAGCAACGGGATCCACTTCCTCGGCGGTGGCGACGACAGCTGCACCAGCCTGACCGACCTCATCCTGGCCGAGAACGAAAACATTTTCGGCCGGAAGGAGCTCGAACTGGCGAATCCGGAGCGCCCCGGGAGCAGCGTCTGGGAAGATGGAGAGGGCTTCTGGGAGAGCCCGAGCGCGAAGGAGAGGGAGATAGCGAGGGAGAAGAGTAGCAGCAGCCTGAGCGTGTACGTCACGCCATGCGGTAGTGGTGATGATGCGGTGGCGACGACGTGCGGCGCCGGGGTGGATGACCCTGTCACCGCTACTAGCGGTGCTGGTGTTTCTGTGGTTGGAGGTGTGAGGACGAGCAGCGAGTTTTTCGACTCTGATGCTGAGAACAAGACGCCGACGGGGAAGAATGGCGCTAGTGACGGTGTTGCTGTGGGCAAGGAGGAGGGAAAGAGGAGAAGATGGACAGAAAGAGGGGGAGGTGATAAGCATAGAGAGATATTGGCGCCAAAGGTGCTGATATCGGTCCAGCCGCCTAGTGAGCAGGGTACACCAGGGAGCTTGTATGACCAGGATGGATTTCTGAAATGAGTAAGTACGTCATGTCAATGGTTTGGTCGTGGGGTTGAGGAGTATCGTATGGTTGCGCATCCATATTTTGAAGTGGTCAGCTGTTGTGTTGACTGTGGCTCTGACGCTGTTCATCTCTTGTTCTTTTTTTTTTTTGAAACACCTTCTCTACCGTTTCTTTTTTCTATATCCCTCTCGAAGTCACTTCTCCATCTACCACTGATCCCATCAGCCAGATCCTTTCCTATCTAACCTTCAGTCACATTCCCTCTCCTTCCGTTTCGTTTTCTCCCTCTTCCTCTTCTTTTTTGAGATCGGCGCCTTTTGTCCCTTCCGCACTATGCTTTATACCACCATCACAACCAGATGTTCCTTACAAAAGTCCAAACCACAAGATCATTGTCCATTCCTGTTTCTACTCCCTTTCTACCTCTCGTCACACTTCCAGCTGTATGTATAAGTACTTTTACCTTGCGTTAGCCGCCCAACTAGCTAGGAACGGCCAGTGGTAACTACCAGCAAGCATGGACCTCACTTAATAGTAATTTTGGCCTAAGACACTTTGAAGCAATTGGATAATGTGAAACCGAAATTGTGGGTATCAATTGATAAAATGAATTTTTAGCCAAAACCCCTTCGTCGGTGATCTCAAATCGTAGGTTACGCTGGTAGCCTTGTCGCGATGAAATGCCCCAACTGATTTTCACTACTGTACTGTCGAGCCCATCAAAAAGCTTCTTGCTTCTCACCCTTTATCGCCTTCCCTTTTTTTTGTTTTTTTGTAGCCCTACTCTGTCCTCCTCCATTTAGCCTCTTCTCCACTGCTAGCAGCAGCACCACCACCCTCTCCATCCTGTCCACCTTGCTCATCAGCGTTCTCAAAGTTGCCGTCGTCCTCGTCGCGCGCGTGGACCGTGCCAGCGCCGCCGCCCAGCGCGCCACCGCCGAAGCCAATGAAGTTGCCCTCAGCGTCGACGTGCTGGTCAATGTTGTCGCTCGTGATCCAACCGCCGGCGCCGGGCAGACCGGCTTGAATGTCATCGCCATCTCCTCCTGCCTCGGAATCGGAATCAGCGGGATCGGGGTTGAGGTCGGCGCAGGCGGACACGGCGGCGAAGAGGTCGGCAATGGTGGTGGAGGATGAAGGGACGAGCGTGATCTCGAGCGTTTGCAGGTCTTCGTCCGGAGTGAAGTCGGAGGCGTTGAGGGCGAGTTGCATGTAGAGGCCCTGGGTTTCTGCGCTGCTGCTGTCCGCGCCGCCGGGGAGAGTGAGGCGTTGGATCGCGTGCAGGGTGATGTCCGGGTAGGAGAGTGAGACGCCGGTGGACGTGGCGGAGGAGAAAATGAGAAGGTTTCTGTTGGTTTGTTCGAGAAAGCGGGTGAGTGGCTGTAATTAATTGTGCGATTGGGGTTGGGAGGAGAGACGAACTGCGAGGTCACCCAAACATCGAGTCCGGGGATGACGAGCTGGGTATCGGCCGACTCGCCGTTGGTGCCATTGGTGCTAGCGGAGGGTGTGGCGCGCAGGTCAGGGAAGAGGGATTGGCCTTCAAGGTCGGCCTGCGAGACAACTAGCTGGGTATCTGCGCTGTGTAGATGCAGGACGGGCTTCGCGCCAAAGAAGGTGCCGGGTGTTTGGGACTGGTGCTCCTCCAGCGGCGTGAAGTCGGAGGCGACGGGCGCGGTTGTGAGCTTCTCGAAGGGCATGTTTGCGAGACGGAATGGTTTGGGGCGCGAAGTGGTGATGACGAGGCAGAGAAGAGAGGGAAGGCGTCAACACTCGAAAACGTTATCGATAAGCTGAGCTGTGGTTCCCGTGCTTCGGCCGACCCGGCTGCCAGGCACCGACGCGACGCTCCCGTCCGTGAGGGCCAGTAGCGAGGTTCCACCGCCTTTGACGTAGGTAGAGCAGGTTGGATTGGCGGATCACTTGCCCACTACTGATTGTCAACAGGATGTCTGTCGTGTGCTAATCGCCGGTCGGCATCTGAATTGCTACCCCGCGCTCCGCCGGCGGGCCGAGCTCGCTGCCGCTATTGGTAATCAAGCGCCCCTCAATGACGAGTGTCCGCCACTCTTCCTCCCCGTCATCATCACCGTCTCCTCCCTTTCTTGAGCTGTTAGCGCACTGGCTTTGCTCTAGAGCCCCTGAAGTCTGTGCCGGTCGAAGCTCGGTGCATGCAATTGACCTCCTATCTCGAGCAAATCAAGCTCCTTGCAACCATGTCCGGCAGCGGCAGCAAAAAACTGCCTATACCCGAACTTCCCGAACCCGCCCACGCAGAACTCGACTCGATGCTCGCCCGCAAGTTTGGCAAAGAAGTGGCTAACTACTTCTCCGGTTAGCTCTCCAGCTGCAAGGTCCCTGCCATCAAGGTGCGCTGACGATAACGATGTGCTAGGGTCGCCGCTCAACCGGGTGTCCTTCTTGCGGCCCGATACGACATTCCTGTCGCAAGCCCTCAAACATGACACCTCGCGCTTCATATTATTCAAGGACCTGAACCCGCTCGTCAAGTCGGCAGATAAGCTTGCATACGCCTCGTACAAGGATGTCGAGCCGGCAGTTGGCGATCCGTTCACGGCTTCCGAAGACGACATCATCAAGCAGTTCAACTCTACCAGCTACCGCCCGCAACTCATCTTCCTCGGTCTGGATGAGAGTAAGAAGCAGGGCGGGTTTGCTTACAAGGAGCATTACGCTGGACAGCCCTACTGGGCTCTAGACATCACGCCGCGCGCCAGTGTGACCGAAGCCGCTGAGGCTCTGATAAAGAAGGTTGAGGGGGAGGGCTTGTACTTTGCACAAGGTCGGATGCAGCTGTCCCTCATCGCGCCCGAAGGTATGTGGTAACTTCTGCTCCAGTGCCCACGATCTACCACTCACGCTTCCCGTCGCCGATAGCCGCCATTTACGCCGAGGGCCGGCACTTACTCGACTGGAACCTGCGCAACCCGTACTGCGCCGGCTGCGGGCACTCGACGCTTTCGACCCACGGCGGCTTTAAGCGGACGTGCCCACCCAAAGACTTAGCCGACAAAGTGGCGGATGCGCCGGACGCGCCGGACCGACCACCGTGCGCGACGCGGACCGGTGTTTCGAATCTGAGCTTCCCCCGCACCGATCCCACCGTCATCATGGCTGTCGTGTCGCACGACGGGCAGCGCATCATGCTGGGCCGCCAGCGTCGCTGGCCGCCTCACTGGTACAGCACGCTTGCCGGTTTCCTCGAGCCGGCCGAGTCAGTCGAGGAGGCAGTGCGCCGCGAGGTGTGGGAGGAGAGCGGAATTCATCTCGGTCGCGTCGTCATCCACTCGACGCAGCCCTGGCCTTACCCGGCCAACCTGATGATCGGCGCCATTGGCCAAGCCGTGCCCGATGGTGAGACGGTCCATCTGGGCCACGACGCTGAGCTAGAGGACGCGAAGTGGTTCAGCTTCGACGAAGTGAGGGAGGCGCTGAGGATCGGCACTAGCGGGTTGGGCGAGGATCCCGGCCCTGACTACAAGCCCGGTGGCTTGAGACTGCCGCCGTCAACGGCAATTGCTAATCAGCTCATGCGCGCGGTGGTGCTTGGCGGATTCGTCAGCGCGGAGGCGAAGATATAGACGCGGACTTGATCTAGAAGAGGTAGAGTTGATAGGATGGTAAAAAGATATCCATTGGATTTTTGCTTGCACGTATGCAGCCTTGCGGAATCAGGCAGGTGTTCCTAAGCGACGATGGCGGTGCTACTGGAAGAAGCCGCGGCATATTGAAGGTAATGAAGGAATGCGGGAGGAACAGGAAAAGAAGGAACAGCGGGAGCCTATCACTAGGCGAAACTAAGAAAAAGTAAGCTGGCCTGGGCGTCTGAGGTCATGATGGCGGCTGATGGCTTAGGCTAAGCGGAAGTATGTAGTCGAGATTCTCGGAAATGCGGACCAACGGTTATTCGCTATCGGGAAAGCCAGGTAGGCTGGTGGCCCTATAGGGTTGAGCTGAGCTTTATGACAGGAGCACGGCGATTCATCGAAGCTGAAACTCGGCCGTATCTTCGTAGCCCAACAAGACGCGCACACTGTTTAGGTTCTTTTGCTTTTCCTACCAGCGACGGATTCGGGCTTTTGTCCGACGTCGACAACACCCCTGGACGCCACGCCACGTGGGCCGGCGTGGTGGCTTGATGAGAAAAGTGGTGGCGCACTCAATTCTCATCTGACTGACGGCTGCAACCGTGGGAGTCGTGGGAGCATTTAGCGTGAAACACCTGACACAATTTCCGATTGACACCTAGTGTTGCCCACTAGACGCGTCCGCATGTTCTAGCGGCCTTCTCGAACGAGGGACTGTGCGCTGGAGTACGAGGCGAATTCCTATTCTTGAACGATGAACCGTTCTCTTAAACCCGATCCGCGCGAATCTGGCGACGATCCTTCTCCGCACTAGCTTCGCTTCCGCTTCCAGAAGACGCAAAGCGCACGTGAACGAATCGCCAGTTGATCGTACGAGATTCTAGGGTCCAGACTGATCTTCCCAGCGACAGGGCGATAGCCCGGCGCAACCTTAACCGCACCATTTTCCTCCCCCTGCTATAATTATCTCGTGCTCCTCCCTCAAATCTTGCGCGCCCTATACAGCACCATTGAAATAGTCGAAGGAAAGCTCCTCGATACCAGCCTTCGCCAATCCGTTCCAGCGTCTTCAGCTTCCTCTTTTCCGGGATTCCTCGACCCCTCATCACATATTTATCTCCCTGCATCCCTTTATACACAACTCCCGGCCTTGAACCGAAGAAAGCAAGCAAAGCAAGGGAGGCGACACTCCGTATTCGACAGCGACGAAAAGAAGCCGCCACAAACCATCACACGCACACATACACACACGCAAAACATGCCACATTCAACGAAACCCAGCCGGCCAAACACGCCGGCACTCCCCATCGAGCTGTGGATGCACATCCTCTCGTTCGTCTCCGACACCGAGGACCTCCCGCAAGTCTGGTTCGCCGCCCGCGCGTCGTGCCGCCTGCTGCGCGTCGCGACCGAAGCCGCCTTCCCGGCCGCCCACCTGCGCCGCTGGCTGCACGTCTGCTCGTTCCGCATCCCCGGCGCCGCGCTGGCCTTCAACCGCATCGCCGACGGCAACAAGGGCAGGGCCGTGCTGAGGGCCGAGCCGTGGAAGGGCTTCGAGGATAAGCCGGGCAGTCGGGCTGCTGGTCAGTCGATTGCGAGAGGCGAAGCGAAGCTCGATGAGAGCGTGACGAGAGACTGGACAAACGTGCTAGAGGAGAGCTCCGCGAAGCGGTTTGGAGATCATATGGTTTGCTTGAGGGGGGTGGTGCAAGATACGGAAGTTGCCGGGTGGAGTATTGTGAGCGGAGAGGATGACGTGTTTGAGGTGGAGGTGGACTGGAAGGAAATGTTGAACAGATTATTTGGGGAGGAATTGAAGGCGAGGAGAAGGGGAGAAGTTCTGGTGAGTTTTTCCAGCCCCTACTTTCATTTAATGGCGACATACTAACCCCGATACAGGCCCAGCGCTTTAAGAGAGACCGTGAAGACAAATGGGCCGTATATGGTCCAGAGGTCATCAACGATCAACTGAACTTCAGAACCTTCGAGGCAGTCCTGTTGGGGAATGAGAACCATCGCGCATACCAGAATGGGTATCGTGATGCTCGCCGTCTACGTATCGAGCAGTGGATCGAGAGGGCCGAGAAAAGCCCAGAGGGCGCGTACGCACTGCGAAAGAAAGAGATCGATTCGGAGTGGGTGCCCAACTTCCGGATGAACGCGGTGCGGGAGCGTTTGGAGAAGAAAATGGTCGAGTGGGGTGAAGAGCGGTATCCGCAGCCTTCAGTCATCAGGAAAAGGCTTCTGGAAAGCGACGTACCGATGAAACGCGAGCTGTGTACGCTGGATGATGAGCTCGCGGCGGAAGATGAGGATTGGTTTTATGACGATGAAGTCGACTCGGAGAGGTACACAGAGGTTGGTCTGCTTTGGAAAGGCAGAACGTCAGAAGAGGTGGAAAGGATCATGCGCGTTGGCGAGTTCGCAGTCAAGCTAGACTCGTTACCGCCTAACAAGCGTCGAGCATGCACGAGTGGGTCCAGGATCTTCAACGTATCATGCTAGGCAACCATAAGAAGAAAAAAAGAAAGCGGGAGACTGCAGGTTAGATCTCGTAACGAAAAAGTTCAAATGAATCAAAAGACAAACTACAAATCAGATCTTCTCGTAGAGTGCAGTGCTCAACCACGTGGAAAATTTCCCTCGACTTATGTGTTTACTGCCGAGGCTCTCCTAGTCGTAATCAAACATTTCCGAATGATGTTCTAATTCTTACAGCATGCACCTGTAACGACTCCATATTTCTTTTTGCTTCTACAGAGATCTGTCCAGGGCTCTCCTCTTACTTTGCTGGCAAAGCTAAACGTACAGGAATGAGCAATGCACAGAATGATCTATAAAATATTTGCAAGCAGCAAACGAAGTTGTAGTAAATAAATTGCAGAGGTTGGAATCTACCCAATAGTTCGTCAAAAAGCAGCCTCCTACAAATATGTCACCAAACATAATAGCATTCACATACGTGAATAGTCGAAGACTGTACTGAAATTTGCTTGTGTAATTCAGTATATCCAAATGTTTTCTTTAACTGTCCATACAACTGCGCCCAGTCACATAGGCTCATCCGCCATCATACGCAGCAACCCCACAATTCAGTATATTTCCACAGCATGATGCGACACAGAGATGGCATGGTAGTGATGTTTGACTCATACTCGATGGTGTACCACCGCATTATCATGCTCGCGTACTCTTCTAAATCATAGCGTGCCTAAGCATAACACTCCACCTTGTGCAAGCTTCCCACAGCTCGGTAGATGTGTTCATGGGCTCTGGATTGACCAAGACGCTCCTACGATTGAAAATGACTTAATCAGTGAAATAACCAGGCCTAAAAACTAGTAAGTTGCCGCCAACGGTATTTGCTGCGGGCAGCAAGGGTGGTTTGCAGCACGGACATTCGGCACCTCTAGCGGCTCCAACAACTCAAATTGCCCCTAGCATCTCTAGCACTTTCGGCACATTCAGCTAGATAATTCGGTAGAGCTCTTGCTCCATAGAAAGCAACGGCATCAAAAACGTAAAGAGCATTTGACCTCCGTAGCCCATATATGAGGAACTAACAGCTGCATCATAACGTTACGCTTCAAGTGATAATTCATGATGTTATTCATCACTATGCCATGATATTCTCACCACTAATCATCAACATTTTAGACAGAACCACTGTCAGTGCGGACGCTGAAACACCACACCCCAAACGAGGCAAGCGCCAAAAGTCGACTGAGAAGAATCTGTTGTTAAGGATGCAATTAACTGGCTTTATTTTCTTTGGTGAACGAAGAGAAAGGGAGAGCTGGAGGATGAGGATAAGGATGCTTTTATAGTACCAAGGGAGGTTGAAGAATGTACGCACGAACGTTGCTAACGACGCTGGCGGTGCTAAAGGTGCTGGAGGAGCTGGGGCTTCTGGAGGTGCTAGCTACAACTCAAGTTGCCGTTTTGCTTATGTGTATTTTTTGCACAAACTGCTCAGTCAGCCGCTCCCGCCGCTACCAGCTGTTGCTGCACATATTCTACTAACGACTGCATGGCTGAAGGTGCATTAACTCTTCTTCGTCTTAGCATAGGATGCTGAACATTTCCTTCGTGAGTAGTAACTTGCAGAAAAATGGCAATTGATTTGGTAAAGCAGTTTATTCTTTTGGTGTCCGCAGCCGTCCAGTATTTTCTCCACAGGGAATCACAAACAGGAAAGCGAGTCCTACCATTTGCCTTAGATGCAGGTGGCAGCCGTAGCCAGGAGGCAGTGTGGTACGTAGTTTAAGCACCCACCCTGGCGTCTATGAAATCTCCACCGCGCCCTGCGGTACTCCTTTCATACTCTTGAGCCTTCTGGCAAAGAACTGCATTATGGGCAGCATCTCATCCCGATTGCTAGGCATGCCGTCGCCGACACGCTTCCACTCTTTGACCTCAACGAACTCGAAGCTATCTTTCAGACGTTTCACCGCGCCGTCCGACACGCTCGAGCCGCGGACCGCCTTGCACAGCAGCACAGGCGTCTTGAACTTCTTCGTGCTGCTCCCCTCCGACAACGACGCACTAGCCGGCACCGCGCCGCCGACGCTCACCACGCCGCCCAATTCCTGCTCCCCGTCCGCCTTGCCGAGCTCGGCGGCCACCTGCAGTGCGGCCATGCCGCCCTGCGCGAAGCCGAACAGCACGACATCGCGCAGGGCGTAGCCGCACTTTTGCACAAGCACGCCGCGCACGACGTCGTCGAGCAGCAGGCGGGCGGCGGTCTTGAAGCCGGCGTCCGGGTCCATGTCGCCGGTGCGCTCGTCGAAGAGCACGTCGTCGCCCCAGTGGAAGCCGCCCAGATCGAAAGGCAGAGGCGCCGGCGCCCGCACCGCGATGCAGGCGGTTTCGGGAAGGGACATTTGCGCGCCCAGGCGCGCGAAGGGGGCGTGGGTGTCGCCGAGGCCGTGGAGGAGGAGAAGGACGTTGGTGGGTGGGTGTCCTGGGGGAGCTGTTGCGGCGGCATGGCGTTAGCGCGGGGGTGTACAGACAGGTTCGGCAGGTCGGGTGTGACGGAGGTGTGGCGGTGTGCGCATCCAGGGTTGGGGTGGGGGGTAGGGCTTACGAGGGGTGATGGTGACAGTGATCGCAGAGGGAAAGTCCTGCGCGGCGGGCAGGCGCTTCGTCGTCGGCGGCGGCGGCATTATTGCAGGGTGTGGCAATGCTATTGACTCGTTGGACGGAAGATGGCGGTGGCTGGAGCTCTCTGTTCAGCTGCCTCGAGCCCGCGAGTGGGGGTGTTTTCGGCAAGGCCGGGAGCTTGGGCGCGGAGCCGATGACGACGGGCGCTGGTTGCGTGGTGCGTAATCGACGTCGACGATGCCGTAAGAGCCGTTTCAGCCCGAGGAACTGCTTCACCGGCCGGCGCGAGGTGGCGCGCGCACAGCAACAAGCCTCGCCAAGGCCGCCAAGGATGATCATGTAGGCTTAGATGCCGGCTTGGTGAAGCTTGAGACTGCCCCGTGCTCCCGGATCGTCGGCACGCTGCTGCTGTGCCGTCGTGGCCTGTCATTCGAGCCGTCTGCACCAGTGAGCGGCGCACACATCCCGGCCGTCGGGGTGGGCGGCCAGCGTGGCTGCAGGCCATGGCAGCAGATAGCGAGGGTGGCCTCGAAAGGGTCCAGATTTTCCCTCGAGCTGAATCGGGACCCTGGCGTCTGGCCGGGAGACGGCGCCCGTATTCTTGCTCTAACTCCCGCTAGTGCGGCAGCGCACCCCGCCAACGACCCATTAGATCTCCAGGCACCTTGATCATGGTACCGTCGTGCGAGCTCCTCACTCGTCCGCCGCAGACCGGTGGGCCCTCCCTAGCCACTTCATTCGTTCACGGCCACACTCAGCCCCGCGCTAGGTTACGTAGAGCTCGAAGCCTATGACGGAGCCGTCCCTGCCGCTTGTTAACTGACGCGGGCAAGTTTAGTGGAAAGAGGGGTGAAGGAGGGGTATTTAATCCCGCCCGGCAGCCCTTCTGTCCCCCTCATCAACCATCACTTCAATCTCCACGCCAGTTCTCATCCCAGATCATCAATAAACCTCTATCCTTTTCTTCAAACCACACACATTCATAAGCCAAAATGCCTTTCGGTTGGGGTACGTCCATCTTGCCGCATCTATCTTGCCTTGATTGCCCCCTAGGCCCCTGGATCAGCTCCTGGGCTCTCAATGCCGTCATCGATGCTGACCTCGTCTAGGTGAATCTCACGATGCCTACCAGCAGGTCTACGAGGGCGGCCAGAAGCACGAGTCTAGCTTCAGCCACGAGGTGATTGCTGGTGGTGCCGCCTTCGCCGGCTTCAAGGCTTTCGAGGACCACCAGCGCAAGGAGGGTAAGTCACGTTGCATCACCTTCTATCAGACGGCGCCACTGACCTTCACTAGGTAAGCCCGTCGAGCACGCCTTCGCCAAGGAGCTCCTTGCTGGCTTCGCTGCCGCTGAGGTCGACAAGCTCGCTGAGACCAAGGGCGAGGACTTCGTCGACCGTGAGCGTGCCAAGCACGCCGCCAAGAAGCACGCCGAACAGATGTACGAAGAACACTACGGCGACAGGGACCAGTACGACCCCAGCTACGATCGCCCTGAGAGGCTCAACAGGCAGTTTGGCTACTAAGCCGGGAATTGGAACGATGTGACGAATATGGACAATGTACCTAGCTGGCAACCTATCACTAGATTGATGGAGGAGTCGCACCAAATAATAAAGCCATGGAAAGTAAGCTGTGTCTACCCCGCATGCGGGTGTTCGGTGATTATCCTGAGCCTGGATTGACGCCCGACGAGCGTGCTAACCGCATGTCAACGCTCTTGCATCTACCCAATTGGATATTTGGGCATCTACCCAATTGGATGTATTAGCGTACCGGAAATGAGAGGTAGAGGACGAAGAGGGCAAGGTGTGAGCCGCTACCAATGAGAGCTGATCCTGCGGCTGACACAGCGCAATTTCAGGCGACCAGTGGGAATGCCCCGTATAACCCAAGGGATGCGACTTGCAGCCATGTCAGCGTTAGAGATGGGACGGAACGGGGCTGCCCGAAGTGCATGACGTTAAGGCCAAGGCGTGTTGCGGAGAACGTGGAGCCTGAAGATCGCTCAAGTAGTGTGGCGCCCTAGTCAGAGGAATGAGGGTCTCTGTACGTCGATACTGCGTAATAATGAAAGTGCAGATGGGTTCCGCGACGTCGTCGGCATTGCTGGGCGTCCACTGTCAGCATTGGTGTCTGCATTGCGCGCGCAGTGGTTGCACAGCAGTGTTTGTGTTGTTTCTCAAGTGAGCGCGTGAGAGTCGCGCAGCGCAAAAAAAGAAAATCGATCTTCGTTTCGTTCCGCCCCCTGCGCGCGCCCCGGGGGTGTTCTCGCGACTGCGACTAGCGCAATCAACCCGACAGCTCCTCCCCCTCTTCAATTCTTCGATCTGCGGATCCTTATGTCTTGTCGCATGCTCTCTACCCTTCTACTCGCGCTCTTCTTTGCTCCTGACGCTCGCCGGGCATGAAGTTTGCCAAGTACGTTCTGCGACGCGTAACGCTGCGACGCCCTGCTGACCTTGTGTTAGGGAGCTTGAGCAGGAGCTCGTCCCCGAGTGGAGAGCCAAGTATTTGAACTACAAGGTAGCCTCCCTGCCACTGGACTTGATACGCGGGCGCTGCTGATCTTCGTGTGCGCTGTAGCTCGGAAAGAAGAAGGTTAAGGCTATAGCTCGCGCCTTTCGCAACTGCCATCAGAGCCCCCGAACCCCGGGCCTCCGTCGGATCTCCACCTTCACTCCCTCTCCGCATAACGTTGTCCCATCCTACTCGTTCTTGAACCGCCTAGGACGAACCTCTACCGTTGACTCTGCCGCTCCGAATCTACCACATGATGCCCCACGGAACATCGAGACAGGCACGGGCGGAGAACCCGAAGGTGCTCACCGGTCCTCACCCCAAGAGATACGCACTCGAGGGACACCGCGTGAATCGCTTATCAAAAAGACACCTGACGCTGATGATGCGCCAGCCTTGACCCGCTACGGGAGCATACTAGGATCGCCGCCAAAAAGGTCGGGTAGCAACCACTTACCGACGCTTAATCTTCCCGACCCGGCTGTCGATCCGGAGCGCGCCACCGTGTCTTCGCGATGGCAGGCAACCGAACCGCCTTCGCCACCTAAATCAGGTCTTGCGCCCGGTCCCAGCGCCTTTGAAATTGGCAAAACGCGATCACCTGGCAAGCCAACCTTGCCCGCCAAGTATGCCAGTATATTCACCCCGAAGCGCGTCAACTCAATGCCAGGAGTGGCCGCGACGGAGACGCCCGGTGGTCCACGCCCCGGCCTTAGAAGACTGCTATCTCTGGGCCCAGATGGTGGAGTACCGCAGCCGACCCCGGGCAAAGAGTCGGACGTGCCTCTCGAAGCGTACCGCGAGCTCGATGTTCGCCAAGCAGAGTTTTTCGGCTTCTTAGACCAGGAGCTGGAAAAAATCGAGGCCTTCTACAAGGAAAAGGAGGACGAAGCCACTAACAGACTCGAAGTGCTACGAGAGCAGCTGCATATCATGCGAGATCGCCGTTTGGATGAGATCATCTCAAAACTTCAAAAATCAAAGGCCGTTCCGCGGAAAACCCCGTCAAACGGCTTCTTCGACTCCAACGGATCAGACGACAAAGCCAATGGGAGCGGTGCGTCATCGCAAGCGTGGTTGAAGCCGTTAGACGATGCAATTGAGGCAGCCAAGAAGCTCCCGGAGGTGGTCAAAGGTAAGCCAAAGCCTATGAGCAAGAACGCTAGAGCTATGCAAGATCTCGGAACTCCCTGCGGCCCAATTCCACAGGACCGCCGTGACTATACCCGCCGCCCTGAGCCAGCTGGCGTGCCCTACCGGACGGCGAAACGTAAACTCAAGACTGCTTTGCAAGAGTACTACCGTGGTTTGGAGCTTCTGAAAGCGTACGCTCTTCTGAACCGGACAGCGTTTCGCAAGATCAACAAGAAATACGACAAGACCGTCATGGCGCGGCCAACTATGCGCTACATGAGCGAAAAGGTCAACAAGGCCTGGTTCGTGAATAGCGACGTCATTGACGGTCACCTTCACGCCGTGGAGGATCTCTACGCCAGGTACTTCTATCGCGGCAACCACAAGATTGCGGTGGGCAAGCTGCGCGTCAAATCGGCAAAAGCTGGCGACTTCAATGGCTCTTCATTCCGCAATGGGCTGTTGCTGGCTACGGGGATGGTCTTTGGCTGTGAAGCTATCTCTTACGCGTCTAAATACATATTCGATGACGACTCGTCAATCCACACGACAACAACATTCCTGATGCAGATATACGGCGGCTACTTTCTGATGCTTCTACTTTTCCTCTTTTTCTGTCTTGACTGCAAGGTTTGGACAGATCAGAAGATCAATTATGGTTTCGTTTTCGAGTTCGATACCCGGACACAGCTTGATTGGCGACAGTTATGCGAGGTAAGCGATCCCTAGCTGTCGAGATGCTTAGCATTAGTTGACGACCGCCGCTCAGATACCTTGTCTCTGCGTTTTCCTCCAAGGCCTTATTATGTGGCTTAATTTCAGCCGCTATGGCGGCGAATCCATGTACATTTACTGGCCCGTCGTCTTGATTGGTCTAACAGTATTCGTCATTTTCCTTCCTGCTCCTGTATTGTACCACCGTAGCAGACGGTGGTTCGCATATTCCAATGTAAGTTGGACAAAGCTATGAACTTTTTTGGCCATCCACATCTAACAGTAACAGTGGCGCCTGTTTTTTGCAGGTCTTTACCCAGTCGAGTTTCGAGATTTCTTCTTAGGCGATATGTTCTGTTCTCAAACATATGCTATGGGTGTAAGTCCAAGCCGCCTCTGGCCCGACGCATGCTGATCTGGTTATCAGAACATCGAACTATTTTTTTGTCTATATGCCAACGGTTGGGAAGACGCAACCTCGTGCAACTCGTCACACTCTCGGCTCCTGGGCTTCTTTTCAACGTTGCCCGGTATTTGGCGTGCCCTCCAGTGTCTGCGACGTTACTATGATACCCGCAACTTTTTCCCGCATTTGGTCAACTGCGGCAAGTACACGTGGACGATCCTGTACTACATGAGCCTTAGTCTTTATCGGATACACAAGACTTGGCATCTGCGGTCATTCTTCATCTTCTGCGCGACAGTCAACGCGGTTTATTGCACCACCTGGGATCTGGTTATGGATTGGAGTCTGCTGAATCCGTACGCGAAAAACCGGTTCCTGCGCGACAACCTGGGGTACAAGAACGTATATTGGTACTACGCCGCCATCATTTTGGATCCCATCCTCAGGTTTAATTGGATCTTTTATGCCATATACGGCGACGATGTCCAGCACTCGGCGATTCTCTCATTCATGGTGGCCTTGTCGGAAATATTCCGCCGTGGAATGTGGACCCTGTTCCGTGTTGAGAACGAACACTGCACGAATGTTGTCAGGTATCGGGCCTCGCGAGATGTGCCTCTACCATACAGTGTTCCGGCTTCAACAAGAGTGAGTTTGGTGGAGCAAGGTGACGAGTCGCCTCTTCAAAGACCGAAGACCCCCAAAGCACATGCTCACGGAGAGTCCGGTACAACTACGGGGGCCGATTTGGAAAGGCAGCGGACCCGTGGGGCCTCCATCCGTCGCAGATCTGGGTCAACACCGGCGCCGGCGACCCGTGCTCTCACTCGTGTGGGTACTCTGCTTCATGCGGCGCACGCGCAGGATTTCGAGCGTCGCAAGAAGCCCGAGGCAGGGCCAAGTGGCGGTAACGATGAAGATGACGAGGACGATGACGAGGGCAGCGATGAGGACGCGAAGAGGCGGGAGGAAATGAATGAGGAGGATGTGGAGGACATAGCCAGAGCTGAGGGACTAATTTCGAGAGTTAGCATGGAAAGCCCACAGCAGACTGCCTTGGGCTCTTAAGACTTTGATTCACGGTAACACAATATACCCATACTGTTTCTTTTCGCATTCCGGTCTCCTTGTTGAGGTTTTGGGTCCAGGTTCATGAGCAATGAGGGATAGTGTTATCCGAGAACCGTGGGTAAATAGTAAATTTTTTTGTTTCGAATGGGATCAAGCATGGTTATTCGCGGTGAGCCTTTCCATTCTGAATTCAAGAGTATGGAAAACGCGATTCTGTCCTGTGGCGCCCGGTTTTCCTTGGGTCAAACGGTACCTAGTGGGAGGGCGGGTCGAAGACCACTCCTATTTTAGGAATAGCTCTAGGGTTTCCCAAACAGGCAAAGGATCAGCGTACTTGCCTCGCGCGACGCCCCGGCCGCGAAGTTCGCGGTTGCTCGTCTTCACGTCCGCAGCTCTGCCACCACCGCAGCCTCCTCCCCCGCTGCGCCCCCCACACTCTGCGCGATTCCCCGTTTTCGCCGCTTCCACTCACTTGTCGCTCATTGCGGTTAATGCTTTAACGATACCACAAATTTTACTACGCGACAAGCCGTCACCTAATTCCGCCGCGTTCTGCAGCTCCGCGCCTGCGCAGCCTTCCATCCTCGCAGATCCCGATCGCTTCCACCCATGCGCTGTCATAACCAAGAGGCATAACAAACCATCTGGATCTCTGCGCGCCGAGCACCTGTGAGGGATCCAGGAGGGGATATCGTGAAACGCGGCCTGGCGGCTGAGACGCTGCGACAGCTGTCACCATGGCGGACAGAAACATGGAGGTCTATCTGAACAAGCTGGCGGACCCGGCGTCAGGTAAGGCTCTGCCAATATCCACTTGCGACAAACTTCAATGGACACGGTAATTTACGTGCTAACACGCTCCGCCGTCCAGACTTGAAGGTCAAGACCGGCGTGGCGACGGAAATCCGGGACAGCATCGAGCTTTACTGCTCGGGCTCGACGTATGGCGTTTTCTTGGAGAAGTTTATCCCGGTCTTCCTCAAACTGCTAGAAGGGTCGCCCGTCTTTGTGAGCACATCGCCAGAGCAGGTAAGTCCGTTTGCCAGCCTCACGCTTGACCATTTGCTAAACAAGGCTGCTAGCGCCTGCGCAACTGCATACTAGAGATATTGCATAGATTACCGATGAGCCCGACCGAAGCGCTAGAACCCTACGCCGCACAAATCGTCGATCGACTCATGGTATTGGCGAAGATCGAGAACGAGGACAATGCGGCGTTGTGCATGAAGACGATCATGGACTTTGAGAGGCACCAGACCAAGGCGCTTCAGGACCGGGTACAGCCATTCTTGGACCTCATCGCCGAGATGTTCGAGAACATGGACGCCGCCGTCAAAGACACGTTCGATAGCCCCTCCGGAAACCCTTCTTCGCAAGCTATACCATCCACGCCTAGTAATTCGCAATACTCGCAATCCCCGCGTCCGGGCTCGCCTGGATCCGGTGGTTCGTCGAGTGGTCCGGACCTGGGAGGAGAACAGCAGCAGACAAGACATCTACTGAAGGGTATGCAGTCGTTCAAGGTGTTGGCGGAATGCCCGATCATTGTGGTGTCGCTTTTTCAGGCGTACAGAAATTGCGTCCACAAGAATGTGAAGCGTTTCGTACCACTGATCAAGAATGTCTTGCTCCTTCAGGCGCCGCCGCAAGAAAGGGCACATGCTGAGGCGAAGGCGAGAGGAGACATATTCACAGGCGTGAGCAAGGAGATCAAGAATCGGGCTGCGTTCGGAGAGTTCATCACTGCCCAGGTCAAGACGATGAGCTTTTTGGCATATCTCCTGCGTGTATATGCACAGCAGCTTACGGATTTTCTTCCCACACTCCCGGACATCGTGGTTCGCTTATTACAGGACTGTCCCAGAGAGAAGTCCGGCGCGAGGAAAGAGCTTCTTGTTGCCATCCGCCACATCATCAACTTCAACTTCCGCAAAATCTTCCTTAAAAAGATTGATGAGCTGCTTGACGAGAGGACCTTGATCGGAGATGGTCTGACGGTGTACGAGACTATGCGGCCGTTGGCGTACAGCATGCTTGCAGATCTAATTCACCATTTGAGAGAATCATTATCACAGGAGCAGATCAGGAGAACGATCGAGGTTTACACCAAGAACCTGCACGATAGCTTCCCTGGTACCAGTTTCCAGACCATGAGCGCGAAGCTGTTGTTGAACATGGCTGAGTGCATTGCCAAACTGGAGCCCAAGCAGGAGGCCCGTTACTACTTGGTAATGATTCTCAACGCCATCGGTGACAAGTTTGCCGCCATGAACCGCCAGTTCGACAATGCAGTAAAGATATCCAACCAGTTTTCTAGCCCAGGGATAGAGGCCACCCCGGAAGACTATTTGGCGGAAAAGGACAGCCCACCGGATTGGGACGAAATTGACATTTTCAACGCGACTCCGATAAAGACGTCGAATCCTCGGGAGCGAGCTTCAGATCCAATCGCAGACAACAAATTCCTCTTCAAGAACCTGCTGCATGGTTTGAAGAACCTTTTCTATCAACTCAGAGTCTGCAACCCGCCCAAGATAAAGGAAGAGATCGACCCGAGCGTACCGACACCGGCAAATTGGCACGAAGTGTCCTTTGGCTACAACGCGGAGGAGGTTGAGGTCCTCATCAAGCTCTTCCGCGAAGGCGCCCAAGTTTTCCGTTACTACGGCGTGGAAAAAACACCTGGCGAGAAGGAGAGTCTTTCCCCCGGCGAACTGCTTGCCAACCAGCACATGATGTCCAGCGGCAAAGAGGAGAAGGAGCTTCTGGAAGCTTTTGCTACCGTTTTCCATCACATCGACCCGGCCACGTTCCACGAAGTCTTTGAATCAGAGATACCCCACCTTTACGAGATGATGTTCGAACATAATGCTCTACTACATGTCCCCCAGTTCCTTCTTGCCAGCGAGGCAACTTCTCCGAGTTTCGCTGGCATGCTCCTCCAGTTCCTGATGGGCAAAATTGACGAAGTTGGCACTGCCGATGTCAAGATGTCGTCGATCTTACTCCGCCTCTTTAAGCTCTCCTTCATGGCCGTCACCCTCTTCTCGCAACAGAATGAGCAGGTCCTACTACCGCACGTCACAAAAATTGTCACAAAGTCGATAGAATTGTCCACCACGGCAGAAGAACCGATGAATTACTTCCTTCTCCTCCGGTCGCTCTTCAGGAGTATCGGCGGTGGTCGGTTCGAGCATCTCTACAAAGAGATACTCCCTCTTCTGGAGATGCTCTTGGAGGTGCTGAACAATCTGCTCATCGCTGCACGGAAGCCTTCCGAGCGGGACCTGTTCGTGGAGCTGTCCTTAACCGTTCCTGCTCGTCTGAGTAACCTTCTCCCACACCTGAGCTATCTTATGCGACCCCTGGTGGTTGCTCTGAGAGCGGGTTCGGATTTGGTTGGCCAAGGCCTCCGAACGTTGGAGCTTTGTGTTGACAATCTTACTGCGGACTACTTGGACCCGATAATGTCTCCAGTCATCGATGAACTCATGCAAGGTCTCTGGGAGCACTTGAAACCAACCCCGTACAGCCACTTCCATGCACACACCACTATGCGGATTCTGGGTAAGCTTGGTGGACGGAACAGGAAATTCATCATTGGACCTCCGCCGCTCGAGTACAAGTCCTACGCCGATGACGAGCCCAGCATTGACATCCGTCTCATTGGTTCCATGAAGGACCGCGCCTTTCCGACGTCCGTTGGTGTTGAAAGTGCTATTGGGAAGCTATGGGAGACCCCGAAAACCCCGGCTGCGAAGAAGTCAGACGGCTTCCACAAACAACAGTCGTTCAGGTTTATCACTTCGCAGATCAAGCTGCTTTTGGGTGCGGACACCCTGCCTGAAGATTTCGCGCAACTCGTCCGCCTGCAGGCTGATGACCTGAGTAATGGCATTCATGATCGTGGCGTCGACATTCTGGAGGCTTCTGAGAGAGACAAGTCGAACGCGAAGAAGGATGCACAGCAAGATACTATGCGGAGGCTACTCAAGGCAGTGATGTTCTGCAGCTCGATCCCCGAGCTCAAAGAGGAGGCTTCGACTTTCATGGCACATGTATGTCGGCACTTCGCTCTCCTGGAAGTTGGAACCGCTCTAGCGACTATCAAGCACCGCAAGAAGCCCTTCGACGTCAATGCTGGTGAAGGCCCGGTCGTGATCGAGAGTCGGGTAATTCTGGAGGCCATCGCAGATTCCCTAGCATCTGACCATGTTGAAGTCAAGGAGGCAGCCGAGGAAGCTCTGATAACGCTACACCAGGCCGCTGTTACCATTTTCGGCGACCCAAGCAAAGCAGAGAAGCTTACCCTTTTCAAGCATTTGGCTGACATTTTCTGCCATAACTGCCACCAAGAGGAATGGTTTGTCAAGCACGGCGGCACCCTGGGCATCGACATCCTCACGACCAAGCTCGGTCTCAGCGATGGGTGGATCAACGAGGGTGGTCGACTCAATCACTTCTCTCGGGCCTTGGTGTACGTTATGCAAGATATGCCTTTGGATCTGACAAGCTCAACGCGAGTCAATGCTCAAACCACGCTTGAGAAGTTGCTACGCCGGTGCAGTGGACTGTGGTCCAAGGACGATCTCAAGTCGCCTCCCAACTCGGATAACAAGCTTCTCAGCTTGTGTGGCTTCCTAGTGACCATGCTCTCACACTCCAATAAGCACGTGCGGAAAGCGGCCCAGGACAATTTGAAGATCATCGCAGAGTCGACTCACGCCGAAGTCCATGAGCTTGTTCTTCCCGTCAGCAAGCGGCTCTTGGATCCTATTTTCAACAAGCCACTCCGCGCGTTGCCCTTCAGCATTCAGATCGGTTACATCGATGCCGTCACGTTCTGCTTGAAGCTGGGTCATGGCGTTCTGACATTTAACGAGCTCTTGACGCGCCTTCTCACGGAAGCTCTTGCGCTTGCTGATGCGGAAGACGAAGGACTCACGGCGAAGCCGTACGAGCAGAGGAATGCAGAGGCCATCGTCAACCTCCGTGTCGCCTGTATCCGATTGCTTTCTACGGCGCAGACATTCCCGGAATTTACTTCGACCCCGCCAAACCAAACCTTCCTCCGCGTCATCGCTGTCTTCTTCAAGGCCCTCTACTCCAAGTCTCCACAGGTGGTCGATGCAGCAAATGCAGGCCTGCAAGGAGTGCTGCATACCACCAACAAGTTGCCGAAGGACGTTTTGCAAAGTGGTCTCCGACCAATCCTGGTCAACCTTCAGGATCCAAAGAAACTCACCGTTGAAGGTCTCGACGGCCTTGCCAGACTGCTCAAACTGCTCACCAATTACTTCAAGGTCGAGATTGGCTCTCGCCTCTTGGATCACATGAAAGTCATCGCAGATCAACGCGTGCTGCAGACCGTCTCTTTTGGTTTGATCGAGCAGCACAAGGCAATGAAGACGGTCACTGCGATTCTCAACGTCTTCCATTTGCTCCCATCCGCCGCCGTCAGCTTCCTTGGCCAGCTTGTTCAGAAGGTTATGGAGCTTGAGGGCGCATTGCGCAGGACTCACTATAGCCCTTTCCGCAAGCCGCTAATTAAGTACTTGAATCACTATCCGAAGGAGGCCTGGAGCGACTTTGCGCCTCGCATCAGAGACCATGCCAGTGGTCGCTTCTTCGCTCAGCTCATTGCAGACCCTGCGAGCGGTCCTCTGCGAGAGGTTCTCGTCGAAGATACTCGGGGCTTCATTAACTCTTTCGTAATTGACGATGAGCAAAAGAAGTGGCCTGCTTCCATCAACGCGATACATGTGGTCGAATCGGTGTGCAAGTATCCCGAAACTAGCAACTGGCTTGTCGACCACGCAGACTTGCGCAAGGCGCTCATCGAGGCCGGCAAAACATTGGAGACTCGCCTAAGGCAGAACACGATTGAAGCGAGCTTGCGCCTCGCAGTCGATCAAGCCGGTGAAAGGCTCATAGGCGTTTTCACGAACTACCTCACCCATGAGCCTGACAATCTTGACTTCTTTGTTGAGATCGTCGACGCGGTTACGGCCGAGGAGCTCAAGGCCTCGCCATCGTTGTTCCACTTCATCTACAAGACAATGATTTCGAACGAGTCGGTCGACTACTGGCGGAGCCTTATCATTCGCTGCATTGACCTCTATACCGGTCGCAACACCTCGCAAAAAACGAAGACATTCGTCTTCCACAACATCGTCAACCCGATTTTTGCCATGGATGTGATGCGGAATTGGGACAGTCTGTTTGGCGCGGCGAAGGGCACTCAGCTGATGGACCGGGGCATGACGGAAACGATCCACAATCGCCTCTGGCGCGCCTACTCGGTCGAGCAAGTGGACGAGACGGGCCAGCTCGGGGTGGACCACTCAAGAATGGAGTTGTTGCAGATGACTACACTCCTTGTCAAGTACCACCATGGCCTTATCCAGGACACTCGGAAGGACATCATCAAGTTCGGGTGGAACTACATTCGTCTTGAGGATATAATTAACAAACACGCCGCCTACGTTCTCATCGCGTACTTCATCGCTCATTACGAAACACCGCCAAAGATTGCCATCCAGATCTACTCTCAGCTACTCAAAGCCCATCAAAATGAAGGGCGTCCACTGGTTATGCAAGCTCTCGAAGTCCTTGCGCCCGTTTTGAAGAAGCGCGTTGGAACTGCAGACAACAAGCAACCGCCGATGTGGGCGAGGATTCCGAAGAAAATTCTTACCGAGGAGAGCTCCAACTTGCAACAACTGATCAGCATCTTCAACTTCCTTGTGCGCTATCCCGACCTTTTCTACGAGGCAAGAGAGCCGCTGTCAACAATCATCATTCCCTCGCTCCCGAAGATAGCACAGCCTCCCAGCTTGGGCAATGACCACAAGAAGATTGCTCTGAACCTCATCAATCTCCTGCGTCGCTGGGAGGAAAGAAGCGCGAAGGAGTCAGGTCTGACCCTGGAACAGCTCAGCATTGGGGGCAGATCACCAAAGAGACGCCATGATGGTTCAATGGTTGTTCCTGATCCATCATCAAGGCACTTCGTTGCACCTCCGGCCCTACGCCAGGCTCTGATCAAGTACCTGGCTACGTTCATCATGTTGATTCCTGAACGATACCCCCTCCCTTCTACGAAGATTCGCGAGAGCACAGCGGCACACAATGCGCCGCCTTCGCAGTCGACAGAGGCGTGCGAGTTGGCTGTGAAGCTACTCCAAGATCTGCTTTCTTCCTTCTATTGGCATGATTTGGACATTGACAGCATTCTTGCAAGAGTCGAGAACGTCATCATGACGGAACCGAAGCAGGAGGAGAAGCCAGAAGTAGCGACCACAAGGCTCATCAATGCACTTCAGGTGCTCAAGGTTTTCGTCAACGTCAAGTCAAGCGATTGGATCCTGGCCCACCTGCCACAGCTTCAGAAAGTGCTCGAGAAGCCTATTCGTAACGAGAGTGCTGAAATCCAAGACTGCCTCCACGCACCAAGTGAGGAGGACAGTAAGGTCAAGCTTAAGCCACTCATGAAGCGCATCCTCGAGGTCTTGCCCGAGCCTAGCACCGATGAGGATGGTGCTACTACGGAAGAGACGCCATCTACAGAATTCGTGGCTTTCTGCAACCAGGTGGCCACGGAAACACTAGGAAACAACAACAACATTGCCGCTATCAGTCTACTCTGGACTCTGTGCCAGCATAGGCCGGATGACATTGATCAGCAGCACATTGTCTCAGTGGTGAAGGTCTTGAACACCATGAGCAGGGAGCACTTGACGGCACCCAGCCAAAGCCAGAGCATGATGCACGGGATGCGTTCCGAGGGTGGTCAGAATGGTGCACCGATGGGCTCGTATGAGCATGAGATTCAGATAGGCCTCATCCTCAAGGCCATCGACTTCTTGGCGGCCCGCATGAGCCAGCTTGGAGACCAGAGGCGTCCTTTCTTGACTTTCCTGGCATCCCTCGTGGAGCGCTCGCCGAGCGTGGCAATCTGCCAGAAGATTGTTGATCTCACCGAGGGTTGGATTTTCGACAGCAGCGAGCCTGTGCCGACACTGAAAGAGAAGACGGCTGTACTGTCAAAGATGCAGGCGTTCGAGTCACGCACGGATAAGACGCTCTTGACCAAATTCCTAAACCTGGTAATCCGCATCTATGAGGACCCCAAGATCACCAGATCCGAGCTCACAGTGCGCATGGAGCATGCATTCCTCATCGGAACGAGGGCGGAGGACGTGGATATGCGCAACCGCTTCATGACCATCTTCGACCGCAGTCTTAGCAGAACGGCTAGTGCGCGTTTGAATTATGTCATTGCAGGTCAGAACTGGGACATCCTCGGTCGCTCTTTCTGGCTTAATCAAGTCATTCACCTCATGTTCGGCTCGGTCGAAACAAACAACACCGTGCAGCTGCATGCCGATGACTTCAAAGTCATGTCGGCTTCGACTCTCTTTGGGACTTACTCGAAGGATCCGCGTGTTAGCGATGTCATGGTTGACGATCAGCTGGAGTCCTACATCTCAACGCATCGCCAGTTTGTCAACTCGTTCGGCGAAGTCAAGGTTCGCGACCTCTTCGATCCACTTACCCACCTTCAACACGTCGACTCAAACCTTACGCATGATATCTGGGTTCACTTCTTTCCTCTCTGCTGGTCCGCGCTTGCCAAGGATGACCAGGTCGATCTCGAGAAGGGCCTCGTCGCTCTTCTTACGAAAGACTACCACATGCAATCCATCGATGAGCGACCGAACTGTGTGCAGACCGTCCTCGAAGGTGTGGTCAAGGCAAGGCCAAGAGTCAAGTTCCCGCCGCATGTCATGAAATACCTCGCGCAGACTTACAATGCATGGTACACGGCGCTATGCTACTTGGAGGACTACGCCATTGACCCCATTATCGACACTGCGCAGGTCCGGGAGAGTAATTTGGATGCCCTACTGGGAGTCTACTCGCAGCTCGAAGAACATGACCTTTTCTACGGCACTTGGAGAAGACGCTGCCAGTATGTCGAGACTAATGCGGCACTGTCCTATGAGCAGAACGGCATGTGGGACAACGCTCAGAAGCTCTACGAGACGGCTCAGATCAAGGCCCGTACCGGCGCTCTCCCTTTCTCGCAGGGCGAGTACATGCTTTGGGAAGACCACTGGGTCGTCTGCGCACAGAAGCTGCAGCAATGGGAGATCCTGAGCGACTTTGCTAAGCATGAGAACTTCTCTGACCTCTACCTCGAGTCCATGTGGCGGATTTTTGATGCATGGCAAAACAACGAGCAGCGCGAGCAGCTCGAGTCTAGCATCAAAGCGGTTTCGGACGCACCTACGCCTCGGCGTATCTTCTTCCAGGCGTTCTTATCCCTCCTCAAACTTCATGGTGGCCAGGAGACTAACCAGGACTTCAACAAGGTCGTTGATGATGCTATCCAGTTATCTATCCGGAAGTGGCACCAGCTTCCCAAGAGAATCACGAATGCCCACATCCCACTGCTCCAGAACTTCCAACAGTTGGTTGAGCTACACGATGCCAGCGTCATCTGCTCCAGCTTGGCTGCCACCAACCAGCAGAACTTGGACCACAAGTCTCAGGAACTCAAGCTGTTGCTTAGCACGTGGCGCGATCGTCTGCCCAATTTCTGGGATGACATCAATGCCTGGCAAGACCTTGTCACTTGGCGTCAGCACATCTTCCATCTCATCAATGGCAAGTATCTGCAGCTCTTGCCACAGCAGCAGGGTAATGCCAGCGGCAATTCATACGCTTACCGCGGCTATCACGAGACGGCCTGGATCATCAACAGGTTCGCGCACGTGGCTCGCAAGCACAGCCTTCCTGATGTCTGCATCAATCAGCTCAGCCGGATCTATACGCTACCAAACATCGAGATTCAGGAGGCCTTCCTCAAGCTTCGTGAGCAGGCAAAGTGCCATTACCAGAACAAGCAGGAGCTCAACAGCGGTCTGGATGTCATCAACAATACCAACCTCAACTACTTCGGCGCGCAGCAAAAGGCGGAGTTCTACACGCTCAAGGGCATGTTCCTCGCCAAGCTTGGCCAGACGAACGAGGCCAACGATGCCTTCGGCAGCGCACTGTACTTCGACATCAAGTTGCCCAAGGCGTGGAAGGAGTGGGGCCGCTACAACGACAACTTGTTCAAGCAGAGCCCGCAAAACTTGGACAAGGCCGCATCCGCTATCAGCTGTTACCTCGAGGCCGCAAGCCAATACAAAAACCACAAGTCGCGCGAGCTACTCGGCCGCATCTTGTGGCTGCTCAGCTTGGACAACTCGGAGCGCTTGTTGGCGAAGACGTTCGAAGGATTCAAAGGTGACACGCCTTCCTGGTACTGGATCACGTACATTCCGCAACTGTTTGTCGGCTTGTCGCGGCCGGAGGCGCCGATTTGCAGGCAGGTGCTGGGCAAGCTGGCAAAGACGTACCCGCAAGCGCTGTTCTTCCAGCTACGCACCAGTAGAGAAGACTTCCACCAGATTCGCAAGCAGCAAGAGGCGAAAGAAGCAAGGGAGAAGGCGATAATGGACAAGAAGAAGGCGGCGCAGCAGGCAGCCAGTGGTGCGCAGGGCCAGAGTCAAACCCAGAACCAGGGTCAGAGTTCGGACAACAAACAAGGGTCTCCATCGCGACCAGGCACGTCTGGTGGCAACGAGCAGAAGCCGGGTACTGCTGGTGGGAACAACAACACCGATAACACCCAGAATTCTGGCCAAAACAACGCACAAGCTGCGAACGGGCAGAAGACAGAAAACGGACAGACCACGCCGAGCACAGAGCAGCCGCCGCAGCCGAGGAAGCCGTGGGACTACGTGGAGGAGGTCATGGCTGCGCTCAAGACCGCTTTCCCTCTCCTTGCGCTGTCGATGGAAACCATGAGCGACGGAATCGCGAAGCACTTCAAGTGTCCTCCCGACGAGGATGCGTACCGACTTATCGTCGCCCTGCTGAACGATGGCCTCAGCTACATTGGCCGTCAGCCAGCTCTGTACCAGGAAACCAAGCTGCCCAGCTCGACCGAGGCCAACATCACACGTTTTGCTGAGTCTGTCCTACCACCTCACATCCGCCGGTCTTTCGAGGCCGACTTCGTCCAGAAGAAGCCTACGATGTTCGAGTACATCCAGAAGCTGCGGAAGTGGAGGAACCGCTTTGAGGAGAGACTGGATCGTCGCAGGCTGACACACCACCTCGAGTCGTACACAACTCATCTGAGCGATTTCAAGTACCAGAAGTTCGATGAGATTGAGGTGCCTGGGCAGTACCTGCTGCACCGCGACAAGAACCAGGACTTTGTTCGCATTGAGCGGTTCTTGCCTGACATTGACTTGGTCAGGACCGTGGGCTTCTGCCATCGTCGTCTCAAGATTCGTGGTCATGATGGAAGCACGCACCCATTCGCCATTCAGCACCCGGCTGCCAGGAACTGCAGGCGTGAGGAACGCATCCTGCAACTGTTCCGCATCTTCAACACCACGCTGGCCAAACGCAAGGAGAGCAGGCGACGCAATCTGCAGTTCACGCTTCCATTGATGGTGCCTCTCTCGCCTGGTGTGAGAATGGTGCAGGATGACTCGTCGTACATCAGTCTGCAGGGCATCTATGAGGACTACTGCCGCCGCAACAGCATCAACAAGGACGATCCGATACTCTTCGCCATTGAGAAACTCCGCAGCCTCGGGCCGCAATTGCTGTCGGCGCAACCACCGCAAGGTCATCCCAACGCGGATCTTGTCCGCCAGCGCAACATCGAGCAGAGCACAGCGATCCGACTCGAAGTCTTCGCAGCGATTCAGGAGAAGTACGTGCCACCGACAGCTGTTCTCGACTACTTCAATGCCATCTACCCGTCGTTTTCCGACCTGTGGCTGTTCCGCCGGCAGTTCTCGTACCAGCTGGCGGCGCTGACGTTCATCACGTACATCATGCACATGAACACGCGCTACCCGCATAAGATGAACATCTCGCGTAGGACGGGTAACATCTGGGGCTCTGAGCTGGTACCGTCGATGGCGGGCGGCAAGCCGTTGTTCCACAACCCGGAGCCGGTGCCGTTCCGCCTGACGCCGAACCTGCAGACGATGATGGGGCCGCTGGCGACGGAGGGTATTTTCGCACCGGCGCTGATGGCGATCGCGCGATGCTTGGTGGAGCCCGAGGGAGAGCTGGAGATGCAGCTGAGCATCTTCGTGAGGGACGAGATGGTGCATTGGCACACGCAGCAGCACCGACAGCACGTACAGGACGGACAGCTGCGCGAGAGCGTCGAGCACAACTCGGGCCAGATTGTCAAGAGAGCCAAGAGCCTGGCCGAGGTGCCCAACAGCAACAATCTGCCGGCCAACCAGACGGTTGTGGATTTGGTTGCGGTCGCGGTCAATCCAGGGAAATTATGCATGACGGACCCACTTTGGATGCCGTATTTGTAAGGGTATGGAGGATCGGTTCGGCTTATGGGAGAGGAGTAGATGGCGTTTTGGGGGGTTTAGCGGGATGGGCATCAGATAGTGCTAAGGCCTGGCGTGGGCGTATGGTTGGTTGAACGTGAAGGACAGGATGGATGCATGGGTGGGGTATCATGGGAGAAGTCTCCTTTTTTTCTTTTTGTTGTTGAATTTCATTTCTTATATCCTTGCGACCAGGGTTGCTTGGTTTGAGCATTTCTCCAAATGAGTAGTTAGCGAGGCGTCTATAACGGGAGGCATTGCATAATTGAAGCTGCTTTTCGAGAGCAACGATGGCTTACGTTTTTGCATTTCTGACGATTGGATTCTTGAGCTGTTCATGTCCACTCGATGGAATCGACTAAGCTTTCTTAGAGTGTATTACTCGACTCAGGCAGCAGACATCATGTGAGAGTGCGCATTTGTTGCTACAATTTTCAGCCACATAAATCAGAGATTTTGCAGGGGCAAAGCACGAGTACTATGCTACAGAGGAGTGCTGCAGCCGATGGCTAGCGCGAAGGATAGCAGGGCTCTAGAACATAGCGTAACTATGCCCCCAGCTTTGCTTCAGAAAAATAACGTATGTGGGCAGTTAAAGCTATCGTCCGGACGTGTATGTAGAATTTTTAATTCCACATTCTCGTCCGGACGATAGCTTCAACTACCCATGACATGACCAAAAAACAAATCCACACTAGCCATCGGCTGCGAGAGGACTGTATCTGCGGGACGCGTCAGGTGGGGAGACGACGTCAGGCTGAAGTCGTTGCCGCCTGACTCGAACAGCAGCTACGCTTCATCTCGAGATATCTTCCGCTTCGAGCCCATTCTCTGCTGAATGTCAGGCAACCTGCAAGCAGAAGCTCGCAAAACTTTCAGCACCCAGGCCTTATCTCTGCGGGCTTTCCCTGGCTCAGGCGAAGTGGCGGGCGGCAAGGGCGGGAGGGCAATGACTGTTCCTGCATGACTCGCACTATAAGACGAAATTCTGCCCCGCCGCCATCGTCGTCACCCGCCAAACAACACCCGCCGCCGACTACCCGCAACGAAAATGGAGGCCCAGATCAAAGAGTGGCAGCAGAGGGCGGAGAAGCTCTCTCCGCTCAACCTCAAGGCCATTGAGCCCCACCTCGCTGAGCTCGATGCCCACCTCACCCTCCGCTCGCACATTGTTGGCTACGGCCTGACCGACGCCGACACCACCGTCTGGAAGACGATTCGCGACAACCGTGTCGCCCATGCCTACGTCAAGCAGAGCCTCATGGTGAACCTGTCCCGCTGGTTCAGGTACATCGAGGAGGCCTACCCTGAGCAGACGACCCTCGCCTACCGCCCGGCGAAGAAGCCTGCTGCCGCCGACAAGAAGGAGGACGAGGCCGGCAGCTACGACATCGGTCTGCAGGATGTCGAGCACGGTGTTATTACCCGCTTCCCTCCGGAGCCCTCGTACGCGCATCATACCCTTCTCCTTCTGCGTCTGCTAACAAGCCGCGTCCAGTGGATACCTTCACATCGGCCACGCTAAGGCCGCGCTGCTGAACGACTACTTCGCCCACAAGAAGTACAAGGGCACCCTCCTCCTCCGTTTCGACGACACCAACCCCCTCAAGGAGAAGCAGGAGTTCCAGGACTCGATCATTGAGGATCTTGCTCTGATGGGCATCAAGCCTGACAAGACCAGCCACACCAGCGACTACTTCCAGGAGCTTTACGAGTACTGCGTGCAGATGCTCAAGGAGGGCAACGCCTACGCCGATGATACCGAGCAGGAGCAAATGCGCAAGGAGCGTATGGATGGTCTGCCCAGCAAGAGGAGGGACAGCTCCGTCGAGGATAACTTGGCACGCTTCGAGGAGATGAAGAAGGGCACCGAGGAGGGCACCAGGTGGTGCATCCGCGCAAAGATTTCGGTCGATGACCCCAACAAGGCCATGCGCGACCCCGTTATCTACCGCTGCAGCCCCCAGGAGCACCACCGCACCGGCGCTACCTGGAAGATCTACCCCACCTACGACTTCTGCTGCCCCATCGTCGATGCTATTGAGGGTGTCACCCACGCTCTCCGTACCACCGAGTACAAGGATCGCGATGCTCAGTACCAGTGGATGATCAAGGCCCTTAGGCTGCGCAACGTCTACAACTGGGACTTTGCCCGCATGAACTTTGTCAGGACGCTGCTCTCCAAGCGTAAGCTGACCAAGTTCGTCGACAGCGGCGTTGTGTGGGGTTGGGACGACCCGCGTATGCCCACTGTCCGCGGTATCCGCAGGCGTGGTATGACCATTCCTGCCCTGCAGGAGTTCATCCTCAAGCAGGGTCCCAGCAAGAACATTGTCAACCTGGACTGGACTACTTTCTGGGCCACCAACAAGAAGTACATCGACCCCATCGCCGGCCGCTACACTGCTGTCGAGACCTCTAACAAGGTGCCTGTCACCATTGTTGGCTTCGCCCATGCCGGTCCCTACAGCGAGGAGGTAAGAGTTTAGGCATATTCAGCATACAGGGTCAGGGCTAACATTTAGCAGAAACCCCTCCACGCCAAGAACAAGGACGTCGGTGTGAAGAAGGTCTTCTACAGCAGCGAGATCATCATCGACCAGGAGGACGCGCAGTCGTTCGCGCAAGACGAGGAGATCACGCTGATGAACTGGGGCAACGCCATCGTGCGCAAAGTGTCGCACTCGCTGAACCCGGTCAACATGTTCAAGGACAAGACTCCCATCACGGGCATCGAGATGGAGCTGCACCTTCAAGGCGATGTCAAGAAGACTGCGAAGAAGATCACGTGGCTCAGCACGGCGCAGGATCTGGTGCCCGTCGAGCTGGTTGACTTCGATTACCTCATCACCAAGGACAAGCTGGGCGAGGATGACAAGTTCGAGGACTTCATCACCCCCAAGACCGAGTTCCGCACCGAGGCTCTGGCGGATGCCAACGTGGCCAAGCTCAAGGTCGATGATATCATCCAGTTCGACCGTAAGGGCTACTTCAGGGTGGACCGTGCCTTCCAGCACGGCCAGCCTGCTGTGTTCTTCCAGATCCCGACCGGTAAGACGAAATAGATGGATAACCGTGGTTTTCGGTAGGAAAAGGAAGCAACCTGGGTTTGACAGACCTTTGAAGATGGAAAAACAGTTGAAATTTATGGGTTTTACGCGTACTTCTTCCTTTCTCGATCTACTCGTGATGACATCATAAAATCATAACCACATAACGCTTTATCCTGCTTGTTCCGACCAAAACAAAAAAACGAAGGAGACCCGAACGAGAGCCGTCCGGGGTAGGGGTATCCGTTTATTCATCAGTTCCAGACTGACGATAAATTCCCACGGGTTCCATGTCATGAATCCCATCCACCCACATGTCTGTTCACTCAATTTCTCTTTCACTTCTTCTTCGGCATCCTCAAATCCACCATTCCCTCCACACCTTGGCGGCTTCCTTTTGCTTCTCCTTCTCCTCGCCCACCTCCCCTCCTTCCCTCCGCTTCTCCACGGTCGAACCTCTTCTTCTCCGCTGGTGAGCTTGTTGTTCGCGCAGGGAAGATGGCAGTAGGACGCGGGCTTTGCGGGCGGTGATGGTGCCCATCTCCCACTCCTCTCCTGCCACGGGGTCACGGTAGTGGTAGTCGCGTCCGCAGGTGCGGTCGCATTTCTCTGCGTCGCAGGAGGAAGAAAAGGTGGAGAAGGTGGAAGAGGTGGTGGAATCGCTGGTGGAGGAGAAGGTGGATTGACGGGATGGTGGCGGTGAGGTGTCTAGCGACGAGATGGAGGAGGTTCGTTGTTGGCGGCGTGGCCGCAGGGAGAAGGAGAAGGGGAGGATTGGCATTTTGTGTTGTGGTAGTGGTGTGGGTTGTTGTTGGTGGTTGGTGGTTGGTGGTTGGAGATGGCTTCCGTCAGCCCGAATGGTGGTGGGAGGGAACCGATGTCGATGAGGTAAGTGTTTGAGTTGGATTGTCCAAAGAACAGAAGCGGGGGTGTGTGTCTCTTTATCAATGCGGTGCGACTTGAGGCTGAAAATAGTCGTGTGCACCGTTACTCGGAAAAGCAAGTCGAAAGTGGGCGGACAAGCATTCTTATGGTGCACGTACGATATGCGGGGTCCAAAGTCCAACTTTAATTTTTCTTCTGACCCGGCGCAGGCGGAGGGTTGTCCGTGGTTGCTGGTGGTTCATCACGCACCGAAGTGGGATAGCGGTTGCCTGATTGGCTCACGACTTTGTGATCATGCGGCGCGGTGATCGTTCGCTTGGAGTCACGCGCGCCACCCCACCCCAGCATGAGGCTGGCAAGCAGCATATTACTTGCAGCATGTCGGACGGGTCTGGCGGTGAGCGTGAGGCATTATTGGGCGTACGTGTGGCCATCAGCGTTGGTGGTGAGCTGGGCTTTGGGCGTGGTGTGCAATTGGGTGGGGTCGTGGTTGACAGGGCTCCTGGTAACGGCGCTGCGTCAAGATTCAGCCGCTTACGCACCCCAGAGCCGGGGCGGCAATGACAGCCTTTCGGTACCACAGTTTTCGATTTGATGGCTTGGTAGAATCGTCTCGAGAAAATTGCTCCATGCATCGCTTTAATTCTATGCCGTCGTGTTGTTAGTCAAGCCATTGTAGTAGAGCTCTTTCTGATTTATAGAACAATCCATAGTGTATGCCAGTGCTGAACACGCAGCGTGCGGGAACTCATATTATAAGCTAAGACCTATCATACACCTATATTCCGACTCTCGTCCTCGGCACCAGTCTTACAAACCATCAACTTAAGCAACCCAAAAACGTAGTGAAGAAGGAAATTTATCATAAAGAAAATTGGCTTTGTGCAGTCACAGTTATCTATAGGTATACCATTGTAAAAACCTCGGCACTATCCCATGGTTTCCGAAGAAAAAGAAGGGTAAAAGGAGGGAGGTAGACTACCCCATTACTTGCTATGTCGAAGAGTCAAAGATGTTGTTTCACCAGCTCTGAATCTTCTGGCAGTGGAAATTTCAAGAACAATCAAATGCAGAGCAGCTCCGACGCCCTACTCTTTAAAAAATGTAATGCAGACCCCAATACCGATATATTGTCCATGGAAGACGCTATCCTTCGCATCCCTTGTAGGAAACTGCCTCCTGTAATGTAGTCCAATTCGATTGTGAGGAATATGGTTCCGCATTTGGCAAAAGCCTCTGACTCTGCAAGCGTTCAGGAGGCCACCACGTGCCCACCTCAGACAGGCAGAGCATCGCGAGCAAAGATGAAGAGATACATCTCTGTGCGGTGTTATAATGTGGACTGAGGAATCTTTGAAGTGATTCAAATCTCTGCACGTCACCACAACGCCTGCAGAAGGGTGTGGTTCATTGCGATGGTGCAATGGCATCCAACAGCCGAGACAGCACTGGCCTTGTGACCAACAGCAGCACGACGTGGAGAAACATTGGAATCTTCAGCTTACTTCTGGGACAACAGTGGGGCATGCAAGGGAGAGCACAATTCGGGTACGACACAGTGAGCTTACAGAGGGGTGCTGCAGCCGATGGCTAGCGCGAAGAATAGCAGGGTTTTAGAATATAGCGTAACTATACCCCAGCTCTTCCTTAGAAAAAGAGCACATGTGGGCATGTGAAGCTATAGTCCGGACGAGAATGTCGAATCAAAATTTCTACATACACGTCTGGACGATAGCTTCAACTGCCTATGACATGAGCACAAAACAAATCTACACTAGCTATCGGCTGCGAGAGGGGACTGTAGCTGTGCAGAACAGTGGAGGGCCGACTCTTGACGATCAGGTCGTCGCAGGGATCACAAAGATGGAGCCGTTCATGGGTGGCTTCCCGTTAGGAGTCATGCCGACCAGTTTCGGCACTTTTGAGCAACCCCAGCCGAGCTACCTCGTCGGCTTGAAGAATGGCGGTATCATCCCAGGATTGGGGTTTAGATGTAATAATGGGGCGTAGACGATAAACATGCTAAACACGTCGATGGTACGGGAGAAACGGAAAGGCGGGGGTCCCGTGGTACAGCTTGGGCGAAAGTGAGGAAGCTGCAGACCCTTCGCGACGCGCCCACTTATTAAGAGCCACCACCCGCGCCTACCTGCACTTCCACCGCACCTGCTCATCAAGACTCAGCCGTCATGGAGCCCTTACCAAAACCAACTCTGCTGTCCGATTCAGAACCACCACCATACCATCTTCACCCACCCATCTACATTCAACTCCAAGACATACCCGACGACCTCCAGCTGGAAGCCCAACCGCTCAACAGTAATAACAACAACAGACACCTACGCATGACTCCCGTCGCTCGAGCTTTGACAGCTTTATTCCTCACCGTCGTTGGCACAGGCGTGTGTGCAGCGTTCATCATCTCGTTCTTTGTGACCCGCCACGGTCAGCTCTTATATCGCACGCCACCCGGTTCATTTATACGCGCCGTCGTCTTCAGTTCTTCCCACGTGGGCATCGTCTTCGGCACCCGCTTCCTGATTTTCCTGCTGCACTACGGAGAATACCAGATTATCATCATCAGCACAATAAGTATTGTCCTGGCTATTGTCTTACGTCTTCTCGACCTGGCAATTGACGGCGAGCTGTAAATCATGACTAAGCACAGCAACGAATCAAGCTGCTACAAACAGTACGCAGTGTACACTTGGACCAACTTTTCTGCCAAAAGTGTAGGTCTGTACCTGGCCAGCTCTTGGTGGCAGGGTTCTGACGGTTGCTTGCAGGTACCTCGGCGTCGACTACAAGGGACGCATCTTCAACGTAAGCCAGACAAAATTCGCAGGCCCGATGCCAAAACAGCAAATGGTCCCAGTGGACCCTGAGCCGAACACGATGGGTCGTTTCCATCCCTCAAGGTTATCTCTCGCGGCCAAGTTGGGGATTGGTTTTGGCATCGCCGGCGTCGTGACTCGTGATCCTCGTTATGCTTGTCAGGTTGTTCTGCTATTTGTTACTGCCAGTAACGAAGTTGCTTCGACCGAAGTTTTGGAGATTCGGCCGAAGGAGGCGGACTCGCAGGAGTTGGATCCAGACAACGGAGCACACAAGGTGGTGTAGTCGACGCACGGCTGTGAATTCCTCATCTTTCTACCCCAAGCGTGTGACGGAACAAGTTGACTTCATGGTGAGCGGAGCGCGAGAGGCGAAGACGTACTGGAAGTGTTCAGTGAAGTGAGATGATGGCCAGATTGGTTAGAGTCAGTGAATGGCAGATTGCTTCGTTCCATACCCAACGTCTGACATGCAGCGCCAGTGACCGAGGGCAGTCTGAGATGTTTGGATAGTCAAAGTTTTTCGAGGTGGAAGAGTGACTGCTTCCTTGTTTGAGGACAGGTGTGCTGTCATTGGTGGAACTGGTTGGGGCTAGTCTATTTTTGATCGGAGCCGGCCGGTTTGGGAAGCCGAGAACTTCGGGCATTTTGGGCATTTTTATTCCCCCCGTCGAAGGAGTGGTGGAGGTTGAATGGCGGCTTCATCACAGGATCATGGCTTTGCTCCGCTCCTTGATGTTTGAAATGGTAGCGTCCGAGAGTATTTAAATGGCCATCGTCTGTCCATAATGCAGACTTGAGAAGTTGCAAACTAAGTGAAGCCGTCTTCTCCAACAGTCATGCTATGGCCGTGAGAAGAAGCTATGCGCTGTTTTCTTTCGCACGCTTGTATTGCTGCCGTGTTCTGGTTGTGTTGCGGGTGCGACATTGGCATCAAATTCTATTCCTCTCAAAGGGCGGTGGGACGGTTCAAATTCACGCCGGTAAGTTGCTTTGAAATCCCACGAAGCGCCTCGCTGACTCTTAGCGCAGGAGCCCGCGGAATCCGCGCATTGCAAGATGAACGAGGCGCTTCTGGTTGTTAGCGCAGCAGCCCGCGGATCCCTACGCAGTTCACAGACTTGGAGATGAATGAGCCAAGCCTTGAAGCATATCGCTCCGGAAACTTCTCGGTGGGCATGTGGGCACCGATGCTTAAGAGCATCGAGCGCTTTGGTGTACACTGGACAATAAGGTTTCGGCCGAACTGCAGGGGAGTACAGAGAGGTCACCCTGAGCCTGAGCAGCAACACGAAAGTTGCACATTTCGATGTGGATGACTCGATTGCGCAAGGATGCTGGAGCTGCGATGGAGAGTGACGCGAGCGGCTCATCATAGGGAAGGTGCCAAGACAGGGTGTTGTCAGAAGTAATGTTCTCGACTCCAGGCCGAGGCCGAAGGCGAGGGCGATGCGTCAGACACCAGCGGCCTTAGCGTGACCGAGAGCGCGAACGGCAGGCACGACAAGCTCCAGCCAATCCTCGCCAATTCCGCCCGCTCCAAATTCATCTACTTCTTCGTCTCCACCTACAACTTACACTTTTGCGACCTTTTCAGCCTCTCCGCCCCCCGACGCGCTCCTCGAATGTTCCGTCCAACGGTGCCCGCTCGCGACCGCAACACTCCCCAGCGAGCGGCGTCAGCTCAGCACCGCCCCCAGCGTCCCTGAGCCCGAGGCCATGGCTACTATGCTCGTCCCTAGCGGACAGCCTACCCATCCCGCTGTATGTGCTCCTTCAGCCTTGCGTCAGGCCACAAGGCACCATTTGCTCCGGAGCTCGGCCTCGCCTCCCGCCCTTCTAACACCAATCTAGTGCGATCTATGCTATGCCCGAAAGGTACCCACTTTTCTCTGACGTCCATGCATCATTCCTCTTACTCCAAACATAGATCAAATGCGACAGAAATGACCCCTGCGGCAATTGTGTCGACTCCAAGGCAAAATGTCTAAGGACCCGCCCCAAACGTGTTGGCAGACCGCGCCAGTCTGCTGGGCCCGGAGCGTATGTTCCCTCGCCCGCCCCCACTCGTCCCGGTTAACCTGCTTTAGTGATGGCAAAACAGAATCAATGATCAACCGTCTGTCTCGCCTGGAATCCTCTGTCACCCGCTTAGCATCCCTTCTGTCAAAGGACAAGAATGTTGGCGAAGAGGAAGATTCCACATCTCCTGCCGACCAGAATGACAACGCCACTGTCAAAGACACTCCATCACGAAGTCAGGCAGGCTCCAGTCCATCCAATGAACAAGACAGGCCAGCCAAAAGAGTGAGGCTGGAAAGCCCCACGACATCTCCCAAAACAGAACCGAATACGGAAAATTCTTGTCCTGTATCCAAGACCCCTGACCACGACTTTGCCACGGCCACGGAGATCGAAGCCCAGAATTTCATCCAAGGCGAGCTTGCAGACGCTTCTCGATCCATTGGCGTCGACCGCCGCTCCGTCCTCGAGGCAGCCTTGGAGTTTATCGGCCAAATGGAGCACCCTCCAATGCCGCGCCGCGCCCTTGACACCAGCACATGCGCAACTGAAATATCTGATTGTCTGATTTCACCATCACCTGAATTCTTCCACATGATACTATCGGGTAACCAACACCATACCCTCCATGCTAGCTCGCTGAATCTGATTCCCTGCCCAGAATCCCAACGCATATACCCAGCTGCCTATGACTTGGAGTTTTCGACCTATATCTCGCGAGAAACGCTGGAGCGAATGGTTCTAGCTTTGCATAACAAAAGCGAAGATCAGCAAACCCTGCTCCAGTACTCGGTCTGTGTGAATGCCTGTGCCGGTACCTTCCTCTCGCACCTTCCCGAGTATGGAGAGAGCGACGATATGCAGCGCGCTCTTGAGAAGTCTAAGGATGACTATCTGAGAAGAGCACTGAATGCCATGAATTATATCGGAGTCCTAGGCACACCCTCCCTTGCCTTACTGCAGGCCCTTCTAACCGGCGTAAGTGCTTCGTCTGCCGAACAGGGAAACTGGCAGTGGTTGATGAATGATAGACTACCTTGTTTCAAAAACTCGGCGATACCTCCAAATGCTGGATGATGGCCGCCAGCGCATGTCGTGTTTGCGTTGCTCTCGGATTACATCACAGCCAACCTCGCGCCCCGCCAAATGACCAGCTTTCATCCGAAAGCAAAGAATTACGAGCCTGTTTTCTGTGGAGCTACGTTTTCGACAAAGGCCTGGCCATGAGCCTTGGCCGACCTGTCACCATGCCAATTTGGGATGTTCCCGAGGACATCATTGCGCCTATTGAACCCGATCGACCATTCACTGCATTTGTACAGATCCTCTTCCAATTCGCAAAAGTCCAGGCTACAATCGTATGCGACTTGCACTTTCAACCCGCCCAAGGAAACTCTCCGCAGCGCAAAGAAGCCACCATCAGTTCACTGAAGCGCCAAATGGACAAAATCCAGAAGCACATAGTTGAAGTACGTAGCATCGCTGTTAGAGCCATGACTTCAAGCTCACCGTCGATAGATTCGAGCCTTCCCACCCCATTCCTCGGATGCTTTTTTGATGAGCGAATGGATTTCGCTTGACTTTGTTTATCACTCCATCATGACAATCATTCTTCGCTTCGACACCGGCGTTACCATAGACCCCATCAAACGGGAGGAGTGTCTGGACCATGCCCGGAGAGCTTTCGTCGCCCTTCGTAACCTCAGAGCCCATATTCATGCGTGCATGAACGGCAAGACCTTTGCCTCTTTCTTACCATGGTTAGTGTGCAGTAGTAGATGACCACTATCCCTGCTATACTAACAACCGCCAGGACGGTCCTCTACTACCCTCTCCGTCCTTACTTTGTCCTGTTTTGCAACGTTGTCGCTACTTCCCATGCCGGCGACTTTGAGCTCATGAAGGAGTTTGCCAGCATCCTCATGGAGCTTCCGAATCTCAACTCCTCTGCCCAGCGTCTTCAAAAACTCTGTGCCACTCTCGTGGGCCTTTGTGCCCCACTTATCCAACGCGCACAGGACCAGACGCAATCTTCCCGGACCAATCCCCGCTCCGGTCAGAAGACTGACAGCAATGGAGCCTCCGGCCTCGAGAGGCCGCAGCAAATGTTTCAGAATGGCGTCATTGGTGATGGTGGAATCCCCATGGTTGGACCAGGCACCGAATCTGGGGCATCGATTGGTTCATGGTTCCAACACAACATGTTACACGGAGATGCATCTTCTGCAGGAGCTGGATCGCTGGGAGCACAGGATATCCACACTTCTGGGCGGACGAGCTCAAGTGAAGAGATGCTCAACGCATTGTTCGATGTTCAACCAAGTCTTGATTGGCTTGGAAGCGATGTTTTCGGACAGGGAACGAACTGGACTGATTTTGATGGCGGGTTTAACATCAATTAAACGAGTCACGATGGAACATCAGGGTCTGGGGGGGAAAAGAATGGCATTACACGCGAATATATATGGCGCACGACGGAGAATTTTCGGAAAGGAGACAATTGGCTTTCCCTGTCTGTACTATCACCATAAGGAACGGATCTGCACCGCTCACTGTTTTCTGTATACTATTTTCTTTTAAACAAAGGGTCAACTTTAAGTTGAGAAGACCTCTTGTTCTAAAAACGGAGGAGGCTTCGGTCGTTTGTTAATGTTGATTAACTGAAACATCTCAAGCGCAAAAGCGCGCGGAAATATGGCGTTCTGGAGAAATAAAGTCGGTTTCGATCATCAGTTGTTCTAGTTCTATTCTATCTCAAATTGATAGCTCGCGAACCTCGGGTCGAATACGAGTACATACATCCCTGCAACTTTCCTTATGCGGAAGGGCACTTGGCCAATATAGGCAATAGAAGCTATCGTCTGGACTTAACTGTATCATTATTGATTCTACGTTTTTGTCTGGGCTGCGGACAATTGCTTCATCTTCCCATAACACGAAGTTATCAGCTGTATCGAATTTCCCACAAGACATTTTTTTTAACTAGACTCTTCTGCACTAGCATTCAGCTTCTTCATCTCTAACTACCTAATATTTATCAGCATCCAAAGTCAGCTAGTAAATCGTCGAAATGATGACCACTGTTGGTGGCGGGACTCATGACCGCTATCTAGGGCGTGATAACAAGATATTTCTTTAACACGAGCACATGAGCGACAGAGCTGCTGATGGTACATTTTTTCAGACAAGGTATTGCCTGCACGGGGACATTCCAATACTAGATCCCTGACGGGGGGAAGCACAAGCGCCACTCCAACCATCCTAGTAGTAACAAGCTTTTTCCATCAGCTCGCTGGAAAATCCGTGTAGCTCTTTCGGGAGTCCTCGGTGTCCGACTGCCACGTAGCACACAAGGCAAGAAAGCTCTCCGGTCTCCGAGCAAATAGGATTCATGCGCCCTTGAGCCCAGGTCATACTTTACCGCTCCTCGCTCACCCCATGCTCCCGCCACTATCCGCCAACACAACCACCATCCGGCTCCGCGCGGCAGCAGTATTAGCATTTGCTGGGGGAACGAATGAGACAAAAGGTCTGATGATGCGCAAATCGCCCTGGTGGCCAGTCGAAACGCGGGAGCAGTGACGTAAGTGAAGCCGCGGGTCCGTCGGGTGGTGCGGCATCCGGACATCCGAGGTCGGCATCCAGAGTGAATGGAACAATAAATATGGCGAAAATGAAGCAGGAAAATTGGGACAGCTATTATAGTCTATTTTGCAGAGTCCGTGCTTGATCAGCTGTTGTCTCCTGCAGCCGGTACCGCGAAGTCGGAATCTTGACCATATATCACACCGGTCTTTCGTTCAATCATTGCCAAATGCCAGACCCCATCGAAGGTTGTTTCCGCCTTCTGATTCGCTGCTTCCTCTACTCGCCTTACGGAAAGCACAGGCGGAACCCTTCTGAGCCAAAGAAAAAGAAGAAGAAGGCGAAGAAGGAGCGACGACGAAAAGAGAAGCTGGGAGATTTGGAAAAGACGAAGGCGGCGGAGAACGGGGTCTTGCCAACCGCGGGCCAAAGTCCAACAACTACCACTCCGGGCGATAGTCCTATGAACACGCCCAAAATATAAGGAGACTTGGACCCACCATCCCAGCTGTCCCCTCAACTACACCCACGCCAAACCGTAACGACCGGTGAAAGCATCCTGGCAACGAAACTTACAATTGCAGCCTCGATACGAATTCGAACTCAAACCCCATCCATCAGCCACCGACAAACCAACCACTCACACACTCAAAAAGAAAACGAAAAAAAAAAAGAAGTCCGCAACACAACCAAACAACCCAACCACCACAGCGATGACCACCACCGCCACCCCACCTCCTAGCCCGCAGCAGACCGCAACAACCACCACCAAAAACCCACCCCAGAAACCCCCCCTCAAGAAAGCATCCCTCCTTTCCCGCTTCCTCCTCTTCGCCAAGCTGGGCCCACCCGTGCCGCAGCGCTGCCGCAACCGCGCAACCGTGTCCGACGCGGAGCGTAGGCTGGCCGCCAAGCACCGGATGAGCGTCGACGACTACCGCGAGTGGCGAATGTCTCTGTCGACGTCCGCAGCTTCGTCGCGGCCGAGGAGCGCTGCGGACGAGGAAGAAGGAGGAGGAGGAGGAGGAGGGGAGCGGGACGAGGATGAGGACGATGGGGTTTTGATGTCCGGGGCACATGGCGGCGGCGACGACGATGGGGAGGAGGTGCGGCTGAGACGGGATGATGATGATGATGATGATGAGGGAAGGAGGCGGCAGAGGAGGAGGAGAAGGAGGAGCGAAGAGTTGGAGAATAGAGAAAGGGAGGAGGCGGCGGTGCCTCCTCGGGTTCAGCAGAGGGGAGAGTCGAGCCGTGATGGGAGCGTCGGCCGCTACGGAGACATGGAGAAGGAGTGGAAGGGTGAACGCACTCGCTCTTCATCTTCCTACTCCTCCTCCTCCTCCGCCGCTTCCGCTTCCGCCTCTCCATCATCCTCCCACCTACGCAACGCAACGGCCTCTCCGAGTAGTACTACTCCCGCTACTACTACTACTACCCGCACCGCCCGGACCGACTCCGTGCTACACGCCCCGCAGCCGAAGCCGAAGCAGGAGCATCACGACCAGCACCTCAACCGTCAGTCAACTCCACCTCCTCCCGGCCGACGAAGCAGCAGCAGCGCTAGGAGCAGCGACGGTGGTCGCGATGACGATCGGGGTGAGACGAGGACTCGGCCCAGCACGGATTTGCTGCTTGCCAGCAACAAGCAACCAACATCTCGGAAGAACAACGATGTGAAGCAAGGCCGAGGACGGCTGGTCAAGACTTTGTTCCTTCGGCGAAGGGGTAACAGTGATAAGGATAAGGGGGTGCTGAGAGGGAGGGGAAAGGGGAGGGAGCGGGTGTTCAGTAAGTGAAGGGTTGAGAGTGATGTTTCGAGACGTTGGCGTTTTTAGGAAGGCTTTTGTATATAACAGTGATGATAATGATGTGATACCTGAATTTTCTCGTCTCCTGGATGATGTATTTGATATTTTTTTTCTTCATGCTGTTGGTAGAAGCAAATAGGCGCCTCGCAATGCCGCTATGATAGGGAAATGTGAAAGAACCCACCGAATATGCTTCATTTCCGTCACCGAACCATGCCCACTCCTCACGGGAATATGCGCTTCAATCACTCCTCGCCTTCCTCCTCTCATTACCCTCGTCACCCTTTTCCTTGATCTCGTGCACCTTCATGTCGAGCCCGACCCAGAATCTCTTCCCCCTCCACTTCACAGTGACGCCGCCGTACACGGCCCACGCCCAGACGGGCCACGCCAGGCCCTCTCGTCCCAACCACGCAAGGAACCATTCTCCGAACGGCCTTCTCGTGCCATTCGGCGTCTTCGGCGGTCTCGCGAACGGTGGCGTACACTCGTCTACCTCGATGCTGTGAGCCGAGTGCAGCTTGCGGTACAGCGTCCAGTCAACAAAGCACCAGACAGCGACGTTGGCGAACCACAAAGCCCAGAAAGCGGTCCACGTCTGGGGGATGCCTAAAGAGTCGCGGAAGAAGGGCAAGGTGGTGACGGCGAAGGCGCCGTACAGGGAGCACAGGAAGGACTCAGTGCCGGGCTCGACGAGGGTGGCGAGGGTGACGGTGAACTTGCGCACGCGCAGCCAGCGCACGCGGCGGGCGACGTACTCGGCCACGCTCATGCCGGCCATGGGCTGGATGGCCAGGTCGCCGAAGCACATGGCGTGCTTGCCCCAGCTCTCGCCGCTCTTCTCGGCGGGGATCTGCTGCTTCCACAGGCGGTCGCCGATGAGGTGGTCCTCGCAGATGTTCTCGGAGAAGAAGTCGATGCCCTCGGCGTGCTGCGGGAGCGGGCCGGTCAGGGCGTTCAGGTGCGAGCGGCGGAACATGTTGGACTTGCCGACGATGCAGGGGGCGATGAGCACCGTGTTGATGGCTGTGTAGAACTTGGCGTGGGACGACGACATGAACAGCTCCTCCAGCCGGCCGCCGCCCAGCTGCAAGATGCGGGACTGGTCGGCGGGCGTGCGGAGCTCGTGACTGGCGGTGCTGCTCGACGCGACGTGGGCGTGCCCATTCGCGTCGCCGTTCAACAGGCCTTGCGATTCTTCGCCGAGCGGGACCATGTCCGTGTCGACGACGAGCGGCAGCTGGTGCACGAACTTGTTCTTCCTGCGGCCGCCGTAGCCGCACAGCGTGTCGACCATGCGGCCGCACACGCCGCGGCCGACCCACACGTTGCAGTCGAGAATCCACACAATGTCGCCCTTGGCCTCGCGATATGCCCTGCTCATGTTCCGGATCTTGGGGTTAGGGCCCATGGGCGGGCGGCTGGCATCGTCACGGTCGGCGCTGCCATTGAGCAGCGGATCGTCGGTCTCGACGAGAATTTTCGCGTCAAAGGACGGGAAGTCGTCGATTAGGCGCTGAAGCGTCGGGTAGGCAGGATCATCGCGCGACGAGACGCAGAAGTAGATGGTGAGTTTCTGCGGTGGGTACGTCTGGCGGAAGGTTGCGGCGAGGCAGTCGTAGAGGCTGGGCTCGAGGCCCTTGACCGGGCGGATGACGGTGACATGAGGGATGTCGTCGGGCGGGAGCTGAGTGAGGCAGAAGGCGGCTGGACGCGGAGACGAATACCATCGCCGTCTTTGGGGACGGGGTCAGCAGGCGCTGGCGGGCGGGCGGGAGTGCTTACTTACAGTTGGGTGTAGCCGACGGTGCAAACCACGACAACGGCAACATACCACACGAGGGCTATGGTCGCCAGCACCTCGACGGGCGCGAACGGCGAGCTTTCATCTGGCAAGACATTGGAAGCCGCAGCTTCCTTGGCTGCTGCGATGCTCACCATCCGCAGCTACTGAGCCTTGGGAAATCGCTGCCGGTGCGGGCCAAAATTGTCGAACCAGAGTCGGAGTTGGGATCGGAGGTGGTGAGGGCGCCCAGACGGTGATGTCACTGCCGAGCTCCGGATATAACTCGCTCTTCTCCACACCGACTGACTTGATGAGTGGAGATGGGAGCGATGAATGTTGTCGCTGTGAAAGTTTGTCGGTCACTTCGGGGTGCTTGCCGCTGCTCCTAATTTCAGCGGAGGATCCGACAAGGTTTTGCCGCACCTTGCAGTGAAAAGCGAACAGATTGATATTGCTTTTGTATCTACATCGTCTCCACGAAAGTCATCAGACACCATACAGAAAAGACCCAATTGCGGAAGCGCCGGATAAGCTCCTGAATACAGTGGAAACGCAAAGCTTCAAGTAGGAAATGGTATCTAACTAACATTACAAAAATCGTGGTTCATCTCTGGTGCTGCTGCTGCCACAAAGGCGCCCTGTCGTTCGCGCCATATTCACTCGGCACCTGCTCGAAATCGGCCTTCGTCATCTCGATGGTATCCTGCGACATGCGCCTCTCCTCCTTTTCTAGTTGCCGTCGCACCCACCACACGTACACCCAGAATCCCGCAGCCATCAGCGCTAGCCCGCCGATGACGCCGCCCAACACAGCACCAATCAGGCCTCTCGCCGCGAACCCTCTGTGCCCGCCTTGCGCATTCGCGGGCTGCGGCACGGTGCGCGGGCACCATGTTATCGGCTGGTTGAAGAGGGGCATGGGGATGACCTGCGCCAGGTGAAACGAGTAGTTCTCGTAGTCCAGCATCACGTACACCTGCGTGAGCCACGCCGAGCCCAGCAGGAACGGCGCATCATCGTCAGCATCATCGTCGTTATCATTCTCCGCCGACACGTCCGCGACGGGTGAGATGCCCGACACGTTGAACATCATCTCGGGCGGCAGCGTCACCCGGAAGCCGTCGGATAGCACGATCGTCATGGTTCCGTTGAACGGCCTGGATAGCCGCAGCGACCCGTCCGGGTAGTCTGACGGCACCGCGCCGAGCTGCTGCTTGTAGTTGCGGACCACCTGCTTGGGTAGCCGGAACGGGAACTGGTCCGTCGTGATCTGCGCGTCGAACCCGTCGAAGCCCTCGGAGAGGTTGGCAAAGCGCGAGCGGTCGAAGAGCGACACGTTCCGCGTGATGGTTCCCGTTGGGTCGTCCAGCACGATGTCGCTGACGCGCACCTGCAGCGGATTCGGGTCGCTGGTCGACATGCTGTAGTTGTGCACCTCGCCCGTGAAGCGCTGCGGGTCGTAGCCGCCAAACGTGTTGACGCCTATCGCCATCCCGCCTGCTCGATCGAAGCTGTTGCCGATGTACATCGCGTACGTCCGGCCAGCAATCATGCCCACCTCAAAGAGGCGCTGTAGCATGGTTGATCGTTGGCCCATCCCCAGGATTCCCGGGTTTTTATCGCCGTCCGTCGCCATGGTGAAGCGCATGCCGGGCAGGAGCGTCTGCCACGCCGGATCCGTGCGGAAATAGTGAGTGTACATTTGCATCACATCGCGGCCTCCAAAACTGTCGTTGAAAGCCGTTTCGGTGAAGTCTGTGGATTGATAATTGTCGTCTTGCTGCCAGCTGCTCCCAGTCAGCATGCGAGCACTTGTCCAACACAGACTAATGAAAATACCCTTGACTATTGAAAATAATAGATACCTACGTTGGCGAATCGGTGACATCGACTATGCCACCAGTATTGTCTCTGCAGTTCTCCAGCTTGCTGTGTTCGCAGAATTGGTCCGAAGCTACTGACGTCTCATTCTGCGTGAGCGACGGCCATAAGGATAGGTTCTGCGCCGGCGTGCCCATTCCCAAGAACGATCCATACTGTTGAACTCCTGTGCCATGCACGGCGCGCATGTGAATGTCGACATATACCGGCGGTATCGAACAGTTGAGAGCAAGAGCGGCGGGCAGAAGGGACAAGCCGCTAGAGAACAGAGTGAGTAGCGGCCGCATCATGTTGCGCCGCTGGATGTTGGTCAGACTCCTGAGAGAGTAAAGCCACAGTCAGAGGAAGGATCAAGCAGGAGTAGTCATGGTCAGAAGTCGAAAAAAAGACCAGTGGAGGGAAGCGCAATCCGCCCTGCCGAGAGAGCGCCTCCCGCTGTATAAAGCGCATTTAGCTCGTGCCCACATGGCCTTGGGCTGACACTTTTTGCCTCCTCTGGTTGCAGGACCCAGATCGGCACATAAACCTGGGTTCATCATCAGGGCCGCAGCACTCTGGATGCCGCCACCTCGCCGCTGATAGGCCGTCTTCATACCAAGCATGTGCCCGCCGGACCCGCTCCATAGTCAAGCGTGAGATGAGACATCCCTTTCTCCGCTTTCCGAAGCACGAATGGTTGTACAATGCTGGCGCGAGGTCATGTCAGCGGCTGCTGACGGCGTAGCAGACGCAGGTTGACCGGCGCTCCAATCAGAAATGTGCCACCTGCGGAGAGGCGCGTGATAGGCGTTCTTGTCCACCGAGCCGGCGGATTGGCCGTCGCTAGCTCGCTGGGGGCCTAGGCGCGTCTCTTGCGGCTGTGGGGATGGGGGTTGGAGTGCAGCGTTGTAGGTGGGCGATAAAAATAGACTCAGCGCGTAGTACCATCACGTGTTCTGCTGAACACCGATAATGCTGTGCGGGCGAAAAGGTATCTATGTATAGTTATCTCGACAGGCGTACATATAGCCTGTATGCATTCCGACACCCTCCTCCGCAATATTCGCTTTTTCCGTCTTTGGTTCGAGGCAGAAACCGGCTGGCAACGAGGCACGCCTGTGTCGGCATCCAACGTCAGAGCAAAAATAGCTGCTATTCGATATACCACCCCGCAAATCGGCCCCCGCATACCCATTTCGCTCTCTGTGAGACATAGCAAATCTTTCGTACCGTAGACTCTACTGCGCTGATAGCACTATGCGCGAAAAATCTGCACAAGACGCGTACACCTCTTCCGTCCGCGCCGGTTCCACCGTGTCGTGCTATGACGCGTATGGCTGCAGCCTTGGACTATGATCAGCAACCCGGGTAAGCTTACAAAGCTTAGCATGCTCTCTTGCGACACCGCAAGGCTGGACTTAGATCTTCTATCATGGACAAATCTCTGGCGATAACAGAACCGATGAGAAACACAAACCCCTCTCGCCCCCGCGTGGTGAGTACTGCATGATGGAACCATGGGTCGTGTAATCATCGATGCATGTGTCAGTTGCGAGCTGAGCGGTCGTCATCCGAAGGCAATCATGTGTCGAGCAGAGTCCACCGTTTCTCCGCGGCGCTGGGCCCAACACGCTTTGCGACTAGTGGCAGTGTGTTCGTAATGGCGTCCTTCGGGATCTTGGGGAATCTGATTGCGTCGGTTAACCTTCACATGCTAGCTTAAAATTCTTCAAACCCTACCTTTTCTTGAGAGCCTCGATCAAGGCAATCTTCGTCAGATCGCTCCCCTCGACCGCCTTCTTGAATTCGCCAATGAGCTCCTCAGGGATCGTCCTCTTTGGCGGCTTTGGAGCTCCAGCCGTGCCGTTCACTGCCTTCGCAGGAAGCTTGGCATTTCCGACATTCGCCCCATTTTCAGGGCGAGCGTGGAGTGGTAGCCTTGGGGGTTGCATCATGCCGAATACGTCCTTGGCCCCCGAACTTGATGCCGCCTGCGCTTCCGTCTCCCAGTAAGCTGTCGAGAAGGGGTCGATGGATATCGGCGTCGGTTCTTTTGCTGTGTCAGTTCAGGTTATTGAAGAGAGGAGGGAAATAACCCACCGAGCAAAACACCCATCCTATATTCCGACAATGTCACATTAGAGTCAACAGAGCCGTCCGCCTTCCTCAGCACTCCCTTGTTGTCTTCCCAGCAAAGACCAGTGGAAACCGGCTCTAGATCTCCCGTGATAAGACGACGCTTGCTGTGTGCCGCTTCATCGTCATCTTCAAGGAAATCTTCGAGATCTTCTGCTCCTTCACTCTCAAGGTCCTCTTCGTCTTCTGCATCCAGATCTTCTCCCTCCTCTGGCTCTTCCCATTCGCATTCCGAGTCATAGTCGTAGTTGGCTTCAGGCAGACTCTTTGAGAAAGGATTGATCGCGAGTCTCCGCGACTCTCGATCCGACTGGACCTTGGTGAATGTGCCGCAGTAGGGCGGTCGTACATCCTCAGTGAAGTGGATATACTTCATAGGAATGGTCTTAAGGGTGTCAAGAAGGTCCCGCATCTTCTTTTCTGAAGACTCTTCGGTCAGATCAACAGGCTGGTCCGATGAGCCCTGCAGACGAGCAACAACATCCCTCACAAGTGGAAACTTGACACCCCTCTTCCCCTGTTCTGCAGCTGGCACACCTAATAGTGTGACGAAGTCGCGTTTCTCGAGCAGATCCAGCACTTGTTGCTTAGTTTGCTCCGAACCAGATGCTGCCATCTCGTCCAGCTTCGCAATGGCCGCCTCTCTGTCTGTGTCGCTTCGGTCTGCCCAGAATAGCGTTTGCGGTGCCAAAATTTCATGTATCTTCTTTTCGTACGGGAGGAACGTTTGCTCATAATCGGACTGGACCTTCTTCTGGGGCGAGGGAGGCTTAGAGGGACTGGCAACAGGTTCACCCGGGTCGGCTGAGATGGACTTTCGTCTATGCGCAAGCTCTGTGGTGTTGACGCCCCCCTTCGTGAACCATTGATTAAGCTTGGGTTGAGCCTAGGGACGAACCAAGTTAGCAGAGTTTATCAAGCGTGATCTATGCACACACCTTTGCCTTCTTCTCCTTCTCCTCTGCCTTCTTCTGTTTCTCCATCTCCTTCTCGCGCTTCTTGGCTTCGGCTTCCTCCTTCTTTTTCTTGGCTTCCTCATCCTTCAGCTTCTTGGCTTCGTCTTTAACCCGTTTAGCTTCCTCCTTCTGGCGCATTTCCTCCTCCTTCTGCAGCTTCTTTTCTTCGCGTGCCTTCGCCTTTGCCTCCTTATCCAACCGTTGTTGCTCTTTTTCCTGGGGCGTTAGCCGCCTTCGCTTTGCCGGTGTTGCACCGGTAGTTGAGGAATTCAATGTAGAAGTAGCGGCGGCGGTAGCAGATGCCAGGTTGCTCGGAGCGGGAGACAAATTGGCTTGGGCAATGCCGCCTTGAGGTAGCGGACTCTGGTCGGGCGAGGCAATCGATTTCGGCGTGGATAGATCCGAGCTTTGCGGGGAACTGGGCGGGTTCTTGACGGGTGTTGCGTGCACGTCGGACATGTCAATATCGTCTGGAGCAGGCCGTTTCCGCGATGGGGACGCGGCTTGAGGTAGAGCGTCAGCCATTGCGCCGAATCTCGTCAGATGGCCGAGACGTTGGTGCACGAAAAGAAGGGTACAAGAGACAGGAAAGAATCCAAGTATTTGCGAGGCGGGAAGTTGCTATGGCTCGGAGGATGAGGTAAAGGGCAAGTACGCCAACGCGACCCAGACGCGTCTCCGGCCGCCTAACGGTCCGTGCGCGTCGCGCGCCAACGAGAGCCGCGCTTTCGCCCGCAGATCTCCGCCCCGCCATTCACCTGTCACCGCCGCGGGGACCTTGTCGAAGATGGACCTCGACGATGGCATGCTTTTTGATGCCAACTCATCTCCGGACCCGCACGAGGAGTCACTGACCGCTACAGCATCTACTCTCTGGGCAACATCCGATGAATATTTGGACATCACACTCACCGATCACCCAGCTGCACACGACGAGGATCCCACTGGCTCTCAATGGCTTGATGAGGATCTATTTGCGGAAACAGAAGACACGTCCATGTGCGAACTTGATGTTTCAGCTGATGCACTTGCTGATTCTTCCTCTCGGGACAAGGAACGCGTGATATCGGATATCGAATCCGTCTTTGACTCTATGCTTGACGTGCTTCTCACCAGTGGAGATTCGCTTGTTTTGTTTCTGAAATCTCGGTCCCTGGCACAGACCACGGGCGTCGCACGCAGCAGACTCATACGCTTTCCGGGGAAAACGGCCGAAGAAGCATGGAGATTTAGTATGTGCTTAGGAGAAAGCAACATCAACTTGCACTAACATGACTAGCTGTCTTGATGCGCATCTTGGAGATCGTTCATGAAGCTCTCGTCACAGACTGTGTCATATCCAAACGGTAGTTTTCGCAATTTGTCCATTAGAATTCTGCTTATGCTCGTCACGTCCCACATTTGCATTGCTCACGTCGTGTCAGGGAGATCTACTACCGGCATCCGGCCCTTTTCGGAAACCAAGCGGTAGTAGACAGATACGTGGACGACATTGCCTTCACCTTTGGGGCCTCGAGATCATTGCTTAATGTGGTACGCATCCTTTCCCACGCACAACTCCGCTGGGTTGTAACAATTACACAGTGCGCAGCCGCGAAGGGGCTTGTAACCGGTGATTTGACGGTCCTGAAAGCCGACGGTGTCTCTGTCCACAATTTCAACGATCCTTCAGGCCACCTTATACCCAGCATCGAGGATGGAGACACAATACAGACCGCAGCGAAACTAGTACTTGTAGTCGAGAAAGAGGCAAGTTCGACTCTTTGTTCGCATACGTATCACTAACACTTCTCGAGGCTGCCTTCCGTTCTATTGCAACATCAAAGGCTTGGGAAATGCTGAGGCATGAGAGTGTCATGGTCACGGTACGATAGAATATCCATCTGCATACTGTCGCTCACGCTAGCTCTGATCGTTACAAATTGTACTCACCAACTATGCAGGGGAAGGGCTATCCAGATTTATCCACACGCATTTTCCTCCACAGACTTAGCGCCGCGTCAACCACCGACAATATGACCATACCGATTCTAGCTCTAGTCGATTTGGATCCCGATGGATTGAGCATCATGTGCACGTACAAATACGGCTCCACCGCTTTGGCTCATGAAGGCAACTCGATAAAAGTACCCAGCATACGATGGCTTGGTGTCAGAAGTGTGGATATCTTTTCATTATCGGCAGTTGAGCCTGAGGTTCCACAAACAGCTAATGTTCACCAAAGCGAGGGACTTCTCTCGTTGTCGTATCGAGACCGCAGAAAGGCTTCACGAATGCTCTGCAAGCAACCCTGCTTGGAGGATGGCCCCCAAAATGAACTTAGAAGAGAGCTCCAGGTTGTGCTAATGCTCAATCTGAAGGCGGAGCTTGAATTGCTGGAATCCGAAGATGGCGGCCTTGGTGGCTGGCTTTTGGGCCAGTTGAGCGCCCATGGCTAAGTTCATTTGTTTACGAACTTCTTCAGTCGCGAGTAGACGACATTTGTGATCTCGATTGCTACTCGAAACACCGAGGTATTTGAGTTGCTCGGCTTATGGAACAACTGTTGCTGGGTAGAGGCGTTTGGATGCTGGGTATAATCATTAAGTTCAGAGTCGAATTCCCGTTCTACTAATAATAACAGCCTACGAGGCAGCTTCTAAGTACTAGCCCAGTTTTTGATTGGTTGCTTCACAATCGCGACCAAGCGTTCATGCAGAGTGTTGACTCAACAATCGGCTTTCTGCAGCAAACTATTCTCACGTCCCACAAAGGGAACGGATGCGCAGCGCAGCACTGCTCTTGCTAACAGCGTACCCCATGGGGCGTTCTATCGCCGACCTTGTATCACTTTGATCGCACTCAGTCCCGGGACTTTGCTTGCTGTGCTACATCTCCTGAGGGCACTGCCTCCATCGTCAGTCTTTCACTGGATGCGCGCCTGCCGTACGGTAGAAGACTTCCTCCCGTTCCTTTCCCGACCATTTCTATACATCAAAGATTTGAAAGCTCAGAGATGTGTTTGCTCATTCCACCAAGTAACCCCACATGTCTTCCACGCGTCCATCCACTTTAAATACCAGCTGTGGGAACGGAAGAAAAGGCGACAGCATTCCTTGCAACGTAAGCTACGTGCCTCCTAATTTCGTTTATGCCTCATCTACTCTACCATCTCCGAAATTGTCTCTCAATACCTCTTTCAAATCCCACGATGTTTTCTCCGGAAAGTCTTACTCCTTCAAGTCAAAACGGAGTTGAGATGTTCATCTCTCATTGGCATTCGGCGTCTGGAACGAGGAAGTTTCAACCTGGCGTACGAATGGCGTCCTCCAACGCCCACCGAATTCAGTCAATTGCTACCAGGGGATTTAACCGCTCCATCAAACACGGTCCAGCTTTGCGTCAGCTTTCCCGCGAAGATCCGCCTTCGCCACCCCCGCAACCGCCGCCAAGTCCCGTGGGAATGGATTTTGAGTGTAGGCAATGTAAACAGACAGCAATTCGGTATATAACTGACTTTTAGTATAGAGGTGTGAAAGTGCTTCTAGCCTACACCACTCAGTTGACAGCTGGACCAAGTGACCGCCATAATCTTCTTCCTACCAATTTAACCCAGATTCAGCGTTATGCTCGATCGTGAGCTTTGCTTTATCTTGGAACGAATATTGTTTCTCTCAAGCTGTCGGAAATTCAGCAGATATTTCCTTTACCCTTTCCGTTTCATTTTGACTATTCGCTTGCGTTCGCCAGATTTCACCATCCTCTAGACGCTCGTTTTATGGATTTGGTTGGTTCCCCGTGGCAGCTCTTCTTTCTTTCTTTCCTTTTTCCTTGTGTAACGGGCATCAGCTCGGGCAAAGCTTGCAGAAGGGAATTACAACCGAAGGCTAGCGTGAATTTATTTTCAAGTCCACTGTATCAGACGCTTGTCGCAGCAACTATCTGCAAAGAAAATTGCTGGGCCATAGTTATCTCCCTCTGTCAAAAGGCTCTGTTATTCTTCGCGCTAGCCTTCGGTTCCAGTACCCATCTGTAGTGTGTAACACAGTTTCACAGCAGACAGCGACAGCGGCACAACCATATGCACAGGCTTCTCCAATATTCTCTCGTTTTTGACCATGCGCTTTGCATATGTTCGTTAATGCCTGCATGGTCAGCTGCCAAGCCAACTCTTCGTCGCTTTCGCAGCTTGGCTGACAACAATGACCCCTTTCAGGTGCATTCGATCCTTTGTTTCACTCTCTCTCAGCCATGACTTCACTGCACAATCGTCCGTAGCCACGCTACATATCTCAAAGCGCTCCCGGCAACAGACTAGTGCGTCCCTGACACTGCCTTTTACAACGAGGGCTCGTTGTCATTGTTTCTCCATAAGTCTCAGCATGCATGCTGTGAGTGGATCATGTAACAGCCAGCCTCACGCTGCTTCTCATCCTTCATTGACTCCTCGGTTCGTACTTGAAGATCGTCTTAACTTGCACACATGGCCAACCAGGATACCCTTGACGTCGTGGTCCTTGGTGCATCATTTGCCGGTCTCTCAGTTGCCCACAATCTCCTCAGGAATGTCTTTCCCAATCTTCAAACGTTCGATGGGGCACCAAAGTACCGAGTTGTGCTGGTAGCACCGTCGAGTCATCTCTACTGGAATCTTGCGGCTCCTCGGGCATTGGTATCGGCCAGTTTAGTACCAATCGATACGATGTTCTCGCCAGTCATGAAAGGGTTCGAGAAGTACTCACCAGAGGAGTTCATCTTTATCCAGGGAACAGCTGGACTGATCGACACAGCTCAAAGACAAGTCAGCATTACACTGACAACCAGGCCGAATTCGGTGGATCCGAATCATCATGAGTCCTTTGGTAGCACCAGCACGGAAAAGACTCCAGCGCGGACTAAGACCCTGGTCTATCATGCTTTGATCTTGGCAACTGGGAGCTCCACAGACTCGCCGCTTCTCTCTCTCCATGGTCCCCACGAGCAGACGCTGGCCGCACTAGATGACTTCCACAAGCGGCTCCGCGCCGCTGATAGCATCGTCATCGTCGGAGGCGGCGCCTCTGGCGTCGAGACGGCAGGTCAGCTCGCAGCGTGCTTTAACGGCACGATTTCTAAGCCCATCCTCGCCCGGCTTGGGCTATACAAAGCGGCCGACCCGCTCGCCGGCGACCCCCCTCCCAAACCCAAGACCATCACTTTAGTATCCGGGCATGACAGGCTGCTACCGAGCCTGACGCCCAAACTAGGTCGCAAGGCGGAGAAGAAGCTGCAGCACAACCACGTACACATCCTCCACAACCTCCGGCTGATCGCAGCGACGGAGGCGGCGGATGCAGGGCAGACGGCGTGCCACCTAAACAACAACACGACCATCACAGCAGACGTGTTCGTCGCGTGCACGGGGGTCAAACCCAACACGTCGTTCCTGCCTTCGAGACTTGTCGACGCTGCAGGCTACGTCGCGACGCACCCCTCGACGCTACGCGTAGAGCAGCCAGGCGTCGGGCCCCGTGTTTACGCCATCGGCGACTGCGCTGCATACAGCAGGAACCGCACCGTCGACGTATACGACGCCATGCCGGTGCTGATGCACAACCTGCGCAACGACCTGATCGCCCATGAACTGCGCCTGCAGTACCCGCCGGCGGGCGAGGGCACCGGCTTGCAGGACCGCCTGGAGGAGCTGGTTGACAAACACTTCTCGCCCAATCCAAAGGATACGCTGCTCATGCCATGCACGAAGAGGGGTGGCGTGGGGATCTGGTCAAACTTCAGAGTTCCCAGCCCGCTTGTGTATTTGATGAAGGGGAGGAATTATAAGGTTGGCAAGGCGAAGGGTGTGGTGGAGAGGGGGGCTGATCCGTATAGTCTGGGAGAATAGGAGAACATTGCTCTGTGGACAAAGGAGGCGGTCTGCTGGAGTCTTGGTTCGATTTTGGCGTTTTGCGGTCTAGCTTCCTTGTCTACGTCCGTAGTAATGATGTAGTGTTGTCTTCCTACCCGGCGACAGGGGACCCTGAAAACGGTCATCAAAAGGTGACAGAGCCTCCCGTCCCTTCCCGGTAGAGCTATGCGCAGAGACTCGCATGTTTCTTTATATCCGGGTCATGCGATGCAATTATTCTCCGCACCCCGCGCAGTCGGCGGCGATGGTGGGTCGTCCGGTGCGAGTCATTGGACGGCGCATGTGAAGGGGGCGCGTGCGGGAACCCCAGAAAGAGCAGCGGCCTCGGCTGTCGCTCGGTTCCTCCGCTTGTGGGGGACGATAAGCCCTACACCTGTTCTCCCTCGGATGCAACACCATGTAGACTAATCACCCTGACTTGCACCCTTCTTGTAGATTTTAGATCGTCCTTAGATTTGCCTTTTTGCTCTCTCGCCGGCCCTCTCTCCTGCCTTCGTCGAAGCGCTTCTTGATTCTGTCGACACGACACCGTCTCTTTTCTTCGAACCAGACCTAGACGCGCCACTCTCAGGATGCCTTTCAACACCGCTCTTACGCGCAAGCTGGGGATCAAGGGTGCGTCCGGATTTCCGCGAACTATGTGATCGAGGCTGACAGCTAGTAGTGCCCGTGGTGCAGGGTGGAATGCAGTGGGTTGGATATGCGGAGCTGGCCAGCGCCGTTAGCAACGCTGGCGGTCTTGGACTAGTATGCACACCCTCCTCCAGCTCACAGAGAAGCAGCACAGGCTCTCTCAGTCACAAGCCGTAGCTGACGATTCGTGCGACCATCATAGTTGACCGCGCTCACGCAACCGACGCCTGAAGACCTACGCAAGGAGATCCGCCGATGCAGGACGATGACCAAGAACCCGTTCGGCGTGAACCTGACGCTGCTGCCGGCCCTGGTGCCGCCGGACTATGGCGCGTACGCCCGCGTCATCATCGAGGAGGGCATCAACATCGTCGAGACGGCGGGCAACTCGCCAGGCCCGGTGATCAAGCAGCTTAAGGCGGCGGGCGTGACCATCCTGCACAAGTGCACCACCATCCGCCATGCCCAGGCCGCCATCCGCCTCGGCGTCGACTTCCTCAGCATCGACGGCTTCGAGTGTGCCGGCCACGTCGGCGAGTCGGACATCACCAACTTCATCCTGCTCAGCCGCGCCCGCCAGTCGCTCGAGGTGCCGTTCATCGCGTCCGGTGGTTTCGCCGACGGACAGGGCCTGGCGGCGGCGTTGGCGTTGGGGGCTGAGGGTATCAACATGGGCACGCGCTTCATGTGCACCATCGAGGCGCCCATCCACAACAACATCAAGGAGGCCATCGTGCAGGCGCAGGAGACGGATACCCAGCTGGTGATGAGGAGGTGGAAGAACACCACGCGTCTGTTCAAGAACCAGGTTTCGAATGACGCCGCCAGGATCGAGAAGGAAAGCAAGGAGGGCAAGTTCGAGGAGATTGGCCCGTATGTCTCTGGCAAGCGGGGCAGGCAGGTTTTCATCAACGGTGACAAGGATTTCGGTGTAAGTTTAAGCTCACTCCGAAGCCCCTCGCGCAGACGCTAATCATGTTGCTTGCAGGTCTGGACGGCGGGCCAGGTTATTGGACTGATTCAGGACATCCCCAGCTGCGCCGAGCTGATCAGCCGCATCGAACGCGAGGCTGTAGACACACTCAGCAAGGCGGCATCGTTGTACGTGGCGGATGGCCAAGTACCAAGCGAGCCGGCTCAGGTACAAGTGCAGAGCAAGCTATAGATTCGGAGCGTGTTTTTCATGGCCAGGCCGTTCTATTATGAAACAATAGTAAGGATTCTCCCCATGTTGGTTGTTGGGCCACGTCGTGAGGTTATTGCGCCATATCAAGCGAGTTTGCCGTGTCGACCGGGTTTCGGGAAAGGGGTGTTTGCAGCGCAAGCGGCTGGAAGCCTTTGCAGGGATTGTTAGCAGAGGCGGGAGTTTGCGGCGGACTGAGATGGTACCTGCAGTAGCCGGGCTGGGGCGGGATTTTACGCACTGTGCCTGGCTCCGCCGCCGGGTAAGTTGGGCGAGCGAAGCGCCTGGGCGACACACAGCACCAACGGTGCGCTGTTGCCCTACAACCCCCCACCAACACCACATCGGAGCGGTTGCCGCTTGGTTCGCTGATGTGATTCGAGTGAGGTGAGGGCTTTTCAGAGGCATGTAATTGCGTCTCCACGTGGAGTGACTACCATGGTCACTTGAACCGCTCTGCATAACTGCAGTGCTCTTTCCTTTCTTGTCTGCCGCAACCGTTCCCTCGCTCCTTCCGCCGTTCGTCAACGACCCAGGCACCTTCCCGGACGTTGCTGTCACTCCTTGCGAATCTAGACCTTTCTTTGAAACAACATCCCGCTGCAAGCAGCGCACACACAGCGACCGGCTCTAGTTGTTCTTCCTTTTTTGCCTTCACGACCTTCAACTTCCCCGAGCGCTTCCTCACTCGCGACACATCCCACCATGCATCCAACCCGCCTTCTCCTCTCTGCTGGCATGCTGGCCTGCGCCGGCACTGCTTTGGCGCAGCTCAACTTTGAGACCGATGCCACGCTACACGACTACCCTTCTCTGGCCGACGGCCGCGGCAAGTACAACCCTCCGTGGTGCGAAGTGGGCTATGACAGCCTCGACCTCAACAGCATCACTTCCTACTGTGCCATTGACAAGTCCACGTGTGGCGCCTGCCTCAACGTCTGCGGCTCCAAGGGCTGCAAGTACCTCCTCGCTATCGACCAGTGCAGCCGCTCTGACGGCCTGCTCGACATGAGCACGGGTGCTGGCCAGGAGGTTGGCGGCGCTACTACCGGCCACCTCCAGGTGAAGGTCACCCAGGTCGATGCCTCCAAGTGCAAGCACATCTGGTACGTAGCCTCACTTCATTTCACCTCGCTGGCCTCTCGCTGACACCGGCACTAGGAATGGCCAGATGTACTTCTCCTGGGCGGCGCCCAATGGCGGCTTGGCTACCTTGAAGTCCGTGATCGATAGTGAGCCCAAGACTGCCAACCGTGTGGTCGACTACACTGCTGCTCCTATCTCTACTTCTAGCCAGTCTCCCTTGACGCTTGTATCTTCGACGTCTTCTGCTAAAGCATCTTCTATTGAATCGCCCTCCACCGAGGCACTCTCCACTGAGGTGTCCTCTACTGCGGCAAGGCCTGTCTCCGAAAACTCGGTTACTACGGAGACCAAGGCCGCCTCAGAGTCCTCTAGTTCCACTGAAACTAAGGCTTCTCGTTTGGGCGCTGCTCACGCTCAACCACAGTTCACCTCTAAGTACTCCAGTCCCACTGAAACCAAAGTTTCTTCAGTGGACTCTGCACCTGCTAAACCTGCGGTCACCTCTGAGTATTCCAGCCCTGCTGAGACCGAGTCCCCCTCGACGTATGCAATCCCTGCCAACACTGCTTCTTCGCCGTCTGTCAAGAACTCTCCATCTTCCTCTACTCCGAAGCAGTCTGAGATCGTGCCCGCCTTTACGTCGCCCACCCCCGCTACGACCGCGTCCTCGTCACCCGCAGAGGACTCTCCGTCTTATACTGTTCCGCAGCAGTCTAAGACAGTCAACCCGGACGCTGCAATGACCAGTGAGCCACGGTCAGTGCCTACTACGACTTCATTCAGTTCGTCTGCGCCTTTTAGCGACTCTTCAGTTATTGCTGCTGCTTCACTTTCTGCGCCTGGTAGCATTCCGACAAACGACGACAGCGACACTAAGACGGATCTAGGCCCGGACCCCAATGGAGCTGGTGGCCGTATAATGATTGGAAATCAGGAGTCGGGTTCACGTACCGTTACTTCGTTGGATGGTGAATCCGAAGAGTGCGTCACGATCACGTCCACAGTCCCTGGCTCTATCATTCATTATACCGTCACCATTGGACGTGGCAGCCAGAAAACTATCAACCAGTCCCCATCTTCAACTACTCAGGGTGTCTTTGCCGAAAACGCTGCCAGTGACTCAACAAGGAAAGCGACGACTCTCGTCCGCTCCACCTCAACCATTTGGTATACACAGACCACCATCTCTACTGGTTGCCTATCTGGCGGTACAGAGTGCCCTGAGTCCCTTCGTACCACGTGTACAAGCACCATGCTCAGTGCCGTGAGGACATACATGGCCGTCCCTGTATACGCTACACCTTCTCAAGGCGGCCCTGACAACATCAACGGCATGCATGCGGTTGAGCCCCCCAACGCTGAAGTGTCTGCGGGTGCCCACGCGGCCGGTGTCAAGGAGAGGAGTGAAATTTCGGCACCCGCTCCCCACGCAAAGAGGTCCGCTGCGCCGGCCCCTGCTGGAAGCCACATCTGGGAGGCTATCATGGCGCTGAGTGGCCTTATTGCTCTGGCTGTTTTAGCCCTATGAGCACAATCACAGTCTTATGAGCTGTGAATAACAAAAAAGAACGAGGGTTATGACTTCATGACAGAAAGACGCCAGATGGAAACTGGCGTTAACCTTTTTTTTTTTCTTTTTTCATGTCAATCATTGGTACATCACCTTTTCCTGCTAGTACAGGACTCAGCACAAAGACCTTTGCTTTTTTTTCTTTTTTGCTCTTCTCGATGCCGAACAGAGATCCAATGCTAGATAGCTGGCTGGTCCCTTTTCACTTCTTTCTAAGCTCAGAACATCTTTGCTTTTCCTCAGAAGACTGGCGATCGGCTGAGAATTCAAAGGCTTTATCAATTAAACGGGTACATAGATTCAAAATTTCGGCTGCCCTCTATTTCTTTTTTTTTCTGTGTGTGCACGTGGGGTAGCGAGAAGCAACAGAGCTGTTTAAGATGGTACCCGAACTGAGATCGCGCCATTCAACAATCCACACTTTGCGGCTATTTTGTCACTTGCTCCGAATGCAGTGGTGGTTGTTACGCGTGTGCGGTATTAATTCTGCTCCAACGTTCTTTCCCTTTGTTTCTCGGAAAGAATCGGGAGACGACCTAACTTCACTGGGACCGTGGGGGTTGCGAATAATAGTCTAGAGACATGTGGTACGTAAGGCTGGTATGATTGTAGTAACGCGGGACGTCATGATGATAGCGGCCACGAGAAATTACTGCTATCGCAAATGTGGTTCACGGTCAATGGTACCAGCCAGGGGACCCACCTTCCTTGACCGTTTTTGTGTCTGTTTGACCGTCGGCCTCGATTTATTTCTTTGTTCCGCTCAACAAGGTTCCTGATGATTGCGGTTGAGCTGATGGTGGAATGATGAAATGATGAATGGCGGGTAGGTTATTGATAGCTAAACGTTATACGCGGTGTATGCAGCCTTTTTAGACAGTGTTTAGCGTACCGGTGGATGGTTGTGATAACGGTATCAACAAACCCCGGTCCTCATCAGATACCTGCTTTGCTTACGCGCTGAGAAGAGAAACGAGGAGGGTCAGCACTCGGAGATCTCGGTGTCTTGGACTGTATAAACCGTTTTAGTTCTTTCTGTTGTTAGGTGCTGATCAGACTGTCTGAGTAGATGAGTCAGCTCTGTCACTTAAACTCCGTCTCTGCAGAAGCGGCCCTGAAGGTACGTTCAGGCAGTGGTTGTGAGTACGATTTGTGCACGTACGCATACCTTGCTGTTGTTTTCTCATTTCTTTCTTTTGTGAAGAAAAAAGGGTTAAGATGTTTGCCATGAAATTTCCCTTGGCGATTCTGTGCATCTCAGCTTTGAATTAGTAGGGTGTAGGAGCGTATGGTTGGTTTTGGTCATGGAGTGTTCTGTGCAAATACGCCGCTCATGATGGATAAATACAGATTCGGTGTCGGGGAGGAGAGCATGTAAATTTGCGCAATTTAAAGATTGCATTACCACTCTATCTCCCCTTCATGGAGTACGGGGTGGGCTGTAACTGGTACTGCCTCTGCTGTGAAACTCGGGCAGCGGCTTTTCCTGCGGCTGGTTTCCATTGTTCATGGTTGTAGTAAGATCAATAGCGCGAATGGGACTGTGAACACTAGGGCACTCCATGATAAGTCAATCGGTGGGAGCATATATCCTCTACAGCGGATGCGGTCATTATAATCTTTATTTCTATTGCATCTGGCAGACGCTGTTGTCCCTTTGTTGTACCTACAGGGGGCACAAACGGACCGTTCGGTCTGGCTGACCGACCACCTGCATTCCTGTCTGACTAATAGCGTGAGAGAAATCATTACAACCTTTATTCTCGGTTCGGCATGTTCTGGAGAAGAATCCACTGGGGAGTGATGCCAGCACCTAGTACTTCTGTACATCATAGCGTGCATATGATCCGATGGAACTTCAGGCACTTACCACGGTTTCTTGTAGAAAGTAGAGGACATTATCCCCGGTAGTTGGTTCAGTCCGTGTGGAGAACGGCGTTACCTTCTGCTTCATGGTTCCTTCTTTAGCATATCAGGTAATATACCCAAAAGCTTGCTGCATGTTACTAATCATCGATATTGACAATGATGGGCTATTCCTTGATTCGGGTACATTGTCCTTTCCAATGAACGCACTTTACTTCCCGACTAAGAGATGTATGACGGTACAGTTACAATCACTCAGTGCTTCTTCAAATTCTCCCCACCTTTCTTACCAACGAAATTAGCAAAGAGCCGTAGTGTGCTCGAACTTAGTAGATATACGGCAACAGTTGATACCGCGTCCGGGACTTGAATTTCAACCAATCCTCGCCGTACTACGCGCATTGTTAGTGAGAATGACAGCAGAATCAAGAACAGCGATGTTGATGAGAATTACACCACTTACCCTTCCCGAACAGTACTGATCCATGACCGGGATTGCCCTCGTGGCGAAATCCCAGAGATAAAAGATGCCAAAAAAGGCACCCATGGCCCAGCCACCGCCAGTCATGGCGAAGCCGGCGCGCCAGAGGGAGTAGCCACCGTAGTTGATGTGGCGGGCCAGGCTCCACAGGCCGCCCGTGTACGGCTTGCCCGCATTGGCGGGATCGGCTTTGAAGCGGGCGCGCTGCACTTCAGAGATCCACTCGATGGCAATGCCGACGACATAGAGAACGACACCGGCGATAGCTGAGGGGGCAAGGCTACTTTCACTGATGTCGTGGGGTGGGGCAGCGGTAGTCAGCACGGCAGAGCAGAAGGCGAGCGTGTTGATGCTGTTAACGACGGTGTTGAAGATGCCGACTGTGAGGGCTGCTCGCACGGGGAACTCCTCGCGCGAGAGGCGTGTCAGCCAATGGATCTGCTTGATGGCGGAGCCGGCAGCCATAGAGAGCAGGGCCAGCCGTGGCGCGCTCAGGTTAAGCGCGTCGATGAGGTGGACGCCGGTGCGCAACGGCGCGAGGGGTAGCGGGCGGGCGCCGAGACCGACGGCATCGAGGAGATTGGAGCCTACGCCGTGGGCGAGAATGCCATATTGGAGGAGGGGGTCTAGTGCGCGGATGCCGACAAAGAGCGCGGTGCCGCCCGGAGTAGACTTGTAGGAGCCTCGTTGGATGAGATCCAAGTCACGGTCCTTGAAGAAGGAGGTGAACCACGACATGATTGCGATCGACAACCGCGGCGAGGTTGGTGTTGGTGGAGATGCAAGCGGCAGTCCTCAATAGCGAAAGCGGGGTGGGCGTACCCTCTATTTAAAGGCCGCTGCCTGTTGCGGCAAGGCGGCAGCTGAAGTCCGAATCCTTCCCGTCATCATCCTTCATCATGCTGCCATCACCCACCGTTGTGGCATTATTCCACGAGGTGTGCAGCTCGCCAGTCTTGGCATTGACAGCAATGGGTTGTGTGTTAGTAAGTGATGCAGAGGAAAACAGATCAGGATGTCCAGTGAGACGGATCAGGTGATGGGTGTCGTTGACAGCAAGTACGGAACGCCTAATCAAACCGGGCATGCACGGCGACGAATGTCTCACGCAGGTTCGAGACCGGAAATAACGAAGTGGCAGAATGTGTCGGGAAGGTGGTACAGGAATCGACGCCAGTTCTCAGTCCGAGCGTCAAAGCACATGACCACGCGCTTCTTGCCCGGCAGAGACGACGCGTCTTTTCTCTGCCCCACCCTCTCACCCTTCGCGTCCATCTGTGTCACCACCACAACGCACGTCACCTCCAATGCCTGAGGCCTGCGCTGCACAGGTCGATGTGACGGCCATAACGCCTTTTCTTTCTCCTTTGGCATGATACCCACCTAGCACTTTAATTATCCCATTTCTTTGTTTACCATTTCCTTGGGCCTTTTTCTTTCTTGGATACCCATTGCTCTTTGCCACCTACCTCAAAATGCCTTTCCGGTTCACTTGGATATGCGATTTACTCCAGGCTATCGAGGACATCGAATGCCGTGACCCGCCCCACCTTCCCGACCGCAAGCGCACCCTCCTGCGTACCACCATTGAACGCTGGTTCCGACAGCATCGGAAGAACATTGACCAAGCCGAAACTGATGGCGCCGCCCTCCTCTCAACCTTGTTCCCACAGGCGCGTACCGATCGCGTCTACAGCATCAAGGCCCCCAGGCTGGAGAAGCTGGTGGCACGCTGTCTTAACTACAGGACAGAGAAGATAAGAGAGCTGGGCGCCTGGAAGCAGCCGGGCCGAGGAGACCTTGGCGCATGCCTGGAAAGGATCGAGAAAATCCACGATAGCGAGCCATTGCCCAGAGGCGATGCCTTGACTGTCGAGGAAGTCGATCGTGGCCTTCACGACATTGCCTCACAAGTTCGCTTCTCCAGCCCAGCAGTGCAAAAGCACGTTTCGGCAGACCTACCCCAGCAAATCCTCACCCACATCCTATTACGCATCCATTCACGAGACAAGAAGTGGTTCATCCGCTTATTCCTCAAGGACTATGGCCGTGTGGTTTTAGATGAGCAGCTTGTGCTTGGGGAATTCCATTTCTTGCTCCCGCCGCTGCTGAAGTTCCAGAACGACTTTGCCGCCGCCATGATGCTACTCAGAGGGCCGCTGGCCCGTTACCACGCCAAGCCGGACCCCTTATCCCAGAAGCTCATGCTCGAACAAGCAGCCCTGCACCTTAGACCAAAGGTTGGTGTCAAAATCGGCAGACCCACGTGGTACAAGGCCCGATCGATGCAAAATTGCCTGCAAATGGTTGGCGATGCCACTTGGGTCATCGAGCGAAAGTATGATGGAGAGTTTTGCGAGATCCACGTCGACCTGACCAAGAAAGATCGCATCCAGATCTTTTCCAAAAATGGCAAAGATGCCACTAGGGACCGGAAAGACCTCCTTCCCGCAATCAAAGAAAGCCTGAGAATAGACACTGCCGACTGCCGGTTTGATTCTAAATGCATCCTCCTGGGCGAAATGGTTGTGTTCAACCAAGTCGAAAACAAAGTCATGGATTTTGACAAGATCAGAAAGCATGTCTCAAGGTCGGGCTCTTTTCTTGGGACCGACAAGGACTCCCAGCCGCATCCATACGAGAACCTCATGATTTTCTACTTTGACATACTTCTCGTGGATGACGAGATAACAATGACTTTGCCGCACTCAAGGAGACGAAAACGGCTTTCTGAAATCATCACTAAGATTGATGGCAGAGCAAAGACGGTGGAGTGGAAACCTCTGGACTTCTCGGAGCCTGCAGCTAGGAAAAGCATGTTTCATCAATTCTGCGCCGCTTTGCTTGACCGGTGCGAAGGTCTAATCTTGAAGCCGAATGGTCCCTTCTTTCCGCTTGCCAGGGACGAGACCGGTAGTTGGTGCAGGGGTTTCATCAAGCTCAAGAAGGACTACATGACTGATATGGGTGGCTCCAAAGACCAAGCAGACTTTGCGATTGTAGCAGCCAGCTATGATGTGCACGAAGCACAGAAGTGTCGACAGCGCAACCTGAAGTGGACAAATTTTTACCTGGGATGTCTAGTTGATGACGATTGTTCGTACCAGGCAAGACCCAGATTCAGGATCGTGGCAATCATCAAAGCAACGCACTGCATCCCTGCAAAGGAGCTTGACTATCTCAACCAGGTTGGTCAATTTCACTGCAGGGACTTCGATAATGATGAAGCGATCGAGCACTTTGCCATTCAGTTCGGCAAAAATCCCCTTCCGTCCGTTGTATTCACGGAGCCACTGGTCGTCGAGGTCCTTGGAAGTGGTTTTGAGAAACCGCCGAACGAAGGCTTCCACATGCTACGGCATCCGCGCATTCTCAAGACCCACACGGACCGTTCATGGGAAGATTGTGTCACTATGCAAGGGCTTGCCCAAATGGCTCGTGAAGCAAGAGAGGCCCCTTCGGACGGCGAGTCGAAAGATATCAGACAAAAGGTTCAATATTGTATGGCAAAGATAAGCAGATCGCGTGAGCGGAATAGTCTCAACTCGAGGCAGACAGCCACAACACCTCGGTCAGGGGGCTCTTATACCACCCCACTAGCGACCCTCAAAAGCGTTGGTCGTACTTACAGCCCTAGCACTCCAAGCCTTGCAACAGTCTTCAAGCAGTCACAGGGACTGCAACCTTCTGCGTCAAGCACGGCATCTGTGAACAAGCACATCGTCCGGCAGCCACTACCCTCCATATCGCCACCAAGGAGAAGACTTACTGCCCCAGATAAGGTTTCCACTGAAGTGCCAAGCCTAGGATCCAGGACGAGGCCGCGAACATGTGCGGACATCAGCAAATCTCCGTCTCAAGATAGCGAAAACACTCTGCGTCCGAGACAGCTGCAACCACATCTGCTCAGACCCCCTATCGAGGAGTCACCTGCGAGGGTCTTGACGGAGAGATCTGATTGCAATAAAGATATTATTGTAGATGAAGATATACCTGAACAAATGTCATTCTACGAAGAGCGAGAAGCAAGGAGCTTACATCAACAGACCAGTGGATTGAGGAAGCAACGCATGAAGGAGAATATCTTCGACGGACACAAACCCTCACAAGAAGATACACAGCCGCACGAATATCCTCACAGTGTTCATTCCAGCTCCGTCTTTGCACGTCCTCGCAGTACAGCCTTTCTGAAGGGTGCAATGACCAAGATATCTCCACAGCAGCGGAAAGATGCCGAAGACATTATTGCAAGACAACGCGCCCTGAGGATGACTTTTTCCACTGAGAGTACCACCGAGCCTGAAGAATTCCTTTCGCGGTCGCGCTCTGCCGATGCTTCAGCATTCAGGCTTCCGCCAAACCCTATGCCAACACCCCCGAAGTCCTCGCCAAATGAGCCGATGCATGAAGAAAAGGCCCTGGCTATAGCCTCATCACGACTGCCTGCAAGTCCACCATCTTCGTCGCCCTTGCATACTCCGACTGTAATTACACGCAGCAAAGAAAACATCCCACTACAACCCAAAGCAAGAGCGATCGACAAAGAGGCCACGAAAGGCTCACACGTTCTCACAGCAAGTCCTGGGAGAGCACTGAAACGCCCCGCCACCGGCTCCGTCGATGACTTCGCCATCGACGCCATCCCGCGCAAGATTCCCAAGTGGTTCTCCGCTGTCTACGGCCGCCCACACCTGCCCACACTAATTTCGACCAACAAAGAAAACAACGGCAGCAGCGACAGCGGCACCATTACGACTCCTATCTCCGCCAACCATTACCAGTCTTCCGCCTCCGGCTGTACTTCCGCCCTCACGACAATCACCGTACAACCTCCCGCCCCCTCCACACTCCTCCCCATACCCTACAACCTCACCCAAACCGTGATCTACCTCGCGCCCTCTCTCCGACTGCCGGGACATCCGCTCCACCAAACCCTGACAACGTACTTCGCCCCCCACGCCCCCCTCGTCATTGACGATATCGAGCACTGGCGCCGCGGCGATGTCGATGACGACGGTGTGCCGAAGCGGTATGATACTCAGGGCAGCACGGTCGGCGAGAGTCAGGCGTATGCGGGGTATGACAAGGTCGTTCTGGTCGAACCAGCGAGGGGAAAGGAGTGCGCCGAGACCAAGAGGATGGTGGAAGGGGTTATTGGCGCCTCGGGTGGAACTGAGGTGGTGGGGATGTTTGATTGGAGGGTTTTGGAGGACCTGGCGGTGGGCGTCGAAGGGGAGAAAGGAGATTGCGGTAGCGGAAAGCGGGACGATGAGTGGGAGAGGGAGGTTTGGAGGGAGAGATTTGTCGGGGTTTGTGGGGTTGAGGTGAGCGAGGATTAGGACTCGAGGTGAGGGTAGACTTAACTCTATTTCGGTTGCATACTTACCTCTTCACATACATACCTCTTCACGAAGTAGAATTATTGACATATCCTTCTTAATTGAGCAAGAGGGTCACGGACTTCTATATTGAATTTGCGGTAATCAAAAGCTGTGTGCCATTCATTCTCGATCGTTCTCGTCGGCAGACTTTGGGGGAATCCCTTTCCTAACTAGTGGGCTACCATGAAATCTGGTACCAAGGTATATCTCATCTCCCAAACACGAAACTCCTCGCAAAATGCAGAATATTCAATCGATCAATCCTCCAATTCTTTAACACCACCAATATTTGAAAGAATGGAAGAAAGGAAGAAAAATGAAAGGGGGTGTATGATAAAAAAGATGTGGACGTCTAATCAAAGTCCTACCAAAATGCCAATGCAGGAAATAAAAAATAAAAAAGCGAAGTACATACTTCACGCTCACGCCTTCGGCTTCTTCCTAACCAAGTTGCTGCTCAAGACATTCACCGGCTCAGCAACCGTAGCAGCTGCTTCCGCCGGCCCGACATTTTCAACAGCGGGAGAGGCAATACCATCACCATCCGTTTTCGGCTTCTTCCTGACTAGCCCCGCAGACAGCACATTGACACCACCCGCCGCCGCCGCGGCGGCCTTATCATCCGGCGACGGTTGCTGCTGTTGCTGCTGCTGCACTGCGTCCGCATCGGTCCCCCCGCCTTTCCGTTTCTTCCGCACCATCGACGTGTTCAGCGTGTTTATCGTCTGCGCCCCATTATTGCCAACACCGCTTCCGTGCTCCGCGGCACCCGCAGAGATTGCAGCAACGGCAGCAGCGTTCCGCCCCACGACGACCACGCCCCATCCCGTGGTTCCTCCTCTCGAGCCTAGTACAGCCACCTCCTCGATCCACCGGCGAGTGCTGACCGTCGCGATGACGCGCTCGGCAAAGTTGTGGTGGAGCAGGAGGTCGGTCGCACGTTTGTAGTCCTTCTCATCAACGACGAGCGTGCCACGTGAGTGCGCAGGCCAGACATAGTAGCGCGATGATTCAGGCACGGAGGATGAGGAAGGCGTGGCGGTAGAAGAAGCAGATGTCGCGGCCGTGTTGTCAGGGTTGGAGGTCTGGGAAGAACTAGATTTAATGCGGGGGAGGCGGGGGATGATGGGGCCGGTGAGCTTGCTGGAGCGGCGGCGAGGCGTGTGGGAGGAGTTTCGGGAGGAGGACTTCTTGTCCTTCTTTGGAGGAGTGGTCGGAGGCTGAGAGAGCATCTCGGCGAGGGAGTTTGTAATGGCCTGCGGCTGGCCGGACGGGCCCGACGCTACGGCATCAGCGTCGTCTGAAGCATCGGACGTGGTATCGACATCCGTGGGGGTGAATACGACCCAGATGAAGCCGACCAGACGCCCGGACGAGCACTCCTGCCGGAACGACATCATCTCCCAAAACTGTTCCAAGCTTCGTACGCTCCGCCACTGGCCGGTCCCACGGCTGGGGCTCGTGACGGAGGCGTTGCCCCCATCGGGCAGCTCGTCGTCCAGCTCGTCCATGTAGCGCGACTTGGGGTCGTCAGGGAAGTGCGGGATCAGGCAGCGCGGCGGCGCAGAGGGATGCCGTGAGATATCGAGCAGCGGGTGGCCGTGCTTCCAGCGCTTCTGCTCAGGCGGATCGGTGCGTACGCTGGGCGGAAAGAAGCGCAAGGTATCATTACGCTCGAAGCCAGGGATTATCAAGTGTCCTTGGGCGGTAGTCTGTGCGACTGGGTCTGAGTGAGGCTTGCCGGACGCCTCGGGTGTGTAGGCGCGGAGCACTGGGTCCAGCACTTTACACCACCATTTTACCAGCGCTGTGTCGTCGGCGACATGTTTGTTCGTGTTCTCGATGCTCCCGGGGAAGAGATACTGATCCTGGGCGCGTGCGAAGAGCGAGACAACAAGGCGCGTGGCCGGCCGCTGACGATGCTTGACGAGCCAAGACACAAAGGTAGTGGAGATGGCGCGGATCGGCGAGGAGGTTGTGCGCGGAAGCTTAAGCAGCGATAGGTAGCCGGTGGAGTCTGCTTTGGACACGAAGATGGTTGTCAGATGCGATGTTGTATAGATTAACACTTCGATAGCAAAAACCAAGACCTCGCCGGCTGCCTTATGGTCCCTCTGCTGCTGCTCGTCATCTGGCGTGATTGACACGTTCAAGAAGTGAGACTCGCAGTAGGTGCGTTCAGAACGCGCGCCTGGCGGCGCTGAGAAGATGGCGCCGCATTTGGTTGGCGGTGTTGAAATATGATAATAAGTGAATTTGGCGCCCTGCGGCAGTGCCTCGGCCAGAAGGTCGCCCAGCGAAGCACTGCTGAGGTCCGCCATGTTGGGGTGAAAGTGGAGGAGAAAAAGAAAAAGCGAAGGGAGAGCTCCGGGAGCTGGGGTTGGAGCTGGGGGCTTTTGGCGCCGCCCAGGGTTCATGACATCGGCGAAAAACGATCGCCGAACTTTTTGACCTACAGTGCACGACGCCCGCCCGGCCTCACGCGCTCCACCCCGTCGCGGCTGCTCACCACCGGCCCTGCTGTTGCGCCTACCGTCCCAATGGCCTCGCAAACCCCTCTCAGGCCTCTGCTTGGCGCCGCCAGGTCGGCTGTCCGCCGCTCCGCCCGCTCGCCGCAGCCGTCCGCCCAAGCTGTCGCAGCATCGTCGTCCACCACCGCCATCGCACCCGTCCGTCACTATGCCGCTCCTGCGCGGCTCCATGACCCCATGCCTGCACCGGACCTGGTCGATGTACCCCGATGGAAGCAGACGCCCCGCGCAATGACGGCGCCCGTTAGACTACGTCCCATCAAGCCGGGCAACGAATGGAAGGTCAATGAGGATCCGCGCAAGCTCGACGATGCCTACACGCGTATGCTGGGCGGGCATGGGGACACGTTCTTGTCCGAGGAGATCAAGTGGCTGGCGGTGACGCACAAGAGTTTCGATCACGGAAGGCGAGGTTTCAACGACCGGCTGGCCTATCTGGGTATGCGGAGAACCCCGCGCAATGACGATCAATTGGTTAATGAGTGGTGTAGGAAAGCGTATCGTTGAGCTCCAAACATCCCTGGCACTGTTGAACATGCCTAGAGGCCCTGTAGGCGGACGCCAGGCGGATCCGTACGGCCGCGAGCCGTTTCAGCATAATTTGCTGAACGGATTTCAAAATCTTTCTTCGAGATCGAAAGACGAGTTCCTGTCCAAGACCAGGCTGGCCGGTCTGGCTAGAGAATACGGCTTCGAGTCTGTCATGCGGTGGAGACCGAAGAAGGTGAGCGCAGCGCAACTGCTCTGTGGACGTACAAATGACATCGGGACCGGCTGACTTATTTTGGATGAATCTAGGCGGACAACCTTCAAGGCTCCGGTATAGATGTCGTTCTTGCGCAGACTCTGTACGCCATCATCGGTGCGCTGGCGATGCAGAAGGGCGGTGAGGTTGCAAACAGGACAGTTAAGGACAGGATACTGATCCCTCTTGGCATCTCCAAGCGCTGAGATGTGCGGCGTTGTACCATAGAAAATGTACATTTAGTCACGGGAAAGTATGGGTTGGTTGGAAGAAAATGGAGTCATGAGCGCATCCTTGGTACTGCTTTAGAAGTATATGCAGACATTCGATTGGTTCGGCGATTACGTCTTCTGTCTTGAAGCCAAAGAAATCACTCCAATCAAGCAGGCTGCGATCTAGAATCCAGGCAGTGTCACTCCGCTGGTGCCGCAACGATACTTGGACTAGAATCCCCCTTTACTACTGAACACCGTTATGTTTAAAGTTGGCGCGAATACATTGATATAGGACGATGACCGCGTGTCGCTGGGGGTCAATGCGCATCCTTCAACACCAAGTGCAATGCTCGGCTATGCTTCAGATTTACTACTCCATCCACCGCGGTGGAGCGATCCTGAGTGGAGCTGCAATAAAATCCCCGCTCCTACCGATCACTTCCGGGCGTAGCCAAAGCTTAGCATTTCCCGGTTTCTGGGCTAGCAAGTTCGAGATTGATAGTATGATGCAAAGTGGGAATTGGAATGGTCCCGAGCGCAATTCGAGAAGCTCAGTCCAAAACGTGCTCGTCGGCGGAGTAGCCGATGGATTCCCTGTCTCCGATAGTTTCTAGAAGTCCAAATTGCTTGATTCTGAGCCCCGCACGGCATTGTCCAATGCCCTCATGAGTTCGACCCTGGAACATGTTTCAACGTGCCAGCATCGTTTCAACTTCGGTCCAATGGGATCAGCGCATCACGATGCCCGTACGTTTGACCTCAAGCCCAGCGGAGAATGACTCGATCAAGACTCACGACATCAACAGCGCACGCCACGCAAAGACGCCGGGCGCCGCATCATTTTCCGGTCTGCCGATCGCATTTGGTGGCTGCCCCTTGGCATTGCCATAGAGGTGTCTTGGTGGTGAATCAGACTAGCGATCGTTTACCATAACCCACCATGTAAGGCCCTTCGCTAAGACGAGGTCCCCTCTCATCAAACAAGGCAAGGGAAATACGGGAAGCCTCTATATTGCGATTCAGGGTGCCGTGTGCCAGCCCACCACCGGCAATTTGCAGGGCACTTTTTTTTTCTCGGTGAGCGAAGGGTCCGAACAACTCAACAGACATTGGCCGTCCCGTGGGAGGTTCAATGACCCTGGATCCGGAGTGCTATCTCGTTTACTCCTAATAGATATTCAGCGCTAGCCTCAGGCTGCCACGCCAGACGCCACCTGCAGCCACCCGAGATTCGCACCACGTACTCGTCTTGTTGAGATAGGAGAAGTCGTCTAGCCACGGCAACACGGAAAATGTAGTAGTAGCCAACCTTCCTCCTTGCACTGATAAGCGGCGTGTCCAGTCAAGCACAAAAACGGTTATCGGAGAGTAACCAGGGCCCCGGGACCGACTTGGCGCGGCCGGGGGGCGAGCACGCAAGCAAGGAGCATGATGAGCCACGATAGGGTGGCTGCCTATTTCAACTTGACATGCAGCAGAGGAGCCCGCATGGGCGCGAAGCCAGGGGACGGGCGGGCGAGGAGGACCAGAATAAGCAGCCGGTACACCACCGCCCACGCGCCGGATGTAGGTTTCAAATGAGCTTGTCCGCTGAGTCTGATCATCCTGCTCGCATGCAAACGCCCTCGGCGGCCCAATGCGTGCCGGTGGTGGTGCGCAATCTCTCGTCATCAACCTGCGGCATTGTGTCTGGCGCGGATCCGGTCCAATGGCAGCATTCTTGGGAGAGCAGTATCACACGTCGCCGACGGGCCGTCGCTGTGAGGTGAGTAACACGAGGAGGGCCCCGCCGGCCCTGTCTCAGACCTTCCGCTGTGGGCAGGAATTTGACTCGTCCGGGCTGGGAGCACACAAATGGAGGCGATCTGCGCGGGAAGGCGCAAGAAGCTTCGATGGGCGGGCCGGGCAGTCAGCATACTTACGATAGCAATTGCCTGTTGTGCAGGCCATTTTTAGCCGGCCAGCCGTTGCTAAAGTCTGACAGCAACCTGACGCGGCTCTAGTGGCGGCGAGCTTTGGGGCCGCCCAGCTCAACTCCCGTGGATGCCATTTCAGCTGCCCAGCGCTCCGTACCAGCCGCAGCGCGGCGGAGCATGATGGCGGCGGCGGCGGCGGACGCGTCCATGCGCAGCGCAAAGCTTGACCGCTTCCCACAACGCATGCTGGCCGTCGACGATCTCTTCCCCTCGCGAGCAGCGCGGCGCTCCTTGCAGCATGTGTCGGTGGCAGGCCGCCGGGCAACACAAAATTGCAGCGGGCCCGCCAGCCGAAACGGCGGCCAGGGGCGGACCGAGTGAAAAGGGACGGCGGGAGGAGCGCAGCCGGGCTGGGACCGGTGCGACCAATGGCGCAGGGCGCGACGTTTATCCAAATCTCAGCGCAGCCGTAGCGAGCGACAGCGAAGCGGTGGACATGAGGGGCGGGAAACATGGGGATTGGACACCGTTGCGGGCCCTCCTGACGATCGTGGTCTGGCGACTGATAGCAACGCAGGATCGGCGCGGGAGGCGGCCCTGCGTCGCGTTGCCTCAGGTAGACGGCCGCCGAGGGAGAGAGCAGTGGTGCCGCGGCGTCTGTAAGGCACATCGTGCAGCGCCCCCGGATGACGCGTTTGGCACAGCTGGTGCAGCCGACCCGCGGGCGCGATGCCGGCCAATGGCGGGCGGCAGTCCGGCGGTCGAAACGCGCCGCGTTAGACCTGCCCTGTGCTGCTGGGATCCAGGGCTTTTGGGCGCCTTGATACAGCGAGGGCGCTCGGCCCTGGTGCCCCCCAAGCAGCGCCAGCGTTGCTCCTCGAACGCCGCCGCTGAAGAAAAACCGCCAACGCCCCCGAACCGAATCCCTGCGCGCAAGCCTCTCCAACACCTGTCCCTTCGCTGCACAGGTTCGACTGCGGTCCGCCCAGCCCTCCGCCAGACTCCGCGCTGCCCCGATATGCTGGCCTAGAGGACCTCCGCGCTGACCGACCCCCGACCTGTCTGATATCGCGCCGACCGCCGGCTGCGTACGCTCTCTTCTCACGCAACTACGAGATCCTAATCTGCATATTTTCACCTGCCCAGCATGCTAGTCTCGGCCGTGGGACCGCGCAAGCTGGTCCTTGTGGTCTTCATTGCCGTCTGCTTGCTCTTCTTGTCCCTCCGCAGCTCCTTCGCCTCCAACTACCTCGACGACCGCATCGTGCCGATCGAGAACACCGTCTCGAACGAGAAGTACGCCGCGGAGCCGCCACAGGAGCATCTCACCTCCGGAGACTCGTCGCCGGCGCAGGACGCGGCGGCAGACACCGACGGGGAATGGCACCAGCACTACTCGTTCCCCTCTTCGGCAGTAAGTTCCAACCCTATTTCGACTGCCCGCCGCCAGCGCTGACAGCTCCGCAGGCTCTCAAGGAGAAGACCTCGACTTCGCTCATCCCCGCAACCGCCACCGGTGCCGCTGAGCCTGCCTCGACTCCGGCTTCCAAGTCCGGCAGCAGCTGGCACGTTTTCCACGATGTCATCAAGACGAGCAAGGAATCGGCCATCACGCAGACCAAGAAGCTGTCGCCCGTCTCGAACATGCGCCAGTACTTGAACAAGATGCTCGTCTGGAGCCGCCCCGACCCCGACCCCTCGCATTGGCCGGCCTACCAGGACTACATTACCCGTGACTACGACCCCAACAGATGGGAGGCCTTCCCTGCGTAAGTACTCCGCCCCGATCTGGGATGAATCCAAGATAATGACAGACAAAAAGTGAGCGTGGCTACTACACACAGGGCGTCAAGTCTCTCAAGAAGGCCACAGAGCCGAAGCCCTACCTTCCGTACCCGGAGTACAACAGCCCCGATTGGAAGAAGCAGTGGAATGGCGAATATGTGGCGTGCGAGGGCCCACGTGGCAAGCCGCTCAACGAGAGTTACTTGGATTTGGTCAAAGCTTACCCAGAGGTCTCGAGCCACTTCCCGAAACCCTCTACCGGCACGATTGAGGGCTTGGGCCTGGATGCGAACATCTGCTTTGATCGCTATGGCCGCTACGGCGCTTATGGATTCGGCGCCGACGAGTACGATCTGCCCGACTGGGAGCCTGTTCAGGAACAGCAGGTCATCTGGCGCAAGGTCAACTGGGGAAAACTGCAGAACCAGTGCGTTGAGCGCAACCACCAGCGCTACGCCCCTCACGCTCGCACCAAGGAGACCAATCTGCAGCCTGGTCTCCAGATCCCGGAAGTGGACGTCGACACGCTGAGCAACTCGGCGTACAGCACCGAACTCACTTCTCGTGAGATGCAGGCAGGAGGAGAGGTGACACAGAAGTACCATTCGCGCACTGCCATCCTGATTCGGACTTGGGAAGGTTACACCTACACCGACAATGATCTCCAGGCCATTCGTGCCATGATCCAGGAGACTTCCCTCTTCTCCGGCGGTGAATTCCAGGTGTTCCTCTTCGTGAACGTCAAGGACCGCACCGTTCCCATCTTCGACGACCCGCAGGCTTACGATGACATGCTCAAGAAGGTCGTTCCCACCGAACTCCGTAGCATCTCTATCCTTTGGAACGAGGACATTTGCCAGAGAGCCTATCCCGAGGTTACTGATTGGCAGGTGTACTGGCACCAGTTCATGCCCGTCCAGTGGTTCAGCAAGACACACCCAGAGTTCGACTACGTCTGGAACTGGGAAACTGATGCTCGTTACACGGGCCAGCACTACCATTTCCTCTCGAAGATTCAGGACTTCGCCAGGAACTCGCCCCGGAAGTACCTCTGGGAGCGTAACAAGCGCTACTACATCCCCGGTCTTCACGGCGATTACGAGACCTACTTCAATGACACCAACCAGGTTGTCGAGGAGTCTTGGAGCTCAGGTTCTATTCCTAGCCCTGTCTGGGGCCCGCAGCCCTACTCTCCGGTGCAAACTCCGGTGGGACCGATGCCGCCGCACGAGATGACTGCCGACAACTACGAATGGGGTGTTGGTGAGGAGGCAGACCTCATCACTCTTCTGCCCATGTTCGACCCTGTCCGCACTTTCTGGTCCTACCGCGACAAGATTTGGAACTACATTCCGGGCCTCCACCCTGATTTCAGCGTTGACCCGTACGACAACGCCTACACGGACCCCCGTTTCGTCACCATTCCTCGCCGTATTTTCATCAACACGGTCGCACGTTTCAGCAAGCGCATGCTGCACACGATGCACATTGAGAACAAGGTTGGTCGCTGCATGCAGGCTGAAATGTGGCCCGCGACTGTCGCACTTCAGCACGGTCTCAAGGCTGTCTATGCGCCTCAGCCCATTTGGTTCGACCGCGTTTGGCCGCCGCACTACATCGATGCCATCTTCAACGCCAATCTGGACGGTGATTTCAACCCGATCGGTTGGTCTGAGGGCCCCGACTCTCCCTACAACGGCGACCGCGAACACAACTACTACGGTTGGTCATGGTACTTCAGCTCGCGCTTCCCCAAGGACATCTACAGGAGATGGTTGGGCTGGAAGGTCAAGATTCACGAGTGGGGCGAGCCCGAAAAGATTGTCGGCGGCCAAGAGGAAGAGCACGGCCAGGGCGGCGAGCGCGTCAAGGTCGGTGGCAGCGACAACAGAGACTCGGAAAAGCCGATGGTAGGCGGACGCATGTGTCTGCCTGGCATGCTGCTGCATCCCGTCAAGAGGATCCAGCAGGGTGAGATCTGAGAGACATGATTTTCGATGTTCAACGTATCGTTTGCGCGGATGCTTGTGGCGGAAGCAGCAATGTGTTGGATGCATTACGACGCCTCGCACGCTAAGGCCGTCTTTCGGATTCTTTACAGCCAACCATCCTTATGAGGCATTCAATTTCCGACACCCCGATCTTCGGAGGCAACAATGTCACCCGACACTTTGCCTGCTTCTCCTCTCGGCCTGATTTGCGAATAGCGCGCCAAAATCCGCGGACTTTTTTTTTCTTGTTCTCTGTACACATCCTCATGGTACGGCTCGGCATCGATCACTCATCTCGGCGTTCCATGGCGTAATGATCCTTTTTTATTTTTTTTTAACTCCCCTCACTTATTCCACGTCGCATTCCACCATTCGAAGCCGAGTACCAGCAGCATGGACTACCCACAGGCCAAGTGTCTTCAGTTGAGAAGATTCCTTGGTTTTTTCAGACTATTAGTAGATTTTGTATAAGGGAAGGAGAGGTAAGGGGATGGAATATTGCCTTTATTTTCGCATGATGGGTTAAAGGTCTTTGCTGTGTGTCTTTGGTTACTTCGAGCTGGGTTGGATTTGCTTTCTTTTTTCTTCCTTTCTTCCTTGTGCATGGCAATGAGAATAGCTGGGGAGAGGAGCAAAAAAGAACCAAGGACGTCCGATAGCGGATGAGTTGGTCGTGGTGTTGGTAGTAAGCGAGGAAACAAATGGGAGAAACGGTAGCATGAGCGAGTTATATCAGCGCAGCTTTGAAGCAAGCGAAAGATTGTTTTTTTCTGAAGGAATCTATTTACTTGTGATCATTTCCTTGTGACTGGTCGCGGGCGAAGAAATAAATGACAACTACATTTCACAATCCTTTCCCTTTAAGAGCTTGCGCTCTAGAACAACTATGTGTCAATCTTTACTATATGATCTTGCTGCTATGTATCCAGTCCGTTTATTCGCTAAGACTTCTGTTGTATGGGACCAGGGTTAGAAGCTATTCAGACTATATAGAATGAGATTGTGCCGTATCGTATTCTTTCTTGTAGTCTCTGTTCTTTAATCCGTGGTTTAAACTTTTCGAAATCCTCTGCTCAACAGGGTACTGGATGATTTAGAGAAACCATGATCCGTGGGAAGAAGGGACGCAGGGTCCCTCTGGTGTGGTTGTGACTTCGGGACAAGGTTTTGGGTCCCCTTCTCCGTCATTTACCGGGTCAGGGTCAGGGTCCACGTTCGATGAACTCTGGTTCTTCTTCTTTGGTTGTGGCCCATATCTTTCTGCCTGGTTCGGTTCGGTCCGTTCTCTACTTAGAAATGGATAAAACAGGGATCTCTTTTTCTGAAAAAAAAAAAAAGGAAACAAAAGGCGAAGCATTCATTGCAATGTTTTTTTTTCTATGGCAGTTTGAGCGTGTACGACTAGTGTTTAAATTAACTGTTACTACTATTCTCTATGTTCCGCCAGTGACAAAGTCTATCACCTTCGGCATTCGCGCAGCGCGTAATGGTGTGGCGATCATCACCTCAGTGAACACATGCGCGAGAAATGATAACTACGTCATTCCGGGGGCCGAGTGGTCCATAATTGTAAGCGAGGTGCGACAATGGAAGAATTCGAAGCCATGGTAATGATTATAGTTCCGACTCAAGCAAGGACCACGCCGGCAGTTGTTGGAATTTGATTGGCGGCTTATTCATGGGAAGCATCGGAACACGGGCAGTGAGAAAAGGAAGGTGTTTCAGAAAAACTGGGGAACCATTGGGATTTGCGAAGGATGATCGTCGGTCGAAGCTCGTGTTGATGCTTTATGCTTGAAGCGCCCGGGTAAATTGCAGTGCGTCATACCACCGCTGATCACTGTACGGGACATGTGGCTAGTCTATTTGCTGCAGCGAGCTTCTTTTCACCAAGAACCTTTTCCTTGTCATGTTATTTGCAAAAGGAAAGTGACAACGTATTCGGGCTCCCCTCATTTGGAAGGCCGCTTACTTCCGCATACTACTTTGATATCGGAGTCGGCGGAGAAAGATAGGAAAGACCGAATTCGCCAAGGCACTTAGATCCTATTGCCAACCTGGCCAAATGCACGACGGGTTGCAGAAGCCTTGAGCCCTCTTATGGATTGTTCAAAACGCCACATATTTCCCGCATGGATGGTTAAAGTAAACTTCCGGAGGTCAATGTGAGTTTATTCAAAGACCCATGTAATCAGAGTGTTTGCGATGTTTTTGCTTCCGCCTTTTGTTTCGAACACAAAATGCAGTATCTCCGGTGATGCCGGCTTGGAAGGCCGGATTTCTTTTGTAAGCCGCTATGGGTCAACCATGGAGCTCGTAAGCGCAACCTTGATGCTCTACATGCTTTTCCCAGTGCGGAAAGGAGATTAGTAAGGTTTGTACCTGTCCTTGCCCTTGTCCTTGTCTTTCTTCTTATGCTTGTCCTTATGCTTCTTTTCCTTGGCGGATTTTTTCTCCTCTACCTCTTCTTCTTCAGCTTCGGCCTGCTCGCCACCGAAGCCTTCGGCGCGCCAGGAGCGGACTTTTCCATCTTCGCCGCATGTGTATATCGTGGATGACTATTCCATTGTTAATGGCATACATTGCGATCGAGACTACGGTGCTTACCTGAGAATCGATGAAGACGTCGCGGACGATCTCCTCTCCATGGGCACCCGGAAGGCGGAGGCAATCTTCCAGAGAGCAGGAGTAGTCAAGCGGCTTCCCGGATGGGGGGTTGTGGAGAGGGAGGAGATCCAGTCGTTGCTCGCTGTATGAAGTTAGACACTTGGTCATTTTGCTCATAGAAGAGTACATACCTGTGATTGCCAGCAACAACGACGTTCGATCCGGCGCTGCGATAGACGTTGACGACGTACTCGCAAGTCAACTTCTCCCTCACATCGCCAATCTTGACTGGCGTTAGCTCTGGGCTCGGGTCGTCGGAATCCTGGTACTGGTAGAAAGCCAATGTCTCGTCAGTGCCGAAGACGTAGACATCGGTAGGCGAGGCGAAGCCGGCGTGGTGCACGGCAGACCGGTGGTTGATGACCTGGCGTAAGGCGTCGTCCTCGTCGTTCTGCGTCAGGTCGAAGATGCTGACCAGGCCGTCGGTGCTGGCCGAAAGGAGGGTGGACGGGTTCGTTGGATGCAGCGAGAGCTCGGTGATGGTATCGGTGTGGCTCTCGGGCAGAGTGAGACGCGGAGCGGAGGCGTTGCGTGCGTCCCAGGCATAGATGAAGGAGTCGCCCGGCCCGCGGTCCTCGAGCTCAGTACCGGCAATGATGGCGTGGTGGGCAGAGCTTACTTCGAGGGCGGACAGACCTTGTGGTTTTGCTGCGGGGATGTACGTTAGTATTGAAATTGCGCAATATCTCTTCTCATACTTACGGACGCGAAACTCCATAACAGCTTTCTTGGTGCGGCGGTCCCAGCATTTGACCAGGCCATCTCGGCCAGCGGTGGCCAGGACATTTCCATCCTCACTGTACGTCTCCAGGCAGGTGACACTCGAGTGGGCACTGCCTATAACTCCACCAGGGAGTAGTTGTAGGGTCTTGGGGTCAAATGTGCGTATCGAGTTATCGGATGACAAGGCTGTGAGAAACGAGTTTGTTTGCCTCAGAGAGTATATGTATGAGTCTTTTGGGAGCGACAGGTCACTTTCGGCGACCAGCTTTGCGGTCCTCATCTTGGCACGCAGTCGGTAGGATGTGGTTGAATTAAGGTAGATGACGGAGCTTGGAAAATTTTTCAGCTTCGGAGGGCGTTACACTCTGCACGCTTCTGTTGTTCACCAACGACCATACAGCGAGCAAGGCAGGCAGGAACAGTTCATGGGCCACGACATCTAGCATGTATATACACGGCTGATTAGTGAAGCTGCTGAGCTGCTGCTCATCCGTGCCCCGCGCCCCAGACATGCACATGGCCTCTCCCGCCACCGACCCGCGCACCAACAGGACAGGCCGTCCTCCGTGCTAGCGAAGCAGACAGCCTCTCCACCGGCGAACAGATATTTGCCCTCTCAGCGTACATGTCACCCTGATATGAAACGCACTTAACCATTGGATGGATTATAATGCGCGATTAACGACGGGTTGTCCCTCTAGGGACACTCGCAATGGCCGCACATGACTGGCATGACGCCCGTCGCGGCGACCGACTGCCTGGCTTCACTCTCCCGAAGGCGTCCAGAGGCGGTGTTGAGGTCCCATGGCGAGGAGAGAGGCAGCGGCCGCGCGCTCAGCTTTTTGTACTGGCGGCACGTGCGAAGCGAGAAGCGACCCGTTGCCGCCGTTTTCCCGGCTCTCATCAGCGGCCCTGTGATTGGCCGCTCATCCTCGGCTGAACGCTCATGGCCGCCCGGTCTTGGCCGCTCGTCCAGCAGCCATCCCATCATTGTTGCTGCACGACTTCGCTGCTCCTGCTAAGCCGAACCCATCGCGAGCATCGCAAGCCGCCGCATCTCTCCGCTCCACCACTGCGCTCCCGTCTCCTGTCCGCCACCATGCTTGCTCAGCGTGCCTTCCAGGCGTCCTTGCGCCGCGCTGCCGGTCCCCGCGCCATCGCTGCACCCGCCGGGATCCTGATGCAGTCGAGGTACCACCACCCGTGCCCGTAACCATCGCCAATGCCTCTGTGCTTGTTGCCCACTTCCTCATGGCCGCTCAGACCTTCTTGGCAAGACAAAGCTAACCAATCTCGCCCCGTTTCCCCAGGCCCGTCGCGACCCAGAACATCCCCGCCGCCGAGAGCAACTACATTCTGGAGAAGCAGCGCTTGAACCGCCCCGTCTCGCCACACCTTGCCATCTACCGCCCGCAGATTACCTGGTACGCCTCCGCTCTGAACCGTATCACCGGCTGCGTCGTCTCGGGTGGCATGTACGCCTTCTTCGCCGCCTACGCTATCGCCCCCCTCACCGGCTGGCACCTCGAGTCGCAGTCGCTCATTGCCGCCGTCGCCGCCTGGCCCATCGCCGTAAAGGTCGGCCTCAAGTCCCTCGCTGCTTTCACCTTCACCTTCCACTCGTTCAACGGCCTCAGGCATCTTGCCTGGGATTTGGCCATCGGCATCAGCAACAAGAAGGTCATCCAGAGCGGTTGGACCGTCGTTGGCCTTACCGCTGTGTCGACATTGGCGCTGGCATTCTACGGTAACTAGAGGCTTGGTAAGAGCATGGGAGGCTTGATTTGCAAGGGGAACGTAAGGCTCAATGAAAAAGAAGGATGGACGAAGATCGGGATACCATTTAGGCTGCGGCGGTAGACTGAATGAGTTCCGGTGGAAGTGGTTTTTGAACAAAGTTGGGCGTGTAAATCTAGAGGGACTCGCTGGACTCCGGCAAACAGGTGCCTGGATTAAGCGATTTCATGCTGCGTTGGTAGGGAAATGGAGCAATATTACCTTTTTCAAAGCATCAGTTGAGAACAGACTCAATAATACGATTGAATGGGGTGTGTGTAGTTGACCAAGGTTTTGCGCTCGTCTCTTTGGGCATGATAGTTGTAGTCTCCCAGCAGAAGAGTCAACCGTACGTTGTCTGGAGTAGCTGGTGAAGTTTCACGGAGAGTCCGATGACGAAGTGAAAGACGAGCAAATAAGTCAGAGCATCGACACACATTCAATTGGGAGGAGAAGGACTACCTATGAACTAGTTGGTACGAACTCACCCATGTTTGCCATCAAAAGCAAGCATTTAAATTGCGGCAACAGACGTTTGGAATGGCGTGACTGATATCATTGCCAAGATGTAGAAGCGAGCGAGTTGTTTGCCGTATCTTTTGTGCATCACTTCAACCCTGTCTGGGAGCTGGTTGCATTAGGCGGTGTACACCGTGCCACAGTGATTTGTACTACGGTTGAGCTACCCCCCTGGCCCGACCTTGATGATCGTCGAGTCTTGATAACTCCTTGAACAAACAGACCTTTCAACTGTGAGATACTTTTATAGACATCCAATCGCTTCAATCTGTGCAATTGGCAGGGGCGAAAAGGTACCAACGCCTGCATCGGTACCTGCGCCGTAAGCAGTTAAGATCTGACGCGTGATCGCGCGGCTCGGTCCGCGGGGGTTCGCGCGCAGGACGCGCTTGTCTCTCTCCCTCCACCTGTGCGACGGGATTTTGGGCGCCCGGACGTCCGATTTCCGCCCCAAAACAAAAACAATCCACCATTAATCCACAACATCTTCTCGTCTCTTCTGCCACCACTCTGCCGCCCGTTTCTGTCCGACGGAAGAAATCCATTGCTAAGGATCCGATAAACCGATGCCATGAATTAGCTTTAGGAAAACCGCGATACATACGCCTATCCGATTCAGCGAAGCCCGAAATCCTTCGGCTTAACTTCCGCGGCTTTCTCGAGGGCGCGCGCGCCCTCGCGCAACGTAAATATACTGCGCACACCGCATCGTTTCGTTGCCCGCCAGCATCCCTCTCACGCTGTCGGAACGTCCGTTTAGCGCGCCGCCCATCGCCAACCCGACCTCGCTACCATGGCCGCCCCCGCAAATACCAGAAGAGCAGCATCCGACGTCTCGTCGTCGCCCGTCCGTTCTCCGACCGCTGACCGCGAGATCGACGAGACGTTTCTTCCGCAGGATGAGGACGGAGAGGGAGAGGGAGAGGGAGAGGGAAACGATGAGAATAACCACGACGATAACACGGCGTACAGCATCGATTTCGACGCGCTAGTGGGCGGCAGCGGCGGCGGGAGACGTCGCGGCGGGCATCCCGACCACGACGATGACTTGACACTTGACGACACGGAGCCGTTCGATACGCTGAGGAGCGAGGATGTAGACGGTCCGAGCGACTTCACGCAAAATATGGAGTTTTGGATGCGATCAAAGTTTTCGCCGCCGCAAGCGCAACAGCAACGAGGGAAGAAGGTGGCAAATGCTGATCCCGGTGCCACGCCGGCAACGGCGGCAGGGCGCATTGAGCGGGATGATGGAGGCGATGACGAGAATGAGGGTGTGGTGGGCAACGATGATACGCTACCGCCGACGAGGACACCGACTGAGAGTTTTGACACGCAGCGCGATCATGTCAGCGATTCGGAAGGCGAAGGCGAAGGCGGGGACGTGGGCAAAGAGAGCGAGGAGGAAGAGGGAGAGCATGAGGGCTCCTTCGAGTACAGGCAGAGCGAGAACGAAAATACACATGAGATCGCGGCCGCAGCGATGCGGGATCTCAACGGGTATGTCATCTCGGACGAAGATACGTTTCTGCCGCCAACCAGCCAACCCGGCTCGACAGCCGATGAGCACGACGGTGACCGTGGTGAGCGCAGTCGCTCGGGGTCGATCGACGAGCAGATTGACATACTGTCGAGCATGGACGAGGGCGTCGAGGAGGAGTATAGGAGTGTGAGCGCCTCGCCAGCACTAGCGCAGGGTGAGTGGAGGACGGAAAGGCGGACACCGTCCGTTGTACAAAGAGCCAGCTGGTTGCAGCCAACGGTCGAGGACCACGAAGACACGCCGCCACTGAGCGCAAGGCCGAGCCCGAGAAATGGAATAGGCAAAAGTCCGGAGGTGTGGTTGGGAGCTTACGAGGAGAAGCTACCGAAGCAGCGGAGAATGGAGAGCATAAGCACGGCATCGCCTCGACCGACTTTGAGGAATCATCCCCGATACACCCCAAGGAAAGTTTCCGAAGAAGATGTCGATGACCTTCGGGCACAAATCAGGAGGTTACAGGCCGAGCTAGAAAGGCAATGCGGAGACTTCACAGCCAAGATCGCCAACCTCGAGTCTCAACTCCAACGCACCCGCAACGAGCGCGATGAAGCGCGCGAAAATGAGCAACAGCGCGTTCGAGACCTCAATTCGCAGTACGACGAGCGCGCCCAAGACTTAGAAGAGCACTGGCAACGGCGTCTCGCCACTGCGCAGGAACGCTATGAGCAGGATGTGCAGGAGCAGAAAGCATCGTTCGCCCTTGTCAAGTCAAGCTTTGAGTCACGTCTAGCAGCCACAGAGAGCGGGCTCCAGGCGCAGCTAGCACGCAAAGAAGCCGAACTTGACGCCGTTAAGGAGGCCAGCAAGCAGGAACTCGAACAGCAACGTGCCGGCAACGACGCCAAAGTTGCAACACTCGAAGAGCGCATCAAGGAGCTAGAGTCGTCGCAGCAACAGCAAGCTTCCGAGGGGACCTCAGTTCATGCGACTCCTTCCTCTGCTATTAATCAAGCACTCACCCAGCAAAAGGCAGAATCAGATGCCCGCATCGCCGAGCTCGAGGCGCGACTCAGCACGACACAGTCGCAACTCGAGGCAGCGCGTACGTCCTCTCCTGAGGCCGCCTTATCTGATTCCATGCGCCTGGCCGACGAACGCAGACAAACGGATGATCTTCTCGCGCGGTCGAGACAGCAGATTGCAGATCTAGAGGCCAACCTGCAACTGCTGCAAAGCCAACTCGCGCTCGCGCGGCGCGAGACAGACGAAATGCGGCGAGCTGCAGATACAGCCCGGGAGGGGGCACGCGTGTTACGCTCCGAGCTGGGGCGGGCGCAGGAGCTGGTGGAGGAGAGGGGTCGGCGGTTGGAGGAGGTGGCGCGGGAGCACGAGGCAGACACGGACATGGCGGAGCGAGCGCGACGCGATGCAGAGAGGATGTTGGAGGAGCGGGTGAGGGCAGCGGAACGGAAGGCGAAGGTGTTGCTTGAGCGGAAGGTTACAGAGAAGGAGTCAGAGGTGGGCGACATGCGGAAGAGGGCGGAAACAGCGGTGCGCAAGGCGCAGACGATGCTTAATGGAGAGCGGATCGAGAAGGCTGGATTGAGGAGGGCACTGGAGGGGTTGAAGGAGGAGGTGGAGGGGTTGAGGAGGCAGGTCGAAGAGCGGAAGAAGGACTCCTCTGGTGCTGCTGCTGCTGCATCTTCGTCCACCTCTCCCTCCAATCACCACCCTTCACCAGACGCTGCCGAGGAGATCATAAGATCTCGCGACGATGGCGATGACAACACCACGTCCCCTCGCTCATCCGAACTCGAGCTCCTCCGCCGCGCGCTGCGCGATGCAACCACGGCAACGAAAGAGGCCCGGGAAGATGCCCGGCGTGCGCGCGAGGAGTCGGCCGCGCTAAGGGAAGATTTTGCAGAAGTCAACCGCGCCATGGACGAGCGTGTGGTCCGTCTCGTCCGCGCGCGCGAGAAGGAGTGGCGCGGAAAGGTCGAGGCGCTTGCCGCGGAGAAGAGAGCTCTGGGACGCGCACTGCTCCACGAATGGGGGAGGGAGGAGGTGGGCGAGGGCGAGCCGCAGGCGTACCGATACAAGTATGTGGAGAGAAAAGAGAGTGGTGGGGAAAAGAAGGGGAGGGGGAAGGCGTAGGTTGGTAGCGAACCGGACTGGGACAATGGGTCTGGTGGTTTGTGCCTGGAGCGGTTGTGTGATACCATTTTAGCTTCTTTTTTTTTTCTTGTCCCCTTTTACTTCATGCGCTTCTGGAGAGCGCTTTGCCGGCCTCTTTGCTTTCCATGCCACTTGATGTCTCATGACCGAAGGGTATTTTGTACTGTATCATTAGCAATGACAATGCGGTGGCTAACGTCCGCGTCTTGTCTAACATAATAGCTGGGCCTTCAGAAGAGACTGATATTTTTCTCCAGTCTAGCGATTTTCTCTCATGAGATGTGTCGATACGGTCAAGTTACCGGAGAAACTGAACAAGTACACTGCAGCGACTACCGATACCGCATCCCTTCCGATGAGTATGAACTTTCGAGGCTGATTTATCTAAGGGGGCAATAGGGAACCCAGTAGTTAGATTGGTCGAACACGGCCATGGTATCTAAAGGAAACACCTAGCTTTACCGGCATCTGGGTAAGTGTTAGAAGCACCTTGTCAGCGAATTGTAAAGTCTCGGTATGGATCCTTCAAGCTCTACATTTTCTCGTAACTCCTGAATATCTCAACCCTTCTAACTGTAAAGTGAATGTGCTGAGGTTCTTCCCACCACACAGCGATTACCTCTATCCGTAGCCTCTATTCTTCCGAATAATTTGAGTATCCAGCCCCTTTCTAGTATCCTTGCATCAAATGCAGTTTCTAACCATCGATCTACACAGCGTTCTTCAATGCATCCTTGGCTGCCTTGTGGTCTTCATCTAAGGCTTTGCCGATAGCGCCGTTGGTTCCTCTCCCGCCGGTCCCGTCTACGCCATTGCTTTCCGCAGCAATGGCTTTGTCGACTTCTGGTGACAAGATTGATCTGTTAGATTAGGTTCTTGGCAAACTCCAGTCAAGCGGATAGTCTACAACAGGATCTGTGCAGCCTCTTTATCTTCGTCACAGCACGGTCCAATCATCGCCACCCGCTCACTCCCTTTCTTTAGGCTGTCAGAGGGACTTACCTGTATACTCATGATCCGCTCCCTCGCCCACCCAGAACCGCAGCTTCTCGCGCACAAACTCGTCGAAATCCCACTCATCATCCTCCAGCGCCTGCTCCCCGGCCGTCCAGATGTACGTCTCGGCCTCGACCTCCTCCCCCTCCGCCTCCCCGCCTTCAGGCAGACCCGCAGCGTCCACCTTGGCGCCAGCGATGACCCGCACGCGCACGCGCCGCCGCTCGTACTCGTCGCCCTCGAACAGGTCGAGCCGGTACATGTCGGCGTCGGTCAGGCCGGTGACGAGGGTGCCGCGCACGCTGGAGGCCGGGTCGGAGGGGAGTGGGATCACGCCCGGGTAGTCGGCGTGGCGGACCTTGCGGCGCTGGTGCGCGGGGAGCAGGGCCGGGCGCGGTGGTGAGGAGGAGAGAGAGGCGGTTTGCCAGGGTTCCGGCGTGGAAGTGCCGTAGATGACGCGGTAGAGGACTTTGGGGACCATGAGGGTGCCTATCGCGCGTGGAGGCGTGTAAGTGGGTGCCTAGATGGTGAATGTGTTTGATGGGAGGGGAAGCAAACCGTAGAAGAAGGCTGTGTGGTCGCCCATGGCGGACGGAGCTGGCTGGAGTGGGGTAGGGTTGATGGATCGGTGGGTGTGTTTATTGCGCTGAAATTCTGCTTCGAAAAGATACTCTGTGCAAATGAAACATGCAATGAATGAGGCGATCTAGAAATACTTAGGGAATGGGCTTGGCATACGATGCGGCGGGTGGAGTACGAGAGCAATGACGATTAAGCTTGGAGACGTGGAGATAGGCTGGAGATAAGGGGCTTGGCATCGAAATCGTCAGCCCTACCCGCGACGCTAACGCGCAGGAACCGCGAGCCCTTTCTCTCCTGGCAGCGACCTCACTCCTGCCACCTCGCCCGCTGACACGCGACCTTATCCGCTAGTCGCCGAAAGGAATGCGATAGCAGAATTCAATTGTCCCGAGCCTGCCCCTTTTGATTTTCGCGTCGCCGCGTCTCTCCATGCCCCTCGCCGATTACCTCCCCGACTCTTGGACCGCGGATTCCGACATCATGGGCTTCTTCTCGGGTCTCGTCACCCATATCGCTCCGGCATTGTAGGCTCACCTGCTCGCTGCCCTCCGGCGGGAGAGGTCGTTGACTTTTTCGTGCAGCATCGTCTCCTCTCCGATTACCTCCTATGCCGATCAAATCTACTCCATCCACCGGACGCGCTCGTCCGCCGGCTTCTCGCTGGACATACCTCTGATCATGCTGGTGGCGTCTATATTGAAGTAATCCCGCCTTAGAGGTCAAGCGTGTCTTCCGCACGTGCCTGCCGCTCCCGTTGCTCACACACCTGCCTTAACAGGATCTTCTTCTGGTTTGGCGATCACTTCGCGTTGTCGCTCCTCTTCCAAGCCATCCTCATGATCTTCATGCAAGTTCTTCTCCTGCACGTCGCCTTGACGCACCGCCCGCCGCCCGCTGCTCAACACACACCGTTCGCGGCGCATCCGAAGCCGCGCCCATACAACTTCTGGCAGTGGCGCCCGCACCGGCCTTACTGGAACTTCCTGCTCTATTTTACGGGCACCCTCATCGTCCTCCACTTCCTGCTCAGCAACAGCTCGCTGTTCACGGGTTACACGACGGTGCTCGGGTACATCGCGTTGGCGATCGAGGCCTGCCTGCCGATGCCGCAGATCCTGGCGAACCAGCGCGCGAAGAGCACCAAGGGCTTCAGGCCTAGCGTGCTGTTGAACTGGTTGATCGGTGACACATTCAAGCTGACATTTTTCTTCCTGAGCGCGGAAGGCGAGGTTCCATGGGCATTCAAGCTTTGTGGCATGTTCCAGGCATGCTGTGATGCGTATCTGGGCGTACAATGGTGGATGTTTGGTAATGGTCCGAAAGATCATGAGAAAACCGACGGTATTCCTTTGTAGACTAAAGAATGGGTATCTGACACAGTTGGGCAGTTTTGCGATAGAACGGACTCGGAAATGGTACTGTAAGAACGAGAATAGACAATAAGAGGATTGCGTTCAAATGCGCGGGAATGGACTGCACCGTACGTTCATACCGACAACAATCACCTCTTTCGATTGTACACAACGCCGCTTCGCCGTTCTAGAGTATCCTTGTACACGCCGAACATGGTAGCGTCTTTACAACAGCCCCTTCCTAGCAAGCTCGATTTTGCGCAGCGTCTCGCCCTCCTTGAATCCGCCTTTGCTTGCGCAGATGGCAATCCCCTCGCCAAGCTCGACCTTGTCTTCGACGGTCGGGAAAGCGCATGGGCAGTGGTGCGGGAAGTGCACGCAGGAGAGCGTGCCCGGGCAAAGGTACTTGTCGCAGGTAGCTGAAGTAAGATAGTAGTATTAGTACATGAATCAAGTATTGTGAAACGCCGGGCCAAAGAAGATCGTAATTGCTCACCGCCGTCGTATTGTTGCTGGTACCAGCTCGAGTCGCTGGGCATGTTCTGCGGCTGCTGGTGATGGTGATGACCGCCGCCGCCGAACATCTGCTCGAAGAACTGGAACTGCGCGGAGACGCCAAGCGTCCAGGCGAGAATAAGGAAGACGAAGCTCAGTGGTGAGCGCATGATTGGCTGGATGTGAGAGCGCGTCTGAATGGTGTCGCTTTTAATTTCTTAGCAGCTCTCGCAGCAGCTTGTCTGGCCTCTTCGGGGATGCGCGGCGCGTCGGCAGGCGGCGAGCCAGGGTCCCCTCGTCATCGACCGCCAAGCCTTCCCGGCGATACGTTGTTCCTTACCCCGCGATTCGCCGGCGATTCGCCGGCCGCAAGATTTCTTGCCCTGCCCGACGAATCTTTTGGAGCTTTCGACGACGAGCAGCTCGCGACCGACCCTGTCCACCACGCTCAACCGCACACGTCGCAGATCCAATCCTCCGATCCACGTAGCGAATACCGCGCTCTTTATCCACCGCAACGTGAGTCTCATCTGGTCCACGGGCTGTGCGCATTGGAAGAACGTCGCGGGACTGACGCGAACTTTTATTCCACAGCATGCATCTCATGTACCACCTCGACGCCGAAGGCAAGCGTGTCTATACGCTCAAGAAGATCGTCGACGGCCAGGCTACCAAGTCTGCCCACCCGGCCCGCTTCTCGCCCGACGACAAGTACTCTCGCCAGCGCGTCACGCTCAAGAAGCGTTTCGGCCTTCTCCCCACGCAGCAGCCGAGTCAGTGCTCCCCCCGAGAAAAATCAACCCAGTGTTTCTCGCGCCACTGTTGGCGCCTGGATATGAGATATTCTAACTTATGCTACAGAGGATAAGCAGGCGGCCATGGGCGCGTAAGCGGTGCCTCTGACAACAAGGCTCTTTCCACCAAGGCTGGCGTTAATGGTGTTTTGAACGGCGGATATCATGGCTCTAAGGCGGCGTTCGGAGATGGTCCTTTCAAGGGCACTGTCAGCATTCAGTCAGGTTCTAAGAAGAAGAACACGGGAGAGGGTGGCAAATTCTACGACAAGAGCCAGAAGGAAGGCAAGAATGATGAGGATCACGAGATGGTCAGCGATGATGGCTCGCTCGCTTCTTCCAACACCACCACTTTGGTTATCCGTTCTGGTCGCCAGCCTACCCAACCCTGAGCGAGCCATGATCAGCTTCTCTGTATTCACTCGCATGAAGCCCATGCATACGCTGTCTGAACTCTAGCTAGAGCAGACACGTTCATACAGTGAATACCGTCCTTCTTCAAGACAGTAATTTGCAGATCAGTAGCCCCTGGCTTTCAGTCCAAATTAAAAAAAAACATTTCAATCAAAACAATGAGTGTATGTGTGCGTGGAAAAGGAAAAACTGAATTGATCGTAAACTTTTGATATCTTCTATAACCAGTCATAAAAATCCGAAATGCGCCAGAAAAATGCCAAAGTCTCTACCCATGCCTTTGATCCCGACATCTACCTCTTCTTCTTGGCGGCATTGATGTTCCTGCCTGCGCCCACCTTCGGTCTACCGCCGGACCTGTTGCGCTCACCAGTCAGGATAGAAGGTAGGTAATCCTCGTCCATGAGGTCGCGCTGCTTCTGGCGCTTCTCCTGGGTGACGGCGCGCACGTATTCCTTCTGGTCCTCGGCGAGGATGAGGTCGGCGCCCCAGCCGTCTTTGCCGCCGCCGGAGGTGATGCGGCCGGAGGCGGACTTGGAGGCGGGCTTGGGCAGGCTGTAGCGCTCGCCGCGGTTGTTCCACTGCATGTTCTTCTTCAGGTGCAGCTTGAACTCGCCGTTCTGGGTGGTGGTGCAGGTGACGCGGGTCAGGGAGGGCTTGCCGCAGCGGGGGCAGAACTGCTTGTTCATCTCCTTTGTGGTGAGGAAGCAGGCGTGGCAGCGCAGCACGAACGTCTTGAGGTGGCGCACGCGGTGCAGCGAGGGCGAGAGCAGGTTGAGGTTCATCTGCAGGATGACATTCTGCATGGCGAAGTCGGTGGTCATGATGGCGGCCTGCAGCGTCTTGGACGTGTCCTCGGTCGTCTCGGCGCTCAGCATCTGGTCACGCGCCTGCTTCTTCTTGATGTTGGACGGCGTGATCCAGCCATCGTTGTCCGAGTCGGACTCGGAGCCGGCTTCGGTGGCGCCGGATGCACTGCCAGATGCGTCCTCTGCATGGGGGTTTGAAGGAACATCTGCACCTGAGGAGGGCTCGTCACAGATGTGCGTGTTGGAGAGGGCGGACGTAACGACTTCAGTAGCATCATTTACGGCAGGCGGGACCGCAATATTTTCGCTACCTGCGGGTGCGGCTTCATGATCGGCAGTAGCTTCCGAGCTGGATGGAGCTTCCGGGGTGGGTTTGGCGGGAGGAGGGCCGTTCGTCCTCTTCTGACCAGGTGCATTCCTCAGGCGCCAATCACCGCCATTCCGCTCGCACTCGAGGTCGCGGGCCAGGGCAATGAGCTGTATGTCAGTGTTGCTGAGCACAGCCAGGTCACCGGTGCGGCGGGCGAAGTCCTGGACAATTTTGACCGTGTCCGGATGCGGGTTCCTCTGGGTAAGAAATGGAAGCAAGGTCGTCTCTACCCTAGCTCTTGTAACTTCGTCCCGAATTTCGGAAACGACGGAAGGTATGGTGAAAATAGCTTCTGACTGGGCCAACAAAGTTGAGACTGGAGGCGAATTTTTTATGATCGGGCCCGCGTCAATGACGAGGCTGTGAATAGGCTTCTCCGAAGCCATGGTGAAAATTTTTCGAAAAGCCGATAGCAGCAGACTGCGCAGCGTAGCTTCAGCGAGCAGCAAGTGTAACTGTGTGGAAGTCGGTGTGAGGGCAGCTGCCGCTCGAATTTGGCGATGCGAGTTTGTTCGCCCCAGAAAATAATCAGCCGCCAACGCGGGAAGGCGCGCGATCCGTCATCACGTGACTAGAGCCGGTACCAACTCCGGAAGGAAGCTGCAGGGATCTGTTGTTTTCTATCCGCAGACATCATCTGTCAGGCACCTTTGAGGCTACAGAGAAAATCCCCATTCGTTGCGCCCAACTTAAGATCTCTGTGCGGCGCGGTGCCGCCCATCGATCTACGCGTAACACACACCTCCAGGATCTGGCAGCCACCCTTGTTTGACCCTGAATGAACTCGGTACCGCCCTGACAGCCGTGCATGCATGTGGCCCGTATCATCCCCGGTCAGAGCTAGTTCGCATCTCGGGATCTTGCTTTCCTCCTGCAGGCCTGCGGGAATAGAGGCCTGCGCCGCAATGTTGCAGCTGACTTGCGTGTCCTGGTTGGCCAATCCGTCATTAGCATTTTAACTGCCGCCAGCAATTAAATCCGGCAGCGGCGACATAAAACGCATAAACGCCGACGCCAGTAGGACGTTTATGCAGTGCTTGGTGGAGTCAGGTTGTCCAATTAGCCGTGCCTCATGACGCTATCATGTTAGCGCCTGAACCTGAGCAAGCCTCTTGTCTTTCCACAGAATCCCAAGCCACCTTTCTTGGCTCTTTCCTTATCACATATGGTCTCGTACCGTATCCGATGGTCCGCGTTTTTCTCGTTTGGCAAGCTGGTTGAAATGTTCGGATCCAGTCCACTTCAGAGTCTCAGGAACGCGATAGGGAGAAGAACGGTATGAGGAACAGCTCGAGAGCGTCTTTTGGATTGGACTGAGGAGTTGGTAACGGGTCGTGTTCCCATCTACGACAGAGAATGCCCATGGACGCTTCGTTATCCCTCCTAAAGGAGTGTGGCATGCACCATCTTCAGCCCAGCATCGAGTTTGTTAGCTTCGTCTCCAAGGCGGCATGAGTCAGGGTGCGGTTGATTATCAGTCTTGCCATGGCGGCAGTGGCAAGTTAGCAAGCGATGCAGACCCACCTGGGACCCCAGCAGTGTTACGTGTCGGCTGTGTTGCGAACAAAGCCGATCGATTGAGGGCGAAGCCAGAAAAATATTAGCGGGAGAGGCTGGGCTGCCGGCGATAGCCTTTCTATCAGACGTGCATAAAGCGGGAGGAAAGGGTACATGGCAGCCAGTAGGCAACTGGCGAGAGGAGGCAACGAAAGAAGGCAACCACTAATGCGCCACGTATCAATCACACTACACTTTCTCTTCCTTGACATGCTGAGCCAGCTCATCTAGTCTGGAGCTGAGATCAAGATACTTAAATCTTACCTTTTGCACCGCTGAAGACGGCAAGCTTTCAGCAAAAGGCTTCACAGAATACGACAGCCGATGCTCCGACCGCGCACGCGAGTGGCTCCAAATGCGGCTAGGTTGAAAATCCCCATCCCCCGCTGAGCTTTGTCATCCTTGCTTCCACCTTCAGCTCACAGTGTCCAACCAATGTTGGAAGCTACGCTTCGATCCACCACCAGTGGCTTTTCGTCAGTAGCTTGGCTCCGACCTGGAGGCGGCACGCGACATATACTCATCGACCCATATCATTGGCTGCACGCTGCTAGCCACTGGCCCTCCATCTCCCGTCCTTCGATCCGCCGCCACTTTGCCCGCCTGATTCCATCCCAGTGGCGCCCTGTAGCCTAGCTGGCAACGTGCAGACCAAGCTGCACTGCAGCATGCGGGTGCCCACGGTGGCTCGAATCACACTGTATGAGACATCAGGATCCGATCCTCTAGCCACTGACTAGATCTTCTGCCTCCGGATTTCAGCCGGGGTGTCTGTTATGAACGCTCGGGCAGCAATATCACGGAGTTTCAACTACGTTTGGCTATCCACTCGGCTGCACTTTGTCGTCATTATATGAAGAGTGCTTACGGGATTTTGTACCGGATTTGCCCTTTTGGTGCGAAATGGTGCCACGAAGAACGGTGGGGTGCTTGAACCGCTGGGCCATTGAGCTTAAATGGTCCTGAGGCCGTCAGAATCAATCACGGCACACCCAGAATTGCTACTGTTCAGCCGGAGCCAAGAGGCCCAGTCCTAGGAACAATGGTACGGGCGTTCAGCTTGCTCTCATGTCGGCGCTAACATTCTCTAAGAGCAACTCCTTTGTCTCTTTTTACTTTCATATAGTCGACATGGCGCCAGCCCCAAACACTCGGCCGCGAGAAGAACATGGTGTGTGGCTACCCCCTGTGGGAAACGCCTCGAGGATCGTGTCTCATCACCTGTTCTGCTTCAACGGAATGGCGGTTTACGATCTCGGCAATGTGGCAGAAGCGCCAGAGGGCTCCGAAGTCTACAGCACACGCTCGTTATACCACTACTCCAGCACCTTCTGGGCCCTGAATTACGACGCTACTGTCAACAGCGTCAACTACGGACACTTCGCTGATTGGAATCATGTGGGATTCGACCACGGCGATAGAACCATCAACTGGGTCGGCTTTGCCGGGGAGCAGCGGAGGCTTGGTCTACAACGAGAACAGCCTTGGGTGCACACGCTGCTTCCCGAGAACCACCAACCATATGAGTTTTCTATGGACGGAAGATACGGAGGTCTCTCTGGGGAGCTTTCGGTGCTTATCGCTCTCATTGCTTTCTCCATTCGCCCGGAGTGGTTATTCCATGGATTGAGCAACTGCATGCGACAAGGCCAGTGGGGCGGGCATCAGCACAGGCATGGCAGTGGGTTTTCTATTGAGATATTGCACATCTGCGCTTTCTAACGTGTCACCTAGGGATTGACGGGCGAGGAATGGTCGTGAAGGTATATACCATGCCCGGCATGTCGACGGCACAGGAGTTGCGGGAGTTTGAAGCAACACGGATATTTCCTGCATGAATAGTTCACTGCCACGCAAGCAGTGGAGCATGTCTCTCCTTTCTGACTCGATACCCTTCCAAAGGTTCAACACAGGAAAAGGGCTTCTTCACTCAACCGCCTTATCCATCTCTCTCACGGCCAAGCTCAGCCTACGTATTGAATGATTTTTCCTTGAAAGCTGGACTGAACACTGCGAAGTGCTGGCGGGACATGCGATAACTCATAGGACGACATTACACGTTTTAGGTGGGATCCCGGTGGCTAAGTGGCAAGGGTAGTCATACGCGGATGTGACCTCGTGTCGAGGCTACGAAGTGACCAGGGCTTCATGAACGATCTGACTGTGCAGATTATTTCGCTGCCTGCACATTCCAGCTGAGCTTACAGATAGTGAGGAGTTGGGCAGCAAGACACTTTACTGATTAAAGCAGCTTGAGGCTCGAAGAGGGATGTAAGATTTACTAAGATATTCTTCATGCGTGGACGATCGCTCCATGCAACCCGACGACGATTACTGGCAAAGTGTGCTTACGGTCGTCAAGATTTGCTAGAATGAATTGGGCGACGCATTGTATTCAGGTTGGCGAAAAGATGCTGCTGGTTTCGATCCAGGCTGTCGGGAGAGTGGGCCAGGAACACCTGGGTCGAATAGAGGAGGCCAATCGGGTTGAGGAATCCGATTACGGTGGCAGCGGCAACAGCTCTGTCCACCCGAAAGCGGCGGCCCGCCGCTGCGTTCATCCACCAATGCTAAGTCATAATTCCGACCGTCTTGCCACTTCGCTTGTGCCTTTCAGCATGGGAAATAATCTCCGGTGCAAAGGTTTGTTTTTCTTCATCCTATGCGCGGCAGAAATATTCTCCCACCCGCGGAAGCGGGTGCAGCACCCGTGATGCACGCGCCCAGGCTGGACTCCTGAGCCCTCTTCCGTCGCCCAACTACCACCAAACCCCTCGACATGTCGCTCATCAACCTCTCTGTCCCGCTCGATCGCCTAGTTCTCGACCCAAGCTAGCAAGTCGCACTATCTGCGATGCCGAAGGCTCTGCTCTGAGGCGGCTCGAACGATACAAGCGATCCTTCGCGCTGTTCAGCTTCCGGAAATGGTCTCGATATCCGGTCACAAGTAGACCACGAATGATGGCGAGGATGTCATGGTTCTAAGTGGACGCTAACTCGTCACTATCTGCAAGGAAGGACCTCGATTCGCCCGCCATCATCGTCGCCGTACACCTAACCTCGAAAAGCCGGCGTAAAACTCATGAATAAGGGCGACAATTTTGGATCCTTGCAGCCGGCACAACTCGCGTCCCGCAACGGCAGATGATCTTAACGGAGATCATATACAAAGATGGTCAGCGAAATAACTTGACAGAGACCTCCGGGCCTTTCCGGAGGTTGGTTATAGGACGCCGAATGCATCGTGGCTGCAACTACATGCACAGGGGAGCAGAAAGGGAACGTGTTGAACAACATGGCAGTCTGGAAAGCTGCTGAGCGGCTAGCTGCGCCCTCTGCAAGCCAAGAAGATTCTCTTCACACGTTTGTCAGTACCCAGCAGCATGGTATGAGAGTGGGTCTGCCACTTCAGCTGTCCAGTCAATGCAATCACACATGACCACCCGATATTTTCTTCACAATAAATTATTGCATGCGTATCAGCACCAGAGAGCGAATCGTCATTGAAGTCCAACGAAGCTACGTCAGCAAGGTACATGCCATCCTCCTGCAGTGCTCGGCGCGTGCGGATGGTAGATCCTCTCTGCGCCCCCTAAACCCGATCCGAGCCGCCCGCTTGCTCCTTCATAGTGGGGCAATGCAATTGTCCCACTTGCACCCTTGCACATTTGGCCATGTTGCGCTGTTCTAGCGGATCATGCCGGTCCTACGAATGGGAGATGTAAACATACCTCAACTTTACATTCCCGGTCCGTATATCCGACCTCTCAATCCATCTACTCTTTTTGTCTTGGCGCTGGCACTGCATGTTGCGTGGCTTTCCGCCGGCTTCGGCACCATTCCACGCCCATCGTTTATCATAGAATCGTAGTAGTACTTTTACCGAAAAATCAGGTTACACGTACATCAACATTCCACTCCTCAACAATAAACACTCTCTAACGCGCCCAACCGTGTGGTACTCCGTCGACGGAGAAAAGCGTCCACACTCTAACAGGAAGTCAACTCGTATGAGGCACATGCCATCGCCGTAGTAATTTCTCATCGTTTCCACTAATTTCTTTCATTATCAAATTTGGTAATGCTCACTACACATGGGGTTTTCATGGTCGATATATGCATGTGCCATCTTTACTCGTCTAAAACTTAATTGAACCGCTGGAGAGCATATTTGCTCCCCTGGACACTCCAATTCTCTTGGGAACGTGGTGCTAGCCGGGGCAGTGCGCCTCACGTTCTCTCATGTCTCATTTGCTAACCGTGTGGGAGGTCTGCTATTGTTTCTTTTCGTCTTCTAGGTTGTCACTGGACTGGAGCTTGGTGTCAGATGTTGATGTCCCACGGCTTCAGAAGCTACTTAGAATGATTACTAAGTGTAAACAAAAGCAAAGGGGTGGCCCGCTCACATGGAGTTAATTCCATGAATGCTTGACGTTGCAATTATGCTTCACCTCCTACATGCACACGTTCATCTCCTGGGTTTTCCCAGAGCACCGCTCATACCAGTCCTCTCTTTAAGCCCAACAGATGCATATTAGCTGTTTTCACTGCTTCCTACGCAGTTAGCATGAGGGAGAATTTCTTGTGAGCTCATGTATACTGCAATTCCACTTCTGCTCACAATAATTTGTGTAAGCTTCCTGGTCGTAAGGAGCAGAGGTGTACATGTATGTATTCAGACACTTCGGCCTGGTATACCATTTAATATACCTCATGAGCCATCACAATTTGATTGCCTACTCGCTTCGCAGCCGAGTGATCTGCCTTGTGGCTATGAAAGTCTCTCCTTTCTCCTCTCCTAGAAAAACCACGCCAATACCTGTGCACCGCGAGCTGCAGCTAACACGATGATAGGTCTGCTTGTGGGCAATGATGATGTTCGGGCAAGACCAAATGGCCTCTGATTCTTGATAAGAATCGAATGCCCCGCCGCTCGTGACACGCCTCGAGAATCCAGGCCCCAACATTCGGGCACCTTTGCAGAAGTGGATCCCCTTAAGCCGAAGCCTGTACCCAATTCTCTGGTCTCCTCTGCATCAAAGAGCCAGTTCCATTAACCGAGACCACTGCCGTCGAAGACCCAACACCAGCGCCTGCAGTCTGACCTGGTGCCCGTCAGCACAGCCCCGAAAAGGTGGCACACGTATTTGCTGCAGCTGTTCGCAGCACGGCAAGACGCGGGTCGGAACGCGAGCATGCATGATCCCCGGCCTGCCCAAAAAAGGCTCGACTCCGACCATCAGCCAGCCAAGGCCAGACAGCGCCGCCACCCCTGTGGGATCAACACTGGTTCACGCAAGAGAGGGGGGCGCAGCTCAAATCTGACTATCGCCTGAGACTGTCACAACGATTGCCTTAATGCCATGCTAGATCGCGGTATAAAAATCTCACTTGCAGCTACGCATCTTCCATGCGTTGCGAAGAACACGTCACAAATTCGAACGACGGCAGCCTTGTCAATCGACAATCCACTCAATGACCCCTCAGCTCACACCATCGTGGCCACTGTCGGCGCTCTTGCACAAATTCAAGGCAACAGCCCTGCAAGCAGGGGTGGGAGTTGCCACCGCATGTCACCAGCTGGCGGATCTCTGCTCCTGAGTCCTGACGCAGCTTGGAAGGGTTTTCACATCTGCACCTCCAGTTTGACCGCTAAGCAAGCATTCAAAGCCCTTGGCGAAGCCTCCCAGCCTGGGTGCCGAGCAGCTGGGTAGCTCATCAACTGGCGGATGTCCGCGGCCCACGAATGAACCAATAGCGGCTGCTATATGACTGAAAGAATGAAGAAAAAGTAATGTAAAAGGTGGCAAACAAGTGGAGACCGGATTTACCTGCATTGTGACAAAATTTCCGGGGGACAATGAGCGGGAGAGTGTATCGGTGTTCGCTTCGACGTGCGCGAACACTCGCTGGTGCGGCACTTGACAGCTGGCTCCCACCCTTGCATCCAAATCCCCCCTGCCCTCATGGCACAAGTCATGTCACCTTTGTAGATGGCTCACAGGTGCTTCTTATCCTGATGGGTCCTCGCTATGCGACATGATACCGGCGGGAAGGGGGTTTTTAGTGGCCGTCTGGAGCGCGACGCACCCAACGTTCGATTGGCGCCATCTTCCGATTCCCATGGATGTGCTCGCTTCTTTGCGGAAATTAGAAGCGAACGTTCGCTTGTTAAACAGGTGTGCGTGTTAATGTGTCGTGGCAGATCGCAGATCAACCTGCAAGACCCAAGCGCCCCTTTTCATCCGCGTCCTCCGAGCTACCTGTTCCCTTACCGTGCTCCCAAATGAAGCCAGAAGACAGACCATGCTTTCCTGCAAGATTTTGGGAAGCGTTTTGACAGCCTCGCTGACGTCTTTTCTTCATGGGATCTCGGCCATACGCGACAAGCAGCCCTTGTCCTACCTCCTGCGACATAACCACGGCAGCTAGCTCAGAACCGTGAAACATGTTTGCACCCGGTCAGGCCTTTTCACACACACGAATTGACAAAAGCAAGAATCAGGCTGATCTGTCACCTCGTGGACGTTTTCATTGAGCAACGTTGAAGATGCCCACAAATGCGGAGGGTAGCGCAGGTGAGACGCTTCCAGTCCCTCTTTGTGCTTTCTGCTCAGCTTTTCCACGCAGCATTAGCATAGTATCTTTCCAAAAAGAGATGCAAAACAGAAAGACGAAGCAGGCTGACGAGCCTTCACTCAACAGAACCCCGTTGCCACGTTTATCCCAACCTTGGCCCTGCTAACTCACGCCCCACGACCGAGCGAACACGTATTTCGATCCTTCTTCGAGATAATGAACACCCGTCGATGTAGTGAGCGACACTACTCATCTTCTAAGATGAACAACAATACACCGTCGCACAAATGGCCATGAAAGACAACTATGTTGGGGACCCACTTAACTATCTCTGCTCATTCGGGAGGGCAAGCATTAGAAGGATCATCTGTCGTCCTGCCTCGTTCTTTTTTTTTTTTTACTATTCCCTTCATCTAGGCCTTCATATTCCACACTGCGTGTTGCGATACTGGAGAAGCACTGATGACCGTCTGGGCGAAAATTCTGTAGAGCGCTATACAACATCCACCAAACCTTTTGATGGGAAAGGAACAAGAAAGAAAGGAAAGGGCCTGCATGCACCGTACTCCCTCAATGAGGTTTAGCCAGTCCATCCAACTTGTTAACCTGACCATACACCTACCAATCTGCCGTCGGCCTCGCTGTCTTCAAACTACGCTAAGCAGAACCATTCGTATCCACTTCATGCCCGCCTCCTACCTCTATGCATATACCTGTATTTATCTTTCCTAAATTATTCGATGCCTACTATACCACGTTACACCTCCAGACAGAGGAGCGGAAGCAGACAGACTGACCATAGATTCCTTGCCGGCTATGTTCATGTGCACTCCCCTCCCCTGCAATCCCTCTGCCTCTTACCCCTCGCTACTTTCCGTGCCATTAGTACCCACACCCATGTAGATTTTTCCTATTCATTCTACTAAGCAGTCGTCTTCCCTCTCACTCCGAAACATTTGTCATTTTCCCAAATATCGCCTCATATTTCCCCTCTTTACAACGGTATAAACTGTGTTGAAGGAGAGATACAGCCCACCCATTGACGATAGGTAAATCAATAGTGACAAGCATTCAATAAGTAACCAGAGTCACTTGTCGTAGCACAGAGAGCAGCAGGAATACTAGTGCTTGCACACAGGATGGTGTAGTAAGGAGAACATGGGCTGTGGACGAAAGGTGAAGGTGGCAAAGAATTTCCCATGGATCGTGTATGGACTGGAATAAGGTTTGTGATGATGAGGTAAAGAGAGAATACATCTGGCTGATGACAAGAGAGGGGTCATTGTTCATACGGCATGCACGGCCGCCAGGAGGAAGACATTTGGGAGTCTTTTTGAAGCCTCATTGACCACTGGTCGATTTGGTATTGTGGGGGTTTCTTTTCAAGGAAAGAAAGAGAAAGCTTAAAAAGCTAGGTGATAGCGGGCGAGTACGTGCCTTGAACGTACATCCATTACCCAGCACCCGCACACGCTCTTTACCTGGCAGCCATGCCTGGTATAACTTTCTGTTCACACTGTGGTGTCACCATACTCTCCGCATCTGCCTAAGCTGACACTGGGCAGCAAAGCCTCTCGATCCTCGTCTCAAATCTATCACAGCATCAATATGGCCAAAGGGAGCAAACGAATGAACTGACATTTGCCCGAAAGCGTGGTCTCATTAGCTATATACATTCACTCTTTTTCTGCTGCTCTTCAGGCCATTGGATCGCTGTCGAGCATGCAACAAATAAGAGTTTGGCGCGCCCCTCCGAGTCTTTCTCCGATTTTCTGACAATGAAATGGAGAGACAGATCCATCTTTGCCGTAAGATGCTGCCATAAGAAGCCAGACGTAGGAGGGTTGAGAAAACAATACTGATCAAAGACAGTGAGCGACGCCCCAAAGATAGCGAAGCGCTCCAAAAACGCTGTCAAAAACTCAAAACAGGGTATTGACACCGACGCCGGATCCCATCCAGCACCAGCAATAAAACAACAAGTCTCGCAGGCCAATGCGAGGAAAAGAAAGAAAGAATCGTCAACCGCTAGCTGGAGACGTTATAATCTACCTTCTTTTTGCGCGTATTGAAAGAAGAAACGATGATCAACTCTTTTTTTGGGTCATCAACAATCCGTGTCGCCCATGTTCGGTGGAGAAGGGAAACTCCGCACGGAATCGAGCCGGCGCACAGTCAAACGGACGGTGCGGGGACGAATAAAGCGCGACCGGAACCGGTATCGTCGCCCCTTGAAGGACACGGGATGGCCTCCTTCCGTGTGACCATGGATGCCGATATCGGCATCCACATGTGCGGATCAAGGGGTGCTCCAATTTTCGGCACAGGCTCCGAAGCTCAGGCCTCGATGGCAGGAGTCAGAGCGGTGGGAGTGCCGGGGAGGGAAGAGCTGGACTGTCCGCTCTCGTTGATGACAAAGGCAAGGCTATCCTTGCGATGGAAACCAGAGCCAGTGGGAGTGGACGGGGTAACCGGACTGCGAATGGAGCTCTGGTAGGAAGTCCTGCGCGAGACAGGGGCGGGCCGCTGCTGCGCGTTGGTGCTTGGTGGGCGAAGGACCAGGTCCGATGTTTTGGGGTTGGTAAACCTATTGATCTGGACTGAGGCTCGCGACTCTGATCTTATTAGCCGGAGGACTCGTCATTCACCGCGCTGGGCTCACCGAGGATTCTGTCGTTGCTGGACTCGCTATTGGCGGGGTTGGTGGAGGTGCTGATGGAGATGCTGTTGTGGCGCGAGGTCTGCTCCGACGAGCCGTCGGTGCTGTGGCGCGTGTCAGCCTTCTTGAGGACGTTGAGAACAGACGCCATGTCGAGCTCGTAGGCGGACATGTGGCGCTTCTTCTTGGCTTCGTCGGCGGCCTTGAGCTGCTGCAGGCGGATCGAGTCGTTGCGGGTGGGTGGTAGGGTGATGAGCTCCCTCATCCAGGCCGGGTGTTCTTCGTTGACGGGAAGGTTGGCGGCACGAAAATAACGGCGGTAGGCCTCGGCGCAGTCGATGGATTCGTTCTGCAGACTCAGACGCTGACGCTTGACAGAGGCCTGGCCGCCGTCGTCGGCCTTGGCGCTGGCGTAGGGCATCTGGAAGGAGCGGTTGATGGGGCGCTCGCGGGCAAGCGTCTCGCAGAAGCGCTTCTGAAGAGGGTCCTTCATGCAGGCATCACAGGTTCCAGGCTTGCAGGGCGGCTCCATGGTAGAGGGGCGGGTGGCAGCGGGGCGCTTGCCGAAGTTGGTGAAATCGATCTCCATTTCCTCATCGTCGTCGGGGGCCGGGCGTCCGGGGCGGTTGGAACCAGAAAAGTCGACGAGCGAGTCGACGCAGGGGCAGTCGCCATTGTCAGCACAGCGGCCGCAGCCATCCTTGGGGGCGGCGTGCTCGGAGCGGACGAGCGGGGGGAGGGTGATGGGGTTGCTGGCAGAGGGTGGCGCGGTGGTGGGGGCTTGGTCCCCACGGGCCTCAGCATTCGGCGCCGGCTGGTCGTCGGCATCGCCGCGCCAGGCTGGTGGCGTGAGCTGGTTCTGGGGCGGCAGGCGACGGTAGTACTCGATGTCGCGCTCCAGCTTCAGCAGCTTGTCCTGCATGAATTCGAGCTGCTGGCGCATCGAGTCGTTGTCCGACGTCAGCTGGTCGACCTTGCGCTGCAGGCCGTCGGAGCGCTGGCGTTCCTCCTGCAGGGCGCCGTTAAGATGGGTAACCTCGCGCTGGTGGGCTTCGGTTTGCTGGCGGCGCTCGTCGAGGGCGCGCTGCAGCTCGCGGTTCGTCTCCTCCATCTTCTGCGTCTTGCGCTGGCGGAAGGCGCGCTGGGCCTCGCGGTTCTGCTGCTTGCGCTTCGACGGCGGGTCGTCGGTGGCAGGCTTGCGGCCGGGCTTGGGCCGCGGCGGGATGACATAGCTGTTGCCGCAGGGGCCTTGGTTCATGGCGGGCGTGATGTAAGGCGACACGCCGGGACCTGGAGCAAGAGCGAGGGGAGTGGATGCGTGCGACGGGCCTTGGGGCGGCGAGGCAGCATTGGCGGGGGTGTTGGGGTCGAGAGGAGAACCGGAGCCATCGGACTGCGGCGACGGGATGGCAAAGGGCGAGGCGGCATCGCCAACGCCAGGGCTGGGAGCTGGCGCGATGTCGAGTTTCTTGGTCGCCATCATTGGCTGGTGGTCGTCGATGCGATGGAGGTAGAGCGGAAGTATGATCATCTTATCAGATTTTTCGGGGGGGCTGCACCTGCTCCCGAGACTCGCCGAACTCGGCACTGTCGAGGCCGCCATCGCCCGCGAATCGCACCGCGTCCGTCAGGCGCACTGGGGAGAGCTGGGGAAGGGTCAGTGAGCAGCAGAGAAGTCCGCATCGTGGGCCGCCGTCTTCACTCGCGTGGCCCGCTGCCTTTAACGGCCGTCTGCCCGGTACAGCCTCCGTGTCAGGCACCCGGTCCTCTGCCTATTGCCCGCTAGATCTCCCTATTTCGCTGCTGAGCAATCCGCTTTGCTGTCTTCTTACTCGCAGGCTTCGTCACCTACAGCCACTTGGCCCACATGGTATGATCTTATCTCGACCCTTCCGCCGTGCAGAGGCCAGAGAGCGTGCTATTTCTGGCAAGAATTGCTGCTCAAGGCCCTCGGATATAGGCGAGCGCCTCGGGGATCTCGGGGCCACCATTGCTGACCTCGCCATGTCGTGCCATGCCGCTGCACTTCCATACGGCCTCTCTGCGTGCTGAGCTCTCTCCCGTTGACTCTGCTTCCAATTGACTCTCGCAAGTTCAAAACACGGCCCAAAACGCGCCGTATTCGCGTCCCGGAGCAAGCTGCTGCCGCCATCAGCCCGCCACTTATCCCCGAGTTTACATACAACTTTCCACACGCTAAAGGAGATGATCCGTTTCTGGACACGAGTACGCCACGATTGAGCAAGTTCTCATCTAAGCGAATGGGCCCTGCACTTATCAGATGGCCCTTGGTCACGGCACTTTCCTCTACGCCTCATCCTCGCCCTCGGACATTTGCAACCCTGCCCTCCGAGCCGCCGAAGCCTTCCATGTGCCTTATAGCTAGCGCCGCAGAATCTTTCTTCCACTTCTCGAACCTCTGCTTGGCTGGGAATTTACCTTCCAGGCTAACCAAAACGCACCCCCGCAGTGGACCATCACTCCGGAGTCCACGGAGTGCGCGGCAATAATTCGACTCTCCAGCACAACATCACTAATCACTACCCACCTCCATTCGAAACAAATGTCACCTCAACTCTAAAGAGTGCCAATTTGTTGCACGACTGACCACTGCTAACTGTCTCCCAATGCTCGGACGCTCCTCCCCTGAAGCACATCACGCACCATCTCCCTCTCGAGATCTCGAACCTTCCTCAGAGCATCGTCATCCGCTCGTCTGCTGATTGCTATTTCAACCCTATCCTCACCATCCTTTACCTTCATTTGCGCTTGGCAGCCCTTGGCCCCCGCCGTCTTCGGTCGAAAGATTGTGCGGAGATTTCCGTCTTCGCCAGGCAAATCTCCCTTGGACGAATGGCCAATCACTCTCCTCGCAAATAACCCCCCCAACAAATCCTTTACCCCTGGTGATCCGCCACCCATGTATAACATCATTCGTCGAGTGTCATCAGTAACAGCTCATGGTGGACCGGGAGATCACCCCACAACTTCGCTCGGAAACTCCGGACTTGGAAATTCCGAACATCACCTCCTTCGTGGTCCAGAAGGGCAGGGACGACTGCCTTCGGATGGAATCAGAAATTACCCGTCCGATTCATGTGTGCACGAGAGCCCAGGTTCCTGTAGTCGCTGAAGTCACGACTCCTTTCTTCGCGAGCATACACAGCAGTAAAACAGTGTCCAATGCCTGCTACAAGGTGGTGGTCTGATCGAGCGGGGAGCCGAGGGCCGACACATTGTATTTTGCTTGAAAACCTAGTCAACGGATAGCTGAGATAAGCTATAAATAGGAGCAATCGTTGATATGTGGACGTTGGTCAAATCCTCTTTAAGAGATAGGCTGGTTATACTTTTTAACATTTATATGCGGGATTCAACTGCCGTGTCCAACTGCAAATATCTCTCTATCCCAACGCTTTCTCGAAGGGATTAAGCTGAATGTGTCTCCTGACCCCAATACGTTGCAGCAAAATTGCTGGATGCGAGACAAAGCCATGGCCGGAATCTTCACTGGATACATTCCTTGATTGATGAAGACATATTATCTCGAAATTTCTTCTTGTTCATTTAATTGATCTTTCAAGTGGACATGCTCTTTGAGCACAGCCGAGGATCATACTAAGCATCAACGCCCCCATTGATTTCCCTAAATTCTCCAAGGCCTCCGCACAACAAAAATTCTCTTAGCATGATAATTCTGCCCGGACGCCTCAAGCCATGCAGGTAGGTATAGTGTAGAATGATTCCGTTCCGCCCGCTCACGAATATGGTTGAGGAGGAAAAAAGAAACCCGAAAAGAAAAACAATATGCCAGCCATGCAATGGGAAATGACAATTGCGAGGAGGTCGTAAAGGTCATGGCTGCGAGTCATCAATCTCGATGATCTCCATCGGCGTGGTCTTTCTCTTCTTCTGTTGTTGCCGCCGCTGAGACGGAGACCGCTGTTTCCGAACCTCTATTTGACCCTCGTTGTTGCCCGAGGGTTCCTTCAACCCAAGCTCCCACTGATTGTGCTTTTCTCGCGCTGCGAGCTCATATGGCTCTGGTTGCGAATCCGGAACCTCTACTTCAGATCGGTCTTGCTCAATCTCCAGATCCATCCAGTCATCGACTCGTTCATAGCGCGAATGCCCAGCTCTGTCACCTTGTTCATGCCACTCGGGATGTCGTCTTTCGATAGACTGGACCGGCTCCTCAGCATCCTCCATAGCTAAATCTTTATCCGGGGCTTGCATCGGTGATTCCCTCCGCTTCCGATTGTCTGTAGACGCCATAGCAACGTCATGCTTCTGAACATCCGTGGTCTCAGCAGGCAACGTGCGTTTCCGGGGACTTTTGCCAAGGACGAGATTGGTACTGGAACCTTGGCACTTGACCGGCGACGCTTGGATGACCACTACTGGATTGCGTCCAGTTTTTGGTGTTCTTGCGCGAGGCGGTGGGGTAGGAGTTCGCGGTTCCGCGGCCTTGGTGGATACCAATGCTGGCGGTGGTGAGCCAGAAGGAGGCTTGGACGCGCGTTCGGGTTCCACTGTTGTGCTTGGCGGACTCTGCCCCCGGATCGATACGCTTGACTCATCGCCCTTGCCTTCCAGCAGCTTTCTTTTCTCTTCTTTCCTCTTTTTCCTCTGTTCGTCCCGCTCCCTCGACTGTTCTTCCTCCAGCTTCGTGAGCAAGCCCAAGATGTCCCGTCTCGTCTTCGGGGGGCAAATATCTGGCCAGTCCCTTGTTTTATCCATTTCCCGGCGCAAGATCTTATGCACAAAGTTGTCGGCGTCGTTGATGAACTTTTCGAAGTACAGACACACAAAAATGCCGCAATCGCAAAAGTTGTCTTGGGTAGGGATGCATTTGGCCGTTGTTCCTTGGAGAGTCTTCATGTCGATATCCATGCCACGCTTTGCTTCGCCCTCTTCGACAAGATATGCCTTGAGGTTCTTCGTAGTCTTGGGATGAGTGAGCTCAAGAGAATCGAGCATGATGATAACCGGTCTAGGGATAGGTAAGAAACGTGGTCCCTAGCTTCTAGAATGCAACTCGGACAGAGATTAAAAACTAGGACTTACTGTTCTGGGTCCAACTTTCTTGAGGGCGGCCCTTGCTTTTTCCGTCCCTTCTTTCCTCCAGGACTCAGTTTCGATGTGTCATCTTGGCCATTGGGCACTGCTTTGATCTCATCTAGAGTTTCGGTCTGGGCGTCGTCGGTCATGGGTTGTGGTGTCGTCATCCTCGTCTCGCCCTCATCCCTCTCGCTGTTCAGCTTCTCGCCCCCAGTGGCTCCATCGATGCGAACAGGCTGATCAACTTCCATGGCTTCGTCCATACCACCTGATTCCTTCGTGCTATCTGATGGTGGTTCTGGCTTTTCAGAAAGGGCTTTGTGGACCTGGGCAGCAAGACCATTTCTTGGAAGATCTTTCTTCTCGGTGATGTCCTCGATTTCTGCTTCTGGTTCCTGATGCTGGACTTTCTTGGCGAGGGTTGGAAGGTTGCAGATGATGGCCAAATACCAGTGCTGGTCCTCATTGATTGGAACCACCACATAGTCATAAGAGAATATATCAACCTTTGACGTCCATCGCTGAACACCGGCGTAATTGATTCCTTTGTGGCCTTTCACCTGCTTGGTCAATGTAGAGTAGAAGTAAGTGTTGAACCAATACACTTTGTCCGGCCGCAGGTTTCCGCGTTCTTCAGCCTGTTTCGCAGCCCAAGTCATGTAGAAGCTGATGATGCTGTCGTTGAGGAATTCACCATCTTCAAGCTTGAGGAGATCAGCCCAATCAACTTGGGCTCGTTGTCGCCCGGTTGGTGGATAAACAAGAGGCTGTTTCCATTGTTTCGGAAAATCCATCTGCGGCCACGAACTTTCACGTTGAGCGGCAATCTCAAAGTATTCAATCTTTGAGCTCTCGGCATCTCCGTCGTTGGTCCGAGTGCGTCGCGTGTTCGCAAGCGTGCGAGAGGTGGTCATGTCCAGCGATTCGGTTGCTCGTGAGGCCCTCGAAGTGCGGGTACTAGACTCGGCACGAGATGGATCAACCTGCATCTGTGAAATGAGCCTTGAATCGGCGCGAGGTCTTCCGTTAGCGGCGGCATTTGTGTTTGCCTTGTCCTCAGTACGTTCTTTGTTGCCATTGCGGTCAGCCGTCCCTTGGCGCCGTTGGTTGTCGCGTGATTCAAGAACCGCACGTTCTACACCCAAATCAACGGGCTTTGATAGGGAATTTTTAGGCGGAATGTCATCTGGTTTGGCAAATATCTTATCCAAATAATCCCTGATAGTAGACATCAGCACGACTTGAAACAAGATGGCGGTGGGAAGACTTACCTAGACCTGGGAACGCGTTTCACAGTGGTTGAGAGTGCGCCCACAAAATCTTTACAGTCATTGTTACTGGTGAATTCCATAAAGCGTTTGTAGACTTTATCGCCGATAATAGGACCACGGATCTCGACCTTGGCTGAACTATCGTCGTTGGAGAGGACGATGCTAGTCACCTTCGACCCTTCGACACAGGCCACCCCATTTCCAATAGGTATGGGGCCCTCTAAGCCATGAACTGCAAAGTGCTTCTTGTTGTGGTCCCAGACTAGATGCACATCAGACATCGGTGGGCTATGAGGGACCCTGAAGAATTTCAGAGGCCAACTACGCCTTGGGGTGCTGGTTTTCTTTGAGGGCCTTTGGAGCGAGGTATTTCCAGAGTTCTTTGAGACAAACATAGTCGGCTTGATATCCGCTTTGGAACTTATCATGTCTGAGCCAGGGGGGTGCCTCGGGTGGGTTTGGTGATGGTCCACATCCACGGATTCTGTAAAGTAGGGCGACGTCATTTGCTCTTCAGCATCAAAGTTCCGTATGTGCTTCTCGCGCTGTTTAGGCAATGCCCTAGGAATTTCCTGTGACAATTCGTCTTCGCTTCCGTCATCAATGGTGGCCGCTGTTGCTGTCGGTTTGAACCTGACGTCATGAGACTGGCCTGATCCAGTCCCGCCCTTGGCTTCCTTCCGGCTATGTCCTTGTGCTAGCTTTGGCTGTGAGCCTGGATGCGAATCGTCGTTGCGAAGTTCATCGTTTGGTAGGCGTTGCCCGAAAAGCTTGTTCTTGACTGGCGGCTTTCGGGGGTCCTGGGACAGGGCGATTTCTTCCAACAACGCATCCATGATGAATTTCTCTCTCCGGGGAGACGGATGCTCATCGCCAGAGTCTACTTCAATGGGCCGAGACGGTTGTCCATGGGGGGCCGCAGACCTTTTACCCAAGTCAGGCTGTTCAGAGTCCAATGATTCCTGGAAGACGTGCGAACTTCCATAACCTTTTGGATTCATGGTTTCCTCCACTTTGTTGAATTCGTCTGACCCAGAAGGCATGGATGAAAGGGATGGCCTGGAGCGAATCGAGCCATTACTGCGGGAGGGGTGGTACTGTCTGAAGTGGTCTTTAGCTTGCTCGCGGGATTGCATTTTTGCTCGCTGCAAAGGAGGGTCTTCATCGGTGAGGTCTACAACCGCTGGCGAAGGACTCGTTGGGTGAGAGAGCTTCTGACGTTTGTGGGGGATTGCGCTGTCGTCCCGAAACTTGGCTGTCCTCACGTTCTCCCCTCTGCTAGATTCAAACTGGAGGCTCCCTGTAGGTGTGTATTTGGTTCCGCAGTGAGCGCTCTTTGGCCGGGGGGTGTAGGGCGAGGATTGCTGCAAAGTGTTGACGGGATGGAACTGGTGATGAGCCCCGGGCTACAGAAGGTCATTAACGCGCTACCACTCAAGGGTTCTACGGGCCAAGATCATACCTTGCTCGAGTGTGACACGCTGCTTCCGGGTGGAGCAGTAGGTTTGCCTATTTTCACCGCATCGGCGTGTTTCCTTCCGGTTGTCAGCCGCTTCTACTTGAGTGCTCGGAGCTGATGTGCCCGTACGTATAGTCGCCGCACAGCTCGCGCTCTTCCTTGCTTCTGGACGCCGGCCGGCGGGTCGCGGGGTCGGGCAGAGAGGGCATGGAGGAGCTGGGTTTCGCGATATGAGCCACTCGGCGAAGTTTGCAGTGGGGCCGGGAGGGTCCGTACTGGTGATCTCGCGGGAACCAGGTGCGAGATCGAGTGGGAGAGGAATCTGGGGGAAACGAGGGTTCATCGTTGAACTGTGAGGGTCGCGAAGTCAGCGTGCGGCCGTTCAACCACGGGAAGGAACATGCGGGCGACGTGCGTGCGTGCGGCGGCGGGCAGGCAGCGCACATGGGTTTTGAATGCGCGAGCAAACTGAGGGGCAGGCACGTACCCATTCTCTTGCGGCGAGGTCCACAGCAGTGGGCGGCGGGTGTTCTCGAGGACCGCTTCTCAGGCCTAGGATGCCGCCGATTAAAGGAAACATCCGTGGAGCTCGCCGCGCTCACGGACGGACAGGCGGGTTCAGGGTCCCTCCCGGACGAATCTAGCGAGGTTTTGCGGGGTGCAGAGAAGCATGTGCAGGACGGGGGAGGTGAAGTTTGCATTTTCACGCCGCGGGCGCGGCCAGGTGGAGTGGCATTGTTCTCCGGCCGTCTGGTACGCGGAGAGTGACGTTTGTGGGATGCGCCGCAGCTTCCACGCCCGAGCATCGCATCGCATCGCAGCGCATTGTGCGCCACTCCCTAGCCTCTGCATTTCCGCCGCGCATGACATGGAGCTGCTGCCCCTCATCGCGGGGAGGCTTCAGTCCACCCCAGCTGGCTCCAATACTCTATTGCCTTTGCTTCACAATCGCTTTCACCGGCGTGGGTCCTAGGTACTGGCCACCCACATTGGGCCAGGGTCGCGGGAGCCAATCCTTGTCCCACCGCGAATCTGCTCGAAAGCCCAACGCGGTTAGCACAGCAAGCAGCTGAATCGCTGCGCACCACATCTTGATTCGTTGCACACCATGCTTGCTGAGAACGCAGTCATTTGATGCGCTGCCAGCGGCGCTTTCATGCGCACAATTCAAAGGCAAAGCGCTGAATCCCCAGAGCCATCACCCAAAAGCCCAAAACGGCAAGCACCCATCCGCCGGCTACTAGAATACAGTGTGAGGTTTTTAAGCGTCAACTCATCCCCACAAAAATGCCATTGCAGAATCCCAGAAAGACGCTCAATCCCATGAATTCACTCCGTCCCGAAATGCAAGTAACCGAACCGCCGTATGGTATCAGAGATCGCTGTCATCACGAAGAAGCTTTTTCCTGCTGCTTGCTTTCCTCCGCGAGAGTCCGCCGCCTCTCCTGCGCCTTCTCCTGGCGCTGTTGGTCCAGCACCGTCCGTTGTGCGATGCTGTCGTCGTGGCTCTTCCACTCGATGCGTGTGTCGGGCGGTAGCGCCAGGACGCGCTTGATCGTCTCCCTGTGAAACCCCGTTAGTTTCCGTGTTAGACACATGGCTTTGCGTCCATGACCCACCGTATCTTGACATTGCGGCCGCCGTCGTTTTTCGTCCAGACGCTGAAGACGTCTTCACCGCTCCGAACGCTAACGACGGCACCGCAAACTTCTTCACCCGCCTCCATAAACTCATTGCCAATGAGCGCCATCAGAAGGTTCTCCCAGTACCGATCGGCGACTCCCTTCTTGAGTCGCATGATCCACTTCCCTCCCTTTTTGTTCTCCTCATCCTCCCATACTGGCCGAATGCCCTCCTTGAAGAAGTGGTAGTCGGAAACGCTGGGAAGCATCGACGGACGCTTCAGGTGGCGGAATACTTTTACGAAGTCCTGCGCCGTGGACATCCGCAGCATCTTCACGGTCGATTTCTCATAGTCGGAGTTCTTGGACGTGGGCGGGCGATACCAGATGACCCAGGTGTACTTCAGAGGCGCAGGCACGTCCCACGAAAGCTCACCTGAGACCGCTGGCGCGTCCTGCGCACTCTGCGACACCGGCCTCCCCGGTGTTGCTGTTGTTGCTTTACCAAGAATCTTGTCACCTTTGGCGCCGGGAGTCGAGGGCGACGCAACAGCACCAGCCGCTTTGCCAAAGTCAAATGCGGTGCCGGGCGTTTTGGGCGTTTTCGTGGCAGAGCCGAACGATGCAAAGGCGCCGGATCCCAGCCCAAAGGCTGTGGAAGCACCTGTCGTCGGAGAGGCTATGGTCCCCGTTGACAAAGGAGGGATGGCGTTGAAGGGATTGGAGCGTCCGCCGTGGGAGGAGCCGCCGCCACCGAAGCGTGCACGTGGAGGATGGTCACTCTTGGGGTCGGTGTGGTCGTTGTTCATGGACAGGGAAAGCTTAGAGGTGCTGTCGAGACGTTAGCATGGGCTGCAGGGAGCGGGACACCGTCGCGGGCACACGACAGCCGTCGGGCGGCAAGAGCTCACTTTGAGCGACGGGTCCATAGGTTGTTGCTGTCTCTATCCATTGGGCTTTCGGTTGTCGTGAAAAAGGGGCGCAAGAGGGTGAGAGATCGCTCCGGCGGCGCGTCGACGAGAGCAAGAGGGCCAGGCAAGTGCTACAGCAGCTTCAACAGGCGGGACGGCGGCGAGGGTGCGGGCGCGCGGGATGCGGAACGGCGAAGGTCGCGGAGGTGAAGAAAGGGTATCTGAAGACGAAGAAAACGTAGGCGAAAGCTTGGAAGGGGGCGGTGGAGGTGGTTGTGCTATGGGGAGGAGTTGGGTCGGATGTTCTTGATGGAGGATGCGGGAAAGATGTCGGTTCGCGGCGCTACGTTTTGCGGCTTGCTGGGCCTTGCGCGCCAAGACAACCGGCCGCTTAAAAAAAGTTCTGTGTTCCTGCCCACCTTCTTCTTCTACAAAAACCCAAGACCACCAACTCAAATCATCGCCAGCCCGACTCGATTGCTCTACTCGGCTGGCGACTCCGATGCGTGTGTCGAGAGAACGCTCAACCCACTTTAAAACCGTCATCACGAGGGCCCCTTCGGGCGCGCTCCCAGGATGCGATGTCGACCTGAAAGATGGGACATACCTCTGGCAGATGCAAGCTGTTCTTGCCATCTCGGCCACAGCCTACTGCTGCACCGCGGCTGCGAGGAGTGCACTCCGCGTCCATTCCAGGAAGTGAAGCCGCTGTGAAGGACGCGTGAAGACGGCCGTTGAACCGGCCTCGGTCCCCGCAGCTGGCGCTTGTCTCGCTCTTTGAACAAGCTGTTTCCACCGTGCCCCAGCCTCCCCGAAACCCACGCCAGGCGCCTGGGTCAGCACCCGCCCGGCCTGGTGTGTGCTGAGTCGGAGCACATGACGGCGGCAGATGCAAGGGCATCTCACCTGCATACAGTCCGGCAGAGATGCCATTCGGCCGCATTCCTGGGTACACACAGCACACTGGCTGACTCTGGCGCTTTGCCCCAACGGGAGGTTCCCGCAGGCCTCATGTGAGTTCTATTTTCGCCATTTGCACATTCCCCAGTTTCGATGATGATTCTTCACGCTCTGGTAATCCGACTCGGCGCACAGCCGCCCACGCATGGCGCTGGTTGTGCATGAGGTCAATAGGCAATTACTGAGAAACGCACGCGCTGTTCGCATGGACTCCAGACATGGCCAGCCGCCCGACTGACTTGTCACATAGCTCAGCAGACGGTTCGCAGCGATTCGGGTGGTTCTGGCGATGCCCAGGGTGCCTTGCAGGAGCAGTGGCCAGTGGTGCGAAGACGCGGGGCTGGACTCGATGCCTGAGCAGCGCGGAGGTCTGACGCCGCATGTAGTATGTAGCTGTGCGGAGCTATCCGTACTCCGCCACCAGCGCGAGCTGATCATTGCATCACGATGTGCTTCGATAGGGAGCAGGCAGCCCTGAGCCCCAGATTGACAGCGCAGCGCGCCGGATCGGTTGCGGTATTAAGGGCAGCTGATGATGCTCGTTACCGAAGACATCGGCACTGCTGTGTGGGCCCGGCGGAGTTTGGGCAGCTGCATGGGACTGTGGCGGCGCGCTGGTCGCACGCTGCTTCATATGACGAAGGTCAGCACCACGAGCTGGAGCTGGAGCTGGCGCGCAGCCATCCCGCTTGGAGTAATCGAGCCCCTCACCTGCTCTGCTGTTCGGAGGTCACCCGGTGCGGCTGGTGAGGCGGTAGAGCCGTGATTGCCGCCGTGTTTTGTATTCGGTAGCGCTAACGTCATCGCGCAAACGGCACGCAGCGATCGGACGTGCAGGGTCGGGATGCGTTGGTGGGGGCAGGCCTTGTCTCATGGCAACGAGCCTGCTCTCTTCTACCGAAACACCACGGCCTTCCATATTCCGCCCCACCATCTCCCTGAAGCCTGCAGACAAAACCGCCCTCCCCGCTCTCACGTTGAGCTGTACTCTCCGCCAGCCCATCCTCACGCGAGTGCCCCTCCAATACCGCCAAAATGACCCAGCACTCGCCCACCAGCCAGCCCGTGCACTCCCCGACGGCTCAGCCGCATCATCACTCTATCGAGAGACCTAAAGGTACGTAGCAGCGGGTGATCGTCACCAGCTACACGAGCCGTTCCGCGCCTCTACGCATAGCTCCCGTGCTGATGGTGCCCGCCCAGGCATCCTCAAAAACCCGTCCTACCAAACCCCGGCCTCCCCGACCAGCGAGACCGCCCCTCTCACCCGAATTCCGTCCAACGACCGCCCCGGCGTCGACCGCGGCCTGTCGGAGCGCGAGATTGTGCTCCAGAACACCCTCCAGAATGCCGGCCACCGCCGTTCGTCGTCCAACCCGCGCGGCCCGCCGTCGCGCCGCCACTCGGGCACGCCTGGCGCCGACGCCGATGAGAACAGCCCGCGCCTGAAGTGGGACGAGGCCAACCTGTACCTGACGGAGCAGCAGCGCGACAGCACTATGAAGATCACCGAGCCCAAGACGCCCTATGCCGGCCACTACGACCCGGCCGAGGACGAGGAGGAGATCGCCGCGCTCGACGCGAACCAGATCGTGGTGGATGAGCTGGACAAGACCAAGCCGAAGAAGAAGCAGTCGAAGGAGGACGACATTCCCGGCCTTGACCTTGGCGAGCCGGAGGTGGAGAACGCGGGCGCGCACCACTCGGATGGCGAGAAGCGTGTCATGGTGGATTCTGACTACGTGGACGAGACCAAGCGGGAGGCGGAGCCGCCGCAGGAGCAGGAGAAACACCGTCAGTTCGAGGAGGCGCGGAAGAAGCATTACGAGATGAAGAACGTCAAGAATCTTCTTGGGTATGTTGTGGTGGCAAATTTTTGTCAAGCGACGATGCTAACCTACTTCTCCAGACACGCCGACGAGCTGCTCGCTGAAGAGGACGATGACGAGGAGAAGTCTGCCGTCCCTCCGATGCCCAACGGCCGATGATAAAATTTCAGTGGCATGTCGTGATCGAGGGGCCCAGGCGGTAGAACAGTTTTCAAAACCCTAAAAAGAACCATGTCTCTCACGAGAGGTTCCACGATCATTATGAAGTCCCCTTTGCTTTTACGTCACCCAACCTGTTTTCTTGCTTCTACTATACCCAGCATGTTTTTCCCAGTCAAGGACGGGCGGTCATTGAGGCTATCGAAGTCGTAAATTGTTACGAACCTCGGTGATCGCTCCATTCCCGATAAGCATATGGAGGGCGTTTTTCATTTCGGTTTTGGCGGAGAAGTGAATTAGTCACTTCAATCATTAAAAACAGAAAGTGAGCTCTCCTCGGCCTGTTTTTTACCCTTCAAGGATCTAGGTAGTTCTTGAATGTAAGACGTAAACAAACCTTGTGCTGTTCTTTCCTTGTCCTCTCCTATCTCGGTGAAGCGTTCGACTATTGCGGCCTCTGCAAGAACACCACATGATGCGCAGAAATAACCGAGGAAAATTAATAACCTCTTTCTACCTAGAGATCATCCACAAGAAGCCTCTTAGGGGGATGGGGGTTACACACCGGAATGCTTCCGAGTGTAAAGGGAAGCCGGTGTTTCAAAAATCTACGTAGCCAGCGTCTCATGTGAGAAGCCAAGAGACGATTGAATTACCCTCGGTGTCCCCTAGGGTAGGCGGGTTTCTTCTCGCATAGATTGAGATGTTAACATGAATGTAGACACGAAATTGCCCCTTGCTTCTTCGTAGCATATGAGTAGGCTGGGGCTCGCTGTTTCTCTCAGAGAACTCTACTATCGTGTTGCCTCTGCCCGTAAGATCTGTGTAATCTCTGATCTCCATACTTACGTACACTTGGAAGCGATCGCCTTAACGGAGCAGAAGCGCCGACAAGTGAGTAGCATGGGTTCCCAGCACCGACCGGCAGCAGGAAAGTCTGGACCTTACTCCCGTTCATCCGTCCGATCGGCCGCACTGGCTTGGCTGCCTTACATAGCTTGGAGTGCACATCATAACACTAGCTTCCGGCATGGAGGCCGAGAGCGGGACGTTCTCCCACGCTCGCAGATGATCCAATGGTGAGAGTGCTCTTCAACAAGTCCAAACGATCGCCCGAATGTTTAGAGGAAGTTGTGAAGGCGGTTCGCTTCATATTGCAGCAGAAGACAGACAGTTAAACCATCCACCCGCACAAGGCATTCATCTACCTCGACTTCGTTGCTATACTACTGAGTGACGACTTCGTAGACGTATATCATCAAGCTGCTTATTCCGGGAGGCATACGGCTTAGCGACAAACTAGGTTCGTCCCTTATTCCCCCAAAAGGGCTGCCTATTCCCCGCGTGCGGCGGACTTGGTGACCTCGTCGCCATCATTATGATGCAGCTATGCGTCGCCGATCGCACCAAGAATGTCCACGCCGCATTCGAGCGCTGTTGAACGACCCTGAAAATCACCGAGGATCGGAATGGACGCCGGAAAAAGAAATGGACCACATTACCAGGGACAGTTGACAATGTCCAATCGCACAATAGACCCATAAGCCTCGGAAAATGCTTCTATCAAAGGCAAGATCTCGATTACTGCCTTGGAAATAAGCTGGCAGCCGCATGTGCGGACAGCTGGCCGCGGGGATGGGGGGCGGAGTGAGATAGCCGTTGCAGGGACGATTGGATATTCAGACGGGACGCTAATCCCGTAGGCTAATCAATTGCAAACGGTCTACGCAGGCAGCAGGGTGGTGGATGATGGGGAAGGCGGGGTGCTCAGTCACTACTATTCATAGAGCAGTGTTGCTGAGAATGCCGACCCCCGGTAACGACAAGGTCGCATGAGTCGCGAAGACACAGGCATGAGCTTCCTGTTCTTTAAGATGAAGCATGGCAGCTTGCCAACGGTATGTTGGGCTCCTCTGACACCGCCCACGCAACGGAGAGAAATGCGCGGCCAGCTCTTATGGAGCCTGTTAAATTCTTAGTCTCCGCACCGCTAAATCGCGAAACAGCAATGGAGTTACCAGTACAGAAGCCGACAGAATGCCGGTCTGTGGTGGCTGCTGAGAAGAACTGTCTGATGGGTGCGTGAAGAAGAAAAGAAAAGGTTGCCAGCCGCGAAAGAGTTTTGTCTCCGTCAATGGCGCTAGCCCGCTTTTGGTTGGCGCCGGCGCTTGGGCCTCTTGACTGCCTGAGGCATCGATAGCCCTCTGACCTCTTCGAAACCGATCACTTCTTTCTCTTACGAGACTCGGTAAGTAATGGACATTGAACCCTTGCAGACAAGAAAGACCCTGGGGTCGAGCGGCTGGATCAGATGTCGCTTCTATGATTCAGTATGTTATCTTTGCAATTTCCTAAGATGAACGAAGGGAAAAGCGGACGCAGGTAGTCACTAATGATACTTATACATCCGATTTTTAGTAACAGTGTTAGCCCCGAAGCTCTTGATGTGCCCCACGCGCATCAATCGTCAGTGAGGTCTACCACAGCCACAGTCTCCGCAACTCTCCGCCTCACGTCCCTCCCAGCCCCTTCAGCATTCTGTAACCTCGACGAGCGGACCAACGCCTCCGAAGCCTTCCGCTTCCTCAGCTCTCCGGCCGCCGCAGCCACCGCTCGCCCATCCTTCGCTCCCTCCTCGGGCGCCTCCTCCTCCCTCCGTTCCACGACGCGCTCGTACTCCTCCAGCCCCAGCACCGCCCTCAAATCCACCCCGGCACCCACCAGCTTCTCCATCCACCCACCGAAAGACTTCAGCCTCCCTTCCCACGCGGCCCTCACATTCCGCTTGTGCACCGCGTCCCAGTCGATCTTCGTGACGACCAGCGCCTCCGGGCTGCCGCCGCGCAGAGTCCTGTGCGTGCACTCCGTCCGCGGCGTCGCGTCCAGCATCTGGTGCAGGTGCGCGCGCCGCTGCCGGCCGACGGCAAACTCGATGCGGTGGCGGCGCGCGTCGGCCAGGAAGGCGTTGAGCGGCGCGCAGTTGGCTGCGCAGGTGCAGCGGACGGGCGGGCGCACCCACCGGCGGCTGCCGTCGGCGACGTCGGGCTCGCTGGGTGGGATAGGAGGGGTGGGACCGACGAAGCGGTCGTGGTAGGCGGTGATGGTTGTGGCAAAAAGGGTCCTCAAGTCTTCGTGGTGGGGTTCCGTGATGGTTGTTTTGAGGGCGAGAGAGTGCAGGAAGGGGAGGAAGAGCGACTCGAAATCGAGGGGGTTGATGCGGGTGGTCTGCGCCCCGAATTGGCTCGTGAAAAGGGAGAGCTCGTGACGTAGCGTGTCATCTTCGATGACGTGCATCGTCAGTTGGACAAGGGAGTCGCTGTCAAGACATGGAATGCGTGGCGGCTTCGGAGGAGGGTCCAGGGACCGTGGTCGATAGGGCTGCTCATTGGCCTTCATTCGGACGTCCTTGGGATCCTGCGTGATATCGAAGCTGGCGAGCATCGTGGCAAACACGGCTTTGAAGGCTGCCTGCCTTGTCTCTTCGGAGATGGGCATCTCTTTGCTGTGGATGGCGAGCAGGAAGCTGATCAGAGCTGGAGTTGTTCCGGCAAACTTCTCCATGACAGAAACGATACTGGTGATGTGTAAGCTTGCATATGCAAAAGGAAATCAAATACAGTACTTACTCTTTCAGCCTTCGCGGGGTGAGAACGGTTGCCAAGGCGGGGCCGTCCTCAACATAGAGCTTTGGTACCTGACCAAAGAGTTCCAGTAGCTGCAGCTCGATCCATGCAGATAACTCTGCTGGTACCTCTTCTTGACCCTGGCCTTCTAGTGCGGAGATAGCTGCAGCCCATTCGTAGATGATCAACTTCCGGGGAAGTAGATGTTGGAGGCTGTAACATTTTAGTTTGGTTACGCGTAAACGGAACATAAATACTTACCGTTCGCAGATCAGAGAGAAATCAACTCCTCCTCGCCCAATCCATTCTCCAACTCTCACCAAGGTCTCTGTCGGAAGCTTGCCGGTCATTACAGAAGTGACTTCCCGGAACAAAGACGAGTCGTCTAGCGCGATGCTGGAAGTAATTATAGCGCCTGCAAGCGCGTCTTCCTTTATCTCAACCGTCTCGCTTCCCCATCCCCTACGAGATTCCTTCTCTTTCTGAGCATGCGCAAGTGCTTCATGGCAAACGACCATCAGCGTATGAGCCGCGTGACTGTCAGATGGTGTCTTCTCGCATCGTTTCCCAAGAACTGTAAGAAGCTCCACCATTCTTGCCGATACCGGGGGCGCAAAGAACCCACCGGCGACCCAAAAGGTGCTGGAGGTTTTCTGCTTGTACTGGTTCAAAAGAAAACTGCCCTCGTTCTCTACTGGCATAATAACAACAGCCTGGAAAAAAGAGTCAGCCCCCTAAAGTCACACAAAAGCTCGAGCACTTGCCGTCCTTCGCCACCACTCATCCGTTTCTATATCTAACCGGCTGCCATATTTGAAAACTTCATGCTCGTTCGCATCCGGCTTGTCGTCCTGCAATGTATCGTACCCCAAAATCTCACTTGGGCTCAACACAACATGCTCCGCGACGCGCCCGCCATCGAGCAAGAATACCCTCACGAGCCTGACAGCCTCATCTAAGACCTCCTCGTCGAGCGTCTTCCTGGCGCGCTCCACGCTGGCCAAGAAGATAGCGAAGCCAAGTTCGTTGCAGATGCTCTGCAGCGCCCTCACAACAGCCTCGTCTGCTCCGCTCAGGTTCCCCACTTCCAAGGAGATATCAATGCGAGGATCACGGCTGCTCCTGGCCACGTTTTCGATGCTGCTCTCGCCGGCGTCGTATCGTCCCTCCAGGGGGTACACGTACTTGTCGTTCTTTTGGAGATCGGACGCATGCTCTTGCTTCCACCTGCGTAACACGTCTTTAAGATCGGCTTGCAAAGCCGCCGCTAGTGGAATCGAGCCTGCATTAACGTGCTGGGCCGCAATCGCAGACAGTGCTTGGAGCAGATCCGTTTTCACGTCACCGCTGCTGGGCCGGCGGCTGAGCGAATTAGAAGTAGAAGAACAATCCGAGCGTGACGGGTTCGATTTTGCGGCAGTTTTGCCGCGGCGAGCCATTGTTGTACTCACAACGCGGTGTGAGACCCCTAGTTCAGAGAGAATTGGAGCGAAGAGTCCGAGGAAGAGTGAGGAAAGAAGAGAACCAGAAGAGTAAAATGAAAGAAGTAATAAACAATTCTCTCAGGAATTCTCTCTACCTCTTCCGTTGACTTCAAGATAGCGCGACTACTATGTAGATCTACGCGCTAGGGTGGCCTAAGGCAAGGATCTTGATTCAGACATACTATTATCAACAACACGGCAATCTCGCAGAAATCACGAGATGCGCATTATTGGGTTGACGGATTGTGGCAGTTGAGAATAGTCACAAATTTTTCTTTGTTCATCTTAACTTACAAACTTCTTTCCGGCATAACACTGTCGCGACCTCGTATCTGCTACAACGGGTCGGAAGCAATTATATAAATTTATACTCAGGAATGTGGTATCTCTGATGGCGCCCTCGAAAGTTCTCGTACAGCAATCGTTGTCCCTTTACAGATTCTCGACCCTGCTTCTCAAGCGCATACGCAGCCTCCCCTCCAGAAACGCCTTTGTCCCTTTCTAAACAAAAAGAAAAAGAGAAAAAAAAAAGCAACCGCTTCTTTACCTTGCCCACCCATACTCCTTGAAGTAGCAAAAGTGAAGCAAAGATATGTTTAGAAAGCAAAGACCCATTAACACACCATCAAAAAAGGCCCCACCCATCTACTCACACACTCACTCGAGCAAGGCTCCCAGGATCAAGCTCTGAATCACGAACTCGTCTCCCACAACCTTCACCTTCCTCCCACCCACCTCAACCACCTTCACGCCTCCAGTCTCCTTCTCCCTCTCAGCGCCAACGCTCTCCGCAAAAGACGCCACGACCGAGCTCCCCACCGTCCTCTCCGACACCGCCGACGCAAACGACGTAGGACCGGCACCACCACCAGCAGCGGCGGCACCACCACCACGCTTCCTCTTCTTCCCCGCCGCCACCGACGGAGTGGCAGCAGCAGTAGCAGCAGCAAGACTCGGGAAGAGCTGCTCCTCCGCCCCATCCACGTAAACCCAATCCCACACCTCCTCGCCGCTCTCCAGCCGCTTCCGCGCCTCCTTCACATCGCGGCACCAAGCGACGCGCGTGGCGCCCATGGCCGACGTGAGGAACCGGTACGCGCGGCCGCGCTCGGCCTTGGACAACACGAGGAACACGCTCTTTCCCTCGAGCAGGCGCTGGCGGCGGCTCAGCACGGCTTCCAGCCTCGCGTCGTCGCCGGCCGGGTCGTAGTGCGAAGCGAGGACGCGGCTGCGGACCGCGCCGGACAGGAACGCCGACTCGCCGGCGGGGAGGAGGTAGAGCTGCCAGGGGCGGAGGGTGTGAGATGACAGGCAATCCAGGAGCCAGTGATACGAGAGGCACGGCAGGCCCAGGGCGAGAGCTTGGATGTATTTGGCGCGGCGAGAGTGCTTGTCGGAGATGAGTGCGACGAAGCCGAGGGCACTAGCCTGTGCGTTCAATGTGAGGGTGGCAGAAGTCGACTCTGAGGATCGTGCGGCAGCCTTCTTCTTTTCGGCAGGCGTGGCTTTGGGAGTTTTCGAGACGGTAAGAGGCGTTTTCATAGGGCTCGTCGCGTCTGAAGTACTGCTTGAGAATAGGATCTCAAACCCAGGGTCGAGGACACGGCCGCCATTTTCAAGAATGAGCTTAGTGATACTATTGCGCTCATCATCAGGTCCATGTAGTGTCAATGCAAAGGCCATGCCGGAGAAGAGACTGGAGGTCAAAGGTGGTGGTGCAGCAGTACCAGGACGCTGAACGGACCCTCCAGGTGTCGGAACCACCGTCCGGCGAGTCTTCCCAGAAGCCGGCGTGCCGGGAACAGACATGTTTGTGGAAGGCGTCTGCGGTCGCACATTGACTTCAAGAGCCTCGGATGGGTGAGAGAAAACGCGATCTTTGAAGTGAATCCACATAGAGGTCGTGATGTAGAGGTAGGCCAAAGGGACTTCCACGGTCTCTGCTGAGGTGCCTCGCGGCTTGGCTTCGAGGACGACTGTTTTAGCACCGTAAACATCTGTAGGGACAGTTGTCTCTTCGGTAGTGGACTCCTCAACCTGCTCAGCAGATAGAATGTCCTTGAAAGCCCGTACAATGTACGTGTGCTTCCGCATATTTGGAAGATCGACTTTGACTACGTCGCCATCCTTCAAATGACAGCTGCGTACATGCATCTTCTCAATATTTACGACAGTACCATCGTCAAAACGAACGCGATACTGACCCCCGTCATTGAGTGAGCGGCCAAGGCAAGTAGCGGGGTAATATGCAGATTTGAAGCCTTTGAAGAGCGCGAAAATTCGGTTGGGGGCGACAATCTGGGTAGGCTCAGCCAGAATCTCTTGTGCGTTGTCCTGGTGTGAGGCAGGGTGATCATTGGGTTCTTCTTGCTGATCCTCGTCGACATCCTCATTCTGCACTGCATTGTCCAGACCTTCCTGCTCATTCGTAGGGTCTGCAGGCTTCGCACGTCTTTTGCCTGACACCTCTTTCGATCGGACCTGAGGCTTCTCAGTAGCTTTAGGACATTGACGAGCACTCCTTGGCTTAGTGGACTCTGCCGCGGTACCCTTTTCTGATTGCTTTTTCGGCGGCTGGTTCTCGGCTAGACGGCCCAAAGCTCTAGCTTTCTTCAAAGCGGCAGGCTTGGTGAAAACCATATCTGCTTCAGCAACTTGCTCATTCTCATTCGTCTCCACGTCTTGAACTAGTTTCCCATTCTCCGGAGTGGGAGACACGGACGGCGGCCTGTTCGCCTTCTTAGGTGATTCGCGCAGAGCTCGATGGCCATACGTCTTCATGCGCTTAGCGGGACGGAAGGGCGATGAGCCAGAGTCGGGACGTGACAAAGCCATGACTTCCGCAAACTCTCTATCGTCGTCGTTCAAGATCTCCATAGCATCTTCCAGCTCATCAAGCGGCTCGTTGCGTTGGGAAGGGTCTGCAGCGATGTCGGTGAGACGACGAACAGGACGAGAGGATCGAGGTGTTCGCTGGCTTGAATGCTTCAAGGGGCTTTGTTGCGACTTGCGAGGCGAAGCTGGAGCGGAAAGGTGTGCATGTGCGGTGTTGTAGTAATTTGTTCCCCGAGACTTGGTTACAATGGAGGTAGCGTCGTTTTGATCCTCTTGCTGACTAGCACTTGGTGCATTATCTGCCGCGGTGTCGTTGTCGGCGTTTTGAGTAGTATCGGCATTTGCAGCAGAGTGATCCGCTGCTTGCTGTTGAGAGGAAGAAGCAGGTTCCTCATCAAATGGGTCTGTTTCAGGAATTGTGTTTTGCGTTTCCCCCGTTTTCTTTGCTTGTGTTGCGGTCATGTTCGCGTTAGCTTCTCCTCTTCCGACATTCTCACTGTTGTCTTCGTGATCATCAGCAACATCATGCGCCTCTTGCTCTTTCTGTGTTTTGGCCATCTCATCCGCTTCCACACGGTCTCCATGGCCCCCTACATGACCTTCATCCTCACGAGCGACAACAGTGGCAACCTCATCCTCATCATCCCCTTGCTCACTGCCTCTGCTAGAGGAATCCATGTAATCGGGTCCTTCGTCATCATCCATTTGGGTACAGTCAGGCTTATCGTAGTCGTCGTTCATGTCCATCCCGTCGTGATCCTCGTGGTCATATCTCATATGATCACCATTGTCACTTTCGTCATCATCATCCGCGGGCGGAAATATCGGCGGACTACTTGGAATTTCTTTCTCTGCATCTTCCGCATACCCGCTGTCGCCAAGCCCCGCAACAATCTGGCTGGTATTAACGGGAGGTCGGGGAATAGACGAAGTCTTGAGTGTCTTGCTGATGTGTGCGTCCACCTCCGCGCGCCTACCATCGGTCATGGCCGAATACTGTGATTGTGCGATGCGAGTGTCCAGGGATGATGCGTCAGGAACATGGGTCGGCATTGGGTTGCTATCCTCCTGGGTCTGCGAATTATGTGGTTGAGAATCGGCAACTGCCACCTCATCCCCGGCTTCGAGAAGTTTCTTAAATGTTCTGTTGACATGGCTCTGACTCTTCTTAGCACTGATTTGACTGCTAGGGGTACCATCTGTAACCAAAGGAGATTCAGCATCATGAATTTGTCGACTTTGCACAGAGCTCCGTGGTCGCGAGGAAGTCATGGGGACCTGCACACCGTTCGGCTGGGACAATCGTAGGGGTTTTTGGATGGTCGGCGGATCAGAGATTAGCTCATCTTCTGAGTCCGAGTCTCCTACCTCATCCGGGATCTCCACAACCGCCTTCTGCTTGAGATTTAACCTGGCAGGAGTGAACAAAGCCGTATCGCTCCGAGTAAGTGCAGGATTCCTTATGTTGCCGTTTATCCGGTTCTTCAGGAATCGTATTTCGTTTTCAATTTCAGCCCTATCGTTTTTCCTTTGTTCATGTGCTTTGTCGTCTTCGAACTCATCCCATCCCTCAGACTTGAGTTGTTCAAGCTCGACTTCCATTTCAGCCACGCGTTGACGATCGCGCACATCCTGAGATTCTTTCATGGACGTGTATGTGTCTCGAGGCTCAGTAGCTGCGCGAGAGAAGGGACTTTGATATGGTTTCGTAGGGGAAGACAGGTTAGTGGGAGCATCGGATGAGAATCGCATGTTGAGGTTCGGCGAAGGGCGTTGGAAGATTGGATCGGAGCGATGAGCATCGAGCTGCGGCGAGGAGTTTCCTTGCGTATGGTTGAACATTTGGCTCATAGAGAACACTGGCATACCGGTGCCATTGTTGAACAGGCTGGGAGTAATGGCAGAGCCGGGCGTGCGCGTCACTGAACTCAGCACCTCCCCAAGACGGCTACGCTTCTTCCCAGTTGTCGCAGGCGTCTCAGGCTGCGCGAATCGCGGTTGGGTGACTGCATCTATCTGCATATCCGGACCAAACTTGTCTGCCTCCACATCATCCGTGGAGCCATCGAATGACACTTGCGTCTCTGTGGCATCGTGCTTCTTCTCCGGACTTTGCCAGTCGCTGAGAAGGTCGACATGTCCCGTATGGCCCTCCTGATAGGTCGCTTGCTCGACATTGTCTTCTGTCTGGTCCGTGTTGCCGACCACACCTGGCGCAACCTTATGTGTGAGCATCGCCTTAAGTCCGGTCGAGTACTCTCGGTACAGCTGCGAGTCCATGGGCTGGGTGTCACCACCCTCGAACCCGCTAAATGAGTTGTACATCCTGCGCTGCGTGTACTGCGACGCGTCGAACGGCGTTGCTGCGGAAGCGACAATTGGAGCGGATCGGTGCGGCGTTAGGTGCGGGATCGGACGGGCATTGAGGGCAGACGAGCGGCAGGTACGGCGGGGATGACGGGCGGTGCAATGGTCAAACGGCTGCGGGTCGTGTGCGCTTGGCGAATTCGACAGCGATGCGTTGTGGTGAGCGTCGGGGTTGTGGTGGTGATTCTCGTCGTCGATGGCGATAGCGGCGTTTGGCGCGTTGCGGTTGGCTGGTGCTGCGGCGGGGAGCTCAGGCAGACGCGACGCGTCGGGCTGCGGCAGAACTGGACTCGAAGTCTGCGGTGAACAAGAGAAATGGATTTGTGAGCGGCAACTTTTCTCTCCAAGTCATGTACCTGGCACGTCCAGCACCGACGGAGCGGTGCGACGTGCACAATGAGTGCATAAAAGCGGGATATGCGCGCGGGCTCCGCTGGGGCAAACCGGGGTGGTGCGCAAGGGCGCGGGAAAGAGCTGCATTACATACCAACATCCTGATCTCCGCTATGCGCTGCGTGTCCAGCGTGTCCTCGTCGTCCTCCATGATGGCAGATGTGTTGGAGAGTTCTGCGAAGCCGTCATTAGGCAACAAAGACGCCAGACCTTCATGGCTAAATGTGTTAGGTCCCCGACGCGACTGCCACCACAACGCGCTAACACGTGCCCGTAGGCCCAATTCGGCAAACAAATTAAACCATGCGTCATGATGCCACTCTTCTACACTGCCACGCGTTTCTCGCGGTTCCACGGTTCGATATATTCTGCCAATACACGCTCGATAAATACATGAAATCCTCAAAAATCCATACACCGAGCGCCGCAACAGAACCCGACGACTGATATGCGCGTGAAAAGACATGCCAGCTGAACGCTGCACGCAGTGTTGCGTAGGAGTCTACGTCGAGACTCTATAGAACTGCAGGCCCGTCTTGATATCCCCAAACTTCGCATTCCAAATGTCAGTAAAATAGCTCTTCCTCGCCACCCACGGGCCCTTATCACCCGCCTTGGGCAGCGCGCCTTCCGCCTTGTGGAGATACGTCGAGCTGAGATTCAACACCGGCATCGGCTTCAGGTCTTCTGGGCTCTCAATGCGCGGCACAGCGCTCGTGATACCCTTGCCACGCATGTGCTTGATCAGACGCGTCACGAGTTGGGCCGTCGCGTCCGCACCCAGCGTCCACGAGGCGTTGGTGTAGCCGATGACGTATGCCAGGTTGGGGACGTCCTGCAGCATGAGCCCTTTCCAAATGAACTTCTTGCCCGGATCGATCCGTTCCCCATCGACGTTGATCTGAGCGCCGCCGGCCAGTTGGACCTTTAGCCCTGTGGCGGTGACGATCATGTCGACATCGTCGATACGCGAGCCATCTTCGAGCTCGATGCCGCCGTCGACGACGGTTTTGATCCGCCCGGTCGTGATGGATGCCTTTCCTTCTTGAAGCGCCTTGTAGAAGTCGCCATCCGGACACATGCACATACGTTGTTCCCACGGGTTGTAGTTGGGGACGAAGTGCGGATCATGGGGAACGTTCTTGGGGAGTTGCGGGACGGTGCCACGGCGGATGAGGGTTCGCGCGACGTTAGGGAAGACGCGGCAGAAATGATAGAAGAGGTAGCTTGTTATCAGAAAACGCCAGCGGATGAGGGCATTGGCGAGCGAGGCGGGGAGGATTGAGCGGGCGATGTGGTCGAGGGGCCGAACAGAAGGAAGGGAAACGATGTAGCCAGGCGAGCGTTGAAGCATGACGACGTGAGAGGCCTTCTCTGCGAGATTCGGAAGGAGGGTAATGGCGGTCGCGCCGCTGCCAATGATGACAATCTTCTTGTTCGAGTAGTCCAAGTCTTCAGGCCAAAACTGCGGATGCACGATGGAACCCTTGAAATTCTCGAGACCCGGGATGGTTGTCTGCAGCGGCTCATTGTAGTCGTAATAGCCCGTGGCCATGATCATGAATGACGAATTCAACCTCTTTCTTGTGCCATCTCCATCGACGTCCAATGACCATGTCTGGGATTCCGAAGACCAATTGGCCGACAAAAGCTTATGACGGAACTGGATATGCTGGTCAATGCCGTATTCCGCTGCCGTATCCTTGATGTAGTTGACAATGGACGGTCCATCCGCAATGGCATTTTCCTTGGTCCAGGGGCGGAAAGGGAACCCAAAAGTGTAAAGGTCCGAGTCGGAGCGAATGCCAGGATACTTGAAGAGATCCCAGGTACCGCCCATATTATCGCGCGCTTCCAGAATCGTGTAGGTTGTGCCTGGCGGCAGCTGCGTTTGAATTCGGTAGGCGGCATTGACACCAGAGATGCCAGCCCCGACAATGATGATATCGTAGTCGGTTGGTTTTGCGGCCATTGTTGTGGTTGCTGTAGCGTTGAAGTTAGGTGTGGCGTGATGTCGATCAAGCCCGGCAGAATATGTTCTGTTTGAGGCGGGATCTTGCTGCAGAGGCAGAGTTGTCGCGAAAAAAGAAGTTGGCGTGTGAGTGGGCGCGGTTTGAATGTTGCAGCTTTGCGGTCAAGAGGCAGCACGATTCTTTATAAATCAACGGGAGCAACGGAAATCGCGACTGATACAGGTGGTATGTGCCTCGGTCTTGTTACCCGCAATTTTTATGGGGGGCTCCACTTACGCAAATGTCCTCCATCGGCCGAAAAATGATGCGCCGCCAGAGCCAGCACTGGAGGCCAAGCTTTTGCTGTGCGGCGCACAAATCCTGGGGCAACACCGAGGCATCTTCTCCTTTCGCACAAGCGTCAGACGGCTGCACACTACACATCTAGCTGCGAGCCAGTCCGGCGCCTACGTGCGTATTCCCCTCGTGCCGAAAGGGTTAGTTGGATCGATATTGACGTAGCTTGATGCTTGAACTCTGCTGGAAGAGCGATCATTGCCGTTGCATGGCTACGCTAGGAGTCCTCGGACAGCGAGATGGTGGCGAGGGCATACTAATCGCTCTAGCCAGTGCGAGGAACCCAACTTTGGCCCTTATAATCCTACAATCGTACCGAGGTCGTCTTGTAGAGATCTGATGTGGTGCACCAATCAGAAACCGTGCGCTTAACTCAAAAGTCATGTATTTGCCCTATTTGGAGACGCTCCCACGCACATGGCTCCGCTTGGAACCCGAACACGAAGGAGAGACAACACCGGGGAGACTCACATGGCCGGTCCATGAGCCCATATATTTCAAAGTTGCCGAAACGGAGGGATTCATACAGCCGACTCCTGTGTCTACCAAGAGCCTTTGCAGGAGGGGACGCTGTGGGGTACGGGTGGTCATTTGACGTGGCGCGTACTGTACCTTCCGGAGCATGGACAAATGGCGGACCCGAATGTAAAGCCGTATAGGGAGGGATGTCTGCAGCCACGAATGTGGAGCCGCACGGGCACGGAAGCCGTCGGCATCCGAACTGATCGTCATCAGAGCAAATATTGGCGGTAGATCGCGTACCATTCTTTCCAAATTTGGTAAAAATGCATCAACTACTGGAGGCGGGAGTCTTGGGCATCTATACATCCTTTCTGATATCCAAATATCTGTCGCAGACCCATCTTCCTTCTAGCACGCAATCTACTCATCTTTCAGGACGTCTATGATCCAATGTAATCCTTCCTTACTTTCCGGTATTCCGTAGAACCAGGCCAGCGGAAAGCAATGCATCTGCTTGTCCCAATGCAACCATTTACCCCAGACACCTCCTTTCTCCAACCTTTCCCTCAATAATATTGCGTCAGGGCTGAGAATGTCGTAACCTGCCGTCACTCCGTGCACCTTGACCTTCTTCTCCGAAAGCAGCCGCACCAGATTATCTTCGGCGTCATGATTGATAGCCGGGCTGATTCGCTCGTCATCAAGTGACCAATCGCCTGCCCAATCTTCCGCCTGCTGCTTACTCTGCTCGGCGATCAATATCGGGTCCTTATCCTGGAGTGCCTCGATGTCACCATTCACGCGACGAGCGTCCACGCTGGGGCATATGATCAGAAGAGCCGACGGCGCCGGCAGTGGCTTGATGCCAACCCTTTGCTCGACCGGCAGGGACTCGTCAACCGCGAACTCCTGAACCTCAGCCGATGTCGTCCCGCGCTCGAGTTCAGGTCTCGACGCCGGCTTCAGCTCAGTCTCTCCATTAACGTCACTCTGCCCCGCAGCGCCATCGTGCTCAACATGAACAGGTTCATTCGCGGGAGGTCCCGACCTGCCCACGCGCAGTGCCTCTCCAATGAGCCCCAGCACAATGTTTCCTCCACTGCTATCCCCGCCCCAAAGAGCGCGCTCTCCCCTCTTAATCGACTCCTCCATAACCTTTTCATACAAGGTTAACAGGCGCGGAAAAACGGTGCTGGCTGTTTCGTTGGGAGCGAGCGGCACGCTGATAACGCTGACGGCGGTGCCGGGCGTGGCGGCAGCCAGCTTGGCCATGAACTTCCAGTGCTGGTGGCTGGGCGGCTCGCGCCAGCTGCCCCCCGCGATGTAGTACAGCCGGCGCACGATGCCAGTGTTGCGCGACGAATTCTTCTCCAGCGTGTCTTCCTCTTTGGCCTCGCGCGCGATCTCGCCCGCCGTCGTCAGGTGCGATGCCGCAACCGAAGCCGTGATTTCATGTGTCGTCTGGAAAGTCTCCTCTGGCTGCAGGTCGTAGATCCACACGTCGGCGACCTTGCGCTCATGGACGGCGCAGATTTTGGTGCATGACGGGTGCGGGGTCAGGCGTGGAGAGCCTGGGGGGTGCGGATCGCTGGGCTTGACTAGATGGCTGCGGAACGGCCTGAGGAACTGATGGAGGAGGGTGGTGCGCCCGCGACGTTCGGACCGGTGCGTCAGATCGATGTGAGACTCGTCGCTGGTGGAGTTGACATCGGAGTTTACGTGCTCGGTGCTGCTCTCTTTGAAAGCAATGTCTGATTCGTCGCCGCCCATGACGACGGTGGAGTGGAAGCTGTAGAGGAAGAGGGGAGCAGGGCGTAAAAAAAGTAGGAATATAAGTTGGGACTTGCGGAGCTTAATCCGGGCGGCGTTCGCAAACAGGTGTAGATCAGTGGTGGAGCACCTTCGTCATAAGGCAGCCCAGGAAGGATAGAGAAGGAACGCCGCTGGTGGCGGCGAAGACAACACAAAGGGGACAGTAGGACGCCCACCTACGTTATCGCACAGTGCCCACCGGCGGAGTGCCTGTGGCCTCGTGGCGCCGCATCCTTGAGAGGGGAGTCAACGTCATCCAAGGCTAGGCCCGTGAGGCTCGGGGGCTGATCTATGGTTCAGATCGATTAGCCAAGGACCCTGCAGAGGCGGCTGGACCTCAACCGTCCCCGAGTTAGGATAAGCTGATGCTTCATGAAGAGGAGGCTGTGCACTTGAGGAAAGCTGTTCGAAGTTCGCTCATGCCAACGTTCTGGACGACGCGGAGGTCAGCGGAGGACGGTGCCGATCCCCACTCGGCGTGCCTTGACTGGCGTCATCGCTCCCGCCCGCACTTGCGGAGACGCATCCTTCAGTGGGTCCGCAACCCATTTCTTCAACACGCCTTTCTCCTTTCTCCCATGGCGACCAAGAAGGCACAGTAAAAAAAAAAAAAGAAAAGAACGCTGCAATATAAGGGTCTTCACAGCACCCTACTTTTCGTGCAGCAGACTAATAGGTAGATTAAAATGAATAATAGCTAGGCGGTTCTGAGAGGCCCCGCTAGTCAGCTTGAGTCAACCCAGATAGCACAAGAGACTCGCGTCTATGGAGCTGACAGTGGTAAAACAGACATTCGTCATTCGAAGAAACACTGTCTATCATCCACCATTATCAGCCCTTCCCCCTCTCCCTCTCAATTCTCGCTCTTACATCTCTCACCAACGCCTTGGCATCCTCTACGTCCACACCATCCTGACACAGCTCGTTCGCCAACTCCATCGCACGCTGGTAATCCTTATTGAAGAATGCCCACCTAGCCAGCCACATCCTCGCCTTGCTCGTCGTCGGTGTTACGCCGACGCCCAAACTCTCACCGTCGCCCAGGCTTCCTGGACTATTTGGGTCATCGGGATCAGGTTCTGGTCCTTCCTCCTGCGCCAAACAAAGCTCCATGTATGCGGCGCACTCTTCGCGGTCATCGAGGCGCTCGTACAGCAGCGCGATCTGGTACAGTGTCTCAGGATCGAGAATGCCGGATGCCAGCGCTCCGCCCTCGCCCGGGTTGCCGCCGAAACTGCCGCTGCCACCGTCATAGTAGCTGCCTGCGACTAACGCGCGCTTGTAGGCGCGGATTCCATTGGCGATCTTACCGACTTCTGCAAAGCACTTGCCTACGGCCTGCCACATCTTGGGATCGTAGGGCCGAAGACTCGCTGCGCGCTGGAAGTAGAACAATGCGTAGCTGTACATTTCGAGCATCTCGTACGTCTGCCCAAGACCGTACCATGCGCGGTAGTCCTTGCGATTGACATCGACTGCGCGCCGGTATGATTCGATGGCTGCGTGTGTGTTCTTCATCTCGACGTATTCGTGACCCATTAGCGTCCACGCAGATAGGAAGTTTCGATCCAGTGTGAGCGCACGGCGGAAGTACATGACAGCCTTTTCGTGTTCAGATTTAAGCGAGTAGTAGTTGCCGACCACGCAACAGGTCTCTGGTCGAAATTTATCGTTGGCTGTGGCTAGTTGAGCGAGAAAGGCCAGTTTCGGACGGAGAGCCATGACGTAGAGAATATTGGAGTAGTTGTCGAGAGCGTCAAGGCGATAGGGATCGGTTACAAGGAGTGAGGAGAAAATTGATTCGGCTTCCTCAAAATCTTTTGAATGATAGTAGAGCAGTGCTCGTTGTGTTTTGAGAAAAGCACTGTTGGGGAAAATGGTCTGGACCTGCGTGAGCTCATTGTGGATCTGCTCGGTAGATTGGTAGAGCTCCTGGCTGGTGTAGATGTGGAAGAGGAAGGTCATGAGGTTCCGAGGTAGTTGCTCCGTGATCAGGCTCAGTTCTTCTGCCGAGCTGATCAGAGATGATAGCTCTTGCCATGTACCCCAGTTGTAGGGATACAAGTGCACACTCTTCATCAACCACTGCTTCGCCAGTTCCTCATTCTTGCTCTTGGCCATGACAATGCCGTAAAGATATTCCAACCATCCTGAGCTTTCCTTGCCTTCAGCGCTGCGCTCATTGAACCAATCTTCCAGTATCCTGGAGATGCCCTTGAGCTCCTTGTTGATTGTTGCGCCACCATCGGCTGGCCCAAGTATCATTTCACTGTCCTCGTCCTTGCGCTTCTCCCCTGCCATGTATTTCGCATAGAGAGCCAAAAACAACGACTTCTGGCTGATCCCGGACAGTGAGACCGTCGCCGGCTCTGCATCTTCTGAACTCTTCGCCTTTGCTTTTCCCTTATGACTTGACTTTGACTTGGCTGGTGAAGGTGCCGACGGAGTCGGAGCGGGCGCGCCCGATGCAGATGCGGGTATGAAGACGGCGGCGCAACGGTCGTACTCGCGACAGTCGAAGAACGATTTTGCAAGAAGGAATTTGTGTAGTTCTTTCGACTCCAACGACGACTCGATGGGATCCAAGGGAAATGGACTTTTCTTCGTGGGTGGTTCTTCTTCGACCGGAGAATCAGCATCCGTATCTGAGCCATAGGTTAGGTCGGTTGACTCGAAAGAATTGAGAAGCTCGGCCGCCCTGGGCCACCATTGTCAGGCTTGCTAGTACGGCGCAGAGGAAAATCAGCAACGGACCATTTGGAGGACTGGTAGAGGCATCGCTCGTTGCACGCGACAATAGCGTGGCGGAGCTGAGCCTGTAGCTGCGCGGAGTCGCTTTCGGTGAGGCCGCTCATTGTGGTTGCAGCAGCCCCGCGCAAAGCGAACAGTGGTGATGAGCCGGTACTGATAATGTCTCGGACAGCTGTGTTTGGAAGTTCGTGTGGCTGTGCGACGAGGGCACGAATTATTGGAGCTCTCTCTCTCTTCAAGCTCGCATCGCGCGGAAGCTGTGACGAAGGGCTGTGCTTTCCTCCGCAGCGCGTAAACACGCCCGCCGGCGGTACTTCGGCGAGCCTAGGTCGGCGACCCGAATTGTTTACGCCAGGCTCCACCGCCTTCCATTGGACCCTTTGATTAGAGCTCAACACCCCTCACCCCTCCTCCATCCTCTGCCTTCCATCTCCTCGCTGCAGGCGCCAATTGCTCATTGTCATCTGTCACAATGCCCGTCACCCTCAAGGAATTCGAGAGCGTCTTCCCGCAGCTTGTCGAGGACCTGCTTGCTCACTGCAAGCAATACAGCCTTCCCGACAATGCCCTCGTGTGGTTCAAGAACGTATGTTGCTACAAGCTCCCGTCAATTGGACGACACTCACACCCGGCTCTAGAGCTTGAACCACAACACTGTCGGCGGCAAATGCAACCGCGGTATGTCGGTCGTCGATACCTCGTCCCTCCTGCTCGGCCGCGACCTGTCCAAGGATGAATTCTTTCACTCCGCCACTCTCGGCTGGATGATTGAGCTCCTCCAGGCTTTCTTCCTCGTTTCGGATGATATCATGGACAGCTCCAAGACCCGCCGCGGCAGCCCGTGCTGGTACCTCATGCCTGATGTTGGCATGATCGCCATCAACGACGCCTTCATGCTCGAGTCGGCCATCTACATCTTGCTGAAGAAGTACTTCCGCGAGAACAAGGAAAAGTACATTGACCTTGTTGAGCTCTTCCACGAGGTCACCTTCCAGACCGAGCTGGGCCAGGCTTGCGACCTGCTCACGGCCCCCGAGGACAAAGTCGACCTCGACAACTTCTCGCTCGAGAAGTACACCTTCATCGTCATCTACAAGACCGCCTACTACAGCTTCTACCTCCCCGTTGCCCTTGCCCTGCACTTCTGCGACAAGGCTACGCCCAAGAACCTCCAGATCGCGAAGGACATCCTCATCCCCATGGGCGAGTACTTCCAGATCCAGGACGACTACCTTGACAACTTCGCCGACCCGACGGTGCTGGGCAAGATTGGCACGGACATTCAGGACAACAAGTGCTCGTGGCTGGTCAACCAGGCGCTCAAGGTTGCCACGCCTGAGCAGCGCGCTGTGCTCGAGAAGAACTATGGCCGCAAGGACAGCGCTTGCGAGGCCGAGGTCAAGAAGCTCTACGATGAGCTGAAGCTCAAGAAGATCTACGAGGACTACGAGGAGAAGCGCGTCGGTGAGATCAAGAAGATGATCTCGGAGATTGATGAGAGTGAGGGTCTGAAGAAGGAGGTCTTCGAGGAGTTCCTCAGGAAGATCTACAAGCGCAGCAAATAAGCGCATGCGAGCATGAGCAGAGTGGTCGATACGCGAATCAAGACTACGAAAGATACAGTTACAATTAATAATAAAGCAGATACCCATCATGACGTCCACAAGCTAACGATGAGACCGATTCGCCTATCAGGTATTGCAATTGTGAGGATGTACTGGCAAATGCGCGACATATCTGAACAAGAGCTTCAACCACCTTGAGCACGTTGCAATTCTGAACGAATCTGCTTCATGCTTAGGTGCCTGTCATGCAAACTAGCGGGGTCAGCTCCATCCATGACTCACATGAGGGCGACAGATGGCCATTAGCATGGAATGAATAGCTCAGAGCTTAGCGCGGTTTGCTTCTCCCAACCCCAGATGCACTAAGCGAGGCACTGCAATGCATATTTTTTTTTTAGCGATATCCTGGTTACGTTTCTCACATGCTAGATCCGAAAAGAGTTCACAAGAGGCGCTGCAGTCTTCCTAAGTGGGCAATATCAGGACATGAATGAGTCCCTAAGTTCTGCCAACGTCTGGTGAAAGCGACCTTGCACATGACTTGGTTTTAGTGTGGTCAACGGGACGCGAACTTAAGGTAGCCGACGCGTCAACCCGACTAAATTCGTCAAACCTTTTCTCTCCCTCTCAACATTCGCCTACTGTTAAATCTTCATTTCTTCACCACTCGGAATCATGGTTGACATAGTCGACCTTGGAAGCGCTTCGGAGAGCGACAACGAGACATTTGATTCGGATGAGTCCAGCTCGTACGGAATCGGCCCCGATGATGTCAATGAAAATCTTGACGAGTTGCTGCGCAAAATCAACCCCTTTGGCTCTTTTGCTTGCTCCATGGAATTGAGATTGGCATTCGTAGATCCAAAGATCACCGTAGAGGGTGTAGGCCCCATCCAATTACCTTTGAATCCGGAAACTGCACGAGCGATAGCACAAGCCTGTCACCAAGCACCTTTTGGTCGAGGCGAAGAGACAGTTATTGATACATCGGTCCGGAATACGTGGGAGCTCAACCCGGCAAAGTTTTCCATAACGGAGCCGAGATGGAACAAGGACTTGATGCCCAGGGTGCTCGCCGCCGTTCAACACGAGCTTGGAGTATCCGGCACTTTCCGCGGAAAGCTCTACAAAATGCTCTTGTATGAGAAAGGCGCCATGTTCAAAGTTCACAGAGAGTATGTGGGAAACGAACTCGTATCGATCGACAGCTGACAAGCATCAGCACTGAGAAAACTCCGGGCATGTTCGGCACGCTCGTTATTTGCCTTCCCTCGCCACACGAAGGAGGCGATGTCCATGCAAGCCATGCAAAGAACACCAAGATACTGACAAGCTCAGACTGCATGCCGTCTTGAATCGCTTGGTAGGCGGTCACGCCCTATTAACTACGTGCTGCACGCTCGCTGACCTCTCGTGCCAGGTATTCCGATGTTGAGCACGAAGTCAAAGAAGTGATTTCTGGATACCGCTGGGTCTTGACATACAACCTCATAGCAGATGGGCCACCCGGATCCCTCTCGGCTACCACAACCTTGAGAGACCGTGCAATCCTCCGAAACAATCTAAAGGCCTGGAAAACCGAGTACACGTTGGACCCATCATCTCGGAGCAGAGTCGTTTACCTCCTGGATCACCAATATACCGACGCGAGTTTGCGACTGGACTCTTTGAAGAGTCAAGATCGCAAAATTGCTCTCATGTTCAAAGAAACTTGCGATTCACTTGGCCTCGAGATGTTCCTCGCCAGCTTTGAGCGCATGCGGATGGGGGCTGCGGAACCGAACGAAAGTGATGATAACAAATATGACTACTACACCGATGACGAGGACTGGGATGCTCCGGAAAGGGAGAAAAGCCACCATTTTATTGACGACGAGTTTGACAGCTCAGTGAAGTTGACGCGTGTAGTTGATCGTTTCGGCACCGAGGTGGCTACTGAGGTCGAAATCGGTATGGAAGACATCATCCAGGAGCATTCGTTCAAGGAGAACGGGCCTGACGATGAAGATTACGAAGGCTATACAGGGAATGCCGGATGCACTGCTACTCACTGGTACAGAAGGGCGGTATGGAGCAATGATATCTTGGAGAGTTGGATTTTTTTGCTGACAACTTCAGGCTTTGGTTATTGTGCCTCGAGAACATTTTGGCAAATTTCTTTTACACCAATTCGAGTGGGTTTCTCCGCTATATGGTTCACGGGGAAAACCAACCAAAGAGCAAAGGCTCCGAGGAATCATAAAGTATTTGGAGAGACAACAGCGGACGAATCCCTCCGAACCCGAACGTCGCAATAACCTGGTCCAGGTCTGCCACTATGCTTTGAACGAGCAGGAGAAAATCAACAGGAAGGACCCACCCAGAATAGAGAAGCGTGATGAGCTTCTCGGGTCCGTCGTGTCGGCTGCTGGATCTGTGAAGGATATCTCCTTATTCAACCAGGCAACTGCCTTGGTCCGCACTAAATTGCCACCCGATGATCTACAATCTGTCTCCCGATGGCTATGGACAGGTAGCTTTCAACTGCTTCGTAAAGGGTATATAATGCACTATCCAAGCGTATCTGTGCTCCACACTGATTTATATGTATAGTCTTGATCAAGCGCTTCCACGAGTATGCGTCATCAGCTCTTGGTGGGAATATTTAGTGGCCCTGAAAGACTGTATCATTAGTGCGGATGAAGATAAAGAAAAACTAGGGTTACTACAGGAGGATGAAGATTTCGAGGCGTGGAAAGAGGAGAAGCTGACACACGTTCTTCAAAATGCGTCAAAGGTTTGGTTGGAAGATTCCGCTGAACTTGCCTGGATTTGGAAATGCGAGAAAAGCACCAGTGGCAGACATGAAAGTTAAGTACAGCATGTGGGGTTTCTGCCAACCGGCTAATGTGCATAGAATTCTTCAGCTGCTTCAGAATAACTCGACCAACACTGCGGCACTGATCCGATTCTTGATATTCTTTAGCGTGAACCCAGCCCATAAAGCTGCGATCGCGGATCCTGGAACCTTCAAGACTGTACTCAGCTCCATTTTGCACGGATTCAATCTCTCTGTGGATGCTCGAACGATCACTCTAGAGGCAGCTTACCTGAAGAAAGACGAAAGGCTTCCGCCAATCGAAGGCGATATGTTGGCTGAATTTCTACTACACCTCCGCGATGTCGGTTTCCATGGCGAGCTAAGCACTCTCGCACAGAAGACTGAAGCTGAAATATCCCGAATGAATGTTTTGGATTTGGATTTCATATTCTCGGAATTCCTCGAGGGGCTTGTGAAGCCACGTTGGCATAGCCCAGCGGATCCCACGAGCCAGCCTTTCCGCTCTCTCTTTCAAACAACAATCAAACAGTACCTTTTGCGTTATGTCCGCAAAGAACCCATCAGAGAGCCCGACTGGGCCATGGACGGGGTGAGCTGCTATTGTTTGGACTGCCGGAAATTGAACGACTTCCTTCGCGACCCGACTGAGCGTGTATGGCGCTTCAGAGGAAACAAGAAGGGACGCCACCACATTCACAAGAAGCTGAACTACACACCCTGCGACCACCGCACGAACCATCAACGCGATCCGTACACCATGGTGGTAACGAAAACAGTGGACAATAACGCGCAAAAGAGAGAGCGCTGGATGAAGCGCGCGGCCGCCTTCGATGAGAAAATGAGAGAATTGGGCAAGCTTGTTGATCTGCCGCAGATTTTGGGCGATGAGTGTTCGATCATCATGTCGAAGAAGTACGCGCGGAAAGCGACGGCGGCACCCACTGGGCCAGAATCGAGGGCGCCGGTGGCGGGACCTTCTGGAACAAGACCACCTTTGGGTCCACCGCTGGCAAAGGGTACTTCCTCCGCAGCCCACAGTACGCAGCCCTTAGCGTCACAGTCTGGAAATGCTCAGCGCGCGCCTGCAACTCCGGGGCCCAGCAATGCGCGTGGGCCGACGTCGACACCGCTGAGGAATACACCTGGGTCGAGGGAGTCGGTCAAGCGCAAGGCTGCAGAGATGGAAAGTGTCGATTTGACGCCGCTCAAGAATACTGAGGAGATGAGGAGAGAAGTCAAACAGAAGACTACGGAAGTGGAGGTTCTGGATCTTACTGAGGACTGATTCTGCGTGGAAGTATCTGCAAATGGTAGAGGTCTCGGCGCAAGCTTGAAACGCAAAGAAAAGAGCCTTCCGCGAGCCTTTATGCCTTCGATCCATCTTCATGCCGAGTACTATTGCCGTCCGCTGCGCACTCGACGGCTGTTTCACGTCGCAGAGTCGCGACCGATTGGGAAGGCAGCGGAATGTCGAGCGTGACAGCTGCCGCCAATTCCGTCGTTCCTTCTCTCGGAGGGTAATTGGTCCCTAGGCCGCGCGCAGCTGGCTGCCCTTTCCTCCTCATGCCATTCGTTCGCACTTTCCCGAGGTGATCATAGAAGCGGCAGCGACACATCTTCAAGTTCGTCCGGAGATCGGCTTCTTCTACTCTTCACAACTCACCACCAACAATCTACGACCAGTGTGACCTCACCGTTGCTGTTGCTGGACCCTGACGTTCGTCACATCTCGCACCATGGCAGTCGATCGTCGTGCCAACACTTGCACCCTCAAATTCAAAGATGACCAGAGCTCACAACGCCTCTTCACGCTGAGCAGCGGTCTCCAGACAGTCGATGCATTCACAGAGTCACTTGACTCACAACCGCAAGACCAGCCATACTTGAAGGTTCCCCATGACCCCGGATGTCAATGCGGCCGGCCTCACAGCCTGGAAAATTCTCTCATGGTCTCGGTAGACGGTGCTTGCCGTGGCAGCGGAACGCTTGCTGCCCATGCCGCCATTGGTGTCTTCTTCAGGAGTGGATCGCCTTATAATCAAACGGCCATATACCTCGGAGGGGAGGTGAAGCATACCAAGCAGCGTGCTGAACTTTACGCTGGAATCAAGGCGCTGGAAACCGTCGAAGACCTCTTCTATGGTCCCGAGATGGCCGACCTAGAAGCCCTGGATGACCTAGAGCTAGTGGTCATCAAGACTGATTCCGAGTACTTGGTGAAGGGAATCACTGAGCGGATCAACATTTGGCAAGGCAACGGATGGCTCAACATGAGGGGTCTGCCTCTCGCCAACGCGGATCTCTTTCAGCGCTTGGATGATCTTGTCGAAGAACTCAAGGAAGATGACATTACAGTCAAGTTCCTCCAGGTTCGTCGAGAGCTGAACGCTGAAGTCAGCGAATTCGCCAACAGCGCCTTCAATGGCATCCGTTGGGAGTGCCGCTAAATACACTTCGCTTCGGCTCATACCACATCAAGAACGACCAACGCAGCTTTATTTTCCTGCATACCTTCGAATATGTCGTTGCGAAAAAAGAAACAGTTTCCACGGCATGGTCAAACAAGCATGCATACAATGGAAGTGGCAGCAAAAGTGCTGCCCTCGATTTGCCACAGCAGCCGGAGTATTTCGGGGCGGCGTTGCGCGAAAATTGCGGGAAATAATTGTGGGATGTTCAGTATCCACAGATGTTACTGTACGGAGGCTCAGCACGACTCAGAACATTGCTGGATTTCGGCACGAGCTTCAGCTCTTGTTTCAGCTCCAGGTATCCTTGCCAGCGGCCAAATGTACTAGGGATCATAGCAAGTCATTGACAAGAAGTGTTTGGTGAAAGATGGTCCCACTGCGAAGAACTAATTTCGTAGGTTGATCTCCGGATCTTCTGCGCTTTGTGGAATTGAGGATCGAGACCTCACGAGAGGCCCGCACATTTTTGCGTGCTCCTCCATGGCAGCGAGACCTTCCCCACAACGCCGGCTCGCGGATGTCTGTGCGGGATCCACCAATGTCTTCACACGTGTCCATCTTGCCTCGTGCGCTCAACGCACAATGCCGCCTGCTCACAATGCGTCCTTTCTCCACGGTCCGAGAGGTCCGACCCGCCCGGCTGCAGTCTTGCGGTCTGAGGATAGGGAGCGGTTTTTGACCGCACAGTGGACCGGATGAGTTAAAAATGCGAGATGTAGCCGTACCGGCCGCTTCTTCACCTGATTCTCCGCTACCCCGTCAATCGTTCTTCTCGATCGTTACCGTGTTTGACAAGTGTTTCGACGCTCTTGAGTCCAGATCAACGACCTTCTGAACACTCGCTATCCACTGGACAAGAGCTTTTCCTGGGAAATTTGCCACCGTTCCTTCTTTAATAGTACAGACGAACTATTTTCAAGGTACTTTCTTCCCTCGACGGGCTTTGAACCATAATGCTAACATCTCCACCAAGTCACCCATTGCCTCCACACCCGAAATACAGAAGCACCAAACAGCAAGAATGGTCCACCACGCCCACAAAACCTGCACCGACTGGTCCTCGACCCGCCTCTACGACCCCTATCCCACGCTCGCTCTGAAGTCCTACCCGACGCTCTCGACGGCCTCGCCCTCCATCTCGGTCTGCTCCAGCGCCGCTTCCTCCACCACCCTGACCCCCACCCCTTCCACCACGCCCCCGCAACCCAAGTCCTTCCTCCTCACCGACGACGACCACATCGGTGGCGGCGGCATCCTCTCGGAGTCTCCCCCTTCTTTCTCCTCGACCTCGTCCTCGCCCCCTTCGTCGCAGGCCCCGCCCCCTTCATCAGGGGCAGGAGCAGCCTCATCCTCCTCAATCTGCACCCTTACGGACCTCGAGACCCTGCACGCCGGCCACGCCTTCACGCACCTGCCCTGCCCGCACGAGCGCTGCCCGGACCCGGCGTGCGCGGCGCCGGCGCTGCACACCGACGCCATCCTCGTCTCGGTGCACGGGTCGTACTTCCGCTCTGCTAAGACCGGCGCACCCATGGCGGCGGCGGCCGTGTGGTTCGCCGAGGGGTCGCCGTTGAATAAGGTGGTGCGGTTGGATGAGGAGTATCCTGGGGGTGACCTTGGTGGTGGTGGAGAACCTGGTGGGAATGGTGATGGGGGGGATGGTAATGGTAAAGGGGGCGGAGGCGGAGGCCATGTCAACGGTGGTAGTAGCTTTGGCGAGGTGACAAGGCAGCGGGTGGAGCTGCTGGCGGGGATACGGGCGCTGGAGCGCGTGGCGGACGTGGTGCGCGCGTTAGAGGAGGAGGCGAGGCGGAGGCGGCGGCAGCAGCGGAAGCGCGGTGGTGGTGGTGGGGCGGCCATGGGGATGCCGGGGACGAGGGATTGGTACGTTGCGGGCGTGGAGAAGAAGAAGCAGCAGAAGCATGGAAATGGTATGGGACTGCGGTATGGAGAAGACGAAGAGGATAGGGACGACGAGGAGGAAAGGGAGATGGAGGATGACGAGGACGGCGCGCTGTCGCAGCTCGTGCTCAAGACGCATTCGAAGTACTTGGTGCGCGCGGCAGTTGAGGGATTGGCCAAGTGGAAAGCGAATGGGTGGATGAACAGCAGGGGGAAGGTTGTGGCGAATGTGGATTTGCTGTGGTATTTGGATAGGAGGATCACGTGGTTGGAATGGGTTGGCGTTGAGGTCATGTTTCTGCTGGTGGGGAAGGAGGACAATGAGGGCGCTATCAAGTTGATTGGAAAAGGTTTGGATTGATCGGGTGTCCGCTGGAGAATAGGATGAAACGAGAATGAACTAAGCATGGATAGGGGTCAACGGAAAGGGTACGGACGGATGGGTTGGGCATGTTAACGATAATAGACACGTTCTTTTCTTCTCTCACCGGATCAGACAGCCTTCGTCTCTCAGTTCGGCAGCTCCCCCGGCGTCTTCCGGTAGACATCCAACGTCTCCCCTTCTATATCTGCTTTGATTTGCAAAGCCAGATACCTCGAGCTGTATCGCGCGTACCGCGTATCACCGCCCATGTACCAGACATTCTTCTGTCCGACCATGGGCTTGGATATGCCTCTCAATTCTCCCTCCTTGTCCACGCCCCAGAAGTCATCCAATCGCGCGCCGATCTCCTTGCCGACGATCTCCGTCGCAGCGTACCGCACGTTCCCCACGAATCCCGTCGCGTACACGATCACGTCGGCCTCCAACTCGCTGCCGTCCGGGAACCGCAGCCCCTTTTCGGTGAAGCTCTCGGCGGTACCCTGCTTGACCTTGATGGCGCCATTCACGATCTTGTCGGCGACGCCCATATCGTAGAAGTGGCCACCCATGCGCTCGTACAAGCAATGGACCAAGTCGATCTCGCGGTCGACGGCGAAGCCCGCCGCCTCCAGCTTGTCGAAGTAGTCGGGGATCTTGGACGCCATCTCGTTGAGGACGACATTGACGAACTTGTGCGTGACGGCCAGCGGCGGGCTCTCCATGATGCGGTCCATGAGCGGCACGTCGGTGCCTTCGTGGTAGAAGGGGTCGAAGAGCACGTGGTAGTAGGATTCGGGAAAGACGGGCGTGCGCGACCGCTGTATCAGCGTCACCGACGCCAGCCCCGCGTTGACCATGTCCGTCGCCACGTCGTGCGCTGAGTTGGCCGTGCCGATGACGACGCCGCGCTTGCCACGCCAGCTGTCGGCCGTCGTGTAGTTGACCGAGTGTAGGACTTCGCCCTTGAATGCGTCTTGGTTGGAGATGTCGGCGTATTTGGGAACCTGCCCTCCACCGCCCATGGCAAAGATGAGGTGTTTTACGTATATGGTGCGGCGGGTAACGCCAGTCCCATTACCGTTGACGGCACCGGAGGCTACCGGAGGGGTGTAGTCGAACTCTATGGTCCATTCTTCCTTTTCGGCATCCCAGGAGGCTTTCTTCGCGACGCAGGAGGTCCAGAAGTTGAGGCCCCAGCGCTCAACGAAGCGCCTGTACCCGTCGGCGATGTTCTTGCTGGGGAGGAAGTACGGGTCTTCTGGCTTGAAGATGCCGCCGTATGGCAGGTCGCTCGCTGCCTTGGATGTATGCAGCGTGAATGACTTGTATCTGGTAAGCCAATTGCCTCCGATCTCCTCGTTGCGGTCCAGAACGACATGAGAAACTCCCAGAGCCTTGAGACGGCTGGCCGTCGATAATCCGCACTGGCCTCCTCCAATGATAACAGCATCGAAATGATCCTTCCCGGAAGAAATGCTGTTGGCTTCTCTTTCTTTGAGGCTCTCCTCCGGTGTCAATGGAGTCATCTTTTCGCTGGTCCCATAGTCTGGTATGTCTTCCAGAAGCGTGCAGATGACCCAGATCTTCCATTCGTCACCGACTGGCACGACCCTGATAATGCCGGTACAGTCTTTTCGCCTCTTGCCCTCAGGCAATAGCGAAAAGGCAAACAGAGCCTCGACCCAGTGCAGCGTCGGCCCCACGCGCATCACTTGAGAAGTCTTGGGAAGAATGGAAAAGCCTTGAGGTCTATTGGCAGCAGTGAGCTCGTTCCACGCTAGCGAGATGGTACGTGAGCTATGGAACGTGCGCATTGTTCCAGTCAGAGCGACCTGGTCTCTCCACATGGCGTCGTGCAACATGGCTGATGGTTGGAGGTTGCTTAGCTGTTCAACGGCCCGGCTAGCAATAGTGGAGTGGTCCGCATCCTCGGGAATAGGGGTCGAAGGCAACGGGCCCCCGATATCCTTCAACGGTACTTGGGGAGTTTGAAAGGGCATCGTGTCGGTAGCCATGGCGAATTGAGTTGTCTTGTTGTCTTGTGCTGCTGGATGGATCCATCGGTTTAGAGAGCAGTAAGATATATCGTTCGAGGTGCTATGGATTCACGTCATAACGGTTCGGAGTTTAGAATAGGCTGATTGCGAATCGCCGAACATGTTCCACGGCTTAGCGTATACGAAGGCTGATGTGAGCATTTGGTTGGTGAAGTGCGGGGTTGTCTTACTGAGGGAGGGGCACCTAGTTCGATAGGCCGGATCAACGTTCCAACTGAAACAACCTTAATGTCTTGCTTATCCAGTGCAATCCACGTCCAATTAGCCGTCATTCCTGCATTTCCAAAAGAAAATCAAAAAGATATCTGCTACAAGCTGCAGCTGACAGTGAGCACTTTTCGAGATCAAGTATCTTAGGAAACAGAATGTGCAATCATCTGGAGGATTAGTCGGGAATTAGTGCACCAAAATTAAGACCAGGGTATTGCACGGGCGGCTCTTCCAGATCAGAAACAGGATCGCCTGAAAGAGAATACTATGCCGAGATAATCAAGGAGCACATTGATAGGCTAGGCCGAGCTTGTCCCGAGGTAGACAGTACAGTCCCCTCTCGCAACCGATGGCTAGCGTGAAGAATAGCAAGGCCCCAGACGTAACTATGCCTCAGCACGTTCTTAGAAAAAATAACATATGTGGGTAGTTGAAGCTATCGTCCGGACAAAAATGTGGAATTAAAAATTCTACATACACATCCGGACGGTAGTTTCAGCTACCCATGACATGAGCAAAAAAAAACAAAAACAAATCCACGCTAGCCATCGGCTGCGAGAGGGGACTGTATTGGCAACTGGTTTTGCATTGTGGCTGTGAGTCATATTCCTAGTGGCGCAATGCCTGAAAGGTCAAGAAAGAGGTGGGAGCATGCAATCCTTCAAGCCTCTGGCACTTCATCGACCCAGGGGATTGCTGACTGTGCTCCCTTCCGCTGGACCGTTAGTGCGGCAGCTCTGTTGGCAAAGGCGATAGCAGAGTCGATATCGAAAGCCCCAGTCGCAGACTGAAACTTGCTCCTGGCAATAGCCACGGCATATGCCCCGACAAAGGTATCCCCCGCCGCGGTTGTATCAACCACCTTGACCTTCTTAGCTGGGACTAGCTTACCCGCAAGCTTCTCTGCTTGCCGAGCCGCTGTCTGATAAAATACGCCCTAACCCAGAATGAGCAAAATGAGGCACATATATAGGACATAAAACTTACAGCACCACCGAGCGTGATGATAACGTTCTTGACGCCTCTCTGGATGAAGTCGGCTGCAACCGCCGTCAAATCCGAATTCGGCGTAATCTCTTCCACCGGCTTGCCTGACAGCAGCGCTGCTTCAGACTCATTCACGATGAGATGGCCCAAACCTTGATACAGTTCATCCGGCAGCGGCACAGCTGGCGCAGGATTGATCAAGACCTGTTTGCCGCCACGCATCCAGTTAGCAATAGCGACTCCAACGACGCCCGTAACTCAACCGACCAAAACACTCCGAACTAAGAAAAGCAAAGAAACTCAGCACTCACATCAATACCCCTCTCCTTCGCATCGCGAATGTTCAACAGCACCGTCTCCATCGGGATCTCGAGCTGGAACACGGCGAGCGTCGTGTCGGCCTCGAGCAGCGGGCGCGGCTCGACGCGGTAGTTGGCGCCGGGGCTGACCATGATGCGGTTCTCGCCCGTCGCCTCCTCGACAACAATAACAGCCACGCCCGTCTTCTCGCCCTCTACGACCCGCACGCGCTCCACGTCCAGCCCGTCCCGCCGCAGCGCCTCGAGGAACGCGCCGCCGAAGGCGTCGTCGCCGACGGCGCCGACCATGCGCACTTCGACGTCATTGGGGGAAGAGGAAGAAGAGGAGGAAGCTGCTTGGGCGGCGGTGCGCGAGAGCCGCGCGCACGCGACGGCTTGGTTGGCGCCCTTGCCGCCGTGGCCCGTGTCGAAGCCGTGGCCGATGAGCGTCTCGCCGGCGGCGGGCACGCGCGGGACGCGGGTGACGAGGTCGACGTTGAGGGAGCCGACGACGGCGATGACGGCTTGCTTCTGCTCTGCCATGACGGGTCCGATGGAAACCAGGAATGAGAAAAGAAAAGAAAAACCCTTGCTCTTTCAGAGAACCTGTGGAAGCCGTCGACAAAACTGAGGAAAGATTGCAATTTAGCTTGAAAACAGTGACGCCAAGATGGAAACACGGGGAAATAGTAGATGGGGATGAGATGAAAAAGAAGACGATGCCCATGACTTCAGCGTAGCCCCACGCTCCTTTCCGGTTTAGCGTCAACACCAGAGAAGGACCGATCCACCCCCGGACTTCCTCCATTTTCACTCCCCCGCCATTGTTGCTCATTCTGTGGAGCAGGCCTTTACGCCGCTCCTTGTTCAAGTAATACCAAGTGATTTCTCTGCGAATTTGTTCCGAGCGTCGAAATACGCAATGTATTCTTCTCTACCCTATCTTCTCTCTGACTCCGCCATTGAAGGACACCTCTGATCTTGACACTTTCGCCATCGCCACTCACGCCTTGCTCTCAACATAACTGAAGCAAAACCTGTACGGAAGAAACCGACTGCGAGCAGAGTCCAACAGTAAACCACCAAGTATCGACGAAAACGCAGTTTTTCCTCTCCCATTTCTCATCCAAAATGATGAGTGTTAAGGCTACGCCGATTCCTCTCCAGCCGATATGCGCCTTCTCTCCACTCTAACAGCATTTAGAGCTTCGATTCCAGGTCCTCAAACTCGCTCAACTCCTTCACCGCCCTCGGTCCGCGCGACACCTGCAAGCTCGCCTTGAAGTCACGCACGTCCGTAATCTTGACCGGCTCCCTGCCCTTCTTCTCCTCACCGTTTGACGTGACGCTCACGCCCAAGCTCGGCAATACCGTGCTCGAGATCATCTCCTGGCCCTTCTTCACTACCTCGTCAGCCTTCTTCTGCTCCAGCTTGAGGTCCTCGACCAAGTGCGTCGAGATGGCCTTGGCGATGCCCTGCGCGTCACCGCCCGAGATGTCGACGTCCTTGAGGCGGTGGGCGAGGCTGGTTGCGTCCGGACTCACGCCTTCCGAGTTGAGGAACTGGACGACGAGCGTGATGAGCGACGACACCTTTTGTTCGGGACTGGTGGTATCCTGGGCGGCGCTAGCGATGGCGGCGGGCGAGGCCTGGGCGAGCAGATGGACCGAGACCTTGGCGCGGGCCGGGGAGTGCGGAGAGATGTATTGATCGAAGAAGGAAATAAGGTCGGCCTTGGTGAGCGGCGTAACATGAGCGACATCCTGCTCAACTGTATTTTCGTGTCAGTCAAGGCAAGCAAATAAAATAACAACAACCAGATCTAGCTTACCAAGCTCGAAGTCGAAGCACTCGCTGCACACATGCGTCCAGAGCCTGTTGGTCTCCTGGATGAGATTCTTCAACTTCTCCTTCCGACGGTTCTTTACGCTCTCCTTATGCGACTCGAACTCGTCGTCTGACATCTCCCGGAGCATATTTCCGGCATACAACAGGAAGTTGTCAATACGGCCCTCGAGATAGTCCGGCGACCTCTCGCTCTGAATGAGAATGCGGTAACCCATCCAGGTGTCGCTCTGTGTCGTACCGCTGAAAACAACGTAGCCCAACTGTTCCTTGGTGCGCAATTGGTTGAAGGCGGGTTCGTCGGTGAGCTGAGCCCAGACAAGCAACTTGGCACGCAAATCGCGGTCTTGATTGTTGCCGACGGAACAAGCGTACTCGATGCAGTGGTTGACGTTGGCAGGGTCCTTCAGAGTACGTTCGTAGATAAAGTTAGAGCCTTCGGGCACAATGACATTGCGGCGGATGGGCCACTGAGAAGGCGCAAGTGGGCGCGCCTTGAGCGTGCTCTCCACCATATCCGTCATTTTGAGCGCATCCTCCTTGTACAGGTTACCATGCGCAAAAACCTCGATGTGGGTCTGCTTGAGAAGCTGAGGGTAGAAATGGCGGATGTCCTCAGCCGTGACATGGGGAAGCTCTGCAAGATAGTCCTCATTGATGTAGCCCTTCTCGGCCATCAGCCATCGAGTGTAGGTGCCGACCTGGTAGTAAGGTTGCTGATATTCGGCATTACGGAACCCTCTGAGAAGTTTCTCCTTTACAATGTTGAACCGCTCGTCGCGAACTTCTAGGTCTCGCATGGTCGTAAGTACCTTCTGCAGCAGGATGTGCATCTTGTCGTTGTACCCGCTGACAGAGATATCCACACCGAGGGAGCTTTGGGATACGCGATACGCGATACCAGCAAGCTCGGCATCGTACGAATACTCGACCAGAGCATCCTCAACCAGATCCTTGTAGAGATGCGCCATAACAGCGGCTTGAGGGGTTGACCTGACCAAAGGAGTCCGAAGCGTAACGTGGACGTTCGCCTTGGGCACCCAGAAGCGATCGTCCTTCTTGTACCAAAGGCGAACCTTGCCGTCATTACGGATCAGCTTCGGTGCAATCAACGGCTCATCGACTTCCTTTCTCTCAACCTCAAGCCTTGTCGGAATAAACTCGTTCTTGTGCGGCAAGTGGAGCTCCGTTGGACGTGCGCTTGAGGCACTCTTCGCAGCTTCGTTGATTTCTGCGAGGAAGTCCTGCGGAATCTTCTCGGACTTGTATTCCGTGCCGTACCACTTTTCTCTCTGGTCCCATTCACCAGGGACTTCTTGGCTGACGATGGTCAGGCGGAAGTTGTCAGGGCGCAGACAGGCAAGGCCTGCCTTGATAGCGTCCGGGTTGAATTTACGAATCAGAGCAGGGCCGCTCAGGAGGTGATCGCGCTTGTAGGGCTTCTGCATGATGCCGCTGAGAGAACTGGCAGTGCTGCTAGCCGGGCTCTTCTGCCTAAAGCGGAAATCAACTTCGGTCATGCGCTTCATCTCGTCGAAAATCCATTCCTTAGGCTCGTGCTCATTGAGCATGGCAATGTACTGGAATATAGTTTTGACGACCTCCCTGTAATTCTTGAGTCCATCCTCAGTCAAACGGACAGAGATGCTGAAGAAAGCCGAGCCAGGGCACAGAGGAACTGGACCAGCCCCAAGTCCGTTTGCCCAGCCCTTCGCCTTGATGTAAGCCAAAATACTGCCAGGCCCCTCATGACCAATCAGGTGGCTAAGGTAACGGCCAGGCTGTGACTCGTAGAGGTGCTCCTCATCGCGGTAGGGGAAATAGAGGTCGAGGCTGCGCATGTCAAACACAGGCTTAGCAAAAACTTGGGTGAGGAGCTCGTTGTCAGTGAATGGCTGGACGCCGTCCCATCTGTTGCGCGGAAGATCCTTGTTCTTGACTTCTGAAAACAGCTCCGAAACCCAAGACTCCAGCTCATCCAGGCCCTCACGGCCCAGGACTACAAGCTTCATACGATTCGCCGAATAGTTTTTCTCGTAAAAGTTAATGAACTCATCGCGGATCTTGACGCCGCGCGCCAGAGGGTCGTCGTGAAGAGTCTTGTAGCTGCCGGTGGAGAAATGGCAGAAGGGGTGCTTGGGGTTTGAGAGCGTCTTGTTTAGTTGGTGCAGCCTCCAAGTGTCGCTCTGCAGGTTCTTCTTGTTCTCCGAATCCACGGCCTTGAGTTCTCTGTCTAGCGTCTCTTCGAGGAACAGCGGCTCGACGAAGAACTGGGCGAATCTATCCAACGCGCCGTATAATGGCGAGCCGTTCCTTGTGGACAGGTCTACTCGGCTGCTCGCTGCTGACGAATTCTCGCTTGCGGGCGGGGTCTTGGACTGTGCGGCGACTTCAAAGTAGTAGTTTGTTGATGTCGAGGCCGTGAAGGCGTTCGAGTGGCCAGAGTGGGCGGTCAGGTACTGGTTGTACGCGTTCTCCTTGGGGTACTGCACGCGCCAAGCGGGTTAGCATTGTCTCATTACTAGCTGTTGTCTCAGGAAAGATGCACGAACAAACGGCGAAACTGACCTTCTTGGTGCCCATGAATAGAAGATGTTCCACGGCGTGCGCCATGCCGGGCATGTCGTCGGCGTCGCTGAAGCTGCCCACATTCACGTCCATGGCAGCGCTGACTTTGTCGGTATCGGGGTCATGGATGAGCAGCGCCTCCAGTTTATTCGGCAGGCGGATGACGCGGTAGGTGCGGTCGTCGAGGGCTGGGCGCTCCATGTTCTCGGCCAAGCGCTCAGGGAGGGCCTCGCGACTGTTGACGGGCTCGGCCATTGTGGTGGTATACGGGCGGCGGGGTGTGAGGGAGGCGGGTCGGCGGGTGGGCGGAGGGAAGGGGGTATGGTCGCCGCGGTGGATTGTCTGGAGCACGTCCGGCCTTAGCGGCGATGGTGGTGTTTGAAGGGCGGAGGAACAGCGGCGCGGGATGGCAGAACAGCGGCGAGGGGCTATGCTGGCGGGTTGGACGGTGCTCAGTCCGCGTGCTAGGTGATACGCATGCTCCAGGCGGTGCAGTTGGGAGCGGCACAGCGTGAATGACATACGCAAACGCCGCGAGCCCGTGCCTGCCTGGAACAATAGCAAGAGCTGGTGGGCGTGTGCTCTTTGAGCGCGGGCGGGATCGAGCCGGCAGCGCGGATTGTGGGCGCCGGTTGGGTTGCGAGACAAAGTATGCGGCGCCGGAATCTGGATCAGGGTTCGCCAGCGGGAATTGGCTCAGCGCTGGGCAGGAATGCTGGCCATCAAGGTGCCGACGCTTGAGTGGTTTGGAGGCTCAGATAACATGGAGCGAAGGCGCGCGCCCTATGCAACCTACCCGGCGATCCCCGGGGCGATCCCCCGGCCGCACAAGCACCAACGCCCCGCCGCTCTCACTTCTCCGCGTCAGCAGCCTTCTGCCTGCCCCAAGGCAACCGCCCGCCATGGTGCTCGAGGCTGGCTATCCGAATACGACCGGCTTCCGCAAGGTCACGAAGGCCACCATCCTGGTCAAGAAGAAGGACGGCATCTCCGACCAGGCCTTTGTCGAGCATTACACCAGGCACCACGCCGCAATGGCCGCCGAGGTGCTGCTCAAGCACAAGATCATCACTTACTCCTTGGTACGTCGCCGCGCCGGTGCATGGCTTCTCCACTCATCCTCCCAGACCTTCCATCTTAAGCATGACCGCACCGTCACCCAGGACATCATGAAGGGGAAGGCGCAGCTGCTCGACTACGACGCCATCTGCACCTTTGTCTTCCCGGACTACTTGAGCTTCGCCAAGTTCATGTACGACAGGGAGGGCCACGCCCTGTCGTCCGACCACGACAACTTCATGGACGAGAGCCAGATGAAAATGATGGTCGGCGACGAGTACATGGTCATCGACGACGGTAAGAAGGTCGAAAAACCGGACGCGAGTGCCGCGTAGCACCATGCCATTCCGTGCCTCATCTTAGACTATTTCCAATACGATTCACGAAACTTTGCCACAACATTCTCCCGCTAGCTCATAGCTTCCATCCCTTTTTCCTGGCCACGGCAGTTTCTTGCCGAACCGCCAGATCCGAGAGAATCTCCTCGCTGCCGCCTCCTATTGGCCGTCGTTAGTCCGAACCGCCATGGCTTGCGAAGAAAACTTACCAACAACCATCATCCTCAGGTCCCGACTAATCTGTTCCACCGTTGCACCAACCCCGCCCTTCTGGTAACCAGCTCCGCCGAAGATTTGCTGCGCTTCCCTGTTCGCCATTTCCAAGAGTCGCCCGCCCTGAACTTTGGCCAGGGCTATTCTGCCCGCAATCTCTGCATCGTCAAACTTCTTCTCCGAGTGTTGAACATGGTATGCCAGCTGCTCCAACCATGCCCAGTGGCTCTCCACCTCCTGGGCAATGTTCGAGATCTTGTGGCGGATGATTTGATGGCCGATGAGCGGCTTGCCAAACGTTGAGCGCTTGTGTGCGTACGCCAGCGAGTGCGACAAGCATGTTCTGGCTTTCCGGTTGCACCCCACCGCCATCAGGTACCGCTCTTTGTTGAAATTGGTCATGATGATTTTGAACCCGTCGTTCTCGCCCCCAACGAGATTTTCAACAGGGACCTTCACATCATCCAGTTCAATCCATGATGCACCACCAGCCTTTTGCCCGCTATTCTCAATTCTGCGATGAGAGAAACCAGGCGAGTCGGTTGGGATCACCAACACAGAGATGCCACCCATGCCAGGGCCGCCCGTCCTCACAGCTGTCGTCATGTGGGTTGCCCATGGCGTGCCGGAAATCCACTTTTTGTACCCATTTACGACATAGTACTTCCCATCTGGCGTCTTCTTCGCAGTCGTCTGGATGTTGCTAACATCAGAGCCACCTGATGGCTCCGTAACACCCAGGCAGAACGACGTGAAGCAGTCGAACAGACCCGGTAACCATTTCCTCTTCTGTTCCTCAGTGCCCCATTTGATTACCGGTGGGATTGCAATGACGGAGGCGCCGGCCAGTGATATGCCCACGCCGCCTTCGACGCGTGCCGACTCATCAGTCATTACGAGCAGGTGGAAAGTATCCAGGTCCCTGGCCGGAATCCCGGCTGGGCCGGGAATGTGAGATGGCCGATACTCGGCCGGCACGTCGGCGAAAGGGAGCCCTGTCGCGACATAATCATGGGCTGCATGACGGGGTGCTCCGCCGGATTCTTCCCATTCGAGCGCAAAGGGCATGATCTTTTCATCGTAGTACGCCCGCATGTAATCGCGCAGGCGGCGGTGGGAGTCATTGTAGTAAGGAGATTTTAGCGCGTGGTGCCAGGCTGGCTCGCTCCATGGCGCTAGTTCTGAATTACTTGCAGTAACATTGCTGGCCATGGCGATAGCGGTAGGGTATGCGAGCGAATTGGGAGAAGAGTCTTCAGTGCATTTTCATGCTCGTTCTGGATGGTTACTTGAGTGTGTGTTCGGGACAGTCCTCGGATGTAACAAGGCTGCCCCGCACTTGCTGCCGCGGCTTCGGTGCCTTAGGTGGGTCAACCTATTGGTCTATCACTGCAAGCAAAATACATGCTGACCTAGAAGTGGCTCCTAACAGTACTTTCTATTGGAGACTCGATCGCCTACTACCCCGCAGAATTTGTGCTTGATCACATTTGTCGTAGTCGTTGAAGCCTGATCGAAGCCGCACCAAGGATGTAACACTTCAGAATATTACACTTGGGATTCACGACTTGCAGAATTGCTGCAGGGGTGGTAAAGGGAACCACGGCACAGGTTCTGGTGCCGCTACTCGGCCCGGTCCTTCGTGAACTCCTACTCCGTTACACACACCTTGGTCCCAAAGAGGCTGCAGAATCCGTGGAGCAAAGTCTTGAGCCTATCGCCTTTGCTTGCACCTTCGTCAACCTTTCAGTTTCCAGTGCTAGCCGGAAGGCAGCAAAATCAGTCGTCTTATTTTATCACATGGAGCGGCTCTTTCACTTGTATGTACCTCCCACTTTGACGTCCCCTGCGGGAGGCCGCTATTAGCCAAAATGGTCCGCCTGCAGAGTGTTGGCGGGAAACTAGCTTCGATAGGGCTGTTGTCAGGCAGGGTGCCGCCCGCTGGCTGAGACAAAAAGCGGGGTGCGAGTTCGTGGAACAACGCATGGCGATCAAGCCCTCTTCGCGTCAGCAGATGCTGCACATGAATCTCGGCCGCCGCCTCGTTTACTATCTGAGGTAAGCCAGGCCATCATTGGCCAACAACACCTCTATTGTCTGTAGCCAAGATAGGCCACAGAGGCCGCCTGCGTACTTTTTGAAGCGTGGTCGCATCGTCTGGGTTCTTACCTTCTTGACTCACATGAAAGGCAAAGCGGTAGTCAGGAAGACCGGCTGCTTTCTGCGCTTGACTATGTGCTGTCTTCTTGAGGCCGCCACTACTGCTTACACCCCCATGTTCTTAGCTGCTGTATGTGGACCTAGCTTCTTGCTGACCGAGCCTGACTCCTCCGCGCCAAGCATCCCTCTAGGCGTTCCAAGGCCTTCATCACCGGATAGTCATCCCCTTGGGTACGAGTCTATGTCCGTTTCTAACCAAGAGCTACAATGATAGCTTTGGGAGGCTGACTTTTCCCATTAAAGTGGGGCACTCTTCAAGAAAAACAGAGCCACTGCTGCCTGCAGCTTAACTATCGTCGGATCCTCTTCCGCTTGGGGTGCGATGTACATCTTTATTCGATCAACAATCTGGAAAGAATACCGACGGGCCGCCTTGATACTCAGGCGTAGGCCTGTAATGGGGTCATGAAAAGATCAAAACTGTCATGTGCGAAAGGGTATCATGGCCTCTATTTGAAAGACAGCATAGAAAAAGCAATGCCTTGTTTCAAGGCATATTAATCATAAGCAACAACAAGAGCACATGTCTCCGCATACCTGGAGTGCCGAAGTCTCCTGACGAAATATAAAGGGAAAATGACGATTGCTCTTCATGCGGCTCACCTGGCCTACTCAAGCTTAGCGGAGCTCTTTATTTGCGTCGTCGCAGCCTGTCCGGCACATGCGCACCTTTTTGTCGACAGCTTACGCTGCCCCTCAACACTATTCGCATTTCCGCATGCCACGTATGATCTCAGGAGCGCTATTGCTAATGCAGATATTCTCCGGAACAACGTTACGGTCTTCCTATCTCGAACATCATTCTCACGCGGTACTGTCTCTCCCAAGCCTATCTGCAACTCGGTATACTTTGCTTGCCGACAAACACCTGCGGTAGACGAGAGTCAGTTCATTTGGCATGTTCCATCATCTCGTAGCATGCGAGTAGTCATGGCAGAGTATTGAACATTAACTCCAATTTCGCGGCATTGCCGATTACTGTAGGCAATCTGCTTCCTATACTTCCATCCATCAGCGCAAGAAGTCAAGGCCGAGCTTGGTGAATGGATTACATTAGCCGAAATATCCACTGACCTCGTGCGCAACAGTCAACCATCACATCCCGCGGGACTTTAACTCCTTTAGGAAACTCCCCATCTTAGCGTAGGATTTGATGTCAAAGTCTCAAAATCTCCTGCAGCGTAGAGAGACCTCTCGTGCAGAGTCAAAGACCACATCAACCGCGTTCCCCATTGGTCGAATGGTCTAAGACATTATAGACCCGTACATCGAGGCACCGTGGCGTCGCGCCCTGACGCCTCATCCCACACTGAGATGCTTTCCTATCATCTCAAGGTACCAATCGCCCTAGTGTGTCACCCATGCTAAGGATTCTTCAAGCCCCCGAAATGCACCAGATCTCGTGCATATCACTATTGGCTGACGAAAGCCATCTTTCAGCCACGTCTGCCTTGGACGAGATCCTGCCTCACCAGCTTCTTGCTTGTTCAGGTCATCCCGCCGCCTGACTCGGGAGACCCTTTGCCCGCTACGGCCACTGGCGTCATCCAATATTCAAGCACTACATCTGATTTGTCCGCGCGACCTAGATTCCGGCGCCAACCGTAGACAAGCTTCGAACCTGCAGTTCACGAGATTCTAGAAAAGAAAATACGCCGATGTAACTCTGAATGTACGCCTGGGGCTGGGACATCGATGAAATGGCAGCATGGCAGCCCGCCTGATGCACCAGTAGCACCTGGCGCCCCAGGATACATCGTGTCTATCACGGCGTGCTTGTAAGACGTCGCAACCATACTTAAGCTTAGTGGCAGGAGGCAGAGAGAGATGTAGTCATTCCCTCACCGTCCTCTTCTTTGTACATAGGCTATACCAAGTCTCATTGCTCCCCTCACTCGCCCCTGGCCTTACTTGCCGTCTTCCGCCCTTTCCTAGCCACCATGTTCCTCTCCATTCCCTTTTTCTTCTCAGTCATCTTCCCCCTCGCCGCCCACGCCTGGCTCCCCACCTCTCCACCACCAGGCACAACTCTCAGCACCTTCGCCGCCACGTCTAAGATTCGCGGCGTCAACCTGGGCTCGCAGTTCATCATCGAGCCCTGGATGGCACGCGACGAATGGGCGGCGATGGGGTGTGGGCAGGCGAAAGCCGAGTTCCAGTGCATCAAACAAGCGTACGGCGGTGACGTGAATAAGGCCAGCGAGGTCTGGAAGAGACATTGGGCGAGCTGGATCACAAATACGGATCTGGATGACATGGTTAAGGCGGGATTGAATACGGTTAGGGTAAGTGTTTCTCCTGAGTCGTGTGGATGGGCGTCTTTATGTGCTGTATGCTTTCAGATGCCGGATATTGGGTGAATGGGTGTCTGGTCTCAATTGACTTGCTTTGCTAATGGTCTGATTTCGGTGCTCAGATACCGGTGGGTTGGTGGATGAAGGAGGATCTGGTGAAGAGTGGGGAGTATTTTCCCAAGGGCGGGTTCGCGTACCTGCAGAGCTTGTGCCAGCACGCAGCGAACAATGGGATGTATGTTATCATTGGTCAGTGGCCCTTTTACGAGACTAGAGAAAGTATGATTTGCTAACTGCACTCAGAGATGCATGGCGCTCCCGGAACGCAGAACGCCTACCAGCCTTTCACTGGTAATGTAAGACATGTCTATTTTAAGGCAAATCAAAGTATAAGCTCACTCTTTTCTGCAGTACTCGGAAAAACCTTACTTCTACCAATCCGACTATCAATCCGGCCGCGCCTACGTAAGTCACTCACTTTCTCTCAAAAAGCCGAGAAAAACTTCTCTCTCTCTCCACGAATTGCTCCTAACCCAACCTCTTCGTGATCTTCCCAGAATTTCCTCTCCTGGCTAACCACAGCCATCCACACCCAACCGACCTCATTCCGCACCGTCGGCGCCATCGGACTGCTCAACGAGCCCAAATTCAACAACCCCAACGACCCGGACATGCGCTGGACGACGGAGCACTACTACGGCTCAGCCATCGACGCGGTGCGCAACGCCGAGTCCGCCCTCTCCATCAACCGGGACTCGCAATCCGCCCTCAGCATCACCATCATGGATGACCTCTGGCACGACCTGTCGGGCAACACGGACCCGGCAGCGCACCTGACGGCGACGCAAAAAATCGGCTTGCTCTTCGACGACCACAACTACGAGACGGAGCCGGTGGCCGGCTTGGCGAGTCCGCAGGCGGTGGTGGCGCACGCGTGCGGGGACGACCGGCGGACGGGCTTGCAGGGCGGCGCGAGTAAGTTTGTCGGCGAGTGGGCGATGAGCTTGGCGCAGAAGGGGGCTGGGTTCACGCCTGAGACGCAGAACAGGGATTTCTGGAGCCAGTACTTCTCGGCGCAGCAGTGGCAGTACGAGCGCACCAGGGGCTGGGTGTGGTGGAGCTGGAAGGTGCAGGAGGGAACCGGCGCGGATCGGTTGGAGAACTGGCTGCAGTGGAGCTACAAGGGTATGTGTTGATTTTCTTCCCCGTTTTCGTTCCGGTTGCTTTTCAAACTCTCTTTTGACGTCTTACACTAATGTGTCGGCTGACCACTTCGTAGGCTTGGTGGATAGCGGCATTGTCAGCAGGAACTTGAACGCACAGTTGGCGGCGCATCCGTGCAATGGAAATTGAAGACATGAGAATGTTGAATGGCCGTTTGAGTATGCAAGAAAGGAACATAGCAAGATATACATAGCCGCGTGCATGCTTCTGATACTGTAAATAGAATTTTAGACCGTTGGGTAGCATTTTAGTGTAGATAGCAGAGGATTTATGTAGCTATTGTGTGAATATCCTCGACAGCCGCTTGCGCCAGTAGGCTTGCAGGAGAATAATGTGTGATACGTACCAATCTTGGTGTTGCTTCAGCCCCCACGACGCCAACTGCCCAGCCTGGACACACAGTCATGATTGGGCGCAATCTGTTTCCTCCAAGAAGCTTTGTCCCACGAAATCGCTTGCAGATACGCCGATACGTGCCGATCAACGCCGCCCTTTACGCAATCAGTGAATCCTGCCAAAAGACCATGCACAGCCTTCTTCGGGCTCGCCGTCTGGGGCATCGTTGATCCGTCCCACCACCTAAACTACCTAACGCATCTGGCCAGCTCATCCGAACATCGTGCTTCACTCTCTGCGCCATCATGTCGCAACGAAATGTCATATCGTTGTTTGTCCTCGTGGTGTTGTCTGTGATCTTTGTTCAGGCCGCAACAGGGGCTACAAGCTGCGAACCCTCTTTCGAAAAGAGCGATGAAACCTTGCAAAGGAATGCGCGGGCCGCCGCATTAGATGGGTCTAAAGAAAGCACTGTGAAGGATCCCGAGCTGGAGACGGACGGGAGACAAACTTTTTTCCCCGTTTCGGGTACTCTTTACAACACAACACTCAACAAGGTCTTGGAAGATCAGCTCAACGGTTGGAGAATCCTGGCATGGGCCTTCAACTACTGGGATTCATGGTACGAGGACTGGACCGTCCAGGAAGAGAGCAGCATCGGATCCCCCGACTACCTCCACGAGATCCAGACAGACCTGAACGGCTACGCTCAGCAAGCTTTCCCATGCAACGAGTCGTCGCCAACTTATGGCTCTGATTTCATCTCCGCCGTCAACGACACCCTCGGCTTAAACGGAACCTCTGATGTCCCACGAGATCTGAACAAGGTCACCTCGGAACTGAGGAGAATGCTTGCCGAAAGTCTGCAAAGCGCCAAGGACCGAGCTGCTATTCTGCGCCATTTCGTTGCAGCCTCTTACATGGGTGTGGGCTTCGACGCGCCCAAAGCTTGCCGTGCCGCTGTGAACGAGTATTTGGACACCGCAAGCGAGTGGGATAAGGCGGGCGCCAGTGCGGCAGGCACATTGCTGACGCTTCTTCCATCGCTTCTAACGCTGGGAAACTTGTAAGTCACGAGGAACTACGTCCGCGTTGATGTTTGCTTTCCTGAATTTGTATGTTAATGCCTACACTTTCCAGATATGTTCCAAAGTTTGCTGAAGCTGCCGCTGCCGGTGTCTTTGTTTCCGGGGCGTCCGCGGTATCTACGTTGGGCCTGCCCGTAAAGTCTGTAAGTGTTACTTCATCACTCCTGCTTTAAACTTGCTTACCTTTTTACAGATATCAGTTATTGGGTCACGGCATCGGTTTGATACGCGATCTTTCAGCAGCTTCGGCAAAGAAAGCATGGCCCGGCTGGGACGCCGCATGAATTTCGAGTCTCACCGAGCGCGCTACAAGATAAGGATGAAGACCCTTCAGGCATGGTACGCGGCTCCGGGCCTGGCCTGGGCTGAGGACCCCAGAGATGAGTACATCGAACCAACGCGTTTGAACGACTACACCAGAGAGGGAGAATCGTGCGAGAACATGTTTTGGAAGATCAAGTCCCGTGTGATAGAAGGCTGGCCGGAAAGGGAGCCTTTCGCGCCGCTAATGGACTCGTCAACGGTTTTAATCAGGTAAAAATCCACCGCCCTTTGATTTTGGGATCTGATACTGACAAGATGTAGCTATTTCATCACGTTTTTCGGCACTCTCCTCTTCAGTAGTGCAGGCATCCCGATGGGGCTCAACTCATGCGACACACGGTACGCCACAATCTTCCCCTTTGCATATCCCCACCGTCCTCTGCTAACCGACACCCAAACGTACAGCTACTACTCCATCTGGCTCATCTGCGGCACGGTCCTCAGCACCTTCGGCAAGCTCTACAGATTCGGCCAGCGTGGCCACCAAATCTTCAAATGTACATGCAACCCCCCAACCGCCCCCTCTTCTTACCCCCACACAACTGACCACCGACAGTCTACCCCCTCTCCCCGCTCGCCCAATCAACCCTCACCGCCAACCTCACCCTCCCCCACAGCGCCACCGACAATATGACCGAAACCTCCCTCCCGCCCCTCACCACGCGCACGCGCCTGACGCGCTCCTCGCTCAAGCAGCTCGCCGCGACGGGCAACAACAACAACAGCAGCTACCTCCGGCCGCAACACGGCCCCCTCTACTCAACACGCAGCCTCTTCTTCCGCACGCGGCGCTCGACACCCGCACTACCGCGCCTACGACCGCTCACAGTACTACTACACGCGAGCGACGAGGCGAGCGCGCAGCGCAGCCCGGCGCACCACGTCGTGTCAGGCCTGTTCGCGGGACTGGTCTTCATCGCGCTGACGTTCCTGTTCGGCGCGCAGTGGGGCGGCAACCTCGTCGTCGTCTTCTACACCGTCGTCGCGTTTCTGTTTGTCGTCGCCGTCGCGCGCGGCTTGTGCGTGTGGTTGGTGTGGCGGCTAAGCCGGAAGGCTGGGTTGCATGTCATCGAGTGCGCGGGGGCGGGTGAGGAAGGAGAGGACGCGGAGGGCGACGAGATGGCGGGCGTGGCGAGGGTGTTGGCGAGCATGACGGATGTGCTGGTGGTGAGCGGCGACGGGCGGAGTTATTACTACGATGGCGTGTTGTTGAATGAGAGGGAGTGGTGGGAGGGGTGGCGGAAGGACTATGTGGCGGGTAAGCTGGATGGCGATGAGGTCGGTGGTGATGTTGAGCAAGGACAGCGTGAGAATGGGCAGAAGGCCTCGACGGCAGCGAGAGAGACGGCGTTGATGGGGATGACGGAACTACCGCAGAGGTTACAGTAGGTAGTAGGTTAAACTATAAAAAGAAAGAAATACTATTAGAAAAGAGAAAAAAAAAAAACTTCCGAAGACCATGCTAATGAAATTTCACGTACCTTAAAGTGCCAGTTTCGAAATCCGCCGTTGTCGAGTGGGAGAAGAGAGTAGTGAGATTAGTAGAGCTTTTTGCCGTTCGGATGCACCCTTCGACCGTGAGCTTTGAACACATGCTGGAAGCCCAGCTAGCTGGTGCTGTGCATAGCCTGACAACTAGCTATAGGAACTTCATTCACCTCTCAGCACTTACGTGCGAGCGGTGCCCTTCTAGACCCCAGGTCTAGCATCTCAGCCCAGACTGCGTCTGCGACTGCGAACGTTGCTTGGCAACGCAGGGCTGGCAGGAAAGGCTCGAGAACTGTGAGTATGTTAGCAATTGCCCAACCCAACAACCAAGATTCGAACGCATGGTCTTCGGAAGTGGGATGGCGCATTGGCAAGCACCGTGAAAGGTACCACCAAATACGTCATCTGTCTTTGTATGGGAAAGTGCGTTCGCGTACCCGCCATTTGGACCTTCCCCGCGACAACCCCACTTTCTAAGGTGCTCCCGTCGTCACCTAGCTTCGAACAAACCTGCGAGCGGCTGGAGAGCAACTGACACCCGCACTCGTAGGCTTTCGAAGGCGCTGATCAACGACATGGCAGTAGCTCCTTCCTGACATGCTCGCCCGAGCTGCGGTGTCGTATATCGCCACTGTAGACCACGCGTATACGGGCGCACGGAGGTTCGAGGATTAAGAGCGGGTACTGTATGATGCGGCACTGAGACCCCAAAAGCGAGAGCGAAGTGGCGGAGCAGGATGGGCGTGATTGCGGCTCAGCGACGATCATGGAGGCTGGTGGCGCGAAGGCGGCCATGACCACGTAGTCGTTTCAAACTGAACTGTGTGTGAGCCAGATGCCTCGCCCGCCCGCTTTCATGCACGCCAGACTAGAAGGGGCAATGACAGCCGCCTATCTCAACGGGGAGACGCGTCCTCTATGGGTGTGTTTGTCCACTCACCACCATCAAACCGGTCCCCGGAGGAGAGAGTGCTGCCTCCCACTAGGCGCCAGATAGGCACCCACCTCAAAGCGCTCATTCTCACCCTCCGCTCCTTTGCACAAAGTCTCGTTCTCAGCTGGCGGCCTCCCCCCTTCAGCCCTAATAGTTCCGTGTGTAGTCGTCAAACGTCGAGAGAAAGTGAGGCCCCCACACCGCTGCCGTCAGGTCGCAAGGCAGCAATGCTCGCTCGCTCGCATCGCGGAAGATAGCTCGGAGATCCGAAAATCCGAGGTGCGAGTGGGATGTAAGGCTCAGCTCTGGGCATAAGGGTGGCTCTGGTACGGACCAAGTACGACGGTCGTACAGACATTGCGGTCACTTTACTGCCGCTTCTGCCAGTAGGAAGCCACTCCGCTATGCAAGTGCCGGTCGATTTGGTGTAGGCGAGCCTGCTTCTAAGAAAAGAAGCAGACGTTGTACTGCGCGGCGTTGAGTGTGAGACATGCGGCTCAAGGTTGTGATGTTTCGCGACGAGTGAGGTCGGTGGCTGATGTGGCGTGGGGTGAAGAAACTGCGAGGGCACGATGGTGCGATATTGCAATGCCGCTTGCTGGATTATGGAATCCGAATACTGCTGGGGACGGCCAAGTTAAGTCGATCGGGCGAATGAGAGACATCTGCAATAGTGAAGCAATATGCAAGGTGCAATGAGGCCTCTCCGCACACCGCCTCGCCGCCGATGGCCAGGTTGTGCAAAGGTCAACGAATGCAAAGTCCAATGACGACGGGGAGATAGGCGTGTAATTTGCTTCTTGTATTTAGCGTTTTGGTTGCCTGGGTACCTCGCTCAGAATCGGCCAAATAGTATCATCGTGATTCACTTCTGACAAAATGCGGAAGCGGGAAGTGCCATGGCGTGCATCAAAGGATTGTTCTTCTCTAGAGAGGCGCCCGTACAAGTTGTGCTGGCGGTGTACTTACTTAAAGTCTGATCGAGATTCTTACACGAGGGCTGTCCAAGCTAGCCAACCAATGGATCGCGATTCACGAGATTACTCGAACTAGATGTTGCCCGCCTGAAAATGCCACAAAGCTCTGGCCAGGTCTGCAGTTTGTACAGTAATCCCGTATAGGCCTTGCAGAGTCGGCATATAAACTGTCGAGGCTTGCGACCTTGGTGGCGACGAATGAGAGTCGGTCAATTCAAGCCACACTTAAAGTCTAAACGACACGCAGTAGGCCTAACAACCTCATGACTCTATCATTCGGCTTGGCTCGTATGCTGACTCGTCGCTGCGAATGAATAAGCAGTAGCAAAGATTTCGGAGGCTCTGCTGCGGACTAAAGGATGCGCGAGCACACTATAAGCGCCAAGAGAGAGCACATGAACCTGGATGACTGTGGGATGCGGATGTAACAAGCTTTTCGTGCCTTCGGCCATGACGGACAGGCTCGGCCGTGTCTGGTGTCGCGGTTGGCTGCTGTCAGTACCGAACCAGCGAGTAGGGACGGGAAGGAACCGCATTGACTGCGGATAGGACACGCCTGTGATGCGAGTGACGGCACTAACGCATGCCCCAGGTCAATGCTTAGACTGTGAATTGTTGCCTTGGTGGCATGCCGCCTGCCGTGTAACCGCAAAGTGTGAAAAGCTTCGAGAGCAGCATGCCGAGAGTGAAGTGATCGACAAGTTGCACCAAAGGAGCGGGTAGCGAAAGCGTGACGAGACACCCATGGTTCCTCGCCGGTTACTACTGAAAAGGGCGGTCTGGGGAGCCCGAGGTTGCAGCCTGGCCGATTGAACCTCCGCTATGAGACTGAAGACGGACAGAGCATGCCGGAGGCAAGAACACCGGGGCGATTATAGGAGTCGAGATTGGTGGCGCGCGGTGATTGCGGCACAGAATTTTCTTGGAGGCCTATAATTGCCTCAAGACGAACGCGTAGCGGATGCGATTGCTGTGATCAAACGCATAGCGAGATGCTATAATAGTCATGGTGGAGGTGAGGTCTGCCTCCTCGGGGGCCAAAACGGCCCCAGAAACGGCAGGCGGGAACGAGGAAGAAGCGCGCGCGCTGTCGCAGCCTCGTGGGCCGGCCAGCACCGGGATCTGCTGCAGGGCATGGCACAGGGCTGCCCGTCGGCCTTGCCACGCGCCTGCCCGGCGTTACAGGCGGCTTGTTGTGGCGTAGATAGCCTGCGGGGTCCGGCCTATAGGCGTATTTGCGCTTCCTGTGCGGCTCAAAATTGGCGAGCGTTAGGGCAAATGCGCAAGTACCTCAACATCTATCACTAAAAGGAAGCAACACGTCCGTCTTCGAGCCATTTCGTCTTGTAGAGCCATTTCGGCCGAATTGGAAAAGACACAGATGGTCAACATTGAGATGGAGGGATGCTCGTCAGCAAACCCTTTCCGGTCCATGACAGCAGATCCGTGACTTGACACGCAATGTGCCCCGCCGAAAGGCTGTGCGCCCGTAGCACCCATGTAGATGGCGTGAAGCCATCTCAGCGGCTTCGGGTAGTGTTTCCTGTGGATAAGTCAGATGCCGGTCCAAGGCATCTACGGCAGTGGCCAGACCGAGAGCGAAGCTTAGCTCATAAGTTACTCATGGCCAAATGTCGTCAGATGTGAAGGTACAACCTACCCGTCAAACGATTGTACGGCTCCGCGGAAGACGGAAGAGCTACATCATCCTTGGCTCTTCCTGACAGCAAGGCCCCGGAGATACAGGTGGGGTACAATGGCCTGAACCTGGAGGATCCTTGAGAAGTTGCAACCCTCGACACCATTCTTTTACCGCCATCTCTCCGGAGGAGCCCGTCTGACAGCTCTCTCGGGGCACCCGATGGCAGTGGTTCGACATTTCCTAGATCCTTAACTGCGGTGTGGCACGGGCGGTAGAGGTCATTGTCATCGTGGACGTGGGAGGCCTATCTTCTTCCACGAATATATGAAGGTCGTTTCTGAAGCTCTACATGAGAACATCAGCAAACTCAACCCCCATTCAACGAAGAGAGGTCAGCTGCGAAGTGCCCTTCCCGACTGTTGTTCGGAAACTGACCTGAGAAGCCAGCTGCAATCAAAGAACTTCGAACAACTCAACCTACACGAACAAAACAACACCACTCCAGGTGAGCAGCGATCCACGAGCATTCGACCGAGGCCCGAAAGTTACTTATCTGTTTTTTAGCCTTCTCCTTGACCAACATTTCGCATTTACCAGCATTTCCCACCACACCTGGTATTAGCCATGGCCGGTTCTTGGTATTGCTGTTCTTGTGGAGATGGTCCCATGGTGGTTGCACCCTCTTGTGTTGCCTGTGGCCACATCAAGTGTGGCAACTGCGCGCAGTAGGGGCAATTTCTGCCTGATACCTGCCATTCTAGCAGGCTGCGGATGATGGAGAAGACTGGGGAGGGGAAGACTCGGTGCGGAATAGACAGGACATGAGCGATCAGAATGATGCACTAGGCCAGACACTCGCTTCGGTTTTCGAATAATCCAAAACTTTTCCCGGGAAGCATGCTTGCATTGGGATATCAAACGTGAAGACATGCTGCGCTGAAAAACACACTTACGGCATGCAAAGACCAATTTCGGTTACGCAGGGCCGATTCCAAACGCCGACGCCACTTCGACCTCTACCAGTACACACCCTCCTTGTTCTTTTCCTTTCCTCTCTCAGTGGAAGTGTCGGCATCCTTCTTGGCCTTCAGATCGGGGAACTGGAACTTCTCGCTCTTGCCACCTGCCAATCCTTTCCACGCGCCGCCATACTTGGCGACTGGCGGCCAGTCGGCCCAAGTCAAAAGGCCGACCCAAGGCTGAATGTTCCAACCAAGCTCAAGCTGCACATCGGTCCTATTCGCCAGCTTGCCAGTTATGTCGGTGATCTGGTACTTGGGGCGCTGCTTCTGCAGATGGAACTCTCCCGGCGGGTAGGGCGACACCTCACTGCCCTTCGACTTCGAACGCTTGGTCTTGCCCTTGGGGTCCGGGTGGATGTAGTGGTTTTCATGCCATGGTGCAGAGGGCGAAGAGAGGATAGCATCCCAAATGATGGCCTGCGAAGGAGGCTCGGACGGATCGCGAGAGGGATAGGTGGCGGTAATGTAGGCGAAGACTTGCTTTGTATTCCAATTGAACAGCGACGTCAGGTCTCGGGTCAATGTCAGCTTGGGAATAGTCTGCGCTTGTCGGAAGACGTACCAGCATCAAGGTCGAACTTGATGTGAGCGTACTCCTCCTTCTTGGGGCTATAGTAATGCGGGCGGCCGCGAACACTAGAGAGCGACCGGTAAGCGCGGGCGTTCACGCTTTGGAAAGTGGAAAGCCGTACACCTGGACATTCTGCAGCTTGAGGGTACCGGACGGAGCTTGCGGAGCGATGAAGACTGAGAGCGCAATGACGGCCGCGACAAAGGCAGCTACAGTGGTGAAGTATCCGAAGACATTCTGCGCGCGGACGAGCGTGGAATGCATGGTGTCGGCCGGCGCGGGTGGTTGTTGATATGACTATGATGATGTTGTACCGACGCGGACGCGCTGCGGAGCTCAAGACCTAGCGAACACGTTTCGGGAAGCGACCTTGCCCCGGCCACCATTTCGCTGCAGCCCGCCCTACTGCCTCACCACCTTCGCACCCCAGCGCCTTCGCTCACGCGAAATCTCTCGAGAATCTCCCGCTGCAGGCGCATCACTCGCTAGCTTGTCTTTCAACATGGCAAAGACCAAAGACTCAGCAAAGGACCCCAAGGTCAAGAAGCCGTACCACATCAAGAAGGCCGACCTGCATCTCGACGAATATATCGAAGAGCAAAACTCCAAGAATCCTTCGCTGCTCGTCCAACGCGCTGCTAGCCACCTCAGGAACTCGTTCCAGTTCAAGCTCTACCTCGCCTTGCAGCTCGTCGCCGTCATGATTGGCTACGGCCAAGCAATGCTAATCGTGGGCCTGCTGTGGGCAATGATTGTGAACACCGGCAAGCGGAGGGAGGGGGAGATGAGTGCCTATTCTCTCTTCAACGAAGATGTCCAAGCGTAAGTTTGCTGCTTGTTGCCCAGCCCCAACTCGGGCCTAATTTTGATTGCCGAATCCGAGACTGAAGCCATGCAGCATCGCAGGCAGCACAGACATGGACGCTCTGGAGAGAGAGCTGCGCACTCGAGCCTTGTGACAGTCCATTGCATTCTGTCGGACTTACGGATTTATGTATCGGCAATAATGACGCGCGCAGTATTCAAAGCAATGCTTATTCCGTGCCACCGAGCTCAGCCGCGAAGCGTCGCCTAGTGAGGGGTTCCGAGGCGTCTTGTGGCATCCCCTTTACCGCAACTGTCTGAGCTGTTGCTGATCACAAATGCCCGGAACACCACAACAGCAGCTGTACAGATGGTGTCTTGCGGCCAGAAGGTTGGGGCGTGCGCCAATCACGGTCGATGCCGGAATCAAACTGTCCAGTAGCCTTGCGTGCTGAGAAAATGCAGAACACGCGCTGGAAAGGCATGGTGCGGGGTTCCTAGAGGGGCTACTGTGGGGAGCATGACGGAGCTGACGATCGCTCCACATGGGAACCCCGCCTCAGCTCCGGCACCCAACTGCCGCGACACATCGGCACAAGACGCCAGACGGGAGCTTACTGCTGAGTGGCATCATATGATTGCTATTTCTATCTCCGCAGAGATATTTGAAGTCCACCCTCCTCGCCTCTTCCAAATCAGCAACACAATTTCCCCAACATACTCTCATCATACCCTGATATCCGCGGACTCCTTTACTCATACCTCAAGGACGGTCTCATTAATCCAGCCGGAACGTTATGGCGAAGTCAGGGCGAAAGATCCAACTGGTCCGCATCGCACACGTCTATTATCGGCACAAGGACTGGGAGAAGGCACACGAGTTTTTGAAGGACTTTGGCTTCGAGGAATGCAAGAGGACTGACGACAAGATCTACTACCGGGGCTACGGCCGGGAACCCTTCGTCTACTGCCTGATCAAGAGCGACAAGGATGAATTCGGCGGCGCCGCTTTCGTAGTCGAGTCCGAAGATGAATTGAACTACGCTGCCCAGGTACTACCCGATGCCACCGGGCCCTACGAGTTGAAGGACGCTCCTGGCGGCGGAAAATGCGTAACATTCAAGGAGCCTGTCGACGGCTTCGAGATGCATCTGGTCTACGGTCAAGCCCCTGCGCCTGATGAGAGAGTCCTTCCCGAGCTCGCCTTCAACTTTCCGACCCAGAAGCACAGGCCCGAGGGCAAGTTCCAGCGCTTCGAGAAGAAACCGGCGCCTGTCCACAAACTCGGCCACTTCGGACTCTGCGTCACCGACTTCAACAAGGCCTACGACTTCTACCATGAACACTTCAACTTCATCGATAGCGAACTGAACACCAACGAAAAGGGAGAGAACGTGACTGTTTTCATGCGTCTCGACCGCGGAAAGGAACCTGTTGACCACCATACATTCTTCTTCTTCTCCGGACCGAGGGCCCCGCATGTCCATCATTCATCATTCGAGACCCATGACTTCGACACACAAGTCTTGGGTCACGACTGGCTGAGGCACAGAGGCCACGAGAATTGTTGGGGGGTTGGCCGTCACATCATGGGCAGTCAAATCTTCGATTACTGGTATGCGTTTTGCACCACTTTCTATTCTATCTGGATGCACTAACAGTAGCTGTAGGTTTGATCCGTCGAAGTTCATCTTGGAACACTATGTGGACGGGGATCTGCTTGACAACGAGCATCCAACAAACGTAACTCCAGCTTCTCCTGACAGCCTGCACGTATGGGGTAAGTGCAAATCTGTTTTTCAATGTATCATGCAAAGGAGTGAGCTGACGTTTCCCAATTACCAGGTCCTGACTTGCCGCCTACATTCCTCACCTAAATGCATTTTCGCTACTTTCAAACTGTTCTTTTGGTTCCGTTAGCGTGGCTTTGTCTCCACAAATGAGACAAATTGACAAATTCGAGCGATAGTATTACAAACGCGTCTATTGGATGTCCATGCGAAGCTAAGTTATTGTTCTGCGATATGTATTTACAAAAATTGGATCAATTATACTGGCCAGCAGTTTTAACATGTCTTCGTGATTGTTACGTTGTTTTGGACTTTCCATTTCGATCTACAACAATAGATGAACGTAGGTAAACATCATTTGACGAGAATGTTACCAGCTGTCCCAGGAGACACAGACACGGATGACTTGCAGACCAGCTGTCCAGTCAAACCCCTGCAAAGACAGTATGCTGCAGCATAGCTGACGAGCCCTACAGCATGCACCCGGCGGGGGCTGAGCCAACCAAAAGTGCCGCCAAGAGTGTCCGCGGGCTATGCCATGGGGCGAAGCGCCCCTGCGCCGTCAGCCTTAGAACTCGCGCGGATGCCCATAAATCTATTCTTCAGCCTTTCGTTTCTTCCTCCTGATGGTAGTCTCCAGATCTAAAAGCCTTCTCAAGTTTGCATTCTGCGCATCGTGGGTGTTTTCGTCGCCAGTCAGGAACTCCAGGAACACAAAATTATGGTCGAGAATCTAGCCCCGACTTTGTCATTCGAGACTTTCGAAGATGCCATCGCACCGCTATTTAGCAAAGTCGCCTCTCAGACAGCCAGAAATGCACCGCTTGACCAGATCGTGTTCGACAAAATCAGCAGTCTCCTCCTCTCGGCAGGCAAACGCGCTTGGGCGGATCGACCAAGGACCTACACTGTTCTCCGGCTCATCAACCGCATTGATGCTATGGATGACTTTATCTTAAACGACTACCTGGATATCCAACTTCCATACACCGAACGCCGCCTCCCCGAGATTCTCAAGGGAGCCTCACGTCACACGTTTCTCGAGAAACAAGCAGTGGTATTGACCGGCGCGAATGAGCTAGAGCTTGAACGCGGCCGACACCGGCACCTCAACGTTGATGGCGACACGTTCTTCACGATACTTTCGCACCTCGGCGCTGGCAAGTACGGCCGTGTGGATCGTGTCCGCAGTAAGTTATCCCTGGAGGAGTATGCACGCAAGCGGATTGCACGCTCCCGTACTTTCTCTCGTGACACGGCTGGAATGCGGATATTCGAGAACGAGCTGTCCCATCTGAAACGCCTCCGCCACCATCACCTCGTCACCTTCATCGGCTCCTACACAGATCCACGGTGGGTAGCCATGCTCACGACGCCCGTGGCCGACTGCGATCTTCACGCTTTTCTCAGACAAACGCCATTCGGTCCGCCCGAGATGTCCATGTTGCGCCGCTTCTTCGGCTGTCTTTGCTCAGCGGTGCAATATTTGCATGGGCAGAAGTGCAGGCATAAAGACATCAAGCCGGGAAATATACTTGTCAGGAAAGGCGATGTCTTCGTGACGGATTTCGGTATGGCGAGAGATTGGAGTGATCAATCAGGAGGTTCTACGTCAGGAACGGTAGGACCATTTACTCCACGTTTTGCCGCGCCCGAGGTCATGCATAGCGAAAGAAGAAATGAACAATCAGATATCTGGTCACTGGGGTGCGTTTACCTTGATATGGTAACAAGATTGAAGGGCAAAAGTATTGATGAGATGTTGGTTTTCTTCGATACTCACGGCAGTGGCCTTCGCCCGGTTGCATACAACCCTGTAGCTTTGCGAGAGTGGCTTCAACACCTGGAAAGCCCTGGGTCAGACGACAACGCCCCATTCCAGTGGATCAGGTCGATGCTTCACCAGTCACCTCTTTTACGGCCAAGCGCAATTGGCGTTTTGGACACCATCTTGGTTCACGAAGACGACAATATTTACTACGGTGACTGTTGCGGACCAAGTGACAACAACTGCAGCACATACCGAGGATCCCTATCCGCCGCTGGAGGTATAGTCCTTGTGGCGGATCTCGCAAACACTTCTCTACAACAGAGTCTATCTACCGAAAGTACACGAAAGACTTCGACGCTTATGGAGAACGACATATCCACGCCCACCAACATGTTTTCCGTCAACAGGGGTGTTCGTCAACCAAACTCAAATCCTGATGTCGTCTCGCTGTCCGATGGCAACGATGCAACAATCGCATCGTCAGCGTCCGTCCGGGATTCATTACCGCTAGCACAACCCTCCAGAGCCACATTTCTGTCTCGGTCGTATACCGCCGCCTTCTATCGCACACTGGAGAGGGACTTTCAGAATGCGCGGGAATTGCTCGCGGCGATGTCCAACGGTAATTGGGGCTTTCAGGAATTCTGCGAACCTCTCAGTTACACAAGCAAGAACTTTGTCGATACCGCAAATAGCATTCACTGGGAGAGACAATATTTTTCCATTGACGTACTCGGTCGCAGGTTCGACACGTATGGTTTCGGCAAATGGTTTTGTCAGCGAGTGGCATACCATCTGGGCACAGGCCCCGAATTTAGCATTGCGGGGAGAATATGGCTCAACATTCTTCTTCTCGAATTAAGAATCGTCATTCAAACGGAGCTCCTACACGCAGCTAAGCTGATGTACTCCTCTGAAGGCTTGAGGCTTGAGAACCCTTGGCTCATCCCGGAATCAGAAGTGTCGAAAGTCATGGAAAGCAACTCGAAGTGCAGACATTCATGGGAGGCTTTCAAAGAAGAATTGAGGTGATTCAAGCTTCCACTTTCCACTTTTAAAGCAAAGTCTCACGGACTATTCCAGGCGATGCGAAGACTGGGCCTACTACGATTCCGACTTGAAAGCCGAATCCGAAGACCCATGTGCTGAATTCAGCAAGCGAGCTCTCACTGCCACTTGCTCGTATGTGAGAGGAGTGCTGAAAGATGGCGAGTTTCCTCTACTTGGGGTAGAATTGGAGAGCGTTGAGGATCAGTACGCTATTGCTTGGTTTCCATTCCTTGCAAACATGCTGCGCCACGCGTGAGTTGCATCCTAACAATCCTCATTTAATATTGCTATTATGTTTGAGAAATGTGAAACGAGGAAGGAAAAGTTAATATTTGACTTCACAGAGACCATCCACGGCCCGAAGCAGACGATCAGGACCATGTCGAGGCAACCCTCAATCAAAACAAGCATATCGACGAGAGTAAAACGCGTATGCAATGGGTCGGGAACTCAACTACAAAGGTGTTTGATACGATTGCTACGAAGGCGGATGGACGTTCTACGAAGATTGGAGATAGACAGCTTCTTCTCAAAAAGCCAAGAGGAAGCGGCTTGGATGCCATACATCAATGCAAAGGCTGCGGCAAGGTAAATCCTTCTTTTCAATAAATATAAACCAAATTCAAGAGTGAATATTAGACAATACAGCTAACCAGAGTCCAGTTCCTGAGTGATGGCAAAGTCCTTGCAATTGGTAAACGCAGTCTTTTCCTAATTCTTCGCTATTTGGCAAGTAATATCACTGATCAACACCAATAGCCGGGAACTATTGGCATCCAGATTGTTTCCATTGCCTCGATTGCCGATGCAAGGTCGAAAACACAGGATACGCAAGAATTTCAGAAGGCGTGATTTGTATGCCATGTCACGCAGTTCTTGAGGCCCGTCGAAGAAAGACCTCACCGCGTATGTCTACAGAAACCAAACCCCGGCTCACTACGGAACAGACTCAACCTAATCGTTTCTTTTAAATCCCGCGCTAGCCAGAGAACTACGGGGGAAGTTATGCTCATGCTGTTGATCAATAATTTTGCCCTGTCATTCAGTCACCAATACTTCTTTTCCGCTGTTTGTCTTTTGTAATTTTTGGCACTGTTTGAATATTAGCATTTCAATTTGTACACAACCACTACTGCTTTTGAATGCCCTCTTTGGAATCCTACAGTAAGAATTTTCTTTGGGAAGGTGACAAGGGTCGGGAGGTGTCAGCAAGCATATTTCGCAAAACCTATTCCACCGGTTTTGCTTAGTAGACACCTTTGGTAAGTAATCATTAGGACTTCATCTTTATCCATATCACCTTATGGCAGGTCAATAAGCATTTGTCTTTCCGCGTCAAACAGATTATTATACACTTTTTCTTCGTCGGTAGTTCAATCGAGTGTCCCGGACGTAAGTGTGATGGGAGATGGTATAAATGCACCCAGTCATTGGATTCAACCACTCACACCTCATCTAGCACCAACAGCATTACAAAGCGAAATCAAAGCTCACTACCACTTTCGTCTTCACTCTCCTCATCAGCATCAGCTGGCGCCCCATGGCCGGCCGAAACGTCCCTCATCGCCGCCGCTCTCTCCTCCCACTCCTCCTCTCTTTCAACACCCGCCACTGGGCCAACGCGATCAAGCGCTTCCTGTGTCACTGCCGCAATCCACCTTCTCCACTCCAGCGACGCACGGAGATCCCCCCTGTCTGCGTCGAGCGCGACCTCGGCGCGATTGAGGTACATGAGTTCGGCCGGGGTCAGTGCGCCAGCGAATGCATTGGAGTGGAACGGGGCGGCGAGGGGGTTGAGTCGCGTGGTGGGAGGGCGGGTGAGCGGGGACAGGGGGGTTTCTTCGAAAGAGGAGGAGGAGGAAGATGGAGATGGAACGCGCCTCGGGAGAAGAGGGGTCGAGCTAAGCGGCGGCGAGGAGGGCGGCTCGAAGATGGCAGCGTTCCTGACATCGATGCTCAGGAAACGACTGCGGTTTCGCCGTGGAGGAGGATAGGGGTGGTGGCGGTGGTTACGAGCATTTGGGTACGTGTTGTAAGTGCGGATCCCACTGAGGTTTGTGAAGGTCAATGGGGTTGGCGAAGTGGGCGCGCTGGCGGCACTGGTGGCGCGGTTAGGCGCTAGGTTAGACAAGGGACGAGAATGGTGAGGTGGTGTTGAGCGAGGCCGGGTTCTGGGGTAGGTGCCTTCGTTTATGTCGGAGGTAGGCAGTGGCTCATAATCGCCCATGTCGTCAAGGCCCAAACCAACCTCTTCAGCACCGGAAAGCCGTATGTATTCCGGATGATTCCGACGCAAGAGATTGACCTGATGCGCACATTCGTACCATTCGTGATCATCGATGGTTAGGGCACTGATCCTTGAGACGTAGCGAGCAATCGTGTCCGAGATTCCATTGTAACTGCCATCTCTAATCGTAGCTTGCCGCAAGGACCTAAATTGTTGTCGCATGTGCAGTGGCTCCTGGTCGACTGTGTCTTCCACAAATTCAACTGGTCGGTTTGTTTCGCGGAAATGAGTGAGGTTGAAATGCAGCGATAAGAGGGACGGGCACATTCCATCGCAGGGTATCGTCCAATGTGTATGCGGTCGTGTCAAAGTGCCGCGAAGTAAGCGGAATACCTCGTACTGGAGGAATAGCTGCTCAAGGGACCGGAAGTACAGTTCGTCTCCCGAGCGTTCGGCTGAACTGGGCCATTGCAGCAAAACGTGCAGCGCATAACTGGCAGTGAGCGCCCACTCAACCTGGGTCTGTACCACAGCGTGTATATCTGGAGTGAACGTGCCGTCAATGGAAAGTCTATTGGCCAGGTTGAGGGTACGACGCCAAGGGTCACTTGATGGCCCAGCTCTGCGAAGATCTGATATTGAAACTATTGGTTGTGTGTCGCTCATGTCGCTTTAACGTGGCTCCTTGCTCGGTATGTTGGAAGAAATTTGCGCTGTTCAACAAGAGAGTGCTCTGGAAACTCTAGTGTGAGGATGTTGATTGGATAGAAAGGAGTGCAGTCATTTCCATGCAGCGATAGCAATGGAGGAGTCGAGTGGTGTGACAGCGTAGTGAGGTATCAACCGGAAAATGGTGTTTGGTTGGAAGCCTGACGAGTAAGTGTGATGACGGCGTTGTGCAGAGCATCTTCCAAGAAAAGAAGTCATTCCCGGGACTGATGAAGGAAGCCGCGAGAGAACAAGTCGGCGGATCAGCAAGCACCCGCTGCAGCTTCCCTATGGCCAGGTCTAAGAGGATCTAATTGAGCTATTTACATAATCCCGGTGGGAGACAGTCGGGATGATGGCGATACAGCAGGATCACTGCAGGACGATGTACTTGCGCAGGTGCTGAGGTATCGAGTCAATGAGCTTCTTCTCGGTCAACCACTTCTTGGAGAAAAGTCTATCAGCGTATCTGTAGGCACCATCGCAGAGGATGGTGACAACAGTGTTGCCCTTTCCGAGCTTCTCAGCGACCTTCTTGGCCGCAACGACGTTCAGCGCAGAGCTGGCACCGAGGTACAAGCCCTCCTCATCCAGGCAGCGGTAGACCATGGCAATCGTCTCCTCGTCAGGAATGTGCACCGAGCCGTCGACAAGACCAATGTCAGGCTTCAGGTTGTCCGTGATGCGGCCCTGGCCGATGCCCTCAGTGATGGAGCCACCGCTCCTCTCAGTGAGCTTGCCGCCGCTCTGGATGTACGAGTGAAGCACGGAACCCGGAGGATCGGCCAAGAAGGACTTCACGCGCCCCTCGGACTTCTCTTTCAAGTACCTCGTAACTCCAGCAAGAGTTCCGGCGGTACCAGTAGCGCAGGTGAAAGCGTCAATCTTGCCACCGGTCTGGTACCAAATCTCCGGACCGGTCGTCTCGATATGTGCCTGGCGGTTGGCAGTGTTGTCGAATTGGTTAGTCCACACAGCGTTGTCCATGGACTCGGCGTGCCTCTTGGCCTGGTGGTTGTAGTTCTGGGGGTTTTCGAAGGCGACGGCGGGGACAGGGTAGACCTCGGCACCCAGCAGTCTGAGCAAGTCGATCTTGCCCTGCGACTGCGTGTTAGGCATGTAGATGACCAGCTTGTAGCCCTTGGAGCGGCACACGTGGGCGAGGCCAATGCCGGTGTTGCCAGCAGTGCCCTCGACCACAGTGCCGCCAGGCTTCAACAGACCCTGCTTCTCGGCATTCTCGACGACGTAGAGAGCGGCGCGATCTTTGACGGAACCACCGGGATTTTGGAATTCGGCCTTGCCGAGAACCTCGCATCCGGTCTCGTCGGAGAGCTTCTTCAGGCGGATGAGCGGTGTCTTGCCGATTGCTGTGGTGGAGTCAGCCATCAATGGCTTACAAATGGCGGCGGGGACTCGCACCGTCAATGAAGCCGCGCTGGGTGACGCCCTGCGCCTTGGAGATGCCAATGGCATACTGCTGGGCGGCCTCAATCTGCGAGATGTTTTCTGCCGCGCGGTAGGTAGTGGCGGCGAACCGCAGCACGCGCGTCCGGAACATGGCGAAGTGTTGTCGGGGCGGGGAGTGAGTGGTGAGAGGCGCGAACTTTCGAGGCGCCGATTACGCAAGGCCTAGCGCCGGGAAACCCTGCGGCGGCGCCAAGACTGCGGGCGGCGACAGGGTAAGTAAACACCGCGAGTGCGCGACTGGTAAACAACGACACGACACGACAAGCCCACCATCGACCCCCTACGCCGACACCATGCCCGGCCGCGTAGCAGACAGGCGAAGGGCGCGCGCGTCCGGCGCCGCCAGCTCCGCCAAATCATCCACCACCGCCCGGTCGCGCAACTCCAGGTCCACCCGCACCTCCGCCAACGCCGTCGAGATCCCCGATGAGGGCGAGTCCACTTCTCTGCGCGAGCAGATCTGCCGTATTTTCGGCGACGCTCAGCGCACCACCGCCACCCAGCGCAAGCTTGTCGTGCAATTGCGCAAAATCCAGGAAGCCTGCTGCTACGAGCCTGTCAAGCCCAAGAAACAACAATCCAACGAAGACTTTGGCGAGGAAGAGTTCAACGCTGAAGTCGGTCGCTGCATGCTGCGCATCCTGCCCGTCAAGAAGAGCGAGCCTGTAGGCGACCGCATCATCAGATTTCTGGCCTTGTTCCTGAAGCACTCGAGCGACAAAGGTAAGCCGCCTTGGAGCTGACAAACGGCAGATGCTCACATTGTCAGATAACCAAATCGCTCAGGACGCAAATCCGGACGAGACTACAATTCCCTCCACGCCGAGCAGCCGCTTAACCACCCATGTTCTTTCCGGTGTCGTCCCTCTCCTCACAGCCAAGGACAAGGTCGTCCGATTCAGGTCGACGCAGATAATCTCGCACATTCTCAACACCGTCGACTCTATCGACGACGAATTGTTTCCGCTGATTCGCTTGGGCCTGCTCAAGAGGCTTCAGGATAAGGAGGCTCAGGTGCGTGTCCAGGCGATTCTGGGTTTGGGACGTCTCGCCGACGGCGATGAAGAGGAGGACGAGGACAGCGATGATGAGGACAGCGCAAAAGGCCTTCTCGTGAGGCTGTTGAACGTGCTTCAAAATGATCCGGCTGCTGAAGTCCGCCGCTCGTTGCTGCTCAACCTGCCTTTGACTCCCTCTACATTACCATACCTTCTGGAGCGCGCTAGGGACCTTGATCCTGCGACGAGAAGAGTACTCTACTCCCGGCTTCTTCCTGCTTGCGGCGATTTCCGCCATCTGTCGCTGACTCACAGAGAAAAACTCCTTCGCTGGGGCTTGAGGGACCGTGACGAAAACGTGCGCAAGGCTACTGCCCGCCTATTCCGCGAACGTTGGATTGAGGACTGTGCCGGCGTTCCGACGGCAACCCAGGACAGCAATGCTGCCGTGAAGCAGCTGTCAAAGCCAAGCTTCGATGCACTTATGGAGCTTCTTGAGCGTATCGATGTCTCAAATTCCGGTGTCGAGGGTGGCGTTGCTCACGATGCCATGAAAGAATTCTGGGATGGACGGCCTGACTATCGCGACCAAATCAGCTTCGAGGATCCATTTTGGGACAACCTGACTCCAGAGAGCTCTTTCATTGCCCGCTCATTCAACGACTTCTGTCGAAATGGTGGGGACAGCAGGCTCCAAAGCACTCTTGAGGATAAGATGCCCGAGGTCACCAAATACGGGTACTTGATCCAGAAGCATATCTCGAAACTCATTCAAGGTGTTCAGAGGGTGGCAGAAGACAATGAAGATCCAGAAGTTGAGGAGGAAGCCGTCCAGCAAGAGTTCTGCGTCGAACAGCTTCTTCACATCGCCCTCACGCTTGACTACACGGATGAAATTGGTCGCCGGAAGATGTTCTCGACCATGCGTGAGGCCCTTGCCGTTCCAGAGCTTCCAGAAGAATGCACAAAATTGGTCGTGGAGATTCTGCGCACCGTCTGTGGCGACAACGTCGCGGGCGAGCGAGAGTTCTGCGGAATAGTGCTCGAGGCTATTGCCGACGTGCACGATACCATTATGGGTGATGATAATGATGACGATGACAACGAAAGCTTCCATTCAGCACGATCTGACATCGATGAAGAGCATGACGAAAGCAGCACAAGGGAGAAACTGAAGAAAAAGAACCCAGACATGACCGATGAGGAGCTGGATGCGGCTGAAGAAGAGAAGGCTGTCCGGGAAATCATGGTTAACATGAAGTGTCTTCACATCGCTCAATGCATGTTGCAGAACGTGCAATGTGAGCTCGAGTCCAACAGTGCACTCATTACCATGTTGAACAACTTGGTCGTGCCCGCTGTTCGCTCTCAGGAGGCACCAATCAGAGAACGTGGTTTCCTCTGCCTAGGTCTCTGTTGCCTTCTAAGCAAAGTGAGTTCACCCTAACATAGCAACACTGAAATGCACTGACTCGGCCATTAGAATATCGCCCAGGAGAACCTTGCTCTTTTCCTCCACTGCTTTGCCAAGGGTCATGAGGCGTTGCAGACTATCGCACTTCAGATTATCACCGATATCCTCACCACACACCCTATGCTACTTGCTCCTCCGCCAGCACCTACAGATCCGGATGCTTCGGAAATCGCCCCCGTCAACCCGCTTCTCAAGCCTGTTCACAAGATGTTCTTCAAGGCAGTCAAGTCCACTGATCCTGGTGTTGCAACAACGGGTGCTGTGGCTGCTAGCAAGCTCATGCTCCTCAATATATTGCGCGATGCGGACCTCCTCAAATCTCTCACCATCGCATATTTCAACCCTGAATCGCAACATAACCCTGGGCTTCGGCAAGCGTTGACCTACTTCTTGCCAGTCTACTGCCATTCTCGGAAAGACAATGCGGAGCGGATGGCAAGCATAGCTGTGTCCGTTGTTCATGCAATGAGGGGTGTCCAGGAAGAACTGGAAGAGGAGGGCGATGTGGAGATGGTTGGCATTGGTGTTGTGGGAAGCCAGATTGTCGATTGGACGGATCCACGAAAACTGGTCGGCGCAGATGACGCGAGCGGGAAGCTCGTCAGTGGCGAGGCCAAGATTGAAGGCCTGGGTGACGCTCACCTACTTCTTGCGGAGGATCTTCTCGAGAAGATTCTTACTCCGGGAACAACCAGTAAGCACTTCGTCTCTTTGCATCATTCTTATTCGGTCACTAATGGTTGCAACAGGAGACGAAAAGAAAATCTATGTATCCATGCTCGGCAAGTTGCATGTGCACCCCACATGCTCCCCAGAGAAGATCCAATCGGTCACCGATCTCGTCGAAGAAAGCCTTGACAGCAAACTCGCCGCAACCGACTCCACCGCTCGCAACGCTTTCACCAAGCTGTCCAACGGCCTGGCCAAGCTGTCCGCTCCTTCAGAGAGAGCTGACAACAGCGGCACGGTGGTCCCTGATGCGGACGATGCCGGGCAGAACAGAGATGATGACCAGGTCACCGTCAACGACAAAAACGACGATGGCAACACCACTGTCAACGAGGAAGCCGCATCCGTCGCCGATGCTACTGAAGCGGAAGCTCCTTCTGTTGCGGGTGATGTGGACGCCATGTCCGTTGTCGAAGAAGAGGAGGAAGAGGACCAAGAGGACACCGTGGTACAGAAGCAGGCACCCGCTACTCTGTCTCTCGAGGAGCAGATCCAGATGCAGCTACAAGATGAGGTTATGGAGGATGTGGACGCGGAAGGGACGGTGATGCCGCATGGAGACGAGATGGACATCGATGAGGAAGAAGAGGAGGATCAGGAAGAGGAAAGGCAAGGCAGCGAAGAAGACGAATCGGAAGAGATTATGGTCGCGAAAGAACCGACTCCGCCGCCGCCGCCACCACCACAGCCTAAGAAGCGAGGCAGGAAGAAGAAAGAACCCGAGCCGGAGCCGGAACCTACGACCGAGGTCAAGTTGGAGTCGGAAATAGAGGAGGAGCAACCGAAGCCGAAGAGGCGCGGTAGGCCCCCGGGCTCGTCCAAGAAGGCAGCCGGCGAGTCGTCGGCTGAGAAGAAGAAGGCCCCAGCGAAAAGGGGAGCTGGCAGTAGGGCGACAACAGTGGAGAAGGAAGAAGGGGCTGGCGCTCGCCGGGGCAGGGGTAGGCCGAAAAAGGCGGCGCCGAAAGATGTGGTCGACGATCTGCTGGAGAGCGATGATGAGTAGAAGGTCTTGGCCATGCGATAGGACGATTACGGATTCTGGTATGGGGTTTGGGCAGGAGGTGTCATTGGCTGGGCTGGTGGGTGGGCTCCCTACTACGTTGGGATTCTTTCTTTGGCGTTACCTTGGTGGCGAGATTGCTCGTCTTGTGTCTTTCTTTTTAGTGTCAACTGTCAGTTGATGCAATGAGATGATTCTGCAGCTTCGATCTTGCTTTGGTGGCGTCTGTGATTTCCCAATTGCACTTCCAGCTGGTTACAACTTCTTCCATATACTACGTTGGTTTCAGCCCCAGGAGGTTTCAGATCAACTACCATATCTCTATCTTGGCATTTTTCATTTGACCGCACTGTACCCACGTCGTTTCTGTTCTGGTCACCCTGTAACTAAATGCCAAGAGCCTCGACGGCAAGCCGACTGCTAGCTTCTGCAGGCATACAAACAGGCTTTACGCCACGATGTCCGACCATGAACGTAGCAATGCGCCATGGCGCATATCCATCAGAAAGTCAAAATGAACGTACAAGGTTTATGCATATGCAAAAACTAGGATAGAGGCAGGGGAAGCTCGTAAAGAAGCATCTCTTTCCTGTATATATTGCTCGTTTCGCTACAGTCGCCTACAAAAGTCCTCCACCTCCGTTAGGAATAAAACAAAGACACTTCTGCTCACCTAGCCAGCTTCTTCTATTTAACCCTTAAGTTTATTGCCTTGCTGACCCGTCTTAATGCCGCCTTCGAGGGTATCTCACGAACAAATTTTCGGATTAAGGATAATAAGGGTTGAACCAGACCGGATGTTACGACTAATATCGTAACTCCGGCGACATTGATGTTGAAAGAGCTCAGCGTTGAAATTTCCGGCAAGCTTCTGAGGAAAAAGGATGAAGCTGAGCATGGCGCGAGTTCCTAGAAGAACATGGCAGAACCGCGTCGCGAAGAGAAGAATAAGGGGAATATCAAAAAAGCAAAAATAAAAGCCGAAAAGGCCTTGAAGCTTCTAAGCCGCCATGCATGCATAAAAGCAAGATGAACCACCGACGATATTAACGCGGCGGAAACCCGTCTGCGGAAAGGGCAAACGGAACTGAAGAGGTATCGAACATGTCAGCTATTGCTGGCTGAGCGGCGAATGGCCAATTCACAGAAAGGGACTGAAATCAAACTAAAAACGGGAATCGCGAGGGGGGAAATGTTGTCTTGTCATGAGAAAGTCATTGCGTGTTCGCATCCTCATTTTGTTGCTGTACTTCGTAAAGTTAGTTTGTTGCCTCGGCAGCTCACATGCAAGATTAATTGCATGTGGCTGCATCAACGTGCATGCGACAAGGGACCGCGGCTTTACGCTTTATCCGCGGGACCCGCAGCACTTTCGACTGCCTTGTTCGGCGGGTCGATGGCTGTAGCATGCTCATTTCCGATAATATCATTACTGGGAAAAGACGTCTCCATCGGAGTGTCAGCTGCGGTATGGTCATGCTTGCCATTGACAGTAGTACCGTTGTTCTCGGTTGGTGCGGGTGAGTGGAACGCGTCGTAGTCCCGTTTCTCGCCTTGAACGGGGGGCGCGCTGAGAGCAGCAACATTTCCATTCTGGGTGGTGTCAGAGTCAGGAAGCCAAATAGCTTCGATGGTGCAAGTGCGGCTGCCTTCTGGACGCTTGATGCCCACGAACTTGAAGCGCGGGTCGGTCCTTTGGAAGAGGTCGGCATAATCGTCCTCGGCGCGCTCACGGGCGTTGAGCAGCTGCAGCATAGTCATGTCCATGGATCTATGCAGTAAGCGAGGATATGTCAGCAAGCGCCAAGACGAGTCAGGGATCTAGATCTCGCGTATCTGACGTACCTGATGATCTTCTCGTCCCAGGGGTTTTCGGTCCCAGGTTTTGGCAGGATGTTTTCGTTGACGAGGATGCGCGCCCCCGGCTTGAGAGCAGGGATCAGGCATTTAAGCATTTTCTCGCAGTATTTGTCCGACCAATTGTGGAAGATCCAGCGGAAAAAGTAGACGTCGGCGCCAGCCACAGGCTGTTCGGTGAAGAAGTCGTGGGCCTGGAACTCGATGCGGTCCGCGAACTCGGGGGGAATATGGGCGGGGCCGTCGGCTACGGTCTTGGGGAGATCCTGCACGACAAAACGGAGATCGGGGAAGCGCTTGGCGAGCGCGACGGGCACGAAACCGTGCGACCCGCCAACCTAAGCAGGGGTCAGTTTCTCGTATATTGCCACAGGCAGGCTAGCGACTCACATCGACGACGGTCGCCTTGCCGAGGGCGTCCCACGGGTAGCCGTTGACGAGGTAGTCGACCTCGTAGCCCTCACCGCCGGTGAGCGAATGCATGGCGCGCCCAAAGCGCTTCGCGCGCGCCGGATTGCGGCCAATCTCGACGAACATGGGCACGTCGATGTCCCAGGCGACGGAGAAGCCGCACTGAGTGGGCTCCTGTGAAGCCGGCCACTTCTGCATGGCGTCGACCGTGCGCGCAGCTGCAGGGAAGAAGTCAGAGCTGCACAGGCCGACCCAGTCGTTCATGGTCGGGTCGAGCAGGGCCATGGAGGCGGCGGTGTGGGCGACGTAGCCAGGGCGCGGCTCGCAAAAGACGCGGTTCGTGATGGCATGGCGCACAATGCGCTTGACGTTGACGACATCGACATTGACGGCGGTGGCGAGGTCATCGAAGGAAATGTCGCGGTCCAGGGGCACGGCCTGGGGGATGCCGAAGTTGTATACAGCCTGGAGGCTGAGGTTGTCGTTGTACTGTACCCAGCCGAGTGGGAAGGCGTCAGCGGCGCGTCGCACAAGAAAAAAACAGAAGTAGCCAGAGACATACGCTCCACGCAAGCCAGCGCATGCTTTCGCTCGGCCCAACCATCAAGTCATGCAGCTCCTGCGTCGCATTGATGACGGCGCGGCGGGCCTGCTGGATCTCGGTGTTGCTCGCAGGCACAGGGAAGTCGAGCGGCGCATGCGGATCGAACGACAGCGCAGGCAGGCCATTGGCGGCGAGATATTGCTCGATCTTGGCCGTCTCACGCTGGATGAGGGCAGTCAGCTCGCTCAGGCGCGACATGATTCTTTTTGTTGGGTGGATCCAGTGGGCTGGAGCTGGGAGAGGGGCAGGGGTCGCGGGGGCTCGGGTCTGCAGAGACGCTCTTATGGGAGCAGCCCGCATGCTCGAGCTGCCCACGCGCGCGACCCTTGGCGATGTGCGGTGACAGGGCAGCCCGCGGGGCCGTGCTCGCAGCCGCGGACCAGGCACCCCTACCCAACTGGGCTGCTGGACCGTATGATCGGACGCCACCGTGCTCTGCCAGCAGAAGCGCGCGGGGCCGCAGCCGATAGACTGCACGCCGGCCGGCCATGCGCACGAGAAAGGCAAAGGCCCTGCCTCCAAGCCGCTAAACCGTTGCACTTCACCACCGGCAGTTATTTTCTCTCCGCTACCCAACTTCTGTCCACTACCCCTCAACACCTCGCCACCCACCCTTAGCAGCCCGTCCACGTGCTCTCTGCCGCCAACGCTTCCCCGCCGCGCCTGCCTGACTGAACGACCAACCACTGGCCCGGCCCGCCCCGACCATGGCCGACCAGCACTCGCTCCACGATTCGGTGCTGGACCAGCCCACCGAGCACCATGTCCACCAGAAGCGCAGCTCGCAGTCGCCCACCCAGCAGAAGCGCGCCAGCTCGTCCCCTACCGGAGCCGCGGCCATTACGGCGCAAGAGCAGGCGGATGCCTTCGAGCAGGCCGAGGACGGGATCGAAGCCAACGACTACACCTCGGACGACGACCAAGGCTACGAGTCAGACAGCGCGTCCACTACGTCGGCATCGCTCGCCTCGTCGGCGCGCAACTTCATCTACGAGAACGGCCGGCGGTACCACAGCTTCCGCGAAGGCACTTACTCATTTCCCAACGACGATCGCGAGCAGGACCGCGAGGACCTGAAGCACGCCATGTACCTGAAGCTCTTCAATGGCACGCTGCATTTCGCCCCGCTGGACCCGGAGAAGAACATCAACGCAATCGACCTGGGCACCGGCACCGGCATCTGGGCCATAGACTGTGGGCCAACCCCTGTCGCGATCCGTGGCACAAGGTCGCTAATCTTACTCCAGTCGCCGATTTGTACCCGAACGCCAACGTGCTGGGAATCGATCTGAGCCCCATCCAAACGGAATGGGTGCCCGCCAATCTGGTACTAATCCTGGACCCACTTTTTTCCACGCCTGTCACCAACTGACCCTTTCACAAGAAATTCATGGTCGATGATGCCGAGGATGAGTGGTTACACCCGCGCAACACTTTTGATTACATCCACACCCGTCACACCGTGCAGGGCTTCCGCAACTGGCCGAAACTCTTCGAGCGCGCGCTAAGGTAAGCCTCCATCCGCATCCGCATCCGCATCCCCGCGCGCACGCACCAGCTCACCTCCCTGTCCTCGCCGCACAGACACCTCAAGCCCGGCGGCTGGATGGAATGCCAAGAGATCGACCACATGCCCATGTCCAACGACGGCACCCTGGCCGACGACGACGCCATGCTCAAGTACTGGCAGATGGTCACTGACGGCCTGTCCAACGTCGGCGTCCCTTTCCGCTCTGCCCCCGTCCTCAAGCGCTACATGGAAGAGGCCGGCTTCGTCAACGTCACCGAGCGCGTCTTCTACACGCCCATCGGACCCTGGCCCAAGAACAGGCATCTGCGCGAGGTCGGCTTGTACTGGCGCGCCGTGCTGATGGAGGGCCTTGAGGCCATCGCTCTTGGGCCCATGACCAGGGGCTTGGGTTGGACCAAGGAGGAGATTGCTGTGTTTTTGGCTGCCGTGAGGAAGGCGTATACGGAGCCGTCGACGCATTCCTTCATGCCGTTTTATATCATTCACGGCCAGAAGCCGGAGTGATGGGGGCTGAGGGGAGACCAGGCACAAAAGATCCGTGGATTTAATTGGTAACAAAACCGCCACAGCCATCCACAACAAACTACATGTCTCACTTATCTACCCATCTTGTCATTTTCTTTCGGCACCTCTCATATCGAACCCTCCATTTTTGATTTTTGGCTTGTGCATGGGCTGGCTAGATTCTCTCTCTGTACCCTCGTTCTTCCCGCTTTGTTTTTGTGTAGCTGCATATATGATACCCCTTCAATGGGTACGAGAGTACGACACGTGTAAAGGCAGCAATGCCCACAAGCGGTACGGCCGAAATTGTTGCTTCTTCCGGGTGGTGGAAAGTTGAATGGTCCGTATGCGGATTGCTCAGAGACCCAATGTGTTAATATTGCAAGACCTATCAGCATGGTATGCGTACAAACTGTGAGGGAACAAGTTCAGCAAAGCGTCGGTGTTGGTATTAAGTCATATTTCCTTTCTCACTATCTTTCTTCCCCCGCAGGGAAGACGCCATTGGTGTATATATGGCCTTTTGAACAGATCCAATTATCGTACTCCGGGCTGTGGTACGTATTTTCTCCTTTTTTCTCCTCGAATTTCTTTTCTCGATTCTTCAGGTACCATGCGAAGACAAAGGCCCCCACCCCTGTCTTGGACTTTCCTGAAACTCTAGTTTGATGCCCCCCCCGGTCGAGCTGAATCATCCGAAATGACCTCACCGCGCATGATGGCGCGCTTGGATTCTTTGCATATGACCGTACCATGGGTACCTATAATCTTGGCAGATCTTAATATAGCACTCTGGACCCTCGTCTTCAGCTGCGCAGGGTTTCCTTTGACTCTCTTATTCACACGAACAAGAGCAAGTATTTTCCTTTTTCCCGTCATCGCATGGTCTCGGATCGCCCTTCGACATATTCACGTAGCGCGTCGTTTAAATCTGACCGGTATGCATGGCTCTATTGCTGTACTACTACCCCCGCTATTTTAGTCCCATTACGCGCATATACTTTCCGGGCCGTAGCGGCCGGCCGGCCGGTCGAGTGGTCTAACTAGCTTATTAGTAGGCGCACCTCAATAGTAGCGTAGTTTACGCTAGTTTCTTGGACCGAGGGAGCGGAAAGAAGATCGTCATTCAACTAGCGTAGCTATGTATCCCTAGTCCTGAAGAATTTTTCTTTCTCGTCCAATAGCGAGCGAGATGATTTTTCCCGAAAAGGAAAAATTCAGCATCTTGTCAGAATTCTACGAGCGAGAAGTGAGGCGAGAACGATAATTGCGCCACCGCCATCTTTATTTTGTCATCTTTTTCTTTTTCTTTTTCCCTTTTTTTTTGCTACGGGGTCTTTGTTAGCTTCAGTCGTATGACTGGTCTTGTTGGGAAATCCTTGCATCTCCATCTAGGAGTAATGACCATATTTATCCTTCCGGGAGATGTGGTTGACTTTTTGTTTAATGCTGACCAACGAACGCAACAATTTTGCCCAGTTAAAGGCCTAGCGAAACAAGTAACAGGCATACAACCCTTCCCAGCCATGCAAGGTATGCGAGTAAAAATGAAAACCTTAGGCCGTCGCGTTACTAGTCTCATATTTTCTCCTTACTTACCTGCTTGGAAGGAGGAAGGCGTCGATAGTGGCGGTGCCGGCGGAAACGTAAAACTGAGGGAATTAGTTTCAAGCTTGGCCCCTTATTTTTTCTTTTTGATCTTGTGTGATGCGGTCTTTTTTTTTTCTTGTGTAATGAGCGGCTTCCATGGCTTCTCTGCAGCTCCACAGTCATGCAGGATCATAGCCAATAGATAGCGAGCCTTGGCTTGTGCCTATGGGGGGCTGATGGAGCTCTTTCGTCTGTTGTCTCAACGAGACACTCATATCCTGTCTTTCTTCCTGACTGGCCAGCGTGCCGATACCGGATCACTGCAAGCTTACACGAGTCGCGAGCTGCCGAATCTCGCCGCCGAATGATGGTTCAAACCGAGAAGTGGCGGAGAAAGACAGGCTCTTCGCAGCTGGAATGCATGCGTGCCATTCGTTTGATATCGTTGAGACCTTGGTACTCGTGCAGCAAAGCCTTTGATAGCCTCTAGCGCATGATAGGTTGCAGTTGGACTACAAACCTCCGCCACGCGCTGCAGGTTTCCCCTGCAATGCGACACCACCCGCGTTTTTAGGTACCACTACTTACCTTCATGCACCGCCTCGCCCAGATAGCCAAGCGGATCAAATCGACTGGGCCCGTGTGAGTGGCAAGCCAACACGTTCTGTTGCACAGCAGGCGCAAGTTTCCCGGCTCTGTCGGCTGAACTGAACACACAAGCGACAAGTGAACTGTCAAAGGTGCGTCCTGTTCCTGCTGTGCACCCACAGAGTTCAGACGAATCCATGCATGCCACGAGGGCCTAAGGCGGTGTATGTGGGGGTTGCAGAACGTGCTCTCGTACAACACGACCGTGTGTTGGGAATGAGTACGTAGCCGGTCGCTGGCGGTTGGGTGCGGTCTAGAAGTCCGTGGTTGTTCGTGCGCGCACGCTCGGGCGCGGCGTTAGCGAATCTGGTGATGCTGAACTGAGGCGGGCCCCGAGCCACGGGTAGCTGTCGGCATTTCGGCTTGCGAAGGACAAGAAATTCGGATGTACGTTTGGGGTTCGTGAGGGATTCGGCGTAGGTGCCGATGGGGTGAAAGCTCGAAACGGTGGGCTAGTTTGCCGGAAGAAGTGCCCACGGGGTTATTACTTCTGTGTTCCCCATTGGCTGGATTTGTCCGAAACCATATAGATGAGTTCCTGTTTCGAGATGTAACGGCCTCCCAAACGCATGTTGTCAGTAGACGGTGGTTGCTCGCTCAACATCCAATTTCTGGGCTTCAGGAGCTGCTCTGCTGCATTCTGAGGGACTGCCCGCCGGCTGGTGGTCAGCAGAGGAACAGCAGAGCCGGCGAAACCAGGCTGGGGAACGGAGAATTGACGGGGAAACCGCACAGTGCGGGCCGGAGAAACCGTTCGACATGGGGAAACAAAGGCTGGACGGGACAGGGGAAGGCGGAGGCGGGGAAACTAGCGGCGCCGCAGGAAGTTCGGCTCGGACAGGGTCATCCTCCAATCGTGCCATGCACCTGTGTAGCTTCTTCGAATTTTCTCTGCAGGTCTTGTGAGCAGGCAGAGTGGTTTGATGTGATGTTGGCCTAGACATTTTGTATCCACATGTGCGTCACCGGCACGGCACGTAGCGAGACGAAGGCGATCGAGAGAGAATCAAACGCCGTGGTAGATTCCGAGGCGGGTCCATCCAGCAGGTGCAGTAGTTGCCGAGATTGGATTGATGTTCGGAACGACAGTATTGCCGTTTTGGGTAACCGCGATATCCGCGCAGCAGGAGTTGTCCCAAGGGTCCAGACAGCAGCAATGCAATATCTTAGTTGCTTAACGACAAACTGCATGCTTTCGAGTATGTAATCCGAGCGAAGTGTTTGCGACCTTTTGGATAGCCGAGTTGGGGTAATATTGGAAATGCGCGAATTCTGTAAGCGTGAAGCGCCCCGAGGCCCGATGTTGGTGGGCCATTTTGGGCGGAGGAAACCGCGCCTGGACCTGGTATAGTTGCGTAGGCGGTGGTGAGGTTCGGTAGCCAGGCACCAGGGCGGTCCTGAGATGAGGAATGTGCCAGCAGGCGGCTAGAGGCAAATTAGTGGAGGTCGAGTGGAGAGGCCCATTAAATACTCTCATGAGGCTCGTCACTGTGCCAAATTTCAGCAGTCGGCAAAGGGGAGAACGTGCCGGCCAAGATGGTCATGACTACGATTGCTCTGGGTATACGAGGTCAGGCCTCCATAGGTTTGACGGCGGACTGGAGAGACATTGGGTAATGCAGACGGCACACTTGCCCGAAAAAGGAACCGACAAAAGAGCGGAGTAGGCTGGGGAGCTTGGCGTGGGGCGGCGGAGCGCAGAGAGGTCTGAACGGGCTGGGAATTGCCGGTGGTGGGCAGACCGGGCAAGTGCAGCCCGAAATCCCCAGAGCCGTGATCCGCCGCCTGCCGAGGACGCGCCCTCAGGCGTGCCTACCCCAGAAAGAAGTGCGATGACGCGTGCGCGATGGCGGTATGGCTGCATCCGGGCAAGCGATGGATGGTGAATTCTCTCTCGTGGCTTGTCGACGACGACGAGGCGTCGTTGTTTCCCCGCGCGCCAGCGCTTTCCCGACTCGCGCAGCCCCGCCATCTTGCGTGCCTTGCACCCTCATCTCGCCACCAGCATCACGAACTGCGAGGAACGGCCGATCTGCCGTGCCGCAAACACCAGCAAAGTATCCACTCAGAGCCTCCGGCATGATAGCCTCGCTCCTTCAACGGCTCGACTACGGCGCAGCCCATTGCCGTCCCAATGCCGCTTCTGCACGCCGAGCACGTCCGTGATACCCTGGTCGAAAATCCAGCAGACATGGCAGTCCTCCGCTCAGAGCACCACCATCGTGGCCGGCCCAGACTCCTCCCAGGCCGAATCGGCCCCGGGGTACGTCACTCTTGGACTATAAAGGCTTCATGGCCGCGCTGCGATGGTCTTGAGTCACAGCAGTGCCCTCTTCTCCCCCAGTCCTTCACCCACCATGAGGCTCTCTTCCGCGGCTGCCGCTGCCACTGCCCTTGTTGCCGGCACAAATGCTCAGAGCAGCACCAGCGTCTATGTCCAGCCCGACGTCCCTACCGGTACCCCCATTCCGGGTGACTACTCGGGTGCTCTGAGGCCGCAAGTCCACTTCTCTCCGCCGCAGGTGGGCCATCTCGCAATCTCGCCATTCAACTTGGGCTAACCAGTCACCAGAAATTCATGAACGACCCCAATGGCTGCTTCCTTGACGCAAACGGCACATGGCATCTCTACTACCAATGTTCGTGTCCCCACTCCTTGTATACAGAAGCCTGATGCTGACTCTCCTATCAGACAACCCCACCGCAACTGTGGCCGGCAACCAGCACTGGGGTCATGCCACGAGCAAAGACTTGTACCATTGGGAGAACCAACAAATTGCCATCTTCCCGCCAAACAACGTGTCCAACATCTTTTCCGGATCAGCCGTGATAGATGTCAACAACACCTCTGGCTTCTTCCCTGACCAAGACAATGGCGTCGTGGCCATGTACACGCTGAACACCCCTACCAAGCAAATCCAGGAAATCGCCTATTCGCACGACGGTGGCTACACCTTTATCCCCTACGAGGGAAACCCCGTCATCGACAGCACCTCGACTCAGTTCCGTGACCCCAAGGTCATTTGGTATGAGGACCACTGGGTCATGGTCCTCGCCTACTCGCAGGAATTCGCCATCGGTATCTTCACCTCTCCCGATCTGAAGGAATGGACCCACGCCTCCAACTTCTCTTACCACGGCCTTCTTGGCTTGCAGTATGAGTGCCCCAACCTCGTCGAGATCCCCGTCGAAGGCTCTGACGAGACCATGTTTGTCCTCACCATCTCCATCAACCCCGGTGCACCGCAGGGTGGTTCCATCATGGAATACTTCCCCGGTACTTTCAACGGTACACACTTCACTGCTGTCGACGGTGCCGCCCGCATCGCCGATTTCGCCAAGGACAACTACGCCGGCCAGTTCTTCTACGGCACGCCTGCTGGATCTGACGCCATCTCCATCGCCTGGGCCAGCAACTGGCAGTACACCCAAGTCGTTCCGACGGGCGATGAGGGTTGGCGCTCCGTCATGTCTCTGCCGCGCCGCAACTACCTGGCCAAGATCGAGCGCGTGGGTTGGACGCTTGTCTCGAAGCCGTACGACCTGTCTCCCGTCATCGGCTCTGAACTCGGCTCAGACGACTCCCTCGCAAACGCCTCGCTGGTCGTCGACTACAGCTCCGTTGCCAGCAACGCCATCTACTTCGAAGCCAACGTCACTGGCCTGCCCGGCTCCGTCTCTGATATCAGCTCCTCGGCGACGCTCAACTTCACCGCGCTGTCGCCCATCTCGGGCGAGTCCGTCTCTGGCGGCTACTTCTTCGGCGGCGACAACCCCTTCTGGCTCGACCGTGGCAAGACGCGCGGCTTCGACAACCCCTTCTTTGCCGATAAGTTCTCAACCGCCCAGCTGCTTGACTCGAGCGGCACCTGGTCCCTCTCTGGCGTCATTGACCGCTCCATCATCGAGCTGTTTTTGGACCAGGGCACCTACAGTGCCACTGCCACTTTCTTCCCTGTTCAGCCTCTTAGCATCTTCTCTATCAGCACGGCTGGTCTGCCTGAGGGCGCCAAGGTCAGCGTTGCTGTGTGGGGTTTGGAGAGCGCGTGGGCGCAGTACGAGGATGAGAGCGGACAAGTAGTTGGGAACGTGACGACGAGCTCTTCAGCGGAGAAGCGGATGCTGTATGCCACGAGCTTTGACGCGTAATTAATTAGAGGAGAGAGGTAAAAGATGGGTTGTCTATGATGTAATGCCTAGCGATTAATGTTAACGACCATACTGCCAATTATGGAAATCTCCGTGTGAAAGTCATGTGTAGAGTTTTGTGTCTAGTTCATGAGAAAATAAGGGGCCGTAGAGCAAAGAGGCCCATATCCTCTATTATCATAGCAAACGAACAAACATGTCACTGGGTATTCCACGTCACTATGCCCTCCGAGGATCCATTACCTCCCTCGAGCAGCTCTCAATCAACTCTCCCCCCTCAGCCTTTTTAAAGTGTCCTCCTCTCCCCTCGCCTCCCCCTCCTTCGGACTCATCCCACTCCCCGCCATCTCGAACCGCGGCGCGTCCGCCCCCGCGTCCAACTCGACGATCCGCTCGAACTGGTCCTCGCCGTCCAATTCCTGCGCGCCGACGTCTCCCGGCAACTCCGCGTTAGCCCCGAAATCGTGCTGCGGCTTGTCCGGCGGCTGCGAGCCCACCGCCTCGTGGCGCTGCGTTCCGGCGTGATCCAGCTCCGCGGCGTTGCGGTTCGCAGCCATTCGTCGCCGCCGCCGTCGTAGGAGAAAGAAAGCATGAAGTGCGACGAGCGCTACGCCGCAAACGCCGCCAACCACGCCGCCGACGATAGCACCAGTCTTACTTCTCTTCGCCCCACTCGCCGCAGCGGTGCTGGTAGTAGTACTACTGGAAGCAGCGCTCTGCTTGAACAGCCCCGCCAACGCCGCCGTCTCCCACCCACCCGCCGGCGCCGTCAGCGTCGCGCCGCCCTCATCCCCACCGCCCACGACCTCGGCGACGCCCTGCGAGACCTTGTACGGGCGAGCGGCGGCGTCGAAGTAGTTGTTCCACGTGACGCTCCAGACGTCGAGCACGGCGACGCCGTGCCACTCCCAGTCGCACGTGGCGTGGTTGAGGTCGAGGGCGCCGCCGAGCGTGAGCAGCTGCGTGCTGTTGGGCACGAGGTGGCACGTGTGGCCCCAGCGCGGCGACTGGCCCTCGAACAGCTTGGTCCACGTGAAGGACGGCAGCGACAGCGCGTAGACGTCGTCGTACAGGGTGCCGGATTTGGGGTTGCGCCCGCCGTAGAGGTAGATGTTGTGCGAGGAGCCGTCGGCGGCCGTGGCGGCGGTGAGGCAGAAGTCGGCGCGGAGGGCAGGGACGGTGCCCGTGGCGGTTTGGGTGTACCAGGTGCCGTTGTTATTGTCGGTAGAGGGGGACGAGAGCCAGGAGTCGACGTCCCAGATTTGGATTTCGTTGAGGTTGATCTGGTTTGCGGGTTCAGTGTCTTGATAAAGGTGGGTTGGCATTGGATGAGAGGTTGGCTCCTCTTGTTTGGATTCTTACCAGCTCTCCTGAAGCAGGGTCGTCATTGATAAGCGGCTCCCTTGCGATACCCCCCACAACTACTAACGCCCCGCTTTCCCCCATCTCGGACACGTACACCATGCCCGCCCCAGATCTAGGCGTGCCGCCCGTCATCGCTTCGGTTGACACATTCCACGCGGTTCGGCCCGTTGCATTGGCCGTATCTAAGATGATCATGCCCTCGAGGTGGGCTGTTTGCGTCGATAAGTTCCCCCAAACTTCAATTGATTCGACGGTTCCCGCCTCGCCGTTGAGGTAGAAAGCCAGCCCCAGATCAGGCGCCTCGGCGTGGGCACCGCGGGTCGGCTGCCAGAGGCTGGCCTCGCTGATGTTAATGGACTCCCAGTCACCGCGTTCGACGGTATCGTAGGCCCACAGCAAACCGGCATTTGAGCTGCTGTAGTTGTGCTGCGATGAGTTGCTGGTGAAGTCGGCACCTCCGTAAAGGTAGATTTTTGGGTCGGATGGAAGGCCTTGAAAAAGGTGTCCGCGGAGAGATGTCGGAGGTCTGGGTGTGGAGGCGGATTTGTTCCAGGTAGAGATGGAGAGATTTGTTTCCCAGTTCCAGCTTTCAGAGGTGTTGATCCCAAGTAGATAGTAATCTAGTGTGGGGTAAGTGGTGGAAGTAAGGCATATGGACGATATTAGGCGTACTCAGTCCGAGGTAGAATTCATCCGTCCACCTCTCATCGCCATCATAGATGGTCTCTAGGCCACCATCGATGTATATCATATCTCCCTTTAAAACGGCTACATGTTCGTTGTCAGTAAGGTGCGCTTAAGGTAGTCGAATGACATAAGCTTAAATATACTTTGATGTTCCCAACGCGCGCACATCAAGCCCACCGGATCATAGTCTAAAGCGGTAGCGTTGGTGAAATTCAACGTCGAAGACTGCGCCATTGCCCCCAGACTCAGCGCCCATAGCGAGAGGAGCCGTAGCCCACTCCGACGCAGCGGTAGACACATGGCGATGTGATGAACGCCAAGCGCTGGTGCGCAGCAGTGAAAAAGTCATGACGAGTGCATGGCGCTAGTTGTTGGACGAGGAGATCGAGATGAAGCGACGAGTCAAGAAGCACGCTGAATTATAGTGCTGATCATTCAGTGCATGCGGAGAAAGGCTTGTGCGATGGCAGCAGAAGAGGACAAAAGGAGAGAGCTGGGACGTCTGTAAGCACTCTGCTGCAGAAGGCTTTCTGCAAGCCCATCTTTTGGGGGCTAAAAGCGAGTCAGGGCCCTATTCCTTTAGCCTATCTTATCGTCCCTGCGGGTCATCGTCACCAAACGACCCTGCGGCGTGCCCGACAGCGCGGGTAGCTGGATGCATGTCAGCAGTCTAGAAGCACTCAATTCGCTAGGTGTGATGCTTGACAGCACTTTTGTCGTTTTTCCCTGCCCGTTGTCGCACGCAATCGCCGGAATCGCCGTCCGTAGCCACTAACCTCGGATACCAATGCGACTTGGCAGAGCCCGACGCCGCGTCTACCTATCCGGCGACCCTGGATGAATGCACGTGGCCTTCGGGCATGGGTCGGCTTGTCTGCACCGCGAGGGATAGGTGTGAACTCGATGCGGTGCTGTGCCCCAGCTTGTCGCCATATTGGGCATGGATCGACGACCTCTTTCCATTTGGATCATCAAAAGCAGCTGGAAGTCCGCGGGCTTGACTGGGAAAGAGCTGGATTTTCAATGCGGGTCGTCGCGAGTCAGCCGGTGCTGCATCACAGTAATCTACTTCTTGGCCCCCAAGCACTCGTAAGAAGTAATGAGCAGGCGACTGGTTGACCGGTGAGCACGGTGAGGATGGTGCAACCTTATTTTAAGGGCAGCTTGTCATTGCCCCCGGAGACCGTTTCTTTGTCAGCTTTCTACCCCAGCGGAAATAGTGGCGCCAAGCTATCTCCGGTTCTACTCGTGTCCCTTTTGCAGATCAGCGGGGATCTCTCTCCTCTTTTGCATGCCGATAAGCTTCCCAAGGCCCGATTACAGGGAGCATTGTCGCCAAAGGTCCGACTTCGTCGCCATCATCGCCGAAATTGTCCGCCTCATTTCTATGCTCGTCTATGAGTTGCTGCATTGGTCGTGCTGTGCGTGTCATTAATGGTGATCCGTATACACAATGAGAGTCCTCCCTTTGCAAAGTGATAAGGACGCAAAGCGGTCATTCCAATATGTCCGAGCGCCGCTGTAGAATTGAGCGATCTCCGAAAAAACTCTGTGCCGACTACGGTCTTGACGAAGTAGGAAAAAGAAAATAAGAGACAAAAACTCCGATATCCTTGCGTGATCTATCGTTGGTATGGTATCTTCATGTGACTTGACGTTGCGCAGAAAATAATTTTCACAAAAATAGACAAAAGAAATGCGCTCAAAGGAGAAGGCAAAAGAAATTCAAAGTAGGACGTCGTCTCTCAGCTATCGAGAGTCTCGCTTGGTTGTAGACGAAGAGCCGCGTCCACTATCCCTCGTCTGTGGCTCCTCAGAAATAACGGTAACGGTGACTTCCGGAAAGACCGTGACCTCTGTTGTAATCTCAATGGCATTCGGCTTGGGCGTCTGGTCGTTGACCCTTTCGTCAAAGCTGCTCTTCTCCCTTGGTGATCGGGGCATATACGTGGGGCTGGGCAGAGCCGGATATTGGTGCAGCTCCTTGACTAGCTCGTCCTCGCTGTCGCTGCGTCCCATCGACCGCGTGATTCTCCTGGAATCGCGCTGCGCTCCTCCAGTTATTGTTGTTTGGTGGTTGGAGTAGGCGTTCGTACCAGTGAATCGGGGGTTTGCGTCACGGAGCTCGAAAACGCGCGAGCGGCGCTGGCTCCCGTAAGTTCCCTTGCGAGATGTATGGCCTAGGATTAGAACGCGGAGCGTTGGAAGACAAGTTGCAATAATGGCGATGGCTGTCTCAATCATCGACACGGTGCAGGTGAGCATGGTCTCTTGGCGGTGCGAGTAGATAGCGCGAATGACTGTTCGTGTCAGTCAAAAAGTATACCCACTCTTTGCTGCTTAACGACTTACTGCTGACAATAACAACGACGAAGCCGAGGGCGAAAATGCTGGCAACACCAAGTTTTTGTTTCAAAGGAAGATTGAGCTTCATCACCATTGAAATCGGAAGGCAAATTATCAAAACATCAGTTGTGATGTTGACTAGACAATGAATGTCAGTAATTTCATGCAAGTTGCAGTGAACAAGAGATGCCTACAGGTAATGGTGATCCAGTAGTTGATTGTCGCCGCGCTGGCCGGACACGCTCTGCTGGGGTCTTGACTCCAGGTACGGTCCAACGGATAGCATCGGAAAATGGTGTCAAAGAAGATTGCCAGCCATGACACCACGAGCCATATGAGGGTGGCGTTGTACAACTTCTGCAAGTACTTGTACGTGTGACCCGCGAGCCTTTTGTAGAAGATGACCTAGAGGTAATATGAGCGAACGCCAGATCGCAACAACTCAGGTAACCGAATCACCTACCAGCCCGGCTTTGATCAGCCACAAAGAAAGCGTGTAGAAGATGGAACCCGGATAGATCAGCTGCGAGACTCCTGTTAGCTGTGATATTCAAGTTACTAGACTACCACTCAACTCACCTTCATCATCTCAACGAAGTGCTCCGGCGTGACCTCTGCCATGTTTTTCAGGCCTAGAAAGATGTCAACGATCGAGTGAGCGCTGCTGGGTATAGCAGCTAGGCTTACCGATGTTCCACATTCTCTGTTGAATGGCTAAGTCGCCGACAAGACAACAGAAGGCGGCAGTGATGAGGTAGTCATCGAGGTAAAGACCGCCCATGTTGTCCCATCTCACCCAAAGCCTCGAGACCAGGAAGAGGCCTGCGACTCCTGTACAGATGTACCATGATACCTGAACTGGTGGTTAGCAAGAAGCAGTCTCACAACGAGGCAATGGCAACGTACCACCTGGCCCGTCGTATCTTCAACCATTGTAGGTTGCAGGAATTAGGCAAGAGAGACCAAACTGAGAGAAAGGTGATGGATCGGCAAACCGTCTGCCTTTTAGTCGGCGTGGGCCGCGGTTAGACAAAAACCCCAGAAATATTGGGCGAGGATCTTGACGTGGGACGCACGCGGATCATGTTCACTTCAGATGATCAGCTGCGGTCTCATCACCGATCCCTGTGTCGCATCCAGGACGCGGACCACGCGGTCCTTCAGCTGATCCTACATGGGAGCCTCCGTTGGGGGGAAAATTTGCGGATTGGCAGCTCCACCAGGCTGGCTGAGGGACAACCTCGGAGCGGGAGGAGCAAAAGGCTGAGTTCATGCGAGCGAATAGCGGAGTACGGCCGGCGATCCGGCATGCTAGTTCGCGGACTTTGCCCCTCGGTTGGGTTGTGATAGCGTAAACGCTCTGGCCTCCAGTGAGGCTTTGCCCTTAGGCGCAAGGCCGGACTGCTCCATGAAGGGCAATGGCGGCCGCAGGCATACGACACAGGAGCCGTTAGTAAAGGACTGGGCAGCACGGCGATCCGGACCGAATGCATGTGCTTAGATGCAGGCGAGCACCGACGGGGAGCACCCGCTGGCCACCATGATGTCGCGAGGCGATGCGTGAGCGGAACACCGAGCCTCACGGCGCGCGGCCGGTAGACTTCACGGCAGCGTTCAGGAGGGCGGCGGCAGGCGTTATCCGGCACGGGTGTGGCGGGGACAAATGCAGGAGACAGACGAGTGAAGAGCTGAGGGCGCGTCAGCCCTACCGAGAATGGAAACGCGGCTTCGGAGCGGAAGGTCGGGAGACCGGGAGCCACCAGCGCGGGCTTGGGTCGCACCTTCAATTGCAAACTTTAGCTCGCCGGCCAGCTTCCGCTCCCGTCGCCGCCACCTCGACACGGCGCCCCAGCGGCGGTGCCGCACCTATTCACAGCCTCCGTCCGCCTCCGGTCTGCCCACACCTGCGCTGCTGCCGCCCGCGCTGCCACCGCCCGGCTTGCCAAGCTTCTCCAAGCGACGCCGATCAGCCTACTGCGCGTGGCCAGCCAGCCAGCCGAGCCTCGCTAGCTTCCAACGTTTTGCCGACGTCCTGTGCACGCGCGGTGCCTGAATCGCTGCAGTCGTCATCTCCTGCGGGCATTAATTCCACCCTGCCCCGCGAGCCGTCCGCGGCCTCGGCCCAGGGCGAGGCGAGGGGGCGTCTCGTGCGTTATATGGCGTGAGTCGTCCGATCTGGCTGCTTTCCAGTCCCTGTGAGATTAGCGGGCAGCGTCCGGGCTTCCAGAAGGCACTTGCATCCAAATCCCGTCCACCCCTCCTTCGGCAAACATCTCTCTCGCCCCACCCCGCCAGGACTTCCAATAATCACCTCCGCCCCGTTGCATTCCTCCTTCGCGGGAAGTCCCGCGCTAATATGCTTTCTCGTAGCGCCTCGCCGGGCTCGAACGGCCGTGGCGTGCCATGAACTGTGAAAAGATCGAGGCCCCTAACACTCTCTCTTCTCTCGCCGCCCGTGTCCGCTCGTTATATTTCTTACGCTCTGTCGTTTCATACCCGACTAGGTTGTGATTGACCTTCGTCGATTCATTCGTTCGCCAATCGACAGAGCTCTCGTTGCTTCCAACCAACCATGGGCTTCTTCGACGCTTTCATCGACGCCGCTACCTGCGCCGTCCTGGCCACCTCGGCCATCGTCCATGGCAAGGCCGGGACCACCTGCGACGGTGTCCCTGCTGCCCTGACCTCCTCTGGTATTGTCACCGGCTTCACTGAGAACGGCACTGGCAACCACGTCTTTCTGGGCATCCCTTTTGCCGACTCCACCGCCGGCGGAAACAGGTGGAAGCCCCCCGTTTCTCCTGCAAAGACATGGGGCATCCTCAACGCTACCGAATACGGATCGACATGCGCTCAGGCCGGCATCAGCAGCAGCCTTGCCGCTCAGGGTGAGGATTGCTTGAACCTCAACATTTGGACCCCCGCTAAGGGCACCAACCTTCCTGTAAGCATCACTAGTCCCCGACCCCGCATGCTGCATCCAGTAACTTGTGGCGGCCATCACTAACGGCGCTGTAGGTCTTCGTTTACATTTACGGAGGTGCTATGGTCACTGGCGGCTCCAGCAACCCGCAATGGCAAGGTAGCAACTTTGCTTCCAAGGACGTCATCTACGTCAACTTCAACTATCGCGAGTCGATCTTCGGTGCCCCTAACTCGGCTGAGCTGTCCGGCACTTCGCAGAACTTCAACATTCTCGACGTTGAAGCTGCCTTGGAATGGGTCCACCGCAACATTGCCGGTAAGTTTCATCGTTCAAAACAAGCCCCTGTCAGTTTGCTAATTGGAGTCTGCAGGCTTCGGCGGCGACAAGAACCGCATTGTCTTGGGCGGACATTCCTCCGGATCCGTCATGGTAGACCACTACCTGTGGAACCACCCCAACACATGGCTTGCCGGCGCCATTGAGATGTCAGCGAACGCTGAGTCAGGCCCGGGCTACGCTACCGAGAACGTTGGCCTTGAGGCGGTCATGGCCGATGTCGCTAACTCTACTGGCAAGACGCTCAGTACGCTCAACGACCTGCGTCACGTTAGCGCCTATGATATCGAAACGTCCAAATTCAACTCCACCTACAACACGTGGTTTGCGCCAATTGTCGACAACATTACGCGCTTCAGCGACTATCCCGGCCGTTTTGCTGCCGGCCACTACCCCAAGGATCTGCCTCTCATTGTCGGCAACTCTGATCAGGAGGGCAAGATCTTCTCTCTTGTTTACTCGGCTGAAAACTCGGACTTCAGTTCTTGGATCAACACCTTTGATGCCGATCTTGCGCACATTGCGGATGAGGACCTCTTGGCTAGCTACAACGAGTCTGACTATGAGTCCGTCTCGCTCATGAGCGGTGCCAGCTATGGTGATGCCCGCTTTTTCTGCCCGACTGATTACCTGCTCGATGTCCGCGCCTCCGAGCAACCCACCTGGATCTACCGCTGGTTTGGCAACTATAGCAACGTGATCGGTGTTGACGGAATGGGCTCCTCTCACGGATCCGAGGTCCCCTTCTTCCACGGTGGCAACCAGTGTTTTGAGGCTCTCGACAATGTCACTGACGAACAGCAAGCTCTTGCTGACTGGATGAACGATTGGTTTGTCGCTTGGATTAAGAACCCCGCTGCTGGCCCTGGATGGGACAAAGCAACTCCGATAAGTGGACCTCTTGCCAAGGTTGGCGTCCCTGGAAACGAGACCGAAGTGATCGTCGGCGATACCAGCGAGTACAACTCCCGTTGCCAGAGTGTAAGTTATCACAATCTACCTTGTCGTCCATTTCCGTTTTCTCAGTCTTCATCGGTGCCTCTCGCCGACATCGGCGAGATGATTACCTTCGGACATGTTCCCACATTTTGCCTCATGAATTCATGGACTGACAAATTTTTTTCATGCAGCTCTACAAGCCGAACTTCCCCAAGTACCCCGTTGTCCAGGATCCGACGAAGCTCTGAACTAAGCCACCGGTTTGCCTCACAGTTCTTTCCTATCTCTATTGTTGATACCATTCGATGATTATTCCCGGCGATTTGTAAATAAGTGCCAGTCGCCATGGCATATACCATTTTATCATGTCCTTCTTATACCAACCACCAACAGTATGCGCATTTACTCGGGTCGCATCGCCTAAGGGGGGGAAAGCGCGATGTCATTTAATGTTTGTTGTATGATGCCTAGAATCTCTTTCATTTCGCAATGGGTTTCCACGTTATGACAAACTGTATCATCTCAATCATCAGGTTCACAAAAGTTTAGATTTCATCCAGGTGGGGCGAGACAGGGAAAAATGTCTGCAGGACGCATATGGTCTAATGCAAAGAATTTCCGCAGCTCGCCGAATCTTTCCTATATGTTAAAGTTGTATCTGTGCGCTCACCACTGCAACGGAGATCGACATTTGGTCTTTGACAAGCATCTTCATAGCGCCTCCGCACTCGGTCGCGGACATATCGCGGCATCGATCTGGCTTGTGGGTACCTGACCCGGAATGTGGAGTCGCAACGCGTATACAGTACGTCTCGTGGCCAACAGGCATTTTCATATAACCTTGTTTCAACGGACTGACATCTCACTGCATGTAAAGCACCAACAATTTTGAGGAAAAAAGGACGGCCATAACGCTCAGCAAAGCCTTTCATCGTGTATGTATATATGTATGTACAAGGTCTCGGCCTCAATTCATTTACATCAGAAAATTAACAGCAATCGCACAAACATCTCATACCACGTCAGATATGCTTACGCAACATAGCTGTAGGCAAGCAGATTAAGGAATCCAAACCAACTCTTCCATCTGAAGAACGGCGTATCTCAAGCGGAATCCACTTCTGAACCCTTTTCAACCATCTCCGTTTAAGCAGGGCTCTGCAGGATGAGGCTGCTGATGGTGCAAGTGACGACGTTACCGGAGACGCTGGCCTTGACACCCGAGATGGAGAATTTGGTCGCACTGTTGTAGTTCTCGGGCGAGTTGTCGCACCAGGAGCTGTCGGTGCCGTCGGCAGTCTGTTTGGATTTCCAGCGTCAGTTTCGTTCCTTCGACTCTTCGTCCGGCGAGGCCTAAACGAAGAAAAGGCAGTTATGGATATGGAGGGGGAAACTTACGATGACGATGTTCTTGAACTCAAGGGGGCCGAAGTCCCAAGCGACATCGGTAAGCTCAATGGCGAAGAGCACTTGGTTGAAGGACTTGCTCGCTGCATCAAAGGTCAGTCTCGTGTTTCTAATGATGTTCTCTTTTTTCTTTTTTTTTCTCCTGGGCACATTTTCGGTTTGTCCTTCCTCAATAACCACCATAATGTCACTTGTCCTACAGAAAAGCACGTTCATCCTCCATCCCGATCGCCAGCCTTCTCCTCATTCATTTCAAGATTCCCATGAGCTCTTCTAGGGAGAAAACAGTGGAAGGGAAAGAGGAATGCCTAAGAAAAAGGGGGAACCTACACAGCGCAAAGTTATCCGTCTTCTGCGTGCCGGTGCTCTCGTGCGTCGTCGTCGACACCCAGTTGTCGCCCTGCAGCACGTTCTCGAACTTTATCGTCTCGCCCTCGTACGTGTTGAAGCCGCCACCCCACGGCAGGCTCGGGTTGGAGCAGCACCAGCCGCTGCCGAACCACCACGTGCCCGAGCGGCCGTCCAGCACGTTCTGGTACACGCCGCTGTTGTCGGTCGGCTGCAGGCCCGGCCAGAGGTAGTACACGCTCGCGCTGGGGAGCTTCGGCACGACCATCTCGCCCGACAGCTCGGTGAACTTCTGGCCCGACGCCGAGTAGTAGCGCAGGAAGTACCAGGTCGCCGCCTGCGTGGGGAGCGCGAGCGTGCTCATGGCGGCGAGGGTGGAGAGGAGTTGGAACTTCATGATGATGGCGATGGCTTTGCTTGATTGCTTGCTTGGGAGAAGAGAAGGAGGGAAAGCGAACGCGCGAGAGGTCAATGGTGGATTCCTTATATACGGGTAACAGCTATGAAACGGGCTCCTGATGGCCCCGAAACGGGCACAACCGAGCGAAACGCAGGCGGGATGGTAGATCAGGAAATATATTGATTCAAGATCTGGACAAAGTATAGCATCGCTGAGTGGACTGCGCAATCTCGAAGATGGAAGTCCCACCAATGAGCGTTCTACTCGCGCTCGCTACTTGGAGGCTGTTTCTATTCCGGTAGGAGCGAGCACGATGAGGCGTTTCGGAAGACCCTGGCGAGTACCAAAGAAGGCAGCCTTGTGCACCCCTTGCAAGGGTTGCAGAGCTATAGCATATCGTTCAGCAAGCGAGGCCGTTCGGGCCGTGGGTGCCTGATGTGGAAGGTGAGTGAAACATGGGTCTGTTTCTTGGGCCAAGCGAGGCTTTTGTCATGATGGTTCGACGCTCTTCTTCCCGTTGTGGTAGGGAGCGGCATGCGCAAGCCACCGAAGCCGGGGCTGGATGTTTCGAATCGTTTCAGGCCTGCGAACACTACATCCTTCTGCTCGGCAAAAGAATAGATAAGCCATGCGCCGTGCAGTAGACTCAGTTGGTTGTGACAATCGACTAGTTGCATATCTTTCTTCCGAGTCCCTGTTATATTCTAGCCTGCTATGTATTTAAAGGGCTCTAAGACAGAGAGGCGGCGGAGCATCTGCCTGATTGCTCGAGCGGGCCGACGATGCGAACAGGAGTCGTATCCGAGTACTAGCGGTGTGCACGAAGAGCACGCTTGTTCTATTGTATCCCTGTGCTTGGAGAAGTGCCTGCCAATGCATTTAAGTGCTTGCTGTTATGCTCATTGCCGTTAACAACCCTGCCGGCGATGATGGGAGGAAACACCGAGATTGCCGGCACCGTCACCGAAGCCGCCAGGGACGAGAGGCCACGGGAATAGAGCATATCTGAAGCGTTAGAAGATCGTGAAATACTCAATTGACAATAGAACAAGGCTTGCGCTTGAGTAGATGGTATGTGGTCGCCTACATTATTCAAGCAGCATGTAGTGCGGATGCCGAGGCCGGCTTGCAGATCAGTGGCGTCCTGGTACAATATAGCAAAGTACGAAGCAATATAATCACTAAGCGTAAGTAGGTGGAAATGAGCCCGATCCGAAAAAGATTAAGCTTATGTTGACTTCGTCGCTCTACGTATGTATGAATGATTGCCAACAATTCAGTCAGCTCCAAAGCCAGAATATGAGCCGCACCAGTCCACATCCAGCTTACATACGTTGGAGGACCGCAGCCTCGCAGCCTCATTAGGTTGCTCGGTTGCTCGGTTGCTCAGCTGCTCAGCTATCAACGGCTTGAGAATGTGATATTGGGAAAAACGAAAGTCTAGTATGGACTTTCGGGATCCTATGATTGGAGAAACCACAGTTGAGTTCGCTAATGGAGGTAATCATCGTAGGTCTATCACCGACTAGTGCTGGTGACAATTCTGGAGCCGAAGGAGCGTTGATGTCATCCTCGGGCTGGGATGAAAGTACCCGCTTACACTCTGGTCGAGACCAACATAGAAGGAAGGAAGCTGTTGTTCGTCTTGCCCCACAACCATGCGTCAAAACTTGCCACATCATGCTGGGAAAGACATTGAGTCATCCTGGCGACCAGACAAGGTTGGGGATGCAGCAAGTGACCATGTGCAGTGAGTACTGAGAATGTGACATGTTGACTGAAGGAGGTGCGCTGCAAGCCAAAAAAAAAATCAAGAAAAAGAGCTGAGACTATGGGCCAGTAGCACCAGAGTTTGGCCCAGCTGCAACATTTAGATGAAACGCATGATGAAGATGCATCCCAGGGATCATGATACCAAAAATGGAAAAGTGGCAGGTAAATTGAAAATGCAAATGGTCATCCGCAACCTGGCTTACCTGTTATTGCGCCCCTCCCCTCTGTTTACAATACACGTCATGCGGAGTGATCCACTCCATCTCCACAAAATCGTACGACCGGCTTTCGGCAAGGAGCCGGAAGATCGTCAGGTTCCCGAAAAGGATATGCTGGAGGTGTCGGTGCGTGCCGCCAGTTTAGCCCCCTAGATCACTAAAATGTACATACGTATGCAAATTGGCGCAAGTGTGGCGCCATCTCTATTCTAGGGGCTGTGGGGCTCTGCGATCTTTCTATGCTCTAGAACTTCCAGGCGTCATTGTGGAGAAAGACAATGGTATGCGTTGTCTCTTGGGGGCATGGATAACAGGGAGAAATCTCTCCAGGCAACTCTTCCCAGCCACTTCCGTGCTCATGTTGGTTCGTATTCTACGTGATGTGGCAGGATCTCGTCTGTTATAATAAGGCGGGAAAAATGGGCCACACATTCTGGAAAACGGGGCATGGCTCAACCTTGCCAATGATAGACGGGAGCATAAGGCGATGATGCATCGGAGTATTTTTCCAGTGGGTCTTGTCGCCTTGCAGGGAGCATCGTGGCCTTCTCAGACAGCGGGCGGGAAACAGGAAGGCGGATCTGGTCTCGACTCTCGCCGGCATGCTTGCCTTTGATTGGGGTCGCAGCGCCGAGGCGGGCTCCGCACCGGGATAAGATGTGGAGCTGGTAATGCGGAAAGCATCAGTCTGGGATAAGGGCAGATCAGCGCCGCCCAAGGTGATCGAATTCGGATCAACAGACGGTGCAGGACGCCAATGCAGTAATGGTTGGGACAGGAAAAGTGCCAGACGATGCATTGATAACACCCTTGTCAGCGAGCTTACCTTATTCCGCCGCTCTTTTGCGTGGATTGGCGGGAGCCGCGCCCTGCTCAGGGCTCAACAGACCGCGCCGTGCCGCTTCCGAAGACGTCGATGAAGCGGAGGCAGATCCGTTTAGCGCTCTGCTTTGGCCAGAGCTCAAGCGTCGCCGTCTCGAAGGTCCCGCATCAAGCTCGGTGGGGGGTGGTCCGGGTCGCGTCGTGGGCTCGTCCGATGCAAAGACGTCAGCCGGCCGCTCGCCGCGCTTGATGCGAGCAACCATATTGTCGGAGTCCTTCATGAATTTTTCCAGGTTGTTGAGGAGGATGGTCTGCTCGAGTGGATGCAGCTGGCCGCCAAGCCACTCCAGATGCTCCATTGCGCGTTCCGACTGCGTCCGCCGGTCAGCAGCTGCTGCATGCTCGGTGCTCGTGGAATCCGCCATGGCGCGGCTGATGTCGAAAGGAGGGCGCGAGGAACGCGGTGAATCGCGAGGGAGAAGCTGCGGGAGGCAGCATGGGAAATGGGCCACGGCATGTGTAGGCCGGGTCGGATCGGAGCTGGCGCTGCCCCTCGGCGTGACATCAGCGTCGGCAATTGACTAGCTGCCCGCAAAGCTTCGACACTCGCCGAGTCAAACTCCCCCTCATCGCCGCCAGGATGAATGCCTTTCCGCGCAACTCGATTCGCAGCTTCCTCGTCCACGCGAAGAGCGCTCTGCGCACTGCAATCGCCAATCGTGAGCGTGTCACCTTTGTTATCGGCAATGAATCTGCTGGTACGCGCCTGGCGCCCGTCCCGTATTCGTGCGCGTCGAGCCCCGGTAACGCCTTGCAGACCTCGACTCTTTGACCTGCTCGCTTCTCTATGCCTACGTCCGCAGCCAGCGCCCGCCACCCAACGCCTTCACACCGCTCTACATTCCCGTCGTCAACATCCCCGCCGCCGACATCAGCATCCGCCCCGAGTTCCTCGACCTGCTTCCCCACGCCAACCTACAGCCGCAGCACCTCATCACTCTCGACGACCTTCCGTCTCTGGAGGCGATTGGGCAGGCGTTGCCGCCGGAAAACACAAAGTGGATTCTGGTTGACCACAATGCGCTGCAAGGCATTCTGGGGAAGGTGTACGGGGGGCGCGTCGGCGGAGTTATAGATCACCATGAGGACGAGCACAAGGTTCCAGAAGACACGGCTGACGAGCCTCGAGTCATATCGAAATCAGGAAGTTGCTCAAGTCTGGTAGCGGAGTTCGTCCGACCCGCATGGGATGCCTTATCTTCTGTGTCAGTGTCGTCCGGGGCTGCTCATGGACAGGCCGACGAGGCTGCCAACGACGCGGTCCAGGTCCGCCTGTGGGACGCGCAGGCCGCGCAGCTCGCGTTGGCCAGCATCCTGATAGACACCACGAATCTCACGTCCAAGGACAAAACCACTCAGCATGACGTGGCTGCGTCCGGGTACTTGGAAGCCAAGGTCATGCTGTGTGACAGGACAAACCCGGAATTCAACAGGGACAAATTCTACGACGAGATCAACCGCGCGAAGCAGGACATCGGCCGATTGGCGCTAACTGACATCCTGCGCAAGGACTACAAGCAGTGGAACGAAGGCGGGGTCAAGCTCGGCATTAGCTCTGTCGTCAAGCCGCTCGACTTCCTGCAAGCAAAGGCCAAACAGGAAAAGCACGCCAACTTGTCTTTCTGCGACGCCCTCGGGGAATTCGCCAAGCAGAGAGAGCTGGACATGTATGCGATCATGACAGCATTCACCAACGACGACGGCGAGTTCTGCAGGCAGCTGCTGCTCTGGGGCATATCAGATCGCGCGGTGGCGCAGGCTCGTGCGTTCGCCGAATCTGCAGCTGAAGAGTTGGGCCTGCAAGAGCTGGAGGGCGAGTTCCATGTCCCCGGCCACCATGCGGGATGGAAAAAGGCGTGGCGGCAGCGGAACATTGCCGCCAGCCGCAAGCAGGTTGCACCGCTGCTGAGGGAAAAGATGAGGTGACTGCGCTACTGCCCCGCCAATGACGCGGGGCTGAAAAAAAGGAGGCTAAGCGCCAGCAAGCGACTTCGGATGAGGCTCTGAGGTGAGTTTTTGGTCGTGGCGCCAGCGGAGGCAGGGTTACATCGTGGCCCATTCGGGTAATTGCGGAGTGACCTAAAAGATGCTCCGCAGACACGTGTATCCGTTGACGACCTCAATCCACAATTAGCCCTAACGTTCACCGATATACATGCGAAGCGCGAGCTTCGCAGCGCAGGAGTTGCTTCCTTCATTCGCAATCAATTGCATGATTCAGACAGACATGAGCAGCTTCGCCGGTTCCGTATGCCGTCATTGGGTGCTATTTTCGTTGGTTTCAGTGAGCCGCAGCGCCGGCCTCCTGTCCGATGCTGAGCATCTCCACGATCGAGATTATCGTCCTGGCGGGAAAGCGTGAATGGCCGGCCAGCAGTCTCACCACGACATGACGGCGTCTGCTAGAGTCCTCCGGCGTACCCATCCGGCTCCACCTGGATGAGTTGGTTGTAGGTCTATGGACGACCTAGCCGCGCGGCGAAGTGACACGGATTCAGGTGATGTCGCGTGTACTGACAGCAGACGGCAGCCCCGCGCAAGTAGCGGGGGCGAGAGAGGGTCCTTAGCACGTTTGGGACAATCTTGGGCTTCTGCTAAGCGCCCGGAACATTCGTAAGGCTTCGATACCGCATCTCGGACAGATTGTACGTGCGGTGGAAGTCGGCGCCGAAGATGATTTTCACACGGCACGGCAAGATCAGCAGTTCTAATCCAGATCACGTTTGGTCGGACGCGGTTGGGTACCTACTCCAAGGTGCCGGAGCGTTGCCCAAGCAACATTGGGTATCCATGAAGGTCGAACAAAACTTATGCAAACTGCAGCGCCAGCTGTCGCGAAGAGCCAAAACCAAAGCGCGGCTTGGCGCGGGCGACTGAGGCTGGGGAACGCAGGACGCTTCCCTGCGGCTGTCTGCATGCCACACGTTGCATTTTCCTCTCCAACCACCTCCAACAGTCACGAGAATGGGCCGGGTGTTTGCCCTCATCTCCGGCTGCAGCGGGCGTCGCAGAATGCCGCCTATAGCAGCGCGGTGGTTAAATGAATCCACTCGCGGCGGGCGTCGGGGGCTATGCTTCAGGCGCATAAAATCTGAGTCAAGGCGGCAGCCAGCCATAGCACGACAGCGCTCGCCTGCGCGTAGTTGCATAGTGAAGAACAGGGCAGCGTCGCCACGGTTCAACGGTTCGCACGGCGGTCGACGACCGCACGGATCGCGTAGGCGTCGGCTGCCTTGGCCGCGGGCGGCAGTCCCGTCGAAGCTCGAGGCCGGCGGAGCGCGACGGGCAGCAGTCATTGGAGAGGAGGCGTTCCCCGGCGTGGGCTGCAGAAGGCGAGAAGCGAGCGAGCAGCGCGACAGCCAGCATGCATTGACAGCGCATCAGGGCTCCGTGCAGCAGGGCGGTCCACTTGATCCACTGATTGACCGCAACGTCGATGGGCGAGCACGCTTCTTTGCGACAGGCAGGAGAGGCGCCGCGACCGCTGCTGGAAGTGCGGCCGCAGATGCGGTCAACCGCGGGCACTGGGCAGCAGCTGCGCTGTTCGCGCGGCCGTTGGACTACGGCAGCTCCCAGCACACTAGAGGGCAGCGCAGCGACGGCTTCTGGCGACGGGCTTGGGCTGGCGGCTGGCAGGCGGGGGTTCCCAGCCGCCGCGCTGCGACGAGCATCACCACTGACTGGAGGGGCGGGCGCATCGTGACTTTTGGTCGGGGCATGCACGAGGCTGAATAGAGGAAGCGCGTCAGGTGGCCCTCAGCGTCGCAGGCCCGCCAACTCATCGTCTGCCGCGGTGAGCCCAATCAGCGTGCGCCGCCCGCGGCGGGCTGCCAGGATGTCGGCCGGGTTCATCGATGGAGGACGGGCTGCACGTTCGGGCAGTCGCCACTGGCTGAGGTGTCGGCGGCCAATGTGCGCGCTCGCAACGCGCGAAATATCTGTCGCCGCTCCTGCTGCTCAGCGCTGTCAAGCCCGCCCGAGTCCAATCACCGCGCCGCCGTGGCGCCCCTGAACGAGCGCCGCCCGTATCGATAACGACCGCTGCCATCACCGCCCAGCGCCAGTGCCAGTGCTCACGGCTGCCACTTCACTCGCGCTAGACGCTCCATGCAGCGTGCCCGGAGGCTGCCAGTGCTTGCCCAGTGCCCGCCCAGTGCCAGTGCCCCCGACGCCTCCTCCAAGCACACAGGTCCGACCTCGAGCGCGCCGCACGTCTCGAGCCTCGACTTGCGCGCCTCCCCATGGCGCGATGATCAGACGCAACCAGCACTCTTCCTCGCCGTCGGCGCCGGCCCATTCGTCTCCGCGTACGTTCGTTCCTGCGCCGCTTCCCCCGGCTGCCCGTAGCGTCGCGAGCTCTGGCCTCTGTATGATGTGCTGGCATCCGCTGACAGGAAGCCTATACAGCCGTGTCACCTACTGTCACCCAGGTCTCTTCTAGGAGCCCTACGCCGTCCGCCCCCGAAATCCATGACCCTCCCCGCGACGCCGCGCGCCGGTCCCCCAGCCCGCACAGGTCGCCCACCCCGTCCGACCACGCCTCGAAGATGGGCAGCCGGCTGGCGCAGAACTCGACTCATGACCCCGACCAGCAACAGCAACCACAACAACAACACCATGAGAAGCCCGCCCCCGCGCAGACCCGGCCGCAAATGCCCATCTCCGCTTCTGCCCCCGCCGGCCGCCTCCCGCGTCTGCTCCCCGCCGACGTCTCGCAGTATTCCGAGCCCACATTCCATCCTGATATAGTCTCGACCTCCTCGACCTCGCTCGCCGAGCTGGCCCACCTCATTCGCCTACAGAGCTACCAAGAACAACGCCGCTGCCATGCCCGCGTGCGCCTGCACCGCTCGCTGGTGGCCAACGCCCTCTCCGCGCGGCTGGTTCATTGCGGAGAGCTGGTTCACCGCACACTGGTCGACCACTTCCGGTCCGACGACAAGAAGGGCTTTGCCCAGCTGTACAATGCGCTCCACGATGTGCGCAATTCGTGCGACGCAACCCGGCGCTATGCGCTGCTGGAACCCGATCTGGAGTTTGGGAAGACCAAAACCCTGAAAAATGAGCGCGTTAATTCTTTTTCTACTTTTATGCATGAGATACCCACCAAAACCCGGGATGATCTGTTGGAGTTTCTTTCCGAGTTGCGCACTAACCCAGACTTTCTTGCTACCCGTATCACCAGTCTTTCGCAGCAGGAGCTGGCCTCGTTGACCACCTTCCGCCAGGCCCTGGATCCTATAGATTCCGTCATGGCGTTACAGGCCAGGGGCAAACCCGTCCCCAGTTCCCAGAAGTCTCAGGTTTTGTCTGGCTCCACAGCAGTAGAACGTCTACTGTCTTTTCAACGCCATGATCCCCTTTCCGCTCTCATCTACACCATCTTTGCCAACTCTTCTGGCCCGGACTCTACCGAGGATCTCCGCCGGACGGATATTTGGTCCACCACCTGTGCCAGGCTCATCACTGAGGGGAAGCCAGGCAGTGACAAGTTCATCAAGAGCGTCCTGGATGCCTGGGCCGGGATGCGGGAATGGCCAGGAAAGACCAATCTGGAACTCTACCTCATGGAGGTCCTACAGGATGGCCAATTCCTTCTTGAGAAGACTGAGGACGCATCCAGGCAAAGAGGCCAGCCCGAGGCTCGGAACACCAAGGATACGATTGCCGCGGATGAGTTCTACGATCGATCTGTCCTGAGGTTGTTCGAAGTCATCGATGATGAGCCAAGCGCCGGAGGCATTCCTGAAGGCATTCTAGAGATAGGTACGGCAATCCTGAAGAAACTTGAGGACTCACGGAAGCATCGCACTGCGGCACAAACCTTTATCGTCTCGAGATGGTTCTTTTCGACGTATCTTCTCAACGCTATAATTCACCCAGAAGTAAGGCCTCCTTCGTATCTCACAGGAGAAGTTTTACTTACAAGATACAGAGCCAAGGCATCATGACAGGTCACCACATCACGGAGCATGCGCGGCAAAAGATCCTGAAGGAGATTGCCATCCGGGCGCAGAAGCAGGTCCTGGACATGACCTACAATTGGTAGGATTCTTACCGTTTTTCTCTTAGAACCAAGGCGCATCATGCTCACGATTAAATTTAGGAAACAAGCCGTCCCCATCCTACCAGAAATCCGCCACCACATCGACAACATCATGAACAGGTTCAAGACTCGTGGTCCCCACAAGCCCGTTCTTCTTCCTGCCAAGGCAATCACTTCTCCTCGTGAGACTATAGAGGTTCAGCCCTTTGTTGTCATCTGTCCCTCCGATATTGTCACCATTGTCAACAGCCTGTACCCTGAGAGACGACCATCGTCCAGTCACACCGAAGATGGCCATCACCGCGGCCTAGCGTCCGGGGCTTCATCTATCTCTGGTGTTTCCTTGGCTTTCCGCAACTCATCGCTTGGAGATGCGAGCTCCATCTTGAGTCAAAGCGCAGCATCCTCCATGACCAGTGATACCACTTCAAGGGAGCCGCTTCTCGAGCCACATCTTGGACCCGTCGATAGCCACCATCCTCTTGCTACAGGTAATGGCTATCCGGAGAACGAGCACAAGGTGGAGCCTACTGAGGAATACGGCCATAAGATCAGGATGACTTGCTCGGAACTGACCCGAATTCTTAACGCCACGGGCTCTTGTCACCCGTGTGCTGAGAAGTGGGCCGTCCTCTACGTTTCCTCGGATGGCAAGGAGCTCAGGACTCGCATGCGCAAAGACACCGAGACTGATGACGAGCCTGACGAGGATTCTACCGAGAGCGAAAGCGAGGATGAAGGCCTCGGCGACAGGATGGAGCTGGAGAACGATTACCATGCAATCAAGATGGCCATCATCAAGCTGGTCGAAGAGTACGAGATCCCGAAGGAGCTCGCTCCTGAGAGTGAGTCCAAGGGATTCAGCAACCGGGCGTCCGCTCTTCGCCGTGAGGCACGGCCGTCTGGCCCCAACAGGGCATCGTCAGCGCCCCTTGGTGACAAGAACCCGTATCACAGCACCAGCCAAAGCCAGCTGTCGACCATGTTTGCCAACCAGAGAGGGACTCCTCCATCAAGGATGAGGCTATCTCACGGTCGGAACAACTCGAACGCGGATCTGAAGGATCCCGCAAGCGAGAAACCTTCGGTCCTCGTCACGATGCTCGAGGCTGCCATGAACCAATGTCAAGCCCGCTCGGATTTCGTCAACGCGCATCTTTACTTCAAGACACTCCAGCAGCTGCGGAAGATCCAATCTGCGTCTCTCACACGCAATGGGTACGCTGCATTGCTGAATTACTTTGGCCGAGGCCCACGGGAGTCGGTCGCCAAGTCAAGTAGTGCCATTGAGGAGTTCGAGGCCTGGTTTGTGTGGCTCAAGCAGTCCCAGGAAAGGCATGATGAGGCCATCGAGGACATGATGAATGGCATGAAGTCCCTGAGAGACAAGATGTGGTACATCACTGATGTGCGCAATTCAGCTGGCTATGAGGAAGCCAAGAATGTTGCGCTGGCATTGAAGATCATGGGTCAGCCGACCAAGACCCTGGATGGCAAACCAATCCAGACCCACCGCCCACGCAATCCCTCCAAGGTCGCCAACAATTTCCTCTTGAAGACTGAAGCGCAGGTTCTCGACCTGATGGCCGCCCCGTCTGACCATGGTGGGCCCAATAAGCTGGCTGACGAACAGTCAGACATGACGCTTCGTTGGCTCAAGCAGTATGCAATTGAGAGTTCGTTCTGCAAAGGTGAGGAGCGGATACATCGCTTCTGTCTGGAGATCGACAAGTGCGTCAACAAGCTCGTCGGTGATGGCATTCTCGATGGACCTGTCCTTTGGTCCAGCGAGCTGTACCGTCGGGATAAGGAGGTTCTAGACACTGGTCGCCAGAAAGGTGATTTGTACCTGACTGGCGTCGGCACTCTGAGCATTGCCGGTGATGAAGAGTATGAGTCGCACCCAGGCAAGTCGAGTCTACGCAGCCTCGACTTTGCGCAACGTGCCAGCAACAGCAGCCTGCGCTCTGTGCATCGCAACGGCTCTCAACAGAGCTTTGATTCCGGTAAGTGGAGCGGATCGAGGCCCCTCGATCTCATGGACTCCCAGGACTACTTTGGCGGCTCCAGCCCGGTCCTGTCCATTGATTCCTCCAATACGTTTTGGTCGCCTTTCCAGACTCAGGCTGCGACGTCGCCCACGAGCGCAACCAGCATTCGTCCAGGTTCTTCCCGCGGCACGGTTATGCTGAAGCAGTCGGCGACCGTGAACGAGGACAAGCGTCGGTTCCTGCTGGACCTGAAACAGACTTTGACAGGCTTAATCCTCAGCGATCTGGGGACCATTGTTTTCAGCAACGGTAGTGAGACAGATTCATGGTTCTCCGGTGAACTTGGTGAGGAGTGCCTCGTCCGCAAGGAGGAAGAAGAGAAGCGTCGCAAGCGCGCTGCCCGTAAGAAGAGCATGAGGAACCTCCGAAGCGCAGCGAAGGAGCAGCGTGGTGGTCCCGGCTCAGAAAACCAGTCCTCTACCGAGCACTCCAGCTCAGGTACTGATGCCACTGCCCGTTCGGCAGGCATTTCCGCCAAGAAGGCCGGCCTTCTCGAGTTTCCCTTCAACTCTGCTTTCCGTCGCCTTTTGCACAAGTTCGCCACTCACCCTAACCCTTTCTCGAAGCTTCATGCGCTGTATGAGCTTGAGTTGTTGATCATCGCCTCGCTCAGCAGCCGCACCGGCCGGCACTACAGCCGCAGAGAGACGCTGCCCACGGTGCCGCAGTCCCCGACTCTGGGATCTGTGCCTGAGTTCAGCTCTCGTGAGGCTACCGCTAATCACGTTCAGGCTCAGAACTTGGAAGAAGCCATTGCCAATTGCGAAGGTAGACGCTCGCACTCCATGATGAACGGCCAAGAGGCTTCGGCTGCGCCATCTTTCCGCAACGGTGCTCGTTCACCAACCGGGCCACCCAGCACCGACATGATAGTCGATGTGCTCACCGGGTTGTTCCGTGATGCCAACATCCGACCCAAGACGCTCTTCCGCGACCTGCAGTACATCGCATCCTTTGTGCCTGCACAGATGCTCGATAAGACTGCGCGCGGCAAGGCGTTCTGGGATGCTGGGCTCGCCGCGCTTGGTCTCAAGCAAGACATCTGCCGTATTATGGTGGAGATTGCGGACGACATCGTGGCGCTGAACACGCAGAATCGATCTGCGGCCCTGCAGCACGCTGCCAACAGCAGCAGCGGCGCCTCTGAGAAGGCTGGCATCACGAACGCCGCGGTCGCTCCGTCTCCGGACGACCCGCTGAACAAGTTCACCATGGAGGATGCAGCGCGCATGCTCATCATCACTGCCAAGGAGGGCGATGCGGTGGCTGAGCGTGAACTCGCCATCTTCTACCTGACGCATCCCGACCTGCTGCCACGCACGACGCTGCCTTTGACCAAGCCCACCGAGGTGTTCAAGGCGGAGCTGCTCCAGCGTGATCGCAAGCGGGAAGATCCTGCCCGTAGCGACCCCATCACCATGTGCGTTGCGCAGCACTGGATGGAGATGTCGAAGCGTGGCGGCGATCAGTTGGCTACCAAGTACCTCCGAGCTCGCGACGAGATGGAGAGGATCCCATAGATTCCTCTTTTCCGGCCCCCCTGCAACATGATGCTTCTCCCCCACGCATAGCGACGGATCGCATGTTTTCATCTTTGGCATACACCATTTATTCGCACATATACCAACCATCCAACAACAACAACCTTACATTCGACCTCTTCTCCATATTCGCACCATCTCATCAACACCTACCGCACACTCCTCACACAGCAACAGACCGCACTCAACCCCTGGTAGCAGAGCCGCTTGTATATGTTCGCTTTAGACGCATTACGTTTTCTGGGTAAAACGGGATAGGAAAATCAAGGTGATGACGATGACGAATCCTTTTGGGGAAAAGGCTTTATTTATCTTTCGTCCCCCGAGGCAAAGGGGGAACCGGTCGATGATGAAACTCGCCGGATAGCGATTGGGGCTGCGCGTGTTTGGGGCCATACATTGCTAATGCTCGTCCAGAAAGAGTGTTGAAAGAGCTGGGTTTCTTTTCAACCCCCAGCAAGCAAAGCAAGTCACATGGCGCGCGCAGCGTCTTTGCAAACTTTTATGCAGTGTTACGAGTCTTCTTGGTTAGGATGACAGAGACAGGGAGTGAAACACTACCCTGGGGTCTTTTCTACATTCTTTGCGTGGTCGCATAGGAATTCTCCGACCAGCAAAGCAGCTCTTTATCGATTTTTAACAGCTATATACCTATTCCGTACAGTACGTAGTTTGCAATAGTAGTTCATCTTGAATAGTGTTGTGCTTCTTTGGTGTTATTTTCTGAATAAGCTTCTTCGCCACAAGCGGCGTCTTTGCTCTTGGAGGCTTGTTGCCGTTGAGCACTCAATCCCCCCATGGCTGAGCCGACGAGTTTGAGGTCGGCTACACAAAGGTGAGAATTTTGTTGTTGGCAGTGTCCTGGTTTTTGTCACACATGATTATCAGGGCCAACACTGAGGGCTTGAAGGCCTTAGAAGACCCACAAGACTTCATGAATTAGTGTTTTCATATATCATACCGCGGCCATGATATCCATTTCAATATACACCTTTTTACCTGCAGGCGGACAATTTCAGTATCAGTGTCACGTGACCAATCGACTTCACAACACCCCAGTTGGTATGACCCAGAGCCTTACCGTCTCCACAACCCAAAAAAAGTCCGCATTTCCACAACCCCCTTGGCTCAGCAACAGAAACGAGTTTGCTACAGACCTCTGAGACTCTTGGGCTTTCTCTCATACCAGGCACGCGGCGCCCGTTCCGTGGCCGATTTGGAAAGAAAAATTTTCGTTTTGGTCAAAAAATAAAAAAGTTATCCCAGTCAACGCAAATCTTCCGGTTTAAAAAAGAAGAGAAGGAAAAAGGAGAAAGGACACCCATCACATCACATACATACATATACACTCCACGTCCATCTACCGAAAAAGAAAAGGACCAAAAAAATGGGCCCAGAGGAACCCCTCCCCCTCCCCCCAAACTTCGCGGGCAACGCCGACGGTTATGTCGAAGCGCTGCTGCAATTCGGCACGACGTCGACGGCGCTGCGCACGCTGTGCGGCGGGGTGCACATCCTCGACTTCTTCACGCGCGAGCCGGACCTGTACGCGCTCGTGCTGCCGGCCGACTGGCGCGCGTGGTTCGCGCGCGACGACGTCGACGTCATGGGGGTGCTGGACCTGCTGATGCGGATGGATTTGAGCGTGTTTGATGAAGAGAGTGCCACGGGGCATCCGGGGTGGGGAGAGAGGCCGCCCGCGTCGCTGCTGGCGTTCGTCAGGGAGGTGCGTGGGTTGTTGCTTAGGCGCGAGTGGGAGCCCGCGGCTGAGACGAAGAGTGTGAGGGGGAAGGGGGGGAAGGTGGCGGGGTTGCCGCGGCATATTGCGCTTGGGATGAATGTTAAGAAGCAGCATGAGGTGCAGCATTTCGCGGCGTTTGTGGACCGGTTGACGGAGGATATTCGGAGGGAGAGGGGCGATGAGGCGGCTATCTCGCACATTGCGGATTTTGGGTCCGGGCAGAATTATTTGGGTAGGGCGTTGGCGAGTGAGCCGTATGGGAAGAACATCATTGGTATTGAGAGCCGGAAGAATAACATCGAGGGCGCGAAGGGGATTGATGTGTTGGCGGGGTTGGCACCGAAGAAGGTGGTGTTGAGGAATAAGAAGGAATGGAGAAAAGAGAAGGAGAGGGATGGGGGTCCGCTCAAGAAGGGAAGGGGGAAGAAGCAGGAGGAGTGCGAAGATTGCGGAGATGGGCCAGAGGAGACGAACGGAGAGACGCCGGAACAGGTCGAAGAGGAGACGACAGCAGCTGCTCAACCTGAAGAAAAAGATCAGAAGCAAGAAGACGCCTTCGCAGGGTTCGCGCCAGAGGGAACTGCAGACTTCGTGCAGGAAGTCGAAAAGGAAACGTTCAATGGCATACCAAAGGGATCGAAGAAGGCCAAGCTCCACCTGCTGGAGGAGGGCAACGGCAGCATCCAATACGTCGAGCACCGGCTCGAGGACGGCAACCTCGCGCACGTAATCCAGGAGATCGTGGACCCGTCCAAGGTCGGAGAGCAGCAGAGCGGCACCTCAGCCAAAGAAGACGTCAACCAGCCCTTCGTCACGACGACGCCGGCCGTGACGGCGAGCACGCGGGCGCAGGACCCGAACCTGATGGTCATCTCGCTGCACTCGTGCGGCAACCTGGTGCACCACGGCTTGCGCTCGCTGTCGCTCAACCGGGCCGTCAAGGCCGTGGCCATGATCGGCTGCTGCTACAACCTGATGACGGAGCGTCTGGGCCCGCCCTCGTACAAGCTGCCGCAGCTGCGGCCCAACCACCCGCGCCTCGAGGCCACGGCCAACGCCTTCGACCCGCACGGCTTCCCCATGTCCGACCGCTACGCCACCTACCCGGTGCCGGGCACCGACGACGTCGGCGTGCGCCTCAACATCACGGCGCGCATGATGGCCGTGCAGGCGCCGCAGAACTGGGGCCCTGTAGACAGCGAGGCCTTTTTCACCCGCCACTTCTTCCGCGCCCTGCTGCAGCGCGTCTTCCTCGACCGCGGCGTCGTCGAGCCGCCGCCGAGCAACACCAGTAGACTCATGGAGAACGGCCGCACCGTCAGCGGCTCCGTCAGCCCTGCCGGCTGCAGCAGCGGCGGTGAGCCCATCGTCATCGGCTCGCTGAAGAAGAGCTGCTACAAGGACTTCGTCGCCTACGTGCGCGGCGCCCTGGCGAAGATCGAGGGCAACCCCGACCAGCCTGACCGCGCTGAACAGGTGCGCGAGAAGATGAAGGGCATTACCGACGAGGAGATTGCCCGCTATGAGGTCGCGTACCGCGCGCGGAAGAAGGAGTTGGCCGTCGTGTGGAGCTTGATGGCCTTCGCAGCCGGCGTGATTGAGGCCATGATCGTGGTGGATAGGTGGTTGTGGTTGAAGGAGCAGCCAGACATCGAGAGGGCGTGGGTGGAGCCCGTGTTTGACTATGCGTTGAGTCCAAGGAACTTGGTTGTTGTTGGTCTGAAGAAGTAGACAGAGGATGGGGGAGAGTTTGGCATAGACAGGCATACACGATTAGACGGCTACCGCGCGGAGGAGCAATGGCACACACAGGAATCTATACCCAACAAGCATCTTCACTTCCTATCCAAGTCAAGTGGCTTAGCTGGCCTCTTCCGAAGCTTCCAGAGACCGAGCCTTCTGTTCGATTCCTGCAAGACCCAGCGCTGATTCCCAGTGAACAGTTACCTAAAACTCAATCAACAACCACTTCGAGAAGACCCTACGTCACCTGACCGAGCATTCTCCCGCAAACCGCCGATAGAACGACAACCACGCTCTCCCAGTCGGCGCCCGGCACTATTCTCAATAGCTGCCCATGGTTCTTTACTCCCTCAAAAGTACACAGAGATTCCCCTTTACTCCTCTCTACGGTATGATGTATATCACGTAAGTAAATTATCTCATTACTCGGTCTCTGGAAGCTTCCTCTTTTTTTTTTTTTTTTGGTGTGCTACCTGATGTCCGAGCACCGATTCTTTTATGCTAAGAGTAGAGAGGTGGTTTCTACTTATAATAATACTATTTCTTAGCGTAGAGGGTTCTTCTTACTATTTATTTTCCTAAATGTGCAGATCTATTCTTACGTCCCAATTTCCCATCACCACTCCGAAGTAGATAGGATCCTCCACCTTCAGCGCCCCAACAGCCACAGCTGCAATCCAAACAGCCGTCAGTCCAAACTAAATGGTAGAGACCAGCACCAACAGCTCCGAAAGGCACCACCAAGCGTCCAACAACCTTCTTCACTCGACAAACCCATCATCATTACCCCCAAAGCGAATCCTGGCTCTTCTTCCCACCCGCCTTAGGCGGCGTCGTGACCGTGTAGCTCCACGTCTCATCGCCGTCGACGAACAGCCTGTACTGCAGCATGCTCTGCTCGCTCGTCTTCGGGCTGGTGATCTCGATGGCGCCGAACTTGGAGTTGCCGTCCGGGATATATCTGCGCCAGGCACGTGTCAGTAAACATCTCGCCTCCGCCGCCGCGCTTCGGGGAGAGAGAGAGAAAAAGAGAAAAATCTCACTTCAAACAAACATCCTCCCCATCCCCAACATCCTCATACGTCCTGACGGGCAAATAAAACATGCTCAACGGACTAGTACTAAACTCATGCACCGTCGCGCTCTGAGGCCACCTGCCATCGTTCTCAGGCGGCGGGAAGGCCGTGGCGGCGAACTCATGCCTATCGCCGCTGAGCACGACGAAGCCGACGCCACCTTCAGCACCAACGTCCCACATGGCCTCGAGCAGGCGCTGGCGCTCGGCGAGGTAGCCGCCCCAGGTGTCGAGCTTTGAGGGCCCGTGGCGCCAATTCTTGGTGAAGGGGATGCTGGAGACGACGACCTTCCAGCGCACGCCAGGCTTAGCGGGCGACTCTCTGATCCACGCGAGCAAATCGTCGAGTTGGTTTTGGCCCAGCATGCTCTTTGTCGGGTCCCACGGGTCCTTTGCGCGCTCCGGGTCGCGGTAGCGGCGCGTGTCCATCAGAAAGAAGCTGGCCGGGCCCTGGGTGAAGGCGAAGTAGGTGTCGCCCGAGGCGGCGCCGCGGACGGGCGGCGGGTTGACGGCGACCTGGTAGTGGCGCCACGGCTCGTAGGCGGCCTGGAAGACGCCCGTCACGTTGCGGTCCCAGTCGTTTTCGATCTCGTGGTCGTCGAGCACGTGGATCCACGGCAGCTTGGCCGAGACGGAGGGCCACTCGGGCGCCGAGTAGACCTGGCGGTACTCGCGGCGGTAGTCCTCCTTGGCGGCGCCGTGGCGGATGGGCACGTCGATGTAGATGAAGTCGCCCAGGAAGAGCATGAAGTGGGCGCTCAGCGCGTCGATCCACTTGGCCAGGTGCTCGAAGCCCGGGATCGAGAGCGGGTGCTGGAACGGGTTGTAGGGCACGCGCGGCTTGATGCAGCTGGAGTGGAGGAACGTGTATTTGCCGTGGTTGGCGTCCCTGGCCGAGATCTTGCCAGCCGGTGGAGCTGTCACGAAGTAGCCCGTGTGGTTGTTCGACACGGCCCACTGGTACTTGGTGTCCGGCCTGAGCTGCGCGATCTCCACGGCCGCCGTGTAGTCCGTCTCCTCGGACAGCCATTCAATGGTCGAGGCATGTTTCCATGCGGTATCATGTGGGCGGTGGCCGGAGTCCAGGCTCAATGGCGGATCGGCAAAGCGGTAGGATACAAAGATGGGTAGTTTGGCCAGGCTCGGCTCACGCACCAGGAGCTTCGCCGATTTGTCCGACACGTAGCCAACGCGTGCAAAGGAAAGATCATACTGGGGGTAGAGTACCGGGGCGCGGTAGATCAGATCCAGCATCATGCCCATCATGACAACGTTGATGGCAAAGGTAACCCAGCTCCATAGGGCAGACGAGGGGCTCGGGCAGCCGGTCAGGAGAGTCTGCAAGATGCGAGGATCCTTCTCCTCGACAGTGACAGTCTCCTCGACATCCAATTCCTCGATGACCCCGGCCTGAGGGCTCCCGGCAACATCTGGAGTGTCATCTCCTTGGGCAACCGTCTCCTTGGTTATTATGTCGATCTCATCAGACACAACCTGGTAGGGCGAGGTGGACCAGAAGCTCGCGAGGAACGAGGGGACGTAGACGGCAGTGAGAGCGGTCGCAAGCGGGGGTACGATCTGAGGGAGGGTCGTCAGCTGGGGCAAGCTGGGGGCGGCATTGGATTGTACAGACACTCGTGGGGATCTACTCGGACTCGAGGGTCAGCAAGATTGCGGGGTATGTGATTCGACGGAGCTCACCCATCGCAGAAACACGTAGATAGAGAGACGGAGGAGGATCGAGGTTGCGGTGGTGATTTTATCCGAGGTCGAGGCCATGCTGTCTTTTCACCAGAGCATGACCTTGGCTGGGATTCGAGGCCGACAGGGCTGGTAAGGAGACTGCAGCCTCCCTCTCGTGCAGCTTCGCATGCTGCCGGCTTCCGCTGCTGGCCCGCGCACAGAGCTGACACACTGTGACGCCATCGTCACGAGTCAGTTGTGTTCGGTCGGTTTATCGTTGTCCCAGCTCCGCGACCCTTGCGGCTCTCGGGCCCTCTTCGACCGAAACCATCCATGTACAGCACAGTTGCATATGCCAACATCCTGAAATCAACTTTTTATGAGATCACACCGGGCTAACTATCTAGTCGCCATTTTATGAACCTGAAACCCGGAAACTCCTTGCAAATACCCTCAAACCCCATATCTCGCCATTTTTCTCCTAACGGTTGCTGACCTGGAAGCCGGTGTCGTCGGGGCGCGAGGTGAGCGAGATGCTGGTATCCGGGTACCAGAGGTCCAGCTCAGGGTGCAAGTGCGAGAAGCCACACATGGCGAAGACGCACTCGTCGTTGGCAAGTTCCTTGTTCTGATCGCCAACCCATCCAAAGTGACCCTCGCCAAACTTGGCCCACGCCACAGCCGTGAGACGCTCATCCTGCGGGTCCTTGTACATCGCCTCGGTGGCGTCGACGCGTCCGAGGAAGTGGTTCTTGGTGTTGTACTTGGTCTTGAGGAAGTTGTTGGGCGGAAAGTGCTCGACGGCCGCCGCATGGTACTCGACGACGCAACGCTTGTACGCCTGCCAGATCCACGGCCGGTCGAAGTGGGTGCTGAAGAAGGGAAGAAAGTCGACGAAAGCAGCATCGCTGAAGTTGCACCCGAAAACGACGTTGCCGCCGTCCATGATGAACTGCTTGATCTTGTCCATGATGATGCCACGTGCCGGAATGTAGCGCTCGTCATCCGCGTTGCGAATCGTGAGGGCGGCATCAGCGACAATGATGGCCTGAGGCTTGTAGTTGTTGAGGTACTCCAGCGCCTCACCTGCAGTGAAGGCGCTATCGACTTGGGCGTAGCTCTGAAGGAACCCTACCAGCCGGCGAGTGGTGCGCTGGAAGAAGTAGTCGTCGTCGTCGTCATCCGGTCCGTTCAGGCGCAGGAAGAGAACTCTGGGCTTCGCAGACTTAGTGTCGTTGTCGGCCTTGGAAGCGGTGCCCTTGTCGGTCTTGTTGTCAGGCGCAGACGGGCCATTCGGAGTGACCTTGTCCTTGAACGGAGCCATCTGCCAAGGCAAGGCGCCGCCGGTGAGCTTGAAGACATGTTGGCGTTGCTCGATGCCATTCTCTGGGTTGCCATCCTTTGCCGACAGGCTCAGCTGGTGCGCTAGCGTGAGGTTGCCGTCGTCGCCCATTTTCGCTTGGGTTTGGCAGTGTCTGGTGTGAGGTGGACGGTGGCGGGGGAGGAAAGGAGGAAGGAAGAGTTACAAGTAGCTGGTCCGGGCCTGTGAATGAAATCTCTGCATGTGACTTGAGTGCTTCTTGCACCTTCCTTGCCTTTCTCGACCCAACGCGAATGAAGTCATCACTTCCTGCCTGTTCGAGCCAGCCTTTGAAACGGCATCTGAATCACCTCGATCTTACGCCGGTAGTAGAAGCAGGTATCCGAGCTTTGATTTGAATTTTGAACCTATACAGATACATCTGAATACTGGATTCAACTGCCCACATAGTTAGAGTGCAGTAAAGTTTGGCGATGGTGTAGTATGAGAACTATGTTTCGTGTCTGTTAACAGCCTTAATGGCAGCCGTGAGTAAATGTCTTCACTTTCAGTCGCCCAAGATTTCTCCACTCACAAATGAAGATCTAGGTCACACACTTTCGGGGCCTTTCACGTATCTTTGCACTGTACATACTTCGGAAATATCAGAAAGTAGGCTGTGATGGTAACAAGATTAACATTTGGCTAGCGGCTTGGCTGACTGCGGGACGCATTTGACTTTGACTAGAAAATCAACAGATTCATGCTCAAGCAATGCCATCCCAATCATCCCGCTGCTGCCTACGCAATGTATCTTTGTCGATATTGCTGAAGTAGCTTGAACTTTTGCATTTCTCAAGCATCGTTTGTAACATCCAACACAGAATGTGGTCCATACAACGGCCCAGTGGTTCGGAACATAGCGAGAGCCGCATGAATCGTACTTCGTTTACCATACATTGACTACCGACCCGTCAGACTGGGAGCGGCTCCGTCAAAAGGGTCGTCGGCGGAGCAATCGCCCCAAAGTGCAACACAACCCCAACGGCTCGGGCCGCACCTAATTGCTCTGCTCCGCAATTGCGCATTTCCACCCCCTCGCGGCAACGGGCAAAACGTTCTTTTAATTTTTCTCGCGGGAGCCGCGGCCCAATTGGGCTGGATCACGCCACCCCTTATCTCAGCCATGTGAGTCGCACCTCCGCAACTTCATTCTTCTACAGCGGCTCCGCCCTGCAGCTTGACCCCAATCTGGGGCTTGCGTTCATTGAGTTTGCGGTTCCGTCTCGGAGTTTGCTCTGGCGAAAGAACGAGATTCGACCGAACCATGGATCGAGGCCGCCGAACGGCGCCGCGATTCTCAAAACCGCCGCAATCATGGCTCCGTGCGGATCCGCAAAAGCGAGTGGAAGAGCACATGTGAAACGTTGATAGCGATGTGCGGTCCCGCAGCGAAAGTTTGAGTCTGACTGATATGATGTGCAGCTGACGGATGGTCGTTTTTGGATACACGTTACACCCCCCAAAAACGGCCAGGGAATCCCCGACAACCGACCCCAGTTGCTGGCGAGGATGGCCTGTACGGGGGATCGCCGCCTGTGCTTGGCCTTTGTGATGGACGGGAGACGGATTCGGACGCGATGTCCAGCCATGTTCTCCTCGCACCCGGTTAAATGCACACAACTGGCCCTTCTTTCCTTTATGAGGCGACATCGACAGGGCTGCCTCGCTTACAGCTGCATTATTGCCACCATTTACGAGCAGGCGTGGCTCTACCCATGACACGAACGCACGTCAGAAGTGCGTTGCTGGAACAGACAAGAGAACTCGGCAAGACTGAGGTTCCGAGCATATCACCCTCATTCTGAGCTTGAGGATGTATATGCAGATGGTGTCACGTCGAGGGGCGGAGCCGACAATCCCTGACGGGATGATATAGCGAAAGTCGTTGCCCTTATTCCACAAAGTGCCACTTCTCATCGGCCCTATCGAGCGTCCAGTAGAGCCGCCCAATCGCAGGCACGCCTTGCAGGCTGCGGTACATCCATGCGTGCACCCGTGCCCGCAAAAGTCAACTTCGTTCTTCTAGCAAACGCCACCGGCGCGATTCAACGGCTCACTTACTCGTTCTCTGCGGATCCGCACGAAATGAGGCTGCCGAAGCGCCGTCATCGCGACGTTGTAACTGACACATCTCCCCGAGCCCAGGGTGAGTATACCCGTAGACGTGCGAAGTTGACGCACAACACAGCAAGGGGACAAAGCTGCTGTAGATCATCGTAATCCCAACGGCGCCTGAACGGTATCCATTGACCACCGGGGGAGTGGTTCAAGAGAGACAACTACCCTGACCTTCCCCTCACCAGTACTCCACACTTTTGGGTCCATCATCAACACATTTCCCAGAGAAGTGGCAAATGAGCCTGCTCATCAGCCCAGCTATGACGGTTGGCCTCAAAGCACGGCATTCAAGACGTCCAGAAGCCATCGGCGGCCGTTTCACCCGGATCAACGATCCTGACGCAAGCCACTTTGCCCAGCCCCCCGGCTGCATGACTGCTGATGCCTGCATTGCCAACGCGGCACCGCCGGACAGGTCCCCAAACAACTCAGGAGTATGTCATCAAGACGAAGACACTGCCAATCAACCCGGGCTGCTGATTGCTACGTCTTGAGAATACGTGCTTTCCGTGCGCACGATGATCAGGGGTGTTGTTTGCCCATGTCAAACATTCATCCTCATACACACTCAAGAAATCAATCGAACCATCTTCCAAAACCCTTCCAATAATCGCCATCGTTTCAACCAGGCCGGTCAAACTGACAGGCCATTACGCCCGCTTCTTCGGGATCGCCGAGATAATGGTATACCCGAGAGAGCTTCTTCTCCTGTTCCCTGTCGTTCTTCGCCGGCGATCCCGAAACCATGCTATCACGCAAAGATCAACCAAGTACGAGATAGCAAGATCCCCCCATCATCGACCTTGCCATCAGCTCCTCCCTCCCCCTTCTTCATTCACCCTCGCAAGAAATTGCTCCTCTTCCTCCGGGATGCCGATTTAAGGCCGACGACGACGGCCCCACGTTTCTCTCGCGGGAGAAGACGATCCGAGACCGCTCTTGTTTTGTAGCGGCGCTCGGTCGCTTATTTCGGCACGACTGTCACCCTCATACGGCCCGAGAAAAAGATAGGGGATGCCTTGTCTCGGATGGCTGTTTACAGATCCTCCGGGCGAGCGGAAAAGGTGGGACCACACCGACATCGGCATACGAGATGTTTATCGGTATCTTCTGCGCTGGAAAGTTCGTATCGCAGAGGCTTGGATCGAGGCGAGCGGTGAGCGTTTGGAGAAGTCGAACGTTCATGGGACTGGTGTATGCGTGGTGCTCTTAGGTTCTCTTTTCGAAGCTAAAACTTTCACCATACTGTCGACCTCATGGCAAAGAACTCGAAAATGAAATAGTCTAGCGCTTGTAGCGGTGGGCCTGATCTCATCTGCTCTCTAGGTAACCAGTCTATAGGGAGGACAAAGATATCCCAGACGCACGATCAGGCCGTCCAGAAATGCGATGATAAAGACGAGATCCGACTGATTTAAACGCCGGGTCGTAACTCGGTGATTAAACATGATGGTCACGGTCGATGAATCAAACAACGTCAAAGGACTTCGAAAGGTCGGTTCTCTCATATCAACATGAATTGCCTCACGCTAAAGAAGCAACAACACAGAAGTATCTACACTTCACACAGTCAACCCCAAATCTAAAATATATACAACGAAACGTCTCACTCACAACCCAAGCCCATCCAACCACACCGCCAGCGCCCCCGTCACATCCTCAAAATCGCCATCCCCATTCGGAAAGTCCCTCGTATTAATCGTCAACCCGACGTCCAGCCCATCCCACCTGCTATCCATGTACGTCCGCGCGCCCGACGTCGTGCCCGTCCTGTAACCCGTCGACCGCGGCCCCACGCCGTACGCCGCGTGGCGGGCAGCGAAGCGCGCCAGTGCCAACGCGCTCGCGGCCAGCCCCGTGGCGCCCAGCGTCGCGTCTTTGACCTGGCCGTCGCCGCCGAAGACGTGGGCGACGGCCGCAGCCCTGAGCGGTTCCAGTGCCGAGGCGCCCGTCGACTGCGACTCTTGCACGACGTTGTCGGATGCGTGCGCGGAGGGGTCCGTCGGCCAGCGGATGACGCTGGCGGTCAGGCCGTCGGGCTGGAGGATGGCGGTGGAGAGGTAGGTCCAGTAGGGGAGGGCGGTGACGGCCTCGACGAGGCGCGAGAGAAGCATGTAGTTGTAGTTGCCGTATTCGTAGTCCTCGCCGGGGGTGTAGTCGAGGGGTTGGGAGTAGTACATGTAGTCGATGACGTCGGTGAGGGTGGCGGCGCGGGAGCCGTTGGTTTGCGCCAGGGCGATGTCGCGCATCATGTAGGCCGGGTCGCCCGAGACGCTGCGCTTGAAGCCGGCCGTGTGGTCGAGCAGCTGCTGGACGGTGATGTCGTCGGAGCGGGGGTCGAGCGGGTTGGTGTAGTTGAGGAGCGGGTAGGCCTTGGTGTCGGGCGTCAGTTTGCCGGCGTCGTAGAGGGACTGGATGGCGGCGGCGCAGAAGGCCTTGCTGTTGCTGGCCAGCAGGAAGGTGTCGTTGACGCGTGTGGTGGCCCGTTCCGGCTCGCTCCAGGTGTAGGCTTTGTTCAGGAGCGCGCTGCCGTTGCGCGCGATGGCGAGCTGCACTTGGCGGACGCCCGCCTTGGTCATGAAGTCTTGGATGATGCTCGCGGCTTTGGCCTCGGCGGCTGTGTTGTCGGCGAAGCCGGTGGGAGAGGGCCCGGCGACGCGCCAGGTCCGCTTGGAAGGAACGTCCTGCGTGGCGAAGATGGCGGCGTATCTTGGCTCGCTGGAACCTCCGCCAGCGAGGTGGACGGGATACTTGCCGGATGCCTTTTGCTTCTCAATTTCGGCATCGAGATCGGAGGCGGCCAGATCGTATTGGAGGTCCCACGAGCCAATGCTTGTATCGGTCCACAGGCTGGTGTAGCTCCCATCATCGGCGATGGAGAGCGACGTGGGACGCCAGTACGGCTTGCTGGTCTCCGTGTCCACGACATCCTGAAAGTTTTCCACGGGGCTGTTTGATCTATAGGCAACCCACTTGTCGTAGTCCGGGTTGGCGTGCCAGATGGCGCAGAAACGATAGTCCCCAGGAGTGCCGTATTGCTTAAACGACTTGAGACTCTGGCGCATTGCGTTTGCTCCTTGATCGTTTCCAGCAAACTGGTCCTGCGTCATGTTGCATTTCTGCGTCCACGTCGTGTTTCCCACCTCCATCACTCCAGAGTAAACGGCCGAGTCGCTGGGGCCCGTGACGGCAATTAGCGTTGGAACATAGCCCGTAGAGTGCTCATCGATCCAAGACTGGAATGCCGAGGCGTTCACATTGTGAACTGCGGTAAATGCTGGACCATTGCGCTGAACCCACACGGCGGCGTATTGAGAATCCGAGGCACCTCCATACGAACTCAGGGAAATAATCCGATAACCTTTTGCGCTCAGGTCGTCGTAGTGAGCCTGGTGAGTTTTACCATCCACTCCGTGGTAGACTTCGAACACGGTGACCCCAGATCCCTCGCTCCGTTGTGAGAACGCATGGCTGGTAGTAGGAAAGGACTTGGCCGGTCCAAGAAGTCCAGCAAGAATGGAGATGCTAAGTGGCCACGCTTGGGTCCACATGGCGACGATGTTGATACCAGCTCTTTTCGAGATCTATCGTTCCCTCTGCATGAATCCAGAGTCACTTCAAAAGCGCACGGTCCTTTCTCCTGCGCTGGAAACGAATGATAAAACGATTGGCTGGCAGACGATTCCGCCGATGAAACAATTGGAGGAAAGAGTGCAGGCGGGTTGGATGCAGATATACAACTGAACTCCACCCCCTAAAAATAAAGACTCTTGGCTGCATGGTTTTGGATAGAAAGACGCTCGTATTCGTAGAGCCTCACGGTGTACTGTGTACGTTTAGCCTGTCGGCGCTTAGTAGCTTTAAGCTGTCTCCGAGCGCAAGGACCAATAAGTCACGCCAAATTTACGTTAGTGCAAGCCACACGTAACCGTTTATACGAATGCACCGTCGCCTAATAGGTGCTCTTATTATGAAATAGGCGACACTTACCAGTCAGAATGTACAGTCCCCTCTCGCGGCCGATGGCTAGCATGAATTTGCTTTTTGCTCATGTCATGGGTAGCTGAAGCTATCGTCCGGACGGGAA